CCAGCCAGACGTTCTTTGGGCGAGATTGGTCGCCTCCCTCCACGCCTCTAAGCCGGTGCAGCTCCTGGGTATGTGTGATTTCTAGGGGCGCGTGCGCCCCGTCAGCGCTGCGCGGGCGCATCGTCAGCGACGCTCCCTCTCGCGGAGGTCGTCGTGTATGTGGGCTTCAGTATCCGGGGCAACCAGCCCGGGGCCCCTGTGCCCGCATCGCCTGCGCTTCGTGTTCGCTGCATTCTCGCTTGTGCTTCGTCCTCCCGTGCTTCCCGCGTCCCCTGTTCCTGTGCCGCGGCCTCCTCGCCCGCTCTAGCGAAGTGGGGGAGTAGGTTCTCCGCGATGAGCCACCGGGCCACCTTCTTGCTAAGCTGCGGCTGGTCTAGTAGCGCTGCTAACTCGCGGCTCCCGCGCGGCGGGCACTTACCGGCGTCGTGCCACATCTTTTCCCGGCTCGCTCTAAGTGCGTCGCAGTGGAGGAGGATGTGTTCCCCAGTCTCAAGGGCTTCCTCGCACCGACAGAGCGGCGACGTCACGCCGGGGGCGCCTATCTTGTAGAGGAGCGCGCGGGTGCTTAGTCGTCCGGTGCGTAGTTGGATGAGAATGGAGGACTCGAATTTCAGGAGGCCCTTGTGCCTTTTGATAGTCGCCGCGCGGTCTTCTGCGCATGGTCCGGCGCCCTGCGCTCGCGCAGCGCTCCAGCGGTCCTCCCACCCCTCAGCGAGTGCGATTTTGGGTGAGGACCACCTGGATATATGGAGGCAATGAAGCGTTCTACATCAAATGGTTTTGACTCACAATGAGCATATAGGTGCAAAAACCCTTTCATAAGTGAACTTTTGGTGGGCATTTTTGTTCCGTACGTCTAGCCAGTATTCTCCGCTGTTATCGGAGAGGGAAAAAACAGTCCACGTGAGGTATAACATACTCATACTTAACATTCTCACACTCTGGTTATCACACTCTGGCTACTTAGAGATACTTCAAATCAAATACAGCACTGTTTCTTGAGTTAAACACTCACTCGTTCAAGGAACAACTCTTGGAATCAAGGGCATCCTAGTAGATTTGTAATAGCTAGGTCACAGCAACCATTCGGAAGTCATTCCGAATCGAAATAGCCGCCTCCGTCCTGATTATCACAAACACAGAGAGTTTGAAAAACTTCTGGTAGAATTCAAGACTGATGATTGAAAGCCACTCCCCATTTATCGTATGCATCGAGCTCGTTCTGGGCCTGAATTATAGTCCATGGTATACAGAATCCAGTCCATTTCAACCCTACATACAATCTCATCCAGTTCTAGGCATGAGAAGCCTCTCACTATTCGGGCCAAAAGTATCAAGTGAATTCAACCGCACGAAGTATTGAATGGAAAGTGTTTCAATACGGTTCCGGGTCTACATATCATATATCATCATTAGTGTAATAATATGCAATTACTGTATCCCAAAGGCAGTAATACTAGGTAGTCCATGACGTAGCATGTACTACACATCTTTAATACGAGCACGCCGAACTCTGTGCGTCGTGAATGGTAGTCGTAAATTATTCTGAAACCACCTTAGGCATCATTGAATCACACATGTCCTACGTGTATCGTCCCTCAAATGGTGCTACTTAGCTGACATTCGTCTCGTGAACGCTGCCTGTTGGCGTTCTGTCCAAGATATAGGGATTCTATCAACATGACCTAGCGCGATAAGTCACAAAGTAAATTGGCGTCAGATGAACATCTCAATACCTCAGACTATCTGTATTGTAGAGAGTGTTCCCAAACGCCGCACAGAAGAATAGCAGGCATCGAGGACAAGGAAAATTCAGCACAAACCATAATTAGCCTATAGAGTGCCTAGACTACCTGGCACGCTGTACAACCTCGCTCGTCTTCTTTGTGTCGACCCGTCTATTCTTTCTCTTATCAAACACCAGCCACTTGAGTGCAAGAAATATAATGGACGTATTTAATACAGAAGGCCCATAATGAATAGAAGATCGTTTAATAATATAGTATATCTGCTTTTATGCAGAGTGGTTGTAGCGTGAAAAGGCATCAGCGAATCGCGGATCAGTTGAGGTGCTTCATTTAGTGAATCTGGGCCGGAATTGCAAAAGAAGCAGAATATTAATTATATGGAGTGTCTCTCTTCATGTCAGGAAGTCTGAATACTAGAATGAAGGCAGACAGGGCGCGAAACATGTCTTGAAACGGACAGAGTAGTGATGCACCGCCATCCACCTCTGACAAAAACTGTCTCGCTTTTCATAACGCTGAATGCGCCATGGATAGCCAAGTAATAAAAAATGCGGTCAATCACAAGAAGCGCAGAGGTTGTAAGTGGAGGAAATATATCGCGACCACGGGCCATGAGGATGATGCCATCCACACTCTCTTGCAGTTAAGACCAAAATTGTGGGCAGTATTCTAGTTAGTCAGACGTTCAGCTTACTTCGCAATTGGAAGACATCCCGAGGCCAAGAGTTCTAAGCCTGCCGACTATTAGGCGATGGTACGGTGCCTTCGAGCAACGGTCCTGCCTAATCCAAGACGTTGATAAGTCTCACGGCTCCTTATGATAGCGTCCAATCATTCCATCAATGAACAAGACAATCAAAACGTCCAGAATAACGGTACTTTGCCCAGGGAGCCACTATCAGCCAGACAAGAGTAACATTTGAGGTTGCTTGTGAGTTATCCCTGCTAACGTGTATGTAAGTTGGAAGTACCGACGATCACAGGCACAATGGTCTCGCCATACCCTGCCCTTGCGGACAGCGACTTCGGAGAGCAGCATCAAAGACACCTTTGTTCGACACCTGATTCAACAGGGTCACTATTAGGGCCAGTATTGCGGCAAGAATATCAGTGTATTGCCTGTAGATTATTTGTTTCTCAGCCCCGATGTGGCTGACATGGAAATAAGTATGTTTGATCCCACGAGGGCGCAGCACAGCTGACACGCGCCCCAAGGCTTTGGAGTATTAGAATATGATAACAGAAAAGCTTGTGGGTAAGTAACTCCTTGTTGATTAGAAGGGTCTCTCAAACTTCGATATCGATGAGATAAAATGTAATCAAGAAGTTAGTGTTTCAGTAGTATGCCTCTTACAGTCCCGCTCAGCGATCAATTATAATTCCTCCAGTCAAGTTATAGGTTACAGGAGTGTCACATACAGATCCTGCTCGTTTTGCAATATTTCTACACAAACGTAAGTGCTGGTTACTGTGGGAGTCGAAGTTGGGTCAGTACCTGGCGTTCTAGGCCTTGCTAGTCCTCGCTCGCGGAAAGGCCCAGGGCAGGAACCCTCGTCTGGGACACCACGGTTTACACTACTTCTACGCGTAGCCTACGTTCAGAACAAACGATAACAACTTATTCCCCTTCTTTACATAGAATCTCGACAAGTGCTATCAACATGTTTCAGTCCAAGACATAGACCTATTATGTGCGCTATCTGAACATGAGTTGGCTTCGGCCCTGGATACCTCACAACTGATCCATGAATGGCCTGTTGACACAGGTGAGTTCCAGGCAAGAGCCACGCCAACCCCGAAAGATGGTAATATCAACGCTGAAGGCTAGCTAGTAAGTAGTATTGATTGTGCGTAGCGCCTGCATACAGATTCTGGAGTTGCAGTTGTTTTATTAATGAAGATTGATGTCTTCCTGGTCTGTTAGGGAAGACACCTTTTTCGGCATTCAATTGATGCATTTTGTTGTGCACATGTCAGAAGATCTAAGCAATATCCCAGTCAGGTACTCACTCAATGGCCATTTGAAGTCAACACGGATCGATGTGGTGTGAGCCCCATCCGTAGTCTTACTTCTGGAGGCGCCATTTCTTCCCTTTGTCGCAAGATATGTCATTCTCAGGCCCGTAATTTACAAGTAAATACTCATTTGTTCATCAACATGTACTTGAACAAAATGATTCCGAATATTCATTCGAGGTTCGGTAGTGCGAGTAATAAACCCAAAGTATGGGCTTTTAATCTTTGATCATATTAGCATAAAGTCACGCCCTATTGAGGCTTTTCCCTGGTGTAACTAGATCGAAATACCAACTAACTCGTGAGGTTCAGGTGAAACACTATGGATTTCATCGTACGAACTTCTCCTCTGCAGGACTGGACTTCAGAAGGGCATTAAAAATCTAGGTCAGATCGACAAGACAGAGCTTTAGACTCGTTTTGGTTTTAGTAACGGACATCTGTTTCGGTTGCTTCGTAAATTTTGGCACGAATGCCCAATCAATTGTTTAATTCTTCAGCAATCCCAATATCCTCACGGTATGAAAATCTTGTGGAGTATAAATGTTTAGTCGTCTACTACGACGAAACAAGCCTATGTGAAAGCTCTGATCAGACCAGAAGAATCGTACGCTGAAACCTCCGATGAATTGTCAAGAAATAACTAGAACAGAGCACAGAATTGTAAGCAAGAGGGAAAGATATGTATTAAGCAGAAGCCACGGAACCTAAACACAAACTAATCACATTCCTTTATTAGGCATCCGTGAGGCGATCACAGGAAGACGGATAGGCGAGGCGAGGCGAGGCGAGGCAAAGTATCACAGGATGAAAGTACCCGATGGATGGGTGTAGTCCACCAGCATGGTTTTGTTATAGCAATAGAATAGTATTGAGTTCGTACGTCCAGCTCAGACCAGACTCTCGCCTCATTCCTTCAACATTTCAAACGAGAGATATTGGAGTTTCATAGAAATGATAGCTCGGGGTAGGGAAGAAGAACTACAGCCGTGCCCGATAGTCCGTTAGCATACATGCTGGTATCGTTGAAACAAACGCTGACATCATCATAACAGCCCTGAGTGGCCGTCTGGAGTCTAGATACAGCTTCTCGCACGCAGTTTGACAAAAGTTGCACGGAGGGCTCGCAACAAGGCCGCCCGCAGCAGCAGTAAGAATGGCATTTGTTGGCAAAAATGAGGAACTCACACAGCCGGGCGAAACGGCTTAGGGGCATCGCCAAAAGCAAAAGCAAAGCATCCACGGTGGGGCTCGAACCCACAGCCTTTGGATGACTCCTATCCGAGGACAGAGACTCGCAAGAATAGAAGTCCAACGCGCTACCATTGCGCCACGCGGACGATGTTCGTTGACTGGGATTTCCCTTAGCTGGCCCTATACTAGCTTCTGATTGAACCCAGGCACTCTGCAAGCTGTGTGTACCCGAGATCCCATCGTCTTTCAGACGCTGATGGCCTTGGGGTTTTCACGGGTCAGCTCCCTCCGCGCTGGCTTTTTGTGACATCCCTAAGCGACGTGTCGAGAAGAAACGATGCACGCATATGTGATTATGCAGTACTCTGTGACATGATGTAGTCGGGGTGCTGAAGATCGGCCTTCGCACTGTAACGTGCTGCCCGACTATGGGTCGCAGGGCACCGTCAAGCACATTGCCGGCTTGTAGTGCCGTATCGTGGGCGCGCCAAGCTAGCCAGGTGCCATGTTGTGATCGAGCCAACATCTCGAGAACAATTTGCCACCTATCGGGACGTGGCTTGGCCTGCAGGCCAAGATAGCTTCAAGCGGCAGGACGTTGCAACTGAGGGGATGAACCTTGAGAGCACGGGCGAATAGCGGCAGTCTGACCCCGGGCTTCCCGGCAAATCATCATCCCTGCTGCTGCACTGCACAACGCCAACAACTTTCTGTCGACCGCTCTTGCCTTCTTTAGCGGCCGCTTGCGGCAGCGGTTAATAGTTCCCTGGTTGCCAGCAGCAGGCATCAGGGCTGCTGTCCCGGTCGCCATGACTAGCAAGCAGGAGGACCCCTTGTGCGGTTCAATTTCCTATGCTGACCGGTGGTCTAGCATACTCACCGGGGTGACATTCTGTGTATAAATACGGCCTAAGCCTACGCCTTGTGAGAGCATACTGTTGGATCAGGTGAACCGAGACTTGTCGACCAGTTTCAATAATATCCTGCTTCCCATTTCGACTCGGACGAACGACACAATACTGTGCCATGGCTATCAAGCACCTCCTTGTAGCAGGCTCGACAGCCACGGCGATGGCCTTAGGCGGCGCACAGCCTTCATTTCTGACCAAGATGGCCAAGTCCTTCGTTAGTTATGGGGTTCCTGGCACTTACCACTACTCCGAGGCCGTCCTCGCTGAAGGTTTCGAGGCAGCCATTGAATTGACAGGGGATAAGTCTCTGGCTGCCTGGTACAAGAACCAGATCGACGACAAGGTAGTGTTGGAGGATGGCAGCATCTACGATTGGAACCTGACGTACTACTCCTTGGACGACTACCGCATTGCCAATAACTTTCTGTGGTGGTATCGAAGGACTGGCGAGGAAAAGTACCGTATTGCGGCTCATACCATCCGCGAGCAAATCAACCGCCATCCTCGCACGCCGACGGGTGGCTTCTGGCACCGCCAGCCAAACTATCCCAATCAGATGTGGCTCGACGGCATCTTCATGGTCGACAGTTTTTATGCCACATGGACCAAGTACTTCGACAATGACAACACCACTGCCTGGGACGATATCCTGCTTCAGTATGACAATATTGAGAAGCACACGCGCAACACGACCTCCAATCTTCTTGTCCATGGCTACGACGAGAGCAAGGTCGCCGTCTGGGCCGATCCAGAAACAGGTGCTGCCCCACTGGTCTGGTCTCGTGCAGTTGGATGGTGGTGAGTATTCCAGTTGAATTCGATCAATACACGGACATTCAGCTGACCAGAAGTGTGGTGACTAGTGAGTCCTGCCACGTTCCGAGCCCGTTCACTCAAACTGCGACTGGTGCCAGTCACGCGAGAAGGCCGAAAATCCCGCTCATTTGTGATTGAAACTGACTTGTGGCTGGCAGACTTCATCTCCCTCATCGAGGTCATCCAGCTCTGGCCAGAAGCACACGTCGGGTACGACAAGCTTGTCACGTACTTCACCACCCTCGCAGATGGCTTGCTCCGGGCACAGGATAAGACTGGCGGTTGGTGGCTCATCAGTGAGTTCTCTTATACAGTACCTTCCGGCAGAAGGCTGGAAATTGGGTTCGGAAAGGCTGATGCTAGTGCCGTGATAAGTGAACGAGGGATATCCCGAAAGACAGGGCAACTATATCGAAAGCAGCGCCTCGGCCATGTTTACGTACGGGCTCCTCAAGGGCATGAGCCTGGGACTGATCGACAAGGCCACCTACCTGGAGCCGGCGAAGAAGGCTTACGGGCTTTTGACCGAGCGCTTCGTTAGCATCAACCAGAATGGAACTATCAACTGGGAGGGTACTGTGGCTGTTGGGTCCCTGAGCAGCAACGGCACATTCGAGGTATGTGAATGTTTCCCGCACTAAACTCCCCGGGGTATTGATCCGAGCTGACGAACTGAAGTATTACATCGGCGTCCCAATTGTGCGCAACGACTACAAAGGAACCGGGCCCTTCATGCTTGCTTCGTATGAATACGAGACTTGGGCTGCCCATGCCTAGAGACTCATCGGTACTGGTCAGGTCAGATGCACATGCAAAATCCGTGATCCTGTTACTGGGAGGCATGGATCGTCTTGTAGAATGGGAATCTGGCGGTGATTCTCAGTAGTTCGTACAAGTTGTAAAGACGTGAAGGGGCAGACATGGGAGCCAATGCTAGAGCCGAGTTTCGCCTCGTCCCGATAGCCGTCTTCAGTACACTACACTTGATGAATCAACCACAAATGCTTGTCGGCAGTCTCCGTCCCCTGCCGGCCGGGGACGAGGTGGGGCCGGAGAGCGAGTCCGGAGCGGTGACCCCGCCTGGCAGCACGTTGGCCTGACTTTTCCGCACAGGTTGCTGGTGATCATAGAGCCTCTTGTCTCCGTGCTTTCTGCACATGACCGCATCCTCCATCACCATGAGTGGGCTGTTTCGCGATGAACTGGAGCTGGTCCAGACCGTCGTACGCGCCGCCGCTGGACTCAGCCAGTCGCTCCTACGCAGTGACGATAAAGGTGTTTTGGCCAAGGACGACCTGAGCCCTGTCACTGTCGCCGACTTCGCCATCCAGGGTCTGCTCTGCGCCTCGATCCACGCCCGCTTTCCTACTGATCATTTCGTCGGTGAGGAGTCGGCCGACGATCTGCGTGGTAACTCCACACTGCTCAACCGTGTGTGGGAGCTTCTTAGCCATGCCTCGACCCAGCCGTCTTCAAACGCTGTGACGTTACCACGGAATCCGGAGCACATGTGTGAGCTCATTGACATGTGCGGCCATGGCGCTCCGGGGGGTCCTGGGTCTGGCCGTGTGTGGATTTTCGACCCGATTGACGGCACTCAAACTTTTGTGTATGTGGTCGCTGTTTCACCCGCTTCTGGAGGTGCCCTTCAAGGTGCTAACTGCCTTCAACAAACAGTCGCGGCGAGGCCTATGCGATCAATGTGGCTCTCCTGGTCGATGGTCAGCAAGTCCTGAGTGTCATCGGTTGCCCAACTTTGCCAGCTTCCAGCCAGGAGCCTGTCCACAACGCCACCATCGATCCGACGGGCCAAGGCTTGCTCATCTACGGAACAAGGGGCAATGGCGTGTATATTGCTCCTCTTCTCGCACGCGACTCTGATGGTCAAGTTGATATGCATCCCTCCAGCCGGAAGCTGGATGCACATGCCGCTACTGCCACCAGGAACACTCTTCGGTCTGTCTCGTGCTTTAACCTACTCGATTCAGGCGTCGAGGACATCCACAGAGCAGTAATGGAGGATCTCAATGTCCCCTTGCCAGGGTGCGATCTACTCGGCTGGGTTCCTCGTTGGGTGACTCTCGCACTCGGTCTTGCCAATGTCACAGTCTGGGTCTACAAGCGCCGCGACCGCCACGGCAAGGTCTGGGATCATGCTGGCGCCATGATGCTCTTTGAAGAGCTCGGCGGTAAAATCACAGACATCGATGGCGTTCCGATTGACCTGACCGTCGGCCGCAAAATGACTGCCAACCACGGATTTGTAGCAGCTCCTGCGCACCTCCACAGTCTTGTGCTCGAGACCCTCCAGTCCACACTGCGGAGGGAAGGCAAGGACCATTTGCTTGCCTCGAAATAGCCTCAAAAGCGACCTCCAGTCCTGTGGCGCTTGTCAAACTGGCGGTCTTAGTCAATTTGATTACATTTGAGATGGGATGGTGGAATGCTCGCATGGGTCCGGTTACGCCACAACATCTGATGTTGGCACTATCCAACCAGCGACTGTGGCCGTATTCGTATTATCTAAGGCGCAACACTTTGGCATTATAGCCATCGTTGCATCACGAATGCGACTTACCACTTCCAACCCGGATGGCAGCTCTTCAGTATGGTGTAGATTAGACATATCCTGTTGCATTATATCATGGGGAGTCGAGTTTTTCATTAGTGGGCATTGATTCAATTGTTGCTATTGGAAAGGATCACGGATTCGCACTCGCCCAGCCCCCCCAGGTCGCGGCAGACCAAGAGAGAGAAAGAGAGGAAACAAAAAATGAAAAATGAAAAAGGGCCGGGCCGGTCACAGGAACCTTTGTCGGATGCCACGAAGTACTGCTCAGCTGCGTACGGAAACGGTCCATGAACAAGACATAGGCGGATAAGTGCGCTTATGGTTGCCTATCAAATGGCCGGAAATCGTTCTCGTTCAAAGAACGGTCGACCCCTGATTGAAGGATTGAAGGACCTCAGCAAGGTGACAGAAAGTCGAGGAATTGCGGAGCATGAATCTGCCCGGGTTTTCTAATGAGCGAAGGGAAACGACGGGCTCCCGGCAGCGTACAGTCAATCGCGCCTTTTGCCTCGGGGCGTTGCCGTGGTATACGAATCGTGCCTCTTTATCTGAAGCAGTTGAATTTGCCAAAGCTGAAGCGCCAGGGTCCTCTGTGAACACCATGGCGGTTGGCGGAAACGCTGGTGCCGAAGTGGCGACCACCAACACCCTTATGATATGTGAACGGCATGGTGAAAGATCGCGAGGAAGAGTGAGTAGTTGGTCTGACTGCAGCGCGATGTAAGTAAGAGTGAATGCCATGTGGCAGGAGCTGGACTTTGAGGGCTACATACAAGTGATTGGGCTTGGTCGCTGTCTAGTGGGAATTGATGACGATGTTGTTGATGATGATGTTTATCGGTGGTGGAGGGTTGAGGAGTAAGTAACGAGGGTGGGAGACGTTCAGGCCCCAGATTATAAGGTAGACAGGGAGGGGTGTGGTGCCTGGCGATGGACACGGCGGCCTCTGAGCCGATCCTCGATCCCAGGGTCTTGCGCTGGTGATTCAGCCAGTGTGACGGCTGATGCAAGACCAAGCTTTGTTGTACGAATGCCAAGCCGCCCACACGCCTGCTTGTCCAAGTTCTTGACAGTCATCGCGTCAACGCCGCCCGATGTCGTGGGCCCAGCCCTGTGTGACGTAATGGCAGCCCAGAGACAGCCAGTGGAGTGGGGCTTCTGCCAGCACACCTTGTAAAGACGCCAATTTAAGAACGACATCATGTGTGGCGGAGCCTCCGCCTGTCGCTCTAAACCAGCCCCAAGCACAATATCCGCCAAGGGTATCAAAGCATCACACCACCTTGCAGTGCAGAGGACATCGAGTTGATATATGTGGCCGTGGCGTGGTTCTTGAATGGCCATGGAGCAACGGCCGACCTGTCTGGCCGCCATAAACATGTTCGGTTTGCTTTGCGTGCCAAGTGCGAAGACGCATCACCACTTACTAGTCGAACCTCATCAGGTTTGTCCTTCGTCGTGAGGATAGTACAAGACAAACAAGATCAGACCTGCTATGGCAGAGCTCTATAATCAATCATGCATCTGACTTACAACGAATTCCATGCCTCGCCTTGACATTCATTGCCACACTGCATTGTGGGTTTTAGCTGGCCTTATAGGACTGCCTTAACAGACAGTCGGGTTCAGTCGACGGGCGATAGAATTCCTCAGGACTCGCTGAGCTTCCATACTGCCCTTGGAAACGTAAGCGTGAGGCGACGAGGCCGAAACATGCTTACTGCTAATGTGTCGTCCCGGGAACGTTTGCCACGCCTCAACGGAACATCATCCGCGACACAGAGAGCGGTCGACCTTGTCTGGAAATACCATTTTCGAGATTTTTTGAAACAGCTGTGGCGTGGAGTTCTCGCGATTCTGCTCAGGCGAGGCTCTTAAGCCGCTCTCTACCTGGCGAGACACGTGCTCCTTTGCTCGTCGTATCACGGTTCATGTTGCTCCATACTGGTGCTCGTGCTCAGACCTCATCGCTGATCATGTCACTCTTCTTCCAGTAATGTTGCTTGGTGTGGCAAGTCGGCGACGTGCTGAAGACTCGCCGCTGCGTGGTGCCATTACAACCAGACTGGATTGCACCTCGATCGTAGGGCACGCTGCGCAATGCGTTCGCCCACCGGAAAATGGAATCGCACCAGGGCCATGACAGGTTAATATATTTATGCCTGCGAGACCGAGAAGGTTTCAGTACGTAATTTGTGGATAATATCCGGGGATTAGAGCCAACAGTATCAGACTCTGCGGTGTGTACGTCGAAATTCACCAGAAGCTCACTGCAGCCACAGTACTGGTGATCGGCGGAGATACTTACAATCGCGGTTCGAGAAGGACATTTACGCGTCTCCACTCGGGTACCTCGATGGGCGTCAGGATGGCGTGGGACCCCGAAGTACCGGAGCCTCCTCGGTCTTGCAGACATATGTCATCTCGTCCATGGCTTCAAGCGGTGATCCGCCGGTAGAGGGGAACAGACCACCTATCTATCGCAACTAGTATCAAAAGCTGGACACTTCTATCTTCTCTACCTAGGGCATTGTCCAGCCGCCGAGCACTGTCACTTACATGGGCTACAAGAACAGGCTGGCATAACGGAGCGCTGGGACAATGCCGTGTGTTACGGCTGGATGGTTCCAGCAACTGTCGTCACGCGCGACGGCAGCTGGACTCCCGGCCCGCGCACAAGTCCAATCATGGTAAAATCCGTCCGTGATGTCCGGTATGTAAGCTTGTGCTGGACGGAAAACCCGGTTCACATCAGAAGGCGCACTTGATCTCGACCGTGTGTGATACAATAGCTTTTTGTAGTGTCCCGTGGAAGGTATCGCGGCATTTGGAAAGCTCGGCAGAATTGGCTGATCTGGCAATCCCTTGTGAGGAGCAGCACAACAGGGATCCCGGCCTTGCGGCGCTTGATGCAATGAAATATCCGATCGATGCGCGTGCGATTGGTCTGGGCTCTACCTTTGATCAACCCGATCAAACCCAAGGACGTGAACGCGAAAGGGAAAATGCAAACAAGTTTTCGGACTGGTGTCAAGAAACCCTGCACCTACCTAGGCAGAACAACATTCGTGGAGCATAGATGGATGTCGGCAAGATGACGAGCTTTGCACCAGCAGAGCAAAGTACGAAGAGAATTACACTCTGCCATTTCAAGGTCCTGCGTCCGTCATGAAGGACAACTGGATGAGCGTTCAGCCGCCACGACATCGTTCATCGTCGGGCTTGACTACGTGAGTCTGAGCAGATACAAAAGTGGCCGGTGCTCTCGACCTTTCTGCTTCGTTGATGAGCACCTAGCTGGAGTTTTCTTCGCAACACCAGCGCTCAACTGAGGTGTACCCAGAACAAGTGCTGGGACATGCAAAGGTGGATGTTCGACCCCGCACTGATCCCCAAGTTTCCCCAATTGCGCAATCCCAGCCTGACTGTGGAGGCACACAGATATCCCGGCTTACCCCGACTTGCTTCCCCAACCGCGAATTGGAGCTGTGTCATTCATGCGCGGATCAGTCGGCCTGGCAAGACGATTTCGCAGACTGCAAGACACACGAAGACTCGAAACTGTGACACAAAATGAGTTGGCGAGGTGCGCCCAGGATGAAGATTTTTCACAATCCCTGTGGAATGAATCGCGAGCAAGTGTGTCATGATGGCCACACATTACGTTTGGTTGCATGGTGATGCATTTGCCGTTACGTGATAGCCCAGCCGTGGCCAAGCTGGCCACGACTCCTCTGCAGTGGATCTCCGCAGATCCAGCTACATACTTGTCTATGTTGGAGATGACGAGGAATGCTCTGATGATCTGTCACCATCTGCCCAGGGTTTTGGCTGGCGCATCCATTCATGGTCACAAGTGGCGGGCGGGAGTGCTCTCATGCTTTTCCCGGGCGCAGCATCTATTGCTCTGTGCCTCACCTGGAATGTGAATTGTCCCATAGCACCAGCTAACACTGCGGAGAAGGAGTGTTTGGTGCTGTCGTGGCGCAGACAACCGTGGCACAGACTGCAGACAGAGAACGCCAACGAGTAGCATTCCTCACAACCATGCACAGTGGCTACACTCATCATGTTGGACCTGCCTGTTAGGGGCACACGACGCTGTTGCACGCCTCCGTTAGTGTAACTCCGACCTCGAGGACAATTCGAAGTGGCGGTGCTTCAGTGTGGAGAATTGCGTTTACGCTGCCTACGCCCTCTCCACCCCACCCCCCCTAGAAGGCCCATGGAGCAGAATTTTCCTTCTGTGACTTGTACCGTGCCCCCATAGGATCCGGACTGTTCCCCACCGAGCGCCTACTCACGGCAGAGCGCCCAATTCAAAATAGAAGCTTGTGTGCCAGTGGCACTAATCAGGAATGAGACGGGGCTAGCCTCCGTTTTGTTCGCGACGACGGAACCGGGACGGCGCACGCAGCAGTCTTGAGATAGGGCCACACTGGCAATTGAATATTGAGAGCTCCTCTGCCTTGATGCCTGACTGAGACATGCTGCTTGTCACTGTCATCTCTCCCGACATCGGACTGACTGTCTTTGGAGTCTACGAGGAACTGCAGAAGCTGGTCAAGCGTGCCAAATCGCGGCTCCTTGATGTGCGTAGGCGGATGAGTGACGGCGACTGGGGCATGTCAAGGTTTTTCCCCAAACAGAGATCTGCGGGCAGCTGCCACCACCATTAGACTGAATCTGGGGTTGCGCATGCTGCTGCGCCAGTTCACCCCTGACGGCTAGCCACACCAGAGCGCAGCCAACTGGCCATCCTTCAGCCGCTTTGCCTTGTCTGACGCTGGCTGGCCAGAACATCGCAAGAGCCACTATGAGACAATACTACCTGATTGGGATGTTGGCGCCACAAACTGGCCAATTGTGTAGCCAGACGGAGGCATGCTGGAAGAGAGGAGTTCCCGCGAACGATTATTCGAGGCAATGATATGAACAAGGTCATCTCCCAGACGATGATGGGCTGTCCGAAATCTTGACCGAGCCGCCCAGGCTGCAGCTCGACTCCGGGCCCGATGCGTTTCGAGTCAATGGCGTGATGACGGTGAGCAGCAGAGTCGGCCAGGGCTGAAGCCAGTCGGGTTGCATGCTGTTAGTCATCGCTGCCGGCAGCGAGGAGCCCAGAGAGACCTAAAGCGGCTCACGTGGCAGCAATGAGACGCCTGGCTCCCCAGGTTTTTGAAACCCCGTCGTCTTTCATGTAATCTGGGGGTAATGGAAACACAGGGCTGAAATCTCTGCTGGCGGATGAGTGCCCGGAACTGAGGCGTCGCGGGGCAAGGTGGACCACACGCGTGGCCGGCTGCCCCGGCCCATGCCAGAGGCGGCCGTAGCGCCTGTCACGCGGTGCGCTCGAATTTGTCGTGAGATGAGCCGCCGCCAGTGCTTTGGGCCTCGTGATGTGTCGTGGCCCCTAAGAGACAGCCATACTCTTGCAGGCGAGGACGGTGAGCTGCTGCAACCGGAAGGCGAGACCGAAGAGGCGGTAAGTCAGGCACGCAGGGTATGAGAGGCCCAGGGGCACTTGGCGACGATGCATCGACATCGCGCCGTGGGGATTGCGCTTTCACTGCCGGTCTCCAATCGGGGCTGAGCAAGGGGAGGGCGAGAGGTAAGGCGTGCGATGTCGAGTATCTCGTAATAGCGCTGCCAGCAAAATCGTGCTTGGGAACACGTACCTTGGGCACAGGGTCAAGTCTGGGGGAGGGGCCCAGCACAGTGCGCCGTGTGCCTCACGAGCCATTTATCCCTGTGTAGAGAGCATGGCGGTGGTGGCTCTTGCCTGCGGTAGCCGAGAGCCCAACTCCCATCACCAGAGATTCCATTGTCCATGCTTCAATTTACGATGAGATCCTGCCAGGACTGCATGGACTACACCGAGCCTGAGCGTCCCGTGGCTGGCCTCACACATCGAAGCCGCTCCAAACTTCCTTTGGTCGGCCAGGAGAAGCTGCTGCTGCGCTGCATTCCGGAGGAGTTGCGTGCTCAGCGTTGAAAGTTGATGCAATCGCGTCCAAGGTACCTTGTGCACCCTAGTTCTCCGCCCATCCATCCAGGCGCCGTGCCGGAATGGGGTGGTGGAGTACGAGCGACGACCGACCGGCCCGCCAGGCACCGCCCGCTCAGAGCCAATTACGAGCCCGGCCACGCCGCTTCCACTTCGTGTGGTTGACGTGCATCCTCCACACGGGCATCGTGATCAGCCATTTTTTCCCCCTGGACCGTGAGACGAGGTACGTCCCTTTTCTCAGCGTCCTGCTGGAGCCCCGTTTCCATGTTTGCTCAACCACCCGCTGGCCCTCGTTTCTGGCCCAAGTATAAAGCCGGGGGCTCGGCCACCCAAAAGCTGGCTGGCCCGTCTGTGACAGTCATCCATACCCTCAAGCGATTTGCGCCTGGTCCATCTCGCTCATAAACTGCCCTCGAGCACCAAGTGTCACCTCAGCTCTCACGATACTTGGGCATTTAATATTTGCTTCCTTCCACCTACTTTTGCCATCTTTGAGGCTGGCTTCTTCAGCCCTGAACTCAAAACCTCTCTAAGAGCTCCCAGCACAGCCATCCCACTGGTCAGCTCGCTCCTGCAACTTTCCTCAGCCCCAACAGCAGCCCAAGCTTTCTCAGTCTTCTCCATTCTATATCTAGAGTCTGTGCGCTTGCACTTCAGCCTGTATTTCTTACATCTCGTCTGTCTCTGATCTGCAACATAGACCAGAGGCTACTCGTTATTGTCGGTGAGTACAACAGTTTTGCCCCCCCCCCCCCCCGTCAGGCCCATGATCTGCGCCATGTGGGCTGCTGGCTGCGTCATGGGCAGCCAATGCGGTGCGCTGCGACCCTGTTGAGTGGCCCCATGGCGTGGGCCAAAGAACCACGATAACGTGCGCTGGGGCAACTTGTGCAATGCGATAATGGTGCCTCGTTTGCAAGTCCTGAAATTGTTGCCTTTTGCTGACCTCTGCATTACTCCATCCGCTCAGGCCGCTCTCAGCATTTTGACGACCTTCGTGCACACTCGCCTCTAGGCGCCCTTCACCATGGCCGAAACCAACGGAACCGCAGTAGCCAACAAGCTGCTCAACAAGATCCAGGACGACGAGGTCTCCCGCCATCCCTCTCCACAGCCCACGCACTTCTCCGTGCCTCTCGGCAGCAACAGCAATTTGAGCCATAATGGTCATAAGGTCCTTCGCTCCGCAACTGTCGGCTACGTCGCTCCCGAGTTCAAAGACCGCCCTCAGCAGATCCAGAAAGGTAAGAACTAATTTCGCCATTCATGTTGGGCCATTGCGTGCCACCGCTCCTTGAGTGCCCACAACTGACTGGGAGCCTTGCAGTCAAGGAGATAATTCAATCGCAAGGATGGATCCCAGAATCCCACCTTGAGCAACAAGTCTCGTGGTTCTACAACGAGCTCGGGATCGACGATGTCTACTTCCAGATGGAGCAGGCCGAAGTCATCGCCACCCACATTACCTCGACCTATGCTGCAAAGATTGCTGCGTATGCACGCGTCGACAAGCGCGAGGACATCCGCCTTGACATGGAAGCTACCGACCATGCCATCTACATCGACACGAGCGTGCCCGGCGTCTCCAATCTCCGGGGGCCCAGATACGAGAATCGGCTCGAAGACAAGTACCTGGACCACACTGACCCAGAGAAGCGGTTCCGAGTCGAAACCTTTCGGTCCCCGTCCAACTTGGCTGGTGATGCCAGCTCTCAAGGCTCATCGTTGCGATGCTATTTCGTCTACCAGTGCCAATTTGTCGATCCCAATCCTGACCCCAACGAGACACGCCTCCACCTCATCAGCGACCGTACTTTCTTGACCAAGGCGACAAAGAACACCAAGGAGATTTACCAAGACATCATCAAAGTTGCCGTCAGCAGGTTCGGTCCTGTCATTGAGGTCTTCGACATGGAGGGCTTGCAGGAGAAGCGCCTCGTTGTAGCCTTCAAGGCACGCACCGCACGTGGCCTATTCAGCGCGCTTAGTGATCTCTACCACTACTACGGAGTGACCAGCACGAGAAAATATGTCGAACAGTTCTCCAATGGCATCACAGTAATGAGTATCTACCTCAAACCTGCTACCAATCTCAACACGGACATCATGCCCATCGATCAATCCATCTATCAGATAACGAAGGAGATTTCTCTCTTGTACTGTATTCCACAGAACAAGCTCCATTCCCTCTTCGCCTCTGGTCAGCTGAGCCTGCAGGAGACCATCTACGGACACTGTGTCTGGGTCTTTGTGCAGCACTTCCTGAACCGCCTCGGCTCGGAGTATGCTTCTTTATACCAAGCGCTGGATCCTAAGAAGAATGCCCACGCCGAAATTCTCTCAAAGCTGAAGCGCCGGCTCCGCACCGAGACCTTCACTCCGGACTACATCCTCGAAATCATTGAGAACTATCCAGCTCTCGTGCGTGCGTTGTATGCTTCCTTCGCCAGCGTCCATCTCAGTGTCACCCCTGGTCTGGACCAGAACGGAATCGCCACCCCTCCGTCGTTGGAGGTTCTGTCGGACGCCAGGTTGAAGGAACGTATCACCCGCGAAGTATCCAATGAGCACGAAGAGATGGTCATGACGGCTTTCCGCATCTTCAACAACGCTGTATTGAAGACAAATTACTTTACACCCACCAAGATGGCCCTCAGCTTCCGACTCGACCCATCTTTCCTGCCCGAGTTCGAGTACCCCACGCCTCTTTACGGCATGTTCCTTGTCATCAGCGCCGAGTCTCGCGGCTTTCATCTTCGCTTCAAGGACGTGGCCCGCGGTGGCATTCGCATCGTAAAGTCCCGCAGCAAGGAAGCCTACTCGATCAATGCTAGGAATTTGTTCGACGAGAACTATGGTCTTGCAAGCACACAACAGCGCAAGAACAAAGATATTCCCGAGGGCGGTTCGAAGGGAGTCATCCTGCTTGATGCCAAGCAGCAAGACAAGGCCCAGGAGGCCTTCGAGAAGTACATTGACAGCATCATGGACCTCTTGCTTCCAGGTCAGAGCCCAGGTATCAAGAATCCCATCGTTGACTTGTACCGCAAGGAAGAGATCTTGTTCATGGGCCCTGACGAGAACACGGCCGACCTGGTCAATTGGGCAACCATGCACGCACGATCTCGTGGAGCTCCGTGGTGGAAGTCATTCTTCACGGGCAAGTCTCCCAAGCTCGGAGGTATCCCGCACGACACGTACGGCATGACTACATTGTCTGTGCGCGAATACGTTAAGGGTATTTACAGAAAACTCGAGCTCGACCCTTCAACCGTCAAGAAGATGCAGACTGGCGGTCCCGACGGCGACCTTGGCAGTAACGAGATTCTTCTCAGCAACGAGAAGTATACCTCTGTCGTCGACGGCTCAGGCGTGCTGGTTGATCCAAATGGGATTGACATCAACGAGCTGCGTCGCCTCGCAAAGGCCCGTGCCATGATTGTCCATTTCGACGTCTCGAAGCTCTCCAAGGACGGATTCAGGGTGCTGTGCGATGATAGTAACATCACACTGCCCAGCGGCGAGGTGATTGCGAATGGTACATCATTCCGCAACACGTACCACCTTCGAGACACCGGCCTGACAGATTCGTTTGTTCCCTGTGGTGGCCGTCCCGAGTCGATTGATCTTGTCTCGGTCGGCAGACTCATCAAGGACGGCAAATCCACTATTCCTTACATCGTCGAGGGTGCCAATTTGTTCATCACGCAGGATGCCAAGCTGAGACTCGAGGAGGCGGGCTGTATCCTGTACAAAGATGCCTCGGCCAACAAGGGTGGTGTCACGTCGTCGTCTCTTGAGGTCCTCGCATCTCTGAGCTTCGATGACGCTGGCTTCGTTGAGCACATGTGCCACGATGCTCATGGTCAGGCCCCGGAATTCTACCAGGCCTACGTGCGTGAAGTTCAGGCCAAGATCTGCGACAATGCGCGCCTGGAGTTCGAGGCTATCTGGCGCGAGGCGGAAGAGACGGGCAAGCCCCGTTCAGTCTTGTCTGACAAACTTTCCAATGCGATCACCACGCTCGATGAGGAGCTGCAACACTCTGATCTGTGGAAGGACGAGAAGATCCGGCTTGATGTCCTCAGAGATGCCTTGCCGAAGCTGCTGCTGGACAAGATTGGTCTCGAAACCATTATCAAACGCGTCCCCGATGCCTACCTTCGCGCCATCTTCGGCAGCTACCTCGCTTCGCGCTTTGTCTACCAATACGGCAGTAGCCCGAGTCAATTTGCTTTCTACGACTTGTGAGTAACTATCGAACGTCTTTGAAGTTTCACCTTACTGACTTTGCTGCTTAGCCTGTCCAAGAGAATGTCCAAGCACAACTGAGAGCTCATTGTTCAACTCGCGACGAATTCCGTACCAGACCTTGTCAAAAGGTGATTGGCAACAAGGCAAAAAGTTATATGATCATATCATGGTTTCAGCATTGCAATGGCGTTCACGAAGGAGATGAGGATCCAATCGATTTCAACAATACTCGACACCATAGGCGAGAATTTACACGCACAAGGTATGGTGGCGATGGATTAATAGACACGGAAATATACTCAACAATCCGATGAGATCCATGCGTTGAAGATCTTTGATACCACCTAGTGTGCCCGTTGCTGAATACTCAGTACTTCGTTTGATACATGATTGCATTGTCCATAACATAGAAGCCCGAAATTTGCTTGTGATGTACAATAGACAGAATTGACTATTCAACAGCCAACTGTTTCGGCTTAAAGGGTAACCCAACACCGTGGTAGGCACTGGGTAGCATGCGCACCATGGTGGGCAAGATTTGGATACTTCGGGAAACCAGTGAACACAGTGTTCTGGCCTGCTTCTGCCACGGTCTGACACACACGCGTAGTACTGCTATCAGGGGCACAGTGCCTCGCGAGATACCCGCCCGTTATGGCACAATGTCTGATTTTCTCTCACGGCTAACAACTCTGATTGCACGAGACAAATAGCCCTAAGGATTGCTGAGATATTGGCCATGGTGGGCGATGTTGCAGCAATTACTGACATCTGGTTACAGGTAGTGCTCTGTCGTCCTCGGTAACCTTTCTACTTATGGGCCTCTCACGCAACAGCTTTCAGCCTTGTAATTCGTGGAAATCCACCCTGGATGCCATTCCCGAGCTCTGCGGTTGGGAAAAGCCGGAAGCCCCGAGGCTCACTGGCGTACGCATTGAAGTGAGGACTTCGTGAGCAGGGACGCTTTGATGCTCTCGGGCAAAAGCGTTAGAGTCTGTTTCAACAGTGGTGGTCCTAGCATGACCCTCGCAGGAAACAGCATGCATTGAGGGCACGTTTGCTTCCAGCTCTGCTTTGGGAAATGCACCAAAGATCGAGCCCGATGACAGGTCGTTCTTTGCTGTATCAGGTAGCAAGCCGCCAGATATGGGGAGACTCAGTGCCGCTTCGCCACATTTTGATTGCTTTCGGCAATGGTGGTGGCGAAGACATACGTAGAGTCCTGCTAACGAGAACAGAAGAAAGAGGGCTGCCGCACCAACGGCGATCCCTGAGATCTCTCCCTTCGTTAAGGGAGTAGTAGGACTTGCCGAAGCTGTAGAATTGTGGTTGTCGTTGCTCGGAGAGATGTGCTCAGAAATAGCACTGGCTGTTGCCGCCATCTGCAGGTCAGCGCTCTTCGAAGTGCTGATCTCGAGAGGCAACGTGAAGTGGTAGACGCGTGCGGCATACAGGTTCTGTGGCTCCGCGGAGACTGGACGGTGCCAAGTGTAGAGATCGTGATCCCGAACCGCATTGGTCTCAGGAGGATCGAACGACATCCAGACTTCGGTAGCTTCTGTCATGATACTGCGGCACAGCCTGTGTTCCCGACTTCCGCCTCGAATGTTCGGAACGGCAGTTTGACAGTCCCAGCCGCCACCTGGGCAGCACCAGACCTGTACCAATGCAGACGTATCTTGGGTGACGGTGTGAGAACAAGCTGACGTCCAACCTTTTCTGCAGGCATTGCCGGGGTATGTCATGACTGGCAGAGTAGTGTCGCGCATGCCAGGCATAAAGCCATTGAGGTTGAAGGCATCATCGCCGTATAGCTGACGACAACCACTGGGCACGCAAGCCTCGACGTGTCGGATGAGGTCTGAGGGATTGCCAGGGGTGGTATAGAAGGCCTGGCAGAGATGACCCGACAGTGGGTGGCTGGAGAGTTGCGCCTTCGAAGAGTAGGCATTGTTGCTAATGAATGGGCAGTGAATGGAGAGCGTGCACGGCAGTGACGGGTTGAATGGTGTCAGCTGCGGCGACAACGTGATGGTACTGGCAGCCGGCACCTCGCCTGCCGTGGGCACATCCTTGGATGTCTGAGTTGTCTTCGGTGCTGCCATGTCCCCAGAGGCGTCGTCGCATCGTTGCTGGTGAGAGGGATGAGTCGAACGACCTGGCGAGGGCCTGCGCTGCGTTCCTCGGAGTTTGTGTCACACAGCTGTCGTGCTGTCGTTCGTTGCTCGGTAACTGTGGGCAACGTTTTGCTTGACCGGGAAGGCACAACCGGTGAGGCACGGGCGGACGAAATGACCCAATGAAACGACTTGATGCTGTTCTCTTGATATCGTTCGGGCTTTTGATCTCGGAGACTATCTATCAGCGCGCACGTCCAACCCAGCGTCACAATTCCGAAGCCAATCGTTGACATTGGAGCACACTGCCGACATGCATATGTCTTCGGTAATGCTGGCGCAGATGATGCATTCTATACAAAACCCTACAGCCGCTGAGTCTATACCTAATCCTTATTGTTTAGTGTTGCAATATACAGTTGAACTTCTCGTTACAGGTTTCTTAAAAATACAAGGAGAGGGGGCACGGCTGCATTGGTCGCGCGCAATCCACAAGGGAGGCTCTGGTGGCCAATGTCAACTAGAGCATCTAGTGCTTCCGGGAACCCTCAACGGCGGCCAAGACCCCACCTGTACACTCTGTCCTGGATTTCCTCCCATGTCATTTGTTTGGATGTGACGTTGTGAGCCTGTGCCTCCTGAAGCACAATCGTTGGCGCACCACTACCCGCGCCAGGGTTCTTGAGCTCACCACGAACCACTTGCGATGCCACTCTCCGTAGATCGCTGACTGTCAAGGCCTCGATGCGGCGGCACATCTCCAGGACTGGAATTTTACGTCCATGGACCTGCACTTGTCGCCCCAAGTCCTCCAGCTCAACCATCCGGCTCTCCAGATTCATGAGCAGACTCGACCTGAGTTGGTTTTTAGCCCGGTTGACTTCCGCCTGCCCGAGGGCCGCGAACCCCGTGTCCAAGGTCAAGCTGCGCAATTCTTGGCAGATAACATCGAGCATGTTCTGGGTGCGGCCCGGGATACACATGGCTGATATGCCAAATAGCCCAGAGTCTGTGTATGAGTGGTTGAAGGCAATGCAGGATTCGACCCACGCGTGCTGGTTAAGGACATTTGTATAGAGGCGAGAATACATGCCTTTTCCGGGCCCACCAGCAGAGAAGGAGCCACCGCCTCCAAGAAGAGTATTTAGCGTGGCGAGAGCGTATATGTCATCAGATGAGATAGGCAAGCCTTCGAATGCAAGGTGAATATGTGTGAAGGTTGGCATGTTGGGATTCAACGAAGGTGGCTGCATGGGTAAAGCAACAAAGCCTCCCGTGTAGCGGGACGGCTGGTTGATCTCCTCGGCAGTCGGTAGAGTCGTTGGTTTTGGCGCAGAGGAGGCGAGATTCTTGAACAAAGGCAATTTTGAGAAAATGCCAGACGATGATTGCGAGGATGCGGGCGAGGAGTTCACTGACGGACTAGAGTCCGTGCTAGAATCTGGGGACAGAGAGCCGAGGGAAGATTCTGACTCTGTCCGCGATAGACTTCCGGTGGAAGCTCCCATATCACCAAAAAACTGTGTCGCCAGGCTGACAGCCTCGTCATGAGGGACGCCAGCGAAGGCGACAACGGTCCTCTCGGGACGGTAAAAAGCTTCCCGGTATGCGCGGACCACCGAGGCGTTGATCTCTGGTATTCGCTCCATCGGACAGAGCAGGGGGTTGCCAAGAGTATTGTCTTTAAAGGCGGCAAGATGAACGAGCTCGGGAAGAATGAGCTCAGGCTTCTTCCAGATCTCGGTAATTTCGTACTCGGCCGTGGCTAGCTCCTGGGCGACTTCGTCGTCAGTGATGCGGGGGTTCCGTATCGTGTCGGCGAGGACCTCTGTGGCTGTGGGAACAGCCGAGTTGAAGGTGGCTGCCTGGTACATCATGGATTCGCGTGACGAGACACATTGGATGTTGCCGCCGAGCGATTCGACGACCTCTGTGATGGACTCGGCGTCCTTGTTGGTGGTCGACTTGAAGGCCAGCCGGTCCACAATGTGGCTGACACCACTCAGCGGCGCATTTTCGAAGCGTGATCCAGCTTCAATATAGACGCCTACACCCGAGAAGGATCCAGGCAGTGCTTCGGAGGCAACTCGTACACCATTGGGGAGAGTGGTAATTTGGTCAAGCTCAGTCGGCTCCTGCAGAACAATGTGGTATTGCGTCAGCAGCCATTTCAAGTCTAGCCAATTATTGGTACCGTGGGTATGGGGAGAGGGTAATGCATATCGCACCTTGCCCTTGGGCACCTGAACTGCAGAAGAGAGAGGGCGCCTTGACAGTCTGGCAAGCAACTGCCGCCGAGCCGGATGAAGCGGCGAGGTTGCTGCCGTCAGGCGGCCTGCCAGGCTCCGCGACGAAGTCGCCAAGAACATGCTTGGAGCCTCAAAGTAATGGCACTGGTCGCCTGGGTTCGTTGGGGGAGATGCGGCGCGTTGACGTCTGGAAACTGGTCGACGGCAGTCCCGTCCTTCCCTCGTGGTCGCAGCGGGCGATGAGTCGGTGGTGCTTGCAAGGCACATGCGCATTGCGGAGTGGCAGGCTCTTATCGATCGGCAGTTACTTTAGAGTGGGTCTGGCTCTCGAATGCTGCCAATTCTACTTCGACACCGATGGTGCGCCGTAGGCACGGCCATAAACAGCAGGTACACAAGACGACACTCGTCGAGATAATTTTCTATTTCTTGCACCCGCATATCAATTAATCATCTGCTATGTATGTGTGCTCGTTGGCCGGCTCCTTTCCAGCCTTATCGCTTGGATCTCGCTTTGAAAGACTTGAGGGGATCAGTCTTTCGACCGCCCATCTTTCGACCTTTGCCTTTGAAGGATCTGCCCTTCCTTTGTTTGCCATCTCGCACCTTCTTAAACGGTACATAGCCCACGTCGTTGGGAGTGATGGCCTTTTTGCCCTCCTTAGGCAGGAGGTAATCTGGCACGTGCCTCAACTCTGGATTGGTACGTGCAGACCTCAGCTCGCCGTCGTGACGAACGTGTTGCAGTTCCGCGGGATTTTCTTCAAAGTGACGTTTCAGCTTCTCACTCTTGAGGAGCTCTGAGCGAATCTCGCGGGTGCGGGCTTCTCGCACAGCAACCTTGGTGACTGCGCGTAAGGCATCATTCATACGATAGCGAAATGCCTCGACCTGTTTCATATCGAAGCTGTAGTCTTTGATCTCCTTGCCCTTCTTCGCCTGCTGTTTGGTAATGCGTGCTAATATCTTCTCGTCGTTCTCTGCCGTCTCGACGCTTGTGGGCATGTGCTTGCGGAACTTGTCGCTGGGAATCACGAACGAGATGGCCATGCCAGTCTGACCCGCGCGGCCGGTCCGGCCGATCCTGTGCGTGTAGGATTTCGACGAGGTCGGCAGGTCGAAATTGACCACGCAAGCAACCCGCACGAAATCAATTCCACGACTGATTCCATACTCCTTGTCGCGGCGTGAGGCCTTCCGCTTCTTCTGGGGGGGTGCTTGTTCTTTTGAAGTGGGCTCACTGTCATGATTGTTGCTGGGGCCAACGCCCTGCGTATCTTCGTCTCCCAACACCTCGTTCTCGTCAGACGCGATCAAGATGTCATAGACGTTGCTGTTGAACTGCTCGACACAGTGTATCCGGCTGTTCACGGGCAGCTCCGAGTTGAGGACACAGCTTCTGATTCCAAATTGCTCAAAAAAGAGCTTGAGGCGGTAAGACCGGTCGACATCACTGACAAAGATGATGCATTTCCCGGTGATGAGCTTCAGCTTGAAGACAACGTACATGAGGAGAAATTTTTCGTCCTCGGCGCACCTGCCATTTGAAACATGTCAATGAATGTTGAATCCAAGGGGACAGACAGAGCGTTCATTGCGACTTACTTGACCACATATTGGGAAATTCCCTCGCCATCAGCATCCGCTTCTTCGAGATCTAGTACCGTGGGATTCCGACAGAAAAGTCCCTTGAGAGTATCAATTTCGGTGGTGAGCGTCGCGCTCATAAGTACAGTTTGTACACCCTTGGGTAGCGCAGCCGCCACGCTACGAAGATCCTCGTCGTAGCCATACGAAAGGACTAGATCCGCCTCATCTAGGACGAGATGGTCCAGGTTCTCGATGGACATCGAGTTCGACTTGATGTTCTGCCACGCCCTGGCTGGTGTAGCCACCACGATATCAGGGGAGGCAGAAAGAAGTGTTCGCTGAACGGTGTCTGATTGCTTGTCGGCTAGTTTGACAGTCTGGACTTCTTTGGTGCAGAAAGCTGTGAGCGTCGCAATATTCTTGGATACCTGATCTACGAGCTCGCGCGTCGGACAAAGGATAAGAGCAGCAGTCGAGGGCTTTGTGACAGTCTACGGTGCGTTGTGGTTAGTGCCTTGCAAATACTAGACTTGGCGCGCAGATTTCAGAGACGGCGAACGAACCTGTTTGCGCTTGAGAATAGCATGCAAAATGGGTAGTAAATAAGCGGCAGTCTTGCCTGAACCAGTCTTGGCCTTGGCTAGGACGTCGCTCCCATCCATGATGAGTGGGATCGCTCTGCTTTGCACCAGAGTTGGCTTGCCCCATTTCTGATGAGCCACGGATTGTAGTAACTTCGAGTCAAGACCGAAGTCTGGGAAGGCGAAATCAGCTTGCGTAGTTGTGCTCGCGGGGTTCTCAGTTTCGACGGCCGCAGCGACTGGCGTCGGCTGATCGTTCTCGTTCAGCTTCCTCTTCATTGTGTCGGAGCGGTATCGACACGTTCGCTTGCTCGTTATCTGCCGGTATGCGTTGGGAAGAATTGCAAGGGACGATGGCGTTTGCTGTCGTATACATGCTAGGCCACTCAAGTCCTGCCCCGATCTTCCTTGACCTAGAAACAAAAATTGTTATCTTATCCGAGCCTACAGCTCGGCAGGTGGAGCACCCCGGCAGCAGAGTGGGGTCGCTGTTGCGGGCTGAACTGCCTGCGCTAAACTATCGGCCCATGTTGAAGACATCTGCGAGGTGTTCAGCATGCCCATGAGACTATGCCGATGAGACACGGGGCTGCATGCATGACGTTCATTACGAGGTGATGTATGCAGCCATGCATTTGACCAAGTCCAGGCGGAACCCAGTCCTCTCTGCCACCGGAAGCGTGGGATCAGGCCTCTCTATTATCATTACCGTTCCAAGTCCAGAGCGCCAGTGGCAAAATGAATGCCCTGCTGACCTGCTCAGCATGTCCCGTCCCGTCTTCCAGGCTATTCAGGCATCCCGTAGCTGCCGCTCGTAGGACGGGCTTGTGGAGCGCGGAGTCTCCAAGGTGCTTCAGACAGATTAGCAACAAGTTGATGGGGCTACGTTGGACAGCCAATGAGCAGCCGCGTTGACATGGCAACGTCGTAACCCCTGCGGCTATGTTTACGCCCAACGGATCGAGGTAGCCACTAGCCAATCAGCACCCCACACCTTTGCCCGCCTTGCTGAACACCACCAAACACAGAGAGTTCCCATATCTGAGCCTCCAGGCCATCCCGCTTCGCTCCTCCAACTTGCCGTCCTTCACAACAGTGAAATCTCCATTCCATCGCGAACCACCACTTCACCCGGACGCTATTCGCCCTCGACTGATCCGGGCTGCTCAATCGTGCCACAGGCACAACAAGCAATCGTCAGGCATCTGCCCACAGTGCCCCGCGCAAGGGCGCGCAAACCAAGAGATGGCGACCGAGCAGACGGTAAGTCAGCTGTCGACTCCCTGGCAAACTTATGGCCCGATGAAGCACTTGCTGACGAGGAGACCTTGCAGGTCACGCAGCCGCTGCGCATTTCAAAGACACCCACGCCATCGCCCACCAAGGGGTCCTTGCCGAGGCCCTTGTCTGAGATTCCAGTCACAGAGATGCGACGCAACTCACCAAGCTTCCACCAGTCACCAAACAAGGTACTTTATATGTCTTACAGGTCTCTTGTTTGTAAAGTTGGACATGGCTGACACTTATCGTCCTAGAAATTGGCACTCCATACAGACTCATCCCCATTCCAGTCGTCACCTCTGGATGGCACCACCTCACCACGATTATTCTGGCAGAACCGCCACGCCACCAGCACCAACACGGAGAATGATCTTTACGGAGGGCGCAGTGGCTCTCCTTCCCCCACACGCCGCTCCTCTATTGAGCGCTTGCAGAAAGCTTCCCGTGTCAAGAACAGCACCATGTTCGCTCGCGAGCAAAAGCAAGAGTACGATCCTACCCGTGTCCTGACCGTCGAGCGGCCCCTTGCCAAGGTGCAGGGCAACACGTTCGGGAGCACTGGTAGCCCCTTTCGTCCTGGCCATGGCCGGAGCGAGAGCACACCCACAATCCCGCTTTTCAGCCCGACCAAGTCATCGACTTCTTCGACTGCCATGGCTGAGCCACGCACCCCAAGCAAAGATCAGGCCTCCCCCATGAAATCATCGCTCGCTTCAGCCCGATTCCGAGGAAGCCACAACTCCGAGCATACCGAGGCCTCTGTTGATGACTCTTTTGATGAACACGAACTGCCAGCGGGCAAGTCACTGCACCGTCATGCCAAATCCGTCACATTTGATGCAGCACCTCCACAGATCAATGAGTATGAAATGGCAACTCCAGACATCTCCTCAATTGGAAGCAATTCCAGGGAGGGTAGTTATGAGTCTTTCGACGACGATGAGGATGATGAGTATCGTCACTATGCAGGAGGTTCTCACGACCTGCAGGATGACAGCTTCGATGCCTCACTTGAGGACACCGACAAAACACCTGTGGTCGGGCCAGATGACTGGAGACAAGACCTTGATCATCGTTTCGAAAGCAGCCCAATGCCGGAGGGTAATCCCTCTCCGGCTGCCACAGCTAGACCTCCCCATGCTCGCAGCAACTCTGCTACTTCCAGCGCAGAGCACAGGCCCCTTCCTCCCCTGCCAGGCACAAGTCCCTTGGGCAGTCAATCACAAGGTCTTGCTTCTACTGCAGAGCGCATGCTGGGCTCACAAGGCTCTCCAAGGACCCTGCCATCGCCCCCGGCTGCTGCGGCCAGCAAGTCTGAGATCCAGAATATCGGGCATGGAAAGATGTCGCTTGAGGAGCGGCTCAAACTCATGATGCTCTCAGATGAAACCAGTCCTAAGACTGTAGACCAGTCTGCTAAGTCTCTGGCGGAGCAGCAGCAAAGGGAGCGTCGCATGAGACGCGCCGGAGCTCGCGATAGGCTCGCGAGTCCCACTCCCGAGCGTGAAACGTCCACGCCAGTGCTGAGCGCACATGAAGCAGAGGAGGCAGATGATACCCTGGGAGATTTGTCGGCTTTCGACATCGACTATCAGCTTCCGAGCATCTCAAGACAGTCGATTTTGAATCGAGTCAACGGCAACAGTGATTACAACTTTGGTACACCTGCACCAGATTCGAGCCCAGCTCGCAACACGGCTTATGATCCCGACGTTCCAATCGCCAGCATAGAAGAGTCGATCTTGGAGAACGAAACTGTCGCGGATGATGAGAGCGTCGTCATCCATCCCGTTCAATATGAACCATCTGAACTCTCTGACATGTACGAGCATTCAGAAGACGACGAAGTGTCTTCCATGGACGACAGTTTCGACGACGATGACAGCGACAGCCACTACTCCGATGACGCAGAACCTGGAAGAACTGCTGCAAAGGATGAGGACTCTGCCTCGACGCCACGCGCTGGAACACCAACTGAACAGCGTGTTGTGACAAACTTCAGTGCTTCGCTACCGCAGGTGAATAGCCATAGCTCTCGAGACTCTGACTTCAGCCGCAGCTTCCAAACATACATGCTGCCTAAAGCCAAAGACGCCGATGCCGTTACGCACCAGGAGACACACAGATCTCCCGATGACAAGGAGCATCACAAGCGACCCAGAACCCCAGAGAAGATTGTCTCGAAGCCGGAGTATGACGGTACTGGTTGGGGAGAACCTGAAGAAGATGAGGAGCTGGGCACGCCAGAGTCCGTCATCCATCATCCCGTCTCGGAGGATGAAGATGACTACACCGTGGATGAGATTGACGAGCCGGTTGAGTCCCCTGCCGTCCCCGAAGAAATGGCCACCATCAAGGCCTCCGGATCAAAGCTCAAGACTCGTCCTTCGGCAACTCCCGCTGATCTGGCAGCAATGAGAGAACAGCGACGAATCGTAAGCAGAGAAGTACCTGGTGTCCCGCCAGTTCCAGAAAAGCATCGCGCCCGCCTGTCGCGGGACTTTGGCCCAGACCGCCTAGGTCAATCTACAGGCAGCGATTTCCTCGAGCGACATCCCAGCTTCAAGAAGAGCAGTCTTACTTTGGATCTGGATCTCGGTCTCAGCCTGGATCAAGATTTTGATCGAGTTATCGAAGCACAAAAGGTTGGACATACCCCTACTTCACCGGAACAGGTTCTGTATCAACTGAGTACAGGCACGGGACAAGCGACCAGTGGTTGTGACCATGCCTCTCCGGTTCATACTGATTACCGCGCTATCTGGCTTTCATCTACTGTTGATGCTAACATATCCGTTCGCAAACAGCGAGGTTATCTGATGCGCCAGAACACGAAGCTTGTTGCTGCTAGTGATCGGCCACTCAGTGGTGGTGACCCTGATGCTGTCAGGAATGGCACGCGATCTGCCGGCAACTCGCCCGTCAAGCAACAGCGTCCTCAGTCATGGACTGTCGAGCCATGGAACGGTAAAGTTCGTCATAGCATCAAAAGACGTCATGGTCCGAGTCTGAGTGGACCCGTGCCCCCTTTGCCTGGTCAAGAGAGCAATGCTGTCGCTATCAGCACTGTAAAGGAGGAGACACCAGAGTCTGCTATTGAAGAGTCTGGTGAGCGTGGTAGACTATTCGTGAAGGTCATGGGCGTTAAGGATCTCGATTTACCCCTGCCAAAGAGTAAGAACGTTCATATCTCCCATGATTTCGTCATTATTTACTTACGAAGTCTTGCTATCAGATGAGCGGACCTGGTTTAGTCTGACTCTAGACAACGGAGTTCACTGTGTCACCACAGCTTGGTTGGAGCTTGCCCGCAATGCACCAATCGGACAGGAGTTCGAACTCGTTGTTCCGAACGACCTTGAGTTTCAGCTCACACTGAACGTCAAACTCGAGAAGCCTGAACCACAGCAGTTGCCTGTCTCTCCTAGCAAAGTATCCCGTCCCAAGCCTTCGACCTTTTCTAGGGTCTTCGCAAGCCCGAAAAAGCGCAAGGAGATGGAAGCACGTATGAAGGCCGAAGAGGAGGCTTTCGCGCTAGCTCAACGTGAAGCTGCCGTCAGACAGCGAAAGACTGCCCCCACGGCCTGGGATCTTCTCTCACCAATCGCAGCAGAAGACGGTAGCTTCGCACGATCATATGTGTGTCTTAAGGAACATGAGTCGCGCTGCTACGGCAGACCTTATATGGCTGAGATTGCCGCCTTTAACGAGTGGGCTACTGAGGACGCAAACTTCGCGAGCAGCGTCAAGAGCAAGAGAAACGACGCCAGCAACTCCGTTGTCCGCAAGGCGCCCTACAAAATCGGCAAGCTTGAAGTTCAGCTCCTCTTTGTGCCAAGACCCAAGGGTGCAACTGATGATGATATGCCCAAGAGTATGAACTCATGCATCCGGGAGCTCAAAGCCAGTGAGGAGAGACTACGAAGGAATTGGGAAGGACCCTTGAGCCAACAAGGTGGCGATTGCCCTGTAAGTTGTCCCTACACGAGCGATCATCATCGTGCGCACCGTTTACTGACGCGTTCTATGCAGTATTGGCGTCGTCGTTACTTCAAGTTGGTTGGAACGAAATTGACCGCTTACCACGAGGCGACTCGCCAGCCACGTGCCACGATTAATTTGGCGAACTGCAAACGCCTCATCGATGACCGCCGTCAGCTCATGAATCCTGAAACCACTGGCAAGGGTGGCCGTCGTCGGCGTTCTGCGTTTGCCGAGGAAGAAGAAGGCTACATGTTTGTTGAGGAAGGTTTCCGCATCCGCTTCAATAACGGCGAGCTCATCGACTTCTACGCTGACACGCCAGAGGACAAAGAAGGTTGGATGAAAGTCCTTGGAGACATCATCGGCCGTGGTGGTAGTGATGACGATGATGGATCCGTGAGCAGCCGCAGGAAGTGGTGTGATCTCGTTCTCAAGCGGGAAGAGTCGCTGCGGAAGCGCGCTGAAGGCAAACGTGTCCATTCCAGGACCAAGAGCATGATCATCTGATCAAACCGCGTCTTGACCTGTGCTCCGTACCAGCAGGGTCAACACTTTTTGACCCTGCTGGTACGGAGCCACGCGGGAAGGTGCAGTTACGAGCCATGATATGATTGACGTTCTTCGACAATGCTTCACGATGCTCATGGCTCCCGGTCACTTTTTCCCTTCACCTCACAGGCTGTGTTGAGGCTAGACCTCCAACAGCATTCCATGAGTGGGCCAGGACTCCTTGAAGTGGCGGCTCTGCTCTTGTCTGGTCACAAGAGGGACTTCGTATGCTTATGATTGTAGGCAGCGTGTTGCTTGCTTGCCACGTTCACTGCTTGTGTTTTCTCGCAATGGCACATTCACATCACTGGAGTTGCAGCCTTTGTACGGAGTTGGTTATGCCGAAAGGGATGCACATCGGGGCTGAGCCAAAATGGTTGATTTTGATTGCGTGTTTGCTTTCTGGGATTCGGGGAGTTTGGGGGCTCGTTCTGGATTCTTCTAGTCATTATGCCTCAGCAACTGCCTGAGGCCAATGGTGTGTAGTATTTAATGCCTTCTCACAGAATTTTGCGTGTTGTTCTGAAGTATGATGCGGACCTTGTGAAGACGAAGGTCATATACACGCCTCCCAGCACCCAGGCTACCCGCGACGCTTCTTGTCTCGGCCTGCCACTTACCTAGTCGAGACCGGATATCTACATACATACCTAGGTATCCAGGTAGCTATGTAGGCGTATCCATCCGGATGTGCATCATTGTGCAAGGATGGTATAGACTGTGGATTGGCGATAATGCTTTCACCGAGCTGCAACGCCCGAGCCATCCCAAAGAGTGCGCGTATAGCAGGCAGTCCTGAAGTCCTTGCGCGAGGGGGGAAGGAAGCACGGTAGAAATAAGAATTGGCAAGCATGAAGCAGTGGGGGCAGGACCAGAGCCTTTGAAAACAATGCAGATGCCACATATTCTGTGTCATTTTGTGAGTAGTTTTAGTGCCCGCGCAAGTGCCTGCAAAAGATGCCCATGATGATTGAAACGCCTGCTTCCCGTTCACCTTGAGAAGTCTTTTTCCTGAGATGCCACCGCCCAGACTCTGTTGGATGCCAGGCCACCGCTGCCATTCCGAAGAGTCTACGTGCTGGCAAGTCGTGTAAGTATTGCAGCCGCACTCATTTGGTCTTTTGCTTCTTGGCAGGCTTCTCATCCTCGTCCTCATCGTCCAACATGTCTTCGTCGTCGTCGTCATCGCCGCCGTCCCCTTCTACGTCACTTTCACCGCTGCCACTACCAGAGGACTCGTGATTCGAGTCATACTCCTCCGCGACATCGCTCTCACTATCTGCCTTGAAGTCTTCGTCTACGCTCTCCTCGTCCTCGTCAGCGGATCCGCGATCGGCACCATTTGGCGCCTCCTCCTCTGAATCGTCCATCATGGCTTCCTCCCGGAGCGCCTGCTTGAGCAATGTAGCGTCCTCGTCGATCTCGTTCTTAACACGCAGACCCTTGAGTTTGAAGAAGTCCTCGAGGCCCTTCAGGTCTTCTCTATTAATGTTGCTGAACTGATGAGTGGGACCTCCGGTCTTCATATGCACGGCAATGTCAAAGGTGGAGAGAGCCGAAACTGCTCCACTGACACGAGAGAAGGTTATCGAAGAAGTCTGCTCGTATGATACGTAGGTGGCAGGCTTGGGAACGAACATGAAGGCCTTCTCGAGGCAGTAGAGGAAGCCCTCGGCTGCCTTGATTGCGCACTTGATGCCATACTGACCACGGTGGGTGATGAAGTCTTTGGCCGGTGACGTGATCTTCTTGTTGGCAAGTCCCTTGAAGATGTAGGTGATGACTTGGTGGAGTGGCTGTTCATAGTGTGCCTGCACTTTGCTCTGATACTTTTCCTTGAGCTCTTCCTCCGTAAGATTGAGATCGATGGTCACCTCCTCATCCTTCTTGCACTGCATGACCAAGAAAGGATACCGCGTTTGACCTTGTCGGAGTGGTGGGTCCAATCCGATACAGAGCATGCAATGCAGGTCATCCGGCTTGGGCAGGACCATGAACTTCTTGACGTGCTCGTATTGGATCTTGTAGTCGTACGTCTTGCCACGCAGCCGGAACGAGCTATCGTACATATCGATATCGAAACGACCTCTGCAGCACGAGATCCAGTATCAGTACATGGCCACAATGGTCTTTCCGGGGGAGATATTGATGGGCATACCTGGGCGTGAGATGAAGGACTTCAAGAAATGTGGCAATGGCGTCACCCGCGGTTTCGCCAATCTCGGCCTTATCAATCAGGGTCTCGTAGAAAAGAGTGGCAGCGTTCTTCTCCTCCTCTCCGGCATCGCTACCAGCATCTTCTCCCTCCGTTTCCTTGCGGGTGGCTGTGCCGGGAATGTAAAAGCGCATTTCTACAAGCTGATCCTTTCCACCACCAGACTTCTTGCCGCGACCACGGGCACCGCCGAGATGGCCATTAGTGCCGGTATCGTCCTCGTTGGAGGCTTCGAACTCGACAGAGACCTCGTTGCGACCGGCAAGGTTTGTGTTTGCGATTTCGGAGTAGGGTATCTCGAAGGCCGGCTTGTTCTGGACGTTGAAGACGAGCTCTGCCTTTGAAAATTCGGACTTGCCCCAGTTCCAGCCGCGGAGGGCGTGCTCCTTGGGGTCCAGGTTGATGCTGTACCAGTTCTTGAAGATCTTGACGAGGCGCTCAAGGTCCTCCTGCTGGAAGCCGTCGAGGTGAACGACCTCGGAGGAACGCTTGAGGACCTTTACCTCATAGCCCTTTGAGGCGCGACTCCACTGGGCGCTGGCTATGTCGCCGCTGTCCAGAGTCCAGGTGTTACCACCGCCAGAGGGCTTCCAACCCAGACCATTCTCGGCGAAGCGACATTTGCCGGACTCCTTGGAGAGGTCGAGGAAGATGTTGTCGAAGGTCTCACTAGCGGTGCGCATGAAATGTTAGAGGAAGGGACCCGGTATACAGGCAGGCTGGCAGGCTGGCGAGGGGGGGCTGAAAGACTCACAAGGCCGACATGATGACGCGGACGGCAGCGCGATCAGGAAGGAGACCTTTGAGGTGGTGGTGAGGGCGCGATGAGGAGGGCGGATGTGGATGGACAATCAGGGAGAGAGCTTGCGGGTCGAAAATGTTGGCTGCGACCTTGGTTGATTTGCCTTCTGGGCAATCCAGAGAGCTGCAGCGCTGGGGGCTGGCGCGCGCGATGGACGCGACTGGCGTAAATGGGCACCGCCGGGGTGGGTGTGGGTGCCTGAGCTCAAGTCAATGCACCTAAGGTACGTACTTAGGTAACAGTACGCACCAGCCAGCACCACTTTGCCAGCTTGGACGCAACTTTCCAAGAGCTAATTACAATTGGGTGATGACTTGCCTCCCCAGGCCTCTGTAAGATAAACAAACAGTAGCAGTGGCAGATTTACCTAGGCCCAGGCTGACGGACGCATCGCGATAGCTAACAAGACTGGAAGTCTGCGGTTGTCTTGAATGTACCACAAGGTACTTACGCTTAGGTCTCTTGAGGTAACCTTGGTCTTTGCTACATGAATTAGATGGATGCTCCCGAGCACTGCGGCGCCATGTCTGGGCCCGGCCCCAGTCCAGACCAACTGCGAGCTGTGACGGGAGGAGAGACCCACCGGCACTCTATCCGCATCTGCACCTCGTCATCTCCTGGCTTGTCTCCGTCGCAGAGCTGCCAAGGTTGCCTGCGCAGCTGCCTCCGCCCTCACGAGACATCTGCACCAACTTTGCGACTTCTTCCATCTGCCTGCCACCCGCCATCCCTCAGTCTCCTCTTTGCAAACCCTCCTGCCTCCTGTGCTCGACCAAAAGTGCTCAAATCATGGCTGGTCGCTTCGTGCGCTCATCCAAGTACCGTACGCATACCTCTCCTTGCCTGCGCCAATGCTCTCAGCTGACCAGCCGGTCGCAAGCGAGCCCAAGCCTGCTCACGTTTGTGCTAACATCTCCTGTGCTTCTCAGGTCATGTATTTGGCAAGCCGACCAGGAAAGAATTCTGCTATGACAACCTGCGTGTCAGTCGCAATGCTTGGGACACCAACTTGATCAAGGTTCGCTCTCATACCCCCTCATCCGGCCCTCGTCCGGCCCTCGCCCCCTTTTCTCATGGTGCGATTGTGCCTGCGCAAAGCTCTCCCAAGCTGATGATCCTGCGCCCCCATCCTACAGGCCAACCCGGAATTCCTCTCGGTCAATTGGGAAGCCAGTGGTGGTGGCGCCTTTGCCGTCATCCCCCTTTCTGAGCGCGGCAAGATCCCCGACCAAGTGCCTCTTTTCCGCGGCCATACCGCCGTCGTCACCGACACCGATTGGAACCCTTTCAACGATCACATCGTCGCATCGGCCTCTGATGATGGCAAAGTCATGATCTGGCAGGTGCCTCAGGGCTTCAGCCTCTTCACCGACGCAGAGGAGCCCGCTGATGTCAGCCCCATTGCGAAGCTCACAGGCCATACGAGAAAGGTTGGCCAGGTCCTCTTCAACCCGGCTGCCGACAACATCCTCGCTTCCGCCTCAGGAGATCTCAGCATAAAGCTGTGGGATATTACGGCCGGCTCCGCTCCTCTCGCCTTAAAGCACTCTGACATTGTGCAAAGTCTCTCGTGGAATGCGAGCGGCTCCCTGCTCGTAACGACCTCTCGCGACAAGAAGCTGCGCGTTTGGGATGTTCGGCAACAGAGACCGGCTCACGAGGGTCCAGGCCATGAGGGTGCCAAGAACAGTCGTGTTGTTTGGCTTGGCGAGCAGAACCGCTTCGCCACCACAGGTTTCTCGAAAATGAGCGATCGTCAGTTGGCCTTGTGGGAGCCTGGCAACAACTCTCCTGTCGGCGGATTCACCACCCTTGATAGCATCTCGGGTGTCTGCATGCCTTTTTGGGGTTCGTCAATCTAGCCAGCCTTCCCGCGTGACTTCCATTCTGTCGAATGCTAACAAGTTATGACCATGTCAGATGACAGCTGCAACTGTCTTTATCTCGCCGGAAAGGGGTAAGTGCATGGCGGCACACTAGTCAACTGAATGAGTTGAGCACTGACAGGGTTTTAGTGATGGCAACATCCGTTACTTCGAGTACGAGAATGACAAATTCGAGTTCTTGTCAGAGTATAAGTCCGTGGACCCGCAGCGTGGGGTGGCATTCCTGCCCAAACGTGCAGTCAATGTAAGCTTCGGTACTCTGTGCGTCTATCAACCCGGTCAAGCGCTAACTTTCGTTCACTAGGTACACGAAAATGAGGTTATGAGGGCCTTCAAGACCGTGAACGACTCATACATCGAGCCGATTTCATTCACGGTGCCCCGTCGCGCGGAAACCTTCCAGTCGGACATTTTTCCCCCCGCCACTGGCGGCAAGGCTGCCCTCAGCGCGGATGAGTGGTTTGGTGGAAAGTCAGCCCTGCCTCCAAAGATTGACTTTGAAAGTATCTATGAAGGCAATGCTCCTGTCGAGGTTGCCTCTGATTACAAACCACCGGCCGCGGCTGTTGCTCCCACCCCGGCACCAGTCGAGAAACCTACCCCAGCCAAGGCACCAGAACCTGTATCGAGCCCCGCGGTGTCTCGCGGGCCAACCCCTTCGTACAAGGACCAGAATCGTTCTATGGCAGCAATGGCCGACAAGTTCAATGATGAGGACGATGGATCCGATAACGAGTCGTCGAGTTTTGAAGAGGTCTCCAAGCCTACTCCACGCGGTTCTCGGCCTGTGGCTTCTCAGCCTGCTCCTACTAGGACATCCACCGCGCAGTCACCTAAACCGGCCAGCCAGGTCAAATCTACCGGGCTTGATGAGCGCGCTCCTGCGCCGATTCCAACTGCGGTGGCGACAGGTAGCGGTCTCGCTGCAGCCAAGACTTCAGACTCCGGCGTAGAGGGGAGCTTGGAGCAGATCAAAGAGATTCTGGAGCAACAGACTAGGCTGATCACTTCGCTGACCAGCGAGGTCGAAAGCCTCAAGAAGCGCCTGGGTTCGGGTTCGCAGGACCAGAGCGAGCGCATCCGTCAGCTCGAGTTGGAGTTGGAATCGTTGCGATGAATGCTCCGCACACTGGGCACAGGAAGTACCATTTGATACGTGGACTTGATTGCCTGCTCAGATGTTGGTTAGCTTCAATACGTCTTTAGGGGTGGAGGCCTGCTTTGCGAGATCTAGGGTGATTCAAAAGTTTTTGTTGGACAGCATGCACGCTTGTTGGTAAGGGCACTGGGGGCAAAACCAACCCTCGCTTATTTAAAGTGTCGTAGTCCTGGCTCTCGTATAGATATGAAGCGTTGCTGCCGGGCAGCTTTGTGAATCATGTTTTGTCTTTATACAATTTGGTCTCGCTTCTATCTCTCGGTATGCGATTTCAAAATGTCTGCTCCTTGCTCCTGTTCACGGTTCCACCGTACACAGTCTTCGTATTTGACGCCATTGCCGCCAAAGCAGTCCAGAGCACTCCCGATAGTTAGATCGACCTTGCCAGCACTGATTTTCTTAACAAGCTCAAGGTCGTCCAGGTTGCGGCCACCTCCAGCGTACGTCACAGGTATAGAACACCACTCGGCCAACCTCTGGACGAGTGACTCGTCGATGCCGCGCTGCAGCCCTTCGTTGTCCGCTGCATGAATGAGGAATTCTGAGCAGTAAGGTTCGAGCAATTTGATTGACTCTGGTGGGTATTGTGAGCACGATACAAAATTAGACATGTCCAAGAAATAAACACAACAACAGTGAGATGCGGATAAGCACCGGGAGACCGACCTTGATTGACCTCCATGTCGGTTATGGTCTGCCACTTGTTCATAGCGACGAACCAGCAGTCGTCGCCTTTACGGCGGCAGCTGAGGTCGATGACGAGCTTGGTGGTGTCGCCACCGAGAGCATCAACGACACTGTCGAGACGCTCCTGGCTGAATGTGCCGTTTGGAAAGAGGAACGAAGTTATGATGACTTTTGATGCGCCACGACTGATCCAGAGGGCGGCATTGTCGGATGTGATTCCGCCGCCGACCTGGAGATGTCCTGGCCATGTCGCAAGTGCCTCGACCGCGGCATCGTTGTTGCCCGGGCCGAGCATGATGACGTGAGCGCCCTCGAGGGCACTATCGCGGTAGAGGGCGGCATAGTAGGATGCCGGATTGGGTGACACATAGTTTGTCTGCAGTTGTGCCGTCTGGCTATCGAGGGTGCCGCCCACAATCTGCTTGACCCGCCCAGCGTGCAGGTCGATGCACGGCCGGAAGCGCGTCATGATGTCGTTGGTTCTGGGCGTCTTCTTCGCGTGGCACCGCGAGTCAACTATCCCGTAACATGTACACAGAGCAAAGACCGGCGGGGGAACGGAGGTCAGGTCGGCGTCGCGGGGTCGGTCCGGACCTGCTGCCCGGCCTGGGACGAGACGAGGCAGGCGTGACGCAAGGGTCCGGCCGAATCGATGCTCCACTCAAAATTTTGGCCGCTCGCAGCTTCAACCTGCGCAAGCGCATTCTTTGGTTTCTCCCCTCCGTCATCGTAATTCACTGGTCGACACGGCGCCCAACATTTTCGAGAGACAATCGCTCCTGCCACACGCAACCAATCGACCTGGAAACATGAGCGCCTCAGTCCTAGGCAAGCGCAAGGCCCGGACACCGCACACGGCGGCTAGCGACCAGTCAGACAGCGGCCAAACGCAGCCTGTGCGCGATGCGCAAGCGATCTTTCAACGCTATTTTGAGGCCCAATTCAAGCCCTTGGAAGGGACCGCGGCAGGCCAAAGTCTCACGTCAGGGACGGTCATAGAGGACATGGACACGGATAGCGATGACGACGATGGCGGCGACCACGAAGCTAATCGGCGAGACAATGGAGCACATAGCGATGACGACGATGAAGACGAACGAGGCTCATGGTCAGGCGTATCTGACTTGGAGCAGGACGACACAACACCCAAGGTCGAAGTCGTATCACACGTCGAGCCGTCATCTTCCACTTTAGCATCCACTTTAGCCGACAGTCTCAGCGCAAAGAAGGCACGAAAGGCTCTCCTATCCTCAAAAGTGCCATCAGCCATGACAACCACATCGACCTCTACATCGCTACCGAGCAAGAAGTCCAAGTCTACGGCGACGGAGGAGGACGCGCCCACATTACTGAAAAACGACCTCGAGCTACAACGCCTCCTCTCCGAATCACACCTCTTCAACCCGTCCAAAGTCGGCACATTGTCCAACACAGTCACCCACCACCGCTCTCATGATGGCAACATCGAGCATGTCGGCAGAAATCGCTTGCTCGCCACCGATCTTCGCATGGCTGCTCTGGGGTCCAAGACGAGCATTTATGCCCAGGCCAAGATGCCAATGTCCCACCGCAAAGGCATCAACGCGGCCGCCATCAGCCGTGAGAACAAGCGCCGCCGCGAGGCCCGCGAGAATGGCATCATCCTTGAACGACCGAGCGGTAACACTGATGCTCTAAAGGCCTACACTCGTGCCGCCGGCATCGTCAAGAACAAGAACTCTAGGACGGCCCAGGGGCGAGGAAACAAAAAGTCTGGCACGAAGGATATCGACGCACCCGCTGTGGGCAGGCTGCGCGATGGCATGCTGAAGCTTAGTAAGAAGGACATTCATGATATACAGAGCAGTGGCGAGCGCAGATCAACTGGCAAAGGTCGCAAAGGCAAAAGAAGGTAGACGAGTCTCCGCGGCAAGACATTGCAATATTACGCACCGAGCATGCGACCAGAACTCGCTGGCGACTTTCGCTACAACTATGCTCTTCACTTTCACGTGCATGGATGCGACTTGAATAAAGCCAGCAATCTCACCCAAGATGTGTCTCTGAGTGGCGTGGGTCGACAACCTGCCAGTCAATGTCTTCAAAGCAGACAAAAGGCGCCACTATTTGGAAAGTATGCACGATAGAAGAGTGGCCACAGAGCAACAGCGAGCATCTTAAATAAATTTCTCAAAATTCCAAATCGCTCTTTTAGTTCCGTTCAAATCGTACCCATCCGCTTTCTCTGGTACTCAGCTAGAGCCTTTTCTTTCTCAGGCTGCTGGGTTGCATCCTGGGCATCGGGCAGCGACCAAATATGATGAAATAATGGTGAAGCTCAAGAAGAAAATGGCAGGTTATATGTACAAAGTGCAAAAGCGCCGTGGCCCCCCATGGTATCGCAATGGCTTCATCCCGTTCCGGAGTGGGCCAAACCTCCTCCCTAGCGCGCCGTCTATAGAAATGCATCGATCGTGGTCTTGGTATCGCTCATGACAAAAAAGTAAAGAAGTGAAGAGAATTGTAGGACAACTCGGCCTTGCAGCTGAGACACTCATTCGACCGAAGGATTCGTGTCGATGCGGCGGCCATACTTGCAAGTGACCAAACAGGAACATCGCAGATTCCACGATTGTCTACATCATGGCACCAGCAGGCTGGCTCATCTGCATAGGCATGCTGAGTGTCTGCAGACTGTTGAAAGCTGAGCTGTGAGTCATTCCTCCGGTGGTCATGGTTGAGGACATAGTGGACCCATTGCTGATGCCGTTGAGAGAAGACGGAAGGTAGCTGGACTCTGATGTGGGGGAAGCCTCTTCGAGAGAGCCAAGCTGGTCTTCACCAGATAGCTCCTCTTCCTCCTCGCCGGACAGGACGAGGCCTCCCTCACCTCCATCGGCGCGGTCATGCGTGCGCTTGTGCCTGTAGGGAGCCAGTCAGTATTACATGATCGCCGAGTAAATCGCCTGTAGGCATTTCTGCCCCTGAGTGTGTTATGTCTGTGAAGTGTGTTGAAGCCGAACCGTGGTGATGGAAATCTCGTCAAGTACCGCACAGACAAATATGCTCAAAACAGGCTTGACGGGGAAAGGAAATGCAGGGATCGTACTGTGCCAGGTTATCGGACCGGGAGAAGGCTTTGCTACAATGAGGGCAGATGTAGGGCCTTTCCTGAGTATGGGTTCTCACATGTCTAGATTTTATAGTCAGACTCATGTCGATGCATTACATCTCGACATAAAGCAAACACAAAAGAAAGCCTTACCGCTTAAGATGCTCGAGACGCTTGAACAAGCGGCCACAAGTAGGGATCGGGCAGGAGTGCGACTTGGTGGGGTAGGGACCGAGCTCCATCACGGTTGCCGAGCGAGCGCGACGGAGGACATTGGCATTGGCCTGGACACCTCGTCGGTCGCCCAGACCGTCACTGCCCAAGTCGTCACCACCAAGTTGATAATCTTGCTGCTGAAGAGCCATGTGGTGCATGGCGGGACTGCCTTCAACGGTGGACAGAGGAGTGCCGTGTCTGGACATGTCGAGAAGCTCCTTGTGCTGCTGGCCGCTCAGAGACATGCCAGAGTTAGTGTAGGAAAGGCCAGGCGGCGAAGTGCCCTGGCTCTCGTCGCCCTCGGCAACGGGCCCAACAGACACAGAGATGGACCTTCTGAGATCCGAGGGCCGGTGAGTGTTGTGACCAGCAGCTTGAGCTTGTGCGTTCGCGGCGGCCATGGCTGTGATCGAGGGGGGAATCGAAGAACGGCGTCTGCGCTGCTTGTAGGTGGGGGAACCCTCAATAACAGAGTAGACGTTGTTGGCGCCGAAGCTCCGCGAGAATTGGGGACCGGCGAGATTCGAGGGTGGGAGTTGCATCATCCCGTTGAGACCGTGGACACCACCCATGTGGTCAGGGATGGCAGTGTAAAGACCAGTGTCCTCATTGGCAATATAAGCAGGCTCAGGACCCATGCCGAGAGCTTGTTGCGGCGGGGTGATGGGTTCAAAGGAGATGCCTCGCGTGCTGTAGTCCTCGAAGTGAGACGACACAAACGATGGAGCGGGAGAGTACTCCAGACCGTACGCTGGCATCGAGGCATGGCGCTGATGTCCATGAGTAATTGGTACGCCATTCTGGTTATACTGCATGCGGCTGTACTCGGGCTCCCTCTTGATGACCTGCTGGACATGCTGCACCTGCTGGGGGAGAGCTGGTGCCATAGCCATGCTGTACTGTTGGACCATTGGGTCCATGCCCTCAGGCATAGAGGTCATGGTCTGAGGCATCATCTGAGGCGGCGGCATCGAGTCCATGGCTCTCATGACGGGAGATGTGCTCTGTGGCTGCGAGAATGCGACCTGTTGAGCATTGAAGGAAGACGAGTTCGCCTGCTGGGCCTTGGTCAATTGCTCATACAGAGACTGAGACGAGTCGTATTGGAAAGAGACGGCAGGCTCGCTGACGGCCATGGTGGTAGCCTCCTGGCCCATCTTCTCGCGCTTGAGGTCACGCTCAAGAGCGTCGAGGAAGAGGCGATCGTGTGGTACGCTGTACCAATAGAACACCTTTTGCTTCTTTTGCGTGCGAATACAGTTGTTCTTGTAGAGGAAATCAAGGAATGGACTCTTGGGCTCCTCGAGAGAGGCATCTGTGCCAGACTTGAGGTTACGCAAATCTGAGAAAATGCCCTCCTCAAACTTCTTCGAGTTCTTGACAGGGCGACCAAAAGCCTGGAAGCGAAAAGAAAGACATCGGACAATGTCCGTGCCGGAAATGTGGAAAAGGTTGTTCCAGAGAACGCAAGAGACGTACTCGCCAGTTGGCAGAAGAAACCTCCGGATGTACTGGTCTGGCTGCCAATCGACAGGCGCAGAGATGAGGAAGTACTTGAGGTTGTCGACCTGCTGGAGCGCTACCTGCGCGTCATGGGGAAGCGCTTGTTGTGCTTCAGTGCTGAGCATGAAGGTCTCGGGCTTTTGCGTAGACGCAGCAGCCATTGTGTTGGATTAGAAGAGCTAGCCGAAGCTGCTCGAGTCGTGCTATATGAGTGTTGGTAAAAGGAAATGAGGTCGGCCAAAATCGCTCCAGGGAGCGTCCGGCGGATCGTGTTGTGATGACAGGGTCTGTCAGCCTGCCAGAGGCACGGACTCGGATGAAGCGAGTCTGGTGAAAGCGACGCGAATGGATTGGCGCGAAGAGTGCGTGGTGGTTCAGCCCGCTGAACAAAAGGTGGTTCGCGTTATTGTTGTTGTTGTTATTGCGACAAGCAGGCTCTTGGTTTGCGTCAAGCGAACAAGAGGACCAGGCGAGGCAATGCCGAGTGAGGACGTCAGGAGAAAACCGCCAGGGCAACGTTGACAATGAGTAGTGAGCGTGAAGTTAGGCGGAGGCCGTGGTCAGGAGCATGAAGAGCAAGCTGCGGACGTGGATTGTGCTGAACCGACAGCAAGGTCGAGACAGGGAACGGACAAGGCACCGCGGGAAACAGTGTCAGAACGTGTGGTTGGCCTGGGCAGTCGGGGATCCCCTGTGGAGAAGAGGGCGTACTCGCAACGGCGACAACAATGAGGATGAGAGGCGAAGAAGAGAGAGGGTCTCTGTGCGCAAGGCAGAGGAGGGCGGGATCGAAGGGCGCCTGCGACACAAGAAACGAGGGTATGGAGGACGAGCGAGGGGAAGGGAAGGGAGGAGGGAGGAGGACGAGTCGGACGGGGGAGTCGTGGATAGATAGATGCGCACAGATGCGCCGGTCGTTGAGAGCCAGCGAGGGAAGGCAAGCAGGGACGGGGCGGGTAGCTGGGTGGATGAGCGGATGGATGCCAGCAGAGCAGGGCCAGGGCGGGTAGGGGAGGATGAGATCCGGGGGGGTTGACGATGGATCGAGAGAAGGCGAGAGAGAGCCCTCGAGGTCCGAGCACGCGCGCGCACCCTCCTCCTCGTCGTGCTCAGCTGCGCGTCTCTCTCCTCTTGCCTCTGTGTCTGCGTGGCCCAGCGTAGCATCCTGGCGAATGCCTGCTGCAGTCCCCCACTCACCCACCAGTGTTTTCTGTGCCTGACCTCCGCTCGCTCGCTCCCGTGGCTGGTGGCCGAGCAGTTTGGTGGGGCATGCAGGACGGTGCCTGGCCTTGCCCGCCGCCTGTTGAAAAAAGGGGCGTGCTACCATCATCACCACCACCCACCAAACAGTCGAGCGCCAGCCCCAAATCCACCCAATCGCCGGCCTGCGAGTCAAGTTGCCCAACCGTATCCACGCCCTCGTGCCGTTCCCTCGTCCACTCCCAGTGCCGGCTTCTTCGCGAGTACCTGGGTACCTCTGGTCGGCTCTCTTGTCCACTTCGCTCCTCCACCCTGCTCCTCGCCCACTCGGGGCCCAATCCCTGCTCGGTGGCTCTGTCCAGTCCGACCAGGTTACCCGGCTAGGCAAGCCCGGTGGGCAACCGGGAAACACACTTGAGCACTCCCACAATCCCACCCTCTGCGTGGTGTGCTCTGTACGCACCAATGATCTGGAGATGGATACGGCCTCGAGAATGGGATTTTGTGACTGTCAAGACTTGTAGAGAGTGCAACACTGTCCACATAACAGGTTTTGCTTGGCAATAGTTGACAACCTGGGCCACGAACCTCATATCGTTTGGGCCAAACATGAGCAATCATGATGAACCTGATCCGCACTGGACGGTGCACTCTAGCCAGATCACCGTGGACCCATGGCAACCCACGATGCTCATGTGTCTGTCGCTGTGAGGTGCAATGACGAAGTCGAACTTGCAGGCCCGACGTCGCTCATGCATGAACATGACCTAGAACGAAAGCTGGACAATGTCTGCTCCCCTCGTCCTTTTCACGACGGTCAAATCGAGCAAGCAACATGATGCTGCTTGATTGTCTGCTTGCGACAGCAACCGGAGAGGGCTCAAGTCTGTTGAAGATGCTGGAAAGGGAACACGACCAAGGGTCCGACCAGGCCCTCTCTCTCTCTCGGACCAAAGGCGGGCCCCAGCTTGAGGGGCAGCTCTGGCCAACGCGCAGGGACTTTCAGAGCGTTGCGGCGGGAGCAGAGCGAGCGTTGCGCCTGGTGCGGAGCCCTGCCGGTGGGCAGCAAGGGATGAGGAGCCACACATGCGCATCCGGGCAGGCAATTATAGCAAGGCCTGTCTGTTTCTGGAGGCGCCCGAGGAAACACAGAGTGACAAGAGGTGGATGTGGCCGTGATCTGTGGGGGATCTTGGGCGCGCGCTGTCCAGGGCACAATCATCCTCATTTCCGAGCGGCGGGGCCTGCGCTCACTCAGAGCAAGCGCTTATTGCAATCTGCATCGACTACCATCGTGACCCAGCTCAAGGAGCGGTCAGCATGAAATGATTATAGCTAATACGCAGCGATGAACTGGCTCGTCTAAATCATGCTCAGAGAGGGTAGGGCAAAGGGGGTCCCTCACACTAATTACGATGCTTTCGTGGGCGTTGATCGGAGCCAGGGTCGAGCTTACGCGAACAAAGCCCAACAGCAAGTCGATGCTGGTGCTCGGCAGTCACATTCAAAGTGGCAGACGCTTATTATTCCAACAAGAGATGGCGGAGGGCGGCTTGCTGTGGCTCGCCATGGTCCGCTCATTGGCAGCTTTCAATCCCTTCCGACACAAGTGTGTTTCTGCCAGTCATCGATGTCTTGTAGATACACACCAGATGGCACAGCGCAGTCCATAGGCTGAACAAATCATCATGCATCACCAATAAATCCATGGTGGGCGGGAATATGCATGAAGACTGTGGCCAGCCGTGAAGGAACACGAGCCAATGATTTGCCGCCCGGGACCTTGAGGGCAGGCGTACTATTTTCAGACCGTCGAAACACAATACTAGCTGTTTGAATTAAACCTTTCCGGACGTTTCAAAACCTTCTACGGGCTTCTTTGCACGACAGGCACTGGCGCTTCAGAAAATACCCTCTGCCCAAGACCTGCGCAGCGTCAAACGCCGCCGTCATTCACTCTTGCTGTGGTGGGTGGGGCCAGCTCACCAAGTCGCGTAGCAAAGTCAGAAGTTCCAGAGTTTGGACCTGGCCTGATGTGGCTTGCAAGTGGCTTCGTGGGGAAATGAGTTTAGCTCGGCTCCCCATTGTTCACGGATTCTTGGAGAATTTCATGAACTGGAGCCCGCACACGGACTCGAACACTGCTGATGACGCCCCTTTTATGTACTTGCGGGCACCTACCATCAATTGTCATTCGGGGATACTAACATGTTGCTCTTGTAATCACCCCAGCCTTTGAAAAATCGCAGCGTGGTCCTCATATTGAAGCGAGGCTGATCGATCATAACGAAGCAAGTATCCTCGGAACACGCTGCGATTAAGTTACACGGGCTCTCTTGCAACCTGAGCTGGTACCAAAATCTTGTCGCCAATCATTAGACTGAGTATCACAATTGTCCTGCAGGGAGTCTTGCTTGCCTGCTCCCAGTTGGAGCAACCTTGTTGACGTGTGATATGTCAAGTGACTTGAATGCCCAATACTTGGTTCCTTCCTTTTCCTTCTCGCTCGGCTTTGCGCTTCTTTTCTTGTTGCACGCCATCGAGCGAGATTGGCCCGAGACAGTCGTCTGAACCCCACTTGGTAAGCAAGCTACAGGTACGCAGTCGGTACGACCGGCAGTGGCGCGTACATAAAATTAGACATTTGCGCCCATCAAGCCATTTGGTCAACAAACCCCACCTAGCTACGCGGGCGATGGCGACATGTTTGTGTGCCATTCAGCGGGCGGGCGAGTTATTATCATCACATGTGAGTCAAAGTCTTGGCGGCACCGATCCTGGGCTCATTCGGAGTGGTGAAGGGATATGGTCATGGCATTGACTATTATGGTATGTTGCAGCTGGGCCGTCTCATCTCACCAAGCTGCAGATACGGTCATGAACGGATAAGCAACATGGAGGAGTTGTCTCTTGTCGTGAATAAGTATTGACTAATACCCGAGGCTGGGTTGAGGAGCATGTCGCACTGTTGGGGGTTCCGAATCCGCACAGGCCCAAAGCGAGCCAGCGGAAGTCTGGAATAACCTGAAACTTGTGCACAATCGCACGACCCTGGCAGGTAGATCACTGTCAGTGTCGGCACGATGCTGCTTTTCACTGACAGCTCGCATGGCACCCTGTGGGCTACCCAAGTCGCACCCGCCACGGTCGACCTTCCACTTTTGGCGGACTTAACCAAGCATCGTGGGTGGGTTGTTTGGCGCGAGGACCTGCGTCATGCCACACATCGCAGTGGCTGGCGCATGTGCCGCCCCCAGCGTGAAGAGCTGGTCCCCGTCCTGCCTGCGCCAAGTCCTCGCGAGTAAGCGTGACGGAGCAGGACAACCTTGTCCTTGAACCCTGGTTGATCTGAAACACGGCTGGCGCAGTGCTTCAGAGTCTCTGGCAACGCCATCGACTCCACCACGCGCATCAGCAGCCCTGCTTGAGCCTCGACTGCTGTTCAGCAAGTCATTGCGCTGCTTGCCTCCCTCGTGGCTGGCAGGCATCCCCTCACTCGAAGCCTCGCGCGTTCCTGGCTGATTGGGCTTGCGTGATCGATCCACCTGCATATTGTACTTTTGGGGCAGGCCGAGAGAGCCACAATGTCCCACAATAGCCGGGCTTCCTGGGATTTAAGCGATGCTGGTCATCATCGGCTCGAGGCCAGATCGTGCATACCGCGCGCCTTTAGTAATGGCAGCGCAATCGATGTGCAGCACCCGGCCGGATCGAAGGATCACCTCCACAGCCCATCATTGTTCTCATGCTTCTGCATGACATGTAATGGAGCTGGTCATGGCATATGTCTTTTGTGTCTGTGCTCCAGGAGACACGCATGCTTCGGCATATACACTATAAAACGTAGTGTCGGTCTACAGAGTCATTGTGTCGGATTATGGCCACTGGAAGGGGGGGAAGGGACTCACCTTTTCCAGGTCGAAAGCCGGCAGGGGACGTAATGCATGACAGCAAGGCTACGGGCAGGTCTCGGGCGCCAGGAACTCGGCCAATCTGCCTACGAGTAGTGGATATGCCTTTAATGCATGTGCCCTTTCGGCAAGCATGGCACTCCTTTCCTGATGTCCTTCCGCTACAATGAGAGGCCACAAGAGAAGTCCATGCATGGGTTACCGCTGTTGATGCCGTATGGCTGGTGTTGACAAGGAGCCGCTAGTCGACCATGGATCATTGAAACGAAACAATTCGAGTCAAGCCGGCGAACCTGGTCGGCTAGCTGCCCGCTGTCTCGCGGGCCCCGTCTCTTACACGATATTAACTTGTGGTCTCTGGCTGCGACAGCGCTCGGTGATTTCGCTTCGCGATCCCGACCTCTTGGTACTCGTGGTGCGGGGTCTACACGCTGCCGGGGGCTAGGCGGCAGTGAGCGAGCGGCATTGGCATTCCAAAAACCTAGCAGCAGGCATGATTCTTCGACGGCCGCTGCCGAGGGTCGCAGACCCCTGGTGGGAGGCCATTACTGATGGCAGAAAGGAGCCTCCGCTTAGTCTGTCACAGGTTTCGAGGCGAGCATGAGGCTCAGCCTAGCGACGAAATCTTCAGTGGTGGTGGGGCTGCTTGCAAGCTGGCGGCGCGTCGAGGCAGGTGCGCAGTGATGGCTGGCGTACTTACTGGACACAGAGTGCAGCCCAGGGAGCGAATCAAAGACGCAAGAGCACGTCGCAGGGATGTCGGTTGCGTGCGTATCGCCAAGAGGGACGGCGCCCGGTGGGGTTATAACGCTGCTGATTGGCTCTGTGGCCAGCAGTCACGATGCATTCCGCGGTCGAAACAACGAGTCGTGCGTTGACGGCGATACAAATAGCATCTGCAGCGGCTGCAAGATGTCTCGAGACTTGGCCGCGGGCGGCAAACAGGCAGGCTGCGGCCAGCAGTTGCGGCCCAGCGGCCCAGCGGCCCCGCCCTGCACAAGCAGATGACACCGCCCGACAAGACGAGTCACTTGTTCAAGGGGCATGCGAAGCGACGACTTGCAAGAGCGACCTGGCTGGCAAAGGCGCGGGAGCGGAGGTTCCAGGCGGCAGACTTGGACGTGGTTGGAGTGCTGTTCGCTAGCAGCAGCTGAGATCGGCAGTACCTGCTCTAGTCAGCACATAAAGAGCAGACGTCGAGGTGTCTGGACTTCTGGATCTGCAGGCGGGAGAGGCTGAAACGCAGCCATGGCAGGGATCTATCGTGTCCCTGGCAGATGCAATGCAGAGAGAGGTAGGTGCAAGGTCGTCCAGGGGCCCAGGTCAACATGAAACAGGCACCCGCGCTCTTTCGAGAGCTGGGCCCCTGCCCAAGCCCGGAGATTGGTCATTTCCACCTCGTTCCCGCTCCCTCGTCAAAGCGCATCTCATGCTGTTCAACATTGCCATTCGCCTCTGTCGTCAATACTTTCCTGAGCCTCCAGCTCCAGCTCCGGCTGCCAGTCCTGCTCCGCGTGGACAGCCGGCGAGCACAAACCACTTCCATATCTTACTTAACTCAAGGCCAGTACTTGCTCACAAAGAGCAGCAGCACAATGGCCAGCCTGGCGCCCAGTATTATTTTCCAGTGGTGACCTCAATCAGCAAAGGCGCCTCTCCGCCGCCCGCCGCCTCCATGCATGGGCTGCATGACCAAGATGGACATATGTCCGGTCGCCATCCCTAAAATGGCCAGTTCCTCCTTCCCTGGTCCTGCTCGCCTTTTCCCCGAGTGGATCGTGTCGGCCCCGGTTCCTCTTCCGCCTGCGAGCACTCCATGTGGACTACGGAGTATGGTAGCTTGCTCAGGGCACAGTGGCCCTTGGTTTCATCGCCCACTGAACCGATCGTCACCGTTTCAGCCTTCCGCAGTCACCTTCGGCTCTCGAGCCGCTGCCAACAACTTATGCCGTGATTGTTCCTGGCCCTGCCATGAGGAGGGCTGTACGCAGCCTGGCTAGTCAGCTGCCAGAGCCACCCGCCTCTGCATAATCTCACTTGATCTCGGCGCAACACGAAGAGGCTGGCTGCCGAGAGGCGCACTAATCAGCTGCATTGCATCTCCTGAAACCGCCAGACGTCGATCTTTGTGAGCGCCGCTCCAGACTTCCCCATGCCAGCATGAGTGGGAGCCATCGACAAGGCTACGGCTATGCTTTAGGTATGTCATTCAAGCTCTGTCATTCAGGGCATGCCGCTACCTTTGCCGGCCTGTTTGCTGCCTGACCTATGAGGACCTCTTTGCGATACCGCCGAGTGATTCGCGGGTGAAATTCCACATTGGAGCCCTGAGGCGGGAAGATTCCCGGTCTCACCATGAACTAGCGTGTTCGCGTACACGGACTGTCGATGATTTCCAGCAATGCGCAGAGTCTGGCTCTTTCTGACAACACATTGCACCTGTGTCTTGGCAAGAAGGGGATCTTGCGCAGTCCATGTGGTCGCGATCGGGATATCGCATCTCGACAGGGGGTCGTATCTCTGAATGCCGAATCTGCCAAGACTAGATGGGTCAGATTAGGGCGTGTCCGCCAGTATCCATCCAGGGAAGAGACAAAAACGTTTCAAAGTGTGCTGCGTCTATTCCTGGCGGTGGACAAGGAAGTCATGGCGATCATAACACGGCATCCTATCGCTCCGAGCGATTTCACTTGCAGGCCTGTCGACGAAACCGTCGGGTTCCTCGCTTGGGGGTCATTCGAGACGAACATTGTGGCTTGCCCTGTCAAGTTCATCCGCCGCGCGCCAAGCATATCTGTGGTTCAAGTTGCGCGTCGGCAATGACTGGGCAAGGGTTCAACAAGTACTGTTGTGTTTCGTGGTCGGGGCTTTGCAATGTTTCAGGCATTTGTTGCTGCGAGAAGCTTTAAATAAGCATCAAACACGATCGACTAGGCTCAATGCAACGTGGGCATGGTTGTTGACACTCTTGGGAGGAGATGGATAGACCACGTTGTGTGTCCGCAACGCCGTCGGCATCGAGCTGTATCCCATGCTGCCAACCTCGGAATATTCCCGCCAAACACTGTTGCTAAAGATACTACCATGCCTTTTCGCTGCGACGGTGCTGATGTCGTTAATGATCACACGTGGGATCGGGCTGGATTTCGAGGCTCTTATACGACTTGCCGGGGCTTTGATGTATGCGCTGCGTTTAGCGGCCGGTATACCCGTTCCGTGTCCTGCAGACTTGTATATTCCTTCGCCTCCAGCAAAATATCGCTTGGTCGAGGACAAGGTCAGCGTATCTATATGGTGAGTACTCGTGACGAGGCAGAAAGGGAGAGAGCGTGAGGTTGGTTTTCACTCCGGTGGGACAACACCACCACGTAATATCCTGTCACTGGTAAGCATAACGTCCCTATCCTGGAAACAAAGTAGTCCAGACTCGCCTTGGGAATTTCCAATACGTATGCTGCAGTCGTCCGCACTGAAGTACATCCATACTTGATTTGAGGCACCGGACAGGCGAGATGTTTCTCTAAGTTTGACCATATTTTGTGTGTGGACTATGATGGAACTCGATAATCAACAACGCGTGTCCAAGGGGTCTGTGCTTCTTGGACACGGAACGGCAGTATCTCGGGACTGTTCCCGGGGGATTGAAGCTCGCCTTCTTTTACGAGAGACAGAGACTCGAGTGGGCGGCAACACAAGCACTTCCCATGTGTGTATGAGGATGTCTCTATATGGTCTGTTTAGGGTAGATACCTGATTGTAAGTACTCAACACTATGCCAGGCTGTTTACACACATATATCGCTAGTTATGCAACCTATCAGTCACAAGGTATGGACTACTTCGAGCCGTTGTCGTTCATACACTGAGCGCCGATGTCAATCGAATGCCTCCTTTCTTCTTTCCCCTTGTATTTTTCTTATTCTCATTCGTATTCTGGCGCGGTACTTCTACATAAAACTATACCACAGCTCTAACACCTCCACAAGCCCCCCCAGCGTGCTGATGCGGCGCCCGTCTCTTGCGAATCGAGGCCTCGCGCCTCCTGATTGGGTATCCCCGGTCGGGAAACCCTTCCCAGCTCGATGCATATTTGGCGGTGGCATGCGCGATGGCACGGCTCATCTGGATAAAGCACTCGTGGTTGAGGTTGTCAAAGTCGTCGCCAGCCTCGTGGTAGTTCTCGTCATACGCCACGCCTGCCGCGCCACCGTACAAGGCAGCCTCTTCCTCAGTCTTTAGGACCTCGGCGCCGCTGAACAGACCGCCGGCCGGAATCCCAATGTCGATGAAGCCCGCATAGTCGCTACGACCACTGAACTCTGTGGGCTGGAAGGGCAAGGACTGAGAAGTGAAATAGTCTTCAAACAGCTTCTCGGCCTCGGCCGAACCTGCCGGGCCGGTCAAATTGAAGGCGCTGCCGTCTCCGTCGTAGATGCCTGTAATGTAGTTGGGGCTCGCGATCATGTCAAAGTTGAGGTAGAGCCGGATCTTGGCTGCCTCCTCGGGAGTGAGATTATTCGCATAGTAGTACGAACCGAGCAGACCGTACTCTTCGCCACTCCACCACGCGAAACGGACGGCATTGGCTGGCTCGAACTTGCTGAGCTGCAAGGCAATCTCGAGAATGCCGACAGAACCACTGCCATTGTCGTTGATGCCAGGGCCGGCTGTCACACTATCGGCATGGCCACCAAGCATGAGAATGTTGTTCTGATCGCCACACTTCGTCGTGGCAATCAGCTGCTCGCTTTGGGTCTCAGTCACAGTGATGGAAAGGTCGGCCGTGACGTCTGGTGTCGACTCAATAAGAGACAATACCGCCTGTCCATCCTGGTAGAGAATTGCAGCTGTTGGAACCAATCCCTCTGGAGGCCCAAGGTCACCAGAGATGGGCTCAGTGCTCGTCTCATAGTCAATTATGATGACGGCGACAGCCCCAGCCGCAGCAGCTAGCGACGACTTGACAGAGAAGTTGCATGTGCCCCGGAGGATGACAGCAATTGCACCAGTGGCATCCGGAAAGTCAGTCTAAAAAACAAGCAGTGTCAGTCATCACTCCTGCTGTCAACCGACCGTCTTTCGGGTGTTGAGTTACCGCCTCGCAACCGAGATTAGCCACAGCCACGACGGGTACGCCAGTCCACGAGCCCACTGGGATGCCCTCGTCTGTCTCAAAGCCTTGTGCGTTGTAGGTCGTCCCGCCAACGGTAAATGGATTGTCAGCGGAGGGCACTTGGAAGGTGGTCGGTTGCACTTCGATCTTGTAGTAGCCTGGGGCAGTGGCTTCTATGGTATCCTTGATCCACGAGATGGTGTTGGCGAACCCGGGCGAGAGATATTGCCGATTGCGACCCTCGGTGGCGTAAGCTATGTCTTGCAGGCGTTGAGCTTTAGCTAAGAGGGCCTCGAGCTTTACTGCGTTTTGCAGCTGAGCCTGCGGCTTGTGTAAGCTTATTGAATGCCATGCTCAAATTGTCGTTGTTCTTGCCGCCCTTCTGTAGATCCTTGCAGAGAATTGCGGCAGAGCCTTACCAAGTCAATGGCCGGAACAGTGGCTAGAGCCAAGCCAGCCAATCCTAAGGCAGTAGGCATTGCCTCAGATATATAAGACGAACGCATGATGGGCGGCGATAAGTAATGGCCTGAAGTGGTTCGTCGGTGGAAGAGATGTTGAGAGATGGACAACGTTGAGCCAAGACGTTTATGAGGGTGGCAGAAAGACGAAGAGCGTTCTCGATTTATAGGATGCGTCGTGCCTGTTTGTCTCTCAGCGATGGTGAGAACTAATGGCTGCATCCCTCCTACTCAGAGGGATCGCCAGTCTTGGCAGACATGGAGTTCCTGGGCGTGGAGGGGCAATTGGCGAATGGCTGACGCCACTCTCACGGACAAGGCATTCGGCGTCCAACTCTGCTCGAGCCTGCTGAGCCCTCCAAAGTACGGATAGCAAGGGAGAGTCGCACGAGTTGAGCAATTGATCTGCCGTGTCGCCGGCGCGGGAGTGGCGATGTTGCGAGCTGCCTAATTGGGCAATGCCCAGAGACCTTGTACGCAGCTGTCCCTCCCTGACATTTCCACATTTCCTCTCAGTTTTGATGATTCCTTGTCTTTCCCTGTCACTGTTCATTGGCGTCACCACCGGCAAGTGAGCACTCATCAAAGCCGCGAGTTTGGACCATAGCCCGCGGATGCCACGGAGCCTGCTTGCTTTGCGCTATGTAGATGATGTGTTCTGGACATTCGCCACCTGCGTATCACCGTCCTTACACGGGAGCAGTCGTTCCGCCATCGCCGTCAGTACAAATAATGATGACTATTCCTCGGGACAAGTATGGAGAATGGTCCTATCCGTGCCTCATGTGGTTCACAAGTCGTCATCATCGTCGTCGCTCCCGCTTGACCAGCCTTCCTTATATCCTTCCGCAATCTCGGCCAGCTCGTTCCCTATCACCTCACGCTCGTCGACGCCAATATAGCGAATCACCGCGCTACGAAGACCTCTGACTTTGTTCATCACGCTCGAGTCAGTGGTCAGGGACGTCTTCAAGGCTGCGCCGTCCTTGATGGCACTGCCATCATGGCTGCGTAGGATGGATGGAAAGCTGTCCAATATTGGGAACAGGGTAGTCGACCTCAGCCTGGAAGGTAAAGCATCAGCATGAATGGTTTCCATCAGGCACTGCAGATATCGTGGATGGACTGTATGGACTTACTGATGGACCTTTTGTCTATGGCGTCGCACATATTCGCCTTGCCGTTGGCTGCCGCGCACCTGATGATTGTCCGACTCGTCTGGCGGAGCGCGGCAAGTCAATATCTGACTGAAAAGATGAGCCCGCCTCCGTCCATGCCGTCTCCCTGATTGGAGATCAAGCTCTTCTGGCGAGGAAAGGTCAACGTCCAAGATCGTCGAGTCCTCCCGAGAGCCCTCCGCCGACATGTCATCCAAGTCTGGACCGGCGATCACTTCATGATCATCATCTCCGCGACCGTTGAGAGCACTCTCGGTCTTCTTCCCGCGGTTCTCCGCCTGAGTTTGAGGATCAACCACGGCCATACTGAGGCTTGCTATCGTTTGTTTGCCATATACATTGAGTAGATCAGTGATGGTGCCAAAACTCGTCGAGTTCACACTGCCCAAGGCTCTGAGTCGTGAATACAAGGTGGTACTCTCCAGTGCCGCCGCGAAGAGTGCCCCGACATGCCAGGGAGAAGATGGGTCGAGACGAATAGAGGGGGGCAGCCCGACTTGTGGTACCGCCAGAGGTACAATCAAAGACGCTTGTGAGCTGAGCTCTGCAAAAGCCCTTGCCTTGTTGGTCATCTTCAGAATGCGTTTCTCCTACAAGCCGTGTCAGTATAAATTAAGGTACCTCATATCGGGTGCCTTTGCTTACTCTTGAGAGCCCGTTGACAGGTTCCTGCACGCCCCATACCCAAACTGGGATTTTGCCATATTCATCCCGCAGTCGCTCGATATACCTGGTCGAAAAGCCTGCCCAGGCATCGTCTAGGCCAGTAATGATCTGAAGGCCCTGCATCTGGTCTGATTCCTCGGCGAATGGGCGCAGGTCCCGATCCAAAATATCATGTTCCTTGTCGAGATTGGCGAAGAGATCTTCTCCAGTATGCCACTTCTCAAACGGCATGATGGTGGAGTTGAGTTCAAACTCATTCAACTGCACAATGGACTTTGGGTGGTAGTAGACGCGACTGAAGTCGGACCAGTACTTGACGGTCGATGTTGAAAGCTCCGGGGCAGCGAGACCTGCGTCGAGACTCTGCTGGTATGCACTGGGAGTTATAGGCTGCTGTCTGTGAACAACTGGCTGTCCTGACCTGCAGACAATCAGCACAGTCCGGAATTTCCAGTGTCGCCATGATCCCCATCTGGCTCACTCTCCACGATTGCCTACCATAGACTGCTGTCCACTGGATCATCCTGCATGTCGTACAGTGCATTGATCTTCCTCATGGAGCCAAAACCACCCTTGAGGTCATAGATGACTGTTCGTGGCATGAAGGTCTCGTTGCCATCGGCACCAAGGCCTGGCCGAAAATGAACGTCATGATCGACTGGAGATTCCTCGTCTGCACCATATGTGAAGTATGATTCCTGACATGCTTCCTTAGCTGCAAGCCTTCTTGGGACAGATGCACGTTACAAACCTGCGTGTTCCAGAAGTGGGTTGCGACGTAATTGCTCTGCTGCCCAAATTGCAGGGTCACGACTTCACGCATCGTGAAATGCTAACGCTACCTGCTGGCCAGCTCGAATCGACGATATACAGTTTTGGATGCTATCAATCCTTCATACATATAAGCAAACTCGAGATCAGCTTCTAGAGATTGCAGCTTGTTTGCGGGTGTGGTCTTGGTGGTTTTTCTTGTCTTTGTGGAAGAGTCCGTTCGGTACGTGACTGCCCAGCTGCTAATAATAAGGGTCCTTTGTAAGGTGGAACCTACCCGGCAGGTTCACTGAAGTTTTGCCTGCCGCCATGCATTAGGACAAGCTCCCTCACCCACCAACGCACCGTTGTCCACGCATGCACGGCAGTTCGATGGCGTCTAGTCCCACCTCAAATCGTAAGGTATGCAAGGACGCTAGCTTGGACATTGTCGTCATCTGCCTCGGCCTGCAATAGCTTTCCGGCCGCGTAAGACGCTTGAGCGCCTGTGCTGTAGAGAAACGTCTTTGGCTACTATCATCTCAGCTCTGGCTTTGCTGGGGGAACTCGCCACAATTAGGGAGAAGCTCAACTCTATCGACGAGCTGCAGAACATCTCTCGGCTGAGGCGGAAACATCTCGATATCCACACTGACGTCAACCCACACCAAATCTGGAGCTCCGGGTACTCTGCCAGTCGAACCTCACGACAGTCATGGCTGCCACCAATGCAAACCAGGACCAGCAACAGTCCAACATGGCACAGGAACTTGAGTCATGGAAGACACCGGCCGCCAAGGACGTGGCCGTGGCGCCCAAGCCGGGTGATGCGGCGCCTGAAAACCCCAACCTGAAGCTGCCAACAGACAAACCCACCATAATTGTCTTTCTCAGACACTGCGGCTGTCCCTGTAAGTCCATTCGACGGGTCTTTGCTATCTGTGCTGGCTGGGATGGTCCCGAGACACGGCCCCAACCCCAATCCAGACCACCTGGTATGATGTTAGCTCACAAGCAGCTCCATAGTCGCCGAGAAGACGTTCAAGTCCATGACTACTCTATCGCAGCTGTACAAAGACCAGATCCACTTCATTGCAGTATCACACTCTTCGCCCGAGGCGACAGAGCACTGGGTCGTGTCCGTCGGCGGGAACTGGGATGTGCAAGTCGTCGTCGACTATGAGCGTGACCTCTACGCGCAGTACGGCCTCGGCGTGTCCAACACCTGGCACGTCCTGAGCCCTGCCAGTCTCTACAAGGTCTTGCGGCTGGGCAAGGACGAGGGTATCTGGAACAGACCGACGCAGAGTGGCAGCCGGTGGCAGAAGGGTGGCGCGTTCGCGGTCGCTCCGGAGCAGGATGGCCGCTCCGGGTGGGAGGTGAAGTGGGCGCAGGTTGCCGCTTCGGCTGATGATATGCCTGACCTCGACAAGGCTATCGCGGCGCTGGGTTTTGAGGTCAAGACAAAGCCGAAAGTGGAGGAGGTCAAATCCTACGGTTTTCCTTGAGCTGGTTTCCTCGGAGTGTTTTGTTCCCTGCACATGTCTTTCTGTACATATATTGCTCCTTTGGCGGGGAGCTCTCATTGCCAGTGGTCAAACTATCGTTAAAGAGCTGGCCTCGCTTGCGATTTTTCTTGACATCAACCATTCTCAGTTGCCATTCACTACTCTCTGAAGAACACAGCTAATGTTTTGCCCCCCTCACCAAGCATGGTCGGAAACACGACCGCCGACTTGACCTGACACAGCCCAGTCCACGGGATCATGCAATGGCAAATCTGCAGCGTGGGGGGCTGAAACAGGATCCCATCTGGGTGAATGTGTTTGACCTGGGTTGCTTTGACGAAGTGAAGGGTCACCTTCGCAATGAAGCTGCGACGACTCGGACGCAGCCAAGAAGGGCATTATTTACGGGGAGGGGAAGTTGAGGTCCACGAAGAAATGTCTTTATATATTTACACGAACTTTGATACTGTTTGAGGATGACTGACTACAAACTCCCGCTTTCCACAGGTGACATGCGTAATCTTGTTAACCTGTCCACGCAAAGGCGCGCAGAGCAATTGTCCAATACTACATACATATAGTGCTTTACGAACCGCTACGTTCCCTTCTCTAGTTGGGAACGCACTGGAAGTACCACTCGTTCCAGTCCTTGCAGATGGTGCCCGCAGCACAATTGGTAGGGCCATTGTAGTTCTTGCCACCACACTGCTGGTAGATCGCAACGGCACCAACGCCTCCATTGCCGGGCTGGGGAGCAGGAGCAGGAGCAGGAGCAGGAGCCGGGGTAGCGGTAGCGGCTGGGCGAGTGGCCGTGGCCATGGTGGTAGGGACAGGCGCCTGGGTGGGGGCAGCAGTGGCAGTTGGCGCGGGAGCCGGGGCGCCGTTACCACCGCCAGCAGCAGCAGTCCAGACCTTGGGGCCGGGGATTGAGTAGGTCGTGGCGCCGCCATACAGGTTGAAGACGATGCCGGGGTCGGCAGAGGTGTAGCCAGTGTTGAAGTCAAAGTTCTGGTCAGGAACGGCAGAGCCAGCGCCGGTAATGTCGAACTGGATACAGCTCGGGTAGAACTGGGCGCCACGGCCGTTGGCGGTTGGGGGAGAGTCAGACTCGTGGTGGGCGATGATCTCCTGGCGGATCAGGTACTTGCCGGCGGCGAGCGTGGCCGGGATCTTGAAGTCGTACTTGCCCTTGTTCTTGATCAAGGTGTCGACGGCCCAGGTCTTGCCATCGGCGGCGAGGCCACTCTCGTCAATCTTGGACCAGATGGGACCTGTGCCATCGCCACTGGTGAACTTGGCAATGTAGGTGATGACGGGACCCTTGTGGCTGCCATCAATGACTATTCGGGACAGAGCCAACGTCAGCATTTGCTATCAAAGCAGATTCGGGAATATGAGTGATCACGGGCTACGTACTGTCGTCGCCACGGGTGTTGTGCATCCACTCGGTGGAGATGGAATCTCCGGCAGCCGCGCTGACGAAGCTGGGAGCGACCTTGGCGCCATTGACGTTGCAGGCAATGGCGGGCGTGTCGAGAACCTTGACTGGGCTGTTGTTGGGAGGCGAGCGGATGTAGACGTTTTGGCCATCGCCCTGGTCCTGGCCGTTGACGAAGACGCCGCGGATGACGGCATGGCCGGAGACGGTGGTGAGAAGGCCGGCAGTGGCGGCGAGGACGGAAGCACGAACAAACATGTTTGCGGTTATCTGGTTATGAAAATGGACGAGAAGTCGGCTGATCTGTGGGATCGAAAGGGTTTATAAGGTGTGCTTGGCTGAGCAGGCACAAAGAAACAGTGATGGGTCTTTTGAAAAGAAGGAATGGCACTGCCAATTCGAGTGAAGATGAGCGAGAGAGTGAATGGATGACCGCAGGTCTGTTGAGTCGTGGAGGGGTGAGGAGAGAGAGGCCATTGCGACAAAGGAGCGGACGGCTGCGGCAGTCTTTATACAGAGCAGGACAACGGCCTCGGTCAGGGTGCCGTGAGGCTCTCGATGTTTGTGGTTTACCAGTCTTTGTTTGCCAGGGGTGCAGCCGTGTGAGGCAAGACTGGTCTGGCGTTGGCAAGTGGGGTTGTTGTGGCACTGCGGAAGCAGGACTCAGGGGTGCCCATGCCCGGCCTGTCGAGGATAGATGAAGCAATGGAAAACGACGGGCACGGGCGGCGGAGCTGGGAATCAGATGGACGGCGCCAGGTTGCAGATGAAACGATTCCTTGGGGTGTGGCTTGTGATGACATCTGACTCGGCATCCAGACAGGTGCAGGCTGGGCGGGCATCGCGAAGTTTCTGCCGGCTGATGGCTGTGCGCCTCACTGTTGGACCAAGAGTCATGATGGCGGACGACTGGCGGACGACAGACTGAGGGCTCGCACCAGAGTCCTACGGAGGTGTCGAGTCGCCCGGCTTTGGGGTAGTGAGCCGCAAGGTGACAGCGGCGCATGGCGGCGGTTGGCGGAGGATGGCCTGCCAAGGCTGCAGGGGCAGGGGGGTCCAGTCCAGGGGTTCGGTTCCTGCCGATCGAGGCCTGTCAAGGTCAAGCTTGTCCACGCCGGACCATCAGGGCAAAGCAAGGGCCATTGGAATGGCTAAACGACCGTTGCTCGTCTGGCCATTCGGCCGTCGGCTCACTCTGCGGCCAGAGGAGCTGGGCACTATGGCTTTTCTTCCTGATTGGGGCTGGCGAGCCGCTGTGGTGGCCACGCCGTTTCAGGTCTCGTCTTTACCCGCGCGGATCGGCCTGTGCTTCAAGGTTGTTCCCACGGCCGCGGTCAAGGTTCGCTGCTAGCGTACGCTAACGGTTAGCATGCAGACCCACGAAGCTTCCACTTCCAACAAGACCCCCACCACTCTCGCACTGGCGCTGAAACAGTTTATGCAAACAGCGCCTTCCATCGTCGCCTTTACGACCGCAAGACTTCAGACGGAGCCTTGGTGCCCGCGATAGACTCGTTTCGCTTGGCGCCTCGCCCACATGTTCCAGCTGGGTATGTCGGCCCTCACTTCCGCTGCGTCCATGCTCGCAGGACACACAGCCTTGTCATGTCAAGTGGCCCGCCCTCCAGCACATGCCTCGTCGAGATGGTGATACCCGCCTGTGGCCTCTCCTTGACGCAACGTGCTCCATAGCCATCTCTCTATTCTCATTCTGGGGACCGCCTCGGGCCTGGACTCAATTTACATCATCATGCACACCGCCGCCCAAGACTTCTCCCGCGAGCCAAATCCATCCCATCCTTTTCCTCTAACCCGCAAGCGTCACCCTTCTGTCTGTTTCGCCGAGGCACGAGCGTTGTGCAACCTGGTTCCAGGGCAATTTCGACGTCACCACCCAGGCCTTGGGCACACCCTGGCCGAACGATCCGAAGATGCTTGCAGATTGCAAGCCACCCATCGCAGCTGCCAATTTGACAAGATGACAACAGTGGGCCATGCCGCGGTCCTGTTGCATTGCGGCGCGCAGCGATCGACAGGGAAAACCCAACCCTATCTGCCCGGCGCTCTCGGATGCGCGCCGTCAAACACACTGTACCTGCAACTGGGCCCCTTGAGGTTCGCATTCGTGGACGACGGGAAGTTCTAGAATGGCCCTTGGCTGCAGCTCCCCAGCGCTCCCGCAAATTAAAGGCTCTTCCCCTGTTAATAGCGAGAACGTTGACCCTTGCGCCGGACATCAACCTCCTCGATCAAGGTATTACAGTACGCATGCGCCTGACAAAGCAGGCTGCAACCCTACCATGTAAGCTGTCGAGCAACACGGTGGGCCAGTACCTGTCAGGCCATGGAGCTGCTGGGGAAACGATTCGCTCCAGCAATGCAGCAAACTGCACCTGCGATCTCCCAAGTGCTTCAGAGAAAGTCATCCCGTTGTGTGGTCCAATGTGTACAAGAGCAGCTCCTCGCAAGCTAAAATGGGTCGCAATTAATTCCGACCGCGCTTGATTTGAGGTTAAATGCATTATCCAGCTATGTGGAGCTAATTCTCTCTTCATGTCCCTGGCCAAACAAAATCCCACCGGTGTCCCGAGACCCGGAATTCCTTGCCGACAGCGCTTTCTTGTATTACACCAAAGGAGGCCGCGATGCGTCATCTCGCATTTACGGCCTCCATCCTGTGTGCCTTCGAAGTAGATAATGCTCACTGTTCCAGAGCACCCGACCTTTGTCTGTCCAATGCACTCCATCGTACGCCATCTTACAAGCAGCACCTGCGAAAAACCACACAGCTAGCCAGTCTCAGGCTCAAACACCACTATGACGCGCCCGCTTGCGAGCACTACTCGATGCAGGGTGCATTTTCTCATTCTTTTCGCGCTTGAGTTTCTCATCCAGAACACGTGCTGTGAAGCTGGGTCAGCCCTGTAGATACTTTGAAACCGACAAAAGATCACCCGCTTGGGAGGACAGCAACTTACTAAGCACATCGTAACCGAACTCGGGGAACTCCAAGCACAGCGAACGAAACTCGTCCTCGGCCTCTGACCGCAGCGTGTGGCTGCGGGTGGCCCAAAAGTTGGCGATCGGGGCGCGGACGGTCGAGTCGTCCTTGGTGGTGTACTTGTAGACGTAGCGGGCGTACGTGATCTCGCCCTTGGCCGTCGAGTTGACGCAGTGGATCTTGCTGGTGGCGAGGCTCTTGAGCTTCTCGATGCCAAACTTCTCGGCCAGCGTGTAGATGCGCGCGTGACGCAGCAGCTGCTCGCCGGACTCATCGACTGCCGGCAGCGACGGGTCCTGCTCGAGCGAGCGAGTGCCTGCGACCTTGCGCGGGAAGTAATCGCCCGTGTATAGATACTCGAGGAAGCTGCCCACGGCGTCTACATCGTCAGAGTCCAGGACAATCTGACGGGGCTGCAAGGTCCACGCCAATGAGTGATGATGCGCAGATTAGCGGTGGGCTTATAGAAGTCACAGACTGGCAGGTCAAATCTTTTTTTGCGATGGCGTTTGCCGGTTTGCCCATCAATTGAGCTCAAGACTTACACTGCCATCCTCGGTAAACTGCTCGCAGGCCTGCGCGAACCACGGACTTTGGACGAGGAGCGACTGATGCGCGGTCAGGACGGCGGCCGTGTCGCCCTGGCCGACAATGAGGGTGACGACGGGGCTGGAGAGATAGCTCATGAAGGTGACGCGGGGCGTGTTGTCGGCCTCCTCACCCTCAGCAAAAGGAAGCTCGCTGGCATCGCCGACCTCACCCTCGCCGGCGTCGGCGTCCTCGGTCATGTCAACATCGGCGCCGGGGTTAGCGGCCTGGTCCACCAGGGCGACGTCGTGCTCGAGGCTCGAGTCATCAGCCATTGTGTGGGCTGCACGTGCTAAAGTCTAACGAGAGTGGTATGAAGGGAAGGAGGACAAAGGAATGACGCTGCTCGAAGTGCGTGCGGGCTGCAATGGACGATTGCGATGCGCCAATGGATATCAATGATTCAAATGTGTAGGTGGACGGCCACGCGCAAAGTGCAAACCGTGGTTCCCCAATCACAGTCGCCAACCCGCGGCGACATGCTGAGTGGCTGGGTTGGCTCGACAGCATCCCCAGCCAGTGCACAGGCGCGCATGTCTGATTGCAGCTTAAGGTTGGTGCAAGCGCAGGCGCGGGCGCGGGAAGCAGCCGGCCCCTGCGTGCTTACATCACCAGCAGAGTCAGGTAAATATCTACGACCTTGGCTGTCGCAAAACGCTCATCAACTGGTTTGCTCACGGGTTCATCATGTCGAATTACACAAGTACCATCCTGCGTCGCCTTCTTCACAATAGTTAGTTGTGTCCCGATCCTGTGAATCAAACACACAACCTTGTCCCACACAAGCCCATACCCTGCCCCACCAATACGGTGACCATGGCCCCTTGGACGCCATCTCCTACGTCCAATATTGGCAACACTAGGCGGCAGCAGGAATGCACGAGCTTGACGACACTTGCCGACCCCTAGGATCATGGACCTGGGTACTTTATTCTAGGTTTGCGTCGTGAAGCCAGCCGTGTAATGGGTGACCGCAACAAGCAACAGCAGATCATCCGCACATCCGTGAATGCGCGGGGCAGGCCACGGCGTAAGCGTGGGCAACAGAACAATGCTGCACATCGCCTTCCCTTTCGCAGGTCTCTCTTGCTTGCACTCGAACATGATGGCAGTGGATTTCTGGAATATTCGGGACAGCCTCAAACTAGGTTAAGCATACACAGAAGCATCACAATCGGAGGGGCCGTCGCCGAGAGCTTAGCTGTGGACAATAAGCACCCACCACGATCGCCCCGCGTGCCGCCACCCCGCGCTGGATCGAAGAAGGATGCCCGAGCCAAGGCACACTCTGAGTGCGCCCAAGGGTTCAGCCTGGCTGTGCCTTGTGGCCCGAATCGTGCTTCAGCTGCGGCCCCGGGCGAATCAGCGCGCGTGCTGTGCGTGCGGCTGAGGGCGTCGTGCATGCCTGGTGGAGCCCAGCTTCAGAGATCCCGACTCGTATTGTCTCTTGGGCGGCTGCACAAGCTTTCCAGGCAGGCCGATTGGGTTGCCGTGTGTGGGCATTGTGTGCCTCTTAAAAGTCCTTGTTCTCCCTCGTGCGGGCTGCTCGTGGTTCTTCACGTCTGGTTCATTCTCAACAGCTTCATTCAACAACACTTGGCCCGGAGTAGTACTACCTAACGTAGACTTAGCACTCACCCGCTACAAGTCGGCCCGAGCGACCTATATAAATTGCGACCACAGAGATTCTTAGACTGCCTCGTAATGGAGCAAATCGGCAAGAGGAGACCGGGGTCCGATGTCATCCCAACTCCGATATGGGTCATGGTCGTTCGGATATTCCAGGTCGTTTTATCCTTTGTTGTGCTCGGATGCTGCGGCGCGTTCGTGCACTGGCTCTACTCCGACCAGCTTGGATTCGCCATCATCTGTGTATGCGCCCCGATTTCCTCCGCGGTTGGAATGCATCTGGCAAAATCGAGCTAACACCCATGTGGCGACAGTCCCTCTTCACTTGGATCATATCCATCTACAACATCATCGCTGAGAAGGTCCCCGCCTGTCGCAGGGCATACAATGTGTACGCAACGCTGGCTCTCGATGTTCTTATGATCATCTTCTGGCTGGCCTCCCTGGGTGCACTGGCAGCGTACCGAGCAACCTTCAACACGCCCGTCAACGCCTCCTGCTCAAGCAACGGCAGCCTGGTAGACAGTGGCGAGTGCGTCATCTCCAAGCGCGCGCGAGGCGGCACCTCTGTGGCAACCAAAGGTGCACTCAACCTTGTCAGCGGAGCTGCTGGTGTTTCCGCGCTCATCATGCTCCTCTACATTGTATCCTTTGCCTACGTGTGCCACTTCTGGAGGATCTCTCGGGCGAGGGGCGCTTCGGGCGACTCGGAGAAGTTCAATGGCGAGATGGCCAGCGGCATCCCACCCCAGCAGGTGTCCGCTCAGCAGTCACAGTCGCTTCTGAACCAGCCCTCCGGGTACCAGGCCGACGCACATGGCTATGCCCAGTCTCACCAGGCCCCCGGGCAATATCACTCGCCCCAGGATCTCTATACTCAGCAAACTCAATACTCTCAGCATGGCACAACACCGTACGATCCTTACAGCAACCAGAAGATTGATACCCACTACTCGGGGGCGTCAGCGGGGTACGGCGGCCACGACGTGAGCAATCAACACCAGCCTGTGGCGTACAGCACGCCTACTCCAGGGCAAATGTATCAGCCACCACCCCAGTGAGACCATCGCGGGTCATCCTTAATCGCAATGTAACTTCGGCAGTCTACGCGAGGTGGCACCATGCACTGAAGAGTTGGGGAAGTGGGCGGATGTATAGACTGTGATTTGTGTTTTAGAGTGTGGCTGGTGTTCAAGGCGTTCAGGATTCTGGGGTTTTGGGATAATGAAATCAAAAATTTTGCTTGGCGTGCCAAGTTCCCGAGTGCAATTATGCCTTCATGTGATAGCGTGAGAGCTTCTTTTACGAATCATCCAAGCAAACGTCCCTTCTCTAATGAACGAGAACCTTCTCTTTTGCGTGACTATCACGCACGCATTGCTACACTTTGCATCCACTCTCCGTCTGTAGCCATCTCGCTCCGCAATGGTGTACGTAGATTTCGAAGCGACTGGCTGCGCTGCGCTTAATACGACTACCCTCTCTACTGGACGGAGGCCATCTGTGTCTTCCCTTCCTCGCTTTTAGTCTCGACCTGCTCAGCTTTGGCTGAATTCCTGACTGCCACCGATCCATGACCGGCTTCGACCAGCTCTAGCTCGGTGTGTCCTCCTTCGGCACCATCCTGAGTTCTTTCACTATCACGCCTCGCGACCGCGCCTACTCCCAACTTGCCCGTCTCTCCTCCTCCGCCGTCCCCTGTCGGCGGAAGCTGCTCTCCCGTGACTCTTTCTACCGGTTCTCCCTCGTGCGGACCCATCCCCCGGTCTCTGACCAGGAAGCAGCCCAACAAGCACAGCCCCATCAGCGGGACCTGCAGAATAAACACCCACCGGCTAGCCGCCATGTACGCGTCCAGGACCTGCTCGACGGCGCCGGCATCCCCGCCGGCCAGCTCGAGCAGGGCTTCCCGCGACGGCACGGCATAGGTGCTGCCCGCGAGCGACGCGAACCCGCGAGGCAGGCTGGCGCGGAGCCCGGCCTGCAGGACCGACGCGGAGACGGCCAGGCCGACGGCGCCGCCGGCGCAGCGGAAGAAATTGCGGTTCGAGATGATGACGGCGCGGCGGCCGCGCGGGACGTGGCACTGCAGCGCGACGAGGGTCGGCTGGAAGATGCAGCCCACGCCGAGGCCGTTGAGGACTAGAGGCAGGGCGATGATGCCCCGGGAGGACGAGCGCGTGTACAGTAGCGTGAGGCCGCACCCGCTATGTTTTTTTGTGGCTAGATGTCAGCTTTTGTATTTTACGGGGAAAAGATAAAAGAGAACCCCCAATGTCTGTCTTCCAGCGACGACGACGACGACGACGAGGCTTCTCAGGTCACATGACGTCGAACTTACAGTGTCCACAACCCGAAGCCGCTCCAAATCACCTCGCCATACCGCTGGGTCCAGGACATGTACTGGTCGGAACAGACAGAGGCGACCGCCTGTATGGCCACGGTGATGGCGGTGAAGCCCGCAGATTCGAGCACGGAAAAGCCCCTGGCGTTCTGCAGATACATGGGCAGGTAATAGAGGTAGGACTGGTAGACGCTGCCGAACAGGAAGCTCTGGATGAGCAGGGTCGTCACGCAGCGGTTGTGGAATATCTGGACTGCACGGCGAACGCGAACGGGTGTACAGCAGAGTGTCAGTAAACCGACCACACAGGTATATCCTCAACAGGGCATATTTAACCTCGGAGTCAAGGCCTAATCGTCCTTACCTGGCATCATGGGCAACTTGGCCACCCTCCATTCTACCAGGACAAACGCGCCGAGTGCCACCACACCGATGACGAGCATGCTGATCACCATGGGCGAGTCCCAGGGGAAATACGCACCGCCTCCACTGATCGGGATCAACAGGAAGATCACGGCGGTGCTCGAGAGCAGGACCCCGGCGAAGTCGATCTTCTTCAGGCTCTCCCGGACACCCACGCTCGGGGGCTTGGACGGCAACATGGCGAACGCGACCGCGCCGATCAGCGCGGCGAGCGGGGAGACCATGTAGAAGAAACCCCTCCAGGAGCCCGTGTTGGCGATGAAGGCCGCCGCCAGAAACGGGCCTGCGACGTTGCCCAGCCCGACCATGGCGCCGATGACGCCCTGGTACTGGCCGCGCTGCTCCAGGGTGACAATGTCGCTAACAATGATCATGGCGAGGTTGCTGATGCCGCCGCCACCGATGCCCGCGAGCCCGCGGAACACGTAGAAGGTGGCCGGGCCACGGGACAGGCCACACAGCAGCGCGGCGAGGGAGAGGAGGGCGACGGCGGTGAGGAAGACGATCCGACGCCCAAATATGTCCGACAAGCGGCCGTAGAGCATCTGGAAGACGGTGTTTGCGATGAGCGAGGAGGTGCCGGCCCACGAGATTGTATCGTGGGCCTCGAGGTCGGCGGCGATGGTGGGCAAGGTGACGCCAATGCCATTCTGGTCGATGAAGGTGACGAGCAGGGTCAGGGAGATGGCCGCGAGAACCGTCAGCAGCTTGCCCCGCGGGAGAAGGTCTGTCTGATCGTGGAGGGCCTTCTCGGCCTCACGTTGCTGGCGGCTCTGCATCTCGTCGATCGAGGCGGGTGGCTGTTGTGTGGCGGCGTGACTAGCTGAGGGTATGGTCGGGGACAGTCATTCTAGGCTATCACATTGACACTCTGCTGGAGGCGCGGTGTCCCCTGGGGTAGGTGAGTCTCGTAGAGACCATTAGAAGGGCAAGGGAAGCTGGCATGGGCAGGCACTTTGGCGGGCAACGGACGAAACACTTGCACAAACCACAGAATAGACCACTCGAGAGAGATATCTGGGGACGTCACGGTGCCGCCTTCCCGATCGAGGACAAGCATAAGCGCAGGGCCGGGCGCCGGCACCGGCGATCGGACCGCCGCCGAGGGCTATCAAGTGACGAAAGAACCATGGCTGGATGGCCAATGACAAGAGCAGGGGTTGGCTGGTTTGGCTAGGACGGAAAGCTTAGCAGTGCTTGATTGGACTCGGCGGCGCGTTCTTTTCTTTTCTGGTGCTGGTTAACCCCAGACTAGGTCGAGGCAAGTGTTGAACTTGGTGCTGTGCCGCAGGCCGGAGCTGTTTGTCCCATGGGGTGGTCGCGCACGGCCCCACTCCGAACCCTACCCCCCTTTTCTCCACTGGGCCGGACCGGACCGCACGTCGGGGCAGCTCCGACGACTGGCCCGTGGGCTGCCCTGCGCCCGTGGACTCAAGGCCAGCTCTGGAGGTTCTGCAGCGACTCAAAGTCGGGCATCCACACCGGCGAGCTGTCGCTCTGGTCGATCCAGCTCGTCAGCTCCGCCACGACCCTCCACGCATCCTCTGATGCCACCGCGCTGCCCGCCATGGCCATCTGGTCGCTCAGGCCCTGCAGCATCGCCGCCGGCCTTCCGGCCTCGAGTATGCTCTTGTGGTTGTTGTTGTTGTTGTTGTTGTGCTGCTGCTGCTGCTTTTGCTGCCGCGGACTTCCCCGTGGCGACCCGGCCGCCGTGTTGGTGCCATTGATCTTGCTGCTGCTGCTGCTGCTGTTTCCGCCCATGCTCAGCAGTCCACAGTTGGCCGCCGCCGTCTGCGCGAGGTTGCTCGTCCCGCCGTTCTCGAGCTTGTCCATGGTCGCCGTGACCAGCAGCTCGAATGCATCCCTGTACTTGCGCACCCACGGCGCCCGCTCGCCCATGACGAACAGCACCAGGCTGCACGCCCGGATGTCGTTCGACAACGTTACCGACCACGCGTCCCGCTGGTGCGTCCACAGCGCGTACAGCAGCGTGATGCCCGACACAAACACCGTCTGTACCGCTATAAACGAGTGCCCGTAGTCGAGCGACTGGTGCAGGTGCTTGTGTGTCTGGCAGATCTCGCCCGCAGCTCGGATGCAGGCCTGGTAGTACGCGTCCGACGGCGACAGAAGCGGCAGGAATGGCTGGACCAGCAGCCACAGAGACTATCAGGAACAAAACAGAAAAAGAGAGCAAAGTTTGTCAGCGCGCGGTGCCAAGGTTGAATAGTGACAGGTAGGTGCCGAGTCTCACCTTGTGATAGGAAAGCATGGCGTAGTGGAAGTCTTTCGGCTGCGAGCCGAGCTTCTCTGCCGTCGTCTGCTTCCACTTCTCGAGCTCCTGGAAGATCGGCTCAACCTTGGACAGCAGCGAGGTCAGGGGTTTGTCCGCCCTGTAGATGCTGTACTGAATCTTCGACTCCAGCCTCCGCACCTGGATCAACAGGATAAACAGCGTGGCGGGCGCCCACGTACTGCCCCGTCTCGCCTTGCCTACTCCAGCAATACTGCCTGTCGGCGAAGTAGAAAACACAGCAGAAGGACTCCTCGCCCCATCCGCCGCCGCCACCGCCGTGTTGAAGAACTCGTCCGGCAGGTCGACGTCAATCTGGCGGTCGGGGATACTAAACGGCCTGCCCAGCGAGATGGCAATGACACGCTCCAGCAAGTAGATTGTCCAGAAGAGGCGGCGCCGCATCTGCACGGCCAGGGGGTCCTGGTGGTGGTTGACCTCGTCGCGCCGGCGGTGGAGGCCGAGATCGATGCACGTCCGCATCGCGAGGCCAATCATGTACCAGATGCCGTGATTTGAGGCGCTACGCAGGTGGTACAGCACGAGCAGCAGCATCGCCTCGATGTTGTGCACGGTCCTTGACTCCTTAGCCGCACAGATGTGCTGCAGCGCGGACATGTAGTAGCTCTGTTTGTGCATGTGCCAACGAGCCCGTTAGTGCGTGGACGAACGGACCACAAAGCTTGTACAGACAGGGCTTTCTGAGGGCGGGCCATTCTCTTACCTCTGGGGGTGGCGTGGCCGTCTTCTCTGTCAGCCGGACAAGCATGGCGCCAATCGCATAGATCATGTAGAGCTTGAACAGTCCATAGCGCTGCATCCTCGTCAAGTCCTGCACGGGCGTGGCGCGCAGGGCAAAGCGCTCTGCATGCAAACCCCAGATCTCGTCCGGGTGCAAGAACGGATAGCGCACACCCAGCTGGGCAAAGTAGGCGTTGAGTATCGTCTCCCCCAGCTCTTCTCCCGGCGGCTCCGCACTGCTTGCCATCAGCTCCTCCATTGTCAGCGCCTTGCCCGCACCGCCGGCAGCACCAGTACCAGACACACTGCCAGACCGTTCTTTGCCTCCGGGACTCGACGAGCTTGGCATCGCCTTGTTCCAGACCGTGGCCTGGACCATGTGTCCAAGGTTCAGCGCGAGGCCGAAGCCCGACGAGGCACCTACGTAGGCAGGCGCCTCAAAGTTGCCCATCGACAACACGTCAACCACCTCGCCAAGGACGTCGTCCCTTGCTGGTGCAGGAGCAGTGTCGTGGCGAGATTGGCGCGGACTGGGCGTGCTTGCCGCCAGTCTCATTTCCAGCATGGCCACTCGCTCCTCTAGAGCCCGCGTGTAGCTAGATAAGGAGGTGTCAGGATAGAACAGTCCCACAGTTCCAGAGACACTTACGCCGCGGGAGGCTCGTCTTCGGTGACCGCCAGCTTGTCACATTTCATGCCAGCCCGTTGGCAGTTTGAGCACACCGGCCACTGGTCATCGCACTACAATCCAAAACCACGCGCACAGGAGCATGTTAGCCATCGCGGGAGACATTTGAGTTTTGGGCCGGCGTAAATTGCTTCAACTTGCCCTCTGCTTCCGTGTCTTGCACCGCGTGCAGGCTGTCCGGCCTCGCTTCCGGGGGTTGGTAGCCGGATGCTCCGCGCTAGGCTCCGCACCGCCGGAGGACACGGCCGGCGGCGGCGGCGGAGGCGGCGACGGACCGTGTACATAGTCAGGCGTGATGGCCATCTTGTCGCAGTGCTCCGTGGTTTCGCGCTTTCACAGCGGTTGCCAGAAGAGCCCACAGGTGACACATTCCGAGCAACAAGTGTCTTGCCAGCGGAGGATCCGACGCTTTAGAACGCCCCCCGACACGGCCACCTGGGTTGTCGGAGTCCGATACGGATTGCCGCGAGTGGGTCGGCCGTCCGCCGAATCAGCGCTGTGCAGCTTATCTCTGCTGGTAGTCCATCCTCGCCCGAGCACCTGCAGCAATTCCCGACGCCTCGAGGTCTCCATCACGTAAGAGCACCAATATGAACAAAAGCGAAACCGTTCGACACCAACATGTCCAATGTGCCAAGTAGAGTGAGGATGCTTTTTTGTCTTTTGCCCTTCCCAAATATGTGCAATTCGAACACCCTGTGTCCTTTGGAGCATGCCAGAGACAACAATGTGCCCTGGCCCGTTTGCTAAACCTTGATGCTTTTTGTTCCCCCCACCCGAAATGCGCTCGATCTATGGAAGCCCGTCTTCTATTTTCCCCCTCAAGACCGATCCTTCCCCTTTTAATTTTAAACATGATGTCGTGATTCAGATTCTGTTGATACAATGCCAGCAGGCCAGGATTGGAGCATGAAGCACCACCTAGTGCTAGGCAGACATGATCTCATTCCAGACCGGGCCCGTGGTTCCAAAACACCTACAGGAAGCTCCAAGTAGCTGTTTGTCCGTGCTCGATCTCAATGATTAACTGAAGCTAGACGGCTGCCTGGGCATGCGACTCGTGCAGATGATATCAAGACGATGCCGCTCCGAGACGGGTCTTGGGGCCGCCACGGGCAGCGCGCTTCTTGGTGCTCTTATTTTGCGAGTCGTTGCCCTCAATGAACTTGATCAGGTCGTCAATGCTGCGGGAATCGGGTCCCGTCTTGCCAGTCTTGGTCTTGGCGTCGAGACCCGTTTGCGCCTGAGACGCGCTGCTGCCAAGAGCCTGGCGGGATGGGAAGCGGATGCCTGCGCGAAGGCGCTTGGCCTGGGCGTCCTTGTCCCTCTTCGCAATGGCCACAGCATTCTGTGTCAGCTGCTCCAACCAGGTCTCAGCTTCCTTCGTGTTGTTGTTCTCGGGGCCAAGCTGCTCCCGGAAAATGTTGTAGCACTCGCGCATCTTGGCAAGCGCAGACTTGGACTCTCCGTCCAGCGCAAGGGCCTGAGCCAGCTGGAACAGCAGGCTGGCTGAGCTTAGAGACGACTGGCCCATCACACGCTCACAAACGCCAAGAGCCTCCTCGAACCAGATACGAGACTCGTGATACGCTTGCATGTGCTGCAGCATCACAGCAGCGTTGTTGAGTGTCGTGATGGAGTCGGGGTGATCGACACCATAGATGATCTTCCACAAATCAAGTGCGTGCTTGACATAGACGAGCGCAGACTTGCTGTCGCCAGAGCCGTGGACGAAAAGACTCAAGTTCAGGTAGTAGAGCAGAGTCTCCGCCGAGTCCACGCCAATCGTGCGTTCGGCAACGATTGTGGCCTTGCGGGCAAGATCAACGGCCGCCTCCTTCTCTTCGAGCTGGTAGTAGATCTGTGCCAAGTTCGAGTACGCGCGCGCAACCTCAGGGTGCAGGATGCCGTAGATCTGCTCGTGAAGAGTCAAGGACTCGAGCAGCAGCTCCTGGCCAATCTTGCGGTTGCCCTGCATAATGGAGTGACGACCACCTTCCAGAGCCTCTTCGGAGATGGTGCTCTTGGGAGCAGAATCCTTGATGATCGGCACAATGTTAACAATGTCGTCCGCAACGAAGGTGTGAGGCGGGCCCGCTGGCGCCGCCGCGGTAGGAGAGCCTTCTCTCGCAGCAGCCTTCTTCTTCTTCTTGGATGATTTGCTCTCGCCATTCGCACCATTGGTGCCATTGACCGGAGCAGGAGCCGGCGTGGCCTTCTCGCTGTCCGAAGCAGGGATATCGCTCGTAAAACGGAAGTTCTTGGCTTGCAGCTGGAGACCGAGCTTGAGCGCAACCTCACGCAGCAGCTGCAGATGCTTCAGCTGCGAGAACCAGTCGTCGTCCAATTCTACGTCGAAGCGACGCTCGGCTTGCAGCTCAAGTTCCTCTCGCAGGCTGTCAGGTGTGACTTTGGTGAAGGCCAGGTCGGCCTCAGGATACAGAACCTTGATAGACTCGTCGATATCCGGGATGGGGTTGCGGTTAAGCCCAGAGCCAAGCAGGCAGTTCAACAAGTGCGCAATGCACGCAGAAGTGAGCGGCACCGGGAGGTACCGAAGATACTTGCTTGCTGCATGCTTGAAGGCACGGGCTACAACCTCCTGCAGGCACAGGCTGCGAAGCAGAGTCAATCGAGGACCCTCGCAAAGTGACATGACCTTGCCCAAGTAGCGCAGATTGATACCGCGGCGGTGCAACATCTTGGTGAGCGATTGGCCGTCAGTGGGAAAAGGCAAGTCCGAAGATTTGACGTCGTTGACAAAGTCGGGAATCGCAGTCTCGCGGAGATACTTGCACGCGTTGCGCACGTCCTCCTCATCTGCAGCCATCTCCTTCTTCTCCTCCTCAGTTTGCGGCTGCTGGCCACTGAAAGCATCGGGGTTAAGAGCGAAGGAGAAGTTGGAGGTATCGATGCGCTCCCCGGCTTGGGCTTCTTCGTCCTTGACCTCCTTCTTCTTGCTCGACTTGGCTTCGTCGCCCGACTCGTCTTCCGAGTCCTCGTCAGAGTCATCCTCAGACTCCTCATCAGATTCCTTGGCGGCATCATCCTTCGTAGTATCCTTGGTCTCCTCTTTGGGGTCGGCCTTGGCAGCCTTGATTCTGGCAACCTCGGCATTCACCCAAGCGGTCCATTTCTGTGTCCTGACAGCTTCGACGAGCTCAGGTCGAAGCACAGTCATGCGGTGGGGATAGGCATCTTCGTTCTTCTCGTCCGCAGCGTCGTTCTCTTCAAGCCACAGAATGTCGAGGGGGGTGATGCGATATAGGTCGAGAACATACTTGCGGCCATCGGTTCCCATGAGGCCCTTTGTCTCAACGCTAGCCTCGAGGTCGAAACGCTTGCCCTCCTTGTCCCACACCGCGTGCTTCTTGACCCGCAGCGCCTGCGACAGTTTTTCGAACACTGGGGCGAACCGCTCATCCGCAGCCACAATGTCCTTGCCTTCGACGGCACCGTAATCAATGGAGTTCTCACCGGGCTCCCTCTGCTTGAAGATTCCGGGAACGACCGTCTGACCAACGATGCGCTTGCCAAGGTAGTCAACAACCACAGTAGCGGGGCTGTACAGCCCATCGATATCGAGCTGATTCACAATGCGCACACCGTTGACGTCCTTTCCAGTGGCCACCCGAGCAGCGTCGTCGCCACCTTCCGAGGCGAAAGTGCCAACGCCGTCGGCTCCGAAAGAGAAAAAGACGTTGTTGTAGACAAAGATCTGGGCATCACGGCCTTCAGTCGGGTTGAGAGGAGTAACCTCGCCACGAGCGACTAGGACCGCGCCGCGAGCAGCAGCATCCGTGTAGTCGGCGAAGAGCTTCGAGATGAAACGTTCCCTAAAGACACGATCCTGAACAGTCTCCTTGGGCAGCTCCCTGGCAGATTGAAACTCCTCGTTCCAGTCACGGAGGGTGTCAGTGTTGTCAACTCCGGCAATCAGGTATCCTTCTTGTGTCCGCGTGATGTCCGAGTTATGAGCGAGGAGGCTAGAAGACGGAGGTGGAACGAGCCAAGGGGCGTTGGGAATGGCATTGGTCATCTGGAACGTCGCAAGAGGATCCCTTCGGTTGTTGTACTGCAGCAGTTTTTCAAAGGACTCAGTAAATGACGGAGAGATGTGGCCGAGCAAAGTCAGCAGGGAGTGAGCGGCCTGGCCCTTCGGGGCGTTCTTCGGCGCGGGGTCGAACTTGCTGTTTGAAGACTTGTTGACATAGAAGCCTCCAACATGAGAAGTGATCTGGTACTGCTCGCCCTCGTTCGTCGTGATGATCAAGTAGAGCAGGTGGCCCTTTTGCCGGTAGTGGTATGGCGGTGGGTTCCAAGCAGACAGTGCCACGGACTTGACCGTCTTCGGTGCCGGCTCTTCCTCCTTGGGCAGGAGAATGGAGGGCTTCGCCGGGGAGGCGAATTCGTACGCACCACTCTGAGCATTGTCGAAGTCCTGGGTGCCCTCGGTAACCGAGTCGAATAGCGACGTACCGGGGATCACCCCGTGGAGGGTGTCTATGCGGTCCCCAGCAGCGCCGACCAGATCACGCATGCGAATAACATGTATCCGCGCTTCCTTCTCGGTGTAAGGGTCCTCGACGAGCTTGATTTCAGCCTCGGGCGCGAGGTCCTTGATGTCGGAAATCTGTACGAAATCGTTGATTCGCTCGCCCGCGAATTCGAGGTGGAAGCAGGAGTACTGGAAGGCGGACGGAAGTTCGATGATGGACTGTCGAAGCTCGTGGACCTGCTCCTGTGGCGAGACCTGGACAGCACCTATTCAGCATGTGTATACCAGTGAGGACTGAGCGTCGGAGAGGGAACCTACCATGACATGGATCTTCTTGGGGTCGTGAGGCAGGACGATGGTGAGTGGAAAGAGAGCTGGTACGAATCAGTGAACCTCATCCATCAATTGGCCAAGGACCGATTCCATACCTTCACCTTGCTGTTCCTCGTCGACGTTCTCAGGCGCAGCCTGAACGTCGGAGCCGGTTGTGGCTACATCGGCACCGGCAGCCTCTTCGGCAGGCACCTTGGCTGAAGAAGTGCAGGAGAAGTCAGTATGCGTGGCCAGGGACGGGCAGTCAAGTGGTGCAAGTGGAGGGGCATGCATACCAGGAACAGTTTCGGACGGAGCAGCCATGCTGGGCAGTTTGCCTAGGTTCTTGGAACAAAACAGCAGAAACCGCTACAGGTCGGGCGTGGCCAGCAGCACAGGACCAAGAAAAATCGGCCGTTGGCAGGGATAGGCACGAGTGGAAGCGAGGCCCCTCGTGACCAGTGGGAGCTCGCGGGGTGGGAGGCGAGCGAATGGGGGCGGGATGGGGAGAAGTCGTGACGAGCAAGAAGGAGGAGGAGAGAAAGCTGCAGTATAGTACAAAAAAGGCGGCCGGGATGCAAAGGCCGGGGCGGGTTCTGCTGGATCGTGGAGAACGAGCCGGTGGTGCAGAGTCAGTAAGTGACGGGGTCGTGTCGAGTCGAGCATTGCCATGGCCCACGCCGAGCTTAGGACGACGCTGCTCCAGCCAGCGGAGCAGCGCACACACACACGCACACACACACACCACGCACCGAGCGAGCATCGAAACTTTTTTTCTCGGCCCTGGGCTGCATGCCCAGCCCGAATTGGCGGTGATGCCACCAACCCCGGCACTTTCCGGCACCGCAGAACCCCACACGAGGGGTCTCTGCGCTGTGCGATTCCCAGCTTCCCCATCATGTCTTCCAGGGTATCGACCACAAGTGGCATTGACAACATCGCCATGCGCATGGATGACGGCAGGAATGTCTGTGCTCTGTCATCGCGGCGTATCCGCGAAGACTACGTACTAGAGATCTGTGACGAGACAGCAGTGTCCTGCAGGCCAGGTGTCTAGGACAAATGGAACTACGTGGAAGATGAAGCGCTTCAAGCCCGACTCCAATATATGCAAGCAGCCAGGCTGACCCAACTGTGGAACACGCTGCGCGGCTTCTAGAAACAGCCCGGGTTGTACACTTTTGGCATGGATGCAAGCAAGGGCCGGGCAGCCTGGAAACATGGGACATTGGCCAGGGCAATTCTGGACGCTTGGCCTACTGCAGGCGCAGATGTCGTGCAAGCACATACCAATGCTGTTTAAACAGGAGAACCATACATTGAGGGCTTGCAGGTCACAGCAAGCCGCCTCTAACTGTGAGTGCCGACCATCAACAGTCCTGGTGAGGTGTGAGTAGAGGCATGCCGACCGATGCTCCCCGACTTTGATACTGGCGTTTCCCCAAATTGTTACAGTATGCAATAGCGTCACACTGTGCGCGTGGTGGACAGAGTAAACAAACCCACACCTCCCGTCGCCGTTGTTGCACAGTCTCCAGCACAGTCCACTTTACACGCTTCACACAGAACGGCGACGACAAAAGCACCATCACATCATTATCTTCATGATCAAGCGATAGTAGTGCAATCGCATGTTCCTATTTGGCGGCAGCATACTGATGCTTCCTACGATCCAGCGCTTGAGCAGCATACATATTAGCAGGGCCAATTTGCACTCCGGACGGGTTCGACGAAGATAGCGCGCCAGCTTGTCCAGTCGACTACATATGCTGCCCATTTAGATGACATCTCATCTGGTATCTATTCGGCATTCCTGTATGGCTGCATCTCGATGAGAATCTAATAACGAAGCAACCCATGGGCTCCCTTGGCGGCGGGACGCCTCGCAGCTTGCGGTCGTCATTCAGCACAGCATCTCATCGCGGAGCAGAGTCGCAGCCATGGACCGCTACTCGTTGCCAGCGACTACTTCGCCCGTTGCAGTCCCGCATCGCTGCGATCAGGCGCGATCGGGCCATTCCTGGCCAGGCTTACGCGACGCCCGCAAAGCCTCGCGCGACCTTGGTTGAGCATGGAGCTCCTAGTCCGCAAGGCTGGCTCATGCCGCGCAAGAAGCGATATCGCACCTACTCCCAAAGACGCCAGCCCGAAGGCAGTCAAGATTCAGTGGACGCCACGCTGCCCGCGACTGCACTCACACTCCGGGCCTTCCATCAGGGGCAGGACGAGGGCGGCCAACGACAGCTGTGCCCATCAACACCACTTCTCCGCCGCGCTACAGGTCAGATCTTCTCCTCACCGGTGCAACCGCGGCAAGTTGGTGGCGGAGCCCGCGTAGATATCGTGTCAGATATCACCCAGAAGCCACGCCGCAGAGGTCGAAGGAAGCAAACAGAGATCAACGAGCGACTCTCCTGTTTACGTGGCCATTGTAACGCCAGCCACTATGCCGATCTTGAATCAATCTATCGGGCCTTCGAGGCTCTCCTGATTGCGACTGCACCGCAGGCAACACCGCAGAAAGGCGGACACAGCTTGTTAGGCATCTGCTTGCGCAGGATGCCAGATTACATTGCCGGCGTCGAGGCTTGGGAGATGGACGAAGCCAGGACATCTGGCACAGGCTCAGCCAGGGAAGGCATAAACACCTCGTCACGCATCTATAACGACCTAGAAATGCTCGGTGCGAGTACCGGCTGGAAGCACTTGCGTTCTGTTGCGCTAGCTGATGGCGTAAGGGCTCTGGCACTGGCAATAGAAGAGGGTCTCTGGATGTCCGAGTTCACAAAAATATTGGCCAATCTTTGTGTGCAGTTTGGCGCTTTGAAGGAGGCCGAACGTCTTCTCAGCGCCTTATCTAGTTGCATGATGGCGCAGGTGGCTACAACAAACCACGTCATACCAGGACGGCACGATCTGCTCCCACATACTCTTCTGCTCAATTTTGCTCGCGAGGTTGGACGGAAAGCCTATGTGCTCGAACAGTACCGCCAGCTTGTTGTTCATGAAGCCTTCTCCATGGATTGGCTACAGTCGGACGAGTTCAATAGCGTGTGGGAGCTGGCTGTTGGCGCTTTGTCCAAAGGCTCCGCAGCCAGCCATGCTGTTGATTTTCTGACAACCCTGGTAATCGTCATAGGGCAACGTCTACCACGGAGCGCCGCCATGCGACGTGCAAAGAGTCACGGTGCAGATATCGCTACTTCGCAACATCGCGCCGTCATTGGCGCTTTATCAGCTATGGCTTCGATGAGCTTCCTAGGTGAACATAGGTCACCCGAATTTTTGCATACCCGAGAAAGAACTATGCGAGTCGGCAGCAGGCTCCGATACATCCTTCGCGCGTGCATATGCAGCTTCCGACAACGACGGAAACACCTTTCACACATGGGCTACAGCTTGACTTGCCTCGCTTTGCTTTGCTCATCGACAACATTGCGGGATGAGACTATTGAGATCGATCTCGCATTGAGCTTGAGCGGACTTTGGAGTGAGCGTACCACACTCTGCGCAGGCTGGACACCTCGCTGGCGTGAGCATTTTGATATCTTGGTATCACTCGTGTCTTCCATAGCGGTAAACTGCAGTCGCGCCACAGTAGAACCGCCACAGCACTTCTTGGATATATTTGCCTGCCGCTTACAACAGCTGAATTTGGACAATGGTGTCGTGGATGCCCTCAAGACAGCTTCTGCTTTTCACCTGGCCCAGCAAACAAATAGCGTTCGGGATCTCATATATGCCGAGAACCTGCAGCGGCCCAACGCTGCGAATGCACAGCACCAGAGCAATCCAGCGATCACGCCAGTCAAGACAGCGTCACAGATGCTCTTCACAGGATATGCCTGGGACGAAACTATCGGTGAATGGGTCACAGCAACACCAGCCACGACGAAGTTGGCAGAGCGGACGCCACAGCGAACGCGAATGGAGCAGGACTCCGAAGACAGCGAAGATGACCTGTCGCTTGATACGATTGAGACACCGCAAGCCCGGTCCTCCCTCCCAATCACGCCGTATACTACCCGCTCAGAATTAGGGCCAAGGTCGGCCGACTTCGCTCGATTTAAGAGGCAAGGTTGCGCTAGACTTCAAGCACGCCGATCACTACCGGCAAACATCCACACATCCTTAGCTGTTGAACAGCTGGACTCGAGCTCTGACGCTGTCTCTGAAGACACTGATTCGGACGAAAGAAATGCCTTATGGGCGGAGGACGAGCTTGCTCGAGATTATTACAATGACGAGGAGGAAACCGACGACGGAGCTCCCTCAACAAAACATGTCGGCGTAAAGCGACGCCGAACCCACTCGGACTTGTTCGCTACAACTCGCAATAGGAGTCGGAATCGACACAGTGTTGTATCACACACTATTTCGTGCAGCTTTGTCGGAGATTCGAGCAGCGATGATGAGCTTGGGCTGTGAGCAAGGCATTGGTCAGGGTTTATGCAGGCTAGCATTTGTGGTGATATAGACCTGTCCTGGCAAGTTCTCAGTATTTCTTTCTGTATAGCACTATATCCAGGATAATCGCAATGTTTGGCATCTTCAAACTCGCCGTTCGGGTGCATAACCACCCAGTGCCTCCTGGCACGTTTGAACAAGTAAAACCATCAGGTTTCGTGAACTTTGAGTCATCCTGGCCCCAAGACTCTATACAACTAGCCGATGTATGAATATTCCACATGGCGATAGATGTCGTTCTCCTACACGCACCATATGAAATGGTCGCTCCTTGGACGGGGATGTATGTAACAGCATCGAGGCGGCAACGCAGCAGCATCTGTCCGTGAGGAGGATCCTCTCCGTCTAAGTCGCAAGGTTGACTGTCTTCGGAGCGCATTTTCTAGCACATTACTGTCTTCAGACTTAACCGTGGTGTCGACCCCAGAGATCACCATCTCCTTTGCCTGCGCGGCCACAGCACCGAGACGCCGTCTACGACTGATGGAGAATGGCGCTATGATTCTCAACAGGCGGAGTCGGAGAGCGCGTTTCATGCCTTCAACGATTTTCATGCCAGCCTCAGAGACCGTCAATCATTGGTTCCGATCAGCGTGCCACAACGACCACGAATCACTTTTGTCTGTGGCTGTTGATATGCGAAGTCACCCTCGGACACAACTCAAACATGGGAACGTCATCGTTTCATGCCTATCCCAAATGTGTGGTCGTAGCCAGCTTATACGGGCCGAATGAACCAAACAAGCGCGCAAGGCAGGGCTTAACCTCTCAGAGCCAAAGTGTCCACGAGTCCAGTTGCGGTCTGGCCGTTCCAAAGACGGACATGAAACGGTCGCGTTTCAATTTCGTCGCATCTCTAGATAGCAGCGACGGAATTCCGCGCCGGCTCTGATAGGAGGCAAAGTGACAGACTCATTTAATAGCGGATGACGGCCGCCGCTGATCTGATCGATAATAAATGATCAAACTGCAGACGACCATTTTTTGCAGGAGACCGCGTTTCGACTGCGTCATCTGATAACAAGTTGTGGCGCGATAATGGTCATGCAAGGGTTCGCACGTGGAGATGACGGGTTTCGCAAGATGAGCGTTTGCGGTATGTGGAACGTTCTCATGGTGGTGCAACACCACGAACTCTGCCCAACGAGCATACATGGAGCAAAAGCAGCTGGATGTTTCACCCACCTTGCCGTTCCAAGTCTCGCGAGAGGGCGTGCCTATAATATTTGTTTGCAGTGACAGTCTGGCTGGTATCGATGAAGATCATGACCTCAATCTGGCTGTCTCAATGCTGCAGCGTCCAAAGCTTAAGCAATTCAGCGTCACGACAAGCATGGGTGAGCGACAGGCTCGAAACTATTGTTTCTAGTGCTCTCAACACACGTCGTGCATTACGCCTTCACATGTGAGTTTGCCAAATGCTCGTAAGTCAGCAACACGCAGGTCCTCGCCGCATCCACCGCCGGCCTCCCGAGCCTTCTGATGGCAGAGATGAGATGAGGCGAGGTCCACTACTGGCAGGGTTCTCGATGGCTGGCTGAAACCTCAGGAATTATTACTTCTTGAACCTTTTCGCGGAGGGCACCTGTTTTGGAGCCACGGAAGCACCTAAAAGAGAGTACTATGTGAACGGTCCTTTCATCAGCGGGGAAAAACACGTTTACAGTGATGCCGAGGGAGCGTAGAATTAAACTTCTTCAGGGATGGTGATAGGGGACATGTCCGGGATAGATTGTCAATCTGCTCGTTTGAAATTGCTGGGAAATCAGCACGACATGGTCCCTTGAACGCCAAGTTGTTGGCCGGGGTCTCCGCAACTTACATAGTACAGCCACAAATGACGAGCGTAGCAGCGTCAGTACCATGAATTCGGTGCCTGACAGCGCCGCTCGCAGAAAAGTGCTGGGGAAGTTTTGGTTGCGCCACATGCTTGACTGTGTCAACAAACCATTCTGATCCTCCGCAGCTGTGTCGTCACCACCCCATTTCAATTTACAACATCCCTCAGCTCGTGCATACGCCCGTGGACGGAGAGGTTCCAGGCAGACGGCACGGCACCCGGCGGACACCCCCAGGTGTTCCGCGAGACTATCCTCGGCCTGCGTGAGCTAGAGGAACAGGAAGTGGATCACAGCCAGCAACCACTCTGCGAAAGAAGTCCTGCCCCAATAGCCTCCCCATCTTTGTCCCTGGAACACGCATTTTCATTAATGGTTCATAAGACATGTATGCCTTCGTGATCCGGCTCGCTATGGCCAAAAAGCTCTAGAGCAAAGCTTTGGAACCAAGTGGCCTACGGCAATGATTGGCACAATTGTTTAATCAGCGCCCTCTGCGTGTATTTACCATTGGAAGCTGAACGCAAAGACAACGGCCATCGGATGGTTGCTTCTGTGGGTTTTCGTGAAACTCTGCAAGGCGGGTCAACGACGACTGTGGCGGCTGCATGAACAGGACCATGCGTTTTTACAAGGTTGATTGGCTGATGGCGTAGAGCAGGAGCCTCCACTATTGGACGCCTCCCTTGTCAAGTGGTTTCAGACACTGACGGCGCCGGGCCTGGCTACTTGAAATTGTGGGCACACTCGAGAGACGTCTTTGATTTCTCCGGGCTGTCATCGCCCCTTGCCGCATTAATCTAGGCAGTTGGACAAATCGCATGTCGCTGGGTGGGCAGATTTCGGTCTAGCGTTCTGCGAGACCACTGCAGGGGCCGAGAACCCAGTGATGAGTCGCCAAGTTCTTGTCTCGCTCGGGGTTATTGAACCGAGGACAAACATGAAGATCCCGCCGGCCAGCAATGGCTCAAGTGAGTTCTGCCCGCTAGCGTGGTTGATCATGATAACAAGCTGCACTCGAGCATCGTCAAGACGCGAGCCTCCCTTGGTACATGCAGATCGTGATTGCAGATGGCTGTACCGAGTACTCTTTCAAAACTGCCCAGCACTCAACTCGGCCAGCAGCGTACTCGGTAGCTCGAGATAGGACTTGACCTGGCTCAAGTGTACGGAGCGTGCAAACTCGCGAGGTGGGCGGATCGATGATTGCAAGGCGGACCAGACGCGCGGGACCTATTGTGGCCATTGTCTTTCTTGGGCCACTCTCTAGGTTGTTGGGTGCCGTATTAGCGCAGTGGCCACGTCGGACAATGCAGCGTGGCAGACCACAGACTAGTCCAGATGCCGTTACCTCTGCTGCATGCTGCAGGCACGAAGTGGCAGACTCTGGCCGGCCGAGAACGAATCGTGGCACTGCATCCGACGGGCTCTTGGCAGGCACCGCTGGACGGAACAAATTGTCAGTGCTTTGTCATTTTCAACCCGTATCCCGGCGGGTAGCGAGGGCCAGCTGGCTGGGCAGTAACAATCATCAGCCCACCACCCATGGCCTGCCTGGTGAATTGGTCATTCTTGCAAGAAGCAGGTGCGGTCTCTGGGCGAAGCAATATGCGTCGACGGTCCGGGACCAGGTTGCGAGTGAGCCAGTGCATAACTCATCAACCTCGAACGCTCTGGGCCAGCCAGGATGACGGTGGCATCATCATATGCGCGTGCGTGTGGCTACCCAGGTCCTGGACCGGCTCCACGCTTGATGACTGCCGGGATTGTGCGTGTGAAGTAGGAGACAGGCAGGCAGGCAGGCCTGCCTTGCTCGATTGGCAGCAGACACGAGACAGCGGATGGAAAAGCCGGACAGGCTGGGCAGGCCTGGCAGGGAACACGAGCGAAGGGGGCGTGGGTGAGAAGGAAAAAAAATGACATGGGAGGAACGACGTAACGAGTGGCAGCGCGCGCGCGGCCCTGGCGCTGGCGAGACGACTTGAGCACCAAGTGACCGTGCCTGACCTGGCCCACCCACCCACTTCTCACCCCCCACCCACATAGCACGGCGGCGCCCGGCAGTCCCAGCGGCGTGCAGCGTGTGCCTGCGCTGGCGCCAGGGTCACCTCCCGCCAAGCAGCCCAGCCAGCCGATCTCCTCCCGTTTATGTATATCGCCCCGTTGCCCGCCCGGGCACGCACTCTTCCCAGGCCTCCTCTCCTCGCCCTGCCTGCTGCCCACTGTGTGCTCGTGCTGCAACCGCCTCTCTCTCTGGGGGTCTTCGCTTCTTCGTCTTGTCTTCTTGGCTGCACACACGCTCGGCTCCTGTCTGCTGCCCCGTTCCACTCGTCCTCTTTCTCCCTTACACCATCTCTGATCGCCGTTCCGCCTCGTTTGGGACGCCGACCACTGACGCTGCTGGGACCCTTTCTCACACACTACCTGACGACTGGTTTTCGTCAGACACATCAATCCTCCGCAGAACCGCTCTTTCTCACCTGTCCCAAGGCGCCGATCGGGAACAAACGCACTCACTTCTTTCGGCTGTTTCTGCAGCTACATACCACGGACACAGCACGATTATTCGGCTCCCGAATCACGCTCTCGTTTGACAACTTCGTCCCACCTCACTCTCTTTTCCGCATAAACCTGACGAGCGCCTCACATCCGGCATATACGGAGCGTTCGATTGCATACGACCAAAGTTGATCTTGTTGACCAAGTCTCGACTCGTATTTCTTGCCTCGTTTATCGACAACTTTTTATCCCGGCCGCCAATTTCCCGGAGCCTCAAGACATCAGGCTAAGATGTCTTCCGCCACTGCCGTGTTCGCCCGCGCGGGCGACTCTGGTGCAGGTCAGGCCGACGGCTGGACACCTGCTCAACTGAATGCCGCTCTCGTCCGTTATCTGATGTACATTTGCGCCATTGTCAGCGCCCTCACCATCACGTGGCGTGCCATCTCGGTCCTTGTCCGCTATGTCCGCACCGTCACCTGCCTCACAAACGATACACAACGATACTTTGCCAAGCCATCGTCCAACTACTCGTGGCTCAAGAAGAACCTGCTGTATGCTCCGATGATCAGGAAGCGTCATAACCGGGAGTTCCAACTCAGCAGTGCCATCAACGTCGGCACCTTGCCCACCAGACTTCAGTTCCTGTTTCTCGTCGCCTATCTGGCTACAAATGTGGTCTTCTGCGTCATCAATGTCTCTTTCGCCGCGTCCTTTGATGACACCGCACGTCTGATCAGGAGCCGCACTGGTACCCTGAGTGTGGTCAACATGATCCCTCTTTTCATCATGGCGGGCCGCAACAACCCCCTGTGCAAGCTGCTTGGTGTCTCTTTCGACACCTTCAATCTGATGCACAGATGGTTCGGTCGCATCGTCGTGCTTGAGGGTGTTGCCCATGTTGTTGCGTACTGGCTCGGTTCTGCCTACAAGACCGGCTTTCTCGCGGCTTTCACAAAGTCCTACACGTCCCCACCATTCTTGCCCGGTTTCATCGTAAGTTTGGCCGCGCGCCGATAAAAGGAATATGGCAGTCAGACTCGTGAATATACTAACACGTTGTGCACAGGCTGTCATTGCATTCGTCGTCATCTTTTTCCAGGCGTCCAGTATTGCCAGACACGCATTCTATGAATCGTTCAAGATACTGCACATCCTGCTGGCCGTGACAGCTGTCGTTGGTCTCTATTACCATCTGCTCATGATCGCGCCCAACACCCTGACGTACCTCAAATGGCTCTACCCCGCAATTGTTGCCTGGGCTCTCGACCGTTTCATCCGCATGGCAAGAGTGATGTATCACAATCTTGGCCATGGTGGAACCAAGACACTGGTTGAGGCTCTTCCCGGCAATGCCGTCCGTGTGACTGTGACCATGGCGAGGCCTTGGACCTTCCGGCCTGGCCAGCACGCATACTTGTATTTGCCGTCAATCAGCTTCTGGCAGTCGCATCCGTTCAGTCTGGCTTGGAGCGAGGAGAGCGAGTCCTTCGAGAATGGCGACAAGGTGGCCATGAACCGCAATGATATCCTTGGCAAAGGCAAGACGACCATGTCCTTCATCATTAGGGCTCGGACGGGAATGACGAATGCGCTGTACCAGCGTGCTGCCGAGGCTCGCGACGGCCGCCTGACGACAACCTGCCTGGTTGAGGGCCCCTATGGTGGCGAGCACCCGCTACACTCGTACGGCACGGCAGTCCTCTTCGCTGGTGGTGTCGGCATCACCCATCAGGTCCCCCATGTACGGGATCTCGTCGCTGGGTTCGCCAACGGCACGGTTGCGACCCGCAAGGTCGTCCTCGTTTGGGTTATTCAGAGCCCCGAGCATCTGGAATGGATTCGGCCCTGGATGACACAGATTCTGGCCATGGACCGCCGCCGCGAGATTCTCCGGATCATGCTTTTCGTCAGCCGACCGCGCTCCACCAAGGAAATTCACAGCCCTTCATCGACAGTCCAGATGTTTCCCGGCCGGCCCAACATTGAGACGCTCCTGTCGATGGAGATGGAGAACCAGATTGGCGCCATGGCTGTCACCGTCTGTGGTCCTGGTGCCCTCAGCGACGAGGTGCGCCAGGCTGTCAGGCGCCGGCAATACAGCGGCTCTGTGGATTTCATTGAAGAAGCCTTTTCATGGTAAACGGCGCCTATTCCTGTCGTCTTGGCCGCATCGGTTGTGAGGCTGCTTTGTCTCACAAGGCCGATCTGCTGGCAAGATGATTGATTTCTTGCTTTCACGATGGATACACACAGTCATTTCTGTTGAGTATATGCGGATGGCCAGGATTACGGCCGCGAGTTCTTGTAGATACTAGATTTTTGAGCAGACAGCGCACCTCTGTTCGGGCACACATTACACACTTGGCGCAGACCATGGCGCATCGAGAGAGACATACGACAGTATTGGGAAAATGAAAGAATGTCATCCTCCTGTCTGTGAATTTTACCCGCTGGGCAGTTCTCGATTGTCCGTAATTGTGCCCTTAGCGAAAGCCCTGTAGTGATGTCAGCAGGGCGTGTGTCCGTGTCAGACGAAGTCAGAGCCAAGTACTGGTCAGTGCACGACATGGACAATACAAGCTCAGCTCATGGCAACAGGACCTGCAGGTCGGTCGGGACGTTGCACAATATTGTCGACTATCTGCAAGTGGCCAGAGGCGTACGTTGCTAGAGGCGGGGGCGTTCTAGCCCATTCCGAGTCCTGCCACACCTGATGAGGTGGTGGTTGGTCCCCTGCAATCAGCAAACCCCGCGCTCACTCCCTGGTCGCTGCCGCCCCAAGCCTATCCGGGGGGAGGGGGGCGGCAGGTGACGCTCAAATCGGACTTCCAAAGATAGCCATCGCTCCCTTGACTCAACAACAACTCGCTTCATCGCTTTACGCCTTGCTCTCCGAGTACTCGCCACGACCCATATGCCCGCAGGCCGAGATACGTACAGCTGGTAGCTAGTCCGACGAGGGACACCTTCGAGCACCTCTGCCGTTCCCAAGCGCCATACTCCTTCGCTGCCAGTTGTTGCCAAGCTACCGCCAGGACAACGTCAGACGACACCCATTTTCATAACGCAGGCGTCCACGAAACCAGACAACCTAGCGCAGTACGCAAGATCACGGCGGCCCGGCGCCCGTTTTGGCCACTTGAACAAGTCGAAAAATCATTCCCGTGTGCTTCCGAGGATACATTCCATCCCACCTCCCCGAGCTGTATCGGCACCGTGTCTCGCAAATACATTCGACTCAACAGAAACGTCAATATTTCGCTCCCATTCGATTTCAAAGCCGAAACCTCACGGACTCCTGGGTATCTGATCCCGCACATCGGACACTCTTGCCGCAAAGGCGCCCCCAACCACACGCCCTCGGCCCAGCCGGATCCGCAAGCGCGAGCAAGTTCTATTGCAGCCCTCATTTCGCGACATTGATACATAGATAGCCAGCACTCTCTACACAAGAACACCAGCGATCACGATGGGTCTGGCATACAACACATATCTGAGTAGCAACAAGATCTACGGCTGCAAGAACTGCAAGGCCCACCTCTCGAACCACGAAGACATCATCAGCCGGGTAAGCTAATCGTCCCCCCAGAAACGAGCTCTCACGCCCTCATGGCACACGTGAGGGGAAAAGAAAAGATTGCAGCTCTCGCTGACGACGGTGTCCATGCCAAACCAGAACTTCCGCGGCCAGCACGGAAAGGCCTATCTGTTCAACAATGTCGTCAACATTGATGCTGGCGAGCCCTCGGAGCGCAGCATGACTACGGGGCGGCACATTGTACGCGACATCACTTGCAGGCAGTGCAAGGACACCGTCGGCTGGAAGTACGATAAGGCCTACGAATCATCCGAGAAGTACAAGGAGGGCAAGTTTATCCTCGAGGCGGAGCTTTTGTGCAACGTCAATTAATCTGCCGGCGACCGTCGATGAAAGAAAACTCATGCTGGAAGGCTCGCGTTGCTGGAATTGGCGTCCGATGAGCAGAGATGCGGCGGACTTTGGTTTGCCTTGACGAGCATTGCTTTCTAGAAGCACTCTCCTCTAGGAAGCGCCTGCTTCACGGCCTCACGGCATTAACATCGCGTGCCAGCTAGCTGCTCGTCAGGCCGAGAGTTGGAAGACACTGGTGGTGGATTTCAGCATTGCCCGAGGCGTCATAGTTTGTTGCTGTTGTTCGTCCTTTTTGTTGCTAGGTTAGAGCCATGTTTTCCCTACGGCGTTTCGTTTTGCACCGTCATCGGACTGTTTTCGCTTGACTTGTTTTTATTGATGGGGACAGATTCTCTTTTTCAACCCGGGCCTGTCTTCTTTTTTCAGCGTTCGGAATAATGCGATCATTCCACCATTCCTACTATCACCAGGAGAAACGCACTACGTGACCATGTACCTCAAGCAGGTTTCACCACTTGGTTGATGCGACTTAGAATCGATCCATAAGTGCAACAAGACGATAAAACAACCAAGGTATATGGCCTAGGTATCTGCACCAGGCTGCGCGTGGATTACGCCATGCCGTCCAACAACTATTGCATGTTGCAGTTTTACCAAGAACGAGTCACGCGACAAAAGACTGGCGGGACATTGGGCGCATGAATAACAGTTCCGTCAAGATTGATATCTATCCTATGTGCCAAACGGAAGGACGAACGGCTAATCAAGTAAGACCCGGGGAAGAGCAGGTATCTTCATCATCGCCGGGACTGAGCAGAACCATCTACCCAAACAATCGGACAATCAACACGTCACCATGGCGGACTTCAGGAAGTGAAGCACTCGCGCAGTGCTCGAGCACTCCAGTACTCACTCACCCATTGAAAGGGGTGAAGCACCTCGAAGGTGATGGCATAAGGAACACTAGCAGGAAACGCGAGGTACGATCGAAAAAAGAACGAGCTGCAAAAGGGGGATGCGAAGGGGGGGAATATAGCCCAGTCTTCATGCACTCTTGCCTTGGAGGAGAAGGGAAGCACGAGTGTTTGGTAATAGACGGACTTGTTGGGTTTGATCTCGGCACGAGAAGAAGTTATCCTTCAGCAAATGAGCAAGGGAGGTGAGGAACCGTGAAGTTCCCCGGGAGCTCAATGCTGTACACACTAATGCCTGGTTGTCTGGTGTTGGGCTGTGATTTGGACTGGAGGGATAAGGTAGAGGGACAGGGGAGGAGGTAGGTGGTGGATTGCAGCTCATGGCATCATGCACGCTTCGCGAGCGTGCAATGTAGCCGCGAGAACTCACGATGGGATGTGGTTGAGGACACAAATGAGCACTCACTGCCGACGCAAAGCCGGGGCGGCGTCGCAAGCCGTGCCAGGAAGCCACCAAGCACACGCTCCCTTCTGCAAGGCGTGGACGGTCGCGAGGAAGACGATGGACAACAATCGTGGCACTCGGCAAAGTGCCGAGACTGTCATCCACGCGTCTGCCTCGAACTGTGCCACGCCACTACGAAGTACGGTGGTCGTGGCGCCTCCTGACAGCAAACTCCCGACGTCGTCCCTCTCCACCTTGTGCCGGCGCAATAGAGAGAAGACAGCACGGCGTGAGCTTTTTTCGTTTCTTTCATTTCGTTGTTTTCCGGAGATCCGTTCTTCGGTATCTAACCCGAGAAAATTGCCTTCCCTTTATATCGACCCGTGAAGGAGAAAAAATAATCAATTCAAGTCGTTCTCGTGCGCCGTGCAAATTCCACAGTGAAAGCCTTCTCGATCAGTGTCGGAATCGCCGACCTCGGGTATCAATATCCCATTCGTTACGTGTGTCGTCGTGGGCTGTAGCCCTTCGGCATCGGCGGGGTCTACAGTTGATGGGAGGATCCGGTAGTCGTCAATTGGTCCATCGGTAGATGCTGGTTTTCTTTATTTTTTCGTTTGTGCTCAAGACCCAAATCTTACTCCTTCTTGGCATCCTTGGCCTCCTTCTACAGAGGGCGTTAGTGTTCTGTTCGGCTGGAGTTGAGGGCTGGTACAGCCGTGTGGTTGTGCTGTGGCGTTGCCGAGACCTACCAGAGCGCGCATGGTGCCGTGCAGAGCATGTCTGTGGTTGCGGCGGAACTTGGGGTCGACACCCTTGAGCGACGGGTATCTGTTGGTCTTAGGCTTCTTGATACTATTCGAGGTCGTCGTGTTAGTGAACTTTCACCTTCAATCGGATGCAGCCCAACCCTGTCCCTGCCCGGCCTCGTGCGAAGTTGTTGCGCAGAATTGTGGCGACTGATGCATCGAGGCCGAGACATGGCGGATCCGGTAGCTGCCATAGGCTTTCGTGGGTAGTAGGAAGGACGTACCCGTTGCGGTGAGCCTTCTTGCTCTGGTTGTGCTGAGACGAGTTCTTGGACTCTACAGGTTGCAAAACGTCAGCGAAAACTGCACTTCCACGGCGCTCCGTCGGGCGATGAGGGCGACCATTTTCGGGGACAAATGTCGTCGCGGGCGAATAACGAGGGTATCACGTACTGGCCATTGTGACGGTGTTGCGGCTGCTTGAGCTTGTCCGGGTATGGGGTGTTCGGGTGCAGTGGTGAAGGCGTCTTCTGTCCAAGCAAAGCAGGGCGGCTCGACGGGGACTGGCTGGCCGGTGCTGCGATTTCTCAAAACTTGGGCAATTGTGTGGTGAAAATTAAGCGAGTGCCGTGTGAATCTGGTGCCAGCTGCCATGCAATCCTGACGGCTGGGAGTGAGCCGGCTTCCTGGGTGGATCCCAGGAACTCACATGGCTGGGCACATGCATCTGCCCATGCTCAGGTGGGCAGCGAGTCAAACTGGATCCACTGCCGCTGCTCTTCGATAAGCGCCTACCTTGACGTACCCCCAGTGGCCCAAGAATCAGACAACAGCGCAGCATGCGCCAGAAAACATGCTGTAACCACTTACCTGTCCACGAATCTTGACAAGCAGATTACTGTAAACACTGTAAAAGGAGCCACCGCCTCCATATGCCGGAATACGTGGTACGCCAGAATCAGAAATGCATTCGAAGCACAGCACAAGCTCATAATCACGACTGTCCGGAAGGACAGCCTGTGTAGTATATACAGAAGGCGGCCAGGCCGCAGTTGATCGGGTATCTCGTATATGATCCCCCATGCTCTTTCTTCCTTCCAGAGTCACGTCCTTCAGGTGAACCGCCGCCTCTTGTAGACCCAGGACCGCCCAATTACTTGACAAGAATGGGAGCAGCACTCTTTGCCTTCTCGGCCGCGAAGGCCGCAGCCTTGGCCAGCTGCTGCGATCTGAGCTGCCGCAGATACCGGAAGAGGAGGATGAAACCAAGCTCGATTCTGTCGTAACATAGTCAGCAGTGCGTTTAGTTATTTGGAATGTCATTTGGCAGTATGCGGCAAGACTTACCTCTCCTTTGTCATCATCAGGATTCCTTGCACCAACAGGCCCTTTAGGATCTGGGGGGCGATGCCCTTGAATAATGCTGAAGCACCCTCGTGCTCGATGATGAACTGCATGACCTCAATGAAACCCTTGAAGGCCTTGCCCTTGCGCTGAGGCGGAGGTTTTGATTGCAACCCGACTTTGGCGACAATGAGAGGCTGGGTGACGATTGTTGCAAGGGCTTTCGACATTGCGCCAAGCACTACGAGTAGCGATCGGTGGTCAGTTGTCCGTGCTGAGGCCAGTGACGTGGTATCTCCACTTACAAAATGCTTCGCCAGGGCTCAGTCTTGTCTTGCCTGGGTACATGACGGTCTTTAACCGCTCGTAGGCTCCGTATGTGATGGAGGGGTTCACGACGAGGACGAGACTAGCCTTGAGGCCTCTCCACAAGCCCGATACGCCATCTTCGCTGTTGATGACCTCGCGGGCCGTGTCAATCATGCCCTTTCTCTCCTCCTTGGTCTGGGTCTGCTGCCGGGTCGTGACGACGGCAATGGGAATCGTGCACAGCTGGGCGAGCGCGCCAGCAACAGCGCCGAGAGCCAGCTCCGTGGCGGTACCAGGTGGGCCAGGGGTCTTCTGGTACTTGAAGTAGATCTCACGAACGGTCGAGTACCAATAGAAGTAGGCGAAGTTGGTGGAGGCCACACCAAGCAGCGCACCGCTCATGCCCGCATAGAGACCTGCCACACCCTCGGCACCAGCGATTTTGGTGACGGCATCCCACGTGGACGTGTAATGGGGCTCTGAAGGATCAATGATGTCTCCAGCCTGTCTCTTGACCTGGACCTGCAGCTTTGTCTTGATCCTGCAGTGCAGACACAAGGGTGCCAAGTCAGTCACAAGCTTCACATTGGGTCAAGACGGCCACGGCCACGGCCGCGTACCGTCCCGTAATTGCAGCAATGCTTACAGATCGAGTGGATAGACGAGGGTGTTCGCAAAAACGGCACCAGCGGCACCAGCAGTAGCATATCCCCATGATGGAAGCGGCGCCATCTTGGACTGGGCAGCCATGTTGTGCGTCGTGTATCTGGAGGCCTGGTGAAGATGATGCACCTCTACCTGTCGTTCGGGTCGGGAATGGCCTGTCGTCAATCAGAGGGCGGGCCTGGTATTGTATCGTATGGTAGAAATCAGATACCGGCGGACCGATGGCTGGACTGGGGATTGTCTCGGCAAAGTCCAGGAGTGATGTCACCGGCGGGCGAGGGAGGTCGGTAGAGGGGGTCGCGGACAAGGGGACGGCGGGTGGGAGCACAACGACGAGCTCAGAGCATGCTTGCGGAGGGAAACAATCTGAAGGACCGGCGAGCTGGGCGAGGGAGGAGAGCCGGAGTCGTGGAGAGCTTTAGGATCTGGCGGCGTCACCGAGCGTTGACGGGGCCAAGGAGGCTCCATGTGCCCGGGACAACGAGCGCGCGCAGAGGCCGAGCTAGCGGGCGATGGCTGTCTGGGGCCGCATGCTGGGGATGTTGGACCTCGGCCATCTGATGCCGGTGCCCATTCCGCCGTGGAGCCAACTGCCGTTATCTTATCGCGGCGCGGCCCCCAGCCTCGAGGGGAGCCACCTCGCCGCGGGCATTCCTTCCTCCTCGACTGTACGCACCTGGGCAGTTGTACTTGACTCTGTAAGAGAGTCTTGGTCTTGCGGGGTTGGGGGCAAGCCAAGCGCGACTTTGGGCGCCTCGAGTCGGCCAGACCAGGAAGTATTTCGCTGGCTACCAGCGCCTCTCTCTCACCGCCAGCGCTGATAGAACATGGCATGGCCAGCACGTGCAGCATACACAGCCCGTCGATGACAAGATCGGCACCATGACACCACATGCTCGCACTGCTGTACTGGCTGGGTCATGTCAACTGGCCTTCCTTCTGGGAGCACAGGCATCGAGGGACTCTCCACTTTGTTAGCCTAGAGCCGCGATTCAGCCACAGTGCCACATAAGGCAAGGGCAAGACGGGTTGCCAAATCGACTCGTCGCTTCCACTGCATGCTTGTGAACACCAAACCACGCGTAATGCCCATGGTTGCCGAGCAGCCGCTTGTGATCCTGCGGGCAAATCTGTTGGCAGTGGCATCGTCGTGCTTGGACTGCGAAGGATTTGGTATTCATTTGCCTCGCGCCCGTGTCTCGCTCTGAGCGTACGAGGAGGAGCTTGATTAAGCGCCTTGGCCGCTGGGCTGGGCTGGGCTGGGCCGATACCTAGCGAGCAAGGGCCCTCGTCGCCTGGGGCTGCTCGCATTATCCAGAGCCTCAACTCGTGCCCCCCAGAAACACACGATGCTCCTCGTGGTCTTCCAAGGTTGCCTCTCCGTGATTGCCGTGTGGGTTCTCACGCTGGATCGATCTGATGAATCAGCACTAGCGTGGGATACTTGAACAGTTTCCACCCAACGCCGCCATCCACGATATCGTCTGCGCGGGCAAAGCACTCACATTTGTAGAGCACCAATCAAATCGCCACCCCCAGTGTATGAAGTTGAAGCTGCATATGACCCGGTCCGGTTGAGGCGCGACTGGCTATCGCGTCGTCGGACCTCTCGAACCGATAAGGCTGTCTTCGAGGTCGCATCTCCCCTCGAGCGCCCCATCTGGACGGCGTGGGCCACCCACCCACTCTGAGGATTCCTCTCCGTCAAAGCTGGGCTTTGCGGTTCACCGACATGGAGGCAAAGGCCAAGGTACAAGTCGACCCTGTGCATGGATACGAAGCAGTGCGGTTTCTCTAACATTGAAGCAGGAGCGCGAGCTGCTTGCCAGGCGAGCTTCTGGCAAGGTTGCCCTGGATCACGCTATTGGTGCAGCCGATCTGTATATGCAAGCTGCTTCTCAGGCATCAAGTCCTGCCGAGAAGTCCCGACTGAAACAGAAATGCTCAGAAATGATCAAGATGGCCGAGGGTCTCAAGGGCACACCAGCGGCCGTAGACAATGTCCGCATCGTCGAGCAGCGGTTGCAAATGCCACGAATGGTCAGGGACATACCCACCAAGGAGAAGAACATACTGTATCGTGGCTCCAGGTTACACGGCAATATTTTCCCACCGTGGGAGAATGATCCAGCCTCGGGCGAGTTCGAAGGCCACTCTTTCATGTAGGCATCCCCTTCAAGTCGCATGCACACCTCACGAATCATGACTGACCTGTTTACAAGAGACCCATCCGTGTATTCGTTGTCTGACCGGCAGCAAACTATATTTGGCGGCTGGAAACGACCTCTCGAGCTGATTGCAAAGGATGGCGAGGCGGAGGCCAACACCATCACCACGCACATGATGGAGCCCCAGGACGACTACGACCTTGTACAAGATGTGACAACAGACTGTTCTGTTGTTGCTAGTCTGTGCGCAAGCATGAGGCATCTGCAGTCTGGACCGAAGTCGATCTTACCGGCACACATGTTTCCGGCGGATGTGAACTTTGGGAAGCCAAGGATATCATCGAACGGGAAGTACATATTTCGCATGTACTTCAATGGCTGCTTCCGTCGCGTTGTGATAGACGATCGGCTGCCCTCGTCGTCCAACGATCGTACCCTTTATGTCGTTGATCGCCACAACCCCAAACTTCTCTGGCCAGCTCTGATGGAGAAAGCTTACCTGAAAGTACGGGGAGGCTACGACTTCCCCGGGAGCAACTCTGGAACAGACCTGTGGGTGTTGACAGGCTGGATCCCCCAGCAGATATTCCTCCAAAGCGATGAGCTCGAGTTCGACCATACCTGGAAACGGATCAAAAAAGCCTATGATTTTGGAGATGTCGTCATAACACTTGGCACCGGTCGTCTTTCCGTCGACGAAGAAGAGGCTTCTGGTCTTGTTGGTGAGCATGACTATGCAGTGCTTGACCTCTCAGAGTCAGGAGACAGCCGCAGAATGCTTGTCAAGAATCCGTGGTGCGATGGGATGACCTGGAAAGGAGTAGGGTCCTCAGCAGCGTCGGCAAGCTCTGACAGCAGCGATGGCGATGCGCGGCCCAAATTGAAGCCGGGCACATTCTGGATCAGCTTCGATGACGTTGCGCAGAACTTCGAGTCGCTGTACCTGAACTGGAACCCAAGCCTGTTCACCGAGCGCCAGGACCACCACTTCACCTGGGAGCTGCCAGAGCCAACAATGGCAGGATCTTTTGCGCACAACCCCCAATACTCGATGTCTTCTTCAGCAGATGGCATGACCTGGATTCTCCTGAGCCGGCATTTCCAGGATGAGGAACTCGAGATTGCCCGCAAGCGAGGCACCACGCTGGCTTCGACCTCGAACCAGCTCGGTTTCATGAGCTTATACATATTCGAGAACAACGGCGCGAGGGTGCAGCTCAGTGACAAGTCGATATATCGGGGACCCTTTGTAGATTCGCCGCAGACCCTTGCCCCTTTCGAGGCGAAGAAGGGCGTCAAGTATACGATAGTGGTGGCCTCTCACGACCTGCCGCTCCCAAAGTACTCATTCACCCTTTCCTTCTTCTCGCGGAGCTCGCTCACGATCGACACGGCGGCACACAGTCTGAAGCACTACACCGAGACCAAGAGCAGCTGGACACGGAGAACTGCCGGCGGCAACGCAGGCTCGGCGACCTATCTCCAGAATCCCCAGTTTAGCGTCAAGACCTCCCAGACGGGTCCGCTGTCTCTCCTCCTCTCCACGTCTCGCGAGGAACTCCATGTACACATTGACCTCGTCTGGGCCAATGGGCAGCGCGTCACGGCCGTGACGGTTCGTGATCTCGTAGCGACATCTGGCGAATACCGCCGCGGCTGCGCCCAGGCCTGCGTCCCCTCCCTCGAAGCAGGCACCTACACCATTGTGTGCTCGACCTACGAGCCGGGAGCCCTGGCCGATTTCACGCTCCGCATAGGATCCAACGCTGCCTGTGTCGTGGCCCCAGTCCTGGCCGATGCCGCCGGCCGCCTGCGCACAAGGCTCCCCGACCTGGCCCTCCCCGCGGGTGGCGAGCTCACCCAGAGGGCGCCAGTCACAGTTGCGCGGCTCTCCCGCGCCAGCTTCGTCATCACCCGCAAGCACAAAACCCTTGTCGGCGGCGGCGGCGGCAGCAGCGCGAGCGGCAGCACGAGCAACACCGGCAGCGGCGCCGGAGGGACGGGGACCCCACGAGCTCACCCTACCGTGCGGGTCCGTCTCGAGTCCGGCCGCGGGCCCGACAGAACCATGATCCCCCTGACCAGCGGCGACGGTCGCGAGTTCAAGGAGGTCGGCCTGGGCGGGCTGCGCACCGCCGAGGTCGACATCGACCCGCGCCTGACGCGGTCTCGCGATGGCTTGTGGCTGGTGGTCGAGCAGCACATGATGGGCGCGTCCCCGCGCATGTATGGCGACGATGGGCTCACGGTCGAGCTGCTGAGCGACGGCCACGTCGGCGTCGGGCCGTGGGAGGTGCTCGACGACTGAGAGCAGACACTAGCCGTTTGTACTGCAGAGTCATCTGTCAGAATCGAAGGTGGAAAGTGCCATGATGATCATTTGGGATGTTGTGCTTCTTCTGAAATACCTCATTGCCATCAAAAACGGCACAAAAGGTCATTTTTGGTCCCCCGAGGTCGAGCAGTGAACTGACCTTGGCGTCTCAGTGTCCTCGCTAAAGAGGGCCCTGGGTGTATAGGGAGATGGGGAAGGTTAGGCGCATTGAAATGATGCAAAAGGGTGTTCTTATGCTCAACAATAATGGAAGCGTGCCATGCAGTTCCGTAAAAGAAGAGAGCATGCGATAAGGTTCACAGTCATTCCCGGTCGTTCATGATGGCGACGCAAAACCGATACAGTTCAAGTGACATCAGCACAGAGATCCTTACTCAGGTGCGGCTTGAACTGGTAGACTGCGTTTCGTATGCCCGTGCCTGCTCGGCGACGCCTTTAATCCGTGCCACCACATGCCAGCCGTCGTCTTTGGACGTATGAGAACGGATTTTCATGTCAGCCTGGTTGCAATAGCAGCACTCTGTTTTTCGTAACAATCGTCATTCGTCTGAATTTTTCTGATCAAAGACCTTTAACTAGCTGCATAGGCTTAATCGAACGATGGTCTCGGCAAGATGAGGTCGTGCCTAGCCGCTGTGGCATACAAGATTTGCCTTAAAACTCCCCTCCCGAACCTGAAATGATGAAAAGAAGATTGAGATCCTACGAAACGCTAGCAGACAGGGTGATAGATAGCCAAGACAGTGGTTTCGGAGCTTTGAAGGTAAAGGAAAATTGGAGTTGAACGCCGGGAACATATTTCCGTCATTGGTGTCATCGCGTGCGTATGGTCAAAGGGGTATCGTATGCTTATGTACATCTAGGTCTTGTCGCTGTAATTTTTAGGGCCCGCCTCGGCGCCTCCGTCCTCGATTTGGGCCGTCTGGTCGTTGCGCGAGTACGTCTCGCAGAAGGGCATCGTCTTTGTCTTTATCAACGTGATGAACACGAACGTGCCGCTGCAAGTTGTCTGGTCGTGGGTATTTGTGTTCTCGGTCGGGACAGAATGGACAAACGTAGCCGGGTGATTCATGGACAAGACCATGACGAATCATCTCATTTTTGCGCTTGAACCCTTTGCCACCTTCGGCTCTGGGGCATCCTTTAACGGGACAATAGTGAGGGCGGGCCGACGAGTGCACGTTTGCGTGCGAGTTCAGGAGGTACTGCGTTTGAAATGGAGCGGCCGTGCAGCCGGAGAAGGAACAGACAAATCCCGAGGGCGGGTTGGTCATGCTGTCTATACTCATCCTGTCGATGACAGGCTGAGCGGGTGGAGATCGGTCAAAGTGCCGCACCTCGCCGCTGTGACTCGCGGCATAGCCTCCCGTGATGCCATGGTTCATGCTCAGCGCGGGCGGCGAGAAAGGAAAAGGGCTTCGTGCAGGAGCAGAGCTCGCTGGAGAGGGAATGCCAGCTCTGAACACCTCATCGGGTGTGACCGGTGGCGAGCCGTGCGAGCTCTGGATACTATTTAGCCTGGCTCCCAAACCAATCCCTGACGGTGATCGGGGATCGCTTGGTCGCCGATCAGGGCCGCCCGGGCCATTGGTGAGCTGTTCCCTGAATTGGGACCTTATTGACGGCAGCGAGTTTGTGTCAGATGGTGGCGACGCCATCTGAATGGGCGGAAGTCCGCCAAGTCCTGTCGAAAGTGGCTCAGCAGAAAACTTGCCCTCAGCAAGGTGTTTCGCTGCCAGACTGAGCGAGCCAGGTGACGAGCCGTGCAGCTCAGCAAAGCCGGGTAAAGAATAAGGGGACATTGACGTGGTTGACGCTGATCTCTGAGAGTCTCTTCTACAGTGATCGCTCTGGGCCGCGTTCGGTATCGCTATCGGTAACGGCACTGGAGACTGGAGTTTTCTCGACGATGACTCCCTCTGCCTGAAAGTGCCAGGTCCTTGGGTGTCGACCGGAGAGCTTGGAGATGCATTTGTGTACTTCATGGCGTTGGTTGCGAGTGACTTCAAATCGAGGGTTGGTGTATTGTTCGCCATTTTGTTTGGTCCATGCAAGACGAGCGGCCGTGCGAGACCGGGTGAAGCCAGGGGCGACATGTCGCTACTACGCAACCCTTCGTCGTCGGCTCGTGAGTCGCCTGAGTCACTCTCTTCACCTGAGGAATCTACCTTTTTGTCGTGGAGTCCTGGAAGAGGCCGAGAGAGCTCCTCGTGCGTTCCGTCGGGTAGCCTGCCTCCGGCAAGTGCCCGTATCAGCACAGCATAGCCTGGATCAGGCGTGTTGTGAAGCTTAGAATCTGGGCTACCAAGCCCTGGAAACGGACCAAGCTGTTTCAGTGAGGGGAGTTGTGGGAGAGGTGGTGACGGCGTTGGCTTGAGATTGACAACCCGTGGCTTCAAGCGCGGGCTGTTTTGCGGGAGCACTCCGTCTGGGTCGTAGACGTCGCTATGTTGGGTGTCCGACGGGCTCATTATCTGGTAACAGCCCTATTGGAGAGGGTATGGTCGTCACATAGATGAAGTGTGGTTATCTGCTGTGCGGCTAGCCACGCCACGGGACATGAGACCAGTCGTCCCAGCGTATGGCAAACAAGAACGACTGGGCGGCTGGCGTGCTGTGAGAGAGCCGGTCAGAAGCCAACAGTCAGGCAGAGAGCGGAGGGCCGTCCCGAAGCTGTGTACCACAACCAGATCTCGACTGATCCTAGTTGTCTGGTGTTGGTGATACACAAAGGACAATCGGGATTGTGTGAGCCGGAGCCAGACGCCGTGCACTCTGTTTGGCTGGCAGAGTCGACACAATGTTCACGGCGAGTGTACTACGTGCCGCAAGGACGAAGCGCGCTTCTGAGAAGGGCGAGCAACGGCAACACCTGGTGTTTAAAAGAACCCTTGCCAAGGCAGGCGAAAAAAAAAGAATAAATTGTCGGAGTTGATTCCTGGTGACTCGCAAAATGGGGTTCGCTGTCAAGCCGTCGTCAAGTCAGGTACGCAAGCTGAGAACTTGGCTGGAAGTGGGTTTGTAAGAGCTGGGTGTCGGAACTAGGGCCGAAACTGTCGCCTCTTCACAGCGACACAGCACCAAGAGCGCGAATGAGAGGCCAGAGCCAGGCTACGCAAGAAGAAAGGGCCGAGAGGGAGAAACTGAAGGTGTGCTGATGCGAGTACAAGTGGTGGTACTTGTCGATGGGGGGAGGCATAAAGGGTAGGTCACGCAGGACCAGTTTAGAGGGGCGCCATTCGATGGAGTGCCGAGAAGGGGAGGAAGGCAGAGCACGGCAGGGCAGGCTGCTTGCTCGCTGGGCCAGGACTCGCGGGCTGCGTCGTGTATTTCATTGGGGGGAGGCCAGGGCCTGGCAGATAACTGCTCCTAGCTAAGGACGAGGGCGCGTGGGTGAGGACGACGAGGTCGGACCAGGGGGGGGCGGCGCAGAACGCCTCGACAGAACCCGCGCATGGGCAGCTGGTGCCCAAGCTAGGTGCTGCTTGGACTGGAAGGCCGGCTGTCGAAGGTTGTCAAAATAGAACTAAGGTTTGGCGTAAATAAGGGCGGGGCCAGGTAGGAATGAGCCGCGGAGGCTCGTTGAAGAAGGGATGGGGAACACTGGGACCACTGACGCTGCCCTGCCCGCTGCTCCTCCACCATCCCAAGAAGGCTTGCCTTAATCAGCATGGTGGATGCGGGCCCGACCCGACTGTTCGACTTGGCCAGGGCGGGCCCGCCGCGCGTTTGTGTCTGGCAGCCTCTCTTTCTCTACCTCAAGCTGGTGCCATTGTCCTCTCCAGGGCTTTTGTTCTCACGACAGGGCCCGCCGGCCAGAATCTGTGTCTGCGGCTCAGAGAGCGGAAGACCAGTCGCCCGGGGTTGTCCAGGGTGTTTTCGTGGCGCTTGAAGCACTTGCATGGCATGGCATAGCATGGCATGGCATGTTCACGCCGTGCGTCCCTGCTCTGGGGAGTGCAGGGCGATCGACAGTGCCAAGGGGTGCCCGCTCTGGTGGGTGCAGCTTGTCATCGGCCAGGCGAGGCGGGGAGGCGGCAGGGTCCAGCAGAGCAGGAAGGGGGAAAGGCGCTCAAAGGTGGGCTCGAGGCCACGTCAGGCCAGGGCCCGTCGGCGAGTCAGGGTCGAAGCCATGCAGCCGGCGGAGGCGGCGGCTCCTCCTCGCCCAGAGCTTGAGCCCCCCGACCAAAAGGTACTGGCCGCTAGGCTGGACTCGCTGGGACAACGGCACAGTCGTCCGTCCAGTAGCATCGCAGGCTGCCTACCCGGGCGAGTTCTGTGCTCAAGTGATCTTTGAGCCTCCGTCGAGCCCTCGAGGGTTGGGCCTGGCCTAGTGACTGCTGACGGGTCGCACTCCATGCACCCCGTGCCGTCTGCAGACTGCAGATTGCAGCCTCACGTTACTTTGCCGCTGTGCAAGTCGTGGCCCGTCAGCCGCGCTTGCCTGGCAGGACACACATGAGCTGCTCGCTCACTCTTGCTGGCACCCACGAGCACGTCTGCGAAGACTCAAGGTGACATGGATGGAGGCTTGCTGGACAAAGGCAGCGCTGTCATGTGCGAGTGTCCTTGGTCTGGTCTGGAGGGGCGGCAGCCAAAGGCGGGTCGGGCGCTGGACGCAAAAGGCAGCTGCTTGCGCAGGCGTCCACGGGTGTGTGCAAAGGGTGTGGCTGCGCGGCGACCACGGGGGTCGAGAGGGCAGTGTTCTCACCGGACACCTCTGTGGCCCGTTGGGAGCGGCATCCATGGATCCGGGGGAGACGACGGAAGAAGCTGTGTGCCGGCATGAAACGCGTTGACGCGAGCGCATTGATCAAGATTGTGGTGCAGCAGCAGGGTCCATGTTTTCCAAGAGGGCACTGCCCATCCCACCTTCTGCCTCTGTCGAGCGTGTGCTGTGCCTCAGGCACCCGGTCTGGGCACTCGACAAGGGGGTCGCCATCGTCGCCGTCGGCGTCGTCAGTCATCAGTCTCGTCATTTCTCTCCACACCCCTGCTCGTCCCCTCTCCATGCGCACCTCGCAAGGGCCTGCCCGCGCTGTTTGGTTTCGTTTCGCTCCAGTTGCGTGAGGCTTAAACGGCGCTTGCCGATCGCTCACGCGCACGCACCCGCCCACCCGCTGCATCCGCCGTACCGTACATCAAGCACCTCACGCACCTCGCGCGCAGCCCAATGAACTGACCGCCGCCTCCATCCTGCCGCAGGTCCTGCCAGGTGCCACCAGGCAGAGCGTATATGCAGGCCGTGCCTTCACAAAGGCGGTGGGGCGGAGGGAGGAAATTTGACAGACCGTGGCCGGCGTGAGGGCATTGATGTGTGTCACACCCTGGCCTGCTACAGGCAGGGTTCATCTAACCGGTCTCCAACATCCTTCCATCGCATCTTCAGTCCCGGCTGGCGTCTTGCGCCTTCGGATGTGACGGCCCTTTCACCCTCGTACCGGCAGTTCAGCAGCGTCACCGCTCTCTAGCCCGGCCAGTCCTCGACACGATGGGAGACTCGGTCATTCCAAACAGCCGCCCGGCAGGCTCGAGAGAAAACGCTCGAGACATAGAAACCCGAATAATGACCGTCACCAGTCCCACCCGAGTCTTGGCTATCGACCCCTGCCCAACTTGCGGGGGGGTGCGAATCAGCGCAAGCCTCCAACTTTTTACTGTGAAGCCGGTCAGCCAGCCCTGCACACCCCTGGCCAACGGCCAAGCGAGCCTCAGAGCCCCAGGGGTCGCCCAGCTCGCCCAGCTTGGATCCGTCGTAAGCCTGAGCCGCACAGCCTTACTCGCCAGACTGCAGCGCCAACCTCGAAAGTTGATTGCTAACATAGCCACTCGGAAGGTGGAAAGGATGCAAGCACAGCTTGCAACGAGATTTGTGAGAGACATTGGCAGACCATGGTAAGGCCCAGCACTCAAACTTTTTTTTGGCAGCCTTGAACAGCGATCACGTCTGGTAGTGCGGGAATAGTTTTGCGGTAAGTGCCTAGCGACAAACACGAAAGGGCGAGGAGGCTGCAAGTATCAGCGGTTGGAAGAGATTCAGCCATCCCTTTGCCAACAAACCAAATCAGCGTCGAATTGATCCATACTGCACTACCGCGCGCTCATTGGACTGTGTGTCTTTGGCAGCACATTGCTCGTGGGTTTAGAAACCCATGCCTTCAGCGTCACATCCCATTGGCGTCTCACCGTGGTGGATTCACAGTCTTTCGACGGATCTTTCCCGGATAGCACAATCCATCTGACTGGCTCACTTGCTTTGCCGCGGTAGGCTGTGTGATGATGAGGCTCAAAATAGTAACACGCCACTGCAACATCAGCCGAAATTACCCGTTTACTCCCAGGCCCGGCTCTCCGCTCGTGATGGTCGAGTGAAAGACCACGGGGGCATAATCAGCGGTACCTGCTCACTAAGGTTGGTAGGTGGGCAATCTACAGCCATGATCTCAGCAAGCACTTGAAGAGCCTCATTGCATCGGAAAGTGACTTGGCGCAGGTACACCTGCGTGTCACCGATTCCAACCGGTCAGTCGACGATCTTGCGCACTTGGTCCGAGTGGACTGGCCACGGAATCGCTTCCGAACCTTGTCGCGCACTCCAATATCCGCAGATCACGCTCGCTGAAGTATCGTGTGCCTTTTTACATACGAGCCAACACCTTAACACGGCATAGCTCGTCTCAACTTGCCAGGCCAGTGTTCGTGCTGGAGTTGGCTACCTTACCTTGGCGCTCAGAAGCTCGTTGCAGGATTCTGCCGTCTCACCCCGGAGGCGAGACTGATTAGGATCTCATAATAAATGAGTAGACTGACTAGCCATCACCCAGCCTCCAAGTTCCCTCTCTGGCACTGTACAGTCATGAAGGGGGCATTGACGGGATCCATTGCGGCTCGACCCAGAGACTCAGCGGGAAACGCCGACCGAGCCATCTGGGGCGCGGCTCGCCTATCAGCTTCCATTTCCACAGGCAGACCAAGTTCTGGGCACGATCCTCGACCTTGCCCTGCTCTAAGATTCTTAGGCAGTTCCAGATCCAACTCTCTAGGTAACATTCGAACAGAAGTACAGACTGGACACGTCGGACACGGCATCTCGACACCGTTCCCAGAGAGGACGCGCCGCAACCTGCACGAGCACTCAGCTCCTCTGAGCAAGCCTCGCTCCAGTCCTCCGCTTGTGTAACCATCCAGACCAGTCATGAAAATCAGGGGCATACATGTTATGTGTTTCGAGAAGAAGAGCTCTTGATGAATCCAGATGACTTCCCCACGGACACATTCTGCTTGAAACCCACCTGCCAGAATCACACTCGTTGACAACCAATGGAAGGTCGGTTGGCATAAATTGTTCTGCCGGGCGCCGGAAGGTGATGAATCGCGACAAGGGTGTCTGTAGATGCCCCTTCAGGCCAGGTGTGGCGCGCACCTGGTGAAATGTAGCATCTGCTAAAGGGCTTTCACATTATTCCGGTAAAGGGAAGGAAGGTGAGCTGCTCCGTGGCATTGACACCAGAACAAATCAGGCCAGTGCAGCTTGTCGAGCGACGATAGTATCTTCATCTGGCATCATCTGGAAGAATGCCCTCCTTATCCAGATTAGATTGCTCCTTGGTCATCTAGACTCAGCCAAAGGGCCATCGTGGACACCTGAAGCAGGTGGCGGAAGCTGATTTGCACTTCCCGACGGAGGAGGTTCCGTCCTTGGCAGAAGCGGAGTGCATGCGGCATTCCCACCACCACACCGTAAATCTAGCCTAACCAGCCATCCTCGTTGGGTGCCTATGGCGCACAGTAAACGGCCTGTTTTGAACACATTGTTTCCTGTAGAACTGCCAGTGTCTATCTGTTCAGTGTCCATGTGCGCTCATACTGGCCAAAATTCGAGAGTGTCAGTAAGCAGCAGGCTTTCCTGCTTGATGCGGCAGTGTCAACATGAATCGTCACGATGAAATGTAAAAAGTCTAGCTGGCTGGTACTGATCGGCCAAGTCTCCGCCGGGGGGGAGGCCCACATGTGCTCGACTGGTCGGCTGAGCCTCAAGCCATGAAGCACGAAGCCTGCCTTGCCGTCGTGGGGCACAGGTGGGCAGAGGGAAATGCGGCACTCCGGTCACGGCGCGCGGCTCTGTTGCCTCGCGAGCCGATGGAGCCACACAGGCGAAACTGCCCACGCACTCACTCACGGGTGCGCAAAGAGCCGCCTTTTTGTTCTTTCTTTTTCTCCGGCAGCCCCAAGGGTAACCAGAGGAACCTGCTTGGGTCCGCTCATGATCGTTGTGCCTGTGGTTTTTGCGATTGGCGAGCCTTGCGAGTAGCTGATGTGACATGTCACCAGATGTGAGATCGGCTCCCGGACAACAGCCATAGTCTTGGTCAATACAGGGCCAGACATCAGTAATCTTGCAGATGGCCGCGGAGCTGCACACTGAAAGTAGCGTTGTATTTGCCGGCGCAGTCACATCATTGCGACGACGTACGTAAGATTCGCAAACCGGAGATGGCGCTGGAGTATGCTATGAGGAGTTATTGAATGTGTTTTTGGTAGTTCATACAATGATCTGTGTCGCGGTGAGAAGCCGCAGTGCATCGCCATTCCTCCCTTCGGAGAGAACAGCGTCCACTGTGTCGAGTGCGGTACTTGGGCGCCATGTGCCGATCCACAGTCGAAACCCCGCATCGAGGCACAAACCCCTTCGACAAGGTTGTGTGCGCAGAGGGTCTTGCCAAAGGAGCCGCGCCCTCTCCCTCGATTTGGTGTCACATGAATAGCTCCAGCTACTCCGCACGCGGTCAACAAGCCTAATATCACCAAAGGCGACAACCATACAACATGACACTTCCGGAAACCATGAACGCAGTCGTCTTCGACGGGCCCCTGAGGGTGTCTGTCCAGAAGCGACCTGTGCCGAAGTGTAAGCCATGTTCTCTTCTCCCAATTCACGAGGACCTCCAAACTGATATTTCGTAGTGCAGGATGCTGGTGACATTATTGTCAAGGTATCTGCAACGGCGCTCTGTGGCTCGTAGGTTCTGCAAACAACCGTCGTGTCCAGAGACATCCCGCTAACCATGGCCATAGGGAGTTGCACACTTTCCGCGGGCACCAGCCTTCCGACACTGGCTTCATCATGGGCCATGAGTTCTCCGGTGTGATCGTCGAGGCCGGCTCAGCCGTAAAGAGTGTCCAGGTTGGCGACAAGATCGTCTCGCCTTTCACAACATCTTGGTGTGTGCCTCGTCCCTGGTCGCCGATATTTTACTAGTCGCGAATGGGTGCTGACCAGATTCTCGATATAGTGGCGAGTGCTTCTACTGCAAAATTGGATGCTCTTCTCGCTGCGCCAAGAGCAAGCTTCTTGGTTCCTCAGTGCTTGACGGGGCACAGGCCGAGTATATACGCATTCCTGACGCCGACGGAACTGTTGTCAAAGCTCCGGCAGAGATTGACGACAAGGCTCTGGTGTTGATGGCAGATATCTTCCCGACCGGTTTCTTTGGTGCCACGAACGCCTTCAAGGCAATTGGCACTCAGCCCGCATCGGACGTCACGGCAGTGGTTATCGGTTGCGGCCCTGTAGGTCTCTGCGCGATTGTGTCCGCACTCGAGCACAAGCCCAAGCATCTTTTCGCCATTGACGGCGTGGACAGCCGCTTGGAGCTTGCCAGAAGCCTGGGAGCAGAGCCGCTCAACTTTGTCAAAGACAAGCAGCGCGTCGTCGACCGCATAAAGGAGGTGACTGACGGCAGAGGTGCTGATGTCGTGATTGAGGTTGTCGGTCTGAGCCCTGCCCTCCGTACTGCTTACGACGTGATTCGACCTTTTGGCTTCATCAGCAGCATTGGCGTCCATAACGCAGAGGTGAGCGCCTCCGGCTCTGTAAGATGAGGGGAAATGAGCTGACACCGGCGGCAGATTCCATGGGACGGGAACGAAGCGTACAAGTAGGCATTCCGACAGATTGGCCTTTATTGGCGAAGGTTCGCTAACAGCTAGTAGCAAGAATGTGCGTCTGCAGATGGGCCGCTGCCCTGTACGCTCGATTTTTGCGGACGCCCTCAAAGTCCTGGCGAAGAACCAAGACCTCTTTGGGTAAGCTTGCTCGATCCCGAGAATGTGACTGACAGACCTGGAGACTGACCCCAAGACAGATTCATGTTTGAGAAAATCATGCCCCTGACGGACGCCGTCGAGGGGTATAAACTGTTCAATGAGATGAAAGTCCAGAAGGTCATCTTTACTCCCTGAGGCACAAGAAGGAAGCGTAGTGTAGGTGACAGTATACGAATAGTGCTTAGTTTTGCCGTGGCTTCACGATACCATCGTGCATAAGATAGAAGACAATAGTTGAGTCGTCGTGTACTATGCACAGCAGGAGTCTCTTGGGGCGGCTTTCGGAATGCTTCTCGGAGGCTGGCATGGCATCAAACACGTTGGCGAATGACCTCAGTGTCCACTTGTCGGTGATGTGCGTTGCCAGAACCCACTCAACCTCAGGCACGTCTGGTAAAGGCTCGTCGGCCTTGTTGTGTGTCTTGAGCAGTGCGATCTGGTCATCAGGGTGCAGGTACAGGCGGCGCGGCGGCAGTCCAGAGATCAGCGGTTGCGGGAGGCGTGAGCCGTCGCTGGTCGAATGAGTGTGTATCTTGAGGTCCTTCCAGTCTTGCTGATACTGCAGGTTGTTCAGGACGAACTGGGCAAGATGCCCGGCTTGGTCGCCCTCGCTCATCTTCCCAAGCTTGACTGCAAAGGCCGGGAATGCTGGGTAGTACTGGCTAGAATGTAGTCGGAACTGGGACGAGTAATATCGGGGTAGACTGGTGTATTAGGGGTCGGGCTTATTGAGGGTGGTCAGACTTGTTGTATTGTCTATCAAGGTGCCCAGAGGCGGAGTGACAAAAATTGGCGGTCAGAAGGGGCAGTAACTGGTGGAGGGGAATATTGAGGCAGCGGGAACCCGCTGTATCTGTTAGTCAGATTCCCAAGATTAGCGTGCGCTACCTTGGGTACATCAGGGTACGGTGCAATCAGGTTTGGCATTGAAACCGCGTGCGACAATGCTGGTGGATGTTGCGAAGTCGTCATCGAATGATGGCTGCCCGCGATGTCTGCTCCGGCACGGCAAGTGTCTGTCCTGCTTTGAACCCCTGCCTGCTGGTAGTCGTGGGTAGCGCCGCATAGCCCAGTCGTGATCATGAAAGATTTAGTGGCTCCACGTTACATAAAGTGCCTTGCTATCGACCTATGGAAGCTCGTGCATGACCGACTTGGACTGCTACCGCGACTGGCCTCCAGGGCTGGTCTTTACCCCAGACTTGATTGTCCCTCCATCAAGAATTCGAGGCGATCGATCGGCGTAGGCCTTTCCCAAGTCTGTCGCCACCCCATGTAGCCCGTCACACGACAACCCTCCAACCTGTCTCTGAGTGCGCTAAGGCAACGACGCGCAGTCCGGTACGGGCGATTGCGAGATGGCGGGAGACATTTGACTTCCAAGGTTGCACACTAGCCTTGCGGCCGCCCGAAATGAGTTTCGCCACTACTTGCTAGGTCCAGCCTGCAAAGCCTACGCCCCTGGCCCCGGCGGTGCACTACTCAATCCGCCCCTGGAACTGCCGCCAAAGCTGGCATGGCACTGATCCGAGTCGCTGCAAACCTTAAGGTCCTGGAAGGGACTGGCCGTGCCTTTCGCCTTCTGTGGCAGCTTGAGTGAAGGCTCGATGGGCTGCCCGACGCGTACTTCAAAGTACTTTTTGTACGTGCCCTGCTGTGGGATGCTGGTGTCGATCTGCTGCCGTTATATTTGCGCTGTTGCTGTTCGTGTCTCCAGGCCCCGGCGGCACCACCAGCTCATTTCCCATCCCTTGTGCGCCGACTTGCCAGTTGCACAAGCCCAGACAACAGACACCCACCCTGCTTCCGCACGGGGTCTGACGACGCCAAGCATCCAATACAACCCTCCGACCCCCAATGGCCCAGGCCTTGGAGTCAGCACTGCTCCGGATCGTTTCTTGTTTGTTGTACGCCTGCATACTTTGCTCAACCATTCCGACTGCCATTTCTCGCCCGTCATTCCATCAATACGCCTCTTTGCCTCACATCGGCCATCAATCGTCGGTCATCGGGCGACGGTCAAACCAAGAATCCACACAGGCTATCCTTAGGGCATCCTGTCCCGTCCTGCGTGTTTCTTTGTCAACCCCCCAATCGGATCTCATCTTCAGCTCTCGGCGAGGAGTACGACCCAAAACGTCGCCTAGCTCGTTCAGCGCCTTACCATTCTTCCGACGGACCTAAACTCACAACACGAAACACGATCTCACTCGCGACGAACTTCTGCGAAGCCTGACAAGATGCCGGTGGACGATTCTGCTCGGGCCAGGGGGGAAGATCACAGCGTTGAGCTGGCCTCGACTGTCACGCCGAACGCGAAGGAAACTGCTGCGCTACACCAACGCGGACCAGTCCCTCCCAGTCAGCCCCAGGAGTCAGTTGGCGCTGCCTTTGCCACCGGAATCGCTACTGTCGATGCTCAAGCACACAGGTTCGCAAACGGCTACCACTTCCCTCCTAAATATCCTCTGAAGGAGCAACTGTCGATGGGATTGGTGTCGTTCTGGAACTTCTACAACACGGGATTTGGCTTTTTCCTTACCATCTACTCCCTCAACGTTGTTGCGTGGGGCGGCATGCTTTTCCTGCTGCTGTGCAATGCCGCGCCTTCGATGTGCTACGATGGAGACTGCGACCACATTGACTCGCCCCGGCGGATATGGATTGAGACCGATTCGCAGATTCTCAATGCCCTCTTCTGCGTCACTGGGTTTGGTCTCGCGCCATGGCGCTTCCGTGATCTGTACTTCTTGCTGAAGTATCGCATCCAAGGCGACCACGAAGCTTTGCGCGCTCTGGCAGGAGTCCATCGCGGCTGGTTCCGCCTGCCAGGCTCCGATAATCTGCCGGTGGCGCTTGGCCCCAAGAATGTCGAGGAAATGGCCGATAAGTTCGATCACAACAGTGTCCCGACACCGCTGGACACCATTCCCGATGCACCTCCGACTGGGGTCAGAGCACCGCCCACCAAGATGTGGAAGATGGATTTCGTTGTCTGGAACAACGTCGCCAACACTGGGTTCCAAGTGTGCCTGTGTACCTACATGTGGCTGTTGAACCGTTATGACAGACCCAGTTGGTCCACCGGCCTGTTTGTCTGCTTGGCGTGCATCGTCGCTGCCATTGCGGGCATCATGATGGGTGTGGAGGGCAAGCATGTCAAGACCATTGAAGGCGTCCCCTTGACCAAGGGAGACCTCGAGCGGCTTGCTCGGGATCGCGAGCTCGGGATTCCGCACCACAACTACTACGGCGATAAGGCACCAAAGGACAAGGCGAAGAAGAGCAAGCGTGGCCTTTTCGGTCGTCGCGAGAAGAACGATTCGGTACAAGTTTGAGCACCAATTTCGTACATGATACCCGCACTGGCAATACGGATAATAGGGATACACAAAAAGTAATGTTTACCCGAGTACTACTAGGCTCGTTTCTCTCGCAGCATAATTGAGCGTTGTATTTCAATGTTCCCCATGACTAATGAGTAGAGCGTGCTCTATGTGCGGTATGGCGAGCACTGCATTGTCACACTTGCACATGTCGAACGATGACTGGCCTGATACTAAGCGTAGTTGGCAGGTTTGCGCAGTACTCGATGGATTTGTGAGACAAGCTGAAGCTCCAAAAGAGGTAGCTTCAGACGTACGGGTATTTCTACCGTTGATGCTGGGCATGATTGAATTGTTGACTGAGTCTATCAAGAATTCCACGCGGAGACGGCCGCCCATGCCTCAGCAAGTGTCCTTATCTGTAACTCGAAAGCAAAGAGGTGAAGTGCCCCAAGAAGGGGCGCTAGCGTGCCACTATCAAGGACAGTGCGTGCATCCCCAGAGGAGCCGGGGACGCAACCAGGCGGGTGTCTGGTGTTAGACCCACAGTGCTGCCCTTGTGACACACGTCCCGAAGCAACCTCCAGCTCCAGCCACCCATCCCTCACATCCGGAGCTTCGTTGCTATTGTCAGATCCGGGCTCACGACATTCTGAGAGTGCCCTCCGAACCACCTACTTACTGTCCAGCCTTCACAAGAGGCAGACTTCTCCGAGGACGGAAAACAATACGCTCATACACCACCGATTAGATTAGACCATCCACGCGTTCGTGCTCCTGGCGAGCACCGCTCTCCGCTCTCTTTCTATATACGTCTCCTCCCTCACTTTGCCTCAATCCAACCATGGCGGCGAAGGCTATGATCCCGTTCCTGGTGGGCATGATGTTGCTCACCGGCGTGTGCAACACGCTCTTGACCAAATACCAGGTATGTAACACGGCCCTTGTGTTCTATAGGTTTCGCCTAGGGACTAACTCCAAGGCATTGCCAATAGGACAACCAATGTGTTCGAAACTGCGACGACCCCGACCCGAAGAAGCGCGCGCATTTCGAGCAGCCGGTCCTGCAAACGGCGCAAATGTTTGTCGGTGAATCGGGCTGCTGGATTGTCGTCGGCTTCATGTCTCTATACCAAAGCTATGCCAATAAGCACAAGCGCGATGGCTACCAGGCTGTCAGCACCCGCGACCCCTCGGCAGCACGCGACAACGACGATGACGCGGCCAGCATCACATCCCAGGACACCCTCATTACGCGTGAAAGAAGATCTGGAGCTCCTGATGGTCTGCTCAGCGGCTTCGGCATCCTGCTGCTAGCGCTTCCTGCCATCTGCGATATCCTCGGCACCACCCTGATGAACGCTGGCCTTCTCATGGTTGCTGCTTCGATCTACCAGATGACTCGTGGCGCGCTCGTTCTTTTCGTTGGTCTCTTCAGCGTCATCTTCCTGAAGCGCAAGCTGCACTTGTTCCACTGGGTATCCTTGTTTGGCGTCGTGCTCGGGGTCGCGGTGGTCGGCCTTGCTGGCTACCTCTACCCTGATGTCAAGGCTCAAGCGAATGCTCTCGTTGCTGATGCGGCGGATCCCGGTGCCGATGCACTCAGGGCCGCTTTTGGTGTTGTGCTCATTGCTGGCGCCCAGATCTTTACTGCTACTCAGTTTGTCCTAGAGGAGTTCCTGCTCGAGCGGTCCAACATCGACCCCCTCCAGGTTGTGGGATGGGAGGGCCTTTTTGGCCTAGCCACGACCCTGACTGGCATGCTTGTGCTTCATTTCGCCATTGGCAGGACAGATGCTGGACGCTATGGACCCTTTGATATGGTTGAAGGTCTCCGCCAAATGACTGACAACAAGGTCGTTCTCGTGTCTAGCTTGCTCATCATGGTCAGCATTGGGTAAGTGATGCTGTCGTCTTCCGATAAGCCATCAATATAAATACGGTGTGCTAACATACACATGCTTCTAGGGGCTTCAACTTTTTTGGTCTGTCCGTCACGCGCAGCGTCAGCGCCACATCTCGTTCCACAATTGACACGTGCCGAACCCTATTCATCTGGATCGTATCCCTCGGCCTCGGGTGGGAGACATTCAAATGGCTCCAGGTCCTTGGTTTCGTTCTCCTCGTCTACTTCACCTTCTTGTTTAACGGCATTGTCCAGCCTCCCTTCGAGTTCCTCCGCCCCCGCGAGGAGCCCGAGGCCCTTCTCCCGCAGGAACCCATCGAGCACAACTAGATACTAAATCAGGCAAGCAAGGCGGAACAAGCATTTGTACGCACTGTTACTTATGGAGAGCTTCTGACAAGTGCAATGGTGTGGCCGGGTGACCAAGCATACCGAGCCAAGGTCTTGAAGCACTTCGGGTATTTTCATTGGCATGACTGCGGAGTTTGGGAGTTTTCGTCTTCTTTTTATAGCTTACGCCGCCGGCAATTTCCTGATTGTATTCTCTTCAGCGGCCCAGTCCTCTCCATTACTCATCTGGTAGCCTGGATCCAATATGACTTTCACGTGAATCGTCTTGACTGTGAACCTTGGAAGTCATCGAAGCTTCCAGGAGTGGACCAGGGACGAGTGGACAGGGAGGACGAGCCGATCTCTAGCTAGCATGGCTCGCTCGCTAATGGGCAGCTTGAAACCGGGGCGATGCGTGCCCAGCTTGTTTCAAGGGCCAAGTGATCAGACCAATGCCGAAGAGACTTCAGACGTTGGGTCACCTTCCTTGCGCAGATTGGCGGACGATTGGATCTGATCTGGAGGCTCTGAGGGGGCCACGCCGACGTGTGGCAAGCTGGCACCAGGAGCTCGGCCAGTCACAGGGTGCACTTGGGCATCCACCATTGAATGGCAGCAGGGCAGGGCAGGGCGCCTGCGCGGTGCAGATGCTGAAACACAAGGGCCCAACGCTGTTCCCGCTATCCGCCGCGCTGCCGCTGGTGGGAAAAGGGAGCGATCAGGGGTCGTTCATCATTGTCTCTGACCCAGTTTGTTCCCAGGTTGGCCCTTTGCGCAGCCGACGAGGCTAGACAAGCCAGTTCGTGCCCTTCTCTTTGGCGATACGCAGCAATACGTCGTCCAGAGTGAGGTCGAGCCATTCATACATGCCCTCTGTGAAGCCCTCTGCTTTCTTTTTGGTCGGTGCTGTGCGGTTTGACACAGTTTGATGCTTTTCCTGGCTCGCGTCCGGCACGAATCCAGGGACGCACCCACACCCACTTGCTGCCGCCGGCTGCTTTGACCCCGGCCAATCTAAGACCGCTGCGCCTGCTCCTCGAATTTTCTGGCTCGAGCTTCCAGCAGCCAGTGCGGCCCTGCTGTGTATTGGCTGTGCGATGCGGTGCTCCATTGCGCCCAGGTCCACCACTGCGTCCTCAGGCACGCACTGCTTCCGAGAGAACCACTTCCCACCTCGACCTCCCTCCTCTGTCCACCACACCACCCACAAGAGGCCACCTGCCCATCGCAAGCCCACGGCTTCCAACTTTCGCGTGCTCAAGACTCCTTTGAGGTCAGCCGGCTACTGCAGGAGCAATCTTTCTTCTCTCGTCGACACGCTTTCGCCGTCGCTCGCGAGGCACCATTTTTTGGATTATTTTCCTTGTTGAACCCAGCCCCTACCAACAAAGCCCCTTTGACCCCCGATCGAGACGACCTGGAGCTCTCCACCGTCAGCATCCTGAGCGCAACCCTTCACCGACTTGTGTCTTTCGGGCCTGCCAGTCAGAGAAACATTCGATCAAATCGATCAACGAGCATTGCGCTGCCCATCCGCAGCGGTTGCCCACATCGACGAACTGTCAACCATACCTTTCCCAGCCGTCGTATCCGGCGAGTCCTGCCCCCAGCGCAGATCGTCACCTCATTCATTATCATCACGCATACAGGCCCACGCTACCTTTCCAACCATCATCTCGACGCAATTCGAGGTTCACCCTTCTGTTCCTCTGCCAGCTGAACAAATAAAAGCCCAAAATGAACAGGAACAGCACCCCTGAGGCGGGGGCCGTCTCCTCTCTGCGGCCCCCTAGATCCGTTGGTGTCACCGCCAGCAACCACCCTCTCCGAGCTTCGGCGGACGTAGCCGCCCTGTCCAGCTCTGCTGCTGCAAGCCGTATACGCCCTTCGTCGGACTTCTACGGCCAGCAGGGCCAAGGCCAGGGTGCCGACTCTGATCCCCAGGACAAGATGACCCAGCAATGGATCGCCGATATTGACCAGTACGAGACCACTCTCGAGGAGATGGCCGCTGCTACTCTGGACCAGGACTTCAAGGACGAGCTCAGTGCTATTGAACAGTGGTTCCGAGTCCTCTCCGAGGCAGAGCGTACTGCTGCGCTCTACGCTCTGTTGCAGCAGACCACCCAGGTCCAGATCCGCTTCTTTATCCAGGTCCTTCAGCAGATGGGCAAGAACCATCCCATGTCGGGCGTTCTGTCTCCTGCTACTTTTGACAAGGGTAACACTCCACACAATCACCATTGCACACATAGGATACTGGCCCAGCTAACCTGGCTACCCCTCCTCTAGATCCCATGTCGAACCGCCTCAGCGATGCCATGAACAAGCTCAATGTCTCGTCCAACAGAAACTCTCTTGCTCAGCCACCGGCTTCCGCGAAGAGGCAGTCGGGTCTCGACCAGGGCACCATCAATGCCATGTTCCCCGACGCAGCCGCGGCCATTGCCACGGAGAAAGCCAAGTTCACGCAGAAGACTGGTGCCCAGCCGCCATCGAACCGCAACAGCACTGCCGTCGACCACCGCAGCTCCATGGCTACAGGCATCTCTGGATCTGGCGAGGGCTTGGACTCAGCCTCCCAGAACCCCACTTCGCCGTGGAACAACGAGCAGAGCTCGTCCCAGGCCAAGCCAGCTGCGGCAGGACAGCCTCCCATGGGGCAGTTTGTTCAGCCACCGCCCTCGGGTGGCGGTCTGCGTTCCCCGCGGCCTCCTCAGCTTGGCGGTATCCAGAACACCACGCTCAACTTGCCCGACAAGTCTGGGGTCGATATGCCCTTGCTCTCTCCGTATGCTGCTGGTTCCAGTGGTAACTGGGCTTCAATGGTCAACACGCCCATGGTGCCCAACTTCAACCAGAATAACCAGGCAGACATGGTTGCCAACGCTACCGCCATGAAGCTCGCCGCACTCTCCACCGTTAACAACCGCTTCGCTCTTGACGACGTTCGCAAGTACCGCCGAGCTCGGTCCAACGACCCGGCCGGCCACAACCAGTTGCCCATGTCCCCTGGCCCAGGTGCGACAAACTTCGCTGGTGCCAATATTGTCATGGTCAATGAGCATGGGCAGGTCTTGAATCGCGATCAGATGCTTGCTCTGCAGAGCCAGCAGGCCATGGGTGGCTTCGCGCAAAACCGATCCCGCCCGAACTCGCCAGGCATTGCCATGCACTCTGCGCTGAGCCCCATGGGTGCGTTCGCGTCGCCCCAGGCGAACGGCTTCCTGAGTGCATATGATGGCCAGAACCCCTTGCTCACTGGTGGGCTTGGGGGTATCGGCATGGGGCAGCTAGGGCTTCCCAATGAGGGCTACCTCTCAGACCACTCGGAGATCAACAGGGGACGGTCGCCTAGAGGTCGCCGTGGCAGCTCGAAGCCCCCGGAGGATCCTACCGACCCCAGCCTCCTCCAGGATATCCCAGCTTGGCTGCGCAGCCTTCGTCTGCACAAGTACACTGATAACCTCAAGGACATGAAGTGGACGGATCTGGTCGAGCTGGACGACAAGGCTCTGGAGGATCGCGGCGTCAATGCGCTGGGCGCGCGCAGAAAGATGTTGAAGGTGTTTGAACAGGTTCGAGGTATGTGATCGCCGCCCACATTGTATGGTTCAGCCCCTTTGTGCCGCACATGTAACGCTGACCACGACGCCCGCATACAGAGGCCAAAGCAGACGGCAAACTGGCTTAGCCGCTGCACTAATAGGACGGCGAGCCTCGAGCTAGGCTTGGGCTCGCCTGTCTGGCAATTCTTTTGCTCACTTTGTGCGACATCTACTACAAGAGACTTCCTGGCAGAAGCTTCAAACTAAGACTTAATTGTCAGCCTCGGGACAGGGATCTAGGGTTGCATGTAAGGAGAGACGATTGCATAGTGTTACTGGAAGCGTTTGAAGCAGAGCCTTGCGCGCGGCAAAAAATATTAGACTAGGCTTTTTTATTTCATCTTTTTGTAATGTTCGACGAAACACGACATGTTGTTGGAGGTAGGCGGCAGCATGCGCACTGGGTGTCTGTTGTCCTCGGGGCGACACGGCATGGCGGCATGGTGCAGGTAGCATCATACACAATGGGAGCATAGCATAGCGACGGACAAAAGAGACAATGTAGTGTGACGACTGAGAGTGCCTGGACGTGGACTGGGTCTTCTGCTCGTATTGCTGTGTACTCCGCTCGTGCCGGAACCTTGTCTGCCAAGCTGCAAATTTCAAAGGTCTCCTGTGTGAATGATACTCTGTTCGCCGACTCCAAATGTCGTAGGACTTGGGTCACAGAAGGCACTTTAAGACTTTGGCCTCACGTCTCTGGGTGGAGTCAGCACCGCGAGGCGGGTGGGGCGCCCGCCGAACGAAGACCTGCCGCTTGCTGCATCTCGGCGGAGCACCTGCAGATGTCCATGCGTCCAGTCTTTTTCTTCCACTTCCGCGTGTAAGTGAGTGATGACAACAGCAACCAAGACACCACAAGCCGCGATGCGTTGATGACAAACAGGTGGCCTGACCGATATCAGTGAGGCGTTTGAAGTGCCTCCTTCCCTAAGGATCCACCCTCAGATACACCACTGACGACTGGAAGATTCGACGCATGCTGCCCGGTCTCTACAGAACTGTAGAGGCGCAATCGAGGGCGCTGCAGAGTTCGAGATGCTGGACCGACCCCAGCTGGGGCATTGTACCGATTGCTAAACTGTGGGTGGAAACATACTTGTGCTCTTGATGGCCTGATGACCCGCAGTATCTCACCATGGACTCCTGGTCATTCTCCGGAGTCGGCCAGTCTGGCGAGCAGGCAGGCGACGCATCCGCATCCGCATCAGCAATGTTGCCACACACGAACACAGATGCAAGACGCAACATACACGACGATGATATTCCCGTGGACCCCGCACTGCAGCCAGGCCTGCCGGCGCCGGGCAACCAGGACGCCATGCAGACTGATCCGCTGCTCGAGCTGATGCAGGCCCAGCTCGCCGAGGAGCAGAATGCGGCCCAGGCCGGTGGACTTGGTGACCATGGCCACGAGGGCATGTACGATGTTGGGCAAGATGTCCCCTTGGGTCTTGGGCCTGTTCCGCGAAGGCGAGGTCGTGGCGGGGCATATGGCGGCCGCTCGTCACGAGGTGGCCGCAGTGCCGGACGTGGTGACGGCGCGACGTCCATAGACGCAACGGTCCGCGTGGTGAAGAAGCGCGGCCCTCGCAAGGCAGCCGAGCCGACTGGAGACATCAAGCTGCGCCTCAACACGGCATCGACGCTGTACCTCGAGGGCCGCGTCGACGAGGCAATCGAGATAGTCGAGGACGCGATCCGCATCAACGCCGAGATCCACCGCGCCTGGGTGCTGCTCGCGCAGCTCTTTGAGGAGCGCGGCGACTACCGCAAGGGCCTGACGGCACGCATCTGGGCGTGCCAGCTCGAGCCGAAGAATTTCGACCAGTGGCTAGAGTGCGCACAACGCGCGATCGAGCTGCGCGAGGACTTCCCCGACGACGCAGATGAGATCACAAAGCAGGCCATCCAGTGCTACTCGGGCGTGCTCAAGGGCGATGTCAACCACCGCGGGGCACGCTATGGGCGCGCTGCCCTCACCATGGAGCGCGGCGGCATCAAGGGTGCGTGCCGCGATTACGAGTTCCTGGTCAAGCGAGATTTCACAGATCTTTACGCGTTGCGGAGTTGGGCAGAGACTGCAGTCTTGCTGGCGGAGTCGAGCAGGGCAAGCGTCGCGCGCAAGTACGAGGCCGTCATTGAGGACGTCATTGCGTCGTATCGCCAGGCAATTACGCACTATCGGCAGTCGGGCTTCGAGCAGGTCAACGCTTTCGACTGGGAAAGCCTTACCGTGCTGGTCGAGCTGCTCATCTACGTCAAGAAGTTCGCCGAGGCTGCTTACGAGCTCAAGTTCCTTTCGCGCTGGCTGCTGCAGCGCGACGACGAGACGTTCTGGGACGACTGGCCGGACGATGATCGGGAATGGGACGAGGACAATACACGGAGGATCGCCGTGGAAGGCTTTCAGCCTGGACGGCATCCGATATCATCCTATGGTGCTGGACTGCCACTTTCGCTAAGGACGAAGCTTGCGGTGATACGCTTAGAGTTGCGCCACGAGGAAGAGGCCACGGTGAGCAATCAACGTCATACCTAACTATTGATACGCAGAGACGAGCAGAGACTGATCCAATTTTGATACACAGCGACATCTTCAATGGCTAGATCCGTTCGGCTCCAATGCCATGGAGCTCTTTTCCCAACACTCGCACCTCCTGGTCGAGATAGCGGGGACGTTGTACGAGGTCGGCAAGATCCAGATGGCACTGCAGTACTACGAGCCGCTCCTGAACAACCCCGAGAATCTCGACGGCCGCTCCATGTATCGTGCTGGCAAGTGCTTCCTGGAGATCAACGATAATCGTCGCGCGGAAGAGTGCTTCGCAGCAGCAATCGAGTCAGATGAGAGCAACGACCAGGCGTCTATCGATGCCCGCTATGAGCTGGCCAAGATGTACGAGGCTGTGCGCGAGGAGAGGGAGGCGTTGATCTTGGTCACAGAAGCTATGAACATGGCCCAAGCGCGGGATGCCGACTACGAAGACGACGGCCAGGATGATGATGACGAAGACGACGACGACGATGACGAGAACGGCGACAGGGAAAGGCGTGCACGAAAGAGGAAGGCAAAGAAGACGCACCAAGTCAGACAAGCGACGAGAAGACTTGGTGGCGAGAAGCCTAAACCTAGGGCACGCCGGCTGCCGGGAGCTTCTGCAGGAGGTGCGACTAAGAGACACCGCCCGCGTGTGTTTGCGCGCCGCGAAGAGCTCGAGAGGGAGCAGCTGCTCAGATCGGCGGAGTTGGCCGAGAAGTGGCGGATCGTGCGCGAGTGTCGCGAGCAGTTTGGCTCGAGCAGACCAACGGGCCCGCCCGCGCCGCTCATGGCGGCTGCACGCGAGTTGATTGAGGATTTTCAGTCGAACAAGCAGTTTTACTCGTGGGAGCGATATCTCGGCCACATTGGCTTGAAGCAGGATGACCGGAAGGGCGTGACCAAGAGCACGAATCTCATGGAGATGGCGGAACGGTTATCCCACAGTGAGTACCCATAACTGTCCCCCCTTTGCAGTTGGGTGTGGGGAGTATAGAAGTTGACCGTATCCGTAGCACTGGATCCAGAGTCAGAGAATGCGTCTAGGCCACTCGGGGATCGCGTAGGCTTTGCCTACCGAGGTGTGCCTTTCAACGAGTGGCTAGACTTGTTCTTGGAGTATGCCACGGGACTCGCACACGCCGGCAAGTATCAGCAGGCGTATAGTGTCTGCGAGTCGGCTCGAGATGCCGTCATGTTTTCGAACTCAAAGGATGACCTCTTTGTCATCCACGTAGCATGGGCAGGTAAGAACCGGTAGCTCTCCTTCTTCACAAAAATAAACGGCACCACTAACTATAAGTTCCCACTCCACAGCCTGCGCACTCCGTGCACGAGACGAAGAGACCTGCGTGGCTATTGCCCGATATTTCATGCGCAACAACCAATTCGACACGGACCCATTCCGGCTATTCTCGGCCGTGTCGCGCCTGTGTCCATCGCCGGCGTCTTGGTACGCCTCGGGCCCTGTCCAGAAGTACATGCTGCGGCAGATCAAAATGATGGATCGAGCCGTGTCCGGTGGGAAACTGAATCCCAAATGGAGCCACAACAGAAGCAATGACAACGATGATGGTGGTGACGGCCAGAGGTCGTATCCCAGCAAGGAACTCGACGTCACGCTGCTGACCCTATATGGTCACGTCCTGTTCATTTCGAACAGCTTTACTTACGCATTGAGTATGGCCCACCCGTTCACTCACTTCCTGACTCAACAGCGTAGAAGGACATTCTCCTTTGCTTTTCCGCCTTAGCTTGTGGAGACAAAAGACAGACCCTCTCTGACCGTTGTGCGTTTACACGAGCAGATTATTTCCAGCGTGCCTATGCCGTCGACCCGAACAACCCAATGATCATCCTCAGCATAGGCCAGTGCTACGTGCACTACGCGCTCAAGCGCCAGTCCGAGAACCGACAGTACATTATCGCGCAGGGCTTCATGTTCCTGCATCAGTACTACGACATGCGCACAAAGCCCTCGTCGTCGTCGTCACCGGGCTCCAAGGAAGCGACCCCCGCACAGCGCCAGGAGGCACACTACAACCTCGCCAGAACATACCACGCCGTGGGACTGCCGCACCTGGCGGTCGAGTACTACCTCCGCGTGCTGCGCGATGTGCCCCCTCCCCCGGCCACGCCTGCTGCTCGAGAAGGAGAGGACGGAGGAGGAGCAGCAGCAGATATCATGGGCACGGCCGACCTGTCCAAGGAGGCTGCGTTCAACTTGCAGCAGATCTGCTTCGTGGGTGGAGACCTGCAGGGGATGCGGGAGATTGGAGAGAAGTATCTCGCTCTGTAGAGACCTTCTGGAAAAACGGATAGGCAGATAGAGAGACGTCTATAGTCATCCGGCGCCGCCATCGAGCTCCTCGTTCCCAAAAAGAATAATAAGAATGATGGAAAAGTTCTCCCTGATTCACATGTTTTGCATTGTACGAGAAGACGGCATTCTTTGCGGCCGCGGGACCCTTTCCCGGCGGTAATGCGAGCGTAGTTGGTCTCCGGTGTCGAGATACATGTGTATGAAGATTTTAAAGACGAAAGCAACACTGGGAGTGTAACGGCACACCAGAGACATGGCCAAAACATAAAATGAATCACACAGTACAAATCACAAAAAGGATGGTCGCAACAAGTGTCTTCGAGCGCATACAAGTCGTTCCATTGATGTAACGCAAGTTTCGGGCCTTGGAAGATCGGAAGACCATCAAGTTCCTGCCATGGCTACCGTGCGAAACAAACGCAGATGTCATGATTCTCGTCGTCCCGGCCCTGCCCTGTCCTGTCCTGTCATGCTCACACGAGCTGCCTCTACTTTCCAGCTCGCGTGCTGCCTGCACGAGGAACGAGACCGCCCAGAGCAATGGGAGCATGATAGGAAGCAATTGGTTGGAAGCCCCTGGAGGAAGAATACGGCGTTAGTAAAAGTAGGAAACAGAGTTCGCCTGCTAGCTAGCTGCGCCCGGAAAAGGGTGCGAGGCAAGAAACGTTGGGGGAGGTGCTATGTAATTCAAAAACTCACTTTGTCAAGTCAAATCCGCCCTCCTCCTCCTCCTCAACCTCTGGCTCATCCAGATCGGGGGCTGCGGCACTTGTCGTCTCATGAGTCTGGGCACGCATCGATCTCGTCGGGCTCGCCACTGGTGACTGCCGATCCCCAGGCACTGGCGGTGGACTACTGCACTCTGGCAGCAGCCTCGATGGCTTTGACGGGCTGATATTGAATTTGAGTGGTGTGCTGTTGATGTCTGCGTACCGCCAGAACGGCGCCGGTGAGCTGGTCGGCATGTGCTGGCTCGGTCTTTGCGCGGTGCTTGGCGGTGCAAGCCGGGGATGGACGCGCAGGGGCGCGGGCGTGACGAATGAGGCTCCATCCTCAGGCTGATATGAAGATGACAGCGTTGGAGGGGATCGCGCTAGGTTGTCAGAAGGAAATGAGCTGGAAGCACCCAACGGCTTGCGCGCGCGAGGTAGCGGGCTGCCATCTTGGAAACTCCCTGGGCCCGAAGGAAGCAGCTTGCGGTCCGGGGTCATCTGCGCAGCATTGTAGGAGGAAGTTGGCGGCGTGGACCTCGTTGGCGAGCCCTTGCGCTTACGAGCCGAGATGGTCTCCCGTGCTATGGTGTCTCTCAGCGCAGATGCGGCCTGTCCGGCCTGGCTGGGGGAAGACGGCGCAGATGAGCCCCGGTGACCACCACGTCCGCCCTTGTACGCAACGCGGAACATCTCCTCCTTAGCCTCGGGGACAATCTCCCATTTCATGCCCTTGCCAGGCTCATCTGTCGACCTGGGGGCCTTGGAGAAGGATTTGTTCAGAGACAGATTGTGTCGAATGGAGTTCTGTCACGTACACAAGTTAGCTTGACTGGCGGCACGATCTCGCGTACAAGCCCCTGGGCGTGAGTCTACTTACCTGCCATCCTCCTGCTGGCTGTGCTCTGTAGTAAGCATAGTTACTGGTGATGTATTGGTATACACCGGCGAGGTTGAGCTTGTGTTCCGCAGTAGCCATGATCGCCTGTGTGATCATTTGCGCGTAGCTGAAATGTGGCTTGATGTGCTTGTTCTCGTCCTTGCTCAAGTCCACGTCGTTCTGGTTCATGATCATCGAGGCCGAGCCATTGTGGGCCGGAGTCCTGAATGCTGAGCTCGGAGCTGCCCGTTTGCTTGAAGGTGGAGTGCCGACGCGTTTGTAGTCGGGTGGCGCGGGTGCGATGGGCTGTGGAAACGACGATGCCTGCTCACGGGAAGAACTTGGCCGAGCAGGCGCATGAGTCGACGAGGATGACGACGGGAAATGCTGAGTAGGCACTGTCGAGGGCAGGGCCGTCCTGTGGTCATTATGGGCAGTCGCCGAGGAAGAAAGCAGAGGACTTTGCTGCGTCAAGCCCTTCTTCTCGTTCAGACGCTCCAGGTATGTTGGGTGGACGCGGATTGGCACAATATTGGTCGGCATGACAAACATCATCTCGAGACCCCCCACCTCGATCACCTCGCCGCTGCTGAGCGCGTGAGGCTCATCTTCCCGACGCAGAGGGTTGTTGTCAACCTTGACCCCGTTGCGGCCCTTGACCTGCAGAAACCAGCGCTCGGCGTCCGAGTCAAAGTAGATGACGGCAGTCTGGCGGGAGACGTGCTTGCCAGGGCCGAGGTCGATGTGGACAAACTCGGGGTCGTCGGGCGCGACAGTGGTGGCAGCGCCGGGCTCCGAGGTACGGCCAATGTTGATGGAGAGCGAGGTGATGAAGTAGGTCCAGTCGTGGGCGGCGATCTTTGCGTAGGCCTCGATCGACTCTGCGCGGGCCTCGTGGATGGCGTTTGAGTGGTCGATGCGAGCCTGGACCTGGCCAGCCTGTGCAAGGCGCTGTGTGACCTGGGCCACCAGGCGATCGTCGTCGTTGAGGTTGGCCGAGGTGTCGGCGAGGAGACTGGAGCCTTCCTCCTCTATGGGTTCCGATGTTGGTTCCTGGACCTGCCAAAGGCGCCAAGACGGTTAGTGATGCGTTGCATGGAAGCGGGGGACAAGCTTGCGTGTCGAGGCTGACCTTCTTCCTGCGCTTGGGCGGGCGGGAGGGGGAGGCTGTCTGGTCTGTCGGCGCCGGGCTAGGGCTGCTGTCGCGTACTTTGCGAGTGCGCTGGGAGCGCTTCGAGGAAGGCGGCATGGCTGCGGAAGCGTGTGTATCGTGCGCCGCAAGGGCGTTGGGTAGTGGGCGAGGTGCCGCAGGGTGGGTTGGTGGGAGAAGTGGATGGAGGACAGGGCGTGGTAGGATAGCTGGAGGAGAGATCGCGGACAGCTGGCCAGGGTGCCGTGATTGCTAGGGGCGCGAAGCGGTGGCCTGTTTGTGGTTGTGGTGGTTTGTGTGGTGAGGCTGGTGGTGATGGGTGGGTGTGGTGGTAAAGTGGTGGTGGACCAGCAAAGAATTCTAGAACGCGCATCGCACGCGCGTGAGCAGAGTGGGCGAGGGAGGCTGGCGGCAGGGGTGCTAAGTGCAGCCAGCCAGCCAGCCAGCCAGTGGGTACCTAGGTACGTTACGCAAGGGACTGGCTGGGCCACCGATCTGGTCACATCAGCCAGGCCAGCGTCTGTGTTGGTCACGGCAACAGGGCAGGACCCGCCCACGCATCATACATAGAGTTTTGTTAGACATGTAATCAGGGACGACGCCCGCCAAAACTGTGCCTGCGTGCCACCTGCGAGCCGCAAAACACGCAACGAGGCTGGCAATGCATGCACGACCTGGGCGTGGCTTGCGGCGCGTCTAGTGTCGCTCGCCCGACCAGAGCGAGCTGGCTGCATTGGATGAATCCAAGTGAAACACGGTGCTGCTTACCTCACCCATGCCCGCCCGTCAATGTCCCTTCACATGCCTGCTAGGCTGGGCTGGCTGGCCCCACACTGGCCACCTGCCACTTCCCAGCGCGCGCCTGCACGCACTCCCAGGGCTTCAAGGGCTTGCAAGCTTGCAGGCAGTCCGCTGTGTCGATCCGGCTGCCGCCAACGGCCAGGCCCGCCTACCTGCGGCTCCTGGAGGGGTCCATGCTGCAAATTCCCATCCTTCGTCGCCCCCAACCAGGAAAAAAAGGCCCCGATCACAGGCGCGCCCTACGCCGCTCGTCATTCTCTGCAAAAATTCAGCCATTCCCCATCCAGCTTGGACACTCGTCCTGACTGCTCTGCATACTTAGGAGGTCCTTAGTCCTCTCCGTCTCGTCTTCTCTCCTCCGTGACCCGTCATTGTCCTTCCCACATCTCGACACCCTCAACTTCTCAAGAGCTCGCCACTGTCTGTTGGATCGGTTGTTGAAACTCTTCACCTCGTCCTTTCTTTCCTGTCGTCCACACTCACATCTCGCACACCATGGCGGTCGAAACTTCCAACGGCACCAACGGCTCGGCCGAGACGGCTGGTCAGCTGCCGTTCCGCCTCCCGCTCCCTGCCACTGTCCACTCGGCCGAGGAGCTCATTGGCAACACCCCTCTGGTCCGCCTCAACAAAATCCCCCAGTCTCTCGGCATCACCGCCCAGGTCTACGCCAAGGTCGAGCTCTTCAACGCCGGTGGCTCCGTCAAGGACCGCATTGCCTACCGCATGATCACCGAGGCTGAGAAGAGCGGCCGCATCAAGCCCGGTGACACCCTCATCGAGCCCACCAGCGGCAACACCGGCATCGGTCTGGCCCTCGTTGGTGCCATCAAGGGCTACCGCACAATCATCACTCTCCCCGAGAAGATGTCCGCCGAGAAGGTCTCTGTCCTCAAGGCTCTCGGTGCCACAATCATCAGAACCCCTACGCAGGCCGCGTGGGATGCGCCCGAATCCCACATTGGCGTCGCCCGTCGCCTCGTCAAAGAGATCCCCAACGCACACATCCTCGACCAGTATGCCAATGTCGACAACCCGCTGGCTCACGAGTTTGGCACCGCTGAAGAGATCTGGGAGCAGACCGGTGGCAAGATCACCTGCCTCGTCGCCGGTGCAGGCACTGGTGGCACCATCTCCGGTATCAGCAAGGGCCTGCGGAAACACAATGCTGACATCAAGATCGTCGCCGCCGACCCCCACGGCAGCATCCTCGCCGTTCCCGAGTCGCTCAACGACGACCACCGCGATGAGTCCTACAAGGTCGAGGGCATTGGCTACGACTTCATCCCCGAGGTTCTCAGCAGGGACCTGGTCGACAAGTGGTACAAGACGGACGATCGGGAATCGTTTGCTCTCGCCAGGAGGCTCATTGCCGAGGAAGGCCTGCTCGTCGGCGGGAGCTCCGGTAGCGCCATGGCTGCGGCCATCCGCGCCGTCAAGGACCTCAACCTTGGCAAGGACGACGTCGTCGTTGTGGTCCTACCCGACAGCATCCGCAGCTACCTCTCCAAGTTCGCTGACGACGACTGGCTCGCGGCCAACGATCTCCTCCCTGTGCCCGACGAGGCTGTCAAGGAGGCTGTTGCAAAGGACACCGCCAAGGAAGTGCCCAACAGCAACCCCTACAGCGGCGCTACGATCCGCTCACTGCGCCTCAAGCCCGTCATCTCCGTCACATCCAGCACCCCGTGCTCCGAGGCTGTCGAGACCATGCGTGACAAGGGCTTCGATCAGCTCCCTGTTCTTGCCGCACCAGGTGGCAAGCTCGTTGGTCTGGTCACTCTTGGAAATGTCCTGAGCTACCTGTCACGCGGCAAGGCCACCAAGCAAACGACCGTGGGCGATGTCATGTTTGACTTTGGCCGCATGGACGAGGTTGTCACAGATCCCCGGGAGGGCAAGGGCATCAAGAGGCGGAAGTTTGTCGAAATCACCCTGGACACGCCCTTGACTGAGCTCAGCAATTTCTTTGAGTGGAACAGCGCGGCGGTCGTGACCGAGCCCGCCAACGATGGCGACGATAAAAGCAAGGTCCTCAGCAAGCCGGTGGCCATCGTCACCAAGGTCGATCTGCTGACCTGGATGGTTAAGCAGATGAAGGCATAAGTAATTAGAGATGGCATTGGGCGTTCGCATACAGCCAGCAAGGGAACGATTTCATGTAGATTTGGAGCGACTTCAACACACCTAAACTGGACACAGAGCCAGTGGCTGCATTTTAGAGTTGGCGCAGGCGTTTTGTTGGGATACATATATACGTTTGACTTTGGTACATACCATATGTTTCCTCTTGTTTCTCTACCTGTATTTGGGAAACAGCTCGTGTACTCTGGATACACACGGGTAAGAGACTCAACATCTCTCATGGACCAAATTAGTGTGGAATGGCAGCAATCTGAATAACAGCTCAAGGGCCTTTTGAGGCTTGCCCTATGCTGCACGGCACGTCGCACAATAGCCCTGACTGAGAACAGCGTATTCTGAGATGTAAAAGTGTCTTGGCATGCCAGGACCCGGGGGCATCCTTGACAACATTCTCAACACTGCCAGGCAGCCCAGTCGCCCAGCTTCCATTCTGGCATCGTCGAAACGTGAACAATATACGTGGTTTTTTTATTGATCTATACATTACATGCTTTTGCTGGATTGCTTCCTGCCATCTTTTCAAAGACTAGCCCTGTCCGAGGCGTGTGTATACCTTGACGACCTGACCACTCACAGATCAAGATCACGATCAGACCAGACCAAGAATCAGATGCGCTCGGCGATCCACTCCCACCACTTATCCACCTTGCCCTCGAGGACGCTCCCCGCGACCACCTCGACCTCGATGTCGAACTCGCGCATCTGGGCGAACGTGAACTTTTCGGTGCCGTACGCGCCGAGCCAGGCGTCGTTCTCCTCGGAGCCAATGTCGTCGACGCCGACGCCCGAGTCGAGCATGCCCTTGCTGCGGAACGAGCGGACGCGAGTGATCTCGGCCTCGAGGCTGCTGCGCACCAGGGAGGCGGGCATCGCGGTGAAGAGGTCGGCCTTGTTGGCGGCCACGAGCAACGGGATCGGGCGAGGGGCGCGCGAGGATGACGAGGACGAGGCGGCGCGCTTCTGCAGGGCGAGGAGCACGTCGTAGAGGTATGCGGCGGCCGGGGCGAGGAGGTCGTCGAGGGTGGCGGCGTCGACCACGTAGACTATTCCCCGGAGGGAGGTCGCGGAGGATGCGGATGCGGACGACGAAGAGGCAGTGCTCTTGCTGCTGGCTGCCGCGATCGGGGCGAGGGCCTGGTTGCGCAGCTTGGGGTGGCCGGGGCTGTCGAGCAGGAGGAACTTCTTGTGGGAGCCGGGGGCGTCATCGCGTGCGGAGTCGCGGTAGTTGAGCGGCGCGGAGCCGGCCTCGGACGAGACGGTGAGCTCGACCGAGTGCGGTACCTGCGAGGTGTGGGTGGCGGCGGAGCCCGCGTCGCCGCGCTCGAGGAGCGTGAGGAGCGCGGTCTTTCCGGCGTTGGGGGGCCGACGAGGAGGATCGAGGGCAGCGAGGTGTACGGCGTCGAGCGGGTGATGAAGAGGTGGAGGAGGATTGGCACGAGCAGGACGATGAGGCCGCCGGCGATGAAGACGGTTTTGGAGGGCGTGAGGAGGAACTCGAGGACCTCTGTGAAGGTGGCCATAATGGCGGCGGCGGCGGCGGCGGCGGCGGCGGTCGAGGGCGGTGCTGATGTGTGTCCCAAGCACCAAAGGCGAGCTAGCTTGAAGCAATTGCGTAGATGTCGTTGGCAACAAAGATGCACACGCTGGAGGCGGAGGGCAGGTGGGGTGGCGGAATTGTGCAGGGCTGTAGAACAGCTTGTGCAGAGCGAGCGAGGGTTGTGCTTGTGCTTGTGCGTGTGCTTGTGCGGGGACGGGTAATGGGATGCTGGGAGCTCTCCAAAAGTGACTTTGGGGGGTGTGCAATTAGCAGCCCAGCGCACTGGACTTGTTAGTGAGCAGACTACGCTACTCTAGATGCTATCCACGAAACCCCTGGTTCTGGTGCCGTGTCTCCGGCACCTCAGCTTGATGACAGGGCCATAGTGTGCCGTCCGTGAGGCCCAAATGAGCTTGCAAGTTGCCTTGAGCGCGGCCAGGCGAGACCCAGTGTTGTGCCGGTGATCTTTAGTTTCTCAAGGTACCTTACATAAGACTACCTTCAGGCATCTTGACACAACGCTCTACGGGCTTATGCTCGAGGTTGACAGACACCTAGCCTGGGGCATGACGATGGCTCGGCAGCGGCGGCCAACTGACCTGGCACTGGCGTTGCTCTTTGCAGCATAGCCCCAGCGGCGCCCCCCCATTGCGGCTGCCCCCCTGGCCGCCTGTCCCTGGATCCTGGATTTTGAGTGGCCGGCGCCCGTGCTCCGCCGCAGCATCGCAGGCCGCGCCAGCACCTCCCGCTGGGACCATGCCATTTCCCCATGAGCATATGTCACCCGGTTTGCCTTTGCTCACTTCTCTACTTCTCCCTGGTCCTCATCTCTCGACGACAACGACCCGACGGCCTCGAGTAGCGTGCTCGCGTTGGTGCCACAGCTCACAAGCATTCGTTCCATCCCCGAAGCCTACAACAGCTTCCCAGCGCCGCCCTGCTCAGGCCTATCCCGTCCCGCTGGACAGCCGTGTGGGCGACATTCCCATGTCCCAGAGCACCAAGCCGGCCGGCGCATCGCACAATGCTGCCGCGCCGTCCCAGCCCTCGTCCAAGGCGGCCGTTGCCGCCCCAAAGCTCGACTCGCACGATGTAGAGATGGGCCGCCTCAATGGACACGACGGCCCCGCCGCCGGCGACACTGATGCCCAGCCAGACATTATGCAGCTTGCCCGGACCGGCGACATTGCCGCGATGCAGGCTCTCTTTGATGATGAGGAGTTCGACGCAACCTACACAGACGACGAGGGCATCACCCCGCTGCACGTGTGTTACCCTCGGCATGATCCTGTGCTCCGTGTTTGTATAATGTCCATGTGCTAATTCAGTTGTGGGCGCAGTGGGCCGCCATCAACAACCAGTATGCCATGTGCAAGTTCCTCCTCGACCAAGGCGCCGAAATCAACCAGAAGGGCGGCGACTCCGTAGCGACTCCTTTGCAGTGGGCAGCACAGCGCTCAAACTACTACACAGTCGACCTGCTGCTCCAGCGCGGAGCCGACCCCCTGATCACAGATTCCCAAGGCTACAACACATTACACATCTCGACCTTCAACGGCAATGTTCTCCTTCTTGTCCTCCTCCTGCACCAGGGCATTCCCGTCGACGTTGCCGATGCCTACGGACATACGGCCCTCATGTGGGCGGCTTACAAGGGCTTCCCGCAATGCGTCGACTTGTTCCTCCGCTGGGGTGCAAGCGTCCACGAGACCGATGAGCAAGGCTTCACAGCGCTGCATTGGGCTCTGGTGAAGGGGTCTCCCCAGTGCATCCTCAAGCTCATCGAGTACGGCTCCGACCGCTTCGCCAAAACGCTGACTGGTAAGACCCCGGCCATCACCGCTCAGGATCTCAACACGGTCTCTGCGTGGCACCGCGCCCTGAAGGAGTGCGGCTACGACCAAGACGGCCACCCTGTGACGCCATGGTGGCCAGGTGCATCTCTGTTCCTTCAGGACAAGCGCGGCTTCATGAACAAGTTTCTGTTCCTGCTACCGACGCCACTGTTGTGGACAGAGCTCATGGTGTTTGCCTATCTACCGGTTGTCCTTGCTGTGCCAGTTGCTCTGTTTGTTGGGTTTGGGTTTCAGTGGATTACGAATCAATTGCTCGAATATGCGCCTCCAGATATGCGGCACTTGCACAAGACCGTAAGTGAATACGCACATTCTCGCTGGGGATCCTGCTAATGGTCGTCTAGCCGTGGTTGACTGGCATCTTTGCGGCTTCATTGTTCCTTGTCGGCTTCCGGTGGCTGACAGTTGTTCTTCCCGGTAAGTCGTTGTTTTTGTTGTTGTTGCTGTCCCCTTCTAGACGCGCCTTTTTCACTGACGTTTTCTCAGCGACACTTGGGGATCACATGCTCTTGAACATCATCTTTGTCACCAGCTTTGGGCTGTGCGGATATTTCTATGCCACGTCTATGGTCTACGACCCCGGCTTCGTGCCAAAACTAAACGGCATTGCCGAGCAGAAAGCGGCCATTGACGAGCTGTTGGCGCTGTGGAAGTTTGACGAGAACAACTTTTGTGTCACGTGCATGATCCGTACGCCATTGCGAAGCAAGCACTGCAGGCGATGCCAGCGCTGCGTCGCCAAGCATGACCACCACTGCCCTTGGATCAACAACTGCGTGGGCATCAACAACCACCGCCATTTCTTCCTCTATCTACTGGGCTTGACGGGCGGTATCATCTCGATCGACTACCTGCTTTACTACTACCTGTCGGATGCCTCGACGAACGCACCCAAGGAATGCCTGGTGTTGACCGAGTCCCTCTGCCAGGTTGTCAACGCAGACGCGTACACTGTCTTCCTGGGGCTATGGACAACCCTGCAGCTCACCTGGGTGTCCATGCTCATCTTTGTGCAACTCATCCAGGTTGCCCGGGCCATGACGACGTACGAGAACATGTACGGTATCCAGGACGGCAGCGCATCGACAATCGGCTCGGTCTTTACGAGCACTGGCGCACCGCTGGATCCCAGCCATCCGAACGCGGCGCCTGCTTCGGCTGCCGACGACCCTCTCGGTGCCCGTGGTGGCCGAGGCGCCCACCGTCATGGAGGTTTCATCAAGCAGTGGTCGCGCATTCTCGGTGTCGACACGTTCATCGAGACCGCCACTGGCCGTGGTGCCGCGACTGGCAAGAAGATGCGCAAGAAGCGCAACCCGTACAGCCGTGGGTATGTGCAGAACTGCCGGGACTTCTGGTGTGACCCGGCCCCTGTGTTTGGTCGCAGGGAGACGGGCGACGCCGTGCTTGGCGGGCACAAGATCAACTATACGGAAGTCTACGAGAGCCCGGCAATGATGGAGCGCGGCGGTGGGGGCCGCAGGAGAGGCGGCTACGAGGCAGTTGCTGCCGACGACGCAGTGTAAAGAGCTAAAAGGGGGAGGCAGGTATCAATGTGTTTATAGATCAAGCATGGCCGCGGCCGGCGATGATTAATGATAAAGACTAATGAGAGATGCGAAGTTGTGGTGTCCTGGCTGTTTGGATATCACCGCGTCATGAAACCGTGAATGCCGCCCATCACAATCTGCTACAGTTTTCGAGGTAATTGCCATGTCTACTCGGCACATATGCTCGGTCACACGGGACCCAACGTGAACGACGTCAACTTGGAATTCGAGAGGGGGGTGTCAAAAGAGCGCCTAAGCTCTCTGAGAACAGGTAGGTCGCGAATTCTTGTCAAAAGGTAATAGCTCCAACAGTAAAACGCAAGCAGAGTTTTTGTCTTTGAAGGTTTCTAGCTGTCACATGTTAACTACCACAATCCGCATTGGTGGCGTGCCTAGACTGTCCCTAGGCCTCGAGGTGAACGGTTGGGACTAGGATGCTGGATCTATGTCGAAGCTAGACATGTCCACCAAAACCAACCCTTTTGGAGTAGGGATCGCGGGGAAAACAACAATCACAACATTACACACAAATACACATACAGGACACGCATATTGCCTGGGACTTTTGTTTCTTTTCCTCTCCGGTAGTAACCTTTCGCCTAGATTGAGACAAGGGAGAGAGATCAGCGGATACGGTCCCCGACGGCAATGCGATGAGGGGGAGGGGGAGCGACAAGGAAAACGCAAAGAGAGCTGACACGTCGGGAATGATCGGTTTCCTTCTTCGTTTGGCAACAACGGAGCTTTTTGCAGAAATCGGGATAGTTCCTACGTGTATGGTATACATCGCCGTCAAAGAAGGGAGGGGAGGGGGGGAGGTTGTCTTGCTCCTTCGCAGCTACCGATGATCATCAGAGAGAACCGACGAATGCGAGAGTCCTGGGTCTCGGGAGAGTGCCTGATTTTGAGCTAGAGATTTGTGTCAGGCATCGACAGCTGTCTGGTGGTGGAAGTGAGCGTGTACTATGGTAGGTATGTGGAAGTATGTGTGGAAAGTCCAGGTATGCATGTCTGGCATGCAGTGAGCCGCGCACGCGCACACTTGACTTGCCAGGGTCCAAGGCGCTAAGCCTTCAGCTCGTTCCAGGTGATCGGCATCGAGCATCTAATTAATCTCAACGATAAGGACGGATTTGTGCGACTCGTCATGTTTCCGCATCTCGCTGCCGCCCGGAGAAAGAAGTGCAGATCTCCGACTTTTTCTGGTTGGTCAGAGCACACCAGAACAATCGGGACGAAGCTCCCAGCTCTGGGCCTCGGTTTAATGCGAGAGGGTTTCTGGGGCATCAGATGAGATCCAAGCAGCCAGCCGGGCCCATTCATCGATGCCGGAATCCTCTTTTTGACTTCGGACGCCAAGAGACAAGCAAAGACAGCCCACAAGGTTTTTTTGTCCCCCCCCCCCCAGTCCGGATGCGGCACTTCAGCTAAGGCAGACTTTCGTCGAAACGAGCACGCAGGGGAAGACCAGAAGACCGCCCACTCACAGATTACCGTTGTGATGGCCGCCGCCGCTGGTGCCAGCCTCGGGCTGGGCTGGTGATCCCTACTTTATCTGCTCTGCGTGCTTCTCAGCCCCAGTGGGGACCAAGGGAAGGCCGCCCGCCTGAAAAGCAAACGTGCCAAATGAAGTAAACGTGATTCGATTCACGCTCCTAAGTTCCGGGGCTTGGGGCTTGGGGCTTCCAGGACAAGTGCCGAACCGTGACGTCCTCCCCCCCCCTCCTCTTGGGCTCTCGTCCTAGTCCTAGTCCTAGTGCCGTGCCAATGTGTCAGTGCTTCCCAGGGTCGGTGCGTGTGGTTTGATTAGAGAGGCGCAGGGCTGAACCGCCTAGCTCGCAGCCATCCCCCACGAGCCGTGCGCCCGCTTACTCTCAGCCAGTTACAGTTTAGCTGTGCGCTTTGGGAGGGAGTGGCTGCGCTGGCATGAGACGCACGCCGATGACTTACACGGGCGAGCAGATTTTTGGTATCAGGGTGTGCAGGGAAAGGAGAAGAAAAGGGCGAGGCGCCAATGACTGCTTGGTGTCTGGATGAGTACAAGTATTGGCGAGTCTGCTCCTTGAAGGCGTCGCCATGTTCTGGTCCTCTGTCACTTACACGCTGCTCTCCGATCTCTAATTCATCAGCAACAACAACACACAACCCATCTACACACTCGTTCATTTTTTTATTGCTACTTTTCTTCTCTTCTCACCATCATCAACAATGGCTGCCCCCGTCGATCAGAGCCAGCAAAACTTTGCTGCCGCTCCTCCTGCTGCTGCCGCTCCTCCTCAGGAGAAGCCCGCTCCCGCTGCCGCCGCTGGTCCGGCCAACGGTCCGATCAACGACGCCGACATTGAGGACTGGAAGAAGCGCTTCAACGAGGTTCTCGCCAAGCCCAGCGAGCATGTCAACTCCAAGTCGCCCGCGACGGCCCAGTCCTGGACAAACAGCCTGTTTGGCTGCTTCAGCCCCATCGACCTGTGCTGCATGACCTGGTGCCTGCCCTGCGTCACCTTTGGCAAGACGCACCACCGCGTCCGCAAGAACGGCTCCATGGAGGGCTGGGAGCCCATCAACACTTCTGTACGTCAACTGTGGTTCTTATCCTCATCTCTTCTTTCTTCCTGTGTAGACACGAAATGATGGACTAACACCTATCTTGTCTCCCAGTGCCTCATGTTCTGCGCCTCCTCCTGCTTCGCCCTCCACTGGATCCCCATGTCCATGCAGCGCGCCGACATCCGCGCCCGCTACAACCTCCAGGGCAGCTGCCTCGTCGACATTGCCACCGCCTGCTGCTGCGGCCTCTGCGACCTCGTCCAGGCCGAGAAGGAGTCGGAGCAGCGCGAGGCCCTCCTCCGCAGCAACGGCCCGGCCGCCGAGCAGTACCGCCCTGCCGAGGGCATGGCTTATGGCCCTACCGCTTGAAGGCGCTGACGGTGGGCGAACTTGGAGTTCGTAAAGGAAGTAGTAGAAAAGAGTGAACAACATTGTGGAATACCTGCGCGAAACCGGGAATATGCTTTGGTTTGCTTTGCAGAGATAAAGAATGATACCCTTCGATAATAGTACAGTTGATATAATTTCATCCCCATCGGGAACAATAACGGCCTCGGCACCATTACGTGATACGACTTGCAAAGTAATAGATGCTGACGATTTACACGGAAGCTGTGCCTCAAGATCAACACTATCCTGTCAGCATGCCCTTTCGAAAGTAACTGCTTTGGTAGGTATTTATGCCTGCGCCAATGAGGCAGGCAAGCCGGGAATGAAAGATCGAACCGCGACTGGTAATGTCAGCGCATTGTTCCTACATAAACCGCATGCGGAACCACGTGGAGTGTGTAGTGTGGGCGAACCCTTCGCCATCTCTGGCGTTGATAGCGAGCACGCTCGTGTCGGTATTCCTCGCTGGCTATACGTCACGATGCACAATGCCAGTAAGCGACATGCTGGCATTTATGAGGCAAAGGTCTAACCATACGTGCTTGGCTTCAAACGAAGGTCTCGTTGTCGGTCTCCCTCATCAGAGGGGTTGTCGCCTCAGGTGTTTCCGGCCTTGTGAGCTGTTGGGTACATTAAGCTGGTGCATGTGGCATTTACTAATCCCGTCGTCCGTTCGTAGTGGGGCGGCTACTTGATTAGGCGTTTGAAAGTATATAATAATCGCATGCGTATGTTCACGTATACAATTTTCCTTTGACACGTGCAGCCGGTTGGTCCTTTCAGAGGAGGTTGTTCGAGGAGAGAGCGGCTTACATGAGGGTCCGCGGTGGCTCCTTCCTAGTTTGTCTCCATCTATATAAGCACCGATAAGCGCCTGACCCGACTAACAGAAAGCTCCTGTAACGTAGTGGTACGGTCCATTTTTACCTATACTTTGTCGAAATTTTAACTAATAATTTCCACAGGTTAGCGTGCCGTTCTTATAGCGTACAGGCTTGTCCTTACCCTATGATAGACATGCGGAAGTCGCGAGTTCAATCCTCGCCAGGAGCAACTTTACTTTTTGCATTTGTCCAGAATTTGCACACCTTCTTTTTTGGGTCCACGTCAACATTCTACTATACATTCAATGGAATCGGGCAAATGATTGCAGATGAAGTCGCCAGACCGCTCTCGGCAGATCGTCCCGAGTCCCAGAAATAGGCCCACTTGCGGCTCGCCGGTACTCTATATATAGGGCATTCCGTTTGCAATGACGTCAGTGTAGATGAAACAAGACACCTCAGGCCGCTGCCTTTCTGCCTCAGACCCGCAGGCCTTGTCGCAGCCTGGTTGCAGATTGATGCGGCAGCATGAAATCGAAGACCGAGGAACAGGTGAGGATATTCGCATTTTACCTTGCGCTGACCCCGATGCCTGTCGCGACGATGTGGACGTGATCTCCACCAGACCCCGGATGGTGCACGAACAATCACCAGGCCGGTTTGCATTTGCACCATGCTTTCGACAATTGTGTAGGATCCCATGTCACGTGCACCGTCACGCCATGGACGCTGGATCCAAGATGCCTGCTCTCTGTGGTGTCAGCTCTTGCCATGTTGCGCGATGTTCCCAATTGACTTCTCTGGCTTGACACTGTCGGGCTGGCCTTCAGTATTTTCCAAAACAGCTATCAAGCCTCTAGCCTCCGCATCGTCTTCCATCATCTGAACGCCTGGCTTCTTACTCTTTCTTAGTTTCGCTAACTCCTGTCCATTGCCCCCTGGACCTCTGGACCTCTGAACCTCTGGACCTCTGGCTGTAGGCCTGTCGTCCTTTGAAACCCTCAACATGAGTAATTCAAACCAGCAACCCATCACTGCCAGCCCACGCGAGGTCCCAGTCTAGCTGACACATGGCAGACCACCGCCCTACAGGAATGCAACACTCGAGAGCAACATCTCGAAATCTCGAGTGTTGCACCAAACCGTGAGTCCCACGTGTGTACTGAAGCAAGCCTGTTTGGTTCTAATTTGCCTCCTTCACCTCCGTGGCCGCACACCAGACTTTCCAAAATCCCAGTCCTCTCTTGCGTCTGAATTTGCCAGTCCTGCCTGCATGATTTTCGCAGCAGCATACCCGAGTAATGTACATCAAGCCAGAGAGTCACGTGAAATCCCCAAGAAGATTGATCGAGGCAAGCGTCTATGCCCGTATCCCCACTGCCAGATCACTGCTGGACAAGGGATCTGCACACACACACACGCAGACGAAACACGTCCGTGCTGGGTTTATTTACAGTAGTTTCATCTCATGAAAAAAGCTATATACACATGAAACAAAAGAGAGCCCCTCATCTTCCTCTTGCCGACCCCACGCCTTCCAACATGACTGACACCTTGGTACCACGCCAAAAAGAAAGGGGGGGGAAAGGGAGGGGGGACCGACGATAACAGTTCTACTTGCAAGACACAAAGTCGTTGCCACTGGCGCCGGTGTGGGTGACGACAGCCGCAAACTGGCCCTTTGTGTTGAAGACGACGCGGTCCGGGCCGGGGCTGCCGCCGGTGTAGGGCTTGTAGGTCTTGAGGATGGGGAACTCCTGGTACGGCCCGCTGACGAGCAGTGGGAGGCCCTCGTAGTTGTTGTAGGAGTGAGGGTAGTCGTTGCTGCCTGTTTAATTTTTGTATAAGGTCAGTGAGTGTGTTATTGTTGTTGTCGTCGTCGGTGGTTTCCTGAGATTTGTCTCCTAAATTTTCACCCGAGAAATTGTACAGACGTACCGACTTGCTGGTTGTCCTGGTAGTAGCCGTAGCCCTGGGCGACGGCCTCCTGGATGTCTTCGGCCCAGTAGCAGACGCTGCCGCAGGTGTATTGGCACGACTGGCGGTTCTCGATGGGCCCGGCGGCGACGGAGGACAGGGCGGACAGGGCCGCGACGAGGAGTGTAGGTAGGGTCTGGTATCACCAAGAGTCAGAGTCAGAGTCAAAGTCGTCCAGGGATAGTGTCATGCATATGGATGGCCTGTCGCACCTTGAGGCCGAGCATGACGGGCAGAGATAGAGTCTAGCGGTGCAGGTTTTGTTGAAAGTAGAACGGCCTCTGCCACAAACTCTCTCGGATAAAGATTTGACGGCTACTGTCTACATATGAGGACCGACGGTCTGACGAGGCAAGGCCGGGCAGCTTATATAGATGTGGCCATCGGTGCATGGTGTGCGATTGCTGCTCGCACAAAGAGATAGCCGCCGCTCAGTGCTTAGTGCCCTGTGCTCTGCCGGAGCTGTGCATGGCGGCGATCTGGTGCAACCCGACCCAAGACAGCAGGTCCTGTGGTCTGCGGAAGACACCTGCGTTGCCAAGGGACCTTCCGAAAGAGGCAAGACGACGAGATGACAGGGCGTGGGGATCGGCGCGGCGGTGGCCAGCGGGCGCCCTGGACGCCGGCACTCGCGAAACACGCTGGGCCGGCACGCCGCCTCATTGGGCGCGCTGCTGCGGCACCCCACGATCGACGCGGGCACCATCTCTTGGCTCTTTTGCATGGCACCTTGGCCAGGCATGGCTGCAACATCACCATCCACATCATCATCACCAACATCATCAGCATCACTGACCTGGTGGGCAATGGGCAGTTAGTCGAAGCTGGGCGGCTGGCCACTGCCGCCGCAGACAAGAGGCAGACAGACAGACAGATCCTGCGCGGAATCCCCAGCAGAGCACTCAAAGCCGCCGGCCCTTAGAAGTGCTATCTCAACTACCAACCTGCCCAAACAGGCTCGCGATGCTACGATGCCTCTGATAGGCCTTTGCCAGATCTGGCAACGTCGCAAAGTCTCAGGCACGACACGCCCGTGCGTGGGGATGCAGCCAATACTCAAGCCTGTGCTTGGGGCTCGCTTGCGTCGACCTCTTAGTGGGAAGCCCTTGGTGTACCGCGCAGGCGGCACCCCGCTTCTGAAGGGCCATCTCTTGCGTGCTGGAGACACTGATTCAATGTCCTGCGGATTCCGCAGCTCGGTGCTCACAGCAGGAAAACAGAGTGTGGCCCTCCTATCAGCTCTCTCGATAACTAATGCAGCCAGTCCGTCTCTGTCTGGACCACACGTGCAGCTTCGCGTGCTGTGCAACCGTCCGTGATGGGAGGCCGCGTCATCGTCCGGGGGCTGACCATGAACGCGGACTTGATCTCGGACGCTCCGCCCCTTTCGAGGTCCTTTTATCATGTCACACGCTGATAACAGTCTGTCGATGGGTATACTTATACAAGTGCTGTGTTCAGAAGCCACTCCCCAAGAACGAAATTGGGTGCGGTCAGTACTATATTTGGCTGCCAGAATTGGCGAAATCCCTGCACTACATGGATTGTAATTGAATGCCGTGCTGTCTGTAACAGAAGCAGCAAAGCCACGATTTGGCGATAGGTTCGGGTCGCTTTCCAGCACCTCCTTCTGCCCAAGATCAGAAGGCCTAGTACATTGTCTGTTGTGCGGTCAATTCACTCACACTTGCGCAGACAAGAAGTATTAGGACTTTTTCGTTAATCTTGGGGACTCTATACTTCGCTACATTAGCAGCCACGTCTGAAGTCCTGTCAAGCTTGCAGGAGCCCCATAGTCGTTCCTGTGTTGCTGCTGCAAAGTCATTGTTGTCCAGGCATCTTGGTGGGATAATTACACCTCACTTTTCCGACCGTTCACGGTAGCTCTGACCAAGCCTCTCTCGGTCTTCTCAAGCTGCACTGCTTGCACACCCCTGGAGGTCATTTTGCGCGACTGTTCTGCCGAACCTCGGCAAAAATCAAATTCTGGTGCTTGCGACTTCGAAGCTGTGAATGCCCCAGCTCATGAATGTACACGTCAATGTTGATCGAGAGAGCGCACTTAGAGTCGCGTTGGCGAGAGAGAGAGAGGAACAAATTGCACACAATCAGTCCAGCCACCCCAAGCCGAGCTGGAGGCTACGCAGATCGCAACCCCTATGTTTCTTCGTCTTGACAGCGGCATGAAGCTGCCAGTCCATGCAGAACAGGGCGGCATGCATTAGCGGACCGGACCGCAGAGCGTGGTGTGGTAACACCTGGAGCTTCCAGGAATGCATGTCTCGATGTGGTGGCATCGGATGGCAGACGCACTACGTCACCGCTGTGAATGGGCTAATAAACTTTGTGGAGCAGTGCTTGCTCACAATGCGCATTGTTTGGATCCTCCCCGCGTGTCGTAGTCTAGCGCGGACAGGACAGGGCAGAACCGTCAACACCAGATCGAAATAGGGCTCGCCCGAGGCAATACATGATTATCGTCGAACCCTATGATGAGCACCAGTGATTTCCTAGAGCTATTAGCGCAACCCCGGATGACTTCCCCGTCGTGCAAAGCTGAGGCCAAGCGAGGGTTGCTGGTTGGCACTAGGCCGTTGCCCGGCAACCGGGAACAACAGCGACCATGACTGGTCGTGCCGCGCTTGGCCTATATGGCGATCGCCAGAGGCCGAAAAGCACGGCATCGTTCGCCCAGGCGACTACGACAGGCGCAAGTGGCTGACGGGGAACCCAATCAGCTCGCGACGGCCACATGGTTTCCGCGGCAGCGCGTTGCAGAGCAGATGCAGAGGCGGTCTAGCGGTGGCGGGGCAAAGCAGACGAAACCATTCCCCACGAGGCGCGGATTTGTTGTCAAGCAAGCATTGGTGGAGAGTCGCCATTCTTTCACCTGCATGCGGGCCGACGCCGGCGATTTGAGTGTTGCGTGGGACGAGTCGAACAAGCAAGTCTTTGAGCAAGCTCGGCCCAGCACAACCAGCTCGTCCCGCGCGGGAGGGAGAGTCAGGCAGTCAGGGCCTTTGTCGCATTCCATTCCCAGCGAGGTTGATCCTGGCTGGCCGGGAGCCGTTGGAAAATAGAGTGGTGGGTGGGTGGCCAAGTGGCGGCGGGGTCTGCGGGAAAGGAGCGCCTGTCAAACTGGTGCTGCGCTCGGCAAATGTCAACAACAGGCACCACCCTCTCCAGCCAATGACAGCGCCGCGCTCAAGCTGGCCCCTGCGAGCGGCTGCAACACCGCCGCCGCCAAAAGTAAACACACAATTTCACTCCCCTGAGGAACAAGGGTTGACTGAGGTGCCGTACGCCAACGGGCGAAAACGTGTCCGCAGCGCTGCAGCAAGCCCCTCCGCTCGAATTAACCTCGCCGGGCTCCTCGATTGTTTTGGCCGCACTTTTCACGATTCTTTTCCATGCACTTCTGGCAGCCGAGCTCCCCGCATTGAGCCTGTGCCCGGGCCCGCCTTGCAGCCCAACCTGTGATCTTCGTGGCCGCCCCTTCTTTTCTTCCATGGGGGGGTGCCCGGCCTCATTTACTGCCACCAACCCTGCGACCACCGCCCGAGCTTCTACCCTCCCGTTTCCTTCAGGGACTTTGTTTCTGCCTGCCCAACTCTCCTCGGTACATACACCAATCTCTTGCATTCAAATCTCCGAGCACGAAACACACGACAGCTCGCCCAGGCAACCAGACGTGCTTGCTTCTCTGATTCCTCAGTCAGCTCAGGGACCTCCATCTCGCTTGACGACGCTCTTGCCTCGCCAAGTTCTGACCGTCGCTCGACGCAGACCTTATTCCACACCCTTGCGAGGTTGCCATGGCGCTTTCTTGAAAGCAAGAAAACCATTCGATATCTGCATGACCAAGTCGGCGAGCACTGCTGCATGGTGCCGGACCGACGAACCTTGACATTGCCGAGCCGCCCCCAGAGAGCGCCTGCGTCCAGGCCTTTCCGTGAGCCATGGACACACCACCGCCGCCTCCGCCCCATGGGACAAATCCCAAGACGGCCAACCCAAATCTGCCACCCGGCAAATATGACATCTTCATCATCCCTCCACACTCGTCCGGATCAGGCTTCCTCTATCTGCCTTCCCTGCAGCCCAATATCAACAGTTTCGCAGCGGGCTTCGCCAGTGCCCTGGTCCTTGTCGTGCTCTCGCAGAGCATGGCGCCGGCCTTTCGGTCCTGGTGGGCCAATTTCCAGGGAATGGGCGATGCGGGAATGGTGATCCTCGTGATTGCTGTCGGCGTGGGAGCTTGGGCTCTCGGCCGGATCCAGCACGACAAGAACACTGGCAATGGCGGCAAGAACGGGAGCAACAGTGGACCTGGGGCTGGAGGTTATTACTCTCACAGCTCCGGCTTCTGGGGCCAGCAACATTCCGCTGCGCCAGACCCCAATGGTCCTCCTCCACCTCCACCGCCTCACGGTTCGCCGCCTCCGCCTAGATCTGGTCCGAACGGAAATGCTCATCAACAACACCGCCACCATGAGCATCATCAACAACAACAGCACCATCAGCACCAGCACCAGCAATCTGCGCCGCCGCCGCCACCACCGCCACATACACCGCGCAATGAGCAGCCTAAGCCTTCGTGGCAGCAGCAGGAGCAGGCATACCAGTCACCACCCCAGCCGGAGCAAAGGGCCCCGGAGCCACCAAAGCCTTCGCCTCGACAAGAGGCACCCAAAGCAGCACCTTCGCCGCCACCGCCGGAGCCCGCAAAGCCGGCACCACCAAAGGAAGCTCCCCGACCACCTACGCCACCACCCGAGCCGCCAAAGCCTCCGCCGCAGGAGCCCCCGAAGCCAGAGCCACCAAAAGTAGCACTGCCGAAACCAGAGCCTCCAAAGGCCGAAGCTCCAAAGCCTGAGCCACCCAAGCCTGAGCCGCCTAAGCCTGAGCCTGAACCCCCTAAACCGGACCCTCCGAAGGCGGATCCACCCAAGGAGAAGCCGAAGGGCGCTTGGGAGAAGGCTCGGGAGGAGACGCGCCGCCGGGAAGAAGAGCGCAAGGCCAAGGAGGCCGAGCAGAGGCGAAAGGACGAGGTGCAAAGACGGCTCAAGGAGCTACGTGAGAAAGAGGCCCGCGAAAGAGCGAAGCGTGAGGCTGCGGCCAAGGAGAAGGAGGAGGCCGCCGCGCGCGAGAAAGCTAAGCTTGAAGCAGAACTCAAGGCCAAGCTGGAGCAAGAACTGCGAGAGCGAGAGCAACGGGAGAAGGAACAAAAGGAGAAAGAGCTCAAGGAGAAGCTTCAGCGCGAGAGAGAAGTTAGGGACGCTCGGCTGGCTGAGGCACGAGAGCGAGAACTTCGAGAGCGTCTCGAGAGGGAGAAGGCTCTGCGAGAGAGGCTCGAGCGGGAAGCCAAGGAGCGGGAGGAGGCTCGTCTGCAGGAGCAAAAGGCCAAGGAAGAGACCGTCAGGAAGAGCACGTATGCCTTTTCGTCCGTGGGCGAGAAGACCAACCCATGGCCAAATGGCAAGCCGCCCGTGCAGGCACAACCCGCTCCGGCGCAGGCACCTCCGTCGCCGGCCAGGCCGAATCCTACACCGGCCTCGGCAAAGCGCCCCCCGCCGCCGCCGTCCGCCCGTACCTATGATGATGACGCAACGTCGAGCTACTCGTACCGCCCATACGATCAGCCGAAAGCGCATAACCGGCGGAGATCTGGCGAGACGGTGTTTACCGAGTCCTCGTATGCTGCGTCCCAGTCGACGGCGCGGTCCACCCCACCACCATCGATGCGGAGGCCGTACACGACCAAAGACCCCGACAAGATTGTCATCAAGGCCGTGTATTCGTTTCTCAACCAGTTTTCCAAGACGCCTGCCTCGCAGCTCATTTCTGGGTTCGGCCCCGTCACTGATGGGCTTATCCTGCGCATAACGACCGAGGGTATCTTTATCGACGACGACGTGCGAGGCGTGCCCCAGCGCGAGTGGGACGTCAAGGCGTGGACGCTCAAGACCATGGAGATCTGGTGTCCCTCAGCGGCCGAGGTCACCTCGGCCAAGCCCACACAGAAGAGTGCTTCCAGGTGGCGGACCACGACGAGAGGGCCGAGTAGGGTTCTGGGAGGCGAGGATGCCGACGCCTTCCTTACGGAGCTGCTCCATGTCTGCCGGGACGAGTGCCGTCTTGAGCTGCACGAGGGCTACGAGCGGCGTTCAGCCAACGGCAGCAGCTCTGGCAAGTGGGAGCATCGCGGCCTTCACGTGTTGCAGGCTACCATCCGCGACCAGGAGGGCAAGCGATACATGTTTGTGCTCGACGAGGGCGAGGGTTGGAAGGTGGCCGTGGCGCTGCAGCGGCTGCGTAAGGGTACTCAAGCCCGGCAGCTGGGGATCCAGCCTACCACGGCGGCTGAAGCGCGGGCGACGCTCGAGCTGCTCGGCTGGTAAGGAGCCAGACGAGGCAGACTTGCGGTCTTTACCATTGTTGTAGCTGGGGCCAAAGCAAGGATGAGTCTGGTTATGGATGGCGTCAGACCGTTGTCACAAAACCCACTGGAATGTCGCCATGGAGTCGTGTCTCGTCGCGTCGGCATCTGTGACATTCCTGAAGCGGTCGCGCGCGGCACCCGCCATATGGACGCGCGTGCTGTTTGTCGGGTGGTTCGCCGTCTCCCTTGTCAGCTGTGTCACTTTCTCCGACGAGATCACTTACTGTTTGCTGCATGGCGGAGCGAGGCGAATGCATTCACTCTTTTGTTTTGTCAAGTCATTTGCCGTAAGGGGGAATTGGCCAATGGCGGGTCATTTCCTCCCCCAAGGCCGTGACGTTTTGGATTGAAGCGTTCCTGCATACTAGAGCTTACGAGACGAACGAGCATGACATTGAGGGCGTAACTAAAGACCACAGAATTTATGGAAGTTATAGTATTACAGAAAATACAAGGAAATTTGTATATTAATTTGTTTCTGATGATGATGACATCGTGGTGCCTACTTGGTACGTAGTGAGACGCCTGTCTCTTGTTCAGTGTCCCCGTTCCTGGCCGTCAAATGCCAGTCCAGGCTAGTCTACGCTGTTGAACCACCACATGATTGGAGCCGAGACACAAATGAGCCATTGTCCCGATTGGGAGGGGCCACTGATACTCTTGCTTCGGCAAAAGCACCTCGGAATGTCGCATGCTATGCTGCCTGCCATATTCCAGCAGCTTGCATGCATAAAAAGTGCAGTGCCTTGCATTGGTGTGACAAGCGACCCGTCCATGTATTCTCGCGGATACATTTTTGGGGGAGGGGCGGCGCCTGGGCAGACAGGGCAGGGCATTTCTCAACGACACAAGTTGCCTTTGTTGATGAGTCCGTGTTCTCCCCATGAATACCTAGGAGAGCTAAGTTTTGCAAAAAGTACATGCCATGGACGGATTAATAATTAAACAAGAGAACCACTTGGAATTCTGGGCGCTGGGCGCAGAAAGAGAGAGAGAGAGAGCGGCAAGTCGGCCCAGATGTGTTCGTCGTCGGAGCCTCCGCAATTTGGCCGAGTCCAGGGCTGTATAAGGACTTAGTTGAGAACAATAGGACACCGAGTACGTTAGTGCTGACTGCTAAACTGCAAAGAACAACTCAGATGGCAAAGCTTAATGTAGAGGAGGACCCTTTTCTCTCTATGCCGGTTGGGGTGGATGGGTAGGTTGGGGAAAGTTCAAATGATCGATCCCCCCATATTGTCTGGTGCATTCTGTGTTTTTTTTTTCACGCACAATACTAGCATAACACAACCTGCCTGGATAGATGGAGGGACGACCGTGCTTTTTGCGCACCTTAAAAGATGAAGGGAGAGGAGGACGGAGAATCGGTGGCAGAACCGGGGCAAGAAAAAATTCGTTGTGTGGACAGCTTGCGGATGGGCGACGAGTATCCCGGGGGTCCGTCTGAAGTTCGATCTCTGTTTACTTGCATTCGGGCCTTTCGAGCCTTGGTTAAGTTCACGTGGGGCTTTGGACTTTTCCCGTCCTCGGATGGTGCCGGCGGGATGGTAGGAAAACCCGCGCGTAGATGGAGTCGAGGCCAGGCCGAGAAGGGCAGGTGTAGTGTTGAGATGAAAGCTGCCTGGGCGGAATGACGGGGGGAGAAGGATGATGACGCCAACAGAGAGTGCATGGGGTATCGATGGGACCGAGTACCAGCCCGGTGGGAGGGCACAGCAACCAGAATTAGAACAAGGAAGCCGGCAACGCGGACCGAGAAACACGATCGAGGACGGGACTGTGGGGAAGCACGCGCACAAGCTGGTTGACCGCCTTGCGCTTGGCCTTGCCGGGGCCGGATCAACGTTGCATTGGAGATGCATCTGGTGCTAACTAGCGTCGTGGAGAGAACCGCGAGGGTGGATGTGCCTTGTGTTGTTTAGCCACGGTTTCGCCGGAGAGGCGAGAGGCGCTGGCTGCACGTTGTGCGAGCAAAGAGCAAAGATGGAGGGGGAAAGACGCGGGGTAGAAGCTCCCCAGATGGGCCGGTGATTCCATGTTGGGACGAGTGCCTGTGCATGGATCTGGGGCGAGTTCGTGTAATGCACCCAAGGGGGGATTGGGATCGGCTGTTGCGATCATGTGCTTTGGGGGGGGGCCCTGGCGAATCGGGTCAGGGCGGGCAGGATGGAGCGAGCCGGAGGGCTGGGGTGCCCATCGCAATCCCGGCAGGCGCGCGCAACAGCCCAGTACTAGTATTGCTGGAATTGCCGGCGTCCAGGTTTTTTCGGGGTGCAGATGGACGGGTGTTGTGTCATTCGAGCAGCTTGGCTGGGGTGCCGGGGGGGAAAAGGGCCGATGGGCGAGGTTCGTTTAAGGCGTGGCGTGCGGGGATGGCGGCGGGGCGTGCGGGGAGGCCCCAGCCGGCAGCAGGGGCACGTCCTGCCTCCGTCATCATCGCCGCTCATCGCTGTGGGCACAACATGGCCAAGCTCTGCGGGTGGCTGGATCGGCGGGGCGCGGTAGTTGACTAGCCTACAAGCATAGTACATGGCTGTCGGGTGTGGTTTGGTGATGGCCGGCGGAGCAAAGTCGAGTCGAGTCGAGCTCTAGATGGCACGAACGGCAAAAGGGGGAGAGCGGATTGGGCCGTGTCTCTGTAGCGGGAGGGCCGACAATGGAATTGTGCCGTGCCCACTGTCTTGCCCGATGCTTGACTATTGATTCATGGCTAGGCGGAGAGGAAGGGGAAAAGGTACCTGGCCGCGCTAGGCTGCCTGGGGGCTACACTGGCAAGAGCCAACCCTTGGGAAGACGTGTGCAAGCTGCTCGAGTGCGGAGAATCCCTGCAAGACAGTGCGCGTCTGCCGGCTTGCCCCGGCCAGGCCATCGACATTTGATTCTCCGGGCCTCTGTGCTCATGCCTGCCTGCCTGCCTCATCTCATGACGTGCAAAAAACTCTCGAGCCTGCTCACGTTGCATCCGCCCTCGCACAGTCTGGTCCACCCCCCCGTCTCTCTGCCGTCTGCTCCTCCGCATTCCTCTGCAATGATACTCACTAGCTCATGATCGGCAGGGCTGGGCTGTTTTTTTTGTTTTCTTAAAGGACGCGTAGGCTGCCCTCTTGTCTCGCCCTGCCCGTCTCCTCGCTACGGGCCACTCCACAGCTTCTCCCAGCACCTGCTTCACGTGCTGCTGCCTTGTCTCTTGCAACTGGTCTCGCTCGCGACTGCCTTTCCCCCCTCCCGCAATGCGCGCCGTCCAGCTCGCTGCCGGCCTGGCCGCGGCCTCGGCGCCGTTGGTCGCTGCCGCCCCGGAACACTACCCGGTTCTTCAGGTGCGCCACGCCCCCGGTGTACCGACCCTGACCTCCGAACTTTTGGACTGACCCGTGCTACTGCAGTCACGCGCCAATGAGTCTCTCGCATACTCTCCTCCGCACTATCCCTCGCCGTGGATGAACCCAACCGCCGTCGGCTGGGAAGCGGCGTATGCCAAAGCCCGCGAGCTCGTCTCCCAGATGACCCTCCTCGAAAAGGTCAACCTGACCACCGGCACAGGCTGGCAGAGTGATCAGTGTGTCGGAAACACTGGTTCCGTCCCTCGCCTGGGCATCAAGAGCCTGTGTCTGCAGGACAGCCCGCTCGGTAGGTGGTTCCCTGCGCCACAGTGTTGACTTTCCCGATTGGGACCCCAGCGGCCAATCAGCGACAACCACCACCACAACTACCACCACCACCAACAATCTCACAACTCTTCGCAACTCCTCGCAACTCTACAACAGTGGATTATCTCCTCTCCGGCCCCGAAGAAAGACCTGCGCTATTGTGTTGATTGTCTTCAGAGCCTGGCTAATTTCTGCTCGTGGTAGGCACCCGCTTCGCGGACTATGCTTCGGCCTTCTCCAGCGGCCAGACCATCGCCGCCAGTTGGGACCGCGGCCTCATCTACCAACGCGCTCACGGCATCGGCGCTGAGCAAAAGGCAAAGGGCATCAGCGTCATGCTCGGCCCCGTAGCCGGCCCGATCGGCAGAGCGCCTACCGGCGGCCGCAACTGGGAAGGCTTCAGCCCCGATCCTTACCTGACTGGCGTTGCCGCGGCCGAGTCCATTAAGGGAATCCAGGATGCTGGCGTCATTGCCACGCTCAAGCACTACATTGCCAACGAGCAGGAACACTTCCGCCAAGCAGGTGAAGCTCGAGGCTACAACTACACCATCGATGAGTCTTCGTCCAGCAACATCGACGACAAGACCATGCATGAGCTCTATCTCTGGCCCTTTGCCGATGGTGTCCGTGCCGGCGTTGGCTCAATAATGTGCTCGTATCAGCAGGTGGGTTGCTCTCAGGGCGAAGAATTGTGGGGCAAATGTGACTGATGGCAAATATGATATAGATCAACAATTCGTATGGCTGCCAGAACTCTGCCACTCTCAATGGCCTTCTCAAGGGCGAACTGGGATTCCAGGTAAGCTTTTCATACTCACTCGGCATTCTATCAGGCCCCTGTGGCTCCCGGGCTTTTGGTGCGGCGCCAGAAAACCACTGGACTTTCTGGGAGTTGATTTCCTGCTATTTCTTATTCTCCTCCAGATCATCCGCTAAAAAATTTCCAAGGGTTTCACGGTTTCAGACTGGGCTGCTCAACACGCAGGAGTGTCATCTGCGCTTGCTGGCCTCGATATGACGATGCCCGGTGATTCGGCCTTTAATACCGGTGTCAGCTTCTGGGGCGGCAACTTGACTCTTGCCGTGCTCAACGGAACGGTTCCAGAGTACCGGATCGACGACATGGCCATGAGAATCGTCTCTGCGCTTTTCCTGGTCGGTATTGGCGCCGATGTGCAGGAAGCCAACTTCGACAGCTGGACGAAGAGCACTTATGGGCCCAAGCACTATTATGCCAAAGACGGCCAACAGCAGATCAACTACCACGTGGACGTGCAGGGTAACCACGGAGATGAGATCCGGAACGCTGCTGCCAAGTCGACCGTCATTCTCAAGAACAACGGCATCTTGCCCCTGAACAAGCCTCGCTTCCTGGCTGTCATCGGCCAGGACGCCGGACCGAACCCCCGCGGTCCTAACGGTTGTCCTGACCGTGGCTGCAATGACGGCACTCTTGCCATGTCCTGTAAGTTGTCTGGAGTGCTGTGCTCATTTTGTATAAATACAGTGCTGACTGAGGAATGTTGAATAGGGGGCTCTGGAACCGCCGAATTCCCCTACCTGGTCACACCTGCCGAGGCCCTGCAGTACCAGGCGCTCCAGGACAAGTCCCGCATCGAGTCCATCTTTGATAACTATGCGTGGTCGCAGATCCGCACCCTTGTCTCGCAGCAGTATGCCCACTCGCTCGTCTTTGTCAACGCCAACAGCGGCGAGGGATACATCAACGTCGACGGCAACGAGGGCGACCGCAAGAACCTGACGCTGTGGGGCTCCGGCGACGACCTGATCAAGAACGTCTCGAGCGTGTGCAACCAGACCATTGTGGTGATCCACTCGGTCGGCCCGGTCCTGCTTACGGACTGGTATGACAACCCCAACGTCTCGGCGATTGTCTGGGCCGGCGAGCCAGGCCAGGAGAGCGGCCGGTCCATCGTCGACGTGCTCTACGGCCGGGCCCAGCCTGGTCGTACTCCCTTCACCTGGGCGGCCAAGCGCGAGGACTATGGTGCCGATGTGCTCTACGAGCCCAACAACGGCGAGGGCGCTCCCCAGCAGGACTTCACCGAGGGCGTCCTGATCGACTACCGGTACCTCGACGCCAAGAACATCGAGCCCATCTACGAGTTCGGCCACGGCCTCTCGTGGACGACGTTCGAGTACTCGAACCTCGTTGTCGAGAAGGTCTCTGACGCCGCCTACACCCCGACTACGGGCCAGACCGCCGCGGCCCCGACCTTTGGCGAGAAGCCCAGCCCGGACCTGAGCCAGTACACCTTCCCGAACAGCACGATCCGGTACATCTACAACTTTGTCTACCCGTATCTCAACACCTCGTCCTCGGGCCAGGCCGCCTCGGGCGCGAGCGACTACGGCCAGACGGCCGACGAGTTCCTGCCCCCTCACGCACTCGACTCGACGCCTCAGCCCCTGCACGCGGCCGGGCCCGCGCTGAACCAGCAGCCCGGAGGCAACGCGCAGCTCTGGGACGTGCTGTACCGGGTCAGCGCGACCATCACCAACACTGGCAAAGTCGAGGGTGACGAAATCCCGCAACTATACGTCTCGCTCGGCGGCCCCGGCGAGCCCGTCCGCGTGCTGCGCGGCTTCGACCGGCTGAGCGTCGCGCCGGGCCAGAGCGTGCAGTTCTGCGCCGAGCTCACCCGCCGCGACGTCAGCAACTGGGACGTCGTCAGCCAGAACTGGGTCATCACCGAGCATGCCAAGACGGTGTATGTGGGCAGCTCGAGCCGCAAGCTGCCACTCAGTGCGCCTCTCAAGTAGAGGGAGAGTCTTCGCATGCTTTGTGTTGTGTGTGCTCTGTGACGGGTTGGCGAGAGCGAGGGCGAGGGCGAGGGGCTCTTTTTGTAATTAGTACCAGCATGCCAATGTATAATGACTAGTCAATTGTGAGAACTGAGGTCTTCCAGTGAAATCCCTGCCTGACCTTTGAAACAATTTGAGCCTCTGGGACGTGATGTGATGAGAATCAGACCACATGCAGAACCGACACACATCTCAGAGCTACGACCAAAGTTAGGCATAGTACATAGACTTATCATTACTCTTTGTTTGCTTGTGGCTATCCTCATGTGTTTAGCTGCATGTACAAGACATCTATCGCTCCCAAGGCGATGTTTGACTTGTACGGACTCGGGCTGCCTGCGTTTCAGCCCAAGCGGCCATGTTGACGTATAAAGTGCTCTTTTGCGGTCCTCTTGAACATTCGCTCTTCTCTTGTCTTTCCTGACGCTGAATCATCCATATTCCCTCGAGCGGCAATTTACCACGACAAGAGTACAGCGATATATGGAAGTATATCGCCTCCGCTATCGCTGCCGCCCGCCCTCGCCTCATCTCTATTTAAGGTGTCCACTTCTTAAAAACACCCCGAGAGCTAGATCTTGCCAGCACTGCCCTTACCCGGACAATCGGGCTTGCAGTTCTTCCCACAATCATGCCCGGCGCCCCTAGGTTCACGGTACTCGGCACGCTTCGCGGCCTTCGTCTCCATGACTTGACGGTACTTGACAGGATTGGCGGTAGCGATTTCTTTGTTGAACTTATTGTTGCTCTTATGCCGCTGGTTCTGGGTTATCTTTGCGGCGTCAGTAAGACTTTAGTCGCGCTCTGTCATTGAAAACGCCCTCACGAGGGAGACTCACCTTTCTTGTCAGCTTCGAATCCTCGGGGGAGCTGAACTAATTTGTTGTGCTGGGCCCGGCCGTTGTTTGCGCCGGGTGGGCTAGCGGCCGTGCCTGGGATGGTGGACCGGCTGAAAGAGTCGATGAAATTGGAGGTCTCTCGTGCTGAATGACCTGCTGGGCGAGGTGAAAGGGGCAGCGCGGCAGGTGGCCGAGTTGATGTTGGCTGGGCAGCGTTCGCCGTGGCCTGCACAGGGAGCGAGTTCCAGAGGCATTGCGACATCGGATTGGTCCAACCTTGAGTCCAGGCCGCTGGCGTAGAATCTACTGCTTGTTTGTGAGTCCTCTGAGACTTCTGGGGTGGATCTCGTTCGTCTTCTCGCTTTGTCGGGCAGACACTGTGTGCAGCATCGTCCCCGGATGAAGGCGCGGGCTTGACGAGTGGCTTAATTGGCTGCATGCGGATGAAGATTAGCAATATGAGCCAAGATCGATCTTACACACGGCAAGGTTGAGGACTTACCGTGCCGTCCTCACGTTTTCCTGCCTTGACGTCAGCGAAACAGTTAGGGCACACTGGCTTCGCAGTAGACCATTCGCGAAGGCATTGCCTGTGAAACATGTGTCCACAGGGTGTATTTATATGCTCATGCTTGTCCCGCACGTGGAAAATCGGGCAGAAGCTGTCTGGGTCCTTTGGTAGGGGTACAGTTGGTTGTTGTGCTGTCCATTCATTCAGTGGCCCAGTCATGGGTTTTCACTGTGGGGCGGAATCGTGAGCGGTCGGCCTCGGGAATAGGGACAAACGGCTGGATGTGTTCATCCGGCACATCGGGAACCATAGAGTAGCGAGGAAGTAGCCGCCTGGATCTGCCCTGGATTTTGCCTTTGCAGATATCGAGACCTTGGAGAACTCGTGCTGAGACGCGGTTGCGTGCCTAATGCTCCCGCCCTGCCTCAGACATGTTCTTCCACTCGGGGCTGTCCCTGTCGATACGATAGACGCGTAGATTGTGGAAGTCCTGCCAGTAAACATTCGTTGGAGTCGGGCGACGCGTAGTCCTCGGCGTCGATGTCAAAAGCATTCATGTCGAGGAGTATCTTGATGCTGGCCCTGCGCTCCGCTCTCATCGCGCCGTCACCTCCCCATTCAGGCTCGGCGGATGCCGTCAACGGCACCCAGTCGTGCTATGACGATGGCGTTACGCAGGCAACCATTTCGGAAGAAGATATTCTCCTTCGTGCGAGTCTCCATATGTATAATGAAGTAGATGTGGTCAAGCGATAGACCATAGTGACCAGACTTTGCCTCGAGGTTGAGGTGGGGGGCTGGTCGTCGGGCTCGGTTCGATTGTCGTCGATCTGGAGCTTGAGAGTGTGAATAAGGCCCTGCGACCCCTCGATCTCGATCTTTTTCTCCTTGATCGAGTAGAGAACGCAGACGAGGGTCTCAAGCCATGCCTTGTCCTCGGGGCCCAGGCCTTTAGGCACCATGTATGTAAGGGCCGGGAACCGGGTAGGACTGGCCCACAGTCAGCTCAGATTTCCATCACATGGGTCAAGCTGGCTTCGGCTTACTTGTGTGCGGTGACCATAGTTGTATATATCCATATACAATAAGGCATATATACATAGATATATATATGTAAATAATCGAAATAGGAGGCAAAAGAAGCCCCTATATCGCAGTACTCGTGTCATAATTGTCACTTGAGTAATCTGTTGGAGGAAAGAGGGAGAAGAGCAGAAATCTCGGAGGGCAGCAGGCGAGCACTTTATACGCGGACATGGCGGCCCAAAATGAATGGCAGGCAGGCTGAATACATGTTGCCGCATTTGCCGACATCTCAATGGGGTGGAGAAGCTGGAACAATGCTGCCCACTGCCCGACAGGAGGAACAATGAAGATCCTTGCCCGAGTGGACACCCCGATCAATGCTTCAATGGCGGTGTTTTGAATACTCCGATGATGATTGTGCTTTGGCACACATTTCTCCCGACCTGTTGAGATTGACCCTTGGCTGAATCATAGATGTTGCGTCATGGCATCGGTTTCGAAGCCTCCGCAGAAGAAGGCGCACCTCTCCTCCGAGCCTCTCCATTGTCCAAACCCGAATGAGTTCGGATCATGAATATCACATTGTACCTCAGTTCTCAAGCACGAGCTCTGTGAGGGTTGGGGTTCCGTGTAAGTCAATCCCTGGCCAATCAGCGGCACGCCCTGCCGATTTCTCCACAATGCCGTTCTTTTGTCCCACTTTACGTGGGGAGCCGCATGTGGGGAACGTGGCAGCGACAACGGAGGTCTGACTTGATCAGTGGCTGCTTCTACACAAGCACTTCCTCAGCTTTCATACGCTTCCGCCACTACACCCTCAAACACAAAGGCTTGTGATCCCTGTCTACTCTTCACGTTCGGCTTGGGTTCAGAAGGCTTGTAGGCTTCTTAGAAGGGTCATTCAACCACAGCGAGCTCAAACCAGACGCAGCGTCCAAATCCAGCACTTCCTTCCTCCCCGCTCTGCCTCCTGCTGCAAAAGGGTCTCCAAAGCAGACACTGCATTTATCGACAGCTAATTATGGGCTCCATCTCGATCCGCCGCTCGATCCAGTGGCTCCCCGATGACCCGGCCCCCGTAGAGCCAACCTCCACCGTCGTCCTGACCTCGCCCGGGAGGCGGTTCGTGGACATCCGGATCCTGCTGCCCAAAGGTAGTGAGAGTGTCGATAGCGCAGGGCGGCCTGGTGGGAAGGAAAGTGAGATGGCGGCGGCACACCGGGACTTTGGTAGGTTAAAAGCATGACCACTTTTTCATTTTCCATCAAATTCAAGGCCTTCTCTTCCCAGGATCATCACATTTACCCACCCGCACAAGACAATCCTAGCTAACTTCAGTCGCAATTTTAAATTAAAAAAAAGGCACAATCACCTACTCCTCCTTGGACTGGGCGTTCGCGGGCACCTCCGAGTCCCAGCCCGTCCCTGCCCGCCCAGACGGCAAGGGCCCCACGACACACTCCAAGTGGCACCACCTCGTGACCGACCGCGCCGCGGTCATCACGCCGGGCCAGTTCACCGACGAGGGGGACATGTACCCGCAGCCGGACGGCAGTGTGCTGGAAAAGGGCCGCATGACGAACCCGATGACGGGGCGGGAGACGGACTACGAGGAGGTCTGGGTGGACGGGGAGCCAGGGGTCATCCCTGCTTCTTCTTCTCCTGGAGGGACTTCTGGGGATGACAAAGGGAGGGCAAGCAGGACGACGTGTGTCGTCCTCGAGGCGCGGGATGGGCAGGACGAGGAGACGGTCGTGGGGATGGTTGTGTGCCTGGGCAAGTTCTGCCAGGGCGTGGTCCGGCGGGGGAAGCGTTTCGGACTCGAACGGTGGTCGTTCAATGATGAGAACGGGGACGGGGAGTGGCAGCGGCGGGCCGAGATGCTTTCGGGTCTGTGGACGCCGGCGGGGGAGGTCGTCCAGGACCCGAGCCGGTATTCTGTGGGAGATGTGACCAAGGGTGCCGATGATGGGTATAGCTGGGTTGTGGTTGAGGCTTCGTAGTCTGACAGAGGGGGTAGTGACTGTCTCGTATAGTTGATGGCGCGTTCCAATCATTAGGAAAGTTGCGGGTGGCAACGGCATTTGTACTGGCCCAGGACCTTGCAGTCACCGTAACTTGCAAATGGACGATAGCATTGTATCTATGCATGTTTGTATGTGTGTATTGCTTATTCTGAGTTGCCGGGTATTTTGCTCTGTCTTATCTCGTGTATCTCGACATCTGACGATATATCATTGGTCCTCATCTTCAAGTTTCCTACTTCCCTTGCAGAACTCTGCTTTCAGTACTAACCAGAACCCATTCTTCTCGGTGCGTACCACAATCTCTTGAAAAACCTCCAGATTCGTCGCCCTAGTCATGGCAACTCTAATCTTCCCTAGTCCATTGCCATCTACAGGAGCACTGCGGCAACCAGAGGGCCCGCAGCCAAGACCAGCCCCGGAGCAACAAGCCCGTTGGCCGCACCAGGAGCAGTCGTCGTGGGAGCCGCGGGCCTTGTGGTCGAGCTCGACTGGCCAGCGCCGGTCGCTGTGTTCGCCGGTGTTGTTCCCGTGCTTCCACCACCAGCAGTCGGCGTCGTCGTGGGCCCTGCCGCAGCAGACGAACTGCCGCCGCCGGTGACCAGGCCAGGGAACAGAGTCGACCCGCAAGGCTGGGGCAGGTTGTTTGCGTAGGTGGTGAGGTCCGAGCTGGAGCAGCTGGACTTGATGCAGCTGAGCAGCTTCGAGTTGAAGAGGGTCTGGCAGGTGCAGTTGCTCAGGGCGACCCCTGTCTCGTCGCCGTCGCAGAAGGACGAGGTTGGGTTCTGGGTGCCGCAGGTACGGACGCACTGCGGCGTTGTGGACTGGGCGAGGGCCGTGGAGGCCAAGACGGTGAGGAGGGCGAGGACAGAGGTCTTCATGGCGGGCGGTCGTTGGAAAGGCTGTTGTCGGTGTGACTGTTGATGGAAGGGTAATAATGACGGGTGTGGACTTGGTGAAGGACGAAGCTCAGTCCACACGGAGACTGGGTTGTAGCTACGAGGGGGGAGAATGAGAAAAGAAGGACGACATGGGATATATACGCCGCCAGCAGTACCAGCACCACCTCCTCCTCACTCACTCTCTCTCTCTCCTCTTCCGACGCCGCCGCCACCCGGAGCAGTCGCCCGTACTATTATCCCAGGGCCTCGTTCCCCACAGTCTTACATCCAGACCGCCCTGTTTGTCTCCGACCAAAATAGGCACAGACAAGCATATTCACAATGTGGCTGGCCCATCTCAGACAAGCTGCGACCGCGCCGGTCCCTCGCCGGGCCACGTCGGGCAGGGATATGCCCGGACCGTCCAGTTCAGCTCAGCAGCTAATTACCAAGAACCGGCCCTGCCACACCCTCCCTGGCAGGGCTTAGGCAGTGGAGGCCAGGGGTCTCTCGGCCAATCAGACTCTATGAAACGCCCCTGCAGTAGCCTGTTTTGGGTTCTTGGGTCTGGCTTATACAAGGCGGGCCACTAGCGGCGTATAGACTTGAGAGATCTTGTTTGTCCCCGCCCGTCCAAAGAGGCAAAAACCCCCCAGTGCTTTTGTACAGCGGCTGGGTCCATAGCCTGAGCGCCCGCTAGTTTGCTGATCAGCTTGACGCGCTGGAGCTGGGGAGGCAAGCCCTCGACTAAAGATGAGATCGTCCCGTGACACAGGACCGTCTGACACTGCAAAGGTCGGGGCGGCTCTCCAGAGTACACCATCGACTATGCTCGCGGGGAGGATGAGTGATTGGATTCGGGTTCGCCGCATTGATGAATTGTCCTTTGTTGCTTGCGAGCAGGCTCACTACAGTACGCCTTGTGCAGCGCATCCTTGTCGGCCATCGCATGGTGGGCGCCTTGAATCTCCCGGCTTACCCCATCCTCGGCGCAACGACCATCCGGCTGCCGATCGGTGGCGCCCATCTGCCTAGTTCTCGATCTCGGTCCGCCTTGATCTGCACGACATGCTCTGGTCTGCCTATTATGGACTGGTATTCACACATTGCAGGACGAATCGGGTCCAATTTTGCGTCGGCACCGCTTTTCTCTTCACTCTCGGATTTCTTCATCCAGGATATAGCTATGCTGCTGGTGCTGCAGACCCCAATATGACGAGCGTTCAAGCGTCACTTTTGGAGCTGTGTCCCGCGCTAATGACGCCGATCCGCAGGCGCGGCGTGGGGAGCGACCTGTTTTCGGAAGGGGATAGGTACTGTTCGCACTAATAGCCACTCGGCCGAAGAGGGACTGTAAGCTTGTAAACTCTATTCTTTTTGTTTTTGCGTCGTTCAGTTAGGGTTGCTGGTAGCATGAACCGTCGGCCGGTAGGCTATTCGGACCGCATCCCGGGTACCATGGGATAAGGAATGAGTTGCCCCAGCATCGCCCATCGCGCGTAGGTGATGAGGAGCCGTCTCGAGCAGATCGCTGCAGGGTTGGCCCTGGGCTAGGTCGGCAGTGACGACGTGCATGGCCGTTCTTGGCTGTCAACTCGCGCATTCCATACTTTCTGTGGTAGCCGTCTCTCGTGAAGCATTGCCGCCGAGCGAAGAAACATCTCGGAAACTTGCTCGTATGACAGTGCTGGATCACGACAGGCGCAGGCTAGGTAGGTATCAAGAGCCCAGACCCAAGTCACAGGCTTCTCTCCCTCTTAAAACCGACAAACTGACCATGGCTACTTTGAACAGGGGGTTGAATACGGACGATATATCTGCAGCGACTGGCGCGCAACTGGAAGTGCACTGGTCGATTTTGCTGTCCCGCCTGAAGCCCTGTGCTGGAAGTCTCGGTGTGAAGATGAGGCACCCAGGGACAGCCGGGGAGCGGGACTGGACACAAACTGCGCGTCGAGACGGGCGCACAGACAGTCCCATTCCCGTGATTTGAGCGTAGGTTGTCTCTCATCTTCTGCGGGCTTCTCTTGGCATTGGGCGCGGGATGTTTCCGAACATGGCGAGCCAAGGGGCCGGTTAAGGTTGTCTATTTGTGGAACCAGCCGGCAACCACACCAAACCTCCACGTGGGACGGGTTGGGTTGGGGCAACCCCCAGGCTTGAGGCCTGCAGAATAGCCACGGTAAAGGTACGCAGTGTAGGAAAAGACTTGCGTGTATCTCATTAGGACAGCGTCTCTCATGGTCTCCGTCGGAATCGGCGTCGGCGCTTTCGGCCAGTCGTCGCTGCCATCATTTGACGACGGGTTGTCGTCCAGATGGAGCTCTTGCAGGTGCCGTGCACACTTATCCTGTCCCAAAATTTGAGTGGGAGTGGTACCTGCGCTCCAGAGCATCTTATACACTGGCCATGGGATCTCCCATGAATCTATAAAGACTCCTCATGAATGAAAATTCCCATCGACCCATGATGTCCCCGGAAGAGCAATGCTCTTGCATCCGAATCCAATCCAGCGACGAGGCCAAACCAGACACAGACTTGACTTTTCATTTAGCCTCGCGAGACTACTTGACCATGGTTTCTTCAGATCCATGTGATTGCGGAACAAGATCTGGAGGCGGCCCGCACACGCCCATCTCCCACGCTCTGACCAGAAGACCCGAGTGCGCACTCAGATCGGGTGGCGTCCATGTATCGCGAGAATCACAACGAGCCGCGCTGGAAGAGCGGCACACAGGCCAGATGGCTTCCAAGCATGACCCAGGCCCTCTCCCGTCCCGTCTCGCTCTCCCCAACAGCGCCGACTTTGGTTTTCCCATGATCCTAAGCCATTCTCGTCATGAAACCCGGCCGTTCTCAAGACTGGTAACTTGGCCCGACCGCACCATCGGAGAAAGGTCGAGTCGCCTTGAAAATTTTTATAAAATGACTTGCGCTTTCGCCCGGGTCTCGTCTGTCCTCCCCTCGTCCTTCAACCCGCAGACAAGACTCTTGATCACACTACCGCTTCATGTTACAGCAACTTACAAGTAGCCCGCTAGCAGACCACTTGGCTCGAGACCCCCCACCACAGTCAGTCACACTCGAGACCACTTGTGTACAGGCACTATAGTGATCCCTAAGGCCTTCAGTCGCCTCCGCAGGTTACTGTGATCTACACCACAGCCTCCCGCCGCGATCTCTCATCAAACAACTGGGAGCGGCTCAGAACCCACACAGCATCACCACAATGGCTTCTTCCCAGACAAGACCCGCGGCCATGAGCGGTGACTCTGCTGCCCGCAACATCAAGGGGCCCGGTCATGGTGCTCCCGCGGCGCCGGTCAGGCAGACCGTCCGCTACATCAAGGAGAAGCCCTTCGACCGCTCCAGGCTTACACCATGGCAGAGAGAGATGCTCAGCAGAAGAAAGCAGTCCTCACAGCCACAGGCTTCTTCCGGAGCATCATCACCGCCATCAAATGCTGCGGTCACACCATCGCCTTACGCCTTCCTCTACCCACCCAGCAAGGCGATCAGGGTTCACGAGCCAGTCAAACAAGCCACTGTCCGATCCCCTGCACAGGCCCGGAAAGGCGGCATCCGGATGATCATGAGCTCGACCAGCGTCGCACAGGCAGGAAACGGCAGTCTGTCGATGACGCAGAGAGTCCGCGGAAAGATGGTCACCACAATGCTGCCATCAGCAACTGCTCCCATGCCAGTCAGGATAGGCGATCGCCCGAAGGAACAGAATACACAGCAGCAGCAGCAGAAGGGGGACAAAGGGGACGGTACCAAAACCACTAAATCTCACAAACACACGCTCCCTCGTCCTCATGTCGACGAGCCAGCAGCCGCTCTACGAAAGGGCAATACGCCGCCTACTGCCACACTCGCTGCTCCCACCACCACACTCAGCTGCAACAGTCCTGCTCCCACAGCCACACCGAGGACCACCACCATGATGCGGAGCCCGTCTCCAGAACCTCGCCAGCAGCCAGTCTCCAGGAAGCGACGGCGCCGAATCGTCGTCGACTCTGAAGACTCTGACGACGACATGGCCGTCGCCGCTGCTGCTGCTGCTGCCGCTGCCGCTATCACTACCGCTGCCAGCACCGTCGAGGCGAAGCAGGCGAGCTCACAAACCAAGCCATCCACTACACACAAAGAGCCGCCGTGCAGAGCCATGACACCCGATACAGACGAAGCCACACACGACCAGCCTGGTAGCCCAAAGCGAGCAGCAGCAAAGAGACTCAAGACGAGCCCTCCATCATCGCCACCAAAAGGCGTGGCCGTCTACACCTCTGGTCACCGGGCCAGGCGGAGCAGCTCGCACACTCGTCGGGGCCCAGCCCAGTCGCAGTTCTTTCTCAACGGCGAGCGGCTGGAGAAGAACCGTTTTATCCTGGCTTGAGCCGGGAGGGAGGCTCGCCGCAAAACGAGACCACACACACACACACACACACTAAGCTGGGAGGCCATCCACAACCACGAGAAGGTTGGAAAACATGAGATACGTGTGTACGAGGAAGTTTCGTCCCCGGTTGGACACAGAGTGTTCGATTAGTATACTGCCAAGGCTTTTCTCCTCTTGAAACCACCAAAGTGTTTGAAGTCCTTACACAACACCACCACAATCGGCTGGGCCGCATTCATCAAGAACATGGAGACATCATAGGACATGTTGTTGAGAGGTTCCGAGGAGTTTTTAATGCCGGCAGTGAAAGGAAAACATCATTATTAGCGTGATCTCTTTCCTTTCCTTTTTTTTTTTTTTTTTTTTTTTGTGTGGCGCTCTTGCTTGGGTTTTGGGTCGAACATCGACCAGGCGAGATTGTCATTGGGACAATAGTGTGTTGTTTCTTAGAGAGGTCGAGACAATATACTTACCCAGCGTTGACAAACATTGATTGAATTGCCAAGAAGTGCCCGTTATGTGTAACCAGAAACCCAGTGAACAACTTGAGTCCGCTGTGACACCACTGACAACCCACAAATCCCATGTGAGGGAGTTTGCTGTGACTTTGATCAGGGGACCCTTTTTCTCCACGTGAATCCGATGATATTGTTTCTACCACGATCAGCCGATCCTGTTGGTCTTGTTCGATTCAAGGTGGCAAAGGTGGTGGTTGTGTTGCAGCGTAAAGTAATAATGCCTTGCTGATTCCCAGACTGGCCGCCCGGTTCCCCACTCTAGACTTGACTTGCTCTGCGGGCGTTGCACAATTGAACCCCTGACAAACCCACGCTTCCCCACCACCACCACTTAAACAATTCCGCGATCCCGCACTGCGCCGACGCCGCCTGCCGTCCGCCGAAACTATTGTCGACTCCCGACAGACGACATTTCCTTCTCGCCGCGACCGCCCTGCGCCCTCCTCCTCCTTGCGAAACCCGGTTCGAACGACCTCAGCAACTACAACTCCTCTACAACACACACACACACACACCACTCCAGGAGGAACATAAGCGGCGGTGGCGGCGGTGGTAGCCCTTCACCACAACATCAAGCAACCATGTGGTAAGCCCCCCCCCTCTGTTCCAACTTCCCAAGCCCCTCATCGAAGAAAGTGCTCCCCAAAGCTCCAGCACTAACGCGAAACCCCCTGCGTCCTTGCGCACCAAACGCCAAACCAAACAGCAAGCACGTCCTCAACGCCCAAGTAGCGATCCGCTCCCCCTGCTGCAAGAAGTGGTTCGACTGCGCCGAGTGCCACGCCGAGCAAGAGTCGGGCCACGAGCTGCTCAAGGCCCTCGAGATGACTTTCGCCTGCAAGAAGTGCAAAAAGTGCTTCCGCAAGGACGCCCGCGAGTTCGAGGAGGCCGACGAGTACTGCCCCCACTGCGACAACCACTTTGTCCTCGAGGCCCTCGTCCCCAAGGCCGCCCTCACCGTCGAGGCAGAGGACGCCCGCGTCGACAGCCGCATGCTCAGGGACGACCGCGTCAACCCGGGCGTCGCCGGCAGGAAGGGGGCCAGGCCCACCGTGTTCGACCCGGATTTCGAGGCCGACAAGCTGGGTTAAAGAAAATATTGCGACGAAGGGGGCGGGCAGTGGTGGAAGGGGGTTCCGAAACAGAAACACAATGTGTGGACCAAAGTGCGGCTGGTACGTGTGAGTGAAGTGGAAGAAAAAGATGGCGAGACAGGATTACCACGAACGCTTGCAGTCGAGCTGGTAACCTACTTAGTAGGGTCTCCTTCTCCGCATCCGCCCAAGTGCGTCAAAGGAGGGACCAATCGGGTACTGGCATTCACAACTGGCCAGAGTCCCATAGGGAGGCCAAGGAGGAAGCAGGCGTCGGTCAGCAGAGCAGATAAATACCAGGCGGCAAACGACGGCCGAGTTGTTTTTAATGATACCATGACTTTATCATCTGGCGACAGACGACAAGGCACAGCAAGATACATAATCACCAGAATCGCACGCAATGTGCCATGGACGTTCTTCTATTCTTTCGGCAAGGCCAGAGTCTCGGGCTCGCACGCCGTCCTACCCGTCAGACCCCTACGCGTCCTCGCCTTCCCGCGGGCGGATCGCGGCACTGCCGGTGCCTGGTGTTCGGCCCGTCTTCTTCTTGGCGGCCTCCTCTTGCTTCTCCTGCTCAATGTTCTTGACGTAGTTCTCAATATCCTCGACTGGCAGCATCTCGATCAGCTTGCCAGGGGCCATGATTGCAATCTCAATATTCTTGGCGCCCGTCTGTACAACCTCGAGCAGCGACTTGATGGCTAACCGGATTGTATCTTCGCGGTTCGCATCGTCCTTGTAATTTCTCTCGAGGAACTCTCGTACAGTCTTGCTGGACCGGCCAATGGCATTCGCTTTCCTGTAGATCAAACTCTGTATCAGCACGTCGGGCCTTCCCAAGTTATTCACTACATGCCGTGTACATACCACGCCGAGTAAATGCCACTGGGTTCTGTCTGGTATAGCCGGGGAACATCGCTGCCCTTGTCGAAGCCGACAATCAATGTGCTGATGCCAAACGGCCGGACACCTCCGCTCTGCGTGTACCGCTGCTGCACGCCGGCGACGTATTTGGTAATGTACTCGATCGAGACGGGGTCTTCGACTGTGAGGCGGTGGGACTGGGCCTCGAGGCGGGCCTTGTCAATAAGGATGCGGGCGTCGGCGTTGAGGCCGGCAAACGCCAGGCAGACGTGTGTGTCGACGAGGCCGATCTTGGAGGGGGTGATGCGGGTGTCCTGAAGCTTCATCGCCGACTTCTTCTCGCAGCCGAGGACGACGAGGTCCTTGCCCTTGACCCCGACGGCGCAGGTTCCTGTAGATCGAGACGTTGTGAGCTGGTGACGAGGTGATGGGATCGGGTGGCGAGCTAAGTACCTCGCTTGACAGCCTCGCCGGCATATTCGACCTGGAAGACGTGTCCGTCGGGACTGTGGGAGAGCGTTAGCACGGGGCGGTGGTGATCGACGGCAGAGGCGCGAACCTGAAGACTGGACCGGGCGAGGCAGGTTAGCTGAGGTCATGGTGGTGATGATGGTGGGGGTGCGGGCAGGGACGTACCTGAGAGCGCTCTGTCGTAACCTGAGGCCATGTTTGCAACACGACGAGATGGGCGCGATTGTGTGTCTGTGGGGAGGACTGCAGTTGTGTCGGGGCAGCGCAGTCAGGGTGTATGTAGGCAGGAGTGCAGACTGGCGGATGTGTGATCGTGGGTTGCTTGGGTCGAGCAGCGGAGCTTGTGTCTCGAGAGGCCCACGGCAGCAGGCACGACAAGGCTCCCGGAAGCTGCGTAACTGCTACAAGCAGGAGCATGCGCTTGGCAAGGCGGAGCTCCAGCCCCAAGCTGCTGTGGGACGAAGGGGAGCTCCAGCCACAAGCCCAGCTGCTGGGACCACTGTCCCTGCACAGTTGCAGCCACATTCAAGCCGCTTTCATTCGAACCTCACTTTATCACACTTCAACGTCCAGGGTCAAGTAGACAAAGCACTTGCAGAAAATGAACAGTCTTGCACGAGCCATACATACGTATATCCTATAATTGGTGACCCAACTCTAGAAGTTCTTGCCGTTCTCTCGCCGTTTCGTCTGTAGCGTTCAGTCTCCATGTATTGGTTGCTTAGTCGGAGTCCGTGTTCACATTCCGGCATAACAGGCCCAACAGGCCTAATACATCCTCCTCGCCATCCACATCACGAACAGCCTCCCTCCCACCCTCCAGTTCACCACGTCCCATCCGACTCGGCCCTTTCCCCCGAGCCCACACAGCGATCTAGCCCGCCATAAGCAGCCGGATTCTCTACGATTAGTCATCACAACAACCCGCCCGGTTAGCTCAATCGGTAGAGCGTGAGACTCTTACACAAAACGATGAAACTCGCCCAGTTCAAGCTTCTCCCTCAACAGGTCGAGCCACGAAGACGGCATTTCAATCTCAAGGTTGCGGGTTCGACCCCCGCATCGGGCTCAATTCCCGGTGCATCCTGTTCACAAAGATGGGATATCATCGCAACAATATTTTTTTTCTTCTTCATTTCTTCGTTGATGTTTTTGGTTTCCTCGTTATCTTCCCCTACTCTGGCATCCGCTCATGTCACTCTCTCCTGCTCCAGCTGAGTGACGTCAAACGATTCGTCCTCCGCTGGTCCTCGTTGTGTGGTCGCTCGTCAATCGCGCTGCGATCATCTCCTGGGCGGCCACAATTTCCGGCACGTGGATCCTGACAAACTGTTTGCCGCCTGAATCCACCTGTGATTTCAGTACCATACGCAGAGCGGTGTCAAATTGTTCTACATGAACAAAGACACATAATAGACATTCACCACAGCTGATACGATGCGCCTTGAATCGTCCATTTGAATCAAAGTGTATAGTATTCAATCAATAGATCTACCAATGAAAAGGTGACGGGGAAAAGCGAGACCCCGATAAGCCATAGTCCAGCCAGTAAACAGGAGGATGACATCGCACAGCGGCGCAGATGCCTAAATGTATCTCATCCTCCGGGCGAAAATTAGACAGACGATACAAAAGGTGACGAGGCTGCCCAGAATGACCAAGAAGGGAACTACGCCTTCGACATCGGCAAAGGGCACGTTGACGTTCATGCCGAACAGGCCAGTGACCACGTTGAGCGGAACGATGATGGACGCGATGAACGTAATCTTGCTGAGCACGGCGTTGGTCTTCGTCCCTGCCGAGATGCTATCGATCGTCAATTGGGCGAGGTAATTGGCATGTGCGCGCGAGAGAATCTTCTCAAAATGAACCAAGTTGGTCATCATGGTCACGACGTGATCCTGGATATCGCCAAGATACATGCCAATGTCCATACGAGGCGTGACCTTGTAGTTTTCATTGCAACGCTTGGTGAAGCCCCTCAGAACATCGGCCTTGCCACCAAGCACACGCATGAGACCGAGGACGTTCTTTCGGACAGCACCAATCCGGCGGAGGAACTGGAGCATATCTTCAGGACGGGCAACAAAGACAGAGTCCTCAATGCCCTCGGTCTCGAGCTCGATCTTTTCAATGGGCTTGGCGAAGGAGTCAACGATGTTATCACTGGTGGATGATTGTTAGTCATGATATCCGTGCACATTGATCCACAGTCTACTTACATCAGGGCATAGGAGATCCAGTCGCTGCTCAGCGAGACATAGTCTTTCAGCATCGTGATGCGCTTGCGCACCTGCGAGGCATGAGAGTTGGGGTGGAAGCTGAAGCTCAGAGTACCCTCGCGGAACACCACAACGTAAATGTTAAAAGGGTCATAATCAAGCGTTCCATCAGGATCCTGGACCATGCTGAATGACCGGAAGGACGCGAAGTAGTAAGACGGGAAGAGCTCGATCTTCTCCCGCGGCTCCTCGTTGGTGATATCCTCGATCGTCAGGGGGTGCACACCGAACGCCCTGCAGATGGTACGAATCTCTTCCTCGGTGGGGCTGTTTACGTTCAGCCACCAGACTCCGTCCGGCTCGTTCCGGGGAAAGCTGAAAAGACCGCGGATATCTTCGCCTGGCAGGATCAGGTCTCCAAACTCCGAAGCGTGGATGGTGGATTCCCAGGCCGACGAGAAGAAGCTGAAGCGATTGGGGTCCTGCTCTCTGAAGATGGCGCTAGCAACCTCGGGGTCCTGCTTCGCGGCCTTCTCCTCGACATCTGAGGTGGACTGGGCCCCATTGACAAAGTCGCCATCAGAAGTGAACATTGGCGCCGCAGGCACAGTGGAGTTGGGCCGAACCGTTGAGAAGGTCCGCTCCTCCTTGTCTGCTCGGCGGGCCTCGAGGCTCTCACGGCGGGCAGCAGCTTCGCCAGCGATAAATGTCTCAAGGTAGTCAAAGTCAATGTAGAGCCTGTCCTGGTTTCGCTCGTCCTGCATGGGGAAGCACACGTCTTCCTCAGCAGTCTTGCCAGAGGACATGCTTGCGGCATCGTTGGTCTGGAAGGTCGCAGGTCGGCTCCGACCAGTGCGGCGGCTATTGCGACTAACGACCGAGTGCGTGCGTTGAAGCCCGCGCTCATCGTCAGAAGAGTCGTCGTTGTCTACCACGGAGAAGGCCCGCTCGCGGCGTCTGGCTTCAGCAAACGCCTTGACAGAGTTTGGAGGGGACGCATCCCGCTGCTCCGATGCAAAGGTGGGCCGGCGCACGTGTGCGACAGGAGAGAGATGGGTATCATCATCCCCATCGGCGATTGCCTCCTCAAAGTCCCGGACCTTGACCTCGGGCGAATGAGTGTTCTCACGCTCCAGATGTTGGCGAGATCCATAAAGTGTATCAACAGTGCCACGGCGAGGCCGTGAGTGCTCGGGAGAGCGAATAATGACTGCTGGTGTGCTCTGAGCTGGGTGGCGGTGGTCGTCGAGTTCCGGCATGGGAGTGCCGTAGCCGACCTCTGATGCTCTGTCCTCGTGGTCCGACATACTGTCTGCTTATCTGATTGTCTAGAATTGTTCCGTCGTCGAGAGTCGCAAGCTCGATGTAAGATAGCAAGCAGGATTTCCTCTTGATAGTCGGGGCGGCTTGGCGCCCTGAAGGACTGGCAGACCGGGGGCCTTGTTAGGGGCTGGCGAAGTTCAAGGAGAGACTCGCATTCTGGTCGTCTCGATGGTTAAAACGAGGCGTCCGTTGCAGAGGGCGTAGCAGCACGCCGACTGCAGAAGGAGGAGCTTGTGGAATCTATCCCTGTGCTGGCTGGTCTATACTTGCGAATGATGCAAGACAAAGCGTCAGACGCCGGGACAGAGATGCTGGGCGAAGAAAAAGGTTGAAGGCTGTCAAAATGATATGTGTTTTCGGTCAAGTTAGGGAGGCTTCTTGTTGATGCCGCTGTAGACCCCGAAGCGAGGCCCGAGGAGCGGTCGAGTGAAAGAGAACCGGAAAGCGTTGATGCCCGCCAACTTGGTGGTGTTGAAGGGGTCAGCGGTGGTGCCGCGGGTGTCTGAGTCTGCCTCGAGATGCTGAGAGGCGAATCGGTGCAGCAATGCTATCGACGTGTGACGCTCGCAGATGGGAGGTCGTCGGCTGGAGGTTGGTGGAGAGGTAGAGGTCTGAGAGTCGAGGCGGGTCTGAAGCTATTGCGAAGTTGTCGCTAACATGTGGTGTGCTGTCGCGAGGCTTCGTTCTGACAAGAATGTAGCCCTGTGAGGAATAAGAGAGAATGCTGAGTTGTGTGTGTGTCGTGGTGTGGGAAACCTGGGTTTGTTTGTGTGGATAGAGAAAGAAAGGAGCCGCGCGACCGACCCGATGGCGGGTGGAGGCCGTCTGTTCTGCGTGGATCCATGGGACGAAGCGGTGGAGCCACTGGGTGGCACTGGCCCGGGCATGTTCCAGCGAGGTCGGCAGGCACTAGGAAAGCCGCCGCAGCCCAGTGCTTAGGGCAAAAAGTCTGCACCCGATCTTGCAGGGGCATCCAGACCTCTCTGGGCCAGACCAGACATGGTTGCACGGCTGCATTGTGAGCAGCGTCATTGGCCATTCGTCCACCATGTTAGACCCGGGCCAGGGTGTGTCTTTGTCTGCACGCTTGAGGCGAGCCACTACGTCGTCTCGATCTGTACGTAGTACATGAGGTCACCCAGAGCACATGACTGCGCGCTTTTCTTGCCAAAGACGCGGCCGTTGTTGATCTGTCCAACAGGGCTGCAGCAAGGTGGAGGTTGCGAGGAAATAGTTCATACATGGCAACGGCGTGCAGGCCTGGCATCGAAAATGGCTCATCGAAGTCTTGATGCACACGTTTGCTACTCAGGCTATGCCAAGGTCATGCCGTGAGACAACCTGCCACCAACAGCCCTGCCTGGTGTATGTGCCTGGAGACCCCCCGCTATGCGCCACGATGACCGACCAGTAATTCTATGGGGACGGCTGACGTATTCTTGCGAATCTGCCAACGAGGCGCAAATGAAGACCTCAATCGTGCCTGCGCAAAACCGCCTGTAACCATGCAGGGACAAAATCATGTCCCTCACGAAGGTGCCGGGAGCCGATTGGGGGAGAGTCTCTGTAGCGTATGTTCAGGCAAGGCTTCCTCCTCAGACCAAGCTTGGAGCCCTGCAAGGAATCGTTGGGCTAGTAGCCTCGACTTTAGTTCGAGTTGGTCCTGCCTACGTGCGCAAACTTTGTGAGCTGCCCGTCGCCAGAGTCTGTGAGAACGCTGTAGTATTAGACTCAATTGGTGCCTAGTGATGCCAGGACAGGCTGTCATTGGACATCGCGCGTAAGTCCGTCGCAATCGAGGCACCCAAGGCGTGTCCGCCGAATGTCATCTACCAGTCTTCTCGCTCCACCATCTCCATTGCAGGTCCAGGCTGCTTACCTCAGCAGACCCATTCCCACCAGCTCGAGTGGCTCCACACTCCGCACCACCTTTGAGTCCACGTCTCAAGAACGCGACCCTGGATGAAGCTCATGATACAGCTAATGAAGGACAGCCAACCGAGAAACCCGCGATTCCGACATCACTATCCACCACGACCAGTCCTCAAGCACACAAGACAGGGCATTTGATAGGCCACGACGGTTTAGCCACCACACCGGCGCAGCCAGGACATCCTGACCAACCACACGATACTACCACGCAACCATGGCCGAAGAGCTTCTCGACCAAGTTAGGGACCTGGTCGATGGCCAAATTGTTCGTCTCCCGATTTTCCGAAATACCCGCGCGGATGCGAAACACACTGCAGCGATACGGGCCTGAACACGAACCGCGATACTGACATGACTGCCGTGTCTCGGCATATCGCAGGATTTTGAGGGACAGAAGCTCGCGGAACTCCTGACCACAGTTATTCTTTCTGCTGCCGGCGTAAGTGTGGTGATCCCTACTGGACGAAAGCTGGCCGCTGCTTTTGGCGCCATACGAGAGGGAGCTTTGTGGCTAACCGGCCAATTTCTGATTGATACAGCTCGTCGCCTTTGCCGTCGGCTTCTTCCTCCAAGACATTGCCCTCGCCCTCAAGATTGGTCTTGCCGGGACGGCTCTCTCATTCCTCATCATTGTGCCACCGTGGCCCTTTTTCAACAGACATCCGGTCAAGTGGCTTCCTATAGGAGGTGGTACGGCCGTGGCAGCGTCACAGCAGAACATAGTCATCGACGAGAAGATGTTTGTCCAGCATTGACCGGGCTTGTCACTGCAGTATGGAGAGAATAAAGGATTCATCGCTATTGTGGGATGTTAAGTGTAACAGCATCTGCGCCCTTTGACAAAGACCATCTGTGCAATCGTTACCAAACTCCTTTTCATCCCGTGCTCGATCGAGGTTGGCGTGACTTTCGAGAGAGGGAGACTCTGTGCTTGTCAGTTGGCCACCTCTTGTCCTGCAGAATCCCTGATCCTCGTATCTGTGGGCCAAGATGAACGTCTCTGGTGCCGGCCTTCACCGTCCATACTTCTGGAACTCCCAGTCTCTGTTGTCTAGAGGGCATACTTGGCGAGCCTTGAGCCAACGGGAAATGCAGTGGAAGTGGAATGCATGCTGCAGGACACGACGGGTTAGCACTTCTGGTAAATCGAGAGCCGTTGAGAGCCGTGGTGGCGCCTACGTTGCAGATACCCCACGCGACTGTGCATTCTTCACTGGTCGCGGAAGCCTGGTTGGCCTGGCATTCTATGCACAAGTCCATGATGTGGTTTCGGCAGATGGCGCAGTTGTCCACGACGATGTCCCAGGCCCAGAGGGCCACGGCATTCCACTAAAGCTCAGGTGTCAGCATGAGCCCGTTTGGCAAGGTGTCGAGATCATGTAGGCCGGGGCAGGTAGCACATACCTTCTTAACTTCGAAACGCTTCTTTGCATCACCCTTGCCGTCAACCTCGGAACCCTTGGCTTTCTTGGCGGCAGCGCCAGCACCGCTGGGTGCATCAACCATATCTACATCGGCCATTTTACCCGATATCTGGTGTTGGCAAGGCTGGAGTCTAGTTCGACAAGTGTCGGATGTGGCGGTCGTGAGGTCCTCGTGGATCGGGTGGGTTGGAGATGAGGGTGTGGTTGGTGCTCACTCGTGGTCACAGCACAGCCGCGAGTCGATAATGACGGAATGCAAAGTGGATCGGAATCAAAGTGCGTGCGCAGGGCCGACAGATGCGCCAAGCTGGTGAGAATGAATGGCAAATGTCTGGTGTCTGAATGCCTTGACTGTGTGAATGGGCCTGGTGCCGTCAAGGTACTCTGGACGTCGTACGGCCGTTCGTCGTGTCCGTGCCGTCCGTCGTCGCAGCCTGCTCTGAGCTTGGGGAACACGCTCTGGGGGCCGGTGGACTCTCGCCAGGGCTCTGTCAGCTCCGATTGCCCCTCATTGAGCGCCAATCATGGGCGGTAATCGATAAGATCGATGGATACCAAGACCAAGGTACTTTGGTACCGCCGCTGCCTGCCTGGCTAGAGGTCGTCTGTCCTGTTTGTCCTCTTTGGACGGAGCACACCCTCAGAACATTGAAGCTTCCAAGGGCACCTGCCCTGGGCGTCTCCGCCTTTGCGCGCCGGGACAGTCTCAAAGTGCCTCAGTTACGCGTAGTCCACAGGCTGCCCGAGAGACAAGCTCGCATTCCAAGACCGTGCAATTTCCCAAACACTGGTTACCGCGCAAGCAAGGCTCCGCGGCGTCATTGACAACTGATTTGACAGCTCAGCTCGGTTGTCGACTAGTCTGGGTGAATGCTTTCCCCCAAGCATTGGAGAAGCGCAATCAAATGCTTCCCTTGAATGTCTCTGCTTGCATTGACGAGGTTCTTTGTGCCTGGCGCACTTCATCTCGGCCGTTCCCCACCTCGGGCGGCAAACAAGTAGTCACAGCCACAACCTGCCACCTGCCATGTGACTTGCTGGACCAGTCATCCATGGCCTTCTGGTCTTCAAAGAGCATTTGGGCTTCCATGGCACGACTGGCGAAACAGTGATCACCTGGGAGCATATCCACATCCAAGGACGTCATTGACCATTGACGACAAGCAAATTGAGGCTGGCAATCCAGTCCCAGTCCCAGCCCTGGTCTCGCTCGTGACTTGAGACGGCGGACCCAGCACTGGCTTGTGCTTGGACGCCATCGAGTGTGGCCCCCGCATTACGTCTAGACGCCACTCTGGGCCGCAAACTCGGCCTCGTCCGTCCAGATCCAGCACAGCCTCGACTTGCTTCCTGTCCATCCACCTCGACAAACACGACTCTGCGACTCGACGTGTTCTCTTTGCAACAGCGCCGCAAACAACCCACATACGTCCTCGTAATACAAAACCGTCGCTCTTCTTCGAGCTTTCCCTCCGTCCGCAGCGACTCGTTTGGCGCCAGGTGTCTCCATCCGCTCTTCCCAACACACTACTTCGCCGGATTCATGTCGCAAGCGCACCAACATGAATCAATCACCACGACCAAAGAACACGCCCGGCCGCCGGCGTCAGGGGCGCAATGGCAACAACAACAATGGCAGCACCCCCCAGAAGTCCTACGTCTCTGAGAACGACCTCCCGGCGTATCTGTCCGGTGGTGCTGAGCAACAGTTTGTCAATCCGAATACTCCTCTCAAGGCTCCTTCTGCCCAGAAGCCACGATCCAGGAACAACAAGAACCGCAACAAGAACGGCTCGCCGCCGCACCAAAACAAGCACTCAAACCCCCAGGCGATTCCGATAGAAGCACCCGCTGCCATTTTCGCCGGTGCCACCTTCCACGCATCTCCCGCGCCTTCGTCCCTGCCCATGCCAAGCTTCCTGGCTCGATCCAGTGCCGAGTCACCTCTCGCAAAGTCATCCCCGCTGGCGCAGGCGAGGGCCAGCCCGCAACAAGAACCGTCTCCGCCGTCAACAGACTCGGAGGGCGGACAGGGCCTGGCTCAGTTGTCTGAGGGTCGCAATAATGACTCGCCTCTCGAGGTTTTCTTCCGTGCGCAACGTGCAGAGAAGGCCAAAGGGCACAGGGCCAAGTCCGCTAATGCCGCGACTCCCACCTTCGCCCCTGGCCCATTCTCCCCTCCACAGGCTTCCCCGATGGCAGCGAGGACCGTACCAAGAGGGCAGTCGCAGATTCAGGCCCAGACTTTCGCGAACGCACCAAAGAGTGCAGGGCCGGGCATCTCGGCAATTGAGCTGGACGGGACTCCGGGGCGAGGTCTTGGACCTGCTTTTTCAACCCCTTACGCTGAACGCATACGGGCCGCACGACCTAGCCCTGCTGTATCGAATGCGAACAACACTGCAGATCCAGCCTCGCACTATGATGAGTCGCAGGCCCTTTTGAGAATGCTTCATCATGGGAAACCTGCATTTGGACAATCACCGCCAGCCGCGCAGCCGCAGCAGCAGCAGCACCAGCACCAGCAGCAGTACTACCATTCTTCGCCGCAGGATGGGCCAGGTGCTCAATCGGCATTTTCCCAGTACAGGCAGCCCATGCCCTACCAACAGTACTCGTCCCATCAGGTGCAACCGCCGTACCAGAATTCTCCTTATAGTTTTAGTCCCCCGGCACAGTCCAACGGGATTTCCCAGTTGAAACCTCAACACGGAGCCGTCTCTGATGGCGATCAAATCTCCAAGATGGAAGCAAGCTTGAGACAGGTTCTCAAGCTTGACTCATCATCATAGGAGCCTGCCACCGCTTGCGATTTTTGCAGACGTCGATCTGTCATTCTCTTCCTATTTCTGCCGTTTTAGCTTGGCGTCAATGGTGGATCGCATTGGACACTTTTCCATTCGCGCTGACTCCGTCGAGTCCTAGCTGGCATCTCCTTCGCTTCCTGACATTTTCATCAGTCGAGCCGAGCTACGTGTTTGAAGCTGCACCCCTCATCTATTTGCTGCGGTTGGTACAACACGTACCAGCTGCGATGACTTGTTATGACGGCAAGTCGAATATCAATACTCATACAATGGTTTCTACCGGATATCAGCGACGCTTTTTTCCTTTTTCCTTTTTCTTGTTTTCTTCTTGATCTGTTTTGGCGTCAGGTACTGGGTTGCATGGAAACGGCGTCATTCTGGATCGGTGTCTACCACAAGAGGTTCACAATATCCATGTACGCAAATTCTTGATTCCTGACATGGAGGTTACGGTCCACGGACAGCGACTACAATTGGGTGGCTCAAGCGAGACCTGAGACTCGAAGAACGTTGTCAGTAGTTGATGGGGAGCGTCTTGCTTGCCGAACGTCAGCCTGGCTCTGAAAGTGAGCTATATTTGACGGCTGACTTCCAGCCTGGAAACGCATCATTACAATTGTGGACGTCCAGTGCAGTTGCTAGGAGATTCTCAATCATGGATAGGGGCGGCGATCAGCCTATTGTCTCAGGCGGCCATGATTTGGGAATGGTGGTGCAGAAGAGCTAAACAGAAAATATTTATAAAAAAAAAACCTGTGGCAGTATGCCCAAGCAGGGTGCTTATCCCAGTACATGGATGAGCCTCGAGCTGACAATCAATAAAGACTTTCGAAGTCGTCATATTTCCAGATTAAAAGTTATCCTCAACATGGTGCCCAAATGCCGTTACTAGTGTCTAGAAATTATTATTCAAATTCGCAGCCGAGTAATATCTGCCTCTCTCTCTCTCTCTCTCTCTCTCTCTCTCTCTCTCTCTGTCTCTCTGTTTCTCTCTCTGCCATTCACACTCCTGATGGTGGTTCCAGTTCGGCAACCAAAGCACGGTCATGTGATTTCGTGCACCCATCGTGTTTGCCTGCCCCACTACACCGAACCATTGACAACCTCACAACCAGCACACCCGCGTTTCACTACAACTTTCCTGCCTTCTCGCACGTATCAGTTTTCTTTCGAGATGGATGACGCGGATCTCTTTGATGGGGACGATGATGCCGCGCTGCGATACGCCATCGAGCTGTCTCTGCAAGAGGCAGGACAATCGATCGAACTCCCAAGCTCTAAAGACGCCACAGCGACTGGCTCCATAGTCATAAGCTCAGATGACGAGGACGATGATCTCGATCGCGGCCCGCGCTTTCCTTCCACTACACCCAAGACCCAGACTCCCGGGGCGCAGTCTTCAGAGCTTAAGCAGCCTGCGATCGGCCCCGTACAGACACCCAGCGGCCTTGCCAGTCTCGATCGCAAAAGGATGGAGGAAGAACGTCTTGCACGGCTTGGGAAGCGCAAGGTGCCCAATTCTGCTGAATCGTCTCCGGCTCCGAGCCAAAAGGTCAAAGTCCACCACCAAACCACAGCCGGCCAGTCAGGTTCCGCCATACCGTCGCAAGGGTTTCATCCACCCGCAGCCAAGAGCTCCCTCCAGTACCCGCGCGGTGCTGTGAAGAAGACATGGGCATACGGATATCCGCGGAACGGCGACGACATCAAGATCGAAGAGGTGTTGAGAAGAGACGAGCTCCAGCTCGCTGTGCTCAGTTCATATCAATGGGACGAAGAGTGGCTCCTGTCAAAGGTCGACGTGCGCAAGACGAAACTGCTCCTCGTCGCCTTTGCTGACAACGAGCTGAAGAAGCAGCAGATCGCTGCGAATGCGCCGAGCAGCAATGTACGGTTCTGCTTCCCGCCGATGTTGCCGTACGGAGCCATGCACTCCAAGCTGCAGCTTCTGAAGTATTCGAACTCATTAAGGATTGTCGTGCCCAGCGGTAATTTGATGCCGTATGACTGGTAAGCTCACACCGGTGTATCAAGTTCGGGGGCTCTGCGAAAACAGTACGAAAAAGTCTTGCTAATGGCAATTCAAAGGGGCGAGACCGGAGTCATGGAGAATGTAAGGCCATCCGCGAAAGCTGAGTCCTGGAGGTTCTGAGCTGACCAACGTGAGCTGGAAGATTTTGTTTCTCATCGACCTGCCCTACATCACGGACCCCAAACTGAGATCGGAGAATACGCTCACACCATTCGGGCACGATTTGTCCTGTTTCCTTGAAGCACAGGGGCTAGACCAGGGCCTCGTCAAGAGCCTCAAAAACTACGACTTCTCAGAAACCGGGCGTTACGCTTTCGTGCACTCCATGTAGGAACATCCTCTCCCCTGACTCAGCCAGTGACATCCTTAGCATAATCATGTTATCGACGGAGCGTACGATCTAATTGTATGCCTATGGCAATACAGAGGCCAGCCGGTCAACGATGACAGATGGTCAAAAACCGGTATAAGTCTCTGACTCTTTGCGAAAGTCAAACCTATGGCTGATGTGACTTCAGGATGCTGTGGACTTGGGACTGCTGTCTCCAATCTCTCCCTAGGCACGACCACCGATATAGAAATCGACTACGCAGCATCCTCACTGGGCGCCCTCAAAGAAGACTTCTTGAGAGCCATATATTACGCAGCTCAAGGTATTGTCTTCTCTGGTGTCAATGAATGGCGCAAGAAAAGCAGCGGGAAATTATGGCGCTGACACATAATCGGGTGATAGGGGACAGCGGCATGCGGAGACACAAGGAAAGAGCCGCAATTGCTGCCAGAAGACTGGCCGCGCCAGCAGCCAGCAGCGACATCAAGACGAGGTTCCGCATTTACTTCCCTTCTTACGACACCGTTGCAAGCAGCCGGGGTGGGACGCAGGTCAGCAGCCACGGGTGCCGATCCGTTGACACTTCACCAATAGCACAAGCTAACAGTCCATATAGTCCGCCGGTACGATATGCGTTCAACGCGATTGGTGGGAGGCACCAACGTTTCCCCGAGGCATGATCCGCGAGTGCAAGAGTGTCCGGCCGGGACTTCTGATGCATAGCAAAGTGATGCTCGTCCGTGCTGGGGATTCGACTCCTGCTTGGGCATATGTAGGAAGTGCCAATATCTCCGAAAGTGCCTGGGGCCGTCTCACCGTCGATAAGAAGACTGGCCAGAAGAAAATGACTTGCAGAAATTGGGAGTGTGGCGTTCTCGTCTCGGGAACCAAGCCGTCATTGACGGCCCGATACGAGAAGCCCGACCTGGCCTCTGCCTTTGCGGGCATCATTCCGGTGCCAATGAAAGAATCGGTCGATGGTTATGGAGCAGACCAGGACAGGAAACCATGGTACTACCGAGAGGCGTGATCGTGGCAAGAAAAAGCAATACTCAGCCCGCCACAATATCGCCACATCCCCGGATCTGCAATCAATCAGCTCCCAATAGCGACTGCCGACACGAGGAGACGGCATATACGTTTTGGGCCGAGTCCAATCGCCACTTTGAACGGCATTCACTAGTTCTCGAGACACATGTTTCAGGCCTTGCAAGGTACTCGTCCCCATTGAGCGGCACCTTCTGGCACCTTGTCGTCGGCGACACCCGAACCGTCAGCGCGCGTTCCTGGCTGGTGGATCCTACCTAACTGCACGCTAGCAAGATGGGTCCTGTACTAAATTGTCGTCTGCAGCCCCCACAGTTGTCCAAGGGGCTCCACCAATACACCACAGCATGCGGATTGGCACCCCCGCCAACCAGACTATTTGCACTGGCTGCTCAGTGTCTTACGTTCGAGCCGCATGCAGTCACGGTGGAGCACGTGTCCGTCGACAGATGCAACACTCGGGCGCCACAGACGTTGAGAGCGAAGAACCACAAGAAGTTGACCACTTACTTATGCCGCTTACGATTTCCTGACGGCGCATCGTGATGAGTCACGATGGCCTCTGGCCTGGACGGGTGGTGGTCCGGCGCATGCCCAGTGTCTACCAGTACCGGTGAGGTGCAGAGGCCTTGGCTTCTGCCCAGGCAGAACGGCCGTGCGGGCTGAGGCGTTATCGTGCAAAGACAGCAATCGATAGCGACATCCCTTCAATTGTTTTCTGCACCCTGAACAACATGTTGCTTCGTTTATACTATGCTGTGAACAGGGCTGAAATGGTATGTCATGCTCTCCGCAACTCTCGTGGACCCTTGCTACAGTTTCGTAGTTTGCTGCAATACTGATACAACCAGTCAGAGGCACTCATCGAACCTTATTTGGTAGAGACCACGAACCACCACACTCTGTTATAGAGAACGTGCTATTGACATTGCGACTTACCGAGTCCACGACATGCTGCAGAGTGCCTCCTACAGCGCGGGAACCTATCTAAGCCCGCGGTCTCCAGACTCTTTCGACACAGTCTCATGGGCGCCTACCCCAAGCATTAACATTTCGTGAATTGAGACCGCAAGCTACCATGGGACGTCCATATCACATTTTTCGCGACTTGTGCGGCATCCCTCCTCCTTGAGAGAAAGGAAAGAAAATTCGGATTGCCTCCCGTGCGCGGATTCCGGTCGGCATCGTGCACTCTGAGCTGATCGGCGACCGAGGGTCGCGCGGTCGCCCGTGAGCGTCTTGGCAACTCCAGGAGTGTTCTGAAACTGTGTGTATCATGCCTGCGACTCAGGTTCGCAAACTAGTCCATACTGAGCATCCGGCTTTGACATGCTGCAGGGAAGGTGGCCAGGCACGATGTCCAATATCACTCAATTCAAACATCAACGAGCATGGATTGGCAATACTCGGAAATGGTGGGACCACCTCGGATTGCGCGCTCCCTTCACAAGAACCAACACCTACAGTATGTACAAGGCTCGAGGTGGAACCGACCAGTCTTAGCTGGTTGACCCAGATCAAGTCCTTGGAAGAGAACTTCTGGGCCACATGATTAAGGTTTGCACCGGCAGGTCCTCGTCCAGGATGCTCTCCGGACACAGCCAATCAAACTCAGTCCTAGCCCCCGCCAGATGCTTCAGCACTGGAAAATGACGCCAGCCAATAGGAGGCCATTGCCCTCCTCTGCATTTCATTGCTTATCGACTTGCCAGCTCAAAGTGATGCGCAACACAGACGTTGCCAGAGCTGCTGGGGGAGCCATGCTCCGCGCAGGAGTCGGCTGAGACGGAAGGCCGTCTTTCGCTCTGCCGTCTTGAGCCTTGTTACGCAAGCACTGGGCTGAGCGCTCTGGCGGCGTCCCGTTTTGCGGCATTTCTCAGGATCTGCCGTCATATGATTACGTATGCCGGTCCGACAACTCGGCGTGCACCAGCCGACAGTATCCCGTGGATTTGCCAAAAGGGTGGCATGACTATTCCGTGCTAACAGCACGTGTGGCTTAGCGCGAACGGCGACTCCGCCAAAGCAGGGCCTTACCAGCTGCTCGGCCCTGTCAGAGCCATGCGGGTGATATCTCCTCTGGATACAAGGGAGTGAATGGCAACGACACGGCAAATTGCACGATATCACCCCAGGTGGATGGACAAGCCTTGCTGTCGGGTATTTCTTTCATTCATGGCCAAGGTGAAACTGGGGGTGCTTTGATGAGACGCAGGGTTGGCCAACGTCAAACTACACCCTATTGATCTTCGGTAGGGCCAGGACCCCATGTTGCTTTCGCCAACGCCTGGAGAGGTCACAAGTGAGAGGTTGGCTTGGAAGTGTGAGCAATTGGTCGATCTTGGTGCCCAATTGCTTCGCGGGACCTTTGCACGGGAGAATCAAGGCCCCTGCAGGGGTCATGGTGCGGAAGATCAAGGCTGTATCTAATTTGCAGGGCCAGCCCGGACACGACAAAGCCGTTCTGCGATCATTGCTGGCAACCAAGTCCCGGTCTCGTGGAGTCATCTACCATTGGTGAGAGCGTTTCTACTCGGCCGAGCTGCCATGGGTGGTGGAGATTCGAGTCGGCACGCGCATGCACCGCCACCATGATATGACAACTGTATGACGGCGCTATACGACTGTTGGGAAGTCCTGTCGCCTGCAAGTGTGGCTATTCGCTCGACGGTCGGCACCCCTGGCGCGCCGGAGCCTCTTGTTGGCATGTCGCCAACACCTTCCCATTGCGCCTGGAAGCCCATGCAGATCCCCAGGGTACGTACGCAGGGCAGGCAGGCAGGCTTGGGGGTATCGTGCCGCGCCTCGGTCGGTGGCCGTGCTCCCCACGCCGCCCAGTGCCCACAGTATCTATCGTCCACAAGAAACGACCACCCTGCAGGATCTGGTTCCGGGCGGCGTCATTGAACTCGCGGATGGCCGGATGTCAATGGCCAGCAGCAATATGCGGCACCGACGCCTGCGTGCCGCTCTGACAAGCAAGGACGGAACAGCTCGCAGCGTTGCCAAGTCCCTCCTCACCGAGGGCGCCCAAAACAGCCAGAAGCTCCATAAGGTGCTCCGCAAGCCGCGCTTTGCCCAGCCCAGCCCAGCAGCTCCAGGCGCCCCCCCCCCCCCCCCCCCCCTAGCAGGCAATGTATGTACACAGGTTCGCCGTCATCAGAGGTTGCGATGATATGATCCATGAGCAGCGTGTGTATACTCTGCTGGCCTGGAACGGTGCGCAGAAGCCCACTCCTGCAACCCCGGAATCTGGGCCAGCGCGGATTGCCAATCAGAACGAGGCCTTGGCCGGCTGCATGCTCGATGCGTATGCTTGCAGCAGAAACAAACGCCTGGGTCACATGTCTTGCAGTGCCAAGCAAAGCCCTCCCGCATGCCATCCTGGGTGCTCACCCCCTTCCCAGAAGCGGCCGCACCGCACCCTGGTGCCTCGAAGCCTTCTCTTTTGCCAAGGGCTCATGAGGCCATCCCACTACACCCGCGAGCGGCAATTGATGAGGTGGGCGGAGCGGGCTCCGATGGCGCGCTGAGATTATCGACAGGGTCTTTGTCGCCGCTGGTGCTATCGCGCCCCATCTGGAGCACGCAGTGCCCAACGTCAGGGGTCATCCCTACCGCTCCGGGGCTGCTGTGGGCACGGGGTAGCCGCGTCAATCTCGAGGTAATTAATTAGGGCCAGGTCAGGTGTTGCTGAAGAAGAAACAGGCGATTCCTGCGTTCTGCGGACAAGGCCACTGCGGCCCGTGTCACTGGGAGGGGAAGGCGACCGCGTCATCGTCTTGCCCTCATCACCCATTACGAACCCGCTGGCCCATTCGCGTTGTTTAGGTCCGGCACGAGGGCTTTTGTGGGGACATCTGGTCCTGGAGGCCCGTTGGCCTGGCCTGACCGGGGGCATCCTCGCACCCATGGATCCGTTTCTTCCAGGTACCGACCGACCAACCTGCTGCTACATCCACCTTCTGGCCAGGGGGGCTCGAGAGATCAGTTTTTCTTGCCCTAAGCGGACAATGTGCTTGCCTCTTGGTGACGTGGTACAGCTGTCAGGCATACTCGCCGCCTATGACTAAGCGGTCAATGTGCTTGCCTCTTGGTGACGTGGTACGGCTGTCAGGCATACTCGCCGCCTATGACTAAGTCGACCCGCGGCAGTCGAGATCTGATGAGCTTGTCCGCGCCCCTGCGATTGCTTGCGCGACCAGACGGCCATTGCCAGTGTCTTGGGTCCCTGGCATGCACCTCTGGCGTGCCTGGCCGTGATTTGATGGCTTTCCGGAACGAGCAACTCGGCCCCCCTCGCCGTCTCGCTGCCCCGTCCCCGTCCACCTTACTTAGCTAAGCCGGGCCAGCCCCCTTGCTCCTCGATACGCGTGTGTGTGCTGGGGGCTCGACGACTCTCTGAGGTGGTAGTCGTGGCGGCCCAAGGCCAGGCGTCATGGGGATCTCGACGATTTTCCGGGAACGATCGACAGAACTGTATTCCCCAATCGGCATCTCGCAGCCCCCCTGTTGCGGCCCTTTTTTCATGTTTGAAAACGTCCATTTGCACAATGGCAACAAGACGAGTGGAGAGAGAGAGGTCGTGGCAGAGACATCTGGCTGCCATTGTGCCCGCACGCTGCCGCATACGCGAGTCAATATTTCCAACGCGCAGTCCGCAACAAGACAAGTGCTCGTCGCTCCCCACCGGATCTGTTGGAGAGAGGCCACCACCATCGTCAATGACAGCCCTGCCAGAGCTGCTTGGGGGACAGATGAACAAGGGCACCCAAGGCGTGTAGCACTAGCGCTCGACGCAATGAGCTTAGCTGGCGGGCCCTTGTCTGCCTTGATCCCCTTCAACGAAGGGCTCAGTAAACCGGCTGAGGCGGTTGCGGGCTAGCTTCGTTGAGGTTTGCAAAAAAAAAAGTCGTCCGTTTTCAAGGAGCTAGGTCGCAGGAGCCGGGGCAATGGGGCTGTCACGGCAAGGTACCAACCTTGCCCGGAGTCTTCCAACTCCCGTCCAGGATGATGAGCACGAGCCGTACTCGCCCTTGCCGCGACGGGGACCCGACCTGCTCGACAAGAAGAAGAAGTGTTGAACGCAGCACCGCCCGGACGGACCGGCGCGTGCACACGCACTTCGTCACGACGACGCACGCTCGTCCAGGCACACATCCCGCATGCTGGCAGTTCGGAGGGCCTAGCTGCACGCCCTCGGCCGACAGCGGTGCATGGGGATTGCCGGGGAGTTTGGTCCCAGAGGAGGAGGACCCCCTTCCCCAACGCTAGCTCATGTCGGCAAAGAGTGCAGTCATCATGTTGTGAGAAGCAGGTGGCAGGCTGGCGTTGCGATCCACACCCCTTGTCACTGACCCCTATGGTGCGCCCCTAATACGATCGAGTACAGCCCAGATGCGAGCGTGTCTGGGGGGAGGGGCGGCCTTTGCTCATCAGTACCCGTCCTGCCCGTGGCCATCCATCCATGCCCTTGCCTGCCCATCTGCCGTCCTCGCAGAACAGACACGCATCCAGAAGATTAGTGCCGACGGCATGAGCACTGTCCGTTTCTGGGACCATGTTTGCACTCGTCCTCTATATCATAGCCTCCCCGCACCCAGAGGGAGCCAAAGTCCACTGGATATCCGCCTTCATGCGGAAAGTTTGAGGTTTCTCTTCATTCAAACGTTGTCAAGGCCCGCAGACCTGTCGTTTGACACGGGAAGCAGACTTTTCCCCCCTCTCACTATCTCTCAAACATTGATGCCAGTCAATCGTGAACAGCTGCGGCTCTTCTGAACTCCGTCGTCCTCCTCCCCACCTTTCAAGTCGCAGTAGCGCGGTGCTTGGTTGCCTCGCTCGACCTGGCTCAAGTCTCCGGCCGCTTTTTTTCTCACCACTCCCGTTCCCTCGCCTCTGGCTTTTGCAGAAAACGACCTGGGCGCCAGGCCAGCCCATTGCTGCCGAGCTAAGCTTGGTCGATCTCCACGCCAACTCGCACTTGCCCATAACTCCGACGCGAAGCGCTTGTCAGACGACCAGATCTTCGGCTTGTTTGGGAAAGAAGGTCCAGTGGCATCGCAAGCAACACGCAAGCACCCGCAGTCACAGTAAGTTGAGCCATGCTGTTTTTCTTTCCCGCTCTTGCTCCATGTCTCCTCCCATATCATTTGCCTAGCGGCTGGCAAATGATTGTCGCACGGGTGGACGACCTGACCCGGGTCAGCCGTCCAGCACAAACCGTGGGACAAGCTTCTGCAGAGTTTACGGACCGCAACCTTGAGCCCCAAATTCCGACCTGAGGGCCTCGTTGCCGAGTTGTGCTCGCTTTGGGCTTCTCCGCCGGCTGTCTGGACGCAGGGCTAGTGCCTCGCTTGACTGACCACGACACGACAGACGACAGGCCGGCACATGGTTCTTGTCCTGTCGTGGTTGTCGTTGATCTTGCCGTCACGGTTGGGCCTTGGCACCTGGACCTGGAGCATCTCAGGGCCTCTTTTGCACACCTCCCACTAACACCGGGACTAGCCAAAAGACTGTGGCTGGCTGTGGGCGCTCCAGCACAGAGCACAAGACTGCATATTCCGCGGACGTCTAGCAGGCGGACGCCAACGGGCTGCTTGCTGCTCGACTGCCGCCGTGCCGCCACTTGGCAGAAGCCGGACTGCGAGCCAGACACGACGCTGGACTGGGCATCTGCGTCTCCATAAGAGAAGGTTTCGACTTGTCCCACGCGCTCCGCACGGCCACTTGGCTGCTGGGCGTTGTTACTCCGGTCTCAAGCCCTCTCTCTTACTCTCTCTCTCTCTCTGGCCGGCTCGTCGAGTCTCTCTGGCCTTGTATCGGCCAGCCCCTAGTTGTCTGTCTGGACCCTTGTGGCAGCGCCGACTACCGTCGCCCAGGTTCTCTTGGCTGCAAGAGGCAAGATAGTGCAAGCGCAACTGATGCTGCCGCCACAAACTCAATCGCACCTCCGCCTCCTCTTCACACCAACACCAACCCGATCGGTGCCAGTGGCAGGGCAAGCTGCTGGGCTGCCTGTTTTCCGCTCTGCTGAGTAGGGTCTAGAGAAGACTGGGCCTTCAGCTCTCTAGTTGTCACGCCCGACCAGCGATCTTCCCCTCTTGTACGTACTGCATGGCCTGGCCGAGTCCACTCGCTAGCAGTGTGGTGGTATTTGCGTGCGCCTTTCGAACCAACGAGGACGATAGCTGACTGTCTCGCTTTCTGCAGCCAGGCAAAGAAGGAGCCCAGGTCCGTTTCGATCATCGCTGTCCAGGGACGATCCGGCACCCCCAGGGCCACGGTTTCTGCGCGTGTGTACCTACAAGTCACCCGCGGTAACGCAGATCTCCACTGCCATCCTGTCACCCCAGGGCCCGCCAGGAAACATCCGGACGGTCTTGACCTCCCCAAAGTCTGTCCGCAGTCAGATAGAGTTTGCGCCGAGGGCCGCAAGCACGACACTTGGGCCTCTCCACCGACTGGCACCTGCCCTGTGTTTCTCTATCCTCCTGTCTCGCCCCTACCCTCGCGTTCCGCAAGCAGAGCCGCGCCGGCTCGTTGCTACTCCACCCCCCTCCTACCCATCCTCCGTCACCTCTACGCCTGCCCGCCTGCTTCCCGCCAGCACAGGCACTTGTCACTAGGACCTCGACACCCTCTCCCGCTCTCGCTCGTGCCCCCTCGCTCACCCTGGGGCCATCCCAAGTGTTGCCGTGCTCCGCCCGGAACCCCCGCCGACGTGCTAGCCCTAGGACGGACGTGGTTTCAAAAGCCTCCTACTGGCTGCGGCTCCAGCCCGTTCGTGTAAGAGCTACACACCTCCTCTGCTTACCTTGCTGCTCCACCCCACGGCCGTCTCCTCGTACCAGCAGCTCTTGGGCATACCTGGCCGACCCCAGCCTGCCTCGCAGAAGCCAACAGGGCCCCTCCCCGTGCGTGCTCCATCGACCACGGCTAGTCCTGGTAACGACTGCCTCTAGCTCTCTTGCTCGCACCAACAGCGGCTCCGTGGCGGGCACTTGCAGACCCTCACTCAGCCTGCCTTGGCCGCGACTGCTTTCACAAGCAAGAGCCGCCGTCTTTAATCCCTTCACCCCTCCCCGCTCAGCTTCGTGTGTCTCACGGACCGAAAGACGTCTTTGCCCATCTTATCGCCTGTTGGTGGTGGCTCTTGCCTATTAACGTCTTGCTGCTGGGCAGCACTCGACGCCTGCTCGTTTTCATCCTCTTATCCTCCGCATCGGTCCTCCTCTACACCAAAACCCCCCAACGCATCAGCTTGTTACCCCGTAGAGGCGCACAAAAGCCGCTTTCCCATCATCATCGCCATAATCCGTCCTGCTTCCTGTCACGAAATCGGGCCGCCCAAAATCTACCATAATATCTAAATCTCCGGGTGTCGCTAAAGGGAACCTTCATACTCCGACCCTTAACTTTGATACTAACAAAACACTTTGTCTTATACTGGGGGAGAGAAAACTGAAATCACAAAGCATCCCTCCACCCACCTCCACACCACACTGCCCATCATGGCGGAACGCCAGCCGTCAGGATCGCCGCTGAACCCAACGTTCAGGGGCTACATTGCCACAACAATGGATGCTCTCGTCCTCTTCGAAGCCTGCCTCTGCGGCCGGCTCTCCCACGTACCTCGGCGCCCCCACGACCGAGAAAGGTCGGCTCTCATCCGGAGCGGCCATGTCTTCATCTATGAGGAGCACTCGTCTGGAATCAAACGCTGGACCGACGGCGTCCCCTGGAGCCCAAGTCGGATCCTCGGAAACTTCCTGCTGTATCGCGAGCTCGACAAGCCTTTCCAGCCTGGCGAGAAGAAGCGTGCAATGAAGAAGCCCAAGGTTGAAGGCGGCGTCACCAAACCCATCGCCAACCCTGCTGCATCGCGCTCAAACTCCCTCAGCAGCTACGGCACCAGCCTGCCGTCAAATTCATCCCTGTCGTCATTCGAGAACGGAGGCACGGGCAGAGACTCTGAGCGGGCACTTGTGGGGTCCCTTGTTGACTCTTACCAGTTCAAATCTGACGGGCTCATCAAGAAGACCATCAGCGTCTCATATCGTGGCGTGCAGCACCACCTGGTATCATATTACAACATCGACGATGTCATCAGCGGCCGCCTTGCCACGCCGTCGGCAACCCCCGACTTCAAGAATCTGACACCTCGGTCCAGCCTGATCTCGTCGGGCAACTTCAGGGCGCCAGTGGACGACCACGAGCTTGTCGTGGATCACGGCCAGATGGCATATCTCGCTGCGTACAACCCCTACATGCCCGAATATGTATCAATGAATGGCATCAACCACAGGTCAATGTCAGTCCCCTCGATTCAGCCGTACGGCTCGTGGAGTAGTATGCCTCAGCAGCACAGTCTGAACGCAAATTACACAATGGCCGGCACCCCTTCTGTCCCGATCTCGCCGGGTGTTTACCAGCCCCCGGGCGCACAAACCATGAACTATGGCTATCCGCAAAGCGGCCAACATCACCAGCCACCTTCATCTCAGCACCAGCACCAGCACCCGCATCAGCATCAGCAGCCCTCGCCACACCCGCCACCTCCTCACCATCAGCAGCAGCAGCAGCCGCCACCGCCCCAAGAGCAGTCGCATCCTGTCCACCAGCACAGCTACAACCAGTCCATGTCAAGGAGGCATTCAACAGCCCCTGTGGGGAATGACGGGCTGGGTGGTTTTGCGGCGATGCTCGAGAGTCACGGCCCACCTGGTGTGGGCTTGGGTTACGATCCCACCCAAAGCACCGCTAATGGCGCCATGGATAGTGATCTTGGCTTGTGGGCCGGCACGATATCCGAGGGCGACCATAAATTCTAGCCTAACAGTGTTGGTGTATTGGTTTAAGGATCCACGGCGTTGGCGAAAAAGAGTCTAGGCTGGTCTATACCCCCCCGGCGTTCATATATTGACATTGGCCCGAGTCTGTACCAAACAACAAAAAAGGGAAGAAGGACCACATGGGACAACGACAGTGATTTCTCCATCAATCGATACGCGTTAGGATACACCTGCTTTATTTTCTCGCGGTGGTGGAACATATGCCACCTCGTCTCGGGCCTCGCGGCCTCAAGTGGACAAGGCATTTTGATTCTTGTATGGCCTGTACATGCATGATAGGTCAACACAAATGTATAATTCAACATGATTGTCACTGGCAAGGATGTGCTCTCGGCGCTCGCTACTCGTGTTTCGCTTTTCTCCCTCTCCCTCGCTCTCTCTCTCTCTTTCGCGCAACAAATCGTGACACTCGGATGCAACGGGAGAGGGAGAGATGCTGGGTCGACCCCCGTGATAGGCACATGGCTGACTACGCAATGATGATTACTGACGACATCCAGGGGTTTTTGCCCTTTGAAGGGGGCCACGGGGGGGCCCCTGCCACTGAACGCAATGGCTACCGCATCCATTGCAACGCACGTTTAAAGATGTTTACAGAGAGAGAGAGAGAGAGAGAGAGAGATGAACATGAAGAAGAAAACCAAGGCCCCCGCCCTGTGCGAAAAAGGGCAGCAGAAAAGCTTAGTGTGGAGCACGGATCGCAGGTTCAAACTTGACGATGTAGTAATTAGCGGTTTTGACCACACCCAAGCAAAAAAAGAAGGGCGAGGGAACGGGGGCCAGGGTTGCGTCTAAGGTAGTAGTGTTCCGAGGCCAGGCAGGCAGGCATGCCCAGGCAGGGCTTCTTCGACAGGCAGACTGGAAAGCAGGGATGGCGGCAGGCAGGCAGAGAGCGCAAGCAAGGACATGCATGGATGGATGGATGATGGTGTGGCATGCCGCATGCTACCAACTACCGGCCGGACAGCACGGGTGTGCGTACTGCGTAACGCGAGTCCATGCATGTGTGTGTGTGTGTGTGCGTGCGTGCGTACGTGGTTTCCAAGTCCCTGCTTGCTGAGGCCGCCACCCCCCCCCCCTTCTTCATGAGACACGCAAAAAACGTGGGTTATGGAAAATTGCTTCCACGGACACACAACGCAGACACAAGCGTGAGAGGGGCCCTGGCTCTTGGTCAAGGCAGACTAGGATCATGATTCCCGACGTCGTTTCCTGGTCCACCAGTGCCCTCTCAAAAGGGGCCCAAAACAAATGCGGCGGTGGTGGTGGTGGTGGCGGCGGCAGCAGGAGCAGCACCAACAAGTACCCGGTGCAGTGGTAAGCCGTCAAAAGCGTCAGCAACGACGCAACAACATCAACAAACGCCATGTCGCCATGGCTGGGGCAAGCTCCCCAATCAAGACCCTCTCTCTATCTGGAGGCTCGACGAGGAGGGGGGAAAGAGGCTTGCATGTGGGGAAACAAGCAGGGCCAGAGGGGCCCGCTTGCCGCCTAAGTCTGTCCCTAACTCTCCCGGTGTGCGGTTTACTACTAATAGTTAGAGATGGGCGAGCGGGGGGTTGAAGGGTTCCTGATGGGTGGAGCGCAGCCACTAGGCGAGGGTCTGCGTAGGTAGGTGTCTAGGTCGAGGTCGAGTCTTGCACCAAAGTCGCGCAGGCAACACGCAAGCAATTACTTCCGCGGGCCTTAGCTCGAGAGCTCGAGCAGGACGAGCATCAGGGCATGGAGCCAATCGTCGGCGCCCGCAGTGGATGCCGGTATCAGTGCCTGCTGGAGGCGACGGTCCTGGGACGTTACTCTCCCTGCGCTAGGGAGGCTAGTTGGTCGTGCAGTCGGCTCGTCTTCCCCGAAGTGAAGCGGAGGCGCGGATCTCCACGTCCACATGATAGAGTGCCGCCATGTACTGTACTTGGCACATCACGTCTTGCAGACCTGGTATGGCAGGTCACCCTGTGGTAGGTCACATGTTTCGTCGTGGTCGGTGACTTGTCCTGGCTGGCGCCGATGTGCCCTCACGCCACTTTTGTCTGCGAGGACTACGCACGTTCCCCAGCAACGCAGACGGAGCGCTTAGACTCCCCAAGGGCCGTTAGACTGCATCGAGAGGCGATGCAGCCAAGCTGTCTGGGATCGCACAGACAGGCCCGTCATGCGACTTGTTGAGAATTGGCCGTATAAGAGGGAGGGGTGCTCACTGTCGCAGGGCAGACCCTGGTAGGGCGAAGCTTCAGAGGACGAGGTGCCGGAAGCTAGTTGGCGTGCCCTGCAGCATCTGCAACATAGCAGGGACCGTACCCGAGGCAAGCTCGGTCCTGAGAGCAAGCTAGCCTGGGCACGCCACGGTAGCTGCGCGCGGGATTCGAGGTTGGGATGCCGGCGGGGGAGCTTGGGCCAGCCGCCACTGCCCTCACTGGGGCTACGGCGAAGAGAGCTGGCCTGATCTGACACTTGGGCACCACAGTACTGTAGAGGAGAGGAGCCAAGGGGCGGGGCGCGATTTAGAGTTTCCCAAGAGGCAGGGCACCAGCAGCATAGGGCGCGGTCGAAATACCCTGTAAGCAGGGCCGCTACGGTGTTTGGTCGGAGCGGAACCTTGTGATGGCGCAGGAGACCGGCCGAGACTTGACGGGTCGACAGCCCCCGGGGGTGCCTTGCATCTGCGACTGGGGAGATTGGTGGTAGTGGTGGTGGTGGTGGTGATGATGATGGAAGTGGTGGTGGTGGTTTCAGTGGAGGCGGCGGGCTGGCGATTGAGGCGTGCGGGCGTGGCTTACGAGGCGACAGGAGGAGCGCCCTCTGCTGCCACCTGCGGGGTTGGCGAGGGCGGCAGGGCGGGACAACATGTGACTGCTGGTTGCGGCAGGATGAATCGAGATGATGGTGTTTTGGCAAAGAGGACGAGCTGCGATGAGAGAATGGCATGTCGTCGTCGTTGCCCGCTGGCGGGCCCCACCCTGGAGCTGTACGGATTTGGCTAGTGCAAGCCAGATGGGCCTGCCTCCCACTGCACTGCCAGGGGGTGGAGCCTGCCGCGCGATGGCCGGTGCTAAATGGGCACTGTGCAAGCCACCACCGAGGCCACCCCCGCTGCGCACTGTGGGCGGCATGCTGGAGCCATGGATGACGATATCCTGCGAGATCAGATTGCCCTCTCAATCTCGCACGCTCGATCCGCGGGCGCCGTCGATATCGAGGCAAGGAAGCACTCCGTATTGTCCGATGCCCAGATCCAGCCATTGAGGCACATCACGCTGCTCAGAGTTCCCTACCGCCACCCCTCTGTACAGCTAGCCCCCCGCCACTGCCATCCAGTGTCACCATCCGCTCCGTCACGGGCCTTGAGCGGCGCCGAGTCCGAGTGCACGCACGCACGCACCGCGGCCCTCAGCAACCACCGGACCGGAACCCAGCAGGCCGTTTCGGCCCGTCGTCCCACACCGGGCTTCCTGAGCCCCGACTCCTCGACATTGGGAGCCCTCGCCAAACAAGTAAGCTGCGACGTCGAGACGTCACCGCACCAGCCAACGCAGTCCAGCCCATCGACGACCGAGCAGCGCCATGCTCGCACCAGCACGCTGCCGGTCTGCCAGCTCAGGCCTACTACTCAGAATATTGCCTTTGGGCCGGGTGCTGCCCAGCATCGCCACGCATGGCGGCGCTTCGACCCGGCGTCTGTCGGTCCTGACTACCACGTGGAAGTCACAGACACGGCCGCTAGCAAGCAATGCGCAGCCAGGCGAGGGTTTTTTACTTGGAAAACGACCCGGCCTGGTGAGGATATGGAGTCGGCACGAGTTGCCCAAGCCTCGTTCAACTTTTGTGTCCACTGCAAGGTCATCACAAGACAGCAGAGACACAGAAAAAAGGTGAGCTGAGCAAGCGAACTCGTGACATGAGCATCAAAAATATGCTCATACGTGGTCCGGATACGGTGCTGACAATTAGACAGCAAGGAACAACCTGCACCCCCCAGCGGCTTGTCAAAATCATTACCCTCCTTGACAAAGCATGAGAACATCTACACGATTCCAAACATATTGACGTTCTCCCGCTTCATCATCGCCCCTGCCATTGGCTATGCCATTGTCCACGATGCGCATGCCTGGGCCCTGGGCATGTTCGCGTATGCCGGCATCTCAGATCTGCTCGATGGCTGGATCGCCCGGCGCTGGAAGCTGCAGACCGTGGTCGGCAGCGTCGTTGATCCAATGGCCGATAAGCTGCTCATGACCATCCTAACCGTCTCTCTTGCCGTGCAGGGCTCACTACCTGGTATGTTTCTGGATCGTCTTTTGGATCGCGAATACCTCGGTGCAATCACTGACTGTGGCACACAAAGTGTGGCTTGCCACCATCATTCTGGGCCGAGACGTCGGCCTTGCCATTTCTGCCATCTACTACCGCTACATATCCCTTCCGCCGCCCAAGACTTTTATGCGTTACTGGGACTTCTCGCTACCGTCGGCCGAGGTCCGGCCTACGACGATCAGCAAGTACAACACGTTCCTCCAGCTCGGCCTGATGGGGGCCACAATGGTGACACCTTTTGTCGGCACGGATGTAACTCTGGCCATGACGGCGTTGCAGTAAGTTTGGGCGCTCGGGAATGAGCACTTGGCTCTCGTCACAAACGCATTCCTTACTTACCATTCTACGATCCTGTCAGGTACACGGTCGCCACGACGACGATATGGAGTGGACTGAGCTATGTTTTCAGCAAAGACGCGGTCCGCATTCTGAATGATAATAAGAAGAGCGAGTAGCGGATTCAGCCTGCAACGCTGTTGCAACAAGTTGTTGCTCAGCTGGCCTGCATCGAGCATCCCGTTGTGAGGCGGAAGGGAAGGAGGACATGTAACACAACCGAATCTTGAGCATTTACAGGGTTAAGGAAAACGCTTGCTCGTAAGCAGGGCAGCCACGTGATAGTCTAATTGAAAAGTATTCAGATGTGCCAGGGAGAGTTCGCCATGAAACTCCTAGATGAAGACCGATTTGGCAGCGGCCACAGCCGTGTGCCTTCGTGCTGCATGTACACTAAAATTGATTTCGTCACGGATATCTCCTTCACAAAAAAGAAATGCTCGCGAGTGACGAATATACGTACTAGGCGCTATGAGTTTACAGAGCAGCTTGCCAATACAGCACGCTTGTTGTCTTGCACGGTCTGCATCAGCCTGAAGTAGGCCGCCTCGTCGCCCCGCGCGGCGAACCTCTCCACGACTTCACCTGTATCCATCCACACGTCCCCATACTTGCCGCTGGGGGAGGCATACGAGAAGGCCCGGCGGTTCGGGTCCCGCATGGCCAAGAGCTGCAAGACTGGCACCTCACTGGGGTTGACCTGGCCGTGTCGGTCGTGGATGAAGCACACGGGAGCATCTTCGTGGCGGTGAACCAGGGGTATTGTCTCGCTGCCGTAGCGGTACGATATGTCGAGCTCGTCGAGGTTGTGGCGACGTTGATGGTGCTTGGGCCAGGATTCGCTGCGGCTCGCATGGCCGTCGCCAGCATCGCGGGCACTTGTTCCCACCAGCATCTCGAAAAACTCCTCCCAGCTCGCCATGTTGGCCTCCCCCGTGTTTACATGGCAGTTCAACAGAAGGACACTGCGGAGGCGACCAACTTGCTCTCGTGGCATGCCCTCTTCATTTTCCCGACGCCGACCTTTGCCGACAATGAATTCCGCCAGCTTCTTACTTATGAACATGTTCTTGAGCTCGAGCCGCTCCAAGTTTGGCAGATCCGCCTCATCCAGCGGCAGGGGTCCTTCGCACCAGCCGAACTGCGGATCACCGCTCGCGTCGATTTCGCCGCCGCCGCCAAAGGATGACCGCGGGCCGGCCACGAGCCGCAGCCGCGCGAGGTTGGTGCAATGCCTAAAGAACAAGTCGCGCAGCTGCACACACTCAAAGTAGAGGTAGCCGTCGAGAGTGTTGGCCTCCCACCCAGCGCCGTTGTCCCCCGTCATCATGCTCACCTCGAGCTCCTGCAGGCCGCCCAGGAACGACACCCACGCGGGCGAGTAGAATGTCGAGGTTGGTTTCGGCACGGCGTCCTCGACCACCAGCTTCTTGACGGCCGTGTTTTCCGCGAGCGCGGACCAGACGTCCCTCATCAGGCTGCGCCAGGGGTATCTCTCCTCCTTAGCGCGGACGACCTGCTCGCTGGTCTCTGGCTTCTCGTAGACATAGATGGAGCCGACGTCGTTGCTGCCGCTGCCCCAGAACTCGGAATCGTGCTCCCACGGCTCGGTGCCCACCGCACCTCCTCCTCCTCCTCCTCCTCCCGACTCGTCATCACCATCCCTGTATGTCCGCTCCTCGAACCCTCCAAAGTCAAACTTGACGTGCACCGTCGTCGCCCGCAGGAACACCTCCCCAGCCAGGACCTGCCAACAGGGCTCGGGCAGGACAGGCACGCTCGGCTTCCAGTCCTTCTTCAGGACCAGCCCATCCGCCGAGCCGGCAAAGTAGACGACCTCGACCGAGTGTCTGATGAACTGGGCCGTGGGCGTGCCCGCGGCGAGCAATACCCCGAGCCCTCGCCACTGTGCATCTGGATCGCTACCGAGCTTGACCGCCCGGAAGAGCTGCGGCGCCAGGCGGCGGCGGAGCGATGTGCTCGCGCTGCTGAGCGCCAGGCGGTCGGCGTGCCGTGTGACGGAGCGGTATACCGTGTCGAATAGTTCTCGGGGCAGCGTCTCGAGTTTGGATGTCGCCGCCATGTCTTCTTTCTTTTCTTTGTTGATTCAAGCCAATGTCTTTCTTTGGCTGACAAAACTCGCTGGGAAAACACCGCCGCCGCCGCCGCCGCACCGGGCTGACAAGCACAATTGATATTGAACGGGAAAAGAAGTGGATGCACACACCCCTCTCCAAGCACCAGGCAGGCGTCGTTGTTGCCTGATTTTTGATCACGCAGTTTTGATCTAGTTCATCCCAGGACTACGATTATACAGTCAAGCCAGATCAGCACCAGTAGTAGGCCTGCCACAGGCATGCAGCAGGCAGTACCTCCATGAATCCTACAACATCCACCACCACACCCAATATGTGCCAAGGCCCCCGGGGTAAATCAAATGGCTGGCACGGTCTAGTACGCCAGACCCTTATTATCCCCCAAATCCTCATCGTTGGGACTGTGCGACCGCCTGTTGTAGAAGTCAAACACCGTCACACCAGTTGAGAGTTTCTAATTTACAGGCCGTGGCTCTTCAAATAGTGAGATTTCGAGAGATGGGCTAGCAAGTGTTATGCGATGCCACTGCGAAAAGGTCTGGTGAGACGGTGCATCCTGCCTGCGTCTTTGCCAGAACATGAACCTCTATTAGTTGTGGTTGACGAATGGAGAATATTGTCTGCCAACGTGATTGCCTGACTCTGCTCGAAAATGATTCTATAATGCCTCCTTGATGTTCCTTTCTGCTCCCAATGCTCTTTTTACATCGGCATGAACCATTTGCAGAGAGAAAGAGAGAGATAAACCCCAGCGCCGGCTCTATCGTCTTTACGTTTTCTTCGTTACACATACCTACACATACAGATATCATACAATTACCATAACGCCGTCTCTGAGGCTATACGCGCACGCGCTCGCGCGTTCTTCTTACAGATCCCTCGTCCGCGCCTCCGCGTCGAGAGTGTCAACCTCCCCGCCCAGCGGCGCGACCATCTCCTCGAGCCTGCGCGCGCGCTCCTGCCTCTCCCGGGCCGACCGGACGGCCCCGCGCTCCCGGTTCACGTGGCTCAGCAGCCGCAGGCAGCCCGCAGGGGTCATGCCCTCGATACGGCGCGCCTGCCCGATGCTCTCGGGCCGCGTGGCCTCGAGCACGCTGCGCTCGTGCATGCTGAGCCCAAACACCTGGCTGTAGTCGAGGTCCGTCGACAGGCGGAGCTTCTCGTCCTTGAGGAACAGCGCCTGCTCGTGGGCCTGCTTGTCCACGTAGGGCGCGTAGACGGCCTCGATGGCCACGCGCTCCCGGATCGACTCCGGGAAGGTGCTGATCTGCGGCAGCAGGCCGCTGGCCGCGAGCTCGGACATCTTGACATGCGGGACCCGCAGGATGTCTGACGCCGAGCGAGGCTTCGGGTCCATGCTAGGCGAGAAGCCCGCGTTGATCCACGCCTTCGTGCTGAGCTGGAAGTCGTCGAGGATTCGCAGCAGGTCGTCCATCTGCTGCTTGTCGTCGGTGAACTTGGTCCACCGCCTGTCCGTCACGACGCCGTGCTCACGCCCTTTGGCCGTCAGTCGCAGGTCCGCATTGTCCGCGCGCGCCGACATGCGGTACTCGCTGCGCGAAGTAAACATCCGGTATGGCTCCGAGACGCCCTTGGTGATGAGGTCGTCGATCATGATGCCAATATACCCGTCTGCTCTCGTGATTGGGATCGGCCCCTGGTTCTGGGCTGCCCGACCCGCGTTGATACCCGCAATGATACCCTGTCCGGCTGCTTCTTCGTAGCCCGTAGTGCCATTGATCTGGCCAGCCAAGTACAGCCCCGAAATTGCTTTTGTCTCGAGCGAGGCCTTGAGACTGCGAGGGTCGACATAGTCGTACTCAACGCCATATCCAGCCTGGGTCATCTCGACATTCTCCAAGCCAGGGATAGTCCGCAGCAGCTGCTCCTGTGCCTCCGCTGGTATCGTCATCGAGAGACCGTTCGGATAGATGAGGTCGCTATCGAAGCCCTCTGGCTCGAGCCAGACAATGTGCCTGTCTTTGTCGCCAAAGCGGATAATCTTGGACTCTAGTGACGGACAGTACCGCGGTCCTTTTACAGTCTCGCGAATATGTATCGTCTTGTCCAGGTTCTCGCGGACCACGTCGTGGGTCTTGTCGTTTGTGTACGTCGCCCAGCAATTCAGCTGCTCCTGCACGGACACGGCGCTGTTGAGATAGCTAAAGGGCATAGGCGGGTCATCACCCGGCTGCTTCTCGAGTATGTCGAAATTTATGCTGCGCTTGTGCAGTCGTGGCGGCGTTCCTGTTTTCAGCCTCCCAAGCTTGAATCCTGCATCTTTCAAAGACTTGCTCAAGCCGTACGTGGCCTGCTCGCCCATCCTCCCTGCCGGCCACGTCTCCAGGCCAAGATGGATTTCAGCACTCAAAAAAGTCCCTGTCGTGATGATGACCTGTGTCGTGGGTATTATTTCGCCGGACTCAAGCCGTACGCCTGTGATCTTGCTTCGTGGTTGCCCCGTCGCATCTGCATCTTCTCCCAACACGATATCTGATACGCTACCTGTCAATATCGACAGGTTCGGATACGTTTGCAGCTCCTCGCGCATGTGCTTGTTGTATAGTGCGCGGTCGATCTGCGCTCTGGGACCCCACACCGCGGGGCCCTTTCTACGGTTGAGTACCCGGAACTGCACGCCAGCCTTGTCGATTATCCGCCCAGCGACACCGTCGAGGGCGTCAATCTCCCGTAGTATTGTCCCCTTGCCGATGCCGCCGAAGCTGGGGTTACATGAGCACACGCCGAGGTTGTCGATCTTGGGGGTGATGAGAGCTGTTCGGGCTCCGGATCGCGCAGCCGCTGCGCAGGCCTCGGTGCCGGCGTGGCCGCCGCCAACCACAATGACATCGAATGGTCTATGACGCATGAGCTTCAGCTGTGTTGCGCGAAGGGCAAAGGTTCGTGGTGCAGGAGGCCAGCACATACCTTGTATCGAGGTTGACAGTGGCGAAAGTTCGAGGGTTGCGAGAGGCAAATGGTGTGGGATGTCTCCGGATGATTAGGGTAGGCCTAATGGCGCCGCGGAGCGCCCACGTCCTCCTCATTGTGGCGGCGGACGTCCTGTGACCCTTCGCAGACTTTGCGCGGCTCTGGTCGTTTGTCTTTCCTCGTGCAGGCGCTGTCCCTGGAGTCGGGAAGGTGGTAATCTTTAGATACTGCCAAAGATCGTGAATAATATTTGGGGCTCTGGGGGTCCCGCGCAAGTGGGTCAACAGGGAAAAGGCAGGCGGTGTGCTGGAGACTCTACTCAAAGAGGTAATTCTGTTTGGTTGGTTACCAAAGTCAACCCAGGAGGTTGAAAGACTCAAGGACTCCTCGGCTCTTGGGTTAATCGACCTGGGGGCAACGTGATTTGGAAGTCTTGTTATAGTGAAATAATTCTAGGGAGGAAAAGAGTGCACACTCTTGGATATGCCATTCGAATTGCCAAAAAGGCGTGCTGCCGAACTGGACGACTTCCCTCTTGACTCTTTGCTAATGACGAACTAGTACTTCGTATTTAGAGTTGGCAGGATGAAGACAACAATACTGGAGATTCGCTTAGAGGGCCAGCCATCTCGAACCAGCTGCTGACGAAAAAGGCGTCACTTTCTGTAGTACAAATGACTTGACTGCAACACTTGCAATTGGTATTAGTCAACTACCTCCTGCCAATCTCCTTCCTCAGCCGCCCTGCCACAGTCGTGGGCGGTGGTTCAGGCCAGCCCGACACGGCATCCTCCACTTCCTCCAAGAATGTCGAGGCGTTGTGTATCGTTGTGCCGCCCAGAACTACACGCACGCCCGGCGAGTTGGCATTCAGCGCCGCTACCGTCTTAGCCTCCTCGTACGTTGCGCCGCCAATAATGAACACCACAATATCCTGGGGTTTGTCTCTTGTTGTGCCACCTCCCTCCACAAACGGATATTGCTGGTCTCTCAGCCGGCCTTTGATCAAATTCTGAAGAGTCGTCTCCAGAAGTGGCGAATGTTGTGTGTAGACATTTTCGACACCCTTCAGCCCCTTGATCGCCCGTGCTCCTGAGAAGATGCCGCCAGATTCAAAGATGTCCGCGATTCCTCCGGCGGCTTGTGACTGTTGTAGTGAGCTGTGGTAGAAGGACAGCTTCGCGACAAGGTCCGCTTGTCTTGCAGGGACGCCTCCGGCAGCACCTAGGAGGTCGACAAGCATAGCCAGGGAATTCGATGGATGCTTCTCGTAGCGGAGTGCATATAACGCGACCAACCCAACTTTGTTCTCGGGTGTGACGTTTGGTAACTGAATCATTCTTTGCACATTCTGGACCATGCTTGTTAGTGCCAAGTAGGCCTTCGACCTTCTACGGCTTCGGGATAACATACCTTCAGGTCAGCTGAATGGTTGTCGTTGCAGGCAAGACTTTGCTCAAGCTCGCTCACTTCCAGCAAGTTCTCATCGCCCACGCGCCGACTCAGCTCTGAAACCAACGTAACATGCTTGCTGACATTGCCCGATAGTTTTCGGAATTCAGGGTACTCCTCGATAAAGCGCTTCATGTCGGTGATGGACTCAATGTTGGCATTGTTCTTTGTCTTGGACTGGTACTGCTCGACGTAGTCTTTGATGTTGCCACCGAGGTCGCCAAAGTTCATATACATGTTCTTCTTGAAGAACGGATCCTGGTCTTGGGACAAGACTATCTCCTTGAGCTCATCTCGAATGTCTGGCACATCGCTGAGGTCCACTCGACCATTCCGTACCCCGAGAAGCTGATGGACCATCGCCTGATATGTCCACTGATTAAGCAATGGCGTTGCTGGGTCCTCTCTCCTGTCTAAGATGAGTAGTAATGGGGGCGTGTCGACCTTGCGGAAATCGAACAATTGTTCTTCTTGTGTCATGTGGTATCGCACTTCGGTAGCTAGCTTCTTTGCCAGCAGGCTGTTCTTCTCGTACCGAATCAGAGGCCTCTTCTTGAGGGCCAACAGCACAGCCAGGATTCCCTCTGTCGACCGTTGCAGTGAATCACTGTTCCACATGTCTGGTGTGCCGCTCCATACGCGCTGTTGGGGAAGTGTGAAGTTGAGTGAGAAGAGGTCCGGGTTAATGACGTTGAAATCGGCAAAATGCTCTTGCACAATCTTGACCACCTCGTGGTCGTCCGCCTCGGCCAGCCGCTCCAGGGACGACTTCTTCACCACGTTGCTGAAATACAGATAGTACTCGCCGTACTTGGGGTCTCTGAGCTCATCGATGAGCAGCTGGATAGAGTCCGGGGAGGGGCGCACGAAACAGAGGCAGCGCAGATGCCTCATCTTCTCCCGGTTTGGGTTGTCCAGACGGTCTGTGAGGTACACTTCGTGGCTCAGCAACGTCGACTGTGTCACTGAGGCTGACACAATGGGAACTGTGTCCTTGTCAAGCAGCAGCAGCTTCATTTTGGCCGATGAACTCCCAGCTGCAGCGCTGTCTCCGGCCGACACCATCTTGGTGATGTAGCCGGAGACGGCCTGGACCACGTCCATGGTGGGCTTGCTGCGTTTGGAGCAAGACTTATGCGCCGCGTCGGTGTTGGGGCGTGATGATCCACGTGCTGGAAGCTGACGACTGTTGTTGCGCCTCTACCCTCGCACCAAAGCTGGCCCGTAGAATGCAATTCGAGCTGGACTGGCAGGGTATCACAGGAGCCAGCCGAGTAGGCACGGTCGCCGGAAATCGAGTGACTTGCGAGATGGTGGCTTGAGCTCTCGCATCTGGAGGTGAGAGGAGTGTAACGCAGCCAGTAATTGCGTTGGTGCTTCCCGAACGTGGTGTCCACCTGGCGCATGGAGGTGTGCCGTCACTCGTAACTCCGCGACAAGGGGTTGGAGCTTGGGGGGTGGTGAAAGGTGCATGTCGCCACTACCTGCGAGCGCTCGTGTTGGACAATGCAAGGACAAAGTACTGGGTACTCTTGAGCCATTTCGATTAGATAAGACATCCCTGCTGCTGCTGTGCACTCCAGTGCTGAGCGTGACGCACTTTCCACATGTCTTGAACGAGCTTCTGAACCTTCCCCCACCTAGGCACACTCAACTCGTCGCTTGGCAGGATACACACCCACCCCCAATCCGTGCCGATGGAACAGAGAGTTTCAATGTCGAGGTGACAATCCTGGGACTCCGTCGCCACGCTCAGCGGCGACACCACCACCACAATGGCCGCCTCGGACATGTGCTCGGCCACTCGGGAGCCAGCGTGAGCCTCCCACTCCTCGTGTCTCCCTTCCGCCAGTCGTTCTGGACATCATGGCTAACTTGTCTGCTGCCGCCACAGGCTGTCATTCACGCAGGGTTTGATCGTCGGCCAGATCTCCGTGGTGCTGCTCATTGCTGCATTTATCAAGTTCTTCATCTTTGGAGACCCTCCCTCTGCCGAGGTCACAGCCGCTGCCCGCGCATCAGAGCGACGCTCCCGAACACTGGCTCATAAGGAATCCCTTCTCACCTTGCGAACGCCCAATCTACGACAGCCGCAGCAAACCCTGAACAGAAAGAAGTCGACAGTCCTACGAAACCCGCCTGCGCTCACGATCGGCTCCATTTTGAACAAGACGTACTACAATGTCGACAGCCACCAGCCAGAATCGCTCGACTGGTTCAACGTCCTCATAGCACAGACCATCGCGCAGGCGCGCAGCGATGCCCAACACGACGACGCAATTCTCAACTCGCTGAACAAGGCGCTCAACAACGGCGCAAGGCCTGACTTCCTCGACGAGATCAAGGTGACGGAGCTGACGCTCGGCGAGGACTTCCCCATCCTCAGTAACTGTCGCGTCATACCCGTCGACGAGGATGGCATCGGCCTTGACGAGCACGAGTTCCACGCCAAGAGTTCGCAACCCATGGGCGAGGGAACGCGGCTGCAGGCGCGAATGGACGTGGACCTGAGTGACATGATCACCCTCGCAATCGAAACCAAGCTGCTGCTAAACTACCCAAAGCGCCTAACCGCCGTGCTCCCCGTTGCCCTCGCCGTAAGCATCGTGCGCTTCAGCGGCACGTTGAGCATATCCTTCATCCCGTCAAACCCTTCCCAGTCGACACCCACGATGATGCGGTTCTACTTTCTCGACGACTACCGCCTCGAGTTCTCGATACGCAGTCTGGTTGGCAGCAGATCCAGGCTGCAAGACGTGCCCAAGATTGCGCAGATTGTCGAGGCGAGGCTACACCGGTGGTTTGACGAGCGCGCCGTAGAGCCGCGGTTTCAGGAGATTGCACTGCCAAGCCTGTGGCCCAGGAAGAAGAACACGCGCGGCGGTGAAGATCCCCTGGACGCAGCTAGCGCGGCAGGCAGCGCCAGCGCGAGTGCCGCGGGCAGCACGAACATGGGCAAAGGCAAGTCGCGAGAGACGGCCAGGGACCTGAGAGACGAGACTGCGTCGTGGAAGGAAGTCCACGCCGAGTCGTCAGCCCGCGCGGCAAGCGACCACCTGCGCTATCGCAGGACCAGGGGGGGCGACGCCTCGAGCACTGGCGAGTATAGCATGCCGGGAAGTTACTTGGGGACGTAATGATGATGGCGGCGACAAATTAGTGCCGCACGAGATGATCTGCCAGGAGCATGTATGATGATGACCATGTGTGTACGAATACAGTTTATATATATATATATATATAGAGAGAGAGAGAGAGAGAGACTTTTGCGAGCTCCTTGTACTACTAATCAAACCAATGCGCCCTTGCTCATAACTCACAATCTCGCAACCGGAAGAACGTGCAACATGGACATGATAGACACAGAGGCATGGATATTTAAGTAGCTTACTTTGAAGTTTGCTTTGTCATGTGCGTTGAAAAGCGGATAGTCAATGCGGGCAGACGAGGTCGCAGAGAATTGCGTGTCGTGTCTCGCTGCAAGGGTAGATGTCGCTGGCAATGCCAACCATGAATACCAACCCCTCCGCCCTTCTTATCCCCAGCCTAGTCCGGCCTTACCGAGCCCCAAAGGCCCATCAGAATTAACTCGGGCACCGCCTCTCTTCCCTGCCCCGTCCTCTTGCCCCTTGGCCAAGCTCTGCACAGCCAGGCCTGCCAGTGTCACTTCATCAACACGGAGTGGTCCGCCCTCAGACATCGATGGGAACAAGCTCGCCCGCACTTTTGGTCAGCAGGCCCAGATACTTCCAAAACCCCACGGCGCCGAGTATGAGCAGGACGTAGTACACCACCGACCACATGGCGTGCAGCTTCTTCGGGGGAGGCAGTGGCTTGCCGCCTGAGTCCTCATCGCCAACGTCCCCGCTGTCCAAGCGGCCCCAGAATCGCGGGAAGCCCATGCAGTTGCAAAATGCATGCACCACAAAGATGGCGAGCAGGGAGCCCGTGCGGAGAAGCAGAAACGTCGCATATGCGCCGAATGCCGTGGTGTAGGTAAGCTGGATGCACGAGCGGATCAGGCCCTGTGCTACGGAGGCGCCCGGATTGGATACGCGGAATTCGTAGAAGTGGTGGAAGTGCGCGAGGCCAAAGATGATGGGGGATAGAAAAATTGTTGTTTTAACGGGGGTCTGGGCAAGGAGCATCAAGGGTACAGCGGCCGAGCGGAAAAGCACTTCTTCTGTGAGCGGGCCCTATAAGTTGAGAATTTCAGTATACTTTGTCATGGCGGCATTGTGCATGGGCGGATCAGACGTGGCGGGCTGGTCGTTGATAGCTGGGAAGGATCCCGGGCTCGATACTTACAGCAACAATGTTTCTCCACGTCGTCCACTCCTGAAAGAGCTCATGAACTGGGCGCAATGCAATCCAGTCCCGCCAGCCGCTCTGGACAATAAGCGACTCGTAGAGAGGGCCCGCGAACAGGATCGCCGTCAGAAGCAGGCACCTGGCCGCCTCAGCGAGTCCTACGGGCCACCAGCCCATCGAGTGCAAGGCCTCCTTGGTACTGACGACTTGCCCATTGCCGTGCGGTGACGTGAGGATGAAGAAGGTCGAAATGCTGCAGAAAATGCAGGTCAAGGTTACGGAGGTTATACGGGCCTTGATCACCGAGGGAGCATCGCGCGAGAGCGTTCGTGACGGCCTGGTCCTGCTGGAGAGGTAGAATGGTGCCACGTAGAATACGGTGTAGAGGGCCTATTACAATATGGTCAGAGACCGACACCATGATTCCTCGCTTATAGATAGTCTAGTCAGATGGCCTCCGCATGCTGTCAAGGGAGATGCTGTCTGAACATTCGTGCTTTGCGAGACGAGGAACCTCGCCAAGCAGAATGGAGCGCTCCGGATAACCACAACAAGCCTCATGATACTGGCCACATGGCTCACCATTATCGCCTTGTGTCATTACCCATGGCCTCGTGTGGACTTTGCTCAGTCCAGAGGTCCGGTTGTTTCATATGGAGACACTCACCAACAAGCCGGCAGCAGCAGTAGTAGTCAAGGGCGGGGGTTTCGCTACCCGTCGACTTGAGTCAGCCACAGTGTTTCCAACCAAGAGAAGGCAATCATTGACGGCACACTAGACCGTGGGTTTGCGGAACCCAGACGAAAAATGGCCCATATGAAATAAGCGGAAGCATAGACTCACGTTTCTTCGTATCAAAGTACTCGCGCAGGAAGCCCGTGATTGAAGGCATGATTGCGGTGCCGAGGTGGTGGGCGGCCGTGCCGGGATCCGCACGCTCTGTTCGGGATGGCCGTGGCAGACGGACGGACTGAGTGTCCGCCGGGTGGGCAACGAGGTGTGATGAAAGAAGGGGAAACGGATTCAATCGGAGTCCGCTCGCCTAGGAGATTGTGGCCTGTACTGGCCGGTGGTTTGGCTGGATGGGGCCGGGTTGACTCTTGACGCTCAATATTGCTGTCAAGGGCCGTGGTGATGATGCAATGGGGCAACCGCTGTGTCACGAAGATGCTGCTGAGCAGCTTGGGCCGCTTGCTAGCCGAGGAAGCTTGAAGGACCTGGAGCAGTGGTCGGCAGCAGCGGGCAACAGGAGACCACACGTTCGACAGGCTGCTGCTGGCTGAGGATCCCTGGACAGAGGAGCGCACGAGTGAAGCTTGGTCGTCGTTGGGGCCGCAACTCGGAGGTCAGGTCAGGTCAGGGTCGACACCTGGCCGCCGAGGTGTGGGCGGCTCGTGCGAATCAAGGGAGCTCGAGCCAATCAGCGCATGGTCTGCGATGCCCTGCTCGCCCTGGAGTGCAGCGCACCTTCCGATCTGCACGCGGGAGCTTCTTGTCTGGAACGGAAGCTTGCCCTGGATCTGGAGCCGTGGTGATCCTTTTCCCGCCAACCCGTGGCCATCTTGACTGTCCATCAGGCCGACAAAGAACCCAGCGCAATCAACAGGCATAGACAAAACAAGCCTCCCCCAAAACGCCGACAAGAGCAACTGCCGCGATGCAAAGCACGGCCAGTCCGTGCTACATCGGACGAACCCGAACTGCCCGCAACGCCCCGTCCGCATAGCAAACACACCCGTCATCTGGCTAGCTTCTAGAAGCCCTCTTTCCTCTGTGCTCATCCCGTGCGTTGTGCGCATGCGCTCAGGCCCCCCCAATCGTGGGGTTTGCGGCTCCCACCTGCAAGAGGCAAGAGGCAAGGTCTGCCCTGCGACCTTGGCTCCAGGCTAGCGGACTTGCCGTCCGTTTGGTGACATCTTTGCTCAACGCTGTCGTACCCCCGCCAGCATGACTGCCGGTATTATGGCTCTTCTTCCACCTGACTGACCGCAGGAGATCACGGGCCACGAGCCTGGATGATGCCCGTAGAGTACAGCCAGCTTCTTACAACCTTGGAAGCTGTGGAACGGCCCAGGAGGGAGACGAGCGCCACAAGTGGACGTCACCCCGGCAGGACACCACCACTTGCGTGCAGAACTGGCTCCGAAGTTGCCCTTAGCATTCCTCCGGCCTTGGGAGTGAGCTGCAGAAGATGCGCCTACGGAACGCCACGGCCGCTCGCAGAAATGCTTTTTTTTTGGTCAAGGTTCGCTGCAAGCAAGGGTCTTTTTTCTGTCTTTTGACTCAGAAAGTAAACAAATGATGACGTTTGTAAACAATAACAATGGCAACGAAGGGTTCTGGAGCAGGATTGAGGTGAGACCACGAGTTCTGATCGAGACAGACAAAAAATAGTCACCGCGTGTGTCTCGGTGTGTGGATTGGCGTCAACCCACATACTCTGGCGGTTCCAGAAGGCCATCCGACGCGACAATGGCCAGCAGCCCGGCCTGATGCGACCCCAGGGACCAGTCTTGAATTCCTGGACTGTCCTCAATGTCTGCAGCACATTTGTCGCAGGAAGCGCTGTACTATGCAGAAGCCAACAGTTGACGTCGCACGACTCAAACCTTGACGTGCGGAAAGCCTGCAGGCTGGCTGGCAGGCAAGCAGGCAGGAAGACATTGCGCGCCTCATACCCACGGTTTGTCTAGCCGCCCATCGTCAGTTAGCACGAAGCTGGCGGGCCTACGTGTAACATCAGTAACGCTACGGCCTATTGCGAGGATAGACTTGTCGCCATGACCTGAAGTGGGCCGCAGCTCACGAAATCAGGAATGCGAGATGCAAAAAGTCAGACACATGCCTTTGCTGTCTGAACGCCACACGCGCCCAGAGTCCTCCAAGGTTGACCTGCAGACAATGGAATTGTGATTTTATGCATGACGGACCTTGGCTGGCAGTGGTTGTCTGTCGTCCCAAATTATCCAAGTGACCCATGTGTCCCTAGCCGCTAGCCGAATTCATGCGCGGCTTCGGAACCGGGGAGGACCCCTGTCATCCAATCGTGAGTGGGCCGGCCTGCTGTGCTTGTGAACGCGCGCTCTCCGAACCACCCGTTGGTGTGTGGTTCGCCAAAACGTGGCTCGTGATATTGTGAGGGCACATCGTTCATACCAGGGTCGGCCACTTTATTGTGATCATAATGGGTACGATGGGGACAGATCGTGCGCTGGGACCAAGTGTCAAAAACGTGCCTCCGAATTAGCCCGCGGCTGCTATGATTGATATATGTGCGTACATACTCGGGCGGACAGATCAATCACAAGATCATGACAGTTGCAGAGTCGTTTGGTGTTAGGGCCGTCAATCACAAGACGAAGGTCTGCGCAGCGTTGGAGTTCAGGTTCTGTCTCTCGTGACAGAGCCACGGTGCGCACGCGTCAGGAATGACGTTTTGGCGCTGTTCCTTTTCATACCCAATGGCTTGTGCGTGCGTGCGTGCGTACGTGCGTGGCCGTTGTTGCACAGAGCAACTGCCAACGAACCATACTATGAATTGATATTGTCGACTGCCTTTACTATGGTAGATGCTACCGTGAGCACCCGGTGGTTAATTTGGCGCTGTGTCTACTGAACCGTCCGTGGCTGAAGTTGGTGCTTATGTGTCTAGACTTGAGTTCAGATGTTCTTGTAGTGACGAGACTTTGTACATCAGTCAAGACATAAGACTGGCGGACCTGGCAAGGGCCGCTTTATCAAAACAGGCAAGTGACAGGAAAGCAGCTCGTCGATGCACCCACACAGACACAGTGTGTTTGGTTTTGCCAGGCCTGCACTGCGCTGCACTGCACTGCATTGGAGATCGAAACGTCGGTGTCCGCTGGACACGAGAGGCTGCATGGCGGTGTGAGGATTACTCGCCGTATTGGCATCTAGTGGAGTCGTGGGCTAGCAACGTGCAGGAGGACCTGCAGTGGTTTAATTATGAGCACCAGGGCGTCTGGCCAAGTCGTGCAGCGGGCAGCGGGCAGCGGGCGGCATGCCAGGCTGCCTTCTGATGTCTTGCGCGATGACAGGACGGCACAATGACGCTGCTCGCTCAGCTTCTCAGAGATAGCGACGTTACCTTGCCATTTCGCAAAGGACCGCCGCGGGTGAGCAGCATGAGAATGGTGTAATGAGGACTGATCAACCAGAAGGCTGACACGCGCGGTACCAGGGCTGGGCTGAGATGCTCCGCCTCCTCCTGGACCGGGATGGCCACGATCGCGGCCGGGGTGGTAAACCTTGGTTCTTTCTGGGGGTTGAGCCAGAGCCGCCCAGGGGTCTATAGCCGTTTTTCTTTTGTAGGGGTGAAGCGGCGTTTGAGATGGCGCTACGTAGGGTGGGTAGGAAGCTGGAAGTCGAGCCTGTCAAGACATGCGTGGTGCCGGAGTGGAAGTAGGTAGACGTGTACTTGTGCAGATTGAATTCCGCAGCGAGGTGCTCATCAAAGGCCCCTGCAGGCTGCAGCACGCTACTCTGCCCACACATTCTTTGCAATTGTTGCCCATTGTTGCCATTGTCTGCGCCTAAGCCGGGCAACGTGGGCCAGTCGTCTGCGCGCCGTCGCGTGCTCCTCCCGCACACCAAAGGCGTCTTGCATTGCGCCGGCGCGCTGCCTCCAGCGGGTCATGTCGCTGCATCACCAAGCGAGTTTGACGACGACGTCCGCGCTTGCTGAGGTGCAGTGCTGCAGTGCGCAGGCCGGCATGGCTGCACGCTCACAGGTTGCGAGCTCCTGTCTCCCGGCGTGCTTGCTGCACTGGCGTGACCCGGCCTTGCTCTGGACCCAACGGCTCCGACAAGAGAGCCCATTGCTACATGATCGTCTTCACCGCAGAAGATCAGCACCAGGTCGAGTCGTCGCGCAGGACCCCGGCTTGCGGGCGGGAGCATCCAGGGCCAGTGGAGCCACAGGCTCTCGAGGGCTCGGCGGCCTGCTGCACGTTCTAACTAGTGCAGGGTAAAGGGCTCCGGGAGGCTCTCTGATTCGAGTTCCTGGAAAGCCACTGCAGACAGGCCAATTTGCACCTGCAGCAGCTGCCTCCTGTTCAGCCGGGATGCGCGGCAGGGACTTGTCCAGCGCGGGAGAACATCTTGGGACAAGACACAGCTGTCAGTGATCGCCTCCTAGGGGCTCAGGGTATCGTCACCAGAGAAAATCAAGAGGGCTACAGTCTCCTGCCCAGCCATGTACCCTTATGTGGCCACCAGTCTTGACGACCATCAGGCACATCCGACTGGCCGTCGTCGATCCGGCCGTCGCGGCGAGCCCCTGTAGGCGCTCGACCATCGAGAGGCTCACGATCCATCATCCGCCATGGTCGAATTCCAGCCTGCCTGCCTGCCTGCCTGCCTTGGCTTGACCTCCCCCCAGGCCGGTTGGTGGGCGGGCCTGGTCTGAGCAAGCCCTGTCGTGCTCGCTTCACCCTTACCGTCCAGGCACGCCCGCGCTAGCACGGGCTTGCCCCCGTAACCCACTGCTTAGCGTATCGGCCACGGCCAGCCCCCACCATGTCCCTGGGTCGCTGCTGGTGCTCTTGCACTGCGCGCGGCGGTGCAAGTGCTGTCATCTTGAGCCCTCTTATGCGGCCGCGGGCCCCATCTGAGCGGCCTTCCCGCCAGCGCGCACTCGACCACCTCTCTTCCCTCCTCTCCCGGCATCACATCATTTCGGCGTCGTTGGAATAGCGCTTGCTAGTCGAGTCTGCCCGCTGGGCTTTCCCTGCTCTCCGTCGACTGCTGCTTTCCTCTGTCTTGTCATGTTGTAAATGATATAATCACCACGGCCTCGCTTCTTCACGCTCTCTTGTTAGCCTCTTTTCCCACTTTTTGGCCACCGCGCCTGCCACTCTTTACCTACCACCCACTCGTCACGACACGACACGCAAAGACTCTCAGCAAACACTTCTTTATCTTACCGCAAGCTCGAAAAACGATTCTGCTCTCCACGAGGAAACGAACAGACCAGGATTCTCACGTCTCAACTGCCTTCTCTGCACGCGCCCAGTGCGGCTTCTTCTCCAATCCCTGAACTTTGCAGCTTGCGACATGGAAATATCCACCACAACTCAAGCCCTGATCCGATAGAGCACAACTCTGACCCAGGGGACTATCACCCAACCGGCGGACTCTGGGCTTGGCCCCAAACCAGCAGACACGATGGCATCGACCAGCACTTCCTCGCAGCGCGCACCTGCTGGTGCATCACCGCGCGAAAGCTCCAGCTCCGAGGCTAGCCGGGGTGGGATCCGCATCGTGCCCTACTCACCACCAAAACCTATCGAGGACGACGACGACGACTTCAGAGCTCCCATCAAGACTCCTACACGGTCCAGATACAGTACCGCCTCGCACGGTCCCTACGACTCGTCGGCGTCGCCCGAGTCTGCACCGTCGTCAGCTGCTTCCTCAGCCAATTATTCCCTGGCCCGGCCACCGGCCAGGGGCGTTTCAGATGGCCGACGGGGATCCGTCTCGGGTGCCGCTGCAACCACAACGTCCCTATTGGCCCCTGCTCCCAGGAGAGCCTCACACAGCAGCAGTCGCAGCCCCAGCCTGTCCCCATCGCCCTCATACAGCAGCCTGGACCACCAACCACTCTCGCCCTCAGGCCAGATGCTGGGCCGTTCGCGCCGGAGCAACGTGATTGAGGTCAATCCAGACAAGACTTTTTCCGTCGTCCTCCGCTCCACCAAATCTGCTGCCAGACCTTCCAATGAGACAGCCATCACCACCTCTAGCACCACCTCGGCGCCTTTGACTGCGTCCTCGCTCGTCAGCTCGCACGGACAGCTTTCATCCGATGCCTCACACCACGACATTCCTCCCCCGTCGCCTCTCTCTTCAGTCCCTGAAAGCGAAAGCCCCCAGGTCTCGCCGCGCACTTCCGTAGCCGAACCTTCTGCTAGAGAACCAGATACTTCCTCGCCTTGGAACTACCGCATGACTGGCGGCGTCCGCAAAGTGCCCCAAACTCCCGAACCTAGCTCGAGGAGGGCGGGGACATCGGGCAACCAGCAAGATGTAGAGTCTTCCATGGCCCGCGAATCCACCGCCACGTCCACGGACAATCAGAACCTCATGGCGAAGGCGTCCTTCAGCTCCCATGACACCGAGTCATCATTGGATGACAACTCTAACCTCAGGGTCATTGGCCAGAGCTCGCCCATCGTACCTTATTCTGACAGCGCTGTTCCGTCGCCCGCACCCAGCGACGCCAATGTTCAGATCCTGGGCTTCTCATCGCCAGCGTATCCGTCATCGCCATCTCGCGGGGCAGATGTCCTCGACACACCAGGAAGCCGCAATTTCATTGTGCACAACACAAACACGCCTGGCTCCGGCCTGTTTACACCTGCCCGAGGGTCATCTGTGCTGGATACTCCAGGCAGCAAGAACTTCATTGTCCATGGCAAAGGCACGCCGGCCTCTCAGATGTACACCCCCTATGCTGAGTCGAGCAGCCTCGAGACTCCCGGAAGTCGCAACTTCGTCACCCACGGGCCCGTTTCTCGCCAGTCTTCTGTCGGCACATTTCCGCGACACCAGCCTTCTGTGGACAGCATGGCAGGCTTTGTGCGCGAGGAATACTCACAAGAAAGCTTGAAGGTCTCACCACTGAACACAAACGGCAGGAGGAAGTCGTCGCAGGATTACACCAGATTCATTCCGCGTGAAGCGGTCCGCCCTCGTGCTGCATCATACTCATCCATTTCCAGCATCATCAGCCAGGACAACACAGCACTGGCGCTTGCTCAACAGAACCTGAACACGATCGACCAAGAGCCTTCATCGGCGATTACGTGGAAGGGCCCGTTCGGCACGATCCAATACCCCAAGCGCGTGGATGCGCAGCCGCACAACTGGAGCTCGCAGCTCTCCACAGTCATGTCCGAGGACGAGCGGAGCGACGGTTCGCGGATAGCCAGCCAGTTCTCGGAGAGAAGTGGTAGCCAGCACAGCAGAAACATGCTCAGTGCCTCATCCATGTCACTCTCTGCTGACGAAGCGCGATCCCTGGGAACCCAGTCGAGGCTAGACCTGGAGCGACCGAGTCCGACATACTTGCCCTCGCCCGTGATCCGGATGATCCGCGACCATGACGAGGACGGCGACGGATTGGCGGATCTGGAGTACAGCCAGCAGCTTCGTCATAAAGCATCGTGGTCCAGAGTCGGCAGCTATATCTCCCGCCGCAGCTCCGACAGGGACCTGCACTCTTCTGCAAGCTCTCGTGCAAACAGCTTCTCAGGGGGCGCCATTCCTGCGTGGGCCCGGGTGTACTACGGCAGCGGCGAAAGGAAATGGCTCGCAGCTCCGTCAATAAGATCACAACCATCCATGCAGTCCTTTGTGGACAGCCGCCGAGGCAGCTTCGCAGGCTCCGGATCGCCAGAGTACGAGGATGACATCTACAACCCCCGACGCCGCGTTCGGGACGCGCAGAGGCGTGGCAGCAGGTCCGACTCGATGCAGATCAACGAGGTGCCACAATACGCACGCGGCGTATACCGCCCCAAGAAGAAATCGTCGAGTATCTGGTCGCCACATCTAAAGGTCGACCGCAGGTCGACTCTGTACAATGCGTGGGCGCCACCCTCCGTCGCCTGGTCGGCCGAGAGCGGTGCACTGGGGCGTCGCAACATCCAGATCATCCTCTTCGTGGTTGGCTTCGTCCTTCCGTTTGGTAAGCATATGATCTCAACGTGTGCAAAACTTCACGCTCATATTTACTGACCTACTACTCTTAGCCTGGATGATTGGTGCCTTCTTGCCTCTGCCAGTGGCGGTGCACCTCAAGAGTGCGAACCCCGACGACAGTCAAACAGAGCTCGGTGCTCCGGTCCAGGAGAAGATTCGGGACGACCAACACTTTGCTTTCGACGATGCTCAGTATCAGAGCGCAAGATGGTGGCGCAACCTGAACCGCGTAATGAGCATTGTAGGCATCCTCGTCCTCGGCGCCGTTGCTGCACTTGTCGTTATCGGCGTCAAAGACCGTTGGGCCCAGTAGGGTCACAATTGGGCCAGTACAACCACGACGTCTCGGTGAAATCTTGCCAGTCAATCACAAACATCCACCATTAATTTTTTTTTTCGCAACAACACATTTTCATTTCTAGCAAGCGTTGCACTTTTGCAAAAGGGTGCCTCCAGGCCACGAGTCCTGGCGCACCCTCGTCCGACCTCAACGAGTTTGTTATTCGCAGAGTCCTTTCCTCACGAAGCAGAAACGACGCAACCACACCAGGCGCAACATCTATTTTCCTTGCCACTATAGATATCCTTTGATTTCTTGGAAATGTCTCGTCTCAGAGAACAATTTCTGGTCACGCCACAATTTACGAACCATCTGCCACCACCATTTTCCTTAGTTGGACACCAGTGTACATCATAGAAGCGAAGGACACGAGGTCCATTGCGCAATGTAAGAAGAGGATGCTCGCAGCCTTCCAAGGAAGGGGGGGCCAAGTACAAGGAAGCAGAATGCTTGCTCAACGTAATGTGTCCCAGTCACTGCCGCTGTTGTCGTGACTACAGCTTTTATATCCCCCGCCAAAGGATGGAAACCAAATACTTTCACTATCATTACACATCCACCTATATATCTAGTAGCTAGTATTTAATGAGCATACGAACTATATTCTCACGCCAGCCTCGTGTGCATTCCGGGGGGTCGCCGTCTCCTCGCGCCCTGCTGTGGAACGGAAGAAGCAATAGCATGCTGGTTTGTGTTGGAGATCTGAAGCTGTTGCGCCTGGTCGTGCATGACATGCAGGCGCCCTCTCTTTGTCCCTATGGCAGCGCATGCATAAAGTACATGGTAGCAGTCTAGAGTTGCCTTTTCTTTTTTGTTACCGGTACCCTCTCGTTTTTGCGAAACTGCTTGTTTTACTGCCCACCCCAGCCAGCCAGCCAGCCAGCGGTGTCGGAAAAGAAGCCACGTGGAAAGCGCAAAAAAAAAAAAAAAAAAAAAAAAAAAAAAAGGAAGAAACAAAAGCCATGCTTGGTTGCCTGCCTGCCATGGGGGCAGGTGGGTGGGTGGGTAGGTGGCGATGTGGATGGATGTGTGTGTTTCATGTCCACGTCGTTTCATCTCTTTCATTGGACTCTAGCCCAGCAGCCTGGCTGTTTTCTACGAAAACGTACCCAACCAATGGATCTGCTCCGTGTTGTCTATATTGGCGTGCGGTATTACCACCACCACAACACGTCCCAACCACCACTTCCACCACCACCACTAACTAGTAGGAAGCACAATCGGAACCGCCATTCAAGGTACTTTAGTGTAGGTGCCTATATTTGTGCAGCCCGCCATAAATCATGTTTCGCAATCTCGTTCAGCAACGCCGTGCTAATCTCCTCGGCCTTGTGTCTCTATGTGTCTCTTCTTTCTGTCTGACTGCTCGTCTTTGTTTCCTTGCTTCTGCCTACCGCGAATGCATTCATCGTCGCAGGTCTACTTAGCACTTCCCCGCCCTCCCCTCCCCCACTGGGTCCTTCATCTCTTTGAGTCTGTATCGCCTACTCTCAGACCGGGCGTCCTGGACGGTCTACCGTCATGCATTACTTACTCCTCCCCGCGACGGACAGGCGTGGGTTTCTTGGCTCCTGTACATAATCCGTTTGAATGCTTCCAACCCTCGCTTCCGCTCTCTTACTCGGATCGCTATATTCCCTTGACACCCCCGGTGCTTTAATGGTGATCGTGGCCGCGTGCTGGCTGTGGTGGTGATGACTTGTGCGTGTACAGCACCAACGCGTCTTCACAAGCAGCACGCAAGACATACGACGCTTCACCATGCGTGTCGTGGATAAGACATGAATAGCTCATAGTCCAGTCATCGATCCGCTCACGCCTTGCGCGTCCGGTTGCGGAACTCGGTCTGCTTTTCCCGGATCGCCTCCTCGACCATCTGCTTGACCTGCTTCGAGTCCAGCCCAGACTCCTTGAGCTCCTTGATGGCATCGTCGACGTCACGGACGGGGTCGTTGAGCCCCAGCACCGGCTCGGGCCTGTTGCCCGTCAGGCTCTCGCTGCTGCTGGACTTCTTGAGCTGCGCGACGCCCGCCTTCCGCGAGCGCTCCTCGAGAGCCTTCTTCAAGTAGACTTTGCCAGGACTTGAGAAGAAGCCGATGCTGACGAGGACGGTGATGACGGCGTAGAAATACACCCGAGACCAGACGATGAGGGACTTTTCGAGGGTCAGGAGGTAGAACGGTGCGACGGCGAACGAGAAGATGAGCTGTGTGGCGAGCCACGAGGCGATGTCGTAAAATTTCTTGGTCGGCAGCGGGTTCTGTGTGTTCGGGTCCAGGAAGAAGGGTCGGACATATCGGCGCATGTCTACATTCTCGTCAGTATAATCGGAGATAGAGCAAAAGGGGTGCGGAAGGACTGACTCTTGGCTGCAGTCTGCACGAAACTGGCCAAAACAAAGGTAAGGTAGTATCCAGGGTAGAATCCGTGCCAGAAAGCGCTGGTAACAAAGGTAGCCATGCTGGCTCTGAAGCCTGGCTTCTTGCCTTTGGGTGTGACGCGTAGGTAGATGTAGTTGCGAAGCCACTTGTTGGTGTTCATGTTCCAGTTCTCGAGATACGCACGGCTGTTCGTGCCCGTCTCGACGCCCCAGGGGTTGACATTCTGCAGCCTGTTCCACGACACCTTGCCTGTCGTGGGATCGACACCATTATAGCCGAGGCCAGCCAGGATACAGGACCCTTCTGCGAGGAGCCAGGCGCCGTAGTACTTGAAGCGGATGGTAAGGCCAACCATGTGGAGATAGAAGACTCTGCGAAGGATACCGTACTTGAGAAACCCCTCGTCCAGCATCCATTCGGGGTAAAACCTTGATCCGAATTGGAGGAACAGGAAGATGTAGCCCAAGCCAGATGCCATGGTCCACATGGCTGGCGTTCCTGACCTCGGAATCTTGCGCTTGAATCGGGTGGGCGGCTTCTTTGTCGGATCCACCGTCGGCGGCACGGTGAACATGCTCGTGTCGATCCAGTTGCGGTATTCGTTGTAGTCGAATGCAGGGCCGATGAGCAGGGAGGGGAAGAAAAGGACGTAGGCCGTGTAGTCCAGGATGCTGGGCAGCTTCACAATCTTGCGAGCCTGCTGCAGCTCGCTCAATTCGCTGTCGGGCAGCGTGCCATCAAACACATTCCAAGCAAAAGCCGATAACTTCATGACGAGGACCATCTGGGTGCCCGTGATGTCCATCACCTCTGGGTTGGCCGTAAACTGCCGCTCTAGTTGGTTGATGGCCATGTGGCCCATCAGGAACACAAAGGCGATCCAAGGCATGTAGGGCGAAGTAGGGAGGAAGGAAGCCAGCGCATAAGTCCCGGCGCTGGCGATGAAGATCGTTCGCAGACCTCCCCATAATGAAAAAAGGCCGACCAGGTAGAATGTGGCAATGCTGTTATCCCAGAAAAGCTGCCGTTAGCGATTTCATTGGCTTCGTAGACATGTCGTGCTGAGGTCGTACCCGATGATGAAGATGTTCTTGAATTCGGGGCGGCTGTCAGGTACGCGCTTGAGCAGGCCGGCGAGGGGATACGAGAGGAGAAATGAGAATATCAATTTGACTGGTGACAGTTCGTTAGCTACCAGCATCGAGAGCAGGGGCCCTGCCTCCGTGCTCAAAAGTCAAAGAGAGGTACTCACGGTCATCCGGCGGACTGCCTAGTATCCCCGAAAGGTATTCAAACGCTAAACGCACAAGACCGTTAGACCCTAGTTCACGACCTGTCGTCCCAACAACTCTTGCTGTGCTCACGGTAATTGATGTACGGCAACATGGTGGCTGCGAGGCTAGAGCCGATGAAAAACGACGGCTTGGGGTGTTTTTTGTGTAGGTCGTTGCCTCCTGAGCTGGTCTGCGACCACTCGCACGAGTGCGTCTACACCCAGAGGAGGATATGTGGTCTGTAATTAACGACTGGGCCAATCGCACCGCTCCGTCACAGCGTGTCGGGCAGAATATGGCGCAGCGCTGTCGCCGGCTGAGAGTAGCCAGCAACTAGAGACTACCCGAAGCTGTCGAGAAAATGCCGCTGAGACAGAGGCTGGGCAGAGAGAGCCAGGCTGGCCGTTTTGTGGTGGTGCGCTGGACGGCAGGGAGCGTGAGACAGCAAGCCCAGCCCGTAGTGGTGACTAGCCGTGACTGGCTCCCCTTATCAAGTCGCCGTCGTTCGTTGCTGTCTCGTGACTGTGGAGGACAGGTTTGTCGTCGAGATAGGCTGCCGCGGAAGACAGCGTCGGGGGGGAATGCTGTCTGCTGGCAAGCTGCTGTTGTTGAGGGTTGGTCGTGCTCAAATGGTTGGCTCTCGCGGAGAAGACCCAAAAGTCCAGGGCAAGCATGGGTGATGGCTTGTGACAATGGCAGTGTGATGTCACCTGTTGGGGTCTCCACCCAAGCTCAGCTGCCAGCCAAGCGTGACCTCGCAAAACCCCTTCCTCCCTCCCTCAGGGATTCAGACCCCGCCAAATCAGTGCCCGCCAGACGGCATCCATTTAATTACTGTGGAAAATGGCCGGTTGTTGGGGATGGGCCCAGGAGTCAGCATCGTAATGTCAGCCACGTCTTGCGCGACACGCGGCATTGCTCTCCAAGGCGAAATCTACAGTCGTTCTGGCAGCTTGCCATACTAAAAGTCATTATAAGAAATCATCTATTAATATTTGCGCGCTGCTATGTCTTTTCGTACCACGAGGTAGTCATGCGTCGGCGCCCGGTATCAGGTCCTGCCGTCCTGGTTTGTGCGCCGCCTAAAATACGCCCAGTAACTAAATCGCCTATGCCCTAAAGCTCCATTTCTCATGACAGGTCGGGATAAATAAACGTTCTATACCAGAATCAATATGCTTGGTTCGACGTCCCGATGTCCACTAGGGACCATAAATGTAATTATACACCCGATGCGCCTGTTCGGAGAGGCTGAATGCAGCAGGCCCAAGTATGCTATAAAATGATGGCAAGCTCTCCACGTCTCGCGTGCAGAGCCTAGTCTCATGTCGCGTCCCAATGCTGGGGCAGTGTACCTGAAGTCACTCGGTGCGCACAAGCTTTCGACATGACAAGGTCTCAAGTGCCCGTCATTCTCTCCCACGAGCCCCAAATCTATGCCTTGACAGCATCGCGGGTGCTCTGAGAGCTGGCGCTGGTGATGGGCTGCGAGGTGGGCAGAGAGTTCTTGGAGGCTGAAGACTCGCGGACCTTGGCGTAGGCGTACACGAGACCAGCAACGAAGCCGATGAAGATGGCCGAGACGCTGCCAGTCGTGACGGGCGCGGCAAAGAAGATGATGCCGCTAATCGCAATCGGGAGCTTGTTGAGCGCACCAACCATGGAGTAAGTGGTGGGCGACGTGACACGGATACACCAGGCGGAGCAGTACGAGATGAAGATGGCTCCGAGACCCGAGTAGATCATGCCGATCATGATCGAGTTGCGCGACTCGGCCGGGAAGTTCCTGGTGAAGTTGCTGCTGGACCAGTCTTCGCTAATGAGGGACAGGACAATGAGGACGGGGATGGTCAGGAGGTTGTTGTAGAACATGGCTGTTCGCAGCAAAAGTCAGCACTCTCCTTCTGAAACAGGACGCTCAGCAACGGTATGGACTTACAGTCCCAGTCCTTGAAGTTCATCGTCTTGATGACCTTGCGCATGTAAAGAATGTACGAGGCGGTGCAGATGACGTTCATGCCCATCCAGGCGTAGCCGGCGTTCAGGGTCGCGATTGCGTCAGCAGAGGCATGAGCAGACGCGGCGTGGGCGGCATCGGCCCAGGCGGCAACGACGGAGCTGAAGACCATGAGGGCGAAGGAGAGAAGGGCCAGAGGAGTGACGCTGCCACCAAACCACAGGACCTCTCCGTAGGCGATGACGATGGTGGTCAAGTTCTTGAAGATAGTATAGACAGGGACGGAGAGGTACTGGAGGGACTTGGTGCCGGTGTAGATCATGCCGACGAGCAGGAGGGAGACAGGGAACCCTGGTTGGAAAGGAAACCGTTTAGTATGCGGAGAGACGTGAAGGCAGCGAAGGATCGAGGGTCAGTCGGGGAGTACATACATCTCTTGCCCTTTTGGCTGTCAAACGCGGCGAGGTTCCTGATCATGCCCATTTGTCGGCAGATCTCAATGGTCAAGATACAGACAATCGACTGTACCGTAAGGGCGGTTAGTGTCTGGCGGTCGACGAATCGGGCCGTATCCGTCATAGACGGGCTCAACGACGTACCTGGACGGCAAGGTAGAGGAATGTCATATTCCACTCGTGGCCGGACACGACATACTTGTTGACGATGGTCATGCTGATGGAGGAAAGGCAGTAGGCGAGGATAGAGACGGGACCATTGTTCTCAAAGTTGGAGAGGGTGTGCTGGAGGCCACCGCTGCCGCCTCGTGAGGAGCGGCCAAGGAAGGCATCTTTCTCGCCGCCGTAGGCAGGACTGCTCCGCGTCGCCGAGTCGGGCATGCGAATGGCATAGTCTTCGTTCTTCTTGTCCGACATGGTGGGCGGTGACGATGTCGTCAGAGCAAGGGGGCCGAGTGCGAAGGCGGAAAGGAGTGCGGGCGACGTCGGATATCGAGAAGAGCGAGTGTCAGGCCGAGCAGGATCGAGTAAGGGGAGGAGATGGAGTTGTCCAGGAGTCGAGCAGGCGACAGTCGCGGGTTGGACAGACGAAGGGTGGGCAGGCGACAGAGGGAGTTGAGTTGAGAAGCCAAGGGAGCCAATCTAATCCACAGGTGGCCAGATCCAAGGCGTGTGGATTTTTCGTGGAGATGCACAGCACAACCAAGATAAAGGGGTGCCTGCGCTGCGCGGTGCATGCTTGGAGCCAGCAAGACAAAACAGCGGCAGTCCAGAGCACCACACCCACCCGCCTGGCCAAGTGGGGCCTCCCGGCGCGGCTAAGCCCACTCGATCGGCGCCGCTCCCTTCCACAGTCCTCACTCTGCATCCAGAAAGCGGCCAGACAGCAAAGCCAAACCCGCAGAGAATCAATACATAAAGTATGTCTATACGCTAGACTCACAAGAAGACGTTCGCCCATGTGCTGGCCTTGGATCGCTGATGGGTTCTCCCGCTATTCTTCTGGACTGGTGCGCGCCCTCCGTGATACCAAGTCGAGCACTGTGCCTCTCGCTTGCCCAGGTGTGGTCAGACTTGATGCTCGATCCAGTGGGCATGCAGCTTATGTACCTTGGTTATTTCTGGGAGATTGCCGGCTGCCAGGGTAATGTGCACGTCCGAACAGGATTCCCATCAGTGTCGAGTCGAGGTCCATGCCAGGAACCAGGCACCTGGGCAGGCCAAGCAGTATCTCTGATGCTTCCAAGCACTGGCTTGGCGTTGCACAGATCGTGCCTGCAGCGTGCATAAGACGCGCGTTCGCCCTCGTATCGGTCCCAGTGCCGTGTTCGTTAATTGTTTGTGGCTTAATACCATTACGGGGTACTTGAAGCACCTTGGAACTAGTTGAAAGACCAAGGTACCTCAGGCATCCACCTTGGTCCCTGTATTTAGCAACCGAGCCTAGCAGACCCAGACGCCAGGTCCCCTCCCTTGCCAGCCAGCGGCAAGACGAAGCTTAGCAGAGATGGCCGAACGCTCCAAAGAACGTGGCAGCAACCAAGTGCTGTCATGCTAAGAAGAATCCCCAGCATCTCTTGTGGGGCTGACTGAAGATTGTTCACACTAAAATACGTATATACTCAAGACGTGCCCAAGTTCAATGCATAGACTGGACTTGAGGCTCTTGCTCTCACAGTGTAGGCACTGACCTGTCACGTCACACTAGCGCGATCTCGCCAGCCTTGGAAGTCCTAGAGCCATGACCTGCCATCTTGGCCAAGGCTCAATTACAAGTACCTGGTTATCAAAAATACAGCTTTGACGCACTTTCGTGATAATGGAGCCTGAGATTTAGGCTTATTTAACAAACTCTATGGTTGGGGAGTTACGACCCGCACAGCACAGCGGGAGCCTGCCGCATCGTGCCAGTCGACTAGCCTACCATAGTCTGGTCGCACTGGCTGCCTCTTGAGCCGCGCATAGCCAAGAATAACCCAAACCCCAAACAACCTACCTTGGGGGCTACTCAGGCTCTCAAAGCGTCGTGCAAGACCTCATCAGAGAGATGGACCTCAACAGTGCCGCCTCACCTGGCGGCAGCTCGCGTCCAAAGCTGCTGCTCCCGCCCAGCTGCAACCCTCCACTCCCCAATGCTCCCGTCAACAAGCTCGTCTGGGTTGTAAGTGTTGCCATCTTGTCCATGCTCGAGACCCTTCCCTCACAACACGCTTGCTGACTTGGATCATGACGTAAAGGTCTTTGGCGGCACCGGCCACATGGGCCGGTCGCTCGTCAAGTGCGCCCTCTCGCGCGGCGACATGGTTACCAATGTCGGCCGCACCTTTGAGACTACACCAGAGCAGATGGTGGCTGCCGCCGCCAGCCAGCACCCCAAGAATTGTTTTGGGGCCCTCTGCGATGTGCGCGCGCGGGACAGCGTAGAGCGGGTTGTCGAGAGGACGCTCGAGCGCTTTGGTCGTATCGACGTCGTCGTCAATTGCGCGGGGTACGGCGTCATTGGCGCCTGTGAGGACCAGGACGAGCACGAGATCCGGAACCAGTACGAGATCAACTTCATGGGCACACTCAACATCATCCACGCCACGCTGCCGTACTTTCGACAGCAGTCTGCCGGGCGCTATCTCATCTTCAGCTCGACGAGCGGCGCTCTGGGCGTCCCCGGGCTAGGTCCCTACTGTGCGACCAAGTATGCCGTGGAAGGACTCATCGAGGCCATGCTGTACGAGGTCGACAGCTTCAACGTCAAGGCGACGCTCGTCGAACCGGGGCTTGTCCGCCGCGACGAGCCTGACTCCCTCGACAATCCACTGCCGACCTGGGGCCATTTCCTCATCAAGCCCGCGAGCGAGCCTTACTCTCACTCGACTTCTCCGGCTCTGCACGCAAAGCGCATGGTCCAGTGGCTGGGCGACAGGCAGCCTACAAGCGCCGTCAAGTGCGCAGAGCTGGTCTGGCAGCTCGGTCACTGCTCCTACCCACCTCTGCGGCTTGTGCTCGGCAGCTACGCCATAGATAGCATCAGGGACCGGCTAAGGTCTGTCACCGAGGAGCTCGAGGACTGGAAACACCTCAATTTCCCAGTTGGTACTGGCGACGAGACCGCCACTAGCAGTCGGTCCAATCAGCACAACAAGGATGATGAGAACATGGCTGATGTGCGAGGATCTCCATGACGCACAGCCAGGCAGGATGTTGGCAGCCAAAGCTCAGGGCGCAAAAATTCCACTCAGCGTGCTGTTCGAGTGGTTCACGCAGACTAGGGCATTTGCAACGCGTCTCTACTCTCAGGCAATACTAGGGCGGAAGCTGATGCCGAACAAAGGGCTGCCGGTATCTCTACCTTACTTAATCAGGGGAGTGGCCGTGACTGCGCGCAAAGGGCGGCGTAGGGTAACAGCCGGTCGCCACCTAAGCCCTGCTGTTCGCTAGCCCAGTGTAGTCTCTCTGCCACAGAGCGATCGATGGCAGCTTTCACTGTTATTTTGCGGCACTAGGGGTCTTGCTTCATAAGGCGGGACAGCGACACATCGCCACAAACTCAAAGGTCTTTCTAGACACAATTCTGTACAGCATAATCCGCCAAGTCCGTATGTCTCGTGGGACTACCTCACCGTGACTTTACTGCTGGGTAGGGATTAGTCAGATGATGTGCTGTTAGCACTCTTCTTTACGGCCCTAGAACTAGCTATGGCACGTAATGAAAAGGGGGGGGTTCCTTGGTAGTGACGTCCAAGGAAGAAGAGAAGAGAAGAGACGAGGGCAGAGAAGTCGTGACGGAGCGGAAGCGGAGGCGGAGGCGGGAAAGTTGTGTGAGGAAAGGTGAATGTCCGAAGGATGACGGCTTAGGACGAGAAGAGGATGCGACCAGGAGGTTTGCGGTAGCGTAGCGACTGAGAGAGTATGTCGGAAGGGGAAGGTAGCTGAGATATTCGGAATGTCTGGAGGTCGTCGAGATGTGAGCCTTCGAGAGGTGAGTTATTGTTAGGATGGTGAGGGTTCGTCGATGTCGTTTCCGTGTCGTAGCGCGTCAGGGTCGTCTATGTCGTCGATGCGGTGAGCTTGAGAGAAATGCCGAGCTCGTGAAATGCGTCGAAGTGGCACAAGCTGTTGAAATGGTCGTCGAGGATGGTCGTCGAGAATGGTCGTCGAGAAGCGAAGGTTATCGAGGCGTGAAACGCTGGCGACCGTGAAGACGTTATGGTGGTAGTGAGAGCTCGCCAATGTCCTAGAACATGTGCCCTTTGCGAACTCGCCAGTAGAATGGTAATTCTTTTGAAGTTTGTACTCTGGTAATGTCGGCCCAGAATAAGTAGGGTGGTGGTGTACTGGATAGATGCGGTTAGGGTTACGGTTGCGGAGATGTTAGCGCGTGTGTGTCCCAGGGATGTCGGCCTGGAACAGAATTAGAAGGTGTGAATAGGCGGAGGTAGAGGTGGAGAGGCGATACGTGGATCGCGGGGAGGATGCTCGGTGTCCTGGCTGTTGGGAGCTCGGGGTGTAATAGTTGCTTCATCCCTTCTCGGTGTGCCTTTTTTTTCTCTCTTTTTCCTCTCCATTTTTCCCTCTCTCTCTTTTTTTTTTTTTTTTTCCGAAGTGAATACTTCGGATCACGCGAGCAAGCTCAACTGAGCGTTCTTCTCTCCCTTTCTCTCTTTTTTCTTCTTTTTTTCTTTTTAGTTTTCGTCATTTTCGTTCTAGTCTTTGTTGTTTTCTTGGTTTTTTTTTGTTTTTGTTTTTGTTTTTTGGTCTTCCAGGAGCAGCGAAGTTGGCCGGGGAGTATAGGTTCAACTTGAGGTCGGAAGAAGAGTGGGTTGGCCGACGACGCTGTCCTAGGTATGGGTTGGTCAACACCTTGTGACAGGTGCACCTCTCGCCATGTAGGCGGCCTTGATTATAGTAAGAAAGAAGAGGAAGGAGGAGAAAAGAGGAGGAGGTTGTCTAGTTAGGGAGGTAGGGCCTAGCTAGACATAGACCGGCAATTATCCTAGGATAACAAACCGGGCTGAGATGAGTAGAAGGGCTCTGACGGTGGCGGAGGCGGAAGCGGAAGCGGAGAAGGTAAGGTCGGTATAAGGGAAGAATGTCGTAAGGAGGAACGGAGTATCGAAGTCGGAGAGCTTGGGTAGATTGGCGGGAACAGATCGAAGAGTGAAGGGTGACGAGTGAAGGGTGACGAGTAAAGGGTGACGAGTGACAAGGGAAAGGCGAGGATGGTTGAGGAGGTTAGTAGCGGAGTGTGGGTGCTAAGGGAATTTGCACTCAAAGACGATGAGGAAGGGGGAGGACGACGGCTTTATACTTGCCAGAAGGTACACAGGCGTCTATCTCCGTTGTGCGGGCTGATGCAGGTGACCGAAGCAGCGAACTGGGTGGATGGGCTTAGCCCTGGAGCTGTACGGCGAGAGAGTAACAAGGGGAGTGCCAATGACTTTATATTATTTTGGAGTAGGCCAGGCATCTCCGATGGACAGGCCAGCCAGCCCCCCGAGATCGTCGGGACGAGGTGCCAGACAGCAGAGAGATGTGGGAGACTTCCAAGGCAAGCTGGCTGGGTGTGTGTGTGTGTGTTGGGGGGGGGGGGACGGTGTCGACAAAGTGTAAGTGTGAGGGTCTTTGCTGAGGAAGGTCTGAAGGATGTGCAGCAGACTCGACCCCAAAGCACGAGGGAGACGAGGTCCTTATATAACTTTTCAGAGTAGGCCTGGAGGCATCTCCGTTGGGAGGTATCTCCGATGTGTCAACCAAGCTGATGAACCACCGGGCTCAAGTCAGTGGCTCAGGCTGTTCCGCGATGCACATGTCCACGGATGAACCATAAAAACTTCGACACGAGAACCATCTCGTCTCTCTTTCCGCACACTTCACACTACACACAACACTGACTGTTGAGCCATGACCTGGGAACGGGCGACTCAAGTGATCCCTTCCACGCAGCAGTCAATGATACACATAAAGCATCTACCGTGACAAATTTGGTATCACCCAACACGTGGGAATACAAGGTTGATGTACTGGATTCATATAATCATCTCGCCATGCCCTACGTCTTTGCTCCTAAATCATTGCAAGAACTCAGAAACATATGCCTTGCGGTAGTCGTTGGCGTCGAGGTCGTTGCTCCTGTTCAAGGGCGTCCACTTTGGTTCTTCCTTGAAGAGGCGCATGGCTTGGATATACTGTGGCGTAGTGTCAGCATGCTCAAGAGTAGCCTCGCCGCCTGAAATACAGTTGCGGATAAATACGAAGTGTGGACGTACGTTCTTCTCGTCAGTCGTGAATCTGTGGTAGATGCCGGCAGGCAAGATGATGAGGTCGTCCTTGACGGGTGATTCTTCGTCAGTACATTTGATCCTCTGGACCACGACCAAGACCTCCGGGGCCTCAAATGGGTTGAATCCAGCGAAAGCGCCGCAGATGTCCCAGCTTCGGTCGCTGTCGACCATCTCATGACTTACCTTTTGCAGCGCGATGCGCACCCAGGCATCGTCCCGGCTGCGCACGTCAAAGTACCCCTGCCCGTCGCGGATGTACCGGATCTCCTCGTCCTCGTGGAGGTGCTCGTGGAAGAAGCTCTTGACCTTGTCCTCGTACACGTCGCCCATCTTCTCCGGGCTGACGGTGATCTCGTCGCGGTTCTTGTAACCCCGCTGGGACGCGAGGGCGTCGACGCCCTCGAGCTCTCCGAACTTGAAGTACAGCACGCCGAGCTTCTCGAGCTCCGAGGCGTCAACGTCCTTGCCGCTGTCGTGCGGGAGGCGCTGGTCGCCCTGTGAGGTTGGCGATGATGTGGTTAGTGGCGTGCAGTGAGAAGCAGGTGGCGCATAGATCGTGAATGAAAGAGCCCCCCCCCTCCTGCAGTCTGTGCTGAGGACGATATTGGCCCTGCTTGTCTGGCACACTGCGTCGGTCTGAAGGCGAGACAGCGTGACAGTCGATACAGCATGAATGCTGGCATGGTGGTGCTGCTGGAGTGACGGCGACGAGCCAAGACCTGGGTCGAGGAGGCATCGTTCGAGCATCAATTGCATTGCCCAGTATCAACTTACCTCCTTGTTGTCGTACCAGTAAGCCCTCATGGTGACAATCCAGGTGATTTCTTCAGAACGAAGCTTCAAGGTATTCCCTAGTCTACCAGAGCGGGTTGCCTCAGATATCAGCTTATAAGTCTTTGCGAGCAGACACGGAGATCCTCTCACCTCAGCTCGCTAGTTTCAAGACCCGTAAATGGAACTGTGAGATGCTTACGTAGCAGGGTGAAAAAACACTGGGCTCGAGTGGAAGTGCCCGCGGCCCAGAAGAATAAGATTCTGGGACCCCTGCTTGGAACCCGATGGAAAAGAGCCAATTACAGGGCCGTATGGCGCCATCTGCGCACCCCTCTCTCCGGCGGCCGGCCCCAAAGTGACGTCGCCAGCGGGGCTCGCGTGGCCAGATCAAGGGTCCTTACTCATTCATCCGCAATACATTCTCGTTACTGCCAACAACGGTCCATAACGTGTCCTGCGGCGGACCGGCCGGGAAGGGCCTGTCACTTATGGATAGGAATGATGGGTGCACACTATTCGGTTTCACCCTTTGGTTGTGGACCAGACGGTGACTCAAAGGAATCGGATGGTTTTTCCTCCTCCCAGCGACGACAGGAAGCATGTGGTGTGGTTCGGGGCGTCGTTATGGCCGCAGTACGATCACTGCAAGGCTCTGTCTCTGTATCCGATATGAGAACCCCGGATTACTCGTACGCAACCACCCAGCTGGAGCGCATTCTGACGTAAGCTGTGTCATTATATGCTTGGAAGCTGACCTGACATGAGTGGCAGCAAGTGACAATGTCAGAGGTGTACCCCGGGACGCGGCAGCCCGCCAGCATCACCAAAGTCCTATATGCAGGCGCTCAAGGGTATCTCTATTGTTATAATTGCTGTAGTCGTGCTTCTAATCATATTCCTGCCGCTTGTCCCAGCAGATTGTTGCAATCACACTCGTGGTAAGTTATGCCCCCAACGTCTTGGGATGCTCAAGGACAAGAAGCGTGACTGTTCTGTAGCTCGATGCTCGCTCAGACGGCCTGGAGGATGTATTGTGCAGATTTTTTTTTGGAAGGGCGGAAACAAAAACGAATTACCGGACTTCGGGTGGCCCCGCGCCTGCAACGGCAAAGTCGTTGTTGACGTTGTCGGCAGTCTCCTCTCTCCTCCTTCGCTCAAATAGCCGACGCCAGAAGGCTGGCGGGTCCAGCGGTCTCGAACCATTGTGCATGGGAGGGTAGACGTCATTAAAAAAATACCATACGTGGCCAATAACAACGCCCATGATCTCGTCCTTAGGCACAGTTCCATGCATAACGAGGCTGAAGCCCATCAGGACCCACGGCAGGTACGGCGCCGTGAACACCAGCAAGCCGAGGAAGCTCAGCTGCGTGTTGGGGTTGCGACGCGACCAGATGTAGACCAACGTGGAGGACAGTGGGTGCCCAAGGAAAGGCATCGAGACGAGCGGTGACATAAGGATAAGCGACGCCATGGCGTACATGAGCAGCCATGAGAAGTGAGCCGGCGATCGGCCCGAGGACTCTTCGAGCAGGCGGGCGTATCGTTGGAGGAAGTAGACGTGAAAGAGCAGGTCGAGTGTGAATGGACCGAAGTAGAGGAACGTCGTCAGGAGGCGCCAGTACTACAATGGGTTGCGGCCCAAGTTAGTGGCCGACTTGCCAGCACCGAGCGACGGGGACAAATGAAGACAGAACATACCTCGCCCTTGCCAAACACTGTGCGGACGCTGTAGAAGAGCTGGAAGGGGGTCACCATCTGGCACTGCACGAGGGCGCTCGTCAGGACAGTTGCGGTTGTCCACCAGCGGGTGACTATGGGCATCTCCCAGAACCATGCCTCGAGCGGGAATCGGCCGCCATCCCCCATCATCTGGTCCATGGCTGGCGATTAAGCTGGGGATACTGTCGTGGCGTGGTGTTTTAATGTTGGATCGAGGCAGAGCGGCGGTGATGTTCGGGTGGGCGTACACGGCTGGCGGGTGGAGTTGGGTCGCCTCGAATGAAGCCAGGTATGGTAGAGTGATGATGCAAGATGTATGCGGAAGTGTGAGCTGTTCAAGATGGAGCTGCCACATGTGCGTGCATGGAAGTGTCGCAGTGTGGGTGACGGCAGGTTGGGGTAACCAGAGCTATCTGGCCTTATCAGCAATCAAGGTGGGCTGACAGCTGCTTGTCCCGCGGCTCGGCTTAATGCTGTGCCAGGCACCGAAAGCGTCCAGTGCGGCGGCAAGGTTCCTGCATCTATTTAAACTTGACAGCAAGCCCGAAGTCAGAGACAGGCTGCCTTAGCAGTGAGAGTCAATGGACAAGACAACACCACATTTGAAGCCTGTCAGCAGTCCCGGCTATCCTCTGGAGCCAGCCAGCTTTGTGGTAACGAGAGCCTTCCCCACAAGGGCCAAGTGCGGGTGTACGGGCTTCGACTCAGGTCTTCCTTTACAACTTCGAGGTGAGCGGAGCACATGGATCACCAGGGTAGCCCAACTGATTGGGTGTATTGCAGATAACCGTTTCTATTCTCACTCTTCCATCCTGAGTGTGTTCGATTTCGAGTGGACGACAAAGATGACGGCCCAACCCGCCCCAGGTTGATGTTGTTGTCGAAAGTGTGGCAGGTGGGGCGCTCTTCAGGGACACCAGACCCCCCTGTAGCTCGTTGACTGGCCAGGGGTCACTTGTGGCGGCCCAGCGTTGGCACGCGCATCCGCAGCGCGTCCATGTTTCTTGCAGCGCTCGCTCCTGCCGTCGCAACGGGAGGGTGTCGCGAGAACGCCAGCCACTCCATTTTCCACTCTGCGCCCGCGAAACCCTGCATCTCCATCTCCACCACGCAAATCTCGAGACCACGACAACAACTGCACAACCACGCCACGCACCTGCCGCGCATCACCGGGAATATTAATAATTGCAAGAGACCGTCCATTGCCATCAATCACCACCAACTCTACATCGCCAAGCCCGACAACTCGCTCCGGTCGAAGCTAGCCCGCTTGAAACCCCTACTGTAAACAAACCCGAGCTTTTGTTGCGACAACACGGTCAGCCAACGCGCATAGTCTTCCTCGGCAGGAAAAGTTCCATCTCCGCGCCACCGCGACCAAGATCATCTTGCGACTACATATCCTTTACGCCTAGTGGCACTGCATCACCGGCGATGCGGAAATCGACAGTGGGGACCTCTGCGCGAGGAGGCCGAGGAGGGAAAACAACGCCAGGCGCTGCGCGGTCGGCAGGAGGTCAGGCGTCGGGGAGCGACTCGCGCGCGCGAAAAACAGCGTCAGCGGCTGAGCGTAGGTCACTTCAGGCCCCAGGACTTTGTGCACATGCACAGCTGAAGCTGGAGCAAGATGGTTAACACGTCCTTACAGCCGGAGACCCCGTACCAATACCGCGCAAGAAGAGATACAGGCCGGGCACGAAAGCCCTCAAGGACATTCGGAGGTTACAAGCCAATACAGACCTACTGATGAGGAAACTCCCCTTTTCACGAGTGGTAAGCGAGTCCACGAGCATGTCCGAATATCCTGTCCTGCACCACCAAACTGACAAGGTCTGCTTTGTAGGTTCGTGAAATCGCGTTGACGATGCGCCCTGCCGACTCGGGGATGCGGTGGCAGTCGCAAGCCATTTTGGCCTTGCAAGAAGCAGCCGAGGCGTTTCTAGTACATCTGTTTGAGGACACGAATCTGTGCGCGATACACGCGAAACGTGTCACGATTATGCAAAAGGATATTCAATTAGCAAGGAGGATACGCGGTGTATGGGGTGGACTGGGCTAAACGCCACAGTGGGCAACTGTGCTCTGCTCGGCGACAACGACGGGGCGAGGAACAGGACTTTCTTGAGCTCGACACCAGCTCGTGGTGTTCGACCGTTGCTTGCCTTGCAGGAAGCAATGCAACCTTTGCTCCATATGACATTTGATGATGGCTGGCGTTTTGGAGTTCCATGGCGGGTTTCCACTTGGGTTTTCTTGCTGAAGGATCACACTCTTCTTGGGCTTGGCAGATACCTTGTTCCTTGCATATATTGGCGGTAGTTTACCCTGACATACAGGGAGAAGAATCAGATCAGTGATTGGGAAGGCGAGCTTGGTGCTTCGCCTATTCCATCGTTTGCCAATGCTGCCGCAACACATCGATCCTGATGATACAATTTTGGTGAGAGGGCTCCCGAAGCCGTTGCGTCGAGGGGTCTTGGTACGAAGATAAGCGCCCTTGACATGGATACACCACCCTTGCTATCGAGTGAGTATCGTCTCGAAGACCTTTAGCCACCCTTGTGAACCGGTCAAATCGCTGGGCACGACACCTTGGATATGCAGATGCCCGCAAGAGGCGGGCGGCACGTTGTACATTACTCAGGCAAGGCAAGTGCAAGCTTTGTATTTCGTGATGCTGCATGGTGTTTTCGCCTTTGCTCCTCACGATAATAATAGTCAATTGCCAAGGCGCAACCAATCACCTCGCCGTCCAACCACACGCCGTGGCCTTCTACCCCATACTTTTCTTTTTTTATGTACCAAACTCTGTCTGGCTGGTTTCTCCACACCAGCTCAGGAAGCTGCCGAGGCGGCACCCGCTTCTCGGTGCCCGGACGGGGACCCGGTCGATTACGTCGTGGCTGCACATCACCCATCTTGCAGCTCACGTCTTCCTCCTAATCTCATTCGATCTGCGTCCCAACTCTACTTTCCCCAAGCCTGACCTCGGTGCCACACAACACGGAGTCTCTGCATGTCCGCATCATTTAGCCCATTCTCCAACATCAGACTCTCCTCTAATATCTGAGCACTCACCCGGGAGTCAGCCTAGTAGTTAACACTTACAGCAACCCAGCCTCTCTCATAAGTTCCTCCCCTCCACCTCAGCCGCCCTACGTAATCGTCCTGTACAGAGTACATTCGCCCCCCCCCCCTCCCCAGTTAGACAAGACGACAGACACAAACAAGAATAACGACGAAAAGCGAAAGAGAAAAATAAAAGACGAAGAAGAAGAAGAAAAATGTCGGCGAGAATCCTCCTCTCCCGCACCGCCCACGCAGCGGCACGGCGCACACCAATCCCTCGCGTCACCAACACATCCTCGGCGTCGCTCCCAGCAGCAACGCTCCGGCACCACGCCTACGGCGCCGGGCTCGGCATCTCCCTCGCATTCGGCGCCACCTCTGCCGCCGGGCTTCTCCCCCCGAGCCGCAAACCGTCATCTTACCTCTTCGACGGGCCTTTCGCTACGACAGCGACGACGACCACGCAAGACCGCGCCTTCTCCAGCAAGCGCGGCGGCGACACCCAGGGCAAGAAGCAAGGCGGCCTGGACCCGGAGCTGCTGAGCCAGTTGTCCCGTGGCAGCGTGACGGGGTTTCTCGCGGGCCTGCTGCTGAGCGTCTTCAGCAAGACCCTGGTTCTCCTGGGTGGTGTGGCGGTCGTACTGACACAGGTACGCCCCCCCCCCCCCCCCCCGACTGTTTCTTGCCATTCCGTTCGCAAAATAGCACGCTAAACTAATTCACACCGGTCGAACAATAGGTCGCCGCGCGGTACGGCATCGACATTGTGCACCAGCTCAAGCTCAAGCAGAGAATAGGCAACTCCAAGGTGCTCTCGGCCCTCGAGCGGGACCCGGCGTTCAAGCTGTCGTTTGGCTTCTTCTTTGCCATGTCGGCCTTTGTAGGGTTCTAGATCCAGAAAGCCCAGAGTGCCAGCCAATACATGAACTGCTGCACAAACACGCAATCACAGTCAACGGGTTATTCAATTCCCAATAGCCTAATGCCTCATTGATTTGCTATGGCGAAAATTGGTCAAAAGGGCTGTGTCTCCCGCTCCAGCCATGTCAAGGCAAGCTCGTCGTCTGCCAGGTAGTCCTTGGTCTTGGCCCAAATGTCCGCGTTGTACTCGTTTAGCCATCGCTTCTCGTGGATCGTCAGCAGGCTCTCGTCAATCAGCCTGCGGCAGTACGGCGCCATCGTTACGTGCTCGAATCCGAGGAACGGCTTGTCTCCAAAAGTGTGTTTCGTCTTGACTTCCTTGACCATGATGATGTTCTCGATGCGGATGCCGAATGAGCCGTCTTCGTAGAACCCCGGCTCGTTGGAGATGAGGTTGCCGGGCGCCAGTGCAACTTCCGAGAATTGGACGCGGGTGCCAATGCCAATGGGACCCTCGTGCACATTAAGGAATGACCCGACACCGTGGCCGGTGCCATGTCGGTAGTCAAGACCTTGTTGCTACAATGGTTGTCAGTACAGTTGGCTTAGCAGACTTGTCTCGACTTCACGTACCCAAAGGTGTTGCCGAGCCAAAGAGTCCAGGGCAAACCCAGTCGTCCCCTTGGGGAAGATAGCAACGTCTAGGGCGATATTGCCTTTCAGGACCAAGGTGTACGCCTCAATCTCAGCCGCGGTAGGCTCCCCAAAATGTAATGTGCGTGTGACGTCAGTGGTTCCATCGAGGTATTGCGCGCCAGAGTCGCACAGGTAGATTGCCTTGGGGTCGATCGTTGCACAAGCGCCCCTCTCGGGCTTGTAATGAATCACGGCAGCACTATTTGTCACAGTTGGTCAGCATCCCTTTGGTTGCGACACACGACAGCCTGGACGTTGACTCACTTGGCTCCTGTTGACGAGATTGTGTCGAAAGACAAGCCAACGTAGTCCTTTTGCTTCGAACGGAGCTCCTCGAGCTTGTCGGCCGCCGTGACTTCGTCGATCGTCGCCTTCTTTGCAATTAGCTGGTCCTCCAACCAGGCAAAATACGCGATAAGGGCGGCACCGTCCCGAATATGGCAAGACCGCATGCCCTCAAGCTCGGTCTCGTTCTTGACTGCCTTGGCATCGCCAATTGGGCTTCGAATCTCCTCGACAAAGTCGTCGCCACCCAGCGCCCGCTTCAGTGCCCATGAGGCCTTGTTCGAGATCAGGAACTTGGGTGCTTCGCCGGACTCGGGGATGCCCTTGGCCTGTGCCGACTCGCCCAGGGCCGTGGCATCGTTGAAAATGTCGGAATACGGCTTCACTTTCACATTGTTGTCGGCGAGGTACTTCTGGACGTGCACGTTGAGCTTGCTTGAGTCAACGTACAGTATCGCCTCGTCTGCAGTGATGATGGCGTACGAGAAGAAGACTGGGTTGTAAGGGATATCGTTGCCCCGCAAGTTGAACAGCCAAGCAATCTCGTCGAGCATGGACACAACGAAGCCTGGCGACTTCTTCTTCTCGAGCTCTTTCCGTAGGTCGGCGAGCTTGGCGCCGACATCCTTGCCGGAATACTTCTTCTCCAACAGGATCACAGGTTCGTTTGGTTGCTCAGGCCGGTTGGCACCCCAGACCTTGTCCACCAGGTTTTCCGCCACCGGCTTCAGCTCTTTACCACCACTCTTCTTGATCTTCTCGGCGAGCTTCTTTGCTGCACCACTCGACAGGAGCGTCGGGTCGACGGCCACCACTTTGCCTCCAGCTGATTGCTCTGTCGACCACTCCTGCCAGGTGGGAACGTCCTGGATGCCCTGCTTGAGCAGTACCCAGTTGCTGTCAAGCTGCTTGGCGGCCTGGTTGAAGTAGCGGCCGTCGGTCGCCAGGGCAGCCTTGTCCGTGGTGATTACGGCACACCCAGCGGAGCCCGAGAAGCCCGAGATGAAGGTTCGGCGGGCATCGCAATGGGCGATGTACTCGGATGAGTGACTGTCCTCGGACGGGACAACTAGGAGGTGAGGGTGCGCGATTAGCCGTTGTACTTGACTTGCAAGCATGTCGTCATGGAACACCCATACTGTAAATGTCGACGCCATTCTCCGACATGAGCTGCCGCAGATGGGCGAGCCGCTGTGTGGTGTTGACTGTCTCCATGTCGAGGGCGGCACCGTCCGTGCGTAAACGGATTTGAACCCGAAAGTTGGAACGCGGAATACTCCTCGCAGATGAATAAACAAGGCACGGGCGGCTGCAATGAAGGCTTGTCGGTCGGACTAGAGAGGATAGAGCCGAGCAATGGGAGGACGAGGAAAAGGCACGGGGGCACTTAAGGCGGGAGAAGACCGCTGTGGGGAAGAAGGAAAGCCTGGGAGAGAAGGGCATGCCTTCGGATGAGCTGTTCCCCGCCAAAAGCAGAAGCTCAGATCGGACCCTTCAGGCCAGGAAGGGAAGAATGCAGGTGGGTGGGCAGGAGCAGCAGCAGCAACGCCACCACAGGCACGAGACCAAGACTTCAATCGCGAGCGAGCGCGGGGGAGCAGTCGACAGCGGAACCACAGCAGGTGGGAGAGCTACTTGGCTGCAGTATCAAAGTCGCTGGTGCGGGGGCAGAGGGGTGTGGCCCGACTGGAGAACACGACCACACCCCTGGCGGTTGCGGACTTATCTACAAAGACCACTGAGCCGCCAAGCTCGTGACATGGTGGAACAACGCGATCAGTGAATAGCTCTTGGGAGAAGAGAATGGATCCACAGAGCAATATGCAAAAGGACATCTGATTTGGCATCTGAGTGGCCATGCATGCGGTGTTCAAAAGATGTGGCCCAGCCAGAAGACACATGATCAACTTCACAATCACAGGATACCTAGAGCTAGCCCTGGGGGCACACTGTGTGTTCCGAGTCCTCTGGGAACGAGAATATGTAGATACTTCTCACTGGTAATATTCCCACATTGCTGAAGCATGGTGGAGTCAGTGGTGGGCCGGGTCTGTTCCACATGAGGAAGCTCACAAGCATGAACTGACGGCGATGTCTCATGGGCGCGGGCAGAGACGGGTGGCCACGGTGCAATAACAGCGTCCAACAAGAATAGAAGTATATTGAATATTCCCCGAAATACCTCGCCCGGAGCAAAGCTATAAAGGCAGAAAGGGTATTGGAAACATCGAAAAGACGACTTCCATTCCATCACCGTGGGTCGTTCGTGTGTTGCATGGACTGTTTGCACAAAGCAAACGACGCCAAAACCTGGCAGGTATTCTGTAAGCACAGCTGTGTAAGGAAGGCAACCACGAACTTTATTTGAGCTACTGCAAAATTCCATGATGCTTGGATCGACTTCAAAACAGCGAATCTACAAGCGAATGGGCCAGGTCCGCATGGCTTCTGCCTCTGTGGTTGTGCCTCCAGCACTCTGTTAGGCCCGCTGTGACTGTCATGCTGTCCGCTACTTGCACGACTGCTGCCCCACCAAGATGCCTCAAATCATTCTTTGCGCAGCCTGACGACGAGCATCACAACTGTCAAGACACGGCCTCTCACCAGCATCCGACAGCTGCCTTGCCTGACACGCAGAACGCGCCACTTTCCAACCATGTGCATAAGCCTGCAGCATCCCTGAGCTCTTCTCCTCCTTGCACTCGAGCTTTCCCTCCCTTCACCAGCCGGCTCACCCTGAGCTGCAGAGTGCAATGGATATACAAACCCCAACCTCGTTCGCAGAGGTTGAGCAGCTCGTCGAGAGACTCTACTCTCCAAATCAGCCACAGGTCATTGCCCGCATCCAAGAGGTGCTGCAGCAGGTCCAACGATCATCCGAGGGTTGGCAGCTCGCTTCAGCCCTGCTCGAGCGTCCCAACGTGAGCGTCAGGTTCTTCGGCGCGCTGACGGTTATTGTCAAGCTCAACACGGAAAGGTATTTCAGTCATTTGGGTGAGGACGGTGCAGTGGTTTTTACTTGCTGACTCCAGACACAGCTTATCCGACGATGATGCGAATGCGGTTTTGCACCAGCTGGTCACCTGGCTCATCACTTCCACCCAAGACCAGTCCGCTGTCATCGTCACCAAGAAGCTGTGCTCGGCGCTTGTGACACACTTCATCCATTATTCACATGTGTGGCAGCGGCCTGTCGGGCATCTCGTCCGCTCGCTGCAGAACGGTCAGCCAGCACCTGTCGAGGACAGTCCTGCTCGAGTGGGTGAGGCCATTGAGGCGTTCAGCACAGAACGCGCACTCACGGCGATCTGGTTCACTGCCTCCCTCGTTGAAGAAGCTGGCAAGACAGATCTGAAATCGACCAAATACATTGGTCTCCACGAGCGCCTCGTGGCGAGCGCAGAAGATCTCACAGCCTTACTTGGCAGTTTCCTCAGATCCTCTGGAAATAACGCTAGCGCACAAGTGCGACAAGAAGCCATCACCTGTTTGAACTCATGGATCACTTATGCCCAGAAAATCTCCAAACACACTTTGACGTCTGCACTGCAGAGCTTGATCACGCCCACGATAGAATGCCTACTTGTGGACGATCTGTTCGAGTCCTCTGTCGAACTGCTGACGAGCACCTTGGAGGATTGGGAAAGCTTTTTCACGGCCGAGCACTACTCGATACTCTACTCGGTCTTTCAAAGTCCGTGGGCGCAGCAACGGTACCAAACACTACGGCAGGGCGATTTCGAGTTTGAGTCTCTTCAGTTCGGTCTTTTTATGATCGCCTTCGCCACCTCTCGTGTTGCCGAGTTGACGGACAGCTCCAATCCCAGCGCACAATCTATCCTTACAATTCTGGTCGATTTACTGAAGGTCGAAGGCCACCCGACGGTAGAAGACAAAATATTTGTGCCTCTACTAGAGTTCTGGTCCAATTTTGTCGATACTCTGACGATTGAATACTCTGGCGACCTGGTATGGGATCAGCCGCCCTTGACTTTTGTCAAGGAGGTGGTGTCACACAGCTGGCGCAAGATCCAATATCCGTCGTCAAGTACATACGTAACTTGGGACTCGTCAGAGAAGGCAGGATTCGGAGACGCTCGTCGAGATGTTGCTGATTTGTTACAATTGGTGCACGGAATCACGGGTCCTCCACTTGTCGCTCTGTTTGTTGATTACATCATGCAGGCCCTAGAGCAGACAAATTGGACAGAGGTAGAATCTGCAACGTTTTGTCTTGGTGCGCTCTCTGACTCAGTGTCGGACGACACTTGCGATGACATATTGGTCAAAGTGTTCGGGTCGCCTTTGTTCGAGCTGCTGCGCCAGCGCGACACAGTCCCAGGCCGGGCAAGAAGGACCTGTCTGTCCTTGATAGAGCGATACTCCGAGTTCTTTGGCCGCCACGAGCGATTTCTGGCACCCGCACTGAACCTACTGTTTAGCGCCGTTGATGACCAGCAGTTGGCGATTTCTGCCTCCAAATCGGTGCATACGCTGTGCTCGTCGTGTAGACAGCTACTTGGACGCGAAGTCGATGCCTTCATCGGCCAGTACGAGTCCTTACGGTCGAGTCGAGAACTAGAATCGATAGTGGAAGAGAGGATTGTTGGAGCCATAGCAGCCATCATCCAGGCGATCACAGAGACCCAAATCAAAGCAGAGGCTTTCCGCAGACTGATTTTGGTAGTCAGTCAGGATGTCACGGCATCTCTGCAGTTGCATTCCACCGGAAGCCAGGCCATCGAGCCGCAGGAGCCAGTAAGTCTGGAGTTTCTAGATCGCTCAAAGATTCGAAGCAACTAACACTGGAATCACTCAGATATTACGTCGGGCCTATGATCCGGCTGATCTGCCGACTGTGCCTGTGCCGGCATCCGAAGTAGCGGTGCTACTTGCGACAAGGTCTTTGCGATGCCTTCTGAGCATCGCGAAGGGGCTACAAGCGCCGTCTGAGCCGGAAGATCTCGATGCTGCTTCCGGTGCGGACGGTACCAAGACCACGCCAGAAGCATTAGCTCAGACTCAAATGGAAATCTTGGTATGTGTGCACATTTTCCAAGGTTGAATTCAATATTGCTCTTTTTCTCAGTCCATCAAAAAATGAGGAATACCATCTCGGTCATCGTTTAGCCTGCCCTGCCCTCGCCATGATTCGGCTACTAACAATTTCTTAGACTGTATTGGCGCAACTCAAAGACACATTCTCATATAGTACAGAGGCTGTTGATGTGCTTTGCGCCATTCTGCGAACGGGGTTCCCAGAGTTGGATCCGGGTCCTTTCGTATTTGAACCGCATATGGTTACTGAATTTCTCACCAGCGCCTGGCAAAATCGAATTTCTACAGTAGTCAATACTGCGTCAGCGTTCCTAAGCTCCCTACACCATGGGAAGAGCGGAAAGGAAGACGTTGAGACAGCACTGCGCCGTCTTTTGCAGTGGACTCTGAGTGTCCTACACCAGCTCAATGGTAGGTCAAAGCCACGCTTTCCGGGCGGAAAAGGTCCCACTGACGCAGGGATTAGCATCGGACGACGACCCGGAACTTGCCCAATACGGGGTTGAGCTCGTCCAGAAAGCGATCGTTCAGAGACCAGAGGTGGTCATGTCTCAATCGCCAGAATCTCTCGAGTTCATCTTCGAATTTGCGTTGAAGCTGTTACGTGGCAGTGAGCCGCTACCGAAGGCTGCGGCCGCTGATTTCTGGGTAAGCCTTGATCGGATGAAATAGCAACTGTTGCCTTGACAGGTTGTGCTGACTTTCCACCCTCACCCACTGGCAGGCCACACTGATCGTGGCAAAGTCTGCCGACCCCAATACACAAGCAGCTCTTAGCAGCGCCCTAAACCACGTCGGCCCTGTCCTCTGCCAAGCCTTGATGCAGAACGTCGGCGGCAATGCCGCACGCAGCGAACTGGACAAGCTGTGCGACCCAATCAAGAAACTAATCACCGCCAGCGTCCATGCCCGTCAATGGCTCGAGAGTGCCTTGGCAGACCCTGCGTTCCCCAGCGACAAAGTCTCCGCGAAGGAGAAGGAGCTGTTTGTGAAGAAGCTCGTGGCTCTGCGAGGCCAGCGCGCCACTAACCAGGTGGTACGGGAGTTTTGGCTAGAGTGCAGAGGTCAGGCATTCATGTATGCCTCATGATCTAGGACTGCGCAGGCATAGCATGTCAGAGAATGTGAATATGGCATTGATCAAAGTGTGTCCCATCTTCTTGGGTGGATTCCGTGCCTTCACTTACAGCATATAGACCGCGTGGAGTCGAAGGCATTACCATATTCTACCCAAATGGATGCAGTGCTCGAGTTCCGTGTATTTGCAAGTGTGACTGCGGCTCTGTCTTTGAAAGAATGTCTATACTGTGATCATATTCTTATCCACGTCTTTAGAACGGAGAATGGCTATCATACACAGGCCTCCACGCTATCCTAGGATAATCCATCAGGGAGTGCCGAGTAACTTCCCAACAAATATAGTTATACAAAATCTCTCTCCATACCCGGCCCATGATCATCATCATCACCGGGCAGAGGCAGATTACGAGCTGCTGCCAGCAGTAGTCGGCAGCTTGACCGTGAACACGGGCCCGCCCAGCCCGACGGCCTCGCGGACCAGGCGCATCGTGTCCTCGGCAGACTCGCGGGCCTTTTCCGCGCCCAGGGCCTGCAGCTCCTGGATGTACTTGCCGCCCTTGAGGGCCAGGGCCTCGTGGTACGCGCCCTCCACGTCCTTGAGCTCGCGGACCAGCGCGTCGGCGGTGAGCTCCTTCAGGTCCTTGAGGGAGGTGCCGCTGAGGTGTGCGGCGAGGGCCTCTGGTGTTGTTGTCATTGTCGTTGCGGGAGAAGCAGAAGAAGAGGAGATATTGCTGGTGTTGAAGGAGGCGTTGGAGCACTGCGACAGGATGCTGAGGAGGTTCGCCACGCCTGGGCGGTTCACTGGGTCGTAGGTGACTTTGTTGAGGGAGTCGGTGACTGCCGCGTTTATGCGCTGCCTAATTTCCTTCTTGGTCGAGGTGATGTCTATCCGGGATGCCTCGACTGGGGACGACTTGGACATTTTCCGGTTGGGGTGTTTGAGAGACATGATCCGGGGGGAAGGGGCTGTTTTTGTTTGAGGCCAGGGTGTTAGTTGTCGGGCAAAGAGGGTGATGGGCATCGAGATTCAGAAGTCTCAGGAGTAAGCAAAGACTGCACTTGAAAGGCACGTACTGGTTATCGTCCGCGGTGACACGAGGCACTCGGTGTTGTATGTGTGGTTGAAGTTTGTCACGCACTCGCGCGAGAACTCGAGGTGCTGCTTCTGGTCCTCGCCCACGGGGACATGGGTGGCGCGGTGGACGAGGATGTCGGCCGCCTGGAGCACCGGGTACGAGAAGAGACCGAGCTTGAGCTTTTGGGCGACGTCGTTGTCGAGACCCTCTGCGTCGTCGCTGAGATGCATCTTGCTCTGACGAGTGAATCGGCGTCAGCGGAAGCAGATAGGGATGGTAGTACGGAGAAGTTGGATGGTGGGGGGATGGGAAACTCACCTTCCATTGTGTCATTCTGTTGAGATAGCCCATTGATGCTGTGCAGCTGAGAATCCACATGAGTTCTGTATGCGCCGCAACCTATTCAGACACGAAAAGTCAGTCCAGGTGATACGAAGCAGTGATATGCGGATACCGCGACAGCCAAAACGCTGAATCCGACCCCAAACATCTGAGTCGGAATGCACAGCATACCTCGGACTGGTAGAAGATGGTTGACCTCTCCGGGTCCAGTCCAATCGCCATGATTGCCGCGAACATCTCCTTCTTCTTCTGCATAAGGATATGGGCGTCCTGGGGCATCGTGATGGCGTGCCAGTCGACGATGCAGAAGAACAGTTTTGCCCCGGGGGGTGCTGCGTCCTGCATCAGCTTCCATTGCCGCAGGGCTCCGAAATAGTTGCCAATGTGCGGTACGCCGGTGGGCTGGATGCCCGAAAAGACGACCGAGTCGTTGGTCAGAGTGCTCAGGTCAATGTCCCGTGCATGGGTCCGGGCCGGCTGAGAAGGCGATGCTTTTATCAACTCGAATGGATCGAGTTGCCGCCGGTTGTTTGTCCGCGAGAATGGCCGCGTGCATTGCGGTGATGTGCCTCTGACGAGTCTCGCTGCTGTGGCCACCGCGCGAGGCCGGTAGCCTGCGAGCACGGCGGACGACATCTTTGTGGTGCCGTAGGGCGATCGTGAGATGTGTGCAAGCACCGCAAAGTAAAATGGACCACGGTGGAAGGTGCTGTGCAAATGTTAGTGACGAAAGTCGGATACTCGAACTATCAGGGGGCACTACACCTTCAGCTGTATCACCAAGATCTCGGGGTTGTCTTATGCTACTCAGTCATCATGAACGCCATGGGCGAACAGTCCACGTCCAATCGACAATCTTGAGATGTTCGACTGCCAATTATTAGCAGCAGTAAGGGCTTGCTGCACAGTGCTTCATACAGTCGACACGGTGAGACTTTCGTGAACACTGCCCTTTGAGCATCGCATCGCATCTTTATGGCAGATCAAGCGACAAGGCCACTACGCTTGCTGGTGCACTATTCCTAGCATAGCGATAAAATAGTAGCTCAGATCTCCCGCAGCTACTCTATCCGAGGGCCTTCATTCCGAGGGCGACAATTGATGACCCAAGGGTCCGCACTGTGACTACAGGGGTGAAGATTGACGCCAGTAATACCCGACTGCTTAATCATGGCTGTGTGATGTACAATATATACAGCTGTTTCTACAGACTCTCAACAGCGCCTAGATGCTCCGGTACGCAGTAAAATACACGATCGCGAATTGCCAATCCTGCCTACAGATTCCTGTAGCGCTCACTCGCCAGCAGCTCCTTGACCTTCTCCACAGTGCCGAGAGTCTGGTCACGTCCCAGGAGCTCCAGCTTCTCGTCGACAATGGCCTTCATCTTTGCCGCCTCGGCGTCCATCTGCTTACCAGGGCCTAGAGGGCGAGATTGTTAGTATGTGGAAAACGCCATCAGTCCTTGGCAGGGGCTATCAAACGTACTCAGCTTGCTGAACTCCCAGATGTTGGCCTTCATACCAATGCCATAGTATGCGTGTTTCTGTAGATACGCCAGCCAGATCTGCACTGTTTCCGGGTGACCGTCTCTGATCTGAATGAGCCGCCGTCTTGTGATTCTCTCAAAGTTCTCCTGAGACTTCTTGTGGATGAAATGTCCCTTTGGTACCGTCCACCGCTCGGTGATCTTGGGGAGCGGCACGGGGCCAAAGGCCGGGAGCTTGAGGTAGTATGCCGCGCGCAGGGCAAAATCGACAAAAAACTCGAGGTTCTGAACGCTGTATGACCGGAGCTGGAGATCGCACGAGGGGACACCGTACTCGGCTTCGCGCCGCAGGGGCTTCAGGTAGAGGGCTTGTACTGCTCGTGGCAGGCGGATTTCGTTCTCTTCACGAGGATCGGTGAGCTCGTTCCTGGGTATAGCAGGTCAGTTTTCGTCGTGGTCGCAAGTAGTCGGGTCCCGGAATCACATACACCAGCTGTGGGGGCTGTGTGGTCTCTTTGGCCGGTTGAGGTTGGGTATCAACTCTGTTGGTTGAATCGTCAGAATTTTGCTGATTTGAAGTTTCACTCCTTCGTGGGTGCGCCCTACAGTGTCGCTTGTGTCCTGGCTGCCGAGAGACCTGCGATCATGGCCCGGGACGGCTGCGCCTGTAATGCGGTTAGCCATTTGTCGCGAAGCTCCGTGCGAGCGGGTCGGGTTTGCGCACCAAAATTGGCCTCGAGATGGCCTGCCATATTGGCCGTATTACTTGCGAGCGTGTCATGGTGCCGCGATGTGTGCAAGCCAGTATCACCACGCGGATTCACGGATGCCAGACGTCTCAATCGTGACGCCGCATCACATTGGAAATTTGGGGTGGGGCTTACATGCATAACACCTCTGGTTGTATCGATAACGGCTTATCGAGGCGGCTGGCAGGGGTCCTTAGGGAGCTCCCTAGCTTGAAGCCTTGAGCTACGGCATCAGCATCCCACTTCCACCGTACGTCAAGATCCACCCCACCCCCAGCATCGAGGCAACAGCGGCGGCCAAGACAGGTTCACACCCCCAGCTTTCTTTCTGGCCGCGCCTTTCTGGAAGGAAGCGAGACATGATATTCGGAATTCTGTCTTGATTCACACGATCCTCAATCGCCAAGATGGAGGTCGCCATGAAATCATGGGGTAAGTACATCCTGAGTTTGATTTGAGCTTAAAACCCCCACTCCATCCAACCTCCATGATAATGTGGACGCCGGCTGACGATGATGACGACTCGTCAAAACAGAGGTCGACAACGACGTCGAACTCGTCGATCCTGTCCGCGATGCTCTATACAACTACTCGAGCGACCGTCAAAAGAAGATCAACGATGAAAAGGCATGGCGCAAGGACCCCCACCACTTCAAGCACGTGCGTGTAAGTGCAGTCGCCCTGATCAAGATGGTCATGCACGCACGCTCCGGCGGCTCGATAGAAGTCATGGGGCTCATGCAGGGCTACACCGACGGCGACACCATCGTGGTCACCGACGCCTTCGGCTTGCCCGTGGAAGGAACCGAAACGCGAGTCAACGCCCAGGACGACGCCAACGAATACATGATCCAATACCTCGAGCTCAGCCGGAGCCAAGGCGCACGCCCAGAGAACGTGGTCGGATGGTACCACAGCCATCCAGGCTACGGCTGCTGGCTCAGCGGCATCGATGTGTCGACACAGAAGCTACAGCAGACTTTCAACGACCCGTTCGTTGCCGTCGTCATCGACCCCGACCGCACAATCAGCGCGGGCCGCGTTGAGATCGGCGCCTTCCGCACTTTCCCGGACGACTACAAAGAGGCCAACGGCAGTTCTGGCGGCGGCAGCGGGGGAGGCAACCAGGCTGTCCCCCTCGCCAAGGCCGAGGACTTTGGCGCACACGCCAGCAAGTATTACCCGCTCGAGGTTTCGCATTTCAAGTCGACCCTGGACTCCAACCTGCTCGAGCTGCTCTGGAACAAGTACTGGGTCCAGACGCTCTCGCAGAGCCCCTTGCTCACCAACCGCGACTATGGCAACAAGCAGATGCTGGACCTTGGCTCCAAGATCCGCGAGGCCACGCAGGCAACGTCGCGACTGAGCAAGGGAGGTGGCATGTTCCATGGCCGGGACGCGCTGGACGCACAGATGGAGAACTTGGCGCGGACAAGCAATACCGTGGCCATGAAGGAGAAGCAGGGGCTCATGGCCGGCAAGATCAAGGCCAAGATCTTCAATGGCGCAAGCACGCCGTCGTCATGAGGGTGGTGGTTCTCATGTTCAAGACAGCTGCGAAGTACCGACAAGCCTGTACATTGTTGACTTTTAGAGGTCACGAGATATGAAGCATAGGGACGGCGTTTAGTTTGGTTTCGAGAGCAAGAATTGCAGTTTTTATTTAAGCGGTACATAGAGGCCACAGTGAAAGAGGCGAAGCGGCCCATCGTACATGTGTAAATGCAAATGCCATTCTATCCAATATGGTACATGCATAATATGATACACTGATAATACAGATCGGCAGCAACCCAGTGATACGGATGGCAAGTGGCAGGCATGAGGTCTTGTGGGTTTTACAGCTGGCCGCTCTTCTCAGCCTGCTCAATGATCTCGACAGCCTGGTTCGCGCGGAGCATGACCTCGTCCCGACCCAGTACCACCATCGAGTCGACGAGCGAGGGGCCAGGTCGTAGCGCATTGATGATCCACCGCACGAGGTGATACCCTGAGACCTTGAGGACTCCGCCCACCGAGGTGCGCAGGGACTTGACAAAAGGGTCGACCCGTTCGGCGATGGCGTCTCTCTCCCAGATGTCTACACCCGCGAGGCGATCTCTGAAGTCCCGTACCAGCGCGGCTGGGTTGGCCGGCACGGCATTGTCATTACCGCCATCACTATCTGCAGCCGCGGACGCAGATTCGCCGGACGGCACGACGAGAAGCTGGCTGAACTCCTTGTACCCTTCTTGCAATGTCCGAAGGTGCTCGGCTGGGGGTATCTGCCAGAGCATATAGCAGTGCTTCATGACGTACGTCTCGGCCGTCTTGTAGTTTTTCCGGTCCAGGGCCAGGGCATTCTGCACGTACGGGAGCACAGAGGACATGTCCTGGGACTGTGCGTCCTGCTCTGCCCATCGTGCTTGCGGTACAAGCTCCCCGAGATCAAGCTGGTGGAATTGATTAAGGAAAAGCGCTTCCGGCCTGCCCGAGTCGTCTGGCGATGTTGCCGATGGTGGAGTCTGCCGATAGAGCTCGACTTTCTTGATGGCCTTTTCGATAAACGGCAAGGTATGCGCGAAGAACGGCGCGTGGTTGTCCGCGGTGGCAAGGCGGACCATGTGCTCCTTCTGGATATGGTCGTGCTTGTCGTTGACGACGATGTCGCCCTTGGTGAAGCGCAGGTGGAAATTGGCAATCATCTGTTCGAGGTCCATGACCTCCTTGTGGCCTTTCACCTTGCCGCCACTACCCTTGGGCCCTCGCCCGTGGCTCCAGCCCAGCAGCAGGACATAGTTGAGCATCGCGACGGGAAGGTAGCCCTTGTCTCGCCATGACGCGATGTCTATGTCGCCATGGCGCTTACTGAGTTTCTGGCGCTCGCTGTTGACGAGCAAGGCGACGTGGGCGAACTTGGGCGGTGTCCAGCCGAAGGCATCATATAGTTGGACGTGACGGGGCGTTGAGGGGAGCCATTCCTGCATATGAGCTGAGCGGGCCATTCTCTTGATGTAATGTAATCTGGGTGGGACTTACGGCACCACGGATGACGTGGGAGATCTCCATCAGGTGATCGTCAACAACATTGGCAAAGTGATAAGTCGGGAACCCATCTCTCTTGATAATGATCAGATCCTCAGAGACCCCATCTCTAACGTATGTCCCGTAGACAAGGTCCTTCACGGATGGCCGTCCATCTCCGGCCTTGAAGCGGATGCAGTGTGCTTCTCCGCTGGCCGCTCTCCTGTCAGACTCCCCAGCCGAGATGTGTGAGCATGTGCCAGGATACTGTGCATGTACGCCGGATGCGAGCTGCTGCTGTTTGAGGCGATCTAGCTCCTCGGGCTTGCAGAAACACCTGTAGGCCTTGCCTTCGTCCAGGAGTTGCTTCGCATGCGACTCGTAAATGGGCAACCGATCAGACTGTACGATGATCAGCACACAGCTGCAAATGCAGAGTGACACGAAGAATAATGAATATGAAGACGGAACACACCTGCCTGTATGGACCAAAAGGGCCCTCGATACCCGGGCCTGAGCAGCGGATGTGTCAGTATGAGATCGTCCTTCACCAGAACTTTCAGAAAGCGAATACCTTCATCCCAGTCCAACCCAGCCCACTTCAGATCCCTGAATAGCCTATCCTCAGCATCGGGGACAAGCCTTGTCTTGTCAGGGAACGCAAGTCAGCTTCCTGAGCCTAGTCGAGCTGTCCTTCATCAAGGATGGACCCACCCTGTCTGTGTCTTCAATCCTGATCAGAAACTGCCCGCCAGTGGCTCGAGCCAAGAGATAATTGTACAGTGCTGTGCGTAACGATCCAATATGCAAGTAGCCCGTCGGTGAAGGGGCAAAACGGGTTCTTGCTGGAGCGGAAATGTCCTGCTCTGCCCCTGGAGCTGCTCTTCGGAAAGGCGTGGCGTAGTGCCTACTGGCACAAAAAACTGGCGAGCATCGTCTCGTGGTGAGATGTGCTCGCTGGAAAGGGCGTACTCGAAGTAGAGGTCCCTGCACTACACGAGCGACAAGAATCATGGCATTGCTGGTGTGTGTCATGATTTCATTGTCGCTATTCAGGTCGGGCTTTTCACCACGAAACTCGCGAAATGCTGAGTACTATCACAGCATGAGTGCTGGTGGTTCGGGCTCGCACTTGAGCCCTGCCGTGGGACTTGCTTAGCGATGTTATGCAGCTAGCGGGATGCGCGTGGAGTACCCACGCCTTGAGGGTACGGAGTAGACTTGCTGCAGTCAGCATTCTTCTGATTCGACAGCCCTACGGTCTCAAAATCGAGGAGCGAAATCTGACTAAGTCAGAATGGAACGTCAGTTATCCCGATGTTGTCGTCGAATAATGGCTGGCGGTCCCGTTTCTTCCGGTAATGATCGCATGATTACAACACACCCAGAGGTGGACGCGTTGTGTCGGGTGGTATTGATGAGTCCTCTTCTGGTCAACTCCACAAAGAGCATCGTCTCTGTGCAAGCAGTCTTTGAGCCCAGCTTCAAGATTGCTAGAGGCTTGAGAAGGTAGATAAAGTATTGTGCCTCAAGGTATGCCGCGGCTTCGCACGGCAATCCAGCACACTTGTGATCTGGGCCGGCCTGCTCTGTTCAAAACCATGAAGGTGTTCAACACGGTTGTCTAGTTCTGCAACAAAGAACCTTTTTCCAGAGGACATGCAAAACAATCGGGCAGACGGGCATATGCATGACCTGACAGGGCCAGGGAACTCCAAAGAGAGGAGGCCCTGCTCCCCCAGCCCCGATGCGTACGCTGCTTTGTTGCCCATTGCTGCCTGCTGCTCCTCGTAAGGCCCGTCACTTGGCAGGCCCGGTCCCGCCAAGGTAGCGCCCGCCTCCAGGGCTCCCTGCAGTGCGTGCTGCTAGCATTGACACCTCAGTCTGGTGTCGCCATGGCGGACCCTCCGCGGCTTCCCAGCCTGGGGCGAACTGGGACCCCTCCAACACCATGCCCCACCCAATATTTTCTCTGTCCTCGAGCTTCTTAACGGCTCAACCTGCCGACTGCATCTTTTGCTTGGCGGATCGTGATTTGTTGACGATCGCGCAGTCTACTCAGCCTTCATCATGGACTCTTCAGTAGATACTGAGCTCTATGGTAAGCCAGCAACCCCTCCAAGAAAGACGTGCCAGCGTCCTTTGGCTGACCTGATGCCTGTCCGCACTTACAGAGCTCCTCGGCGTTGAGAAGTCGGCGACTCCGGACCAGATCAAAAAAGCGTACCGCAAAGTGTGTATCTCCGCCCAAAGACCCCGACCGGCGCCCGTGAGATTGCGCTTACTGACAAACAGCCCAGCTCGCCCTCCAACACCATCCCGACAAGGTCCCCGAGGAACAGCGTGAAGAATCCGAGGCCACTTTCAAAGCCGTGACGCAGGCCTACGAAATCCTCCGCGATGAGCAGAAGCGTGAGATGTATGACAGACACGGCATGGCCGCTTTTGACCCGAGCCGGGGCGGTGGCATGGGTGAAGAGGTCGACATCAACGACATCCTCTCTCAAATGTTCGGCATGGGCATGGGAGGCATGGGCGGCATGCCAGGAATGGGCGGTATGGGAGGTGGCGGTGGCCCAAGACGCCCCAGGCGTGGACCTGACGAAGAGTCGCGGTACAATGTCACGCTCGAAGACCTCTACAAGGGCAAGACTGTGAAGTTCGCTGCCAACAAGGCGACCATTTGCAGCAGCTGCAAGGGTTCTGGTGGCAAGGACAAGGTCAAGCCTCAGACCTGCGATCGCTGCAAGGGCAATGGTCATGTCGAGGTGTTCCGCCAGATGGGGCCGGGACTTGTGCACCGGGACATGGCCAAGTGCGACCGGTGCGACGGTGCCGGCACATACTACAAGGAGAAGGATCGCTGCAAGAAGTGCAAGGGCAAGCGGACCGTCTCGGAGACCAAACCCCTCGAGATCTACATTCCCAGAGGCTCGAAGCAGGGCGAGAGGATCGTCCTTGAGGGCGAGGCCGACCAGTTCCCCGATCAGACTCCAGGTGACTTGGTTTTCGTCCTTGTCGAGGAACCACACGATATTTTCAACAGGATCGGCAATGATCTGTCTGCCGACCTCGAGATCACCCTTGCAGAGGCCCTGACTGGGTTTTCCCGGGTTGTTCTAACACACCTGGACGGTCGTGGCATTCACATCACACATCCCAGAGGCAAGATCCTGCGACCCGGACAGACGCTCAAGGTTGCTGGCGAGGGTATGCCCCAGAAGCGTGGCGAGGAGAAGGGTGACCTGTACTTGATCGTCAAGATCGACTTCCCAGAGGATGGTTGGCTTAAAGACGACGCGGACTATGCGGCACTGCAAAAGCTGTTGCCTGGTCCTCCTCCGGAAATCAAGGCTGAGGAGGTCGACGAGGTCGACTATGATGCTGATGCAGATATTGATGAGGTATGATTGCGATTCTTCTGGGCCTCACTACTGCTTGTATACACAGAACGCTGACAACTTGCAGATGGGCGCAAATCAAGGCGACCCCCGTTACGGCGACGGCTGGGAGGACGATGACGATGAAGATGGCCCGGGGCAGGCGCAGTGCGCTCAACAGTAATGATTGAACGAGATACGACAGCTTGGATTTTGTTATTATAGACAGCCATTCCGGAGCTGGACGCGGCTGGCTAGAATGCTCGGGCACTTACCAACCAGAAATCCGTGCGCGACACAAGACGAGCATAGATACCCAGTAGAATCGATCGGCTTTTGTGGTGCTCACAGCCTCGACCACTCGTCGTGCAGAGCAAGGGGATCATATACTTACTTTAACTAAAGCCTGCAATGTGCTGTGGGGGAATACAGCTCTGCTCAAAGAAGCCGCGTGCTTGTTGTGAGCTGGTGATGTAGAGCCTTTGAAGTGCAAACACAACCCCTTTGTACGACTTCGGCCAATGTGACATCAAAATCAACATCCGAAGACCTGGTAGTGCCGAGCTTGGAGTGACGAGCCCGAACATCGTGATCGAATTACCTTGCTGTCGATTTCAAACCTGGAAGCTCATAGTTAGTCTTGCACGAGCAGAAAGAGGATGGCCAGGACCATCGTGACACTCTATGGGGCAACTCCATCCGTACTGCGTAGATGTCTGGAAGTTGTCCACCCCTGCTGGCTCCACATCAGACAACCCCTGGAAGCCCTTGACGGACAGCTTTCACGGACAGACGGTTCGTTCAAGCAAGGCTAGCCATCAACTGTGGCTGGTGGCTATGACTTGTCCCAGTTGACGATGGCTGACTCAGCACTTGACCTGCACTTTTGGCAATGCCCCGCCCCGTGGATGTGGCGCAGCTCAGGCGCATCCCCATTTTTCCTCAAGCAGGGGCCTTCGCTTGGGCCACCAGAGCACGCCCACAAGATTTTACTGAAAATTGAGCCCGGGTCAGGACTGTTCGAGGAAATTTCTCAGCCCTTGCGCAGCAGCAGAACCACCACCAACCACCACCGCCAAATTCGACAACCCCGACCGCCGGAAATCAGTCAAGGTACACCCAACCCGTCCGAGCAGCTCGACAGATCACTGCGACATCTCGAAATTATCGTCGCGCATTTTTGATCAAACGACACCCAGCTAACGCAGCGTTGTAAAGATGGTTGCCGCCAAGAAGCACGTCCCGATCGTCAAGAAGCGTACGTTATGTCTGCAATCCGGTGGAGGAGAATGGAACCGCGCACACTCTCAGCACTCTGCCCACCACGTCGACCCATTAAATCGTCTTGAGAGATCACACACAGCGCCATTCGCCGTCGATATGTGGAATCATTGGGCTGGACGAGTTGTGCGCGGGAGTAGAGCCTGCGGGGTCGAACAATGATGCTGACTGTCTGGGGAATACAGGCACGAAGACCTTCAACAGACATCAGGCCGACCGGTTCGACCGTCTGTCTTCGAAATGGCGCAAGCCTAAGGGTATCGACAACCGTGTCCGCAGACGGTTCCGGGGCAACACTGCCATGCCCTCGATCGGCTACGGCTCCAACAAGAAGACCCGCCACATGATGCCCTCCGGCCACAAGGCTTTCCTCGTCAGCAACGCCAAGGACGTTGAGCTTCTCCTCATGCACAACCGCACCTTCGCGGCCGAGTACGTCCATCTGGCGAACGCCGCCACGGCAGGCCTCGTGCATATTGAACTAACCTGGTCGACAGGATCGCCCACAACGTCTCGTCGAGGAAGCGGGTCGACATCATCGCCAAGGCCAAGCAGCTCGGCGTCAAGGTCACCAACCCCAAGGCCAAGGTCACCACCGAGATCTAAGCAGCAGCAGCGACTACGACTTTTGCCACCACCACCATCATCAAACAAACAACAAAACCACGATTACAATAAAGGAGTACTACGACGGGAAAATCTTTACGATGACGGCGACTTTTTTCACAACAACAGGAGAAGGGTTCCCGGTTCCTCCGTTTTTTGCATGGGAAAAAGGATTCTGCTCACATGGAACGGATGGTTGCGAGCTGTTTTTCGGCATGTACCTACATATGCTAGGGAAATAAAGAACAAAAACAACAAAAGAACTGATCCGCTTGTTTGGTGTGGGTGACAATTGGAATTCCCTCGTGTGCTCCGAGCCTCAATTCTATCGAGAGCAACGCCAGGGCAGCTCGCTGGCGCGTGGCTTGTGGTTACCATGGTTGGGAATACTGACGAGGTCAGGACTGCCAAGCCAGACGTTTCATTGGTGCGGTCGTCAGAGAGACTCCTCGTGCAGTCTTCAGTAGCAGTAATGGGCTTGTTCCCATCGCGGTTCACTTATGGTCATCTCCCCGACTTTTACATTCACAGGCACTGCGTGATCCTGCACAAATCGCCTACCAAAGTCTAGAGGACTACCACTCGTGTAATCCAAACGGCAGCTTCATTTTTGCTGACCATGCAGGTGGGACTTCCATCTTCGCATTCTAGGAGGGGATGATGTGACTCAACATGCCCGTGATCAACACCAACAGCACGAGGCAGATGACTCTGTGACAACTCGTCGCTCGGCTTTGCACTCGCCACGCGAAAGATTTGGGGCGCTCGCTGCATGAGGCCGGCATGCCAGAACACGTCCGCCCCCATTGCCAACTCGCGGCTCTGAGTCACCAAGCTTTCAGAATAGTCTGTGAGGACCCCTTGCACGGACGGAGAAAACCCATCGGGTCATCCCGCGACGCTGTCAATCTTGCAAGACTGGTTCTTGGTGGGTGTGTCCCTGGGAGCCGCCATAAGGCTCGGGTGCTGCGGCTGGCGGCGGTGGACGCGACCCTGCACTCGAGCCCTGTGCACAGTCAGTGGATGGCCTGCGCTGAACTCGGCCCGTTCCTGTAAGCCTGCCTGCCTGCCTGCCTGCCTGCCACACAGATTCTTCTCTTGCCACACGAAGTGGTTGACGGGCGGTCAAGCGCATCGCCCATGTTCGCCCTTACGAAGCCTAAGTGTGGCTGGGGGTAGACTTGCTTGGTTGATGCCCTTGTGTACAGCACTTGATTTAGGCCCGCCGATGTACATGTACCCGTAATCTGTTCAGCCCAGGCTGTTTCCGCCCGTCCGGCCAGCCAGCCCTCTTGTGGCTGCTCTTGCATATACCGCGCTAATTAGTGCGATGGGCCCTACTCCCGGGCGCTTTTCGTCACCCATTGACATCATGCTTTCGTCCCGCACCCAGCCGCCCAGGGCCGCAACAGTCAGGGTTCGTAAGGGCGACCCGGGCCACGTGCTAGGACATGGCTCTTTTTTAAGGTTGATTTGTCATTTCGTTTGAGCTTTTCATCATATATGGTGTTCAAGTTTTTGCTTTATTGATTGCCTGGCAAGAGTCAACTTCAAACACCCCCTGGGTATCCCATCAATCAAGCTTTGTTCGTGTAAGCGATATATGTGGATGCATACCTGGCCTACATGGCTACGAAAATAGTAAACTCGACAGGAGCAGGACGATTCACTTCTTTGGTCCCTACGACTTCAAAAGGGATTGCCGCAGTGTCATGCATAGGAAGTAGCGGAAGCAGGGCCTCTTGGTCGCTTGGCGGTCGGCGACTGGCCAGCATCGACTCAAGCACCTCACGCAAAGATGGAGGTAAAGTTCAAGCCTGCCAAAGCATCTCTGTCAAGCTCTCGAGGACACAGTTGGCTAATCGTTAATGGGATGCTCAATCTCTAAAGGCAGCAAGAAAGAACGAGTGGTGATCCTTGGCTCCGGGTGGGCAGGCTACGGCTTCGCCCGGACGCTGGACCCGAAAAAGTATGAGCGGATCATGATCTCGCCACGCTCTTATTTTGTCTTTACGCCACTACTCGCAGGCACGGCCGTGGGCACGCTCGAGTTTCGAGCGACTCTCGAGTCCGTCAGGAGGCTCGGGTTGGACCACTTCCACCAAGGGTGGGCCGACGAGGTCGATTTCGCGCGCAAGACGATCCGCGTCGAGGCCAACACTTCTGACGAGCTCGGCAGCTCGACGACGGCGAAAGCCCTGAAGGCGGCACAGGACCCGTCAAGCAAGGTGGATGGCGCCCAGCCCGGCAAGGGCGTCATGTTCGACGTCCCGTACGACAAGCTGGTCATTGCCGTCGGGGCGTACAGCCAGACGTTTGGGATCGAGGGCGTCAAGGAGCACGCCTCGTTTCTGAGGGACGTCGGGGACGCCCGCAAGATCAGGATGAAGGTGCTCCAGAACTTTGAGCGTGCCGCGCTGCCCACGACGTCCGCGGCAGATCGCAAGAAGCTGCTGCACTTCGCCATCGTGGGCGGCGGGCCGACGGGCATCGAGTTCGCCGCAGAGCTGCACGACCTGGTCAAGGACGACCTGACAAGGACATACCCGGACCTGATCAAACACGTCGGCATCACCGTGTATGATGTCGCGCCCAAGGTGCTGCCGATGTTCGACAAGACGCTCGCCACGTACGCCATGGAGACGTTCAAAAGGGAGGGGATCGCGGTCAAGACGGAGCACCATCTGCAGCGAATAAGGCCTGACGAGGATTGCCAGGGGTGTCTCAAGCTCAAGATCCAAGAGTACGGTGACGAGGAAGTCGGGGCTGGAATTGTGGTCTGGAGTACAGGGTTGATGCAGAACCCGCTGGTGTCGAAACTGGTCTCAAAGGAGTTCGAAACGCCAGAGCTCGGCTCACTCCGCGACAAAGGCAAAGGCAAAGGCAACGTCATGATACAGAAGGATGCTAGGACGGGCGGTATCGTCACAGACTCCCACCTCCGCGTTCAGGTAATCCCTGCTGAGTCAAAGACCAACGACAGCAAGGACGTTCCCGAATCATCATCTCTCCCAGACGTCTTCACGATCGGGGACTGCGCCGTCATCCCCGGAAGCGGCCTGCCAGCTACGGCGCAAGTTGCCAGCCAGCAGGCAACATACCTCGCGAAGCAGTTGAGCAAAGGCGCCCTAAACGACGACAACAACAAGGCCGCCAAACCGTTCAAGTTCCGCAACTGGGGCACGATGACATACCTCGGCAGCTGGACGGCGATCCACCAGAGCAGCGCCGACGAGCTCAAGGGTTGGGCGGCGTGGGTACTCTGGCGAACAGCGTATCTGACCAAGAGTATGAGTATCCGCAACAAGATCATGGTTCCCGTGTATTGGGCAACCTCGTGGTTGTTTGGGAGAGATATCTCGAGGTTCTGAAGAAGATGAGTAGGATGATTGGACGCTCTCTTTTCAGTCGGATGTGCGGCACCACGATATCAAACTACTACCGAAGAAGCTACTCCCTCGAAATTTGTACTATATCCCAGAAGCTAGCGTTGTGAAAACATATAAGCTTAATCATACTCGAGGGACAAACGACCAGTCTTTATGACAGGTGGATGTATAACGCTGACATGGTGTTGCCATTTGCGAAGACATGGATGTCGTTAGTGCCCGTGGCGTCGGCTCCATGAATTTATTCAGAAGAAAAAAAAAGAAAAAAGAAAGTGTCGAGAACTTGTGTTGATTACAGTGCGAGCCGTCCATAGATGGCTCTGCACGAGAAGTGGCCTTGGATCATGGCGTTGCAAGTACCGAAATGCCGCGTCGTTGTTCTCATTATCTCTCCACGCTGTCGCATTGAAGCACTGCTTATTTCGTTAAGGTATCGTATGATGACGGCATATATGCACTTAATCCTCGAAAGTGTATCATGGCGTGTCCCGATCGCAAACAAGAACCCAAGCGGTGAAACAACTCCTGAAGGACGTCGCCCAAAGTCAAGACAATCAGGCCGATGGTAAAGAAAAGCGATCTCTCATCTATCACCTTTGCCCAATCCCACGTCTAGTCCCTATCATGTGCAAGCCCGACGAGAAAAGAAAAAAAGGAGTTTGGTCCCTCTAGATGTGGTCTAGGCATGCAATTAGATTAGGTTTCAGGGGGTTGTGACCAATGCAAACGACCTTGTTTCGTATTTGACCAGTCTTCTGTCTGGGTTGCCTTTCTACTTCTGAGAGCTACATGTTTCCCTCATATATAGAGCGCTCTCAAAGCGCCCCCCCCCCCCCCTGCATCGCAGATGTTGACTGGATCCGGTCTCGCTTGCAAATTGCCTTTGCCAAGGTGAGCAGTCAAGATTGACGCCTGGGGTGGGCAGAAGAAGCCAGTGGGAAGCATTCGGACTTATCACTCGACTGATGGTGTTTTTGCTTCTTCTGTTACAGAAAAGTGCCACGGCACAGATACAATCCGTGTAGTGCAGAGTCCTCGTTAACCACGGGAAGCCTCTATGCAGACTTTGTGAGAGCAGACTGTTGGTTTCCCGGCCCGTGTGATCCTTCTCCGGGAATTTCAATATCGCGGCGCACCAGGCCAGTGTGAGCCTTCAAAAGTCTTGCCCATCAATGGTATGATTGAAGCGAAACCACTGAGGACCCTCCCTGACAAGGAGGAAGAAGAAAGCCCAACCCGGGCGAGATTAGCGACAATATCGGATTTCTCTGACTTGTGTGAGACGGTGGCACGCATCAAGACAAACCAATAATTTTGGAAAGGCGGCAATTGTTCTTCTTCTTCGAATAACTCCCTTCTCTAGAGACAGCATGCTTTATGTCTTGTCTCGTTAAGCGATGATATCTCGGACCCAGTGTTACACGGTATTCTCAGCACCGATCCGAGAGTTGGGAAAGAAGCAGACACCAGAGCAGCAATCAAAGAGAAGCGAGCACAAGAGCACACAAGTCGTCCAGTTTTATACAAGGCCCTGCTCCGAGCAACGCCCCTGACATGAGATCAGTCAACCCAGTTGACCGTCCCTGAGCATTTTTCTGCTACTCACTTCTGTGCAGGTCCTCGGGACAATTCCCGTAGTGACAAAGTCGCCCCAATGGGAAGACGGACAAAGTAGGCACTATCTAGAAATGCATCTGGTTTGGGTCGCGATGAACGAGCTTCTCCCGGACGGGGCATTGGCTTGAGTGAGCTCAGCGACACGATGGCGTGTCATTTAGAAAAGAAAAAAAAAGAACAACAGATCTGAGAGTATCACATTCTGCCACTGCCATGCTCTCATCCACACGTCGTTACTCGCACACATGCACTGTCTTTTCAACTCAGGGTGCCATTTTCACCTTCCACCGGAATACTGCAGCATCAGTTCTGCACTGGTCACCAATGACGACAACAACAACAACAACAACAACAGCAGTGTAAGGAATGACTCAACTAAGCACCAACTGACCGCCCTCCCTCGCCTTTGGTTCCGACCTTGCTTCCTCCACTGCCAACTTTTTTTTGGTGAATCCCCCCTTCTCTCAGACCACGGAAAGTCCCACTACGAGACAAACAACATGCTCGGCACTCCACCGAGCTCGGCGGCGGTCGGCGAACAAGGATAGATACCTAGGTACTTACCTACCGACCTAGGTAGATATCTACATAGGTACATACAGTACAAAATGATCGACAATAGCACGCGAAAAAAAAACTCTAAAAAGTGTACCCGGCCGAGGGACCTCCCAAAAAAAAGCACCTATTTACAACTCGCAATCCCGGAAAGTCTTGGCATGGGTTGACGGATCGTGCTCTGTGTGTATGTGAGTGTGTGTGCGCGTGGTGGATGTGGTTTTTTTTCCTCCCCCTCACTTACCATGTCGGTGAAATACAACATCACACCGCCACGGGATCCCCGCGCGTAGGCAGGTTTCGGAGTGGACTTTTGACTGCTGGCAACACCCAATTGCAATGTCCAAGATGCATTCCCTAGCGGGCAACGCACGGCTCATTCCGAGGAACCAGCCCCAGGCTTTCTTGAAGTCCCAATACACGGGCCAACTCACTCAGCTCTTGAATGACCTGGCCAGAAGAAAAGAGCAGCCGCAACAACACCAGCAGATATGAGCATGGCCAGAAGGCCAAAAGCAACATGCGACACAAACGAAACTCGACTCTGGTACATGGTCCCAACAATGAGGGACTCTGATGAGGATGATCGGCGATTTCCTCAGACACGCAGCGTTCGTTTCCCCCGCCTCCTCCGAGACTTGCATGTGCTCGGGAGAAACGTGTCCTTTGATTCAAGAAGGGCGACCAAAACAAGACGTTACCAGGTCCTGCTGTGGCAGCATTTTCTGCACGATGCAAGTCTGCAGGCTTTTCCTCGCGCGCAAGGACGGCAAGTGAATAGGCATATGCGTGTATGTGTGTGTGTGTGTGTGTGTGTTACATGAGCTGCACGTATCGTCGCAGCTGCGCGTATAAGACATCCTTCACCACACCACACACCACACCACGCCACACCGCACGACTTGTAGTCAAGGAAACCGGCCAGCCAAGGCCGTAATCTGCATGCTGCTGGTGCTCTATCCCCGATGCTGATAAGCAGGCTCGCATTCCCATCAGTTCGTGGATGGGCAATCGGAGGTTTCGCATCCCTTTAGAAACGTCGAAGTGAGTAAGCAGATGGGGGCAAAAAGCAAAAGGACTGAGCAAGACAAGACGAGATCAGCAGGGACAATCACCCCAAGGAATGAAAAAGAAGCCAAGAGTGTGCCAACTCGTGGAACAACTGCAAACCCGCCTGGCGCGATGCTGGGCCGACGCGGACGCCGCTGATTGAGACTGCTGGCTGCACACACAGAATCATCAGCAATGAGCAATGTGCAATGTTGGTGGTCATTGAACTCGTCTGACGGTGGCATACCGCCTCGTCTCGGCGCGCCCTCTTCCTGCGGCGAGCTAAGCCAGACCGATGATTCGGCTCGAGGAGGCCGGCCACTGGCAAAATTTGTCAATGCCGGAATATCCCATTCGTCCTTGCTCCTCGTCGCTGTCCTCGTCGGCGCCGGCAAGCTGCGGGGTCCGGCGCTTGCATTGTCGGGCGGCACATGGATCATCCCGGTTCACGGCCAGCAGAAGACAACCTCGGGGCAAGCAGCGCGATCTTGACCATCTCGATGAGTCCTTGATGAGCCAAGTAGGCAAGTGCGATGAGCTGGCTTGTCTCCTGCCAGCCTCGGTTCAGGGCGGCCCGAAACCCCACAGGCCAGCAGAGCTGGTGAGGCTCAACGGGTCGTGGGATGCGAAGACGGTGGTGCAAATCCGTATGAGGAGTAATGCCAGCTAGTGTGTGGGTTAGCGGCTGCGGCCAACGCCGAACGGAAGCTTGGATGGCTGGGGCGGGGATGGAAAAGAAAGGATGGAGAATCTTCTGTTGCTTCTGGAGTCGTTCCGCCTCCTCCTTTTGCGTACCCGAAGGTACACTAGAGCGTCTCGTCCGCCAGATGCTAGCTAGCGTGGCCCGTCGCCAGTGAGACCAGATTTAGCAGCACTAGAGAGACCAGCCTGGCGGCTAGGCTCGTCCGGGATTAAGCATTGTGGCGGCTCCTGTCCAAAAATGGGCACAATGCCAGCTGCTAACCACAGAGCCGTGTAAGATGATTCGCCAGCAGCCTCGAGAGGCACGCGCAAGCGTGGCGGTGAGTCAGCCTCGTTTTGCACCGGCTCTAGGTTCGAGTCTCGCCTGACATGCCCTCCTCTGCGATTCAATGCCGGCCCGCTGGCTGCCAGCCCACTTCCTGCCTGGATACTCCAGATTCCGACTTGGTTTGGTGTCCCGCTTGCCATTGTTGAAGATCTGACAGCCGCTCCCAGCCCCAGCTGTGACGACATCGGCCCCGCCAGCAAAGTTTGGTGCCCACAAACGTTGTTGAGCTCCTCTTGGCACGAGACATGGTCGGACGACGTTGCAACTACCGTTGCGGTGTAACTTGATCGCCTTTCGCCCGGGAGGTCCAGAGAATACGCTCTGTTCCCGCAAGCGCAAAGGCCGGAATCGTGGCATTCCGTGCGACACCCGCTGCTAGACAAACAGAGCACCACACCCTCTTGGTCCACCGCCTTTTGCGGAAGAGGCATCTGTTGCATGCTCGACAGCCCTGGCAACAATGCTGGCAGCTATCGCCGGCGACGCCAGGCCTGAGACAAGTGTGTCGCCCATCTTGATCCTGCAGCTGCGATTTCTTTGTCGGTGCTGGTGAAACAGTTGTCCCGTTCTCCCGTGCCAGACACCATGAACCGAGTCATTCTGATCATGCGGGGTCGTGTCTCGGCCGCCTATAACAGGGGGTCCACAAGACATTGCATTCCGGCAGCATGGTCCTTTCCAAGGCTGCGGAGCTCAATTTTTTCTTCCTTGGTTGGTAGGCAGCCGGCACTGCGGGCTGACGAGTCATGATTCGTGGGAGCTGGCAAGCATGCCAATTGTACATTTCGCGCTCCAGGAACGTATCATGTGCCCGAGCCTTCGAGGTCGTGGTCGGCCGTTCTGACAAGAAGCAAGCTGCCGTCATGCGACAGCCAGCGCAAATGGTGTCGATTATTATTCTGTACTGTTTCAGATGCCAGACGCTGGTGCATGGAGCACACCTCCATTGACCCGACGAATATGATCTCTGCCGGGCCTGATTAGGTTCATGTCTGCTTCCTTGCAGGTAAACCTCTTGTCTGTCCATTCCTTTCTGGAAGGCTGGCAAAGCCCCTAGGTCGGCATGCGTCTGGCGTACCCTGGACGATGGTAGACCAGAGCTTGAGCTTGGAGCTTGCTCGGTCCGAAAGAGGACTGTGCTGAGCCATCGTGCTTCGAGCGAGCTCTGTGGTCAACCCATGCCAGACCCGCAAGCCAGGATGATGCTGATAGGTAATGGCGTGGGGGCGGGCTGCACGTTGGAACCCATACCCATATCAACATCTCCACTCCACACTCACGATCTGTCCAGAGTCGACCATTGCCCCGACCAGACCAGGCAAGAACGAGAATGGTGCTGTGGACGGCCTACCTACGGCACTCTCGCCGCACTCCCCCACTGACCACGCCGAACCCTGCCAAGGCGCGACGGATCGAGGGAAGCATCCATTGCAGAGCTGTGGGTGCTCAGAGGCCGCGATCGCTGGTAGTCAAGGCGTCCCTGAAATGCCATAGACGGGAGGCGGTGAAGGCAATGGAATTTGGTCCCGTTGCACGGGGAAGGCTAGAACCGAAACGGAGACGCATGTGAGGATGGCATCATGCACGCATGTCTTGAGCGTGATTGTAACACATGTTCGCCCGTGCCCCTCCACACGATTGTGGCGGCACGGATGCTTATTCGCTGGCCGCAAGGATTGCGAGCCCAAATGGTGGCATCGCATGGATGTAGGTGTGTGTGTGTGTGTGTGTGCGCGCCAGCGACGATGCTCGCGATGGTGGGCTGGCTTGTGCTGCATACGTCCTGCCAGCCTCAAGGGCCTGGCCCAAAGCCCTTTCGGACGGCAACCAGCAGGGCGTTTTGGAGGCGCGCCCGCAGGAGGGCTGGCGATGGCCCATGCTCTTTGACAGCGCGGGGCAAGCTCCTGGGTGCGGGCTCTGGCTGAATCTCCGGCGCTTCATCCAAATGTCTGTCTCTGCCCCTCGGCAGGCCGGGGACGCTGGTGCGGAACACCTACGTCAAGCTGCAGCAGGGGCTCGACGCCAAGCTCCAGTCTGCACAGTCCATCATTTGCACACAGCCGCTGAAGCCGCCCAAGCGCAGCCACGTCTCACCAGGCCCTACCAAGCAAATGGTCGCAAATCCCTTCTCACATCTTGTCGCGCTAGCGTGCGTCGGTAAAGGCCCACGACGGACTCGCTCGCTGTTGGCTGCAATAATGATCGCTCGTGCAGATCCTTTTCAACCCAAGCGCCCATGCTTTGACCCAGGGTTCCGCAAAGCTATATGCCTTCGAGTTGATGCTCTCCGCGATTGTGCGATTGGAAATAGCCAACTCGGGATCATCACGGCAGCCTCCTGTTGACATTTCCAAGCAATACATCTCGAAAATAATGTGGATGTGGCGCATCGACTTGCGACGCCGTTTCGCAGAAGTCGTGTTGCAAGTTGTGGTGGCCAACCACAGCCCCTTGTGTCCCTCGCATACTGTCCCGCAAGCCGATCGCAGCATCGTAGCAGCGGCATCTGACCAGTAGCGGCATAGTCTCGAGGGGAAGGGTCCTGAAGGGATCGGCGTTGCCCCTCCTTGCCCACGCTGTCAACCGTGTTCGGAAGGCAAAATTCGAGAAATTGGCCGCAACACAAGGCCAACCCATTTCGGGGTATATGAGAATGGAGTACTGCCGATAATGAGTCAACCCAACGAACGACGTAGTTTTGGCCTTGAGCATGAGTGGAAGAAATGTCTCAAAGCTCAGGGTGCGTGGGGGGAAGCCAAGCCAAGCCAAGTATCGAAGCTTGAGAAGGTCTTCCACGCCATGCTGAATGATCGTCCTCCAATTGTAATGGTTGCCGCGCCGTGAAGAGTCAGGTGAGAAATGTATGAGTAGCTGTGCCGTGCCCATCACTGCCGCTCATGAAAGCAGGCCATGTGTCAGTCAGTGGGTGAGCGACACACGATCTGCCTAACAGAAGCCGGCGTAGCATGCAGGGTGCCGTGCCGGAGCACCCACGGCGAGACATACATTTTTGTCTGAGGAACCCTGACATAAGACGTCCTTGAGCGACTGGTCAGATACCTTTAGTGGACGGCAAGATGTTCATGCGGAGACCACCAGCGCAGCGAGAGCGCCCATGCAAGACTGCTGCGTCACTGCGCAGCGCGTAGACATTTGCGGACGACGTGATTGATTGAAGTCAGATTTATTCGTAGCTTTCGAGCCTCCGCAATCCCCCGTTGAGCTTGGCAGTTTGTGCTGTGGATACGGAGTTGCAGGGATTCAGCGGTATAATGACACTGGCGTTGCAGGAGTGTGCCCAAAGGAAGCCGGATGATTCCAATCAAATCGCGAAGCATGTGGAGTTATGACATAAATGATGCGAACCATTCGAGCACGCGCGCTACAGGATGGGGGATATGCCACCTGCTTGGATCTCCAGACAAGACACGTTCGTTCAGCATCACGTCAACCGAATATCGCTGGTCGCTTGCATCATCATCACCCTGTGCGCGGCCTGTCTTGCCGAATTGGGGAAGCCGGGCGCTGGTACAGGGTCCACGGAATCTGGAGAGACGAAATGCCACGGCGGAATCTGAGGGCAAAGATAACAATGAGAAAAGAGCAAAGGACGCTAGACAGATTGCGGCTCGAGCACAGCTCTGCCAGGGTACTTTCGCAAGCGAGCATGCCATAAAAGGAGGAGGGGCTAGCCAGGATCGGCAAGCACATGGCGACACAAGCTGGGAGGGACCATGGCATTATCAAAAGCCGACCGTGGAGAACAGCGTCTGGGTCGATGGCCGAAACCTGTCTGATGCTGAAAAGGGTATGGCTAGCAGTGGGTGCTCCTGTCCAAACAGATCCTGCCAATGAAAACGGCTCGGGGTGCTGCTGTTCTGGCAGTGAAATTGCTGTCGGTGCCGTCCACGTTGTCGTTGTCGTCTTTCCGTACTCGTAGCCATTGTCCTTGGGGCCATGCTTTGGGTGGACGAGATCAAGGACAGAAGGGATAACGGGCGGGGTCATCTGGACGACCGAGGGGTGGTCGCAGGGGTCCCATGACACAAGCTAGGCGGGACCCCTGCGAAGCCCCTGCTGATAATAAAGTCGAGCATCGGCGAGTGGGCCAACAGCGGACGAAGGCCAATGCTGGAAGGGTCTTCCCAGCACGACGGGAGAAAAGGCCGGGCTCTGCTCATGTCCTCAAGCGCCTCACTAGCTGCCGTTGGTTCGTTTTGCAACGGGAGGCATGACGGTCCTCGCCGATGCTAATATCCGAGCCGCCGCCCATTGATGCGCAAGTCTAGGTAAACAAAGCACTTTCTTTCAACACTGTGCCATGCTGCCATGCCGCTGCTGCTGGCTTGCTCGTTTCAATGTCGACGCTTCTGAATGTCCTTGCGATGCGTGGCAGTGGACGCAACTTGTACTTTGCCTGGAGGGCAATGGAGGTCAATGTGGGCGGAGGTGCCATACAGCGAGGCGAGCAGATGTCAGCTTAGCACCGCCCAACTCTCCGCCCGTGGAGGCTGGTCACGCTGGATGGAGCAGCATGACGACCAACCCAGTCAGTCCGTGTCGTTGCGGCCGGCGAGGCTTCGACCGCCAGTTGAAGGATGAAGCATGGCCGTGACCTCGAGCCACGAGACTACTCGTCAGAAATCTGATTGTGCAACGTGAAACGTTTTTCATCACGAGGAGCCGCGGGTCTGGGTCACCACAGTGAGGGACCCCGAATGTCGAGTGCAGCAAGGATATTCCGCACATCCTTGTCAGCCAGCTTCAAGTCATGGATCTCAGACTGGGGGGCCGTTCTTTTCCCTCGCCGATTAGAGTCTTGCACCGAGCGCCTCCCTGTAAGAACCGCCGGGCCTGGTGAAGGGTCTCAATTCTCAACCCATGGGCTTGTCTCGTCGTTTCCCGGCCAGCAGCGCAATGTTGCTTACTCGCACGATGCACGTTGTTCAATTCTTCAACAAAAGGGGGCTTTCCACCATCCTCGCGTCGTTTGCGAGCTGTTAGCCGATAATGAGAAAACCGGCGTGGACGGGAGGGCCATGTGCGGTTGGCGACATGCACGTCTCATGCAGCCATCAGACAGAACAGCCACCATTATTGGCGAGCGTGTTGATCAGACGGGGCCATTGGCTCGGCGGCGAGGAGCACCAGCCAGGCCTGTCTGACGCCTGTTGGCCAATGGAGCCGCCCTCTGTGCATGCTCGTGGCCATGGCGGAAAAAAGTCGAGTCGGCCGTCATCAGGGGGAGGCACCAGTGACCACCCACCATGAGCCAGAGAGAGAGAGAGAGAGGGAGAGAAGGAGTTCGTGCGTGAGTCGTGTATCGTCGGTCGGAGGGGACACCGCCCTGGCGACTGGAGCACGAAGCTGGATGTGGGACAATGTCGGCGACTCGACGGCCTTGCTGTGGTGGTAAGCCCTGCGCGCGGTACCGCCAGAGATCGTCGCCGCCGAAACAGCCCGCACAGGATTGCCGCGCGATCACCATGGCGGGAGTGGGTGGCGGTGGTGGTGGTGGTTGTCGTGACACGCCACGCTGAGCGAAGCAGAGCAGCGCCGCAGCAGCAGCACCAGGCAATGCCATTGTCCCATGCCACTAGACTCGGATGATTGCAGGCTCTTCGTGGAGACAGAGAACGACGAGCTCGCCGTGGACAGGACGATGGGCGGGTTCTTCCCTGCCAGCGCTAGGCGGAGGCCCCACCCTGGGTGCGCCGCAGGCCACCTCCCAGGGCTTATCCTTGGTCTGCAGACAGGCAGGCGTGAGCGCTGGGTGGAGCGCCGCGGGTGGGTTGGCCCCTCCCCTTCAGGCAGTGCGTGCACCATCCTGGCTGCGCAACTGGGCGCCCCGGCCCTCTCCTCCAAGCTCTGTTATCGTCGCCTGCTATAATTCGCTCGCCCGCGCTCCTTCTCTCTCTTGCCTGCTGCCGCCGTCTTTCGCCAGCCAGCCAGCCTCTTTCTCCTCTTCTCCCGACGTCGTCACCCTCGTCGCCGCCGTTGCTGCCGCCGTTCATCACATGATAGCCCAGTCCGACTCCAGGGCCTGAGTTACAGAGTTGTCGTTCCCTACTGCCTTCACTCTCTCCGACCCTCCCTGCCCGGCTCCTTGCATTTGGCGGCACTTCGAGCACCAGTCAGCACGACATCGACGTTCAGAGCAACACGAGATATCGACGCAAGCCAGCACACCACTCCACGCGGGGTCGTTCTCTGCTTCGGACGCACATATCCTACACTACGCGAGATTCTGCAGATCCTCTCGCGCGCATATCCCTTGGTCTCGCGATTCACATTCTCGAGCGTGGGCAAGGCTTTTTGACCCTCAGGTATGTGTGCCACGCCTTGCGTCTGCCTGCCTGCCTGCCTGCCTGCCCTCCCCGTCCTCAGCGTCGCGTTCCTCTCGTCTTTACTGCTGCTCTGTTCTCTGCAAGCTGTCTGCGCGCGAAGCCTCTGTTGTTTTCTCCCTATGCTATCTGCCCATTATGATTCGTGCCTGCTTGATCTTGGTGCATTCCTTGCTTTCAGTCTTGGTGCCTCCTGTTTCAGCCACCACAGGTCCACAGTCCTGCTGCCGTTCTAGCTTCACGGCTATGAGACATCGTGGAGTCAAAGCACTTGGGGTCATCAGTCCATCTCTGTAGACACGGCTGTGTAATCTTCCCCAAAAGGTTGATGCCAGCCGAGACATGACTGGACGAGCCCCTTGGCTCCCTCTCGTTTCTGTCACATCAATGGCATCATCTGGACTTTGTGCCGTGGTCTTATCTATCATTGTCGGACCTGACGACTCCTGCTTGCACGCGCACAAACATGCTCTTCTCCTGCTTCTTCCACGACGCTGACATGTTTTGCTACCGCCAGTCAAAGATTTAACCTCGAGGCCGAGCACGCTCAACTTCCGACATACTCTTTGTGTCGACGGCGCCTGCTGGGCTGCAACTTACTCTCCTCAGCTCGCGTAGACTGGATGTATTGCGGACTCTAGCTATGGACTCTCAAGATGGCGAGGTGTTCATCAAGGTATGCAATAACTCTCATACCCTCTGGCATAAGCAGGCTCTGTTTGCTGACGACCAAAAAGACATTGGCCAGTTTCGTACGCACAAACGAGCGATCCCTCGCCAACATTCATCAGTCAAGACGACCTGGCACTGCCCGGCATGGCGCGAGCCAGAGCGTTTCGTCGATCACAGCGCCGAGGTCGCCTACTTCTCCAGCCCCTGAGCGTAGGCCTGCCACCTCTGCCTCAAACGTGACATCGTCCTTGGTGTCGGGGCTTTCATCACCTTTGGCATTTGCGGCGCAGACAACAAAGACCACACAATTGCAGCTCACTCCTCATCATCTATTTTACCTCCTGTCGCGCTTTGAGGAACTAGGTGTCAATGTTGGCCCCATGAAGGTGCGCCTCGAGAGTTTGCATGATACTTCAACGGCCACAAACTATGTGTCCTTTTTGAACCCTTCACAACGCACGAAAAGCCGGGGTTCTGATGCTGGTTCCATTCGGTCGATTTCGAGCATCCGCTCCGTGGTGTCTGGCATGAGCGCAATTTTCTCAGCCTTCGGCCTAGGCTCGACGATTTCGGCGGCACGGAACGAAAAGCAGAAGGCTGCCATCCAAGCCGACCTCAAGCAGTTGTATTCCGCATTTACAAAGCTGCCGTGTCTCAAGCTTGCGCCGGATTGGCAGGCTAAGCTTGTCCGCGGCTACGAAGAGTTCCCGTTCGATTCAGCTGTTCCTCTTTATGTGTTCAAAAACCTGCAGTATCTTGAGATCAGTGGTATCGACTACCGTCAGTTCTTCGGTTGGGACCGACTTGCCGAGCAGTTGAAGTCGCTGTCGCTGAATCGTGCCAGTATTGAGGATCCTGCAGAGATTCTCATCGATATTGTACTGGACGACATGGACAAGCGTCGCCGAAGGTCAGCCAAGATGCAGTCTACATCCCCAACATCTGCCCAGACCCAAGTGCTACAGACTCGGAGACCTCTTGTCGCAAGCCAGAGCTTTGGCGACCCCTTCCCGGCGTCATATCAGTCAATGTCTTTGCCGGGATCTCCGGAGCCACGGAGAGGGTCAGTTGGTGATATACTAGTGAGCCCTCTAATGCACGAAACAACCACCGCGACCCCGCGCATGGACCGTCGCCGGCAATCTCTGGGTCGGATTGAGCTGCACGATTCTAGGGCTGACGGAGCCCATCGTCCACGGAGTAATTCCCCTCAACGACCGAGCACATCGCGTCATACAACTGCCAATAGCAGGAACAACTACAAAGTGAAGCGTTCTGGTTCTGGTTCCTCGCAGTCCAGCATGTCTGACTCGTGGCATAATCCGAGACATAGTGCCTCGAATCTGATTGCTTCGGGTTTTGTGCCAGCGAACAAGTGGAGATTTCTGAGGCATTTGAGTCTTGCGGACAACTCCCTGACAACCGTGTCAGCTGTTAGCTTGATCCCCCTTTCCGAGACCCTTTGGTCATTCGACTTGTCCACAAATCTGTTTACGCAGATCCCTGACAGTCTTGCAACCCTGACGGCTTTGAGAGCGTTGAATCTCTCTCACTGCATGATCGACTCTCTTCACTCGCTGCTACGCAACCCCTTACCTGCCATTACCGCTCTCAACCTTCGCGCCAATCGGCTTCAGTCGATCGCCGGCGTCGAGAAGCTCTACCCTCTTGAGCGACTCGATCTTCGCGATAATCGCATCACTGACCCAACGGAGCTGGCACGTTTGACTGGTATTCCCGACCTCCGTGAGATTTGGGTGGAAGGCAATCCATTCACTCGGACTCACCGCAACTACCGCATCACAATCTTCAATCTTTTCAGGGAAACCCCGGGCTTCACTGAAGACATCATCATCGATTCGACGGGTCCTTCGTACTCGGAAAAGAAGTACCTCAAAGAGCGTGCTGCGGTGCCTGCTGCGGTGCCGGTCATGAAGCAGCCTGTGCCTGAGATCCCAGCTGTTGACGTGAGCAAGCCTGCTATTATTCAAGAGGCTGTTGCCAAGGATCAGTCGGCTCTCCGCAAGGAAAGACTTGCCCGTCCCACACCACGAGCTGTTGAGAGCGAGATCAACACAAGTTCAACTAGACGAAGACGAACTCCTAAACGGCGCATCGTGGACCTTGCCACAAATGACCATCCCACCATTACCATGGTCCCGGGCCAATCAGAGCATCTAGACAACGCCGAAGATGCCCTCGCCCCAGCTGCTGTCATCAGCTCCAGCTACGGTGCCTCGCACTCTTCACCACCTGAAGTTGCCGCAGCTGTCGAGCCGCTTGCCGCGTCGATTGCGAAACCGACGCCAAAGGCTAACGACGCCCCGCGTATCAACACGAGTGTGCTTCCAAACCTAGCACAATTGTCAAAGCCTGAACCATCGCCAGCCTGGAACGACCAGGAGCAGTGGGACATGAGCGGAGAAGTGTACAGAAGAAAGATCGAGGCTCTTCGCGGCACAGTCGGCAGCGGCTACCTAACTGTACTCAACGAGGAAGTATGGGATCCGGCCCGCGCTCCTGCGTTTGGTCAATCTCCATTTGGCGCCCGCACTGGTAGTGCGCCACCAGTCCATAGTGGTCGCACCCTGGGCTAATGTGAGCATTTGCCATACTCACATTCCCATTGCTTGTCATACTCCAACGACAAGCTATTTCAACGTTCACAATCGGGTCGTCTTCTGGCTATCCATCCACGCCCGCCACCTGCGATATACCCCTTGTTGGTAACTTTTTGCATGTTTTATTTGGGCCATTGCGGTCAATGCATTACGAAGCATAGCGTCGAGGCGTACTGTTGGGAATTTTTTGTTTTGCCATCTACGGAAGGCAATCATTGTTTTAATGTTTGGACTTACTCATCGTTCATGGTTTACTGCATGTCATTTTCTCTACATATGATACACCCCACTTCAGCATTTTACATGTTTCTTGGCATTGGGAGAAAAGGTTTCTAGAGAGGAGAGATTCGTGGCGGCCGTTTATTCCATGCGGCCATCGGGATGTCTGCACGATAGAGAGATGGAAAGTTGATGACGGATCAGTAGCCCAAATGGTCTCCTGAGACGTTTAACGCAATTCAAAAATGGGGCGTGGGTTCCGCCTTTTCCTGCCAGCTTTAAAGATTGTCCTCTTAACCACTGCTGCTGTGATGAAACGCAAAGTAACCTGCTTCATCATCCTGGAGAGACTCTCTCGAGGAAAACAAAGACTGACATGTCACCGCCTCTCCCAAATCCGCCAGCGTAGCCACTCGGGTCTTCCAGACCCGTAGCCTCACCAATCTATAGCCGTGGAATGAGGGCACGTTTGCAGTCGCGTGTTGGGCGGTCGCTTTGTAGCAGCAAGAGTCAATTGCACAACATGAGGTGTACGACCTTCCATCTCCTCCTAAATTACAGTATCTGAGCAATACTGGTTTTCTTGCACGTCGGCAATCAGCGAGAGTGTTTTTGGGTGCCAGGGAAGGTGTTCCCCGAGTGTTCAAAAGTCTTGCTTTGTATTCATGTCAATTCTTGAGAAAGCCCCTCGCCACGGTCAGGAGTATAAATCATCCTCCTTTTTCTTGATGCTTCCTCAATCTCCCGCCCTTTGCCCTCGTCTTCGTTCATCAAATCCAACGTCTATAAGTAGTGGGTGGTAGTGGTTTTGGGTGGGTAAAAAAACATAAAAGGATACATGAATTATTGGAATCTCGAGTCATGACTTGTGCGCATCGTTTGGTAATGTTTGTTATGGTCTGATGAGAGTGGTGAGATTTATTCCTTATAGTACAAGTCTGCCAGGGTCCGCCTCGAGCAGCATCTTGACCCTCTGGAGGAAGGCGTCGGCGCGCTTCTTCTCAGCCGCAGGCACCGCCAGGCTGAAGACGTTGAGGCCGCTAACTGTGACACCCGCAGTGGTCTGCTGGGAGGTGACGGGCTTGGTCTTCTTGGGTGTGGGAGCGAGGAAGTCGATAAGGTCGACCTTGGCCGCAGGCGACCGGGCCGGCTTGGGCGCGACGCCCATGAGCGATGGCGTGGGCAGGGCGGCGACCTGCGGCATGTAGTAGCCCCGCGAGGTGGTGGGGTTCACCTTGTCGAGGCCGAGGACCTGGTTGAAGAGCTCGTCGGCTGTGGGCTTGTAGTTGGATGCCAACGGCAGTTCGTCGTTGGCCATCTCGGTTGCACGGGTAATGAAGGTTGACAGCGGCAAGAACGTGCCAATGGTCTCCTCAATCCGCTTTTGTACCTCGACGACCTTGTGGAAGGATATGGGTGTGGAGACGATCAGGTCCTCGACGACGGGCGCGGATGGAGCGGCACCGCTCTTCTTGGCCGCAGGGGCTTCCTTGGGCGCGGCAATCTTGATATTGCTAAGGTCAAGATGCGAGTTGTGGTCGAACCGAGCCTTGATCTCGGCAGGACGCTTCTCGGAGATCGAGCCAAGGTAGGCGAGCACATCGCCCTTGAGAAGGCGGCCCTGAGGACCGGTGGGCGTCATTTCGCTCACGGCAGCGTCATCCAGACCGTTCTCCTTGATCAGATGGGCGACGGATGGGTAGAGAGGGTACTTCTGAGGCTCCGCCTTCTTGCCAGACTTGTTGGGCTGCCTCTTGCCGCTGGCCGCCGCGGGAGCCTGTCCGGACACTGGCGGCGCAGCAGCCTCCTCCTTCTTCGGCTCGGGCTTGGATGCCTTGGCCTCGTCGGCGGGCAGCTCGAGAGAGCTGATGTCATCGCCAGCCTCGGCGAGGACACCGATGCGCGAGCCGACCTGAATGCTCTTGGTGCCGTCACCTTGAATAATCTTCATGAGGATGCCGTCGTCCTGGGCCTCGACATCCATTGACGCCTTGTCGGTCTCGATCTCGAGTAGGACATCGCCGGCGGAGAAGGAGTCGCCCTCCTTGATCTTCCAGCTGGCAATGTTGCCTTCGGTCATTGTGGGCGAGAGGGCGGGCATTGTGAAGTTGTGAGCAGCCATGGGGGCCGCCGAGGAGCGGAAGCCTGCAACATTGCGAGTCGTCAGCAGTGGACTCGCAAAAGAGATAGCGACATTGTCATGGCAAGAGAGACATACCCCTGGAGGCATCTTGAGCCACGCGGCGGGCGACCAGGCGCACCGACATGCGCGAGGCACCTGCAAAAGACGCCATTGTTGACCTTGCTGAGAAACGTGCAGGACCCTTGTCTCTTGTGCGAAGTTGCGCCCGCCGGATCGATGATTTGATCGAGCTTGAAACCGGGTCGAGGCCGAGGGCTGGGGTCGAGCTCGCTGACTTGCGCGGGAGCCGGTGCCGTTGTCGATGTCGTCGCTGCGCTCTTTCGAAGTGGAAAGGGCGTGGTTGGCCGTGGGCGGGCAGGTCGAGTTGTTGGGGCGGTGGTGGTGCAAGCTAGCTCAACCGATAAATTCCTCGCGACACTCCAGCGCCTGAGCTGCTAGCTTGGGCGACCCCTGTGCAGCTGCCAAGGTTCTGTCTCGTTCACCTTGGGCGAAGTCGGCCCTGCACCCTGATTCCTCCGGTAGGCCCCACCTACCCACCCGCTGGCGCTTTCCTCTAGTGCTGTACCTGCCACCCATGCGCTAAGCAATTTTTCGGGCCAATCCACCCACTTTTGGCATCTTTGGTAGAGGGACAGCTCCTGACGATGCCTGCATCTGGAGCTGGAACATCGGCAGCTCGTTGACGGCCAGACACACCAAAGGCCACGCTGGCTCATGTCATAGAGGTCGAATACGACGACTAAACGGGGCAATCGCGGTGGTGTCCAGCATCATTCCCCCGCAGCAGCAACATGCCGCCTCCAAGCTCGACAACTTGCCAGGGCTTCGCCCACCCGCTCGTTCTCCTTGTCCGGAGCTCCCTTCACGCCTCGGCCACAAGCCAATGCTTCACGCAAAACGCGTGGGTGCAGTCACGAACTCTCACACGGCGATCTAGTACACGCTTTGCCTCCTCCAAGTCGAGAGGCGGGCACAATGCCACCAGAAAACCCTCGCCTGTGCCACCAACGTTGACACCAGCAATTTCGCCAACTTCGCCTTCGACTTCAACATCCACAGCTCCTAGACCTGCTTCTCGGGCACCTCCAGCAGCAGCAGCAGCAGCAGGGACAGCGACAGAATCCGCCGTAGGGCCACACGTCGGATACGCACAGCTTCTCGCACGCAAGACCTCGGCGACGACCCTCTACGAGGGCGCCGCAAAGCGGGTGTTCCTCTTCTCCAGCTATGCCGCGGGAATCACACTGTTCGGCGGCGCGACAATCAACTCCATCGTCAATGTTTTCGACCTGCCACAGGGCGTACCGGAATGGGTCGCCTTCCCCTTTGGCTTCGTGAGTGTCATGATGGCTGTGCTGGGCGCGCGGTTCGCCATGACCCCTGCCGGGGTGGTGCGCAGTATAAAAGTCCTGCCTGCCTCGTCGGCCAGCGCAGCCGTGTCTTCTGGCAAAGTGATGCCGAAGTCGATGCCGCCAACAATCACGACCACCACCGCCGCCGCCGCGCGGCCCCAGCTTGAAGTCTTGGTCCGCCGGACGACACCAATCCCAGGACTCCCTCTGCGGCGCATAGTGTGCGAGCCGCACGAAATCGTCATGAAGGCGCGCATGTACAACCGACCGTCCGCGCCCCCTTCACGAGAAGAGCAGGCCCTGGCTGCCGCGGAGGAGGCGGCTCGGAAGAAAGCCGAGCTTGAGTACGAGAAGACACACATCATGACTGCGCCGTTTCGGCACGGTTGGTGGGCCATAAAGACTTTCTTCGCGAGCATCCGCCAGGGTCTCACGGGCGAGGGATTCGCGCCGGTTGAAGTCAAAGGTGTCAAGTATAAGCTTGATATTACGGATGGGTATGCGCTCGAAGAGGGCAGGGCGCTGGACCGGATCGTGCAGATCGATGAGGACCGCACGATTGCTGTGCTCAGGGGTCTCCGGAGGTGAAATGAGACGGGCACATAGTGCCAGATGGTGACAATGAGCGAGTATGCTGTCTCCTCTGCTCATTTGAGCCTCGGCGATGTGCAAGCTGAGGCGCATTGCAGCTTGGCAAGCAACCCTCGTCCTCAAAGTGATTGTATGTCGCACAACTAGGCTCCCTTAGCGTCCAGGGACCTGGATCTTGTATTACCACTGTACCTTTGAAGCCCTCGGGGCTTACAGACACGTTCTGCTGTACAACATGACCATGTAAAACTTTCTCCATCGGGTTGGTAAAGCGGACACTGATTCGAAGTCTATACCATTATCATAAAGAACATGGTCGCGTCCTAGTCTCCAGGAATTGTGCGCCTAGCGTGATTTCGAGACACCATGTTGCTTCCAGATGACGGACTTGTGAGCCTCCTCTAGCGCACCAGATGTGACATTCGCGGACGGCCTGAACATGAGGCCGTGGGGAAGCGCCTGCGACGGTGGTTCTCATAGAACCACAAATCTTGACCGTCTTGGCACCTCCCTCTGAAGCGAGCGGAACGGCTGACGGTATCACAATCATGCCAAGGCGCACAGTTCATCGTGTCTCTGACCAGGGAACCCTTGGAGCCAGAGACTACAGCAGTGTCGTATCGTCCTGCCTCTAGAATCTGATCTGGGCTGTTAGGGGAACAGGGGTGGGAAGCATGTTAGTGTGTGAGTGTGTGTGTGTGTGGGACTTTGGTGCGACATGTCCAGGTCGGTGAGCTGGCATTCACGCAGACAGAAGATCGAGGGCCCTAACAAGACCATTCCGGGGGGGGGGGGGGGGGATCAGGCTGGGTTGACGACAGCTCGCACTGGCAACGGATCTCTGGTGTGGCGAACCCTGGCCTGGCAAGCTAAAGCCGAGCGCCGCGACTTGGGACTTTGTGTAACGTGATGAGCACTGTCCAGGGCTCTCCCTCATGATCGAAGTTGTGCCTCATCTGCATGCAAGAGACAACGTTTGCCTTTCTGGATAGTCGCTGGGTCTCCTTGGCAGTCGGCGTCGCATACGACCCCTGACATTACTAAACAGCGCAAGAAGAGGACAAACTCCGAGTTTCTGAAAGGATTACCGAAGAGGCTAGCTCAAGAGGCCCCCATATCCCGTGGATGCCTCTTTGTGTAGTCTTACTGAAGGGCTGTGAGAAGGTCCGGCTTGAAATCGCGAAAGACCACAAGTGAGACCGAGGCAATCAAATGATCAAATAGCGGTGTTTGTCGTTACACAAGACATGGTTGTCTTGTCGATGGGCGGCGGGCGTGGGCCAAGGCAGGCAAGTAGCTGGCCGCCCACGCAGCGGTGATTGCTGACTGTCGGGAAAGACCTTACTGATCTCAAAGCTGCGCCCTTTGTATTGGCTGGCCTCCTGCATATTATTATCAGCTGCAGCGACTAGAACCAACCCATCATGCCTCTGGTAAAACGAACAAAAGAAAACTTCCATGCAGCTGCGCATGTGTGGCACTGAGCACTCTGGGCGGCTGTGGTCGCAACAACGTGCGGGCCGAATTCCACGATGATCATTGACACTTCCCATAGACGCGACAGAAGTGGCACATTGGTAATTGAGAAATGCCAGGAGAGTCGGCGGGTCAAAATAGGCGGGCAGCACCGAGCCAAGCGAGCCCGAACCAGTATCTTGGCGTCCAGAATACACATGATGTAGGCTGCATCTCGTGTCCGCAGATGGGAGATATGATCGCAAGAAGAGGACTGGCCAGCTCGCAACGAGGTTCATGTTCACGTGCTGCTGGCGGGAAGGCCGGGCCGCGATGCTGCCAAGCCGTGACTGCTCACTCGCTGCATGATGGAAGCACCACGGGGGTGGCTGCCGAGCCGATCCTAGTGGCTGCTCTCGACGAGGTGCCAGCGTGGACACCGGGTTCGATCATGATCCTTGTCGGAGCGCGTTTGCGTCTCGGATGTGACAGATCAGCGTGTATGGGTAGTGCCCAGGTTGTATGCCAGTGTGTCGAGATCGAGAGGAGTAGCGAGGCTGGTATGGATGAAGCTGTGCAGGTGCTCGTGAGTGGTTGGGGGGTTTTGGAGTCGCTCCTGCCCCCTGCCGTAGTCAGTCACTCAAACGGCGGCCGCCTCCACTCTCGACGTTGTTGCCGACCGGGCCGTCATTGGCAACAATCGTCTCGGCCAACTCAATCGTCCTGCCCGTGCGGCCATCAGCACCAATCCTCCGCGCATCGCCTCCTTGCTTCCAACTGCCGCCGCTAACCAGGGTCCGCACTCTGACAAGGCTGCTGTGGTGGGCGACAGCATCTAGGCCCCTCCCGTGTTCTCTGGCTCTGGCCCTTGGGCAGCCAGACACACCACATCTCACAACGCCACAACGACCGCCCTCCTACATGTAGCCTGAACCCGGTCAGCCAGTACCGCCAAATCAGCCAGAGGCGGCAGGCTGCCGTCTGGTCGACCTCTGCTCGAGCCCGGCCACCCTCCATCAGGCTCCGGAAGCCCTGCGTGGGCTCCCAAGTGGCCATGTCCTGACCGTCCAGGCCGACTGCTGGCTGCCCGCCATGTTGCAGCAATGGAGCCACTCGCACCATCCCATAGCTGCCAGTGCTGTGGGCGGCCAGCCTACATACCCTGACTGCCAGGGCCCCCGTTTTGTTTCGGGTATACTCCAGCCCAGCCTCCATTGCTCCCGTTTGTAGAGTCTCGCTTTCTCGCATGTATACTGCTCGCACGCTGGGCAGCTCTTCCGATCATCCGCAGGACTTTTCCACAAACCAGAGCGTTCTCTCCGTTGCCCGTCAAGTGGCCGGTTCTTCTCGGTTGTGGTCGGGTCTTGTCCTTCTCCTTCAGAAGTTACCCCTGCCCGTCCTTGGTTCTTCAACACGGGCCATCTTTGCAGCTTTGCTTTGCTTTGTCTCGCCGCCGTATATCGCATGTCATTGCGTATGATGGATCCGTCACTCGTCGGCCGCAGCTGAATGTGAGACTTGTTCGCCTCCCTGCACACTGCCCGTCCGGCACCCTTCACCTCCGGGAGGCCGACCATTTGCCAGCCCCAGCATTCTCCCCAAGTTCCGGCAGGACAGGACTGGGTCTTGCTTGTCTTCTCTGGACCCCTACAGAAGCACGGGACGAGGTCTCTTCCGCTATCAGACTGCGGCCAGTCATCGTGCCGGGAAGAGTCGAGAAGAAGACCTTGTGCTACTTTCTCTCAACCAGCGCACCAGTCTCCGACCGTGGAATGCCCATCATCCTGTACTTGCCGCATCCTTGCGTCGCGACTGATCCCCGTGTCTAGAAGAGGGTGCGTGGGCATTTACGACGGCGTCGGATGAAGGCCGTATCCTACGCATGAACATGACTCGACCAAAAGTTGATCCGGATAAGAGGCAACGCACGGCACAAGCCTGCGACTCCTGCAAGAAACGAAAGCAAAAGGTAGGTTACTGATCACTTTGTGTCACCCATCCGGTCCTTCCACAAACATGTTCCTGGCCCAGCTCGCAGCCATGACGACGCTGTTCCTGGAGCAAGCTGCTTTCCCGGCATGTTCCGCCTTGCACGGCTTTTCTATGCCACAGTTGGTATTTACCAGTGCATCGGAAACGCACGGAGAAACCGGATTAAGTTCTATTGCAGGCACATGTTTTGCATATGCACTCAGTTACTGCCTGTGCTGTGTACCATGCTAACGAATTGGTGATCAGTGTAACGGGCACCTGCCGTGCAGTATGTGCTGCAAGAGACGCCTAGAATGCATATATACACCTCCAAACCAGAATCTGGAAAAGTCTCCATTGTCGGCGTGCTCTTTAACAAACTTGCGTCTCCGCGGCGGCCCCCCTCCACCAGAGAGCGCTGTTTCGATTGCGAGCCACTCTGCTGGTAACCCTGCTCAGGACATTAGCCAAAACCCGGCGCAGTCTTGGATGCCACCCGTGTGTGAGCCACTCTGGGTTCCCATCGAACCAACCCCAATGCGGTCGGAGGAGTCGAGACCAGCCAAGCGGCACTGCGTGCTGTATGAAGTACGTGACGATGAAGCAGAGGTCGACACTGAGTCTCGGGACAGCCAATCTAGTAGTGGCCTTGACACGTCAGTCTTGCTGCAGTCAAGAATGATCGAGACATCTGAAGATCAGGGCCGAGTCAGTAAGTACTTCTCTAGTCCTTGCCCCTTAGCCGACAGTAAAGCCCAAACCTCTGGAAATATCGGAATCTGAGTACCAGGGCAGCTCTTTGGGCGACTGAAAGGGACAGTGAGCTGATATTGCTAGTCTACGTTGGCGACACCGCCACTCTGGCATATCTGCAAGTAGTGCGCATGCTTTTTGCGACCTTCCTTGGAGACGACTCGGAGTTCACGAATGACCGCGCGCGTCACACCATTCTTGAGAAGAAGGTATCCTCGCTCTCTAGCACAAGGCACAGCTCCATCTTGCCCGACAGGGCCACGACGGAAGCTTTAGTAGAGTCGTTCTTCGTACATGTAAGTCTCGACTTGCAAACGCACGAGGGCGTTGTGGCTGATCTCCTCTCAAGACTGTGGGATTCGTCGACCTCTTCGACCGCGGCTCGTTCCTGGAATCAGTGGGTTATTGCTTTATAAACCCTCTGGCAGTCTCTCCAGCATTCTTGAGTCAGCTGTACCTCGTGCTCGCGATCGGACTGATATTGGCGGATAGAGATGACACCACGACTCACGGCGGGCTACTGATTGCGAAACTCCACGCGCAGAGCCATGTCTATGCAGAGTCTTTCTTCAGAAATGCCAGGGGCTTGGCAGATTTCCGCCCAGACTTTGAGAGTGCCAACACATCCACGGTCGAGATTCTACTGCTCATCGCTTTATGGAAGCTTACTTCCTGGAGAAGAGATTCGGCGCACCACTACCTGAGTATGGTTCTTTCTGGTCCGCACTTTCTAGCCTGACAACTGACAGGGTATTGTCACAAAGGTATCGCGGCACACTCGGCGTACGCGTTGGGATTGCACCAGGAAGCAAATGACGTCCTCTTCCCACTGCTGGAGCGAAGAAAACGACGCAAGCTATGGCGCAGCCTGCTAATCTTTGACAGTTTTCTCGGCGCTGCTGGACTCGGACGGCCCCTTGTCATTGTGCACGAAGATTATCCCAGCTTGAAAGCCGGCGAGTCTTCATCACAGCCACATCTCGAGTGCTCCGTGCCCTCGCCATTCGAGCACACCCACAATTTAGCGGCTCAAGCTGCGGCAAAGACGAGCCGCATCCTGGCTATGGTCCTTCGTAAGCAGTATGCTCGACAGAGGCTGTCTACCACTGCGGCTACCGGCCTTGTGAGCACGTTCGAGGACTGGAATCGCTCGCTCCCTGATCTGTTGCATTGGAGACGACTACAAGATGACAACCTCGACCGTGCCCACGGAATTGCCGTTCTTCATACAAATGTGTTCCAGCTCAATGCAATCATTCTCTTAACGCGCCCGTTCCACCTTTTCCACATGAAGTCGGTCTTGCCGGAAAGCCGCGAAGCAAAAGCGAAGCAGTTCCGTGCTCCCAGAGGCTTGCGCAACTTGTCGCGATCATGTGTCGAGGCCTCGTACCATTTATTGTACCTTGTTCATGTCGCCCACGAGCGGAAGCTCTTGACACGGTGCAGTCCGTTTGCGATGTGAGATTTCAGGGCCAGAAGGACAATTGCTGCTACACACCTTGCTGACCATCGCACAGTCACCCTACATTTACAGCCGCGCTGATTACCTTGACAAATGACTTCGCCCCACTGTATCGTGCTCCAGACTCCGAAACGTTGTTCCGCCATGTGCGCTCGGTCTTGAGCTTTTGTGCTGAGCAGGACTATCAGGCACAACGCTACTTGGAAATTGTCGACCATTTCCACAGCAGTATCAGATTGAAATTGTCTCTTCGGAAGGGCCCCCTGCTGGAGCCAGGTTCGCATTCGATCTCGACAGCCATGCACAACAAAGATTGTGACCCATTGTTCACACTCTCCCGACACGGTCAAGCAAATCACACCGTAGTCTCAGCACAGACTGCGAATCGCGTCTCGAGCCCGCCCGCCCCGCGCAATCAACTTAGGATCCACGGCAAGGGTTCTGCGACGCAACCAAGTCCAGAAGGCAACATGCCTGTCAACAGCGGCGGCACAGGCAGCACGGCCACTCTCGATGCCAATGGCACTACCGCAGAGGCTGGAACCATGGGTGATGTCAGTTTCTTCTTCACCGACCTGTATACTTCGAATGCTCAACCGATCGGGAGCGACACCATCGCGGCAGCCAGTATGTACACAACAACGGCCTACATGCATCCCCAGTGGAGTCATGAAAGGACGAGTCGCGGTGGGCCGCATCCCCAACAGCTGTAAGGCTGTCAAAGTTGCAGGAGGATATGCTCGGGCTTGTCGCGCGAGTCACCTCCTTGTGACTCAATCCAGGCTTCGAGGCAGGGAAAAGGGCATGGCATGGAGTCAGGTTGTTCCGGACAGAACGATGATGAATCAGTTCGCGAGTCGAGGGTGGTCTTTTGACGCAGGCGCTTGATTACTATGGAACTTTTCCAGAGAGGTAGCAACACAACATCATCATTTATCTCCATGATTGAGCCGGGCCTCAAGCACCTGAGAATGAGCTGAGTCCGGTATAACCCGGCCCCTTCGTGGTGTAGCATCGTCTCCAAATTACAGGTAGGGGTTCTTGGAGTTAAAAAGAAAATGACTGGTCAACTCTGACCATGCTCCAAGGCGGCCCGCTGCCGGCACAGAGCTGCACCGTCAGCGAGCCGGCGTGGATCACCCCTGCAGCTAGCCGGGTGACTTGCATGATGGGTTTCCCTGCCAAGGTGCTGACTTGCATAACGATTTGCCAGGGATCTGGCACATTACACGCCCTGAAGGAAAAAAAGCAAAAACAGAAAAGGAAAAGGAAAGAAACAAGCAGCGGGGACCTATGTGTGTGTGTGTGTGTGCATGCAAGCAATTATGGCAGGTGGACACAGGCCGGCCGCTCGGGATGAGTGTTTCTTTCCTGGGGGTCAGGGGGGAGACTTTGCGTAGGGTCAATTCAGTAAACGATGACGAGAAATGTGCAACCCTATGTGCCCGTTCGCTTCGCCGTGCTGTAAGAATTTTGTTTACTACTTTCTCACACATATGACTTATACAACAAGGCACGTTTTGCTTTGTCGGTCAGTCCGGCTTTTGGAAATCATCATCCAGACAAGGCAGACAAACGGGTTTCCCGCCCTCCCCCCGTGCGTCCCGCTCATTGTTCCACGCTTTTTTTGGGTGGTCGCAATGGGAATATGCCAGCGCCTGAACCCCACACTCACCCTCTCTCACTTCCCTTTCGTAGCCCGCTCCTGTCCCGTGGGTATTCTTCAGCGGTTTAGTGACCAAAAGCCGGGCGGGCGGGCGTGCTGCATGTGTAGAGGTGTAGGTAGAGTCGCCACGATGCGTGTCTGCGGCGCTAATACTACCGAGAACGAAAGGGGGAAGGGACTGTCAATCGGGCCATTTGTTTCTTCTCCTTCTTGTCTCATTCCCCCGATCCTTCGAGGACAGCCTTGCTCGTTTTCCCGTCCTTTGTGGACATATATATGGGCGTGTGGTTGGGTAGGTGGGCGGGCGTGTATTTTTTTCCATGTTGGAGAAGAATACCACGCGTTTTTCGCTGGCTAACACAAAACGCTGAAGGAGCGAGCCGCGTACGCGAGCATCCCAATGTTGATCACCTACGTAAGTAAAGAAAGGCTAAGACAAGGCCCGGGCCGTCGTTCCCGCTCGCCCCGCTCGCTCGATTCGGCCCATGCCCTCCCTCCACCTTTGCGGCCCCTCCCCTTTTATGTACGTTGGTTGATTTTCGTTTTTCTGCTTCTTTGCCCTTTTACCGGGTTTGGTTTTTTTGGGGCCTCTTTATCCTTTTTCTTCGGGAGTGACGTGAGTGACGTGAGTGACGGGTATCCTCGGGTCGATCCCTCCCCGGGGCGCATCTAGACGCGTTTGATTGACGCAGGGGTGGGTCATGTCACCGGCAGGCGGGTCGAAAGGGGGACAGCCTCGGCAGCCTCACGGTCTGCCTGTTTTCCTTTTTTTGGCCTTGCTGGGCTGTCCTGGGCTAGGGCCGGGTTGCCTGTTCCGACTGTATCAAACGACTTTCTTATTTTTTTGTGGTGATCTGCACCTGGGATTTGGTATGTGCGGCTGGCGTATACTGTCCGTGCCTTGTACAGAGCGGAATCCCCGGTACCGAGCGGTTGGATGCGCGTGGCCTGGGCGGACATTTGGTTGGTCAATGGATCGGGGAGGGGATTTGACGCGGGCCGGTGTGAGACAGGTATGTCTCACCCTGTCCTCATATGGATAATTAGGGTCTTTCCGGGAAGAAAAGGGGAAATGGAGAGGGGACGAGTGGTGTTGATGGAAATACAAGCTGACTCGAAGATGGAACCTTGGAGTGTTGAGCAGAGGTACAGTGGGAAACAAGATGTTTGCCGCCAATACATCTTGCAGTGAGTTCACATACAGATTGGGTTCTTGCAAAGTGGCTTTGCGGGAGATTAATAAGGGGTAAGGAACGAAGGCTGTAGACTTCAAGTGGCTGCGACCGCTTAGAAAGAGGAAGCGATAGGAACTCAAATGCCAAGACTGCTGTCATTTGTGAAGAACTATGTATAATCCGCACTGCAATGTTATAGATTGGTGGATCTAAGTCTCAACCTGTTTCTGATGAAATTCCTCCCGCGCTCTTTCCTTGGCCTCTGGAGGCGAACATGTCTATTGTGTCTGGGTGTATGTGAGAAACAGCCACTGCGTGGGCGAATGACAAATGCTGGTGCTTTCAAAGCTGCGAAAACAATGGCTGGGGATATCTGGTGTGGTGTGGATGTTACAAAGGGGTATACAACAACGATGAAACCGAAGCGAGGGGAATTCAACGAGACACGAGGATGGGTCAGTCTGATGGTCTCCAGTCTTGTGCGTGTACATGTGTGACCTTTCGCGCTTGAGGCCGTCCGGCCTGACGCCGACAATATTTGTTTGGTGGTGGTAGTGGATGCTGTCGATAAAACAAAGAGAAGAAACAAATCTGTGTGACGATCGGGTTGCGCCGAGAATGCAGCACGGGGTAAAAATTCAGTGACTCCTTCTAAATGTCCTTTTATTTGACCCCTTGTTTCCATACGAGACTGACATGAAATCGAAGTGCGGTTATGAGTACAGAGAATCGGGAGGCTGGATCTGCGTATTATCGTATAAGCCCAGCTATAGTGCAAAGGCAAAGACTTGGTGCGTGTTTGTGTGTGTGTGTGCGCGTGCGCTAGATGCCAGCGAGGGTAGCCGAAGCGATGACCAGCATGCTCAAAGCAGCATTACAATGTGTAGGGTGTCCGCGATCGACGCGCCAGGCGTACAGAGGGTTTATGTTGTAGTTACTGTCGATGACTGGGGAAAACTCTTATGGTCTCCTGTTCTCGGGTTTGGTGCGACTTTCTGACGAGCCGACGGCCCAGCCAGTCTCGTAAGCTTCCCTGCGGTAGGTGGCAGGTTGAAAGGGGGCAGACGTTGGAGGCCCGGGCTCAAAGCTCGATGGTCCAGACGAAGGGGGTGGGGTGAGGCCCGACAGCGGAGGTAGCGACGGAGGCCGGGTTATGGAAAGAGGCGTGCCGGGGTGAGAGCTCTGATAAGACGGCGAAGTCAGCGCGGGCAGGACAGGCTGGCCCACGCTGTACGGAGTCATCGTGGTTTCCGAAGAAGGTTCGGTGCGCCGTCGTCGGCTTGCCCGCTCTCCAGTCAGCGGATCGGCGGCGCCGTATGGTGCGCCCGCTGGCAGTGACGGCGATGCCAGGACAGCCAACGGACTCCTGCCCGGGATTTGCAACGCAGATCTGGACGATGCCGGACTCTGTGGGCCGTGAAATGCCATGTAGCTGATCTCTGGGGTCCTGTGAACCAGATCACGGAGCCGATCTCGATCAGCTCGTAGTCGGTCGCTCTCTGCTTGCATCTCCTGGACCCGATGCTCCAGATCCCGCACGTCCTTCTCCAGGCGCTGTATGTTGAGCACGTTCGCCTCTTCTTTTGTCTTCTTCCGCTTCCGGAAACGAGCGGACGCTCCCGCATTTCGCTGCCGCTTCTCATCGGCCTGTCTCGAGCCCGAATACGTTTCGACGGGAATAACCATACGCTCCCCGCCCACGGGATTGATGGCAAATGACAACTGGCTGTCCCCAGGGTGTGTACCAGTCAGTACTGAAGGTCGTGAAGGGCCCGGGCCACTCGTGTTCATCGCCCAGCCCTGCTCGATGCTAGGACTATACGAGGTAAAGGTCGGGCCGCCGAACGAGGGTGGCGTCGGCGTCGCTGAGAGCCCGAATCGCGTCGGCCCTTGCGGCTGGCGTGACAGTTCTGTCTGCGAACCAGCCACTGGTGGGACCATCGGCTGTGATTGTGGACGAGCCGGCGTTGCGAAACTGTCGGAGGGGGAAGGTCTACCACCTAATGGGCCCAGTGAGCCGGGTGCGCGGATATCCACACGTTGGCTGCTCTCGAACCGTCCGACTGCTGTTGCTTCATCCTGCAGACGCCGGCCGGTCGCTGACGTTGGCAGCTGGCCAAGGGTCTGACCAAGCGGCCGAATAGACGCCGAGTGACTTGTGCTCAGACTTCGAGGTGAGCGTGGTGTCAAGATTCTGCGCGAAGCTTCGGAAGACAAGCCAGAGTAGGCCCCCGCAGGAGGGCTGCGATCAGTCACGTTGCTCGTTGAGACAGATCGACCCGACATTGGCTGCCGGTGGTGATGATGGTGGTGATGGTGATGAAGTTGTGGTATCGCGCCCTCCGGGAACCCTACTGGCTGAGGAGGGGACAAACTCAATCTCGCACGGTCAGCCTGCTGAGCTTGACTGCCATGGCGCACTCCAACCGGACCGTCTTGGGAGGCGCCTGGGTCCGCACCGGCCTGAGAGGCTGCCGGGTTCAAAATGTTGAAGACAGTTGACTGTCGAGCTTGTGCGTGTCGGTCGATCTCGCTCACGGACGAGCTCAGACGAGGTCTGCTAAACTGCTCTTCGGCAGCCTCGTGTGGCCGTTCTCCACGAGGCCCATGATGCGAGGTGGGAGATGTGTCGTCGAGAGCAGCCGGTGGCGATCTGGGCACTTGCGACGAGGCGGTGTGGGTAACATGCTCCCGCTGCGACATCAGGAACCGTTCCCCTTCTTGCTTGTGGTCAATAGGACCATCACATGGACTCCCGTCACTCGCGATGGCCTCTGATGGTTGTTCCTCGCTCGCCCGTGGGTTGTCCTTCCAGCGGTCGCAGAAATCGGACCCCCGTTGACTGGTCGGCGTCAGTAGTTGACGAAGACGAGAAGCACCGAGAGATTGGTGGAATAGCGCGAAGCCCAGCGGAGAGCACGGTAGGACTGGTTCCTGGACCGCCACGGTGAAGACCTTACGTATCTCCTCGAAGAGGAGAAGATGAAGGGCAGAATGATGTACGAGACGGGGAATGAGCTGGGAAGTGTTTGAATCGCTGCGTCAGTCCTGACAAGCAGGTCGACACAATGACTGACCGTGTAGCCTTTGTCGCTTGTGCTTACAAGCGCAGAGGTGCAATAAACTTGGTTGCTAATTCGGTCGGTTGTATTCAAGTCAGCTGAGCTGACTGAGCCCAAGTCCCCGCGTATCTACCTCCAGGCTTCGGACCTGGCAACAGTCTGGTCGTGGCGAAGTCCCGGGGCGTGTACCGTTGGTGTGAGTGCTGCGCCCGTGCGAAGGTTTCGAGTGGCTCAAATTCTCCTGTCGGACTGCAGGATCGTCATCCAACTAGCTGTCGACTCTTCTTTGCTGCTCCTGCCTGCGCCGTGAGATCGGGTGCGAGTAACCTCCAAAGTCTGCTCAAAGCACAAAGTCCGGCACCTCGATGTTGCCAACCCCGAACCAATATATCCGACACTGGATGGCCTAACCAATGAAACCGTCGGCACGATTCGTGGAGTCGACGAGCACAATCCGAATGAGCAACGACGAGACCGTGGGTGAAACAGAGGCAGCTGACCGCGGGAAGTAATAGGGTGGTGGAAAAGGGAAAGATCAGGAAGTCCGTGAAATCCTGGCAGGCTCAGAACACTAAGAAGTGACTCGTGACAACGTTAACCTTCCCGCACATTGCTTCTTCAGGCACACCCGCGATCATATGTATACTTGGGCGCTTATCACAGAGGACGGGGTACCTTCCGCCAGTGGGTGCTGTGGAGAGAGCAAGCTTCTTCCCAGGCAATACATGACAGTGGAGCGTGGCAGGGGAGCTGGTTAAGTGCCAAAGAGTTTGGGGTGCAGCTCTACCGGGCCCCCCTTGCTCGCCTTCGGTCTGCACTGGGAAAGTTGGGGGTGTCATTATCACTGGTGAAGACATGGGAGTTGGTGTAATTTCGTGGAGCGCCGCTCTCGAGGTGGCTTCGATCTCCGGCGCTGGCCATCCACAGCCTCCGTGGGACCCTCCTCGGCTGTGCTGGCTGGATCCTGATTCCGTTGCTTCACAGCGAGTCCCGTGCAAGGACTGGCACAGTCACCGTGGTGGACAGACTGCTTCATTCGCTGTGCCAGCATCTGAAAGCGGCGAGTCGACGCACGTACGCCAGTAGCGTGGAGGCTCATTGACCAGGGTGCTCCCACTTTTTAACAGGCAGCGGTGACTTCCAAGGTTGCTCCTGGGCGATTATTGTTCGTCGGCCTGACAGTCTTCTTCTTGAGTTGCACCTCGGGAGGCGCAAAGTCGTAGGTCCACTATACGACCACGTCTGACTTGCCACGGCATGCCGCTGTCGAGGCACGTTCCTGGAGCCGTCTGCCTCTATTCTGTGACACACCTCGTGCACGTCAACCTATCACCGCGTCTTCCCGGCCACGCGGTGACAGAACAGCGGCTGGCGGTCTGTTGCGCCCGAGTTGTGAAGACACGGTGAGCTTGACACCGTGCTGCTAGGGTCGCTCTGGCCAGGATCACCACACCGGGTGATTCCGTCCTGAGCCAAAATGGTCATTCACCGCTCTGGATGGTGTTAACACGAGATTGTTGATTACGCAATATGGTTAGCCCCAGTTCGCCCAGCCAACCGCTAAGCGCGGGTCGTCCAGAGTGCCGGATCGCCAGACTTGTTCGAGGTTTGTGGCGTGACGAGGAGTCTGTCCGACTGCTCTCTCATGCCGTCTGCTGCCAATCATGGACTGTGCCTGCTGTGCGCTGTACTAGACGGCAAATCGCCACAGCTGCCTAGGCCAGACCGGAGAAATGTTCATGGTTCCGAGGCACACGACGAGCGGAGGCAGTAAACACCAGGTGTGTGAGCATCCAACCCCAGCCAGTGCGGGAAGTCCAGGGCAGAGAGGCGAGCGACCAAAGTTGTCCCAAGCCGTTGACAAGAGCGGACCACAGAGCAAACTTTAAGGCTGAGTTGTCTGCTTGCCGGGACAAGTGATTGGTTACGGCCCTTGACAAAGCAGTTGTTCGCTTGAATGACTGGCCACGATCAGCGCCAGAATTTCCCAAGCCCACATGACCTCTAGTGCGCTGGGCTAGCTGGGCCAGAAATATGGATGACCCGTCGAGCACTAGGAGGAGCACTAATTAGAAAAGTACTAAAAGCGGGAAGGATCCCGCGGAACTAATCAAGCAGTGGCAGGCATTCTCGTGGATCAGCCGTGTTCTGGCGCCATAGGTGCACGACATTGTACTCCGACCCTGCTTGCTCGCATTTCGAGTCTGCTGATGATCGGTCCCAATCCCCACCTGGCACAGAATATGCTGAATGATGTCGCGCATCGCTCCTAGATCCCCGCTGGCACGAATGGCGTGTCGTTCATGTGCTCGCCGGGCGCCCGACTCATAGACGATCTCGCATGTGGTCTCTTGCGCCGCGCGCCGCCGCCATGAGCGCTTGCCCTGCACGCATGCACGCCAGCTTGGGTCGGCTTCAGGCTCCGCGCGACAAGTCCTGCATGAGAATAGCAGCTTCACGAGTGGGCCTGCGCTAGGACCGTCCCTGCGAAGACGGTGCCAGAATCAGCCAGGACAGGACAGGCCGCCTGGTTGTGGACGTGGCGTAGGTACGAGTCCACGAAAACTGCTCGCACCGAGAGGCGGCCTGGCCTGGGTCGTACCTTTGGGCAGGCCAGATTGAAGCTGCGGCGCATCGATGGGTGCTGTCGACGTGTCGAGCCGGTGCATGGAAGAAGGTCAGGTAGCAATGCAGAATTGGAGGAGAGGGACACGACACGACACGGAACCTGCCAGCCAAGCCGGGTCAGGTCGTGGGCGAGAAATGCGGTGGGTGACGGGAGCGGATGGGCTAGGTTAGTTTGGAGCTTGCTGGCGGACTGGCTGTCAGGCCCCACGGCTGGACGCGGGCTAGAAGGTTAGCCTCACGGCGTGTGGTGGTGACTGGTGGTGGCCGGACAGCTGTGGGGGGCATGGCGCCGATGACGATGTCGACATTCTGGATCGACCTGGAAGGTGGGCGCTGGTGGCAGGGCGCTAGCATCAGGCACACCGGCTTCCTAAGGCCGCCAGCCAGCACGCTACTTGGGTACAGGAGGGACGTGGTAGGGCAGGCACGCCTGAGGCGTTGCTCGTGACTGCTGCAGCCCAGTCTAGTCCCGTCAAATCAATAATTTATTTGCGCCTCCCGCAGACACAACTGGAGAGTACTAAGCACGCAGGTGTCTGGTGAAGTGTGTGGGCCGCTCCTGCCTTGGTGGTGCCGTCCCGCTGGGTGCCTTTCCGCCAGCCAGCCAGCTCATGTAAGCGAGCCCGCGGAGCGCAGCGTCTAACCAAGACATTTCCTCGTCACGCTGCACTCGTCTCTGACAACAGTCTCGGGCAGCTCAGCCGTGCCTCAAGGCGCAGCACTATTTCTGCCCCAGCCGCCCCCAATGGCTCCTCCCCGTCCGTGATCCTCCTTCCGTCACCGCTACTCGGACGGGCGTGGAGATGCACTGGTACCGGCGCCCGCCCCGTCACCGCTCCGTCCATGGGCACGTCACCACCAGCCAGCACGCTCGCCAGCAACGGGCATCCATCAGCAGCAGCAACCTGCATCGCCAGGGTCGCTGCCAGGTTTGGATGGATGCGGTCAACGGACCTGCGCGAGGCGGTCAAGCAGCTCGTCCCCACGGCCTGGTTCGGCATCACCAGGGCCAGCATCCAGCAACCTCGGCACCAGCCTAACCGCATTCCACCAGAGACATACTACGTACATTGGTGGTTCTCCAGTGGGCTCCGGCGCCCCTGCTGGCGCAGGTTGCGGCATTCTTTGTCGTGCATATGCAGACCCTTACACCCACATGACGGTCCTGCATGCATGCCTGTGCAGCTCACGGCGTGGGATGTCAGCGTGTCCATGCTTGCGAGAACCATCAGATCGCCGCCAAACCGCTGCGGCCCCCCATGCGGCCGCTGGAAAGGCCTGCTGTGCCTCTTGCAGGGGTTCGCACCCGACGTCTCACCAGCCTCACCCTCACCCCCACGACACAGCATGCGCACACTCGCATCCTCGGGGACGTCAGGCACGTTCATTATTCGCTGGCAATATTCCCCTTCTCGGAGCTATAGTACCACTGGCACACTCGATCCATCGGTACTATGGCGCAACAACTCCTGATAGTCAGGAGCAGTTATAGCGTCCATGGGAGTTTCAGTTCAAAATCCCATCTCCCTCTCCTCGATCGATTGTCGAGAGCGGCTTCACATTGCCGACATCCTGCAGGCTTTTAGACTCGGCCCTCACATACCGCTCGGGTTGACTTGCGGTCAAATGCTCAGGTGTACACTAACCCGGGTCGATTCTACTTGATGGCATCCCCCCTACGAAGGTCTCGGCCTTCATACTCCTTTCACTTCCTCATCATGTTACTCATGCGGTCCCGCTCAGGGTAACGGACCCCACAGCCACCTACTGGTAGGCCACCCGGAGGTGAGCTTTGGCGTCAGAAGTCAGTGGCCAGGCGATCCAGCAGTGAAATGACATGCCTGACGTCTGTGTGAACAACGTCTCAGTTCCTTTATGGACCTTTGATGCCGTTAAAGCTTCATGCGAGCGCAATTTCCGTGTCCTCGTCGTCCAATACAAGCCATATCGTCCAATAACCACCATTGCGGGGTGCCTGAGGCATTGATGTTTCCATTGCCCTCGCCCTTAGATCTCGTGGTCAATGCTGGTCACGTCACAAGAAACGCAGGCTGCTTTCGGCGAGGCGCCCACATTGATCTGTGCGGCAAGGAGTCCGTATGTGGCGATGATGACCATCACGAAACGCATTGACTTTGCGCTCATTTCCGTTATCCATCATCGTCTTCAAGCACAAGATGCTCAGTAGTGCTCGTTGGTGACAAAGATGTCATCCAAGCGAGTGTGCTGTGCGAATCTGGCAGGTGAATCCAGTTTTGCCCTGGCCTGGGTCAACAGAGCAGTGGCGATTCCTTACAAACTCTCGACAAGGCACGCGAACCCACACACCAACATCAAGGACTGTCTTGTGCCTTGACATCTCTCGTCCTGTGGCAGCAAGCTTTACACACCCCCCAACCATGTCTTGCGTGAAAGGCATGTACTTTCCGTTCTTGGACCACTGCGTCTCTCTCTCTCTCTCTCGCAGTGGTCACTGGCGGCGTGAGATGACACTATCAAACACTGACCCCATTCATTCGTCTTATTGGAAGGAGGGACCCATACACAATCAGGTTTTCCTCGACGGGAACTTTCTCCTGAAGGTCTGTGGGCTTATTGGGTACAGTACATGACCGAAGACTTCCTCTTCTTGACCAGGTCCCCTTGACCGTGAATCCTACTACGCGTGGCACAGGCATCATCGGTGTGTACTCCGTAATACCAGTCCCGCCTTCATGCCTGTCACTGTTACAAGGCTGTACCCCGTCTCTCTCTTCTCTCTCTCTCTTCCATGTCCGTCGGTGGCCGTATTCTCATTTCGGCATCTTACCAGGGCGACGACGACGACGTGGTGGGTGTCCATGGATCTTCAAACTTGCGACATGGAAGGAAGGAAGAAGAAAGAAAAAGCTTTTTTCCAGAAACCACGCACCGCCCCTTAGCATGGCCACTGCGATGCGACGGTGCGGGCTGCGCTGGCTCCTCCTCCTCCAAAGCTAATCCGAGCTATGGTAGCATGCTGGCCTCGCTGCGACGAGAGAGAGAGAACGTGCTTGACTCGTTTCACGCATTTTGTGTTTGCAGGCATGAACACGCACGCGTGTATGTACTACAAGGTGCTTATGACACCACAGAGCTGAAACTTCACACGATGCCCTACGGGGGCCGACTGTCGAAGGGCCGTCCCTTGGTGTGCGAGTGTGTGTGTGTGTGTTCAATATACCAAACAAGCAACTGCAAAGTGCGGCAATGATTAAGCAATCTGACAGCTCTGCAGTGGATAGTCTTACAAGCAAGTCCATACGTACGCGATCTCCGCAGGGCAGTTTCATGCATGAGGATCTCATAAAGAACAACCAGCGAGTGCTATTCAACACAGCACAGTTGCCAGGCATCAAACGAGATGTTAGTAAGTGCAATAGGTAAGCACGGGGCGACATGTTGTTGCTCTCGAAAACTGACTCTCAGCATAATAAGACTTGATTCGTGTTCAAAACCGCCGGGTCACATCTCGTTTATGGTGCCCAACCCCCTTAGTCCTTTCCGCTCACCGAACCATGCTCTTCTGGTGGTAGCACTACCGTCAAGCTCGGCGTGTGGGAGGGTGCGCGCGAGCCATACAACGCCCCGTCGCCCGCCTGCACATCAAGATGCGTAGCATCACAGTAGCGACATGCCCCATTACTTGCTGAGAGCGATGGCGGCATCAAGGATGGCACCGTGCCTTCTGCCGGTGTCACGCAAGATGGGCTGGGTTGCTTGGCATATCGCATCATCTTTGGTCTGTCGCCATGGAGGGAGTGTCGGCCAAACCCTGTTGCCAGCGTTGCGTGCAGCCCTAAGTCAGAGACACTCATACTGTATCACTCAGTCCATCTCGATTTTCAACCGGCCGTCCGTCCTGAAAATGCGATCTCCATGTGGAGCAGGAGGGGGTGCAAGTTGAACGACTTGGAGCAGGGTTGATCAAAGGCCGGATCACAACGGCAAGCCCATGGGGCGCGCCACAGTGGTCTGGACTGCGTGGCTGTCATGCCACTCTGCCAGTGAGCGGGATGCAACGAACTGAGCTCCCTGGAGATGATGGGTTGGACACCTACTAATCAAGCGAGGGACTTTTCGCATGGCCATACATGGGGTGGCGATCGTGGAACCTCGAAAACGAGGTTTGTCGTGTGATTGGCGTTGCATCCTCGATGGTGCCTCCCCTGTCCAGCTCATTTCAGCCCAACCCGGTGCCCTGCCATCGATCATCTCCAGGACCAGTCAGCAAGAAACGGCCCCTACCCTGCCCGCTTCTAGGGTTGTCTCCGTCGTCTTCTATGTGCCGCACCCCCCTCGCAGATGAATTCTTCCGTACGGAGCAATTGTGGCAGCAGTTCCGTGCGCGGTGGGTACATCAAATGCGCATCTCGAACATGGCTCAGCTGCAGCTAGGGTCTTCCAGTCCATGGCCAAACCCACCTTTCTCATTACCCGGACCCATCATGATCGACCCTTGGACAGTGTTATGTGCCCGCCCACAGGAGATGATGTAACCCGTGCTGGGCTTGCTGACGTTAACCCGCTTTTGAGGCCAGGGCACACAGATCGGCCTGAAGCTTCCTCCCCCGGTCGTGGGCGAGGATTGTTGCGTGAAGATCCTGATCCCCGCGTGATCATAGGACGGAACTTTTTTTCTCATATTCCGTTTTGAGTGCCGCACCTTGCCTGCCAATACCTTTTCCGATCGCAGTGGCGTCGTCGGAGCGAGACCTCTGGCGTGGCGGGGACGACGCGTTGCGAAAAGTTCCCACAACGTCGCTTTCAGGTGGGCACGCACGCGCACGACCCGGCCTCTGCACCGAGACTCTCCTCCCCCATGCCGCAAAAACCAGAGAAAAGAGACGCGTAGGCAAGTATTGGCCTAAGGTGGCTGGTTCATGTCACTTGCTGTTCCAAAGATCTGGGCTCGGGAAGCATCACTGACGCATCTGGCGTCGCAGTCGCAATCTTGACATGAATCCTTCGAGACGGCCTCATCGGTACGTCATGCTCGTGGGCGTACGTGAGCGACAGGCAACAGTTCCTGGTCCGAGACGTGATCGCCTTTGCAGCACCCGGCCAGGGGGCGCGGCAGCCCTGCCTGCTTCATCCTGCCGTCGATTGTGAACAGAGCAGGTGCCACAACGTTTCATGCTGCAGGGTTGGGTGCCCACATTCATGCTGCTCAACCCAAAAGGGTGGTTTCCGGCTTGCCAAGATCTCTGATTCAGAAACAGCCAGGTCTTGAGACGACATAATTGGATTCTTATGGAAAAGCTGTGTGGTTTGGAAACCTCGGGGTACTACTGTCTTGCTGTTTATGGGGCCTATAAGCCATCATGGCATATGGTCTCGTCGCAGCAATGTCGCCATCTCGCCTTGCAGGATGATGCTCCAGCCTGTCCTCGGCACCCGGTCAGAACAGGAGTTACACCAGAAGGAAGGTCATGTCGTGCTAACCAGCAGGGGAGCTTTTGAGAGATTGTACGGTACGAAAGGGAAAAGGCCCAGTCTCATTTCTCGAGTTTCCCCGACCCGCGCTGTTCGCACTCGAGGCCGAGCTCAACCAGCACTGGACTGGGTGTGGCCCGGAGGAGTGAGGCCTTCTTTTGGAGTGATCCACGCCTGCCAAGATGGCGGACGGCTGGATGGGCGGAATGACATCGGCTTGGCTGTGCCGCCTCGGATGAGTTGGATGCCCGAAGCGGCTGGCAACGGGACACGGGGTGTTCGCAGTGAGCACTAGCAATCTTGATAGGGGCATGTTCCCCATCCGTTCGTGACGGGATAGAGGATGATTGGGCCGTGACGTTGGCAAGACGGCTGGGCACTGGTTTTGTTTTGCGACGACGTGATTGGCGGCGGCGCTGTGGCGAGGGGTGGTACGGAGTAGCATTGACAAACGACAGGACTTGGGATGACGACCCCTAGCTCGGATCGGACACGGACTGGGCACCCATACACAAGCACGGCCCCGTGGCATCTTGGGAGTCGAGTCTGGGGCGTCTCAAGGACGACGACGGGCGTGTGGCCAGCCCAGCTATGCAACGCTGCAAGAAAGATGCTTGAGGATGTCTGGCCCCTCGCCGTGTGGCCCGCAGGCAGCCACGTTGACACTACTTGCTGCGACGCCAGGAGATTGACGTAGCGTTCGGGCTGGAGCCACAGATTGTGATGGCTTGTCATTTGCCAGCAGCGGAGACGGCCATGGTCGATCCGGTCAGACCACCGCACGGGGTGGTAGTGACTTTTTGTCGGGTGGTTGGCACTGCGTGGCAGTGCTCAAATCCTTCTCCCGTCGTAGGGTACTGACTCGATGATGCCTAGAATAGCCAGAGCAATCTGACTTGCTGCTCAAAGGATGAGTGGCGGTGCCACGATAGGTAGCCATGCCAGGGCACGCCTCGGCCGAGCTGCAAGCCGTCGTGGTCCGCCAGCAAGACCAGGTCAGTGGCCTGTCAAGAGAAAGGGCGAGGCGAGTTGCAGTCGTGGACGGTGCGGTCAAGCGGAATTCGTGATGAACGCCGGAACGCTTTGGACAAAGTTTGATGGATTGAAGAGACAGGAGTACGCAGGTCGTCCGAGAGGGTCGAGAACGCTCAGACTGGACTGTCTACGCTACGTAGACTTCATGGCTGGAAAAGAGCACCCGAGGAAGTCACGACCGGCGGCAGTTGTCGCTCGCTTAGCAGGGAGAGCACATGTGATTTGATTGTGATTGATTGCACGGCACGCAGGCGGAAGGTGTGACGCATCCAGCTCAGTCAGCAGGGAACATTGCAGGCGTTGCAATCTGACGGGCAGGCTGCAGGTCGCATGTCGTATGTCGCATGCCGCACGTGTCGCTACTCTCCTGGCGGGTTGAGCTGCAAGAAATAGAGTAGTTGGTTTTTGGGCACGCAATCAATAAGCCAGCAGCACATCAGCGAAGGCGACCCACCCTCGATCCAACTATCGACTTGGTTGGTCGTGCTCAACCTTATTTCTGCCGACTTGGCGATGCCAGAGGCCCTGCCGGGATACGACAGACGTTGGTCGATCTGGACTCCGCGATCGTCACTGAGGTCGTGGCCACTGCAAGCACCCAAGTTGTCGTGAGCCTGGCCCCCGGATAATACACCGAAACCTTGGGGGCGAGCCGAGTTCCGTCCCGACGGCGGTGCACCCCACGGCCGTGCGGCTCCGATGTGGGGGACAGCGCATGCGGGGCCGAGCCGGTACCGCACGTATACGTGATGTAAGGGGGATTCAAAATACCATGTCCCGAACCGGCTCTTCCGTGCTCGCCAGTTCCAGATCTTCATTTTGTCAGAGCCGACAGTTTTCGACTCGGTAAGCTCAAGGACCAGGGAACCCCAGCCACAAGCCTCCAGCCATCCTAGCCGTCGTCAACCATGACGTCCTCATCATCATCCTCCATCCAGCAATGGACCATCACGGAGCCATATCTCAACCTGCACTGCGGGCTCGGTGAGGGCCCCTTCTACGAGAAGGCGAGCAACACGCTTCGTTTTGTCGACATCAAGAAGAAGCGGCTGCACACCGTCGACCTCGCCAAGGGGCCCGAGTCGGTCACCACGCTCCAGCTCGACACGTGCTGCACCGTGACGGCCGACATTGTCGGCGTCGACCCCGCGGACAAGATCCTCTTCGGCGCAAAGTACGGCATCGCCGTGCTCGACCGCAAGTCGGGGTCGTATGAGTACGTGTCCAAGTTCCAGACGGACGCGGACAACAACAGGCTGCGCAGCAACGACGGCGGTGCCGACCCCCATGGCCGGTTCTGGCTGGGCACCATGACCGACTTTGACATGGGAGAGTTCAGGCCCGAGGGTGAGTGTTGTGGATGACTTCACGTCAAGTCTAGCGCGGCACAGGGAAATAGCCCCAGTATTGACTGCAGATTCCAAAGGCTCCGTCCACCTCTTCAAGGGCCGCAACGCCCCGGTGATCAAGAAGACGCCCGTCACCATCCCCAACTCGGTAGGCTGGTCTCCGGACGGCAAGACCATGTACCTGACGCACTCGTCGTCGCTGACCGTCTTTGCCTACGACTACTCGGGCAGCGACGAGGCCATCACCAACGAGCGTGTCTTTTACACGCACGAGGGGCCCGGCGAGCCTGACGGCTTCCGCGTCGACGCCGAGGGCAACATCTGGCACGCCGTGTACGGCGAGTCGCGCGTGCTCAAGCTGTCCCCCGAGGGCAAGTTGGTCGGGCAGATCAACCTGCCCACCAAGAACATCACGTGTCCCCAGTTTGTGGGCACGGAGCTGTTCCTAACGACTGCAGGCATGGAGAAGGGCGAGGGCACGGACGCCGAGGTCGAGAACAGCGGCGGCTTGTACAAGATCGACGTTGGTGTAAAGGGGTTGGATCTGTTCGAGTTCAAGCTAGACGCGTAGACTACTGCCTGGCCGTTTATATGCTGGCTATAAGATACCACGGCGAAACGTATAGAAGCTCAGATAGAAATTGATCCTGGAGCTGCAATTTGTCGTATCCATAAATTCGTATTTTGCATGCGTGAAAAGGGAACTCTCGAATATCGCCCAACAAATACCACACTGATAGTCCAGACATTTTCAACACAAAACACACAGACAGATAAGAAAGCCAAGAGCAGCCTCGCCAACGACCAGAAAACGGTCTGGCAGTCCAGAGCCGAGCCGATGGTGGGGTTTGCGAAAGTCGCCAGATGGCGTGACCGCCCACCCACGAAACCCAACGAAGCGTCCTTCCCCTTTCGGACAAGACCAGGCGCGGCGCAATTGCTCGATCGCGAGCAGCCCTCAACATCGTTGACCAATTTGGACCACTTGCAGTCCCGAAGCCGTTCCGGATCTGGTTGACCGTCCCGGCCGGCATATTTGGGCGCTCTTGCCGCCCAGTCGCATCCGGGCGCGGCATACTCGAGAGTTCAGGAAGCCAGGCCGCCGCCACCACCACCACCAACGAACGAAGGCGGCCATCCGTCAGCTGCGGGAACCTCAACTGAATCCAGCCCCGTGCCTACCGGTATCAAACGTCCAGGGCAAAGACGGGCAATCCGCAACCCACATTGGCCGCAGAGGGGCAGCAAACAGTCAGAGACCATGGGTTCCGTGGACCGGGCCGCCGGCTCCGCAGCCTCGGCAAGCAGCAATGGCACCCTGAAGCGCCGCCGCCGGGTTGCCGTCATCGGCGCCGGGCCCTCGGGCGCCATCACTATTGACGAGCTGGTGCGGGAGCGGTGCTTCGATGTCGTCCGCGTCTTCGAGCGGCGCGAAGCCCCTGGTGGCTGCTGGGTCGACGATGCCGGACTGAGTGCAAGTAGTGACCAGAATGGTGGTAGTGGTGGCTCAGGTCCCAGCCCTTCGAGGACGACAACGGCACTGTCTTCGTCGCTGTCATCAACAGCACCCGCAAACCTGGATGCCAACATCCTCGCCGCCCTCGCGGCAGGGACCGCGGATCCTCCGGTGCAAACACCCGCCGCCGAACTGCTTCCCTCTATCAGGTCAGCAACTCTGACGCAAGACGCCACCACTCCCGATCTGCGCGAGGAATGCATGCGCCTCCGCGAGGCCCGCCGCCATCAACCGCGCTTCACCGAGTCCTCGATATACCCGTATCTCGAGACCAACGTGGACGTCGTGACGATGCAGTACAGCCAGGAGCCCATAGTCGGCCCGCCCTCGGCCCGCTCCGTCGCCCTGCACGGCGAGGACACCCCCTTCCGGCACTGGACCGAGATGCGGCGCTACGTCGAGCACCTGGTGCGCCGCAGGGGCTACGAGGAGCTCATCGAGTACAACACGACCGTCGAGAGGGCCGAGAAGGTCGGCGAGGAGGAGTGGAGGCTGACGCTCCGCAAGGAGGTGCGGCTTGGAGATGCCGTCGAGGACGAGTGGTGGGTGGAGTGGTTTGACGGTCTCGTCGTTGCAAGCGGGCATTTCAGTGTTCCGTACATCCCACATGTCGACGGCCTCGCGGATCTTGTGCGGGACAGGCCGGGGAGCGTCCTGCACAGCAAGCATTTCCGCGGCAGAGACGCTTTCAAGGACAAGGTTCGTGTTTGCAGCATTTCCCATAGTCCAAATCAGTCAAATTTCATGGAACCTCGAGTCAATACTTACAAACAACCAGCGAGTCGTCGTGGTGGGAGCCTCCGTCTCGGCAGCAGACATAGCCTTCGACCTCGTCCAGTCCGCCAAGCTGCCCGTCCACGCCGTCATGGTCGGGCGCAACCCAAACCCGTTCTTTGGCGACGGCGCCTTCTACCACCCAGGCATCGCGCAGCACCCTACCATTCTGCGCATCGAAGTCAATCCTCCCACCACAACCACCACCACCACCACCACAACTACAACAACAACAACAACGGCACAAGGCGGAGGAGGACCTCCTCCGCGGCGGCGCACAGTGCACTTCATCGACGGCACCTCCGTCAGCGACGTAGACCACATCATCTTCGGCACGGGCTACACCTGGTCCCTGCCGTTCCTCCGGGACGCGGGAGTCGAGACCCGCAACAACCGCGTGCCGGGCCTGTACCAGCACGTCGTCTACACGCGCGACCCGTCCCTGCTCTTTGTCGGCGGGGTCGGTGCGGGCCTGACCTTCAAGATCTTTGAGTGGCAGGCCGTCCTCGCCGCGCGGGTCCTCGCGGGAAAGGCGCGCCTGCCTCCTAGGGAGGAGCAGGAGCGCTGGGAGGCGCAGAGGGTCGCGGAAAAGGGCGACGGGAAGGGGTTCTGGACCATTTCGCCGCACTTTGAGGAGTACTTTGAGGCGCTGCGGAGGATGGCCAATGGTGACGACGACGGCGGCGATGGTGTGGATGATGTGGATGATGGGACTGCTGCGGAGGGAAGAAAGGGGCAGAGGTTGTCGCCAGCACCAGCACCAACAGCACCAGCGGCGAGCACAGCAACGACACCAGAAGGGCCAGCGGAGCCGGTCAACGCGGGAAAGGCAGAGGTAGTACAGTTAGGCAGGAGAATTCTCCCACCGTTCGACCGGGCGTGGCAGGACGCCTTTATGGCCGGGCACGAGCGGCGCAAGGACATGTGGAAGCGCATCATAGCGCGGGATGCGGCGACGTGGGAGACGCAACACGCCCCTTCGTCTGTCAGCGGGAGCAAGGAATAGAAATCTGCTTTGTTCCAGCCACACCTTGGTATCCTGGCGGTCGTTTGCGTGTCAGCCTTTGCAAATTACAGGTAGATTCACTCAGAGGCAGGACCAGGGTAAGGCAAAAGAGCCAGTGTCCCAACACAGATTTTTGCTCTTCCAGGACTTTCAATTGTCGCCATCGAAAGATAGGTGTGGCTCGCTGGCTGGCCAGCAGGCTGGATTTCAAGTATATACTGTCTCGATCTAAGCCTCCAATATCAAGTATCGTCTATCCGTTCACCCTTTTCTGCTCTCAAAACTCGCCTCAGCTCGTCTACTAAGACTGTCTAGGACGCCCCGACCAAATCTCAAAGCACGTAGCCTCCAGCTCCGACGCAGCTCCACGGCCGAATCCCCTTTGCCTCCTCGAGCTCGACACACCACCACAGAGCGTCCTTGGCCTTGTCAGCCTGGCTGCTCTCCTCGTACGCCCTGGCAAGCGCGAACCACGCCTCCGAATTGTTCCAGCCGGTGCCGAGGCGCGTCAAGCTCGACAACAATCCGTAAGCCCGATCGCGCGCAGCGAGACGGTCGACCAAGGGCAGAGACGTCGCCTTCCATGGGGCAGGCAGCTCATTCGTCTGTGTTGACGTCGCCGGCTTCATCTTGGATTGCGATAGCGTCTGGCTTTCCGGCCGTGTCCCACTGACAGTGCTGGTGGGCTTGAGGCCAATCGGCACATTCGGCAGCGCTGGTGCAGCACTTTGCTTCTTCGAGTGACTAGCGGCGCTGCTGTGGGCCGCATCCTCTGCTGGGAGTGTGCCAGGCTCTGCTCCTACCACCGCGACCTTAGGAACAGCCGGATCAGGCAGCAGGTTTTCACTGTAAATATCCAGCAGAATATTGGACAGGCCGAGGATGGACTGCGGGTGATTGGGAGAGCGAAGCAGGGCTTCTTCGAAATGTGCCCGTGCTTTGTATGGAAGATCTTGTACGAGAGCAAGATATCCGGCCTGGAGGCCTGTCAGTATTCGGCAAGTAGTGTAAGGGTGCAAAGTATAATAAACCTACCTCAGCGTGGACATCACTCCACAGTTCATCCGCACTCTTCTTCCCACCCCATCCGGGAAAGCTCAACCTCACGAGCCCAGATGTATCCTTGGCAATGTCCGCCTCGAGCGTGTCGACAATGCTTTTGGCCTCCTGAATCGCTTGCACAGTGTCCTTCACCATACCAGCCCGCCTATAGAAAGCAGCGATGAGCAGCCACACCCGAACGAGGATGATTTGTTGCTGGCGCTTGGCTTGGTCATCCGGAAATTGAACAACAGGCAGAGCACTTGGCGGCGAAAGCGTGTCAATGGTAATGTCGGCAGCTGGCGCGGACCGGGCCGAGATATTCGAATCGAAGCGAAGAAGCCCTCTGCCGCGGCTGAACGAAGCCTCTCTTCCAATGCTGCTCTTGCTTCCATAAGAAAAGAACTCAGGCCGGTCATTGGCCGGGATTTCAGTCGCGGGTGTAAAGTAGTCCTCACCGTCCACGACTGTCGGCTCGCGCGCAGTAGCGCTGGTACTGGCTGCACGCCGCTGAGACGTGTCGCTCTCGGGCTTCTTCAGACTGCTCCGCCGGGCAGAATCGCTGCGCCTGCCTCGCGTACTGGGCCTTTGTGAAATGCCGTTCTCGCCTTGGTCGTCGGTGACTTGAATCGTGGGCGCAGCTGTGGTGGTGCTTCGACTGGTCTGGGTTGTGAGTGGTCGCTCAGGCAAGCTGGACATGTCGCTAGGCGCGGCGCTCGCTGGCTTGCGGGAGTTGCGGTCTGACCGAGATCCAAAGATGCTTCCACGCACACTCTTGACTGTCCCAGCAGAGCTCTTGGGGACATCCAGCATGCTCTTCTGGCCCGTCGGAGGTTTCTGTGTACTGCCAAAGAGTCTCGTGTAGAGGACGAGGAGCTCCTGACAAGCATTCACGGCAACCTCTGGGCCTTCCAAGAGCTCCACAAGGGCTAGTTGTGTCATCTTCACTTCGATGATACCTTCTTTCTCGACATCGTCCATCTCGTCCACAAGACCAAGTGTCTGCGCCTTGGCTTCCAATTCGTTCAGGTGTTCACTTCGGAAGCCGCCCTGCAGGGACTGCGAGCCAAACAGGACTGTTGGGTCGTCAAACTGCTCAAAGGCGCCTTCGCAAGCCCGCGACGCCATCACAAAGTCCTGACGTGCGCTCATCAAAAGAGCCAGTAGATGCCACAAGGGTATCAAAGAACGTTCCCTCCAGTAAGTTCCAGTCTCCAGCGTCGTGTCCCCGGCCTTCTTGTTCGACATGAGCGCGGCCTTGACAATGTCGATGGCTGCGCTCAGTTGTCTCTGCTCAGCGAGCACAATGCCAAGTGTGAAGAGCGTCCTGACATCTGTGGGGTTGCCGGTCTGAGGCGAAAGGGATTTTTGAAAACTGCCGATGGACTTTGACTGCATTTCAGAGCGAACTGCGGTGTCAAAGGTGTACCGAGCCCATTGAGCTTGCGAGAGGCCGATTGCCTGCCAAGCTAGTGCGTTTGTCCAGGAGGAGATCCTGGGGTGAAGCTCGGTCCCATCAGCGGTCTCCTCGCCGAGGGTCGAAATATTCTCCTCCGTGTTGGGAAGCGGAGCGGGCAGCTTCTGCAGCATCTGCTCCAGCTGAACACCGAGATTGTACGACTTCTCCGCAGCGTCATGGAAGCCATACTTGCAGAGTGCAATGATGGCTTGGGATATCGTCTGTAGCACAGTGGCGTCGTCGTCAAGGCTTGGCTCAACATGGCCAGTCTTGTCGATCCTGGCCGTCCCTTTTGTAACGATGTCCAGGTATGAATCGAAAGCATGGAACGCCAGGTCAAACTCTGCGACTGAGAGGTGGACAGTAAACAGGGACCTGAGAATGGAGGTGGAGTGGAAGGTCTTGGTCGCAGCGCGGTACAAAATGTCCAGAATGCCACGGCTGAGTCCTTCCTTGCCGCCGGGGCCCAGGTCATGCTCGTGCCAGTCGCGGCCACCAAGAACAGCCCAGTTCGCCATTGCCGTGTTTACAAAGTGCTCCACCTCTTCTCGTTCCTCGTCTGCCCGTGGGAATGGTGTCTCCGTCAGCAAAAGACCTTCGTAGGCGGCTTCGACCTTCTTGAGCTCAATTCGTAGTTGGTTCCGAGCTGACGTGTCCTTCGTAATGGCCGTGAGGTTGCCTGGCGGATAAGGCAGATCGTTCTGCAGTATTCCAGAGAGTGCCGTGTAGTACTCGCCCCATATGCGCCGCCTCGGAATGGCACCACGGAATCCGTGGCCCCCTTTCAGGGGAGTGCCCTGTGTCGTAGATGATTCCCAGTACTTCGCCCAGCATCTCAAAGGGGTTAGAGAGTTGGGGTCTGCTAAGCTCTTCTCTCCTGCCTCTAACGTCCTTGCTTGGAGCATGCAGTATTCGGTCAGGAAGAGCTCGGCCCAAAAACTCAGCTGCTGCCGGCCCTTGTACCCATTCCAAACATCGGCGAGAGGGCCCAGAGCGCTTTCGAAGACGGTCAAGGCCTCGAGTCGCCGATCGTCCCGTGACAAGCAATTGGCTTTGAGGTACGCAGCTTTCAGCATGCATACGCGAGTCCACTCGCCCAGGGTGCTGACGTCGCCAAGCTCTGCGTCGCTGCCACTTATTGCCAGAGATAGCTGCTCGGACGCGAGCTCATACTCGCCCACCGCCCAGTACAGCCACCCCACGCACACGCGTGCTTGGTATCGTTCTTCGGGGTATTTGGATTCGTTCTCGAGTACCTCTAATAGCCTAGGGGCCAGGGTTGCGGCATCAAGCTCGGTCGGGGGGATCGCAGTCGCTGGTCTGGAGCCGGGCCGTTCCTTGAGCGAGGCTAGGATGATTTTGTGCTCGGTCTCGGCAGTTGTCGCAAGGCCTGCGAGGAGCAAAGTCAGCAACATTGCATTGTGAAAGATGGTTTGAGCTTGAGCAGACGTACATTCTCTGTCTGTGGTGTGCTTGCGCACCTTGCGCACCAGGTTTGGGATCTCGTCCCATTGAGCAGAACACCGCGCATTCTCGAGGAATTGCACGTTCAGTTCGCCCTTGGTCGGTTTCTTTTGCGGGAGTCAGTATCTCTGCACCACAGGCATTACCAGGGGGCGGGTGCAAGAGCCGGGCGACGTACTGGCATGGTGCCAGTTCAGGAGGGACCTCCAGAGGAGGCGGACCTGGAGGCACGGAGTGATGTGGATATCACGACTTGTGCTTGCTGCACATGACAATGGACGGGTGGCTCTAGAATGACGTTGTCGTCTTGGGTACGGAGGCGAGGCGCGGCAGACGATTTCACTGCAGAGGTGTAGAGGCGGCCGGGTGTGGACTAGACAAGTAACGTAGACAGTCTGGTGAGGCCGTCGACCGCTGGATCAAAATCAAGGTCATATGCGATGGCGCCCAGGATGCAGTCATTGGCGGCGGGCAGCAAAGGCGGTGCTGCTCAGGGGCGCACCAGGCCAAGCTCCACGGCCGCTGTGGGGAGCTTGTGAGCTGCCAAACGGGCGCGTGGTGGAGCCCGGCGTTGTCACAGGCTCCTCCCGGGCCTCTGACCTCATGTTCTCTGTAGACGCATTGCCCCGCTAAGCGCGTCTGTGCATGGGGAGCGGCCAGTGGGCCAGGGACACGCGGTGGAGCAAGGCTTTATCGACCTTATCTGGTTGGAACTCAGATGGCCACCAGCCAATCACAGGGTTCAATCTCCTCCGGCTCCACCAAAAAGTTCTATCCCGAGAGAGCCATCCGGAGTTCCTGCATCAAGTAATTGTGATCCAGTCGAGGCCGACATCCTGAGGCTGTCGCAGTAGCAACGGCTCAATCTCAAAAGAAGCAGCCACTATCATACCAGAGCTAGATCGGCCTGGGAGACTGAGGTCAAATTCTGCCTCCAGGACACACAGCGTCTAGTTGCGGCAACCACCAGTCATGGCTCACATCGCTCTCCCGGCGGAGCTTCGAAGCCTGTGCCGGAGACTGGCATCCTCCAAGCCTGAAGCACTTCTCGGTGTCTTGCCCGCTCTACTCGAAGACGTGCTGAGGTGTGAGGTCCCTCTCTCGAAGCCCCAGGAGGCCAAGGGTCTGGACTCGACTCCCGAGGCGTCTGCACTCGTCCACAAACTCAAGACACAGATCACAACCCTTCTTCAGGGCAGGAGTGCTGCCGGCCGTTTCCTGGGCGTCGCTCTGGCCAAAGCAGCCGTAGAGGCAGGAGGATGGGAATGTCTCCGTTCTTCAGAACCGTGGGTTCGAGCACTCCTGTCGATATTACAAGTAAGTCCTAGTTACTCTGTCACTTCCAAGCCCTTAGGTTCTGACAGACTGACCCACCATGCAGAAGAAAGACCCTGCTGTCACCAAAGAGGCTGCGCTCGTCACTCTAGTCAAGATTTACACACTCCTCCATGAGTTCCCGACCCTGATTCGCGAGATTGTGACGCCTACTCTACCCACACTGGCCACCTCGTGTTTGCAGATTCTCAAGCCACCGCCCTCGACCAAGGCACAGGCGGCCCCCTTTGGCCTCACCGAGACAATCTTCGAGACTTTTTCAACTCTCGTGCCACTGTACCCCACGACACTGCGTCAGTTCGCCGCCAAGCTCAGGCAGGATGCGCGAGCGTTCGTGGCACCAACGTGCTCGGACGAGGCATTCGTGCCTCGTTCACTAGTCACCGCGAGCCGGCGGCTCACAGTGAGACTGCACATGACCGCCGCCAAGGGCGGAGATGCTGCCGAGTGGAACAAGCAAGTTTCGCAGCTCGTCAGAGACGCCCACAGCACGGCCGACCAGGTCTTCAGAGCTATCGTGGAGACTTGGGAGTCGTCGTCTGGTTACGTACCACAGCGTCCCGACTTCGAACAGGAGCCTTCGGGTGGCAGCGACAAGCCAGATGATCTTCCTACATGGAGCGGTATACAAGCTGGCAGCGAGCGGCTGGTAGGACTGCTCGGGTACCTGGCCGAGGTCCTCAGAAGTCACACAAAATCAGCTGTGACCATCCCTATCAGCTCTATCATGGACATCACCACGAGGATATCGTCGATCGTGCCGCCGTCCGCGAACAAGGAGCGTTTCGAGTCAGCCCAGATGAACGCCGCTGTCGGCAGAGAGGAGAGGGACGAGCTCTGGAGCGCGCTCCCGGGTATCCAGATCGCCGTCATGACTCTTCTGTCCACCCTTATTAACCGCCTTGGCCGCAGCTTCGTGCCGCTAGCACAGGAGTCGCTCGAGCAAACGCTGCGGATGCTCGGCTCGTTCTACCGCATCCCCGAGGTCCGACACGCCACGTACATCCTGGCCCGCAAGCTACTCGGGCTCTGCGGGCCGACCATGGCCAAGATCTCGGTCGACGGCCTGGATCTCGTCATCAAGTGCTGCTGCCGCGACCTGCACGGCGCGAGCGGACACCTGAGGCGCACGCAGCAGCACACGACCACGCTGCAGAACGGCAACAAGACGAAATCCGCGCACCAGAACGCCGACGCCTTCCTCTCGCCAGCAGGCAAGGCCGCCGAGAGCACGGTCAGCGTGTCCCTGAGCACCGCACACATCAGGGCCGCCGAGGCGCTCCTGGCCACGCTTCACAGCAGCGTGCCGCAGCAGCACGTCCAGTCGGCCGCCCGGGGCAGGATGCTGCAGGCCGCGATCCTGGCTCGCAGCAAGGAGGCCCAGGTCGCCAGCGTGCTGCACCCCCTGCGCGACAGCAGCGGCCGGTCCCAGGTCATCCTGCCGTACCTGATGCGGCAGTTCCCCCACGACGCCGGCGTGGAGCTGCTGCGGTTCAACTTCCGACCCATGGCTACGGGCAGGCCTGGCGGCGAGTTTGGGGACTTTGGTGACGCGAACGACGACGACGCAGATGTCGACATGACCGGCGACGAGTCTGGGAAACCCGCGACTGCTTTCGGACACTCACGCCCACAGTCCACTTACATGCCCTCGTCGAACCCTGAGGCGGTCGACGAACAGCCAATGTTCGGTGTCGGGTTATCCGATCCAAGCAGGTCGGCAGCAGCAGCGACGGCAGCAGCACTAGCCACCACCGAGTCCCCGTTCCTGGCGCAAACAGCAGCGACGACGACAACAACAACATCGACAGCCGTGTCAGAGAGCTCAACCACGACGAGTGCGTTGAAACGCAAGAACGACGCGGACGAGACGTCACCGCCGAAGCGGGTGGAAGTCGAGACCACCGTCATCGCGTCGAGCGTGGTAGAAGCCGTGCCGCAGCGTCCCGCGTCGAGGGCTAGAGTGGAAGCACCTGCGCCGGCAGAGGGTGACGATGATGATGATAGTGATGATGAGAGCGTGCACTTGAATATGGAACTCGACTCTGAAGGCTCCGATGACGACGGGGAGGAATAATAATCGTCAGCTTAAGCATGCACAATCATAATAGACCACAAGGGCCCCTGCTTGAGCGTTTGAAAGATTTAATACTCTGGAATAAGTTATCCCAAACATTGATTATGGTGGAATGGAGCTGGGCTACTATGCAATGGTTTAGTCAAAGCTATGTGACATACTGCGTCAGTCTCGCAGCCATGCCCTCCGCTTCTCCTCTTTTCGGGCTTTCCGCTTCTCCTTGAATGCCTTGAGCTCGGCCTTGCTAGGCTTCTTGCCGCTGCGCTCAGCCTTCAGACTCCGCCCGTCGTGCGTGTTGGCCACTGCATCGACATCAAAGTAGGCATTCAGCTGCCGCCGCGACTTGTTCTCATCGTTGTGCCGGTTCTGCAGGTCATCCCCGCCAGCCTGCCAAGCGCCCGTGAAGCGGTTGAAGGAGCCACTGGCAGCGAACTCGCCGTCATCGCCACCATATATCCCTGATGGTACCACAGCCGCTGGTTCCTCTGGAGCAGACGGCTTCTGTGCGTACCACGCGTTTGGGTCGTAGTCACCGTGGATTGCTGGGTTGTATCCGCCTGCAGGGAGTGCGTCGGCTGACGCCGCAGGTAGAGGCGGCGCTGCCGAAGATGCTGGTTGTGTCTGGCTCTGTGGTGCCGTCGCGACGCTACTTGGAGCGAGTCTTGGGTTCTCCCACGTTGTTGCGCCGGTGAGGCGGTTGTAAAAGTAGTATGCTTGGGCTTCGTCGCTCCAATGGAAATCCCAGCCATCGTCCTCTGCAGGTGGAGGTGCCTCTGTGGGTAGTGGAGGGGCCTCGTCGGGTAACGGCGGCGCACTATCGGCGGCTGCCTCCGACTCTGCTCTGGGCGGCGAGGCTTCGCCGGACTCTAGTGATGTTGAACGTGATCGTGGAGGCGTGGCAGATGTGGGCTTGTCGGCACTTGGCGCTTGCGTGTCACTGTCATTCTCGATCGCATCTGTCTTCTGGGCGGTGGTCTCAGTGCCGGCCTCTTCTTGTGAGCCTGCAGAATCAGAGTCGACTGTGACTGCGACGGCTGGTGCGACAGATGCTGCCTCTTCTGCGTGGGGTTTCTGTGGCCCAGACATATCTGCGGTTTCACTGCGCCAGGCAGACAAAGTCGCAAGATCAGGGACACTGTGCTGGACGGCTTGCTTGGTGCAACGCGTGGCTCAGGGCTCAGGACGTCGCAGCTGAAGGCGCATTGGTAAGTATGTGACAGTGGCACGGCACAAGAGGTGACGACTGGGAGGATACATGTTGGCAGAGTGAGGACGGCTGATTCTAGGGCGGCGACAATTGGCGCGGGCGCTGGGGTTGCGGTGATTGATTTACAGAGTGTGTGTCGGCGGACGTTGTCGGGCGAGGTCCGGATGGTACAGACGCTTGACGCGGGAGTGAGGTGCGGTATGTAGCAAGGTGGAAGGGTTTGCGATGACGAGGGTTGTCAGATTGGCGATGGTTTGCACGGCCGAAGATGCTGCACGAGATGCGCGTGCGGAAGATGCGAGGCTAGGTCCACGCTGGAGGCGAGCAACGACTCCTGATTGGCTCTGTCTGGTGGTGGGTTATTCCTTTGCTGCAAACAGCTTCGGCAGTTGCCCAGGTGGCTCCTGCACCTTCCGTAGAGCTATCTGGGTGCATCTTTTGACACGAGGCATTCTGGCTGCTCGAGGTTGAAGCTGCATGTTGTGTGTCTTGACAGCACAAGACGGCGGCCTTTGCCTTGGCAGGGCGAGGGATGGTCGGCTGCTGCGACTGTTATTCTGGGCTTGGGCAGCCTGTGCTAGTTAGTCGCTGGGCCTAGTCCAGGCACCTGCAACGCCCACCGTAAAAGCCCCTGCTCGTGCGTGGCCCGCTGCGGCCGTCGTCCAACCTGAAGCACCGAGGCGCTGCTGCTACTCGAGTTCGTGGGTTCCCTCAGCTCTGACGCATGTTTCCCCGGATCCTGTGCCGGCTCCTGCAGGCGGGCATCGAGGCGGGAAACAAAGGTTGATGATGGCCTCGAGCAGCTGCCATCACGACAGACAGGCAAGACAGCCAAGTCGCCGGCACAACAGAACAACTGTTAGCTGACAGATGTAGGGACAAAGAAAGGCCATTGTCGACCAGGACGACAGGGCAAGAAGGGAGACGGCCACCATGATCAGAGACAGGGATGTGATTTTTACCCTTGGCGGCGGGCACGATTGGCCTCTGCCCCTGTCAGAGCCGGCTGGGCGGCTGTTGCTTGTTCTCGTCATGGCGACAACCATCCAAGGACAAGAGCTCGTATTACCTGCATGCATGCGCTGGTGCGCTGGGCAACAAAACCAGGCTGGTTTGTTGTCCGCAAGCACGTTTCTCTTCCACAAGGGCCTCTGTCCTCTTAATTGACGTGCTGCTCGCTCCTTTGTTCCTGCGACTCGGCGCAACTTGGCTTTGCGCATTTCAAAGTTTCCACAGACCACACAGCTCGGTGGGCCAGTGACTCGGATTGAGAACAAGACACAAGCCATCGGCTTGCAGCAAGAACTCCGCATCCGACAACAATTGCCCGAGTCATCGTCACCCGCTCGGCCGCTCACATCCGCCACTGCAAGAGCAACCTCGGATAAAAGAAACCACCACCAGCCGTGGTATTCCTGGTGCCCTGCCGTTCTAGACTGTCGGTGCTCAGGCTCGTCTCAAGCGTCTGGCTGCCTGACGACGACGACGACGACGACGACGACAACAACAACAACAACAACAACAACAACAACAACAACAACAACAACAACAACAACAACAACAACAACAACAACAACAACAACAATAAGAAACTGGTCCGAAAGCCTGTGCCACATGTGCCCAGACAGAACGGCCTGCAACAAACAGCATCCTTGAGAGGGCCAGTCAGACTTCATTTTCACGTCCTCGACTAAAACCTGACCTACCTCGTAATGGCTGTCAAACCCGTATTGCGGGCAGGCATCGCTCTCTTACACGCTTCTCTTGTGTACGCAGACGTCACTTATCACCAAGTTTCCGACGACAAGTGCAACTGCTACCTCACCAATGGCACCGACGCAAGCTACTACAGCTCACACAAGTTCTACGACTTTAGAAGCCTGTCGCAGTATGCCGGCATCCCCAGGCCCATCACAAGCGCGCAGGACAACGCCGACGCTGATGTGACGAGCGACTTCTTCAAGTCGGATGTCTTCACCAATGCATGGGAGATCCAGAACTGGAACAACAGCGCCCGCCTGAACTCGGGCGAGGTTGACGCCAGCATCCTATTCGTCAACTCGCCAAACAACATCTACATTGAGAAGAATGCGGACCCAGAGCCTGCGTCTCAGACATACATGACGATGCGCACCGCCCGCTTCAAAAACTTCCAGGCCGGTGCCGAGATCGGGTCCAAGTCCTTTGACTACCACTACCTGTCGATCCGCATGTTTGCCCGCACGGTCGGCAGCCCCGGCGCAATCACAGCCATGTTCACTTACAAGGGCGCCGAGGACATCACCGCCGTCCAGGAGTCGGATCTCGAGATCCGCACAAGAGACCCGCCTCGGTTCGTCCAGTACTCGAACCAGCCGGCGTACACACCTGGCGGTGGCGACATCCCCCAGTCTACCCGCAACGTCACCCTGCCCCGCGGCCTGACCTATCGCGACTGGGCGGTCTGGCGGCTGGACTGGACGCCGACGACCACGACGCACTTTGTCAACGGCGAGCAGGTCGCCTCCATCGCCTTCCAGAACCCGCGGGACCCGCTGCAGGTCTTCTTCAACTCATGGAGCGACGGCGGGTCCTGGTCTGGCGTGATGGACGTGGGAGAGCAGGCATTCCTGCAGATCCAGTGGATCGAGCTCGTCTTCAACGAGAGCCTCGTCAATGCGACCGAGGGCGGCAGTCCGGGCGGGAGCAACGGCAAGCAGACTCTGACTGAGCGGGCCATGGCGGGGGACATGCAGTGCGCCAATGTCTGCAGCATCGACGAGTCGCCGACCATTGGCGTGGCGGTCCTCATAAAGAGCTCGGCCGTGTCCCTGAAACACGTGTCCCTGCAGAAGACGGCCTGGGCACTTTTCAGTGCTGTGATTGCCGTTGTGATGGTTCACATTTAGGGTAATAGAAGGTTGGGCGGCGCACTAGATATGGACGATACTAAACTTGTACGAGTAATGGAAAAGATCCCGTACTTCAGAGGGTGTCTTTACGAGTGAACGATAATAATAAAACTAAATCCATTTGAAGACGGAATGATTTATCTGGCGTTGCAATTACGAGACAACCAGGTCCGAATGCCTATTGTACATGGGCACAGCCTCATTTCTTCAGTTGTTGTGTCTTCTGAGATACGGGAGGCATGATTTGTTTTACTCTCCCAGACGACAGATGTCTTAAGCGTCCCTGCCAACCCATCTCTCTATCATGCTGCAGGCGTCTTGAAATTGCTCCACCAATCCCCCCCCCCACGCGCTCTGCATGCGTCGAGTACTGTAATCACTCACATGGACACCACAAATCACCATCTTTGCGAGGACGCCGCCATCAGTCGCGAATATAAACTGTGATACGAGACAGGTTCTTCAACAACCACTAAAAGCTGGCGTGGTCTAATGGTTATGATTTCTCGTTCACATCGCATGTGAATAAGCGTGTTCTACCTTGAATTCCGAGAAGGTTCCGTGTTCGATCCACGGCGCTAGTATTCATCTTTAACTTTTGCATTTCTTTTTTTGGCCTTGCCTTCATCATTTTGGAAAATCTTGGATTCTCGCTTGCTCGATTAAAAAAGGGAGGTTGGCGATGCTTTGATCTTTGTCTCAATTTTGGTCTTCATCATTTTTGGCGGAGAAGGGTCGTCACTCTTTGCTGGTGTGGCTCGTGGTTAATTTTTACAACCGGCCATTGCTCATGGGCGAGCTCCTGTCCAAGGCTAATAATTATGGTCATTCGTTGGAAACAAATCTCGAAATACTTATTTCTCTTTCTGAAAAGTGCCCAAAATCCGCTTCACTTATGCCTGGTAGAAAAGATGAATGGATGCAAATGTTCACTTTTTATCCTGCAAAGCATCTGCAAAGCATCTGCAAAGCATCTGCAAAGCATCTGCAAAGCAGGAGAAGTAAAGTGGAAAGAAAAATATATAACTTCTTATGGAACACCATTCAAAAGTAAGACAGGAACAGGAATACGACTGGTCCATTGACTTGATTAATGGTCCGATCACTGTTGTCCTCAGCATGCTACGCTGCTCTCCAATGCAAACCGGGAGAAACTCCCCTGAGCCCGAGGAAGTGGTCCTCCTGTCCAGTTCAAAATAGCAGTAATTCCCCAGCACAATAGCAAACATGGCCGCACGTTTCCAGCGCCGGTTCACTGAGCGACGGCAGCATTTCACGAGTAGAGCTGGCTCGTTCGCGCGGCCAAGGCCCACATATTTCAAAGCATTATATCTAAATATATGCCTCATCACTTATGAATCTACAATCTTGACAAATGGGGAAGGTATCAATCCGACAACGCCCATATACGTCCCCGAGTACCAGTCCCCATTGATGTCGTGGACCTCACGGATGTCAGCGCCACGGGGAAACAAAAGCTCATCCTCCGCGTCTGGGGCGGGGTACCACGACCAGCCTGCCACAGCCCGCTTTCCTGACCCTCCGTCTGGTGGGAACGTGTCCGTCGCTGCCGCAGCCGCGTTGCTGCCGGTCAACGGCGGGGCTGTTGCGGCGACGTCGACGGTCACCAGCCGCTCGACGCGAGTCTTGCCGTTAGGGCCCATCCACCGCCACTTCTGCAAGCTCGTCGTCAAGCCATCTGGTCCGCGAGCGGGCTCAACCTTCAGGTCCCGTCCGCCTACAAGATCTCTCGTTATAACACGCCGCTGCGCACCGCGGCTCTCCTCGAAGCCAATAGCTGCCATACGATGACCTTCAAGACACCGCCTCCACCCCGAGGGACCATTCTCTTCCGATATCCGCCCCTGCCGAACTAAACGATGGTGGCAGTCCACGCAGATATCGTAGTCCCCAGGATGCGTATCTGGCACGACAGTGCTTGTGCAGGTGAAGCAGTGATGGCGGCTCTGGGTCGGAGGGATTGGATCTCGGCAGATGTCGCAGGTCGTCGTGAAGGTCAACGGCTTGAAGTTGCCAATGCTTAGAGCGTTGGGGCCCGTGAACAGGGTGGCAGATAGAGGACGCCTGGGAGACCTGGGCGGCGTGCCGGGCGGGGTTTGTGAGGTTCCAGACGAGGGCTTGACATAAGTCAGAGGTAGTAATGGGTGCGTGCAGCTGTATCCCTGATTGACACAGTTGTTGCAGAAACCCCAGTCGCCTTCGTTGCACGAGTCGCACCGCCAGTAGCACTCGTTTGACCACGTCAGGCATCGAGAACAAAACATGCCGCTTTCGAACCGCGCGGCCGGGTCCTCCGTCGTCATAGTGCGGCGGCCGTCTGCGCCACCCGGTACAGCTCTCGGCGGTCGATATCGGTTAGACGTAAGCATATGGGGAGGATCGAAATGCTCCCCACCCGCTGCCGCCTGCGCTTGCTCCCATCTCTTGAAGGCCGTATAGCCAAACCCAAACCAGTGCATGCATCCCCTTCCCGTCCTGTAGCAATCGAGACAGAGGTTCCAGTTGCCTCCTGAGCACTTGGAACAGTTGTAATGAAGCTCATATTCAATATGTGGTCTCGAGCATCGCGAACATGTGATTGTGGGTTCGTTGTAGTACTGTGAGCGGCTCCGCTGGTGGCCGGATCTCACAGGCGACTGCAGCAGGCCAAGACTGGGCAGAGGGTTCTGGGGAACAACAGAGATCTCGGCAGGGCGTTGCGTCCGGCGCGCCCGTCCATTACCATTGTCAGCCAGCTCAGCCGCTGGTGCTGGGACAGATGAACCGTCCGGAGTTGCCGAATTTGCAGCCGCGGCTTGCTGCGACCCAGAATTCTGAGCTGCTGAGGTGCGCATACTAAAGCTAGGGCCCGAGTTAGCCGTCGCTGAAGTCGCTGACGGCAGGCTGTTGCTACGATTGTCGGCGAAGAATGGACGCTGGATTATTGGGTCGGATCCACGAGACGTCGCCGTCAAATCTGTTGAAGATCTTGCTGCGGGCCTGACTTCTGGTTCCCGGGGCTGCACGGGGTCGGTCGCGCTTCGAGCACCACTCGAATTCCTCCTGCGCCGCCGCCTCTCAGAGTCGCCGTGGACTTCGAGATGCACACTCGCTAATGGTGGCCTTGCTCTGTCATCCTGCCGCGAGGAAGAGGTTCCCGGTCTCTCGTTTGCAGAGCTGGATCTCTGTCTGCTGCTCTGGCGGACTGTCTCTGTCGCGGAATGTCGCGAGGCAGCCTGACTTTGCTCAGGTCTTGAACCGCCCGTGTTTCTCCTTGGATGGTCCTGGCGGGACCGCTCCCGCTGCCGCCTGCGATACGCCTCGGTAACCTTCCGGCTGAGCTCATCGTTCTGTGAAAGATCAAGGTTGTCCAGATCAAGGCCGTCCAGCAGTCCTTCTTCCTGAATATGACGAGCAAAGTCCTCGATTTCTCGCTCCAGATCCCGCGAGTCCACGTCAGACGAGCTAATCAGGGACCTGATGGACGCCTGGTGCTCTACAGCTCTTCTCCGGGTTGTCGATGATGCGGGTGACCGTTGCTGCGACTCGCTGCGCCGACGTCGTCGCTCGTCAGAGGATCCATCCGGATGAAGCATGTTGCCTGAGTCTGTTCTGCGCCGGCGACCCTCAGGTCTGCTGCTCCTGTCCCTCCCATCCGCCGCCCTGGCATCTCTGCTTGGGTCCCGGCTGTGTCTGGTCCTCGAATCCTCCGACGCGCCCGTCTCACGTCTCCTCCGCCCTGATCGATGCTCCGACGACTCCCGAACTCCAGCGTCCTGCAGACTCAGCTCGCGTGCCTGTTCCAGCATGCGCCGCTCCATCTCCTCTGCCCGCCGCTCCTCTGGTGACTTGTCGTCTGCACGTACCTTGGGCAGGACATGGTCACCCGGCTTGTACTTGGCCCTCATCTCCTCCTTGTCCTGCTCAGACTTGGCCTTGTCCGGATTTGCAGACAGGAACATGTCTATCAGCGTCGCAAAGGTGGCGCTGTGCCTTGTGTCCCTGACCTCGGCTCGACATGATGGGCAGGTGAACACTGGTCCTCTGCGGCTTGTGCGATCCGGCAACGCTTCCGCGTTAGTCTTCTGCCAGCTGAACCAGTCCTTGACGCAGGCGCCGCAGAAGGTGTGCAGGCAGTCGAGCAGTGTCAAAGGCTGATAGAGAATCTCGGTGCAGATCTATCATGGGAGGGCGATGGTGGGGTTGTGGTTAGACAAGGGCGAGTCATTGAGCCTTTGAACCGGGTGGCATCCTGGAGCACTCACTGAGCAGGTCAACTCCTTCTCCAGATCTGAGTCCATCTCAGCCAAGCGTGTCGGCAATGCGACAAGCCAAGCGCGTGTGGGTGCGCCGTGAAGGGGCTCGGGCAGCACTCTTATGCGCGGGCTCGCCTAACACTGAAATACGTCGTCTCGTCTTTGTTGTGTGGTGGTAGTTGGTGTAATCAAGGCGGTGATTGCCGCCCGCGATCCACGGCTCGAGGTGGCACGGCGGCGGTGGGGTAGAAACCCGCTTCGGGTGCCTGCCTCAGGGCAAGGAATGGGGGAACACCCGGTCAGAATTGCTGCGTCTTGCGAAGACGGCAGAAGAGGTGCCTGAGGGCTGGTTGGGGCATCCCGGGCAGGCTTTGGCAAACCGCCCCTCTTAGATTCTCGTATTGGTGGCCGGCACGGCCAAGGCTGCGTGCAGGGTGGCGCCTTGGCCTCACAAAAGAGGGCGACCGTTCATCTGGACGATGGCGATGCTGACAGCAAGCGACATTTGTCTAGCAAATAGGTTTTAAAAACTTGCTAAGAATTCAGCCCATGCACCCCGCTAAGGCTGCAGCTAGTGCTTTTGTGAAGATGTTGCCCGCATGGCAAGTCGGCTGTCAAGAACAGCTGAGCCTATGATTATGCCGGTATTCAAGCTTGACCCCACCCGCCGAGAAACGCAGGAGTCCTGGATGCTGGCTCTTCTCACTGGCTGTTCAGCTGGGCAGTCGAGGCTGACACGAGGGCATTCTAAGCATGACTGTCAGATGCTGCTGGAATCATCACGTCCCAAAAGGATACGCATCTGCGTTCGTTCCTTACACAGCTTTTATAAGTCGTGACTAATACTCGGCCGAGGCCAAACTGCCTATCCGAGACTTGCATTTTCGTGTTTGTCTAGCCTAAAACTGACCTACTCATGAGTCCAAGTAGGCTTCTGCTTCTCCGCGAAAGCCTTCATGCCGATCTTCTGGTCCTGACTGCCGAAGATACTGTGGAAGACCCGCCTCTCATATTCGACCCCGTCCCGCAGGGCGAGATCCTGGCTCTTGTTGACGACTTCCTTGCACCCCTGCACGGCGACCTTGGAATAGCTTGCGATGGTCTCAGCCGTCTTGAGCGTCACGGTCATGAGTTCGTCATAGCTGCCAAACGCACGGGCCGCGAGGCCCCATTTCTCCGCGTCGACACCCGAGAACGACTTGCCCGTCAAAATGAGTTCCATTGCCTTGGCCTTGCCAATGGCCCGAGTCAGCCGCTGACTGCCGCCAGCTCCAGGGATCGTGCCGAGCTTGATTTCGGGCTGGCCAAAGTTGGCCTTCTCCGTGCAGTAGATGAGATCGCACATCATGGCAAGCTCACAGCCGCCACCCAGAGCGTGGCCAGAGACGGCGGCGATGATGGGCTTCTTGACGCGAGTGGTCAGGTCAGACCAAGACTCGATGAAGCTGGACGTGTATGCCTTGGAGAATGTGAGGGGCGCCATCTCCTTGATATCAGCACCGGCGGCGAATGCCTTTTCTGAGCCGGTCAAGACAATGACATTGACCTTATCAGAGGCATTGGCCTCGCTGAGAGCCTCGTTCAACTCGACAATGAGAGGCGTACAGAGGGCATTCAGGGCCTTGGGCCGGTTCAGCGTCACTGCGAGAGAAGAATGTCAGCTCCACAAGCTGCGGACCCGGACTGGGGGCGAAAGACCTACCTTGTGCGACACCGGGCTTGGGCTCCGAGGTCTGAATGTGCTCAAAGGTCTTGGACGAAAAAGGCCGGACCACACGGGGCAATGTGGAAGGCTGGAAGCGGGAGGCGACCGGCCTCATCGTGCGCAGGACGTTCATGATTTCGAGAGAGTGCCGGTCGGTCGGTCGGTTGGTTGAGGAAAGGTGGCTGCGATACAGGTGCAGTTGTCGCTGTGCAGTCTACGACCTATGGCTGTGCAAAGGGAGTCTGTGTTGTGCAATCAAGGTGAATGATGAAACAGAGAGGTGCTGGAGCTGTCCGAATGCCTCTTCGCCTGCAGCAACCGTGTCTGGCCGAGGGTAACGACTTCCCCAACGGCACTAAAGAATTGGAGCTCTTGCGTCACAAGCATCCGGCCGGGCCTGGGGAAGCTGTGCTCGTGCGGGGCCGCCCTTGTCCCGCACTCATTTGTGTACTGTAGCGCTCCAGGAAGTACCACGTAACTGTATTTTCCAATGGGTGCAGGGTGCTCAGTGGGTACCTGAGGCCCGCCCCGCTCCAACCAGCTCCCAGCCGGATCTGTCCGCCCAGCCACACTGCATAAATCGCAGTCGTGCATAAAATCCCTCCGTTATGTCCCAGCGGCGTAACGGTCTATCAAAGTAACGTCTGAGCAGGTAACGGAAGGCCAACTCGAACTGTTCAATGGCTGATGACAAATCCCTGCTGACGCTTGCACACATCATAATGTCGCCCTTCTCAGATCTTGTTCCGACGGTAAACTCATGAATGCCCGCTTTTCCTGTGCACCTTCTGTGCGGGCATGAATTGTTCGGATGTTTGCTGAACACGATTAGCTCTGCTGCCCCAAGAGAGGCCGATGAGAACGCTTAAGAAATTTGGTAATGTCGAGCCAAGCCGAAGAAAGGCAGAGGGGGTTAGCGTGCACAAGTTGGAGTCGACAACTCACAGTACTAGACTGAAGCGGCCAACGCTCAGTCAGAAGTCAGCGGTGAGATTGACAAGGAGGAGGGCCACTTCTCAGAAGTAAAACAATGTAGAAGAACTCCTCGTGCCGTACGAGAGCTGAGAGCGTTCCGGTAGCATGCTCGGCTTTCACTCCCTCGCGCAGCTTCGGCAGAGCAGCGTATCAAACCGCCGGCACGAAAATCGGAGTGCCATTGCGCTGAACCTGCGCGAAATCACTTGATCACTCGCACGAATGATGGCTCGAATTCTTATGCATGGAAGTAGGAAAATGAAGTTGCAAGCAAGTTTGCTGAGCGCAGTCTACACAATATCGGCTGGCTTACAGATTCATGGTCTTGTCAGCCTGTAGGTGGTAACAGGCCCTCATTTATATGTTTCTAGGTCTGCTTGAGGAGCTGTGAACAGGGATCTACCTGCTGCGCTTGCTGTCATTGCCTTTGGACTCTTTGCTCTTGCGCTCCTTGCCCTTGCTAGCCTTACCCTTGCTCTCCTTGCCCGTGCCCTTCATGCTTTTGCAGAAGTTTAGAAGGTGCTAGCTCGCAGAAATCACGATTCGTGTAAGTCGAGGGACTAGAGTCGAGGGTATGACGCTGGAGTAGTTGTCGTCATCGTACTCAATTTCGCTATCGTTAGAGTCAGAGTCAGAGTCATCGTCCTCGTCGTCAACGTCGCCCGGGGGGCCGGGGGGGGGGGGGTTCCGGCAACCTACACTAGTGCGTTATTTCCTGTTCAACCTAACAACTGATCACTACCACACTAGATACATACAAAAAGAGAAAACGAGGCATAACAAGGCAGTCAAAAGATGCGACTACGGCTCAAACACGAGGCGTTGGCGATGCACCTGCGATACGAGATAATAGTGTAGGGACAGTCTAGGCACAGGAGCTTGGCCTGAGGAGGTACCCAATACTACAAAGTGAGAAGAAGTACGACCTAGTAAGCTACCTGTAATCTATGCAAATTCTCGCACTAAAATGCCCATTGCAGCACGCGGCCAGACGCACATCCAATAGCTACCCTCCTCTTACCTACGGCTGATACAATAGGACGATACTCTGGTGGTAGCCAGAGCCATTTTTCATCGTCAAAAAGAATCCAAGTGCGATCTGCGCTTAGACCATAGCCACGACGCTGCCTATTCAAAGATGAATGCGAAAAGGGCGTGGATAGGATCGAAGAGGCTTGTTCGAATGCCGTAGGTAAAAGCGTAAACGTGCTAAGATCAGTGTGGAGGCAGTCCCCTTGTTTGTTAAACTCGATATGAGATACTTTCATCCCCGTGTTGAGCGTCTGGAGGCATTGACCTGTCGTGGCATCCCACACCCTGATGGTCTTATAGTCCGAAGACGCGAGCCGGCAGCCGTCGTGTGAGAACACGACCGACTTGACCCAACTAGTATGCCCCTTGAGTGTCTGAAGGCATCGGCCCGTCGTGGTATCCCATACCTTGACGGTCTTGTCGTACGACGACGACGCGAGCCGGCAGCCGTCGTGCGAGAACACGACCGATATGACCCAACTAGTATGGCCCTCAAGCGTCTGGAGGCATTCATTCCACTGGTCTTCCATGTCCGGCTTCATTTTGATCCAAGTCGGTTCTTCGTGTCGAAAAGTCATCCGAACGCGGCTGCGCGCAGGGCTAAACACTAATGTAGACGTATAGACCTGTAGCGGATAATTCTCAATCACCCATCGATAATACATAGTAAAGCGGTGTGCATCCTGAAGAAAGCCATATAGACTATTATCCTCTATGTTGATCATCGGGATCGGGGTAGACTGTCCTGTGTTTCGAAGCTCGAGTGGTCGATGCGCTAGTAACTCACTGGCAAGTCTGCTCAAGGACACAATAGCGCCAGGCAGTTGTTTCACAAGACTCAGACCCTCGAGCTAATGGAGAAAGTGGATCTGAAGGAATGTAGCGACTGAGTTCATTATGTCGTCGTCCTGCAATCCAGCGTTCGGCTCGAGGAGGTGGCGTATCCAGTAGGTGCATGCGTACCGAACATCGAAGAGTGGATCCGGAGAAGGTATAATGACGTCCTCAATTGCAGCACCGGGCTGACGAAGGTTACATATGTCTCGCTGCAGCGTCGTGGACAAGTACTGGAGCGACCTGGATACTATTGCGTGGTGCGCGCTTCCTACTCCCAAAGGAAATAGAGAAAGCGAGGCGTCCGCGGACAAGAAATCCTTCGCGGACTGGTGGACAATGTATACGTGCTCCTCTCGGACTGTGAGGAAAGATCCACACATGGCCACTGCCTGTCTGCAATCGTCTGTGCTACATCTTTCGAGCAGCTTAGATAGAACACGCAGCTCTCTGAGATGAAGTGGGCGATATGCTGTTACAACGACAGCGAGCATTTCCAGGCAGCGACCCGAACCTCGTGGTCGCCGCTGAATATGGTCCATCATCCTGCGGTAAACGCTTACCAAATCTGACGGTGTCTCATCAATGACCTCTAACATATCCAGGCTCATTGTGTCGCGGAGCTCCGAGATGACAAGGGAAACCCAGAGAAATGTTCCATCAGCCTTCTGGCGCAGCTTGTCTCTAACTTGGCCTTCAAGCGCAGAGTCCGAAATCACAAGCAGTTGGGAGACACAATAGTCAATGTATGCGTCGACCGCGTGTGCAACCTGCTCTGCGTTCTCTCTCAGCTCAAGGCTGAGCCGAGCACCCGAAGAATTCAGACGCAGCCCGCGCTCGATGTCGATAATGTTGCGGCTCGATACGAGCCACTTGGCCCGCGACTTCCCTACAGTTCGAGAGATGAACCCCAGCAGACTCGATAAGTCCTTCGTACATTCATCGAGGGCATCGATGACTATGAAGACCGGCGGAACCGCAGGGTCCCGTAAGATGTCCATTAAAATCTCGGACAACGCAATCCAGGCGTTCGCATCCTCGAACAAAGCTCGGCCAGCGTGGTCGTACTGTTTCCGCAGGTATCCGATCAGCGATGGCTGCTGGCCAACGAGCATGTAGATAAGCCCCCGGAGCACAGCTGTCGCGCTGTTGATACGCGCGTCAGTGTCCTGGCAGAAGAAATAGGACAGGCTCCTGCCGGTGACTGGCATCAGCTCGTCGATGATGCCGCAGAGGAGCATGCTTTTGCCTTTGCCAGGGTCACCCATGATCTGGAGCAGACGTGTCTCTGGATCGTCGCGCCATTGTCTAAACTTGGCGTTGTCCAGAATCCAGCGGTATGAGGCTGAGAGGAGACCACCTTTTGTTTGCTCGATTCGTATCTTATCATGGCGTGGGTCGGTGGCTCGAAGGTCCCTCAGGCACGCAGCGTCTTCCCCGGGGCCGTTGCTTCCTGTATTTACGTTATTAACGATTAAGGTGAAGGAATAGGGCTAACAAACCCATGTACAAGTCGCCCGTCACAGCGATGTTGTCGCGGCCGATTGCGATACTTCCGGAGCCGCCATTCTGGATTGTCTGGCTATGGATATGTGTTGGAGCTTCTGGAACGCTGGTGTGGTGAATTGCGGTGCTAAACGCAGGCTGTCCCCGAGGAAAGGATCGCGGAGCGGTGGAAGTGGATCCACTGAGTCTACGCTTTCTGGAGAGACTGTCCATGGTATGCTTGTAATGTAGTCAAAACAGGAAAGAGTTATTTTCGCGAAACGCGCTAGATGGCGACTCCGGCCTTACAACTGTATCGGACACGTGCCCCTGCGCCCATTCAGCCTTGCGGGGCTCTGTGTGCCAAAGCGACATGGGCTGTAAGCACAGGTACACCAGCCAATGCTGCTGCTGTGGAGCTGCCTCGACACAAGACCGCCTCCCTCATCCGTGCTGCACCAATGTATGGAACAGGATCTACGGATCTAAATACGTATATATGGCCGTTCCTTGAGGCGGGCTTGACGAGACAAGTAAAATGTATCTATCTCGTATAGCCTTCCTGATACAGTCTACAAAGTGAATTCATGTTATGGCCAAGACATCCGTAGGACCGTGCGAGTCTCCGAATGGCCAGGGCGTCTTAGAGACTAAGACTTTCTGTCGCTTGGAAAGACCTATGGGACTCACGATGGCTAACAGCACCGAGACTGGCGGCGTGTTGCTCTCTGTAATCCCCGCTAAGCAATGCCCTATTACGATGCACCCTGGCCGCTTAGCTTCGTGGCTAGTACGAACCAAGCGAGGCCCAAACAAGATTGATATCGGCTCGGCCCGCTGGCAGATCTCGACCAAGCATTAAAGCGGGACTGGTGGCATCCGTGCCGATGGTCCTCGTTCCTCTTTAAAAGTAAGGCCCTGCTAGTGGTTATGGGCCACAGGCCGCTAGCCGCCAAATATGGAAGATACTGTAGCAATTGGCAGCGACTCGCCAGCGGCGACCCCGCCTTGAATCCCTAAGTGTCCGAGCAAGCCATTCACCATTTCTGCGATATCAAACTTCACGTCTTCGGCACAGTAGACGCCATGGACCTAGAACCCACGCGCCCGATGGCGCATGGAGAATACACCGTCGCGATAATTTGCGCCATCGGTTTCGAGATGAGCGCAATCCGCTACCTCCTCGACCGCGAGCATCCCCGCTTGCGCACCCAACCGGGCGACACGAACATGTACGTCCTCGGCGAGCTTGCCGGCCACAACGCCGTCCTCGCATGCCTGCCAGGCAACCAGGGAAAGAGTGCGACTGCCGTCGTCGCCACCAACCTGGCACGCAGCTTCCCTTCCATCGAGTGGCGTCTGCTCGTCGGCATCGGAGCCGGGGTGCCTAGCCACAAGCACGACATCCGTCTCGGCGACGTGGTCATCAGTATGCCCGAGGGCCAGTACGGCGGCGTGGTACAGTACGACCTCGGCAAAGACACCGAGGACGACTTTCGGCTCAAGGGCTTTCTCCTTCCTCCGCCCTCGCGCCTGCGAAGCGCCGTCGAGATGATGAAGTCCGACCACCTAATGGCGGAGAACAAGGTCGACGAGTTTCTGTCCCACATGCTGCAGAAGTCGCCGCGCCTGTCCATTTACGCACGCCCACCGCCTCAGCTGGACATCCTTTTCGAGCCCGACTATCCTCATCCGTCTGATCAGGCAACTTGCGGGCGATGCGACCGGGCTAGGGCCGTCCCCCGCAAAGCCCGTGCCACCAGCTCTCCCGAGATCTACTACGGCCTGATCGCCTCTGGCGACCGCGTGGTCAAAGCTGCCCACAAACGCGACGCAGCCGTCAATAGCGTTGGCGACATACTCTGTTTCGAGATGGAGGCGGCCGGTATAGCTACTGAGTATTCGTGCATCGTGCTCCGCGGTATTTCCGACTATGGAGACTCCCACAAGAACAACGACTGGCAGCACTACGCAGCGGCTGCGGCCGCCGGATCTGCGAAGGAGTTGCTTTCGTATATTGACCCCGAGGAACCTGCCCCATCGCCACTACCGCCATCAAGCACAGTCCCGGTTAGAGGAGCGCGGGACACTCCACACGTCGATGGACAGAGAATACAGAACTCGGGTTCTGGCAATATTTCATTTGGGCGTGATAACGTCGCAGTCGGTGGAGACATGCATATAAGTAGGCACTAAGGTGCGAAATTGTGCACGAATCTGAGTAGCTAAGAATCCTAATAGTAAACACCATAGTATCTAGCAGTCGTGATCCGACACGTAAGTAGTCGCGTTAAGTCCTTCATGCATCTAGCTCGACTAACTCGACACAGAAGACCTGTTGACAGACTTCATGTCCGACCTTTGCGAGAGCGACCCCAGCGCTGACATGACTCGCATCGAAGACGACAAGGGCGGCTTGCTGCACAATTGCTTTGACTGGATCCTCGAGAACGATCAATTGAAGCATTGGCAACAATCCAAAGACGCTCGACTCCTCTGGATCAGGGGAGAAGCAGGCAAGGGCAAGACAATGCTCATGATCGGCCTCGTCAATCAATTGGCCCGGTCAAGGTCCCCAACCTCTGGGTTCGCCTTCTTCTTTTGCCAAAATGCAGACCCGCGCCTCAATAATGCCATTTCCGTGCTGCGGGGGCTTGTCTGGATGCTATTGCGCGCACACCCGAGCCTGGCTCAGTACATCCCAAAAGAATACCGGGACAAGAAGGACAAGCGTGCAGCTATGTTTGAGAATCCGAACCAGACTTTGTTCTCGACCCTGAAGATCATGCTCACCTCTATCCTCATTGATGCCTGCTTCGACCGGCTTTACATACTTGTGGACGCTCTCGATGAGTGTAGTCAGGATTCGGACAAGCTAGTCGACTTGATAAGGCAAGACACCACGAATCCTCATTCAAGAGCGAAGTGGCTCGTCTCAGGTCGCTACACGGTACGACTCAACAGAGAACTGAAGCCAAGCCAGCACAGGAACTTACTTTCCTTGGAGCTCAATGAAAACCATATCTCGGAAGCTGTGGCTAGCTTCATCAAGCAGAAGGTCGACGACCTAGTCACTACCGACAACAGAAAGCTACGGAAGCAGGTCCGAGACCGGATGATGGAGAAGGCCGAATCCACCTTTCTTTGGGCTGCGTTAGTGTGCAAGCATCTCAAAGGACTCGCACAGTTGCAGATTTTAGAGGAGCTCGACAAGTTCCCACCTGGATTGGCACCGCTTTACGAAAGGATGATGCAGCTAATTGAAGAGCGCGGCCTAGACCTTAGCACTAGATGTAAACACGTCCTTCGCGCAGTTTCCATCACCTACCGGCCCCTCACCCTCCACGAGCTTGCTCCGGTAGCGGATCTCTGGCTACCACTGGATCACCTTCGCGAGCTCGTCGACCTCTGTGCCTCATTTGTTACGATTCGCAAGGATACCATTCGGTTTATCCACCAGTCCGCCAAGGACTACCTGGACATCTTGCATACGATCTTCCCTCGGACACGGGAGGAAGAACATCGCCAAGTCGTAACGCGCTGTCTAAAGGCTATGTCCGACACTCTGAAGAGAGACGTATATGGCCTGGATCGACCCGGCTTTGCAGTCTCAGACGTCGTTATACCTTCTCCGGATCCACTCTTCGCTGTTCGGTACGCATGCACCTACTGGACACGCCACCTCCTCGAGCCGAACGCTGGATTGCAGGACGGCGACATAATGAACTCAGTCGCTATATTCCTTCAGATCCACTTTCTCCATTGGCTCGAGGGTCTGAGTCTTGTGAAACAACTGCCTGGCGCTGTTGTGTCCTTGAGCAGACTAGCTAGTGAGGTACTAGGTCATCTACCAATCGAGCGTCGAAACACAGGACACTCTGCCCCGATCCCGATAATCAACATGGAGGATAATAGTCTATACGGCTTTCTTCAGGATGCACACCGCTTTACTATGTATTATCGATGGGTGATTGAGAATTATCCGCTACAGGTCTATGCGTCTGCATTAGTGTTTAGCCCTGCGCGCAGCCGCGTTCGGATGACTTTTCGACACGAAGAACCGACTTGGATCAAAATGAAGCCGGCCATGAAAGATCAGTGGAATGAATGCCTCCAGACGCTGGAGGGCCATAGCGATCCGGTCAACTCGGTCGTGTTCTCGCACGACGGCTGCCGGCTCGCGTCGGCGTCGGACGACGAGAACGTCAAGGTGTGGGATGCCACGACGGGCCAATGCCTCCAGACGCTTGAGGGGCATAACAGTTGGGTCAAGTCGGTCGTGTTCTCGCACGACGGCTGCCGGCTCGTGTCGGCGTCGGGCGACAAGACCGTCAAGATGTGGGATGCTACGACGGGCCAATGCCTCCGGACGCTGGAGGGTCATAGCGATGCGGTCAACTCGGTCGTGTTCTCGCACGACGGCTTCCGGCTCGCGTCGGCGTCGAGGGACGAGAACGTCAAGGTGTGGGATGCCACGACGGGCCAATGCCTTCAGACACTCAAGGGGCATAGCGATGAGGTCAACTCGGTCGTGTTCACGCACGACGGCTGCCGGCTAGCGTCGGCGTCGGACGACAAGACCGTCAAGGTGTGGGATACTCCGACGGGCCAATGCCTCCAGACGCTTGAGGGCCATACTAGTTGGGTCAAGTCGGTCGTGTTCTCGCACGACGGCTGCCGGCTCGCGTCCGCGTCGGGCGACAAGACCGTCAAGGTGTGGGATACTCCGACGGGCCAATGCCTCCAGACGCTTGAGGGCCATACTAGTTGGGTCAAGTCGGTCGTGTTCTCGCACGACGGCTGCCGGCTCGCGTCCGCGTCGGGCGACAAGACCGTCAAGGTGTGGGATGCCACGACGGGCCAATGCCTTCAGACGCTCGATATGGGGATGGAAGTGTCTCATATCGAGTTCAACAAACAAGGGGACTGCCTCCACACTGATCTTGGCACATTTACGCTTTTACCTACGGCATCAGAACAAGCCTCTTCGATCTTATCCACGCCCTTTTCGCATTCGTCTTTAAACGGGCAGCGTCGTGGCTATGGTCTAAGCGCAGATCGCACTTGGATTCTTTTTGACGGTGAAAAATGGCTCTGGCTACCACCAGAGTATCGTCCTACTGCATCAGCCGTAGGTAAGAGGAGGGTAGCTGTTGGATGTGCGTCTGGCCGCGTGCTGCAATGGGCATTTTAATGCGAGAATCTGCTTAGATTGCGGGTAGCCTACTAGGTCGTACTTCTGACTTTTTCCCTGCCTTTTCTTTCTATTATTTATTCTATGTTGTTTAGGGCGTTAGTGTGTCGGCAGTCGGACCCGTCTAGCTGGGCAAATTTCGCCGACTATGTAGGATACTACATTATTGTAGCCGAGCTTATATTCTACACGTTCGGTGAATGGCTCTCACTAGTTGAGCCATACCAAAAAAGATGGTAATAGGTGCCTCCTCAGGCAAAGCTCCTGTGCCCATACTGTCCTTACACTTTATCTCGCATCGCGGGCGCATCGCCAACGCGTCGTGTTTGAGCCGGAGTCGCAGCACCTCACTACCTTGTTATGCCTTATTTTCTCACCCCGCATATATCCAGTGTAGCAATGATGAGTTGTTAGGTTGGACAGGAAATAGAAGGAGAGGAACCGTTGCACTTAATCCGTGATCCAGATTCAGGTAGCGGCTTGGAACAAAAAATGTTCCAAACCAGCAGCCACGGTTCTAAATCCGTACTATCGTACCGGAACTCGCTATATGTAGGTCGCTAGAAAGCCCCCCCTGATGTTGGCCATAGGACAACGAGATAGCTGTAGCTAGCTTTGTGTGTGCGATAACGAATGAGTTGAAGCAATGCTCGTGATTCCGCCCCAACTTGGACGTATCGGGAACGCCAGCGACACGATCATCCGTTTCTGATTGAAGGGACCTTGTGCACGGAGTACGCGGGCGGCGCACACTCGCGGTCGTTCTTACCGAGGCTGCATTCGTAGATGTGCTAACAGAGGAGCGCTTCCCTACCCCCGCGCAACTTCGAAGGCACAGGCCCAAGCGCAGTGGGGGTGATCGCCGTTGTGATGCAGGCGTTGGTTGACGCGGCACCAGGCTCGCAGCACCATGCCCTGATTTTTCCAGTGAAACCCCTTCACAGCACCACAAACCGAGAGCATGCCCAAGAAAGTACAAGCCCCGCGCACTGTGATCTCAAATCGCGGCAGCCCCCTTGCATGATTTGTCGTAGCTCTTGGTTCCGTCACATCCGATAGAGCGCGAAGACCTCCAGCCTGAAGGCCTCGTTCCTCGCTTCTTCAATTCCAGGTATCTTCATAGGTTGGAGCGTCTCGGTCTATTGCGTGGCATGTCGCAGGCAGTAATTGGAAAGACAGAGGTTTGAGGCTCTCGATATAATTCCACCTCTTGTCATATAGCTAATATGCAACAACCAGAAAGAGTCGTTACTCTCGGCCCGTCGGCCATGCAAGGAGAGTTTCTATCATTCGTGAGTAGAGCTTCTCGTCCTCTCGTTCCCAAGGTCTATCTTTGGGAAAGACCACCTTTCGCAGCTCGTTCAAACGACTGCACAAGCTAGCTTTCCGCATCCAATAGGTGGGATTGAGGGCGCCTTGGCAGGGCATCTGCAACCTTCGACGGGGCTACCAAGGACTGCTTGAAGCACTCTTCAACCAGACAGATTCAAATTCACATGACAGCATCTACAGTCGCAGTAGTTACACAAATAAACATTGCTTTGTCATCCATAATCATATCCTCCATTACGCTGGGGTACATGATTTGACCCAGGCAGAGGTGGCTCTTGGTGCAAGTTTGCTAAGGCGTTGATATAGGTACCTACCTAGGTAGGTAGTCTCCTATTGTCGGGCGGGGAGAGTCTTGTCATATTTTGGACTAGAATAAGCGTCACCACCTGCGTCATTTAGTGGCTAAATGAGGTGCCTTAGGGGACGTCAAAGCGGGGTAGGTGCGCTAAGCTGCGCTATCTGGACAGCCATAGGCCACTATATGTCCACTACAACCTAAGGTCGGTCTGAAGGTGTACTCATCATTCTGCACCGCAGGGTGTGCTTTCGCACAGGTACAAAACAGGGCGTATTATACGCTAAGTAGCCATGTATCTTTAGGTCTCCCAGAATGACTTCTGATCTTGTGCAGCGGTGCTGATCTCAACTTCAACTAGGTGAGCAGCGATGCCAAGGAGGTGTGGGGAAAAGGAGGAGCGTGGGGCGAGAACTTCCCAGGAAGTTAGTGCCTCGGCGGCAAAGAGACGGTCTGCCCCACAGCTTGACTCTAATGGCACGTTCTCATGGATGAGAGGCAGTTGCAGAAGTGACAGCTGAAAGTATGCTCTGTTGCGCCTACAATAAGTAGGTAGGTAGGTAGTTTCCACAACCCAGGCTCTGAGGCGACCCTCTGCTGTCCGAGATCCAGGTGCCTTCAACAGTGCCAGCCATATCTGATTGCCTTTCATTCGTGTGCTGAAATGCTCTTGGCAGTACTAAGCTCGCATGACAGGGTCACAAGGTTTCTCGATAGGGCAATTGACCATGAGACAGCGTTCCCAGTTACAACAAGTTAACAAGTTCTCCCGCAAGCATTGCTTCTGCGCATGAGCCTCCAGAACCCCGAAGGCGTTGCCCCTTGATCCTTCGCATCCCAGCTGGCTGAAGGGTGGATCTTCCATGCAGCGCGCTGATAGGTGACGGAACGATCACAGAACATCCACTCACCTTCTGGGATAACAAGATAATCTTGTGTGTGCACGACGAATTCCATGGGTCTTGCGTCGCTTCACCATAAAATACCCTGCCACAAGCTAGGCCCACGATTTGGCGCGTGTGCACCCCACCGTCTCTTCGGCACTCCTTCGAGGTGAAGGGGGTCCCCGACGATGTGAAGCAGAGCCCGAAGGTCGACGACGACAAGGACTCTCGTCTGAGCGTTCGGCTTCGCTATGGGTTCGAGTAATATGCCCCCGTAAATTGTCGCTGCGAGAGAAACGCCTATGGCAATATGAGTCGTCATATGTCTGGTTTCCGGAGGTCAATCAACTACAAACATCACCATCATCAGTCGTGGTCGCTGCGTGACGCTTGATCTACTTCTCTCACTACCAGCTTGGTTTGTGCCATTCTCCTGCTCTGCGTTATCGTTTTTCCGTTGCTAATATCTCGTACAGTTCTGTGCTTGGCTGGCCAGCATACCTGCACATGCGAAGAACCGCGCTCGTTTGTCGCTGCAAGACCCTGTGAATTCATCGCTCAAGAGAGCGGCAAGATTGAACGCCCTCCTCCATTCGATTTCGACTTCCTGCGCCCATCGACTAGTTGCCATGCAACAGCTGTCATGATGGAGGCCGTCAGTGAGAAGCAATGTCAGCCTGACAGCGACAATCAGCCAAGAGTGAAGCAGATTTCTAAAAGAAACCGGCCGAGCGGCGCTGCGCTCTCTAAGCTCGGCAATCATCTTGCTTGTGACCTCTGCAGCGAACTCAAGCTCAAGTGCGAAGAAAAGAGGCCCTGCAGCAACTGCAACAGATATGCCGTGGTCCGCATCACTACCCCCCCTACGCTCGGTAAACGTAAACGGCGCCGTACTTGTGGCTCCTGCCACGAACGCGAGCTCAAGTGCGACGGAGAGAGGCCCTGCAGCAGCTGTGACAGAGATGGCGTGCTCTGCACTACTCGCCGTAGATATTGGAGCACGAAGCCGCACACTCGGACGCATCATCCTTGTGACTTCTGCCGCAGACGTAAGATCAAGTGCGATGGAGAGGGGCCCTGCGGCAACTGCAACCAACGTGGTTTGGGCTGCAGTCTTAGTACAGAGGAACAGCCCGTGGCAAAGAAAATGGTGTCATGCTCCCCCTGCGCCATGCTCAGGCCACATGAGGGCTTGTAATTCGGTAAGCACCATACTTTCAACATGTGATGGCTTGCAGGCATGGGCAGGGCCCGGCCAGAGAATTTGCTCGATTTGCTCGATCGACTGGCCGTCACCACCTAAAGGGCTGTGGGGAAACACTTTGGCGCTTTATCCTCTGGCGTGGTGAAGGGCTGAGCATCGTGGGCAGGGAGGGGGGACATCACGCCACGATATGTAGGGTATCGGAGTGACATGCCTAGAAACCCTGAAAGTAGTCCAGACCGGCAAGCCACACGTACTCGGGTGGGGAATGCGTCGAGCGCCTTGCTGCGCGTGAGGAAGTAGGAGCTCTCGATGCCCTCGCTGCCGGCCAGCAGGTCGTAGCACTTGGTGCCGGCCCAGTAGTAGGGCGCTTTCCACCACTTGTCGAGCGGCACCATGATGGGCAGCCACGAGCTGAGATGCGGCGCGGTGCGCAGGAAGTACTTGCGCTCCTTGAGCGCCTCCCGGACGAGCTCGTACTGGGAGTAGTCGAGGTTCCAGAAGGCCTTCTCGAGGTACCGCACACCACCGTGGACGAGCTTTGTGCTCTTGCTGCTGGTGCCGCTGCTGAAGTCGTCTCTCTCCGCCACGGCGACCTTCAGGCCTCGGGTCACGGCGTCGAGGGCGACACCGGCGCCGGTCGCGCCACCGCCAATGATGAGCACGTCGTACTCCTCGCCAGGCTTTGTGCTGTTCTTGAGGTTGGCGAGCTGCTCCTGCCGGACTTGACCTTGGGGAACAGAGGCATGCGGAAGGTGCCGTCGGCGCTGTAGTACGGGGGCGCGACAGCGGCATCCTCGAACCCGGGGATGTTGCGCGGCCGGTATGTGAAGTAGAGCGCACCACCACCTACGGCTGCGACCGTGGTGGGGATGGCGAGCCGCCGCAGCAGGCGGGAGTCGGCTTGTCTCGACATGATGCGTTGGAGGGCCTGTGGTCGTCGTTGTCGTCGCTGTCGTCAAAGTCCCGCGCTGAGGACGCGGTCTGTGGGATCGGAACGTTGCGTGCAAGGACGACAGAAGACGGAGAGGCACAACGCGGCGAGAAGGAGAGGAGAGCTGGCGGGCGGGGCGGAAGAATACTCGGAGGATGGCAAAGAAGCACAAAATCGGGGACGGCGGAGTGGCAGAAATGTGGAAATCGCGCCGTGGAGCAAAAGCCGGGCCCTCTGCCGGACCGGACCCAGCACTATGACGTTGGCTGGCCGAGAGCGGGTGCCGAGGGTGTGCGGATTGCCGCGGGCTTGCTGCGGAGCGTGAGTCGTGAGGAGGCAAGAGATACACAAGACACAGACAGACGTGAGGCTCTCGCGAGCAGGATCCGGTGGGGGAAGTCGGTGGTTTAAGAGACGAGGTCAACGAGGTTGCGGCCTCACTGACGGAATCACAATGAAAGCGGAGGGACCTACGTCTTGGAGCAATGCGCGCCGCCTTCCCCCAAATCCTGCGTGCCCCGAGCACTGAAGCACAATACCCACGTGGGGCCTGCCCGTGCCCTCTCAGTGGGGGAAACCTCCTCCAACCCGCCCGGATCACCGCTGTTTCCACCAATCACTGCCCCGCGGCCACTTTTCCCTCGAACGAGCCCCAACCCTCGCCGGCACCGGCGCGCTCGGCGGGCAACTTTCTCCATCCTCGTGCCATGTCGAGATCAGCCCCAGAACCGTCGGACCATAATTAATCATCATCAACTTCCAGCTTGTCCATTGCTTGTCGAGCTTGTCTACAGAAAAACTCCTGCTCCGTCCTCTCCACCAACCCCGGAGTGACATGTCCGACCATATCGACACAAGCCGCGTCCACCCGCACAAAGCACGTCATCGTTGCCGAATGCATCCGCTCTAATTACATGAGAGGGGCCTTCAACATTATTATACACACAGCCATCGCATGGATGACCAAGACAAAGAAGAAAGATACATATGCAAAGAGCACAAGGGTATCCAAAGACGGAGTGCACCGGACCAGTCAGCATCGCGAGGCTCGAATCAGCTCAACGACGCTCATCGAGAAACAACAATGGCCTAGGCTCAACTGCCTTCGGCGTTCCTCCCGTCCACGCATAGCGGGAATAGAATGTCCACAAATGTCCGCATGGGCCCGCTGTCCTGGTCATATGCCACGACCACGCTCCGCTCGTTCATGGCTGCGAGCTCGTGGCCTTGCTGACTGCTGTGGTGGTTGCCCTCGCCGTCATGATCGTCAAAGACCGCGGCTGCAGCTGCCCTCGACTCTCTTCCGAGTGCGCTGTCCGCCGTCGTGTGTCGGACCAGATGTTTGGAGCTGGGCCCGATAGCGGTCGGTGGCACCGGCGAGGGCAACGAACCAGCCACGCGCACATCAACCTTGATCTCCTGCGACACCATGATGCCGCCAAACTCGGACCGCTGTTGGCTCTTGCCCAGCCCGCGATGGTCACCTCTCTCCCGAGAGGGCATCTTGAAGATGCGCTTGTGCTCATTGCTGGTGCGCTCCCACAGCTTCAGTGTGGAGCTGGTGCTTGCGTTGGAAGGTCTCCTCGGCGCAGCCACAGCATCCCCATCCATGATTGTGGGCTTGGAGATCGAGCGTGCTCTCAGGACATGCCGGACACCCCTGACCTTCTCTCGGAGGCCTGATCTCCTTCGCGTCGCTATCAAGACCCGGTCGGGTGCGTTCAGCAATGCTTGGTTGACAACCGGTGAGACCTCACGGTGCACGTGACGGGAGAAGATGGCATGGTACGGAGAGTCTTTGTGGGCCAGCTGGTTGGCCTTAAAGAAGTTCAGGGGGATGAACTCGCACTTCGGACTATTGACGGTGGCATGGATTGGTACGACCAACTGCAGAGTGATCATAGTACATGTCATGGCAGTGTTGGTGCCATTCTGTGCACGGCAAGGCACTCTGACTGTAGTGGCGACCAGGTGCGCATCGTTGAAGATGGGGTCGTCGATCCAGGCTCGCAGAGACTCTACGGCGTCGTACAGCTGGGAGGCGAAAAGCATCTCCTTTGGCGTCAGCTTCTGCATCGTATCCAACCGCTGCAGCAACGAGAGGACGTTCGTGCGGTCTAATTGACGCACGAACTCTTCCTGCCACAGTTCCAGATGGTCAAGCGGCAGTTGCTGCGAAGGCAGAAGGCTTCGAGCTCCCTTTCTGACCAGAATGTCGAAGGCGAAGTCCGAGTTGACAGTGGCCTTGAGTGCGAAGAAGCCCATGTGAACACCGGGCTCCAGCATGGTGTTGTCCTCGGCGTACGTTGCCATGTTGGCAAGCTTGCCAGCCAGATTCCGGGTCTGTATCTGCATGCTCGACCCAATAATGCCACAGACATGGTTGATATCCGCGAATCGGAAACCAGCGGCTTCCAGCTTTTCGACTTCATAGGCATGCTCGACACGGCGAACCAGGAACATGAGAGAGCCACGAGCATAGTGTTGATGCTGTGAGAATGCCCAGTTCTCGCCCTTCTCGGAAAGGTCGCCCGACTTCTCCACATCCAGAGCGTCCCCCGTGTCAGCCCTGCGCCTTCTTGGTGTAGCTCCAGTCGGCACGATCTCACCCCATAGAATACCGACATCTGTCAGCCTCTCTTTCATCTTGTCTGCCAAGCTCATGGCAGCTACGCAGAAGAGCTCCTTGAATATGATGCCATAGTTTTCGATCTGGTGGCCATTGTCGTCGAGGAGTCGCACCCTGTGCTCGCGGTCGTCTTTGGACAGTTGGTGAAGGTGCTTCGACATGCCCTGAATGATGCTCTGTAGTCCATGCCAGTTGCGAGAAGCCTGAAACATCCAATGAAAGAGAGGGTTTCCGATACTGAAGCTATCGCTCGCAGTCCTCTCCACGTATGTGTCTGTGATTCTCTCGCTCGGAAGCAACCCATCTGGATTGACCATGATGCGACCAGAGCGGTCGAACACCGCCGCGGCGAGAACAATGTGCTGAGCCTTAACAGCATAGCGTCGCATGGCGCGTCTCGTGTATACAGCTGTGCATGCGATCACGAGGGCAGCTCCGACTGAGAGGCAGATAACCACAACGACGGTTGTCGTACGTGATGACCGCGCGCCAGTGTCGGCCAGGCTGATGAGTCTGTAGTTTGTTCCCACGGAGGCACACCAATGCATGCCCGACACAGCGCCCGCGAGCACAACTCCAGACAGCATCCGTTTCCACCAAGAATTTTTCCACGAAGCTCGGGAGACGAAGAAGAGCGTCAGGGCCACCGTACTGGCAAGCACAGAGATGACTGCCGCGCCGACGACGTTTCCAGGCTCGTAGACGCAATGATAGTTGGCAATGGATGAGTTTGCGACATAGTGCATGCCGCAAATAGCACCGCCAGCCAAGATGCCTCCGACCGGCGTCCGCCACCAGACAATGTCGTTGTTTGCACCAATGGCGACGAAGGCCACCAGTAGGACAATAATCGGTATGAAGAAAGACAGTACCGTAAATGTCGGAGAGTAGGCGATGTGAAGTGCAGGCTCGCCGTTGCCAAGTTCGATAGCTCTGTTACCGATGAAGTGCATGCACCAGATGGAGATGCCTCCCATGGTCACAGCAGAGCCGAGGAGGATGAGATGGTTGTATAGTCCATTCTTTGATGTTCGCCGGTTGATCAGTTCGAGAGTGCAGACGGCACCAATGAACGAGACCAGATAACTGACGACGACAAAGCCACTGCTGAAGGACCGAGGAACGATCTGGCCTTCATACTGGGCGAGAAGCTCGGTGGTCGTCGCCATGGCTGTATTCGTCAAAGACGGTCTATGGACCAGCCGCCTGGGCGGACTTGTTGTTGAAGGAGAAGTTGATGTCGTTCAAGCAGAGCACAACCGGTGCGTGACTGGCGTGGAAAGGTCGATTACTGGAAAGAGGTGCAGTTGGTGTTCATGGTCCTCATGAACTGTGGCGCTGTTAAGTCCTTGTCAGCTGGGATCCTACAGAAAGAACCTTTGGGTACAAAATGCGGCCGCACAAGTTGAAAGGAAGAAGGCGCGGAAACGAACCAAATGGTCGGGAAGGCAAAGTGTCACTGCCTTGACCAGGACTTTTGACAGCCACAACGGCAGGGCGAGATGCACGGCAAAGTGGCCTCGACTGCGGGTGGAAATAACCAGATACAAAAGTCGTGAGGTCCAACTTCCACTGGCGGCAGCACCCAGCCAGCCGGTCAGAACCCTAACCAATGGGCCTGTCACAAGATTGAGCTTGTGACGACGGAGAAGGCTTCCTGTTTCAAGCTAGGCCGATCATTAGGTTGCGATGTAAATAGGTGCTTGCCGTAATAGAGACTCCCGGGTGGATATCCTGAGCCAAGTGCCAAAGTTAAGGCCTGGCCCACGACCGAAAGCTGCGGCGAGAAGCCGTGGCGTTGGGACTACTCCGAACGGGGTCGGCTCTGGGACGCAGTGATTTCGGCAGTAGAGTTGAGGCTAGGTACGCTTGCTGTCAGCTCGAGGCTCGGGGCGACCAGGAACCCGTGCTTCTTTATGGGTTCACGAGAACAGAGAAAAGGTCGCACGAGTGACGAGCGGGTGTGGTGTCAATAACTATGAGTCGGCTGCAAGAAGCACCCATACTCGGTGCCATGGCACGCATGGCCATGCCCGCGGTAGGCAGGCAAAAGCAAGCGCGAGGCTCATGTCTCTGGTGCGAAACACGCAGCGGCTGTCATTGGTATGAATCGAGGACATGGAGCACGTCGCTCTCGCGTCAGAGGTATTCGGTCCAGTGGTAAGAGGGCCTGGACAAGTTGGACGCCACGGAGCAGCGCCTCCCTCATAGGAAGCGGGTCTTGGCCGCGATGCAAGACGGGCCCGAACGGGGATGGCATGGATGCAGGTCGTCTACCGTAGGGCCGGTCAGCCTCAGCCTGGGCCAGTCGCACCAGGACCCGGGACCCGGGCGTTCAAGATTGGCATCTGCAGCAGGCGAGGCGGCATGTAGATCGTCCGGGGGGCTGGCTGCCGTGCGAGCCGGGGAGCGAGGAGCGAGGAGACCGGAGGCCGTGAAAAAGAAGCTGCCGAGAGACAAACCTCGACACAGTTGTGCAGGAGGGCGGGGACCAAAAGCAACGAGGGCGAGTGGGTGACAGGCGGTGGCAGGGGTGGCGGATCGCCCAAGATCACCCCAAGATCAGCACGATCGCAGCCAGGATGCTGGGCGATGCGTGCAGGGGAGATGCCCGTCGACTCGTCGAGTGTCCTCGAGAGCCTCGTGGAGGGTTGCACCCGCGCGGGCCTCGCCAAGGCTTGCTCGGCTGCCAATCTGTGCACACCGGCCCTGGGCAGGGGTTGCCCCTGCAGGTCCAATGGCTGCTCTTGCCAGGTCGAGGCTGGCGAGGCTGGCCGGGGGAACCTCTCCTCCAGTTCATCATCAGTAATCCAGATCGTCATCTTTGGTCACTGGATGCTGCTCTTCACCTCCAACACCAGCGACTCGCGAACGCCTCGACTCGAAACCACGGATGCGCTAGGAGCCGTCTCCGAGGCAGTACAGTTCTCTGGCCCGCTGCCACGCGATTGGTCTGCTGGCTGTGTGACGCCGTGACGACACTCCGGGCATCAATGATCGCCCAACACCGCTTCAAGACGTCCAGTCCTCGCTAACCTGCATGCTCCGTCCCCTCACGGAGCATACCGTCCAATATTGTACTATCCCGGCCTCTCCCACTCGAGCAGGCTGCTCCGAGCCCGCCGCCGCGCATCGACGAAACAGCGCTAACAGCTCGCATGCAGTCCTCCTCGACGCTAGTCCCTTGCTTGCAAATGCATCCCAGGCAGCTTCTGCCCTCTAGGGCCGACCTCGCCGGAGTCGGGACGATATGTACCGGTGCGGATCGCGAGGCTGCTACCGGCCTCGACGACTGCGGCGAGGGCCTCGTACATATAAGCGGTTGTTTCGAGGGTGTCTGTCTCGCTAAGGAGGGGTAGTATTGGGAGGGTGAGGTCGTGGGAGATGTTGCTGCGGTTGATTGGAATTTCTCGGGGCTTTTGCAGGGGAACATCTCGTCGAAAGACAGGCCGCTCGACAACTCACGGAGGGGAGGTACGAGCTACGCAACAATACTGCCAAAGACCTTCGAGGCGGAACCTGCGTGGACAGAGGCACTTCAGGCGAGAAAAAGGACACGGCTGAGCCTAGGGTCCCACTTCGAAGTTGGAACAAAGAAGGCTGACTCTGCGATAGGCACGAGTCCAAGTTGACATGGTCTGAAAGCTGGTGACTGCCACTGAATAGTGCGCGTGCGGGCGGGACGCCGCTAGGCATACTTCAGGTCGCATATCATGACCGGCAGTAGCATCACGGAGCAAGACATATGGCGAGGCGGTTGAGCGATTTCAGGCGATGCCCAACTGGGCCATCGCTGGCCGACTCTTCGCGAACAGCATCCTCATCAGTCTACTGGCACCCGCCGGCAAGGTGCCGTATGTGATTTATCGGAGATTGGCTTCCCAAGGGGGCTGCGGCACGTCTATTGCATGCATATAAACTATCTCCCTGGCAGTGTAGATGACGAATTTCGTCTCAAACTTCACGTCATCCTCGTCAGCTTGCCGAAATCAAGATGTCCAGTCACTCAACATTCTTCCCCCACCCTTCGGGGACCGCACCCGAGAACCCCGACATGGGCTAACCCGGCAGAGCCCAACCCGGAAGAGCCCATGTCTGGCGGCCTTCCGGCAGCAGTCGTCCCTGCTGTCGTGCTTGCAGCATCGGTGCTGCTTTTTTTTCTGGTAATGTATGCTAAGGCCGAAGCTCCGCAGATCTGCATACAGGATCCTCTGGGCAGACCACTGAACCAGTAAAGCATGTTCAATCGACATGAACTACCCGGTGCTCCGATGGAAAGGAGCCAACAAATAGCCAATCAGCGGCTCAGACTTTTGGACAAGCAGCTCCAGGCCGAGCCGTTCAGCAAGTGGCAGGGCAGGCAGCAGAGAGACTCGGCCTGGCCATCTCTACCAGCTGCCGTCCCTGCTGCGGAATCCAGCTTCGAGAGTCAACTTTGGTAAGTCTGTCTGTCGTGTGTATGGATCCTTCGCAACGAATAAAGATTTACGAGACCTTTCCGGACATGAGATTTGTTCTCTAACGAGCATTGCCAATTGGCTCCTGGAAAAGTATCATCTGTCTGGATGCGATACAAGATACGACTCTGATTAGAGCTCTGACATGTCAGCATATTTACCACAAGGCGTGTTTTGACAAGTGGTTCGAGCGGGATCATGACGTGTGTCCTCTATGCCAGAGAAGAGTGCTGTACGATAAAGCTCCCGAAGTCACCGTTTAGCAGGACTGGCATGAGAAATCCTTGTAACGTACAATATATTGGCGCTGTTATGGGTGAGGGATAAATTTTGGGGAGATGACCCCTGTGTGTCCGCCATGGCAACGTGATACTTTACAAGAGCCCCTGTGAATTATCAAGGGGGCCTTTCTTGGCAAAACTCTAGGTCGTGTAACGGGCGCGTTTTGGTCCGATTGGCCACCGCCCATTGTGCTCCTGTCGCAATGCTTGATTATGCAGAGCAAGGGCACAAGCATATGCCCTTTTGCGACTAGTTGCAGCTCAAACCTGCGGGCGTTTCGGCAATTAGTCGTGGTCGATCTTAGTCGCGAGCATGCATGCGTAAGGCACAATGGTTATCTAAGTGGTCGTACCACGCCATTGGGTCATTGCGAAAGCAGGATTCAGCCCGACACCCTGTGTGCATATAAGTCGTCTGACGTTTCTCCACATATCTTTGCCAGCGGCTCAGCACATCAAGCTGCTTGACAACTTTTATTGTGCAGAGTAAGTCTTGCACTCCAGATATCTATCAAGGACAAGCATTTCCCTGGCGGACCGGAGAACGCCATGGAGTGGGAGACATCCCTGGTCCCATACTCGCGACTCCCCAGCTGGGCCCCGGAGCATTGCTTCAACTTCATCATCCCGGATTGCGTCCAGACGGAGTCACCAAGTCTCGCATCAACTATCAGCAGTCACGAAGAAGACACGGACGGGATTGTACTATCAGGGGCAGCCCAGTTACACGTCTCAGAAATCCCTTCTCTGCCTTTTCGAGAAGACTTCCACCCGACCTGCACAGAGCTCAACCCAGGCCTCGCAAAGCAGAATAAGAGCAATGCAGCAGGTATTCGGGCTAGACATGGAGACAGCGGAAACAACAGCAGCAACGACACCGTGGAGCTACACTCTATGGACAGCGACACCGTCTCGCCGCAGTCGAAAAGTGAGGACGGTCCCGAGCAGAACAAACCACGCATCATTCCCGCATGTCCAGAGCAGCACGGCATCACGCCAGTCACGCACGTGCACGAGCAGGGACTACACATGCGAGTTCTGGCCGACGGCAGGGACGCACTGCGCCAGCGCAACGTCGTGGCGGCACGTAAGAGTCGCGCAAAGAAAAGGGTGGAAAACGATGTGCTCGAGAGCAAGGTCCTGGCGCTTGAAAAGAAGACCCGAGCGCTCGAGATTCAATGGTACAATGTGCGCGCGAGTTTCAATAAATTCCAACAAGAGCTCGATACCATGAACGCCATATGGTTGGAGGATTTTGCGCAAGTGTCTTGATTTTCCTTTGCCCACGAGCTCAAAAGGGTATGGTTGCTGATCTACATTTGGTCAGAGGGCGGGCTGTTCAACATATGGATTCTGGGACGGCCGTCGAATTTGGAGGAATCAAAAGATTCAATGCTAAAAGGTGAAAGAAAAAGAACAAGGAAAGACAAGCAAAGAGGCCACTTGTTCGCAAGTTGTAATCGTTAGGAGATAATTTGAATGAGAAATTGATCACATCACTTCGATTTTCGAGGTGACCAATGCCTGGCTGACGAGATATGCATCGGAAAGCGATTGGGGAAAAAATCACTCGCCAGACAAGGTGGAAGGGATGTGTCGAGGTGAGAATGTGCTGAGTGAGCACCCTTCCCGGGATCACCATTTGACAACGGCATCACCACAAGCTACATGTCTGACTGCATGTCAGGGTCCAGTGGCCTGGCATGCGATGCACGTCTGTACCCACTGCACTGGCGTGACTGCACGAAGCTGCACGGCTGACATGCAGGCTGCACGGTTGAGCCGCAAGGTGCCAACGGACTCCCAGGATTGGCGAAAAGTTCCGGTACTTCTCGCCTACGCGAGTATGAGTGGAATTACCATACAGACGATGTACCGAAACTTCCGGTTTTGGGTAGAATGAGCTAAGGGAATGCATCCAAACCTATCGCTAAGTGATCGTTTTGCTTCTTCTGTTACAGACCAAGTACAATCCATGTAGTGCAGGGTTATCGCCAATCCTGGGAACCCTGTACAGCCGCACGCCAACCCGAGAGCGAGATGCGCCTTTGCTGCATCATGTTGACAATCATGCGGGGTCAAACAGTGCCACCAAGAACTGCCCATCCCTGGAACAGACACTTCAATTGCTGACCTGGTGAGGGACTATATTATCTCGTCCAAGACCTTGGGGCTGGTCCGGAGCCATTTTGTTGTTGTTTTTTATTTTCTTTTTTTCGACCACATCAGCTTGTCCTTCCTGTACCACAGCCTTCCATGACAAATCGTTCCTCTAACTGATCGCCACCACAAGAACCACCAGACCCACAATCTAAGATGGAAAAATCGAGCGAGTTTGTCCGGACCTTTCGCTCCTTGTCTCGCAAGGATGTGGCCTTGGTTGGCGGCAAGAACGCATCACTGGGTGAGATGATTAGCGCTCTTGATAGCGAGGAAATTGCCGTGCCACATGGCTTTGCCACAACATCCCACGCATACTGGCAATTTGTTGAGGTCAATGGCATCTGCAGCAGGCTTGAAGCGGCCATTGACCACTGGCGTCAGGGCAAGACAAACCTGGTTGATACGGGCCACACCATCAGATCCTTGTTCCTCGGGGCTTCCTGGCCACCCCCGGTCGCGGCTGCGATTGAGGCTGCTTACCTCGGCCTCGGAGCCCAGGCGGGGGTGGACGATCCGAGCGTTGCAGTCAGGTCAAGCGCCACAGCAGAGGATCTCCCTACCGCGAGCTTTGCGGGGCAGCAAGAGTCGTACCTGAACATACGCGGCGCCGAGGAAGTGCTGGCCGCCTGCCGGCGATGCAATGCGTCGCTCTTCACGGACCGGGCCATCAGCTACCGCGAAGCCAAGGGATTCGACCACACGAGCGTGGCGCTCTCGGTTGGTGTGCAGCATATGGTCCGTGCGAACCGGGCAGGGACCGGGGCGGGGGTCATGTTCACGATCGACCCGGAGAGTGGCTACGACCAAGTGGTTCTGATCAACGCGTCCTGGGGTCTGGGCGAGACTGTCGTGCAGGGCACGGTCGATCCAGACGAGTACGAGGTGTTCAAGCCGCTGATTGGTAGTGGGGGCGGTGTTGTCCCCATTGTGAGCAAGACGTGTGGAAGCAAGGCCATCAAGATGGTGTATGGAGGCGAGGCGGAGACGGACGCTCCAACGACTAGCGTGCCGACGACCGCGGCCGAGCGTGCGAGCTTCGTGCTCAGCGATCCTGAAATCCTGCAGCTTGGACGATGGGCATGTGTGATTGAGAGGCACTACGGCTGCGCCATGGATATCGAATGGGCAAGAGATGGAGTTTCGGGCGACCTCTTTGTGGTCCAGGCGCGACCCGAGACGGTGCACTCGCAGATGGGCCGGCCTGGCTCTTCTGGCGAAGTGGCTCAGACATATGTTGTCCGTGAGCCTGGACCGGTCCTGGCCAGTGGGCATGCCATCGGGACCGCCGCAGTGGCAGGCCGTGTCTGCCACATTGCGTCGGCTCGCCACATGGACCGCTTCGTCGACGGCTCCGTCCTCGTCACGGAGACCACGGACCCGGACTGGGTGCCGCTCATGCGCCGCGCCGTGGCTGTTGTCACCGACCACGGAGGGCGCACCTCGCACGCTGCCATTGTCAGCCGCGAGCTTGGTGTTCCCGCCGTTGTTGGCTGCGGCAATGCCACCCGCGTGCTGCATCCCGGCCAGGACGTGACGGTGGATTGCTCGCAGGGCACCAGGGGTCGTATCCACGCTGGGCAGTCCGAGGTCGTGACGGAGACGCTCGATCTCGCCGCCCTCGGTCCAGCTCACACAAAAGTCATGCTCAACCTGGCGGACCCTGCCGCGGCGTACCGCTGGTGGCGGCTGCCCCATGACGGCGTGGGCCTCGCACGCATGGAGTTTGTCATCAGCAGCGTTATCCAGGTGCACCCCCTGGCCCTTCTGCACTACGATGAGCTCCCAGATGGCGACGACAAGCGACAAATCGCCCGCCTGACTGCCGCGTACATGTCCAAGGAGGACTATTTCGTGGACAAGCTGTCGCGAGCGCTGGCTGCCCCGTGCGCCGTGGCGTATCCCAGGCCCGCAATCATTCGTACATTACATCGTCTGTGCTCGTAAGAGCGACTCATTGAGTATGAAACTGCTGCTGTGAAGCCCGTCAGCTCTGAGCCTGGACACTATATGTGGGCACAGGAACAAGTGGTCTGCCGAGAAGATATGAGAGCTCCGGTGTCAGAACCTGCAACTTGGACAGCGCTGTGCGGCGTTCATGGTATAGCTGCCTGGCCAACTTGCCCTTGGAACTAGCCACCACCAGGCGATCAACAATTTCTGCAGTCCAGCCCTCGTTCCTCCAGTCTTCAATGGATCGCGCGGCCTGATACCTCTCTAGGGTACTCAAGATACACTCGAAGCGTAAGAGATGCTCCAGCACCCTCCCGTAAAACCATGCCAACTCTTTACTCTCTGCCTTGACGACTATGTCGATAGCCCGCGGAAGGATTCTTGAAGATACGTCGTGTATGCTCCACGAACGCGTCGCTGCTTTACACCAGCGACGGACCATAGTACGCCAGAGCTCGCGCGACGTGCTCAGCCGGCAAGAAATGATGTTGTCGAAGCATCGAAACAAGGCTTCTTCAGACGGGACTAGAGCTCCATTAGAATACTTGAGCAAAAGATCAGCCAGAAAAGGGGCTTTGTGGAAGTGGCAAGCATTCCGCCAGGTGATGGTCAATCCTCCACCTTCCGTGAGGGAATATCCTTCGGTAAGCAGGGAGGAAACGGCCTCCAGTTTAACAAAGCTAGAGGAGATACAGCCGCAGCTGTGATGGTCTCTGCGAGGAACTGTTGCCATAGTGTATAAGCTCGTAAGTTGACCACTCTGTGTACACGTAGATCTTGCTTTGTCTAGAGGTAACGTGGAGATGTATTTACGTGCGCTTTTGACACGGGAGCCATGGCCGAAAATAACTCGAGCTAAAGAAGGATATTTCCGTCTATCATGCCAGTTCGCTGTTCCTTCATGCATTGTCCCTTAACCGCGCGCGTAGCTCGCGCTCCTTGTGTGGTCGGGGAAGATTGTAGCCCTTGAAGAATCTGTTCATTCATTAGCTCGGATTCAGCGAGCATGAAGGATTCCGTCACACCTGGAACAGCATCGAGCTCAGTTGCGGCTCGTTAGGATAGATTGGCGAGCGACAAATATGCTGAATAGTCGTTGGCATGAACTCAGAGACGAGAAGGTAGCTCCCGGGTTCAGATATGTAAATCTCAATGCCCTTGACGATATTATCATGGCAAAGCTGTCGCACGCGTTGTATCTTTTCGTCGGTGTCGCGACCGCCAATAGTACGCATGAGGAACTGGCGGCGTGAAGCGTCCCGACTCGTTATCACGCCGACTGAGGTACCGTACTTCAAGCGGTATCTGAGCTCGTAATGGCTCCATGGCTCTCCATTGATCACAGGAACTAGTGGTGACTCGGTCGTGTAGTGCTTGACTGGCAGTCGCATGCTTGGTGCCTTACGCTTTAGTGGGCGCACATTCGCATCCGGCGCAGAGCCAGGGAGAAACAGAGAAGCTGCCTGCTCCGAACTTCTTCGTGGCGAAGTCGAGACGTGACCGTTCTTCTTCTGTATCCTCAACGAACACGGTCTGGCGGCGTTGAAGGTCCATGTGACTAGCCACGCCGATACGTAGACTGCTTCCCGCGATATTCCGAGCTATGGAGGTGCTTCGGCGCATGGAGGCTTCAGCTGGGGCCATTTGACCTAGTTCCACAACTCTGCCGTCGTTTGGGGTATTTGAGCTCTGGTGGGTACCATTGGAGGCTGAGATCAGGTACAAGTGAACAAGTGCACAGTTACTCCACTAGACTGAGCTCTAAAAAAAGGTAACCAACCACAGGGCCAGGTACGGGCCCCCAAGGGTTCAGGCATTTGCAGGCAGGCTTTAGGGGCAAGGGCCACTAACGTCCGCTAAAGTATGCTGCTGGTGCTGCAACTCTGCACCATGGGCGCCTGGGGCTATGCCGCTAAATATAAGTAGGGCTATTTCCTCCCAGGAGTCCACAAGAGGATACCGGCCCCGAAGGCAAGACTTAGAGGATAATGACAAGTTTCCGTCGACTAGTGCAAACTCATAACCTTTGACGGTCGCTGTCATTGCACCATTTCTTAACGATGGCTTCAGCGAATGCAGGCCACAAACTTGAGGAACTCCAAAGCGAGATCGCTTCGAAATTTTGCGGTACTGCTCGAATTGCGCTCAATTGCATCTACTTTAGTGCGACGGATGTGCTCGATCCCCAGAAGCTTGATCACCTTGTCGGTATCTTCCGACACGAAGGATGCGATCGGGTCAATCCAAGTCACTTCCTTGCGGCCACTATCTCCGCCACTATGTTGGAATCCGCACTCGCATTGTCTCGCCTATCTCTCAGCGATCTAAACAACGTTTCGCCTCCTCTGCTTCATCTGCCCCCTGGGGAGTAGGCGTTGGGTCTGTATGGCCGCCATCGGATTGCTGCAGTTCTGCAAGACGACAGGCTGGCGTCATGGTGGCCAGTGAAGCTATATGCCGGTTAGTGGTCCGGCCAATACTGCCTACAACCGATGTTGATGTCTGCCAGATCTTTCTTCCAAAGCAACGGACATATTGATAGACGAGTACGCCAACGAGGGGCGATACTCCGACGGCCATATCGTTCACAAGATCATTGGTTCACCTGCGGCCTCCATGATGACAAGTAAATGGTGGGCGAGGCTCGATAAAAGTAAGCCAGAAATACTGAAGAGAATCTTCAAGCACCCGACGCTTGCTCCGGTCCTTGAGAAGGTTGTCGGAATACCTGGCATGCGGACCGACCTTCAGCTCGGCACCTGGAACAAGATCTTTCACTGTGTTGAGGTACGCAGTAGGTATGGACAGCGAGCCATGCGCGCCACTTGCTTGCTAATGAGGTTTTTCCAGGAGGTTGCCAACTACCTGTTATTGATCTACGATACCTGGGTCTTTATAATGGGCTCGCATAGTGCACTCGAATACGTGGATAGCAGTGGTGTACAGAGCCTTGAGCTGCTTGTACCTGGCGTCTCCCGAAGGGACCAACTTCGCGCTGAAGCTGCAATTCATGACCATGGCAACTTCAGATGCATCAATGACGAGATGGAGCGTACGAATATCCTACATAGGCTGAATTCGGTGCAGCATCTTATCCCCTCTATACGCACGCTCCAGAACGACTTCAAATACTTGAGAGAATGCACACACGTGGTCAAAAGGCTGGTTTGTGGAAAGACGCCTAGCCCATTCACCGTGCAAACCATTGCTTGGAAAGCCTTCAAGGCCCCAGCTAGGCATCCAGCGACCGAAGAGGTCATATTTGAGAACAGCCTCCGCTTGTTGTATGTGGCTGTCATGAACGACCTTTGCGATCTTTCTGGCCAGACCCTTTTGAAAGATGAAGGGGTAGAGCACGAATGGAACTTCCAGCCGGATCCCCGGGCTTGGTTTCGACTTGCTTGCCGCGCAAAGCAATTAGGTTTCGTTTCGGAGGAGATCTTACGGCTGTGCCAAGCGGATCCCGATCATAAGATCGCCTTGAAGGCTCTGGTCGAAGCACGTCCATCGCCCGATTACGACTACGGCACCAATCTCGAAGGCCTCGTGCAGCTGATCCGAGGACTGTTCGAGAAGGCACACAAAGTTGACTTCATGGAAACCCCACGACTGCTGACTACTAGTCAAAATGGCGAACCAACAACAAAAAGGTGTGGTCGTTTGTATGGAAAGGCCTATGCCAGAGATCGGCACCGCATCACTGCCGACATCGTGACATGTGATGTACAGACAAACACAGATGTCACCTCCCTTTTTGTTCGACGCTCAGTATTTCGTGCCTTCTGGGGATGTCCCTCACAAGACGTCACCGAAAGTTTCGTACAAGCACAGGAAACTGCAAGTGGCGTCAACGCTGGCAATTCAGAAACCTTGCTTCCACCACCTCAGCTGGATCTTGTTCCGGTGGCAGATCACGATGATCAAACAATGGCAGAGGACACCACCTCTGCAAACGCCACCTCTCCAGCCCCTGCGTCATCGAGGGCCCGTCGTGTCACGAAGAACAGACGACGTGAGACCCCATATGCTAGACCGCCACAATCTGCAGCGAAGCTCCTTCTCGGCCCCCCAACGATTCAGGGAGACCAGCAGGTTCACACAGCAGGTCTGATAGCAGGCACTGCGCCGAGTCAGGAGAACCAGCAGGTTGCCACAGTAGGTCTGATAGCAGATACTGCGCCGAGTGAGGTGGAGATCACTATTCTGCTTCGTCGGAACGGATGCTGGGTGGTATACGAGAAGGTGCCGCGAAGCTTGATCGGGTTCTGTATAGCCACACTCCGCGCCCAGAGCGTGGGGGAACAGCTGCACCTGTACGATATCGCAGGACGTGGACGGGAGTTGGACGATTGCACTCATGAGGGCCTTCCCTCCAACACCGTGTGCTTGAGCTCAAGCGATGAAGGCTTTCCACTTTCCAGTTGAGGAACAGGATGTCGCCACGGAAGGATATATAGTGTAGACGCTGGATGAAGTGAGACATCACTGTGGGTGAGGCAAATGCGGTCAACTTTGCTTTTTCAAGGGCTGGTTGATAAGTGATGCAACAAGACACTTGCGAGGACCCTGCTAGCGTATAAGATAATCAAGTGACGAGCGTCCTCTTCAAGCTGAAAAAGAACAAAGGCCTGGGTTCGTTTGATGCAGTGATCATAATGTGGTGGAAGGCAACTTCCTAGGAAGTTGCTTGGCCGTAGCCAGCAGCCAAATACCCAGCGACTTGACTAAAGTCCCTAACAACTTCCTAGGAAGTTCCTCGGCAGCACGTGCAACATCACTCATGCGAGTTACGGAGGTTGTCAAGATCCAGGGATGTGGAATTCCCAAACAAGACCGGCTCCTGGTCAGTGTGGCGGACCAAGCCACGTGAGGCGGGACTAGGAACTTCCTAGGAAGTTACTCTACTGCACGCACCAGCCAGGGCAAAGAAGCTAGATCCGTAGCAGCCCCCAGGCAGCCCTGAGCAACTTCCCAGGAAGTTGCTGCGCGGCCTTCGCAGGCTACCTTGCCACAACTGCGGCAGATTTCGTACAGTAGTGACCGCGAATTGTGTCCGCTTTTTAGACTTTAGTTACTGCTCCCGCACGGACCATAAAACCGTGACACATTATTCCGCACTGTGCAGATTGTCCTAATAACCAGTACCCTCCAAAAGTGGGATTACAGCATAACATGCGGCAGTTGGGGGTCGTTTCTTCGTCACCTCATCTGCAATGGTGGTCATTGCGAATCGTCGGACAACGTTCGCCATGCCCGTCGCAGGATGACGGCACAGTATGACACGGTCCTCACAACGCGGAGCATTAAAGTCCACTTTGTGCCTGTTGATGCGGGATAAATTTTACTCGAATGTCTATTCTGCACACATACATATGCAAACACTTTCTGCTGCGGCGCACGACCAAAAGTTGGCGTCATGGTCAGCCTCTCCTTACGCTCGGCGCACTGATTCTGGCCCCCCTACAACAGCAATTGAGGAAATGCGCTCGGCTCGTGTCACGTTCATTGCTCGCGCTTCGTATCTTGCAGGTTATTGTAGAACGATGCGAACTGTTTGTGAGCTTCATTGGTCCAATCACGATGCTTCCTCATTGAAGAGATCATCAAAATTTTCTAGCACTCCTTAAGCAGCCATTTGGATCTCCGTATCAGGTGCCGATGCTACCTGAGTATGATGTACGGGAGACGTTGTCATAAACATAGTACCCATCAACATGGTACCCATTAACATGCTCCACATTAACTTCAAGTTTGCAAGGTTGGAACTTTGCCCAGGATTGATCCATGTTTGATACTGTAATTATCTAGATCATCAACTGCAGCTCTTTGCACTGCCAATGATTCAAAATCGACACTCCAGATAATATGAGGCAAAGTTATATTACATAGTTATGCACATTGTATCATCACAGGCGAGTGACGAGTCTGCCTTACCCCGCATTTTCAGCCTTACATTGGGGCTGAGAGACGGCCCAATATCCCACCATGATAATGCTGTTGCCTGCTTCTTTGCATCCCATTTGACCTTCACGCGGGATATTCGGCGACCGAGATTCCCTCACCTCGATCAGGAACCCTGAATGCCATCGGCAATACTCTACAATGCGGCTACTGCAACAAGATAACGCCAACAACTACACCCTCACGGCCGATCTGCGCGCTGACGACATCCCCCCCTACGCCATCCTTTCCCACACCTGGGGCGCCGGCGAAGTCATCTACAACGATGTCAAAACGAGTTCAAATGACTGGCAACAGAAAGCCGGCTACGATAAGATCAAATTCTGCGCCGACCAGGCCAAGCGACATGACCTGCAGCATTTCTGGGTAGATACCTGTTGTATCGACAAATCTGACGCCATCGAACTCCAGACGGCAATCAACAGTATGTTCAGGTGGTACCGTGGCGCGAAACGATGCTACGTTTTCCTGTCCGACGTCTCCTGTCCCCTGACCTCCACTCAGCAGCCGGGAGTGATATCGTGGGAGGCTGCGTTACGAGGCAGTAGGTGGTTCACGCGGGGCTGGACACTTCAAGAGCTCATCGCCCCGCAGATTGTCGAATTCTACTCGAAGGAAGGGGTCTTCTTAGGCGATAGGAGGTCGCTGGAGGCTATTATACGCGACGTGACAGGTATTCCTGCAACGGCTCTAAGGGGTACACCATTATCTGACTTTACGACTTCCGAACGCGAGGCGTGGGTTCGCAACCGGGAAACAAAGTATGAGGAAGACATGGCATACTCGCTGCTTGGGATATTTGGCGTTCACATGCCACTCATCTATGGTGAGGGTCGCGAACAAGCACAGAGAAGATTGCGAGAAGAGGTCCAGAGATCTGTAAAAGGTGAGACACAGCTCAGAAACTCAGAAGAGAGGATTCATATTGACTAATGCACTTAGGCACTCACCACAACAAGTTCTCGATCAGCTTCAGCCTGTCGGGCGTCCCCGAGACTCCACATTTCGTAGCAAGAGATGGAGAAGTAGCCGAGATGCGGAGAGTGCTGTGCTCGGATGGAAGCCGTCGCGTTGTCGTGCTCCATGGTCTCGGTGGCATTGGCAAGACACAGCTCGCTGCGACCTATATCAACCGATATCGAGACGAGTACTCTGCCATCTTCTGGCTCAATATCAAGGACGAAGCGTCCATTCAGCAGAGCTTTGCTAGGATCGCAACGCAGATCCTCGAACAGAATGCCGATGTCGGCAGCCTCAAGGGACTGGACCTGCAGCAAGACCACGACAAGATTACTCAGGCCGTCAAGGCGTGGCTTAGCTTACCAGGCAACACCAGATGGCTCATTGTGTACGATAACTACGACAACCCACAGCTTCCAGGACGGAAAACCGATGCTGCGGTTGACATACATTAGTTTCTTCCGATGGCATATCAGGGCTCAATAGTGATCACAACGCGGCTGTCGCAGATCGACATAGGACATCACATCCGAATTGAGAAACTCAAATCCGAACACGAGAGTCTGCAAATACTGTCGAACGCATCAGGTCGAAATGGCTTACAAGATGGTAAGAGTCTTGAGGCAGTCAGTTTTCAGCCACTAATAGTGTCTTAGATAGTGACGCAAAAGACCTTGTGCGAGAATTGGACGGGCTTCCCCTCGCTCTAGCTACGGCCGGAGCATATCTGAAGCGCGCCCCAATCAGCATACGCAAGTACCTTCGCTACTACCAGGAATCTTGGGTCAGACTTACTGGTAATCTGCATCTTGGATCCTATGCAGATCGTACCTTGGCTACAACATGGCGGCTGTCATATGAACATGTTCAGACACAAAACCCACTTGCGGCTCATTTGCTCCAGTGGTGGGCCTACTTCAACAACGAAGACATATGGTTCGGTCTTTTCCGGGCTAGAAGCGGAATGGGCCCCGTGTGGATGAAACAGCTTTCAGAAGAGCTCAACTTCAACGATGCGATGGGCGGACTCCATGACTACGGCCTTGTCGAACCTGCATCTTTGTTCCAAGAGATACAAGGGTATAGTATACATGGTTGTCTGCATTCTTGGACGGTCCACATATTGAACGAGGAGTGGGACAGCTGCTTGAACAAGCTTGCAGTCGAGAGCGTGGCGTCGCAGGTTCCATCAAACGTGGAAGCTGAATATTGGCTGCTTCAGAAGCGACTAATACCACATGCGATCCGGTCTTGTTCAACAGTACAGGAGAGCGATGTTCCCTCGGATTGGGCTTTTCATTCTCTGGGTAATCTCTACTCTGATCAGGGGAAGCTGGACGAGGCCGAGAAGATGTACTTGCGGGCGCTGGATGGGAGCGAGAAGGCACTGGGACCGGATCACACATCAACACTTGGCACAGTCAACAATCTCGGGATCCTTTACTCTGATCAGGGAAAGCTGGACGAGGCCGAGAAGATGTACTTGCGGGCGCTGGATGGGAGCGAGAAGGCACTGGGACCGGATCACACATCAACACTTGGCACAGTCAACAATCTCGGGATCCTTTACTCTGATCAGGGAAAGCTGAGCGAGGCCGAGAAGATGTACTTACGGGCGCTGGATGGATACGAGAGAGCTGTTGGACTTGATAAAGTCACGACATACCGGCCAGCGATCAATACCCTTTCGAACCTAGGATCTTTGCGCTCAAAACAGGGCAATGTGGGTCAAGCTCGGCAATATTATCAACGTGCTTACGATGGTCTTGACCAGCTCCTCGGGCCATTGCACCCAGCCGTCCAGTCAGCGCGGCACACCCTCGAGCTCACGAATACCGCCTGTGAAGCTGGGACGTGTTCGAGCGATGACCAACATTTGGTTGATTCAACACAACCCCAGGTGTCAAATAAGAGGCGACGAGATATTTTGAAGCGGGTCCTACGTCTTCATATAGGGTAGAAAAGTCGATAGTATGTTAGTCTCAGAATCAAAACAATGTAGAAAGAACTCCTTGTGCCGTACGAGAGCTAAGAGCGTTCCGGTATATCCTCGGCTTCCACACCATAGCGCAGCTTCGGCAGAGCGGCGTATCAAACCGCCGGCACGAAAATCGGAGTTCCATTGCCCTGAACTTGCGCGACAGCACTTGATCACTCGCACGGATGGTGGCTCGAATTCTTATGCATGAACGTAGGAATGTGAAGTTGCAAGCAAGGTTGCTGAGCCCAGTCTAAACAACATCGGCTGGCTTACAGATTCATGGTCTTGTCAGCCAACCTAAAGGCGCCAACAGTCGCTCACTTATATGTTTCTAGGTCTGCTTGTGGAGTTGTGAACAGGAATCTACCTGCTGCGCTTGCTGTCCTTGCCTTTGGACTCCTTGCCCTTGCCCTTGCCCTCCTTGCCCTTGCCCTTTCTCTCCTTGCCTTTGGACTCTTTGCTCTTGCGCTCCTTGCCCTTTCTCTCCTTCTCGTGGCCTTCATGCACCCTACCATGTCTCCTCCCTAGGATGGAAGATCTGCTGGCGCTGTGATTGTGGACGAGATTACTATCCGAGCCGGGCTAACGCAGCACGGGATTTGGACCCGCGCGACTATGTACCTGATCACACGGATGATGCGTCTTCTCTCTTCTATGAACATCTCCCAACGATTCGTTCAGGTGACCCATTCGCTTCAAGATCAGCCCGCCGTGAGATACCTCCAGAAGACCTGGCCGACAACACATATTCTACCGATGCATACTCATCCGTGGATCGGAATGCTCGAGCCTTTTATCCATCCCACCAAAGGACCTTCTCGGATGACCCTATTACAGCGGGCTCTTCCAATATACAGCGATCAACACGGATCGTGGATAGTGCTCGGGAGATTGGAATGTCATTCAACAACCTGTCTGTAGACGACCTGGCAGGTGGCTCCTATGAGCAGACACAACACTCGCAGTACTCTTTGCGGAAGCTTAGAAGGTCCTGGCTCGCAGAAATCACGATTCGTATAAGTCGAGGGACTAGGGACGGGGGCTATGACACTGGAGTAGTTGTCGTCATCGTACTCAAAGTCGCTATCGTCAGAGTCATAATCATCGTCGTCGTCGTCGTCGTCGTCGTCGCTGTATTGGTCATAGTAGACAGGTTCAATAGGGGAAAATGGTGCGAGGCCGTGCATCTGGCAGGCCCGAGAGGGGCCGCTGGACTTCTGTGCGGGGTCGCGCGTGTGGGGCGGCTGGCACAATGACGAAGACTGCTCAGTAGCATCATCCCATGCTTTGCGAAGCGATCCCAGAGAGATCAACAGTCCCACAGGCTCAGATACTTTCTCCCCAAGTCCAATTGTGAGGGCCGCATCGAGCTTCCAACGCAAGGCTCCAGCAAGCCGCCTGCAAGCTTCAGACGGCCTAGTGCTCCTCTCGACCTGCACCGCACCCAACAGAAGATGGGATCCTGAAAGGGCCTGCGACCTGAGAGACTGACTGCCTGCAAGCTCAAGCCTCCAAGCTCCTTCGATTCCTAATCGTCATTGTTGCACTACCCGATCGTCCAGCCCGGTCGATCCTCCGCGATTTGGATAACAGGACAGGCGACGCTAAGAAGCCTACCCCAGACCACGCCATCGCCCTCTCCAGCTTTTAGCGACAAGGATGCCAGGAAGATTCCGCATTGTCAAGTAGCAACCCCAAGCCACAACGTGGCTCTCCACTTCCCACTGACATCATATGGAAGTCTGTCAGGCAGCAAATGCTCCAAGCCAGCCAAGGGTATTCAAGACGCTGTCATATATTGGAATGCCGCCCAAACACTGCCGAGGTTGTCGGTAGCATGCTGGAAAGCCAACGATCGGGAGTGCGCGGGATTAATCATTGACTGGACAGGTCACAGTAGCAATGCTCCCATGACACTCGGGCGTGTGGCCAATCGCGACTGTGTCTTGAGGATGCTCCAGCTCGTCACACCACACACACACTGGCCACATGGAGGGCATCTCCTGGTATTATGACATGACGCATGTGAGCCCGACACAATCACGTGCCAAACAAAGAATTCAATGCACATTCGTGAGCGAAGCCACTTGTCACCACTTGTCATCCACGGAGCAGGCAGCGTAGCAGGTTCGACTTGGGGCCAAGCATTTGACTTATTAGCGTGATGTGCCCTTTGGGTTCAATCACGATCACCCTCGCCGTGGGTCTTACAACCAGCAAGCTCCTCCACTCATGGCCCGAACGATGTTGCCAAATGCAAACCCTTTCCCGCCTTTTTCAAACACGCTGCCAAACAATATTCTAGATGTTTGTTCTACAGAATTAACCCGCCGACAGACTTGCCATACCAAACCTCAACACAGTGGAGAATTATACGAGCCATGCACATTACTCTTCGTCGTCCTTGCCATCCTGCTTGCTCATCATCTTCTTCGTCAGCAGCCGCTTCTTCGGGCGCAACCACTCTTCCATGCCCTGCGGCCAAAAGACACGTCCGTTTGGTCCGCCCATGCCGACCTCGCTCTCGGGGATTTTCTCTGGCTCTTTGGGTGCCTCATCTTCCGCCTCTGGAGCGTCAGCAGTGTCCGGCATGGCAGCATCGCCGTCTTCGTCCTCGCCCGTGGCAGCCTTCTTCTTATTTTTTGGTGTCGACTTCTTCGCCTTCTTCTTGGTTGCCTTGGGCAGAGACTTGTTCTCGTCATCACGCTCGTGGGGCGCAATGTCGTTGATACGGTCCCAGCCGGGAAGCTTAAAGTTGCGCATCAGACCAAAGACTGCCTGCTCCTTGTCCTTGGCCTCGATCATCAGATCCATGTCATTTGCGCACGGTGGGAGTGTCGCCACGCGGGGGCTATGCTTGCGCCGCTGCCGTCCAGTGATGGCCTCCGGGCATGGCTCGCTGTAATGCATCTTTTGCGTGATGCCCTTTCGTGTCCACGTTGCTCTGATACGAGGATACAGGTCTATGATGTCGTGCGTGCCTTCGCGAATCTTGTCCGCATCAAACATGATGTTGTGGTGGTGATAGTCGAGCACCATTGGAATGTTGAGCTCCTCACATATGGGCAGAAGGTCGTGCACCGTCCACGAGACGTCATCGTTCTCGAGCACAAGGCGTGCCTTGATGCTGGGAGACAGCTTGGCGTAGTTCTCCCGGAATCGATCCAGTGCTGCGGCCTTGTCGCCAAACACGCCGCCCATGTGCAGGATCATGACGGCATCCTTGTTCTGCTGTTCAGGTAAGCGCAGCAATGTCAACATCTCGTCATGGTACTCGAGATCCCGTATGGCATTGCGCACGACCTCATTCCGTGGTGAGTCGAGTTGTGTGAACTAGATACGGTGTCAGTCGCTGTGTGTTACGAAGGGTGCTTATAAACAACGGGACCAATCACAAAAGAAGACATACCTGCCCAGGATGCGTGGTCAAGCGGTGACCCAGCTCCCCAGCAACTTTGCCAGCCTCTGCCAGCACCTCCGAGGCAAAAGGCGCCAACTTGTACCCGTACTCTCGTGGCTCGCAAAAGGGAACATCTCGGAGCTCAACCGCATGAACTTGATGCCGTACCTGTCGTTCCACCGCAGCATTTTGACAATGTCGCGCGCATTGGTAAGTCCAAGGTTCTCCAGGTAGCGTTGTCCACGTGCCACATCGGCAGGTTGCTTCCTGTCTGGGCGGTTCTTGGTAGGATGCTCTGGCTGGTCCGGGTACATGAGCGGATGCCTGTGCTCGATGATGGACGCGATACGGCATGTCCTGGAGCTAAAGACGGGCGGGTTTGAAAGGCGGAGATATGTATTCAGACAGGCCTGGTCAATGTCAATGACACGTATTAGTAATTGTAGTTTTCAAGTAGACGACGGATGTGAACTTCGACTTACGTATCCCAGTCGACCCTTCCACGGCAAGGGCAAGATATCACTGTTGACGGGCGGCGGCCTCCAGGCAGCCTGGCGGATGGCACTCGACTCGTCCTCTGGCGGCATGCCCTCAACTTCATCCTCGCACGGCGACTCCGGGTCCTGGTCGATCTTCTCGCGCGGCGGGGTGCGACCCCATGCGAGGGCTTGCATCTGATCATCTTTCGTCGCCTGTGGCGCCTCGTCGTTGGTTGTCAGCATCTCGGACGTGCCCGTCCGCAGTTCGCCATTGAACATCCTTGTCTCGTCGTGGATGGCGTCAGGCGGTATGCTGAGCGAGGTTTCTCCAAGGGCGAGCTTCTGCCGCTTGACCGCGTCGCGGAACGAGTCCTCCATCTCGCGCAAGCCCACAATGGCAATGTCCATATGGTCACCGTCGGACTTGTTCTTGCCTGTCCTGCGCTTATCTCGTCCCGTGGACGCCGTCGACGCCTTGTTGGACCGACTAGTCTTCGCGCTTGCGGCAGAGTCGTCGTTCTTTGCGCGAAGGCCTACGCCGTCCTTGACGTGGCGGCCTGATCTGCGGGGTCCGAGGCTCGGCATCGTGTTGGCAGGCTCCTCACTGCCTGGTGGTGTGGTCTGCTGCCGAACTCCGTGTGGTTCCTCTGTATCGGCGGCAGTGGCAGCAGCACTTGATCGCTTCCTTCGCTGGCCCATTATGAAAGTCGGGGGGTCTTCAGGTATGGGGCTGGAAGAGATATAGGAGGTTGTGTGCGGAGCAATGGCGGCCGCAGGGGGTTGCTGGCGGCGGTTGGGGCGCTGGGCGGCGAGCGCCGGAGCAAAAGTCGCGAAGAATGCGCGATGTTGTCGCCAGATATGTGTCAGACGGTCACCGGACAGGGCCTTACAGGGGAGGAGGCTGCCACGGAGCACAATACCCATGGACAGCGTGGAGGTAAAGGATCGGATCGAATTGGAGCCGTCACCACTCAGTCGATCGCGGAATTGAGTGGACGTCTCTGTCGATGTGCCAATGTGGAGGAAGCCCAAGTGGCAGACAGGCTGTGTTTGATAGAAGGCAGGCACTGCTTGACTCTTTCAGCCTGGATCCGTCAGCAACGCAAGTCGAAAATGTTGGGGACAGGCAATGGCGAAGGAGCAGCCGCATGAGCGTGGGCATGAGGAGCTGCGCAGGGTCCTGGACTAGGGCGGCGGCTCGTGACTGAGGTCCGCCTGGTCCCAGGCGCTCGGCAGCGGCCATGAATGATGACGCATGGGTTGTGGAAGAACAGCTGCCAGGCACGCTGGGAGCCGCTTTATCAGGGACCAAATGGTCCGTAGATGCGGTCAGGGCGGAACCCCGCTGTTGTCTAACGTCGACCGATGAGCTCATGGTGCCACACTAACTTATATCGAGATCGTCAAAGGTGGGGCACGCCGTGGGCTCTCTTCCCGCAGGATGTGGAGAGCACTTTGTACGACTCCACTGCGCTAGCGGTTTTACACGTCGAGTGATCACCCAGACCTTATTGGCTGGCCGTGGTCAGCCAGGCCTTGGAAACTCATTGCCAGCAGCGCTGCATGTCACCCATGTTGGATTCGAGGAGAGGCCGTCTGGTAAAAGGAAGTCCCGATTTCGATGGTCGCCCTTCTGCTTCACGAGAAGGGGTGCTCCGCACCTTTACATAACCCAAAATAAATCCGTCGCTGTGCCAATCTCGCATGTCTCGGTGGAGCTGTGCATGATACCAACCATTTGTCACTTCTTTCCGCTTATGTCTTTTACCCAAAGACAAAGACAATGAATTCGCACAACACCTCCGCGCTGCGGCCGCTATGCTAACCAACGTCTCACGAGCCCCAATATCACAACCTGCACAGCCTCCCGCACTGATTATTCCTTGCTCTCCACTGTCACTGCCGTTCTAACGTGGATGGCACCTCTGTCAACGCCAAACAGCTCCTCTTCGCTACTGTTGGACGCGGCCGCAGTGGTAGCTGATGTCCCGCCTAGAGACCGGAGCTGGACCGAGTCGTCATGTATTTGGCTTCTCCCAAGTCGGCTCGCGCCCTGCTTCGAATTTCCTCCCGTGTTGGAGTCGTGGTACATTTCGTTGACGTAATACTTCCTGCGGGTCTTGGATAAAAGTTTAGCTGCACGATAGAGCCCCGGGCCCGAGACGGTGATGAATGCTACAGTTGACAAATTGGTGTTAGTTCAATCTTGTATAAAGCGGGGGCGAGCTCTATGGTCCAGGTGCATACCAATAGCAGACTCAATCGTGCCCCAGACAGCGAGCCACGGAACGGTGGGCTGGTGTCCTGGGTTGGCAAGTTGTGTAACGCGGATAGTCGAGGCGGCGATGCAGATCCAGCCCAGACAGAACAGGCCGACGATACCCAATTTTCTGGACAAGGGCATCTGTAGGTTGAGGACGAGTCGGAGGGGTAAGAACATAACTAGGTTCAGTTTCTATCAGCAGAAGTCGGACAAATGGGTTGGGGTTTCGGAGACATACTGAGTAGATCCGTGAGTACATCGACGGCGTAGGCGTACCACATGCTGATCGCCGCGTGGACGATGTCGCGGGGCGTGTAGCACATGCCTGCGGTGAACCAGGCTTCCATGCTGGAGCAGGCCAAGAACAGTGTGATCATGGCGCCGACCAAAGACTAGAAGACAGAAGTAGACCATCAGTTACAAATACTTGGACTTCAACGGTCGGAGCTACTACCTACCAGCGCAGAGAAAATGGCAAGTGCCCACCACAGCTTGAGGTACAGCGGCAGTTTGTCCACGAGCTTCTTGTACATGAAGAGGAGCGAGAATTTGGCTGACCAGAGGCAGAACCAAAGGCTGGCGGAGGCAGCGAAAAGCCCCTTCTGAATGAAGACCGCGTCATCACCAGCTGTTGGATAGGGCTCTATGGCCCCGACCGCGAGGTCGGTGAGGCGGAAGAAGGCTGGTACAATGTACAGATATAGGATAGATACGACCAGAAAGAAGCTGTAGCTGGCGAGGAGCCAGAGGTCCTCCCCGGTGACGTTGCGATGCTGGATGAAAGTTACGGCTGCGCGGGCGATCGCTACAAGGGTTGTGAGGACGATCATGGCGATCCCCGTGCTCCGGATCGCCGGACGCGGGATGGGGCTGTCCATGACGAGGACGAAATCAGGTACGGTGTGCGCGAGGACGCTGTGGCATGAGGTGGTTTTGTCGAGTAATCCAGCTTGAGCATGGGACGCGTAACGAGATGATGAGATCGCCTGTGTCGTCGTGGCACCCAAGCGAAACGGGGCTACTCTTCATAGAGGCTCCACGGTGCCTAAATACCTAGTCCTCAGACAACCCCCTTTGGCGACTCGGGAGCCACAGGCCCAGACTGCAGTGATCCCAGCATTGCGCCTTGTGGCGGCCTTTCCTGCGTAAGCCGTGAAAGGACTAAGGCCCTGAAGGGGAAAGTGGAAATTACTGGAGTAATCTAGGTGCTCAACCAAGTTTCAGCCGCTCGGTGGCCACCCCCGGGAAGGAAGGGCTCGTCAAGGTGTGTTCAAGCGGTCTCTACATGAAGATGAAGGCATGGACAGAAAGCAGGGGATGTGTTGGCGCTAGTTCACGTGCCGCTGCACATGAATCCCTCGCGAGACTCTGGTGCATCTGCTTCGTGGACGTATCTAGCAGCTCCATTCTATGTTCAGACCGCAACCCAGGCCTGGGCTCTGCCGCCGGCAAAGACACTTTGCCGGAGACGCGGACATATGGCTGGAAAGAGAGTCTGGCTTGAGGCCATCCAAAAGGCCGATAATCTGGGCTGCGAATGGGGCACAGACCCCACAAAGAGTAAATGGGAGTGTCCAATTATGTTTTATGTTTATTATATATTTAATAAAGGTAAAACTAAATTAAATTTTTAGTAGTCTTGCGGATTCCGCAAGCTCTTTGAATTTATTTGTTTGTATGCGCATGGGCTAACTCTTGCAGCTCTGTTGACAAGGGCAGCAGCATGGGATATGCTTGTAAAATTGTTCCACGCGCGCATTGAAGACGTTGGAGACCGCTTCCTGCCAGGCAGGGAGGCCAGGACCCCTGCTGTGCAAGAAACTTTATCTTACGAGCCCTCAGCCTTACGAGCCCGGTTGCGGGGGAAGGAAATGCACACGGACGGCGACGGCGGGCCAGACTCCCGGGCACTCATGGGTATGCATGTCTTGAGTAATAATGCCCGTTCATAATCTAGTCTGCGAGGGTGTAACACTACCAACGACGGCATAAATCAATAATGCAGTAATAACAATCAGGTGAAGTGAGGTGCAGAAGTTCCGCGGATATGAGCCATTCCGTGCCAACTCCCACACCGACATATAAGTACCTATCATTCCTGGCAATCAAGCACTCAAGAGTCCAGGCTCTCCCACTACACCACGGTCAACCTTCCTGTGACTTCGCAATGGCTGTCAAGCACCTCTTATCGGTCCTGGCCATTGGCTTAGCCCTCTCAAGCAAGGGCGCTGCCCAGGTCGTCGAGCCCACGGACTTCAGTATCACCAAGGCCCTCCTGGACAAGGGCATCGATGTCACAACGCTGCCCGGCCTCGCCGAATATGCAGCCGACGAGGGCTCAGTACAGAAGCGCGATACACGTGCCGGCTGTGCAATTGTCGTACGTCCTCCCATGTCCACACTCCGCTCGCATTGTGACAACAGTGCAGATCTAACCCACATTGGATAGTGCAACACCCTTGGATTGATCTACGGCGTCCAAAACACACTCCTCCGCGGCGTCTCGGGCTACTCCAACTTCACCAGCTCGTTCTGGTCCGACAACCAGGCCCAGGTTCGCCCAGTCTGCGTCTTCAAGCCCACAACACCGCTCGAGGTTTCTGTGGTCGTCCTGTTGGCTCGCCTAACGCAGTGCCCCTTCGCAGCAAAGAGTGGCGGGCACGCCGCCTTCGCGGGCGCCTCGAACATCCAGGATGGCATCACCATCTCCTTTGCCAACCTCAAGCGCATCAGCTTGTCAGCCGACAAGAAGATTGCATCCATCCAGCCCGGCAACATCTGGGGCCCAGTCTTCGAGCAGTTGACCAAGTCCGACGTGACTGTCGTCGGTGGCCGTCTCTACAACATTGGTGTCGGCGGCTTGACCCTGGGCGGTGGTATCTCCTACTGGTCCAACAAGTATGGCTGGGCCTGCGACAATGTCGAGAGCTTTGATGTAAGTGCAGCCACGGGGAGAAACCTGGCGATCACTGTCACGACTCTTGTCAGCTGACCCAGCATAGGTCGTTACCGCCAGCGGTGCTATCGTCCGGGCGAGCGCAACTGTGAACGAAGACCTCTACTGGGCACTCAGAGGCGGCGGTAACAACTTCGGCCTGGTCGTCAACTTCAATCTGAGGACGGTGCCCTTGCCTGGGGGGGAGATGTGGGGTGGTTCGCGCGTGTACACGGAGGACAAGTTCCAGGCCGTCGAGAGCGCATTTGGCAAGACGATTGCCAACTCGGCCTCGGACACGAAAGCCGGGCTCTACCTCGTCTACTACTACTCTGCCGGCACCAAACTAGCCATCCCGGCGCTGTACCACGAAGATCCCAATGCCGCTAACGCTCCCATCTTCGCCGACTTCAATGCTATTCAAGCTATTTCCGACACCACCAAGCCCCGCGTGCTCGCCGAATGGGGCAAAGAGACGATGAACGACAGCCCGCCGGGCCTCCGCGAGATGTACTACACGGTCACGACCAGGGCCGACCCTGAGATCCTCAAGCTCGCCCGTGAGATCTTTTTCCGACGAGTACCCGCGGTGTCAGCCATCCCTGGGATCATCCCCAATCTCGTCATCCAGGGACTCACGGTACCCCAGCTACAGCAAATGCAGAAAAACGGTGGCAATGCCCTAGGTCTCGACACCGCCGACGGGCCGCTCTACATTATGCTCATGGCTTCTATGTGGAGCAACGCATCGGACGACGAGACTGTCCACCGCTTCATGTCCGATGTTCTTGCTGAAATCACTAAGGAGGCCCGCGCCCGCGGCCTTGACAACGGTTTTGTCTACATGAACTACGCTAGTCAGTTCCAGGACGTTGTCAGCAGCTATGGTTCTGCCAACAAAGCGAAACTCAAGGCTATCGCATGTAAGTACGACCCACAGGGCGTTTTCCAGCAGCTACAGCCCGGTGGCTTCAAGCTGGATCGCGCACCGCTGCCGGACCCGCGCTATTTCTCTAACTAGAGGAGCGCGGGGCGCGTTGGTGATCTAAATACTACAACAAGGCGGAACAGGAACGATAGATGAAGTGATACCGAAAAGCTGTCTTTCAAGGCCTCTATGTAGACGCGTTTGTAATTAGATAGGTTTATCATCATAGGCTTGCATACGACAAGAGCAGATGCTTTAGAATTAATTCCTCTTTAATTCTTCATTCATTAGCATTCAGACTCACTATGCTACCGCTGTGATTTATGTTGTTTTCCAGACCATCATTCCTGGCTGGATTATCCTCAGTTACGCGCATCCCGAGCGTAGACTGCATTCTGGGGAACACTCGACGCGGTGGAGGGCTTGCTCCAAACACCGATAGAGAGCGGAGTGTCCGGGTTGCACTCGAAGTCGCTGATCAACCTGTACTGCTTCCAGATCGAGCAGCGAATGTGCACCAGAACGAGGGAATCCCCCAGCACTCGGCCAGAGTGTTGGCGGTGATTGAATTCGACGATACGATTCCGTCAGCACCGATTGGAAGCCTGTGGCGGACGTGGGAGAGGGACAGGGTCTCAGGCTGTTCTCGTTTCGATCGGGGTTCCCTAGTCGCATGCGGAGTAGATCAGCTGATCGTCAAAACGCATCGAGGCGGTGGCACCGCTCTTGTGCGCTAAGGTTTGCAGGGCTTGTCGGGATCATCAGCTGAGAAAGACTAGTGAAAGGTTGCTCGGAGCCTGGCTCGGGACTATGGAAATGGGCTCGCCAGCGAGATATCGGCTCACACGAGGTTAATGAACTAAGAAAATAGATGAGGAGAAGACACCAAGGCTGGACGGGGAAGCGTACCGCACAAGCTGGCTCTCGATGCTGCATACGTCTCAGGCCACAACACCGCGGGGGTCAGAAGGTCTTCTTCAGCGTGTGCTGGTGAGCACTTTATACGTCGATGGTGCGACGCCTCAGCCCGCCCACCGTAGACCCTGGTCATATCCCCAGCCGATCAGATACGGTATGGCACAACCAAGCTCGCCAAGGTTGTGCTGCGGAGGCAGGTGACAAGCCCAGGGTCAAGGGCCCCTTGTATGGAATTGGCCCTTTGCCCACTCGCTTTTTCATCCGCGCGATACAGGGGGGTTCCAGATCCCTACCCAGCCATCCTCGTGGCTGTCTGCCGCGAGTCGGGCTAATTATGTGGTGGACAATGGGCACACCGGGCCACCATTCGATTGGGCTGGATCCATCCTTCCGCGACCCGTGGAGGATTCTTCTTGTCTTGGAACATCCTTAACTAGAAACCCGGGCACGTACCACTGTGTCTACATGTACATTATTAAAGGGGGGCGGTGCTGTGCATGCGAGCATGTGCGAGTTCCTGAACTGCCGGCACGAGAATCGGAGTTGCACTGCCCTGAGCTTGGGCAACAACATTTGATCACTCTCACGAATGATGGCTCGCATTCTCATGCACGGGCGCATGAAAGCGAAGTTGCAAGTAAGGTCGCTGAGTCCAGATTTAACAGGATTGGCTGGCTCAGAGATTCATGAATTCCTGTCAGCCTGCGGGCGGGAACAGTCACCAAGTTGTGGGCTTCGAGATCGGCTTCAGGGGTTGTGAACAGTAGTCTACCTGCTGCGCTTGCTGTCGGTCTTTGCCCTTGCGGTCCTTCCAGATGAGAGCCCAGGGAGGCAAGCCGCATTTCTGTGAAGTTGTCCACCACCCATCTTAGGGGCCAGTAAGGCACACAGCCACCTTTCCAAGCTGGCAGAAGCATCAGACGGAAGACGAAATTCTGGTAGGTCGGAGGACGTTGCCTCCGCCTGCGGTTGAACGAGGTGCTTGGTGTAATACACGCGGTAACCCTGACGCTCAATAAGGGACGCACAGAGGATGTAGGACCAGCAGAATATTAGGACTGTGAGACCGTTTGGAGGTGGTTCCGTAATTATGCCATCTACGTGCCCGAAGAAGCTCGAGTCCTGTCGCTCTGCGATAGAAGCTCGAACTGGTTCTTCGCAAAGGAGATGGAAGCGCTTTCTAGCACCTGGAGTGAACTTCCCTTTTTTGTTGAGATCGGATACGTGCCAAATTGGCTGCCCCTCCAAGATCGGGGGAACACTCAGAAACGTGAGCTGCTCAAGGACCCTAAGGCAGGTGCCCAAGGCGCCTTTGCCAGAGTCTGCACACCGTTCCTGCTCGGCGTGTTGGAGTCGCGTTTCTTGCTACACCCAGTCAGTGAGAGGGGGGCTAGGGCCGAGCGAGCAGGGTCCACGTACCTTCAGGCCGGGAAATGAGTCGATGGAGCTCGGCCGACCACGAATTCGTAGGGGAACACACATGGACTCGACATCCTCAGACCCGTCCTCGCACGGGTCCCTGGCCCGATCTTGTTGGTTTGCTTGTCCACGGGATGTAGCGCCCACGTACCCTGCATAGCATCTGGCGGCACCAGATTGTGCGAGGCCTGCACCAGCTCTCATTACATAATTTTTTTGTGCCTTGACAATTCCAGACACTGGGCCAATTCGCCTCGCTTCAACTCCCCGGGTGGGCGAGCGGCTGGCGTGGTGCCGTGCCCGTGGCCCGGCCCGGCGTGGAGCACCGCGAGTTGCGTGTTCGCGGGATCGCGTCTCCTGGGCAAGTCCAGGAACGCTGCGAGGGCCACTTACACGGCTCAAGCTGCTGGGACTGCCCGTAGTGTGAAGGCCTATGACTGTTCATTGAGGACATGGCAGGGTCGGTCTTACTGGCGCCTCGAGTGGGCAAGTCGTGTGCCCGAATATCACGACCTGGCATTCGGGTCACTTCCTAGGAGTCGCAGATTGCCTCTTGTGAGAAAGGAAATGCTACTCTGATTAGCTTCACTGCGGACTCCCCGTGGGAGGGGTACTCACCGGGATGCCTGCTCCAGTGCTGATCCCTGCGCCGGCCACCACTACCCATTTCTGTCCAGCCACTCACAAGATGCCCGGTCAATGGTCCTCGAACAGCAGCTCGAGGACCAGGATGCAGACTTTCTCATCGAGAAGGTAGTGACATGGATGAGCTGCGCAGCGAAAGAGCTGCGAAGCCCCAGCCATTACCTTCAGCGTTGTTCTACAGTGTAGGTCACCTGGGTATCACAGGAAACGTAACTCCAGGCACATCGATCAGACCAAAAATGAATCCATGAAGCATTTCCGCGATTGACAACTCAATAGGAGACCGCCAGGCCTGGGTTAGGTACTGTTGAAACACGGCGCACTGGGCACCGTCGGTTGTGTCCCTCGCTGTCGTCTATGAACCTGTGAGAACTCAAAATCCGTCAGTTTTTGCACACATTTTGTATGTGTCATCACAACTCGTCATGTAGTCCCAAGTCCCATCTCTGCCCACCAAAAAAGGAGAGACTTGTTCAAAGAGGACGTTACTTAGGCTCATGAGAATATCTATTCTGGTATTCAAGAACGAAAGAGGGTGGGCAGACAGGACACGAAATCAAACACAAACACAATGTCAGGGATCAACTCTGACATATAATCTCAATCAGGCCCTGCTCTGGAACGTCGATATTCAATTGGGCCCCAGGGGCGAAGTCCAGCTTCTCCATGTGTATGTCGCTGCCCCACAGATATTCTCCGATTTCTTGCGTGATGGCCTGCGTCGTCGCGGAGTCGGCGCATACTCCCGCGGTTAGCAGCAGAACAGCGCACCATGAGGCGAGACTTACACAATACAAGCGTCCTCCCCATACGCTTTACGAGCGGGACTCATTGCCTTGTAGTGCAAGTCAATGCGGTCGTGCGATCCGAGCTTCCGTACGGTCCCCTCCGAGACGTTTCCGTCTACGTACTTGCCCCGAATGAAGAGCTTTAGTTCAAGAATCTACCAAAGTCAGTGAGGTGAAGCTGTGCTGTCATGGTACCTTAGGTACTTGGATATGTGGCTGGTGCGCTCAGGGCGGATTGGCGAGAGAGCCACATGTGGCTTGACTGTTGAGGCTCGGCGCTCCCCTCCAGAGTTGGTCAGCTAATTATGGCCGGCTGGGCCTGGCTGGCCAATTGGCCATGTCCCCCGACATTGACAGTTCCGGAAGGACCCGCCCGTTTCAACGCGTGCAAGTGGCCACATCTTGCCTGGGTTGTCCACGTACGCCTGGCAGGCGACAGGCGGGCGTCGAGGCGCAGATCCCCAGGCCCGAACCCAAAAAAGTCGCGGCGCAATCAAGCCAGCCTCCAGCCTCAACGGACCACTCCCTCCATTGTCACATCGTCAACGCCCTCCCCCACCCTCCTGCCGCCATCTCGACGGATTGTCCTTTACCTGCTCGCCTGCAGCCCCGATAGTGTTAGACACCTCTGTCTCCGCAGACCATTCGCATCACGCCTTAAACACCAGCATCATGGAGCCCGAGCCGGAAACCCCTTTTGCCTCTGTGCAGGCGCAGACCACCAAGCTTCAAAGGGTGAGCTGCAGCTCCACCTCGATGAGCATTGCCAACGTGTGCGAGAAAACAGCTTTACTGACTGATCTCTCTGTGTTTAGCAATACCAAGCGCTTCTGGACCAGTCGACACCATACGTAACATACAGATGGATTGGCACAGGCGCATTCCTCTTCGTCTTCTTCCTCCGCATCTTCGTCGCTCAGGGCTGGTACATTGGTGTGTTCTATCACGAGTTCACCATGTCTGCAAATCATCAGAAACTAACAGTTGACGCTTACAGTGGCATATGCGCTCGGTATCTACCTGCTCAACATGTTCCTCGCGTTCCTGTCCCCCAAGTTCGACCCCGCTAGCGACATGCTCGACAACGAAATGGAGGACGGCAGCGCTGGTGGCCTTCCCACCAAGAGAGACGAGGAGTTCCGGCCCTTCATCCGCCGTCTTCCCGAGTTCAAGTTCTGGCACGGCGCCACTCGCGCTATTGCCATCTCCTTCTTGTGCAGCTGGTTCGAGATCTTTAACGTACCTGTCTTCTGGCCCGTTCTCGTCATGTACTGGTTCATCCTTTTCATTCTGACCAGTAAGTCACGGAGAGCCTATCCTTTGAGTGGTCACATGCGCCGGTGTGTACTAACCTATATCGTAGTGCGCAAGCAAATCCAGCACATGATCAAGTACCGATACGTCCCCTTCACCTTCGGAAAGGCCAAGTACGGCAAGTCGAGTACCAATTAAAGAACTTTGGGGCCACGCCAGTGGTGAAGCTTGGTGTCAGCGACATGTGACAGTCCTATCTGGATTGTTCAGGAGCCGACAGGCAACCCGACGGGACTGGGTTCGCCGCCCAAGCGTATTCTGTACGTGTGATAATTTGGATGTCAAATGCAAGTCACGAGGCACGAGAAACCTGCTCGAAATGTCGGGAAGGAGGTTATTGCACAATTCATGCCGTCTGGGCTGGAGTCAGGCGATCATTGTTTGTCCGGATATAGAGCAGGAAAATCGGACGCCGGCGCGCGCCTATGCTATACGCGTGGAAAAGTATGCCCAGGGTTTTCGGGTAGCGCGCATTTGAAGTAAATCTAGTACTTTTAATCAATGAACATAGACCTGCCAGATCAGGGCGGATGCATTGTATGCGTCAGTAGAGGCAGATAGTGCTGTCATCTCTTAAATCGTGGTTGTGGCTGTTTCGAGTCTGGCTGGCCGAGCGCATGGGCGGAGCTGCAGGTTGCGCTTTGAGGGCCCGTCTGTGCTCCATCTTTTTTGCAACTACCATCAACCCAGCACAGCTCGCCCATTTGGACGCGACGAGCGATTGGCGACCACAGTCACGTTGAGCTTTCACATCTTGGCCACTTGCAGTGTGCTTTCCATTGCGTCGAGCAGTCGTTCATCTTTGCAGTCGACACCAGCGCCCGTGACTTGCTTGGTCGCGCCGTCTCGTAACCGCCCTCCTGATGGCGTCCTCTTCGCGCGCCGGCGAGCATCGCCCTGTTCACCAGGACTTTATCGCCCGGATACGATACTCGAATGCGCTGCCGCCGCCGCCGAATCCGCCGAAGCTCCTCGACATCCCTAGCACGGGCTTGTCCAGTGGCCAGTACACAACTCCCGGCTTCGCGTCGCGCCTGGCTCGCGAGCAGCCACTCAACATCGAAGCCGATGCAGAGCTTGGCATGCCGCTCGACCTGGTCGGCATGCCAGGTGTTTTCGATGGCGACGAGAGTTGTGAGTGATGATGCTACGCTACGTCGAAGAGCTTTGGATGGCAAATGCTAACGAGGACAATGCAGCTATACAAGCACCGCTGCAAGCCCAGCCAATCCACCCCCACGACCGCCATCTGCTGAGACCGCTTGCGACGCTCGGCAAGCCCAACGTGTCAGAACCCTCGGTCTCCTTCTTGCGACGTACCGAGTATATCTCCAGCATCACCTCGAAAGCCCGACCCGATGCGCCTCTGCGCGGACTTTCCAACCCAGTCAAGCGGCAAGTTAAGCGCGCCTCACCCGAACCTGACAAAGACTCGCCGGCCTATGTTAAGCGGAAGATCGACCAGAGCTTTGCGGCTGCGGCCGCGAACCTCAAAGACAAGAGCAGGGTCAGACACCCGACGAAGCGCAATCTCAAGCTCTTGGACGCCTATCCCCTATTGCCAGACATTGAAGCATTCCCGGATTCAGGAGCCTATGTCACGATCAAGTTCAGCAACAACCCTGTGCCAGCCTCGACGGTCTACGACACGCGTCTGCTTAGTAGCATCCTGCGACCCATCGAGAAGAGCGAAGAGGAAGAGGCGGCTTATCAGGCCGCCAGCGAGGCTCACGAACAGGATCCCCAGAACAACCCGAAGCCGCCCACATCTATGAACTATGACTTCTACCTGAGTGACTCGGCAGTCTCGGCCGAGAAGTTCCGCAAGATGTTTGATATTGACAACCCGAACCGCGACGACGAGTCCCTCTACACGCACAGCAACGAGGCTGGACCCAACTTCCAGCTCACTCGCTTGCGCGCCTACGAGACATCGAAAGAGACGGATCTCGACCACGAGAGGAAATACGACGAGGAGGTTATCCTGTCTTTCGACAATGGATCCAATGGTGGCCAGAAGGCCGTGTACTACTATCCTGTCATGCAGCGCTCGACGGTCAAGCCGCAGCGCACGAAGAACATCCACCGAACGATTGGCGTGGCCCAGGAGGACGAGCAGATTATTGAGAAGCTCGACGTGACGGTCACCGATCCGGACGAGGAGACAAAGGCGGACATGGACAGGTTCAAGGAGAACCCATACTCTTACGAGGAGGAGGAGGCTGAAGATGCCACAGACCGCCGGCAGCAGAACGGCAGGCACCAGAGCCCTGAGCGCCGAAGGAACGGCGCGTCGGATGACGACGCGGACGGGGACGAGGATGAGATCTAGTCTCGAGCCAGGATGTCTTGGGGTGTCTGCTATCCGCAAGTAAAGGATGGCACCGCACAGAGCAGGCAGAAGACAGATAGAGCCGCCCTTCACACACACGCGCTGGCCCTGTTGGTAGCCAGAGTCTGGAGACAGGAGAGGGCTCGGTAATACTTTGCAAAAGCAGAAGCATCGGTGCTTTAGCAGTATCTTTGTTGCTTGGAAGCATTTACACGCGTGACAGTATATTTACAATCAAAACCCTGACCACCGCTTTATCCTTGCTGTTCCACCGCCTCGCGACAACTGGTCCTTCAGCTGCGTTGCTTTTGGAAGCACCGAGCGTCGCGGTGACGTGGCGGCTTGATATCGGCAAATCCGTATCAGGACCCCGTTGAGACGATGATGTGGAGCGCAGCGGTAAACTCTTCGGATGAGCCCTGCCCACTCATCTAGCTGTGCCCTGCTTACGTTGACGCAAACAGAACTTGGGGGAGGCCGCACAAGAGCACAGCCTCAAGGCAAACCTTTTCCTCATGGAATCATGTAGTAGACAGCAGAGGTGGTGTAGCGACAACTCGCGATCGTGGCTTGAATGACTGGGACAGCTGGACGGCCCGGGCGGCCTCTTGGGGGGACCAGGGCCCAGACGCTGGGCAGACGTGGCTGAGCTTCCCACTGTTGAGGCCACACGCTACGATTGCAGTTAGCCAGCGCCACAGCGTCAGGCCTACCATCATATGCATTGAGCTCGCAGCGGCGACGACCTGGCTGGCTTGGTCGACTTGATTGAGATGGATTGGGGCCACCAGGGCGGGAGCTCGCGCTAGGATTGTTGGTTTGGACGCCGTCTCGCCCCCATGCCGCGCGCACCCTGACCACAACGCACGCGTGCGGGCCCTCCCTCCCCAGCCCGGCAAGCAGACTGACATCATATGCACGCTTAATCTTGATCAAACGTGCCTGCGACAGACAACAAAGCACTCCTTTTGCTGGCGGCGATCGTCACCCGCACGGCACTTGGCCTTCGCTAGCCCCCCTACCTTGCCGTATCTTTTGCTCGCCCGTTATCCTTGTGACGGCCGCCCGTCCGTGCTTGATTGCTGGCGGTCTGGGCCCGTTTCCATTGCCAGTCAACCAGCCCCGGCCCCAAAAAAACCTGGAACTGCGGCCTCCCGCTCCCGCGCAAAGTCGTTCGTCATCGGGCACTGCTGCACAGGGCTTAATCCCTCCCAGAGAGGGTCAGAGAGGGTGTGACATAACAAGCCCAGCTAGCCCTCCAGCACCTGCTTTAATACATTCCAGTGGCCCATCTGCCATTCGAGCCTGCAAGACATCCCTGACTCAAAAGACAAAACAAGCTTTCCATTTTCTGTTGTCGATCCTGACTTTTGATCCTTCTACCTCGAGACTCGGCTCCTTACTAGTCGGCCCATCCTAGGACAACAACTCCTTCGACAGCAGCGTGTGGATCTTTCGTCGTTCTCTTTCCCGACCTACCTTTGTCAGCGACTGCCACCATGGCCGCGTTCGTGGGCAAGTTTGTGGCCAAGAAGATTCTTGGAGAGCGCCTCGAGAACAAGTTTGGCCAGGAGGTCAGTACCGGCTCTTCCCCATCCGGGACATTTCGCCTCATCCCGAGCCATTTCAACCTCGCACAAGCTGACACTTCACGATACAGGACCCGTACTTTGAGAGCATCCCTGCCACCAGACTCGACGGCAAGCCGTCCGGCAAGGTTAAGAGAGTCCGCAAGGCGCTCCCGCCGGGACTCTCCGACCATGATGCCAAGGTTCTGACCAAGGTCAAGAGACGGGCATACCGCCTTGACTCGAGCTTTGGCTCCTGCATGGGCATCAAATTCGGCTGGGGCAGCATCATTGGCATCTTCCCTGTGTAAGTCACAATACGTTTCTCTCCCAAAAAAAACAAAAGCAGACCTGCTGACAATTTGTGCAATCACAGCTTCGGTGACGTAGTTGACGCCATGCTAGCCCTTATGGTCATGCGCTCGGCCGACAAGATCGAGGGCGGCCTGCCCTCGGGCCTCAAGATCCAGATGCTCTTCTGGATCTTTGTCGACTTTGTCGTCGGCCTGGTCCCCTTTGTGGGCGACCTGCTCGACGCCGTCGTCCGCGCTAACACCAAGAACGCCATCCTGCTCGAGTCCCACCTGCGCGAAAAGGGCGCCAAGAACCTCAAGTCGAGCGGCCTGCCGGTCCCCGAGGTCGACCCCAGCAGCGCCGACGCGTTTGACCGGTACGACGCCTCTGTCCGCGCGGGGCGCGCCGATGACTATACCTCGACCCAGCCTGGTCGGCAGCAGAACATGACCAGCACGACACCGACTCCCCAGCCGCCCGTGGGCGCCAAGGTCCGCGATGACCGTAGTGGTCGCAAGGGGAGCTGGTTCGGCGGCAGCGGCAGGACTCGGCCTACTGATGTCGAGGAGGGTGTCGCGCCGTCGGCTTCCCGCAAGACCTCGACTCGTCGCCACTAGATCTACCACGAAAGGGGCAGATGTACGAATTGTCGGAAATGAGCGAGGCGGGCGATTGTGGTAGATGTCGCGACGTGTAGCCGACATACTGTTTGTTGCAGACTTCGCAAGACCGCCCAGCATAGCGAGCTAGGTGGACGAAGCTCATCGGGCCACACCACATGGTGAGAGTGTAGATTGGGAAACGCGTAATGAGGAAATGTCTCTGGGAAGATGCACTTGATATCCACTCTTCGCACGCGTGGCAAGAGTTTCATCCTTCCCCATAATGATTAGATAGCTTTGCCACAACTTAATGCCTACTTCATTCAGCACAACTAAAGCACATGGCACAACGGCCTGCGTGCTGATCAACCCTGCTTGCACTGGGCTGTCTCCTTGCCAACACCGTCTCGTCCGTCCCTGAGCCAACCCCAAATCAAATGCCTGTGCTTTAAGCTTGACATGGATGCTAAAGTGCTTGCTGGCCATGGTCGTGCGTCCTCGGACCACAAGACAAGGTAGGCAGACAGGCATGTCATCGTTGCCGTGCCACCTGGGGGAGAAACCACTTTAGCACCCCAAAAGCAGAAGTGATTTTGTCATCACGCGCGGATGGTGGAGATGGAGCTTTGTGATGGGTTTGTCAGGCTAGGATAATCATGGCACATCATACTTGCACACTGTGCGAGCTCGATGAGTCAAGACCAAAAATGAGCCGGGAATGATGGAGAATGATGGAGCTCGCAGGATCATTTTGCGTGGGGAGACCAAGTCTTCAAAGCAAGGACCAGTTTGTGATTTGCAAGGTTGGCTTGTGCCGGGCCGGGCTGGGGGATGTGGATGTGCTGAGCGGGAATGAGCATTTGAGACAAAGTGGTCTGTGGACGCGTAGAGTGTTTGGTTAGACGCGTAAAGTACCACGGCGAAAGATCATGTCCGGTATCAAAGCTTCCCAACTCCGGCTCGTCCGGGTCTGGCACTTCCCCCGCGAAATTGAAGGGCGATACTACACGGGATTTGATTCTCAACAGACTTCGAGCTCGGATGAAAACCGCTGGAGTAACAAAGCCATCTCGAGCTCGGATTTTCAGGTGATGATGATCCATGAGGCCACAACAGTGGACAGCCTCCGAGGACCGGATCGTGGTCTCGCCTCGTCAGACACAGCCATTCCACTTCCGAGGCCAAGACAGCCTGGCGTCGCATTAGCTCGAGTGGAGATCGAGTCCGTGATGTCCTCGAGATGGTACTGATTATCTTGATCAGATAACTGTGCGTTGCATCACAGCCGCTGTCCCATGCTCGCGGACTCCGCTAGTTCATGCGGGCTCGTGCTGCTGCAAGCCCCGACTGGGAAGGATGGGGTCAGGGCAAGCCGAGCCTGCCGCGTGTAGGAACGCGTCGTGGCCTCGTAGACCGAGCGCTGCAGCTCCTGGTGCCAGGATCATGACGGGCCAAAACCACACTAGCGAGCTCTGAACCTGGTCGGAGTCCGGCCAAGGGCGGTGATTGTCCAGTGCGGCAGGCCTGAGCTGAGGTGAGCAGGGAAGCTGGAGAGGAGCTCCCCTGTCCGACGCGTAAAATGGTGGTTGGCGAGGTGGGATGGTGGGGCGCGCGTGTTGTCGCTCCTAGCGTGTCGCGTCGCCGGCGCCCACACGTGACATGGTGTCGAGCAGCTTTAAAAGTTCGGGTCTGCACCCTTCCTAGGCAGAGCTGCTACACGCTTGAGAAAGAACCATCCTCACCACAACACACAACACCAATCCTCAACGCAACCACACGACGCGCAGCACTCTTTACTTTAATCTTCCCCATTGAACTCTCAGCGTCTCGACTTCGTCCCCCCGTGCAGCCAATTCCCCCCGCCCGCATCCGCAATGGCTGCCAACATCACGCCCTCGAAGAAGGTACATGACGTCGCTGCCTCCCGCTAGTGTTTTCTAGCACGCCAGCACCAAACAAGAACTTCCAGACTGACCCGTTTCTCTCGCGTCCCCTACAGGTTGCCTCAGCCATGGACTCCCTCAAGATGGAATCTCCCGTCAAGAAGCTCGACTTTGCCGCCGGCAAGGAGAACGCGCCCTTCGATGCCGACCTCGAGACCCTCGCTAGCCAGATCGACTCACAAAAGCCCGCCGTTGAGCAGAGCAAAGAGGTCTCTCCCAACAACGCCGAGTTCGCCAACATCAAGGCCATGGAGGCCGAGGAACCCCTCCTCCAGGAGAATCCCCAGCGCTTCGTCCTCTTCCCCATCAAGTACCACGAGGTAAGTCGAGAACGCGTCCCGACGCGTAAAGTGGTTTTTCGACGCGACTTCTCATACTGACTCGCCCTTGTGATAGATCTGGCAAATGTACAAGAAGGCCGAGGCCTCTTTCTGGACCGCCGAGGAGATTGACCTTTCCAAGGATCTCCACGACTGGAACAACAAGATCAACGAGGATGAGAAGTACTTCATCTCTCACATCCTGGCCTTCTTCGCCGCCTCCGACGGCATTGTCAACGAGAACCTGGTCGAGCGCTTCAGCGGCGAGGTCCAGATCCCCGAGGCGCGCTGCTTCTACGGCTTCCAGATCATGATGGAGAACATTCACTCCGAGACCTACTCTCTGCTCATTGACACCTACGTCAAGGAGCCCGCCCAGCGGACCCACCTGTTCAATGCTATTGACACCAGTAAGTCTTCTCCACTACTTGACGCGTCGTGACACGAGACACGCGACTAACATCAAGTCCTTCACAGTCCCTGCCATCCGCAAGAAGGCCGACTGGGCTCTCAAGTGGATCTCCGACAGAGAGTCCACCTTTGCCCAGCGCCTCATCGCCTTCGCTGCTGTTGAGGGTATCTTCTTCAGCGGTGCCTTCGCCTCCATCTTCTGGCTCAAGAAGCGTGGCCTCATGCCCGGCCTCACCTTCTCCAACGAGCTCATCTCTCGTGACGAGGGTCTCCACACCGACTTTGCCTGCCTCCTCTTCTCCCACCTCAAGCACCGCCCCAGCAAGAAGCTGGTCGAGGAGATCATCGTCGATGCTGTCAAGATTGAGCAGGAGTTCCTCACCGAGGCTCTGCCCTGTGCTCTGCTCGGCATGAACTCGAACCTCATGAAGCAGTACATTGAGTTCGTCGCCGACCGCCTGCTTGTCGCTCTCGGCAACGAGAAGGTCTACCGCGCCACCAACCCCTTCGACTTCATGGAGAACATCTCCCTTGGCGGCAAGACCAACTTCTTTGAGAAGCGCGTCGGCGAGTACCAGAAGGCCGGTGTCATGGCTAGCACAAAGAAGCCCGTCCCCACTGAGGACACTGCCTCGCCCTCGAACGAGGCTGCCTCTCATGACAACAACGGCGGTGACTTCGCCTTTGACGAGGACTTTTAAGCATGTCTCTGCTCGATTTGAGTGCTTATTTTGTCCCTTGTCCACGAAGATACCCCATTTCTCTGTCACGCTCCGCTCTGTACATTTCCCTCATCGTTCTGCTACTTGGCAACCCCTCATGATATTAGAGGCATAAACCAAAGAACACTTGCGGCACATGGCGTTCCAACATTTACTCTACACTACTTATTTTTTCTGTTGCTGCTGGATATCATCGGCACAGCATTCATGTCATCTCATGCTCACGGCGTTCTTGGATTGGGGACCTCAGAAAGGCGGCCAACTGGGCTGGCGCACCTCCTGGTCTTGATTGTTTTTTGGCTTCTGCCATGCAACGGGTAAAATGAGGGCTGACGCGGTATACGGGTATGGGTCTGGTGGGAGGATTGCTTTTTCTGTTCTTGTTTCCATGAGCGTTGCTGTATATGCCTCGGACTTCCGAGGACAAAATCGTCGCGCACATAGTAGTCTGCCGAGAGTGGAGAGGATTATTAATGCAATGATTATCGAACGAAGTGGCGCGCTGCCTGCCGTGTGATCTACTTTGAATTGTTTGAGCTGCACTTATCCTTTGCTATTGATGGTCGCACCCAAGTCGAGCAACTCGATTAATTGAGGCTGTCGCTTCTTGCAACTTGCAACATATCACGGTTCCTCGGCTATTTGACCCGCGACCGATACAATCCATCTAGTCTGCCTCAACCCTGCGACGAGCTGTGCAAGTGTCTTTATGTGCATGATAATGTGTAGATTTTCCCTGGCGCCCAAGATGCTATGATGCTGACTCCCTTCCCGCACGTCATCTAATCCGCCCTCTGGCCTTTTTATTTCTTGCCCTTCTTCTTCTTGCCCTTGCCGCCGGCCGCCTTGCCAGCCTCTCCCGTCGGTGCCGCCACCGCCGCCGATGCTGCCGGTGTCTCGGCACCACCACCAACCGCCGCAGACCCATCCGCCATGACCACGTCCTCCCCGGCTGCACCTCCAGCAGCAGCACCGGGGACCACGACCTCGACGTCGGCGCTGTCGCCGGGCAAGCCGGTCATCCGCGTGCCCAGCCTGCCGAGGCAGAGCACGAGCCGCCCGACCTCGGCGGCCTTGGTGGTCCTGTACTTGAGCGTGGTGCCGCTTACGGGGTCGAAGGTCTTGACGGTGAGGTTTCCCCTCGGCGGCTTGGGCGTCGTCGTCGTCGCGGCTGTCGTGGCGGAGGAGGAGGAGGATTTCCTAGGTTTGGGCTTTGCGATGGAGTATTTCGTTGTTATGCGCGTCTAAAGGGGTTTTTGTTAGTGACTTTATTTATCTTGGGGCTTTTTTCCCCCGTAAGACGAGTCGAGGAATGTCCTGCGCATAAAAGACATGATGTAGATCTATATGCAGCGTTGCAAATTGCGCCACGCGCCACAAGCTTGCAAGAACAACGAGCCAGTCCAACAGCAAAGGCACGACGACCATCGATGCTGGCATGCAAATTTGGCACCGAAACGAGCACACACTTCAGACGGAAAGCCTGAGGAAGGAGAAGAAAAAAACCAGAAAGGCTTACCGTCGTTGGTCTGGCCTCGAGCAGGAGCGCCGACTGGCGGAGCCATTCCTGGCTGGTCGCAAAGTAAGGCATCCTTTTTTCTAGATCTGGGGTTCCCCTTTTCCTGTATGGTGCTCTGCCTGCCCCCTGTGTGCGCGTGTGGCCCTTTTTGTTTCTTCTTTCCTGTGACTGCCTGCGCCGCTGAACGCTGAATGTTCCCGTTCTACAGGAATGTCCCTTTTTGCCGGTTGCGCGAAAACTGGCAGACTGACTACTGGTCCTCGGTTGAATAGATGAGCAGGCCCAGGAGTCTTCGGTTTTGCGCGCGACTCTCGTGGCCAATTGCTTCCTTCGTATGCTCAGCGGTGTCCTCGTGAGGTCTTGTGACCTGGTCTAGATCGGTCAGACCACAGGTGATGTAAGGATGGGTGAGTTGGCGAGAGGAGTCTGAAATGGCGCGGGAGCTATGTCCTGTTGCGCTCCGGATTTTCGGGATAGCGGCGCGTGGGCTGGTAATGCGACGTTGCTGGATGTCTGTGGATGAATGCGAGAAAGTCGATGCTGTGTCTGTCTGTCTGCAAGAGCACTTGCCGGGCTGGGGTCTTGGTGGGGTTGGCTCTTGAGGGACAGAGGGGACGGTCGTCAAAGTGGATCAATCTTCCTTGCTGGCTTTGGATCGCTCTTGAGCTGCTCCCCCTACTACTCAGTATTTTGAGGACATATATAAGAATACGCGAGTTTCAGAGTAGGAAGATATCGAATGATGCAATCTCCAGAGAATGGTTGTGGTCTCTACAACCGACGTATTCCTGTTCTTGTGAGCATCACCAGATCCTGCAAGGATTCGTGGCAGGGCTGCGATCACAGCATCTGAGTAGCGTTCCATTGGGTGCACTAATTGAGAGAGAGCGGCCAGTTCAGACCCGATGCTTTCATATGGTTATGGGTATCTTTTACGCCACATTCGTCGCACCGAGGCTGTATCTTGCGGGCCTTCATCAGCTGCTATACATCTTCTCACAACCTCTAACCCTTCTTCTCCACGCCACGCTATAAGTGAGGATCCGGCACCCAAAACACCAGCTCCTGGTCCGCAGTGGCAAAAAAGTTGAAGCGCGGGTTGTGCGCGAGCACTGCCGCCGCCCGTGAGTCCTCCATCCGATATCTGGGCTCGAGGATCTTCTTGACGGGGTCCTCGGGCTGCTGCGAGATGTCCCAGATGACGACGCCCTTCCTGGTCCCGCTGAGCACAAACCTGCCGTCTGGAGTGAAGCAGCAGTCGCCGCTGCTCTCGACGTTGCCCTCGTGCGCGGAGGAGGAGGCCCCGTTGGCAGAGTACTCCTCGCCCGCCGCGAGCCTCTTGGACCGGCTCTCGGGCTTCTTCAGATACGCCTTCATCGAGCCGTCGAACGAGTCGAGCACAAAGTGCCCGCCGCCACGGGTGCCGATGAGTATCGACTTGCCGTCGTTGGCGAACTCGAGCTTGGTCCACCCTTTCGTCGTAAAGGCCGGGTCCGTCACGCCGCAGCTCTCCATGACGTCGAACTGCGCGAACGGGGCCTTGTCAAAGTTGCGGTGGTCGTACAGCAGCACCGTCCCGCTCGCCGGGCTGGCCACGCCAAACACGGTCCCGCTGGGATCCCAGGCCGCCAGGTAGGGCGTGTTCAGGTGCAGCAGGCCTGTCGCGTTCTTTGTGCCCGCGTTCCACAGCCGCACCGTGTTGTCCCTGCTGCAGGAGATGAAGTCGTCGTTGCCCGGGTGCATGGCCAAGCAGGTCACTGCGGCCTCGTGGCCCTCAAAGTACCGCACAAACGAGTTGTCGTGTGTCGTCAGATAGCGGATGGCGTCTGTCACGTCGCGTTGATCGCGCATTAGCTGTGACCTGGCCCCCCTTCCCAATGTTCAACCTCCCTCTACATGCTACCGCGCACGCATAACCACGAAGGAAAAGAACCCACCGTTTTGTTTCGTGCTGGCGTATATGATGCTCGAGCTCGTGCGCGTAAACTTGGCCAGCTTGACGCCGTACTTTTTGCTCAGCAGCTTCTTCTCATGCCGCCCTTCCTTGACTTTGTAGATCTGTATCGTCTCGTCGCTCTCCGAGGTCATGAGCAGCTCGCCCGGGTCGTCATAGTCGAGGCTGAGGATGTGCGGTGTCGAGCCTGTATTGTTGTCTGCGGTCTCGCGCTTGAAGAGCTATACAAATCCACCATACATGGTCAGTCTTCCGCGCGTTGTCGAAGTTATTGTGCGCGACCACTTCGTTCTCGAGCCGGGATCTACCTTTGTCGGCCTGTAATTTGCGATCACATCCACCACCGCGGACGTGCTGGGCAGCCCGCCACCAAGTGTTCTCTGAATGTTGAGTGAGGATGAGGGTATGGGCGTGCCGTTCGCGGGCGACGACGACTCGGGCGCGTCGAGATCCATTGGCGTTGACGCCATGGTAAGCGCGCCTTGATGTGTTTCTGCTCAGCTGGAGCGTGATTCAGCCTGCAGCGCGCGCTTCGTCGTTGGAGCTTTGCTGCGCCGTGATCTATAAAGCTAGCGGGTCGGAGTTCAAGGCGGCTTGCAATCGACCCTTCGTGTCGTATTCACAGGGCGCGATGGGTAAACTGGTCGAATTGGGTAATGCTGCGTGAGTTGTAGCCTGTCAAGGAGGTACCCGAGGCAGGTGATCGTCGTGGTTTGTCTGGGGGGCAGAAAAGCCAATGCCACATGCGATTCTCAGAGCACCATCAGCTAAAGCTAGCGGCTAAGGTGGACCCCTGCCTGCACAACGTCATTTCTCGAGCTGTCAGAGCTTCAAGCTTCGGTACACTGATAATGTTAAAAAGAATGCGCGATTCTTGTGTTCCTCATCCTACACAAAGTCCGCAATGACCGAGTGTCGATCCAAAGCGTCAGTGCTCTATTTTCGCTAATATATAAACACCGCTTGTGATGCAGCATGCAAGGGTATCAAGGCGTCCTATTCTATGTTGCAACCATAACCAAACATGTCCCTGCACTTGTCTATGTACACCACTAGGCCCCGTATCCTATGTCGTTGCGGTTGTCGTCAATCGCACGTCCGTACCTAGAGTGACATGAGCATTAGTACGTCCCTCTGGCCATTGCCGGGGATGCATCTGCACTTACTCCAAAAGCAGCCTGAAGAACCAGACCTCCATGTCCTCGTGCCTGAGGACTTTGTTTGCCCACTCGCTCTGCTGGATCGCCAGGCGCTGTGCCTCCTTTTGCGCCTCAGCACCGGTAGCAAAATATCGTACGGCTTCCAGCCAGTCCTCGCCCTGAAGACTCAGGGGAAGGTAGTGAACCCAAGGCTTGAGCCACTCGAGGTGCCACTCCTTGAAGACGGCAAACTTGTAGATCAAACTCTTGCTCTTCAGGAATGCGTAGAAGCGGCCACTGAAGGCATTGCCGTCCAGATCGACCAGATACTTGTAACCCCATGCGTCCTGCTGCTCAACATGGCCCTTGATCTCGAAGAACTCTTGCTGCGCGGCGCAGTCGCCAGGGTCGCACTGGCCAACATGAGAGAAATAGACGTCGATGAGCTGCCGGTGCTCGCCGCGGGGCACCTCCTTCAGCTGCCAATTCGGCGCCTTTGCGCTGCCTGCGTTGACAAGAATTTTGGCAGTGTCCTTGGCGTTGATCTTCTGCACAAATTGCTGGCGGTGCTGGCGCCGCCAGCCTCCATTCCTACTGAAGCCGCCGGTGGTTGAGCCTCGCCAGTAGAGACTGTCGTTCTTCTTGGCCCATGCCATGTCTCTGTCGGGGTCGTAGGAGACCTTTTCGTACCAGTACCATGGCGAAGGATACAGGATATCAGAGAATGAGGAGATCTTGGACTGAGAGAAGATTGGGAACAAGTCGTGCACGACGTTGAAGGCGTTTGGGCGGTCGAAGAAGCCAAATGAGGATTGCAGGCTGGGCGAATAGCAGATGTCCTGCATCGCGGTGACATTGTAGATGAAGCCGAGCTCGCTCATGCCGTACCGCGACACGTCGTCCGCCAGCTCATCCTCCTCTAGGCCCCTTGCAGGGCTATCTGGCGAGCAAGAAAGCCTCGAATGCGTCCAGGTCGGCTGGTGCGCAAACACATTGAAGCGTGTGCGCTTCGCCTCGGGGAATTGAGACCCGTCGTTGAGGCCCTTGGGGTTCTTGGTAAATTCGTTTCTCCAGCTCGACTTCGAATTCGCCGTCGGCATGTTGATGTCCTTTGCCCTCGAGACGAGACGGGCGAGGTCCTCGTGCGGCACCACCACTCTCGGCTCGTCATGCAGGTTGAAAGCAAGATCCATGTCCGGCAGCCACTGTACGAACTTGTTGATCATGCCCTCGGTAGCATTCTGCTGCCATTCGGAGCCTCCCCCGAGATGTGTGATCTTGCCGCCACGGATCTGTATGCCCAGGAGAGCATTGTCGAAGCCTAGCGCCTCGGCCGCCCGCTCTCTCGTGGTCGCGGGCTTCAAGCCCCAAAAGGGCGTGATCGCCTCGTGGACCATGTCGAACTCGTCAATGAGCTCGACCTTCTTGCCGTGGGCAAACTCGAACCACTTGTCGAAGTTGGGCGGTGCCGGCATGCCATATCGTCGTCGGTACTCGGCCGCAGCCTGCTCGAGGGTCTTTGACTGGCGAGCTCTGAGCGCCGCAAAATCGCGTTCGGCCTCCTGCACGAGGTGTGCTATCGGGTGGGCGCCCGCGGGAGCGCTCTTGGGCTTCTTCGGTACGATTGGATCCTGCGGCTTTGGCGCCGGCGGCGGGGGGGTTGTGGCAGGCGGCTTCGGCGCGGGGACGGCATTGTTGGGGTCGTGGTGTTCTGGGTTGTTCTGGTGGTGCAAGGGATTGCCGACGCTGAAGTCTTGCACCACGGTTCCTGCTGGTATAAGCCGGAACACTGAAGCCAGGCAGATGACGATGAATATGACCGCGCTGGCCAGCATGATCTGTTTTGGACGCATGGCCGGGTACAATGTCGGCCTCCTCTTGAGGACTCGGCGTGGTTGTTGGTGTCGAGCTTCCCTCCCCTCCAAGAAAACCAACTTTCTGCAGGATACCGCTGCCACTCCACTATTTCGGTTGCAACTGAGAGCCAAGGGAAATCTGGACCGGAGTGATAGCAAGACGTGGAGCAACAGGCAGCGACATTGGATCCCTGTCCGGCAGCGGATTGGTCACGCAGAAGAGACTGGGGAGCTGCTTGTTGTGATTGTGGCAGCGGCTGCCCACAGGAGGATCAAGTTGACGAGGAGGAGCAATTCCAGCGAATTCCCCAGCGTCATGCACTTCTGGAGTTGGCAGCCGCCATGCGCGCGAATCCAACACGCCCAACTTTAAGACAGTTGTTGCCAAGTTCCAACCCGGTGGGCCGCCGGAAGCGCCTAGGCCACGCACGGTATAGGGGGGCTTTTAGGGGTTGGTGACGTCTTTGGTGTCCGCACACCCGCCGTTCGTCGGGCTGTGGAACGGGTCCTGATTTGGCCATCTCTCCTGGTCAGCACTCTCGTTTTCAGCCTCAATCGGCAAGCCGGCACCCAATCACAAGAACCAATCCGTCTACCCAGTTGGGAAGTCGTCAATCTCGTGAGGGTAATGCAGAGTCCGTCCGTCAGATGTGGCCCAGTGTTTTCAATGATGAACTTTCGTGTAACACGTCTTCGGAGGCATGTGGTCTCACGCCTACATTCGTGGTTGCTGTCGAGGCTCTCCCGTGCAACTTGTTCCCTGGTCCATGCATTGCGGACCTGAGCGCTAGCGCACACATTGGCATGGAGTGGCATGGTATGCACGGGTCACGTACACAAAAGGGTCTGTCACTGAGGTGTCTGGTCATGTTCATATTCAGAATCAAGATCGAACAGACATTGCTTGGGCATTCTCGTGGTATCGTGGTATATTCGGCTCAAGCAGGGGCCAAGCCAAAATCAGTAGTTGGTCCTTCATTCATTGCCCATTGTCCCCAACGCCGGTAAGATGCTCGACAATAGTCGTTTCGAAATCCCATCACCCCTTTTTTACTTTTTGTCTTTCAGTCGTCAACTCAACCAAACTGGGGGTAATCCCACAGCTTAGTAGAAGAAGCCAATGATCTTGCCGGCAACGTGCTTCCGGCGGGCCTCCTCGTGGTCCATGATACCAGCAGAGGTGGTCAGGATAACGTAGCCGAACTGACGGGCAGGCAGCAACTTGACAACCCACTTCTCGAGGTCGGCAAGGCGGACGTTGTAGCGGGGAGAGATGACACCAGTCTTGTTGAGGCGGCCGTTGAGCTGGACGACAATCTTGCCGGAGCGGTGGTCATCGACCTCCTCGAACTCGCCAATGTAGCCTGATTGTATCAAAAACAAGTCAGCAAAATTTGTAGCGAAAGACTAAACGTCAGAACTTCATCCAGATACGTCGGAGAGACGTGTAAGACTCCTTCGCTCGAAACTACAAGAATTTCATCCATCTATCGGCAACTTAAAAGACTATGGTCGTAGGAGCAATGTTGAGACCGTCGTCCAGTTATCATGCCGAATGTTTTGTTTCGAGAGCGAAGGAGAGTCCGTCCCATCCCAACAACATATCTGGAGAACCTGACACAAAACCGGCATTGGGGGGCTGCGAAAACCTACCGTGACGCTGCATGACAGTCAAGAACTTGATGATGACCTTGGACGAAGGCCGGATGAGGACCTGGCGCTTGCCGGCCTTCTCGGCATTGTTGATGGAGTTGAGGGCGTCGTGGAGAACGGAAGTGCGAACCATCTTGGCGGTATTGGGCGGAGATTCTCAAATCGAGGATAAGAGGATATGAGGTATCTGTCGACGGCAGGAATTGCCACTTTGTTAGCCTTCAAAAGCCACGAACGGGAAGAGTGCCCCCGACAAGGGTTCTACCCGCTCAGTACTGGAGAGGGGAGGGTATCAAAGCCGGCGTCCCGCCAGATATTTGCGCTCAGGCACAAAACTCTCGCAGCCGGTCCATGATTGCTCCCCTCTGGCTTCTTGAAGGGTGTATAGATTTTCTCTATTGCATGTCGTCGCAAACGACGCGCGTCGGGGGGGATGTCTTCAACCCATGTTGAGAAGAGTGCTCTCTCACATACCTCGGTTGTGGGCGACACGGGAGGACGTGGTGTTGTCGATTGGTGGTTGAGGATTGTGAAGAGATCGAGAGAAGGGGGAAGGGAGGAGGAGAGCCAGCAAAAAGTCGGGCAGAGCTAGCACTCGCGCAGCTGGCACTCCACCCAGGCCGCGCACCACACTGGCTGGCGACGGGCGGAATTTGTAAAATGTGGTGGGCACAGCAAAAAACCCTAGCTGGCCCATGCTCCTAGGCTGCTCTGATTGGCTGCGCGGGCTGTCAGACTCCACTTGTTTTCCCACGAAGCGACTCGACACCACACCAACTGGGCACTGCTGCTGGGCAAGGGGACTCGCCGGCATGCGGGACAGCAGACAATCTGTGTGCCAATTTCGACCCACTACGTCTCACAGCGAGCGAGCGTCGGCGTGCGTGCGGGCAGCTGTGCGTGCGTGTGAATCTTTGTTCGAGATTTTGAACGTGCCTAGATTCGCCGCTTCCCCTTCCCTCCAATCCCACACCCAATTCTCAACACCACCCATTCCCATACCAGTACCGACAACTCTTCGAGGATCGCACCCGGTATCACGCACATTCAAGATGGTATGCTCGCCCCTGCCGTCGTTCCCCCCCGTCACAATCGTCGTCATGCTGCAAATGCAGGCTCGGGACTCTGCGCGCGCATGTGCCCCGCGCGCGCATTCGAAATTCACAATCTCGAAGCAAAAAAAAGAAGCCCCAGCTCGGCAGCTGCCACGACCATGACGCAGGACGACCAGCCCACGTGACGATCATCTGAGACTAACTGGATATCTTTCGCCTGTCTAGTCGGACGTAGAAGAGAACAACGCCCCTGAGGTCGCCGAGGAGGTCGAGGTTTCTGCCGATGCCTCCAAGGGCCAGATGTCCGTTCTTGACGCCCTCAAGGGTGTCTTGAAGCTCGCCCTCATGCACGATGGTCTTGCCCGCGGTCTCCGTGAGGCTTCCAAGGCCCTCGACCGCCGCCAGGCTCACATGTGTGTCCTGAACGAGTCCTGCGAGGAGGAGGCCTACAAGAAGCTCGTCATCGCTCTCTGCTCCGAGCACAAGATCCCCCTCATCAAGGTTCCCGATGGAAAGCAGCTCGGCGAGTGGGCCGGTCTCTGTAAGTCAACTCGCGGTTGACCACCAACATCTCTCTCTACGATATGAGTTGCTAATATGATTTCTCCCACAGGCGTCCTCGACCGTGAGGGTAACGCGAGAAAGGTTGTCAACTGCTCTTGCGTCGTCGTCAAGGACTGGGGTGAGGAGTCTACCGAGCGCTCCATCCTCCTCAACTACTTCCAGACCGAGCAGTAAACGGGGTTTTACATCAAAAAAATGGCGTTATCGTGGGGGTTATAGACAAATGGAGGAAGGCCTTCCCAACCATGTTCAACCACATCTCCCGGATGTACTACACCAAGACACGTTGGCATAGTGCCGGACCTGAGAGATACCATGACTGCATCGGAATCAAAGAAGTTCTGCATGAGAATATTGTCGCGTGCTTGCAATTGTGAGACTTTGGGGAGTGCTTTATCCAGTAACTTCCATGGGATTGTGGTACACGAGAGTTTACCCACGGTCTTCCACTATAATTAGATGGTAGCCTTCGGAGGTCTTGGCCTCCCCCATGTGTATCTCCTTATCGCTGGAGAGCTGCAAAGCATACGCAACCTCTTCGAACGCTGGCATGAGAGCACCTTTGGTCATTTTGCCAATCAAACCACCTATATGTGACTCGTGTATCAGCCCATATGGACGATTGAAGCCGTCACGGCTAGGTCCTCGCAGTCCGTGAGTTAGCCAACTTCAGGCTTGCACATACCTTGTCGGGCCTTGTCCTCAGAGAACTCGCGCGCCACATCAGCAAACACCTGCTTGCCCTTCTTTCCCTCTTCGAGTTGCTGCTGGATCTTGTCCTTTGCCTGCTCGAATTTCCCTTTCTTCTCACACTAGAGCACCATCTGATGTCAGTTCCCCTATTTTCTCAAATGGCCCAAGTCGTTCGGGGTAGCTGGCCTGTGCATGTTACGCACGAGAATATGACGGGCTGTGATCCATTGTCCTCCTTTCGTCTTGACGGTCTTCCCAGCATCGGCATCGTCCTGACCCTTGCCTTTGGCCCCTTTGGCTGCCTTGTCACCTTTCCCGGTGTCCTTGCCGCCTTTTGCAGGAGCTGGGGCCTTCGCAGTCTGCTTTTTGGCACCCATGGCTCTTCGAACAGCTTCGATTGACTGCGAGGTTTCGAATTCAACGATGTTGATGTCAGCTCATCGAGCTTTCCAGGCCATGCTGGGGGAGATGCCGGCCCGGCAATATTGTGCGTGGGGTCGTCAATGGCAGCCAATGAGACACTTCGCCCGGGTCACCATTGACTTGGGCGCTTCTGGCTCGGCAGTGGGCCGAGCCTACAACCTTGCGGCGGTTGGAACTCGGCGTGGACCTCTCACAGCGTGAAGAGCCGTCGGGCTTTCCTGGCGCTGTGCTTTTTCTCCGAACCAGTTCGATTAGTTTGACGGGGTGGCACAGAGACACGGTGTGCAAAACCCCTTCCGGACATGACCTGGCCTGATTCCTGCAGCGCCGGTTAGGCGCTGGAGAGCGGCCTCAGCCGCCCGGCATCCTGCTGCTGACGACAAGGATGGCGATTAGTTGACCAACCACGTGGAAGCACGCTGAAACCGTGCTACTATAGTAGGTCCTGTGCTGCTGGGAGAGGCATCTGGCCCTCTCTATAGCTTTGTCAACTGCCTTGGATATCATGTACACCAACCCAATGCTTCTGCCGTGATATGAGCCATGTAGGCTCCGATCGCTCGTCCCTGGGATATACATCATTCGGCACGGGGCTTTGGCTTGGGGAAGACACCATCACGGATCTCTAAGGCCATGGCCGCAGCTGTGGCAGCTCACGAGAGTTGGGAGTCCGTGGTATGCTCATTTCCCGCTTGTCCGTTCATGGGCTGTTGTGCGTTCGGCGGCGGTTTAGGACTGACCAGAAACATGGACGCAGATGCAAGCTGCAGATGGTTGGGCGCTCCAAAGACTTCAAAATGCCAGCGCGTGTAAAGGCCCAACGGGCCCAGAGACTCGGCCACGCCTTTGTCCAAGCTGCCTCCGTCTAGACTTTGCCATGAGTATAAATGCTGTCCAAAACAACCGCTCCGATAACCACCGCTTGCTCGGCGAATGGGGACAACTAGACGCAGAATGTGCCGTCTGTGCCCTCTTAGCTCACCATGTTGATCTCGACGAGGCAGACGCTGACCGCCGTCCACTTCCACCGGACTCCATCCTGAGCTCGTCGGCTTTCACGTCAAACTTCCTAGACAACCAGACGGCACACTTGTTCCAACCAGTGGCGCGGGCGCTCATCTATCCCGGCAACAGACCGCGGGATTTGCTAGCATACAGGGACAAGGTCGAGGCTCTTTGTCGGGGCTATATAGGAGTTTCCAGAACATCTGACTTGCTGAGATATTTCGCCGACCCGACCATGGCAGAGGGGCCGAGGACTCACCTGTGCCAGCCAACTTATCCCCCGGCTCTTGTGAGAAGTTGGATGCAGCAGGCTGGAGTTGCGCCATCAGACAATACCAAAATTTTCAGGCTCAACGGTATGCGACTTATCGACTGCCAGGATTTCGCCCTCATTGATAGGCAAGATGACATGGCGTATCTTGCCCTCAGCTACGTTTGGGGCCTGGCAAACGAAGATCTCGTTGCCCTTGTTGCACCGGAAGATGGCGAGCCTGATGATAACCGCCATTCTCGACGCCTGCCCACGCGAGTCCCCCGAGTTGTCTCTGATGCCATGACAGTGACAACTGATCTCGGCTATCGCTACCTCTGGGTAGACCAGTTTTGCATTGATCAAAAGGCCGACGCGGCTGTTCTCGTCAATCTCATTTCTCAGATGGACCTGATATACATGTCAGCTCAGCTTACCATTATAGCGGCGAGCACAAGTGGCGCCTTGCCCGGTGTCGGGGACACTCCGAGGACACAGCAGAAGCTTCTGAGCATACCACCTCCAGGAGCCCCTGGGTCTTCGGACGACGCCGGCGGCTTCACAATATTCACGACGAGCCCGCACGTGTATGAGAGCGTCAAGAAATCAGTCTGGTACCAACGCGGATGGTGCTTCCAGGAGTCTGTCCTCTCTCCGGCCCGTCTGTACTTTACCGACCACGAGACTTTATTCCAGACTCACAGTTCTGCCTTTAGCGAGACGTACCCCGAGGCGCACGAGCTCCTTGATGTCGTTCTAGACGGCTACGAGGAGAGTCTCTCGCTAGGAAAAGGCTTGTGGAAGGAGCGCATCAGGCAGAACTGGACCAGGGACATGTACTCCCTCAGAGACGCCCGAGGGCAGTTCTGGGCCGGACTCGGCTTCTTCGTCCAGCTGCTCAACATCTACACCGGCAAAGACCTCACAAAGGAAGTGGACTCGATCAACGGCTTCAGGGGAGTCCTCAAGTTCTTCGCGAGGATGATTCCCGGGTTCGCAGTCATTGCGGGAGTGCCCGTGTTCCTTGCGGAGCCGCCTCCTGAGCTATCAGGTCTTTCTGTAGGTGGAGCCAATGAAGTCGTGGAGCGCGGTATCCAACACAATCATGCTTGTCGTCCCATGAACACCGGGGAGCATCAATCTTCTATGCCTGAGGGGAAGCAGGCTGAAAAGTCTCATTCCCCCGACAGTGATTGCGCAGATCTACGCGGATGTGTAGACACGTCAGACCCAGATTCCGGTCAGGGAGTCGATAAGTTCCAGCATCAATGCCTGACAACGATGCTCATCTGGCGTCACGTGTGCCATGACGAGCATGAAAGCTCTGTGCTGCGGCGCCGCTCTGGGTTTCCTTCGTGGAGCTGGGCAGGCTGGAGGGGCACGGTGTCTTGGGATAGTGATGCTATAAGCAGATGGATCAGCAAAGACGGAGAAGGGGCCGAAGAGGAAGATGAAAGCGATGATGACAGCACGGATGAGAGCGAGATTGAGAGCAGTGATAATGGAGACAGCGACAGGGAGGAGGAGGAGGAGGAGGAGGAGGAGGAAGACGACGACGACGACGAGAGTGGAACAAGCGTGGCGGAGGAAGACAGCGAGGAAAGTACCGAAGGCCAAAGCGGCCGCTCCTCTATGTCAGTCGAGACGACTTTATCCGCATCGGCAACGCAGCCAAGCCCATCATATGATTGGTCACTACAGGCCCTTGAGATGAGGAACGGACAGGTCATCCCGTTGTATCAAGCCTCCGCACACTTTTCTCCAACGGCTAATTCATCGTCAGCGCGCCAGATAGACGACGTCGACTACCTCATTGGCGAGGCGTACATCTTGCCTTCCAACAGCATCGTGTTGATGCACACCGCCTCTCATCTCGCGACAACGTCGCGACTCTACAGATTCTCGGAGACAATCCAGAAATTTCTCTGGACAACAAGTCCTCTGTTTGCACGGATGGAGCAGTTCATCTACAACTGCGCCCAGAAGGCTGCCACGAAGCTTCCCTGGTCTAGCTCACTTCTCGAGCGACGGAGTCCCTCGAGCTCAAAGACGTTGACCCCACTTCAAAGACACCAGTCTTTCAGACGCTCGCTGTACCGTCTATCTCGCTGGTTCCGTCTCTCCAGACTCCAGGGTATGCTGCAGCGATTTCACGCGGAGTCCGCGTACTTGAGCATCGCGGAATTGGCCAGGCTCCCGCGAAAGTCGTCCTTGCTGGAGCGGGATATTCGCGAAAAGCTGATGGACGGATCGTGGGGGCTTCTTGTGGTCAATCGTAAGACTTGTCTCGTGGTCGAGTGGCATATCGGGGACGATCAGGCCGCGAGTAGAGATAGCGACGAGATATGCTGTAAGGTTAACGAGCCTCGAACTTGCTACCGCGTTGGGTTACTGGAATATCGGCACTTTCTGGAGTCAGGCCCTGAAGTGGACCAAGATACCTCAAGGATCTTCTCTAGAGCTGGAAGGATATGTTTCCGACTGGGATAAGAAATCGCCGAGCTATACACACTTCTCTTCGCTTAGAGAGGGTACATAACCAGAACACTTGAACACTGCAAGGAATAGGTCTGAATTGGCTCTCTCAGGTTCAAATTTGGCTTAGGCTTATAATTACAATAATGGCGCACAGGAGTTGTCTCAGAATGTCCTCACTGGACAGACGCTCTGAAAAGTCTGGCCCTTCTCCAGTCCTCACGCTCGATTTTCTCTCTTTCACGCGTCAGCTTCCACTCAAGATAGGTCGCTTCTCCGTCAAGCATCTTGATTTTGTCGCCTTCGAGTTTTTCGTACAATGCCCAGTCATCGAGCTGAGCAGGTCTCGGAATCATCTGTGTCTCTTCCATTGGCCTCTGGCCCGGAACCCTCTCGAGTGTCAAGACTAGTCGATGCACGTTTGTGGCTTCGTCGTGCTTGTGGCCGTATCGCTTGATGACATATCTGGGGTCCAGGTTGTCAGCACGTGGTCTCCTTCGGTCTTTACAGATCTAACTTACAGTCCATCGTACCTCAGCCCAGCCTGGGGTGCAAAAATACTCTTAAGGCCGTGACCTCTCAAGATGCGGATCTGCCGACCAACTTGTGAGATTAGAGAGAAGTGCATATCTTGAGCTGTTCCTTCTCGAATGTATTGGCCAGTCTCCCCATTGCCGATCTCTTCTCTTCCTGATAGTAATGGCAGAGTGGGAATGCCATAACGGCCTTTGGTCAGGTTCTCTGATGAGCCAGCAACTATGCCGTCACGCTCAGCGCAAGTAATGTTCAGCCACCAACTGAGAGTCGCGGTGTCATCTGTTAGCCTCGATTGTCGTATCTGAAAAGTCTCTCGAGTGGCGCTTACTGTCCTGGCTCAAACTGTAGGTTGGCTTCAATCTCGGAGACAGGACTTGCACCTATTGTCTGCCACTTGCTCAGGTTGTAAATCAGACAGGCATTGAAAGACACGTCCTTGAGATGGCCACCTTCTACCATAACAGCACATCGTCGTTGGTCCAGCATGAAGTATTGCTCGCGATATCGACGCCTCCATGCTCGCCTCAAGTTCTTAGCATTCGACATGTCCACGCGAAAGCCGAGCGCGAAGTGTGCCGAAAACTTCGTGATGCGCACGGACTCGGCATAGTTGAGGAGTTCATTGAGCAACTTGTCGAGCCGGGCGTGCTGGATGCGATCGAGGTCGATCACTGGGTCATCCATTTCCTCGTCCCGTAGCGCAGTATGGAGAAAGCTGCTGAGCTTCTCATGCCAAGGTCCGAGAGCATTGTCGCGGAGGAGTGATAACCGCACGGAATCAGACATCTCGAGCAGAGCATCTTGGTTGTACTTGCTTTCCGAGGCTATTGTCGAATGTGAGGACTTCGCATCTGTCGTGTCCGATGAATATCTGTAGCGCTCGACGGGACATTCATTTACCATGACGGCCTACCTTCTCTCGGTGCTGCATTTATTACAGAGGTCCGGTGACTCGATCCATCCAAGTTGAAGTACCGTATTGTCGGGCTCAAAACCTGATGCGCAAGTCAGCATTCTGACGCAATAACTTCCGGGTCAGGGGACTGGCGAACATGCGTCATGATGAAGGCCCGCTGACGACAATTACCCAAAGGTTCGGCCCCATACCCAGGGATCACCAACAGTGCTGGGTCGAAAGAGTGCCGGTCCCGACTGACTCTTGCAAAGCGATTCCGCGCGGCTGAACGCTCCGAGGCACTCATAGTGTCGAGACTATCGGAGGGCTGGCTTGAGTTGGATGTGAAAATGCTAGGAGATGGGAGACAACAAGGTTGTATCATAGAGCTGTTATAGCGTGAGGTGAATAGCGGCAGAGGAGGGCGAAGGTATCGATCCAACGCCGTTGCACATGATTTATACATGGCGATTGCAAACAAGTGTGGTCTATATTCATTAGAAGACGTGTGTATGGGTTGGTTGACGCGAGGATGGAGATTGGCAAGAGCATGAGGGGGGTACAAACACTTCCATAGAAGGCGCGACGAAGCCGTGTGTTCTATTCTCGGCCGATCCCACTGCCAGCAAACAATCAATATTGGTGTTTGCCAGCCATGAGGGTCTTCAAGGAGGCGACTGCGATCGCGGCAAAGAGTCGCAGGCCGCTCGGAAGCGGGGACTTTGACTACATCTCCCATCTCAACATATTGACATCAACATCATCACCATAACACTCTCTGATGTATAGCCGAGTGCTGTTTTGTGCACGTTGAGCTATTGAGATTCTCGCCAAGGTCAAGATTCTGCAAAGCAGCCCGAGAGCCCCTTGAGCAATTTGTGGTTTGTGGTCGCTCAGTTACATCCACATGACCACCTTCAGACGAATGAATGATTAGTACGTTGAACACTGAACATGATTGCAAGTGTGGCCTAAGCGACCTTGTAGTTTGTTCCTTCTCAGTGTACTGTTTCGAGCGAGCCGTCCCACAGCCGAATCTGGGGTAGCGACATCGTGGAGGCTCGCCCCACATGGCGAAGGTGGGAATGGCAAACGTTACCCGCCGATGGAGTCTCGCGACGGGCAGAGAAGCAAGCGTGGCTCGTCGCAACAAGTTCTTGATCAGTTGACCTTCTTCTTCCATCAATCCGTTGGCATCCATTACTGTGCAAGTCGCTCATCCTGTCGCCCACGTCTACCAGAGCAATCAATCCCAATGGCGGGCCACCTTGCACTCACTGCAGTCATCAGCATCAAGCCTGGCAAGGACAAGAGAGTACGCTGGCCCTTGTCTCTTGCACCAAAGATTGGGCGACAAAGCCGCTGACACTGTCGTTCCAGTTCCTCGAGTTGTTCCAAAACTGCGCCGATTACACGACCAAAAACGAGCCGTATGTACTCACGTATGAGCTCTCCATGGCTGGTCCAGAGCTCGGTGGCAAGCTCACCGACGTAGTCGTTCGCGAAGTGTAGGTCATGCATGACATTGCACGCCGCCAATGGGTTCATCCGGCGGTCACAGTGACTGGGCTTGCTGGCTAATGGCAGTTTGCAGATACGCGGACCAGGCGGGGTACGAGAAGCACATGGCCTCGGCACCCGTCAAGACGATGATACAGGCCATGGAGAAGGAGGACCTGGTCGAGTCTGCCAAGATTGTCTGGCAGCAGCCGCCCAAGATTGGCTTCAGCGCGAGGTTGTGAGCCCCGGATCTCCACGATTGTGTGGATCGAGCTGGGGTTCCAAGGCCAAGTCGCGCAAGCAACCAGTGATGGTGATGGAATAGACTCGGATGGCGAACACGTGCTTTGCGATTTTTTGTAAGAATTAGGCAAGGACACAATTAGAAATTGGTCGGCAATGGACGTCGAATCTGTTCAAATTAGGAGCTGACCTTTGGTTGATCAAGAAGGAATGATTTGAGGGCGGGATGCTGGGCTTAATAGTGCCTTAGCGTACCCAATACTGCTTAGCCGCATACCCCTGTCCCTCCCTGAGCTGCTGTGCATGCAGTGGACCCCAGCGCCGACTTTTATTTTCTTTGGTGGAAACTGCCACCATCCAAGAGCCGTACAGCGCCTGCACTTATACCTGGGACTGTTCTTGCCGGAGACGTCGATTGAACAATCAAGTCGGCCGTATTGATTGGACGTGTCTTGCACAATGGCGACTCACACTGCCATGGCCCAGGGTGGCGACGCATCTTTGCGTGATACCCTGGAGCAACGCATCGGCATCACCCACTTTGTGTCCACGAGGGAGCACAGCTGGAACGGCTCGATACGCACAAGGTATGAAGTCCACCGCAACAGCCATGACTTCTGGCAAGCAGGATAGACCGTTGCGGCCTGAACATTTAGTAACGTGCTTGTTCCCCAGATACACCGACTTTCAGGTTAATGAGATCAACAAAGCTGGTGAAGTTGTTCATCTGAAAGAGTTCTACACAAACGCAAAGGATTTTGCCAGAGCCGTGCGTTCACCACTCCCGTGGCTCACAAAGTCCTCGGATTACTGACATTTAATACCAGGAGTCTTCACGTCTAGAGCCTCAGGACAATTCGGTCTCGCAGCCAGCGGATGCCCAGGCCCAATCTGCAACTCAGACAGAAACAGTCAAGAACGGGGAACCGAACTCTGACTCCAAGAGCACGTCGGAAAGCAAAGTTGAGGAGGCGAAGGAGTCGGTAGACGGCCCGACAGATTCTGATCGTACCCTTCTGGCGGAGCTCGTTGGTGCTGATACCGCACAAGAGCTGTCCGGGCTATACGACAAAATACTGCAAGATCCCAAGGCGAAGGCTCAGAGTCATGGATCGGTACAGATCCCTGCAATTGAAGACAAAGGAACTCGATCCCGCATTCACACTGTGAGGTGACCTGAATCCACCATGACTGGACATTGACTGACTCCAAGCAGGAAATTCGACGCATCTTTGCTGGCAAGATCGACACCAGCACCGGAAGTGAGAACACCATCAAGGCAGCGGCGTCGGGAGGCAAGGGCCAGCGCCGGCCTGACAACGATCGTATGCGTGGTCCCCGGCAAGATGGTGGTCAGCCCAAAGGCAAATTCCTTCACTTTTCGCTCTACAAGGAGAACCGGGAGACCATGGATGCCGTTGGCCAGCTCGCTCGTGTGCTGAACCTCAAGAACAAAGACTTTGGTACGGCAGGCACAAAGGATCGGCGAGCCGTGACGGTCCAACGAGTCAGCATCAAAGGTCGCAACCCGTCATCGCTAGTGTTCATCAACAACAACCGCATACCTGGAGTCAAAATTGGAGACTTCAAGTATGAGGAGTACCCTCTGAGGCTTGGGTCTCATGGCGGCAACGAATTCGTCATTGTCCTCAAAAATTGCGTATTCGACGGCACGGAGGGGATGTCGTTCGACGAGATCCTCGATGTGGCGAGGACAACGACAGAAGCGGCACTGAAAGCTACCGAGCAGAGAGGCTTCCTCAACTACTTTGGTACCCAGAGATTCGGCACACACGAGATCGGCACTCAGGACATCGGCATTAAGATCCTGAAGGAAGATTTCGAGGGGGCCGTGAAGAGCCTTCTAGCGTACGATGCCTCATTGCTTGATGCTCCGGAGCAAAAAGAAGGCGAGTGGACGCGCAACGACGACATCATGAGGGCCAAAGCCTGCGCCGAATTCCTCACAACGGGGAACGTCCAGGCCGCAGTGAAGCTGCTCCCCCGGCGATGCCAGGCAGAATACAATATGATGCGCCACTTGGAGAAGCAGCCCAAGGACTACATAGGAGCCATTCAGTCCATCAACAGGGGTATGCGGACCATGTATGTCCACGCCTACCAGTCTCTTGTGTGGAACTTTGCAGCCAGCAAGAGGTGGGAACTATTCGGGGATCGTGTCGTCAAAGGTGACCTCGTCATAGAGCAGCAACCTGCAGTTGCGACTGCAGCCAAAGTAGAGCCTGACGAGATTGACGAAGAAAACATCCACCTTCAAGGGACCAACGAGGCATCCGAAGCCGCCCAGGACTTCGAGCGTGCGCGGCCGCTAACCGAGGAAGAGGCCAGCAGTGGCAAGTACAGCATATTCGATATTGTGCTGCCCACTCCTGGATTTGACATTGTCTATCCGGACAACGACATTGGCCAGTTCTACGTCGACTTCATGGCCAAAGAGGAGAATGGTGCGCTTGACCCACACAATATGCGTCGTAGACACCGAGACTTCAGCCTACCTGGGTCGTACAGGAAGGTCATGGGCAACTTCATCAAGACACCCTCAATTTCTGTCCAGACGTACACAGATGATCTGGAGCAGCTTGTGCCGACAGATCTTGACCTTATTCTGCAACAGCAAGGCAAGCCCAAGACGGAGCAACGGGTGGCATACCCCAGAGGCGAGCGGAGGAAGGCAGAGGACGCTGTACAGGAGGATGAACCGAGCAGCAAGAAGGCCAAGACGGCAGAGCCAGCAATGAAAAACCTCCAGGAAAATGGCCCGGCAAGTACAGAAGGACCAGAATCTGCGACTGAGCCTAAGGAGGCTCTAGCTGTACGCCCGCCACCAGGAGCGACTTCATCTACCGAGGAGAAGGACAAGAAGATTGCGGTCATTCTGCGGATCGCCCTTGATACCAGCCAGTATGCGACCATGGCGATCAGGGAGCTTCAGGGTCGTTATCGTGGAACCAGTAAAGTCGCAGAATAGATGATAGCCTTTCGAGCCATGATAGTATATCCGTGGTGTACACTTCGCTCATGGGCAACGGAGATAGCAATTTGATTGAGTGGAGAATCTGCGATGGTGTGCCTTGTATTTAGGTCCGCACAATTCAGCCCAGCTCGTCCGAGGATTAGGAACTCTTCGACAGATATTCCAAGCCCACCTCATCCAGACATTTCGAATACGCCGCGTTGACAAGTGGGAGGCGAAGGTCAAGACACAATTGCAGGAGAGTGGGGCGGCTCCATAACAGGAAAAAAGCCGATTGGTTGCGACCCTGACTCATCCTGCCTTCGTCATCAGCCAGGCCTGGCGACCATCACACGGCAGCTCCATCTTAAGCTTTCCAGGCAACGACCCTCCTCCATTAAATCCACCACCTCGACACCCACGCCTCACGACAGCCTCAACCCCGACTTGATTTGAGACCGCTACTGTCGTCGGTCCCTGGGACCATCGGTCGACATGCCTGTCAAGCGCAAAGCCTCCGCAAGTGAGTCTTTCTGCTTCGCGGCGTCGTCGACCTGCTAACGCTCAGTCTCCCTCTCCCCAAGACGTCGTAGGTGCGGTTAAGTCTGGTCGAGCATCCGCGGCCTCCACACCTGGCCCCGCGACACCGCGCGACATCGACAGCGACGAAGAAGATGTCGAGGCCGTAGAGGTGCCCGCCGACAACGAGGAACAGCTGCAGAACGCCGTCGACCGGTTCTCCCTTGCGGCATACCAGGACCGATCCGTGCGCGGCCCTGTCGACAGCGCTTCGAGATACTTTGGCGACAATGGCAAGCGTGATTTCTCTTATTTGCCGCTCAAGCCCGACTACAAGAGCCGTCCGATATGGATCGATCCCCAGCGAGGGCGGATCATCCTTGAGAACTTCAGCGCCCTAGCCGAGCAAGCCAAGGACTTTCTGATCACCGTCGCCGAGCCTCTATCACGACCAACTTTCCTGCACGAATACTCCTTGACGACACACAGCTTGTATGCCGCCGTGTCGGTAGGACTCCAGCCTCAAGACATTGTTAACACGCTGGAGCGATTCTCCAAGACGCCACTTCCACCTTCAATATCGGGTTTCATTCAGAGCTGCGCTTCGAGTTACGGCAAGGTCAAACTGGTCATCAAGGACAACAAGTACTTCATCGAGAGCAACGATCCAGATGTCCTGCAGAAGCTGCTGAAAGATCCCGTCATTGGGCCATGTCGTGTCCAAGGTACCGAGACGGTTACTACAGCGCCGTCTATGGTTGGCCTCGTCATTCCAGGTACCTCGAACGCCGCCGGCGTACAACAGGCAGCGATCAACAAGGGCGAGAAGCGAGAGGGCGAGCAACAGGACGGGGACAAGGCAGAGAACCCATACGATGCACTGCGAGAGGACGATGACGACGACAACTCTGAAGCTGTGCATGCTTTCGAAATTCCTGATACAGCTGTGGAGATTGTGCAAAAACGATGCTTGGAGATCCAATATCCTATGCTCGAGGAGTATGATTTCCGCAACGATGACAAGAACGCAAACCTCGAGATCGACTTGAGGCCGGCCACCCAGATCCGAAGCTACCAGGAGAAAAGCTTGAGTAAGATGTTCGGTAACGGACGAGCCAAGAGTGGAATCATCGTGCTGCCCTGCGGAGCCGGCAAGACCTTGGTTGGCATTACAGCTGCTTGCACCATCAAGAAGGGAGCCATCGTGCTTTGCACCAGCACGATGTCTGCGCATCAGTGGCGACAGGAATTCCTGAAGTGGTGCAATATTCGTCCCGAAGACATTGCTGTCTTCACGGCCGACAGCAAGCAACGCTTCCCCGGAAACACGGGTATCATCGTCACCACCTATCCTATGGTCACTCAATCTGGCAAGCGCGCGCACGATTCGCAAAAGATGATGGATTTCTTGACTCAACGAGAATGGGGTCTGATGCTGTTGGACGAGGTGCACGTCGTGCCTGCCAATATCTTCAGAAAAGTGTCTAGTCAGATCAAGAGTCACTCTAAGCTGGGCTTAACCGCGACACTTCTTCGTGAGGACGACAAGATCCAAGATCTCAACTTCCTCATCGGACCAAAGCTGTACGAGGCGAACTGGATGGAACTGTCGGAGCAAGGACACATCGCCCGCGTGCAGTGTGCTGAGGTGTGGTGCCCGATGACAACAGAGTTTTACGACGAGTATCTCCGCAGTCAGGATCGTGGTCTCAAGGCCAACCTCTACGTCATGAACCCACGCAAGATCCAAGCGTGCCAGTTCCTTATCAAGTATCACGAGGACAGAGGCGACAAGGTTATTGTGTTTTCGGACAATGTCTACGCCCTGGAGCATGTGGCCAAGTCGCTGGAAAAGGCGTACATCTGTGGTTCCACGCCCAACGCGGAGCGTATGCACATCCTCGAGAACTTCCAGCACAACCCACTCGTCAAGACCGTCTTCTTGTCAAAGATTGGCGACACGTCTCTCGACTTGCCGGAAGCAACGTGCCTCATTCAGATCTCGTCGCACTACGGATCTCGCCGTCAAGAAGCACAGCGGCTTGGTCGTATTCTACGGGCCAAGCGAAGAAGCGATGAAGGATTCAATGCCTTCTTCTACTCGCTTGTTTCGAAAGATACCGCCGAGATGTACTACTCAACCAAGAGGCAGGCTTTCCTGGTAGACCAGGGATACTCTTTCAAGGTCATCACCCAGCTTGCCGGGATGGACCAGATGGAGGGTCTTGTGTTCAGCACCCCTCAGGCACGCCGGGAGCTGCTGCAGAAGGTCATTGTCGATACAGAAGCGAAGCGAGCTGACGACAATGAAGATGTGACGGACGATCTTTTCTGGTCTGCGGGCATCAAGAAGAAGGCCAAGAGGGCTGGCGCGCGGCGGACGGCCGGCACGCTGGGAGAGCTCAGCGGCGGACAGGACATGGCGTATATTGAGCAGCGCAAGAACGTCAACAAGACGCTCAAGAAGAAGCCCACGCAGAACGCATGGTTCAAGAAGTTTGGGCGGGAGCAGAAAAAATTCCAGGACGCACAGCAAGGGAACTGATTGCGGTCCACGGGAAGAGGCAGCCGGGCCTGGCTTGTACAAGATTGGCATGGCTAAATTGCGAAAAGGATTTGCATTTACATATATGGTCTGGGTCTATTTGACAAGTCTTTTGGGACAACAATTGGGAATTAGGCGTTATGAAAGCGGAGCCTGGGCAGCATTCCAAGTGGCTACTTTAAGTTTATATAAAAATTACAGAGCATTGAGACGCATTTATACAACCATGGCAGGAGAGAGACCAGGGCTGCTCTCTCCTTTGGTGGTTTCGCGAACGCGCATTGTAGAGAGGGAAAGTATAGCAGTGAAATTCGGGAGGCGATTGCAAAAGTTGGAGAAATGGGACCTGTGCCTATGAGAACTTGCATGGCAGAACGGAGACTGCCCAGGTGAACATGGCGGAAGCGCAAAGCTGCCCCGGTCGAGTTTGGCAGGTGCAACGACTCAGCGATGACGCTGGTCCATGGTGATAAAGGGGCCCCGGGGGGATGATGACGAAACAATATATTGTTTTTCTTCCTGGTGGATTGTATCTCAAGATGGCCCGTAAGGGAAATGCCGTGTACCCTATTGTATGGACTGCAGGTTATCCATGCGCTGGAAATAGCATGCACGAACTAGCATGCATGCACGACAACGATAATGCATACTGCAGGAGAGCCTCCTGTCCGAGTGCCCGAGAACGGCGGGCGGCGATCAGACGGGAATACTGAGAGATGATTTGAAATTTTGAGCATCACGGACCAGCACAGCACAGCACAGCACAGGGGGAGGTGGCAGTGAATGACGCATGCCGTGCCTGTGTGATGCACGTTGGCAGACCGGGGGGTAGGGGGGGGCAATGGGGGGGAGGGCGTTGGTCGATCAATCAATCAATGAATCGAGCAATCAGTTCCGGTGGTTGTCACAAACTGGAAGGTGGTGTGGTGGGTTGTGTGTAGTGGAGGAGGGCCAAATGGTTGCACAACTCTGGGGTTCATTCAATGTTCGTCCGAGAGTCTTAGCCGAAAAGAGACAGGTTGATGGAGCTTGAAAGGGTCTCTGTTCTCCGGTTTTGAGACATGTGATTCAGTTTTCTCTCCGTCTGTGTTGGTGCGACTCGGAGGATTCAAGCAGGAGGCTGAAGATTACACAAAGTTGTTTTTTTAGATGGTAACACGGCTACGGGCGCGCGCACATGTGTGAGACGGAGGAGGGGGAGGTGAGCAAGAGACGTCAGACGACGACTGGAGGCTGATTTTTGTTTTGTGGCATGCATGGCGTGCTTTTGGAGACGAGGATGCCGGACGAGAATAAAACGGTGCAGGCCGTGAGTGGACAGGCTCCAGCCGGCGCCCCGGGGGGGGGGGGTGAAGAGCGATGGGAAACAAAGGAGTTAAGCGCAAAATAAGGTATGAGCCCAAGAAAAAGCCAAGACTGGTGCCAAGCTTTTGGGGCCTGCAGTGACTGCAGCTGCTTGGGAGGTGGGTGCGGCTGGATTGGTTCGCGATAGCGCAGCACTGCGCCATGCTTGGCGTCGAAAGACGACCTCAGCGCTCGAGGAGAAAATGTGGCGGGTCTGGACCGCGTGCCGACAGCGATTAACCTTATCAGGGGTCCCCTGCGCGCTGCTGTGGTTAGTGCGTGCTGCTGCAGTTTTTGTCGGGCCTTGGCTGCTGTGCAACCCTGGCACGCAACCCATTCCTGCTGACTCCAGCACTGCTTGCGCGGCCGCCTGCCCACTTGCCTGCACCCGCCCCGACGGAACCACCCCCAATGGTGACCTGTCAGTGGTGTCACTGTCATCCGTCGAAGCTGCCTCTGCGATCAGGACCGACGCCACGTCCACCAACGCGACTAGTTTAGCCCCAGCAGCTCCCTACTAGAGAAGAGAGCATGCTCAGTAACGGCCCCGGGGATCCAAGCTGCTGCAGAGCCTTGGCCGGCCCACTGGCGGCAGCGCCGGCGTGAACAGCCGGGTCGGGCCCGGGCCCAGCACAGGTCCTGGCCTGGCCTGTCCTCTGCTGCGCGCGCAGGCCCTCGCATCGCCCCACGCCTTGTTTCCCAGGGCCTGACGTCGGCAATCCGCATGCTACTGCTGCTGCTGCTGGCTGCGCCGGCCAACTTTAACCTCTGCTGTCGTCCTCTTTTCTTTCCTGCTTTCTCTTCCAGAACCAACGCGACATCCACGTCACGGATTCACCTTCGCAGACCGCTCGACATACCACGGCCTCACCTACGTCGTCCTTATCTCCTCACCGCCAGCCTCGCCCACCCACATGTGCCCCTGCATGGCCTCCGCAGCTTAGGGTGAGTCGCCCGTGTCTCCTGTTCTTGCACCATCCCGGCCTCTTCCTTCCCTCCTCGTGCATCTCGCGAACCACAGTCGATGCCGCCAGCACGCACACAACCTCGTTGGCACTCGTCGCTTCCTGCACTGCACCCACCGCTCGGTTACGAGCTGCAGCCGGCCCTGCGCAGACCATCATACGTGCATTGGGATGGTTGCTCTCGCGCATAACTGCTGGTCGCGAGACCGCAGCAGCCCGTCCAACCGTGGGGATGCGGATGCGGATATAGCCGACGACGTCAGTGCTGCTGCAGCCCACCTGGGCTTCCTTCGTTCGAAACCACGGCCGACGTCTCGGGCGCCCGTGGACGCGACGTGCCAGTCGTCCTTTGCTTATTTGCCGGTTGTTTGCTGCCAGCCCTGTCCAGTCTGACGTTGGCATCTTGTGCTGCCCCCTTCCCAACACGGCCCTCGACGCAGACAAGTGCCAGAAACCACGCCCTGAACAAGAGCACATGCCTGTGGCCCCTTCCTTCCTCTGACCACTCCAATTGACGTTTCTCTCTCTTTCTCTTCGTAGTTCTAGGCTGGCCATCTCGTATGCAACCATGACGATCGCCACAACCTCCGGCACTTCGCTTGTACATCTCTCAGCCTATATACACAGCCACCTCTAACATCCGGCCCCGTGAGCACTCCGCCTCGACTCACCCCTCGACCTCCTGCATCCTACGCCACATCGACTTATACTGCTCGCCCTGCATCGCCATCCGGTACCTCGTCGTTCGCCAGCGTTCACATACCCTGACCTTCCGCCACCATGGGTGACCTCCGGGAAAGGACCCTGGAGTTTCTCCAGGGGCTCCGGCCATCCTTTGCTTCCAGGCATCCCCATTTTAACTTCATCACCGTACATTGTAAGGCTTACGTGCAATGCCACCACGCGCCCCTAGGCTGCTCAGTGACAATGCTGACCATTGCTTTGCAGATTTTTGGATTATTGGCATGTCCATTCTAGCCTCCGTCATGTTGTACGGAGCCGCCAACGGCCAGCTTGCCTATATCGACGCTCTGTTCTTTGCCAGCGGCGCAAACACGCAAGCCGGCCTCAACACCATCGACGTCAACCTCCTCAACACCTTCCAGCAGGTCGTGCTTTACCTGTTCGCCATGATCTCTTCGCCGATCACCATCCACTCGTCTGTGGTCTTTCTTCGCCTTTACTGGTTCGAGAAGCGTTTCCAGCACGTCGTTAAGGAGGCGAGGTCCCGGCGTGGCACACTGTCCAAGTCCAAGGCGAAGATAGAGCGCAGTGCTGCCGATGTCGAGACTGGCGTCAACGGCAGGTCTATTCGAGTCATGCACAACACCGCCACGGCCTCGGGCATGGCCAATGACGGGTCGGTCGCTCTGCGCGAGTACATGGCCGGGGCACAAGGGGCCAAGGACTCGTCAGCCAGTGGTTCGGATTCGGCCGAGCACGAGAACATCGAGCACAGCAATGACAGCAACCAGCAGGACTTGCGCCCGTCCTCTCCAACGATCAAATTCGCAGATAGAGTCAAGCGGAGCGATCGGCTGAGCGAGAAGGACGAGGACGAGGACCACCCGGTGGCTTTGCCCACAAGGCACACCAATGCCGAGCACATTGCTGTCCTTGAGAGGCAACGCAAGCTCGACTCGAGCGTTCTCCGCATTCCGGGTCCTCGAGACGTCGAGAGAGGCGTGAAGCCCGAGGAACTGATGCACGGCGACAATGACGAGACCGGAAGGGCGAATTACCTCACAAAGGAGCGCACCCGCGACACGGCCGAGCAACCTCGGCTGATGTCTTCAGGCGCTGACCGTCACCAGACCATCACAATCACGGAGCCGGTTCGCCCCTCGAGGCACGAGCAGAAGGCAGAGGAAATGGCCGAGAACTTCGAAGCTGCCGCCCATGCTCTGTCTCCGCTCAAGTACCGGAGGAGCAGAGGCCGTCCGGGTTCCGAGTCCCTCCAGCCGGTGACATCGCAGACATCGTCAGCGGCTACACGCAACCCGCTCCATCGAATCCGCACCGCGCTGACATTCGGCAAGGACGACGACCCCATGCCCTATCTTAGCTGGCAGCCCACTATTGGACGCAACTCTGCCTTCGTTGGCCTGTCTGAAGAGCAGAGAGAAGAGCTCGGCGGTATTGAGTATCGTTCGCTCAAGACTCTGGCTGTTCTGTTGCTTATCTACTTCTGGGGCTTCACCATCTTCTCCATGATCACCTTGGTGCCATGGATTGTCAACGACAACGAGACGTGGGGTCCCGTCGTCGATGCTGCCGGCCAGAGCCGGACGTGGTGGGGATTCTTCACTGCTGGCTCGGCACTCATGGATCTTGGATTCACGTTGACGCCGGACAGCATGATCTCGTTCAACACGGCCACGTTCCCTTTGCTCATCATGTCCTTCCTCATCATTGCCGGCAACACTGGCTTCCCGATTCTGCTGCGTTTCATGATCTGGCTCATGTCACTGGTGGTTCCTCGTGGGACGGGCTTATGGGAGGAGCTGAAGTTCTTGCTCGATCACCCACGGCGATGCTTCACGATGCTGTTCCCTTCCAACGCCACCTGGTGGCTCTTCTTCATCCTCGTCGTTCTTAACGGACTGGACCTGATATTGTTTATCGTCCTTGATGTAAGTTGATTCTCTGCGAGGGCCTGGTGGGAAATAAAAAGGAAGACCACCATACTGATTATCGCTTGCAGCTCAATTCCGAGGCCGTTGAGGGGCTTCCTTTGAACATCCGGTTCCTTGACGGATGGTTCCAAGCTGCGTCGACAAGAACGGCTGGGTTCGCCGTGATCAATCTGGCCAACCTGCACCCTGCTGTGCAGACATCGTACCTCATCATGATGTACATCTCGGTTCTGCCCATTGCCATCTCCATCCGCAGGACCAACGTGTACGAGGAGAAGTCGCTGGGCGTGTACCAAGCACCCGAGGACGTGGACGACAGCAACAACTCGTTCTCGTACGTCGGTGCTCACTTGCGGCGGCAGCTGTCGTTCGACTTGTGGTATTTGTTTATCGGATACTTTATTCTGACCATCAGCGAGGGCGACAAGCTGGCCTCGAACGACATGTCCATGTTTGGGGTGCTCTTCGAGGTTGTCAGTGCATACGGAACGGTCGGGCTGAGTCTGGGTTATCCGAACGTCAACGCGTCGCTGAGCTCCCAGTTTTCGGTGGTCGGCAAGCTCGTCATTATTGCCATGCAGATCCGTGGCCGCCACCGTGGCTTGCCCTATGGACTCGATCGCGCCGTCCTGCTGCCTAGCGAGCACCTCGACCGTAAGGAGGCGGAGGATGCCGAGTTTCGGTTGCAACGGCGTAATTCGGTCATGTCAACAGCCACCGGCAGACCCACGAGCCTGGCGCGTGGCCGTAGCCGCAGCGTCGACCGGAGGCGGGTGTTCCAGAATCTGTTGCATCCCGGGCCGGCGTATCCGTTTTCGACGAGCATCGACCATGAACTGCCATCGTCTTCTGTGTTCGGTAGGGGCGAGCCTCTGCGGCGGTACACGTCGGCTCCTGATGATGGTAATGTGTCTCCCGGACCAATGATCGGCAGGCAGCAGAGGGCACGCACGACGCCGGACTTTGCCGCATGAGAGACTGGCAGGAAAAGGATTTGTGAATATGTGTGGGGCACAAGTTATTGTGTGGCATGGTTAGATTGTTTTCATCGGAGCCAAAGGAGAAAACACGTGGATTCATTCAAGTTCATGGGTTAAGCGGAGGCGTTCTGGATATTTCGTGCTTGGGTGGTTCTTCTGAGACTTGGGTCTGCACTGTCAGATTGACCCGACATCCCTCGTTTGCTCTTTGAGCAATGCATAAATAGATACAACTGATTTAATTTGGACACAGGCGAAATAAGCACCATGGCACGGTCGTGCCACATAAAGTGTTGAAGCAACCTTGCAAGCCATGTTGTGCAAATCCGGGAGCCGTGAATGATCTTGGGCGTGCTGTGTGCCGCCGGGCAACTGACGGTGCCGATGGCCGGATCACGCCATCGGCTGGCCGTCGCCCACGAGGTGGGTTGCTTGGCACTAGACCCCGCTAAATCCAGGGGACCTGGCGGGCGGAACCACCGACCACGGAACGATGCCGGGGACGGCCCAGCCGGGCTGGAGCTTCCTCGCAAAACGTCATGGCTGATTTTCTCCCTCTCTTCTTGCTCTCCAGTACAGCAGCAGCAGCACCATGAACGCAGCGACGACGACGACTAGGGCTAGCCGCGATCTCCTCCGCGCCGCCAGCCGGCGGGGAGGCACCGCGAGGACGGCGGGAGCGGCAGCAGCATTGACATCACGGCAACAATGCTACTCCTTCTTCTCGACTTCGAGCGCGCGCAGGGCGGCAGCGGCAGCACCGGCCAAGGCAAACGAGCCGAGCGAGCACCTGATCGCTGTGTCCAAGGCCCAGGGTGTTTCTAGGGGACTTGTCGGTGGTGAGTTTTCTACGTCTCGTCCGCTTTTTTTCGATTGCATTTGCCCATGTTGTCTCGCACATCTACGTCACATCTACGTGGACGAAAGCATGTACATTCGATTCCGCTCGTCTTTCTTTCCCCGCGCTATTTTCTGGTTCCTTTCGAACTCTCCTATAGTGCATTTCCGAACATCCACTAACGAATCCCCCCACGGCGCTCACAGCGATCGGCAACACCCCGCTCATCCGGCTCAACACCCTCTCGGAGCAAACGGGCTGCTCGATCCTGGGCAAGGCCGAGTTCATGAACCCGGGCGGGTCGGTCAAGGACCGAGCGGCGCACTACGTGGTCCTCGACGCCGAGGAGCGCGGACTACTCCGGCCGGGCGGGACGGTGGTCGAGGGCACGGCGGGCAACACGGGCATCGGGCTCGCGCACGTGTGCCGGTCCAAGGGCTACAAGCTCGTCATCTACATGCCCAACACGCAGTCGCAGGGCAAGATCGACCTGCTGCGCCTGCTCGGGGCCGAGGTGTACCCCGTCCCCGCGGTGGCGTTTGACAACCCGGAGAACTACAACCACCAGGCGGCGCGGCACGCGGAGCGGCTGTGCAAGGAGGAAGGCGAAGGGGCGGCCGTGTGGACCAATCAGTTTGACAACACGGCCAACCGGAGGGCGCACATTGAGACGACGGGCCCGGAGATCTGGCACCAGACCGGAGGGAAAGTGGACGCTTTCACCTGCGCGACCGGCACGGCGGGCACCCTCGCGGGCACGACGCGCTACCTCAAGGACGTCTCGGGCGGGCGGGTCAAGAGCTTCCTCGCCGACCCCCCCGGAAGTGTCCTGCACAGCTACGTCCAGTCCGGAGGCAAGCTGTCGGAGCGCTCGGGCGGGAGCATCACCGAGGGCATTGGCCAGGGCCGCATCACCGACAACCTGGCGCCCGACCTGGCCCTCGTCGACGGCTCGCTCCACATCGCTGACGAGAAGAGCATCGAGATGGTGTACCGCTGCCTCGACGAGGAAGGGCTGTACCTGGGCGCCAGCTCTGCGCTCAACGTCGTCGCGGCAAAGGAGGTCGCCGAGATGATGGGGCCCGGACACACGGTCGTCACCATGCTGTGCGACGGCGCGTACCGGTATGCGGACCGCCTGTTCTCCAGAAAGTGGCTCGAGAGCAAGGGCTTGCTGGGGGCCGTGCCGGAGCGGTTGTCAAAGTACATTGTGTTGCCGTAGGAGCTGTCTTTGTGTCTTGGGAAGGAAGGAAGGGTCTATACACGTAAAAAGAAAAGGGAGGTAGAGTGAATGGGAGGCCGCACTTCTCGAAAACGAACATTCCTAGAGCAAGCAGTGTCTTATAGTGTAAGACGAGAAATATCCGTGTACAACCCAGCATTACCAATTACCAGGCATAATCCCCTTATTCAATGCTGGCGCGGTGCAGATGTGGTTGGCGAACGTGTGGACCTCTGCAGCATTCTTCTTCTCTTTGCTGATCTATCATCATATGTACATGTACAAGTGGTAGTAGTCTTACATGGTATACAACTTTCAGGCGCACGGCTGGTCAAAGGCCTGATGCTTTTTTGTTTTTACTTGGCATCCCACACAACCCTACTTCTCCGCCTCTGCCTTCTGCTCGAAAACCCGCTGGTAAAACTTGTGGCCGACTTTTTCCTTCTCGCACTGCTGGCTGAGCGCCTCGACCTCGCTGGTCAGGGCGTCCGCGCGGGCCTGCAACTGCTCGCGCAGGGCCGCATCCTCGACCAGGCCCGCGGCACGCTGCAGGCCGTGCGCCAGGGGGGCCAGGAACATCAGCCTCACGCTCTTGCTCTCCATGGTCTTGTTGGCGTCCACCGTCACCTCCTGCTGGGCCACGGCGAGCGGCTTGTCCGCCGAGGGCCACACGCGCACGAGGTCCCGGGCAAACTTTGTCGTCTTGTCCACGTCGCCGAGCGCCGCGGCGAGGTGCATCGGGGCCAGGATGACCATGGGCGTGGACTGCAGCGGTATCGAGCCCGCGGGGATGTCCTTGGCGCGCTGGTGCTCCTCGGTCTCGAGCATCTCGAGGACCATCTCTGCGCGGCGGAGGGCCGCCCTGGTCGCCGAGGTGCTCCAGCCGGCGTCGACGGCGTCCATCTGCACCGCCGTGAGCAGCCGGAGGACGACCTCGTGCAGGAGGCCGAGCCGGAATCCCGTGCGCTTGACGCTGCGCGCGCACTCGAGCAGCTCCAGGTGCTGCCCCCGCTCGCAGACGATGCGCGTGAGCTGGGCCCAGGTCACGTGGTTGAGCTTGCGGCCGGCCTGGTGCAGGCCCTCGAGCAAGGGTCGCAGGTTGGCAAAGTCCTCGGGCGTCTTGAGGCGGTACACAATCTCGCGGAACGTGCGCTTCGTCTCGGGGATGTCGCCTTTGAGCGGGTTCTGGTGGTAGAATTTGAGGATCTCGCCGTCAATCTCGATGGTGATGGGGTCCGACTTGAGGCGCTGCTCCCACTTGGGGTCGTACAGCTTGGACCTCTGCTCTGCGGGCAGGAAGGACGGCAGGATGATCTTCTGCCGCATCGTCTCGAGCAGCTGGTCGAGCTCGGACGACGACGTCGGCGTGAACTTTGTGATGTGCTTGACTGTGGGTTGGAGGAGGTTGGGTGTTTGGTTAGTCCTTTGAGTCTCTTTGGGAGGTCCGACAGCGGAAATCCATCCATTCAAGGAACGGCGTACCATCTCGTCTCGATGTCGTTGCGAATGTCCTCTGCTGTGTCGTGGCTGCTATCCGCCGGGTCAGGCCCTCGAGGGCGCCATTGTGGGTGAAGGCGGCAGACAGAGTCCGCCTCGACATGTTGGCCGGGTAGGCGTGTCCTCGGGACACTCGAGGAGATTGCTGAGCTTGTGTGTGTGTGCGTGTGTAGGTGTGTAGGTGTCGACACGGGGGTGCTCGAGTTTCGGTATCACGATGATTTTCAAATTGTAAGTCCTCACTACGAGTGCTGCAGCAGCTTTGGGCGGGCAGGCATGCCTGCGATTTGCGGGCGCATGCAACTTCGCGCGTTGCATTGTGCTGATAAGCGATAACCTCAGAGGTACTTCCCAGGACTTGTACTTGTCGGTCCTAGCACGTCCAGGCCATTCCCCAAGTCGCTTCTCTGGGAGTGACACTGGGCCGTGGGGCATCAGTGAGCCAACCCCTGCAGCAGCCCAGCACCCGAGAGCACTGTGCAGCAGCAAGCCCGCCCTGGAACGACAACCGCCCAAAGAATTTCGAGACCCGCAACAGAGAGACATCGACGACGCCGACGACGACGACGACGACGACGACTACAAAGCCAGCAGCACCAGCTCTCGGTCGCGCGTCCGACGACACACTCTCCGCCAGACACACACACACATCATGATTTCCCAGGCTGCACGGCGGCCAATGGGCTGTCTCAAGACGGCCCTGCGGCACTCGCGCCAACAAAAGGCTCTGCTGCTTCGCTCCATGGCGACCGAGACGGCGACGCCATCCTCGTCATCACAGCTCCCCGACTCTACGTCCACGATACCCCCGCCGCCGCCGCCGACGACGGGCCTGCCGCTCAGCAAGCTCAAGTTCCGTACGTTCCCAAAGATCACTCTCCCACGGGAAGACGACACACACGCGCACACACCCACACACACGGGGCACCGCTCGCTTCGAAAGAGCCCCCAGCTTGCAAGCCCAAGAAACAAAAAAACACTTACTAACAGGACCTGACTCCCACCACCAATACAGACACAATCAAGACCAACAACCCGGAGAAGCCCATCCGCACCGCCTTCGCCGTCTACCCGCGCGTCCCGTCGACCCGGTCCACGAACCCGGCCGCCCTCGAGGCCTACCACGCGCAGCAGATCCGGCGCCTGGACCGCACGGGCGCCCGCACCGCGCTCTTCAGCAAGACGTCCAAGGACTCGGTCCGCCCGGGCGACGTGCTCCAGGTCAGCACGAACCGGGGGGAGCCCTTTGCGGGCGTCGTCATGTCGGTCAAGCGCGCCGGCGTCGACACGGCCGTGCTGCTCCGCAACCACCTGACCAAGGTCGGCGTCGAGATGTGGTTCAAGATCTACAGCCCCAGCGTCACGGGCATCGACATTGTCTGGAGGAAGCCCAGGCGCGCCCGGAGGGCTAGGCTGTACTACCTGCGCAAGCCGAAGCGCGACATGGGCAACGTGGACCACCTCGTCGACGCCTGGCGCCGCAGCAGGAACGTCTTCAGCTCCAAGGGCAAGGGCTCGGCCACGCAGGGCCGGCCCGGCAAGCATGCCAAGCTCGGTAAGAGGAGGTAGGCGTAGAGTGGTACGGGAGGAGTTTGCCAACGGGGTGACCACCAAGCAGAGGACGGGGGGTGGTCGTGCTGGGCAGTGTATGATTGTGGTTCAAAGCCCGGCCTTACACGTACTGGTGTGTTTACCCAGTGCTCTAAAGGCTCGACGATGGCCTTCGACGACTTGTACAGTACATCATGTGAACAATATATCCATCAATCATGCCGTGGAACGAATAACCTACTCAAGACATTTGCACGCCATGCTCCACACAAAAGAAACCTTCCTGAAGCGTATGGGGGAATGGGTGTGTAATGCTAACTGTAACGTCTTTAGGTAGTGATGTTCGAGCTGCGTATGTTTCCTCCTAGCTCAAAGTAATGTGACCCCATCCGCTCACCGATATATATCTTGCGTGGCCGTCGTCGTCATGAGAACCGTGCTGTAGTACACAGATACTGGAACAGCACCTCCCGAAACAGCATGCGCCAACAGCAGAACACAAACTCGGCCGCAAACCCAAGCCACGCACACAAGAACATCCAGTGCAGCCACTGCTCGTGCGGGACAGCACGTTGCTGCGCCGGTTCCACGCCTCCTATAGGCAGCCACAGCAGCGCCCCCGTCATGGCGCCCAAGATTGGATACAGAGCGACCAGCCTCTTCTTGCCCCGCGTGGCAGCCTCGACCGCGAGTATGATGACCATGGCGAGCAGCCCGCTGAGAAGAGTCATGACGAACATGAGAATGGTCATGGTGGACTCGCCGGTCTTGTTGGCCGCGATTTGGAACCCCAAGAGAAGGCCCACGTGGAGCAGGAGTGATGACAGAACGCACAATTTGACTCCAAGCTGTTGCCATTCTTGAGGTAGCATGACCACCGCCAGCATGGACCGCATCGAGATCCCTGTTTGTTGTTTCTCATCTTGTTGATCCTCAAGATCGCGCTCTGAAGTGCGCGATTGCGAGGCTTTCATCAGAGAACGAGGCGGAGTGGGAGAACCAAGAGCTTGTTGTAATTGCGACGTCTTGGGAGGTCGGATGGTTGCTGGCGCAAAGGCTGGGTTTCTCGTGGTATGTTCTATCGGCTGTATAGCTGGGAAAGAGCCTGGCATTATCTCGTGTGCCATGTTCTCCCGAGAACCATCCCGGGTTCCCTTGGATTCTTTTCGGAAGTGCTGCTTTTCGGACCAGTATATATGGTAAAGTCTCCTGAGTCCGAGAGCGAAGGGTAGCGACCGACTAAGCATGCCCAGAGAATTCATACCGTCTCATTCTACCTCACACGTGACAGTCACGTCTCTTGGACGCCAACTGGGAAAGGGTAAGAAGAAACGTTGTGAGGGACTTGGGTCGAGGTAGGCGCGACACTGACGCTATTCGTTCAGCTGGACGGAAGAGCATCGACAGCAGCAGTCCGATAGGCAAGAACGACCCTGCGCACAACTCTAGGCCTGGGCAGCAAAACCATCGTTGTGCATCTTTGTATATCACGATCAGTCCTTTGCGCAAGTATCTTGCCCCCAATTCCAAGATGTTCTATAAGACTTCGTCTGACTGAGTTACGCTAATCTATTGGCGAAGACATTGGATAAAAGGTCGCCCATTCTTGTATACTTCTTCTGCCACAAAGCAGTCTTAGTCTTCGCTATTCATCCAATGCAAAGCGTGATGTGAACTTGAACGTCTTGAGGCCCTCCTCGACGTTCTTGACAATATCGTCCAGCGAACCGTGCACATAGACACCCTCGAGTGCCGGGTCGAAGCCAGATGATGCCAACTGCTGGCCAGGCTGGTCGGCTCCAAAATAAGCGACCGGCTTGCCGTACAGATACGACTGTGCGGCAATCTGCAGCGGGCGCTGAGCAGGGTACAGAGTAGACTTGGTGGTGATGTTGAAAAGACCAGCCTTGGCAGCGCCTGAGACGACAACCAACGCATCGCCATCAACAGCATCGGCCGCCGAGTACACCTTGTCAACTCCCTCGGCAAGCTTCTCGGCCACGACCGTAACAACAAGACCGTCGGCAGTGAAGCGCTCCTTCAATTGTGCAGCTTGCTCCATGGCACCCGAATCGCCGGCAATGCTGGCCAAGATGGTGACTTTGAGAGTTGCAATCGAAGTGAGCTTGCCCTCGGTAATGGAAAGACCAGCAGTGACGTTGTTGTGATAGTAGGTGTCGTCGGCATCAGGTGCCGTCATGCCGAGTGCAGATGCAACACGGACAGCAACGTCGTGGCTGACCCTGTTGAGCTGCGCGAGGACGTTCTCCTTGACGGTCTGGGACTTGAGCTGGGATGTCTCGAAACGCATCGCGTTGATAACAAACTGCTGCTCAACTGGAGTGAGGGAGTTGTAGAAGAGCCGAGGTTGGGACCAGACGTCGTCAAAGGTAGACGAGAGTTCGCGGACGAGGTTGTTGGACACTGTACGCGAAGGTGCCGTGAAGAAGCCACGTCCCTCGGTATGGGACGCTTGCTGGGGGAAGCCCTTGTTCATGGTGTTGGGAGAGTCTGAGAGAAAAGGTGAGCTATGGTGCTGATTTGCCCACAAAACTCCTGTCAAGACTCACAAGGGTAAAGATTCTGGTGAATCATGTTCTGCCCTGCACCGTCCCGGTTGTTGTTGTGGACAGGAACGACAGGTCTGTTGATAGGCAGCTGCTCGAAGTTGGGACCGCCGTGGCGGTTGATCTGCGTGTCGAGGTACGAAAAGATGCGGCCCTGTAGCAGGGGATCTTCTGTGAAGTCGACACCACGAACAATGTGTCCAGGTTGGAACTACCACACGTCAACAAGGGGTGGTGGTTTAAATGTCCCACAAGTGTGATTTGCTCACCATGATCTGCTCGGTTTCGGCAAAGTAGTTGGTTGGGTTTCTGTCCAGCTTCAAGACACCCAACTTAGTCAATGGAGCATACTCCTCAGGGATGATCTTGGTTGGGTCAAGAAGGTCGAAGCCAAAAGCCAGGGCTTTCTCCTCGTCCACGATCTGGACGGCAAGCTCCCATTCTGGACCATTGCCAGAGGCGATGGCATCGTAGAGATCCGCACGATGAGCATCAGCGTTCTTGCCTGCCATGATCTGGGCCTCTTCCCAAACAAGACTGGCACGACCCTGCTTCGTCTTGAAGTGCCATTTCACGAGCTTGGACTTGCCCTCGTCCGTGACGAGTCGGAACGTGTGAACGCCGAAACCGTCCTGTGGGATGTGATGAGTAAGGTTCTGTGTCATCGGTACAATGTTGGCTTACCATGTGTCTGTACGACCGGGGAATCCCGTAACCGGCCATGGCCCAAAACAGAGTGTGCAAGGTACTGGGCTGGGACGAGAAGAAGTCCCATGCAGAGTCATGTGCGGTAGCGGCCTGCGGGATCTCATTGTCCGGTTTCGGCTTCACGGAGTGAATAAGATCCGGGAAGCGAATGGCGTCCTGGATAAAGAAGACCGGGATGTTGTTGCCGACAATATCTGAAAGCAATGTCAGGGTACAAGGTTCATGCGTGCTCGAGCTTGCGGTAATAATTACCAAAGTTGCCTTCGTCGGTGTAGCTAAGCAGGACGTTAGTATGTGACATAGCAGGGCAGAGAAGAACCTGTAGACTCTTACAATCTGGTGGCGAATCCATGAACATCACGGACTGTGTCAGCACTCCCGCGGGAGCCAGCGACGGTGGAGAAGCGCACGAAGGTCGGGGTCTTCTTGCCAGCCTCGGACAGGAAGGAAGCAGCAGTGATGTTGCTCCAGTCTGCGTAGCTGGTGAACGTGCCGTGGGCACCGGCGCCACGAGCATGAACAGCTCGCTCTGGGACCTTCATAGATGTTTTGTTCAGCATTTGTAATTTGATGGTGATAGAACTGTAAACGCTGCCCTGAGACTCACCCTTTCATGGTCGAAGTGGGTGATCTTCTGCCGGAAGATGAAATCTTCGAGCAGGGTCGGGCCACGCCTACCAGCCTTGAGGGAGTGCTGATCACCAATTTGACCACCGACGTCGTCGGTCAAGTAGCCCTCACTATCGTCGACCTTGTACGGGCCCAGTATATCTTCAGTGATGGCACCATCTTGACGAGCATGGAGTGCAGCAGGGTCTGCAAAGGGGCAACCAGCCGCAGCCGCAGCAGTGACAAAGCCGAGGACCGCCACGGCAGTCGAACAACGTCCCATGGCTAGTAAGGTTTTGTTTTTGTATCAAGGAAGATGGGAACCAATGTCAAGGGCTGCTGCTGCAAACAGCGTGTGCGAGCGAGGAAGAGGAGCGATGCTGGTATTTATGTCGAGCCCAAGCACAGACGCCAAGAAGAATCAATCGACGAGGCAAGGTACAGCAAGGCGCATTGAAAGCCATGTGCCGAGCCGAATGTTGCAGCTAGGCTGACCAGGCGATTCGCCGATCTCTACGCTGTTGTGGTCCTGTTGTCCCACCGATGTCGTCAAGGCAGGTACGACGACAGACAAAGCACGTGGAGCAGCCAAGCCAGGACGATGCAGCTTCCATGTCCGTACATTGAACATGGTGTGCCACTGACAACTGGGTCGCAGCCAGAGAGTTCTCGAGTGAGACGTCGGCCGTTGGTCATCGCCGGCCTACTCATCCCATCGATTCCGCGTCATCGAGCATGGGCTGCTGCTGCGGCTTGCCTTGCATCAAGCATGCATGGTTTGTCTCCCCGAAACACAAGAGGACAATGAGATCACCCGTTATGGCGCCGTCTCCCGGAAGCCATGCACCTGTCAGAGCCTATGAGCCACTCTGACTTCTTCGTCCGGGGAAATTGTTGCCCGGTCTATCTTGGGGATGGCACGCACAACCTTGCAAGGCAGCATCATCAGTTCAGCATTTAGTGATGACGACCGTGGTCAGCGGGTCAAATCTAACAAGGTACCCTGGGATAATAACCCTTCTGGCCGCTGGAGTTGGAGCACATGGACACAACAAGACATTGTCTCCGAGCCCATACCGAGCCTGGCACTTGTATCCATCACGGCAAGTCCTCCAAGCGTCGGGAGCCAGAAATAAACGGGCGCTTACAGTGATGTTGCCAGACAGAATCGCCGGTGGGGCACCTCGAGACTGGTCGACGTGCTGCATGGCATCAGGCTTGGCGTGATTGCGATGCGTCCTGCTTGTTGACTGATAGAGGCACCGTCCTGAGCAAATCCTCCGGAGCGGAGCCGTGCCAATTCGGCGATCGAGTCCTGGCCCTAGGTCTTGCCGGCGAGAGATCCCTGTAGCCAAGAGCGACACCTCGCTCTCCACTTCTGACGAGCTCGACAGTACAGAATGACCAAAGAAAGAAAGAAACCGTTGGGCGGAAGGTTCACTGCCGAGCTGGCTTTAAACTCACAGTGCCGACCACAGAAACGGTGTCAGACCCTGCATGAAAACGTTGTAGTCGCCCTCCCGGCTTGACTGAGAAGCATCCACCCTGCGGGAAGGACATTCCATGCGTCAAAGAAGGGCCGCGAGAACAGGCCGCGGGTCGGATTGCAGGTCGCAGGAAGACAGGACGAGGATGCGGACGGCGGAAGCGTGCCAGTGGAGCAGGCCGAGCGTCGAGCAACGCAAGGTGTGGTCATCACAGCCAGGGGTCCTTTGCGTGCTGCGGGCGAGGCCCACGATGGAGAGATGGAAACATTCGATGCCTGTATGCTAAACGGCTGCAGGTGCGGGTGGCGTATCCCTGGCAGGCCGCACCATTGTCCCGCGGGCCAAGTGCCGAGCCGGCCAGGGGGAAGAGCCACTGAGAGCGCATCCTCGCGCCTGCCGTTGGCGTTTTGTGCAAGCCACTGGACGACAGGCAGAGCACCTCGCTGCATCATCCCACATCAAAAGCCACCCTCCTCCTACATTGCCATGGTCACATCCAGCACCCTGCGTGCTACACGCCCAGTCAAGATCGGCTGCTACCGACGCAACGCGCAATCACGGCACTATGAATGTCCCTTGCACCCGAATCTCCTCGGCCAAGGCCATTCCGCAGCAGCTTGATGAAGAGCAGATCTGGATGGTTGCCTGTGGTCATGCATACATGGATACGTCGCTGCTTTCACCGGGGTAATACCATGAGCTTTGCGATTCGACAGGCCTCGTTAAGCATGCCTTTATACACATGCAAGACCCTGAAGCAAGTTTAGCGACAATTAGACTTTTGGCATCAAACAGCTCGACTGACGAGCGTGCCACAGAACATCTTTGTTTTTGTCAGCATGACCACCGCGAACCATCAAGGTTTCTGCTGCCAAGCATAGCTCGCGTGATTAGTGGGCTGTTTTGTTTTAAGTGATCTGCCATGGTATCGGAAACTCGACATGTACACTGGTTAGCCGCCCATCTGATGGACCTTGCAGACCAGAGGCGGCCGCGGTGAATGGCTAGAGTGTGTTGCGGCGTCATATGTGACGGTGGAAAGGCTGAGGTCCCAGTGCCAGATCCCAGCAAGCTCATTTGAGCTGCATGCACTCGAACCTTTCACCTGCAGCACACCCGGCCGGGCGACCAGTCGTGTCTCGCCATTAAAAATAGCATCCAGACAAAACCTCTGATCCCGCCGGGGCTGCCAGGCTGTCTCGCGCTCGAATCGGAAGCCTCCTGCTGTTAGTGAGTAGAGATTACAATGGGGGGGTCCTGCCACCCGACAGCTGCCGATCCTCGGGTATTGAACGGACTGTGATGTTTCATCTTGTATAGCCTCGGGGTTTTGACGACGTCTTGATCTGGCAGTTTGCCGTTAGAAATGCCGCTTGCCAGACTTTGCTTCACGAATACTCGACAACGTACGTCCACGACAGACAGGAGCTTGCAGTCATTACATACCTTTTGGCGTGCACTCTGCCGGCTTTCTCCATGTTTACTCGTGCTGCAAGGCCGTATTTTTCGGGGGGTTGGATTTACGGTAAATGCCCAGGCGCGATCTCGACAACGAGATGTGGTTTCACTTACTAGCCTAGATTTCTTCCTTTCGCAAAATACATGTCTTGCAGGAAACACCGATTGAGAGCAGCATAGCCAAGTATCAGCCAAGGTAGTTGAAAAAATGCATACGAAACCAAAACGTACAGCAATTCATTCGGCAGAAACCTCCGCAGAACGGCAAAACCCCAGCCAGGCACAAGAACGCCGCTCGCAAACAAATGCCGCAAACTATGTATGGTATCTCCGCCAATGCCCCCAAAAAGTCAAAGAATCACAGGTAACATCGCTTGCTATTCAATGCGGCCGCTGCTTCCGGGGAGACCTCCGGACGGATAAATCCGTGCGGTCACCATGGTCTTCCGTCAAGATCGAGAGTATCGACTTTTCAATCTCGTCCCTGCCACCCATCAGCTGGTCCTCGTCGACCCAGCCCGACTCCACGGCATATCGGACAATGTCGCTCGCGCTCTCGAACCCGGGCACTTCGGGCCCAGCATCCGGGTCGAGGTGGTGCCAGAGGTTCTTGACGAGGCGCTTGAACATTGTCAGGTCTTTCTTTGGTCCTCGGAAGTTGGCTGTCATGTATTCAAAGAGATAGGCCAGCCAAAGCACATTGGTGTACGGCTCATGTACCCTCCAGTCAATTGGGCCGTCGACACCGCTCTCATACGGTGTGCAGTGGGCGCCTGGTGGCAAGCACGCTCTGTCATCGCGGAGCAGGAACGAGCGCATACGCCGGTAGACCTGACACTGCGGAGCGTGTTCACTCCGGAAGAGAGACAGGTCTCTTTCCATGTCGTAGGCAATGGCTTCCACTTGTTCGCCCTCTTCATCGGTGTAAATCGAGGCCCGGGAAAGTCCATAGTCGAGGATCGTGATGTCCAGTCCCGAGAAGCCGAAACATGTGGATCGATCACGCTCTTCAGGCGGCACGGGCTCGCCGATACGCCGTATGCACAGGTTGCCCTCGTGCAGATCACGATGCTTTACGTTGGTTGTTAGTTCGTAGCTGACCATATACAGACTTGCGCACTAAAACTTGCCTCAAACTCGACCCGCGCCTCGGCTCGTGCCAGCGCAATGGCGCAGTGCAGGAAGATGTCAAACAACTGGTCTGATGATGTGAGGTCAAAGTCCTCGAGCGCGACACCGGCATCCCCAAGTTCCACAACCAGGAACTTGGTGTCGTCCAGGTATCTGCTGGGGGAAGGATAAAACTGCAGCCGTCCCGGATCCTTGCGCTTGATCCTCCTCTGAAAAGCCTGGTGCGTCTCCAGGAGCTGCCGACTGGTCTTGCCCTGCACTATGTACCGCTCCTTGTACATGACAAAACCTGGAATGTCGGCAAGCAGCTGCGAGATCTGGAGCTCGCCCACTAGATCTGACTCTGAGTGTGACAGCTCGTCGACGAGTCCGGCGTTCTGCTGCTGCTTGGTCTGTGGCTTGATGGGGGAGTCCATGCGGATGACCTTGATGATGCTTGTGCCACGCTCGTTGGTGACACGGTACACCTCGGCGTAGGAGGCCTCTGCAATCTTGACGATCCGGTCGCCAAGAGGGCAGACTTCGGCCCAGGATAGAACCCGTAGGCTTTCCTCCTCTTCATAGTCCTCGGGGTCGGGGTCGACGAAGTGGTCCGTATCAGCTCTGAGTTGCTGTGAAGGGCTGATTGATGGTGACCTGGGCGGGGTCGTCACGGAACGGGGCGGTGTGTTATATGGTTGTGCTTTTTGTGGTAGTGACCTTAGCGGCGAGTTGTGCTCTGCTGGTGTTTCCTCTGGCGGTGGTGTGTTCTCATCGTGGATGTTGACCACGGAGAGATCCTTGGCCAGCCTTCCCACCGCATCTTCTCCCTCTTCTGCTGGGAAGACGCCAGCAGCTATCGACTGCCGCGTCCTCCGCACCGGCGTCTGCGGCAGCTCGGCAAAGAGACGGTCGCCCTTTGGCTTGGCTTGCTGCTTGCCGTACTTTCGAATCGTGCCGGGCTTCGGCATTATTGGGGCTTATAACATCAGATTTCGTGTTTAAGTGTTGGTGTGTTTTTCTTGGAGTGTCGGGGGCTTGTGAGTCGAAGTGATGCAAGGGTATGAGCAAAGAGTCGTTGTCCAATGGTTCTCGTATCGAAGGGATTCTGTGTCGTCGTCGTCGTCGTCGTCGTCGCCTTGAATCCGCCTTGTGCTGGAGCCGATGTCACCTCGATCAATTGTTGACTTTGGCCAGCCACACGTTGCCAGAACAACGCGGGTCCACTCAGCCACAGTGCAGGTAGCAGCCACACCTTGGGGGCAGCTACGCTGTGGGTCGCCCTTTACGACTCGTGCGTATTTCACCTGGAAAAGTGTGGAGACGACCTTCCAGAAGCGTGATTGAAGCTAGGGAAATGGCCAATAGGGGAGCTTCCACCGGTCTAGTTGGTGCTGCAGGGCATTTGGGGTCCCCCAGCCAGGCCGTGCGTGGTGAGTGCGGATAAACGTACTTTTAACGAATGTCCAAAGTCACGGGGAGACTGGTCCTGTGAGCAGTGATGGAAGAGCAGTCAGACATACACTGGCATACTTGATGATACGGAACAGAGGGTGGTCACACACGCTCTCCTCCCCCTTATATGTCGCTGTATGTTGAGGTCCATTTGGACCTCCTGAGGCCGTCGGGTCCGGGCAGTGGTCAACCAGGCAGCCAGGCAGGCATAGCCCTAGGAGGAGCTGAGATTGGGGTGGGGAGAGAGTTGGGGTCTGGGGTCCTGGGTCGTGGTCTCGACTGCGCTGGTGCAGGTGAGCTTCTGTGCGATTCTGCCACGCCGCAACCAACGGAGGCTCCACCGGGCACCACCACCTCCGCACACCACCACGGAGCTCGTCCTTCTCCTTGTCCGCATCCTCGTTGTGGTCGCCCCTTCTCCTCCTCGACGTGACCAGCCACGACCCCGCGCGCGCGAGCAAGCAGCACTCCCACCATCGCCCTCGCCAAGCAGCGCACAACCCAACCATGGCGGACTTCCTCAAGAACGTCCTTGGGGGCGGCAAGTCTGCCGAGACGCCGGCCGTCAAGCCCGACTCAGGTATGTCGTCCCCAGCACGCATTCCCTCCTTGCGCCAGCCATTGTCCGCGCCAGCCTCGACGGTCGAGCTCAGGCGGTCTCTGGTGTGGCAGTCTGATGGCGGCGCATTGGTTTATTCCTCCTTCTTCGCGACTCACAGCGGCTGCTAACCACTTCGCACACGCACGTACAGACTTTGAGGACTTTGCTGCCAGCCCAGCGTCGCCCTCCCCCGTGCCGTTCGAGGCCACCGGCAACCTCGCCGCCGCGCAGACCGCCCGCCCGTACACCGCGTGGTACCGCATCGACGAGCGCCACAGCCTGAGCGAGTTCCGCAACGAGGGGCTGATCCTCGTCGTCATCGCCATCATCTTCAGCCTCCACGTCATCGGCTCGCGGCGCAACAAGTCCAAGGCCCGTGCCTGGGCCAAGGCCAATGGCGCCCTCCTCGCGGGCGAGTTCTCCCAGGTCGGCTTCGTCTCGGGCATTGACGCCGAGAAGCAGCCCGAGAAGGTCCTCAAGCAGAAGAGCCTGTATGAGTACACGAGCTACGCCACCGGCCGCTCCAACATTGCCTTTGTCGACGTCAAGCTCGAGCTCATCAAGCGCTTCAACCCCATCATGACCATTGCCGAGACCATCTCGGGCTTCTTCCTCGACAGCGTGCCCACCCCGCTGGACATCGTCGAGGCCACCATCTACCCCTTTGATGGCAGAGAAGACAAAGTCGTCCCCGGCATCCCAGGCGCCATGGAGCTGCGCAGCAAGGACTCCAAGAGCGCCTACGACGGCTTCGTCTGGGCCGTCGTCAACAAGGACAAGATGCAGAAGCTCCGCGACGACCGCTACGACGTCTCCATCACCTTCACCAAGGACAATGCCAAGCTGCCCCAGTGGACCACCGTCATGAGCGAGAGCGCCGAGATCACCGCCGCCCTGCTCACCGACGAGCTCGCCGCCGCCGTCACCCAGGCCGGCGAACTCTTTGACTGCTTGATTGTGTCTGACCAGCCCATTGAGAAGCCCAGAACGTGAGTTTGTTTGTTCTTGTCCTTGTGAGGTCATGTGTACACATTAATATATATAAATATATTGGATACTAACACCTGCATATACTTTCCAGCATTGAGGAGACCGCCCCTCGCAAGAGACTCTACCTCCGCTACCGCCTGCCTTCGTCCGACAAGTACGACGACCTGCTCCCGCTGCTGACCTGCTTCGTCCGCCTGGCCGACCACCTCGCCGCAGTCGCCCACTTCCGCCCGGAGGTGCTGCGCAAGATCAAGTCGATCCGCGACGAGAACGTCAAGCAGATCCAGAAGGTTCTGGACGAGGAGAAGGCCGAGGAGCGCGCCCTCGAGCGCGACAAGGCCAAGAAGGCCAAGCGCGACGCCGAGCTCGCGGCCCTCGACGCCAAGGCCCAGAAGAAGTACCTCGAGAAGGAGCGCGAGAAGGAGGTCCGCAAGATGAACAAGAGACAGACCATGCGCGGCTGAGCAAAGCTGCGTGTCGGCTCAGGAAATGCTGCGCAGCCGGCCAGAAACACCTCCGCTGGACACTGGCGAACCCCTTGTCTCACCGCGGCGCCGCGCCGTTGGACATTGCGTTCGTGTACAACTTGGGGACCACTTTGTCGGGAAGCGTTAACGTTTGACTGTGGGAGCATTGCGAGGTGATCGGAGCTGGGGCGAGATGGGTTGTAGGATGCCTGTTTGTACCAATGTAAAGGGAATTTCAGGATGATATCAGGGCTTAGGCGGGGGGCACCGGGTTGTTTTTCTTTCCAATATGGAAGACAGGAAAAGGGGGAGGAAGAGGGCGGTTCGCAGATACACGGCCGTGTGTATATATATGTATACATCACCACCCGCGGTGGGGAAAAAAAGAAACGAGTTAATTGACTGGATAATCCTGCATTGTTCGTCCCGGGCCACGATTTTGTGACCGTGAAAAACCACACAGAAACCATCCCTTTGTCTGTTCGCCTGCTCAACGCCCACCTATCATCCTTGTTCCTTGTTCTTGCACACTCGTCTAATCCCGCACATACACAACAAGGTGGAAAGCAGAACCGACCAGTACTGGCTACGCTCGTTCTCAATGGTCGGGGTTTTTTCTTTCTTTTTCTTTTCTTTTCTTACTTGCTGTCCGCGGAGAGAATGTCCTCGACGCGCCTGACTTTGTCCTGCGCGGTCTGGGTCTTGTCGGTTCTATACACGTGAGAAATTCGACCCCGAGACGGGGTGGATGTTTTTTTGATCAGCATGGCGGACATGGGGCTCATCAAGCAGCACGCGCGAAGTTGTAGTTATGAAGAAGTGGGAGGAGGGGGTTTCAGAGAGGGGGGAGCAGAAAACATTAATGAGTCCATAGGTAGGGAGGGAAGACTGTAAGAGGCTGATGGCAAAGGGAAGGTGGAAGAAAGGAACCCAAAAAAAAAAAAAAGGGGGGGTTGGTGCAAAGGCGGATAGACGAGGAGTGAAGAAGTTTTCATTGGGAAACATCAAGTCAAACTGACCTCGTCCCGACGCGCATCGAGGTCTGCACGCGAAGCACGCCCTTTCTGTGGACGAGCGTGTGCGCCTGGCCGATGACGTGGAAGACCTGGGACCATGACCCCTCTGTTTCTGCACAGTCAGTTTTTGATAATACTCTCTTGTACAACTTGAAAGGCGGGTTTCCCCCAAGTAGGAGATATAGTTTCAGAATTCTCAAATGTGAGGAGAGAAATAATTTGCCCTCGATTCGTTCCCGGGAGACGACTCTGAGTAGCACAGGCACGGTGTTGATAAAAGAACAAAACACACGGATGCGTGATGCAGAGTGAAAAAAACGCACCTAGCGTCGTGCCCGCCGAGTGCATTGTGCAGGTCAGCCCGCTCGCCCTGAGCAGGCGCTGAACCTCGGCGACCTCTTCTGCCACGGAGACGTTGCCGGTTCCGACCTGTTTCCCCCAAGAACGGAAAGAACACCCCATAGGTTAGCAAGGTTCACGGACTGACTTGGGAAAAAGAAAAAATAGGTCTGCAGGCTGAAGTATGTGATTGGGGTCACAAGAGAAGAGTGGTCTGTGTGCACGAACCGGGACGAGGCAGAAGTCGGCGTAGCATCGCTCCGGCACGGGGACGTCATTGTACGGCGAGCCTTCTGCATTGGTGGTGGTGCTATCGGCTGCTGACATCTTGGAATCTTGCGCGCGTTGTCTTGCCGGTGGGAGGATGTGGAACGTCTTTGCCGGAGGAAGTGTTGCCTTTTGTGCCCCACGTTGGTGACGCACCGATGCCGGCTGTGCTCGGAAGTTGCGCTGTAGCGGATGAAACGCACGAAACGTGGACAGACGAGAAAGGCGCTGGCGTGGAAGTGCTGCTGGGAGGAGAGCAGGCGGCGCAGGGTACATGGCAGGACGGGAGCATGCGGGTGCGAGGTCCGGGTCTGGAGAGCGAACGGACGGTGCCGGTCATTTTGAGTGGATGGCTGCGTGCCCCGGACCGGATCGGCGGAGGTCAGTCAGTCAGTCACGCCCCCGCCTGCCCGCACCCTGAGCCGGGCTACAGGGCGGCCGGACTCAACCTTCCGGCTGCTCACTCGGGGGTCCAGAAGTGAGAACATCGTGATCTAGGATACAGCACGTGGAGAGCACACCCTCGATATAAGTTGAACCTTCCGAAACAGTAACTCGTCGGCTTCCATGGACATCTCCTGCAGCTGCACCCCGATACCTCACGAGATAATTGCACGTATATCTGATATCAGTCCTGCTCCAATCAATATCAAGGAACATCTGGAGTTTCAACTGAAGGACTCTTTCGAACCATTTAGAGAGGTCCAGCCTCACCGAAAAAAGAAAAAAGGACCTCTCCTAAACTCCATCGCTATGCCATATGACCTGGTATCCGGTAAACAAAAAAAACCCGAGCGCTGTACATGTGGAAATCAGCACCTGACAGATCCAACGCGGACGCATTCGTGCCTATACTATAGCATGACCAGAGCGCCCACAAGAAACACGACCAGCCCAAACGCCACGCCGTTATCCCGGTCTAGACCGCCGCCCCCGCCACTGCCATTGCCTGTCAATGTCGTCGTCGTCGTCGAAGCCGAAGGTGATGGTGTTGCCGGCGATGATTGTGGCCCGCTGCTACCACCACCACCATTACTACTACTGCTCGCAACGCCATTCAACCGATCCGCCGTCTCGATAGCAGGACCCTCGCTATAAAAGTCCACCAGCACAAAAGTCGGCGCCCTTCCCGCCCACGCACCCACGCACATATCCGCGTGCGCGCCCAGCGAGCCCTCCTGGCCCCTACCCACATCCGGGCTATTCGTCACGGCGACGTCCTCGCTCGCCGGGAACATAATCGTGCCGAGACCACCGGCCCCGGACCCGGTGTCGATCGTGTTGTACCGGAAGTGGTTCATCAGGGGCAGCTTGCCCGCCTGTAATGCCGTGCTGGGCGATGCGGACCACCAGGCCGCCGCCTGGTTGCGAGGACGGTCGAGGGTGCAGTTGAACCCCGTGGGCGAGGTCACCGCGTAGGGCGTCTCAAAGACGTACTCGAACTCTGATAACAAAAAGGGGTACGCCGGGCTGGGGGTGATGGACTCGATGAAGACGACGAGCCGCTTGTCGGCGGCAATCATGCTCCCCAGTGTCGGCCACGCCGTTGTTGCTGCCGCCGTTGTCGCCGGCTGTGGCGGCGGGACATGGCCGTATGCATCCAGCCCGGCAGCCTCAAACACCCTCCCAAACTCGGCCGCGTCGTGCCCGCCGCCGCCGTTGACGAGCAGTATCGTGATGACCTCATCCGGATGCCCGTCCAGCCAGGTCTTGATCCCCGCCAGCCAAGTTTCCAAGGACCCGGCGTCGAGCAGATCGCACGACGAGTGGCAAAGCTCGATGACCCCCTTTAGATCGTGCGTCTGCGCCTGCAGCAGCCGGACCCCGTCGTCCAGGGCTCTCGTGGCAGGGAAGTACTGGTTCCCGGCTATCGAGTTGTTGGTGCTGGCATCACGAACAAACGCCGAGTTGTGCGCACCCAGGTGTGTCACCGAGTCGTACCGCCGGTCACATAATGTTGGTGAGCCGTTGCATGTTGTTGCGGCGCGTCTGGCAGTGGCTGATATGCTGTTACTACTGTTCCTGGCATTGACTGCGGATGTCGCCGATGTGGCTGCTGTGTTGGGACCAAGAAGGATCGTGGCTGCTATGGCCAGCAATGAGTGTAGCTGAGAGCCACGCATCGTGTAGCTGAGCTCCCAATATTGTGCGATATGATGTGCGGATGATGCCGAGGTAGCAGAACTATTCCCCTCTCCTCTCCGACAAAGGAGTATAACCAAATCTCAGAATAAGGTTTCGAAAGTTCAAATACAAAAGGGATTGTCAAATGTAAACAATCCGGGGGAGGCGAGGAAGCAAAAGTGAGACACCCCGAGGTTGTCGCGAGGATTCAAGCGTAATGCGGGCGAGATGTTACATGCGCTAAAATCCCCCAAAAAGTGATGATGCTGAATGAGAGGACAACCTCTGACGAAAAGCAATAAACTACTTGCAGGCGGAAAGTTGCAGTCTTCCCCTTGCAGACAGCCACATGAATACCATGCAGTACCGAAAACAACCCTGCACAGCTCATCCACACACACATGCCCCTGATCCTCGTCCTCGGGGTCCTGTAAGATCAGGGGAGGGTGCGGGCACTAACGCCCCAGTGGCGACGCTGTGGGCTGGCTCCTGGCAGTTGGGCTGTGCGGGAGCCGGCAGCAACAGAGGAAAGGACTCTTCTCACTTGTTCTGACAGGCAATTGGAGGGCTCGTTCCTCGTAGCGATCACTGGATCGTGCTTAGCATGCCACGCGTCGCCAGTTTCGTGGCTTGGCTTGGCAATATCCACACTGCAGGGGACAGCACGACGGAGCGAGACAATGCACTGCTCTTCAGCTGCGGGAGCAACAGACCGACCTGCCGATGGGTGTGGTGCAAATGACATCTCCTGTCTTGGCTGATTCCATGCTCGAACACTTGTCAAGGTTGGCGGGGAGGCTGCTCCTGGCGCTGACGGGCGCTGAACAATGACAGCATGCGTAATGGTGTGCTGAGACAAGGCATTCTCCTGGCTGAGTCAAACCTAGAGAAAACCATGGTGGGAGATGGGGAACTAAAATTAAGCACCACCATTGCTGAGAGTCCGTCAGGATCACGCGATGCTAATGTCCCGTGACCCAAAACGGTCTTGTCTCGCAATAAACCGCAGTTGCACAGTGCAGCATCGTGATTCTTGTTGCTGGCATGCGTTGCGGAGTGAGCCATTGGGCAACTTTTCGCGGTGTATTCCAATCGTCTTCGGAGACACTTGCTCAAATGCGAGAATGTTGGCGTTCAGGTGCAGGTGCTTGTGATTTCCATCAGTCCCTTCTGCTGCATACTGGCAAAGTACTCAACTATGCACCGCCGTTCGCATGGTAGTCGACAGGGGTTGGCGTGAGCAGACTGGACGAGACTCTTCACGTCACAGGTTTGCAGGCATACGCTCTTTCCACGTTATCCTTCGTTCAAAAAAGGCTCTGGTTTTTGCGCTCGATTCAGAGGATATCCTCAGGCATTGTCATTTACTCAGGATCCGCGGCATATGACTCCAGTGCGGCCTCGTCTTCCATCTCCTTGATCCTCCGCTTTCCCTCCTCGGTTGTCGCGTCAATCACCTCCTCCTCCAAACTCAACACGCCAGCCTAGAAGTTTCCGTCAGTCAGTCATTCTGCAATCCGACATTTCGGCATGGCACATTTGCAAAAACATACCTCGCTCAGTAGCCCAACAAGCTCCTCGGCATCAGCCACCTTCATCTTACCCAGGACCTGGTTGACCTTGTCGAGACTGCCAGACTCCAGCGCCTTCTTCATATCCGGCGCAAAGCTGTCAAAGATCTCGCGGCCTCGCTTCTCCTCCTCGTCTTGGCTGTCTGCCGGGGGTATCCTGATCTTGATCTCCGTGCCCGGCTCCACCGCGTGGAGCTGGATTTGTTCGACATCCCCAGACCCTTCAGCTGCCCTTTCCGCATTGATCTCCTTTGTGCGATTCTTGATTCTAAAGTAGGTATCCTGTACGTCCTTGTAGAAGACATCCTGCGCTTGATGACCTTTCGTCGTCACGCGCTTGAAGAAAAGCGACACACCGTCCCGCCCGAGGGACCTGCAATACTGCAGCAGTAGCGCTTGGTGGACGCAATTCCGCGCCACATCATCCTTGCCTTCCAGCTGCGCATCGAATGCCATCACGAGGATGCCGTCTGTCTCCTTCTCGGCAAGGATGTGGGGGTGCGACGTGATGAAGGCATGAGACTCGCGGTACTCGGAAGCCTTGATGCTTGCAAATTTGCGCCCGTCCGCCGAGGCGTCCATGTCGTCCTCATCGCCGGCGCTGGCTGCGTCCTTTGGCGGCTGCGCCGCTTGAGCAGAAAAGTTCGGGTTGAGTAGTTCGGGCTGGCTGCTGCTGGTGCTGGTGTTGCTCGTCTTCTTGTCGCTACCTGCCGCCGCAGGGGTCGACTTCGCAACATGTGATGTGTTGAAGCCGTCTCGGAGACCCTCACTCGTGATTTTGCGGCCCTCTTCCTTCTCCAGCTCTGCCAGCTTCTCAAGCAGCTGCTTTTGGAGATCTTCAACCTTGCTGAGGTGGTCCTCAATCTCCGCCACCATGGCAGTGTATCTATTCTCAGGCTTCTTCTCGTCCATGGCCTTGTTGACCTGGTCGAGCAGGGACGCCATCATCTTGGTATACGAGGGTGGCTGCTCGGCATTGGCGTGCACGCCCTCTGGCCGCGCGGGCGGCTTGTCGTCGGCCGGGTTGCCTGCAGACTCCATGACGGCCTGGAAGGCGACCTCTGCCGGGTTGCGGGACTCGGCCTCGGACGCATGCTTCTTGAGGGCCGCGAGCAGGGCCGATATCCTCTTGATTAGGCCATCGTTGATCTGGCGCTCGTACTTGAGGGTTTCAATCTGCAGCTTGCGCTGCTGCCGCTCGGCGTGGATCTGGTTCTGCTTGGCTCGGATGAAGGATCGCTTGTCGACGTTGGGGTGGACCTCGATATCCGAATCGTCACTAAGCTCGAGGGCGTCCTAGCATTGTTGCTGATGGTTAGTTTCGTTCTTGTGTCAAGAATGGATGGCTCCCCCAGAGCTCAACTTACCCATTTGCTGTAGTCGACAGGCATTGTGAAGTCTGTATCGCTTGATCACGTCAAGTGGGAATGTGGTAAGGTGTGTGAAGACACGAGTTCTACACAGCCCAGGGTAGGGCAAGAAGATAAGTTAGAGGAAGCAAGTACAGGACAGCCGAGCTGCGAAAGTTGCAGCGAAGCTTCTAGATGCATGAAGCTGTATTGTCTGAGCTCCAAAACGATTGCCCACTGACGGCATGGGTGCGGGGTGCTTTGCTGCCCCGCTGGCTGGACACATTTTGGAGTGCGTTTACTGCTCTCAGCCTCAGGGGCGGCAAACGCACCAACAACAAAGTTGCAGTTCTCAATTCTGACAGGAGAGCACCCGTTGTCGGATATGACAAATAGTACAGTGTCATGATACGACACGGTATACTTCGGTGGCTCTCAATTTTTTTATTTTTTTTCATTCCGATGGACTTTGAGTTTTCGGCTGCCTGAACTCCTTTCTAATAATTGTGGATTTCTGTCTCCGCGTGTCTACCCGATTGCGAGGCAACGTCGCCTCAGGCCAGCACCTTGACTGACAGGCACATTGCCTGAATTGTTCGAAAACATGGCCAGTGATATGCCAATCAAAGACGCATGAGAGCCATCATGGGCGACTCGATTGCAAGCTCGCTTCTAGAAGGATCAGACGAGCTCCGCCCTCCGTCTCCAACCAATACTCGCTGCACGAGATGCTTATTACAAAGCACAGCTGCGAACTCCATCCAAGCTTCTGGGGAGTCCGATTGCGAAGCATCATGCATGTCAGAGGCCCGCCTCGCATTTTGGGCAAGACTATTCGGCGGCGTGACACAGAGCCGGGGTTTCTTGGGCAGGATGCAGGCCGGCGAGCCCAAAACGGTTACCTCCCGCCGTTGCACCGCCAGGGGTTTACGATTGGCCTCGATCCATACGATCCGCCTCTTTTTAGCATACCTGCTGGATTCGCTCGGACTCGGAGAAAAAGTCCTGGAGCGGCGCCGAAGATTACGTGGGAGGTAAAGCCTGTCTGTCATGGACTTTCTGCGGGACCAGCCTCGTCGTCCCTTGCAGCCGGTATAGTTCCTTTCCAGTCCCTAATACCCTATCTGTCTTTGGCCCCTGCAACCAAATTAAGTGCACACAAGCCCGGCAACTATAAGAAGTGTGAGCATACCGCACCAGTGAATGAGCCAAAAACAAGTCAGCATTGCAACTTGTTCACCAGAGAAGCATCCTTCCAGATCACAAAGTGTCCCTGCTTCTTGTTGACGCCGCCTAATATCCAAACCACACACCTCCACACCTGTACAAGCACACTTCCCTCCAGAAAATGGGTAACTCCAGACCTTTCAACCCATTCACCTCGCAACGGCTCGTCTACCGCGCGGTCCGCGACACGCCCGAGGACGAGGCCTTTGTCCACGCGATCCAGGCCGATGCCGAGGCCCAGTCCGGCGCCATGTACGGTCTCCTGCGGCCGGAGACGCTGAAATCGAGCAACGAATTCAAGGCCGAAGTCGCGGAAAAGTGTCTTCTGGGTGCCATCATATGCCTCCCCGCCGCGGCCTCTGGCGACCCGGAGAACAACAACAACGACACCACCACAAACTTGAGCACAAACACAAGCTCAACGGCGTTGTACAAGGACAAGCACAATGCCATGGCCGGCACCCCAATCGGGATCATCTGCCTGAAGGCCAACCCGCCGCGCTTTGCCCAGCACCGGTGGTCAGAGATCAGCATCGACGTCCTCGCGGAGCACCGCGGCAAGGGGTACGGCGCAGAGGCCATCGAGTGGTCCCTCTGGTACGGCTTCCGGATGGCCGGCCTGCACCGGATCCAGATCCAGGCCTTCTCGTTCAACGACGGTGCGTGCAGGCTGTATGGCGAGAAGCTCGGTTTCAAGGAGGAGGGGAGACAGCGGGACCACGTATGGTTCGATGGTGGCTGGCATGACAATGTCATTTACGGTATGCTGGAGGACGAGTGGCGCGCGACGAGGGACGGGCAGGCGCAGAAGTGAGATGTATCAGTATATATACCGAGGACGAATTTGCATAAGCACACCACGGTGTAGAGCGGCCGAACCATAAGTGAGCATACTGCTAGTTCGCGATCAGAGCATGCCTATGTGCATACGAGACACGTGCTGCATGCAGGAAAATTAGAAGACGTGACAACGTTATCAGTTGCACCACTTTGCCACCACCTAAATGAAGATCTATGCTCATGGGTACGCACAAGCTCACAAAACGTACACAATACCACAGTATCTGCATGTTAACATGATCAAACCCAGTGGACCACCCGCAAACTCCCTTTCACAACGAAACCCTGCTGCTTATCTGAAAACTCTGGGATATCTTCTATGCTCTCCTTCGCCATGACACACGCCTGCCGAGGACTCATCTACCGCGGTGCTTGGCCCTCGACGAAATCCAGCGCTTGCTCCGTGCTGACGCAGTTGATGGTGCTGTTCTTGTTCCTGAACAGCACGCCGTAGCATCGGTCGGCAACGAGGACAATCTCCGGCCGGAAGGTGGTGCAGATGAACTGCGTGCCAGCCTCTTTTGAGATGGAGTCGAGCAGTCCTGCGACTGCTGTGCGGTACTGAGCGTCCAGGTTGGCATCGACCTCGTCAAAGATGACCATTGGACTGGACTCTGTGGCTTGCAGCGCAAAGATCAGACACAAAGCACACAAACCTGGGGAAACGCAAGTTAGTAAAAAAACGAATGGAGTGGCTGCACAGCCAAGGAAGACCTACTCTTTTGACCACCAGATAATTGCTGGATTCTCTGCTGCTCGTCCAGGACCTTGGAGTTGAACGAGACGCTGATGCCGACACCAGTATAGTTCTCCACACTGCTCCTCTGCTCCTCGTCCGACTCGTCTGGGTCGACACGGCGATCTGTTCTCCGCTGAATGACGAGGCGTCCATGTCCCGCCGGAACGAGGCGCTCAAAGATGGTGGCAAACTCTTTCGAGACTTGCTTGAATGTCCGCTCAATGGCCTCATCCTTGCGCTGGTCGAGATGGGCAACGAGCTCTTCAATCGACTCCTGGGACTTGTCGAGCTCCTGTCTGCGCTTGAGCAGCTGCTCTTGCTGGTTCGTGAAGCTGTTGTACTGCTCGAAAGCCTTCTTGTTGACGTGCTTGTACTTCTTGAGGGCATCGTTGACCTTCTTGAGCCGTGTGCCGATCTGCAATATGCCACGTTAGATTCTACGGCGCTCATTCTTGGTGACATGTGCGATCCACTTACAATCTTCACTTCTAGCCTCTCGTACTTCTCGAACGCTTCGTCCGGCAGCACACCGAGCTCACGAATGTTCTTGGCGCACTCGACAGCCTTGGCTGTCAGCAGTGCCTTCTTCTGGATGCTCTTCTCCATTCGTTTCTGTTGCTTAAGGATCTCCTTCTCAATCTCCTGCTGCTCGGCGTCCTTCTCAGCCTTCTGCTTCTCGAGACTGGACACCTTGGTCTCGGCAGCGTCGAGCTGCTGCATGTTCTCCTCCAGCTTGCTCTTGATTGTGGCAGCGGCAGCCTGGGCCTTCTTGAGCTCGCGCTTGGCCTCCTTGAGATTGGAGCCACCGCCGGAAGCTGTCTCAAAAGCTTGGCTTGTGAGCTGATCGAGTTTAAGCTGCAGGTTGTGGCGCAGATCGTGCTCGAGTATCCTCCTCTGGCTGTCCATCTCACGTCTACTGGCACTAATCTCATTCCACTCCTTCTGGAGCGCCTGGACTGATGAGCTCAACGTCTCGAGCTCCCTCTCTTCGCTGGCCGACAATGCCTTCTTGAAGTCGGAAGCCAGCTCTGCCTCGTACGCGCTCAGAGCACTGCTGAACTCCTTCATGTTGCGGTCCACATTCTCTCGCCGCTTGCTGGCACCCTCCAGACGATCCCTCTCGCGGTCGATTTGCACGTTCTTGGCGTTGAGCTCCGTAAGTAACGGGCCATAGCCATCCTCCATTTGTCGCAGCTTCTGCTCCAGCTTGCGGAGCCTGCCTAGAGCGTTGGTGATCTCCTGGTCCTTGCGTTCAATCTGCCGCCGAATCTCGTCACTCTTGGCCTGGAGAGCATCGAACTCGTCACGCCACTTGTTGACTGCCCGCACAGCCTCGAGTCTCGACTTGCGAGTGTCAATGTAACCGCCAGTCATGGCGCCGCGCTTGTTTGTCGTGTCACCATCTGGTGTTACGCCATTGCAGCCGTGATTCCGGGCATACTGGCCGGCAATGGTCAAGTTGGGACAAATGATCGTGTTACCGAAAACTTGCTGGAATGCTTGCTCAAACTTGGGGTCGTATTGTATCTTGGTGAGCAGGGGGACAGCGTCGTTCGCCTTGGGCAGGTTCGCCGGCCGCACTCGGAGCTTCGTTAGTGGCATGAAGGTGACTCTGCCTCCAAACTGCTTCTGCAAGGCGTTCGCAAGGTACGTGGCGGTGTCCTCGTTGTCAACAACGTAGTGGAACAAGCTCGCACCAGCAATCTGCTCAACAGGTAACCGGTATGCTTCGCTGACCTCCATCAGTTCTGCCAGGGTGCCATAAGCGCCGGGGATATTCTGCTCCTGCTTAAGTCGTCGTATCGTAGCCAGGCCTCTTGATGTTGCACGGTCCATGGTATGAGCAAGATCGCGCTCGGCATTGTCACGCTCTCCACGGGCATTCGCCTTGATGGTTTCGAGCTTGTCGTCCTCACGTCTGAGTAGCTTGCGTTCGTCGTTAAGCTTATCCAGCACGTCCTTGGCAGCGTTGATTTCCTCGGCGAGCGCAAACCGCTCATCACCGAAACCCTCATTCCTCACACGCAATGCCGCCACGTCGGCTTCTAGCTGCTGGATAGACACCTGAATAGTCTTGACTTCTTCTTCAGCATCGAGACGAGTGGCTTTTTGCTGGCTGAGGGTCATGTTGTAGTTATTGATTTCCTCCTTCAAGAAAGCATCGCGCTCGGCCTTGTTCTTGAACTGACTGCTTCGAGTCTGTTTGGTGAAAAGTCGCTGCCGTCCGCTTTCTGCGGTATCCAAAGCTTGCTTGACTTCGGCCTCCTTGCTCTTGCGCTTCTCGAGTGTGGGCAGAATCTTTGCGAGCTCAGCCTCTTTTGTCTTGATGGCACTCTTGACGTTGGCAAGCTCTGCATCGTGCTGTGCTTGTGCTTGGTCTTGCGCGCTCACGCTTTCTGACAGACTCTTGACTGCCAACTCGGCCTTGGCCCTCGCCTTCGCGCTCTCCTTCCGGTCTTCGTCGAGTTGTCTACGATCGATGCGAAGCAACTCCATTTGTTGTTGCAGCTTGTGAATCTCGGCATCGAGAGAGGCGATGACCTTCTCACCTGCTGTGTAGGCCTCGCGGTTCTCGTCCGTGTCTTCGATGCCACCTTGTCGCGACTCCTCGAGTTCCTCAAGGGCATCTTGCACAGCAACCTGCTCCTTGTGGTAGTATGCATACTCAAGACATCTCCGCTCGCGGTCCTTGTCCTGGTACCCTCGCAGCTCTTCCTTCTCCTCTTCCAGCTCACTCAGGCGTTCCTTAATGTACTCGAGCAGTTCGTCGATCTTCTCGCGCTTGTTGTTGGTGTCGGTCATGATCTTGAGAGATTCTGTTCGCCGTGACTCGTACACATGAGTACCCGCGACTTCCTTGAGAAGGGTGAGACGGTCCGACTCCTTCATGTTGGTGAGGGCGGTGACGCGACCTTGGGGCACAATGTAGTACGGGTTCGAGCTGGAGAAACCGGCAGCCTCGAGCAGGTTTTTCACGTCCGTTTTTGTCACGACCTTCTTGTCAACCGAGTATTCATCCTTCTTCAAGCCGATTGTGCGTCGCAGGATGACTTCCTTGTTGCCCGTTGGGAAGCGGTCGTCGCTGTTGTCGAAAATGACCTCGACGTAAGCCGACATGACGGCCGAGCCGGAGCCCTCGTGGAGAAGCGCCTGGCGTTCTTCGCGGCCCATCTGCGTGTAGGCATCGCTGAGGACGAATCGAATCGCGGCGAAGAAATTGCTCTTTCCCGAACCGTTGCGGCCGACAATGACGTTGGTGCCGGGCGAGAAGGGCTCCATGACCGTTTGGTCCTTGTAGCTGCAGAGGCCATGTCAGTACTCGATGCTAGCCGGTATCGTCTTGAGATTCCAGGCGCGCGGGGTTTGGCGAGGGATGGCGCACCTCTTGAAGCCCTGGATGATGATCTGCTTGATATACATGGTGGCGGCGGGTGCTGCCTGTCGGGCAGCGCGAGGACAAGGGACGACAAAACAGGCTGAACGAAGATTGATGCTGGCGGCGCCTTGCTCAGCGAGCGTGATGCGCTTTGCGACGGGGACTACAGTGGCCGCTTGTTGCTGGTGGGATCATAACTCTACCTAATGGCCAAAGCGGGTTGTCGCGATGCGGGAGTGGAGGACGAGGGTCCCACAGACGCGTCGGCCGGCGGCGTCGCAGCACGACAAACGCGAGGCCTGTCGGGCGGGGGGGCCCTTGAGTGATACACTCAGGTACCAGGGCACTTTAGCGTGTGGGCAACCCTGGTCTGCTGCCAGGTGAGCTTGGGGTGCAGGCCAACATGTTCTTTGCCCATCCATGATGATTCTCCCGAGCACTCCAAGTGATTTGGCTATCCTGCCGCTTTTCTCACCCGACGTACTTGCTTGCGTGCCTGCCGACACGCGTCGTATCATCACTTTGACGACGAGCTGCCGTCAATTCGCTTCTCATCTATCTGACTCCAATGCATACACAAAACCCGAACAGCCGGCTGATCGCACACATGCCGTCCTCTTTCCAGCTTGAGCCTCTCTGTAAGACATAACACAATCCACCAGCTCAACTATCTACACAGTATGGTTTGTAGGTCAATCAATCTCCTTGCACGTCAGCGGGGGAAGCCGTGGTTCACGTCCACGGATTGTAACTGGTCAACTTACAACTGTGGTCATGCTCCCATGCTGTAGGTCCGTGTCATATTCGGCTGCCGTTGGTGGCCTACTATGGTAGGAAGAACTCCAGATCGCATGCTTTGCCTGACACTGTAGAGACAGGATATTGTAGAAGTTCGTCAGCAGCTGTGCCTTTTCCAGAACTACTGGCCCATACTTGCGAAATGGACAGAGCTCGAGAATGTGTACATGGATCTCGACTCTTGCCGGGATCCTTTCAGCGAGACCTGGAGGCTCTAGTGGGTCTCACAAGCACACAGTCCGTGCCAGCCGAGTCGGAAAGGACGAACAGAAACGATCATCAGCGATGGTCGGAGCCGTGCCAGGCGTCCAACTCTGACTGTACTCCTTGCAAAGCCTGTTGTCCATGGCTGGCTGCGCGCTCGCGTTCTATTGAGCGCAGACTGAGCCGCCCGGCATGAGGTGTCCTCCCACAAGTGCGGGTGATCAATTGCAAGTCAACACAGGCGATCAAATGAAGACATGGGGGCGGCTTCCTCCACGTCCTGCAGGCGACGTCAGGGATGCCAGGTCGTGAATGCGCGGCCACCTGACACGGCGTGCCTCGTCTCTGTCATTGCCTGCCTGGAAACAGAACGCCAACCGTAGACAGACCTTTGCTCGTCGTATCTTGCGTGCGTAGCTGCTCCTTCGGCCTGCGTGCGATTCCGCCATTCGCCATTCTAAATTTCTGGGACAAAGGGAAATTATCGTGCACTTGCTCATTGCATAAGCGTGGCTGGAAGAAAGTTGGGTGTGCCATAGCTGGACCATGTGGCTGATTGGCGTGCAGGTTGGCAGCAGGTCGAGGCGCACAGAGTGGAGTCACCGGGCTGGCGCCGGGCGATGATTGGCTGTGGGGTGATGGGTGGGCAGCCCGGCGCGCCGGCAGCGACGAGGTGGGAACAGCTGGCGACTGCAGAGGCCCCGTCTGCTGGGGGAACGCGACTTGGCTCATTCAAAGTGGGGCACGGGCCAGCAAGTGGGGGCCCTCCCTGGTCGCCGCCGGCCGCCTGGAGCCAAAGGTAGGGAGAAAAGCTGGCAGCAGCCAGATTATAAAAACTAAGAGATATTAGAGGGCCGGCGCCCGGCTCTTCTCGCCCTCGAGCTCCCCCGTAGCTCCTGTCTCTGCTGCTGCGTGTGCGTCGCAGGCTGCCTGCATTGCCGTTTTGGGCACCCGCCACATCCCCAGCCAACCACCGTCCGCCCCGGCGCATCCATCCTGTCACAGGCTCACTTACACGCATCGTGCATCGCGGCTTCCTCAAAACTGGCTTTCTGGCCGTTGTCGTGCACCACATCACCACCAACACTGCCGCCCATCACCAGACCACGACAGCGACTGCACTTCATCATCATCATCAACGACAACAACATCGCCATCATCTTGCAGCATTGACACCTTTCACGGAGTGACAATCCCTCTACTGCTCGCATCCTCTGTTCCCAGCTGTTTTGTTTCTTGTAAGTCTCCCATGCGCACAAACTCCACACTCACTGTTCCCAAATCTGTATCAGCCCGCACCCTTGTCCTGGCTATTTGCATCTGCACCACCTCTATTGAGGTTGTACTTGATCCCAGCCAAGTGATTATGCTTGTTGCCTGGAATCTTGTCCTGTGCAGCTGCCTGCAGGCTACAACGTACTTCATCGCACCTCGATGGGTATGCCTGTCCTCGCACTCGCGTGCCGGGCATCGTGGCGAATCACCTTGAAACAGCCTTGTCCGATATCACCTCCTCTTTACCGGGTGTTTGAGGTATCTCTCAGACGATAGTTATGGCATGTGGCTTCCTGTGATGCTAGACACCTCAGCTGTCAGAAATGCAAACTTCGTAGAGTAGCCGCCTGATATATCCTCGCCGCTTTCCTCTCACGGCTCTATCACATCTGTCGTGGACCTCCTAGGCTGATTGTGATGATGTAGTGCAATGATGCGAAAGTAGCTATCCAACCTTCGGCACGTCAGCCTCCATATAATCAGTCAAGATGGTCTCCAGGTAAGCAAACTTGACACTTCACCGCTTCCGCCTGTAAATTCATACTAACCACCCTCTCCACAGATTGGATCGTCTCGTAACGTAGGTTTAATCGTCGTGCGGCGTTCGCGGGAGTCCCACGATGCCGCAAATCCCGACAGCGCTGACTGATGACACAGGATCCTCGAGACAGGCAGCACAAAACTAATCCGCGACACCGCGGTCAATCAGCTTGCAGACTGGCAGAAGCAGCAGCCCGATGAGCTTTTCAATCTCCTCTCTCGAGTAGTCCCGTATCTTCGCCACAAAGATTGGGAGACCAGAACAACTGCTGCCAAAGCATTGGGCCGCATCATCGAGAATGCTGCCGCTTACGACCCCAACGAAGATGAGGATCCGCTCGCCGCCAAGAAGGAAGAGCCGGCGGAGAACGGCACTGTGAAGAAGGAGGAGGACGACGAGAGTGACACCAAGTTGCCCCTCCCACAATACTTCGACCCGGCGACTCTCGATTTACCTAACATCCTCCGTCATGGACGAGAACTATTGCGCACGGCCGGAATGGACTATGGTATTGGGGCGCTGGACCCATCTGCACGGCTAGCCCACCAGAAGAAGACACTGCCCGGCCGGTTGGGCCTGCTCGGAAGGCGAATCGAGGACGAAGAGATCACGGTTGTCATCGAGAAATCTGCAACCCCACCAGATGCTAGAGACTCAACCCCCATCAAGGGTGGGACTCTCCAAGACAGCGTACCTAACGCAACAGCAACGCCCGCGACTGAGGAGTCTTCCGGCTTGAGCGCTCGCCAACTCAATGTGTTGAAGCGCAAGCGCAAGCGCGATGCACAGAAAGCAGCACAAGGCAAGGGAGGGTTTGGAGATCTCTCGATTCGGCGGTCGTTCACTGGTGGTTCAGATGCTGCAGAGGACACGCCAATGCCTGATGCGGAGACGAAAAAGAATGGCAAGACGGATTACTTCAACCTCGACCGGCCCGCAGACATCGATGAGGATGCGAAGATTGTGTCAGAATTCAAGGGACCCATGGTCCCAATCAAGTCTGAGATTGAGACAGAATCGGAACTGGAAGGCGCGGAGTGGCCCTACGATCGTCTGTGCGAGTTTCTCAAGGTCGATATATTCGATACGCAGTGGGAAGTGCGTCATGGCGCAGCCCTCGGCTTGCGTGAGATCCTGCGCGTCCACGGGGCAGGTGCCGGACGACTCCGGGGGAAAACCAGACAAGAGAACGACTTGCTGAACCGGAAATGGCTGGACGACATGGCCTGCAGGCTTTGCTGTGTTCTCATGCTCGACAGATTTACAGATTACGCATCAGACACCTCCGTGGCGCCAATTCGTGAAACCGTTGGCCAATCGCTGGGCTCGTTCCTGAAGTATGTGCCGGAAGAGTCTGTATACAACATCTATAAAATACTGCTCCGAATGGTCCTGCAACAAGACCTGGAGCTTGACCGCCCCGTCTGGGCTGTTTGCCACGGTGGTATGGTCGGGCTGCGCTACGTGGTTGCTGTGCGCAAAGATATGTTGCTGCGGCACAACGACATGATTGACGGCATTGTGCAGGCGGTCATGAAGGGTCTCGGTGACCAGGACGACGATGTCCGGTCAGTTAGTGCAGCAACCCTGATCCCAATGGCACAGGAATTCGTCAATCTTCGCCCTGGCGCGCTTGACCAGCTCATCAGCATTGTCTGGGAGAGTCTTTCCAGCCTGGGCGATGATCTTAGTGCCAGTACTGGCAAGATTATGGATCTCCTTGCTACGCTTTGCAGCTTCCCAGAAGTCTTGCAGGCCATGAAGAAGTCTGCCGAGATGGACGAAGAACGATCCTTCACACTTCTGGTCCCACGGCTGTACCCATTCCTACGCCATACAATCACTTCAGTTCGACTTGCAGTTCTGAAGGCACTTACGACCTTTGTCAATCTCGGCGAGGAGACACAGGGCTGGCTCGATGGCAAGACCCTGCGACTCATTTTCCAAAATCTCCTAGTCGAACGGGACATGGATACTTTGCGCATGTCCTTGCAATTGTGGACTGCGCTGGTCAAGTGTTTGGCAAAAAAGCCAGAGGTGCTTGCTCACGAGTTCTCCAGCCATGTGAGCCCTCTCATGCACCTCACTCTTCACCCGATTGGCATCTCCAGGCACCCCATCCCTATGAACGGGGCATACTTCCAAAAGCCTTCTGGAGGCACCTACATGGTGAGGGGATTCATGCCGGTGTTGCCACATGCATCATCCGATACAGATGAACGCTCGGCAAAGAGAAGGAAGAAGCTGTCCAAGACGGATGACATACCCGTCAGCACCCATTCGCATGATCTGGATGGACATATGATGCAGGGCGATGTCGACCTTGTTGGCATGGACACGCTGATCCGATCGCGCGTGTTTGCCGCCACAGCGATGGGTCTCATCATGGCTAGTGTGCCAACAACAGCACTATCGAGTTACGACTCCATTCTCATCCCCGGTTTCTCCTCGGCCTTTTCCTCGACGCAGCTCACCGCATGCATTGTTGCTGATGAATTTGCTCGGAACAGCAACGCCGAGCTCGACTACACGAGATATGTGAGTGAGCTGCAGCGTATGATTGAGGGCGAGCGACCTGCACAATACCAAGATCTTGTCAATTTTCTCCAACGAGTACGATCACAGTGTCAACAGCTCCTCAACCTCTTCAGAGATCATGGCAAAATTGCTTCGCACAAGCTCCCGGTGCTTGCAGTTCTTGTTCAGGGTGAGGCGGATGCTGGTCCCAATGCTTTTTCGCTAGCCAACGCAGAGAAGTGCGTCAGTGAAGACTACGACAAGCTGAAGCGGATCATGGCACCAGCGCAGCGTATCACAGCGAGCCAGCAGCTCAATGAAGCCCGCTTGGCCGCTGTTGCTACGATGGATGAGACAAGGACCGTTAAGGAGTCTCGCGATGTGCGCATCAAAGCTGCAGCAGCATGTGCTCTTATAGCCATGAAAGTTCTGCCAAAGAAGCCCAGTCCGCTCATCAAAGGTATTATGGACAGCATCAAATCGGAAGAGAACCAGCAGCTTCAGGGACGGTCAGCAGAGACCATTGGCCGTCTCATTCAGCTGTTCACGGAGAAGGGTCGTCGTGGCCCTGCCAACAAGGTGGTTGAGAACCTGGTCAAGTTTTCGTGCGTCGAAGTCGCCGAGACACCAGAATTCCCAGTCCATGCGCATCGCACCAACGTGGTTCTGTCGATGCTCAAGGAGGAGGATCGTGTGGATCATGCCGACGCAGCCAAGTTTGCCCGGGAAGCCAAGGCTGCTCGCATCACCCGACGTGGAGCCAAAGAAGCACTTGAAATACTTGCTAAGTCTTTTGGGGCGACTGTCTTCGACATCGTACCGAGCTTGCGAACATTCATGGAAGAGCCATTGCAGAAAGCATTCTCTGGAGACTTGCCCGCCGAAGCGCGTGACCCCGAGAACACCTTTGGCCAGGAGATTGTTGATGCCATGTCGGTCATCAGAACTATCACCCCGACTTTGCATACTTCCTTGCACGAGTTCGTCATGCAGCAAGTGCCCCTCGTCATCAAGGCACTCCACTCGGAGCTGTCCGTGTTTCGATATATGGCAGCCAAGTGCCTCGCAACGATCTGCAGTGTCATCACTGTGGAGGGCATGACTGCACTCGTGGAAAAGGTTCTCCCGTCTATCAGCAACCCACTAGATCTCCATTTCAGACAAGGAGCCACCGAGGTCATTTACCACCTCATCGCAGTTATGGGAGATGCCATCTTGCCTTATGTCATCTTCCTCATCGTGCCAGTCTTGGGAAGGATGAGCGATTCAGACAGTGACATCCGTCTGATTGCTACGACATCCTTTGCGACACTCGTCAAGCTGGTGCCTCTCGAAGCTGGCATTCCCGATCCTCCGGGTCTTTCGGAGGAACTACTCAAGGGCAGAGACCGTGAGCGCATGTTTATCTCTCAGCTACTTGACCCCAAGAAGATTGAGTCATTCAAGATCCCTGTCGCCATCAATGCAGAGCTCCGCTCATATCAACAGGACGGCGTCAACTGGCTCAATTTCCTGAACAAGTATCACTTACACGGCATTCTTTGCGACGACATGGGCCTTGGAAAGACCCTGCAGACGATCTGCATGGTTGCGAGCGACCATTATAACCGGGCTGAAGAGTTCAAGAAGACGGGAGCGGCAGACTTCCGCAAGCTTCCTTCGGTTATCGTGTGCCCGCCCACTCTGTCAGGCCACTGGCAGCAAGAATTGAAGACCTACGCGCCATTCTTGGAAGTTGTGGCGTTCGTCGGCCCCCCAGCAGAGCGGAGGGCGAAGGCCTCCAAATTCGCCGACGCAGACATTGTCATCACGTCATACGAGGTTTGCCGCAATGATACCGAGTACCTCGAGAAACAAAACTGGAACTATGTCGTTCTCGATGAGGGTCATCTCATCAAGAATCCGAAGGCCAAGATCAGCGTTGCGGTCAAGAAGCTGCCCAGCAACCACCGCCTGATCCTGACGGGAACCCCCATCCAGAACAATGTTCTGGAGCTGTGGTCGCTCTTCGATTTCCTCATGCCTGGTTTCCTTGGTGCAGAGAAGGTCTTCCTCGACCGCTTTGCTAAGCCCATCGCGGCTAGTCGATCCAGCAAGGCAGGATCGAAAGAACAGGAAGTCGGTGCTCTGGCAGTCGAGGCGCTGCACAAACAAGTGCTTCCTTTCCTACTCCGCCGTCTCAAGGAGGAAGTGCTGGACGACCTCCCACCGAAGATCTTGCAAAACTACTATTGCGACGTCAGTGATCTGCAGAGGAAGCTCTTTGACGACTTCACCAAGAAACAGGGCAAGAAGCTTACCGAGGAAGCTGGCCGCGATGACAAGGACGCGAAGCAACACATCTTCCAAGCTCTGCAGTATATGCGCAAACTCTGCAACTCCCCTGCGCTCGTCATGACGCCAAACAACAAGCAGTATGAGGAGACGCAGCGGGCCCTCGCCAAGCAGAACACGAGGGTAGAGGACCCGATTCATGCTCCCAAGCTGACGGCTTTGAGAGATCTATTGGTCGACTGTGGTATCGGCACCGAAGGTGCTGACGCAAACGACCCCCTATATCAGCCCATCAAGCCTCATCGTGCCCTCATCTTCTGTCAGATGAAGGAGATGTTAGACATGGTGCAGAACACTGTACTCAAGAGCATGCTGCCATCGGTGTCGTACCTTCGACTGGACGGTTCGGTGGAAGCCAACAAGCGGCAAGATATCGTCAACACGTTCAACAAAGACCCGTCGTACGACTGCCTTCTCCTCACCACTAGCGTTGGCGGTCTTGGTCTCAACCTGACGGGTGCTGATACGGTCATCTTTGTCGAGCACGACTGGAACCCGCAGAAGGATCTCCAGGCTATGGACCGTGCTCATCGCATCGGCCAGAAGAAGGTGGTCAATGTTTATAGGCTTATCACGCGTGGCACTCTTGAGGAGAAGATCCTCAACCTGCAGGCATTCAAGATTAACATCGCGTCCACAGTTGTAAACCAGCAGAATGCAGGTTTAGGCACCATGGTAAGTCACGGTCTTCGTGTGTTTATTGATCGTATCTGTATACTAATAAGCGTCCAGGACACCGATCAAATCTTGGATCTCTTCAATTTTGGAGACACTGGCTCAAATCTTATTTCGGACAAACCACAAGGCGCTGTGGATGGCCGCGAAGAAGATCTTGTTGATGATGAGACAGGAGACGTCCGCGCGCCGGGCAAGAAGGCCTGGATGGAAGATCTTGGGGAGCTTTTGCACTCCGAGAACCAGTACGAAGAGAGTTTCGATCTCGACGGTTTCCTCAAACAAATGGGCTAGCCGGATGCGGACTCGCTTCGAGTCAGAACTTGAGCGGGTGCGGCGATTCGATTGCATTGTAAAAACAAAGCTGCATATTGCATGGCGCACTAGGCGTCCTCGATGGGACAAAAAAGCATTACCCATCTGCTAGGGGGATACTGCCTGGGAGGTTTCGGGATTAGGGCGCTTTGTTTCTATGGCATTCTTGCATGTAGCACACTCAGTATTAGGCGGCTTGAAAGATCACCAACATGAGAGTGGTTTTGGTTGGGAGCGTCAAACAAAGACTCTGCTTTTGCAGGTGCTGTAATCGTGTACGTGATGCCGCCATGAATTTTTAGGCGCAATCTTGTCACCGGCGTAAGCTAGCTTGGATGCCACAGGCTCTTCTGGGACCATTCTACAACCGCCATAGCCGACAGGCTCTCGCCGTGGTGACGGTTCTCTTGATTGCGGGAAGCCCGCCGCCGTGGTTTCCATCTCCGCTACTTTGCAGTAAAACGGGGGCACACTCCTCACATCCCTACAAGCATAAGCAAGAACGAAAACCCTCACAAGAGGTTCATGTCACCGCCATTGCCAATAAGGTGATAGGACTAATTACTCCAAGTACTACCGTATATTGGGCTGCTTCTCATACTTGACTTCTTCTTTTTTATTACATCGCGGCTGCCGTCGTGGACGGGGTGGTGAGTGAGGTGCAATCAGTCACGGCCTTACTCTACATGCGCAAAGCCCGAACAGAGGCCATCGATACTCAAGGGCGGGTGCGTTTCGATCGTGACTTTTGGGCGGAAGCTCAACTTAAGCTGTTCTGTCCTTGCACAGTCGTACCCCTCCACTTTGCCAGTCAGAACAAACAAAGGCCCTGCTTGACTACTCACAGTTCACCATTGCAACAACGAACCAGCATCATCAGAGAAAATCGAACCGGCAACAAGGAACATGACTGTTTTCTTCACAGGTCAGGCACGCATATCCGAGGCTGCGCATAGTTAAGGACGAAGAAAACCGTACGATCGCTCCACGCATTTCCGGTGGAGAGAAATAAGCTCGCCTCCTGCCGTTATGCTCCCGCAGAGTTTCTCCATCTGGGACTTGTCTCCGGGCGTCTGATGGGGTTGTGACAGTCCGCACCCGGTGCAGATACGATACCCCCACGAGGACTTACGGCATTGCTACCTCCATCTCAGCTTAGCAAGTACGACCTTATGTATGGGCCACGCCACCAAGAGTAAAGTCACCTGCCACGCCGGACACCCGAAAAAAGCCGAGGGTGCGACACTCCCGGCCACAACAACCACGAAGCATATTCAACAAGCGAAGTGCCGATTCACAGAGTCACGATTCTAGCCAGAAGCATGGAGCTACGCCGTGAGGATTCTAGCGACGTCAGCGACGGAGATGATCTCGTCAAGGCGATATCCCGATGTAAGCGCGTCAAGACAGCACCTTCTACGACGTCGTCGCATGCGGGCACTTGTGGCGCGTTTTCCGCACACATCTACAAACGGCGACAGCTGCTGCCTGATATCAACTTCACTGAAGGTCTAGTGAAGTCCGGAGAGGGTGACAATCGTGACGATGCTGTGTTGGTAGAGAACGACACAGACTCGGACGATGAAAGTGAGGTGATTGAGATCAAACGTGAGACTTTTGGCCGCGGTGCTGTCAATCAAACAAGGCCCGAAGCAGCCCGTGACCGGCACCGCCAGAAGCCAGCGCTCAAGAGCAGCAGTAAATGTGGCTGTGCTCGAGAAAAGAACCGGATGAGCGCGCAGATTGAGGGCTTGCTGCTGGTCTTGCTCGACGTCTGGGACAACCTGACACCAACGCACCGCCACACTCTCATCAACATGTACGGCGAGCACTTTGAAGCTGTGCTGAGAGACGGCAGCAATGGAGACAGCAGAGCCGCAAATGACTGCGATACCCAGTCCGGCGATACGCAAAGGCGAATAATCACACTGGACGACAGCATTGCCCGCACGCGCCATGATCTGGACCAACAGCTCCACCACGCACGCCAGGTGCTGCTCCCGTCACTCGGCAACACGCAGCTCCTTTGGTTCATGAGCAGTACAGAGAGGCTGAACTCATGGCGCTATTACATTAGGGTGACTACATCGAATACAATGCTGACTGACCTTGGAACGTCGAAGTCTGTGACTTTCGCGCAGTCTTTCGTCGACGTCGGTGTTGCTCACGAGTTCTTGAAGCGTCATTTGGAAAAGCAGGTCGAAGTCGATCAAGACTGTATCTGCAAGCACATGAACGGCAATCAGGTCTCCAAAGGCAGGACATATCCAGACAAGCTGAAGGAAAAGCAGGCACGGAAGCGCAGGCCGACCGAATGCGTCCTCAAGAAGGTCCTTCTTCCTCTGCACAAATACCCCGTGTATGAGAAACAGCACCATGATGGGCGGTTCATCTACTGGTATGTCGATGTCGAGGTGGATAGAGGCCTAGTTCCCAGTCAAGAAACGCAAAACGAACGAAACAGTGCTCGCGGAAATGCTATCCCCAGGTACAAGACTTTGGGCCTGTACGTGGTCAGTGGTCAGGTTTACACGGCTCTGTCAATTGATCCGCACCATGAAGGGCACCATGGTGGATATCGACCCGCAGCATCTCTACCCAGGATGAGAATGACACGCCTGCCGACGTCGGTGTGGACCATGGAGACGTTTGCAAATGAGGCGGCATTTGCCCTGATCTCGGCTCATACCAAGGTCAACGCGACGGACCGGGACGACAACGATGCAAATGCGTGGCGGAATCTTATCCAGCCAGCGCTGGAGCAGGCCTGGTTCAGGACGAGGACAGAAGATGCGCCCGTGTTCGAATGTACCCTGGACATCCCCGACGTCCTTCGCGACCGGCTGGGCTACGACGCCATTTCCGTCGAGGTTGACTGCCTCAAACCGGCAAAGAAGCCAGAGAAGTCGCGTAAGAGAAAGGTCGACAGCGGCAAGACAGCCCAAGCATGACATGTTTAAGCAAACCATAGACCCACGATGAAATATTCTCGTTTTGTTCTTTATGGATCTTCGTTCTCCGTGCCGGGCGTGGACCGGACCACCTGTCGTGTGACACCTTGAAACCGTTTATGCTGTGCATGTTGACGATTAAGATTTCTCTCGCTTCATACGTCTGCATGACTCTCACTGCCATACACCGGCAAGTTGACAGAGTGAAATGTGGAAGTTACCGAAACTCGTTGAATGTGTTGGGGAGAGACTTGCAGCGAACCGGCAAAAATCCCGCCAAGCTCAAGACTGGACTGGGCTAGATGGAGGGACAACAGAGCCAGGGAAGGAACCAGCCAGCCACAGACAGGCCCATTGCTTTCTCGCCTGTGCTCTTGGAAAAGAGACATTGCCCAAGCATTTCATATTGCAGTATACGCCTAATTACAAAACCGCAGGGTGCACCCAGTGAGGCGCATAAGCGGCCAAAGTTGTAGACTTCATTTCGTCCAGGACACGACGACCACGAAGCGCTCAACGAGCAAACGGTGCGGGGCACTCGTCCAGGTTGCAGCGAATGTCGATCCATGCACTCCACGCTGCACCATGACCTTGTGCGGTCTTGATGCCGGGCCCCAGCCCAGCATAATCGAGGGCCTATGTAAAGTGGCCAGCCAGCCAGCCTTGTGCCCTGCTTCAAGGTAACATGACTGGGCCCATGGGTCGGCGAAATCCTGGAGCTCGAGCGGCCATGCCTGTGGCCGCCCTGAATCTTGGCCAACCAACCTTTCAGGCGAGGCCGTTTCTGGCTCTCGATGAGCCTCGATGAGGCGGCGGTCTGGCTTGACGTCAACGGTTGCGCCTCGAATTTCAGCCAGGCCCTCTTAGCGCCTTGCCAGAGCCGGAGCACTCGGCCATTTTAGAGACACATTGGACTATCGACTAGCCGCTGTTGAGATTGGAAGAACTTCCTTGGCCACAGGCTCCGTGAGAGGCAGATGTCATTCTTGTGTCCTGAGTAGAACAATGATGCTGGTGGGCGGAGTGGACGACGCGGGACAGGGCGTTATCAGAGCTGAAGGAGGAAAGCTTGGAAGCGTGCTGCGACTCTGTCGCCCGGATGTGCCCGAGGGGATGAGGCTGGGGCCGTTGGGCTCGGAGCCGGGGCTCCCTTGCGTCCGCTCAGTGGGCTCCCTGTACGAGATGAGATGCGGTGATGGCACGAGCCGGCGATGCTTCGAGAACAGCACGCTTGATCTGTCTCACTGTCTGGCACGGCCAAGCCAGTGTTTCCTCTGGGCGTCTTGTTTTGACCGCTGATGAGAATGGGAGCAGCTGCCTCTGGACCGAGACCAGCCCTCTCGAGACCTCGCCGGCCAGGTTTCTCGACCCTGCCTGCCTGCGAGTCTAGGCCTCGTGAACGTGCACACGCGACAGGCAGCCCACTCACACTCCAGCGGCCACTGGCTCAGCTGCCCGGCACACCACACCCGCCTCCTCCCTTTCAGGGTCCTACGCAGTAGTTGCTGCTGCTGCTGCAAGTCTGGGATGGCGGCTACGAGAAGCTGAGCTAGACTTCGTCATCTGCTTGAGTCCGTCCTGGCCGGCCCGCTCCTCATCTTCAGGGGCCTTTCCTCCCTTTCGTCACTTTCCACCGCCTCCAAAGCCAGCCAAAGGACGCAACTCTTCGCTACGAGGGAGCTCACTTTGAACCGGAGTGATTGCCTCAGCACAAACTTGGACCCCGGCGCTCAGAGGTTGGCGACGTCTTTGTCAACCGCATTGCAGAGTAAGGTAGTGTAAGTAAGTCCACAGGCAACGGCACCCGCTGCCTCCACGCCTGTCCTCTCCCGTCCTCGACATCACCGCCCACTCGGCCAGCGGCTTGTCTCACCTCATCTGCCCTCTGGGACTCCCCCTTTCCGTCGACCGCCAGTTGCCAGCTAGTTGTCCTGCAAAGCCTGGTGGTCTTTCGAACCACGATCGCCGCGGCACGAGCACACACGTGAGCCTTCCATGCTGCACATCTGCACCTGTCAAGCCGCGTGCTCGAGACGACCTTCGCAGGCCTGCTGCCTTTCTGCCGCGCCGTACTAGAGACCAGGGTCAGGCAGTCGTCGTTGTTCATCTGCTCGCTGCAGTTGCATTGAGGGTCCCAGTCTTGATTTCCCAGGCCTTGCCTCTTTCCTGACCAGGACATCCTTCCACCCACTCCAGTGCCACTCCCAAGACGGGAGACAGTGCAGCACCCACCACCACTCTTTACCCTCACGTACGGGTCCCCACACGCCGTTCCTCTCCCAATGTTCACCACGCCCACACCACCAGCGGGCGCGTTGTTTACTGCATCGCCACCAGCATCAACAGCCACCAGTTCCCGTCGTCACAGCCGCCTGCGAGGACTCATCCATTTACGCAGCTATACGTCTCCAGTCTCCTACGAGTCCGACGGGCCCACATCACCCCGTCAGCCAACCTCGTCGCCTGGCCGGCCCTCGACTCTGACCAGGACCCGCAGCGCCGTCGACGGCTCGACATCGTTCCACCGAGACGCTGCCCCCGACCTCGACTCAACCGACTCCGTCGATGCTTCTACCAGCGAGCTCATCGCCGCCCTTTTGAACAGCCGTCGCTCGACCGAACGTGGCCAGGCACCCCAAACGCCATCCCTGACTGCCTCCGCCGCCGCGGTCCTTTCGCCTACCACTGCACAGGGGCAGCTCGAGAGAACTGCACTGTCCACCTCCAGCGCCGCCCAGCCTGCCACTGCCTCGACCGCGAATCACGAGACCCCCGTATCCGCCAACATGACGCGGTCCCGATCAGCTACTACCGGGGACTCGTCCGCTGAGGTGCTTCCAAGTCTCCGCCTGACGGCATATTTCGACCAGAGGTCAAACCGACCGTCTCTCACTTTCACGCCCGTCTCACGAACACTGCCGACCGGCAAGGAGGTCATCAAGGTCGGACGCTACTCGGAGCGGGAGAACCACGTACCGATACCTTCGAACACTCCTTCCGCAGCCCCAGTCGGATTCAAGAGCAAGGTCGTCAGCCGCCGGCACTGCGAGTTCTGGTACGAGGACAGCAAGTGGTACATCAAGGACGTCAAGAGCTCGTCGGGCACATTTCTCAATCATATCCGGCTCAGCGCTCCAGGCACCGAGTCGAAGCCTTATCCTCTCAACGATGGCGATATCGTGCAGCTCGGCATCGACTTCAAAGGTGGCGAGGAAATGATCTACCGATGCGTTAAGATGCGAGTCGAGCTCAACCGTGGCTGGCAGTCGAAGCCCAATACATTCAAGTATGTCTGCAGTCTACGTCTGATCTCGATGCTGTTTTCCTTTGTGCTCTAGCGGAGCAACATGGCGCTCCGCCACTTTGGTTCATTTTGCTAACCTTCTCAACAGCATGGCAACTCATCAGCGGCTGCGGAATATGACGTCAGCGTCGGCCACGTCGGCGTCGTCCCATGCTCAGGACTGTTCTATCTGCCTGAACAACATCGCAGTACGTCTATGCACCCGTTCATTTTCGGACGTCTCCTTGTCTTCAAGGCTCTCTTGCTTACGATCTTATAGCCCTGCCAATCGCTGTTTGTGGCGCCGTGCTCGCACACGTGGCACTACAAGTGCATCCGGGAGTTACTAATGGGCCCGTCCTATCCTATCTTCATATGCCCCAACTGCCGAGCTGCTACGGATCTTGATGCCGACGTGGAGGAGCCCGAGTGGCAACAGCTCGATGGCGGCATTGACGAGGTTCAGGAGGAAAGGGCTGAGCCATCCACATCTCCGGACGCGATCATGGAGGACACCAACGTCGAAGTGCCAGAGGTGGAATCGCCCGAGGGAGCCGGATCTTCTGGTCCGTCCGACGATGTCGGTGACGTAACAATGCACTTTGACCGCCAGAGCCCACCTCGAACCTTGACCTCGCCGCCTGTGCCGATTCCGAGCTCGTCACCGTCTCACCTGCCGGCCACGGGCGAGGCTGTCAGACGCCGAAGAACGCCTTCGCCTAACAGCGCGTCCTTGGCTGTCGTGACGGAAGGGCCTCTGACCCCGCGTAACGATGCTGGTCCCTGGGTATTTGATGGAAATCCAGCGCGGGTCAGCCAGGACGTGCCGCGGCCCAATGCCATGACCAGTCTGAATGCGGCGGCCACAGAGAGGGAGAGCTAGGCGCTCCGACGGTACCGAGAGGCTGACGAGGAGGAGGCCTAGGATATAAGCCTGCGTATGGGAGAAGCGCCGCACACTCGCACTGTTGTGTGAGCAACGAGGTTGTGGTAGCTGCTGGGGAGAGAGCGACATGGAATTCACATTGCAAGCATGGGAAATTATGAGCACAAGGCGTTTAATGGCACAGCAGAGCGGACTGACCAGAGATGGCGCCAGCCACGGGCGGACCACGGTATAATATTGCAGGTAGCATTTGCATTGCACGGAGTCATGTAAGAACTGAGCGTATGGTTCATAGCGCTGCCTCGGGTTTGCAACAGTGCTTATACGGCGATGCGTGTGTGCGGCGGGGAACTTGTTGAAGGGGTCGGATATAGCACACCCCCCCTCACCCCGGCACGTCATCATCGTGTAGCAGTGGGAGCCTTCAGGGTGTCTGAGTAATCAGTAACCGCGCCCCGGCTCGCCAGTCTCACCCGTCGCAGATCCGCTCCAGGGACTTTGTGGCTGGCGGGGCATTTTGAAGCGCCTCCGAGACGCAGTTTGGCAGGCCTCTAACAATACCCACGGCAATTTCGCAAGTCCAGGGTTTTGTGCTGGAATTAGCCCGACCGACGTCGGAGCCGTATAGCGCGCAGATCCCAGCAACTTTTTGGGGTCCCAGTCCTGCAAGCGGATCGGGCTCCTTGTCCCGAGACTAACCATCCCAGCCCACGCACCTCCCGACGTGTCCGTCTTCGGTCGCTTTCTTGCTTCCCAATTTCTAAACCGACACATTGGGTTGTCGACGCAGTTTGAGCATCAGTAATCCCACGTCCCTTTTGTCTACATTGCAAGGGACCCCTCCTCGTGTGCCTGTTCTCTTGCAAACAGCATCGGGACAGCCTTCCGCCGCCGTATACGAACCTGCCACCACCACCACCCGCGCTCGCCGTGACCACACTCGACGAGGAACCGACGAGACGTCAGCGTCAGCAAGCCTGCCCAATTAGACTCCTGCTACAGAGTAGGCTACTATTCCTTCGCGCGCACTACAGCTGAAGCCAAAGCCTCTGGCTGCTGCTGCCGACATATCCTGTCACTGCGCACTTCAGACTTGCACTCGGCCACGCACTCGCACAAAGACTGAGACGCAGAGGGCCGAGCTTGTGCAGCATCCTCACTTTCCTCGCAAGACGACTGGCCGGCGAAAAGAACCTGAGCGTGCGACTGCTGGGACCATAGCATAGCGCAGAACGACACTTGAAGGAGACTGAGCACACAAACAAAAAAGAAGGGCAGGGGGCAGCAGCATGGCGACCACGACTGGGTAAGGACGTTCCTTTTTGCAAAATGCGCTCGAAAGGCGCTTGGAATACGGGGCTTTTCGACACAGGAGAGGGAGCGCCAAGAGCAGGATCCTTTCGTGTTTTGAGCTTGTGGACGACCTTTTGCTGACGGGAGTCCTTAAACAGAGCCTTCATCGCCGGCGGCATTGCCGCGTGCGGCGCCGTTACTGCTACGCACCCATTCGAGACAGTCAAGATTCGGTATGTCATGCTGCTGGTGGTCACGGTTGGAAAACCTGTGGGCGATGTGGATGGGGGACTTGCGCACGTCAAGATACTACGGCGAAAGGGCCATGTCTTGTGCATGCAGTTCTTTGGCTTGTACAACCCAGAAACGCTCGAGTGATGGAGATCGCTGATCGGGAATTTTGGACTGACCACTCCTGCCGCACCCCAACAGAATGCAGCTCCAAGGCGAGCTTCAGACCAAGGGCCACCAGATCCGGCACTACAACGGCCCGATCCACGGCGTGCGGGTGATTGTGCAGAACGAGGGCCTGCGGGGCATCTACCGGGGCATCGGGTGCGCGTACATCTACCAGGTCCTGCTCAACGGGTGCCGGCTGAGCTTCTACGAGCCGATACGCGAGGGGCTGGCCAAGGTCGTCTTCAAGGACGGCTCCAAGCAGTCCCTGGGCATCAACATGTTCTCCGGCGCCTCCTCGGGCATCATCGGCGCCGCCGCGGGCAGCCCCTTCTTCCTCGTCAAGACGCGCCTGCAGAGCTTCTCCCCGTCATTACCCGTCGGCACGCAGCACCAGTACAAGAACGCGTGGGACGGCCTGCGGCAGATCCACAAGGCCGAGGGCTTCGGCGGGCTGTACCGGGGCGTCGGCGCCGCCATGATCAGGACCGGCTTCGGCAGCTCGGTCCAGCTGCCGACCTACTTCTTTGCCAAGCGCCGGCTCGTCAAGCACCTGGGCATGGAGGAGGGCGCGCCGCTGCACCTGACGAGCAGCGCCATCTCGGGATTCGTGGTGTGCTGCTTCATGCACCCGCCTGGTATGTTTTCTTCTTCTTTTTTATTCCTTGTTCTTCTGGTTCTTTCAGCAGATAGGCAATCTTTGCCCCCTTTACGGACTCGGCTAACGCGCATCATTAAAACCCCCCAAACCACCAGACACAATCATGTCTCGCCTCTACAACCAAAACGGCAACCTGTACAAGGGCGTCTTTGACTGCCTCGGCAAGACGATACGCACAGAGGGCCTCTTTGCGATATACAAGGGCTTCCTCCCGCACCTGGCGCGCATCCTGCCCCACACCATCCTCACGCTCAGCCTCGCCGAGCAGACGAACAAGCTGGTCCGCCGGATCGAGGGCAAGATCTTGCCCGAGAAGGTGCTGAGCAAGATATAGGGCTAAGGGGAGGGGAAATGTTCTGACGACAGGTGAAGAGTGACTGGCGGTGGTGGTAAAAGGAGTGGAGGTGGATGGTAGTTGTGATTGAATGTTGGTGGTAACTTGCATGATGCTGGGAGTTTGGGGGCAAGGGAGAAACGTCGCATGGGACCGGCAGACTTCGCATGTAAGAGAACTACTTACTCTGGGGCGCACAAAAAGAAATGGGAAACATATGACAAGAGGGACCGACAGGCTTGCAAAGTAAGTGAGCCAAGTCAAGATCTCGGGAAACGAAGGCGGCGCAAGTCCGGCATAGATTCTGTACAAAGAACAAAAAGGGGGCCCCAACCCGGGCTGAATGGGAGGGAGGGAGGGAGGGAAGCGGCGCCATGCATTTCTGCTAATCATCCGTGGGCGTCTGGCATAGATGTTGTACTCTGGTATGTCCAAAAAGATATGTACGTTCAGATCGTGAAACACACATACACACACATATATACACAAGCATATGCTTCACGTCAAACCCCATCTACGGTGCAAGGTAATGCGGGAGAGAGAGTGAGAGAGAGAGAGAGAGAGAGCAGAAAAGATTTGTTGTCAATTGAAATTCTGCATCTCAATGAGCTCTGCATATGTCATGTCGTTGATCACACGTCTTTTACATCGCTTTGTCCTTTTACGGGCTTCTTTTCTTCTAGCCCAAGATCGAACGCTCACACCCGTAGCATAACCTGCCCTCCTGCCTAATCTTCTGCCTCTGCTGCTGCTGCGGCGTCGGCGCAGGTCCGTCCTCGTTGTTCTTGGCGTCAAAGTCGCCAATCTCGCCCCTCCACCGCTGGTTGCCGTGCTCGTCGAGCTGCAGCCCGCAGATCCCGCAGCGGCCTCTCTCCCGCGGCTGGGCGTCTGTGGTGGTGGTGGTGGTGGTGGTGGTGGTGGTGGGAGAGCTGCTGTCGTCGGCGTCCTGAGTTGGGTGGTCATGATCATGATCATGTCCCACGTCACCGCTGAGGAGCCAGCTCAGCTTCCCCGTGGTGCGGACCACGTTGGCCACCACGGAAGGATAGTTGGCTTCCACTTCGGCAAAGTAGCGCGCCATGACGTCGTCGATGCTCAGGTCGCGGTGGGATACCACGGCCGGTGGTGGTTGCTGCTGCTGGCCTGGCTCTGTTCCTGTTGCTGCCGCTAATGCTACTTTTTGCAGTTGGCTTGGAAGCAGATGTGGTGGGATAATGGAGAATAAAGGTGCTTTTGCTGGAGCTGTAGTATCGGTGCTTGTAGCGGCTGGAACGGATGCTGGGGCTGCTGCTGATGTCGATGTTGAGACGGTCGTCAAGTAGACGAACAGCTCTTTGCGGTAGATGTCCCTCAGCGGGCTATAGATTGGAATCCCCGTGGTACTCGGGTTTGAACTCCTACCGCTGTCCTTCTTACCACTCCCACCAGTATCCTCCTTCTCACTGACCCCAGGCTCCGGCGCCCGGTCTAGCATCGACCTCGGCAGGGGGAGAACCCCGTCATTCACCATCCAGGGCAGCGCGAACCCACGCCCCTTGGCCGTCTCGGACAGCGTTAGCTCCGCAAGGCTCGTCGTGTTGTAGCCGAGAAGGAGCACGTCGCATGCGTTCTGGACCGCCGTGGTGATGAGCAGATGCCGCGTCAGGAGGCGCCGTACGTCGGCGCGGGACGTGGCCGAGGGGAGCTGGGAGAAGAGGTACGCGAGGCGGTGGCGGTGGCCATTGTTCTTCTCTGGCTCTTGGGTCGCCGCTGGTAGATCTGTGGGCGGCAAGGCACTCCAGTCTATCGAGTCGAGCGCGAGGACGGCGGAAAGCGGGATGCTCTGGATCTCGACCTCCGGGAACCTCTCCCTGAACTTGTCTACCACTCCGTTGCCACCACTAACGCTTGATACGGTATCTCCATCGTCGACGATATGAGCGACAAGCAGCTCAAACTTGACTCGCTGGCCCCTCGCCCGCTGCTGCAGGATGTTGTCGTACAGCACGTCGAGGAGGCACGTCGAGCTGGGCCCTCCGCTCAGCGCCAGGAGGTAGCGCTGCGGCTTGGAGGGTAGCTTGAGCCCCCGCGTCTCGCGCTGGAGGAGCTCGAGGCGCTTGATCGCCTTGTTCTGGATGTACTGGACAAAACATGGTCTGTGGAATGTGTGGCTGCTGAGTCAGTAATCCGGGCTCTTTATAACGGCTATGAAGTGTTACATTTCGGGAGCAAGGGTCTACTCCCGATGCAAGACTGAATGTGCTTAGACAGATGTTTGCGCATTGGGTATGCGCGCGAGGTTGCGAAGCCCGGTGGCGTGAACCTCATCATGAGGTCCGACTTGAAGAGACTAGGGAGCGTAGTACTCACGTGCAGACATTTTCTGATCTCAGGTCATGTGCCGCAGGCTGAGACTTGCATCGTATACATGGCTCTGAAGCCGTATCTTGTCCCGATGACCTCGGTCCATCTGTGGATGTCATCTTCATTGACCGGCCTGGATATTATGACTGAACTCTGGCTGGAGCCGGGCCGGTGACGACGAGGCTGATGGTAAGTTATGGTGGGGGTGATCGAGCCAACCCCGCCGTCGCCCTGGGCAGGTGGCTTCTTGAAAGGGCTTTCTTGTGGTTCGGCTGATGTCCTAATCAGTTTGTTATTTCCGGAGAACAACTTTCTGCTTATATCGATATTGAGGGCATGATCTGGTATGGTGTTGTGTTGTGATACTGGTGTAGTTCTCACTCACAGTCATGCAAATGCTTTCACTTGAGTCAAAAGTTTTTGTGGGTCCGTGTTCACAGACCCACTTGTCACTTACACGCAGCCTTCAAAACCGTCACATGGAGAGAATCCATCTGAGTGTCCCTGACAAGCAGTTCACGGGTCGAGGTGCTCAGTGGACTGTAGATTCAGAATGATAACTTCATTGCCAACGGTGAAGGATCACTGCACTTTGCCGAACAAGCTCGCCAGCTCACTCTTCTCGAACCATCCCCGGTCCTTGTCCAATGCATGCATGATGAGATCCCTTCCCTTCTCTGCAACCATTTCATTCTGCTCCGGTGTGCCCCAGCCCGGTACAGAAGTACCAAAGCACACAAGGTGGGCTCCCGTCTGGATCGCCGTGCGGAAAGCGAACTCAGCTGTCCCTACACCATAGCCGGCAGTGAATCCTTCTATGATCCACAGGCCTGCGGTGATTGATTTGTAAAGCCAAAGCTCATAGAGCTCGGCAATCATCTGCCCTAGGTCGAGGTTGCGCTTGCCAAGCTGGGCCATTTCCCAGTCGACCACAAAGACTGGGACCTCCTGGTCTGGCGTGATGGGCTTGTTCGGCAGAAGGATACTTCCATCACAGCAAAACGGTCAGCAGTGCTCATATCGAATCAACAGGGCAAGTCTAGTGTGGGGGCGTTCTCACTTTCCGGTCCAAAAGTCGCCGTGTATGATCCCAAGCTGAGACTCGTCTTCGAGCTCCTGGGCTGCCATGTCTTGTACTTTGGCGAATGCCTGCCTTGCATCATCGCCAAGCACCTTTGGGAACTTGTCCGGCTGTCCTTGCAGCAATCCGAAGTTGATGGCATGCTTTAGTTTCTGCAGCTCAATGTTTTCCGCCACCAGGCCCGCCAAGCCGGACTGGTCTCTCGTGTGACCTGCTTGCTGATTTGTGCCAGCAACCGACAAGTCATGGAGTGCACGTAGCCATCGACCGATGGCCTTCCCCAGTGCATGGCATTCTGCCTTGTGGGACTCGGGTGTGTGGGGAGAGAAAGTGGCCAGGGCGTAGCTCTTGAGGTCTATACCATCGGACAAGAACTCCTGGACCTGAGTGTTGCTCTCTGCGTCAAAGTACAAAGCCCGCGGTGTCCGCACGGCATATTTGAAGACGTCATCCGAGTCTGCTTGACCCACAACCTTGAGCTCGGACAAGGTCTCAAGACATTCTTGCTCGATGCGCTGCAGTGCATTTCTGTGGTCAGCACATGGGAGATTGAAGGCAGCGAGGGCACGATGGATAGCTGAGAAGCCAGCAGGGTGACATACGCATCTCGAGGTTGTCAGCTTGAAGCCCGGGCTGTTCTTGACGAAGCCCTCGCCATGCTTGACCAGGACGTGGCGGGTGCCGTCTGGGAGTGGCTCGCGGAGCGTGGCGCGGTAGATGAAGTTGGCCGTGCCTCCGGACAGCTCCTTGAGGTCAGAGGCGGCGAACGGTGTTGGCTCGAGCCTGTTTCTGACGAGGACCTCGACCTGGCTGTGAAGCTCAGACGTGGCCATGGCGAGAGGGCGTTTGACGGGGGACGGCACAATGTGGGGAGAGATGCGACGCTGTCCGATATGCTGCGCAAGTGGTCTGTCGCTACGGGTGACGCTGATGACACTGGACGAACTGGATCACTCCGGTTCTGACCTCTTGCTGGTTCTCTGCGGCATTGCACTCACGGAGCGGTCGAGCTTGATTGATATACACAAACAACTCAAGGGCACATTGCACAGGCGGCATCTCAGCTACGACGGGGGTTGCAGCCACTCAACGGCTGAGTCGAGATGGCTCAGAATGGCTCATGGCAATCTGAGCATTTGGTGGTGGCCAGTAGCAGGTGGAGCACTCGCAGCCGCACCTTTGTTAATAGTTGGTTGCCCGGCTCGGAAATCGCCCTTGCACGCATTGCACTTCTGGTGCCGACCATGACGTAGCTTCTGGGATTTAGACTGGCTGCATAATACTGAGACCTCCCACGTGGGACCTGGACACAAGGACGGGGATATAAATGACGGATGCGTCAAGACACTCGCAGAGAGCCGGCAGATAGTCCTGGATGGATGGGGGGCAGACTGGCCGGCTCTCAAGGCGGCCGAAGGCACCAGGGGCGTCTTGGCAAGCCACCAGTCAGAGGACCCTGGCTGGGCGGGGGATGCGACAGAGCAGCGCCGACCTCGAGGGTTCACTTGGGCAGTCAGTCCATATGGTGGTGGCAACGCCGCTCACGAGGTGCAGGCTCGAATAGGCCCAGCCCTGGGAGACCTCAGGGAGCGTTGGGGATAGCCCTGGAGGCGGGCGGACTACCTTAAGGTACTGTGCGTACCTAGTCCCACAGGATACAGCACTGGACCTGCAGGGCTCTAACCCCTGCAGTGTTACAGAGCTGTGGGCGCCCTTGTGCCCAGCCAATTGCAGCCGCAGCGCAGCGTTTGACCGTCAAACACGGCCCTTGTTTCATCCGTGCCCATTGGCTCTCGAGGGCGCGCACAGCACCACCACCGAGCGGCGCATGGCAACGGCAACGCTCGAGGCAACTCTCGCGGGCACACATTCCGCAAGCCGCCAACCTTACGTCTACGGGCATCGTTGCTGACGGCGAGGGCCAGCGGCCAGTCATCTTGACAATGGGCTGGTTTCCGAACGACTGCCGGTTGTCTTGTCATCTCGCTCTGCCGATGAGTGGTCGTTGCCAGAGGCTGCAGCCGGAAAAGGCAGCAGGGCAGGAGGCGCATCTGAGACACTGTCATCCCGAACCAGCGATGGCGGCCACACTGGTGATGCCAAAGTGACGGCCCGCGCCCCTTTGCCAGCTTCCGCATCGAGGACTGCCCTGGTGAGCTCCAAACCCGTTGCCTCTGCTCGCTGCCCCAAGCAATACCTATTATACCATCCAACGGCACGTCTTCCACCTCAACCTCCCTGACGGGTGCAGTCACTGCCGTCTTTGGCACATGTGCTTCATTGGCGGCCGTCTCTCTGACCTGGGTTGTCCCCCTCCTTCTCCTCCTCCTCCTCCTTCTCGTCATCCTTCTCCTCCGCCTCAGCCTCTTGCTCCGCCGTCTCCTTGCTCCGAAGCACCGTTGAAGAATCAGCTTGACCCCTGTGGCTGTCGACTTGACGCCGCTCTTCCGGCTTTCCTCTTATCAGAGACTGCGAGCAGGCCCCTCGCCTTCGTCAGCTTCGCCAGTCAGCCGACTTTGCGTCCTGGGCAAGGCAAGGCCAATCCTTGTCCCTGCTTGTCACCAGCTCCTGTCACCCTTCTCCAGTCTCCCGGGGCTCCCTCCTGCCTGCCCCAGCTCGCAAGTGGAGGCCCTGCAGCCAGCCCTGTCCCGCATCTGCCCACGCCCGGCTGAGCGACTCAGACGAGCCAGACACCACTTATATTATTGGCTTGTTATATCCTCTTGGCTGCCATTGCCTCCCGTCTTGTTTCTTCTCCTCGTCCTTGTGCACTCCGCTGCCTTTTGACGTTGGGTCCTGCCGTTTGTTTTTGCTACGGCACCCTTTTCGCATCTTTCCCTTCGTGGCTGCCTCGTGCTCTGCCATAGGCCGTCGCGCTTTGGTCGTGGCCGCCGGTTGTGCTGTCTTCTTTTTTTTCTTTTTCCAGAAACGACTTCCATTCTCCTCTCACGCATTGATTGCGCCATATTTTCAACTCTCTTCTCGCTCTGCCTTGCTATATCGTTCTAGTGGGCTGTTGCTACTCAAAACACTCCGCCAAGGTCTCCTGACAGACACGCGAGACAGCTGTGCTCACCGTGGGGATCACGACTTATACGCAAACCCCACCAGATCGAACCACATCCTGGAATTGCAAGCAGGATAGGCACAAGCCGCACGCATCGAAACTTGCGACAAGCACATACAGCTCCGACTACGCCTCTGGAGTCAGGCTCAGGATAATTGTCTCGGAGCCGGAGAGGACAGCAAGAAGGGCTGGTGTCTTTGTGGAATTCCGACACGCTGGTCAGCGAGAACGACTGCTCCAAGCGAGGCCGATAGCGCAGCACCACGTGTCGACAACGAGGACAGTCAGCTCCAATGGCCTCGACACGCCTGAATCGGTGGCTTGCCACCACGGTCCAATTTCTAGGCCTGCTGTCTGCCGCCGAAGCTGTCACACTGTCCCAGTTCCAAGCAATTTCGCCGAACCAGATCCCGGCCAATTGTCTTTCGGTCTATACCGCTACCATTAACGGCTGCATAGAAGCCGACTTCACAAGCAATGCGGCTTGCTCAGCAAAGTGTTTACAAGGTCTGAAGACGAAGGAAGCACAGGTCCAGGTCTTTTGTGCCAACCTCGAGGTCAACCCCAGGTCGCTGATCGGCATCACGTTGTCCGGTGGCTTGTTGCAGCTTCTCTGCCCAGGTCAACAAGCCGCACCCTCAATACCCGGGTTCTCAACGATACCACTGCCGTCCTCCACAAAGGCAACTACCGAGCCGCCAGCAACCACAAGGTCTTCGTCCACGACGGACCCAAAGGATCCGCAACAAACCACCACCACCACCAGTCAGCCTGAGCAGTCTCCGACGCTTGTCCCGCCGCCATCGTCGACGTCGAGCACGACGGCGACGACGAGGGAAAACACGAGCGGCACACCCAGTCTCTCCACGTCTACGACCACATCCGTCAGACCTCAGAGCACAACAGCCGGAGCTAATCCAGCGCCGACACAAGTCAGCCCGCCAGAGGACAATAGCGGCGGTGACGACGACGACGCAGATGACACGTCCGATGTGCCGCAGGCCATTGAACAGAACGGCAGTCCATTTGCCAACATCAACACCTTCTTCAGCGCTGGCCACATCACAAGCGTGCCGCCGACATGGACGGCCATGGCCTTGGCCACATTGTTTGCGGGAGTTCTGCTGGGCGCATGACGCGGTCCGAAGTGCTGTGATGCGACAATACGGGCCGCAGGAGCAGGTATAATGGGTGTCGTTCTAATACGTGTAGTCTGACCTTGACGCGCCAAAGAAAAGCGCTTGACATTCTGTTTTGCATCGAGTCCCCTTTCCCGGTATACATAAGTGGCAATGGTGGTCATTTTCTTGGAAGCCCAGCCTTTGAGGGCCATAGCAGTCAATCTTGTTGGCAAGCCGTCGAATAATAACAAGTCAAACTGGCCTTGTCTCCCGTGCCGTGCTACTCCTGTGGAGGCTGCGATATGATTGTGAATTACGTCAGTGTCTAGAGCGAATGAAGGCGCGCATGGGAAGGCGTTCGAGGACGTATGCCAAAGGTATATATAGCTTAACCGGACGTTCCTCGTCTGCATGCTCTGATTTAATATGTACATTGTCGCTAGCGTCTACTCCATTCTACATGCGCTCCTGGTAAAATACACCAGTCAATGCTTTGCCGAGGTCCTTTTCCTCACATATGTCGCCTTAACTCATGACTGCATCAGATTGCGGCACGCCCTTACGCCGTGCGCTTCCACAAGTCCCGGATCTGTATGATGCCAGGCACCAGCGCGAGCGCGGGGACCGTGAGCTCGTTGACGAGCCCCTGCTCCAGACTCCAGTGCACCGTGAGCGGGAACCACGCGCAGTTGCGCGCGAGGCTCTTGCGCCAGGTGTCTGTCCACTCGCGCTCTTCCTGCTCAATCACGGCGACGGACTTGTTGTCCGCAGACGAAGCCGGGGAGGAGACGGCACTGCTGCGCTTGTACTTCTCATACAGCAGCCGGCCGATCTCGATGCCGACAAAGGTGCCCCAGAAGCGCGTCGCCCAGCGGAAGGTCTTGACCTGGCCCGGCCCGTCGAGGCCGAGGACGCCCTTGCTGGCCAGGAAGGCGCGGTTCTCGAGAGACTGGAAGGCGATGCAGGAGAGCAGCTGGGTCCAGGCAATGGTGGTGTCGATCAGGCTCTCTTTGGGTAGGGCTGTCGACTTGTCGTCGCCATCGCCGGCGCCGCCCGATGCTGAAGCCCTCCTGGAGGCGATGAGCTTGAAGACGAGGCCCCTCGCCCAGAAATACATGCCAATCAGGCCCCAGAGGCGGAGGAACATGCGTCCTTCGCTGACGAGGCCGGCAAACGCCTTGAGGCGCTTCGACAGCTCAAGGATCGCGGCGACACTGGGCGAGGGGAAGGCCTTTGAGCTAAAGACCAGAGTGGCGGACGGCGGGAGGGAGCTGGCGATGGCGAGGAGCTGCTCTGCGCTGCGGCGGATGGCCGGGGCCGTGAGGTACTCGAGCAGGGTGCCCGTCAGGCGAGTGGAGTAGCAGGCGAGGAGCAGGCATGTGTCGATGCCCGAGGGCGTCTGGAGGCAGCGCTGGAGGTGGGCGAGGAAGGCGTCAATGTTGGAGGGCGCGGCCTCGAGGAGGGCCTTGATGGGCAGCGGCTTGGCCTTGGGAGGCGGCGCGGCAGGTGCGGAGGGCACGGGATCTCCTGTGGGAAGGCCCGTGGCGGACGGGGCCAGGTCCTGGGGAGCGGTGTCTTCTGTCGATGCGGACATTGTGGTCTGGAGTGTGTGTGTGTGTGTGCGTGTGTGTGATGGACGGATCACGTCACGGAGCGTTGGCGTCCAATGCCAAATGGCTCAAGCTTGGAAGCTCGAGAGAGGGCGCCGAGGTCGGTGTCGTCTATCTTCGTAGTGGGTGGGTGGGGGCCGCGCGTGTTGCGGGTGACTGACCCGGGGGAGTGACGTCGAGGGTGTGTTTGTGTGCTGGAACTGGTGACGAGGTTATTCGAGCAAGAGACAGGCGCCCAGTTGCAATGAAAAGGGCGGACGGTGATGCGGGATGTGAGGAACAACTGTCGGAGGCGGCCGACGGAGGCCAAGCTTAGTCTAGGAGTTGATCCAGGGACCGACCAGTGACAGCAGCAGCCCGGCACGGCATGGCTCCAACCATGGCTGCGCTACTGGAATGCCTCGGCAGTTTCCCCCGGTTCCCGCTGCTGGAGGCCCGGCCGGGGGGCATAAAGGCACGGGAAATCACCTTCTCCACAGATCCCACAACGACCAGGGGTCCAAGACCTGGGGCAACTTTTCGCCTCTTCCCCGGCCTGGCGGTGTCGGTGCCGTCGGCGCGCAGCTTCTGGTCTTGGAGACATGAGAAAACCAACTGCTCGAGGCGGACATGGGCGACTAGAGAAAAGCGCTGGACCTCCTTCCTGGGCCTGAGTCTGGGGGTGCTGCGTCTCAGGGAGTGTACTGTATAATGCGAGGGTTGCACAAGCGGGACAGAAGGTGGGATTTGGTGACCACATGCATTATCAAATGTCTCAGTAGTGTGCTAATCCAGTCTAATCCATCCATCAACATGAATAGAGTGAGGGCAAAAGCCAGAGGCGTTCCTGCGAGGCTTGCGGGCCACTCCGTGCCTGCCTTGCCTGCCACACAGATATGGCCAGTGCCTCCACTCAAAAACAATCTTACCAGACCATCTTCCCTTCTTCTCAAGTTCAACTCCCAAACAAACCCCAGAGACCCGTCAGGGTACCACAATTGAAGCAGCAGCTTTGCTACAGGTCTGAGGCCCTCTGATGGTCCTGTAGAACCTCCCGCCAGTCGGCCCTCAGCTCCTCCAGCCAGTCCGGGTGCTGCGCCAGGTCCAGAGGGCCGTCTCGAGCACGAGGCACGCACGAGATGTCGCCCAGAGACAACTGCTCAGCGAAGCACGGCGGGACAGTGTCTGGTCTCAGCAGCACCGCCCCATTCCATGTCACCTGCCTCCAGCTCCTCCAGGCCTCGAGGCCTTCCACCGAGTCCAGCTTGCACTGGTCGACCTGGTACTCGACCAGGCACAGCACGCACCGCTGCAGCTCCCCCGCCGGCGGCCTCTCGCTCGTCACCATGTCCACGTGCCGGCATACCGCATCTCGGTCCACCTCGATGGCATCCTTGCCCATCGGATGCAGTAGGACCGTCGTCGTCTCGAGCACAACCTCGCCCCGCGCACTGACGTAGATGAGGTAGAAGTTCCGGCCGTGCTTTCTCATCAGCCGCCTCGAGGTGGCGCTCCTGCTCACCCCGTACAGCGCCCGTGTCTGCAGGACTCCAGGCATCAGCCAGGCCCAGGGCCTCCCCTCTTGGTGCCTCCTGAGCATGGCCTTAACAACCAGGAGCGGAATACCTGGCCCCCGGCTGCTGTGAGAGCCCAGGATGATGAGGTCCCTCTGACAGGGCCTGGTCCTGTTGTCTCTGTTGTTCGACCACGCTTTGGCCGGTGAGTGGATGATCGAGCAGCTGTCGCAGACATCCTCATCTGGCAGGTCTCGGATCAGGCGGTGCAGCCACAGCCGGTGATCAGCCTTGCGCCAGCCATTCACAATGGCATGGTCCGGCTTGTGCTTGAGTTTGTTGTGGATTGCCTTGCAGCTAAACTGCAGAGCCCAGCGGTCCGGGACCTCGCCAAGTCTGTCAGAGATGGCATACAGGATGTCGACTGGCATGGTCGCCAGCGATGGCCCAGGCACGGCACTTTGATTCGCCATTTCAGCGGTTGCCACAGATGAGTATCCTGCAAAACATTGATGAGTGTCAGCGGCTGTCTGAAGAAGCGCTTGGGGTCACAGGGTTTAGGACTTGACCATACGGTAAGATATCGTGTTCGAGACGTGGTTTCGTCGTTGTGATTCCACACAAGCTTCTCGGTATATCGTGGTGACCGTGGGCGATTTCGAGTCGGCATAAGACGATCCTTCTGTAGTCCTGTGGAAGCCATCGTCCCAAAAAAAACCAATCCGAAGATTGCAATTTATCATATGCCGAGCGAAGGCAGTTCCTTGATGGTTACGGATGCCTCATGCATACAAGGCACGTTGCCGTTCAAACAATAGCCCGCTAGAGATGTAGCTGGCAGTTTGTCTACTCTGAGCCATGAAAACGGAGTTGTTTTCCGTTGGTATGTTCGGGATTTAGCGCGCCAACAAGCTGGCACGATATCGACGACGATGCCTGGCCATCAATCTCGGCCTACTGCTGGTCAGCAGCTGCCGTCTCATGTTGGCCAGCCAGCCTTATGATCGATCCAGTGAAGATGCCGGGCAGGAACTTTTGACAGCAATGCAGTGGCTGTGATGTCGATAGCTTCCAGACCCTGCCGCGAATCGAAAGACTCAGGGCATGAACGAGCACCAGCCAAAAGCATCGGTGCTGCGCCCGCCAGCAGGCGAGAATAGCCGTGACGACACGGGGACCCCAAATGCGAACCAACAGATACAAGATGAAAGCATTGTTGGTCTGCGAGGTGTTTTTGGCTTGTCTTGTCTCCCAGCGAACACACTTATTCTGTTCGTCATTTGAGCACCGTCGGGAAGTAGGCAAACGTGGGGCTGCGCGCTTGGTTGAGGATCCGGTTGTGTGGGAACCGAGTGACAGCAAAACTACAACGACAATCGCAGCCGCAATCATGACAACGCAATACGGGCCTGCATGTGAAGAAGTCGTTGTTGCCTCGCAGACATTGCTGTTACTCTAGCCATGATTTCCCACATATGGCAAAAGGAGAAGAAGAAGAAGCGCATGAAGCATAGGGGTAAACGTCTTGCCTTGTTCACGCGGTTGTCTCACCCAGCCGGCAAGGCAACCCGAAGATCCCCATCCTCATTATCTGTAATTTCATGCTCGACTGGAGCTTCCACTATCTCCAGTAACGCGATAACCACCCAGAACACAACAGTCGATTGTCTTTACAACAATTTGCATCGTCACATGTAAATACATCCCTCTGACGGGCGCAGGTACGTATAAACAGGCGAGCAGGCAGGCGATATTTTTGGACACTCACCTTGGCCCAGTTTCCAGGTCCTGGCACACACCAACACAAGACGTCATGCTATAGGAGGGGTGTTGCGACAGGCGCCGTATATGAACGAGTCGTGCACTTTCTTACAACGCACAACAACACAACACGGCGACCGCTTGGCACGCGCAAAAGGCCTGGCCAAGCCCCAGGAACAGACCGGATAGGCTTCAAGTCCTTAAGGGTATGTCTTGCATTATTCTGTTCGTGTCGTGTGCTGGTAACCAAATGCATATACGTTTTTCATCATCTTCACATGCTTTGACTGGGGACAGGGGCTATATTTTGTCCTCGTCCTGTGTCGGATACTCTTGTATATAACAACATGTGCCACAGACCTGCGTGTGTAAAAGTTCAAGGTTAAGGAAAGGTGAGAGAAGCGGCGGCCGAAGCGGCAGTCGAGGTCATCACAACTGCCGACGGGTTTCGTCCCGACTCGTCCGACAAAACAGGCCCGCAGAACTGGCAGGTCGGTCGGTCGGTCGGTCGGCCGGTCGTGTAAAGCCTCTCTCTCTCTCTCTCCGATGTGGTGGAGTATCCTTCTCCATCGGGGTTTCAGAGTCCCCTTGCTCCGGCGGCCCGCTTTTCATGGAGAATTACTCCGTATAAGCCTCACACCCCTGGCCTACTAACACACTTGGCGATGGCCGCTGGTCTTCCAGATGCGACTGCGATAACTTCTTCACCAGGTGCGCGGACAATTATTTCCAGTGCGGCGGTGATGACGACGGTACGATACGCAAATCTTTTAGAGCGACGTCTTGCAGGCTGGATATGATTATCTTGTGTGTTCAGGCAACGTGATATACAACAGGCCAGAGAAGGAAAACAAAGAGAGGGAAATTCCAATGATCGCTCGCGTCCATATGAATGAATTTGTCTTAATTACACATCGCATCCCTTCCTCCTCCTACTTGCTCCCCAGCATATTGCCATACTATGATATGCAGCCGCATGACCTTGCACGGCTGTGAGCCGCAAAAGGCCAGGGCGACGCGCCGGCATTGCAGTCGTTACCACGTGACACATGCCCAGACTGCGCCCGTCAAGGGCCAGATGGGGCTGCTGAGTGGGTGAAAGCGTGTATTGAAGACAAATTGTACGTGACGAAGTGATCCTGATGTAACGCTGGCACCCCTATCCGAGAAGAAGAGAGGAAGAGAATGGACGGGTCGTGAGATGTTGTCGCTCGGCAAACGTGGCTCGAGCAAAAGCAAGTGATCACCTGTATGTTGTCTGGCGGATGAAGCTCATTTCGCCAGGGATGGCAGGCATGACAGGAATCTCTCCTCGCTCCTGCGCCCGAGAATCCGCGCGCTTGACTCTCCCGGATTGCTGATTGACCCAGCTGCTGAGCGTCCGGAACCGGGCCGGACGATCCTCGCTGGTGGTGGTATAGACGGTCTCCCTTCTACTCTCTGGTTGGCTTGTCCATGAAGGTGGCCGTGAGTAGGCTGCCGATCCTCGCTGGCTGGGTGCAGAGGGTTGAGAAGTGGCGGCACGAGGCGGGGCTGGCAGAGGCTGTGTGACAATGAAGTCGCCGTCCCCGAAACCAGACGAGAGAGAGGAAACGTCACTCATTCGGTACTGACGCTGCGCTGGATCCCGCGCGCTTGCCGGAGGCTGTGATGCAAAGAGTTCATTGTAGTACTGATCGATGGCGCGGTCGTCTGCGTTTCGCGGGAGGCCATTGCCCTGTCCAGTGAACTGCCCGTTCACGGGGATACCAGGTGCTTGCCGACGCAGCGTGCCACCGCCCGAGTAGGCATAGGACGACCGTGCGTACATTTTATCGGCGCCGTAGCCCATCTCAGCTTTGTCGTACATCGAGGGTGGCTCGCTCGGGGGGTACTGAGAGAACTTGCCGTTCCTCATACCCCATGGGGACGCTTCAAATGGGACAGCCGGGGGACCGCCCAACTTGCCCGATTTCTTCAGGACTCGATAGATGATCCATCCAAGGAAGCAGAACAATATGAAAGCACCTAGTCAGATCAAGTCAGCCATCAAAGTTCTGCCCATGGTCGTATGGTTATGGCTGTAAAGGCTCACCAATCGCTCCAGCTGCAATCAGCAGGTGTTCCCGGTCTTGGTTGATTGGTGGCCCGCGTGGTTTGTCATCATCTCGGGCGAAAAGTGGTGATCCAAGCCGTGGTGCCTCTGCCTCGACCAAGCTCTGCTTGGGTATAGCGGGTAGAGCATCTTGCCTCTCGATGCTGTCGAGAATCGAGCCGACATCGATGTTTTCAGTCTTGTCTGCCCTGGCTTCCAGGCAGGCATCTGGGCTACAAGCAGATGCTCGCGTCTTCCGAGTCCTCCTCAGCAGCCCCTGGCCGCTTCCTTGCCTTGAGTTGTCCATCGATACCAGATTAGCTGCGCTCTGACCTGGTGACTTTCTGTTGTCGAGGATATCCTGGCTCGATGTTGACCTAGTCGAACCGGAGCCCATTCATGTCTTCTTTCTCTTCTGTCGAATCCCAGTCACGAACTCCTTGGCATGAATGTGCTAACCCTCGACGAATCTTTTGGTTGGCGTCGAAAGAGATCGATTCACCTTCGCTGGTATGTGAAGAAGAGCCCGCGGATCCACCAGGAATTTGCAGGCAAGAACGACGACAGTGATGCCGCTGAGTGTAAAACCGTGCCTGCCGATAAAGAACGAACGTGGAAGGCCAGCCTTCTTGGAAGGAAAAAGAGAAGTCGAAAAGAAGGTGCAGAGTGTAAGAGGACAAAGCCAAGAGAAGATGGGTGCCAAGGTAGACAAAAGCTGGCGGGAGCCGTTGAAAGGGGCCTTGTTGCCAGCGGGGGTCTAGGGGCGATGCACATGCGACATGCTTCAGAGAGATGGGGTGGAGCACGGGGACAGTGGCCGATCTCGCGCTAGGTGGGAGCTTCGCTGGGGGTCGGCGTTGCAGCAGCCGCTGCGCAGTTGCGCAGCAGGGCCATAGCACAGCAGCACATCTCTGGCATCTTGCGCCAAGCTCTCGGCAGCGCTTTACCCAAGCTCCCTCTTTCCTGCGTGGGTAGCCCAGAGATCGAATGGCGCAGTCCAGGTGGACCACGGCCGCCGGACCCAGGGGGCCTAGTTCTCGCGATAGGTCTGCCTGAGAAGCCTCCACCAGCCACTGTTATGCGTCCGTAGTTGCAGCGTGCCGCATGGTCGAGCACATTGGCTGTCCCAGAAAGATCCGTCTTCAGTGCTGCCTTTCGTTTTAGCTGCGACCGAAGCCGTGGTTAGGGAGAACTTCCTCACTGGGAGGCCAATTTGGTTCCGGTAAAGTGGTAAAGTCGTCCGGGTTGCCTTGAGAGGTTTGGCTGGTTGCGGACTATCTCGATTGTGATTGCCATGCTAGACTGTAGTGCAGTCCTATCGGGATGCATCCCCGAGATCTTTTGCGCGCCAACAAGGTCTAGTTTGGGAAACACGAGCCCATCACGGGCGCTTTGCGGGAGCGGGCAAGCGGTACCGGCCACGACGTAGCGGCGCGGCGCAGGCCCGGCTGGGGTCGCAGTGGTCGACTTCAGGATGAGACGAGGCCAGCGGCGGCGGCAGGGTCGTTGCTGTCTCATGTCCAGGGGCCCCGGAGGGGCGGCCGGGGTATCTGGGCCGGAGGCGGGTGCTTGCGTGTAGCAGGTTGCCCTCGCTCAAACAGCCCAGAGCCAGGGGGTGCCATTGCCCAATCACCGGTGCATACCCTGGTGATTGTCGAAACATAATATGGGCATCGTTGAGCCTGTCCGTGGGAGTGAGTGTCTTGCAGTCGAGACAGAACCAGCTTGGTGCCGCCGCCCACTGGTGCCTTCATGGCAAGAAATCTTGGCCAAACGCTGACGCTTGGGTTTCCGGACCTTTGCTCGTGACTGCAAGGAGCTGAGCGGGCAGGGGGGGCCGCCGTGATGCACAAGGGCAGATCCCACGATGCCATCATCTGCTGTCCCGGCCGAGGCGACGTCTTGGCAAGGCTGGACGAGCTGCCAATGCTGCGCCACGGGCCCAGGATATTCCGAATCTGCTGCCCGAGGTGCGTCGCGAAGGAAATACGGTGACTGCAAAATGGTTCATGTTGGACAAGACGGGATGGTCGAAGCACTGGGCGGCTGCAAGTCCAAGAGTGCGTGCGTCGGAGCGATACTGTACACAGTCAACTCTTGGCTCACTGGCAGTCGCCCGGCTGAGGAAGCAACAGGTGACAGCCTCGTAGAGTCGTGCCTGCCGCCAAGGTGAAACCTGCTCTCTCGTGAGCCCCACCCGCGTGTGTCCCCAAGGCCAACCAGAAAAGCCCGTCCACGACGTCAGTTCAGACGCCCTCAGCTTGGGCACGAAACAAGGCTCTTTTGCTAGACGCTGAAGGAACCGGTGCGCCGCAGACTGTACAGGGGCCAGCATTGACGGACGGCCCTCCGCCCAGCACAGAGTACCCCCAAGACGGATCCGTGCTCGCAGCTCAGCCATGGCGACTATCAGGGTCTCCCCCATGGCCGAGGGCGACATCCCCGGCTCCGTTGCCGCCATCCAGTGCGTCCAGCCCCCATTCTTGCGTCTCGGCACCGCTGTTTCCATGCAAGGAATCATGCCTTGGCCCTATCATATCCTGTCCCATGGTCCTCTACTGCTTATCTGATGGATAGTTACTGATCTCAGCCAGGGCGGCCTTCGCCGAGGACCCATACACCCACTGGATGTTTGATATGTCAAAGGTACGTCGACGTGGTGGCCGGGCGACCCCGGACTCATGGATCCACGCAATTCTCCTCTTGGCAGAGAGACGAGAAAGAGCTAAAATCGGATCGCCGCAAACCCAAGTACAACGCCCAAAGAAATGCGGCCTCACTGGGTGTCAGGTGCCGCTGGGGCATGCGCAATGGCCTCTTCCACGTCGCCAAGGAGCAAGGCAGTGACGAGGTCCTCGGCGTAGCCATGTGGTTGAAACCTCAGCCCGCCAATCAGCCCGCCACCTGGTATGACTGGTTCGAGGACTGGCGGCTATGGTTCAACCAGCTTGGTATGAACCTGTATTACGGTCGTGGTGGGCTCAACGTGAAGGTATGTGTCTCGTCTAAGGCGCGGGTTGATGTCGAGCGGCCACAAATCACTGCCGTCGCGCAACCAGACACATCTGCCCCTGGATCTGGTTACATGATATGTCCCAATCAGACTGATCATTTGGACGCAGAGGTATTACATTTGGAAACAAGCGCAAGAAACGGCACACTCGAGCGTTTGGACCGACCCTCGCGGGTACTACTTCTTGAACATCATGGTTGTTTCCCCAAAGGCCCAGGGCAAGGGTATTGGTCGCGCAATGATGAAGTACGTTACAGATCGAGCCGACCTCGAGGGCATGCCTTGCTACCTCGAGTCCAGTCGGGATGTGCCAAACATGGAAATCTACGGCCGTTTCGGCTTTAGGTTCGCCAAGGAGCTCCTCTGTGACGACGACGGCACGGCCATCAAGCTTTACACCATGGTCCGAGACCCGGATGGCCCGTCAACGACATGATGTTTTCCAGCTACCGAGCACCTCAGACACCTTTCTCAAAGTTGTTATTGGTCAATCCTTTTCACTGGCCGCTATATCGAGCGGAGTGTGACCTCGAATTGTACCAAAAAGAAAAGAAAAAACTGATATCAAGGAGAAGTTTCTTCGCTATTTCATCTATGTAAATCATCGAGGGTCATCAACCTGCCTCTCGCTCGTCTTTTGTGATCTGTTGTCCAGAATCCTAAATTCGACTAAATTCGACGACTACTGTACTCTTGGCAGGATAAAGAAATCATACGATTTGAAATCACCGCGCCGTTCCAGAAAACTTGCTCTTGTCTGGTTCTGGTGAATTGGAATCAATGGGAAGCAAGTGCCGCCGCGTTTGAGCACTTTGCAAATGGTCTCTGTGGCAGGTAAGCATCCTGATGACGCACAATTTCTCGTCCGTTCATGGGTACAGAGAAAATTCTGGCTTCACCTGAAGTCTCTGGTGAGTCAAGGATATGCTAGTAACACCCGCTTTAGACAATTTTACTGGATTTCATCGTGAAAGTACTCCACCTCCATATCTAGCATAGGCGCATCTTGTGACCCGGTATGCTGAGCTGTTTGGGGCGCCTGATCTGGTACTGTTAGCGGTAGAGTGCGCCCGTTTCTTCTGTCAAGTCTTGCATGCGGTCAGTCTCCAACACTACTGCAGGTGCGGACGCGACTTGAGGCGTTCCAGGATCATGAGCCAGAGAAGATGTATTGACCGGCAGCGTTGACTGTGAACTGGGCTGGGCCATTTCATCATTTTCGCCCTGCTCGGCGATGGCCTCTGCCGCTGCCGGTACGCACATACCTTGCAACTCATTGTGGTGAGAAACAAGCTGAGGTGTCTCCGGCCTTACTATCGACCGTGCCTTGGATTCAGTGACTTCGCCAGCTTCGTCTCCCGCCTCTCTCAGCGCCTCTTTGGTATTGTGATGAACTGGGCCAACGATCTCATCCTCGTCATCAGAGATGATTATGGGTGTATTTGCGGCGCTTTCGGTATCAATGGTGATCTGGATCCTGGCATTTTCTTGTTGGTTGACGGTCGTGAAGTTGTCGTCAGAACCACAGCGTGCATCGCACCGTAGCGACGCCCAATTATTGTCGCTACCAGGAAGATCAAGCTTTTCGACCTGACGACTTTTGTGGTTGCCCTCCTGAGTATCATCTGGACTTTTATCTTGACTTCCGATAGGTTGTGGTTCATGGTCGTCCTTTTGCACAGCAGCACTATCCACTTCCATGTTGTCCCTGGGGTCCTCCTCTTGGCCTTCTGTCGGCGGGGTTCCTGGAGTGCTCTTTCCGAGAGCAGGTTCGGCTTGTACCTGAGAAGTAAGGTCGATAGCTGTTTGCTGCTTGTTCAGTTGCGCCAAGTAGGCTACAACGCTAGAATCTAAGGACGGCTGTGTATTCCCTTCAACTGACTCGGGCTCATTCTCAGTTTTGCGCCGTTGCGCTTCTTCGTACGGCCTGCGGTCAGTGCCCTCTCCTTCGTCCTCGCGTTTGCGCTTCGAAGCTTGTGGCCTGGGTGATTTGGCCTCACTCGAATCACCTGTTGGTTGGTTGCTCTTTGCGTCGACATCGTCTGTGAGGCGTTCTCGCTCTGTTGTCTCGAACCTTTCCCTGTCTTTTTCCAGGAGTTTCCAGAACTGGGCGTCATCGATTGCCTTCCTGCGAGCCTCTCCCTCGGTGTTCCTTCTATAGGCTTTGTCCTGATTTTCTGTTTCGATGATGCCGATTGGTTTACCTCCCACCTGAATCGGGGAATTCGTCAGTGTGATTTATCCTCCTGAAGATGACCATCTGCAGCCCAGGCGGGGGATTTTAGATGGCCCCCATGTTGTCTGGAATATCACTTACTGGCGGCTCATAGTGGAATTTCTCACAGCTACCTTTGTTCTCAGCGGCCCTCGTGATGCGTTCCCTCCAGGGAATTCCAGTCTTCTTCTCGAAGAACTCTTTGAACACGGCGAACTCGCGCTCAAACAGGCCCGGGGTCTCGAAGTTGGAGGGCCGGATGACTCTTGTGTGGCCAGCGCGCTTGTTGAACGTCGCCGTGCAGTGGTATAGATAGGGCTTGGCGTTGGACTCCCACAACTATACATCTTTTTGTTAGCTTTGTGGATTCTGTGAAGGCAGATTGTGGTCGTGACTGTTTGGTGGCCGAAAAGGTTCGATGGGCAGAAAGAGCTGCGACGAGGTGGAGAGTGCGCCGAGGTACGAGATATGAAAAGGCAACTTACGCGAAGCCGCCACTTCTCTGCAACCATGCCGGTGTCTGGATCATTGCGAGTGAGGATGATATCGTGTGAGAAGCACGTCGTGTCCATGTAGACGTGGTTTAGATCTACGCGCGCCGGGGCAGCACCTGTTAGCCATTAGCGACTCTCTTTCTCTCGAAAATACGCCGTGTATCGAGACGCGCCAAAAATTGATCCAATCTTCTCGCAGGTCGTGAGAGCCAGCTGAGCGCTTGACAAGGGAAACGAGGAATACCCAAGCAAGGTATCCATCTGTGAACAGAAGATGAATGAAGATTCGAAAACGCAGGCTTGACTTACTTGTGTTCACACCACCTCTTTCGACCTCTGCGAGTCCCTTAGCCGCCTTTTCCTCCATCTCGATCTTCGCAGTTTGTTTCTTCCTCTCCTTCTGCCAGATCTTATCGAGCCTGTACCCGTTCTCCTTCAGCTTTCTTTTCTGGTGAATGCTGTCCTCCAGCCAGTCACACGTCACCACCTGCACTCCTTTTTGGATTAAATTTTGCTTCCGCTTCGTCGTCATGTCCTTGTACTGGGCCGTATTGGCAAGGACATGGGTGAACCCGCGCTCCCCGTCATCGCTACTGCTGAGCGCGAGCTGGTCCAAGGAGCCCAGGTACACGCCGCTCCGTATGGTGATCCAGTTCCCGACCTGGTCGTCGGTCCAGTCGTGTTTGCCTAGATCGCCGGCCCGGACGATGACGCAGCCCTGGAATATTGGCTTCTCGGTTACCTTCTTAGTTTTCTTCGGCGGCATGACTACTACTGCTGATGATTGAACGTTACTTGATGTCGGAAGAGAGAAGAAGGGTGGGAAGTTCGTCGTTGTGGCAAGTGTTCCAGCTTTTCGTCGATAGATGAAACCTGATCGAGCCTTCGCAATGCCCCTTTGAGGAAATTGGAGCTTTTCTTTTCAAACTTTGTGTATATGTCTGGTGAGATCTTGTGGTATGCCGCCACTTAGTAATCGGCGAAGTGGTTGTGCTGTTGTGCTATTGTGCTGAGATGGCGCTTCCACAGAACAAACGAGGCAAGAGCTGGTCACCAGGCAATCACTTCTCGTGAGGGAAGCCTATTGCCACTATGCGTTGTCCGGGTCTCCAGTAGATTAAAAGAGTTCCTGTTGCGAGATGAGCTCTTGCCTTTTTGTGGTAATGTCTAAGTGTCTAAGCCGTAAACGAACAATCATTCGGAGAATTAGATTAGCCTGGTTGATTTCAGTCGCGAGATGTAGAGATCGAAGCAAGGTGTAAAATCACTTTGAGGTAAATGATTGCTGTCGTCAGGGCAAAAGCGAATTGTGTTAAGAAGAGTCGGCATTTATGCTATCAGCGTCGAGAGCGACCTGGTTCTGGAGAAGGAAATGTCAGACTCGTAGAGTGGGATACCTCCTCTCAAACAGAAGTAGAGTAGGTAACGTGGTGATTCCAAAGCAGTGCTGTTCGACACTTGTGAGATTGCTATTGCTCTGTTATGTGTAGGTGGTGTCGAATTGGCCTCTCAGTGTAACTGCGAGTCGCTTCAGGAACAGTGTAATGGTCTTGAGGTGATCAGCTAAGACCGTTTACCCTGAGGTGCGAATTCTCTTGTGATGCAAGTCAAGACGGAAGGAACGGAATAGCCTGTTCTTGGAGAATGTTCACTAATGTGTGACCGTGATACGTGTGTGAAGTTTGGCAGTCCACATTTCGCAGTTGTTTCGGATATGATAATTCGCGGAAGAGACGAAGAATTTGAAGTCAAGGCGTAATGAGTATGTAGATACTGGTAGAGGACTCCTCCGCATGAAGCCATTAGACATGCAACCAAGCCGAGCATTTCAAATGTACAACAGGAAATGCTTAGTTTCCATTTCAAGTCTGTTGTGCTGCCACCCACTTCTTTCGGAAAGTCCCTCAGCCTATGCTATGGGGCATCCTGGTCAAGCACAAGTGAATTGACAACTAAATGAACTTTTCCCTTAGAGTTCCCTTTGCAACATCCATTCCAGTTCTGGTCAGCTATTGGCGCCCAGACTCAGGAACCACAGAAACCTTCGACAAAACCTCACACAAACAAAGTCAGAGGCCAGGGGTTCAAAACCAAGTTGCAATCTCCGTCTGGCTGAGTAGTTGGAATCAAATCACAGAAACCACAAAAACCACCAGATACCGGATAGTCAGAAGGCCGAGTCCGAAATTTCAAGATTATCAAGCCATGTGCGTAAGACAGTATCCTCACGAGGCTCTGCAACTCCTTTTATTTTCTTAAAAAAAAATAAAGTAAAACCTTTTTTTTGTTTTTGTTTTTTTGGCTTTGATCCTTCATCTGAAAAGTCTCGGGCAGCTCCGATCTAGAAGATCTGCATTACTTTACATGGTCGCTTACTCCCATTCAACAGGCTAATCAAGCGATGACAACACCAATGGTTCGCCTGGATTGCCAGTGCGGACTAGTTGCAGGCTCTGCCGAGAAACGGCCATCACAGCCACCAAAAACCTCAAGAGAATCACACACGGCATACATGTATACAGTGCCTGGTGTATCCTTTCTAGGATGCCTTTTCAAAGAAGACATCATCTTGTGATGGGTATCAATTTCTAAAGCAACGCTATCCCGACACATCCAGCGGCTATATGCGGTATATACCACGACCTGCCATGCCACATATACAAACACCCGAAGCTGATGCTGTATCATGATTCAGCGTCGGCCAGCTCAAAAGAACCCGCTCTTCTTCTTCTTGATCTTCGCCCCCTCGTCGCTTTTCCTCCTCCTGCTCGACTTTGGCGGTTCTTGTTGCGGCTGCTGAGGCTGCGACTGCTGTCGATGGTGGTTGGGGAGGGCATAGTGATCTCCGGAGCTGTGGAAAAACCGACTGAACCCGCTACCCGATGGCTTAGGTGGCGGGCCAGCGCTGACCGGTCTGGCCGGCGCTTGCATGTTGTTCCAGGTGACATTCATCCTCGAAGGGCCGGCGCCGTAGTTACTGTTGTGGTAATTGTTTGGCTGTCCCTGGTTTCCGCCACTCGGACGAGGCGGCAGGTTTGGCTTTGGGCCATAATCTTGGCCCTCCATGCCATATAGCTTACGTAGCCGCTCCGTCTCCTTGGCCACCTCTGCATCTTTCCGCTTGAGTTCCTTCTCTTCCTCCTCGAGCAGCTTCTTGATTCGCTTTTGCTCTTCGCGGTCCCGCTTCTCCTTGTCTCTCTTCTCCTGCTCGACCATGGCCTGTAGCCGCCGGGTTTCGGCCTCGACCTCAGGATTCGGCCGAGAGTTTGTAGAAGACTGCTGGCCAGCAACTGGTGATCCTGTCTTGCCTGCAGGTGGGACATCGCCGGTCATCACGGCGCCACTCATTGCGTAGCCGTTGGCCTTTGCTGTTGAGCCTGCCTGAGCAGGAGATATTGGGCGGGAATTCTTGCGTCTCGTCGCGGGCGTCGCTCCCGAGATATTGAACGAGTCGCGGCTGGGGAAGAGATAGATCTCGCGGATGACCTCGGCACCCAGGAGCAGGACAACCTCGAGCCCCTTGCGGTCCTCGACCTCGACGCGCTGCAGGTTGGGCTCGTAGATGGTGAGCGACTGCTCGCGGCCGCCGCACTTGAACATGGCGACGGTGATGTCGGGCTCCTTGCTCTTGCGGCCGTGCACGGAGCGGCCAGTCATGTAGCACGTCATGTCCTTTGAGAATTTGGAGTCGCGCTTCCACCGAAACATGATCTTTGGGATGCTCGGGTTGTTGCTGGTGTCGAGATCCGCGGACTGGTCAATCGCGGAGCTCGAGGGCTTGAGGAAGCTGACCTGGGGCATCTCAAAATCCCAGGATTCCTTGCCCGTCCAGGTGCTCTTCTCGCCCTTGATGGCGACCTGCTGGTCTGGGTTGTACAGCTGGATGGTGAAGGCCTCAGGGATCATGGGGACCTGCGGCGGGGGCACGCCATTGTTGGCCCGGATCTCGGCGGCCGAGAGCGTGGGCTGTGTCCATTCCGGGCTGATGACGACTTCGGCGAAGAGGATGCTTGGATTTACGGCGTCTGAGAGGGCCGAGGCGTATTTGTTCTTGGATTCTGGCAGTGCGGGGTCTGCTTTCCGGAAGAGGTACTCTGCCGCGTTCTCTGAGCCGTTCTGTGTGAAGGCCAGCACCGTCTGAAGCGGGTCAGAGGATGAAGGTCTGTAGAAAAAGGTTGGCAGGTTTTCGTCGAGCATTTTGGCGGCGAAGCAGCACTGTTGTGCCACGCTACGTCATCCGCCGAAAGCGTGGGCAGAATCAAGACCGTCGTATCTTGCTGAGAACGCCGCACAAGAGTGGCATGGAGTCGCCGTTCGGCCCTTCGCTTGTGGAGGTAACTTGAAGGTATTGTGCGAAGCAAAGTAGAAAGACAGTCGGCAGCTGTTTAGTGCTTGCGAGGCAAGAACAAGGCGATCAAGCACTCGAGGCTCGGCTCGTGACGTGGGGCGGCGGATGACGCTGCGGGCGGGTCACGCAGCCATGAGCAAATCCTGGAACTCACGGCCCACGAGGAGCAACGTACGCGCGGTCAAGTCCTGGGGACTGTGCAGATTCTGCTTCTGATGGCGGGCCGAGGACGACAATGCGGAACGGAATCTCTTCTGTGACCCAAGACCAGGCCGTTGGGGAAGTCCCTTTACCTTTTGAGCATGGCTTGTGTTCTTAAGAACAAAGACCGTTGCGTTCGTTACCCAAGAACGCCTTAGCTGCCGCATTGTGGAGTATGCAATGCAGCGTGACAGGGCGAGGCTGAGCGCCAAAAATAGACCCTCCCGCTCGCATCCTGGACGCTGCCCCCAGGTTGTTCGCCATTGCCATGGATTCCACCCATGAGAGGAACTGCAAGCGAATCATAACCCTCTGTAAGCCGGTGCCTGAAACCACACGCAGATCTCGCCAGATGAGCCCCTCTGAATCAGTAAAGAAGACCATTCGCAGAAAGTTCGTATGTTTATCTCCAGCGGGAGGGGCTTATACCGTTGTGATACCCCTGGGCGCTTTGCTACCCCAGCCCAGCATCCGCTCCTGAGGCTATGGTGCTCGTTATTCCTGCTTTGGCCACCTCCCTGGGAATTCTGCTGCCTGGAGTAACATACAACAAAGCTCAAGGCCGCTTGCCTGCCTTAGGCACCAGGCATGCGCCTTCTGCTCTGTTCAGCTTGAAACGTGCTTGACGTGGCCCCGGTTGTGGCTGAGCCTAGGCACGCACGGCACGCTGCGTCAGTGCATTCGCCCATCTTTTCGCCATGTGAGTGGAGCGAGGCGATGCACCATGACCCGCAGCACAAGTCCACTGGCTGTGAGCATTCAATCCAGTCCACATTATTGGCAAACATGCATGGCTTTCTCTCGAAAACATTTGATTTTTGTGAGAGCTCTTTGGACTGAAGATTGGTGATGCGGGCTCAAATGGCCGCGTCGAGAAAACAGGAGCATCCAGCAAGATACGGAAAGGGGCTGGATTTTGTGCAAGCCAGCCATGCTACTAGTCGAAAAATAAAATGCCCTTAGACGCCCGCAACCGGAAAGATTTCCGCCATGCGAAAACGGTGAATTATAGCAAAACCTCATGATCGCTTTTGTCCCATCTCTTCCATGCCAATATCGTCCCAGTCTTCGCCCATCTCCCCCAGCTTGCGACCAACCCAGATTCCCGCTGCGGTGAGGACGCTGGCCAAGAGGAACCATCCCTCGAACCATCGGTCCACGAACCCTGGCTCCAGAGCGCTCTCCAGTGCATCGCCAATGGCGCTGCCCATCTCCTTGGGCAAGTTGCTTCGGAGCAAGAGGGCAGCCGAGATCACATAGATGGCGCTGATCTGCCCAATCAGCAGGGCGAGATTTGCTTGAGCCTGGTATAGTAGACCCGGCGTCCATCTCGCAAAGAGGTGGAACGTCTGCAGAACGCTGTTGGCGCTCGCAGCGAGGATGACCCCCGAGAGCAAGAATGATATCTGCCGTGCCCACGCAATCTGGTCCAGCTTGGGGTCCCAATGTTTGGCCAGAAGACCCAGTAGGCGGTTGATGGGATCCGAAGACGAGAATGACGATGCCGGGTAGTATAGGCGTCGGAGTGTGGTCAAGAGCGTTGCTGCTATCCGGTATAGACAGTATATGCTGAACACGTAAGTGGGCAGCAGGAACAGCTTTCCGACAGTTGTCCTGGCCCTAGCCGTGTTGACTTGCCGTGCACGTAGCGTAGCGAGCGACGCTGCGAGGTTCGACTCCATTGCCTCGAGGCCAACAATCTCCATCTTCAAGCTGCGCATTTCCGCCGCATCACCACCGCCTCGAATGTTGCCCACGACCTTGCTCAAGAAGCCGGAGTTGGATGCAGCTGGGTTCTCCGCTGCCTTTCTTTGCAGTTGTCGCAATCGGTGCCGCTTCGTCACGAGCATTTCATTGGTGGCATCTAAGCCCGCCTGTTTGCGAGCCACATCGGCCTCTGTTACGGGCCGTCGTGACGCTCGACTACCGAAAGCGTGCCATGGCGATGAGACAGATGCAAAACCCGAGAGCAACGCCATCAGCGAAATGCCAATAACGCCAATCCGTTCAAGACAGGCCCTGGCAAGTCCGTTCGAGCTGTCTGAGGACCCAGAAGCCATAGCTTTGCTGGTACCCGATTTCATGATCTCGCTCTGAAGAGGCACTAAGCTGCCTAGAGACCAAAACCCAAAGAGCCAGAGGCCGAAAAGGCCAAACTGGATCATCCAAGCCACTCTAGGCAGCCGACCCTTGGATGTCCTTTGAAAGGACCAGCCCGATCCTGAGATGATGGACTGCAATTCGAGAAAAGGGATCAGGACAACCAGCAGGAATAAGAGTGTGGGCACTGTGAAGCGCAGCGCCACCCCTCTCGCATAAGGGTCGACGAGATCCGATATTTCGCACAGGATCAGTTCACCCAACACAGTCGCAAGCGCGACGGTTGTGGCGAATGTGATGGCGGCAATGCGCCGCCGTACCGACTTGGTGCCATGCTCCGCATGGGCCTGCTGCAGAGCGAGAGGCGCATCAGAAGGGAGATAGTGGTCCTCTCCGTCCCTCGAATTCTGTACGCGCGAAAGCTGAGGGAATATCCTCTGCTGCACGACGATGAAGGCCGCGAGAAATGTTACAATGAAAGGTGAAAGAGCTATAAATGTTGACAAAGCCGAGTGCGCGGCGAATCCTGGCGCGACGCACAGGTCTTCCTCGCAATCAGCTGCCGCATGCATTGTAGTTGCGAGTCTAAGTCGAGGTGGCAGCCGCTAGAAGCGTCGTGGACGGCGGGTATATCTGAATAGCATCCTACCCAGCCTGGTGAATGGTGAATTTGAGGTGGGAAGTCCACGAAGAGAACAATCAACAGCTGGGAGCTGTGGGTTGAGCTAGGCTGGAGTCTCAATGCGATAGAGTTCAGAGAGCACCTAGAACCTGCCTGGCCGAGGGCTACGAGCATACGTTGCTCACGTGCGCCACAGGAATGGTGTTGGGCAGGTGAGACAATTCGATAGTTGTTGGCAGGGAGAAGAGAGGGTTCCGGGCTTTTCTCTGCCGCATTCGAACAGGCAAAGGCCAGTCAGCACAGCTGATCATGAACCCAGCCAGGATGGAGAGAGTCGCAGATGGGGCTCCTCGACCCAGGAATGACGAGGCAAGGCCCACCGAGGCTGCAAGGCCGCAGGACCAAACGCGGGCCAGGAACGCCCCGAGCGACGGAACAGGCCATGGCGGGTTCGTTGGGTGCTTCTGGTCCCCACTTCTGCAAGTGTCAAGCCGGCCAAATGGGGCGCGCCTCTTTGAGCACTGCAGTCGCATGTGGCTGGTGCTCAGCCCTGACAGAATGTGGCAGTGCGGACCATGAAATGCTGCCGGCGGCCTTATGTAAGCAGGGCCAACGACGGGGCAGGGGTCATGGAAAAGTTCGAGGCCTCGCGACACTCCATGCCTGGCAGCGCTGATGGTTGTGACGAGTGTTGCGAGCTATCACCGACCACACAGCACAGCGATTGGGACATCGCAGACGCCTGCGACCATTCTATCATGGCAGCCACAAGCAGGGGCAGCTTCTTGGCCTCCAGCTTGGTAGCAAGTTCGTGAATTCCAAGCTGGTGATCCTTTCATTACTGCTCTTTATTGTTCTAACAATTTGGCAGGACAATCTTCGATATGCGCCAGCTGTAGGATATCCCCAATTGCCCTCCAGAGCAGAACGTACTCGGCAGCAGCAGATGCTGCAACATCAGCCGAAGCCCACCACCTCAAGCCCACCGAGGACAACCCGACCCCTCCCTTCACAACATCGCGGAAATCCGAGTACCGCATAAGAGGCGGCATCATCTTGACCCGCGCGCCACTTATCACGCGGCCGCTCACGCCTTTCGAGAATGCCTTTTTCTTCTACCAGAAACGCCTAAACGAGCGCCTCGTCCTTCCGTTCCGGCACACATTGTTCTTCAAGAAGGACACATCGGCGGATATCGACTGGCGGATCAAGTTCAGAGAGCGCGGAAAAGTTGCGGCCAAGGAACTCGGGAGGTACTACGGCCAGGGCCGCAATGCGTGGAACGACGAGCTGCTGGTCGGCAGCACTCTAAGCGACGAGGAGCGTGTCCGCCAAATTCTGCTCAAGGACGCGGAGAGTCGGGTCACCGAGGATGGAGAGGAGGCACAGCCAGACGACATTGTCCCTGTTGAGCAGCCCATGCCTAGACTGACAGAGGCGGACAAGACCAACAATGTCAGGAGGCTGGACCGAGCACTGGATCAAACATTATATCTGGTTGTGCAGAAGGAGAATGGCACGTGGCAGTTCCCTAGTGGAGATGTCCGAACAGATGAGAATTTGCACGAGGTATGTCCCAAAAAGAAATCTCGAGAAGGGAAAGATGAAGACCACGCAGAGTCGTTGGTGACTAACAAAATCACAGGCGGTATCAAGAGTATTGGAATCGACAGCTGGTGTCAACATGAACACCTGGGTCGTTGGACGTGTACCCGTCGCACACCTGGTCACCCAGCCCGAGTTTGCCTCAGACTCGTCGATCAAGAAGCGCGGCGACAAGGTCTTCTTTCTCAAGGGCCGGATTATGGCGGGTCAGGCGGACCTCAAGGACAACAGGATGGGCTACAAGGACTTCAACTGGCTCACAAAGGACGAGCTCAAGGAGAAGGTGGGCGGGGCGTACTTCAAGGCGGTACGAAACATGATGGCCGACAGGTGATTTACGCTTCAGGTCTTGTGCAGAAAGTGCCACAGAGGCAGTGTAAGACCAAATGTGTACTATACAAACACCCAAAAGATGTATAAAGAATGAAGCCTGTACTATTTCGGCCCATACCAAGACGAGGCGGAGATTTCATAGGCAGCCCTGGGTTGATGGAGAAGAGCTTAGGTATCCTGACGTGTATTAAAACCACCAAGTATAACATCAATCAGAAGATGTATGCATCCTAACATGTGAATTGAGGGGTCTTTCTCATCCCCTCTTTCCCGCTGTTCTGACGAAAGAGCCAACAGTGAGAAACAGAGTCTTGCAGAGGGCACCGACTCCTGGGGTAATTGCGCTTCATGCAGATCTGCAGGTGACCCTCTTGACGTTCCCCACATGTTTACCTGCAACCAGTAACTCTCAGAGGGGTAAAACAACAGTGACGAGAATGTCAACAACAGCAACGATCACAGGTCAAATAAGCTCAGCCGCCCCGAACCCAATCAGACTGCAGAGAAGCAACCGCCAAAGTATTGGCGTGTATGCATGACTACACTTTGATGCGCTGGCTCGGTATCGAAGTCAGCTGGCGTTGTTGATGGCCCCGTACGCACAAGCGAGGGCGGAGATTAGGCATGCACGCGAGGGCGGGTTTGCCGGATGGGGAGAACTGATCCTAGCGCGGACTCCAGGGACAACCATCGTGTACGGCTTGAGTCCGGACCCCGGATTCCCGAGGAGCGGCGAACGCCAGAGCCATGAACAAAGAGGCAGGAGTGCGAGAGTGAGGATGTAGAAAGCCGAGATGTTCCTGGCAGTCTGTATCAATGGCGGGGTGATTGGTGCATCATAAAAGTACTGGCAGCCACACTTCCACTCTGGCTGGTACGCACAATGGGCTACTATTCGATGGCAGCGCTGTATTTCGGCACCTGTCGTCCGCTTCGATCTCGAGCCCAGGCTTGGTGCTGACACATCTCGAACTGCTGTAGAAGCCTGGGGCGATATGATTGTCACTGACGACTAATAGTCCAAAACTGGCGTCTTCCCGAGGCTTGCGTGACTCTGGCTTCTGAAATCCGGGGCAGGCCAGGGCCAAGGAGAGTTGCAGCGCGACAGGGGTTGTCAGCAAGTGCAGACGGCCTCTTTGCTCTTGTGAAAGTACTTAATTACTGGGCACATGCTTCGGTCTGCGTCGAAGGATGTCTGGCCTATTGCTCATACCAGCCACAGCACAAGTGGATAGGACCAAGAGGCCATTCCCGTTTCGCCTGTAGAGCCGCGTACCTGCCAATGCGCTTGTGCCTCGTGTGAAATCCAAACTGGCACGACCCAGACTGTGAGGCTGCCCCTGACAGAGTTTTGTCGACCTTGTGAGTGTTGTGCATAAACGATGCCCATTCTCTAGCAGCAGGCGGCGGCGGGCACCCCGGTGGGAAGGTAATTAGCGGAGCTGGCAGCGCTGGTGGAGCCATCCCAAATGGATCCCTGCCAGGCCGAGCCAGAGTGCCGAGGCAAGGCGGTAGCGTAGCCGGGCGAAGCAGATGTTTACGGCATGCACGCCGCCGCCCGTGGGTGGCTGCTTCCTCGCGACACCCCGGCCCGGCCCAACGACCAGACTCCCCCAGGTTTGACTCCAGCCAGCACCGACCTCGTACGTGTGCATCAACACCGCCAGATCCTACTTCTCCATTCCACCGGCTCGCCCACCCGCCTGCCTCACTCCTCGCCCAGCCAGCCAGAGCCCCCTCGCTGCCTGGTCTTCTCTGCAGCCCGTCCCCCGCTGGTGCAGGAGCTCATCTCCTTCAGGCTCTGGAAAATGTCTGGCTTCTGAACGTCGTCCCCACGCTTTCCTCTCCACAACAAAGCGTAAGCTCGGCCTGCTCCAATCTCAACCTCACAGGTCCCACGCGTTACCCGACACCGACCTCGGGGCATCTGCATTCGAGCCACTGTCAACCTGCATCACCATCCTCAGACACCGTCGGCCTGCATCTAGACATCCCAGACCATGTCGTTCGACGGCGCGACGCTGAGCCCTGTAGGCTCAGACGGGACCATGAGCTCCCAATTCTCGATCCGCAACTCTATCTCGTCTCTTGCCTCGTCACGGGCTTCGCACCAGCCTAACAGCATCTCCCGAGCCTACCGCCAAGCCTCACAGCTTTTCCTGACGCGTCGCCTGCCCGAGGCCCTTTCGACCGTGCTGCCTCTCATCACGCCGCAGACCGATGTCTCGTCTGCGAATGGATACACAGAGCCCGCCCCCGTAGCTCAAGCGTCAAAATCCACGCGAGTCAAAGTCTGGAGCTTGTATCTCACAATCCTCAATGCCATCCTTGAACTGGATCCCAACGAAGGCAAGGATGCTTTTGGCGCTCAAGAGTGGCGCTCTTTATGCACAAAGGTTCGGGATGGAGATGTCTGGGAGGAAGTCGTCCAGTTTGGCTACCACGGCTCTGAAGGCGAGGTCGACTGCGACGTTGTTATCAACCTGTAAGCACTTCAAGTCGGGTGCTTCTGCATCGACCAGAACATATGTGCTAATTATCTTCCTGCAGCGCAACTCTGCTCCTCGCTCATGCCAGGACACAAGTGTTGAACCAGAAACGCCTCGAGAGTTACCTTGCGGCTTCTGCGACACCGAATCTCGACATCATGCAGCGGCTGGAACAGGCTCGGTCTCCACCCCGTATGGGCTCGAGAACTCGTCGGCCGTCCTCACGTGGTGGACCAAGCGGCGCAGACACTCCTCGAGACCTCAATGCCAGAGTGAAGATCTTGGAGCTGTACACACTGCACGTCCTTCTCAGAAACAACGAGTGGGACTATGCTCGAGAGTTCATCAGCCTCAGCACTGTCCTTGACGAGGAGAGGCGAGACGCTTTCCTGCAAGCACTTCAGAGTTTGCAAGAGGAGCAACAGGAAGCAGAGCGTCTGGAGCGGGAGGAGAAGGAGCGACAGGACGAGCAGCTGAGAAAAGACCTTGAGATGGCCCGTCAACTGCGGGCAGAGAATGAAGAGCGCGAGCGTAAAAGACTAGAGGAAGAGCGAAGCCGGCGTGAAGGAAGCGAAGTCGACTACGGAATCGACCAGTCTCCGGTCATCAATCAAACCAACACGAATGGCAGTGCCAATGGAAGCTCTTCAGGCAAGCCTCGACATTCAAGGAAATCATCCTCGGTATCAAAACGGCCAGGCCAGGCTGCCCCAAAGGGCAAGGCCGTCGTCAACAGCAGAGCTGTCACAACGACAAATACCCTGTCAGCTCGTGTCTCCATGTTCATGTCGTACCTCAGCCGGCTCATGGAGCAGATGGGCGTCCACTTTCGGACAAATCCTGTAGCATTATTGAAGCTGGTGGCCTATATTGCCATGTTTGCCACCATGTTGGGCAACAGAAAGTTCCGCGAGCGCATACAGCGCGTTCTGGGCACTGGGTGGAACAAGGTACGAGCCACCGCGGGCATGGGCGTCAAGGTCAGCTACATCTAGTATTTTCATGTTTGGGAACGGAAGCATAATGAACAGAGACTGCAACTTTTAAGCGTATCATTTACACCTCTAGCCATACTATTTACTGTATATATACTCTTGCAAACGGTATCAGTCGCTGAAATATTGGATGATTCTCTACATTATGATATCTGTGACTGGCGTAAGCCAAGCTTTCTATGTGGTTGTGGGCTCGAAACTCTTGGCCTGCATAAAAATTGTCGTCCCACCGTGAGTTTCCAACCATCCTTATGAGGCCTGCCGTTCTGTACCCCGTCCCAGCCTGTGGCACAGCTCTCATCGAGTGCTGTCAGACTTGAAAGGACGACTGCCTCTAAAACCCATGATGGAAAGTCTTGGGCACACGGCTCAATGCGATGTGCTTTACTGCGCGGATGATTCAGCTTCTTGTTGTGCGATGACGAAGCAGTTGTTCTCCACAAGCATGCCGTGCCTGCTTGCCCCACGCTTTGTGCCGCAGTTCCTATGTCCTGTCAGAACGAGACACGCATGTTCCAGGACTGAATGGTAGCCCCGAAATGTGTCCCGAGCGGTGATGGCTCATCCTGTGGCGAGCGCAAAGGCGATGGATGGAGCCCCGCCAGTTGTAGCGTGACACAAGTGTCTGTATCTGGTCGCCAGAATCTCATTGTTGAAGTGCGTTTCTAGTGGACGAGAGCATGGCCCTCGATGCTCGGTAATAAGAGTCCCAGAAGCGTCCTCTCCGGTCAGTCTAAACGGGAGGCAAGCACTTTGCATCCAACAGTCATGAGCGCCGGCAAAGGGCGCGCGCGCGTGCACGCAACACAAGCGTCCAGAATCCCTCCCCCGGGCAAATGGAAACTCCTTCCTGCCACACACGACGAGAACCGTCGTTCATGTTGTTCCTCTACTTTCGTGGCGGCAGGCAAAAAGGCGGAAAGCCAGTGGGGGAGGCGGGAAGGGGGGCTAGTAATTCGTCGTCCGATTCGTCTTCTTCTGGTAGAACAGATCTGTCCGGGAGCTGCCTAGATTTATAATCTTGGGGCACCCGTCGCGGTCCTTTTCCAGGCGCGTGCACTCGAAGCAGTAGAACGCGTCGCTGATCCCCTCGCCGCCGCAGACGACGCACTTGTTCTGGTAGTTGCCAAAGGAGCACTCGTCGCAGATCCGGACGAGGGTGGTGGGCCGCACGTACGAGTCGCACACGGGGCACTTGCCATCGCACTTGTCGCAGAGGCGGCCGATCGAGATGCCGGGCTGCTTGCGGCACATGACGAGGTCGGGGTGGTGGCGAGACATTGTGCCGGCGGTTGTTGATGAAGCTGTTGTCTAGAGGCCGGAGGAGGAGAAGGATATGAGGAGGCGGCGGCGGGCGGCTCTGTTTGTGGCGGAGAGCGCGGAGTCTGTGAAAAGAGTCGAGCTCGTGACGACTTGGGCGGCGGGTGTTTGGGAGTCGGTGAGGTCAAATCTTTGGTTCGATAGAGGCCTATTGCTGTCGCGTGTGTCGTATGTAGGAAGAGTGCAACAATACGTGCCCGGACGTGAGTTCAGGGCGGTCAACACTGCGCAGAAGTGGTTCTGTGTCGAGGCAGTTGTGATGGGGAGTGGTTGTCGTCCTCAGGAACAGGAATTAATTGTCAAGGCCTTGCCACCCACCAATGACTGTCGAGCTTGCTAGCGCGCACGGCGGCAGAAGGTGCTGGAGCCCGCTGAGCAACCCACACCACCCTGGCCACTTCCTGGCGTGCGCCAGTGGGGCTCCAGGCCGGGGTCGTCCTTCGTTAGTGGGATGCCCAGCGTCGAGCTTGTGTGACAACGCGCTCCAATAGAATTCCAGCTTCACTGTCGAGCTTCCCACGTCGTCATTCAGCACCTCGTTTCTCGCAGTCGGCACCTCGTCCAGGTAGATCAGCTTGGCAGGCTCGGAGTGGCTCTCTCGCAATTGTTCGTCGCCAGCTTCTTTCGTTGAGCCCACGCTGCTGAGGTCCGCAGTATGATTCTGCGTGTGTGCTACAGGCGCAACGCTCAGCAGCCTTGCATCGCAGGACCGCGGTCCCCTTGAAGTTTCATTCATTGAGCTGGCGGTCCTCAAGATGGAGCCCGTTGAGAAGTGTGTCCATATCCCAAGTCCTCCAGATCCTGCCCATCACTGACATTGTGCCAGACCACGAAGCCTCTCGCCCGCCAGTCCCCGGGTCGATGACGTCTCGAAGAAGCGCAAGCTCTCTCCGGAGCCCTCTCAGACCAGCGAGGCGAGCCGGTCGCCAAAAAGAAGCAGACCAGACGGCCATGCCCGATCACCCACGTACGACGCAGCACCACCAGGTAACGGCGCGCCGCGATCACCACCATCGTCCACTACCGGACCTGATCGCGCCCGGCCGAGCCGCGAGGAGTCGCTGCAGGAGGAGAAGAAGCGCGGGAAACGCCTATTCGGCGGCATCCTTGGGACTCTGAGCCGCTCCGCACCCAGCACGCACCAAAAGAGGCGCCAGGATATCGAGCGGAGGCAGCAAGAGCGCGCGCACCAGCAGAGAGCCGACGATGATAAGCTGAGGGGCGAGAATCTTGCGAAGCTCAAGAAGATTCGTCAAGTTGAACAGATCAAGTTTGACGAGCAGGTTGTATGTAATGAACGAAGCTAGGCTGCTGGAAGTGAGCGGGGGCCAGATTCTTGCTGACACAGGGCTTACAGATGAGGACGAGGCATAACGACTTGCTAGCGAAGGCGCATTTTCTGAGAACAAAAAGCGAGCCTAGTGTGGTAAGGCTCTTACTCGTCCCCTGCCACAGCGATAGAAGTTGTCTAGCCTACTGACTCGTGTACTCTCAGTATTACCTTCCCTGGAGACCAACAGAGGCTCAGGAGGAAGCGATTGCGAAGCAGACCCGTGATATCGAAGAGCTCATTCAACGAGAGCAGGACGTATTCACGCGGCGCAGGGAACAACGTTTGAAAGACTTGGGGGTTTGGCGAAAATCGGCGGCTCAAGAAATCGGCCCGAGGCATAAAGACAACGACGACGAGAACGAGGAGCAAGAGTTGCTTTCTGGCACTAAAGATAGCGGAGATACGAAATTCAGGCCACGAGAAGAGTCTGCCACAGAGCCTGTTGCTGTCCCAGACTCAGGACACGAAGCTGAAGAGGCGGAGACTGGAGAAGTAATGGTGGAAAATGACGAGGACATGGTCATCTACTAGCTATGCATTAGGATCCATGACTGTCAGGATCCAGATGTACTCGAGAGCATCCCGCTGGATAGTCTTGTCTCGGCCTGGGGAATGCAAGTTGGTAATACTGCGCTTGTCCCAGCATCGAACGAGGTCTCACTGGTGTAAGTAGCTACCTCTTCATGTAGAGAGACAAAATTGCACAAATTGACGCTGCCAGTTCTGACAGAAAAAACGGACCAGTTCACGCAGAACGGAGTCGCCTCGCACAGCTTTCATTGTTTGATTTAACCTCTGGGCTGGCCGACGCCAGTACTGCGTGACAATCTCTGCATCAATCTCGCATGATTCCTAGCCGTCATCCATGCCATCGTCTGTCACCAATCGATCAAAGAGTGGGCGGGCCGATCCACGAATGTACAACGCCGCAAGGCTCAACTTCCGCTGCCCTGTGCTTGTGACTACGAGGCAGTGTTGGTTGGTGGCAGAACTGCTGATCATGCAGTGTAACCACACACTACGGAAGCAACGAGCAGAGCTGATATCACGTGAACACCCGTCGAACACTGCCACTGGTGCCTTTGGCAAGACGCGTCGCGTTGAGGCGATTCTGCCCGCATACTTTTATCTGCCTCCTTACGGCTGGAGCCTTCCTACATCTCCTCTCACCACCGTACTGCACCATCTTCCAACGTACAAAACTCTCACGCACAACTTGGCCAACATGACCACGACTACATCTACCCAGCTCTATCAACCTTGGGCAGAGGAACAAGTGCACTCCTGTTCTTACTGCCAGGCTATCACCAGTTTACGGATCACCAACGATGGCATCAAGATCGAGATGGTGAACAAGGTCATGGCAGTTCACGAAGTCTGGGAAGGGGCCTGTACCGCAGAGCCATGCACATTCCTCTGGCGATACCTGGTTGATTTGGCCTGCTATGAATCTGAAATGAATCTTGGCATGTTTCCTTTGTGGGAACTCGAGGCTCATGTAGACGGCGATCCAGGTGACTATGCTGTCAACTTCATTTGGATCCACCCTGTTTGGGGGCGTTTCGATCCACGAGAAAATCTTGGCAATATGGTCTTGATGGCCCTAGAAGGTAATTATAGCTGCTCCTTGTAGTAACAAAAACATGTGCATGTATGTACATGCAGCACTGTCAATAGAGCTAACCATATCTGTATGCGTAGGAAGTAGAGGCGGCGAATACGTCAGACGTCGGCCTTTGGTTCTCGATCCCAGTTCCCAAGCGAACCTCAACTGGATGAAGCAGAAAATCGAGATCTGCAACAAAACGCACGAAAAATGTATGAGGGCGTTCGTGGCAAATCGGGAAAAATATACTGGTCCGAAGCGACTACTGAGTGTTGGTGGCCCACAAGAGCCTGTGGTGCGCCTGATTCCGACTCATTCGCTACCTCTGGATACAATACGCTATGCTGCGGTATCTTACGCGTGGGGCACACCCGAGAACGGCACAGAGGAGATGAAGACGAAAAGTGCAAACCTCGAAGCAAGGCTTCGCGACGGTATCCCGTTCATGGAACTACCTATGACAATACAGCATCTTGCCGAAGTAGCTCGAGCTCTCCATTTACCTTACCTCTGGGTTGATGCATACTGCGTCCTACAGGAGGATGCGCCCGGAGTCGGGGGAGAGTTGAAGACCACATCGTTCGAGGGCATTTACCGGCGTGCCGACGTTGTGCTTGCCGCATCCGTGGCACAGCATTGCGCCGCAGGAGTTCTGCATCCTCAGTCTGTGTTCAAGGCATATGGCCAACTGTATGGTTTCAAAGTCCTGACTGCTGACGGAGACAAAGTGGAGGTGTACGCCGCGGAGCGGCTGCTATACGATCAATTTGACGAGTTCCCAGCCCAGCAGAGGGGTTGGATCGACCAGGAATTAGAGTCTGCGCTCCGTGTGCTTGACTTTGGCGAGAGGCAAGTCTGGGGCCGCTGCAAACAAATGCAAGAGCCCAAGGGAGGGGATGACTATATCGACTATATCCTCCGAGATGACATGTCCACCGACTTGCACGATATTTGGATCCTGGTTGTGGGGAACTATTCGAAACTTCGCTTCGGCTCCGCGAAGGATAGGCAGCCTGGGATGCGAGTCCGGATCTGCAATCTCGCAGAGAAGCATGGCATCCCCGAAGATGAATGCATTGCCGGTATATGGAAGAGGAGCGCACTGTACCATCTGCAATGGTGCAACAAAACTCTGCCCGAGTCTCGTATCAGTGACATGCCGACCTGGTCGTGGCTGGCGTCTCCACAGGGAGTACACTATATGCAAATCACAGATTGGGGTGGCTACACTCTGAAGATTCTCAAGTTTCCGACACGCGGGGATGAGCCTGAAACAATCCAGGTACGAGGGCGTCTTCAGCCCGCAACCGTTGCGGCGAATCTTGAGGATTGGCTGAAAAGTTTGGGTCCGCTTGCTGAGATCCAAACTTGGTGGGATATCGTACCGGCACCCGACACCGCTGTGAGCCTCGTGGAGATCAGCAGTAACGCGAACCGGAATGCAGGCTTGATATTGGAGCGGAGTGACCCTTGGGAGGATGTCTACGCGAGATGCGGTTTCTACGAAGTCGGGGAGCCTAGCGGCTCCTTCGAAGCCGGGAAGCCTAAAGATCAGCCAGAAGCTAGACCAGTTGGGCCTGTGAATGCTTGGTTCGAAGCAGCCAATCCAAAGGCTTTTACGCTAGTCTGATGGCTCTGCGGGACAAGGCTAAGGGTTAAAGGGATTTTGGGGTAGTTTTCGAGCAGGATCAAACCCCATGGGTGGGTATTTACCTCCGAGATGGTTAGATGGAGTAGGTCTGGTCCTTTTCGTGGCAATCACATTTCCCTCGTTCGTATCTCGTGTTTATTGTTCATGTGCAAAACCCTCGTGAAGACGCACAGCCAAAGCTGTCGATCGCTTGCGCTTGAAGAGTGCGTGGTGAAAGAGATTAACATGGGCAAAGGGACGGCCCCGCTGGAGACTCTGATGAACCTCGGCGCCGGCGTCTTGCTTGGTGAGATGCGGAGGTGGTTTCGGTGCCCTCTTATTCTTTCGGCTCTTGGGTGTCTCTTGAAGCCCGCCTCAACCTTCTAAGAATCTTTGAATTGCTACAGCTTATAGTCTCGGCCGAATCCCCCCAGCCACAAACGCACAGCGGCCCCCCCCGAACGAGGGGCATCGACGTCACACCATCCAAAGGTCCCACTGCCAGCACAGCACCGGCATCTGCGGAATCCTTCGAGGCGGTCACACCTCAGCACTTACACGGAAACCGCCGCTCAGTCGGCTCCGCCCAAGGTATATAATCCCCGTCTCTACCCCTCGAGCCGGCACAACTGCACCCCTCTTTAGCTCTTTGCACTCCAACACGAGGCTCTCCGAGCTTGCACAACATCATGGCAGCGGATTCCAAGATCAACCAGGGCAAAATTGATGGCCTGAAGCCCGAAGACCCGCGGGTCGAGCACAAGTTCATCGATGTCGGCGGCGGCATCACTTATCACTACCTCCTCGCCAACTCAACGACAGGCGAGCCACCAGTGGCCACGATCGTTCTTATTCATGGCTGGTATGTACTTGTTCGATTCCAACTCTTTATAGCCAATGGAAAGCCCGCAATGGAGTCGTATCTTGACAATATAGGCGGATCACCGCCACTTCCAAACACATCGTACTGACCACCCCTCAACAGGCCCGATTTCTCCTACGGCTGGCGCTACCAGGTCCCCTTCCTGCAGTCCTTGGGCCTGCGCGTCGTGGTGCCGGACATGCTCGGCTACGGCCGGACCTCTGCGCCGGACGACCACGCCGAGTACAGCTTCAAGAAGATGTGCGGCCACATCGCCACGCTGATCCAGTCCGTCACGGGCGGCGCGCCGATCATCCTCGGCGGCCACGACTGGGGCGGCTACTTTGTCTGGCGCATGACCAGGTACTACCCGGACCTCATCACCGCCGTGTTCAGCATGTGCGTGCCCTACGAGCCGCCGTCCCCCAAGGTGCTCACCCTCGAGCAGATCGTCGAGCGGGCGCCCAACTTCCAGTACCAGCTGCAGCTCGCGAGCCCCGTGGCTGAGACCCTGGTCAACCGCTCGCCGGCGACGCTGCGCGGGTTCCTGAACGGTCTGTATGGCGGGAGGACCCCGGAAAATGAGATCCTGTTCAACACGGATGTCGGCATCAGGGACGCCGACATGCTCGAGCGCATCCAGCAGTCGCCCATGGTCTCACCGGCGATGATGGACTACTATGTGCAGGAGTTCTCGCGCAGCGGGATGCACGGCCCGTGCAACTGGTACCGCACGCGCCTGGTCAACGGCGAGGAGGAGCTGCCGCTCGCCGAGGAGGACGCGAGGGCCGGCAAGCCCAGGCAGTTTGCGCAGCCGGCCATGATTGTCATGGCGGAGCTGGACGCCGCGCTGCCGCCCAGGCTTATGCAGAACCAGGATCAGTACTTTGAGAAGCCGCTCAAGAAGGCCGTCGTCAAGGGGGCTTCGCACTGGGTCATGGTGCAGTGCCCGAGCGAGTCGAACCAGCTGATTGGGGAGTTCCTCCAGGGCGTGCTGGGGGATAAGATCAAGGCTTCCCTGTAGGAGGAGACTTACTCGTGTGCCGTGGCTCAAAATAGCTGACGGAGAATTTTGTACCTGACGAGAAATATGACAGCACCACAACTCCCAATCGTGAATTCTTCTACCTGGATATGTTTCTCGACTTCAACATTCAGCTTGCAAATCCGTTGGATGCAAAAGTGACCATGGAATAGCGAGAGTGCCGTAATTATTGTCAGATCCCCAAAACTTGGTAGATTGCAGGTTTGACGATGACTTGAGCCTTGCGGATCTGAGGGATCGCCAAATGGAGGCGTGCGTACTGACTGCACTTGCAATCTCGGCCGCTCCACCTCGAAGCTAGTCCTCAACTGGTGCACACGTCAGCCTCGACAAGCGGGATGGGTCTGAAGAGGTATCAAATCAACTCAGCCACGGAGTGCACCGACGTGGTGTACGCTCTTCCGCGTCGCGAGTTCCTGTCAGTACAACGGCAATTGCTCTGCAGGGGTGCACACATGTCTGAAGGCGGCAATCCATCCACGCCAAACAGCCATACCAGCAGCACTGATGCAGGGAAACGTCTGAAGAATGGCTGTCGACTACCACTCTGTGAGCGAAGCCAAGCACAACAGTCTGCGGTGGCAGGGGAGGGGGGGCCCAGACAGGGTCCTAGGGTCGCGCTGTGGAGCTCTGGGCTTGGGAAAGGGAGGCGGAGGCTGACGTTTTGTTATACGAAGAAGAATGCCGCCGTGTCCAAAGGCTTCATCTTGCCCCATTGCCTGGTCCACCAAGTGTGGCTGATGGCGTGGCCCTAACTCGAGACGGCTCGGGAATAATTAATGACAGGCTGCCTAGGATCTCGAATACTGCTGGTAGCCAGAGGATTCCGGGACATGAGGTTGCTGGTTACAGGAACGGCGTACGTAGTAGTGTAGTATGCGTTACCTAAGGGGGGTGAGTACTAGTGAAGCACGTACGTACGAGTCTCAGGGAGGCTGTGCAAAGGCAAAGGCAAAGGGGCAAGCACTGCGAGTGAGTACGTGCTGGGAGGAGCCGGCCCCAGGTTTCGAGCCATTCGAAACATGCACCGTTGCTGCAACAGCCAGCCAATTAGCTCACAGAGGCACACAGCCCAGCTGCGCTGCCGGCTGCCTGCCGTCCTCTGTCCCCAGCACATCCGACCCGCGCTCACTGCCCACGACAGCCAAGCAGCGCCCAGCCAGTGAGGGAAGCAAGCATCCCGTCACTCTCAACCCTCCCCATACTAGAAGCCACCCTCACTTTTCCAGCTCGCCGCCCAGTTGCGTCAGCCCCAGCTGTGCCCGCTGCTCACTCCCACTCCCTTGCCATTCTCTCTGCTTCGCCAAACCCTTCGACCCCGTCTTCGCGTGCTCACTTCCCAGAGAAGCAGCTGCAGCTCGATTTGGGTGCTTTCCTCGTTGGCAGTTCTGCGACCTGTCTCGTCCCATTCGTCCTCGTATCCCTGATTCCCAGGCTGACCAACACCACCACACTCCTGTGGCAGCCTCGCAACTCCGCGACAGCTTCACCACGTACCACGCTAGTCCAACGCACCTCGACATCTCCGATACCTTCCTCGACATCGTCTCGTACACGAAATCAGAGACATTGACGCTCACACCCATCTCAGCGAAGCACTCCGTCCGGACAACTGCTCGCGCGCTCCGAAGTCCGCAACTCAGCTCAAAGCGCAACACCTGCACGATTGAGCCGAAACCACTCTGACTAGTGACGAGCTGACCCCTCCGAGTCCAATCATATACCCGCGCATGGTTCGGCCTCTTCCTTGAACAATCATCAGTCCCTTGCTTGCAGCATGGCCGGCAGGCCACCGCCGGGAGGGCCCTACGACCAAGGCAGAAAGAATGATTTGCTGCTCGATCTCGATGATCAGCCCGCGTATGGCGGCCAGCGGGCCCCCGTGAATGACGACGAGCTACTTCGCACATACACGCAGGACCAAGAACAAAACCCCTCGCGGCCGTCGGTCTCTTACGATGACTTTGTCGGCGCGGGCCAGACGACGCACCCCAGCGTCAAGAACCCGCCGCCTGGTGCGGCATACTCATCACCGCGGCCGCCGTACATGACCCAGAACGATCGCCAGTTCAGTCAGACTAGTGGTCTGAATAACTACCAGCGCTATGCCGACGACTTTGACGATTACCCAGAGGACGGCCAGTCCTACTACCAGAACCAGGGAGGAAACCTTAATGGAGGAGGAGATCCAATGGGTCGCGACAATGCGAGGAATCGTAATAGCGTCCTCAGCTTGGGCGGCGGCTTCTTTGGCAGGGCGAAAAACATGCTGGGAATGGGCCAGCAAGGTTACTCAGAGATGGATCTACCGCTTACCCAGGCCGGTGGTCGTGTTCGACCAGAATCGGGATCCTCTGCGCCCCCACCGAAGCAGAGCAAATTCGACATTAAGAACTTCAAATTCGGTTTTGGCAGCAGCAAGCCAGATCCGTCCACTCTCGGTCCTCGAATCATCCACCTCAATAACCCTCCCGCGAACGCTGTAAACAAGTACGTCAACAACTACGTCTCGACAGCCAAGTACAACGCCATCACCTTCCTGCCGAAATTCTTGTTCGAGCAGTTTTCGAAATTCGCCAACATTTTTTTCCTGTTCACGTCAGCGCTTCAGCAGATCCCAAATCTGTCGCCAACGAATCCGTACACGACTATTGCACCCCTGCTTATCGTGCTCTGTGTTTCTGCAGGCAAGGAGTTTATCGAGGATTATAGGCGGAAGCAGGCGGATAGCGCGCTCAACAACTCCAAGGCCCGGGTCTTGCGTGGATCTAGCTTTGAGGAGGCCAAGTGGGTAGATGTGACTGTTGGTGACATCGTCCGCGTGGAGTCGGAGGAGCCTTTCCCGGCTGACATTGTCCTTCTCGCGTCTTCTGAGCCCGAAGGTCTTTGCTATGTCGAGACTGCCAACCTTGACGGTGAGACAAACTTGAAGATCAAACAAGCGCTTCCGGAAACATGCCCGCTAGTCAGTTCTGCAGAGCTGGGACGGCTTGGTGGCCGCGTCCGATCTGAGCAACCAAACAGCAGCTTGTACACGTATGAAGCTACGCTGACGATGCAGTCTGGTGGTGGCGAGAAGGAGCTGCCTCTCAACCCCGAACAACTTCTGCTAAGAGGAGCTACACTACGCAACACGCCATGGATTCACGGCATAGTCGTCTTCACGGGTCATGAGACAAAGCTCATGCGAAATGCGACAGCTACGCCCATCAAGCGCACCAGAGTCGAGCGGCAGCTGAACATGTTGGTCCTTGCGCTGATTGGCATGCTTCTGGTGCTAAGCATCATTTGCACAATCGGTGACTTGGTGTGGCGATCATCCCGCCTCAACACCATCCCCTACCTCATGCTCGATCCATTGGACAGTGCCAGCATTGTCGTGACAACCATCTTCAAGGATCTTGTCACCTACTGGATTCTATTCTCCTCTCTAGTCCCCATCTCACTCTTCGTCACGGTCGAAATCATCAAGTACTGGCTCGGCATCCTGATCAACGACGACCTCGACATGTACTATGACAAGACGGACACGCCTGCCAACTGCAGGACTTCCAGCTTGGTCGAAGAATTGGGCATGGTTGGATATGTCTTTTCCGACAAGACGGGAACTTTGACTTGCAATATGATGGAGTTCAAGCAGTGCACGATCGCCGGTATTCAGTATGCAGAAGAAGTCCCCGAGGACCGGAGGGCTACTGTGCAAGACGGTGTCGAGGTTGGCATTCATGACTTCAAGAGGCTGCGCGAGAACACCACGAAACATGAGACGGCTGTTGCGATCCAGCAATTCCTGAGCCTTCTATCGACCTGCCACACTGTCATTCCTGAGCGCAACGAAGCCACGGGCGATATCAAGTATCAGGCTGCCTCGCCAGACGAAGGCGCTTTGGTGCAGGGCGCGCTGGTTCTCGGCTATAAGTTCGTCGCTCGTAAGCCCCGCGTGGTGATAATCGAGGTGGCTGGCGAGGAGTACGAGTACGAGCTCCTGGCTGTGTGCGAGTTCAACTCGACGAGAAAGCGCATGTCCACTATCTACCGATGCCCAGACGGCAAGGTCCGCTGTTACACCAAGGGTGCTGATACAGTCATCCTTGAACGCCTGAGCGAGGACAACCCTCACGTCGAGCAGACCCTGCTTCATCTGGAAGAGTATGCCTGCGAGGGTCTCCGAACACTTTGCCTTGCCGTCCGCGAGATTCCGGAGCAGGAATTCCAGGAATGGTTTGCCATCTTCGAAAAGGCTCAGACTACAGTTGGCGGCAACCGCGCTGATGAGCTCGACAAAGCTGCCGAGTTGATTGAGCACGACTTCTACCTCTTGGGCGCAACCGCTATTGAAGATCGCCTTCAAGACGGCGTTCCCGAGACGATCCACACGCTGCAGCAGGCCAACATCAAGGTCTGGGTCCTGACCGGTGATCGCCAGGAGACAGCTATCAACATTGGCATGAGTTCTAAGCTGCTCAGTGAAGACATGATGCTCCTGATCGTCAACGAGGAGGATGCCGCGGCCACCCGCGACAATCTCCAGAAGAAACTAGATGCCATCCGCAACAATGCCGACGGTCAAATCGAAATGGATGCGCTTGCTCTTGTCATTGACGGAAAGTCCCTAACTTACGCTCTCGAGAAGGACATGGAGAAGATGTTTTATGACCTGGCTGTCATGTGCAAGGCTGTCATCTGCTGCCGTGTCTCACCTCTCCAGAAGGCCTTGGTTGTCAAGCTTGTCAAGAAGTACACGGATGAGGTTCTCCTCGCTATCGGCGATGGAGCGAACGATGTCTCCATGATTCAGGCTGCGCACATTGGCGTCGGTATTTCCGGTATGGAAGGTCTACAGGCGGCACGCTCGGCAGATGTCTCAATCGCACAGTTCCGTTACTTGCGGAAGTTGACGCTGGTGCACGGCGCCTGGAGTTACCAGCGCGTTTGCAAGACCATTCTCTTCTCCTTCTACAAAAACATCACCCTGTATATGACACAATTCTGGGTAAGCAGCACCCCGAGCTCTACCGCTTTCGGATGCAACTTGATACTTGATACTGACAGCCATCTAGTACACGTTCCAAAATGTCTTCTCTGGCGCCATCATCTACGAGTCGTGGACACTGTCATTCTACAACGTCTTCTACACCGTCCTTCCGCCTCTCGTCATCGGTATCCTGGACCAGTACGTCTCAGCCAGACTCCTGGACCGATACCCGCAGCTCTACACCCTCGGCCAGCAGAACAGGTTCTTCACTCTTCGCACATTCACACTGTGGATCGCCAACGCCGTCTACCACTCAATTATCCTCTACGTATTCGGTGAGCTGCTCTGGTACGGCGACCTCAAGCTCAACGACGGCACCATCGCCGGGCACTGGGTATGGGGTACGGCCATGTACGCCGCTGTCCTGGCCACTGTGCTGGGCAAGGCCGCTCTCATCACGTCAAACTGGACCAAGTACCACATCATGGCCATCCCTGGAAGCATGGCCATCTGGTATGTCTTTGTCGCAGCGTACGGCGTGGTCGCCCCCATGGCCGGCGTTTCCAAGGAGTACCACGGCCTGGTGCCCAAGCTCTTTACAAACCCGGTCTTCTGGCTCCAAACCGTTGCGCTGCCGCTCCTGTGTCTCCTCCGTGACTTTGCTTGGAAGTACGCCAAGCGCATGTACTATCCGCAGACGTACCACCACATTCAAGAGATCCAGAAGTACAACATCCAGGATTACAGACCTCGGTAAGTTTTCTTTGTCAACAAAAACACTACTCCCCCTTTAGATATGTGCCCACATGGTGCTAACCACTACGTACAACAGCATGGAGCAGTTCCAAAAGGCGATCCGCAAGGTCCGACAGGTCCAGCGTATGCGCAAGCAGCGTGGATATGCTTTCTCGCAGGCCGACGAGAGTCAGACGCGTGTCATCAACGCGTACGACACGACAAAGGGGAGAGGTAGATACGGCGAGATGCCAGCCTCGGGTTCTCAGCAGAGGTAGCCGCGGCATTCTTGATACCAGGGCGTGCAGGCATGACCGCGAGGAGCTGAGGTGCACGTCCCTGCTCATGCCGCTGTCATCTTCATTTCGTTTTTTTTTTTTGTACAGATAGGGTGGTGGAAAAAGAAAAGCGGAAAAGAAAGAGAGGGGCCAGAGTCAGAGAGATACAGGATTATCATGCACGTTACGCAGAATGAGGCGCAGAAAGGGAGGGCAACCGTGGGGGCATCGCTGCGTTCATTCTGATCCCTGATTTCCCTTGCTCCTCAAGAACGCACCATTCGCGGCCATTAGTTTTTTCTGGACGCGGCGGAGAACTGCGGTACTGGGAGCGCACCCGGCGTTATACTTTATTTTTGTTCAACTGAGAGCTAAGGATTTCGAATAGAAAAATTCTTGACTGTTCAACTTCTCTTTGTAGGGCCCATGAAGCCATCTTCGCTGGTCACAGCCAGGGCATGTTTTCTCGTGCAGAGGATGCGCGCCAATCAGGACCCTGAATTGACAATTGAACGGCTGTGCTGTCTGGAAGCTGGCGGCGGCTCCATGAGACCCCTTGACTGTTCAGGGTGGGGGGGGCACATGTCAGATCGCTGCCTCCACTTGCAGGAGGCACTACCTTTCTTTGCTTCACAGTGCCGCTGTAAGACAAAATAAAATAAACTTCAAGGTTCTAAAGGCATTGCTGGGCTCGAGTTGCCTATGCAACGAACTGCAGGAAACGTGACGGATTTTGTGAAGTTTGGGTTATTTATAAATGGTGCCGTCCTCGATGCCCTTGTGAAGTGTGGATCATACTGCTGTGCCATGCCCTGTCGACCAGGGGATCTACGCACTTTCAGGCAGTTTTAAGCACCGGAGCTAAGTAGTTGAAACTAGCGTGGTTTGGCCGGCAGAATCGCCGGGGTCCGTGAGAGAATAAGACCGAGAGGCAGGGCACCTTTTTTGTCTTGTCGTTGGGCTCCGCCCATGGTCGAACTTGGCAGATTCGACGAGACAAAGCCCGGGTTCTCCGCCTGGAAAGGAGCGGTCGCAGTAAGGCGTGAGAAAATCATATTGTTACCTGGCGAACACAACCCTGAAGAGGGCCAGCGGCGGGCGGGTGGACGGACGGACGGGACGGACGGACGGGACGGACCAACGGGGTCACGTTCTCTGCCAGCTTGACCAGCAGCAAGCAGAGTCGCACAGCTCCCCTGAATACAGAATTAGCCGGAGGGCTTTACCGCTTTCCGTTGCTCCGGGTTGGTACTCTGCGGCTGTTACAGAACCACGGCGGTGGGACGCCCAGCTGGTGGTTAAGCTTTGTTGCTGTCGCAGCCAAGGCGAAGTCAGAAGCTCAAGCTCGGGAGCTGGTCGTCGAGCAGTTGTGGCTGGGCCACGAGTAGCCTTTACGAGGCTGCTGTCAACCCGTCGCGTCCATGACAATGGGTTCCGGCCTTCCGTTTGGATGGATGGTTTGGTCTCGTGGCTGTAGTCGATTGGCAAAGTGCTGGCTGGTGCTTGTGATCCAAGGTAGTCTCATTGATACAAGACTGCTTAATTGATGGGGGCCGACTTTGACAGGCAGCCAGCCAGCTGGATGCGCCCTGGCGGGCTTATCTCTGGAGCTCCCAAAAACCTGCAGGTGCGGGCAGCAGTGGGCCTCGTCGCTCCTGCACGCCCAGGGTCGTCACTCTTTGGGTCGCTGCTGCTGTTCCTGCCGCCACCAAAAATTTCCACTGACGCACCAGCAGCGTGTAACTATGACTGTGTGCGTGCGAGCATCCCTGCCCTGCTGCCACCACCACCACCACCTCGCCGAGCTCGAGTGCTGGCGCCTTTTTATTCCCGCTCCCTCCTGCCCTCCTCTGCTGCCGTCTTTGCCCGCTGCTCAGCATCATCTTGCCGGCATCCCTCATCCCTGGTGTCTCCAAACCATAGCCTAGCACTCCCATCGTGCGCAATGGCTTCCTCGAGAGCTGTCGCCCGGCTCGCCGGCGCCTCTGCGCGCCAGATCCCAGCTATGCGGACCTCGGCCATGCCCACCGCTCGTGCCGCCTTCGCGACCTCGACAAGGCTCTCGCCTCGCCAGCCTGCCCTGAGAACCTCTCGCCAGATCTCGCACCAGCTTGCCAGGTCGTACGCCACCGAGGGTCCTTCTGCCACTCTCGCGCCCAAGCCCAAGAAGAAGCCCGGCAAGATCCGGACAACCTTCAAGTGGCTGCGTCGCCTTACCTATCTCTCTGTCCTCGTCGTCATTGGTGGCATCGTCTACGACGGCTACATTGACAGGCACCCCGACGAGCAGTTCGAGCCGGACCCCAAGAAGAAGACCTTGGTTGTGCTCGGTGAGTACGGACCGTTTGCGCCCGCTGTGGTCGCATCGCGTGCCCTCAATTCAATGGATGACTAACTGCTCTGTTCCTGGACAAAGGCACCGGATGGGGCTCCGTTGCGCTGCTCAAGAAGCTCGACACCAGCAACTACAATGTCATCGTCATCTCGCCTCGCAACTACTTCCTCTTCACTCCTCTGCTCCCCTCGTGCACCACTGGCAACATTGAGCACCGTTCCATCATGGAGCCCGTCCGCCAGATCCTCCGCCACAAGAAGGCCTCGGTCAAGTTTTACGAGGCTGAAGCTACCAAGATCGACGCCGAGAACAAGGTCATCACCATCACCGACAACAGTGAGGTCCAGGGTGCTACTGCCACCACTCAGGTTCCCTACGACATGCTCGTGATTGGCGTTGGCGCCGAGAACGCCACCTTTGGTATTCCCGGTGTCCGCGAGCACAGCTGCTTCCTCAAGGAGATTCCCGATGCCCAGGCTATCCGTACCAAGATCATGGATTGTGTCGAGAGTGCGGCGTTCAAGGACCAGCCTGAGGACGAGGTCTCTCGGCTCCTTCACATGGTTGTTGTTGGCGGTGGACCCACCGGTGTAGAGTTCGCCGGAGAGCTTCGCGACTTCTTCGACGAGGATATTAGCAAGCTCATTCCCGAGATCGCCCCCAAATTCAAGGTTACTCTGATCGAGGCTCTGCCCAATGTTCTGCCCATGTTCAGCAAGCAGCTCATCGACTACACCGAGAAGACGTTCAAGGAGGAGCAGATTGAGATCAAGACCAAGGCCATGGTCAAGAAGGTCACCGATAAGACTGTCGAGGCCGAGGTTACTGGCCCCGATGGTAAGAAGGAAATCATCACGATCCCCTATGGTCTCCTGGTTTGGGCTACTGGCAACGCTGTCCGCCCTGTCATCAAAGACCTCCTGTCGCAGATTCCCGCCCAGAAGGACTCGAGACGCGGCCTGGCTGTCAACGAGTATCTGGTCGTCCAGGGTACCCGTGACATCTGGGCTGTTGGTGACTGCGCCGTTGCTGGCTATGCTCCTACCGCCCAGGTCGCCTCGCAGGAGGGTGGTTTCCTCGCTAGACTGTTCAACAACATGGCCAAGACGGAGGAGCTTGAGACACAGATTCGGGAGCTCAGCACCGGTCTCAACCTCAAGCCAGGTAACGCTGCCGAGGTCGCCACCCAGATCGAATCCGCCGAGCGCCAGCTCCGCCGCATCAAGGACGTCAAGCCTTTCCACTACTCCCACCAGGGCAGCTTGGCCTACATTGGTTCGGAGAGAGCCGTCGCCGATGTTTCCTGGTTCAACGGCAATGTTGCCTCCGGTGGCAAGCTCACCTACCTATTCTGGCGCAGTGCCTACTTGAGCATGTGCTTCAGCAGTAAGTTTTGGTCGGCATCTCACATTCGTCCCAAGAAACATGAACTAACCAAATATCACAGCACGCAACCGTGTCCTCGTTGCCCTCGACTGGGTCAAGGGCAAGGTCTATGGACGTGATGTCTCACGTCTGTAAACATGTCGCTCTAGGTCTCGGTTCTCCCAAGTTCTTTGGGGGATCAGCGGAGTTCTCTTATTGCTGTATCACTAGCTCGGCATTGTATTCTTTGGTTCTAGCTCCTGTCACGCAGCGGATGTCATTCGGCATCCGAGCATTGATGGGTGCTTTTTTGTGGAGTTTGGGTACATGATAGATTTTGGATCCCAAGGAATGTGCGTACTGTACTGTGCGCGTCCTTTGGAAGCGCAATCACGCGCGTACGTAAAATATGGATAGATAGTATTGCAAGGCTTTCGGCGGGGTGAGGCGGTCTTATGATGTTGCGCGAAGCCGCGGGGGGCGGCGCTGCTGTGGTTGAAGTTGGCGCGTTGTAATCTTTATAGCGAAACACAAGAAACACGGTTATGAACAAAAACGTCTCTCAACTCGCGGGCAGCGGCGTCACACGAGTAAATCCGCACAGCACAAGCCCATGCAACTGAATTTTAGTTTGACGCACTTGTGGCAACGGGAACTATTGTGGAACGACAGCAGCACATGCCTCTTCCCAGCCTTGGTTGGACAGCTTTGTCCCTGCGTGCAATCGCCTCTGTGCCTGATTGAGAGCAGAGGAGGACTGACTAGCTGCGTTTGGCTCCCCGGTTCCTCAGAAGCGCAGCTTCGGCATGACAAACACGAGCAGGATTGCCGCCACCGCCATGCCAAAGATCATGGCGTACAGCTTCATGCGGCCCAGCCACCCCTGGCCCTCGCTCATCTTGCGGATCGCGCCCATCCTCCTGCTCGCGCCTTCGAGGCCGAGCTCGTTGCGCTCGAGGCTGCGGCCCGTCGCGTCGAGGACGTCCCTCTCCTGCTCGAGGCTCGTCGAGAATGCCTGCGACGACTTCTTCAGGGACGCGGCCATGCGCACGAGGTCCTCGGTCAGCGCGTCCTGTTCGGCGCGCTGGTGGTCCAGGATGGCCTCCGTCGTGGCTGTCGTGGAAAGATCCGTTGTCGCAGCGGACTTGCCTGTGCGGCTGCCAAAGAGCTGCGCCCGGGTGCTGGATTGTGTGGTGTGCGCCGTGTCTTTGGAGCCTTCTCCTGCTGGCTGGCGTGAGCGGACCTGCTGCGATGTCGTCGTGGTGGTTGTCTCCGACGTGGAAGGGTTGTCATCATCTGGACGAGACGGCGTTGGGGCCTGGACAGACTGTGACACCTTGGTGCTCCCGCCTGGCAAGTCTGGGCTTGTGTCTGGTATTGACTGGCCGTGGCTCGCCGGCCTGCTGTCGCGGTCTCCATTCTCATCACCAGCCTCGTCGTCGTAGCCACCTACATCGCCCCAACCATGTTGGTCATGATCATCATCCTCATCCTCGTCATTCCTGCCACCGCTGCCGCCGCTCTCATCCCTCGAGTTCGTGCTCTCGCTCGGCGTCATGACGATACTGCTCAGTAGATCCTCGGTGGTGTCATCCGTGTCATCGTCGTCCTCGGCGTCCGAGTCGATGCTCAGGTCTTCAAGCTCCCGCAGCCGCTCGGTCAGGGCTTCAAACACCTCGCGCTTGCGGTTCAGGTCGGCCTGCAGCTCCTGCCTGCGGCTGTGGATCTTGATGTGCAGCGCGTCCTGCTCAAGTCTGGTGAGCAGTGTGCGGGCGTATTCCAGGTTCTACAAAAAAGAGGATTCGGTCAGTTTGGGCATGGCCATCGCAGCCACCACCAGGAAAAGAGAAGGAGCAAGACTAGACTCAAAAAAAACATACCGTTCCAGCCTTCTCCCGCTCGTACTCGCTCGTCCGGAGCCTCCGCTCCCGCTCGGCATCTGGGTACATTATGCTCTGCTGCAAGCGTGCGAGCAGGCGTGTCAGGTCTGCCAGCAGCGACTCGGTACTCGCTGCTACGGCTGCCGCTCCATGGTTCTGATTGCTGCCGCTGACGCTGCGCGGCCGCGGAGCCTGCGTCAACCGCGCCATGATGCTGCTTTAGACCCTTCTGGGATCTAGTCTGGCTTCGTCGTTCTGCTTATGCGTAGATGTATGTGTGTGTGTGTGTATGTCGCCGCGAGAGGGGATGGGTGGTGAGCTGCGTGGTGCCGACCTGGCTGGTTTGCACCGAACTTTTGTGCTCGTGCGTTCGTGTGGTGGTGGTGACGGTGATGGTGACGGTGATGCTGTGTATTCGGTGCGGGGCGTGCGTGGCGCAGAGTCGAGACAAGCCGGATTGTTCAAGAGGCGGGTGCCTCACCCAAGAAGTCAGTTGTGTAAATGCCTCTTGGGAGATCGCGATGAGCAGGCCTTTCAATCACCGCCTCTGAAGTGCGAGGGCTTGCGTCAAGGGCAGTCGATGTGGGCTGTGGTTGACGACAGTGGTCCTTGGTGTCGCTGGAGCAGTATGCCAAGCTCACAACCAGAGACTGATCCTCAAGCGTTGGGCGGTCGAGGAATGACAGGGTAGCCGTCGTTGCGATATTGTAGTTGCAGTTGTCGTCGTTTTCGTCGTTGTCGTCGTTGAGCAGCAGGTGGAGGGAGGTTGATGGATCGCATGGGAATCTACAGGCAAGGTGTCGTTGCTGGCAGTCACTAGGTGAGTAGTGCCCCACGCTCGAACCAGATCGACTCGAGCTCCCCAGCCTGGGCCCTCCGGGGGGAGCTTCCGTGCTAAGTACGTCAGAACTACCTTAGGTAGCGTAGCTGCCACGCGCTGCTTCAATTTAAAGTGGGACACACGACTGCACAAGCTACGAGCACCACTTCAGTCCTAGTTGTATAGACGAGAGCTGTGCTCCGCGCAATACTAATGATGATGATATTTCAAAACGGAAAACAGGATATCGCTGGATGGCCCACTATGCTGCAAGAATAACAAGAATATGCCTCCTTCAACCGCGAAGCACCTCGCAACCAAGCCAACTACTAGGTACAAAAAATAAGAGAAAGAAATGCCAAATGTGCACCTTACGCAGCCTTGTTCGAGGCCGTCTGCAGGAACCCAAGCAGAAAGTTCCGGTCCGACGACGACATGGGCGACTGGCTACCACGCCTTGATCCGTTCGCGCCTGGTAGCCCAGCACCCGAGCTCGAAGCCACAGAAGCGACGCGGGAGCGGGCTGCACTGCCCCCACCGTACGCCTCTGGTGAAATGGCGTCCTTGCCCTTCCCAAAAGAACCGTCGTTGCCCGCCTTCGGTTGGCCGAAAAGAGACAGAAGAGACTGCTTGTGCTCCGCAGTCGACTCTCGCCTGGTCTTGCCGACACCAGGCACTGCAAGCTGCGTTGTTGACGGTGGCGTCGACACCATCATCGAAGAACCGGCAGGGCCATCGTATGGCAAGCCTGGCGAGTACACCTGCGAGAGAGGCGACTTCGACCTTGTTATGTCGGATGCCTGGTTCTGCATCCGAGCCAACGGGGATTGAGTGTGTCCATGCTGCAGCTTGCTAAAGGGTCCTTGAGACTGGGGGCTGAGTTGAGACGGCGGCACGCTTCGTTGCGATTGCGTTTGGATCTGTCGGGGCGAGGATCTGGCCGAGGGGAAGCCGGAGTTGTCCCGTGATCCGATACGCGGTTCTCGAATAGGGCGAAGCGGGCTTTGGGGTTGCGATGTTGCTGGTGCAGGTACAGGTGCAGGTGCAGGTGCAGGTGCAGGTGCAGGTGCGGGAGCGGGTGCGGGAGCTGGCATCTCTTTCACAGCTTGGCGATTCGATTGAGGACGTGCTAATATGGCAACCGCCCCATAAGGCAGATTGGTCTCCGCGCTCATCTGAATCGGCTGGCCGTTCTGTTTCGCGGCCGTCTTCATCACATCTGCCATGGTGGGTAGCTCCTGAATAGGCTGCCGTGGCTGCCGGTGCTTGTCCTCCGGGCTGACTGGGTTTGAATGGAACGTCTTCTTGTCCTGTTGTTGTGCAGGTGGCGCACTTTGCCCCCCAATCTTGAACATGTCGAGGAGATTACTGTGATGCTTATCCATTGCCTGAGTTCTCGTCGACGGCGAGCTCTGAGCCAGGTTGTGGTAATTCGATTCTACGCCGTCGATCACTTGCGGCGCAAAGTCCGACGTCGCTTGTGGCCGCGTATGCGCAGGAGGTTGAGGTGCTCCTGCTAGTGTGGCGTGTGTTTGGGACACCTGCAGCTGGGCTTGTGGCTTGCCTGAACTGCCACCGCCCATCAAGGTATTTAGCAGGTTCATGGAGTGGGCAGGCATCTGAGTGGGGAGCGCTGGGCCACGGGCTTGTTGCTGAAGACCACCTGGGAGAGTTTGGGACGCCATGCCTGCCAGGGGCTGCTGGTTTTGATTCGTAGGACCTTTGCTTGCTGCCTGGTTATAATCATTGCCGTAGTTGTTCACCATTGCCGAAACGACTTGCGGCGCTGGCATCGGCTGAGGGTGGACAAGCTGTACAGGCTCACGTTGAAGGAGCTGGGGAGGCGCCATCTGTCTGTGATCGGGGACCGGGACCTGCACTTGAGGTCTTTGGTGTTGAAACTGGCCATAGCCTCCAGCAGGCGCCGAGAAATTGCTTGCCGGTGGTGGTTGCCCATATTCTTGCGTATACATACGCTGTGTTTGGTGCTGATAGTGCGGTGATTGAGGCTGCGGTACTTCAGCCGTTACACGATCGCGATGGGCGTTTGGATATTGCTGCTGCGCATACTGCTGCTTGGCAAAATGCTGCTTCTCTTGTTCTAGCTTAAAATACTGCTGATACTGCTGCTGGTATTGCTGCTGCTCGCGTTGGTGGATCTGTTGCTGTTCGCGTTGGTGGATCTGCTGCTGCAGGTGATGCTGCTGAAGCTGGAGTTGTTGCATGTGCTGATTGTGGAGCTGCTGCACCTGAAGCTCCTGTTGCTGTATCTCGTACTGCAGCTGTTGCCGCTGCTGCGCTTGCTCTTGCATTTGCGGCTGTGACTGCTGCCCACCAAAACCGGCAGCTAGACCTGGCTGGAGTAAAGCCATCAGATGTGCCGCAGCAGCGTCCTGGTTGGCTGCCGTCTGATGACCAGACTGAACAGGTGCTTGCGGTGTGATATGCAGGAGATCTTGCAGCTCTTTGGTGGCATAGTCCACGTCCACGTTCTGGGTGGGTGCTTGCGGATAGAAAACGTTGTCGTCTGTGAGGCCCTCGTCTGCTGGCACTTGTGAAGGTCGGTCCTTCTTCTGCTGTCTGATCCAATTCCTGAGCTGCACCATGAAAGGCGCAACCATGTAGAAGCGGTCCCCACTCGTGGCGTCGGCACTCTTGCCCTTTTTCTTCCTGAAAGCCGGAAGGTCGTTGAGCTTATACCATTGAATGGCTCCAATCTCTTTGCGAGTCTTCGGCGCGAAAGCCGTGTCCTCGGGGACATCCCGGAACACATAAAGCCGAACCTGCTGATCCTTCATGGTGACTTCGACGGGAGTGACTGGGGCGTTGCGGTCTACGAGACCAGCAAGTCGCAGATCGAATCCTGTCTCCTCAATAACCTCGCGCACGGCACAGTCAAGATCATCTTCATCCTTGTTGATCTTTCCGCGTGGGAAACTCCAGCTCGCGCCCTTCTTGTAGCCCCTGACGAGCACGGCAGAGTCCATGGCAGCATTGAGCATGATGGCGCCGCGCACGGGGACACGAGTTTTGTATTGTAGGAATCTCTCAAAGGCCATCTGGTGCTCCTGGGCCGTGAAGCCGGCGAAGAGAGGGCAGTGCTGGAACATTTTGAGACTGAACTGCTTTAACGTCATCGAGGGTAGTTGAGGGTCGAGCGGTCGGATGAAATCTTCGTAGAACCATTGCGCCTCCTCGATTTGAAAGCAGATGCGAGCAGTATCAGACAGGTCGGCCTGGCCGAGGTTGACGATGAACCGGACGCACAAGTCGTCCAGCCAATCTTCTAGTGTCATCTTTTCTTCCGCCATTGTGACTAAGGGCCATTCGCATGACCACCGCGGACTGAGCAAAGGCAAGCTGGCTGGAGATGCGATGGAGACAGAATCTTCCGTCGCCAGCAACGATCGATTGTATGTCGTAGTGTTGGGCGAATAGGCGGCGCACGCAAGCGCTTCGTGTTGGGAGCTTCGGCGCAGACAGCTCGACGTGGTACTGGAGCTTGCGAGGTCTTAGGCGGGGCTTGCCTGGCGCAACAGCAGCTCTTGTTGGGGTTCGACTGGCTCGTGGAGCTCCAAGCAAGAGAAAACAATCAGCTTCGAACGTCGGGGCAGGTTGGCCGAAGGCGAGCACACGCAGTCGGCGGCAAAGCGATGAAACGAGCAGGCGAGAAAATAGTTCTGCTGGAGAGTCTGCGTGTCTCACAGTGGCTGCTTTGGCACCAAACAGACACGTGCAGCGGTTGTGGACGCGTGTAGAGCCGAGCCGGCCGTGGAATCGAGCGACCTGGACGCAACGGCACCGTGCCCCGCGCGAGAGGTGGCAACTGTAGAGAGAGTCAGATGACGGAGAGCGTAGGCGCTGTTGGATACAGTGATGCTGATACGGAGGTGAAGGTGAGTTCAGAGAGGGCGGGCTGGCCTGACGACAAGCGACGAGCAGATCGGGCGTCAACAGATTGCCAAAACAATGGCATCGATAGCACCAGCAAGTCAAAGTGCCATTTGATCCACCTGCAGCTGCAAGTGGGAAGCGCAAACGTAGACGCAAGTGGGGCAGCATCGTCAGTCCGCCCAAACCCAGGTTCCAGTGGACTGCACAAACTCGCATCCTTGCCTCCTACGACTACCAGGCGTCACCTCGTGCACACATTACCGTCAGTTCGTATCTCGAGGCGCCTCAGAAAATTCCACATCTCAAGCACATTGCACAATAACAGGGAGGGCGTATTGTCCTGCCAACATGCTTGGCTTGCTCAAGGCGAAGCGCTCCCCATGGACTTGTCCATTCGTTGACTTATCCCAACTCTACCCAAAGTAAGCTTAGGTGCACGTAGCTTACCCCTTCGACGTTGGGCTGCCACGTCAAGCGCAACCTCCAGCACCTCTGTCACTGCAACGGAACCTAACCGGCCATTCTGCAGCCTCGACTGCTTGTGCAGCTCAAGTAGGTATATTGATTTGAAGATACCCCATGCAACTATGCGCTCAAGAAGCGCGAACTAATGCGTACACTTACAAACACCCTACGTGTATTTGCCGACCATGGCTAGTTCCTTCCGACAAGTCATCGTACACTTGTTTTCGTGCGCCTGGTACGGGCTGCGCACCCCCGATCAGGGTTCATTGCGGCCAGCAGCTGAATCCGGCCGAGATGCGTCGCAATGACTAGGTTTGCGCTGCCCATACCGATGATTTGTCGTAGGGACACCCTCTAGCTTCGACCTAGGTGAGTGCCGACTTTGTTGTCATGGTTAGCGTCTGAACAGTCTCTTGAAGATCCCCCCAAAGAAGTCTATGAACACCACACGGAACCAGGACTTGAGCCACGTTGAGCTGGACTTGGGGCTTTGCAAAGAGGCTACGGTCTGTACCGAGTGAACAGTGGAGCGCGTACCAGGTCGCTGGGCAGGAATCTGCGCTTTGGCCGCCCCAGCCTTGGAGCCTTCCTTCATATTGGGCACCGTATCATATCCGCTGCTGGTTGTGCAATCACCTCCGTCATCAACCAATTCTGGGCCGTGGACCAAGACGTCAGGGGTGTCAATCTGTGTATGGTTGATGGCCACCATGGATGGTCCGGCATCGTCGGCTCCAGTCATGGCATCGTGATCTGTAAGTGAACCAGACCTACCCCGGGGCTTCTTCTCCCAAGTATATTTCGGTGTTCTCTCCCGTACAGGGACGTTCATGGATATTCCTTCATCGTCGACATGACCGCCTCCTTCGTTTGACTTGTTGTATGATTTCGGCTCTGCTGGTCTGCTGGGCCGGCTTGTCCGACTAGTCTTCCTCGGTGCCTCGTCATCGTCACCCTCTGGGATGGATTGTAGGGAGGAGACCGACTTCAGCCCCACGTCCTTGTCAGGGCTGTGGCTGGCATCAGAGGTCCTCAGCCATCGACTGCCGTCCGCTGGTGAGTCTATGTCAATGGGGGACGCTGCGTATCCTTCCCCCAACATCCTGTCGTCTGGATAAGCGCCTGGAGATCGTGGGACGGCCAGCGTGGTACCAACATCGTCATGGTCTACACTGGTCGAAAGGCGCCGAACTGTTGCGTAAATAGCGGAGCGCTCGGACGGGAACCGCTCCAGGCGAGGATCGTCAAGGTCAATGTCGGGCTGCACTGTCTCGTCCTTTTCCCATCGGTCCAAATTGCGCTTCGGAGATGGCGAAAGGTTTTCGGGTGGACGGCTGGTGTATTCCCGATTGCTGTCTTCACCAAACATGCACTCATGTGCAAGCATAGGCGGGTCATCGGGGTGAGCTTCATCATTATCGTCCTCGCCAGATAGATCTTCATCGTCGAGTTTTGCCGCGGTGTTGGCTACTTCCGCCGCTGTTCTTGCAACCTCCTCTATGGGTGTATGGATCTCCTGAGGCGAATCTGCTGCGGTCGAAGCAAGATGGCGAGGCACCTCGCGACTTGGCACTTCGTCATGTAAAAGGGCGGCCGAGTCCGATACCTCGATTGTGGTCCTGACAAAGTCGGGAGTGACTGTACGGCTGGGGCGTTCTGAGTCACGAAGCGCGCCGACGCGTGGTAGAAGCAATTTGCCCGTGTCGCCTTCCTTGTATTCGCTGGTGAATCGACTGGTGCTGAGCGTATTGTTGAGGTTGCCGTGGCCATCGTCGACTTTCGGGAAAACGCTTGGTTAGATTGTAGTAAAACATTCGGGACGCGGTATGGGTAAGGGAAACGCACCGACTTGCTCGCCTTCATCAAGTACCCAGCAATCCCCATTTCCGATGCGGTATTTGTACTGGATATCGATCCCTCCTTTCACAGGCCAACTCCGTTTGAAGATGTACTCGCCGTCATCCCGTTTGGCGGCTTCCATCTCATGTGGCTGCCATGGTGGATCAGTGAAGCTGCCGGCGATGTAGACGGGCGGCTGCGTGCCCGGTTTGTGGAATGCGAATTCGGCAGTGACCTGGGAGGCAGACATGGTGGAACCCGAAGCGTGAGTCTGGCAGTGCACTACGAGCTCATGGCATGGAGCGTGTCGATGAGGACGAACGGGTAGGGTTGATGGCAGTAGCTCAGATGGAGGCGCGGGAGAGCCAGGCTTGCTGAGATTGACGGGAGTGTTCCCTACGACATCCAGCATGGTTGATGTAGCAGATGCGTAAGCGGAAGGTACGGTGGCTGGCGGAGATGATGCAAAGAACAACCCAAGGAAAGGGTGACGCCTCAGGCCTGGTGTATTAAAAGGTATGCGTTACGCCGTCGGAGCGCTAGGGTAAGCACGGGATAGAGCTTGGACAGGAAGCTGGGGACACAACCACCATGCCTAAGGCAAGCTTAGGCGGCCAACGCGAAGACTAGTGGCCCTGTACCAGTTTATGGGATGCTTGAGATTGAAAAGGATGGGCAGTTCCAGCTGTGGGCTATGCTAACCTATTAACAGGCGGCCTCTTGATCCTTCCGGCGGGATGCTTGGAGAATCTACTCCTGGAGCGCACAGTACGATTCTTAGCCAACCATGCCATGTCCGATGATTGAACTTGGTCCACTTCGAATGGTTCTCGCGTAAGAACTTGCTCATATACTTCCAAGGTCGAGGATGAGCTGCTGCCTACTCTGGCGTGACCTTCAGCGGGCCAGCACTCGCCACAACCGAGTTGGTGTGCGTCGCAGTTGTCGGGTGGTGCCCTGTGTCAGGGCATTAAACTTTGGAGCACACGTACCAGCTTGCCAATGGGCAGGCCGGGCGGCTGAGACCGGGAGAATTGGCTTTGGCTAAATGACGGGAACAAGACCCAGCCAAGGACAATGGCTGGGCTTCGTTTACGGCGCAGGTCGTCGAAAGCGCCTGGGCACAATTTCTCATGCACGTACCTAAAGTAGACACAGGTCCGCAGCTCGGGGGCCGCTGCGCAGGGTAATAGTGCTGAACCAAAGCCCAATTCTCTAGCTCTAGGCCGCAATAGCAAAAGCTGAAGGCGCAGAACAAATGTGCGGCGTGTTGGAATGGCCAGCCCTGTCACAGGTCCCCAGAGACGTTGACGGCTCCCCGCATGATTAGTTCAGACTGTCGTCATCCAACTCGTCTTCCGGAAGCGCTAAATCCCATTAGGGTGGGTGGGACGTTGGTGAAGGAGCTTCCCGGGTTCGCGTCTCGCGACGCATAGCAGGCGGGGTTGTTTTTGGCGAGCTGCTTTGCAGCTGTGATCGTTGTGCCAGCCTTCATCTTCTCTCCTGAGGACCAAGCATCTGGTGTGGTAAAGTAGAGGTGCTGCCAGTCGTGCCTCTATCGGGCGAGGTTGACAGGACAATGACAAGGTTCCCCGCAGACGGGTCTGTCGCGATGCGTCGATCACCCGCTTCCTGCATGGTAGCTTTCGAGCGCTGGACTCCCTGCTTGCTCGGAGGACTCGAGGACATATTCAAGGCGCATCAGCCTTGACAATCGATACGGTTGATTGAGATTGAGATTCAATGGCCTCGCCCAATCGCAGTCTTGGAATGCTTGATCATGCTGCCATAGTGCAGAGCTCACAGGAGCCTGCCAGCAAGCTGGGCATTCTCCACGTCACGATTTGGGGACAAAGATGCAATTCAAGGCACGCTGCGTCGTAGCTTCCCCACCAGCAGGTGCGGGTCTGGCCTCGCCCCGCAATTCTGCCGCGAGCGGTCAGCAATGCTCGACGTGCGATTTACACTTGGACAGCATGTGGACAGCTTCAGATTGCCAGTTTTCAGTCTGCCGAGCTTTCTATAACGTAGCTAGACCTGCACCAGGGCGAGACATTTGCGAAGGCCTTCAACGACCGGATCGACGGGCCCGACGCTAGCGTATTACCAGCTCGGCGACTTTGGGATTTTGTCAAGTGCCATTCCGGCGTCCGTCAGGAAGATACTGAACATGTCGCTGCCGCCACAGCTGATTCGCATCAAGCGCAAGGCAGCTGATGAGTCGCCCGTGTCATTCCTCCGTATGTGGCGAGCTTGAAGGGTGTGACTTGCCCATATTGGAAAGCTGACCTATCTTTTCGCAATCTTTGACAGGCGTGCAGGAAAGCAAGCGACACCGTAGCGACCATTTCGTGTATCAACGGCAGGATGTAGATGCAAAGTTCGCAGAGCGCGCAGCACCTCCACAGAAACCGGTCATCCATACATTTCCACGCCGAACACATGCCACACCTTCTCAGACTTCAACGGAGGCCAGTCCCGTGGCCGCACCGGCGGAGAGGCCACGGGCCGGCGATCAGCATGGCGAGCCTACGACAAATATCAGCAGCAAGGCTCCTGAGCCACGACAGTTCCACATATCGCGACAAGATATGCTGCGAGCGAGTCCCCAAACCACAAGCAAAGCCCGTGGTGGAGTGTCCAAGAAACGTCAAGCTCCGACCGTGTTCGTCGAGCGAAAGATTAAACAGGTGTCGGCCAAGAAGTTGGACAAACTTCGTAGTCACCCTGATGTCACAAGGTCGACCTCCGCCGAATCTCTGCGCGAAGATGCCACCATGGAGGGTATGGACGTGGACACGACGCCGCCAAGAAAGTACAAGAAACCCGGCGTAGCCAAATTCGTCAACAACAGTAAAGAACCTAGAGGAGCCAAGGCCGAGGCACCAGCGACGATCACAGACCGCTGGCGGAATGTCGACCTGGGTCAACTATCTGCGGAGATGAACGCGTATACGCTGGAACAGATAGGCTTGAACATCAAGCAAGCGGATGAGGAGGAGCAGCGCAGGCGGAACTCGGCCAAGAAGCAGCAACCCACCTCACCGTTGAGATATAAGCCCAAGGCACCCCCTCAGCGATATGCGGACCGCCATCCTGAGGCCACCCAGGCAAAGCTGGATAGGGAAATGGCGGACTTGGACGAAAACATGAGTGATGGCAGCGATGATGACGACTATATCATCGAGACATATGTGCGCGTCCCCGCAAGTCGTATCGGAGAGCATGTGCCACCGCAGACCGTGGGCCTCCTTGTGTTCGATGGGGAGCCGGATATTGAATATTTCTATGGCGATGGTAGCGACAGCGAGGACGAATGGGCAGAGGATGAGGAGGATGAGAACGGTGAGTTGCACAGGACTGCTGGCGCTCTCATCACGTCGTTGCGATGCTGACAACACATAATCAGCCGAGAATTATTACACAGCAGACTACCCCGATGACGAAGTAGCGTCCGACGACGAATATGGATACAATGCCTACGCATATCGCACTGGCAATGCGTCAGATCTGGAGGAGTATGATGCGAACTCCGACGACGACATCCATCGTTCTGAAGGGGAGGACAACGAGGAAGGAAGATTTGCAAAGTTCAAGGCCGAATACGAGGCCAGGAAAGGGCTTTGATCGTGCCCCTGAAGTTGCGGCCGCATTGCCGCGTCTCTCTGTTTTATTAACGGCGGGAAACCATACAGATACCCATTTTACTTCAAGTCGTTTAGAAACAGCCGTTGTCCTTCATCGAGTCTGATATTTTGCAGATGTACATCATTCGCTGAAAGCATAACTCTCAAGCTGGGCAGCCTTCATAATGATAGATCTCAGCGGGCAACCACACTAGAAATGGGCGTTCCTTTTGGAACTGGGACAACGAGAGGTTCCCACCACCACCAGCGTTATGCAGTGTCTTCCTATGCTACATATGCAATGCAACAACAATAAGCAGGCCATGACAAGTCACTCGGTCAAGGGTCAGAGAGAGTTTCCTGCCCCGATACTATGGCGGCTATTCACGATGGCTTGACTGTTTGTGACTGATTGCTGTTGCTGCTTACCGGACGACCTATATTGCGCGACGCGCCACAAATCTGTCAAGCACCGGCAGGGCCAAGAATCTTGCGGCTGGCCGTGTGCATGGGCGTGATCGCGTGCGGAGAGACTCCTCTGCATACGTATGTCTTAGACGGCGGCCTTTGAGACAATCTCGCCACGCCCTTCACCAGTTGACCAGAATAGGCGAGTTGCATGAGTGTGATTGCCAGGGGAACTGTTGAGAGCTTGAGGATCTAGTACCCGGCTCCGCCGTGCAGATCTAAGTTCTGCCACGTATCTTCCAGCCGCCTACCCCAGGAGGATCACCACGATCTGGACGCTGTCTGACTTTAGCTTCCGGGGCACGATGTCTTGCAGACCTTTTGTGCCGCCTGGCGATCTCCGCTAATCAAGATGGAGGGGGCGTGGGCTGCGCGTCGCTGAAGAAAAAGCAAATCACAATCCTGGTGTTGCAGTTATGACTAGTCAACATGCAACGGCCAGGACGATGAAGAATTCGGACAGGCGCCGAAGCAGAGAGAACAAAGCGGCCCAGCTACTCGAGATCTGGACGGTCTGGGAAGATGATCAGAGATATCGGAAAACGTAATGATTAAAAGAATAACAGTAGTGACGGATCAAGCTACGACATTATACGCAAGTGAGATAAAAGCTCCCAGCAGACAGCATGTGATATGAATGCAGTTTCTTTCGCTTTTTCTCCCCACTTCTGCATTTGTCCATTTCTGTACCTCGGCCTCAGATCCCTGCCTGGCATTCGTACCGTCCATCGACATCATGCGTCTCAGCTCTGGGAAGGCGGGAGGCGATCCTGTTCGCGCGTCACCGACTGCGGTTTCTTTTTTTCCTTGTATTTTTGTTTTTTTTCTCACGCAGGCAGCTTGTTGTCCTTTGCCCGCGACAGATGGTGTCTGCAGCAGGCTTGATAGGGACAAAATTGGCGTCAAACTTGTCAGAGGCAACATCTTATTGTGACGTCTCAAATCTGCAGGAAACGCGCCCTTCTCAACACTGGGATAGGGACAAGCATTATATTGAACAGTAGCCTTCTCGCCCGCCATACTTAGTACCACCGTCAACATGATATTACACGGCTTTGTTCAGCTGTCTCTTTACTATCCGGACCACACTGACTTACGCACGGAGGGAAAAACGTGTCTCAGCACTCCACGACTCCACGATACCACCGTCCATGCACAATGTACGTGCTGGATCGGGGCTAAGCCTGATCTTCCCGTCCTCTGATGTACCGTATCTTGAGGTTGAACCCCCCCCCCCCTATTCCTTTCATTAAAATCTCCGGGCGTATTCCCGGTGCTCAAACAACATCTGCGACACGAGGCTGAGACCATGTCTCTGCTCGGCTGGAAGACACCGAGAGACTCCCTGTTCTTGCAGCTGAAATTGTCCTCAGCCACGAGGGTATTTGAAACCCGGAACTTGCCGCATACATTCGCCGGGCCAGCGGGCGGCGCGTGGTAGACATGAGAAAGGAAAGATTGAACCGGGGGGCAAACCCCGATCTGAAGCAGCTGTGCTCTTCGGCTAGTTCCGCGCAGAGATCCTATGCTGTGGCGGCTCTTGCATGGTGTCTAGTGTCATTGGTGCCAAGTCCTACCACATCAACATGGATGGGGGGGGGGGGTCTTCTCAAGGATCAGAATATGTTACATTGACACCTTGGGAAACGCTGGAGTATGGCCGTGGCCCGTTGGTGAAGTTGACGGACGATATCGTGGAGTTTCGGCGTCCTCCCTGGACAATATCATTTCAAGCCTTGGACAAGATATCACCTGCCTTGTATTTCGCAACGCATTTCGCTTTCGTAATTCATGTCCAGTTATGTAGCGTGGCATCAGGTTTGTTTTTCTGATCAGCAGAAAGAGTGCTCTGTGGATTCTCGGGGCTGGCAAGGCGACCCTTGGGAAGCGAAGGGATAAACCAGAATGGCTGGCACAATCATTCCCCTGTAGCAGATCTCCAGGTCTCACATACAACCCAGTTTCCGACTTGCCTCTCATCTGGCATAAAGGTCCGGGGAGACACTATTGCACCTTAATTGTCCTCACTAAGCCCACAAGGCTCCTAGACAAAGATGCCCTACGCGAGGCTCATCGGAGTACCTAACCAATCCTTGTTTCGGCTGAAGTGGCAAGTAACTGCTACAATCGCAAGTACCTGGGAAGTGCTATGCTGTTACGCATTAAACAATGCTGTCAGCTTAGTTCGCAGGTTTTCTTTGCACTATTTCCGTACCGAAGTCTGGTGGGCCAGAGGAGATAATGGGATCACAAGTATCTTGCCAAGCTACACCTCCTCCAGCTGGTTGCGTAGCTAACTGACTATTGGGACACAGAAATTCTCGTCTCTCTCTGCCGAGTCACACGGTACGCGGTCTGGATGCCAAGTGACTGAGCTTTCCACGTGTTCGTGCATTAGACGGCGAAAGAGCCTGTTGAGAACAACTGGGCATGTGTCAGGGCAGCAACCCATACAAACCATCAGTACAGAGCCATGTCTCGTGCGGTTCAGATATGGTCTCACAGCCGAGAGGGTTACGTCTAGCCAGGCCCTGGCACGACAGGCTTCGGGGTCCAAATGGCGACAATTGATATGTGTGGAATACACAACATCTCAAAGGTTCCATGGTCAAAGTCTTCTGGCTGAACTTCGTTCCCTGCATGTCAAGATGTCAAAGTCAATGGCCTGAGGGCGGCCGAGGGCTGCATCCAAAGCCGAGACCTGCTTTCCGAGACCAATACTGTCGACGAGCATCATAAACCATGTGTTGACACAGTATTGTCCTGGTCGGGCAGGCATCAAGACTGCATGCTGATGAAAAGTCCCCTGTCAATCTGTACGTCTACAACGCCACTCTCAGCGGCGAACAAAGAAAGGAGGTCAGCCTCCGCGGTCCAGCACCATTCAGCCTACCAACCTCTGGTCCTGGTACGTTCCGCACGCGAGCTGTACAAAACTGTACAAGACAGCACGCCACCAACAGACTTGAGGAGACAGACATATGTACAAGCATACATACATACATACATACATACATACATACATACGCGCACAGCATGCGCGCCTCCTTTGTCTTCGCTGTATACGCCAATCACATCGTTAGACCCCACTACATGCGCTTCTCCAGTCACCCTCCATCTTGGCTGCTCATCCGCCTGGATCTGGGAATGTGGAAGCTTGAAATAACGAGAAGGGAAAAGGGCTCTTGCATACAGAGAGGAGAGTGTGGCAAAGGAGGAAAACCAAGGGGCGCCCGCCGAGCCCCAGACAAAACCCCGGGACAACCACCGCCAACAACATTCGGGCCTGGCCTGACCCAGACAGCCCTGTCACCGAGTAAGCACGCGGAGCCAACAATCATCTGATGCCTGTTCCTGCTGCTGTTGCTTCTCTGTCCTCTCTGTCCTCTCTGTACCTCTGATCCCATCCTTGTCAGGGTTCTTCTCGCACCCGAACCCGACCCAGACCGTCGGGTCGTTGTTCCAAGAGAGCACTGCCCGGTACGACCTTGTAGTCTTGTGCCAGAGATACTGGCGCAGGCAGTTAGTTCCCTTGGCGCGTTGTGCACGGCGGCTGTGTAGATCTGCTGGCTTGGGGGGGGGGGGGGGGGGGGGAACCAACAATCTTTCCAAGGGGCCGGACTAGGGTGGGAAGACACAACGGGTAAAGGCAGCTAAAAAGCGTGTCATAGAGGCAAATAGCCTGTCGGCCCATCATCTGCATGGTCCATCATCCGGATGTTACTTTTCACAGACTTGCAGAATATTCATGTCACCGGCAAACGACTTCGGCGCAGACCTTGGGAAGCGAATACATTACTCAATCTGGATTTATTTGCCTCCCTTTTAATTGCTCCCAGTCTCGCCATATCACGCGCACAGACGCCTGATTTGTTGCTGGCGGCGAGTTTGCTTTTGTGATATGACCCTCCCCCCTTTCTCTCAGAGTCGTCCATGTCCCCCAGAGACCTACCTGACGAGGGGGACGAGCAGCAGCAGCAGCACACGAGCAAACAAGGGCTCATATCTGATATTTGCTCCCACCCCATCCAAAGAGAAAAGAGGGAGGGGCGTGGTCTTTCCAACGGCTGGCCCGTGTGACCGGCAACAAGGTCCTAGAGACACATGGCATAGCAAACTTCGCGGGAATCCAGTGAAAACGCCATGGCTAGAACAGCCTTTCCAGTCACAACCCGGCCTTGGATAAGGGAAAGGTTGGTCCGTGGTATGCCGGGCGCGACCTGTGATTCGGGCCCGTGCCACTAACCCGCCTGTCCGCGTTCCTTTGTCTACGACTATGCTGCGGTGAGTGGAGGGACAGCCACCGGAAGGGGGGCAGAGCAGACTGTGAGCAGGGGATAGCTGTTAGGTGTGTATAAGTCCTTTCTCGTCGCATTGGCGGTTCCGGGAAACTGGTAAATTGGGGGCCAGGTGAGAGTTTCTGGCCCATGTAAGCAATTTGCTCGATTTAGTAGACGCGCGGGTGGTAGGTTGTTTGCTACCATTGTGCCAGCAGGCTTTGGCGTCCTCGGCTTGTCCTTATCCTCCTGCTTGGGACATGCGGCTTATCCTGCTTGACTGGCATGCAACCCTGGCAGCAGCCTCTTGGAGATCAGCCTACTGAGCGAGTCTACCGATGGCACGTCATAGCACGATTATGAGAAGGCTGAAAAGAAGACCTTGGTACAATAGAGTTGAATTTTGATTCAAATATGCCCACCATGTCAAAACCTTGCGCGTGTGCGTGGCTGACAAAATAAAGGAAGAATGTCTGTAGACCGAGTAGATGACACAATAGATCTATCCCATGCTCAGCTGAGAAGACTGTAAAAGCTATATGAAGAAGAACTGCAACCGTCCCAAAACAGGGTATATGTCATGATATAGTGTGTCGTGTTTCACGTGGAGTGTCGCTAAAGCGCAAATGTTAGAAGTCGAGGAATAGTTGTTGTAACGAGTGCATCTTGTTTCCACGCCGAGGCCTTGTGATGATGATGTTGGCGCAGGCTCCCCAGCAGACTGAACCAGCTGCTCGCATATTTTGACGCCGAGTTTCACAAGTATGCCGATGCTGCTCGAGGATCAATGCCGCGAGTCGTATCCTGGGCCGTCTGCATAGTCGTGATCAAACATCTGTCCAGCTCGCAGAGGTTGTGCTGGCATGTCCCTGTCCTCACTCTCACAACACATGCAGCTGTTGTCTTCCACCTTCTCGACCCAGGTGCCGCGCTCCATGGCGTCGCGCTTGGCTTGTGCCCTGTCCTGGATTCTCTCAATGTCTATGTCCTTGGTCAGCAGATGAATGCTAGCAAATATGGAGAATGCAGACATACTCAGCTCAGCGGCGAAGCGACGGTGATCGGGGCGCACCCAGGAGTAGTCCTTGGCCCTCTCGGGAAATAGGTAGATGAGCCCGTACATATACTTGTACTCGCTCTGCTCTCGCACTTTGCAAGCATGTGCAAGCACGTGGCCATTGGGGAGGAAGCATGTTTTCCGGCCATTGGTCTCACGGCGTGGCTTGGGGATGGCGTAGTTCTCGCGATAGTGGACACCTTGAAGCCCCTGTACCCTGCGGTCAAGTTCTTCCTTGGGAAACCTCTGCTGGAAGGGCTTGAAACTCTCTAGAACCTCGTTCCAAGATTCTTTGAGGTCAATCTTGTGGTACCGAATAAAGTCCTGTTCCTCGGGAAGATACTTGACATTGCAATGGGTTCCCTTGGGCTTTGCCCGTCCTTTCCTCGGGTCATCCCTTGGCGGCGATGGCTGTTGACGAGGAAAACGAAAAGAGCCTTGGGATTCAGGGGCTGTCGTGGCCTGGCGAGATGGAAGTGAGAAGCGCATCCCGGGATCACCGAGACCACTAGGGCGGCACAAGAGGCCTTTTTCTGGTCGCCGGCCATGATTCAGGCTTCGCGTGATGGGGTCCTCTGGGCCGCTGATGTCGCTGAGTGTTGGTTCTGGGCTTGAAAGGGGTGTGATCAACCTTCGCTTTGGTCGGGCAGTGATCACATCTTTTGTACAGTGGTCAGAGGTGACTGCGCTGAGGATGTTGAGTACCCCAGGCAACGTCCAGGCAGGACGGTCTTCGTCACCCAGAGTGTCGTGCTTCCTTTTCGACACGTCATTCCTCATGGTCAACTGAAAGTCGCAGGACCCTTCTGAAGCATCAAACCATGGGGTGGGGGTGCGTGGTGAGGTTGGCATGGAGGCGTGCGGCGACAACACATATCCAGATTCTGAGCCTGAATCTGAAGAAAAAGATGCCCCCGGAACTGTCGTGATCGGAGAGGAAGTGCCGACGACGGTGTCGCTCGCTCTCCGTGGGAGAGAAGTTCCAGCCCAGCAACTTTCGGCCAGACAACCGCTCTGAATGCACATAACTGGCTTCGTCTGCCGAGGATCGTGACGGCTGAAGTCAGTCATCTTCAGTTCGTGCAACAGCCGCGTCGAGAACTTTGGGCTTGATCCCTCGCCCCAAGGACCAGGGTTGAGCTGGGGTGGTCTGTCAGAGTTTCGAAATACCTGCGACACTTGTAGAGCCCAGGCAGAGTGGTTGGTGATTGGTGATAAATGGTAAGGGTGCCGATCCTAGGACACGAGGTTGTATGCGAGAGCATGTACAAGAGAGCTGTTCGACGGCAGCACGAATGATTATTTATCAGGAATGCACCAAGGAGGAAGGGTGGCAGCTGTCTATCTAATATTGTTCCGACCGGGGCATGGAATGGTGACCAACAAACTGCACTGGAGCGAGAGCCAACAAGACTGAACACCTTCCTGCTGAGAGGCTGGCTTTTGGTTGCGAGCAATATGCCTTGTGGGGATCAGCCAGAGTCCTTGCACCAACTGCCACAGCACATCCTACACCCTGGGGGTGTTTGCTTGGCCAAGTAGCACATCGTTCTTGCATCTGCATCTCGAGCTCCAGGGGGGGAGGGGTGCAAGGAAGAACCCCTACTGCAACGCTGTTCCACTGGAAGCGCTTCCGCTGGTTTGCGGGCTCGTACATGACGAAAAAAAAAGCATACTGGAGCTGTGGGTATTGAGACATGCTAGGAAACGCACCACATGTGCATGGCGAGTCGGCATGGGCCGCGCCGCAGGCACGTAGCCCTGAAGTAATGCTTTCTCAGCAACCTGGTTCCAGCTGGCGAAGCAACGTCAATTTTACAGGACGCGACGCCTGAACGTTTGTGAGTGATCGAATTGTGACTTATGTGGAATCCTTGCAAAGGCCGGGATGTACCCTTGACAGTGCCAATCCTCAATCGTACGTGGTGAGCACTGGCGAGGGCTACCCCAGGTACGTCGGATGTGACCAAGGAACATCACGGCGTAAGGGGGCCTGTCGGCTTAGACGCGCGGGGCCTCAATCTGGATCTCGGGCTTGCCACCTGGCCAGCTCTCATCGATCTAGCCATGCTGTCTCAGAAGCAGAGCCATCTGTCATTGTGAGCCTCCCGAGCTTGGCACGGTGCGGGAGACTGCCAGCCCTCCGAGTTTCAAAAACAGCGCAACGAGCGTTATGCAGAACAAGCGACTGTGTGGTACTGATGAGCCACTCGAGCTGGAGAGTTGGTCCCGAGTGATTATTAGTCCACCAAGGCTGTGGCAAGGCGTTGGCAGGTGATGGTGGTCTCCCAATCAATGTCAACATCGGATCAAGGTGCTGGTTGCCAATAAGCCGACACACGGCCCGCCACCAGTGCTGGGGGGCAGGTGAAGAAACACGACTTTCCAAACCTTTGTCCAGGCTCCCCTCCCGTGAGAGGGCCAGCCAACCTGTGTGTCCGTGCAGATTGGCAGGGAGGGTGGAGGGACGGTCGGCTCGACACAGTCGCAATAACGGCACTCCGCTGCTGAATTCGATACAGAACCAGACTGTCGGGACCAATGGGAATCCAAGAAGATGGGCCGGCCCCCCTGGGAAGTGGCCAGCGAAAGAGGGGTAGGCGCCTAACCATATGCGTGAGCAACCGCTCGATTTGGAGCGAACGTGACAGGTGACAGTTCCTGCCCTCGGCTTGTCCTTTTGGTTGTGTACGCAGAAATGGACACAGCCATGATCCTACCATGGCCACCAACTGCAGCTACCATGCTTGCAAGCGGCCAGGTGTAGGACTGCCGATGTGGCCTTTGAGCCGCTGAGCCGCCTGCGGCCGGATTGTACAATGCTTACATGACCCGCGCCCCATTTCCCACCCCCAGGCGCCTGACAGTGTCTGCGCAGCAAGGGGAGCTGCAGAGACCAGACAGGACAGAGGTCTGCTGGGATTGTGGGAGGCCATGGAGGGTTTCATTGCAGAGAGCCGTGGATCGGTGTCCATTGACCTGTGCCGACCCCGTTGATGATCCTCGTCTGGAACTCTTTTGATGAGAGGATCATTGGTTGTGTCTCGGCTTGTTTGCCTTTGCAAAGTCGGATGGTACAGCCCTCGTCTACGAACCCAGTCAGGTCGAGTCAGGGACCAGGGCGATCTACATGGCCATGCGGAGTGGCTAGCTGGACTGGCTGTGGATTGTCGTGGGGGGGGGGGGGGGGGCAGTCGACGAGAAAGGTCGTCAGAGTGCGAAACTCGGCCCGAGCCCGAGGAGGACGCTGGGCCCGTCAGTGTTATGGCGAAGGTCACGGCTGGCTGTGCAACGAGTGCGCGCGGTCGAGGTTGTCGCGGGCTGTTTGCTTGCCAGGCAGAGGTCTGAAAAACATGAACCTGGCTAGGCTTCGAGGACGACGCTTTTGGCAAATAAACGGCAATGTTTGCACAACTTGCACAACTACTCGCGGGTGCCCCTAGCGTGGCGATGGCGTTTTCCTATTGGGCGGCGGTCTCAACCAACATGTCCATACACAGCAAACGGGGCGCGGACGTGAAGACGGCGCAGGCTGCCCTCGCTCGTCCTCACAAAACATTGAAGGACCCGGGCAGGCCACTCCTGCGTGATTGCACGCTGCAAACGTCCGCACCTCATGAATCGCAATTGACAGCGGCCACAATGCCGCCAGCAACGGCTGCGATTCTTTTGCTCTGGTCACCTGACGGGATAGGTCTGCGTAGGCTGCAGCGAAGCCCCTGCACAGATGTCAGCAGCTCGATCATGGGCCCCTCGTCGCTCTTCTTCACCAACAGAGGTTCATCACGCCACATGGGACGCTTGACCAGGGCCAGCCGACGCCAACACGCAAGGATTCGTCCGGTCTGTCCAGGAGCGGCCCAGCCGCGTCTTGTTTTTCGAGAATATAGCATCTCTGGCACCACACAAGACCCGACAGAGCTCGGACGAGGCGCGCGAATCCTGGAATACGCACATGAGAGCTGACAACGGATGGGCGCCCCGTACGTGGCCTGCACACAAATGACATCGTCTGAGAGGCTGGCCTTCCAGCTTGAACCGAGATCGGAAAAGCTATTGCCGATTCTGCAGGTCACACACCCACCATGCATCGTGGGTACAACACCTCGCCAAAACCGTTGCCAAGACCGTGCTCGGGACAGTCGTAGAGGGCTCTTGCAGATCAATCCCGTTCTTGGCCCGGTCAGAATGAACCTTGGAGGCGGGTTAGGCACATCAAAAAGCATCTTCTTGGCTGTGGTGTGCGGTTGGCTGTCCAGATGCAACCATATTGCTTCTTCGGCAGCACTTGCTTCGTCAGCGCCATGCGCGCCGCCCAAAAAGTACTCCATACACGACAGCCCCGCCAGCTGGCGTGAGCTCCCTGGCCACTGTCTGAGACGCGCCCCAGAGACAATGACGTTTTTGTGAGACTGAAATAGCCATTTGTGTAGTAGCGCGGCTCGTCTTCTTCGTGGACGACTAGCAGGGGTCCAACCATGCCACGATTTGGGGGCCGTTTTGGGGCCAGACTCCGTTCTCGGCTCAATTCATGGCTGGTATCACTTTGGATGCTCTCTTCTGATGCCACCGGCACTTCAGCGTGAGAAGCATCCGCTCATCAAAACTCGTTGGCCACGCTATACTTTGAACGATGCTTCGAGAGAGCTGTTGTCTGAAAGCACAGACAGAATGTTGTCCACGCTCAGCCCCAGACGCCAATATGATAGTAACCGACTGTCGATACACCGAATCGCGAGTACTCCAGGTACATGAAAGAGGCATCTGGGCTCCACCTTCAGCAAAGTCGCTGGCTTAACAAGGCTGGCGCACACTCCTCGTCGAAACACAGCCAGTTGCATTCTCCACACCAGGGTCGAGGTCATTGCAAGGCACTTCAACGGGTGGTGTACTGTTCCTGTCCGCCATTCGTTTCATGGATTCTTGAGAATCGAAACATTCTTGGGGTAGGTCTATATCTTTCTTAAGGAGAGTCTATTTGAGCCATTCCGCACAGCCATCATTCTTGCCCAGGTGTGGCTGATTGGCTGGTTGATGTCAAGGCGAAATGGATCCGACATCGAGTCCGCCCAATGTCTACACTACACTATCACCGCATGTCTATCCTTGGACTTCCCAAAGACCTAAAAAAAGAAAGTCTATGCCTCTACAGTGCTGTCGTGCTTGAAAATACCCGAGCAAGTCAAGAAGAAGTACCAGATGACGGAGGCAATATTGGGTTGACTCATGTCGTGAATATGGGGCGAGGACTTCCTATAGCTTGGGATTGTCCGAAGCGGTCCTTTCCTGGTCGCTGGTATTCAGGCTCGTCGGCTCTGGAGCTCCAAAGTCCACGAACGACTCGTCGACCGAAAATCGCCTAGAGATTGTCAGAAGTGACATCATCGACAAAGTGGCTCGCAAGTCAGAGACCCGGGGATAACAGGAAGAGACTTACCAGCCACGCTCTGGTCCATGACTGAGAAAACTGCAGTCAGAGTTCGCCTCGCATTCCCAACCGCCGCGCATTGCTAGGCCATCTGTCCAGTCATTTCCCGAGGCTTGTTGCTCAAAAGAAGCTTCATCTGGCTTAACGTCCCGCGGCTGTACACGATATACGCTCAGGCCACATGTGAACGCTTTAAAGTCATCCTCCTCCAGATCCGAGGGAATACGGCCCGTGAGCACCCTCCCGAGGGCTATCACTGTAGCCGCATGCGAGCACAGGAGAATAGCCCTCTTTCCCTCGCTATTGCTGCGGGCTATGATTGCCCGCATGGCTTCCGCCACACGCAGATGCAGGGCGGTGGCTGATTCACCATTGGGTGGGCGGGTGACCGCCGACGTGTACGTTTCGTCCACGGCGGGAAAGTACTGTTCCAAGACTTCCAGTGGGGCAAAGGACGGATGCTCGAAATGCGCAGCCCCGAACCACTCGCTGATGCCGCCGTCTGCTCGTATGGTGAAAGGGGCCTCTCCGCTCAAAGGCTGAGCCCGCATTTCCGTGTCTGGTGGCGAGGCGCCATTGCGGAGGTCCACGAAAGGCTGTATCGTCTGCATGCAGCGGTAGTAAGGGCTCGAGTAGACCTGGTCGACTGGCGGCTGAATCTTGATGAGATGTGCCGCCAACTCGCGCGACTGGTCGATTCCATGTGATGTAAGGGGCGGGTCGTTGGCGATACCCGTAGGTGACCGGATGGTCAAGCTATACTTGCCCGTCCCAGGATCCACAACCCATGATGTGCGGAACTGATTTGCAGAGACTATGGTAAGCACGGCAGTTTAGATGAGCTGACAAGTCAGCCTCCTCCGGAAGCACATGAGCTAGTCATGACACGAGTGGGAGAGTGTGAGACTGTAACCTCTAACCCTGCGGCTTGTGCTCGGCGGATCCAGAGGCTGGTGCTGGTGGGCTCGCGGGAGGAGACGGGACTGGGAAACACTTACCCCATGGCGGACGACGTAGATGACTTCCAAAGACATTGTGGACGTCTGAACTCTTGATTTGCCTCGGACTGGCGAAAGGGAAGACCCTTGTGCCAAGAGACTGAAACTGGCGAGGAGACGGTCAAGCCTCGTGTGGGGCTCAGGGTCTACGGATCGCCTGCGGCTTGCAGTTCAGCAGTAGCATGGGATGGCTGTCCTTGCAGTTGGAAAAGACGCCGGCCTGGGTCGAACATTGAACTAGGTAGTTAGCATGATCCAACCTGATGAGACAGCACCCGCACAAGAGCTGCACAGGCTTGCCGCTCGCATGGACAAAAGCCTGTGAGACCATCAGTCAGACTTACTGCGTCCTCACGTACTGAAGCGGCAGATGGGCGTGTTCGATGTCGCAGGCTCGAAGAATAGCTGCCCAGTTAATACCCAATTTCACCGCGAGGGAATGCAGATGCGGAACCTCGAGCAACAAGCCGAGGCACACACACTTGCTGATGCACGGTGCCGTACAGTATCTCGGCGCATACATGCACGGTGCGGGCGCCATGGCGGAGGTCTTTCCGAACAAGCCACTCGATTCTTCGGGTGTCATGCTCAGTCGAAAAGAAAAGCAGCAGTCGAGGTGAGAATCGGAACATGAGACAGATATATGTGTAAGCAATAAGTTAAGTTGTCTTCCGTCCCGCACAGGCAAGCATGCAGCAGCACAGAAAGCCTTGCCGGAAGGTAGCCTGCCCAATCGAGTATCCTAACGCCACTGGTTTTTTTGCTTCTGCCGGATGACGATGGATGGGCGGGCGCCCTGAAGCAGTTGCATCCCGGCCCCCCTCTTGTTTGGATGGCTTGCATGCAGTCTGCGACAAAAGGGGACCAGCCTGGCCCGCGTGGAGCCGTTCATTGTGCCGCGTCTTATACTCCACCCGGCATTTCTTTTGCTTTCTTGTGTCATCTTGTCCCGGCGTCCCTTTGCCAACCTATAATTACTTTTTCTCGACTACATCGTCTTCACTTCCTCCAAAGCAACCCTTGTGCACAAGCGTTGCGTCACGTCACTTGTGGGCAGATATCTCAGCAACGCATCATGCTCGTCCATCTCACATTGGCAATCCGGGGTGTGGAGATATTTCGAGAATCGAGGGCGCCCGCCCGCCGGTAGACACTGACTTATCTTTCCAAAGCATCGTGTCTGATCTCCAATGTGCTAATCTTCTGCTCTGTCCCAGAGAGAGAAAACAAAATCTCCATCATTCTCATCTTTAAAGAAGTGTGCCATTGACAATCTCACACAGACAGGGTTCGCCAGGACGCCATCGATCCCGTCTTTTTGTCTGCTCAGGCAGAAAGAACTGCGCAGCAAAAGCGTTTTGCTTTTTATACTTGCCGTTTTGGTCCTGCTGCAGATTTTCTTGTCTGTGTTGATACAATGACCCCCCCCCCCCCGCCGCCCTCCAAGGCGAGTACGGCGTCGTCCACGACGTCAAGAAAAAAGACCTCTCGCACACATTTCTTCTGATATCTATCGGGTTTTGGATCGGGTACCCGCTCGCAAACACCGACCGTGGCGAGGACAAGATCCCGAAGCTCTCTTAGCCAAACACACAGCGCGCCACCGACGGCAACGTGGCGGCTGCCGAGTCGTATCTTTTTCGAAGATCGTAACTAAATCTTTCGGCAGCTGTTTGGTAAAGGATTGGTTTCCTCCGCGTAAATGGAAGAAAAAGAGGAGCCAAGAAGCGCCGATGTTTTCCTGGCGATTTCCTGGCATTACCGGTGCCCACCGGGGGGTCCGGCTGCCCCCTCCGGCGACACATATTGATGATCGCCGGCCGTCGGCTGTTCATACTCGCCCAAGTGATACGTGCCTCTCACTATGAGTGACCTGGCAGTGGTCCTTCGGGATCGATGTAGACATGACGCATTGGGATTGGATGTCCGCTGCTGTGCGGGTGCGGATAGTGCAGGACCTGCAGGCCACCACGCCCCATGAGTCTGCCTGGGCAGTATCCAAGTTTTTGATAGCCGGTTCCAGGCGTGCCCTTCAACAACTCCCCGTCTCCACAAGGGTCCAGAACATGTCGCGGCCACGTATAAGCCCCCAACTTTGACCAGACATGTGCCTTCCTGCGCGACGAAGGACCACGGCGATCGCGAGGTGTCCAAAGCGTTGCAGAAGGTAGGCCTGGGCTGGAACCGGGCTCGGACGTGAAGACCAGGAGGGGATGTTCAGTAACGTTGTTTCCTTTTTTTCTTTGTGGTAGAACCGGATCGACAGCTCCAGCATGCAAGCAAGAAGATCCTCAGGGACCGCTCCGGCCAGTGACTCGAAGAGGAACGGGTCCTGTTTGACTGATCTTGCTCTTGCTGCTGCTGCGCGCTCTTTGTGCTCAGTATGACTATCAGTTCAACCACAGAGCAGTCATTTGTCTCTGAGGGAAAGTGATTACCCACTTCACACCTCGGGAACCGAGTTCTTGAGCTCTCGGTTGGAGACATGTACCTGACACACGAGGCAGTCAGGAGATCTCCAGGGTTCTCGACTGGGCCCATTGTTACTGATTGGCAACAGAGGTGAAGAGGCGGGTGGCGTCAAAGTTCGCGACAACGTGTCTCGGTGAGGCGAATGCGATTTCTAGGGATCAGGATCTCCGAGTGTGGTTCACCAGTGGGGAGATTGTTGGACAACTGAGTTCAAAAATGGGAATTATGAGACCGAGGATCGTGCAATCGTCGGGGAGAGTGAGGCCATCGCTGAATCATTTAAACTTTCATGACAGAGCCGTACGATGGACGAATGGCATGACTCGAGGAAGTATCTCCCCGAGGAGTTCGGTCGGTTAGAATAACTGTGTACAACGAGAACTTATCCCCTGTGCGAAGAGTAGCATTGAGTATGTTCCTGTCTCGAAATACGATTCGAGAAGTGTTTGATCGTTTTATTCGTCAGTAGATTTTTCCTAAAGCTACTCGGAAGACTCTTGGGCACATCACAACCGACAGCTGGTATAGTTTACGCATGCCTGGGGTTTGACAACCAAGACTGTGCGGCGTGCTCACTTACAAAGGCAGCCGTCACCAATATGCTAGGGGAAGACAGGCCAAAGCCCGCAGCTTTCGAGGAGACGGCCGATTGCGAAACTATCTCCTTGTGATTTTCACAAAGACCAGTACCGGACAGATCCAGTGGTGACGGTTGCCTTGCACAGTCAGCTTGTAGAAGTTGGTGTGGTTGTGTTTTGCAAGCCCATGCATGAATTGAAACTTTGGTGTAAGTGGTTGCGAGCACCACCCGCTCAATGGGGTTCGCTCTACCTGCGCCAAAACAACATCTACTGATGATAATACATGCACACCAGAAAATCCAGCTCAGTCATTCGATCCATCATCTCAATATTGTCCCAAGATTTCGATGATGAATCAACTGGCAGGCTCATAAACGTCAAAGACTTGGCATGGGTCATCCCGCTTTCAAGAAGTTGCGCTATCGATAAGATATTTTGCGGCCTCACAGGCGAGCTGCACTTGCGGTCGCCGCAGCAGATGCAACGACAAACATGAGCAACATCGACATCCAGCAATTCACGAGACTTTCTTGTCGCAGATCCCAGAAGTCTCCAGGATCGTCCTTGCAAGCCTCGCAAGCCTCGCCGACTAGTCTCCAGCCATGCGCCCCCAGATCCCACCCTCGATATGCCCGTCATGCCTCTTCCGAGTCACCACAGCACGCCCGGCCGCTTTCACCACGGCACCAATGCCGGCCGTGGCTGCGCAACGGCTCTACTCTGGGCGTCCGAGAGCCGGGCCTTCGAGAATGGTGCTGTCGGACCGCAGCAGGGTTAGCCGCGGGCGCGACGACTCGAAGCGACGATCAGCAACACCCGGCCCCTTCGGTGGCATGAACCGGACGACCGCTCCCGCCGACCTCAGCCGGCCGGGCTTTTCGAAACGACCTCCAAACCGGCCGACCAGCGGATCCCGCGGCGACAGCAACAAGGGGGACAAGAAGGACGAGCGGAGGACCAAGGCGATGAAGATGCAGAACGCCCTCACGACGGTCTCGTACGGGCAGCGGACACGCACCAAGGCGATCATGAGCGAGCTGGAATCGTTTGACCAGCTGACGCTGGGCCCTGCAATAAAGGAGGCCATCTCGGGCGAGGTCCTCAAGGGCATGGTCGACCTCAAGCCCACGCCGGTCCAGCGACTTGCTATCCCCGCGCTGCTCGGGCAGGAGCTGGGCCGCAAGTTCAGGTCGTCCAAAGCGAAGCCCGCACGGCAAGAGTTTCTCCTCGCGGCCGAGACTGGCTCCGGCAAGACGCTCGCATATCTCCTGCCTGTCGTCCACGCCATCAAGGAGGCCGAAGCGGCCGATCCCGCCATCCAGGAGTATCGCGAGTACTTCTCCAAGCAGATGGAGGCCATGAAGCAGCCCGACTATACCGGCCCCCGCGACTTTGAGCCGCACCCGACTGCGGCTCGGCCAAAGGCCGTTATCCTGGTTCCGACCGCCGAGCTGGTCGACCAGGTCGGCATCGTGACCAAGGCTCTCTCGCATGCCGTCAAGTTCAAGGCTGCGCGCTTCTCGGCCGATGTCTCTGCCAAAGTCATCAACCGGGATATGTATGCCCCCGGCGGCATTGATCTCATCGTGGCCACTCCCCATCTGCTGGCGTCGATGGCGGACTCGGATCCAAACATCCTCTCGCGGGTCAGCCACCTTGTCATTGACGAGGCCGATTCCCTCTTTGACCGTAGCTTTTCGCCAGTCACAACATCCATCCTCGACCGCGCCCTCCCGTCCGTGAAGCAGCTCATTCTGTGCTCAGCCACCATCCCCAAGCGGCTCGACAACCTTCTCAACTCACAGTTCCCCGACATGCACCGCATCACCACGCCAAACCTCCATGCCATTCCACGCCGCGTGCAGCTCGGCGTCATCGACGTGTCCAAAGACCCCTACCGCAACAACAAGGACCTCGCCTGCGCCGACGCTATCTGGTCGATCGGCAAGGACGCAGCGCGCCACGAGGGCCCCGCCTCGTCGGACGGCGAGATGGACGTGAAGCGCATCATGGTCTTTGTCAACGAGCGCGAGAAGACGCAGGAGGTCGCCGACTATCTGCGATCCAAGGGCATCGACGCGGTCGCTCTGCACCGCGACACCTCGGAGCAGCGCCAGTCCGAGATGCTCAGCTCCTTCACCACGAAAGAACCCTTACTCACTACCAGACCCGCATCCGATGAAGCCAGTAGTCCTCCTGCTGCTGCTGCTGCTGCTGCTGGCGGCACCAACAGACGCTCTCTGCCCAACACAAAAGTCATAGTCGCGACGGACCTCGCGTCCCGCGGCATCGACACCCTCGCGGTCCGGCACGTCATCCTCTACGACGTGCCCCACACGACCATCGACTTCATCCACCGCCTCGGCCGCGCGGGCCGCATGGGCAGGCGCGGACGGGGCATCGTGCTCGTCGGCCGTGCCGACCGCCGTGACATTGTCGCCGAGGTCCGCGAGAGCATGTACATGGGCCAGGCCCTCATCTAAAAGCCAAAGCAAAAAACAAATATCCACTGCCCTAAAGAAGAAGAAAAAAGCCTCGGCCAGACGTATAAGCTGCTGCTGCTATGCCCGGATTTTTCTTTCGTCTGTGCTAGGCACTTCGTGCACCGGCCGCGTGCACGATAACAGAGGGCGAAACGAGTCTATTTATCCCACTCCACCCTGGTGTGAGAGTTGAAATCTGGCTCAGCTGTATTATAGTATTCGTGTGTAATCATCACATGTACAAAAACAGAACCAAATGTAACAACAACAACAACATCAACAACAACAACAGCAGCAGCAGCAGCACCCGCAAGTGCTCCTCTTGTCAAATCTGTAAAACTATATATCTCACCGCGCGGTAGCTCGACCGAAACCCCCAAAGATAGCCGAGCCGGGCAAACGGGTAGGCGGGCCCAGGAGAAAAAGAATAAAGAGATTTTAACCATGGGAAGCGAAGCGACAAGATGAAAATAGAGAAACATGTAACGATAAAGCAAGGCGACGTATTATATTAAATAGAAAAGGAAAACCAAAAGGGACCTTTTTGTAAACCCCCCCCCCCCCCCACAAGATTCACCACACGCCAGAACACACAAGAGCCACACCCATGGGAGAAGAAGCGAACTGGTTCAGAGAGCGGTGCAGCAGTCGCCATTCTTCTCCTTCTTCCTCCACCCTTGTACTAATTCCAACCTCCACCGCCTGCACAGATGACACGTCAGATCAGTCCAGTCGCAGATATACTACTAATAATGCTTCGTTGTTCGAAGTTATTATGGGGTTCCCTGACAAGGGAAGGGCGAAAGACGTCTCGTTGCTCCACGCAAGGCCGATCTCTCCAGGGGCGGCCCTTCCGAGTATCACATTGACACATGCAGATACAATGAGTCTGACAAATCTGAGAATATGGTCTTCTGGCACGGCGGCCATTGCTGGCGTCGTGCCCGTATAATTCATTTCTTGGCTTTGTGAAACAGGACCGGTGTAAGAACAATAGCACCAGCCCCCAAAAAGGTATCTTACGTCGTCACATTTCCTCCTCCTCTCGTCACCTTTTTGCCGTCCATCGCCTCGTTCCGAGCCGCTTCCCTCGGCGCGATTCTAGCTCTTGAAAGCAGAAAAAGACACACTCGTATCAGGAGGCAATCTCCAAGCCCGTAGTACTCCTGTCACCCCGCTTTGCTCACGCCGCTTCCTGAATGACACTCTGACCAAAGCATATGCTCCGAAACGCCCCTTTTGAGTGACTTGTACACTCCCCGGTGAACCTCCGGGATGCTCACAAAAAGCCGGTGCCCGTCATCATCGTACATACCATTACACCGCTCGTTCCTTTTCTGGAACATGGATGGAAAATCAAGCTCGTCCTGAGGTTGTCCAGAGCGATTCAAAGCGCCCAAACCCATTAACGCCAAAACCCCGTTTGTGGATCGACACCGCCCCAAGTCGGTCGGCTGCGTGAGCCGCAGAACGTGTGCGCATCCATGTCAAGCGCTCATGTCGCTGGCTCGTGGCCCGAAGATGGGGAGCCAGGCGATTGTTTTCTCCTAAAAAATGCCATGGCATTCATCCGGAACCGGCTTGTCTTCTTCCTAAGCGATCTGTCGGGACGTAAAGTGTGGCCATTAGAGTCATCCTCGTATAGAGCATGGTCTTGGTCAGCCCGTGGTGTCGCTGACTGGTCGCCATCAGTGCCAGTCACGGTCGTGGTTGGCAGTCCCAAGTCGTGGTCAGTCGAGGCCTGGCTGCGAATGCTGGTTCCCTGCGTGCTTGGGGACATCGGCATCCTGCCAGTCGTCGCACTTGTGACCTGCGATTGCCAGTCTCCAGAACATGGAACCGAGCTACTTCCTTCGGTCGTCTCGCTACGGCGCTGTTTCCCGTTGTGCCGCAGATGCATGCTGTCTTGATCCATAGAATACGAGTCTGTTGGTGCGTAGTCCGTTACGCTATCGGCATCGGGGGCGACTCCATTCATCTCTTTGTAGGTTTCGGCCACGTTCGGCACGTGGTTTGCCTGATCAGGAGGGGAGCGACTGGCCTCTTTGATCTCAGCATGGTGCTCGGGAAGCTCGATGAAAGGCTGGAGAACGGCGCCGAAGGAGGATGTCCTGTTCAGCTCGGGTTGCGCAATGCTCATGGACCTTGGGGATAGTGTTCCGTCAAGGAGGCGCTTCTGGCGCTCCTCATTCATCGCTGGAAGGTTTTCGATGTCGTTCTCAAACTTGACCTTGTTGATTTCGAGCTCCTCGACTGTGTACTGCATCAGAGGCAGCACATCTGCCACGCCTTGAAACAAAGGGATTGCAAACATGTTCATGAATCCAAGCTGGGCCTTGGCAAGTGATAGAAAGTCCTTCTTCGGAGGGGATATCAGTGACGACGGTATGCCTATCTCCGCCTCCATGGAAGCCTGTCGAGAAAACTCGTCGCACAGAATATACATCCATTGTAGGGCTGTGTCATGTTTTCGAGCCTGTGCACATGAGGAGGAAAAAGGTCAGCCGGGTGGTAAGATTTGGCAAAGTGGTCTTCTCTCTGGCTTACCACATTACTAATGTCGGCACATTTGATCAGGAGGGAACAGGCAAAAGCAGTCTGCTCTTCAATCATGCGGCCATTCCAACCATCAACAGAGTTGTTCTCCTGCAATCGCTCCTGGAGATCGCCGAGTTTCTTCATGTAGTCAAAATGCAAGCCCATGTCTGTCGCCAATATCGTACTGATCATAAGACTTCTCATCTTCGTGTCGTCAAAGACCCCAGGCCAATATCTTCGTAAAATCTGAGAATAGGCAGCGCAGTGGAAGGATTCGAGGACAGATCTGTCGTTGTACAGTTGGGCCAATGGCGCGTTCAAGGTGATGAGAAATCCATTGTTGACTCCAGGGTGGCCCACATCATGACCGATCGCGCTGACAAGAAGCGTCAAGGCCTCGAATGGCTTCAGAAGTGAGGCAAGTGGCGACTTCGGCTCTGTATCGTTGTTTGTGCCTTCATCTGCCAAGAAAGGTGGCAGCGTGCCGATGTTGACCAAGAAGTGGAAGGTGGCTTGCAACACATCAACAGCATGCCGAAAGTTGTGAAAGGGTACAAATGTGTTGTAGGCTGCACGGCAGGCGACAAGAAATGCCGTCAATTGATCTGCGCCAGGACTTGGGTCAGTATGCCATGATGGCCAGGGCGACGGTGGCTGGTTCTCTCACCTGTAGATATTCGCCAGTGATCGAGCTCCGGGATTGTGAACGCGTGTTGGAACATTAAGCTTGCGCCTATGACCAGGTCATCGTCACTGAGCTCATGAGCACAAAAGTGCCACTGCCCAAGGGCATTCCTGATTTCATCTCGACGCTCAGGCGATACCTCGATCTTGATGCTGCCAACACTTGGTTCCGTCTCCTGCCCAGCTTGGCAAATATTGCTCATGAGACCCGACACCATAGCCTCTCTGAGATATGAAAACGGCTTCTCGTCGTGCATGCCGACCCATGACCGCTTACGGCCACGACGGATTTCTAGGAAAGCCTGCTGGTCTTTGCCTGCCTCCTTGTGAGCACGATATGCATGCACTTCGAGTGTCGCGAGCGTCTTCATGTGGAGTGGGCTGGCCATGACGTCAATTGCACCAACGTCCAAGCACTTCCTCAGTAAAGCGCGGTTGGTGAGAATACGACTGCTTGGGTCGGGCGCCTCTGATAGATATTTGGCGTATGGTGGGTGTGCAGCCTCTGCGCGTTTTGGCTCGAGCGAATCTTGCTGTGGAGGTGGTGTCCTGAGCAGCGGAAAGCTGACGACCGGAATTGGCACGATCAGCTTGGAAAGGTTCCGAGAATGAGACTCATACACGATGCGCTCTAGTAGACGGAGCCCATAAAGCTTGGTAATATCAGACGAGTTGAGGTCTCTCTCGGACGCAGACCCTGTTTCGTTTGATGTCTGCGCCCTGGCTGATGTCCGAGTACTCTCCTCATCGTATGGGAGGTCAATCAATACCAATGTGGGCTTGAGCTCCATCAAGGATGTGTCGTGGAGATCGAAGAGCTTCTGTACGCACGCAGCGCCATTGTTTGTGATGTGCACTAGAGATGTCGTCAGTCAGCGATACTTGGTCCAGGACGTCCAACTCCAATCTGGCGGGCACCCACCTTCTCCAAACGCGTTGACCAGCAGGTCCAGGTTGTCACGCAGCTCTGCAGCCGCGTCGCTGGTGGCTGCCACGAAAGACACATTCTTGTCTGTTGAGCCGTCGAGAATGGTGTTTTCTCTGGCGTTGCGATCGACATAGACCACGTTACACTTGGCACTATCCATGTTTGCGGGTGGTGGCATCCAGTCTCACGACCGGAGCACTTCCGCCTTTGAACGACGTGGGAAGTCGCAATTCGCGTGTGTGCTGGCCAGCCTGTAGCAGTGTTCCGCCTTGTTGCAGCCAGTGGGCGATTGCCCTCCGGGATATCTCACACAGACGCGCAGAAACAATGTGATGTGGGTGCCGAGTTCGAAGTCTAGGTCGGTGTCAAAGGACCTGTCGATCGTGATGGTGTGCAGAGCGTCATGAATCCTGGTCCGGCCCAGGTGTTTTCAGTCGAGCTCGTGCATCGGCTGCGTCGCCTAGCACAAGGGGGGCGAGCCTGCGTCGGGGAGCAAGGACAGCGCAGCTGGGTTGAGGGGCGAAGAGGCGTGCGCGTTGTCGCGAGTCGTCGAGCCAGCTAAGCTGAGCGGCGGGACAGCGAGGGCATCGAGGATGCAGTGGCTGGCAGGCTGGTTGGGGAAGGAGAGGAAAGAGGCAGGTCGTGGGTCAATTGGGCGAGCCGAGCGCGAGGGGAGAGGCGGCGGTCGTGTGCGCGCAAGGTCGCGTGCTGTGCTAGCAAAGTGGATGGGAGGGCGATGTCATGGAGGACACGAACGAGGGCAGAGAGAATGGAGGGCGAGCAGCGAGCGAGGATTGGGTGTGCGAGCGAGAGAAGGAGGAGGAGACGGCGGCAGTGGGGACGCTGGCGGCGAGCGACGATCTCGGGTAGAGAGCACCAGCAGCAGCACCAGCAGCAGCACCAGCACCAGCAGAAGCACCAGCAGCGTGGGCGGGAGGCGCTGTGCGGCTGCAGGAGGAGGCCGTGTGTGAAGGGTTCCCAGCGAGCAGGGCCTGCGCTACACTCTGTCTGCCCTTACAGCTACGCTATTCTGTTCTGGAGGGCTGCTGGCATGGATAAGGACAGCAGGCACACACGGGGCACACACACATACACATACACACACATACACACACGCACATGTGCACACACACGAACAGATCAGCTAGCAGACAGACATGGAGAGAAAGAAGAGCGCGAGAGAGGCCCCAGAGCGCACGCACGACGATGATTTGACGAGCAGCACCCGTGGGTTTGGAAACGTCAGCGACGATCGTGAGCAGCAGGCGAGACAGAAGGGGGGGTGGGGGAAGCGTTGACACTGGAGCACAATGCATGCAGCAGAAGCACGGGAAGAAGGGAAGGGAATTGCTTCTGTGCTTCTGTGCCTCTGTGCCTCCATCCCGCCTCAGCCAGTCAAGGACCAGTTCGTCAGCCCGCGCCCTGCACGCACAGCACGCAACCACGCCCGCTCCCTCCTCCCCCCCAAACATGGACATGGGCATGCACATGGGCCAACATCCAGGCCTCCCCTGCTGCTGCCCAATGAGCAGCGCCTCCTCCCAGCTCCTCCCAGGCCTCCTCGCTCTCTCCCTCGCCCGTCCCGGCCTGGAGCCTGCCTGCCCTTGCAACTTTGCAAGGGACCGGCGGAGGACGAGCTTGCGCTTCCCGCATACTCCACGTCCATCACTTCTCTTCGCGCCCAAGCAGGCCTGCCCTCGTGCCAGCCTCAGTCTCGCCACGACGCCCGCATCTCTCTCGCTCGAGCACAAGAGAAATAAATCACTTGCCCGGCACGCGCGCGCATCGCCAGCATGCGTCTGGGCACGCCTCTCCCCAATCAAAGATGCTCAACAGCGTAGATAAAGTAGCTGCCTTGCGGGCTGATGCGTTGCCAGCGCACACTAGCAGTGAGCAGACCCGACGCAGGGGCATTCCTTAGGCTGTCTTGTCGATCCGAGTCTATTTCCGCCAGCACAAATCCTTCGCATCCTTTCGGCAGTTGGCCAAAACTGCCACTACTACTGCGTCAGTACATGATGCTCACCAGTGCTCGCCATGCTTGCCCCAGCTTTCAGCTTCGAGGGACCCCCCTCAAAGTTATGCGCCACGGGCGTCCGAGTGCCTTTTGCACCAATTGTTCTCTCCGGGCGAAGCGAGACCGACGAGTGCCACTTGCCCAATACAATAGCAAGTCAAGCCGCGACGCGACGCCAACGATGATTCACAACCGCAACGTCAAAGGGTCCAAGGCCCCTCCGTTCGTCGTGGGGGTTCGCCTCTTCGCCTGATTTCGGTCGATGAGGCCACGAACGTTCACTGGGACCTTGTCCACTTTTGTTCCACTCAACCTACTCTATTCTGCTTTTGCTGGCAGTATTGAACGTGCGCGCGTGTATAGTGAGCAGAGATAAGAGATTTGCGGGTTTCCAGCCTTGCCGGGCCAAGCGCGTTCCATAGACCGTGCAGCAAGCGCCCGGAAAAGGCCAAGGGGCGATACAAACCTTGAGCAAGCAGCCGGCGGACACAGCACGGGCACTGATTGATAGGTATCGTCTACAGGCGCGAGGCAGCGCTGCGTCCAGGAGATGACGGGAGGACTGTCGAGGCGGGGAAGACCAGCCGCTAGAGGGTTACACAACCCTGCCCTTCCCAGATGGTGTGGAACCCAACGAGCCCCGGTTTGGCTTCTGGCCGCGTTCGAGAAAACTTGTCGAATGCCCGAAGACCAGTCGGGAGCACAAGGCCGGGAAAAGTGGGCGGCGTGTCTCGCACAGGCCACTCCTCAGTATCATCCAGCCCAGGCTATCCTTGTCCATGAGAAGAGGAGAAAGAAGGCGACCAGGGAGGCACGCTGAGCCATGGCACCCACGCCTGCCCATTTACGGCAAGTACGTAATTACCACTTAGGCCAAACCGGACAGTTGTGGTGCCACACAAGCACACCACGTCATTTCTCGCATCGTCAGTGTTAAACAGAAGATGCCGCTGGCCTCACAGTCCTACAAACGTCGCTGCTCGCGATGCGTTGCTGGTGATTACGACCTCACAAGTGTGTCGGGGCGCATCTCTTCAACTCCCGGCGTCGGCCTAGCCGAGCTCTGCTTTGCGCATTGCTTCCCAATCAGAAAGTAGCCTCGACTCGGTGATGCTCCTAATTACTCCTTGTACTAACCAGTCGCTGGTGTCGGGCATAGCACGCCAGCGAATAGACGGCGTTACTGGTTTCGCGGTGTCGGAACATTGTCATCACAATATTACCATGGCCCGCAACTGCAGCACCGGCCCCGGCATATATTGCCTGCACGTCGGCGCTCCTGGTATCCTGTTCCAGTCCTCTCTGATCAGCCATGAGCTAGCCAAGTCTGGGGCAGCAGGAGCTGCGGAGATGTCGGCGGAATGACATCAACACCAGCCAAATCCGTCACAAAGGCCACGACCAGGTAAGCCATCCGCCTCATCGCGAGGCTGGTGGCCTGACATCTCGGGAGCGTTGTCGCGGAACTGCCTTTTGCAAGGATTTGTGGGTTAGACTCACTTGTGACAACCGATCGACAGCGTTCGATATTCTAGAAGCCTTTTACGCCGCAAACTTGCATGCAATTGCGCCAACCAAGCACGACGATCATTCCGTCACCCATCCTGCAACTGCGCCCACTGGCATTTAAAGTCCAGCAGTGACGGCATCAGGGGCGAAGTCCGTCCCTTGCGTTTCTGAGCGGCAGTAAGCGCCAAGAGGCCCGCCAGACATCAAGCGCGCAGGCGAGCCAAGCTGGCTCTTGCGTGCTAACGAATGCGTGTCGCATTCATGCCCCTCTTCCGGATCAGACACAGCAGTCTTGAACTGCGGCCCAGACCATCGGGCATGTCTCACACGGCCTTCTCTCGAGGAGAGATGCAAATGGCAAGCTGGATGCTGCATGTCTCGCTGCGCGGGACCCTGTAGTATGCCACACCTACTTCAGGGCCGCTCTGGATTCCCGGCCTGTGTGGTTGATACTGGGTTGCAATAGAGCGCGTGCTCAGGTTGCCTAGTTGCGTTGATCAGCCAGCCACTTCATTGTCCATAAAGGGACGGCCAGCAGTGCTTGCTTCATACGAGCCTCGTTCAATCACGTCAGATATCAGCTAGCTTGCCTACCCTTGGACGCTAGTCGGCTGGCGGAGTGGTTGCCACCCTCAGCTGCGTTCAGCCCATTTAAGCCACATACACCAGAGTGGGCGCCCTTATGGCAGTTTGTCCCAAAATCCCACCCTCGGTGCGGCGCGTACAGGTGAACCCCGGTTATGCGGACCTCACATAAGCGGATTCCCTCGCTTCTGCGGATGAACTGGCTGTTTCCTTTCAAAACACATGCGATTCCGCTAATCCCTCGCGTTCATCGATTACGCACAAAGCGAGGCCATCGCCACCACCTAAATCCGCTAATCCGAGTGAAATAGGGGCGCGTTTGGACCGCGTTTTGACCCCCCGAAATGGCACCCCGCGCCACCGCACCCTCCAACTTGAAGCCGTCGCGGCGACGCATTTCGACTGCGCAGAAGCTAGCCCTTCGCGAACGACGACGTCTCCGTCCGACAGACTCCCATATCGAGCTACAGCAATGGTTCCTGAAGCAGTACGACCAGCCTATCTCGACATCCTCCATTACCGACATCCTCGGCAGCCGTTTCGCGTACCTAAGCGAGCCACTACAGCAGCCACGCGCCCTCGACTTGACGCGGGTCAATAATAACCCTCACCGCGACCTCGAAGGCGCCTTATATATGTGGTGCCAGCAAGCTGAAAGCTCAATTACTATCACGGGCGAAGTCATTAAGGCAAAAGCACGGCAATTCTGGGCGCAAATGCCTCAATACAAGGACCAAAAGCCGCCGCAGTTCTCGAACGGCTGGCTCTATCGTTTCCAAAGCCGACACGATATAAAACTACGCGTACAGCATGGAGAGCTAGGCAGTGTCAATATCGTCAATACTGAGAAGGAGATGGCCTCAATCCGACAGATCCTCTCGAAGTATTCCCATGATGACATTTACAATTGCGACGAAACAGGTCTTTACTGGAAGATGATTCCGGATCGCTCTCTTTCGACGCGCAGCCTTCCAGGCCGCAAAAAGGAGAAGGCCCGGATCTCAGCCCATCTCTGCTGTAATTGGTCAGGTACTGACCGTTTACCAATATGGTTCATTGGCAAGGCAAAAAGGCCTCGCGCCTTCACCGCTGCGGGGGTCGATATCCGCCATATGAACCTAGAATGGACTCACAATAGGAAGGCCTGGATGACAGGGACTATATTTGAGCAATGGCTACGTTGGTTCGACCGCCAAATGGCTGGTAAAAGCGTCATTTTGCTGATGGATAACTTCTCTGCTCATGAAGCCGGATATGAAGCTATTCTGACAAGTGCGACCCCCCTACAAAACACCGCTATCATATGGCTGCCACCCAATACTACAAGCAAAACACAGCCTCTTGATCAGGGAATCATTGCAGCCTGGAAATCTCACTGGCGACGGTACTGGGTACGCTATATGCTGTCGGAATATGACGCCGGTAGAGACCCTCTTAGTACAATGAACGTACTAAAGGCTCTGCGATGGGGCATCCAAGCCTGGGAGCTAGATGTGACTCCTGAAACTATCACGAAGTGCTTCAAGAAAGGCCTCATGGAGGCCCCTAGAGACCCCCAGCAGGCCACACTTGAGGCAGCAATTGCTGCTACTCATGAAGAAGCCGTTCGCGAGATTACGTACGGCTTGCAGAGGCTTCAGGCTAATCATCACGTCAAGGAGGTGATGAACATCCATAACTTCCTGAACCCGGCTGACGAGAATCTGACTGAAGAATCCGACGACCTTGACCAGCAGATTCTCGACCAGTTTACCCCGGCAGGCAATAGCGACGACGACGACGACGACGACGATAATGCTGAGCTTGAAATTGAGCCACGAATCACCATAGTTGAGGCCCTAGAGGCCCTCCGCCGACTGCGCCTTTACCAGGAGCAATCAGGTGGTGATACTGGCCTCATTTCTTACCTCAATAAGCAGGAAAGGGTACTTACGAACTCATCAATTGAAGCCTTACAGCAGAGAGATATCCGCATGTACTTTCAGTAGAATACAGAGCCTGGATAGGCGTGAAATACCTCAAGAATGACCTCCCCTCAATACTGCGGATACCTCATTTTAGCGGATTGAACGGAATGTCTCCTTTATTCCGCATAACCGGGGTTCACCTGTAGTTGCAATTGCGCCTGCGCACGTTTCGTGTCACCTGAGGCTGTCCGATGTGCAAGCAACCCCAAAGAGCAACCTACGCGATGTTTCCCCCCGGCATGTCCATGTCTCTAAGCAGTAATCACTAGCCGGCCGAGGAATTGCCGGTTGTACACAGGATCTCCTCCCACTCCACAAGGGATCCTCCCCCGTGGCATCGTGCGGTAATTCCATCATATTAGCTCGGCAGTTCGATTCACCAATTGAGGCGGCTGCAGTGTCAGAGGATCAACTGTGTGCCACCAAGATAGTGCATCCGTCCAGGGGCCGGGGGCGGCCCAGGGTCCCTTTGGAGAGCAGCCGCTTCAGGATAAGGGAAGCACGCAAGCAGGTCGTTGCGTGACCCCTGGGGACCACACAGCACTTGGCGCTCAGGGTAGACCCTGGCTTGGAGCAGCACCCTGTTGCCCGATAGAGCTTGCTACAGCTGCTAATCTTCAACGTCTGTCCCAGGACAAGGGCCCCGATTGGCTCCCACTGGGGTGGCTGACAGCATTTCTCCCCTGGTCTCCGGACCAATTGCGTGGAGTGCCACGGGACTTATTGTCCTTTGATGCTGATAACCGCTCATGGCGGAAGCGGCGAGCGAAGGGTTCTGCGAGGGGTGATGATGGTGATGTTTCGTGGCCAGGGCAGGGCTTAATTCCGCCGAGTGGTCCCCAGGGGTAAATTCCTGATGTGCCAGAGGCGATAGGGCAAAAAGCATGAATGCCAAGCCTTGCGAACTGCCCGGCTCTTACATCCAACGGGCTGTGGTTATCATAACTCCGGCCAGCATTGATCAACACGGCATGGCTGCTGCCAACAAAGATAAGTCGCCCAGGGGAGCCAGCGCTCTGCCACGTGCTCTCATGTTGCCTCTTTCAGGAGTCCGGCTTCTTGGCTTCCGGACACGTTTTCGCAGCAGAGTGTGCCCAAGGCCACGCTGAAACCAAAGGAATGCCTTTTCGAAAGCTTGACATGATGGTGGTGTTGCCTCGTCTTATCTTCCCGCATCCCCTTTTGGAGGGGGGGGGGGGGGGGACTGGCTCATTCACCATGGAAATATACATACACACACACACGCGCGCGCGCGAGACTCAATATTGCCGCCTCACTGTTTGGCACTCGTACAGATGGCTGTGGCCAGCAGATCTTCTTGCTTGGGGTCAGATAACCGGCGGCTCCCCCAATCGTCCCGGGAGTTGAGAATCTGCCGCTTGTCCGAGAGAAGATCGGCTTGGACCTTACATGCAAGTCGGCGGTGATGGCGGCGGGGGCGGCGGCGACATCTCAATGTCAGCGGCGATGATCTCGGTTGATAAGAGCTTGGCCATGTGCTCGGAATCGGGTCCAACCAAAAACAACGCTCCCGCCCTCGAAAACAGTATGATCTGGGTCCGCGCGCGTTTGGTAACCAGTGACAAACCGACCTTGCGGTTTCTTCTTAAGGGGGAGCTCGAGGGCCCGCATCAGGCGGAGGCTCCACGAGCCCTTGATGACGATAGCATATGTACAGGTGAGCAGCTGTGTACGACGGCAAATGGAGGACGAGGTTGATTCCTACTAGCAACACTGGTACGAGCATATTTGACTATGAAGCATGATTTCAAACTGGAGAATGTGCTCTCCTGGCCTGCTTGTTGATTGTTTGAGCAAAGCTCTGGCTTCTAGGGAGGAGAAAATATGGCGGCGTGCCGCGCGGATTCCCTGCAGCATCCTGCCACGGCGCCGCTGGAGGGCGGGAAATTCTCGCTCTGGGCTTCCCTCCTCCTTATCCCGCGAAACTGTGAAGCTGCATGTTCTACCCGGGCGTGATTTGCGAGCCCTAATTCGAAGGGATCAGCATGATATCCGGACAAGTGGCATCTTGTATTTGCCATTGCGCCAGGATAGTTCGAGCGGCAGATAAGATGGCAGAGGCTGTAATGCGAAGCCATTTCGCTCACGTCCTTGCATCACTCACGGTCCGACGACATGGCTGCGGTCTGTATTTATGGCTTACGTTTCGTGCGCGTGGTCGTGTTGATGTTCGTGTGCTGGGACAACGGTTTGTCAAATATGCTCGCGGCTTCGTGGCTCACTTGCCGTCTGCGCTGGGATCATGGGCGAATGGTAGTAGATTCTCCTGTCTGGCTTGCGTCTCTTAAGATCATATCGTCCTGGCAAGCACTTCATAATTGCTGTGTCATCGCTATGAGAGCCATGAAAGTGGAGAGGGCACCCCGAGGCAAGCGCCAGGAGAATATGAGAGACTGTCCGGGCCAGCGATTTCATGCTTGATGAGTAGCTAGAGACTGTTTCTGGAGGAGGCTGCCTGATGATGGTCAGAAATTCAGTAAGGGGTGCATATTGGCACAAGGGATCCAGACTGCGTGAACCAGACCAGGTGTTTTCCATGCCGTCTTCTGCGTTGCACCTGGCGAAAGGGGATAGGCTGTAATCCAGAAGGCTGGTACCGGACGCAACTTCGCCAAGTGAGCATGTAGTAAACATGTGGTAACTGTCTGTGGTCCGAACTATATGGTCTCGGGCTAGGTACAGTCGAACAGAAAGCCAACGAGGACTCATAGTCTCTGAGCAACGGGCACTTTCGGGCAAAGTTTGCATATTTGGATATCTGAATTGTAGTGAGTAGTGAATAGTGAGGCACAGGCTGCGAATCATGCATTAATGTTTCATACGCGGTCTGAATACTGACTATGTGGAAACGAAGCACACAACCGGGGTGCTCAGTTGGATTAAACAACGCATGCTTACCATCTAGCCGCAGGTAGCTACCTATTTCCGTCGAAACGCCAGTATCAGCTAAATCGAGAAAGGCTGGCTGGGAGAGCCACTCATCTAACTCTCGAGAGCCCAGATGAACTTTTCTTGACACTATTTGAATCTTGTTTGCCAAAACCTGCCCCCCGAAGTCACAAAGTCTTCTACTCCAAGCCGTACCTGCCATATAAGTGTCAAAGTCCTTCCGCCTTGAATGGGTCAGCAGCTGATGATTATGGGGCATTCTAACAGGGAGTTAACTTTCGAGAGTTCTCTTGTGCGATCGGAAACGTGTGCAGCCCGAGCAGGTGGGTACAAATCAAGGTTGGAGCCAGACTTCACGGCGTCCTCCACGTGTCGGGTATCCTTACTGGCCCCCATGTCGCTTCAAGCCTCAGGCTCCTCGTTGTCGCTGTCGTCCTCGGAGTCTTCCATGTGACTGTCTTCGTCATCATCAAGGGCCTCAACATGACTCTGATCCTCGGGTCCCACTGGCTGGTCGTCGTCTGCAAGCTCGATGGCGACAGCAGCAAACTTCTCATCCACCGTACTCAAAACTTTTCTGAGCTTTTCTTTCGTCTCTGCGATCGTCTCTATGTCGTCCTTGGTTTTGAGATGATTGCCACCGAGGACATTTGTGTAATCTTGCTCCAGTGCTCGAAACGCTTTGGCTGTGCAACTTCTGGCACATTGGTCGAGCCGTGATGCCAGGCTGGCAAACTCGCTCTCCAGAGCCTCATGGGCCGAGATGAGCATCTCGAATGCCTTGGCTCTGACTTGCTCCGACATGGTCTCTTTCATCCGCGTGAACTTGCCTTTTCCTATACAATTGGTAAGCTTGGTACCTCATGAAACTTTCACCAAAGGATCAAAGTCACACTAACCACCATTAACTCCCATCACACGCTCATATGTCTTCTTCATGCGGTTGGCGACGGGTGGAGTGAATCGTCGGCTTGCCTCTCTCTGCACGTGCTTAATGACGTCAGTAAGTGCTCCAGACCTGTAGTTGAGCTGCGTGTTTCGGGCCTTGAGCTGGGCTTCGAGCGCCTTGAGCGTTTTAGCAGAAACACTTGGGCTGATATCCTCGACGATGATCTTATGGAATGCATTTTGGTGCTCCATCGATTTGTCCACAAATTCTTCTATAAGCTGGGGAATGGCGGTAGAGAACGTGGTGGACCAGTTCTTCTCGACATAGCTTTTCAGGGGCGAGACAAGATCTATTCCGCAAGTGATTAGTTGGCGTTGGCTAACGTATCTTGTCGGTTCACAATATTCCTTTGGATAGAGTATTGAGTATAGCGCAAGGTGCCCCCTCCCTAAAACAGAAAAGAAACGACAGAAAAAGGGAAAGAAAGGGAAAGAAAGGGAAAAAAGAAGAAGAAAACAGACACATACCCTCATTGAAGTCATGCTCGCCTAGAGCACCAGAGAATACGCCACTGTATATTGTGAGCTCAGCACTTCGCAAGAGGAAATAGAGCACTTACTTGCGACGACACACAGCCGCATATGTCGCGTAGGGTAGACCAAGACGGTTGTCCTTTGCCACGGGCCATTTTCCCGCTTTCTCGATAGCCTCTACTGAGAATTTGTGCAAAGCGCCCCTTAACTTGTGGAGTATGCTCTTCTCGAGTGTGTCTTTGCAACTTTCCGTGAAGGCAAACGCTGCTTCATCAAGGCTCTGATAGCCTACAATCAGCTAAAGATATCTAGTGACCTTGTGTGAGTTCAACAAAATGACCTACCGCCTTAAGAGTAGCTAAATTGTGGGACATTTTTTCCATACGCCGCTGTTCGTTGCCGCCGTTGAACCATACTTGGTCACACGCCCATATTTGCAGAGAATTCAAGACCTCCAGCACGTCGGTGACGAATTGTCTGCCTCGCCTAATTCGGTTCTGCTTTGTGAGGTTGAGTGCATGATTCTTCAGTTGCGGGATCTCTGTAACATGTAGAAGCTCATCGTCCTCTGTCCGCTTATATTCGAGTGTGCTGACACAAAAGACTGACAGGTTGAAGCCCGCGCTTCTGTTATTCCGAGAACCAGCTCCGGAACCATAAGCCTCCCCATTTTTGCTCCAAGCCTTGGCCGGGGCTGATCTGTCACGAAAATATAAGTCAGCAGTTGTCCAAAACGAACAAGTGGGAGCTCAAATTTGGCCCCAAGAGCCCGCTTCACTCACTCTTCCAAGTCCCGCTGGAAGTCCCTGCGCACAGCCTCTTTGACAACACTATTTCTCGCCTTGATGCACTCAAGTCTTAACTGGGCAAGTTGTGCATGCATTTCGTTGTTCAGCTTAATCTTCTCGCGGTTCAGCTGGAAAGTTTTCCTGTCAACCTCGTACGCCTCCTTGGCGGTTATCTCAGCTATGCTCTGAAGATGTTGCAGCATAGAACGCGCTTGCGGAAGGGAGACGTCCGTGCCGACTTGCAGTGTCGCAGGGCTGTTGGCCAGCTTCTCCCATACATCTTCTGCTGAAGCGTAGAATTTACTCAAGAGCATGTTTTCTTGGGTCATGCCTCCTGCTCCTGACTCAACGTTTGGTCCAGAATGCCTCTTGTTGCTCGTCGGGGGCGCATCGGGGGCCTTTCTTTTTCGCGCACGTGTGCGTGGTACCTCGGCCTTCTTACCAGCTTGCACGGTGACGAGTAGACTGTCCCATTTTTTGGTTCGTCTCGTAATCTCCAACTCGAGTTTACCCAGAGCAGTACATCGCTGATCGAGTTGCTGAAGTTCCTGGAGATGCTGCTCTTCCCAGGCGGTCTTGCTCTTTTGAGCATTTGTCCACTTCTCATGTTGTCTGTGCAAGTCGAATTGCTCCCACGCTACTTCTGGTATAATGTGATCTGTCTTAGTGCAGACGAGGGTGAGGTTCTCGATGTTGCCATCGAGTCTGAGCTGTTGTTTAAAGCGCTTGGTCAGAAGATTCTGAGCTGCTTTGTCCGCTGCGGCCCTGGTGATATCGGCGACAACCCAGACTGCATGGCATTTCTGTAGATACTGCGAAGCAACGGCGTCTCGAGCTGCATTGGAGTCCTGGACTCCGGGCTGCATCGAACATGTTAACATCTTCAGCTAGCCATCAGTTGTATATGGGCTACAACTTACGAGATCAACAAGAACAAGTCCGCTCGAGAGAATGTCAGCTTTTGTGTGAATTCGAACAACTCTAATCAGAGGCCACAGGGCCATCTTCTTTTTCCTTCTTGAGCTGCCCTGATACCGCGCCAGATGCTCGTCAGTGTTCTCATGACCGATTTCATGGTCCGCACCAAAGGACGAGTCATCTAATGAGGCATCATGAGGATGATTGGTTCCTCTAGTGTCGTTGGAGCCGTCTTGATTACCACTGAGAATTGTTATTGCATGTGCAATGTCGATAGCGCTTTGCGACTTATCTCGGCTATTGACGTAGCGATTGAGGGTCCCACGAAACTCATCGATGTTGGAAGCTCGAATATGCTGTGTCGTGCCGAGAAGCTCGCAAATATCAGGATCCGCCATCAGAAACTCTATTTTGCTGTTGACAAATGCTTTGTGATATGTGGATAAATTGCACGGACTTTGGCCCATGCCGCTCTTGCAGCCTCGGAATAACGTACCACCGTCTCTTCACTGTCTTCGTCAACAGTGCAGATATCAGCACGAAGTAGCTCAAGTTCTGCTTTCCACTCAACTGGGTCGATATAAGCCACCTTGGCTTGATAGAGCTCATCCTCGGCTTCAGAATCGTTGTAAGAGATTTCAGTCACGACGGACGTGCAAGCAAGGGCACAGTCTGTGGGCACAAGATCGTCTCCACCTAAGAGAGTGTTGACGAGTGAGCTCTTGCCTACTCCTGTGGAACCTACGATGCCAAGGATAAATTGAGAGTTGTCCTCAATTCCCGTCAAGGTATGCACCTTCGTTAATTGCTGATCAAGATATTCACTCTTGACCGAATCATATAGAGTAGATGAAATTCCTCGCAGAACCTCTCGGCAAATCTCAGATGCCTTTTGCAGTCTTTCAATTGATGTCGACTCGCTGATATTCTTCAGCACTGTGAAGCTTTGGTGAATGCCAGTCTCGCCAGTCTCGCCCGAGTCTCGACCTCGACTCGATGGGGTTGAAGCTGCAAATTCTTGTTTGACCAAAATTGGAGTTTTCTTCTCCGGCTTCACACCCGCATCAGTTGAGCCAGTGGCTGCAAACATATTGTAGTCAGACGCGGAATCTTGAGCTATAGGCGAGTTGTGGCCAGGAGCGTGTTTGATTCTGTGCTTCGCAAGTCTGAGAAACAAAGGGCTTGACGGGATCATCCAACGTGTATGTATTTATTCCCATGCGATGAAAGGTCCTGTTATTGTTGCGATGATGTAAGGTGTTTGATCCAGAAAGAGCCAGATGTGTTTTTTGGTGGACTCGACAGCGATTTGGACAGACTGTGTTGCACCGCCAACGTGACGATAAGAAATGTGCTCTGGGTTGGGGGAATAATCGTGGGTCGGTGAGAAGGGAAGAGTTAGAGGAACGAGGTCCCCTAAGATTGTGCTATTTTGAAGGAGGAGTGATGAGGTGACTGCCGGTGAGTATGTCGTGAATGTCTAAACACCTTCTCGAGAATAAATGGTATTAGCTGTTCAAAATGGAAGGAACGGGTTATGAGGAGGAAGACAGCGGCGGTTTTGGCTGGCGGAACAGGCCGCTGCCAATCACTAGATCCAGAGGGTGTATAGGGTGAAGCTGCGTGTATGGTTGAAAGTGTCCTCTTTGTCTAGTGACGGAAGTCCAAGTCGCTCAACCCAGCCGCCGAGCTGATGAATGTGTGCTTGTAGGCAATACGTTAAGGCCCGTGGTGGTATCAGAGTGAGTGGAATGTGGTTGATGGACCAATGAGTTGCTGTCGCTACATATCAAGGGCTCGATGTCAGCTTGCGAGCAAGGACGTTACCTGGGCCAAGAGAGAAACTGACGATAGCAGCCAAATGCACCTGCGATAAATGGTACGGATGTCGCACATGTGACGATAGAAGATCGTCTGCGGTTATGAAGTCGAGTGCTTGATGTAAGTTGTGGGGTTGGGAGTGTGCCTGCGTGTTGGCACGAGAATGGTGTATTGGGTGTGAGAGGGGAAGTGCCCTCTTAGTTGAGATTAGTCGCTTTCGTGGAGTTGGCTTGATTTCCCTGTGCGTGTAAGGCGGAAAGCAGAAACTTGTGTGCGGACTTGGGTTGTGATGGATGTACTTGCTAAGTTGGACTAGGACGACGAAACCCAGAACTGCCTGCACACCTCGAAATGGTCAACATGCAGCACGAAAGACGCCTAAGAGTCCTGGAAGCCGCCTGGTAACTTGACCAAGAAATGACAAAGAAGAAGAGCGTTGAGGAGCATGCCATACGAACAAGCAAGAATAATGAAACTGTGTTAATCACACGACTACTAGCACAAGTTGGACAAGCCCGAGTGCATCTTGATTGCTAAACGATGCGACGATGTACTGCAAACCCATCAAGTTATATTCGATAGCTTAAATACAGGAGAAGCAGAGGACTATGATTATGGGAGATGCACCGTGCTTTGGTACTGAAGTGATGAAGTTCACAGCAACCTCACAACTCTACCTCAGTGCACTCCCTACTTAGCGTCGGCTCAGCGCTAGGTTGGTGAAGCCTGAAGTGTACTGAGGTGCTCCTTTAGGAAGTGACCCTTCGCTGTGGTTGGATGCTCAGAGCTCAAGGTTGACCGCCTTCCCGGTACAGCTCTAGCGCTAATGGCAGGTCCGCAAGGGCTGGCCTGCCGGCTGGGAGCTCGAGCTTGCGTCCCTGGATTTCAGGCCAGGTCCCCAGCCAAACAGAGCCTCAGGGCTTCCAAGCTCAAGCCTCCAAGCTCCAGATCACTACAACCCACCTGTTTGGCGCTCCGCACTGCCCCCCAACCTGCTCTTCTGAAGCACAAAAACAACAGCCATCACGAAGACCGAACATTGCATTATCCGCCTACAGCCAAGCCCCCTCGGCGCGCCGCCACCATGTCGACCGTCACTGCGACCGCCCTCCAGTCGGAGAACCCGCCCATCATCCCGCTGCCTTTCAACGCGAACCAGCCGCAGACAATCAAGCTGTACCCGCTGTCCAACTACACGTTCGGCGTCAAGGAGACGCAGCCCGAGGAAGACCCGTCGGTCATTGCGCGCCTCAAGCGCCTCGAGGAGCACTACAATGCGCACGGCATGCGCCGCACCTGCGAGGGCATCCTCGTCTGCCACGAGCACAACCACCCGCACATCCTCATGCTCCAGATCGCCAACGCCTTCTTCAAGCTGCCCGGAGACTACCTGCGGCCTGAGGACGACGAGGTCGACGGCTTCAAGGCCCGCCTCGACGAGCGACTGGCGCCCGTCGGCAGGATAGGCGAGGGCGAGGAGGCTGGTGACTGGCACGTCGGCGACTGCCTGGCACAGTGGTGGCGGCCAAACTTTGAGACCTTCATGTACCCCTTCATCCCCGCGCACGTCACGCGGCCAAAGGAGTGCAAGAAGCTCTACTTCATCGAGCTGCCAAAGTCCAGTACGTATCCCACTGCTCGGCGCCCGGCCTCTTACTATGCATTATGCTGACTTTGTACCCCGACAGAGGTTCTGAGTGTGCCCAAGAACATGAAGCTGCTCGCCGTCCCGCTCTTCGAGCTCTACGACAACACTGCACGATACGGACCCCAGCTCTCGGCGATACCGCACCTCCTGAGCAAATACAACTTCGAGTTTGTTAACGAGAACGACGAGGTTGTCGCGGCGACACCAGGAGTCGGCCCGGATGGATACGTGCCCAAGACGAAGGTGCTGGCTGGCGGAAGTGGAGGCGATGAGGACATGAACGACGCCAAGGAGGAGGAGAACGGCACTGCATAGGCCGAGACCTCACGAGCCGGGCGCGCAGGCCACAAAACATAAATTTTGATGATGCACGTAAGTGCACAAGAAAAGTGTATGGCGTTGGGGAGCAGCATGGATTGGTCATTTCAGGCGTACGGCGCAAACAACATTGCGGCACAAATAGATGAACGAAGGATATCCCTCATGGCGGACGCTTCTGGGAAGCTCAGCACTAGGAAGGTGATGTTGGTTCGATATCACCAAGAACGTGGCATGCTGAGGAATGGCAAGCATAAACGCGACAAGGAGACATTCGTGTTGTGGTCTCCATTGTGTCGTGAAAGAGCTATTTGCTTCTTGATACTGGTGCATTGCTGTGAGAACATGACACTTTACGCCTTCTCGCCCTGAATCGTTGCCACAACACGTCTTGTGTGCTTGACTGCCCTGAACTCCAAATACCAAATACCCTGCCATGTGCCAGTTGCCTATCACAGTGAAACATCAGTAACCGTCCAGAAAGAAAACCCTCGTCCACAAATCATGTCAACACCTACAAGCTTGCCATCCCGGATGGGAATCGTCACGCTCGCGCCGACCAGCGCGCTCTTGATGTGCGCGGGCATGTCGTCGGGCCCCTCGGCAGAGTGGCGGTACAGCTCCTCGCCCTTGGCGCCGGCCTCAGGGGCGATGCGGTCCAGCGCGTCGCTCATGTCGGCGCGCACGTCGTCGTCCCAGTTCTCGTTGAGGCTCAGCGCGCACGACGTGTGCTGGACAAACAGGTGCAGGATGCCGACCTTGTAGTCCCGCAGCTCGGGCAGCGCCGAGACCACGTGGTCGGTGATCAGGTACGAGCCCCGGCTGCGAGGCGGGAGGGTGAACTGCTTCTGGGACCAGGACATGGTGCTTTGCGGTGGCGGTGTTGGTTGCTGCTGTTGTTGCTGGGGCCCGGTATGTGTGGTGGTGACGGTGCAGCAGTCGGTGTTGGGAGTTGTGGTGGGTGCAATGCCAGGCGGCGATGACGTCGTGGCCCTGCTAAAAGTATAGGCCAGCAGTGAGAACGGCAGCGTCCACAGAGAATGGAAGAGGCTTGGAAACAAAGCGACAAGTATACCGAGGAGGAGAAGAAGGGAGTAGAGGCTTGTGTTTGAGCTCGTGGTGCTGCTGCTGCTTGTGGATGACGGCATTGCCTGCAATGCTTTCTCTCATCGAGGTGTGCTGGAGAGGGTTCTTGGGGACTGATTGGGTGGTAATGGAGGTTTGTGGTGGGGTTTTGTGGATTGGTTGAGCTTCACGAGGGACGAGGCTTAATGTTCAGCCAAGACCGGGGCACTGCGCGGAGCAGAAGTTGCTCTTCATCATAAACAGCTGTACGCAAAATGAATGGGTACACCTGCATAATACAGTGAAACAGAAGAGAGGCACTTAGGAGCAGGCTTGGATGAGGATGTTAGTATGACTGCTGAGAGGAGTGGTCGGCCGGCCGCCCAAACATGGATGTCCCTGGTGTCCCTGGCACGGATCTCGCGATTTTCCATCACCGAACAGAGAGCTCGAATGAGGCGACACTCTTTTATTCCTGAACGACGCAGCACTGGGTTGAAAAAGCTCGATTGACTAGACAAATGCAGAGCGACGAAAGGAATATGTCTAGGGTGTCGCCATTTTGTGGATGCTCTCCGTGACAAAAACCAGGACATACGATCCGTACGCAAGATGTAACCTTTGAGGAATCGCTGCACGATACTCATTTTGGCGGGATTCACCAGCAGGATCAGTCTGTCGATCTTCGCGACCGCCTGAATTACTTGAGCGAACCTATCTTCTCCTCATTGGGCTACCGAAGTCGTTTCCGATTTCCGAAGGATATGTACACATTCGACTTCGCAAAGTCACCTTGAACACATGTCTCGTGGTGCGCTTCGTCCACTTTGCCATATAGGCAAGCCACTTAAGCAAGAGGGTAAGACGTCTCGGGAAGAGCCTCAAGGTGGTGCCTGTGGTGCTCATTGGCCTGTTGTTTCAACGTCAGCCGATCTCTCCTGCACAAGCACCCAGGAGGCAGTCACTGGGAAGCACTTACATAAGGGAGACCACAGTAGTTGCACACAGCAATCTCTGGCTTGTCTGTGTTGATGAAGATCTTGGGGTGTCCGGCAGGGCCACCACCTCCATCGCAGGCGACTATCCGGTCGTGGGTCCAACGCACCGGCTGCTTGTGAATGAGCTCAATCGCAGCTTTCGATTGTGGCTTATCCAAGGGTCAGCATCACATCATCGCAACCGTTGCGTCCAGCTCGCTCATGGTGTATTGCCGGAAGTGTTGCCGAGGGCGTACCTGAAGGCTGAAGTCTGTCTGCTCGAATCGCGGCCCGCTCATGGCATCTCCCCGCGGCCGCTGGCTCCGGGACCAGATCTCCTTGCGGTTGGGTGCTTGCGAGACACCAAGCTCTGCGTTCTCCGTGACGCCTAGTGAGGCGTCCTCGCTCGTGGTTTGCGGCGTGGTTTCGTTCTTCTTCGGAAGGGTGTTGACCTGGGCGTCGCAGAGCCGGGCCGAGACGACAAAAGTGCGCTTGCTGAGCGCCACCGCGCGCTGCGGCAGTTGTCGGGAGATTGCGCGCGAGAGCATCTTGTCGTCAGTGGTCCAGACGTTGTGCTAAGTGTGGGATCGTGGACCGTTCTTTGCCGGTGGAAGTTGCAGCTCGAGGGCCTGCTGCTGCTTGGGTGTGAGGTGAAATGCGCCAGCACCAATTGGCTAATGGGGAAGCAGCAACCTTGAACGGCGGGCGGTACATAGTGGAAGTCGTCCCTGCCATGCCGAGCTCGGGCCACCTACCCGGTTAGGCGTTCCTAGGCGCGGTCGCCCGAGACCCTGGCAAGTCCTTGAACTTTTGCGAACCCTTCGTTTGCGACGAGCATTTTATACATACAAGCACCAGATTCACCAAACCAACCGGAACGACACCCTCGGGCTGTGCTCGAACTTGCTTGCGACCGATCTAATCGTTGCCAGAAACGTGCGACGAATACGCCCACCGCACTTAACGTCCCCGCATCGATTGTTCAACAACAGGACTCCCAGCACCTGAACCCATCTATTCTTTGCCTTCGTACCTGTGCCGCGGCGGTCGCGCAGATCCGTCACCATGGCGACTCAAACACCCCCGAAGACCATGTCTTCGCGACTCCTGACGATGAAGTTTATGCAAAGAGCTGCGACGACGCCGACAACATCCAGCCCGAGCACACCTGCATCAGAAGAGCAGTCTGCGAAGCGCCGGAAGGTTGCCCACAAGCCAGAAGACGACAGTATTGAGGCCATGGTGGATCACAAAGCAGTACAACTTGCGTTGGCCGAGGAGGAGCGAAAGAGGCACGAGGCTGTACTGAGGAATGCTGCTGCCGCCGGCGATGCTCGATGGGTATTGAATGCGCCTCAGCATCAGTCGCTAGCAGTAAAACCGCTGTTGAATGTTGTACAGGTTGGCTTTGCGCAAATCGATTCGCCAAATACAAAAGCAGGAAACGACTCAGACGACTCGGCCAGCGAGTCGGAGACAGCTGTGCCTTTCCGGAGGTTCAACATGGAGAAGAAGAAGGTGTGTTCACAGTGAAAAGCGTGAAGTTCCTCATTCCATACTAATGAGGCCGATAGATCAAGAAGCCAATCACATCGGATTCTGAATCAGACTCCGACTCTGATTCTGAATCAGACTCCGACTCTGATTCTGATGATTCCGGTGATGAGCCGGCTGGACGCACCTCGTACGGTCAAAGTTCGCGTGATTCATCTGACCCAGACCGCGCCGCTGCTGCTCGTAGGGCTGTCAAGGCCATGCAAGGCACGCGAACAGCCGAGCAATCTCGAGCTGCGCAGCTAGCCGGGAAACGTCGCAAAAAGGATGTGAAGCTGAACTCGATATCTTCAGGCGGCGGAGGTGGACTTTCCAGGTCTGGGTCCACTAAAAGACCCCAGACGTCGTCAGTCAAGTGCTACAAGTGTGGCAAACCTGGGCACAAAGCCACTGAATGCAGCAAGTAAGCTCGACATCATCGGTGAGATTCATAAAGCATCGAGCTTGTGGTCGTTTCAGCTCTGAGACTGTGCTAGTATTGCGCTGTTTTGCACTACAACTTACAAGAGCAGCAGCAGCGGTCGTGAGTTGAGGGTGTACCAACACGTGAAGCCTCAATTATTGGCAAGATACCTCATTGCGCTTGTGGCTGCCTCTGTAGTTGCTGCCCCTTTGACTGCGCCGGACGCATTCTCAGCATGGCACAGTTCGCACCACCATGACCTGCGCTAGAGGCTTGATTGCCAATCTCTTGGGCGCGAATGTCAGTAAGCCACCCGGCTCATCCGCCTGCGGACGTCGAGGCTGCTTCGTGCCAGAATGCGTGCTGCTCATGACCAACAGGGATCCATTGAGAATGGCGTGTAAACTTATACTCCGAGTTCGGTGTATCGACCACTCTCGATGAGTTGTGTTCGCTAGCGGAGTCGCATCCTCCTTCATAGTGTTAGCCTGTAACATAAGGACTTCTAGGGTTGCAGCCCAATGAAGAACATATGCGAAGGATGGATGCAGCACATTTAGTAAATAACACTTTATGGTACAGACCACATGAGCTGTTGCTTCCATTAATGCATAGCATGTTTTATGTTGTCTTCAATCAAACTTCAGAGGAGAATATCGCGACGATGTGTTTGGCTGTCCTCGTCATCCTTCCCTAGAGTACGGTAGACGTCTGGCCCATGCCTGATCTTCACATCCGCAGGAAGCGCAGCCCAAGAACTGAAACCTCCTCGAATTGCCCGTGCCGATCTAGGACCCTGGACATTATTGATGATAGATTTTGTACCCCGGCCACTTAAAATAGGTACTTCGGATTGCACCGCCCCTCTCGGGAATGCACCAGCACATGACGTTGGGCATTTGTGGTCTCCTGCCCCATGCAGTATCGGTGATCCCAGGGCGTCTTCGGATGCACCCAGACTGCAGACCGCTACATCGTGCATTTGCTTCTTCTGTGCAGGGATGCTGGCACCCTGCTTTTAAGAAAATCGGCCAATGCGAGACCAGCAGGCCAAGTGCCAAACCAGCGCGCAAGACACGGAGCTGCACCTTCATTCCAAAGACATCAACCATCATACAGGAGTGAGGGGAAACATTCCTGGAATTTATGGCATAGGGTCTCTGCATGCTGGGCATATTCATGCTCGCGGTGAAGTTCGCAGCTTCTATCAAGGCAAATAAAACGAATGCTGGGGCGGCAACGACCGGTTAACACCAGGTCATGCCTCTCTCGGGTCAGGTATGTGATTGTTGGAATAGCCAAAATGTCTGCCACACTGGTTTTGCTTGGGCATGGCCCAACTCGTGTGATTTGGAACGGGCCACTTTGGTGAAATGCAAACACGACTCAGTGATGTGCTTGCTCAAGGTTGCTCTAACCAACAAAGCCCAATGGTGCGTGATGATGGAAGAACAGCCCGTTTTCGAGCTGGCCCTTCAGGCTGAAACACCCCATGACAAAAACTTATCGTCATGTGCCGAGAGGTGGTGATTGTAATTAGTTCCGTGCAGCCCGGCATCTTACCACCTGGGGCCTGTATGTATGCCAATGGTACTTAGGTGGTAGGTTTGATAATGCAGAGTCATTGTGACTTCAGAAATGCACATGAGTGCAGCTGTGATAGGGCAAACGGAGCACCGGCCCCGGCTTTGATTCAAGAACCCTTGCGGCCAGGGGTAGTCCGATTGCCTGCAAGAAACAGCTTGAGTAGGATCTCGGGACATCACAGAGACTGTGGACGTAGGCTTCCCATGCTTGTAGAAGCAACGCAACCACTGCTTAGCTCGAGCCTACGGCCACGCTTAGCGGGCCATCTAGCACCAAAACCCGCACACTTGTCGACAACTTCACAGCCGAGGCGGGTGGTTGCATCATCGCCCTCCTCCAGCACGACGAGCCCAACGTGTGCATCTGCAGCCTGGCCGCCCGCTGGAACCCCAGTTGAACCCACAACAGCACGCCAAAGGGCCCCCCCTGCTGCATATTACCACCTTACGTAGGACCGCCCCCGCCGCCGCCAGGTCCCCCGCGAATCAGTTCAAGGAGCCTCCGACATCAAACATTCGCACACGCCGTTCAGCCTGCCCAGCTTTCCTTTGCAAGCTTGGCTTGAGCCTGCAATCCCTCACAGAAACGCTGGCTTTTCTTTACTCCTCCCGCCCTCTCCTTGCCATTGTCTCCCTTGGTATCCATTCTCGATCCGCAGTCCGGGCCGCCGCCATCTTCCCTCGTGCCCCGCGTCGCTTCGGCCGTTGCCACTTCAGCATGAGCCCTTCTGCTGAGCCTCTCGCCATGAGGCAGCAGCGACAGAGTCAAGTCGAGCGAGTGACTGACCAGCTCGAGACTCCCTCCGTCGACGATCGTGCCTATCGTGTCATTCGCCTGCCCAACCAACTCGAGGCCCTCCTTGTCCACGATGCGGACACAGACAAGGCTTCTGCTGCCCTTGACGTCAATGTCGGAGCCTTTAGCGACGAGAGCGACATGCCTGGCATGGCCCACGCAGTAGAACATGTAAGAAGAACCCCACGAACATTCACACCCTTAGCGGACGTCACAATGGCTGACTATGGCGCAGCTGCTGTTTATGGGCACAGAAAAGTACCCCGTGGAGAACGACTACAATGTGTACCTGTCTTCACATTCCGGAAGCTCAAATGCCTACACCGGCGCCTGCTCGACCAATTACTACTTTGACGTCGCCGCAAAACCCAGCAACGACGAAGAGCCCACCGAGTCGAACCCGTCGCCACTATACGGCGCTTTGGACCGCTTCGCCCAGTTTTTCATCGCGCCGCTATTTCTGGCATCAACATTGGACAGAGAGCTGCGCGCGGTCGACTCCGAGAACAAGAAGAACCTACAGAGCGATACTTGGCGGTTACACCAGCTCGAGAAGTCCCTGTCCAACCCGAATCATCCATACTGCCACTTCTCGACAGGAAACCTCGAGACGCTCAAGACACTGCCAGAGGGCAAGGGAGTTGACGTCCGTGCCAAATTCATGGAGTTCCATGAGACGCATTACTCAGCCAACCGGATGAAGCTGTGCGTGCTGGGCAGAGAGCCTCTCGACGTGCTTGAGAAGTGGGTGGCAGAACTGTTTGCGGAGATTCCGAACAAGGACCTGCCACAGAATAGGTGGGAGGCCGAGTTGCCATGGACTGGAGATCAGCTCTGCAAGCAGGTTTGCGCCAAGCCTGTAATGGACTCACGCGAATTGAACCTTTACTTTCCTTTTATGGACGAGGAGACATTGTTCGAGAGCCAGCCGAGTCGGTACATCAGCCACTTGATCGGCCACGAAGGCCCAGGCAGCATCATGTCCTACATCAAGTCGAAGGGCTGGGCGAACACACTGAGTGCAGGCGCCTATCCCATCTGTCCGGGAACGCCTGGTGTCTTTGACTTTCAGGTCCGCCTGACGAAGGAGGTTCGTTTGAATTTTGAGCGTGCGATTTCGGCATACAGGCTGACATATTTGCTAGGGTTTGGTGCACTACAAAGAAATCGTCAAGGTCTTCTTCGAGTATGTGGCTCTTCTGCGCGAGAGCCCGCCCCAGGAGTGGATCTTTGACGAGCAAAAGGGCATGGCCGATGTGGACTTCAAGTTTAAGGAGAAGACTCCTGCGAGCCGGTTCACATCAAAAATATGTGCCGTCATGCAGAAGCCACTTCCGCGAGAATGGCTATTGAGCGGTCAGAGCCGTCTTCGCAAGTTCGACTCCAAGCTCATCAAGCAAGGATTAGATTTGCTACGGCCTGACAACTTCCGCATGACCCTCATCTCAAGGGAGTTTCCGGGGAATTGGGACCAAAAGGAGAAGTGGTACGGAACCGAGTACAAGAGTGAGGACATTTCAAGTGATTTCCTTGCCGAGCTTACTCGAATTGCGAATGGAGATGCCAAGGACCGGCTCGCCACCTTGCACCTACCGGGCAAGAACCAATTTATTCCCACAAAGCTGGAGGTGGAGAAAAAAGAGGTCAAGGAGCCTGCGATTTCGCCAAAGCTGCTCAGAAACGACACAATCGCACGAACATGGTACAAGAAGGACGATACGTTTTGGGTTCCCAAGGCCAACCTCATTGTCAGCCTCAAAAACCCAGTAATTTTCGCCTCGGCTGAAAATGCCGTCAAGGCGAAGCTCTTTACAGATCTCGTGAGAGACGCTCTTGAGGAGTACTCGTACGATGCCGACCTCGCCGGTTTGTCTTATGTTGTAAGCCTCGACAGTCGCGGCATATTTGTCGAGGTCTCTGGTTATAACGACAAGCTTCCTGTGCTTCTGGAGCAAGTCTTGGTTACGATGCGGGATCTTGAGATCCGCGACGACCGCTTTGAGATTGTACGGGAGCGGCTGAATCGAGGCTATCAAAACTGGGAGCTACAACAGCCCTTCCAGCAGGTCAGCGATTACTTGCAGTGGCTTACCTTGCAGCACGAATATGTTGTGGAGCAGCTCGTGCAGGAAGTCCCAGATGTCACTGCCGACGGAGTCCGCCACTTCTGCAGACAGATAATGTCGCAGCTCCACATTGAGACATATGTTCACGGCAATCTCTATAAGCAAGATGCGCTCAAGCTGACAGAGATGATTGAGTCGATCTTGAAGCCTCGTGTTCTGCCCAAGGAGGAATGGCCCATCGCGCGATCCCTCATCATCCCACCTGGATCCAACTTTTTGTTCTCGAAGACATTGAAGGACCCTGCCAACGTTAACCACTGTATCGAGTATTTCCTCCACATCGGCCCAAAGGGCGATCGGGGTATCCGTGCCAAGACACAGCTACTCGATCAGATACTACACGAGCCAGCCTTCGACCAGTTGAGGACCAAGGAGCAGCTCGGTTACATCGTTTTCACCGGTGTGTGCCCTGGTGCGACAACGTATGGGTTCCGTGTTATCATCCAGAGTGAGAAGAAGCCAGAGTACCTAGAGTCACGAGTCGACCTCTTCCTGGCTGCGCAGGGCATGGCTTTGGAAAAGATGAGCGAGGCCGACTTTGAAAGCCACAAGCGGAGTGTGGTCAACAAACGCCTCGAAAAGTTGAAGAACTTGGACCAGGAGACTGGGCGGCACTGGGCTCAGATTGCCAACGAGTACTACGATTTTGCTGCTTGTAAGTCTGTGAATACAAACTCGTTATTGATATGGCATTAACTCAACCCCAAACAGCGCAAGAGGACGCCGCTCGAGTGTCGCAGCTAACCAAGGACGATATGATTCACTTTTACCGCACATTCATTGCTCCTACATCACCAGAGCGCGCCAAGCTCGCGATCCACCTCGTGGCTCAAGGAGTCAGCGGTGATGCTACACCAGCAGACGTTCCGGCTGGGCAGGAGGATGTCTCTGTGCCTTCAAATGGCAAAGAAATTGTTGTCATTGACAACGTTCGGGATTACAAGGCTGGTCTCGTGGTCAGCGCTGGTGCCCGGCCGACTCAGCAACTCAGCGAATTTGAGGACAGCGACGCGAAGCTGTGATTGTATAACTGTAGGGTTGGTAGATGTCCTTTCGAAGGAGGGAAGGCGTTGGCACAATTAGAAAAGACACCAGGCAACAGAAGAAGAGTCAAGCGTATCCGCATCGTGATGCATTGCTGATTAGTCTCGCCTCCCATGTGACTATTACACAACACACAAGTCCCACTTTTTGGCAATCCCTCAAATACGCTAGGAAGGATCCACAGGCATCGCGATGAGCCAGAACAGGGGCAATGAAGAAGGCACAGCAAAGCAGAGAAAAACCCGTGCTGAACAACAGGTTTTCAGGCATGGATCAATCACTAGCCTTCTGCTCTTGACAAAAGTCCAAGCGAGTATCTGTATGCTTCTGTCCATACTTCGTGTGGAGGTCGAGTGGAACCCCGTGCTTGATGTATTTCTTCGTTCGTGCCTGCTCAGGTTCTCTGGAACTGCACAGACTGGCTGTCATCACGCCACTCCGTCTGGAGACCTGTCAGAAGCTACGCTATGAGCCTTATCCGTGCTCCCTACTGAAGCGATGCAAAGTGCCTGCGGGAATGATGAAAAAAAAGTTTGAGGGGAGCAGGTGGGACCAATGAAAGCCTGTGGGCTCGCAACTTTCTGCCTTGCGGGGGACTGGTTGCGCTACATGGCAAACCGCATGCAGCAGGGTCATGGCTGCGACTTCCCAGGGCTGGTTTCTTTTCCCAACTGGCAAGCGAGACATCGGCGTGGAATCGTGCCGTGCCAGATCTTGCCTGGCCAGGCATGTATCGGGCTACAGACTTGGTTGAGCAATTGACATTCATTGACAAGCACAACAACGGAGCAACAGCATCGTCAGCATCAGCATCACACCCGAAATATCCATCGTTGACTACCTTGGGCAAGACGAGCAACACTTTGCGTCTGCTATCGATAGCACGCTGTCAGGCGGACGGGTCTTCACCGACAGGGGCCCTCCCCTGACGTCGTCCTGCCGCCACACCCACCGCCGCATTACACGGCGCAGACGACAGTGCTCGAGGCTCCGTAATTAGCAGCGTGCCCCTCCGCCTAGCTCTGCACACCCCTCAGCACAGCGAGTCAATGCGTGTTGCTGGATTGGCCCTTCAACTGTTACTGTCGGCTCACCTTTGCCTCGAGTTCATTACTACTATTACTCGATACCTACTCCGGGCACATCCCTCTCCCGGTCACCAGGCTGCCCATTTTCACCGCCACAAGCAGCCAGACTGTCGGGACTCGACATCCTACGCCAGGCGGTGCACGACAGGCCCCCGACCGCAGATCTAGCGTTGCTTCTGCGATTCTCACGCTGCTCCCCACCAAGCCACCACCACCACTCTCCGCGTGATTCGAGGTCCTCGCAGCTCGCCCCCCTCGAGCGACAAAAGGCGACATTGCATCATCACACGACCTTACTCAGACCCCTTAAGAAGCCGTGCCTCGTTGTGGCCTCGGCCTGGTCCTTGCTGGTGGTTGCTTACACTGGCGTCGAGCCTCCCTCCGACCTCGTCGAACCTTCCAGAGCTGCGCAGGGCAGCTCACCGTCAAGACGTCTTCCTCAAAGAAACGGAAGATTGTGACTCGCCTCTCGGCACAAGCCGCACCCACAGACAACCTATGGTCTGCCGACACCCCGATTCAGTCCTGCGAGCGTGACGACGCCGACGACGCCAACTTTTCCTTCTCCGCCTCGTCCGCCGTCCCTGCACACCCCGAACCCGCATACGTCCGCGCCGGGTCAGCACAACCACAACCACCAGTCTCGGGTATTCCTCCGCGGCTGCAAACCACGACCTCGAACGGCACATCCATTTCCTTTGACGCGTCGTCTGCTGCCAGCTCGCCGTCTGCTGCGTACGCCGACCTGTCCCTGGGGAGCGATCGGGGTGCCGACACGCCGGGCCCGGAAGCGAGCTCGACAACAAGTAACAGCGGTGCCTTTCCGTTCACACGGGGCGCCTCCCCATACGCTACCAAGACAACACATCATCGAGCCATCATGGGAGGTGCCGCAGAATTGCCAGAAAGGTCCTCTTCCCCACTGAAAAGGCCAGCTTCGAGCATGGAGCCAGAACCGATCCAGGACAAAGACGTCGATGTCGACATGGTTTCTGTCTCCCATACTGAGGTCTCGCCGTCACCCTCCAAGCCGGAGGAGCAGGGCTCTGGAGAGAGCCAAGACGAGACCATGGCTGAGTCAAGTTCGGTCACAACCGAGGACACTATTGCGCCTTGGTCACCCAGTACGCACATTTGAGTCGTCGACATCTGATGAATCTCAATACTAACCGCTTTGTAACAGCACAAGTCGAGGCACACATCAAGACCATTAGGGCTCTTGCCGAAGAAATGCACACTGCGCCCTTGGAGCCTGGGCAGGAAGGATTTCTTGTTTCGAAGAAATGGCTGGCCACTGTGCTGCCAGACGATGCCTCAAAAAAGACAGCCGAGATCGACCCTGAGACGATTGGCCCCGTAGACAACTCCGATATAATTTGGGAAACGATCAGAAATCCTCTCGTGGGTGATGGTGTGGCGGACGAGTCCAAGAAGTTCTTCGTCCGCCTCAAGGCACAGTACGGCAGCGAACAGTTCGAGATACTGCCACCCAAAGCTTGGGAGCTCCTGCGGCAGTGGCCTGGGCTGAAGAAGGGACAGCTACCAATCCGTCGTGTAGCCAATAACACTGGAGACGAAATGAACCCTAATGTCATTTTCGAATTTCATCCAGTCGTCCTTCCCGTGCATCGGGTCTGGTCTGCCAACAGTCCAATCGCCATCGACTCGAGCCTGAAAGCTAGGAACCCCCCGGCGGAGAGACTAATCTGCGAAAAGACGTCAAAATTCCAAACCTTTCTGGCCCAAGCAAAGCGGGTCACGGACATAGACCGAGGCCAAAGGGTCAGAGTCTGGAGAATTCCAAAACCGCCCGCGCCGACTGGTCCAGTCAGCCTGACACCTCCGGCTAGCCCAGATAGGGGCGAGGAGAATCAAACATCACCGGCTTGGAGTCAAATGCTTGTCGAGGTTGACTCCTTCCTCGCTCTCGAGAGAGATTCTGAGCGAGAGGTAGTTGCGACTGACAAGGAGAATCCAATGTCCAGTGCCAACGATCCGACGACGTTGGGCGCTCTAGGCTTGACCCAGGACGAGCCAGTCGTACTTGAAGAGTTCGTCCAAGACAGCGGGTGGCTCACACAATACTCTCCAGCTCAAGCTTCAGCAGCACTGGACCTCAACCGAGATTCTTCACGCCTTGCAGCTGTTCACCCAGATGGGACACGCAGTGGGCGCACAAGCCCAGGCCCTATCACACGTGGCCGGGCGCGAAAGTCCGGTCGGACACTTGGATGTGTGGGGCTCAGCAATCTTGGTAACACCTGCTACATGAATTCCGCGCTCCAGTGTGTCAGGCATATTGAGGAGCTCACAAAGTATTTCCTTGTCAAAGAGTGGAAGAAGGAGCTGAACAGAGAAAATCTGCTCGGCCACAATGGAGACGTTGCGAGCCAGTACGCATATCTCCTGGAGGAGATGTACAAAGATCCTCCTCCTGGCTCTGTTAGTCCTAACAGATTCAAGCACACGATTGGGAAATACGCTCCATCGTTCTCGGGCTACGGCCAGCAAGACACGCAAGAGTTTCTAGGATTCCTCCTCGATGGCCTACAGGAAGATCTCAGCCGTATAAAGAAGAAGCCGTATATCGAGAAACCCGACTCCACCGACGACATGGTGAACAACCCAGAGGCGATTCGCAGCATGGCCGAGCAGGTCTGGGACATAACAAAGAAGAGAGATGACTCGGTCATTGCTGATCTCTTTACCGGAATGTACAAGTCTACCCTGGTCTGTCCGGATTGCAGCAAGGTCAGCATTACCTTCGACCCCTTCAATACCTTGACGCTGCCTCTTCCAGTCGAGAGCAAGTGGAACCACACCATCAAGTTCTTCCCCCTCAATGACAGACCAATCGACATCAACGTGGAGCTTGATAAACATGCCAGCATCAAGGCTCTCAAGGAGTTCATTTCAGTACGCACCGGCGTACCGCCTGAGCGCTTGTTTGGCGCAGAGATGTGGAAGGACAAATTTTACAAGACCTACCCAGATCTGGCCGCCGCTTCCGAGGAGATAACGACGAATGACAACGCATGGTTTTTCGAGCTTGAGGCCAAGCCCACTAATATTGGAGGCGGAAAGCAAAAGTACGGCGTGCCTGTCCAGTCTATGCTAGACACAACCTCTGGACGGTCCTGGAAGGAGGAATTGTCAACAAACTTGCTCGTTCCAGTCTTCCACCGCAAGCCCGGAACGGCCAAATCCTCGTATCAATTCAACTCACGCTGGCAAGGTTGTGCGGTGCCCCACTTCATTGTGGTCACGTCTGAGGAAGCGCGCAGCGAGGACGCCATTAGGCGCAAGGTCCTCGAAAAGATTGCCTCCCTATCCGCCAACCCCATTTTCCAGGAATCGGACACAGCGGAGAGCACTGAGGCTGAGATGATTGGACCGAATGGTTCCGACTCTACGTCCTCCCTGGAAGGTAAAGTTGCAGCCAGATCAGTTCAAGGCGAGGACGATCTGGTCGACGTTCAGATGAGTTCATCTGCAGGTGAATCTGGCGGCAAGCCAGCAGATCAGCCGATCTCGTAAGTTATTCCAGTCGTTGAAGATCGCGGGCCTCCGTGCAATTCTAATGGGGTTACGCTAGGACCATCACAAAACATGTCTTCAACCATGCTCGGCCAAGTTGGATAGATCCCAAGAAGTTCCTCCCGGCCGAGCTACAAAATCTGTTCGAGATGAGCTATTTTTCCGAGAACAGCGCCCGGATCCCGACTGGACAGCAAAGCATCGAGGATAGCAAAGAGTACCCGAGACTGTCGTCTAGAGTCGTCGTTGCATCTCCGTCCTCATCCGACGACGCCACCGATAACACGGCCAACGATAACTCAGTCACCGACGCAGCCTCTAACGAGGACGTCAGCTCTGATGAGACTCTTGCTAATACCGAGGGACCTTCGACACGCATGACAGAAGAGAGTGACGAGGATGAAAAGGCAGTCAAGGTGAATAGTGCCCACCTTTCCGCCCTGAGTACGTGCGCGACTAACCCTAGCCAGACACTGCCGCAAAGACCCAAGCCCGGCAGGCAATTTAAGCCCGTAGCAAAGGGCCCCGGGGGAGGACGCAAGAAGATGAAACCCCACAAGACGTATGGAAAAGGGGGGAAAAAGAAGCTTCGTCAACAGCAACGTGAGGAAGAAAAGCGTGCTCGTTCTATGGAGTCCGAACAAGACCCATACGAAGAGGACGAGCCTGTGCCAAAAGATGGCGCCGACGGCGGTGCTCTGATTCGCCTTAGGGAAGGCATCATTGTGGAATGGTCCGAGGACGCCTACACAGAGATTTTCGAAAACTCCGATGCCAAGAATGCTCTATGGAACTCCTGCGACACCTTGGCAGACCCACAGCTCGAGAAGACGCAACAAACGCGCGCTAAGAGGCGGAAGAATGGCATCTCGATTGAGCAATGCTTGGACGAGTTCGAACGGGACGAGATCCTGTCAGAAAACGACATGTGGTACTGTCCGCGCTGCAAGGATTTCCGTCGAGCCAGCAAGAAGTTTGACCTGTGGAAGACGCCTGATATCCTGGTCATGCATCTGAAGCGTTTCAGCTCCGCGGGTTATAGACGGGACAAGCTGGATGTCTTTGTTGACTATCCTGTCGAGAACCTCGACATTACTCAGCGTGTGCTTCATCGAGAAGAGGGCAAGCAAGAGGTTTATGACCTAATTGGTGTCGACTGCCATTTTGGTGGTCTTGGTGGAGGGCACTACGTCGCTCATGCGAAGAACTTTTTTGACAACAAGTGGTATCATTACAATGGTAAGCCCCCAGATTTGCGTGGCGGAACCAGGGCTGCTTGCTAATGTGCAATAGATTCGTCATGCAGCCCGAAGAGCGCTGACAGCGTAGTGGATCCCGCTGCTTACCTGCTGTTTTACCGCCGTCGGTCTGACGTGCCGCTGGGTGGACCGCGTTTCAAGGAGATCGTCACGCGGTTTGCCGAGATCACTTCGACGGACGAGTCGACCGAGCAGGGGGAAGCCCAGGGCCTCGGCGAGGGCTCTACCCTCTCAACTGGGTCGTCGAGCGCTATCAGAGGAGCCGGAGCTTCTCGCCAGCTCAGCGGAAGTCTTGGTGGTGATCGGGAGATGGGGTTTGGTCTCAACCGCTCAGATGACGAAGGCATTGACCTTGCAGACAACGCTCTTGCGCCCAAGTCGATCAATGGCATCAGCAACTGGAGCTTTGCGCGGCTCAATGAGCAAGATCAGGGAGCTGCAGGTACACCGGGATCTCCTACTGCTTCAGATGAAGCTCAGCACGAATCTTCTGGTGACGAGGGCTCAACAAGCGAGCGCCTGATCGGCCCGCAGATCGTTCACGTATTCCCTGATGGTCCGGATCCTCGCGAATACTCCGGAATGACAAGCTACCAACTCTCTGGCGACGAAGACTTTGCCTCCCATACGGATGACCTGCCCCCAGCATATCGTAGAGGCGCCTCGAGGGAAGACATGGCACAGATTTGGGGCGAGAAGGGCGGCGTCCTGGAGGTGCCGGCAGCCGGAGAGTCTGAAAGGGACTCGGAAGATGTTACAGAGATCCATCTTGGTGACTAGAACAAATTCGGAGACCGTTTGAAATTTCGGCCTCGAGGTATATATCCGTATTGTATGCATTGTTGGCGCAACCACCTTGGTCAGCAGTAGAGAATAAAAGTACATCCAAGCCGTAAGGCCTATCTAGAAAGAATAAGTTCTCTCTCAAACGTAAATCGTGGATCGGGACATTTGTACCTCGACAGTGGCTGAACTGATATTTCAGAAGGCCGACATAATATCCCACTTGTGCTCAAGGTTTGTAAAACTCCCATCACACACGGGCAAATACAGGGGCAAGCTTGAGCTGGCTGCGCAGCACAGATAAATGTGGGGGCGCTCTGAACCGTCCCAAATTGAACGAGCCTTGTCGCAGCACCACACTGAACTTTGAACTGCTCCTCGGTTAGCACAGCAAGGACGCTTTCAATATCGGACGACGGGTTTCATTGGACTTTTCCCCTTGCCTCGCAAAGAGCAACTCATGCTAGAGGCGTCGATCCAGACGACACGCAGCTGTTGTACTCAACTTCCACACGACTTCCACACCAGTCCCTAGTCGGATCCGAGAAGGCCGCCGAGATCGTCTTTAGGCAGTGGCATCCAAGAAACCGGCTCCTCCAGCCCCGTATCGTCTCAAGGGCGTGTACTGCCATACAACACGCGCGGTACAGACGTCGACGTTTGCTTTTCCTTGCTAGTTTCGTTGACTTCCGGGCCAAATAACTGAGCTCGGGCAAAGCCCCAAGATTTACATCGTCGTCGGGGGGGTTGCTGTTGATCTTTGTTGTTCTGGGGTCACATCTCTTTCCTTCTCGCCTACCTGCGAGTCCCTGCCTCGTTTGCTTTAGTCGAGGAGACGGCCAAGCATCACGCCGCCAAGATGTTGTCCATCCTGCGCAAAGCGAGGCTGAAGGACAAGGAGATGAGGATATTGATGTTGTGAGTTGCCTTTATTTCCCTCTCTCTCTGCCTGCCACGATCCACCAACCAAGACTGGATGATTTTACCGCTCTCCTATGTCCGCTAGGCCAACATGGAGTGTCAAACACTATCCTGTCGTGTTGAGCGAGAAAAAATAAAAACAGCATATTGTGTGCGGCCCAGGATCCCAATCTGCTAACAACCAGTGGGGGGCGCCGGCATACAGGGGACTGGACAACGCCGGAAAGACGACGATTGTCAAGAAGATCATGAACGAGGATGTCAACACCGTCAGCCCCACGTTGGGGTTCATCATCAAGACTATTGACTTTGAGGGGTGAGCTTTTCCCTTCCGCCGAGATTTGCTTCACTTCTGGAGCTTTTCCGAACCGCCCGTGGGCTAGGACTGAGCTGAGCTAACGCTCGGGTGTGTCTGTTTTCTGGTGATTAGATACAAGTTGAACATATGTACGTGTTGGCACCATTGTTTCAGCCGACGACATTACTTTACTACTCCTTTCACGAAATACCTATACTGAATGTCACACATAGGGGACGTCGGAGGCCAGAAGACACTGCGGTCGTACTGGCGCAACTACTTTGAGAAAACGGACGCCCTGATATGGGTCGTCGACGTGACGGACAGGCTGAGGATAGACGACTGCCGGGAGGAGCTTCACGGGCTGCTGCAGGAGGAGGTAAGTCACATTGTGGCCCAAGGGACCGACAGCTTGAAACATTTCTGCTGTGTCCCATGTTTACTCCTACTAAATGTATGACTGACGAAACGCTTTTTGTTGCGCCCAAAACACAGCGACTCGCCGGCGCGAGCTTGCTGGTGTTTGCAAACAAGTCGGACGTGTCTGGGTGCATGGACGAGGCGGAGGTTATGGCAGGCTTGCAGCTTGCGAGCATCAAGACGCACCAGTGGAAGATCCTGCGGTGCAGCGCGATGACGGGCGAGAACCTGCGCGAGGGGCTGGCCTGGGTGGTCGAGGATGCCAAGGCTCGCCTGTTCCTATATTGATGTGGGCAACGGCACTAGAAGAGGAATCGTGGTGGAAGACGAGGAGCGCAAGACGTGGTGGTTCTGGGGCCTGCAGACTAGGCCATGTGAGGTTTCCCGCTGTGGACAGGCAGGAGGCCGACTGGTCTCAGAATCTAGTGCGAGACCAAGGCCGATTCCAGGGTCCTCTCGGCCGTTTATGGGGGAGCGGCATGGAATGTCCTGTGGAAAGAATGCGCAAGGCTGGGGAGGAAGTCATCGCGGGTGTGTGTGTGGAATGGCGGAGGAGCGGGCAGAGTGAGACACTGCGTGCGTTGAGACCCTGCGGGCACTTTAGCTATGGCGACAAGACTGTTCGCGGAAGTGTGTTTGCCCCTCATTGTTCTCGATGGAATTCGCGTTTGACGGGGTTTTTGCAATCCGATCCTCAAACAAACGTTGTTTGCATCGGGTTCGCAAGGCGACGATGTCTAATATCACGAAGAAACGGCGATATAAGTTGGGGCCACGGGAGCTCTTGCCGTGGCGGATCCCTCCTGGGAGTCCCACATTGGAGGTGCGCACTGCGTCACTGTATGTAGCAGCCCTGAACAACCTTGGCATAGGTCACTCATCCTTGAGCATCACCGACTGTCTCATGCCATTCCCAGTCCGACAAAGCACCAGCACAGAAGAACACGCACGCATCCGCTTGATACAGGGCACACGCCTGCAGCCTTGCATTGCTGCCGTCCGTAGGGATTCTGGCCAGCGCCGTGCCCGCCCAGCACCCACCACGGCATTAACGCGGGCCCCCACCCTGCTGGAGCTGCCCTGCCCTGCCCGCCTCATCGCCTGGCGCCAGCGCCGGGGCCGCCCGCGCTCTCGAGCTTCCGCCGCCGGCCGACGTCGTGGAACCCACACCACACCCCGTCACCCTGCAAGGTCCAGGGCCGCTGCTCCTCGTAACCTCCTCCTCCCACCAGCATAAACAAAAACAAACCCCCCTCAGCGGCCCACCCAAGCTGCCCGACGGCCCTGGCATCCTCCACCACTCAACCCAGATACCTCCTCTCCCAGTATTCAGCCATGTCGGAAGACGTCTCAAAGTTCCTCGAGCAGGTCAAGGAACTCGGCGAGCGCAGCACCCTCGACGACGAGGCGCGTGCCAGAGAGCTCGAGGAGAAGATCCTCCAGGACAAGAAGGAACGCCAGGCCCGGCGCAGAGGTAAGCATCCGCTCTCAGCTCAACCAGAACGAGCATCACCGAGCAAACACCTCCTCTGCCCCTCACCTACGATATATTGTTCTGCTAGGTCGTGCTGGAAAGTTGTGCCTCGCAGCCGTCGTCCGGTACACTAGCCAAACTCTATCACCGCCGCCGCGGGCAACTGTTGTTTACATGGCCGATTATATCGCGCTTGGTGGCGTGCTGGCTGGCGAACAAGCCTATACAGGCACTCAAGATAACCGTCCTGCCAGCTTCGTAGCTAGCGGACTGTAAAAACCAAACCAATTGCTGACACAGAACCCGCCTACCTCGCAGAACGTGCCCGCTCAATATCCCCCGAAAAGTCGTCCCCCGCCAACACCCCTCCAACCTCAACTCAAAGAGTGAATCGTCGCTCGCAGCAGCTCGACCTGAATTCCTCGCCTGTACTTGAGCCGCCGACCACGAACGGCTCCCCTCGCGCCCTGCCATCCCGCTCCATCATCGACGACATGGCGTCTACCTCGCCCACCAAGGAGAACGACGCGCCCCTCGACTCCGCGTCTGACTTCAAACAAGCCGGGCAGACTTCTCCGACTCGCAGCGCTTCTTCAGCACGAGGCTTGTCATGGCAGCAGCGGCGGCCACCGTCTCAGCATGGGTCACGGAGCCGACCTCTCTCAATGGTAGCTACGGAGAACGCTGCCCGTTCTTCAAGCACATCAGCTGAGCCTGCTTCCGCGACTGAAACCCCCTCCAGAGACCAGATAGCATCTGCACTATCTGCGAAGGACCCCACATGGTTCCGCCAAACTGCTGACCGTGGTGCCAACTCGGCCGCGTACCGTCGGAACCAAGTTGAGGACGACCAAAGGGCAGATGTGTTCACCGCCTCCAGCCAACTTCCTGGGATGGCGCCCGAGAGACCTCGCTCGCAAGCATTCAGCCCAATGGCATCGCCCGCACTATCTCGGAACGCACCTTCACCGGCACCGCCCTTCTCCACCCCCAAGCTGGACCCTCCGATGAGGGAGGAACAGGGGGAACCTGACTTTGACGACCAGCCCCTGAAGTCTCCGCCAGCCTTGGGGCGGTCCTCGCCCACTAGAGTGGATCGAGATCGGCCAGTATCGCCAACAAAGGGTATGGGCGGCTTCGTGCAAAGCGCCATGATGAAGAGGTCAGACAGTGTCAACAAGCGCTGGAGTGTGCGGTCACCCACCGGTCTGCAACGGGCAGACTCGGTAGCTGCAAATCGCGGTGCGCAGGAGCCTGCCCTTCGTACTGGATATGGCAGCACTAGGGAGAACTCCAACGGTCTGAGCCGCGATAACTCCGCCGAGCCGTCTTCCCGCCCTACATCCAGTCGCGCTCACGACAAGGTGTTCGACAGCGATGCCACGCTGCCAAAGATTGACACAGCCCCAAAGGCACAGAGCAAGTCTCCAGAGCCCGAACCTGTGGAAAACGATGCTGCCCTCCCCGTCAGCCCTTCGAAGACGATGGATCAGCGGAGATGGAGTCCGACCAAGTCTAGCTGGCTGGAGACTGCCCTTAACAAGCCCGAGTCGCCAAAGCCCAAGACATCAGCCACGAGCCAGCCAGCGTGGATGGCGGACATTCAAAAGGCCAAGGCTCAGAGAGCTGCAAACCCAGAAGCGGAGCCTGCACGTCCGCCAGGGGCCGGCCACAAGCACCAAGTCAGCATCGGAGGACTTATGAAGCCCCCTGCTCTCGGCACCACCACAACGGCAGCACCTTATCCACTGCGCTCCTCGCAACCGACGCCTACGGGGGCGCGTGAGCGGGCGGCCACCATTGGCAAGCCAAAAGACACAACCCCCATCAGCACGCCGAAGGAGACATTTAGCACTCCTAAGAAACTAGATCAACCGGCACAGCCACAGACTACTCCTGTTGCTGCACCGGCAGTGGACGCAGCCTCGTCCGACGCAAAGCTAGCAGTCAAACCTAAGCCGGAGACTCCCCCCAAGAAGGATTTCCGTACCACACTGAAGCACCGCCAGACACCGAGCACATCATCTGCCACAGAGAGCTCGGAGCCAGAGTTCAAGAATGTTTTTGGAAACCTGCGTAGAACAACCACACAGAACTACAAAGCCCCAGATGTCCTCAAGGACAATATTCTGCGGGGAAAGGCTGGCTTGTCTATCACAGGAGGACCCCAGAAGACTGAGCGCAAGGATGAGTTTAAGGATGCCATCCTAGCCAAGAAGAAGTCTTTCAAGGACATCCAGGCGCAGGGCCGTGGCGTGACACGACACGATAGCACAGCCAGCGAGAAGCCCTTACCAGAGGGCATCTTGCGCAGCAGGGCCTTGTCCAGAGGCGCGAGGACATTTGACAAGCCTGACAAAGAAGCCGAGCTCAAGGACAGCGCATCCGCGTCCGCAGCTACGGTAAATGATAGGCCAGGGCCAGTTTTGAGGCGCGAAACTTCAAGCATAACTTCGAGCACCACCGCTTCGACCCCAGTCGTACCATCTTTGCAGAAAGAGGCTAGTGCACCTGGAAGACTGCAGGGCAAAGTGGGAGGCAGCGCTCTTGCGAACCGTTTCAACCCAGCTCTAGCCGGACTTCTGGCTCGGGGACCTCCTGGATCAGGAGCACCTACTGGAACATCGAGCTCGGCCGCAAAGCCCACTGAAGCGGCACAGGTCAATGACAATGAGGCTGGATCCGGGCCAAAGCTGACGCACATGACGAAGAGCCGTGCACGCGGACCAAAGAGAAAAGCGCCCACGTCTGCTGCGGCGTCAAGTTCAACTCAAGCTGAGCCCGCTGAGCCAGCCGCAAAGCCCACGAGCCCAGTCCCTGAACCGGCTAAACAGCTTACACCTTCTGCGCAAGAAGGTAGATCATCACCCATGCCTGTTGAGGCTCGTAACTTACCCGCTAAGCCGAGCATAAACGCTATGGACAAAGCACCCGCGGGAACAAGAAGCATCTTCAACCAAGTAGCAGCGGCTGCTGCTCAGAAAACCCAACCTGCTCCATTGCGAAGTCCCACTCAGCCCGCCGAGGTCGAGTCCCCAGCCGCCTCACCCAAAAAGCTTAATATGCAGAGGATGTCAAGGTTTCTGGACAACGCCGAGCCTGCAAGCCCGAAGATCATTGAGCCACCTACAAAGCAGGAGACAAGACAGCCTTCTGCTTCCTCACCAGTTGTCAAGCCAAAGCCGAGCTTCGAGCGGCCTTCTAGTGTTGGTCCAGACAAGACACAGCCACCCGTCAGGCCGAAGCCAAGCTTCGAGGCACTGGGCAGCCCGGCTTTCCAGAAATCGCAACCCCCGTCACCAGCTCTTGGTCGACCCCCTCGGCCATTGCCTGAGCCTTCGAGGCCAGTCATTGAGGATCTGAGCACACATCCTGATGCACCCAAGCCTCTTCGCCCATTCGGCGCCCGCCCTTTGCCGTCAGCTCCCTCCACGCCTAAACCGCTGGAGCGGGAACTTCCTTCCAGGCCATTGCCTAGCCCCAGCAAGACGCCTAGCCTTACGGTTGATTCACCGTTGCCGTCTCCGAACAAGCAAGCGTCGGATCTTACAAGCCTGATCCAGGACTTCTTTGGTCCAAAGAGAGGTGATCGTGACTACCGAGCGGATGTCGCTGGGCTCCTGATGGAGCGGCCAAGCACATCACCGCCCAAGCTGAAGACGCTGGCGGCTCATCTATTCCAATTCTCTGCAGACGGAAGGAAATCGGTCGTTCCCAGCCATCATCAGCACACACTGTTTGACCAGGACATGTACCTATGCTCGCACACATTTCAGTCTGATGCTGGATGGAAGAACACCGAGGTGTACTTCTGGGTGGGCGACGAAGTACCCGCAGCAGCTGTTGAGGACGCTTCCGTCTTTGTGGCACGCGAGGCCAAACAGCTTGGTGGCACTCTCGTCAAGCTTCAGCAGGGTAGGGAGACGGCCGGCTTGATCCAAGCGCTTGGCGGCATCATTGTCACTCAGAGGGGAACAGGGAACAAGGACGACTCCCTGGCGCCTCATATGTTCTGTGGCCGAAGATATCTTGGACAGGTCGTCTTTGACGAGGTTGACTACGCCCCAACGAGTCTGTGCTCTGGGTTCCCGTACCTTGTGGCCAAGGGCGGAAAGTGCTTCTTGTGGAAGGGCAAGGGCAGCAACGTCGATGAACTGGGGTGCGCACGTCTGATAGGGATGGACTATGCGCTAACTGGTGAGCTCATCGAGGTTGACGATGGTCGAGAGTCGGAGGGCTTCTGGAGCCTCTTTGAAAGTGGCTCCAAGTCTAGCTCTGCGGACCACTGGCGCCTGAAGCCAAGCTATGACAAGTATTGCAGCCGGCTGTTCCACTCAGATGGTGCTTCCAAGCAGCAGGTGAGTTTTGGTCTTCTGCCGCATCCCTGGGCTCATGAATGACACATGTATTGACTCTTCAACGTGGCATAGATCACCGAGCTTTCCCCATTCTCGCAGAAAGACCTCCAAGCTACAGGCATCTATGTCCTGGACGCCTTCTTTGAGCTGTACGTCATAGTGGGATCCAAAGCGCAATCTCAATATGCCTCGTTCCACAATGCGCTCGAGTTTGCGCAGGAATATGCCATCCTCGCAGCTGGCATGGAGGACCGGCCATTTGTGCCAATCTCCACGGTCGTCCTTGAGGGAGCGCCTCGGGATCTCAAGAGCGTCTTCCGCCGGTGGCGTGACTCTGACAGTCCCACCATCATGCCTGCCCCGGCGCCTCCTGCCGGCAGCGGTCTGAAGCGAGGACGCAGCATGCGGGTCGCCACTCTCAACCAGGCGCTGCAGGCACTGACTGAATAGCATGGTCCGTCATCCCACCGAGCGAGGTGACTAGCAAGACTTCCGGCCTCGCACACGGTGCAGCTCAATAGCGCCATTGCTGCAGAAAGGTCCTGCAAGACGTGCGCTGGGTCGTACGAAAGCTTCAATTCTTGATCTGCAGCATTTTCAGGGATGTTCTTGTGCTCGGGCGAAAAGGCGGGGGAGTCTACAAAAGCATTCATGTTTGGAGGCCACATATGTACATACTTTTACTCTGTTGACGGTTTGGCGGTTTGGAGGTTTACGGCAGTTGCATGCATATTCCGGGGCGCGTCTGGATTTTGTCATTTTGTTGATGTGGTACGAAAAGAGAGAATAAATGCGAGTCGCTTCTACTTCGTACATGATGGCAATTTGCGGTTTCTGGCTGAGCCTACATGCCGTACATTTTCCCGTCGCCGCCGCCCTTTGAGAACAATAAAATTGGGGTAACTAAATCACTGCCCAAACTCGTCGACTTTCCTCTATCTCGTTGCCATAGGCGGCCAACAATCAAGCCCTCCCTGCCCCTCTTATTGTTCCATTTTTTCCCTTTTAAGCATATCCCCCTCCTTTCTCTTAGTGCGAAGCGCGACCTCAAACTCAAGGCCGCGCGCTACGGCCTTAACTTTTGGCCTCGGTCGGTTGCATGCCCTTTTGTCAGAGTTTGGCCCTGCCTTCCTTTTTTTCGGCGCTAGATGAGTTGCACGGATGGGCTGGCTTGCTGGTCGTCAAGCCAGCCGTGTGGTTGTTTCCTTCTTTGGAGACAAAAGCTCGTACCAGATAAACGCCTTTGGGTCCGGCGCCGGAGGGCCGGAGGGTGCGAGAATTGCTTTCACTTGCGGGGAATGACGGATAAGACAATGAAAACGGGCAGTCAAGGTGGGTAAAAATGTGAATTGTAAAAAGCTATGTACATGAATTCATATGGTAATACTAATAACGGTGGTGATTATTATATCCTTGAGTTTGCCATGAAGCTCAAACGCCGAGGACCGTGACCGTCGTGGCCGATGGTGTTAGGTCCTAGTTCTTTCCTGCCATTGAAAAGTAATACAAGTTGCCTCCTCAACTCTGCCTTTTGTCCCCCGCCATGTTCATGAAGTAGAGAAATGAGTGTATCATCCGTGAGAATCGTGTTCATCAGGAATCGTTACTTCGTAGATCATTACATCCGCCGAGACTACCGTGAGGCAGCGCAGCGTACGTCCTTTGTCGTTGCAAAACGTCCCACATCAATCTATGTTTCAAGATTGCCGGGTTGCTTACAGAAGAGCAGCAATGCCGAGAACACCCATGAGGAGGGCGGCTGCAGGAGTGGCCTGAGCACCGGCGGCGACAGGAATAGAACTGGTGCTCGCAGGAGCGGGAGTAGAAGTGATGGCAACCGAGGTCGAGACGGTGGTAGGCTGGACCACGGTGACGGGAGGAGGGGGAGCCTGGGAGACAGTCTCGACGCCACTGACAGTAACGTAGACGGTAGGGTACTCGGTCACGGTCTGGCCGTTTGTAGCAGCGTGGGTGACGGTGACATCGACCTCGGCAGTCTGGGTGACGGGAATGGTCTCGGTCACGACGTGCTCATAGGTGGTGTAGAAGGTCTCGGTGCCAGTCTCGGTGATGTAGATGGTCTCACCCTTGGAGACGGTGGTGTAGACGGTGACCGGGCAGGTCTCGTACACCTCGGTGCTGGTGTGCTCAGTGACGGTGTAGTGGACGTAGTCGGTCTTGGTCAGGGCCTCCTCAATGGTAGAGGTCGAGGTCCAGGTGACAACGACGGTCTCGCCCGCAATGGTCTTGGTCTCAGTGACGGGGCACAGGCTGGTGACAGTGGTGTACTCGACATCGTGCTCCGTCTTGGTCACATCGGGACCGTGGACGGTCTCATAGATGACAGTGGGGATCTTGGTCACATAGACGCTGGTGGTGGTGTACGTGGTAGCGTACGTGTTGCCAGGGTAGGTGACAGTCTCCGTGGCCGGGCAGACGGTGGTGTAGGTGACCTCGACCTCAGTGGTGGTGGCCTGGTAACCGCCGTTGTGGGGGTAGCCAGCCATGACAGAGCCGGCCATGGCAACGAGAGCAGCAGCGTACTTCATCTTGACAGATGTGCTTGGGGAGGACTAAGCGATTGTGTATTGGAACGAAGGTGTACTGGAAGCACGTGAGTGAAGCGAGTGAGTTACTCTGGAGTTGTCAGGCGCGGTCTGATGAGGAAGAGGAGGGCACGATATCGTGTGGTGTGCGTAGCACCGCAGGCTTATATGCCTCGAAGTTCACCCGCTTCAGAGGTTGGACCTCAACAGACCCCCGGGCTGTCGAGGTTGGGAGTGATGACATCGCTCACATCCCAACCTGCCCGAGCTGCATGGTGATGGCTGGCCAGCCAGAGAGATCCGCATGGTTGGCTTTGCGTCGGGGCCCAGCACAACGCCGGCAGCTTGGCCCGATCGAGCAATTGTGGGAAACCTCGTCACTAGTTCCGGACGGCTCGAGGAACCCAAGCTGGGCCTGTTCGAAGGCCGGCCGCCTTGCGGATAGCCTGTTTGTCTCTAGACCAGCAGGGGGTCACAGCAGTGGTGGAGTGGACTGACGTCGAGCCGAGCAACACAGATGCGAGGCTCACCGAGCAGGACCAGGTCAAGGGGTCGAGTTTGCTGGCAGTCACGCCATGGACTCTGGGGTTGGCCCTGGTGACGGAGAGGATTGTCGTTGCCAAGACAGAGCGCCGCTGCATGGGGGATCGTCGTGGAGGTGACAGTCAGGAGCGACTTACACCTTGGCTGGACCCTTGTCAACTGCAGTCCAGCCTTGCCCAGTGTGTGTGTTTCTTGAACTTTCTGGCCCACTCTGATTCGCTCGCCGAACTTGCGTGGTAAAGTGTGTGTGTGCAGAAGTTCCACTTGGGCGTGTGCCACGAAACCTTGCCGCTGCTGCAGGTTCTGCCTTGCCCTGGCCTGGCTACTGCACGGACAATGACTCTTTGTGGCCTGAGGGACCCCCTCTTGCTTCTGCTTGACTTTTGACGGCTAGCTTAGTGTGAAGGGAGGAGACACAAAACGCACGCCGGTGACAGCGGCGCCATTGGCTGTCTGGCCGTTGGGCTGCTGTTGCCGGGCGGATACTGCTTGCAGCAAGCCACGGAGGAGAAGACCGAGCACTTTGAGTTTGCGACAAGAGAGGCTGGCAGTGCTGTAACCTCGTGGAAAGAGACGGCGGAAAAAGAAACGGCGCTTGCCAGCCACTGGGCAACCTGGAAGTGCCGGGACTGTGTGCTCATGGGTTTTTCCTTTCGGTTGTCTTGCTGGGCCCCTCCTGGTTCTGCTGTTGTCCAGGGGCCCGACTTGGCTGCAGCGGAGGAAGTCTGGAGTACATGACGATCGATGGATGTGCTGGTGGTCAGGCAGAGATCGCGATGGTTGTGGATGGGACGAGTTGTTGACGGCGGTGGTGGGGCAGATCGCACGGGCAACCCCTGGCCGTGGCTGGCCAAGCCCGCGGAGGGCCTCGTGTTGTTGCAGTTGCCCCGCGGCCCGGGTGGTGGAGATCTGCCGTGGCACCAGCAACTACTTTGCTGCGTGGGGACCTCCCACTGGCCGGGTTTCTTGCGCGTTGGCAGTACTGTGCAAGTCGTGCAACAAACGGCAAGCCGTCGTGGGTTCGTGGTTGACGGTGGACAGCACGCACTGGGCGGCCCCAATTACCAGCAGCAGAAGAAGGAGCGGCTTCAGGACGTGCCTGCCTTCCAAGGTTGCCAGGCATGGAGAGTCTGGTAATGCTCAACCCTGAAGTGCTCTGCCCTGTGAGACCAGCCTGGTCCTTGGCAAAGGCTTGTGGTCTGTGGCTTTCCAGCTGCAGCGTCACCGAGTCTCTGCTGCTGCCCAGCAACACCACGATCCGCCACGGCATGGGCTGCAGCAAGGAACAGCGCGCCTCCAGCTGTGCACCCCTGCAGCTCGGTTGCCGGCAGCACGACTCAAGCCTGGCTCGTCTGGGGCAGCCCCCTGCTAGGCCCAGATCCCAGAGCCACCCAGCCAGGCAGGGCCTTGTTCCTCCAGCTTCCAAGAACAATGACGACATCCTCCCATCACCTCTGCGGCCGCTTGGCCAGCTCCACGGCCATGGATCCTCGTCGTTGTCGAGGGAGGCCAGGCACAGCTTCTCCAGCCAGCCGATCTTCGACAATGCCTGCCGCCCTTTGATATCTCCCCATCAAAATGCTCGTCCGCGTGGTTGGTCCTTTGAAGATTTCCAGCAGCCAGTGATCGCCTCCTCCAGTGCTCCGCAAACCCACAGAACCCACCCGCAGACGGATCCCACACGCAACCGACATCAACCATCCACTGTCGATGCGGCATCTGCAAACACCGGGCCAAAGCAGATTTGATGGTATTCGTCTACGGCCCTTCTTGCTAGGCCACGTGCTTCCCAACTCCGCAAGAACTACCACCTGGTCCAGGCTAGCCCTGGTGGCCATTAAACGCCGTGCTATCGTGATTATTACTTGGTTTTTTCTTGCTCGGCCTGGCGATGCTACTCGCTGACGTGAGCAGCGTCACCAGTCCTATTTATTCCCTGACAGGGCGGAGGTTTTCCTGCGTCAGTCAGCTTAAGCCCCGCGTCGAGCAGGCTCAGCAGGCCGAGCTGCACGGCCGCTCGGCTCCCAATATGGCATGTATTATCATTACGTCTTCCACAAAGTTACCAGACTCGGGTGCACAAAGAGTGAAGACTGCGTCAGTCATCGTCCGGCAAAGCTGTTCCGGCTGTGCACCTGGGCAGAGTCCAGTTAAGATGATGACGGAAAGGCCGGCACGCTATCCCTTGCGACAACATCGTCTGATTCGGCTTTGGAGCCATGTACTGGCGGAAAGACCGTTAGCGGCGGAGATGCAGGTCCAGTCCTTGAACCGCCGAGGCACGGCGACAACGGCTAGTCGCTGGTACAAGGCCTAGTGGCATCAGCCGATTCTGGTGTCAGTAAAAGACCGCTTCTGAGGATACCAGTCATGCGAGCCAGGCCGAGCCAGGTTCCTAGTGCACCACAAAACGCTCTCCACAAAGGCTCCATGTTCCTGCGTCCGATCGGCATCACCTCAACTGGGCACTCTTCGCACCCTTTGCTCCATTTGTTCCTGCACTACGGCCACCGTCGCCATGTGGCCTGCACCAAGTGGGCAAGCCGACCGGCCGAGCAGCTCTCAATCGGGGCTTATGAGTTAGCTCAGGTGGCCTGTAATGTCTCGTGTCATCCGCCAAGTGGCGCCAACTACGTTGGCAGCTCGCGCTGCATGCATGCAGATATTTCAACAACCACTGTGATGGTAGTGTGCGATGCCACACCTTCGGCGGCTACATTGGGTCGTAATGTGGCGAGAAAGAGTTGGCCATGAGGTCTGAGCAACTTCCCTAAGGCCAATGCGCTTCGTTGAAATAACATTTCACTGCAAACTCCAGTGCTTTTGAGGAAGATTGTACGAAGTGATAGTGCCTAGAAGCAATACGTGGAGCAGTTCCCAGTGTATACTGATGGGCATCACTTTTGCGCTTCCTAGCTCACATGTCTCGAAAGTCGAGGAGATCCCAATCACTTCCTGGAGATCCGATAGTTGATGGAAAGGGTTGGAGGTCGACCATCGCTTCGTTCAGCAGTGATTGCTCTTTACATAGAACATCTGTTCGTCTGTTAGGTTCAAGTGCGCAACCACTCCAGCACTCCAGTTGGCTACGCTATATGTAAAGATCATCACCGCTTCAAACTTTCATCATAAGCTACTCATGAAAGATTCTAATGTCCTGTGTGTTGGGCCATTAGACTCCATGAGCGGAAAAGGTCGACCATGCCTCACAGAACATACAGCTTAGTCCCATCATGTCTATGTTTGCCCTACACGAGAACAGTCGAGCAAGGCAGGCAATGAAGAAATTGAGTTGGACGTTCCATGTTGGACTGAGGTAATCTGCTAGCCTTCTGGGTTGTAGCTGGACGCCATGTCCTTCTGGAATAAGCTGAAGAACACGCAAATGTGCGGCATGCAACAATCGAACCATTTAAAAATTTCATCAACGACTACTTGCATTTTCATACAATGAGCATTGTCGACAAGGTCTTAGCACACCTCTACCTCAAGATGTCCTGCACTCTGCAGGTGCGTGAATACACATCAACATGACGAAGCATGGTTTCAGCAAAGAGCCGTTGAGTCCGTGAGTAAGGTATTGTTGTGCTCGCCCAAACCTAACGGTGACTGAACACTGTCTCGAGGTCTGCTGTTACCCAGCAACAACTTTGTGCCTGAAGCGGTGCCTGATTCTCAACGGCCGCCACGGTCCAATACGCACGCGGAAACACCACCAAACGAGCACTGTTTGTTCCTCAGGCATCCCCATCTACCCTGTTTGTCCACAGACAGATCATTGACCAAAACGAAACACCATCCGCCATCAGTTGACGTCGCTTTGACGCAGTTGCCCTCCAGCCACCTCTGAAGACGGCAACAAACCATTTCCACCAAGGAACACGTACCATCATTATATTGACATACTTCTTCTCATCCTCCACCACCTCGGTCGCCATCTAGCAACATGGCGGCCTGGGGAGAAGCCAACGATTTCTGGGGCCCCCAGGACAGTCATGATGCCCAGAAACAGCAGCAAGAGAACCAAGAATCAGCAACCGCAGCTGGTCTTACCTCCAAAGCAGCAGCACCACCGCCTTTGGCAGCGGCAACACCAGTAGCCGTGCCGGTTGAGACGAAGAACAAGGACAGCAAGGAGAACACTCGTCCTGGATCGTATGCTACGTGGACGCCACCCGCCAGGGCTTCTGGTCCAGTCAAGAAGGTTTTAGAGCCCGTGGAGATCGCAGACAAGTCCAAATTGCCGTCGAATACTTCGACTCACCAGGTCATCACGGTCACCTCACCGCGGTCACCTAAACATGAGATAGTAAAAGACCATCATGAACCCGGAGATGCGGCTGTAGAAGTATCGCGCCCGTCTCTGCTTGCGAGCACTGAGAACAGAGCAGATCCTCCGGCTGCTACTGCCGTCACGGCTGCGCCGACACCAGCACAATCACACGTCCACAAGCGACGTGATCACGGCTCCTCGTCGACAAACAACACAACCAATAATGAGCCACTAGACACTAGCAAGGCCAACGTAAAGGAGGTCGCACAGCCTGTGGACATGCGCGCCAGGATTGTGAAGAATCTGGAAAAGCAGAAACGCAACAGAGCGGCTGCTGCTGCTGCAAGGCACCTAGAAGAAGAAGCAGCACTCGACCGAGCCCGCGAGAAGCAGCGGCAAAAGGAGGAGCAAGACCGACAGGCTCAGGAAGAAGGAGATTCTTCCTCTGAAGCGGCTCAGCGTCACGACGATGGAGTGCAGCAGAAACAACTGGTACTCCCATCGGCGGACGGTATGTCACTTCGAGATTCTACGCCCGCACAGAAACAACATGGACAGCATGGCGTCTCGAGATGGACCACTGCCAGCCAAGCTGCCACTACGGGGCTCGACGACCATCACTCGCAAGACGGGGACCAAGTAGACGATGATCTCGTCGCTTCCCAGGACAGCGCCAGAGCCGCAAGCGAAGTATCCTTTGAGCCGGACATTCGAGGCGGCGATCTGACCATGCCGTCTGTCCGAATTGACTGGGATGCATGCCGGCAACGCGGATGGGGTGATTGGGCGCAGAGAAGCGCGGGCTCCGGCGCGGAGTTTCCTGTCGACTCTGAGCTCGAGAGATATGTCAAGTTCTGGCTGAAGTCAGCGCGCGACTTTCGCCATCACGCCATCAAGATCAAGCGCCACAAGGATCACGAGCATTGCGACGTCGACACAATGACGGGCGACCTACTAGGGCCGATCGCGTTTCCGCATATTGAAACTCGTAGGTTTTACATACACACATAACGAGGACTGCCGAAATTCAGCGATAGTTAACAAGTTACAGATCCTGAAGACAAGAAGAAGACCATGAATCACCGGTTCTTCGCTGGTATTAGTATGCCCGGAGCAAACAGCGGCGATGCTAAGCGAGGACACGACCAAGGAGCTGGACAAGAAATCGTCCCTGACTCGACGACCTCCTCCACGAGTGACAGGCTTCAGTCAGAAGGCACGGCGATGTCAACTGACGTCAAAATACCCAGCCACCTCCGCCCTGCCACAGAGGCAGACATGAAGGCCGTGGCGGAAATCTACAATCTCGAGGTCCGCGACTCGCACAGAACGCTCGACACCAACCCAGTCGCCGAAACCGACTTTGATCAGCTCTTCACCCGACTAAAAGCCATCGACGCGCCCTTCCTAGTCGCAGTAAAAGGCTGGCACAAGTCTCTTCTTCCTTCTTCCCCCTCGGCGGCCCGCAAACGTAGGAATGCCACCACCACCAACAACAAGAACAACATCATCATCGGCTTCGCCCTGGTCGACGTCCTAAGCCCCGGCATCGCCGGCTCGCCCCTCACCTGCGCCGCCCCCTGCGGCCGCATCACCCTGATAGTCCACCCAGACCACCGCGGAAAGCGCATCGGCACCGCGATGATGGACGTCATCCTGTCCGTCTGCTCCCAGCGCCACCACTCCCTGGGCGGGTACCAGTTCGTCAACCCGTCGGACGACCGGCGCTTCGTGGAGCCCATGGACAACCTCCGCAGGTGGTACACCCTCTTCCTCGACCTGCTCGTCGAGAGCAGCCCCGAGAGCGCCACTCTCTACCAGAGATTCGCCGCCTCCGCTGACGCTGCCGCGCCGCCGCGCACGGCAGAGCACCGCGCCCAGCGGCTCCGGCAGCACAGGGAGTGGTGGGTCGCCGAGTGGCTCGAGTCGCGCTTCGGGACGCTGCTCGTCGAGCACACGGAGAGGCTGTACAAGCACGACAGCGCCGACGCAAAGGGCCGCGGCTGGCTTGACCGGCTTGTCATGAAACACGAGTGCCGTAGCAAGTAGAAGCACCCAAGGCCATGGTCCGGGCCACTTCGAACATAGGAGTGAAACGGGCATCTCCTGCGGATCGCCGTGATTAGACTCACAAGACGGACAGACCCAAATGTTGGTGGGATGCAATCAGGTAAAGCACAGTCCGGTTTCGGTCTCCCTGCCCGAGAACGGTGAAGATCGAGATTCTCATATGTGGAGAAGATGATGAGAGCAGGCGTCGTCGAGCATGGAGGACGAGACCCCAGCCGATCGCACATGTAGGAATTTAGAACAAATGTAAATGTAGTCATTCTTGCCCTAACTGCGGCGCTCTATCGTCACCGGAATCTCTATTTGACATGAAATGCGGCAGAAACTGCGCGACAGACTCTCTTCGCAGTCCCTCGACTCAAACTTGTCGTCAGGTTCCGCTTGCAAATGGAAAGAACGTGAAAATCAATGTCCCAGTGATACCTGCCATGCCAGCGCCATACGCCTCGTGCCTAGCCAACGCCGTCCGTGAAAGTGAGAAAAAAAGTCAAAAGTGGAACACCAGAAAACGCCGTACCCTTCCAATCGCATAACGACATGCCGAGAAAATGCAGCGAGAGCGAACCCAAAGAAGGAAAGACGATTCCATCGAGCGTCCTCCCAGCTAGCTGTGCCTTTACATCACAGAACACGATCCTGCGACGGTTCGGGCTCTGCGCCTGCCTGTGATCAAATTGACACCCTCCTCATGAGCGTGCAGCATCTGTGCTTCGCGAGCCCTCCGGCGCCGCCGCCGCACGCCGGCGCCTCCAGCTCCCGCCTCTTCGACAGCTTGCATGTAGCCAGCCCACTTGCGTTCCAGCCTGGCAGCGGATGCGAAATCGCCCTTTAAGACACGAGCGGTGTGCTGCTCGACGGTTTGCTGCCAGCCATAAAAGCTCTTGAGTCCGATAATCTCAGTTGGGTAGGAAGCAGTAGGAGGAGCGTCGATTTCGTCCTGGGTTGCTGGCATCGGCTGGCGAACCTCGGCGTTCCATGAAAGGACCTCCCGGATTCCTGTCCATGTAACGAATTGGCAATCGTAAACGACAAGACGCATGCCAATTTTGGGCTGGGAGTCGCTGCTGGTGGTTCTTGCTGCACGGCCACGCACAGTAGCAGCAGCCTCAGCTAGGACAAGATCGCCGCTTCGGGTGTTGTCCAGGTCGACGCTCTTGAGGCTCACACACTGCTTCATCACTGGCACCATACCAGCGTCACCAAGGTTTTCGCAGTAGCTCAGGGACAGATGCTCTAGAATCGGTGCGCATGGTGCCTTTGCGAGATGCTCTGACAGGAGATCGTTGGTCAGGTCAACCAGATCCTCCAATTCGAGGTGTGTGAGTCGAGGAGTGGTGGCGAGGATGGGCTCCAAAGCAGAGTCAGTCAAGGCGGAGCAACCATTGAGCTGCAATCCCTCAAGGTCAGGAACGTTATATCCGAGAGACTTGACGCCATCGTCTGTGAGCCGAGTGCATCTGCTCAGGTCGAGATGTCGCCAACGGCGTGGTGCGACCACTGGGCGGTCCGTCAAAATATCAATTTCAGGATCAGTGCCGACGATCATGGTCTTGAGAGCATCATCGGTGAGCTCAATGCAGCCGTTGAGAACCAGGCGTTCCAGATTGTTCGTCTCAAAGATGGCCTGAGCAACCTCGACATTGTCAAAACCCTTGACTTCGCCTGCCCGTAGGTCGCGGAGTTTGGGACAACCCTGAATTACCATGCGGACACCACGTGCGTCCATCTGCTTGCACCAAGAGACATTCAAAGTCTCGAGCTGAGGGCAGTGTTGGGAGATGATCTTGCATGTACTATTGGTGACAGCAGGCAGGCTGGTGAGGTTGAGGTTGGCCAGCTTGACATTGTTCTTGAGAAGGCCGTGCAGTGTCTGTCTCTGGAAATTGCGGCAGCCTTCGAGGCTGGCGTTGTAGAGATTCTTGCAGGCATTGACAACTGCCTCTGCGCGCTCGTAATGCTCGATCTGGAGACAGCCCCGAAGATTGAGATTCTGGATGAAGGGACCAGCGGCCACGACAATCTTGGCGAGAGATTCCGCAGGAATCTCCTGGTAGAACTCAGTCGCATCCAGGTGGGTCCAGAGCTGGCCGTCAAAGGCGAACTTGTAGAAGTCCTTGCTGACACGAGATGCCCGGACAAGTTCTTTTGGCTGCAGGTATGCGAAAATTTGGATTCGGACCTCGTCCGGCATATTGGCCCAAAAGTCGTAGGGAGGCTTCTGAACTGTGGCTGACCGTGATCTCGTGGCAACTACATCGCGAGGCAAGGCGATAGAGCCTGGGGTAAGGCATGTGGTAGACCCGCCGATAATCTTTCTCGCAGCCAATTGAGAATCGGAGTCTTCGAAGGATGGAAATTCGACCGCTGGTGAACCCTGGCCGGAGTTGATGTTCTCTGGAAAGTAGCTCTTCATCAGACTGCTCGGAGTGCCAGGGGTGAATTGGCCATATGCTGGCGTGCCAGCCAGACTGACACAGGAAATGGTACCTCGAGTGCCATACGGAGCGCTTGAGGAACGAGCGCGGCCAATGTTTGTTAGCGATGACGACGATCCGATCCGTTGAATGCCGCGCAAGAACTTCTGCCGCCGTTTCTCTTTTGCAGGAGGAGTTTCGAGCGGCGGCGTGAGAGGCGTCTCAACCATGGCCGATCCGGGCGTGCCGACCACGGATGATGAGCTGCTGCTGGCTAGAGACATTGTTCGAGTAGACGGTCTGTCAAGCTGTAAAACAGCCGCGCCGGCTGGGATTCGGGGTAGGATTGCGGCCGATTCTCTGGAGGCTTTTCTGGTTCGACGATGGACAATCAAGGAAGTGTTTTGGATCAGTGTTGGTGAGAAGCTGGAGGTGAAAGTATTCGAATCGGGGTCTCTGAACCCTGGGAGACTCGAATCGGCGCAGTGGAGACTGTGCCCCCGGTCGGTGGTGGAGAGCCGGGGTGGGCTGGCGCGATACAGGGCGGGGTTGTGAACGTTGCTGGTTCGTGGGGATTCAAAGCCACAGGAACAATGCTCGCAAGGATCCGCCAACGACTAAGGGAAGTAGTGGTAGGCTCCGAGCCAGGATGGGAGGCACGCTGCAGTTGGCCCCAAGAAGGCGAGGCGACCTGCTAACAAGATGCTGCGCGGATCTCGACAAGGGCAATGATCATTCGGTAGACATGGTCCGGTAGTGCGTGTCGGTGCTGCCGCGTTCCCCACAAATGGGACCACAAACGGGGGCGATGGAAGCAGCGAGCGAACGGCCTCGCTTGACCACAAGGACTGGAGCAGAGTTGGGAGAGAAAGCTGGATTGCAAATGGTAGAGGTCCAGGCGAGAGGGTCAGTGACGGGTTTTTGCTGTGTTGTGGCCGCGTGTGCGTCCAACAAGATTTTGGGCGAGGCAGAGCAAACGCAGCTGGAGAAATAGGGTCGAAGGGAATTCCCTCAAGGGACGGGAGTTGGAGGGTCGGATTCTGGAGTGTGCATGGAAACCGGATGGGGTTCTGGAGCGCCTGGCAGGCCTGCTGGGTCGTGTTTGCCGACGCGAAAAGGGTCCAGCGTGCCACACTACAGGGCGCCGGCGCGTGGCTATTGTCGAGGAAGGCAGGCGAGGTCAGGCTGGTGGTCGCCACCAGGCAGGACTAGAGACCAGGGCCCGCTGCAGGTCGTCAGCTCGGCCCACCACCAGGCGAGAAGAGACTGGACTAGCTGGTGGTCAGGGTGTCTTGAGGGAGGGCACAGCCGGGCCGAAAGTGCAGAACGCTATCTCTTGCAGCAGAGGCAGGCAGAGCACAGAGCAGAGTCGAAGGGCTGTCGGGTCCGTGGACTACTTGTGAGCATCTGGTGGCCGGGTTGGAAGGTGCAAACAAGGTGGGCCGTGGTCCGCTCTTTGTCGTGTGGCCCTGGATATGAGTTGCTCGATATATAAGCCTGTGTTGAACAACGCTGGCCGGCACGGACACCATCCCGCGAGTCATCACGCGGCACCTGCGCATGCCCAAGCACGCACACCACCAACAGCCACCTCGAGGAGACAAGTACACCTCCCGAGGTCGTTCTTGAGCAGAGGGGAGGGGGAGGATCGACAAGAGAGACCAGGGAGGTGGGGGCCGAGTGGGGAGAGGACACCCCGGTAGCGGGGGCGGGCGGCGTGGAAGGCCGGCGGAAGGAAGGCACCTCACGGGCACAGACCCCTGCCGGGATGTTATCAGTCCCCACTGATAAGGAGGTGGTCAGGCCAGGCGGGGCCTTCCCCACGTTGCAACAGGCCTGGCTGGCTCGCGTGACTTCCAAGGTTGCCTTGCCCCCCCGAAAGTTGTTGAGTGCTGAACGGAGAGCCTGTGATTTGCCTGTCACAATTCAGCTAATCGTCAGTTGGTGAGTTAGACACCAGCCGAGCGGTCAGCAGTGCAGAGCCTCGCTTTGCCTTCCGAGACACGCACTATGCGCGGCTGACTGGCCTTCCTCTACTGTGTATTATACGTCGCGCGTAGACCGCGCAGGAAGCACCAGCCAACCACAGCAGCCACGACATGGCTTCATGCAGGCAGGGTCCTCACCTGCAGGGCATCCATGGAGTCAGTCGTCTGCCTCTTGCAGTTGCTGCTCTTCCTACCAAGAGGCAAAGCGGCGGCAGGAGGTGATCCTCTGCTTCCAAAGATAGACGGGCGACCGGAGGACAAGAAGCCGTGATCGCCCATGTCGTAGCCGGCAACCCAACCGTGTGCCGAGTGGTGATCGCGTGGCCTGGCTGGCTGGCTTGGTCTGGCATGTCTCGAGATGGCCGGGTCAGGGTCCACACCACATGGGCTGCCGTCTCGACAGATGGTCCATCGCGGGCGTCCCATGGCGCAACCCTCTCCAGTTTGACAGCAGCCCGCCATTGGTCTCCGCCGCTGTCCACGTGCCAAAAATGCAGCATGACCACTCCTGTGCGTCCTCGAGCATGGCCGTCACGTTCCGCTCATAGATAAGGTGCAGGCCGTTTTTATCTCGAACCATGGCCCCAACCTCTTATCGACCTCGCAAGTAACGGCTCCTGGTGAGTATCACGTCCACTTGCTATCACGACTCGCGTGCCTTTCTGGAGAAGCGGCACGTGGCTCGTCCTTGTCTTGCGCTGGGGGAATCATTACAGTCTAGCAGATTGGCGCATTGCCCGACCGCGTATGCCTGACTCGCACCGTAGACATGACGTCCGCTTTATGGCGTGTGCTTGTTGGGCATCCGTCGGAACTTGGGCAGCAAGGTAGAGATCCGTGTCTTCATAACTGGCCATGAACATGGTTGCTAGTGCCAAAAGATAAACACCAACAGATAAGCACAATGGGTGAAGTTGGAGGAATACGCTGCAGTCGAATTTCTGGACAATGCGCCAGAGCACAACTATAGTGTAAACCTGATGTCTGCCTTCCTTGCGTGCGTGACCCTGTGAGGAGCACAATGCCGGAATCCTTCGATCGAGTCTGGTTTCCTACGGCCCACTTCTAGTGTAAACAGCGTGCTAACAGCGTGCTCCAGGCAACATCGTCGCTGAACCTCACCGCTCATGCGACGATTCGAATGCCTGGGTGCCCGTGTAGCCCAACAAGTATGTGGCGAAAGATCAAAGTCACTGGACACTTGGCTCGTTTACCTGAGACAGCATCGCGTTTTCGTTCAATGTTGACGAACCACATTCTTGAGCCTCAGGATATATAGTGTTCCTTCAAGACAGGGCTTATTTCCTGTGTCTGGAACGGCAGCACTCCTTGTCCAGCCGCCGACCAAGATGCCGACAGGCTCGCAATCATCTTATCAGAGCCTTTGAAGTCCTTGGCTGAGGACAGGCTCGCCGTCTCTACTGGCTTGATAAGCATGACCTCCACGCCCACTGCCGTTATTGGATGTTTTCTCGGCAATGCCACTCTCCACGAAATCGTACACCAGCTTGCACTCAAAAGCCAGTCCAGATATAAAAGAGAATCTCAACTGTCCTGTTTAATCTGACCAACGCTTGAAATTTTCGTGCAGGCTCAAGGTTCAAAAAGGCAGAAGTGGTGCTCACCACCTAACCCTTTCTGATGCGTGTCAGAATCATACGAAGAGATGACCTCGACCGTACCTCTTGTTGGAATGACGCTACCACCTTCCTCTCAATTGTGCTTTACGGGCAACTGAAGAGCTAGGACGTCCAAGCCATACCCCGGCCGAGCCCAATGGGACTTCTGCTACTTGCCAAGCATATCGATTTCAGGCCCTGCACAACCCAGTCTTGGTCTGCTTCTACGCTCCGAGGGCGCCGTGTGACGACCGAGCCTCCCTTTAGATATCCTCTGCCTGATCTCTCGCCCCTTATGACGTGTGTTGATTAACTGCTGCGGCGCGCGACAGTGAAGCGGAGCCTGGAACCTACTCTTGAACTAGAGGTCCAGAGGTCCAGAGGTCCAGGTAGGAGCATATCAAGTTATATCCCAGCCTTTCAGCGTTGTGTTATCAGCTTGAAGATGAAACATTCTGCTCTCGTTCTTTACGTGTCAACCTCCTGTACCACCTCGGATTGGGGGGGGGGGGTTATACTTTGAAGCCTATAACTTCAGACCTAAGCCTGATCGGCACTCCGTGATCGTCCACCGCCCGAGGAGAGGAGAGGCACAGCACCAGTCACATGTCACGCGGACTATTGCCTCGAGACACGGCATTTAGATAATGGAGATTCGTCTCGAATTGTCGTATCGGGGCTTCTGGTCAGCACGGACACGACGTTTTCCCTTTCTGGCGATACCACACACAAACACGAGTCAAAAGCAAGGTTGGCAATAGGCGCGATCAACTCCCTGGCGAGCAGAGGTTCCGCATAACGTGTCTACACAACTCATGAGGTTGACACGAGGAAGAACTCCTAGAACACATCTTACGAAACTCGTGGGCGACGAATCAAGCAGTATTGCAAATCACAGCGCTCGTGTAAAACCTCGGCCTGAAATGAGGCCAAGGATAAAGATCCGGGCCCCTCCATCGTTTCTTTTTCTTTTTTCAATTTATAGCAACGACTACCAGACCCCCAAAAAGAGCGACATAAGTGTCATCAGCAGGGGACTAGCTGTAAGAAAACTCGAATCCACATCCAGATGTACAAATGATAGTTTCTGCTTCAAGCACAGCCTCCCAACAAGCAGCAACGTAATGAACAATCATACCTCTTCTGTCCGTAGGAATATCTACATTGTAAGATCGTAAAAGTTGATGTGTCCACTGCCTAACGAATGAATCTCCAACGTGGAAACAACAACGAAACGCGGAGAACAAGACGCCCCGAACCAAGGCCCAGTTCTTGGTTCCAGGAGCGTTCAACGTACTTGTAAGAAAGAAAAGTACCAGTACACCCGTCCTGGTAGCAAAAGTCATCAGTTTAACAGGCTGTTTTAAGGTGAGCCTGCCTTTCTGCCAATTCCCATTACAGTCTAATTGAGTTTATCCAGTAAGTCTCCAAACCAGCAGTAGCACATTAACTCCCCCACCTGGGCGGACGAAGCACTGTCATCGCCGTCCTGACCAAATGTCTTGCCCATTTTCGAGTGTGCACACAGGCAAGAAGTATTCATGGGGTTTTCCTTCCAGGCACAAGCACTGAACGCCAAGTATCAGGTCAGAGCGACGATCCAGCAACAGGCCTCGGCAAAGCTTCCCGTAGACCCGGAGGCCCCCCCTTGGTACACGCCTGCACAGAGCCGGTCTGGGACAAGAAAGGACAAGGGCTAATTTTAGATCATCTCCCCGTCGACCCTAAATGGGTAATTTATATGCGAGCATGTCTTAATCCCACATGACCTTTGCAACCATGCCAGCTTGCAAAGGGGATTATGCTCCTTACGACGTTTCTCTTTGCTCGCACTCCTGCCCTGAATCCGGCCTAGCGCGGATCTCACCAAAAGAGGAGGTCAGCCAATCAGAGCGAGCGAAACTGCCTGGTCTTGGCCTGAAGCGGTTGTGAGCGAGAGCAGCTGGCTAGGACGTGTCGTTGACTGAGAGCTCGAGCGTCCGTCGATATCAAGTTATTAAAGCACTCTCGATCTCTTTGTGTGTCCCAACTTTCACTTGTTCTTTTTGAGGAACTCCTTCAGGTCGACGAATCGTCTCGAGCCAATTTCAACAACAAGGCCAACAACAGTGCCGACGCAATCAGATTCAAGGCAAATACTTCCCCCCCATCACTGGAGTACCATTGCACAACACACCATGGCTGTCCCTACCGATACAGGACATACCGAGGAGAAGGTCTTCCGCGCCTACAGCTCCGAGCAAGGACGGCATTATGCCAGTGCTCGCACTGCTTATCCCCAAGTCGTCTACGACACAGTTGTCGACTTTCACACTACCACAGGCGGTCACTTCGGAACGATAATGGACGTCGGCTGTGGCCCTGGTCCGGTTGTCCGGAAACTCGCGACAAAATTCGAACACGCTACAGGTGTCGACCCGAGCCCCGGTATGATCGAGTCAGCCACCATCCTTGGTGGGTTGTCTGGCTCATCCAAGCCTATCGACTTTGTTGTTTCAAGGGCAGAGACTCTCGAGGGCATAGCGGATAGCAGCATCGACCTAGTCACAGTCGCCGCAGCCGCGCATTGGTTCGACATGACCGAATTTTGGCCACGTCTCGCACAGGTCGTACGTCCTGGCGGCACAGTCGCGGTTTGGAGCAGCAGCGCAAAGATGCCGCACTCCTCGAACCCCAACGCCACGGCGCTCACCAAGCTCCTCACCAACCTCACAGACAACGACCTAGAGCCTCACATGGCCCGGGGAAATAAGATTGGCAGGTCAAGGTACTCAGAGCTTCTGTTGCCATGGACCATAGACCACCCTGTTCCCGAATTCGATGCGGCATCGTTCCAGAGATTGATCTGGGTGCCGGAGGGGGAGGCTGTGCAGGAGGGCGAACTAGCAGTGCCTATCGAGACTCTGACGATGGATGATCTCGAGAGGATAGCAGACACAATGAGCCCCATTACAAGATGGAGAGAAGCACATCCAGATCTGGCTGGCACCGAGCGAGACCTGGTCAAGGCTTCGAGGAGAAAGATTGAGGCTGTCCTGTCCGAGGGCGGCGCTCAGAGTGACAACCTGGTTCTCAGGATGACCTCGCCTGGTGTGCTCTTGCTCTTCAAGCGGGTGTGATCCAGCACTCTGGGCTGTCGAATGGGAAGAACTACGTACTTACACCCTCAGGACAACAACGCCTGCCTCTTGTGCAGAAAAGATTGGCACCTGCCTGAGTGGTCGGATATCTTTGTCCAGCAGCAAGCACATCTACACCATAGAGCCGTTGAAGTAAAGCACAGACGACCTGCAGCCAAATGCCTCGACACTGCCTGTGACTGAAATGTGTGACTGTGTGATCTGTGACGCCACGATGCGAAGTCGTGGTCGTCTGTTGTTGATCTCGCTGCACTGCTGACCGAACCGAGAAAGGCGTTGCTTCGTGGCTGCTCATGTGCCTGTGCCCCACCATTGGCTGTCGATCTTGGCATGCGAATGCTCCATTGTGCATCCGATTACGGGCCCTGCCGCGGGGGCACCACACCGATGCAATGCAGGTCTGGGCACGACCACCATGGAAAGAAGCATCTTTGCACCTCAAGCGTGGCGATGCTTGTCTGCAAAGCCAAGTTGTTCTGGGCATCGATGGGGAGGTGCGAAAAGCTTGGGGAAAAGCTTGCAGGGCGTGATTGCGCGGTGCTGGCAGGAACAGATTGAAACAAAGACGATGCCGAGCCGGAAAACCGGCGCAGCTTGTACGAGGGCCCCACTGCGCGGATTGGCGACTCGGAGGAGACGGGGCTGGTCCTGCATGGAGGTGCCGAAGACTGGAGAAAGAGGCGGGCAGAGGCTCGAGAGGCTCGGGAGGACGAGCAGTGGTGGAGTAGGGCTGTGGGACACTGGAGGGCGCCGCGCGGGCGCAGGACTGGCGCCAAGACTGCCGAGTGCTGCTAATATGACGTACCCTTGTATCCCCTGTTCCGCTGTGTAGGCTGGACTGGTGCTGGAAGCATCTTCTCGGCCCAGCCTGGACTTCCCAGGTATTGGCGTTGCGGCAGTGGCACGCTGGGTGGCATCAGCAGCACCATCGAGCAGCGTCGACGAGTAAGCCAAGCCAAAACCTCGCATACAGGCTGGTCGTGCAAGGTAGCCAGGGACAATGTCGTGTGTTTATTTCTTGGTCGTGTTGGGTGGGGGTGTGGTGTCGCTGCTGAAGGCGCAGAGTCTCGCAGGACAAGGTCTGCTCAATGTCGACGATGATGTGGTGGGAAGGCAAGAAGAAGTGGTCTGAGGCCCTTGGTGGAAAGGAAAGAGTCGTTGCAGAGTCCAAGACAGGCCGCCCACATTGTCCACGCCTTCGTCCAGCCTCAGCTGCACGAATAGTCAATTTCCTTCATGCGAGTGGCGCTTGTTGTGGTCATCTTGTTTGTTGAATCTCGGCATGGGCTCTGCTTGCTACCCAAGGTTGGCTGGGGCGTTTTCGCGCATCGTGCCCACATCCCTGGATCCAAAGGTACCCTCGAGGTACTCTTCGCCTCAAGCCACCGTCAATGCCTTAAAGCGCCTGCAACATGTGAGCAGCAAAGCGGCGTTGGTTGACAGTGACGGCTGTCGAGCTAGTCCCATTGAACCCGCGGCCATTCCTAATCGTCCTGGCTGCATCATCTGCATATTCCTGCCATGTCGACTGGCGAAGAAAGATGTCGTCTGCTGAGCATCACCACTCCCTCCACCAAAGGGCGTTGAGTCATGTTGCGCCACAGCCAAGCGGCTTGTCACGCAACCCAAATATGGTGCGTGGCGGACATTGTCTCCTGCGTTCGTAGTCGCTGGGTCGGCCGGTCGGGAACGAGTTGAAGAGGCACAGCTTGTGAGACAGAGCCGCGTGGTTGGGACGCCCCTGATGTTTGTTTATTCTTCTGTCCCCATGTGAACCTTGGAAAGCCCAGAGTGAGCCAGCCAAAGCCATCCCCGGCAGTTCTGATCTATCCCATAATTGGGCAAGCGGGTTGTGACAACCACTTGTCTTGACGGAACACACCTGCACACGTGGTGGATAAGGCAGTTTCCACGAGCAAGGCACATTGCTGCCGTGTTTTATCACCCGCAACAAAAGCATAGATGCCTGACTGTCTCAGATGCGCCCAAGTTCCATTTCAAATACAGGCGGCCGGGTTGCAACATGGCACGACATTGACAGTAGACCGCAACGGGGTTTGCCCGAAGGCGGCGATCAAGCACGGCCTGGCCATGGACGGTTCACCTCCCCAAGTCGTCGGCTCGGGGTACTTGCGAGGTACTTGTGCGCCCGTGGCGGAGGGATGGCCAAGGAGGCTCAATCGCAGCCCTGGAGGCGCCGCCGAGCAGGCGCTGCCGGGGTCCCCCGGGCGCTGCGGCCGGGTTCGCCTTCCCTGCACGCCGCCAAGCCCGCCCAGGCCTGGGCCTGCACGGCCCTCGTCCGCCATGGGATCAGCTTTTTGTTTTCGTGCTGCTCCCGTCCTCCATTCTTTGCGCCAGCGCTCAAAGTCCTCGACACTCTGCTAGGAGGCGGCTTGGCCGTGCCGTGATTAAAGTTGCGCCCGCCCCCCATCACGTCCACTTTGTCCGGCGGCCTTTATTGTTCTTGATGCAGATCTGTTTCGCACGACATCAGTCCTAGGTGCGCCGACTTTTCACCCTACGTGTTCGACTCTCCAGATCTTTTCAGCACCGCGGCGTGACGGCCCCATCGTCCACCACGTCAATATACTCTTTAACCTCGAGATCGGGAGCGTCTGCGTCGCAGTAGCTTGCAGAGGCCTAGCAGTGGAAAGCCGGCACGGCACGGCACGTCTCGGAACGCGCTTACCTCAGCGCAAACTCGCTTCCTAAAGTTTTTGGTCCATTGGAACGGCTGTGCAGCCCGCACGCACCCATCCCCGTCACGGGACCACAAGCACATCGTCACCAAGGCCCCGGGCAGTGCTCCTCAACTCTTTGCGACTTGTCTAGCAAGGGACGGACCTATCACGACATAGGCAACACTTTTGGAAGCACCCTACGCTTCTGTTCACTCATTTGCATATCGCAGGACGACTTGGTGCTCTCAGAACCCCTCTGCACTGCAGATCCCCCGACGCCAGTCATAAGTCAAGCGCCCCCCAGCAGAAATCTTTGTACATGGCGGCAAAGAAGTAAGAGCATCATCCGCAGCTGGAAAATTGTGTGGCCTGGGTCGACGTCACGTTTGAGGGAGCCTTTCCACCCACATCTTCCAAAGCGGCACGGAAGCAAGACAGCAACCATGGCGTGGGATCATCTTTCAATCACGAGCGCCCATCTGGTGTACATCATCTTGGGCGGCTTCACCTCGATTTTCATGCTCTGCTCCTCCGTCATCAAGGAGCGCATGTACATCGGCGAGGCTACCGTCGCCACCATCGTCGGCATCATATTTGGACCCCATGCCGCCAACCTCATCAACCCCAAGGAATGGGGCAACGTGGACGAGGTGACGCTCGAGTTCTCCCGTGTCGTCCTGGTCGTCCAGTGTTTCGCCGTCGGAGTCGAACTGCCAAAGTTCTACATGGAAAGGCACTGGAAGTCTGTCGTGTTTCTCCTGATTCCGGTCATGACCTGGGGCTGGCTACTTGTGTCAGTCTTCATCTGGTGGCTTGTCGAGCCCTTGAACTGGGTCGAGAGTCTGGTTGTAGCCGCCTGCATGACAGCCACAGACCCAGTCTTGGCCTCGTCCGTTGTCGGCAAGGGCAAGTTTGCCAAACGTGTACCCAAACACTTGCGAGACTTGCTGTCTGCCGAATCTGGCTGCAACGATGGCATGGCTTTTCCGTTCGTCTACCTGGGCATTTACCTCATCCAGGAGCATCTGAGCCCTGGTGAGTCGCTGTACCACTGGTTTGTCTACACTGTTCTCTACGAGTGTGTATTCGGCGCCATATATGGATTTGCCATCGGCTATATCGCACGCCACGGCATTAAGTATGCCGAGCGGCACGACCTCATCGACCGAGAGAGCTTTCTTGTCTTCTACTTCACCCTCGCCCTCTTCTGCGCGGGCTCTGGCAGCATGTTGGGTACAGATGACCTGCTAGTTGGTTTCGCTGCCGGTGTCGGTTTCTCCAACGACGGTTGGTTCAGTGAGAAGACCGAAGAGTCTCACGTCTCCAACGTCATTGATTTGTTGCTCAACTTGACCTACTTTGTCTACCTGGGCACCATCATCCCCTGGGAGCAGTTCAACGACGCAAGCCTTGGGCTCTCTGCCTGGAAGCTCGCGGTATTGGCTATCCTGGTCATCTTCTTCCGCCGCATTCCCATCATGTTGATTCTCAAGCCCGCCATTCCTGATGTCAAGACATGGCGCGAGGCTCTTTTTGCTGGTCACTTCGGCCCCATTGGTGTCGGAGCCATCTTCGTCGCGATTCTGGCGCGTGCCGAATTGTCCGTAGAAAAGACAATTCCATCCGGCGAGCTTCCGGCACTCGGCGAAGAGAATCACTATGTCACCTTGCTTGTTTGGCCGATCGTCACCTTCATGGTAGTGGCGTCCATCCTGGTCCATGGCTCCTCGATTGCGGTCTTCACTCTTGGCAAACGCATCAACACCCTCCAGCTCACCATGTCATACACGACCGCGGTCGAGGACGGTCCTACTTGGATGAATCGGCTGCCCAGGATCTCCTCTCAGTCAAAATCCCAAGCGCGGACTATGTCTGATACAGACTTCGACGACGTGAAGTCGCCGCAGTTCCCACCTGGAACCCTTGGGCCAACCGGATACCCAGGCGCCTTCCTGCGGCGCCAGCGCGAGGAAGACAAGGGCTCACACAACCGGTCCTCGAGTCGCGCCTCTTCTCTTATGTCACGACGACGGAGAAAGAGATGGGACGATGGCATCGGACCTGGCGGGCCTGTCAGCCAATCTGCCATCTTTCCCCAGCGCCAGTCCACAGGCGATAACCTCAGCGTCATGTCCCCCACCGAGAACGAGAAGCAGGACGCCATCACGCCCCAGGCCGAGACACCTTCGGAGCGCCAGGCGAGGGCCAAGGACAATGAGAGATCAGACGCATCGACTTCCGAGGATAACGTCGGCCCCAAGGGAGAAGAGGCTACTGAGCTTCAGGTCTATGACGAGGGTGACCACGTCATCATTGAAGATCAGGACGGGCAGGTCCTCGCGATTGAAGACCCTATCGACAACGAGACACGGCCGAATACAGACAAGCTCAAGGAAAAGGCGATGGAGGAAATCCAAAAGCCTGGTTGGACATACGAATCATTCAAACGGACTGTCAAAGAGTGGCGCGACGATGAGATCCAGAAGCGCAAGGAGAAGCCTATGGCGCGGACCAGACACGCACCTGCTCGTGCCTACCAGTTTGGCAACACGGCAAGTTTGACCACTTTTCCAGCTATCGAATGAGTCACTAACACGAGAAACAGATCATTGTCGAAGACGAGGACGGTGAGGTTGTCAAGAAGTACGAGCTGCCTTCGGAGCAAGGAGAGGGCAAGGACTACTTTGGCCAAGGCATGAAGCTCATGGGCATGGGAGGACTCGTCGAGAAAAAGGGCGACACAGCTGGAGAGCCAAGCGCCGCAGGGCCGTCCTCGAGACCTGGAATCAAACAATCTTTCAGCGCCTGGGGTGGCTTCAAGCGTGGTGGCGCCGCTGAGGGCAAGAAGAAGGCTGTGGAGACAGATGACTCGAACGAGCCAACCGAGGAAGACGACCGGCAGATTCGTTTCACGATTGGAGGCGTCGGTCGACGTATGACCAAGGAAGACTTTTTGAAAGAAGTGCAGATGCTCGACTCTCGGACTCGCCGCGAGGTGGTAGACCAGTCGAATGCGTCTGCCGCGGTAAAGACGGCAGCGAAGCAGGATATTCCCACCATCCGGGAGCCCGAGTCGACACGCAGGCCATCCCCGCGGAAGGAGCAGACAGTGCCTGACAGCCAGGCGGAGAGTAGCACGAGCTCGAGCAGCAGTGGCAAGTCGCCAGTCCGGCCCCAAGGCGGGGAAGCACGAGGCCGTAGCAGCACCACGGGGTCAGCGGAGCACCCCAGCACTGAGGAACCCGAAACAGCAGCTGAGCGGCGGCGGCGCCTGGCTGCATTTGCCACGGTCCGAGACGATACCGATGCCGACGAGACACCTGCGGAGCGCAGGAGGAGAGAAGCGGCACTGGGCCGCTCGGACGCGCCGGCTGAAGACAGCGACAGCGATGACGACAACACTCCACGCGTGCCCCCTGCTGCGAGACGTGGCATCCGCTTTGCGGATGATGCTCGGCCCAGGGCTTAGTGTGGCTGAATGCCGCGTTTTTTTTTTTACTGGCATCCGGCTTGATAGTTGGGTTGTGATTTGGGAGGGAGTAGAGTTCAGCATATATAGAGCTTCACGTAATGCACAGAGAGCATGACAGCATATAGCACAGAGCACAAACAAGCGGGATACAACCGTTATTCACATAGAGTTTCGTTCCACGATAGTCGTGATGCTGTGTGCCTGACAAGTGGTGTGTTGCGGGCAACACGGGACAATTTCCAGACATGGCTGATCTTGCCGCTACCCTGCAACAGGTCACAGCACAGCGAACCAAAAACTGGTGTGGAGCTGTAGCTTGGTGAGTGAGTTGTGCAAGAAGTGCAAGTGGGTCCCGTTGCCAGCCAAGCTGCTGGCCGATGATGAATTTTCTGAGGACCAAGCCGCCGCACTGGAGCTGCCTGGGCTGCTGCTGCTGCTGCTGCTGCTGCTGCTGCTGCCGTGACCCCAAGTCGTCAACCATCAGCAGCGCCCGACGCCCCCACCCAAAATCTGGCAACCACAGCTCCTGCACTACATCACTGACTTTTTGACGACACGCGACCGCCAGCCAGCCAGCCTGGACAACCACGACCACGACTACAGCGAAACCAACCCCCCAGTGGCATTCTTGTCGATTCTTCTCACCAACCACAGCGCCCACCACCTGCGCAACGAACATTCGCCGCTCCCGCATAAAGCAGAGATATAGCCAGCCAAAAAATCAGACAAAATGGTGCAGCTTACAGAAGTTGTCGACGAGCACTTCCAGGAGGGCCAGGTCGGGCCCGAGGACGATGACGACTTCACAGACACGGGTGAGTCTTTGACCTCTGCCAATAGCGCCCACTTTCTGGGGGTGCCGCCACAGTCGACTTCGCCTTCGACTAGAAGAAGCGCATACCTATCTATCATGGTGCTCCCCAGCACATCCCACATGTCCAAGCTTGGCTCGTCGAGCAACAACAACAAGAACAACAAGAACAATATCTAACTTGCACACCGCACGACACCACCAACACACAGACTCCGAGATCTCCCACGACTCCGACTACGACCCGGTCAACGAGTCCCTGTCCGAGCGGCTGTACGCCCTGCGCGACATGGTGTCGCCCCAGACCCGCGGCACCATCAGCAGCGCCGTCAGCACGACGACCAACGCCGTCCGCTCCGTGCTCAGCTTCGGCGGCAAGACCCTCTGGGTCGTCAGCAGCTCGGCCCTGCTCCTCGGCGTCCCGTGGGCCCTCGCCTGGGCCGAGGAGCAGCAGGTCATGGAGATGGAGAAGGAGATGCGCATGAGGGAGATGGGCAGCGAGGTATGATTTTGCGGCACACAAAATGTTGCCCTGTTTTTGCTTTTCAAAAGCTTCCCCTCGGAGGAGTCTTGCTCTCGTCAAAGAAGATGTCTGCTAACCTTTTTTGTTTTTTCACTGTAGCTCCTCACCGCTGGTGGCCAGCAGCAGGGCGGCTCCGCCACTGCGCAACAGGTCGGCGCGGCCATTGGCCAGGAGCCTGCGAAGGCAGCGCTGTAAGGAAGATGTTGAAACTCGTCAAGGACATCTCTTTCGCAGCGTGACTGCACCACATCAATAACAACAAGAAGGGACATCTCCCTGTAAAGTACCATTCACGACAAAAATTATCCGGCCTGTGTTTCTTTGGGGAGAGCACATGGCTTTTTTGTACGATTATATCGACGTCTGAAAGGGGATCGACTGCGGATGGGTTACGTGCAACTCGAGGAGGCATGACAGCTACTATCCCGTCTTGGGAGGTGACTTGGCCTTTTGCATTTATATCGGTTGTCATATCGCCCACTGGGCTTTTCATACCCCTGACTTTGGAAAGTTCGAGACCAGGACCAACCCAGATGCGGGATTGGAGGTAGCGCGGAGGACGTCTGCGGAGAAGTAAGAATGAGGCAGCAAACGGACACAAGAGGTTGGTCCCGTGTAGTATATCATGATCATCCAAGCAAATAATGAAGTATTGAAAAGCTGAGTAGTCCCAGCTGCGACATGCAAGTGCCTGAACATGACAAGTACGGACGGCTTCCAAGGTCCTCGGCGAGGTCTGCACAAATGCATGCAGGCAGGTGCTCAGATCGGGACAAAGTGCCGACACTAGGCTAAGTTCTTGAACTCAGCCTGTCAACTCATCACACCGTCTCGGCCCGTGGCCCAAATCACTTGCCATTTACAGCCGCCATCTTTCCCTCGGCCTTCATCTTCATCATCTCCTTCGCGTCCCTCTCGACAGCCGGCGCGGGTAGCACCACGCCCAAGAGACCGACCTTCTCGAGCACCCACGCGAGCGCGTTGAGCAAGCCATAGAACACCATCGGGATCAGCCCAAAGAACAGGTTTCCCAGGAGGCCGCGGCGGTAAATCGTCTCTGCCAGCTCGCCCTTTGTGATGTCCACGGCGCCCGGGAACGCAAACGGGCCGAGGAGCCGGTAGAACGTGCAGAAGCTCGCGCCGAAGCAGTATATCAGGGTGACGTGCAGGCCGTGCGCGCGCAGCAAGGCCGGGATGCCCGGGGCGCCGCCAAAGTCCCGGCCGAGCTGGGACATGTAGGCGCTGTGGTCGACGCCGTACTGGATCCGCGCCGTGGACTTGGCGAGGAGGTGGTAGTGCGGCGGGCTGGACATGGGCACGGACAAGGGCATGCGGTTTGTGATGAGCGCCGTGTACCACAGGGACTGCTGCTCTGCGATGGGCGGGATCGCGCCGACGCCCGGGCGGACAAACCCGATGAAGGCGATGTCCGGGTGGGACGGGTTGATGATGTTGCGGACCGTGGCGGAAGATGCGGTCGGGTAAGAAGGGTGGAGGAGGCTGAAGGTTTGTTTGTATCTAACGGGCACACAAGGGGAGGAGGTCAGTTTCGAAGTATACTTCTAGCTTTAGATGACATTTGGAGGGAGGAAGGGGTTGTAGTAGAGATGGCTGCGGTCCAAGAAAGTCTACTAACCCTGTGCATAGAACGACACAGTCTGGACGAACAACTTTGTCCTTCATCCGCACCCAGTCCTTCCTGTCAGGTCGCTCTTCGAACATGGCTCGGCCGGAGCCATCGAATCCTGTCGGGAAGGTGCAAGTGTCTACCCAGCGGTCCGACTGGGCGTCCTCGGGCGGATCAATGTACTTGTTGCCCACGAGGTCGAGGAGCCAGTTACTCTGCTTCCAGGGCCGATTGAGATAAGGCATGGCTTTGTTACTCTTGTTGAGGAAGACGTAGGCTCTACCCAACCGGTCGTTGGGTAGTCCGCCGACGTGCTGGTTCATGCCGGCCGTCGAGCCTGCGAGGAACCACAGCACACGCTTGATGACAAAGTCAGACACGAACCACCGCAGGCGGCTGTTGGCTATGGCGCTGTGTACGTAGGCCGTCTCGAAGAGGTTGGTGATGAGCCCGTCGATGGGCAAGCCGCCTTTGAAGGCCTTGCCGAACACCTGGAAGCGGCTCAGCTGCTTTGGGAACGAGAGAAAGCCGGTCCGGAAGCACATTGTCACCGACTTGGCGTCGGCCTTGATGGCCTCGTATGCGATATCTGTGTTTCAGGTCCAGAGAGGTAAGCTCAACTGTACAGGTCAAGCAGGCCCCGTCTTCCAAGGGCACGTGGACATACCCATTGCGGTCTCTCCACAACCAAGAATCAGCACATCGCGGTGTGCCAACTGAGCCCGGCCCTTGTAGCTGGCCGAGTGGAAGATGTCGCCCTTGACGTGCTCGGAGCCTGGGATCGTAGGGACATTGGGTTCAACATGGAGACCGGTGCATATGGCAATGTGGGAGCATCTGTACACGGCTGGCGCCTCTGGCATGTCCTTGTCCTTGTACACGACCTGGTGCTTCCACTTGGAAGCACTGTCGGCACACGGCTCGATGGCCGCAACCCGGCAGCCGAGCCGGATGTGTGGCCACAGCTTGAAGTGGTCGGCATAGGAGCGCAGATACTCGACGTACTGCGGGAGGGTGACGTGGTCGGGGGTGCCCGGGGGAAAGCGGAAGTCGGAGAAGGAGGTGAGCTGCTTGGAGCTCACGAGCTCAGCATTCTCGTAGGCGCGGTACTTGAAGGTGCCGCCAATGTCATCCTCGGCCTCGAACAGGCAAGCCTCGATGGGCTGTTCGGGCGTCGAGTTGTCGAGCAGGGTCTTGAGGGCGACCAGGCCACCAGGGCTGTGTGGTTGTGTCAGCCATGGCCTGTGGATGGATGCAATGCAATGCAATGCCTGAGGGAAGCCAGCAGTTGCTATAAGTCAGGTCAAGTAGTTGCACTCACCCACCACCAATGACGGCAACGCGGATCAGAACCATCTTTTTGAGCGGGAGGCCTTCAGGGACCAAATAAACATGCGCAGCAGTTACAGTGCCAAAAGAAACACGACACCGCTCTTATGCTGAGATGGCTATCTCCAGGCTAGGGAGGCAGGCTTGCAAGCAAGCAGGCGAGCTCGTCCCTGCTCCCGCCAATAGTGCATGTTTGCTGCCGCATTGTCTCGCATCGGAGCGTTGGCCGCCACCACCAGGACCCCCGCGCCAGTGGTGCCGTCATACATACACACAAGCTGCTGCCGAGTGCCTTACAACGGACCCAGGGCCGCGCGGAGTCGTGCCACGCTAGCAACGTGCTTGGAATCCATCCATGCAAAGTGTAAGTACGGACGCTCCGTTAGTCGCCATCAGTTAGTTGGCCGATACTGCGGAATGGGACCGCTGATTCGCCCAGACAAAGCAGTCGACATTACAAGTTGATGTCCCGCTGCCAATATCAGAATAAATATGGGTGCAATGGCTTTGCGGTGTTGCTGTCACCCCACAACCTTCAAGAGAGCCGCAAGTACCATAGCAAGTCCACTCCAGAGGGTGGTGCAACAACCTGCGAAAGATGGACTAGCGCTTCAGTCGGCCGAGGCATGCAGCAACTTGCATCGTGTCTCTCTGGCCGAGCTGCTTGAAGGGCTTCTCATGATGTGCGAGTAGGAGAAGGCTTTAGAGGTGACTCCCGTCATTTGTACCTCACACCTTACGTAGAGTTGCTTCAAGATACTACGCTAACGTACGTTGCCTAAGGCTGCCACGACAGAGAGGCTCGGGCTAGTCCCAAGATGCCTCTAGTGCATCCTTGACCCTGGAGCCCCCCCAGCGGTGGGGCTCAACTTGACCTGGACCCAGAGCCCAAACGCGACAAACGGGTGCTCAAGGCGGCGCGCCTCCAAACAATTGCTGCGACGCGTCGTCCCCACATCACGCCCTCCAGCTCTGGTCAAGCATCCACGGATGCAGGCGTGCCTGTCTACTGTTGACACAACCAAATTCACTCCTCAGACTCGGTCACTACCTCAAGCGCACCCAAAGCGATTCCTATCTGGCGCTCAAGGCCGTCCACGAACAACAATCCAGCCTGGTACGCTGTTGAGCAACTCACTCGCCAGAAATCCCTTGCGATGCCACGTCCCGCTCGTCGGGCAGCGCCCAAACGCGCCGCCGCCGCCGCAGCAGCAGCGCCCGTACCGGCCGCCCAGCCGGCCACTGGGATTGAGACCCAGCCTTCCGCGCCTAGCAGCGACATCTATAATGTCAGTGATCGCGAAAAGGAGGCGGCAAGCCAGAGGCGCAGGTCGGCGCGGATATCGTCCGCACCCACCACAGCACACCTCCCCCAGACCAGAGCCCTCAAGGACTCGCGAAGACGCCGAGACTCAGCCATGGACCGCCTTGAGAACATGACCTCGACCGACAGCATTACCATGATCGAAGCCGCCGTCGCTCTCGACATATCCGACGAGTCTCTTGAGATCAGCCGGCGCGAGGAGGCCGCGACGCCCCTTCAGGGCAGGCTTGCCGATCTCTCGGGCCTCGACCTGGACGATAGCATGTTCAACGACCTCAACACTACCTTCAATACTGTTGCCCCTCCCAGCGCGGGCCCTGCCAGTGGAAGCAGGCTCAAAGACTCATCCACCATTACCGCCAGCCACTTCAAGCGGAGGCCGCGAGCGGGCAGCTTCCTCAGTCGCGATGATGGGCCCATTCGGCCGAGTAGCAGAGCCGGCCCCAACACTCCGGGCCTCAGCTCTACTTTCAACATCGGCAACTTCAGACGCCGTGCACGAGAGCCCAGTATCCTCGGCACAGCACAGAAACCCCGTGCGCGGCAGGCGTCGCGTGACATTGAGTCCGACCTCGACCAAGGCCTCGGAGACGACGACGAAGACTCGGAACCGGAGGCGGAGTCGACGCCATTCAAGCAGACCAAGAGGCAGTCAGGCCAAAATATTGCGAACGAGGGATCGCCCGAGCCCAAGCAGTCTCGTAAGAGAAAGTCCACGGAAGGACATGTACCGCGTCCACGATCCTCACCCTCAATCACACGAGATCAGACTGCCGACCACTCAGACTCGGAGCTTGACGGCGAGCAACCATCGCTGCCACCCATGCCGCGGACAGGCCGGGCTAGGCAGGGTACACCAGACCGGCCAAGCACACCTGGTGTGCCTTCTACACCTGTCATGGACGAGAAGCTCATGGCTCCACCACTAAGCACTGACTCCTCGGAAGGAGAAGACAACGCTTGGCCTCCTGTTCAGGCCCTAGCCAAAGGTCGCACAAGACGACGTGCACTCAGAAGGACTCCCACACGAGATGACAGCCTTTCTGACATGTCCTCCCCCCCTTCCTTGACGCATTCGCCCAACTATGCCGAGGGTTCTTCGCCCGTCCCCACGAGACAGCAGTCTGGGCGGATAGCGAAGCGCAAGGCACCGCCAACCGCTGCGCGGCAAGAAACACGCATGCCGACCACGGCCGCACTCACAGGCCTCCTTCCTCGGCGGCGTCAGCGGCACGCCAGAGCAGCGGACTCTGACGACGAGCACGTGGATATCTCTGGACTTGGTGACGACGATGACGAGCTTACCCACCTCGACGTTCGCACTCGCCGACGTCCTGCACGAGGAGCAGCTGCGCGGAACCAACTCAGTGCTGCCACAGCGTCAAATAAGGGCAACGCCGGCAGCAAGCAGAACAGCACCACAGTTGCGACTCGCAAGTCCACGAGGACATATGGACGGTTGTCCGACAAGGAGAACGATGGGGAGGAGAATGAAGTCGCCGCGGACGGAGAAGAGCCAGGCGAGGGCGAGGACGCGGACGCGGCAGAAGAGGTTGCCGTCAGCGAGGACAGCCAGATGATGGTTGAGAGGATGGGCGAGGAACTCAAGCAGGCAGCCCGCAAGTTCGAAGAGGTGGACAAGTGGTCGCTCGAGTTCGAGGAGGTAGTACCAACCAGCTCTCCTCGGGGCGCGAGGTGATTACACAACTTTCAAACCCCCAAGAATTCCCGGGGGTGGGTTAGCTCATAGGGTCAGAGACAAGAGACCGAAGCAAAGTGCTTTGAATAGGAGGGAGCGGGGTTATTGCAGACGGCACATCATCGGAGGCCAAGTGAGGGCCTGCTTGTCGATGAAATCGTTATGAGCACTTTTTTTCACAGGTCGCCATGCTTGACCTTTGTCCAATGACAAGTCTTGTTGCATTCCGGGAAATCTCTTTTTCTCCAGCCTAGCATATTCAAATGAATGACTTTACGCATCGATGTTTTGCGATATTCTTGAATCAACATTGCGCATGGGTTGTGTGTTGGTTCAATGGTGAGACGCCTTTTCTTCCCTCATTTTCGCTGAGTTGCTGGGTTTGAAGACATGAATTCCAAGCTGGCAGTGTCAATCACGACGATATAAGAGAAAAGGGGCAGCTGAGCTTGAAAATCCCTTTTGATGAAGAAAAAACGCCATCGCTATGCAGGTATCTACTTTTGTGTGTGGATGCAGAGCGTCCCCCGTTGAATAGAAGGAAGCGGGTTGTGCTGCTTCCTCGCTCTCTTCCCGTGTCTACATGATATGCTTTCCCTTCTCTTTCTGTCGAGCCCCTCCGCTGTAAATGCCAAACCTACGAAAAGGGAGGGAAAGGGGAAACTGAACATTAGAGATCTCGTTATGTCCAAATAGCCCGAGTCCTTCACTGGGATCGCAAGGACCAAACAGGCTCTATTGCGGCCCGGCACGGGATGATTAGGGCCCATGGCTCAAGGCTTTGCTTTCAAGCACACTGCCTCGCGGACCTCATGGACCTTGGGGATCAGCTCTGCGATCTGGTTCGCGTCCCGGAGGGCGACGGTGAGATCATCTGGTCTGAGACCAGTCATGAGGAGGGCCTACATAATTTCCCCCCACGAGGCGCACGTTAGCTTTGATCTCCCCCAGATCGGCAAGTTTTGGTCACACCAGGAGTGCATTATATATATATATATATGCCTGCCGACGGCGGCGGCGGATGGTGGAGGAAAAGAGCAGACGGGGGGCGAAGCGCATAGGACTCACCCTTTTGGCATCGGCGAACGGCGCCTCGCGCTCCGTGTACTCGCGGATGACCACCTCGTCGGCGAAGTCGACGTACACGCGGGTGTCGCGGACCCGGACGAGGACGTTGTCGAGCCGCATGAACAGGCGCGCGAGGAGCAGCATGCGCGCGGCGTGGACGCGGAGCTTGACAGAGTACATGCTGATGCCGTTGTCGTCGAGCTCCGACTCGTACAGGACGACCTCGTCGAAGAAGAGGATCGGGTCGCGCCGCTTGAGGAGCTCGATTGGTATCGGCGGGGCGTTGGCCGTGGAGAAGGAGAAGGAGCTCGGCTCTGTGGGGTTGGTCGTTGAGGACGACTGGCCATCGTCGGCGTTGCCGTTGTCGTTATTCGTAGTGGTGCCCGTTGTGGTGCTCGGGGTTGTCGAAGGCGAGACAGTCCCCCGGTAGGCAGTCGTGTAGCTCCAGTCGTACGGCTTGACGACCTCCTTGATGCCCGCGCTCGTCTGCTCCCTGCTCGCGCTCCAGCTGCGCGCGTACGCCACCTGGAGCATGTTCTTGTCCGTCTTGTCGACGAGGTCGAGCGCATCATGGGCGTTGAACTCGATCCTCCACGCGCTCGGCTCGTGGGTGATGGCCACGAGGTTGTCCCCAAAGATCATCTCGGGTACTGGGATCCCCAGCGACTTCTCGAGGTGCTCAATCGGCCCCGCCTTCGAGATTGGCAGTTTCCGCGTTGAGACTGTGAACGCGCCCTGCCGGTGCGATGTCGTCGCCTGGTCGAGGTGGTCTGGCGAAGGGAAGGGCTCGTTGGGCGAGCTGATGTGTGCCGTCGACGCCATGTTGGTCTAACTAACCGTCGGTGATAGAGAGCAGATCGCGCGCGGCGTGGCAGTAGCAAGCGGGTCTGTCTAGGGGAACCTTTGAATTGCTCGATACTATAGCCTTGTGTCTACCACAATTCAGACTTCAGACACGAGGAAAGGAAGCCTTGGAGCTCTGAATGCTTGTGGAGACGTTGGGGCTCATGCGGAGGATGGTGGGGGCTCCTCTGAGGAAACTGCCCCGCCTGCAAACCTCCGATAGCTACAGCACCACGAGAGTTCTCTAGTTTCATCATCAACAGCAACAAATGCAGGAACCATCATTTGCAGCGGGTACAAGTGAGAACTTGTTCTCCTCGAGATAATTCCCTTCGATGGATCCCAGCCCCAAATTCAAGACCAAGCACAACAGAAGTGCCGCCAAGCAGACCTCATGGTTACATCTGGTGGCTGGTGTCAACACTGCTCTCCGGAGGAATCGTATCTACCTACCTCACCCTCGGCGACGGCTCTGCTTGCGTCCTCCATTGATAAACCATTCTAACCTGCTTGTTCATGCCTGCCCGCCATCATATTTTAGTCATTCGCTGAGTCAGATGCCGCTCAGCAATGCAATATGTACAGATAGAGAAGCAACATGATAGCTCGGGTCCTCCTCTGTCGCCGGGGCATGCATTTCGCTTCCAGCACCCTTCTGAGCACCGCAGAACATGAGACCATGCCCGATGTCGCACGATTTTCCGTATATATATACCATGCAGCACGAAAAGCAATAAAGCTCCGCCCAGGCTGTTTGAGCCCAGATCCGCGAAGCAAGGAGACCATGTCTCGATGGGCGGATAGCAGGGAATTGTGCATCCGGGCTCGGCCTCTCCCGAGATATTCTTGGGACCAACAACGGTCTGGACCCCTGGTTCTGGCGGTGTGCTTTGCTTTTGCAAACATTCCGGGACGATTGGAAAAGAAAATTCTACGGGCGCCCTTCAGTCGCGCACGGTTTCTGCGCACAAGGAAGTGGCACGAGTCCGGCTGCCCGGCTCCCAAGCCCATGGACCAATTGATACACAATGCAGGGTGTGCACGTGGACGACTATCTCCAGCGACTGATGAGGCTCAGGCTGGTCATGGTACCAGCAAACATTATCATGGGTGAGGTGCAGAATCCGAAAGCTTCCCCGGCAGCGCGAGTGGCTCGGACAGGGGAACGACAAGGTTTCCGTCCCTGGCCTGCATCGCATCCAATAATGATAGGAAGCATGAATTGTTTGCTTAATGGGGGTCCGCGTCATGCGGGTTCTGGCTGCTCGTTCCCGGAACCGCTCCCGAGTGCAGCGTGGTTGTAAGTGCATCTTCCATATTGGACCAATGTTGCGATTAATTACTGTTTTGACAACAGAGGATGCGGGTCGTATGTTGGCAGGTCAGGTCGGATATCCCGAGGAATCAACACATCAGTCTGTAGCAGGCAGACAGTTAAGGGTGTGCTCCTCGGACAGATGAATTCCCCGGGGCGTGCCTGCCGTGAGATGGTGTCACTCCCTGCCATATCCCGACCCTGTGAGTCTCCAAGTATCAGACATCAAGCGTGACATGAATCTATGCTGCCAGTAGTCAGAGCTTACGAGGAAATTCCTGAGTGCCCCGGAGTGTCAAGTCGTGGAACAACCATGTTTCCTTGGCGTCAGCCGCAAACACCCAGGTCTACTGTGAACGGAGCTGTGGAGCGCCCGGATGTACGATCGGGTCACGATGTCACCAGCAGGGTGTCGCCAGCAGGATGTCGCCAGCAGGGTTCCGCCAGCAAAGATGTCGCTAGCGAGAAGTTGCTAGCAACGATGCGTCTTCTCCAAGTACGCCACAACCCCATCTGTCTTGGCCAATCTGGGAAGTATGTCCGCGCTGGCGCGTGCTGGGGAGATCTGGGGATGGTGTGAACTAGGCTGCAAGGATCGTAGGCCAACACAACGGCTGATCCAGAGAAGCTTGTGGCCTATGCAGCGCAGCCCACACAGGCTAGGAAACGAGCTTCCGGCAACGACAGACCACGGAATCATGCAACATGGCGCTCTTGTTGAGGTCAGCCAAGCCCGTACTAGGCCATCTTGTGCGGTCACGCCGCGGCGGACTGCACTGATGGGTGCATCGAACTCGTTGACACGCGGACGGCCCTGCGAGGTCCCGAGGTTCGCCTGATCAGACTTTGCGGGGTAGAGACATTGATTCACGTTAGTGGCAAGCCCGCCGGCCGACTGTGCTGCGTCTTGGCGACTCAGGCCCCGGGTGTGTTGTGTTGTGTTGATGCAGATGTGCGTGCGTGCAGAGTCGCGAGACGATCCGGCAGGGACCCGAGACGAGTCTAGAATCTCTGGGATGTGCATGGGCGCTTCCCTTGCCCGGAAAGCTTCGGACGATATTGCTTTTTCCAAAGCACGGCCGATTTCCAAATGACTCCTGCGTGTTACGAGGGTCGATGGCCGGGATAATGTCTGGCATGTGCTTCTCCTGGTCGCCGGCTTGAACAGCTGGCCAAGTCTGCATGCAGAGATCGTTGTCAATGCCCTTGTTGACCGGTGCGACGTGCTTGCCGTTGTGCTCATTTGCGGGCCGTCTTGGCCTTGCACGCAGCAAGGGCACAGCATCCGAGTCGCCGGGTAGCTAACTAGGGATGCTGGCCTGGGGAGACTGTGCCGGCCGCACGCGTGCCAAGCATACACGGAATGGACTGGACAGACCACATGGCTGGAGTCGAAGCTTGCAAGCTACCATCTGCTTGGCACACGAGGCAGACCGTCACCAGGTGCGTTGACGTGAAGATGCAGTGGCGACCCCAGAGCTTTGGGAGTTTGGTCGAGAGCGTAATTAGTGTAATCTCGTGCCTGGAGACGGAGGGACTGGGCCTGCACAAGGGAAGGCGCGGAGGCTGTGCGGGGGCGGGGAAATCGAGGTGCGGGAGGCCCCGCCCCCAGCCCAGCCCAGTCCAGCCCAGCGAGCAGGGCCTCTCTGTGCCTCGAGGCACAGCTCAATCCTAATAGAGTTGAGATAACTCAATGCTAAATGCCAACTAGGTAATTACTGAGATGGCTGCAGCGATTCACCAGCGCGGAATGGTTCCTCACGTGCACTAAGTGAAATGTTACCGAGGCGCAGCAGACAAGCGCCCACCACCAACTGCCGGCCGGACTACCATAGTAGGAGGAGGAGGAGGAGAAATTCGTCCTGCGGGGGCTGGGCGTCACATTGTCCTCACATCAGTGGGCTCAAAGGCGGCATGGGAGAGACTGGACCTGGATGGGGACCGACGGGGCTGCCGGATGGAGAGAAGAGTTTACCCCGGGTTTTCATCTCCACTTCCCCTCCCCAAGACCCTCTTTCCCGCTCCACTCCTCCACACACTTCACACACGCCAGGCCAGCAATAGGCCCAGGAGCCTACGATCCATCGACAGGCATGCCCCACGATGTCATGGCGGTGGGCAGTCGAGGGCAGTCTTCCAGCCGCCAGTGCCGGGTGACTTTTCAGACAGGGTCCAGCACCAACAGCACAAAAGCATTTCCAGCACAAAAAGTCACCGCGTCAGCACCAGCCACAGCATCGAGACATCTCATGGCGGCGCCAGCAAACTGCGCGTTCGCCAAGGTCGCCACTCTCAGGTTTGCTTGCGATAGGATCAGAGAACCCAGTCCGACAGGCGAGCGCCAGACATCTGTAGGCGAGTCTCCACCGAAGCTGGGCACGGTCTTGGCACTCCTGGCTCGAAACCTTGCATTTCCCAACGTGCCATCCTAGATGGCGCCAGTCCTTGTCTCCACGAGCCACCAGGCCAACAGGCGCCCCCCCTTGCTCGGTTTCCCTCCGTCCACCCTTACCGAGTCCTGCAGTCTCCTCCGATACGTCCAATGTTGCGAGAGCGGCACCTTGGAACACCTCGTCTGGAGGTGGCGGGCTCTTTCTGCCCCATCAGGCATGGGCTCGAAGTCCCACGGACCCCAGTCCGGCCTTGGTTCTACCTGCCCAAAGTGCTGATGGCTGGTCTTGGCTGCTCGCCGAAGATTCCTGGCCGTCATCAGTATAAGACATCGCTGATCTGCTCCATTTCATGCGGTCAGGGATTCTCTTCATCTCGCCAGCAAGCAGCAAGGTCCTGGTGTCACGGCTCTTGTCTTTCACCTCACAACTGTCTTGTCCTTGAAGTTCTTGAGCCACACCCAACCTCGTCTGCAACCATTCTTCTCAGTATCAAGTCTCTGTCTGTTCAGAGGTCCTTCATCCACCATGTCCGACACTGAGAAAGGTGACGCCAAGGTTGGCCACCTGAGCAATGCTCCCAGCCAGAGTGACCAGTTTGAGGATGAGTATACCGAGGTTGAGCGCAAGAGCCTGATTCGGCGCATCGATCGTCGTCTTGTCACCACTGCCGGTGCCCTCTACTGCATCTCCCTCATCGACAGGACCAACGTCTCGGCCGCCGCTCTCGCGGGCATGAACGTTGAGCTCGACCTCAACGTCGAGAACCGCTACTCCATCATCACCTTGATCTTCTTCGTCTCCTACATCATCTTCCAGCCACCATCGACAATCATCATCCGCAAGCTCGGTCCTCGCTTGCATCTGTCCATCATTATCCTCCTCTGGGGTGCCGTCATGATCGGCATGGGCTTTGCTCCCAACTTCAGCGCCATGGCGGCTCTGCGCTTCGTCCTGGGTATACTCGAGGCTGGATTTTTCCCCAGTGTCGTATACCTGATGTCCACATGGTACACCCGTAAGTCACACCCTAAACCGCAGCAAACAACTTTGCAGACATGGCAAATATTAACCACATCTTCTTCAGGGTACGAAATCGGCAAGCGCTACTCGTTCTTTTATGTCATCGGTTGCGTTGCATCTGCTTTTGGTGGCATTCTGGCGTTTGGCCTGATGCAGCTGAACGGACGCGCCAGATTGACTGGCTGGCGGTGGATCTTCATTATTGAGGGTATCCTCACTTGTGCTCTGGGTGTTGCCGCCTACTGGCTGCTCGTTGACTTCCCCGACTCGCCCCGCAAGACATATGGCTTCCTGACGGAAAAGGAGCGCGCCTACGTTGTCCGCCGTGTCAACGCTGATCGTGGTGATGCTCAAACGCCCAAGTTCCAGCTTGGCCTCTTCCTCAGAGCTGGCAAGGACCTCAAGATCTGGTAAGTGAAGAAAGAAAACCCCTTCACATCTCACCTTTTTGGGGAAGGGCCAGCATCAACTGACAACTTGAACCTCCAGGGGCTTTGCTATGTGCTTCTGTGCTACCACCACCATCTCCTATGCGCTGGCCTACTTCCTTCCTCTTATCCTGAACACGAGCTTGGGATTCGATGTTGGGCAGTCCCAGTGCCTCGTCGCTCCCCCCTACGTCTTTGCCGGTTTTGTCATGATGCTCACTGGCTGGGCCGGTGACAAGTACAAGGTCCGCGGCCCCCTCATCATCTGCAACATGGTGCTCGGCCTCATTGGGCTCCCCATCATGGGCTGGCACCCAGACCCCAAGGTGCGGTACTTTGGCGTCTTCCTCGTCACTGCCGCTGCCAACTCGAACGTCCCCGCCGTCATGTCGTGGCAGGCCAACAACATCCGCGGCCAGTGGAAGCGCGCGTTCTGCAGTGCCACGCTCGTCGGCTTTGGAGGCATTGGCGGCATCGCAGGCAGTCTCGTCTTCCGCGCCCAGGACGCCAAGACGGGCTACAAGCCGGGCCTCTACGCTTGCATCACGGCCTGCCTGATCAACATTGTCATTGTCTGCATCACGGACGGCTACTTCATCGTGCAGAACAAGAAGGCCGACCGTGGCGAGAAGGAGCTCGAGATGGAGGACGGTCTGCCTCCAAACTTCCGGTATACTTTGTAAGCAATGGCTCCTGCGGCGGAGTAAGCTTGTACTGTGCTTCTGGCTGCGAGGGAGGCCACTCTATGATTTCGAGACGACGATTGCATTATCGGGTTGCGTGGGGATGGTTCCCCGCGGGTATAATTTATATATATTCATAGGCCTCACGAGGCATAAATGAGGAGTCCTTCAACAACGCCTTGAGAAATTCTATGCGCTTTGTGCGACGATAGCGGAGAGGAATCCAACCGCCGGTTTAAACAAGGCCGTAGAACTTGACCCGAAGCACAGTGTCACGCAAAATCACAACGCAAAGGACGAGAAAGTCGACCCGTAGACATCGATTCTGTAGGTGGTGGGGCGCGGGGAGAAGCGCAAGGTCTCCACCCTTGACAGAGAGTCCGTCCTGAGCCGCTTTGCGCCGGCAGTCGCAAACTGTTATCGATAGAGCCCCAACTTTTTTGTCCTGGAGGTATGAACTGGATCGAGGCGACACACCACTCCCTCCAACACCCTAGCCATTTTCCCGTCTGCCACTTTGCGACAAGGCAGGACGACGACAACAACTCCAACATTGGCCAGAACATGCCAATGCCAATCCGTCTTCTTCTTGCGACGAGGACGACAACCACAGCGACAAGATGGCAGACAATCAATCGGCTGCCCCTCCCAATGGTGGCGGCGGCGAGGGTGGCTCCGCGCGCTCTTTCAACGGCCGCGGGCGAGGCGGCGGCGGTGGGCGTGGAGGCGGTCGCGGAGGGGCCAACGACCGGAAACGCAAGTTCAACAACAACAACGACAGGGGTAAGGGATGGGGTGGTGGTCGCGGCGGCGGCAGGAACAAAGGTCGCCGGGACGGGGAAGGTCAAGAGGATCAGGGGTATGTTTGTTCTTTTTGCTGTTCTTCATCTGTGGTTGTTTTCTCTTGGTCATGGGGGCCCTTGGAGGCAACACCCTCCGAGTCACGAGGATCTTGTCTCTGTTCTGGCCCTCTCTCCATGCCAAATGATTTTTCAGTACACATGTCCCAGACACAGAAACCAATGCCGGGCTAACTAGGATTCCGGAGTAAAAGAGGAGAAGCGCCGGTAGACCGACGGACGCGGACACAGATGTGGCAGCAGAAGCGGCGCAAGGTCGACGAGGACGGCAACAGCGTGCCCCTGCCGGCGACGGGCCCGGACGGCGAGCAGAGCTACATGCGGATCCAGTTCAGCGAGGCCGAGATCGCGGCCGAGGAGCGGCGGCCGAAGCGCAAGGTCGCGGTGCTGATTGGGTACGCGGGCACGGGCTACCACGGCCTGCAGATCAACCACAAGGAGAAGACGATCGAGGGCGACATCTTTGCGGCGTTTGTGGCGGCCAAGGCCATCGCCAAGACTAACGCCGACGACCCGCGCAAGTCGAGCTTCGTGCGGTGCGCGCGCACGGACAAGGGCGTCCACGCCGCCGGCAACATGGTCTCGCTCAAGCTCATCATCGAGGACCCGGACGTCGTGCAGAAGATCAACGACAACCTGCCCCCTCAGATCCGCGTCTGGGGCATCACCAGGACCAACAACGCCTTCAGCTCGTACCAGTCGTGCGACTCGCGCTGGTACGAGTACCTCATGCCCAGCTACTGCCTGCTGCCGCCGCACATCCACAGCTTTCTGGGCAAAAAGGTTGCGCAGTACGCAAAGGATAATGGGTACGAAGGGGAGCTCGCCAAGCGGCTCGAGGATGTGCAGGGCTTCTGGGAGGAGGTGGAGAAGAACGACATTCAGCCCATCATGGATAGCCTGGAGGAGTCGGTGCGTGAGGCGGTTCTGGCCAAGCTGCATGCTGTAAGGGAAGGCCTCGTCGGCGACGATGGAATCACGGACGACAAGGCTGCCAAAAAGAAGCCTGCCGAGACGCAGGAGAGTGAACCTCAAGCCACAGAGGAGGCTGCCCCGACTGCCCCGACTGAGGAACTCACAGAGAGCACACCGGCAACGACGACAGCACCAACAGAAGATGCCCCTGCGGCCGCTGAAGAGGCCACTACCGCGGAAGCTGCCAAGGATGTCAAGCCTGTCAACCCCGTCGAGCAGGCGCTGAAGCGGATAAGCGCCGCCTACATTGCCGCGAAGCGACGGTACCGCGTGACACCGGGCCGCCTGGCGCAGCTGCAGGAGGCGCTGGACCAGTACGTCGGGACGCGAAACTACCACAACTACACGGTGCAGAAGAGCCATGGCGACCCGTCGGCGAAGCGGCTGATCAAGTCGTTCCAGCTGAACAAGGAGCCCGTGCAGATCAACGACACGCAGTGGCTCAGCCTCAAGGTGCACGGCCAGTCGTTCATGATGCACCAGATCCGCAAGATGGTCGGCATGGCGGTCCTCGTCACCCGCTGCGGCACCCCGCTGGGCCGCATCGAGGAGAGCTACGGGCCCACGCGCATCAGCATCCCCAAGGCGCCCGGGCTCGGGCTGCTGCTCGAGCGGCCCGTGTTTGACAGCTACAACGCCCGCGCAAAGGACATGTACAATCTCGAGCCGCTGGATTTTGGCAACTATGAGAAGGAGATCCAGAAGTTCAAGGAGGAGCAGATCTACCAGCGCATATTCGAGCTCGAGGAGCAGCAGAATTCGTAAGTTCTTCATTTCCCCCGTCTTTTTCTTTCCTTTTTTTCTCTTTCTTCTTCCGCGCGTCTTCGCTGGACTTGTATAACCCGCGACCATGCTCCGAAGCACGGCCTTTGTCAAAACCAGCTTACTGATTATTTCTGCCAACGCAGATTCCATACGTTCTTCCATCAGGTCGACAACTTCAAGTCCGACTACTTCCTGTGGGTCACCGCCGGTGGCCTAGAGGCCGCCCAGCACCGACCGGGCATGAAGGGCCGTGACCCGGCCGCGTTCACTGGCGATGATGACGAGGGTGAGGATGACGATGCTGCCGCCGCCGCCAAGGGCGGCGAGGGCAACGAAGGGTAGATGTTGGATACATGTACAACTACACCGCACTTTTTGCACCGCGATGCCTCAATAGAATAAGGAAGAGCTAGACTTCCTTGCTCATAGTATAGAAATGCGCAGCTCTATATGCTCTTTCCGACCGGGCGTACAAAGCTTCAGCAAGAGGCAAATACATTTCGTACTCGGAACGACAGTGATCAATGTTTGTTCGAGTACTTGTGACCGGGCACCCCCCGCTTTCTTCGCATGAACACATGCAACGAACCTCAAGGCCCCGTCCACGGTCTCCCTCCTCCTTCAAGCCAGGTACCACTTACGACCACCCAGCAGTTATGACGAGCCCTGCCCGCCGCCGCCGCCAGCACCATCGCCAGCAGCAGTCCCCGCCGCCGATTCTCCCTGCCGCCGTAACCGACCCTCGCGCTGCGCCATGGCCTGGTTGAAGAGGTCCGCCACGAGCTCGGCCTTGCGGTCGAGCTCCGCCTCCCGCGCGTCATCCTCGCCGGTCCTCCTGAGCGGGCCCTTGATCCAGAGCGCCTTGATCTCGCGGTTCAGGGTGAGGAGGTTTTGTATCTCGGTGATCTGTTGTCGGTCTGTGTGTCAGTTAAAGATTTCTGCCAGGGAGAAGAAAGCACAGGTGGTCACGGGCTTGGGCACCTGCGAAAAGAGAGAAAGAGAGGTCAAGCCCAGCTGATAGTGTCATGAGATGAGGGCAATGTGATGGTTGCACCAGGACAAGAACCCAAAAAGAGAAAGAGTATAAAAAAAAAGGGAAACATGTCAGCACCACTCACAAGAGCCTGCGTCTCCGTCTCCATCGTCATGCTGTTGAGCGCGGCCGTCTCGATGATGGCGCCGTCACGTGGCAGGGGCTCCGTAGCCGCCATGACCATGTTGCGGAACCGCGTCAGGATCTGGGCGATCATGCGGTTATGCCGGTCTTTTCGTTTGTGGGTCGTGTCAGTCTTTTTGAGCTAATCTTGTATATCCTCGGAAGGCAACAACATGCTTGTAGTCTTTCATCTCGGGCATCCTCGACGAACAAATGTAAGGCCGAATGATGCCGAAGACGAAGCCATGACCAAACCAGGCCTAATAATGCTGCCCCTCCCCCCCAAGGAACTGAGACTATGACAAGCACAAATTTCAAAGGAAAAACTGACCAAGAATACTGTTCTGCTCTTTCCGTCGGTTGTCCATTTTGTCGTTTTGACGGGTTTCCTCACCTGATCCCCGAAACCCCTGCCGTGGTTTTTTGAGAGCAACCGTACTGTACCGCGGACGTCTGGGAACCTGCAACCTTTTCAAATCCTAAATCACCACTTCGGAGCTTTTGCTCGGTGTTCGGGTAGTGGCTGCGCCTGTCCTCCCATCCAAACGTAGAATCCGGGGGAGGGAAGGGAGGGTTGGCGCGAAAGAACACGTCCAGACGTGACCGTTCGCAGGGATCAAGCGGCTGCGACTTTCAGGGCGCGCTGATACCGTGCCACTGCGTCCTTGACGTCTCGCGAGATGCTGCGAATGAGCAGTGTTGAAGAGCCGTCTGTCTCGGGGCCAGAGATGACTGTGTTGATGTTGGTGTCCAGGTTGCTCGAGGTGAGGGATGATGAGACACGCCTGGCGTGATCTCGAGATGAATCGAAGACGGAAGTCAAGAAGGGGCGGTCTTCCTATAAGGTGGTGGTATGGCAGGTGATCCAAGACGCAGCTGACTTGCAAGGAAGACGTTCGTTTGTTTTTGCGTGTGGTTTTCCAGTGTGGTTGTTTGAGCTGCAAAGGACCTCCTGGCTCTGGACTCATCCACCCAATGTCACTTGCTCAGCGAGTCGCTCACTTCATTGTGGAGCCTTTGTGGTGCAAGCTCGTGCATGATTGGCTGGCCGCAATCACTCTTGGACTACAGCCGCATCCAGAGTCGAAATACTTCTTGAACTCGACCTGATGATGTATTTATATAGATGATGGAGGGTATCAAGCATAAGACCTTCTCCCCCAATGGTGTGGTGACGCCGAGGCTAATGTTTATGCTTCTTTCCTTCTCTCCTTTTCCGCGACCCGCCAGCCTCAGAAGTTCTCCACGCATGATTGTCTCCCGCGCTTCAGTGCCATGCAATCGTCGATTCTGGGGCCTTGCCATGCGATGCTCTACCAGAAAACCCTTTTAGATTCGCTTCCGCCATCATACAATAAACTTCGACATCTCCTCGTGCTACCAAGCTAAACCCTCATAGGTCGACCTGACACCAAGGATGCTGCAGGACCTGCTCAATGTCGTACCGCTGCGTGACATCCCGATTCAGCATGCAGCGGATCAGATTGATACTCTCCTCGCTGACCACAAAGGGGACCCGCAGGTCGCGGTCCATTATCTCGTCAATGCTGTAGAACGGGTTCTCCTTGTAGATGATGGTGTACAGCAGGATGCCGAGGGCCCACACATCTTGTTCCTTGCCGCCGTACGGGTTGCCGGCCAGGACTTCGGGTGCTGCGTAATCTGCGAGGAGCAAGTCAGCATGAGACTTCGTCGTTGGGCGATCAATAGACATCGAAGAAAACTCACCAATGGTGCCAACAAAGACGTCGAAAGGTCCACTCTTGATGTACGCAGCACTTCCAAAGTCAATGAGTTTGATGTGGCCCTCTCCGTCGAGGATGACGTTCTCATCCTTGATGTCCCGATGCACAACCTTGACCTTGATGTGCAGGTGATAGATTGCCTTGGCGACCTGGACAAAAATGCTTCTGCATTCGTCCTCGCCCATATTCGTGCGCAATTCGATATAGTCGAAAAGATCCATGCCAGGCAGCCCGTGTGGCGCCATTTCAATATAATAGTTTGTCTCATCTTCGAAAAAGTCTTCCATGTCCACGATATTGGGATGTCTAAACCCATCTCGTCTCAGATAGTCCAGTACGTGGATTTCGAGCGGTATGGTGCCGAGTCGCCGATCCCGTGTCCATGTGTCAACGAGAATGCGCCGCTTCGTCACATATTTCAAAACAACCTTCTTGCCGCCGTCATGCTTGTATCGCGCAAGCTTGACTTGACCATACGCACCCTGGCCCATATCTTCCAAGATTACAAAGTCGTCGATGGTCTTTTTCTTGGGAGCTGGCGTGGCCGGTGTGCTGACTTCTTCAACGTCCTTCTCATCCTGCACTTGATCGGATGATTTCGAGGCACCAGTCAGCTTAGCCGCAGCATTCTTTGCAACATCTTTGAGTTGCTGTTTGAGCACTGTAGCAGCTGTAGGATGTGGCTCCTTCTTGCTGTCATCAGTATCCGAATTAATGTCTTGAGGAGTGCTGACCGTAGTCTGCCCCGGAGAAGGTTGGTGTAATGGTGTGGCAGCTCCGGACATGTGTGGGGACCCTGGGGTGAACTCGGACCTCGTGGCGTGTATATGCCTCGAGTACGTAATCCAGAGGGCATAAACAAGCTCAGCCTCGGCAGAGGAGATTGCTTCTTCGTTGCTGTTGGCCGTCGTCAAATGCATATCAATGGAGGCCGTCGCATGCTGCTTTTCGCTTTTGACAACTCGCATCTGCACATCCACCTTCAGGTCAGCACCATCTCGATGTCTAGCGATCAATCCATCTGGGTTCAAAATGGTAGTCGCTGCATCAGGCCGGCCTTGCTGAAGAGCGACCAACGCTGATGCTTTCCGAAAGTTGTGCTCAGGAATGACAAGACCATCCTCAAGATTGACTCCGTCGTGTTCCGTGAGTAGTTGCAGAATGTCGGCAAAGTCTGGCAGCAGGCTCTCGACGGATAATCCTTCTGGCTTTTCGTAGCCGAACAATGCCCCAGAGAATGCTGCATTCGAGCTCTTGATTTTGTGGTCGCGCGGGTCGACGACAATTATGCCGGCGATGTGGGGAAAGCTGGACACCCGAAGTTCTGGCTTCCCTCTTGTCTGCGTCAAGGTCGCCGGGATGCTAACCTTCCGACTGGTGCGGCAGGTGTAGTATCTCCTCTTCGCGATCTGGGCATAGTCGAGGGCGCCGGTTTTCGGATCGATGCCTTGCCGCGGTATTCGGGGAATGAGCTTGCCAATGTCCATTCCCGGCTGCATATTTTCATCGCCCCAGATGCACCCGGTCTCACCAGTAATGTCTGTGACGAAGCCATCGTCATCTATCTTGACGTACACCACATGCTCGTGGATCTCCTCGACGACCCAAATGAGGCCACCGCGCTTTTCTTTCACCCAGAGACTGGCGGACCCGGTCGCACCATTGCGTTTTTGTATTGGCACGACATCGCCACAAAGGAGCACGCCCCTCGATTTCGAGCGATCGCGTAGTTTAGGAGGATCTGGATCCCCACTGTGAACGGTCTGCGGACGTCGCCCAGGAATTTTCGCCTTCTGTGATCTACTGTTAGGCTTGCTCAGCAGCTGTGCCGTAATCCCACCCCGGCCACCCAGGAAGGCTGATCCGGAAGAAGGACCGGGGCTGGGACTGGGGCTAACGGATGAGGCCTTAACGGGGGACTGAACCTTAGCATCTTCCGAGCCGGTTCTAACCAGCTTTCTCTCCAGCCAGTCTCTCCTCTCCTCCTGGACCACTTCGAGGATGCCCATCTTGCGGACTTCGGCTTTCGTTACGCCAAAGACAAGGCAGGCCAAGTCGTTGGCAGCCAAGATGGTCCACGGAGGCTTCGCTTCAGTCGTGAATATGGCTTGTGCAGCGGGGGTCCATCGTGAGGAATGCCCGTGTACTGCGGAAGGCCCGAGGGGGCCTGGGATACTGAACGACGATGCCATGGCTTGTGGTGCGAGCATGGGCGACCCTAAAGGATCCGCGTAATTCGACTGTACTGAGCCAGCTTGAAAAGGCTGCGCCATGGTGTCCACCAACTTCTGCTGTATCGAGGCTGCACGTACGTCCGTAGTGGTTCTCCGCATACTCGGCCGCCGGGAAACCGGGGGCGAAGTCTGCGCAGTCGTACCACTCTCGTTCGTCGTTGTCCTGGATGAATCTTCAGACTCGTTTTCTTTAAGTACCGAGAGTCCCTTGTCTTTGGGTGTTTCTTCTCGGTGCTGTTTGATGACCAAAGCAGGCGCCCTCCTACTGATTGGTGATTCTGGTTCGGTCTCGTAATGATCTGGACTGGCACTTCGTGGCCCAAACTGTGTCTCAAAGGGATTCTCCCCGGACACAATGGCAGGGCCAGTCAACGGGCCAGGAGCGAGGGCTGTGTCCAGGTGTGGAAGGTTGACAGCACCGACGAGCTGGGCTCTCGCAAGGAGATCAAGCATGTTTTGTGTCTCATAGTCTCCAGTAACCCTTGCTTGTGCGCTGGCCATCGCAGCGTTAGACGAGACCAGCCAGCCCATACGATCTTTCATGAACTCGATTGAACGCTTCAGGACATTTTGCCGGTTGTGCATGAAGTCGTCGGACTGGTGAGCGAACGAGAACGAATGGAGGGATTCGGATGGAAACCTTGTCAGGTCTTCTCCAAAAGTCGGCGACGTGGGTCCTGGTGATACCGGGCCTTGGCTAGCATGTGAGAGCATAGCAGAGAGCGACGCGGACCGGGTGATGCTCAGCGAAGGGCTTCGGGATGAGGCAGCAGTCGAAGGGACGGTGGGCGGACGCAAGGGTGCTTGCTGGCGGATCCGGCGCAGGCCGGAAGGGCCGAGTCCATGGTCATGCTCGGTTATGACTGGCGATCTTGATTGATGAGAATCTCTGCATTAGTTCGAGCACGCCTGGCTTACAACACTTGTCCGTAACGAGCAGCAGGATGGGGGGGAATGGGGGAGCAGCCAGGGAGGGGCAATGGCTGCTGCAGAGACATCCTGGCTTGCGTAACACACCTAAGAGAGTCATAATCCAGTAGAGCTGCACCGGCGTCTATCGAGTGACGTGATCTCGAATATAGGGGTTCGTCCTCGGAGACGGCTGCGAGATTGCCTGTGCTTCTGTTTTTGGGGAGCTGGAGGCCGACAGAAAGCTGCTTGTTGCGGCCGCGGCCTCTTGGAGGTTCCTCGTCTTGACTGACATCGGCGCCTACGAAAAGTGTGGATGGTAGCGGGTCAGCATTCCGGCTTAATAGTGCTGGCATGGAGGGTTCCAATGGCTGTAAGAACTGACCGTGGTCCTGCTGTTGGTCTGCTTCACCAGCATGAAAATGTTTCATAGTTGATGCAGTGACGAGACAGTGGCCCTACGGCGCGCGAGGTCGCCGAGGGCAAATATAACACTGGCGATCTGGGCGAGGCTGGAATGGGAGGAGAGCCGAAGAGCAGAACGTCGCAGTAAAGGACAGTCGTGGTGTTTGAGCGAGCCAGACTGGGAGCGTCCGGTGATGGTGGCGGCGGCGGTCTATAGTGATTGGTAGGGCAGAAGTTGTCGACAAAACCTGGCGGGACAGGCGCGTAGGCGGGCTTGAGAGAAGGACAACCTCTGAGCGGTCAGGGTTGGGTTGAAGCAGGCGGCAAGGGCACCTGTGCAGACAGCAAAGGCGAGGACGGAGGAGACGGTTTGGGTTTTTGGTAGAAGCGACAATAACCACGGACGGGTAGCTGCTGGTCGAGGCGCCGCCGCCGACGGGGATGCGTGGCGGGAGGCGGGCGGGCGAGCCACTCCTCTTCAAAGCTCTAAGATCGGGCGGGGTGGGCGCATCAACCACCACCACGTTTCCGTCAACCCGAGGGCAACGTGCAACCTACGTATGAAGCGACGACCGCCCACGTACGGAGTACAATGCGAATAATCCGACGCGAAAAGACCAACCATGCTTACTTGGGAACTCGTATGCCTCATCAAGAACTGGCTGCAACTTGCCCGGGACTGGTCCCTCAGGTGGGCTGCGTTGCGTGCGAATACCTCTGCTCCACTTCAACAGAGAGGGCTTGCTCGCTGGAATGCGGGACAGCCAGCCCTGGGGCAACGTGGTCAGGCTTGCTTTCAGGGATGTCTGGGGCCGTGGCCTAGGATGTGATCGAATTCGCCAGGATTTGCCCGTCGCCGCCATTCGCCGTGCCGTAACCCCACGCCTTCAAGGTTCAAGCCCCCAGCAGCGGACCACTGCAAGGTAATCTACGGTCGCGGTCACAGTCGAGAAAAAACCATATCAGGGGACTTCAATGTTGCTTTCGCATCTCCGCTGGGTACCGAACATCGGAAGTCTGGCCACGCTAGGCGCACATCATATCGTCGGCCCAGTCCTCGTCGTCGTCTGGAACACACAAGAATCTCGCCTGACCCTGGCGACCTCCCCTGGCTGGTAGCACCTCGTGAGGAGTCACCCGTTGCCCAAAGAATGCCATCAGATATCCCGCCTGGGCGTACAGACAAAGCGTCGTCAGCGTGGCCCTGCTGATTTTCTGTCCTGTGACTGCAAAAGGGTGGAGTACTATTCCACACCAGTACTTTGTTGATCTGAGAGTGGTAGGATAATCGCAGTTCCCTACCAGTTGCAGTCCAGCTCCTACCACACCCAGCCACAAAGCACAATGCCCCCCAATGAATCAGGAGCGCTCCGTCGTTGCAGCCGAATCACCACCGAGCAATGACTCGCCCGCCTTTAGCCTGAAGCGAGCAAAGCAAAGCGACGTCTCTTATGCACAATGCCTTGCCTACATCGTTTCATCCCAGCCGCGCAATGATGTCACCAAACGGGAAGGCTGACATGAATCAGCTCCATATTAACTTCAGCTACCCCCTGTAACTTGTGCCACTGCTTCGAAGCTTATCCGAACGCGCGCGTAGGTTTGCTCGTCTCGTCACAAGGCACCTGGGACACAAAACTCGGATAACGAATTGTCTGGATCGCGTCACCTCGGTGATTTGGTTGATGCCTGTATGAACAAGTAGTGACACCCTCGGCCTGATGCGTCATCCGTTTGGTAGTTACAGCACTTCACTGCAAACCACGTGCTTGAAGACACACGGGAACATGACACACTAGAACATGTCTCAAGTGCGCAGAGATAAGGAAATGTTTTGAACGAACGGGAGTGGTTCGTGTGTCTTCCTCCTCGCATTCTTGATATCATGCCTTGCCTAAAACGGGAAATGGAATTTCAGACAAGCAAGGGAGTTTTATTTGGCACGGGCAATTCAAGCTCGTGCCGCTCGGCCCGTTGAGACAAATGAGGAGATGTGAAGCCACCCTTGGCACATTAGAAGTGGCACCTTTCCGGCTAGAGTACCAAAACGTATCAGGCCAGGCACCGTACCAAGCGGACGGACTTCTCCTTCAGCTGAGGTTTTGATTGGCCATCATGCACCACAAGGCTGGTATTTATTCGCCGTCAACGTATGATGTACCTAATCACGGGAGCATCATGATGAAAGCTACGATTTTCTGATCGGCTTCAATCCAAACAAGTCTTCAGGTAGCCCGTCCCTGCGCCCAGCGTCATCAGCTGGGTCATCCCCGAACAAAAACGCTGTACGTTCTCTACTTGCGTTAGCAGATGGACGCTTGCGGTGATTAGAACCTGACGAGGAAGTCGCATTGCTCTTCTTGAATGTCGACGATGGAGCAGGTGGACTCGCTGCCGACTCATCGGGCTCCAGCATCCACGCAAATGAGGACTGCGCAATCGTCGAGCGCGTAGGATTTGGAGCTTGCGGCCGGCGAGCTGCGTTGTTGGTGGAATAAGCTGTGCCAGAGTTTAGAGGCTCGTTTGTGGCGGCTTGGACGGCCCCTGTCTCTAGCACTGACGATGCTAACTCGCTTGGTTCAACCGCGCTTGTCTCGGACGTGCCAGTCTGTGCATCATCAATGCCATTGACCGTTGCATGACTCCCCGTTGCAGAAACCTCCGGCGTGGAGGGTTTAGATGTCTCATCGTGGCCATTGTCCGATGCCAAGGCAGGTTTGGTATCGTTGCCGTATCCGTCTTGCAAAAGCAAAGAAACATCTGCAGGTAAGGCCATTGTCGAGTCTTCCAAGAAGCCCTTGACAACTTCCAGCCTGGCTGTAGCACCATTGAGCAATTCACTGCATTTCTGCTTATCTTGAAGGTCGGAGCCGACGAGTTCTTTCAACGTGGTAAGAACATCACTGACCACTTTCGCAAGCTGCTGGTTCCTCTCGTCGAGCACCGCAACCGCTTGTACAGCGGAGCCCTGGCCGTGTTCCGCAAATATATCACGGTTCGCCAGCATGGAGCTCTTAGCTTCTGAGACGTTGCGTCGGATCTCGACCATTGCATCGCGCACCGCTTGGTTAATGCCGAGTTTCTCACTCCGCTCGAAGACTCCTTTGGCGGCGCCCTGCAGTAATGCTTCCACGCTGCCCTGCTGACTCAGGAAACGAGTAGGAGACATTGTCGGCCTTAGCACTGGCTGCTTCAATCGCGGCTTTGATGCAGGAGTCGAGGTTACCATTGGTTTAGCTGCAGCGGTGCCGACAGATGGGTGTCGCCCGGTGTACTTTTGTATCATTGCCGAGCCTCCTTGGCTATTTAGGTGCTTGCGAAGATAGATGGCGTCGTCAACAAATGTATGCGGCCCATGAGGAGCTTCGGGCGAAGGATATCTGAGCAGCAGCTGCAGAGCTCCGGAATAATCCGCCTCCAGCACTAGGCAAGAATTAGCACAATCTTTCGGGTTAATTCAAGTCCCCATCAACTGAAATACTTACAGTCCCAACGTATCCTAATGAGCATGGCTGTGCAAATAAGATCTATAAGCTCGAACTTTGGATCGATCGAGAACATAGTGTCCCATAGAAGAAGCATTTGCTCGAAGGGGAACTCGCGACTGAACAGCAGGCGCACCCAGCGACTACAACTGGCGTCAGTATCTCTCGACATGGCAGATCGACTAGCCATAGCAGCACTCACATGAGGAATATTTGGGGCAGAATCTCGATTGAAGTGAGATGCGATGCCAATTCTGGGTCAACTGCTTGTAAGCACACTTCGTGAATGTGCATGCTCTTCTCGACGATTGATGACCTTGTTGATGGGCTGGCATATGCGGTTGAAACAGCAGCAGTAGCCTTGTCGAGACCTTCATTCACTTCGTAAAAGCCCTTTGCATGTTCCATCACCTTGGCAAAGAGGCTAAAGGAGTCATGCTCTATGAAGGAAGCGTCGAGCATCTCCACCATCATGAGCTCAGTGGAGCCTTGTGTAGTGGCTGCAGCCGGATCGATTGCATCTTGCTCGACCACGAATACAATCGGCGCCAGCAGCTCGTGCATGCCTTGACGATAGCCACCAACATCCGGATTGAGCTTGCAGTAAATGAAGATGATGTCGAGGATCATAGTCTGAATACGTGCCTCGTGATAGAAGGGCACATCAGGCAGTCTTTCGACATCTTGCAGGATCTCAGCTCGGAGTGTCTGGTCGTGGCGGAGCGTGTTCCATGGAGACTTGAGTACTGCATGTCAGTCATGCTTGCGCTCGAACGATCTGCCTCTGGAATATTGGAACCATACGTCTACATCGTCTGCCAAGGGATCAAGACTCCCAGCGTTGAGGTATTCCGGGTGCTTAATGTACTTGAGAAAATGGTCCCGAAGTGAGGAGTAGGAGCTCCGCAATTCGCGTAGAGCATGGGCCCAGTTGGCCGTGTTGGCCGTCTGGTTCAACAAGAATGCCTGCGCGACATGTCAGCCATACTCGCGTGCCTTTGAGAATGAAGAGTTATGCGCATGGCTCTGTTCACCTTCCAGCAGATCGACCTGCAGCCCGAAACACATGGGCTCTCTGGACCACTACTTTGGACGGCTTGCTGCAAGTGGGCAAAGCTCGAGCTGTGTTTGAGGGTCTGCTGCCATCGCTCACTGCTCAGAAAGGGTCGCATCAGTCCTGTGTATCCCCATGATACACGCCAAGCGAGAACTCTGAAAGGTTCACGTACGTCGACTCGCTGAGTGATCTCATGCTGCTGGCGGGTCAAGCTCTGGCTTGGCTTGCGTTCTGGATCAGGCTACGCTGCTGGGCTCAGACACCACGGCATTCATTCTCTGTTTTGAAGGACGTGGGATTTGCGATGCCAAGGCGCGAAGAGGCCGTCGGACTGTGGTTGCACAATGCACCTGTTTCCAGTGCTGCCGTGTCCCAGCGCGGGCACGTCATGGTGGAGGATGAAACCTGCCGCGGATAGTGGTTGCTCCAGCCGGAGCTCCCAGAGCTGGTTGCCGGACCCATACCTAGGTAGCTCAGGGCGTGCAATGGCTGGGGGTCCCAGAACAGACCTGTGCTCACGTAACCAGCCGTGCCTGCCGACCCTCACTAGCTTCGAGCAGATAAGTAGTGGGGGCCAACGGGCACCAGTTCATGAGCTTCTAGCCATGCCGCCGTGGCTACGCGTCGGCCCTGGCACAAAACGGCCCAGCTGTCAGTGGCTCAGGGGCTTTGGCTTGCACATTCGCCGATACTACGTACTCCGTGAACAGTTACGAACTTCTACAAGGCTGCAAGCACATTTGTGGACCAGTAGTGGGAAGACACCCAAGGATGTCTCAGGCGTGAAAGACAAATTCCAAGAGTACTAGTCCGCCAAACAACCACGGATATCACAGGCATGTCCGCCGACCTCTTCGCTGAATTCGAGAGCGGCGACTCTCAGCCGCCTCAACAACCAAGCCAAGGCGTCTTCAACCGGCCTGCAGGCTTCGGTCATAGTGCTCAGAGATTCTCTGTACCCTCGTACGCACAGCCCGGGCATGGCCAGCAGCCTCATCAGCAACCATCGCCTGCTCCCGGGCCATTTTCCGCGCAAGGATGGAACTTCCAGAGTCAGGCTGCTGCGAACAATCCATGGCCAGCCATCGATCCCAAACAAAACACCAAGAATAGTTCGCAGTTGGGCAATGATGCTACCCAAGATGAGGACGACGATGATGCGTGGGGCGATTTCGAAGTTGCTGCGCCCCAAACCCAGCCTGCACAACCGTCACCGGCTCTGCAGGCTTCAGGAGGACAATTGCCAGGGGTTGCACCTTCGAATCAGGCCGCTTTCGCAGGATTAGACAGCTGGGATGGCCCTTCAAAGCAAGAGGCTGTCCCTCCTCCGAGGACCCGGATCGTACGAGCATCGACAATGGATCTGCTCACAAACAACCTTCTGAGCACCGGGACCGTCACACCGGCGCCAGAGAAGCAGAAGAAATCGGCTTTTAAGCAAGACGATTTCTTCGGCTGGGACGAGGTGGCGCCAAGCAATACCACAAAACCAGCGGTTGTGCCCAAACCATCGGCGCAACCAAAACTATCGGCAAAGCCGCTGCCTCGTGATTCATCGTCCAATGTTCTCTTCGACGCAGATGACTACGGAGAAGGTATTGATCTGGGAGACGAGGATGACGACGACGATGACTTTGGGGATTTTGAGTCTGGAGCCACAACCCTCGAGAAGCCCGCGCAGGACCTTCTTTCACTTGATTTTGCAGCGGTTCCAACCGCCAAGGCTCCTGGTGTCATGTCATTAGCAAATCTGAACATCAATGACTCCAGCCTGTCGCGATTTCCAGCACCAAAATCACCCTCATATCAAGAGAGGAACCCATTTCCAGGACTCTCTGTCACAACACCTCCATCGGACTTGTCTCGGAAGCTGGAGCCTTCCTCCAACGCAACACCGACTACTGCATGGCCGTCTGCAGGGGCAGGCAATAAGAGCCCAATTCCAGAGGATAACTGGGGCGCTTTCGAAGATTTTCCGGACGAGCCAAAGAAGGCTGTTCAGACTGAGAAGCCAACGCCAAAGCCATCAATGACGAAAGCGAAGAAGGTGACTCGGGCCAAACCTGCGAAGGAGGAATCAGATTGGGATTGGGGCTTTGACGAAGAAGAAAAGGCTCCTGTGCCGAGCAAAAGTGGTGGATCAGGCCCGTCTACAAAGCTGGACTCATCATGGGACTGGGACTCGGCTGAACCGCAGCCTTCGAAGACCACTTCGCACGTCAAAGACGACGTGCCTCCGATCAACATCCCTCCCCCGTCCGTTCTGATATCCATATTTCCACAGCTGTTGGGCCAGGCAAACACATTCCTGTTCAAGCCCACAGCCAAGCAAGCACAATCAGTCAAGGACCGAATCCTTGCGGACCCAAAGACGCTGGAATTCCTACGGGGCTATCTGACGTTGGCTCGAGTTGCGGCACGCGTGATCGCTGGTCGCAAATCACGCTGGCACCGGGACAAATTTCTGGCACAATCAATGTCCATCTCCGCTGCTGGCAGCAAAGGCATGAAGTTGGCAGGAGTCGACAAGGCGCAAGCAGCCCGTGAGAGCCGAGAAGCCGGAGATGTTGTGGACTTGTGGAAGGAGAATGTTGGACGACTCCGATCGGCGGTGGCGGCCGTCAATCCTACCATACCAGATGCAGCCTCGCAGCTCCGGGTGCCAGAGCTATCGGAAAGCATGCACGTCACCACTGCCAAAGATGTACCGGCAGCAGTCAAGGCGTGCATCATTTGTGGATTGAAGAGAGAGGAACGGGTGAGCAAGGTCGATTTCACAGTTGAAGACAGCTTTGGGGAGTGGTGGTCTGATCACTGGGGTCATGTCGAGTGCAAGAGGTTCTGGCTGGAGCATGAAACTGCACTGCGGCAGCGGTAGCTAGGCCCGTGATACTTCTTCAAGCGTACAACGATGCCTTCAGAGAAAACTGGAATGTGTCAAAGACTGTATTGTATGCCATCCGCCTGTCATTCAGAGCAACGCGAACGACCATTCTGCTGTGGACAAACCAGGATTGGCCCGAAGAGCAAACGTTTCTCGATGGCGTGTGAATCATGCACCATGGACAATCTGTCGCCCAACCCAGCACGTGAACAAGGACTGCCTGAAGGATGCAAGGCAGCTTGACATGTGGACCTCCACTTGAGTTCGTTCTGGTGACGAATATTGGAGTGCGCGCCCCAGTGCCCCAGTTGCAGACGGCCGGCTCCGGAGCAGGTCACCCCAAGGCTTATTATGAGCGACCCAAAGAATGGCGGCGGTGTCTATGGAGGGTTGTGTTGGTGCAGTCGTGGCATTGAAGACTTCGCATTTGGGGAGGAAAGTTTTGGCCCTCTAGGGCTCGCAGGAGGAGAAGGGAGCGACGGCCACGGTGAGTGAGCGAACGTACCTTCTGCTGCTGGATGTCATGCGGGCGTGCTCCACCAGCAATCGCGGGCACCAAACGCGGGCCGTTACTGCTGCAGGTGCTGCTGTTGCTGTTGCTGTTGCCGCTTCTGTTGTGTTGTTGTTGATACTGTCGGGGTGCCAATCGACTTACACCAGCGGCGGCCGCCCCAGCAGCAAGCTTCTTTCGTTCTTCTGTCGAGCCCACCCACATCGCTCTACCACGCCTCCTGTCTAAAGGCATCGTTTGCGTTGTTGTCGTTGCTGGTCTTGACCCTCTCTCCATCTCCTTCACGCCACCACAAAGCCTCCTCCCATCCTCTCTCTCCTCTCCTCTCGGGCGCGCTTCTCCAGGACCCTTCCGCCTCCTCCCCAGCCCCCGATCCACCCCTCGCCTATTTCCGCCCTCCTGGAGTGCCTGCCCCTGGTGCTCTCCACCCGGCACTCATCGTCCTCTACCGCCACCTCCGCCGTGTCTCTTTCGCGCACGGCAACCCCCTCGCGACCTGGACTCGTCACATCCACTTTCAAGCTACACAAGAAGAGAAGAGAGGGAAACCTGCTTCTCACTCTGTTCACTCATTTCAATCGCCAGCGCCTACCCTGTCTTGCTGTCTCACACTCCGACAGACAGTTACAACGCGCGCCTCCGTAACCACTTCCAGCCACGCCGGTTCACCCCGCTTGTCGATCCATGCTCTGCCTGCAAGCATAGAGGTACGTAGCGGCCACCTCCTCACGCGCTTCCCCTCTCCATCCACTCCAACGCTGCGGCCAACACCCGACAATACACACTTCTTCTTTCATATCTACGATACTGGACAAGGCTCCCGTTCCGGTACAGTACGTGCAAGGTCTCAAGACCTTATCCTACATGCAGGAGCGTGTCGGCTCGTCGCGAAACGTTGAATTACCACAGCCCTGGTGCTCTCTTTCAATACGTCACACATTGTACCCAGTTCCGCAACTTTGCAGCACAGGCAGAGCTTCCCCCGCAGCTCCTGGCTTATCAGAGCTAATAGGTCCACCGTCACAGTTACCGCAACCTGCTGCGTTCCATCAATCTCAGGTATTCTTGCCGCACTTCCGCAGACGCCTTTGTGGACGTGCCTCAGAACTTGTACCAGCAAGACGCGCCAGCAGCCACACCACAGCTGCCTACACTGCGCCAGACTCACGAAGCCGTCATCCTGGCCATCGAGCCTCCCTCCAATCCTGCTCCAACTGCTCAATCCCACAAGCGCAATATGTCTGCGGCTCCGGACTCCCTTTCTTCGAACGGCAACGACCTGCATTCTTCCATGGATCACCTCAAAATGGACGATGGCGAGCCACGCCTCGGCCCCGACGGGGAGCTCGCGCCACGAACAGACGAAGAATACGCCGTTGCACAGCTTACTCTCAGAGCCCTCGTCTCGTCTAAGGAAGCCGGCGTTATTATTGGCAAGGGGGGGAAGAATGTGGCAGACCTTCGCGACGAGACTGGTGTCAAAGCTGGTGTGAGCAAAGTCGTACAAGGCGTGCATGATCGTGTTCTTACAATCACCGGCGGTTGTGAGGCCGTTGCCAAAGCTTACGCGCTCGTCGCGCGATCCCTGCTTGAAGGCGCGCCGGCCGTCGGCATGGGTGGCGTGGTTCAGAACACAGGGACGCATCGTAAGTCCATGATTGGCATCTGTTGTGATACGCCACTCAAGTCGTGTTCAGTCCGTTGCTAATAGAGCACTTTGATTGCAGCCATCAAGCTCCTCATCTCTCACAACCAGATGGGCACAATTATTGGCAAGTCTGGTCTCAAGATCAAGCACATCCAGGACGTCTCTCAGGTTCGCATGGTAGCCCAGAAGGAGATGCTGCCACAGTCAACAGAACGCATCGTCGAGGTGCAAGGCACTCCGGACGGTATCCAGCTGGCCGTCTGGGAGATATCCAAGTGTCTCGTCGACGACTGGCAACGTGGCACCGGTACTATTCTCTACAACCCGCTTGCCCGCACCGGCCCTGGTAGTGCTGGCTCCTTGCCGTCTGGCGCTGCCAGTTCTACCGGCGCGCCGCAATACAACTCATACGGTGGCTCGCGTGTGCTGCGTACAGGAAATGGCGCGGACTTCAGCAACAACAGCAGCGAGCGCCCATTCACTAGGCGGTCTGGCTCTGACGCAGCGACTCGCGGCGTTCCAACGCACGATGAGAACGGCGAGGAGATTCAGACTCAGAACATCAGCATCCCTGCGGATATGGTTGGCTGCATAATTGGCCGCGCTGGCAGCAAGATTAGCGAGATCCGCAAGACTTCTGGCGCACGCATCTCCATTGCCAAGGCAAGTGCTACACCGAGTCAACCACGCTCCAGATCAAATGACTAACCAATGATCGACAGGCTCCACACGATGATACTGGCGAGCGCATGTTTACCATCATGGGCTCTGCCAAAGCCAATGAGACGGCCTTGTTTCTCTTGTACGAAAACCTCGAGGCTGAAAAGATGCGTCGCAGCCAGGCGCCACCATCAGACTGAGCACGACCACTTTTAGCCTACATACTCGAAGACCTGTACCACAAATACTCGGCATTTCTCCACTGTACTCTTGTCTTGAGTACGGATAGGCGGCGATCCATGGCGTCCACAGGGATGGTTTGCAGATTATGAGCGGCCGCGAGGCCAGGAAGCACGTCCCGTGTGGCATCAGGGACTTTTGCGACGACGTCACGACAGGCACTCTTTGGTTTTTGGCAGCAAAAATACCCGGTATCCATTCATATAACGACTTTTGTACCTCTTTCGAGAGGCTGGAGAGGCCGGCGAGGCCTCCTAGGCCCCGAAGTGAAGAACGCGAGGATGTCGGTTGGAGGTAGCGAGACTTTAATGAGATCGTCGAAAAGCATCATGATAACACAAAACAGATCTTAGCATGTTACCACAGATTTGCACGGGGCGTGACAGTCCGCGGAATGTCGGTGCTCTGAAAGGCGACACGATATGGTTTCGAACGAATCGTTGGTCCATCAAGCTGTCGATTCGGGCTTGACGCGATGTGGTCGCGGAGTAAACCCTTGAGCCCTCCAGGAGGGTGGGCAAGTGAAACTGAATTGGCATCCTCGGACGGATTTCCAGAAGGGTGCAAACGGGGCGGGCCCCCGCGAGACCGCCTTGGCGGCCCATGTGGGTGACGGAAGCAAGCAGTGCGGGTACCTGTCAGGGGCTACATTTAGTGCATCCATGGCGTCAGGGCCCAGCAGCCTCCACCCCTAAGGTAGCTAGCCCTAGGGGTTCTCTCTGTTGGAGGCGTGCTCGTGTGGCCATCTGTCATCACGACAACCATTGAAAGCTGTCCCTAGCTGCCATCGCGCACTCGACCCCACGCCCGCCCGGCGATCGCGTGTTGCCATTGCCGTGCTCTCCGCTAGCAGGAACAGCAAACAGCCACGCTGGCTTGATTACTCCTCCTCCAACCCGCATCTTGTCCATTTACAATATTTCGTCATTGTGAAGGGGTCTCTCCCTGCCCTTCAACAATATAATACGTTGTTGTGTCGCAATCCTCCTCCTCCTCGTCCTTGCTTCTTTTTGAGCGCAATCACTACTGTCTAAACAACATTGCATCGGCCGAGTCCAGCTTATAACACGAGTCAATCGAGATGGCGCGCACGAAGCAGGCGCGGCCCGTTGAGCGCGTTCCGTCGTCCGAGTACGTAGAAGGCCGGCCCAAGACGATGCTGGCACAACCCGAGATACGCTCCAATGGGGCGGCCTTGACGAAACCCGCCACACCGGTTGCGACAAGCGAGGCTGGCGCGACACAGCTGGTGATTGCAGTCGCTGGCATCTACGGCTCTTTGTGAGTTCTTTTCTTGTCATGGCCTTACTTCTCGCGAGACGGTGCAGCCCTACTGACGCTTCCATGCTCGCCCTTAGCCTTACGTGGGCGTACCTCCAGGAGAAGCTCACGACGACACCCTACGGCCCTCCAGGCGCGACCGAGGTCTTCAAGTACCCGGTGTTCCTCAACACGATCCAGTCCCTCTTCGCCGCGGCCACCGGTGGCCTGTATCTATACTTCAGCACGCCCCGTGGCCAGTCCGTCCCACCGATCATTCCCTCGAGCCACATTCTCGGCCCCTTGCTGCTCGTCGCCCTCACGAGCGCACTCGCCTCTCCCTTTGGTTACGCGAGCCTCGCGCACATCGACTATATCACCTTCCTGCTCGCCAAGAGCTGCAAGCTCCTGCCCGTCATGTTCCTTCACATCACCATTTTCCGCAAGCGCTACCCACTGTACAAGTATCTCGTCGTGGCGGCGGTCACGGCCGGCGTGGCTGTGTTCACGTTGCACTCGGGCAAGTCCAAGAGCAAGAAACACTCTTCTGGCAGCGGCGACTCTGAGCGCAACGCGGCGTGGGGCATGCTGCTCCTCGGCATCAACCTGCTGTTTGACGGCCTGACCAACAGCACGCAGGATTACATCTTTGGCGCCTTCCAGCCGTACACGGGCCCTCAGATGATGTGCGCCAACAATCTCATGATGTCGGCGGTCACGGCATCATACCTAGTGCTGTCGCCCTGGCTGGTCCAGACAGGTGTGGGCGAGTGGTTCGGCATGGACATTGCCGGCTCCGCGGGCGAGCTCACCGAGGCCCTGGCATTTCTGGGTAGATACCCGGCCGTCTGGACTGATGTGCTGGGCTTCTCGGCGTGCGGCGCCGTTGGGCAGGTTTTTATCTGTGAGTCTCCTTCTCTTCCCTTTCCTCCGACAAGAGACTGCCCCGGAACTAACTTGAGCATTGAATGAAGTCTACACCCTATCCACATTCTCCTCGGTCCTCCTCGTCACCGTGACAGTGACCCGCAAGATGTTCACCATGATCCTGTCCGTCGTGGCCTTCGGCCACCGCCTGACGCGTATGCAGGTCCTGGGTGTCGGCCTCGTCTTCGGCGGCATTGGCGCCGAGGCGCACATTGCCCGCAAGGAAAAGATGGCTAAAGAGGCGGCCAAGAAGCAGAAGGCGCTCGAGGCAAAGGCGCAGTAGACCGGCTCCGGACATGCCAGGTTCTCTTTCTTTTTCTGTCTTTTTCCCCCTTTCTCTCTTGTGTGGTCCAATAAGCGCGGGACACAGTGTGACTTCAGACTTTTGCCTACGTGCACTTTTGGTGCACTGGCAAAGCTGGCGAGCAAACACAAGGAAAACAACAGATCGAACGTCTTTCCTGCCTTTCCTGCCCCTGCTTCGCACCCTCGCTCGACGGATACGAGAAGAGGCAAGGGATGTGCTCAACTGGCCAATCACTCGTTCCAACGATTTCACTGCCGCAAAGCGTAGCAGTCTCATCTCATACATAAAGCATATATGTGTACATACTAGAGCCCAGTGGTACACACTGAGGGAGGGCAGAGAACCAAAGTACATAACACCAAGATACATGCATATAGTCACAACATATAAAATACATCAACAGAAGCAGGTGGTGGTGTGTGAAGCAGAACCAAGTTGACCATCCGCCCCAGGTGCATACATCATTAGATCAACTCAAACACGCTGACTGGCTGTATCCTCAAGTACTCTTTTCGCACAGCATTGTGTCGTCGTCCTGGGAGCTACCACAGAACACCTCGTGTGGACCAATTTCAGATTTTGGACAGAGCGTGTACGAGCGAGGTCGACAGCTAAAGTAAAGATTTTGTTTGGACCATGTCAGGCCAAGTGATTGGTTCTCCTAGTGCTGCTCCTCCTAAGTCTTTAATACATAGTATGATCCTTATTTCCCTTACGCCACAACACCCCGCCACCTCACGCGTACAATTGCCATCCAGTATTTTGCAACAAGAGGCTCGTGACAATGGCGTATGACCCATGAATGACCTCGGCTTGATACAGTGCCCGCCAGTATTACTCGAGGCCTTTGCCCAGAGATTGGCCTGCTGCGTTGACCTCGTCGCTCACAGTGCCATCAGAACAGCGATGGCTTGTTTGCAGCACTGTTGTGCTCATAGACAAAAGAAGATTATAGTAGAGGCGCCTCGCTAGCGCCCATATGATAGAAAGATTGTTTAAACAGCCCCATCATGCAGTCGTTCCCATTATAACACGTCGTCGATCGAACGAACAATCGGGGTCTCGCCTTGCGTTGGTGGGCTCCGAGGGTCGGCTATTTGGGCCGGACGTCCATAAGGGTTGAAAGGGTCCCTAGGAAACATTGTTTGCCGTGGTGAGAAGAGCCCTTCGTTGGGTGTCGGCGGCTGCTCAACGAAGTGCAGGCCAGGCATCGACGCCTCAGCAAACTTGGAGTGGATCGGATTGTCCGTCATGATCTCAGCGCGTGGGGACAGCAGCGCATCCTCGTCTTGCGGGGCGGCTGCAATTTGGAAGTCGGGAAATGTATGTCCGCCCGGATGGTTTCGTAGGGGTAAAGAATTGCTGACTCCAAGGCTTAGACTGGAGAAGCCCATTTCCTGGGGTCCCAACTCGTGACGGTGCATGGGAAACCCTGGCGATGGTGGCGGCGGGAACCCTGGCGACGGTGGCGGCTGGAAGAATGAGGTAGAGGCCTGCATTGACGGAACGAGCAACGTCTGTGGTCTCGCCTCGGGTTCGGATACTCTTTGGGGTGGTGGCTCATACAGTTGGGGCGGCTTCAGAGAATCGCCCTGAAGATGAAATCGACCGAATTTGCCCGGGTCCTGTGCGTCCTCCTTTTCGTCCCACGAGAATGTCGATGGTGCTGAAGAGGGGCCTGGCGAGATAGCTTCGAGGTTCGGTGTAGATTTGCCGCGCGAGTGCGAAGGGCTGCGGCGGGGGCTCGGCGCTCTAATCGGGCTTTCTTTCTCATCCGGTAGAGGGGCAGTGAGTGGCTCTTTGGGCTTGAGGTCAACTGCATCCGCGGAAAGCGTGATACGATGATGCTTGGTTGGGCTTCTTCCGCTGCGAGGACCAGCCGCAGAACGCAGGGGAAGCTTCCTCTTGGCAATCTCGGCCCGGAAATCCTGGAGACAATACATCAAGCGCATGTTGGGACTGATCCACCGACTCTTGGCCTGCGCAGCGTAGTAGGCGTCATTGACGCTCAGTGAAGGGTTCTGGAATATGCCATAAGCGATAATCAAACTGGCAGATCTGCTGGCACCTTGCTGGCAGTGCACAAGCACCTTCTTGCCATCCTTGGTGCGCTTCTCAATGGTTTCACAGAGACCAATCAGGTCATGCGCAATATCAGTGTTGTGATCCCACAGCATGTGGATATACTCAGGCTCCTTCATGGGATTCGCCTTGGGTGTTGTGGGCGTCTCAGGGAGTCGCTGGCCGGATGGAGGGAATTCAAATGCCGTCGTAAAGCTGTCGCACGTCATGGCGGTCTCCGGGTAGGGAGACTCGGCTGGTGGGGACGTCTTCTCCTGCTGCTTGACGGCGGCTGGCGCATTGAAGGGGTTCAACACTTCGCGAGCGACATTGATGACAACGTCGAACTTGGCCGCTTCATCAGCAGTCGGTTCCAGATATAGGTAGACGTTGTCGTCATAAATGGCAATCGGGCCATTGGGATATCCAGGTGACTTCTGGTCCTCATTCTGCTCAGACTCGTCGTGAGGCTGAAAGTCAAGGGCTGCCCTGCTGGCGACTTGACTACGGATGGGTGAGTCTTCCTCCACAATTGCTGCGTCGAAACTGGGCCGCTTTGGGCGGAAAGCCTCGGACAAGCCATCAGCGCCACGTTCAAGGACGGTCGGAAATGACATGCCACCCGACGGCCCAAACGTGGAGGATTTCATGCCGGAGAAGGAGAGCATGTGCGGCGAAGACGTGGAGTGTTTAAGTTGTCTTCGTTGTAGGATCGGCGGCATGGCTGGCGAGCCGGGAACCTCGAGGTTCACTGCGAGAGGGCGCAGGTTCAGACCGTTCGAATCGGTTTTGAGACTGAGTTGACTAGGTTTCCTCTTCATGCCTGGGATCTTGGGCTTGATGAAGACAGGAGAAGAAGGTTCGGACACCAATGTCGAGGACAAATTGCCTCCAAACGGAGGCTGAATGGAGAGTCCCTTCATGTTACGCCCACGTCTCGGGGAGGGAGACGTCATTGGTCGCTCAAGGCGATTGGTGTTGCCATCGACAGTAAGCGAGCCGCTGGCATGGCCACCGAAGCTGGTGCCAGGAAAGTTGTTTAGTGGCAGAAGGTGCACCGGGGAATCTGGGGAGGAAGACGGCGAGGGATCTGATAAGGACGATGTGTCCGTCGTAAGGGTGGTTGTTGGTGACGAGTCCGCGGACTCGAAGTTCTGCCTGGCATTGTTGCTATCCTGAAGACGGTGAGAATTGACCAGAGCAGCTGACCCGAGGTGCGCCATCTGTGAGGGATGCGGCGGCGCTGGAGGAGCGTGCTTTGGGCATTCTGGATACGAGTCTGCCATTTGAAGAAATCTGGGACTCTCGTCCACCGGCGCAAGATCTCTGCCGCTGTAGGTGTTGTTTGACTCGTCGTCAATGATGGACATGAAGGAAGGAATCTGGTCCTCGTAGTGTCGGCGTGCTGTGGCGGACGGCATGATCGAAAAAGTCGAACAAGTTGATATTGAAAGTCTTCAAAGGTAGAAGTCTGGTATTCGTTGTGGGAAACCCACGAAATGGTTTGCCTCAGGCCTCCGTGAATTAAAGGATCTGGATTGCCCAGTGAAGAGAACCAGATTCGCTGCCAAAGTAGTGTCCAGAGAGCCTGAACGCAGAAATGCAGCTGAGGCAGCTTCGAGTTGAAGCAGAAGCGCGCGATCGCTGAAAGGTGAAATGAAACGAAAGAAAACGGGCGCAGTAAAATGCAAAGAGTGCGGTGCAAAGCAGGACAGCACTGCTGAATCCTACTGGTGACAAGTAGCCGTTTGCCTGATCAGGAATGTTTGACCGCGATAGCCCTCAAGCACCTGTGTGGCCCCTCCACACAAGCCGTGCTGTGGCTGGTCGTCGCCCCTTGTAGTGCAAAACCGAGGGCTGGCTCGAGGTGGAACAACACAAGGTCGAGGTCCGCAGGGACGGAGAGAAAGGATGAGATTATAGGGAGTACTGCCGTGGAGTTCGCGTATTGTCAGAGACCAGAGCCCATCGCAACCTCGTTTGGCGGTGGTTTGCTTGGTAGGCGGCGGATGTTGAGGCTCGAACAGCCACGACCCGTGATGTCGTTGTGGACGGGTGCTTGGGCGTGAGGACTGAGAAGGAAACGGCGCCTGACTGCAGGAGGAAGTCGAGCGGCGAGAGGGCGAGGGCCGGCCAGAGACGAAGTTGCGTGGTTCGCGGGCGAAAGGGTGAGATGCGGAGAGATCGTGTGGGAGAAAGAATTGGGAGGAGAAGAGTATTGATTGGGAAGATTGGATTGTGGCAGACGAATGGCAAGCGCTGAGCGTGGTTGCTGGCGGTGCCAGGCAGTCAGCCTGCCCACAGCGGAGCGGGCAGAGGGAGCAGGGAAGGGCCAGCTGTGCAGTCCCGTAATAGCACGCAGCAGGCCCTGGGCTGCTGGGGACAGGACCAGACAACCCTATTGCGTGCTGCTGCCGCTGCTGCTGCTGGCTGGCGCTGCTGTGGTGGGCGGCGGGCCGGGGGCGTCGGCGCTGGCTGGAGAGGGGGTGGGCGGAGTGTTCAAGGGTGGTGGCTCTGCGCGCAGACGACGAGGACGACGGGGAGAAGAAGGCGGAGAAAGGGGGAGGGAGGAACGGGGCGGGCAGGGGTTGGCAGGCCTGGACGAAACAAAGGCGCTTGCAGGGGAGCCAGGGGCTGGGCGGCTGCTCATTGGCACCGCAGCGTCTCGTCTCGACCGGGCCCCTGCTCCTGCTCGCGCATGCCCTGGCCTGCTGATTGGCCAGGCTCCTCCTCTTCTCTCGCTCTCTCTCTCCCGCCCTCCCATCACGCTGTCTGTGCCCGTACGTAAGTCTGTGTGCCACTGCTGATGCTGCTGATGCTTCCGCTGCGACGTAGGACGGCGACTCGCCACTGCCAGCCTTGCAAATAATACCGAGCATCTGCTGTGGGAGTGAGTGAGTCATTGAGTCAGTCAGTCAGTCCCTTTGTCCTTCTGTCACCCTTTCCGCCAGCAGCTTCTCGAGGCGGCCTGGAATGCCAAGCACTGCAATGTCCATGCTGGTCTCTCGGCAGCGTGTGTTTCAGAATCCATCCAGGCCTTGTTGTTGTTCATCCTGCCCGGCGTGGGTGTTACTCCCGTGGTCACAGAGAGCCAACCCAGAGCCAAGAAGAGCTCATCTCGCCGCCCGGGAGTCTACACATACTTCTGTAACAGGCAATGTCCAGGCCCTAACTTAAACCCCCTTGGCCTTGCTTGCCTGCGTGCCCACGGCGCTTTTGGCACGGCAACGGGCGGCCCTAGCTCCTGATGGCAGCGTTAGAGTTGCGGCTCAGAGCATAAGCATTGTTTCGGCAGCCATTCCAAAGTACTCTAATAATACGTAGTATTGTACAGTGAACCTCGGTGTAGAGTATTAAGCTGTTGATTAATTAGGCTCCACGGCTTCCGCGGATCTGGCGTGAGGACATGATCAGATGAAGCTGCGACTGCAGGGAAAGCCTTCCTCTCACACGCTGCTCCCTTACTCGATGTCGGTCCGGCGGTGACGTCTTGCCAGCCTCATTCCTCATGCTCCAGCTGACCACATCTCCTCCCGGGTGACACCGACGGTTGCTGGCCCAGTTACCGGACACGATGGACGACAACATCCCTCGGGTCTCGCAATTCTGGTCCTTGCCCAGCCGCCCACAGCCAACAACATGGACAAAAGGCTTCGAGTGGAACGACGTAGCAGCGGGTGCGGAGGCACAGGGCGGCTGCCGAGGCGACTTTGAGCCCGTGCAGGCGATGCTCATGTGCCCATGCCATGCCATGCCATGCCAGGCTGGACCAGACCCGCCGAGCCGACTGGATGCCTGCAAGCTCGTGCTTGCGCCTGCGTGACTGGGCCAGCCGGGGGTTTGCCTGTCTGCGAAACCAGCACCTCCGCAAGGCCGCGACACGCATGCTTCTGGCGGGACTGGGTGGATGCTGGTGCTGTGTCCTGTGTGTGCTCAAGTGTGTGTGTGTGTGTGTGTGCTCTGCTTGGTGCAGCGCAGCCACGCCGGCGCCAGCACCAGCCAGGCCCTGTTGCTATTCCTGGACGGCCTTGCGCACCTTGTGCAGTGTGCTGCTGCAAACCCCACCGCCCAGGCCCCTGCCCGGCGCCAAACACCAGCCAATCACTGCGCGCATGCCAAATTTGGATCGGTCCCAGGTGGGCTAATTAGGGCCGCTTCCTGCTCCAGCGCTCCTGCTCTGGCCGATTACTGTATCCTCTCGCTGCGCACACCCCTCCCCCCCTCGCCTTCTGCCTGCTTCGTTTCAATCTTCCTCAGTGCCAGCCTCTCCATCATCAAGTGCCTGGGCGACAGCGTCCCCGCGTGCCTCCCAAGGCACACTTTGACCACCAACCGAGCTTCCACAAGATATCCCCAGGCACAAACAGTTGTACTTCCGCTAATTAACTGTCGTCTGGTCCGCGGCGCGTGTTCCGTCCTCCATTGCGGCTCCCGTGGCGGCTAACATCCGGGCCGTGAGTGAGTCCCGCGTCCATCACGGCAACGGTGAGGAGGCAGATCTCCAGGTTCGCATTCGTAATCTGGCCCTAGTGTTGCTCAGCACGGCCGGGGATCACACCGCTCGGCCCCGTGAATACGCCGCAGTTCTGTCTGACCGTCTTGCTTGCTCCTCCTCTATTATTGGTCTTCGTATGGCGTCTCGCGAAGGTCTTGCCTTGTTCGAGCAGGCTGTCACGATGAGGCCTTGGCCGCCAGTCACGATCTTGAATCGCCACTATAATTACGACGCTTCTTTGTGGGGTTGTGCTGTGAAAAAAAGAATCAGCCAGGGACTGTCCTATTTTCGTTCTGGGACATGTCTCCGAGATGTCATCTCTGGACAATCATTACTTGTAAAGCCTTGGTATGGACGCCGGCATGCTGTCATGGTTTCGGGGACTTTGGCTTGCCTCCCGGCTGTGCTCTCGCATAGTGGCTTTTTCGGGAGTGTCCGGTGTCATAACGGGAGCCTGTGGCTTGCTGATCACGAGTCGTGAGTCGTGGCTCTTTGCTCTTTTTGGCAGACACGACGGAGAGCAATCGGGCCTAACAGCTCCTGCTCAGGCGATCAAACTCTAGAACGAAGAACAATGTTGCCATACTAGCTCTAAAAGGGCGAGTAAGGACCCGGCAAGGAGAGCACATCATTGAGTGGCGGCCGTCGTCAATGCACGTTCGTTACTTGCAAATTCGATCACCAAGTCCAGGCAGCGGTTCCGAATGTCCAGCACATGCCAATCTCGAAATCTGGTCGTCTGGTGCATGTGGGGCTGGCCAAGGTAGGATTGTCCAGAGATTTGGAAGTGAAATGCAGCATCGCATAATAAACCAAAGAACAACCCAGCTGTCAAAAGCTTGGCCTCATCTTATTCCCTGAGGCTGAGCACAGCATCAAGTTCTTGTTGCCCGTGCCGCTTAGCCCGTTTCGATAATGTACATGCGTGGCTAATATTTGTCCAGCCAAATTCCTTGACGGGGTCAATGTCGAAAATGCCGTTTACGCAGGCTTCGACTTGCGGCCGGATGACCCGAGCTGCAACAGTTGACGGCTGTCGGCCTCGACCGACAAGTCTTGCTCGGCGACACATTTTGGGAAAAGGAAGGCCTTCGGATGATTCACAACGACTAAATCGTGTCCCCAAATGAAGCTGGTTTCGCATCAGTAAAGCAGCAGAGCAGAACAGCGTCTAGCCAGGCCGCCAGGTGCCCTGCACAGCGAGCGCTGAAGCGGACCCGCCCGCGTGGCTCTCCCACATTTCCCATCGGCCCTAGACTTCCAGGAACGGGGGATCACGCGTGGCGATCAAACACGAGGTTTCGTCTAGGGTCTCGGGGGTCCAACGCAGTAGGCCTAGTGATGAGCTGAGCTGAGATGAGATGAGGTTTGCTTGGCTCTCCCCCCCCCCCCACGGAGGGTTTTTCGGGTCCCGGGATATGGGATGATGCATAGGGAACGGCGTGTCCACCGGTGAAACTGCCAGGCAGATGATGATTTCAAGGCCATTTGTTTGAGGGATGCTACGATTATGCTGCCGCCGGAGAACAATGCTCTTGTCATGTGAAGTCTCCGAGTCTTGCGAGACTGTTGATTGTCTGTCCCACTTCACGTATCTCTGGCTATACCTGATGCTGGTGGTGTCAGTTCAGGTTGGAAGACCACGCTAGTCGCAGTCGTTGTCCCGTGTGTATATCTTGGTTGTGGGACAATCGTCCCTCGCATTGCTGCCTCTTTATCCCTGTGTGCAAAGGTGGCTTGAGGCTGTGAGATATATGAATGGAGCTGATTTCGCCCAATCGAATATGTGCCAGCCCTGAGACACAACTGTCTCGCTGTTCATATGTGCCGTTTGTGAACCATACTTCGTAGACCAACAAAAAGGAACTCCGCGTTCTGTCACCATTGAAGCGGCAAGTGCATCGATAGAAAACTGGCAAGACCTTTCACTATGGCTTGCCTGCGTGAGCACTTGCTATTATGTATGCTGATCAGTTTCTGCGTACATTCGTCCATGATACCACAAGATGTTTCGACAGCTTCAGTTCAGTTGCGAGGTCCAAATGTCTCTCTCTGTTGTTGAAATTCCTTATTCCCGCAAGTTGTGTAATCGTGTTCAGACTTGACACGAAAGCTGCTGACCTCGCAGCAGCTCGCAGTTCTGAGCTTGAAGTATGACCAAGTTCATTCGACATAGTCTATATGCCACAAGTGCAACAGCCCAATGGAGGGGATTCGTCAGAGCATTCAATGTATCCCATCTGTTTGCTTAGTATCACCTTGGACGACGGCAATTCTTGAGATACGATGTTTTTGTCTTCTTGTACAATTATGAGGACCTGGTATCACGCAAGAACTGACAATCATCACGATAAAAATGTTCTGTCGTTCGTATTGGTGATCGTGATTACTCGCTCGATTCCGTCAGAGAGGATAATAATTCTTGCGTTTCCCATGCAGTTAAGTGCCGCACTTCAAATATTTGGGCTTTCGAACCCTCGGAACCTTTTCTTGTTTACCTCTTGTCCGCCACCTAATCATAAGCGAGCCAAAGTTCTGACTGTTCTCTCCAGCCTTGTTTTCTCATAATACTCGCCCACTTCCATGTGGACTGCGAGCAGTGCCTCGAGAGAAGCATATAGACGACAATCAACTTGGCCGGCCATGATAGACTGACCGGCCATGACAGAATCAGGAGGAAAGCTGTACGGCCATACGCCTTCGTGATACGTGACAAGCACCCTCGAGCAAGGAACGCCGCTGTATCTGCGACAACCCACCTGCGCGGCTTCATGCTAGCGTGCCCGTTCATCCTGAGTTGTGACCACGTGATTCGTGCCTTTTGTCAGGTTCAAAGATATCTGGTTGATTTCATTTTCAGTGTCGAAGGCGCGAACTGGTCTTATAATCCGGTTCGAGTTGATCACGTCTTTGGCAAGGATGACTGCTATGGTCCTTTGACGGCTTAAATAGATAGAAGAGAGCCGGACATAACGACGGACTCTGGCTGGCGCGTCTCACAGCGCGAACAATCGCGTGATTTCGGTACAATTTTTAGGTTTTATGTTGCAGCTTGCCTGGAAAACCCGCCCTGCATGTGACCACGCGGCAAGCAATATATCTAGGGACTGCTGCCTTTACAGCATTAACTCACCCGTCCAGACATGCCGTCGAGATGAGGCAGTTGGCGAGAACAATTCATCGAGTAATCGCAACCATAATGATTGTGACTGCTCTATCGTTGGTGCACGCCAGCACGGCCACTTGAGCACTTCCGCCGCCACTTCATAATGTCGCAATCATTCTCGAGCGTTCCCAACTCGAGCCCATGTCAACATACCCATGATGCCGTGAGTGGATGACGCGGTTACCTATGGACAGTTTCAGCCAGCAATGGGACGATGCATGCTCAGATCTGGCATGAGCTATTTATTCGGTGCCGTTTTGCTTGAGAACCCGAACCTTATTATCCGAATCCAGTTCCTCAATAGAACCATATCGCAAACGCGATAGGAGCAGGATGTTACGCTTGCCTCCCTGGTCCATTTTAGGTCCGGACGGGACTAGACCCCTCCCAAGGGTCCTCCTGGTCGTCGTTACTGAGCTAGGCCTATGGGCTTGCCCCTGATCACCCGCAGCACGCCAACGCTATTCCAAGCGGGCCGACCGGGTGATTGTCATTTCGGCTCTGGCATCATTGTTTCAAAAGCTGCAGGCAACTTTAGCAGAGCCTAGCGCTGAGCTCAGCGTTCAGTGTCGGACAAATTTGTGGCTGAGCCGTGGACCGAAAGATCTAGCCCCCATGTCGAGTCAGTAGCCACGCCGCTGCAACGTCCGTGTCGTCGTAGTGGTTGTTCCCCTGGGTTTTTGGTCCATGCCCTTTCTTGGGACGCACATTTCGGACATGATTCTGAATCGCACAGACCAGAGTTGGGTCGAGGCGTGGAGCTCGTCGCCAGGAACGTCGACGCTCAGCTGATAATCAACATAACGGCCTCGTGAGTGGTCATTAAAGAATGCTGGACAGACAAATGGCTCCATAACGCTAAGGACGCAGAGGCATCGACGATGTGGAACCGCCTTCTGCAAGCAACGAAAAGGCCAAGGCCTTGCTTGGACAGAGCGAATCCGCGTCGAGCACATAACAAATGGGGACCACAGGCTCGCGTCCCTAGGGCCATTGTTGCAGCACAACGTGTCGTTGCAACTGGACTCCAGCCTCTGATCATCATGCGGTCATACCTGCTTGCTAGTAGACCGCCTTGCCAGCAGCGCCAGTTGCAGCAAGGCATTTTAATGATTCCCGCGAGCAAAGGACTTCTTTTTTTTTTTTTTTTTTTTGGGCCCGCCCTCACCAAGGCATCCCGAATACCATCTGTTTTGCCGTCTCTGATTCGAAGCGAGCCCGTAATCGGTGACGGATCCCCGTGAACTCACTTTATGGTTTGACAGCTCAATTTCCAGGCTTGTGTCCCTGTCCCCGTGGACCAGGGGGGGTTGTCGTGCTTTGAACGGAGACAACGATCCTGGCGGAGCTGGTTGCCAGGTTCCGTGGCCCTTGCGACCAGGGACTCTGCGAGATCCATGGATATCCTCCTTTTCTTGTCTGTCGTCTCGCATTCTGCCAGGCGCACTGTCCCCAAAACAAAAAAAAAAAACAGTCCCGTTCTTAAACACAGCTAGTCTGAAGGGCTTCTCTCTTCCTCAGCCACGCCACGACGAAATCCTGACTGCAACCACTCATATCACCTACCCGCTATTAGGAGGTCGCTGATCGCCCAATACCACCTTGCGTCAGCATCCTGGGTCCATGCCACCCCTCCAAGGTCGTTCCCGGGAGTTGTACCAGCCACGCCCATCCCACTGGGCAACTCGAGCAGAAGAGCTGGGACTAGGCGACACCCAAATCCGCGTCGTAGAGAGCGTGAAACCGTGTCATCGCACTGGGCCACAATTTCGACCCAGGCGGTCATCCTGAGACAGGACCATGGCCGCGAGGGCAGGCACAACGTGGTCAGGGGAGGGCCGGCACAGCCTGGACGGCCGCCCGGATTACCTCAGCGGCGTACTCACCAGTGGCCTCGAACCGACGCGCAATCCCTTCTCAGATTCAAGACCATCAGCTCGAGCAACAGCAGCCGCAGCAGTAAGCCGTGAGACTGATCACTCACAAGAGCAGTCCCGTGTTGAGGAGATGGCAAGTGCAGGGCCCGATAGTCTCTTAAGAGGACCGCGCAGCAGCACCAGTGGTGCTGCTACTGGGCTGTTCTCAACATACGCGTCAGCGAGAGCCACCACCACCACCACCACGTCCTCGAGGCAGGAACCGGCAAACCACTACAAACAACAGGAACAGCCGCGACAATCCGGTATCCAGCCTCTCGCAGCCCCTTCCTTCAACTTTGAATTCTCTGTTCCTGCATCGCCGTCTTTGATCAGACTCTCGCAGCAGCAGCACCAGCAGCAGCACCACGGCGCTCCGACCTCCACACAGGGCGACGGCCCGTCCAGACTAGACGCTTATCGGTCCACGGACCTGAGACACCCGCCAAAGCCATTCGAGCCCGGGTACAATCGCGCCGTCCCTGCGCTGCCAGTCCCCCTGAATGAAGGCGCTCTCCACAACCAGCACCCAGACAACCCAGCCAGCAAGAGACCACCACCAGCTCATCTCGAATCTTCCGATAGCATCGAAACACATATTCACAAACGTCGCCAGACACTGACCGACGCAGACAAGCCCATCCCAGTCGCAGCTCCCCAGCAGCGCGGCATACAGCAGTCTCCCCGTCGCGACGGAGTCGGTACCTCGCCTCGCACTAGGGCAAGTGTTGAACGCCGTCGCCGCCTTTCAGCTGCCGCCGCTGCACTTCGGCCTGCAGAGCCTATTCCGAACCCAGCCCAGCCCAGAGAGGTCTCATTCCTCACGACCTCCTTCCGCCAGGGCGCGACGAGAGACACCACCGTGCCAGAGACAACCACGGATGCCCATCAGGCTCAGCCATCTGAGCAAACCGCGCCAGTACCATCGGCTCATGCCGCTCCAATCACCACATCCTTTACATTCTCCCGCCCTGGCCTGTTTCAGGGACCTGCCGACTCAACCGAAACAATTGTACCCTCCCGCCCCGGGCAGCGACGCGCTCCTGCTTCGTCCTCGCCCGATGGTGTCGACAAACCTTCCGGCTCCTCTGTAGACGCGTCGAAGCAAGCCCCCGGAACGATTGAGCCGAACACCGACCTTCGACCAGCCGAGGACAATTCCCAGGAAGCTATCCACACCCGCCGAGACTTGCTGCCGCTCAAAACTGTTCAGCGCTCAATGTCTGATGACAAGCGCTCCTCATTTACGAGGCGGCCGCCCGTCTCGTACAAGCCACCTGTGAGCTCGGGCTCGAGCACGCCAAATGGCAACTCTGCATCGATCCCCCCGATCAGAGGCTTCAGATCTTCTGGTTCCAGACGAAGCCTGACTCTGGATATGAATCTCCCTTCTCCCCGCAACTTCGACAATGGAGACGACTACCTTGACGCGAACCATAGGGATCGGTCATTACGCGCCCTTGAGGGCAGGACAGACGAACGAGGCCCGGCTTTGACGCCTCCTGACTCTGCTCTTGCAGATACCGACGACAGCGGTGACGTGTTCCTGCGGATCGCTCGCCAGGAGGCCGGTCCATCCGACGATGAGGGTCGCCGGTATGGCGATGCGCGGAGCGAAGTGGTAAGTACCTCTGCCTTGGACGATTCTTCGGAACTACTGTCCTTGGGCTCACCGAGTATCTTCGACAACCCCATATATACTGACATTCTCCTTCAGTCGCGCCCGTCTAGACCAGTTCGTAGACCAATGTCTGCAGCAGTGAACACATATGACCCGAACTCCCCACCCCGCCTAACTCGTCGGATGTCGGAGCAAGAGAACGGAAGATCAAGAGATCCCAGCGTAGATGTGGGAATCGAAAGACTCAGTCGGCAGAACACTGTGACCTACAGAGGCTTGTCTCGTGAACGGGCTAGCGAAGATGCCAGAGCACGCAGTGTAGTGGGAGGTCTGCGCGGCAGTCCTATGACTCCACGAACTCTCACATTCCAGGATGCGACCAATCCGTCCTCAGACAGTACTTCACCCCACTCCAGGAGACGCCAGCACTCTGTGGACACCGGCTATGCTGCAGGCACACGAGTGAGCTCATTGAAGCAATCTGGTTCTGTCGTTGGCCAGGCACGAAACTACAGCTCCTCACCTCTCGCCCCCAAGGCAGCGGCCGATCCTCAAGCGGAAGCAGGAAACGTGGTGGAGGGTACAAACTCGACAACCTCAACTGCTGCGCCATCGACAGTCTGGGACGAGCTTGATGACCTCAAGTCACGGATTCATCGCTTGGAGCTGACTGGGAAGCTGCCTCCAACTTCTGGGGCGGCTATATCACGCGCTACCGACGAAAGGCCACCAACAGCACACACAAACGCAACCACCATGTCTGCCTCGCCTAAGCGTGGTGTCGCCCAGGCCCAAGCATCCGATGCTGTTAGTACCACATCGTCATCACACCCCATTCGCAAGGAGTCGCACCCAGTCCTGCATAATGCTCTAGCCAAGTCCAAGTCACTGCTCAGTCCTGAAGTCTATGCCGCGCTGGAGGCCGCCGCCAAAGACGCCCTGTCCTTGACAAACATGATGGGCTCGTCTGGCCAGCCCGGCCCAATCTCAAGTGCCGCGAGCGGCGTAGGCGGCAGCGGACCCGTTGTCACCGATCGTCAGCTACGGCGCAAAGCCGATAGCGTTTGCCGCAGCATCACTGAGCTTTGCATTGCATTGAGCGATGGAGTTGCCGAGGCCAAGGCTGAACCTGTAGCTATCTCAGTCTCTCCGGACAAATCGCCCATGACCAGCCCAACTGTCACTCGTTTCACCGGCCTCACAGGCCACGCCAGGAAACCCAGCACGTTCATTGAGCGCAGTGCCGTGCTGAGTGCCACAAGTCCTCGAGCAGCATCCCGTCTGGAAGACAAACGCACCAGCGTCCTTATGGGCAGTGCCCTTCCCAGTCCGAGGTACAACAATCCTCCTGTGACGATAGCCTCCATCGAAGCGAGTCCGGGCGGACGTAAATCTTCGCTTCTCCTGTCCCGTACCCGTCGAGCCCAGACTGAGGAGCCAGAGGAGGCAAGGCAGTCCTTACTCTTTCGCACGCGCCGTGCTGGTACTGAAGAGCCAGAAGAAGCATCGGATCGCAGATCCTCCTTAATGGTCCGCGGCCGACGCGCCGGCACAGAAGAGCCAGAGGAAGCAGGGATGCGCAGGGCATCAATGCTCGCCAGAACGCGAAGGAAGACCATGGAGGGCGACGAAGACTTGCCACAGCTTCGCACCCCCTCTCGGGCTATTACCGAAGTGGCGGGAGTGCGATCGCCCCGCGAATACATGTCACACCATACTACGCCTTCGAGGGACGAGACAATGACCTTGTCGCCTTCCGCGCTCCCCAAGAGACAACTGACAACAACGTCGCTCGCATCTCGGATCGTGCAGCCTACACCGCCATCCACAATGGCCTCTCGGCGCTTCCTTGAGCGATCGACGGAGCGCGCCGCAGCTGAGCGGGAGGTCCAGTTCAACTTCGAACGAGACGAGATGCCCACTCGGCGCATGTCGTTGGCTCAGCCCGCCAGTCTCAACCGGGCTGGAAGCCTGACAAGGCGAACAAACCGAGAGAGCATGATTGCCATGCCGACCAGCGCTTCTGGTGCGCGAACAACCACTTATCGATAGTTCTCATCCGGCTGCTTTTGCCCACAATTGTATATTTCACACCCGGCGCGGATGACGACGCAGCTTTACGATTTATCTTGAAATACCACCAATCCTGCGCCATTGGTCAACGGCCGCGATCACGCTACCTATCTTGTCACGATGCCGGATCATTACGAAGTGTATTAATTAGCCTCGAGGACGCGCGAGCCGCGCCACGAAGAAAAGCGGAATGCTTGGAGAACATTTTTACTGTTTCATCGTTGCCGGCGTTTCATCGTTTACGGAGTTGGTGGTCTGGTTCGACCTTTATACGGCTACGCTGCTTTTCTGGGCAGGATTCTAGCATCTGTTTGTAGCTCGTCTGTGTTTAGTTATGGATTTTCTCTCAGCGTACAGCAGCCATATCTTGTCGTTCTTCATCAGTTAGGGCTGTTAGATATGTCCGTGCTGTTCATGCAATACAATATCGCATGCTGAAGCATTCATTTTCACTGTCAGTAGCTCTCCTGCCTTGCCATTTGCGGTGTGACACATCTACTCATTGCCAAGAGTCTATGGTACGTCGTGAACAACGCCTGCGGTGTGAGTCAGGCGGCGTATGATTTCGAGCAGGCCCGCTGGCGCTGATTGCCCAGGCCTTTTGATGCTGGAGCAGTCCGTCGCCTAGCGCGGCGGGGGGGCAGTAACCAAAGGGATTGATTAGTGGGGAGGGTGGGCTCAACCAGCTCTTCACCACTTAGCTCTACGAGTGCATGTCATGTGTGTGTGAAAGCCAACCCTTTGGGAACACGACCCAGAACATATGAATCGCCAGTTGTGCCCAGGTACAGAGAACGGAATAGAAACCACCTAAGCACATTCTATACAGACTTCACTTTTCGTTCGTGCTTGAGTCGACTCGTCCGGAGGTTTCAGTCCCACACATACAACACACCACGCACGTATTGCAGACCATTCGAGCGCTCTAGTCCTTGAAACGCTAGGAGAGCAGCAGCTTTTTGGGCACAAACTGTCCGAACTGTCACTTAGCAGCGAGGGCTGATTCTCATACTAAAGGGGCCCAAGGACAAAGAAGGAGAGCTGTGGCTGTCTTCACTGGGCGACTTGCGCTGGTGTCGTGGACGGCTCTGTTGGGTGTGCCACCATCGCGTGGATCACGGTTCATATCGACGACAGCAGTAGCAAGGCAGAGATCCGGACATCGGCCTGAAAGCGGCGCACGCCTCGCTATTCTTAATCGCAGACCAGCAAGCAGCCCCAGCAAGATAGTCAAGGCCGCGACCGGCATGGCAGACTTTGACAACGCCGAGCCCGTACCCCGTCACGGCGGCCGGAGTGGCGGCGCTCGTGATGGTAAAAGAAGAGGCGGAGGCGGCGGCCGCGGCAACAGCGACGGCGGCAATCGCGACGTGATCCTCTCCAAAGCGCTGTCTACTCTGTTGCGGCATCAGGCCGAGGCTGCAGGCGTCGAGCTCGACGGGGAAGGGTACGCGCGGTTGGACCAGGTGGTAAGTCATTCCTTCTCTTCTCTTTTTTTCTTCTCTTTATTGTTTATTATTCCCACTGCTCCCACACGACAAAGACACGGGCCCAGCTGATGTACTTTGAAACCTCCAAAAATAGTTCCAATGGCCGCGCATAAGGTCCCTGAAGCCCACGGTGTCCGAAATCAAGGCCGCGGTGGCGGACAACGCCAAGCAGCGCTTCGCGCTGAAGCGATCTCCCGAGGCCGAGGGCCAGGAAGGCCTGGACGCGGACGAGGACGACCCCAAGACGTGGATGATCCGCGCGAACCAGGGCCACAGCATCAAGCTCGCGAGCGAGGGCCTGCACACGCGCATCACTCTCGGCGGCGAGGCAGGGCAGGGTACTGCGGCGGACACAGCAGCAGCGGAAGGAAATATCCCGCCTGTGGTGGTCCACGGCACGTACTTCATCTTCTGGCCGGCGATTCTGGCCGCGGGCGGGCTGAAGAAGATGGGCCGGACGCATGTACATTTCGGCACGGGACTGCCCGAGGATGGGAGGAAGCAGACGCACGAGATTGCCGATGAAGACAGCACAGACGCCGGCAGCGGCAATGGCGGAGGTAACAAGAGGGTCATCAGTGGCATGCGCAGCGATGCCGAGCTGCTCATCTTCGTTGATGTCGAGCAGAGTCTGCGTGATGGCGGTATCGAATGGTGGCTCAGCTCAAACGGGGTGGTACTGACGGAGGGCGACAGGGACGGCGTCGTGCCGCTCAAGTACTTCAAGGAGGTCCGCGGTCGCAAGCAGGGCGTTGGACAACTGTGGAAGGATGGAGTGAAAGTGGCGGACCTGCCTGAGGGGACAGTGGCGAGGATGCCGCATGGAAAGGGACCTGGTGGCAGCAGAGGAGGGAGAGGAGGGCGGCGAGGAGGAAAGCAATAGTATCCAGTCAGTCACAGCTGGGACCATATGGCCATGGCCGCACGACCTCACGGAAACGAATACTTTTTGCACATGTAATTCAAGACATGACAGTTCCAGACTATGGACAGTACCATCATCATCCTAACCCACGCTCTGCACAATCAACACAACTTGCTGAGATCCACAGCTGATCGGACTCTGTCCAGGCGCGCGAAGGTTGCTTCTTACACAAACGCCCGTCTTTCTGCATCACACTACGTGACTGGTGGCTGTAAATCTTCCATGAATTTCCGGACATCTTCAAGGTACTCTTGATGTTCCCTGTGCAAGTGTATATAGACCACTTCTGCGATTCTCTCTTTGGTCTCTTTCTTCCCCAATGAGTCGCGAATAAAGCCGACACCTTCAGGAAGTGACATGGTCGGTGACTTGAAGACAGGATAGCCTTCATAATAGCCGTTCGAGGTCTGTTTGAGCTTGTACTCTGGTGACTGCTGGCCTAATTCTTGGCACAATTTGGACACCTTCGCCACAAAGGACTCTTGGGGCTCACTGCCAACACTCGCAGAGCTACTAGGCCTACAGCTAGTATTGTTTCCACTTCGGTCAGCAGGCAAGCTGTGTTTGGAAGACGGCTGGTTTAGTAAACCCTGCGAGTCTCTCTGCGCTGGCAGGGAGTTCTCTGCAGACTTTCGAGTCTCGGCCGCTGGTACTGAAGCTGGCAATGAATCGTGCCTGTCCGCGCTTACAGTTGCTCGACTTTCATATTCGTCAGTCCTCAACCGCTTCGAGGGGGCGGCTCGGGTCAGATATTCGAATGCGCATTTAGCAGCATATGTCTTGGCAGCCTTCTTGCTTTTGAATGAAGGACACTGACCGTCCGCATCAAGACCGTATGCGGGCCCCGGCACACGCTCCGGCAGTCCCTGGAGGCGCACGAAACATCTGAACATTGCTGGGGTTCCCTTGAGGACGTAAAATGATTCATAATCATAATCGGGAACGTCACGTCCTCGTTGTTGAAGGTGTTCTGCGGCTTGGTATCAGTGGCTGATTCGAGTAAAGCTACGGCAATGCCGTGCAACGGGAGGGAACTCGCATACCATTAAGCGTGCCAATCCAGTTCTCGTCGCCCAGCTCAGGGCCGGCCGCCAGTGCCGGAGCGAGCAGTCTAAGCAGAGGCAAAAGGGCCTTTTCCTCCTCAGCTGTGACAGGTGCAGCTCGGTTATGCTCAGCTTCGAAGCTTTGCTTCTCCGCGACCCATGCCTGTAGCAGGTGCCATGGGAGCCGTTCAGCATGAGCCGCCCCGTCCATTGTCGTGGAAAATGTGAAAAGAGTTCGCGAATGAAATGATTGCCTGGCAAACAACTTGAGAATCTTTGACATAAGGATCCAAGTGAGGCGAGATAGAGCCCAGGTGGTGTGGGAGCTGGCGGGTTTTATAGTGGACTGCCAGCCATTGTGAAGACACCTTCGCCTATCAATGGTCCTTGCGATGAAGCAATCGTCGAACGGGCCAGGCGGAATGCATACAGGCCTGACTCGATACGGAGTGTGATGACATGGGAGGAATGAAGTGCTATGGTTTGTGCTGTGGAGGTGAGGGCAGGCAGGTATAAGTGTGGTGGGGCCTGCAACGGGGAGCAATGGAAGCAGGCAATTGCAACCGCTGGCAAGGCAGACAAGGACATGCGCCAAACGCACAGCTCGCTGATTGGGAGCGCATGCATGCACGAGGCCGCCAAACACTAATGATGATGCAGCACAAGTTGGCCTCCTGCAGCGTCTGGTGCAGCCGCATGAGAGGTTTGCAGAAGCCAGAGCCTGCTTTTCAGAACCTGCACCCTTTGCAACAACAGACCAACACCCTCGAATTAATGCGGGCATGCAATGCGACTTTCGTGGCTCATTTGAAAACGTCCATTGGGATATCACTTAATCAACAAATCCGCGTGATTGGCCGCTGCCGACGAGTCTATTCAAAGAAGCCGCCATCGCTGTCGCTATCCTCGGCCGCAGCCTGCACCTCTGCCCCCGATAACTTGTCATGCTTGCCCTTGCCCTTCCTCTTCGCTGCGGCTCCAGCGGCATTGGAGTCTTGACCTGGCCGATCCCCTCCCTGCTTTGTAGACGACCTGGATGGCAGTTCTGTCGAGTTGGCGCCCTTTGCAGGCGTGGCGTTCAGATTGCGTTCCCGGATAGCCACCAGTGCCGACATGCCTTTTCTCTCTGCGCGCTCAATGTCGTACCAAATCGGCGGCCTCTCGACCTTCAGAGCCTTGACAGCCTTGCCAGTTGTTTTCGTGTCGACCTTTTCGTCCTCTTCGGTGCCTGACCCGGCGACAGGATAGAGACTGATGTACCGCTCCCGATGCGGGAAGAATCTCGCATACACGCCGTCTATCTCGGCCGTGCGTAAGTCCGCCGCAATCTTTTTCTTCTCTGCTTCGTCTTCGGTGGCGTCGAGTTGTGTTCGTAGTCTCTTTGCGAGACGGTCTGCCTTTTTGCGTTCTGCCGAGAAACATGAAGTGTGAGCGGGTGTACTCTAGCCTCAACTGAACTCGAGATCCACCACTTACCGAAAAATCGCACCATGTGGTACTTTGAGATCATGTCCTTGCGCTGCTTATCCTCGGCAGCCTTTGCTATCCGCGAACGGTGGTGCTCCAGCTCTCTCTCCAGGTCGTTCTGGACATTCGCAGGCAGGTCCTGACTTGTCCGCAGTAATCGTTCAATTGTCCTCGCGCGCTTCTTGACCCAAGGCATGTTGTCTGGCTTCGCCTTGTGCACTTTGCTCTTCTTCGAAGATGGGCCCACAGAGGCTGGACCTCGACTCCGGTCTTTGCCATGGCCTCTGGCCTCACCGTCAAAGTCGGCAAATTTCCTCTTGCCCGTGCTCATGCTGAGTGTGTATCCCTGGCGTATAGGGGTCTATGGGGAGTTGCGTAACGTAGCGTCGGGGTAGCGCAGCGGACGATGAGGCTTCGCGATCGTCTTTTGAGAGATGCTGGCGGAGGGACTGTACTTTTTTTCTGGGGCTTCTCGCAGGCGCTGTGCGACCCTGCCTCTCAACGCCAACCCACGCTCCTGTGGAGCATATCGATAAGGCACGATGGCGCTGCTGTTCCGCCTTCCCGCAAGCGCGGAGTGTAACCCGTTCACAGCTTCGAGCCATTGTCGGGTCCAGCTCGCGGTCATGTCGAGGCGCAATTGAGCGCAATCGAGTTGAACACACAGGACTACACTTTTCCAACAGCCACTCTGAGCTGCAGAACCGGCTCCACTGTGGACAACGTCGAACATCAACATTCAAATGGCCTGGAAACAAAAGGATCAAGTGTAACGGAGCCGAGGTTGTCGCGCTCCTTGCATCATTGCCAAGTCGGCGCAGGGACGAAGCCATTCGCGATTCATTCTATAAGCGGGCCGCCAGTCTTGCTTTCGTCAATCACCGGGCCAGTCATAAAATCGGCGCATCACTCTTGGCGGTAGACAGCAAGCCTTGCTATTCATGCAGTAGCCGGCCATCGCAACCATGGACCGCCCAGAGCCGGGCCTGATCAAATGGTCACCTTCACCAGAGCGTGACAGCTTCATCCATGTTAACCTGACGCAACGGGTGGTCCAGCTATACCAGCCAACAGGCCGTGCTCATCGTGGTCGCTTCGAGTATGAAAAGCTCCAGAAGCATGACGAGTCGCCGCCATTGACGACGTATGACTGGTCGCCGTTCATACCCGACCTGGTCGCCGTGGGCACGGCTAGTGGTACGGTCAATCTCCTTCGCATTGATGGTTCTAATGGATACTACGAGCTTCCCATCAGGCAAGGGCGCATGTGCCAGTCTGTTGCGTTCAACACTGGCAGCTTGCTAGCGGTTGGCTTGGATCGAGTACGAAACGACCAGTGTTTGCATGTTTGGGATGTGAATCGTCTGGCAAGCCGCAAAGAACCGGGACTTCCTGTCGATCCTCAAGGGACCCGAGAGGCGGACCGCGCTGTGCCTCCTGTTCGACAGATTGAACCTAGCGTGTCAGTGTCGAGCACTAAATTCTTTGAGGACAGCCCCCAGACTCTCGTTGCCGCGGTCAAGAACCAGGGAATACGTATCTACGATTTGAGAGGTAACAACCATCTACTTCCGCCACTGCGAAAGAGCCTTTGCTAACATAATGCGAAGACCCCCAGGGAGCTGTCATCAACTTTCAGACCAGGTGCAATAACAATCTTGCAATCGACTATGCGGACTCCAATTACTTTGCTTCCTCATCTCTAGACCAGCCAGCAGTCATTGTCTGGGACCGACGTGCAGCTGCAAGAGCCTCATCATCGCCGTCATACCTGGAGGCCGTCGACTCTGACAGTCTCCCATGGGGTGCTGCACTCAAGGTAGAGACAGCGATTGACGTTGACCCTCGGCAGTTCAACGACAGGCACTCCCTGATTCGATCATTGCGCTTCTGCCGGGACCAGAGAGGCTTGCTGGCCGCTCTGTCGCGGACAGGACAGCTAAAAGTATACGAGACTCTCAAAGAAATAGATAACCCCGAAGTCCTTTTCGAGAATAGCCCAGAACTCCTGAACATCAGGAAGTCGAGCGACCTCGATCTGGGCCACATGCAGACATCTGAGCTCAAGAACGACCGAATCGTTTCCTTCGACTGGGTCAACCTGAGCTCTCCAGCTCTCAGGCCTCGAGCGGTGGTCCTTCGACAGAATGGATCCTTTGATATCCTCGAGAAACCGTCATTCACTACCGATCATGTGTACAAGATGGTGCCATGGCAGGCCCCACATCGCGGTCTTCTGGGTATGTGCCTATATGCTCTATGACTTCCGCCGAGTCCATGCTAATCGTCGATAAAGAAGGGTCAAGTTACCACAGCATGATGCGATTCGATGCGCCAACTTATCGCGAAATGCTTGGATCCAGATTGATAGACGATGCGCTGGCAGAGATCGCACTGTTCGGTGACAACAAGGCCGATTTGAAACCTATCATACAGGGTGTGCTACAAAGCCAGCCACCGGATCATGACGTGGTTGAAGATGCCATGGCTTCCAACCAACCACTGCCAGACGCGCTGAAGCACCTACCCACCACTTCCAGCAAGCTAATAGAGCTCAGGCGCTTCTCGCGAGATGCGCTGCAGCCGAAACGAGCGGCGAAAGACCCAGAACGGCGGCCTGCTAGTATCGAGGAACTCAGTCTGTCTCTGGCAAGCCTCAGTACCGCTGGTGGAGAACCGCCCACCAACCTGCAATTGCGAGAGAAACTGCTCGGGACAATATGGCACACGACTGGCTTTCCAAAGGAGGCCCAGACCATCATCAACCACACCATGCTATACCGGGCGATCGACAAGTACTCGTTTGACTACACGCACAACCGCGAGGTCGTCTCTGACGACCCTTGGCTCAGAGACCTCTGGGACTGGGTTGCGGGGGCAGATGAAGCGGCCTATGATGGCGGAATGATGTACCAAGGCATGGATCTAAGTTTTGTCGGAGTGTCCAGCATCTGGTTCCACGACCTAGGTAAGTCTCATTTACCTGCATCCATATATCCTGTAGAGCATTGCTGATGCCAGCAATCCCAGGCCGATGTGGCCATTATCGCCTCACGTCGGGCGGGCCCATGCCAGACGACACGACGTGGAGTCGGTGCCTGCAATCGATCAACAAACGGAGCGGTGCACTTGCGTATGACGGCTGTGAGACTTCGCGATCAGCACACAGGGCCGCTGCCATGCACATGTGTGGCTGGGGTTGGTCCGCCCACGGAGCTTTCTCAGACTATGCGAAAATGCCCGAGTCTGAGCGGACTTCGTCTTGGCACACGATGGCCACGGCTCATGCACTCTTCACAGGAGACTCAAAGAAGGCCATTCAGCACCTGAAAGATGCAAGTGCAGAGTATCCGGAGCTCCTATTTGTCTCACTGGCCCTCCAACTCATTGGCAGAGGCGACGTTGATCTTGCCAAGGAACAGCTGGACTTCGACCAGGCCGCGGCGTCCCGAACGGATCCGTACCTGCGTGCCATCTCTTCTCTGATTGCCACCAACGACTGGGAGCTCATTGCTGACCAGGAGTCTCTTCCTCTCCGCGAGCGGACGTACATTGCTCTTCGCAATTTCGACGATGAGAAGCTGTCGCAGTGGCTGCGAGTCCAGGTGGCTAAAGCCAAAGAGACTGGAGATATCCAGGGCATTCTCCTTACAGGCATTACAGACGACCTGGTCGACATTATGGCGACATATGTTGAAAAGTACAACGACGTACAGACGGCGACGCTTGTCTTGTCCATTTGCTCACCCCGGTACATAGACGACTACCGCTGCACTGCCTGGCGCAACGCGTACCGTGCCTATCTGCAACGCCACAAGGCGTACTTCCAGCGCACGAAGTTCGAGGTTGAGAGCACCAAGAAGAGCAAGAGAGGCGGCTTGCCCACCATCAAGTCTCCGTCCCGCCAGATTGCGCTGCGCTGCGTGTACTGCGATGCCGAGTATGAGCTGTCCAAGATGGGGTCGGTGCCGGTATCGGCCGGCAACGACAACAAGCATTCTCTGGCGTGGGCGAGCATCAACGCGGGCGTGAGCTGTCCCAACTGCGGCCGGCATCTCCCTCGCTGCGTCGTGTGCCTGGAGGTTGTAGGTGTCCCTCGATCAGACAAGCCCGAGGCTTCCCCTGACCCCGAGGTCCGAGCCGCGGCGAGATTCCCAACCTTTTGCTTACAATGCGACCACGTGTTACACTTGGACCATGCCCGGCAGTGGTTCGCGAGGCATGTCGAGTGCCCAGTGCCCGAGTGCCGGTGCCGGTGCAACTTTCGTGCGAATCCGGAATTGAACTACAAGTAGAGTGAGGCAAGGCGCATGTTTGTGACGGGCTCGCACATGTCAAGCGTATGTGCCCTCAGCCACGGGGCGAAATGGCGCCAATAGAGGCCACAAAGAGCTTGGGGGGTGTCCAGGAAAGTGCTCCGAAGCGTCCATTCTCTCAGGAACGGACATGAACAAGGAGCTTCCAATCGACAAGTATCAGCCGGGCACCTTGTGCATTGTGCTCCAGATGTGTCGTTGAATAACTAGATGCTGGGTGCACGAGACTATCTCAGTGAGCCAGCCAGCCAGGGCGGCATCGTGTTGCGCAGCACAGTACACTGACTGCACGGGCACGATGCATGCTCGAGAGAACCGTGTAAGACACGGCTGCGTATGCGAGGGCTGCTTTGTGTCAAGAAGTGCCGGACCGAGAGTGTCGTGAGGGGTCTGGTCACATGAGTTGTCAGGCCGTACATGCCGGCCCATGCTCAGGCGGAGATGAGGGGTCCGACTGCAGCAAGCTGGATGACAGCTGCACACCACATCCCTTCAAGGCAGCTCTCTCTCGGTGAGCTCCAGTCTGTGCTGTCATCCTTCACTTCTCCTTCCTTTCCCCTCATTCCATCCTAAACTCACCTGCCTACCTGCCTGCCTGACGCCTGGGCACGAGGAAACCACGTCGTTAGCAAACGACCTTATCGATGCTCATTACTGCCACAGCCAATCTCTCCCCATCTGTCGTGTGTCAGAATCATAAGCTCTAGCTCATGCAAGCCACCTTCTCGCCTTTCTTCTGGCTGAGAGCTTACTTTGTCAGCGCTCTATCTGCGTGATACTGTGGTCAAGCTGGTGACTTTCGAAGAACAACGGCCCTCTTCGATCGCTGGTTCCTGGAGGCTTAATTCTTGCCGTCAACTTCCTGGTCTCCGTTCGGGAAGTTCATGCCTCTTATCTCGAGTATACATCCTCGTCCTTTTCCATAAACAAAACTGGCTGGCAGTACCCAGTCTTGAGGCATCGAAATACACGACGATCTGCCCCTAAGCACAAACCGCCATGGCGACCTCACGAAGCCCTCGTACCAGCCGAGGTCATATCTACCACCACGACATCGCCTCACCATTGACATACTTGACCCCTCTACCAACAAGCAACGCTGGGATGAGCAAGCATCCACCCGCCAGCCAGATCGGTAACATCCCTCACAACGATGTTGTCCGGGCAGCAGGTCGACCCAGCCGCGCCGGGTCTTCAATGCTGAGCATCGAGGACATGCACAAGTGCTACGTCAGCAACAAGGCCGAGCTGACCAAGCACATCAGCACCGCGGCGGGTGCGGTCGAGCAGCTCTTTGGTGATGATGGCTGGTTTGTGAGGTGGTACGAGATGCCAGTGCAGAGGGCCGGCAGCGTATCCAGCAGGAATATAAAGACCACGGTTCAGAAGTCCGGGCCACCTGGAACGATCGATCTGATCAAGATGCGGAACGATATCTCATGCCACGATATGCACAATCTGGTCGAACACGTCGATATCCCTACGAACATGACGTCCTGGGCCGTCAAGAGAATCGTTTCCCGCTTTGATGAGCAGCAGCGGCTCTTTAGCTGGGTCATCGGCCCTCAGGAACAGCCTCTTCTAGAGACCATGCTGCGGGGCGCACAGCTTTGGTGCGAAGAGCTCGCGCCCACATTATCTGTCGACCTTCACTATCGTGACGATCTCTTCTCCGAAATGAAACATCCCGCCCCAAGCTCGGCGATGCCGCCAGCGAGGATAGAGGATAGCGATACATTGCCTGTGCCAGAGAGATTCTCCTGGGACCTACAATCGGATAGGTCGACACCTCGGTCCGAGGTTCTGAGAAACGCCGATACCTTGTGGTCCAACCGCAGACAAGCCCATGTTCAGAGGCTCAAAGGCGTGCCAGAGTCGACTTTTCATCATTTCCAGCCCTCAAATTACTCGCAGGCGGCAATGGGTCCCTTGTTCCAAACTGGCGGCGATCGGAATCAGCCAGAACAGGTTTCGGAAGCCATGCCTGACAAGGATGGGGCGGGTGTGTTGGATTTTGAAACGGCCGTAGGGGTCTTCGAGAAGCTCAATGTCAATGACGCGGATCCAAATCGTGTCGAGAGACTCCGAACTCTTCCGGATGGCACAAAACTATACCTTTTGGTAGACCGAACCGAAGTGGAAGAATGGGTGCGCACGTGGGCATACGAGGCGGAGCCGGGGTCGGCAAATGTCGAGCACTGGACGAATATATACTCCAAGCTGATTGAGCTGCTGCCACCCAATCAGTTCAAAATGTTTGCAGCGCGAAATTCCACGTCAGGCTCTTCCGGACAGAAGCAAGATCACAGGGCAGGAGAGATGATTGGCGTCGGCTATGTCCACCTTTACTCCGGGGTGGCATCCATCCACTGCATCACGGTGCTGCCTCAGCACCGCACCAAGGGTCTGGGATCCGCCCTCACGCGCTACGCAATGGGCATCGGCAAGGACATGGGCCTTCACATGGCCATGCTCACTGCGTCGACGTCATCACCTTCGTATGGAGGAAAAGCTGCATTGTTTAGCCAGCTCGGATTCAAGGAGTTCGGGAGGGTCAAGATGTACGTGTACCGGCCGCTGCGTTTGCCGGACACGGCAATGCTGGCTTCAGACAAGATTCGCGAGGCAGAGAACGAGGGTTGGGAATGGGTTGATGATGATGAGGACGAGGATAGTGATTGATGGTCTGATTGCCTGGCTCAACCAAGAAGGATCTCACGGCATGTGCTTGGTGACTTGAAAACAATCGTTTCTGACATTCTCGCAATCCATCACGCTGCGGCGAGGGACAAATTGTTGTTCTTAAAAAAAGAAAACGCAAAAAGGCTCGGAGCGCAAACCAAAGAAACGTTCAGGCAGAAAATCACTGGTGTGAGTGCCAGCGCGAGCATAAGTTATTCAGTGAGCTTTGACGGATACGATATCTCCCTTCCAACATGCCACTCACTTGTTCTACGCATGATCAACGTGACATCTGCTTGGGACTTTCTTCATGAACTTCATCATGGTATCAGAAAAAGGGGCGGGGGGGGTATCATTGAAATTGACCATGATTCTCAAACTCAAGGGAACAGCTGATCAGCGGCAAGACCTGTCTTTGCCCAGGCCACGTGCAAGTCTCTATCAAGTCCTCGCGTTAAAATCAGAACACCATGCTTTGCTCTCCTGATATACATGGCAAGCGAGCACGTGCCCGAAGCTAGAAATCTTACAGCACCATTTTCCACAGCGGCACTGCATCTCTACCCGTCGCCGAGGGTGTGGCAATGACGTCGTACGCAGAGCCGACAGCACCCTCATCGCCATGATAATGAGAGCCAGAGCCAGACCCGCGAAGATCCCGGTTCACCCGCAGGATCCAGTCATTCTCGGCCTGCAGCGCGTCGCGCTCAATCGCCTCCATGAGCGTCAGCTCCGCGAGCATGTCGTTGACGAGGGTTTCGCAGTCCGCGAGGATCCTCTCGAGGCTGGATAGAGTTTGCTGCTGCCGCTGCTCCGGCTGTTGCTGTTGCGATTGCGACTGCTGCCGTGCATGATGCTGGGACTGTGTTCTGGAATGCTGCTTCGATGGCTCGCCTGCGCCGCGCTGGGGACGAGCAGCAGTAGCAGCAGCAGGTCTGCCGTTCTCCTCCCGTGTCCCCAGCGACGCATCAGCGGGAGAAGCAGCAGCGGAAAGGAGGGGCACCCGTCCCAGGTCCCTCAGCATCCTCCGCCACGACTGCAGCTTCCTCACCAGCCCAGGACAGTCGCTCTTCCAGCCACTGGTGTCCAGCTCGCTGACAAAGAGAACCTCGTCGCTGTCGTCGAGCAGGTCCTCGGCCGCGCCTTTTCTCTGCGCAGCCAGGATGTCAGCGACCTGCTCTGCCCAGTCCTCAAACTCGCGCGTCAGGCGAGCGTACTGCTCTCCGCCACTGAGCGACCAGATCCCGCCCAGGACCTGGTCCAGGGTCTGGATCTTGTCCTCGAGGGCCATCGCCTGCCCTCCGAGTCTCTCGCCATCGGCATCAGCATCGGCATCGGCGTCACACCACCGCAGCAGAGCCGCGATGTTATGCCCCTCGGCCTCCCTCTGCTCGAGCTGCGTGAGCTGCCGGCTCTCCCGCGCGACGTCCTCGAACCGCGCGCCGAGCTTCGACCGCGCGCTGGCAGACCACTCGGCGCTCACGGCCGCGGCGTCGCGGTGCATCAGGGACAGCTGCAGCAGCTCGGTCTGGAGGCGGCTCGTCTCGGCCGAGATTGCGACGTTGGCGGGCAGCTTTGACGGCGAGGGAGGGGCGAGGAACGTGGCTGTCAGCGGTTTGGGGGCGTGCGACTTCAACGGGCTGTAGTGCTGTTGGTTTGTGTTGAATGCCGGTCTTTGCTGCTGCTGCTGCTGGGCTGCGCTTGCGGTCGTCGATGATGGTAAGGGTGGTGGCGGCATGGAAGAAGACGATGCTGCTGCTCCTCCCGGTGCTGAGGATGCCGACGTGCTTTGCGCGCTGCCGGTCGTCGCCCTGCCGAGATCTCTACTCGCGCTGGCATGATGCCCTCGGCCTGTCGTCGTCGTCCTCGAAGCCGACGGCCCTGTTCTCGACGCTGTCGTCGGTCCCGGGCCCGCCGCCGCTGCTGCCGGGCGCAGTGTCGTTGCCGAAGTCAATGTCGTCACTGTAGACTTTGCCCTGGCGTGACCCATACCTGCGCGACCAGCACCTCCACTCGCGGTCTTCGAACTCGTCCCGGTCGCCGACCTCGGCCGGGTGGTTGTCCCCGTCGCCGCCGTCGTTGTTGTCGTCCCAGAAGCGGCGATTGTAGCACTGTTACTCAGCGGCGGATACCGCGTCGACGGTGCCCTGCCCAGCCCTCTCGCACTCGCGCCTGTTGTCCCCGATGCCCCCGGCGCACTCGTGCCCGTGCCCGTCGTCGTCGTCGATCGTGTGCGTCCACTCGCCGGTGCCGGCCCCGTCCCCGAGGCCGTCGCAGAGGCAAGCGCCCTCGTGGCTGATCTCGCCGACGCCGCCCCAACCCCCGGCCCTGCTCCTGTGGTCGCTGCTATGCTGCTCGTAGACAAGCCCGATCGATGAGTGGGATGCTTCATGGGCAGTCTGCTCGGCGAGGCCGACCCTGCCCCCACTCCCGCTGCTTGTGCAGCAGTAGATGCTCCAGTGCTGCCACTACCATTCGTCGTGCCCGGGTTGCTCCCCGTCGTCGTCGAGAGGCCAGCTGGCCGACGCAGCGAGCGCGTGCGGCCCAGGCCGCTTGGGTTTGAGGACGACATTTTTGCTGCTCCCCAAAACAGAACCCTTCACGTTGTTAAGCTGCCCGCCTGCCTCGCTTGTCTGATGTTCCTTTGGATACAAATCGGGGCTTTTGCGTTGTGAAGTAAGTAAGCCGCAGTTGCTTCCAAGCGGTGTGTCGCGATTTGGAAAGTAGGGTTCCGCCGTGTTCCCCGGGGGGTCCTATCTTCCAATGGACGTGCGTATGCCCCCCTTTTGCGGTGAGCAAGAGATCCCCAGGGTCAATTAAGTCAGGTGGTGAAATGGGAGTTTGGTGGTGGTAATAGTCGGGGGAAGAAGGATGACGTTTGGGTGGTGTGTGTATTGCTGGTGTGGTTAAGCTCATGTGATTGGACGCCGGCACCGGGATTGTAAACAACAAAATGGCGAAAGCTTAAGCCTCCTGTTTGTCCCTGCAGATCCAGGCGCCGTTTCAACCAACGGACCGCCCCCCCCCACACCAAGTACGTAGTTAGCGTGCTGAAAGGCAATAAATCACCACCATGCTTGCTGAACCTCATCAGCTTCACAGTCCACACACAGAGGTTTCTCATGAATCCTGGCTTTCGCTGCAGTCTCTCAAGTCTGTCCCGAGCACGTGGGTACACACTGCGCATAACCAAGGCCCGGACAACATCCAGTCGGAGGCATGTCATTCTCTTGGCATTTTTCTTCAATCTGTGCTGGAACTCTAGCAAGAAACTTTTTCGTTGGTCCCATTAACATTTGGCATTCTGTAACACTGCCCTCGGATCCCATCTCAACTATATTCACTGCCCTCCTGACAGCTGCCGAATCCAGCCGACCTCGCTTCCCTTTCATCCTTGTTTTGGTGCAGCGTTCAATGCAGGAAAATGCAATAGTTCTCGATTACAAAAATGGAATAGATGTCGTGTGTATGCAAAGTGCTGGTGGTATCGGTCGTGAACAAAGAAAAGATAAATAAAAGCCTGGATGCCCTTTCCATGTATTGTGCCACCCCGTCGTTCCCCCAACCAGTCGTCATATTTAGCATGATGCGAATCATTATTCTCTTTTTTCGCCATTTCCGTTTTTGTACATGTAGTGTGTTTGTCCTCTGGACTTAAGAGCGCCTACGCAGAGGCCTGCTTGCCGAGCATGGCGCGCAAGTCTCGCTTCTCGGCGATGAGGCGCTCGTAACATTCGTAGCAGATCCGAACGTCGCATCCGCAGCAGACCATCCGTGGGTCTTTCTCCTTCTTGTGGCATGTCTGGCATTCGACCGAGTTGTGCTCGTTTTGCGAGGTGACCCAGTTCTCGTGTCGAAACCAGCAGTTGTAGTGGCGGTCCGTGATGGGCGGCGCCACACGGACATCTGTCGTCGGGGCCACAGGCTTTTCCAACTGCAGAGGGAACAGCTTCCGGATCGACTGGATCTTGGCCTGATCCTCCTCGGTCAGAGAAGCCTCTGCCTCACGCACTGGAAAGCTGTCTGCTCGCTCTTCGTGGAATTTACGGACAAGCGCATTCTTGCTGAGGCTGTCGGCAAGGTTGTATAGCTCACGACCGTCCAACGGCCTTGGTCCCTTTAGTGGCGGCCCTGTTGCTGTCCGAGGGCGTTGCCGAAAGGGGTTGATCATGGGCGAAGGTGCGAACGGCGGCAGAGTATCGTTGGTCGCGCCTCGTGGCCTTGATCCCGATCTGAATCCAGCCGGAGGGGGTCCATTCAAGTTCTGCGCACTGGCGACTGGTCGCAATCCCCGGCCTCGCGGTGGCCCTATGCTGCTTGCCATGCTCGTATTCGTGCCAGCACGGGGACGAGCTCCAGGGAAATCTCCCCTGCTATCCATCGGGCGCCTGTCTTGAGACAGGCTGCGTGACTCGGATGTACTGACAGAGGGCGGCTGGCTTTGCGAGATGGATGTTTGCAAGGTTGTCAGTGACGCTGTTGAACTTGACGTCGTCATCTTCGCCGGCTCCTGCTGTTGCTGCTGTGGTAGTATCACGTTCAAGCCGCCCATTTGGCTGTCTTGGGAGATATGCGGCATCAGATCCCCAGTTGACGACTTCTCAATTGTTGGCAAAGAGATCGAAGGCGCTTCTGACTTGTCCGATTGCTGTTTGCCTTGTGACGGCTGCTGCGGCAGGCCGGGGACAGGCTTCGTGATAGACATGGTAGGGATGACCGGTAGATCCTTGAGAGTCGGTGTGCTGACATTTTTGCCATCATCGGCGAGATATGCGGTACTGGCCGTTGACTTGGCGGCAAGCGAGCTCGCGTCGGTCGACGACGTGCGCTTGTGCACGAACGCCTTGAACTTGTCCTTGATCTTGCCCATTTCCTCGGCGACAGGTGAGATTACGGGTTCGCTGCTCTTCACAGGCGCAGGCGACGGTGCTACACGAGGCGATTTCTCAAACGGAAGAGGCGACCGGCGTTTATCCCCCGGTCGCAGTCCAACTCCTGGAACTCTCGGAAGCTGCTTCACCTCCAACTGCCGTCCGGCCGAGGGCGTGGGCGTTGGTACGCTGGCGGACGGTTTTGCTGGGCCAGGCGTCAGAGCTAGAGGGTGCTTGGCTGCTGTCGGCTCGTCCTTCAATTGTACTGCTGGCGGCGAACCGACTGGTTTTCTCCCGAGCTTGACTGTTTCCGGTTTCTTCACCGGTGCTTCACTGACGGCAGTCTTGGGTGTGGTGTTGAAAGACTCGCCTAAGGGTGGAGTGGGGAAGCTGTAAGTGGACAGGATATCGCCCAAGACGGAGCCAGGAATTGAGGCGGCATCAGAGATGCGTGGTTCTGCCTCAAGGGTTGGCGCATTGTTTTGTTTTGGCGGCGGCGGTGGTGGTGGTTGCTGTTTGTTGCTGTTTTGTTTCGCCGAGAAATCTGACTGGCTCGTTTGTGAAGCCAGGCTTCCGCCGAAAGTCCTGAATGGCAAGGTATTCGCCGTGCTTCCCGCGGGCTCAGCACCACGACCCTGTATAACCGGCGGTAGCGCCTTCTCATCCACAGATGCGTTCCCGCGCGGCGCCTGTATACCAGTTGCAGCAGTGCTTCCATGCGTCACAACCAACTTCAGATCAGCCACCGCAATGCTACGATCGGATCTGTTGGAGGACGCCCTGCGCCTCCATACTTCTCGTCGCTGCGGGGTTTCCTGTTTCACTGATGGAGGCGACGACATCAAGCCATTGCCGCCACTGGGGTTGGGCCGGTGCTGCGACGCCTGTGGTGGTGTTCGAGGTCTGCCGCTCTCTGGCAATGTCTGCTGCCGAGCTTTATCCTCCCCAAAGCCATGCCTCGTGGCGTTTGCATCATCCTGTAGCGACCGCAGCGCCATATCTCTCCCAGCCTGGACCGATGGTCTGCTCGGCTCACTGCTGCGGTCCTGGTCTGAGGCTGGTGACGGTTCGCTGTCTTTCGAGCCGTCGCTCGTATGCGATGATCGGTTCACCGAGTCGGTTGAGCTATTGGAATACGCCGAGAGGAGGCTCGATATCGAGGAAACGCGCTTCATCTCTCGCGGAGTCGGCTTTACGCTGGCCTCGGGGACCGGCTTGCGGACCGGTTTTCTCTTGATCGCACTAGGGGCCGGCGAAGGGAGCTGCGAGGCGTCGGTCGCAAACGGCGCAGAAGGAGGTAATTGGGGAACCGGCGAAACGAAAGATCTGGCTCCAAGGCTCGAAGCCAAGCCGGGCGCGGCGCTCATGGTAGCCATGCCGAGGCCCTGTTTCCTCTGGGGATAGGGTAGTACTGGCAACTGTGGGAATGGGACGGTGTCGTCTGAAGTGCCGGCGTTGTTCAAGCCTGGAGGCGGCGCGGGCAGAGCCTTTGAGAAGCGGGAGCGTCCCGTCTTCGGGGCGGCCAGGAGGCCGCTCGTCGAATCCATGATGTAATTATGTATTTCGAGTATGATGGGTACTTCTGGGTCTGGTGGGAGGCTGTCAAACAGCCAGTGTCGCAAAGGCCTATCGCATAAAGAGCGTGCGGAGCGTCGTCATGTCGTTCAAACGTGGTGTGGAGTGGGCACAGAGGAGGATGCAGCGAGGCCTGGATTCATAACTTGGACCGATGTTTGAGAATGAGATGGGACGAAACTGGGCGAGCGTGTTTATTTTTGCTCGTCGCCTCTGGGATCAGCAGCGTCGCCCGTGCCCAGCCAGCGTCAGCTCCCAAAGAGGGGCGAGCTTGAAATGATGCCGCCTCGTAGGCAGCCGAGAGCCAGGAGTTAATGCAGGTACGCGGCCTCGTTGGCCAGTAGCGTCGGGTGAACCCTGTCCCTCGCGTTCCGCTGGTCCCGACCGGCGCCCTCTTCCAGGGGTGGCGCAGAGGCGGATCGTTCCAAGTTGTGCGGCAGGCTGCCAACGTCGCTCTTAGGCCTGCGACTAAGGGGGTCGAGGACAATAAGATGGCCCCAGTGTGGCCGTCCACTAGTCGCCACCACACCCCAGTGCCCGAGGAATCTCTTTTTGGAGCACGCCTCTCTGTGTGCGTTCTCGTGGGATCCTCACAGGAGCGAGCGCGGTCAAGCTGTATATCCCTGCCTCGTCCTTTTGGTGTTCGAGAGGTGTTCGATCCCGATGGGGCAGAGGGTGCTCAGCGTCCGACGAGATGGGCCAGCATCCCTGCAGCAATCCATGTCGGTGCTGAGGATGCTCTGAAGCTGCATGACCAGCAACACACCAGTGCAGGGGGGTTTTCCCAGGGCACGTTGCGTCAAAGAGCCGAAATGGGGCCTGCCTTTGCTGGCGGCATAGCGCCACCCGTCACGGAACAAGCGGGCTCCCGCAGGTTGTAGGCAGGCGTCCTCTTGAGCATCGTGGTCGCAGAAGTTCCCCCCCTGCGGCGGTCAAGTTAGTACCCACGCGCTGAAACACCTGCCATCCCAGCCCACCCGCACGGCAGCGCCGCATCTGTGACGCATAGCATTCCAGCCGGATGCGACCCATGCCGCGCATGCTGGGACTCGCGCTGCGCCCGTCGAGTCGACACCGGCAGTAGTCCCGATTTTTATCATGGGATTCTGACTCGCTGGTCAGTGTCGCCCTGCATGCTGTACAGAATAACTCATCAGAAAAACGCAACAGTCACGCGCATTCTGCTTCATCACCAAAGACCGTTGGTGCAGAACCGTGTCACATCCTCATAGTGAGACATTCCCCCCTGAACACCACTCCTAGGGGGGCTCACAGACCAAATTCCCCGCGGAGAGACCCTCAGTGGTTCTCAAAGAGGAGGAACAGACCTGCATACTGTCATCCTATACTAGCGGCTCTTTCCATGATCCTGCAATCATTCTTTGTCTCTCGTCAATTTGTCATCTACCATTTTCGGCAGCTGCCAGAATGCATGTTCATGTCCGCGCGCGAGTTGTTTCAACATGCGGAACGAGCAGGCGGAAGGGAATGCCCAGCAAAAGCTCCGGGCGGATGCTCTTTTGTCGCAGATATACTCCTATGATTTGTTTTTTTTCAATGCCTACGCGGCATGTAATTTTGACCTCGCGAGTTCACGATGCCGTACTTGGTTAGGGCCACATGGGACGTTTCCCATGAAGCTAGCGCCACCAGATGGGCCGCCCCTGTTCACCAAGGAAGACGGGCAGGGGATCGACGACATTGTGTTCCGTCGGAGAAAAGTGTCAAAAACCGCCCATGTTCAGCATGACTGTTAATAATACGTCTGGCCTACTTCTGCGCTTCCCAGAATCCACATTCCCGTGTAGCAGCGCAATCAGGCGACGAAGTAGGCATGCTCGTTTTTCATTGTGTAATCGCTCCTGCGTACAAAACAGCCGGACTTGAATCATCTACATCTAACAGGGGAATCTCAACGAGTGTCTTTGCAGACCTTGATAAGGGCCAATCGGCCCTCTCAATCCTCGCGTCGTCTTTTGGGAACGATGCCATAGGTCAGATCATCACCAGCATCTTCAGCGGTCTATCCGCCCTACGCCACAGATTGCTCGGACTGGCCAAGACGAAGAAACGTGCTCTCTCCAAGGCTTCCGACTATATAATGATAAGAGTATCCCAGCTGAGTTCGGCGTCTGCATAGTGCGCCGCCCATCAAGTTGGGGCGGTTGTCGGTTCCAAACTGCTCCAGCGCAGATGGAGTTTCGATGATTCCGTTTACAAGAAACCGCGACGGGGGAAGCTGACGCCGTCCACGGCGGCATTATCGACGAACCAGCTGCACCGGTCGCCGGTGGCCTCGTTGACCAAGGCGCACGGCAGACCATTGCCCTCCTCAAAGATCTCCTTCATGATTTCCTTCTTGCTCCCACCAGTGGCCACAAAGGCGACCTTGACGGCGTGTGTGACGACAGGCAGAGTCAGGGTGATGCGCCTGGGCGGCGGCTTGGGCGAATCCTCGATTGGGGCAACCCAGGCTTCCGTCTCTCTAAGCAGAGGATGGCCGGGGAAGAGACTGCATGTGTGGCCGTCCGGGCCGGAGCCGAGAAGGAGAAGATCAAAGATGGGCAACCGGACGGAATCCCGACCCGCAAAAGACTTGACCAGGGTCTGCTCGTACTGGTCGGCGAGCTCCTGGGTGTCGTCGAGGTGCGCGGTGTCGATGGGGTGGACGGTGGGTTGGCCGAGCTCGGCGGGGATCTTGTCGAGGAGGTCCTTCTTCAGTAGACCGTAGTTGCTGTCCTCGTGGTCAAGTGGCACAGCGCGTTCGTCGCAGAAGAAGATCTCCCACTTGTCAAACTTTGGCTTGTCCTCGTCAGACTTTGGGGTGGCCAGGAGAGCTTGCGCGAGGGTCTTTGGCAGCGAACCGCCAGAGACACCAATCTTGAAGACGCCGTGACGGGTGAGGCCCTCGTTCTGAGCCTCAATAAGGTACGTGCGAAGGGCCGGCGCCAGAGCGTCGACCGTGGGGAAGGCGAACAAGTTGGGTTGCTTGCCTGGCATGGTGAGTGCTTGTTGCTTGTCGTGAATGTGGAAGGAGAGTCGCCGATGGACGAGAGGAGGGAAGTAGGTAGGAACAAAGCTTTTGGGGGGGCTGAGGCGGGTCAGAGAAGAATAGGGTAGAGTCCTGTGGCAGTTGAGAGACAAGTTGAATGAGTAAAGGCGGCGGGGTCTGGCTCTGGACAGGTAGAGAGCTTTCTAGCTCTGGAGGCGTCTTGAGCTATCTCGTCACTGCGGTGCAGTCATGAATTATTCTGGAGCTCGGTGGGGGGGCCTTCCCTGCCTGCCGCGGGGCTATTTCTGGAGCCAAAGCGCTGTCGGAGGATGGACCCGGCCGCATGCCCAGCGTTCCGTGCTTCTAAGGGTATCCATTCCCAAGTCCCAGGCCCAACAAGAATAGCCAGGCTTTCCTCAGGCCGAGCATTCTCTTACAAGCTATGGCTCGGGTTGAGCCGAGGACGGACTGGGCGAAAAACAGGCGTGTCGTCGTGGTTTCTGTGAGCGCGAGCACGAGCACGAGCCCAGGACAATACAATCCGTGCGTGCGTGTGACGTGCCCGCACCACATTCTCGCGCCTGTGCATGTGAAAGCAGGCCACTCCCTTACGGCATCGTCGACGCATGAAGGGGAGGGGGTCTTCCGTCCCGCGCAAGCGCTGAGTGGCGCTGGAGGGACGCCGTGGCTCTGGGATGCCATGCCACAGAGCGAGAGCTTTACCACAACTCCCCGTCCCCACTTGGAGGTGGTGGATGGATGGATGGCATTACATCACCCTTCTCTCACGACAGCCAGCGTGGCTGCTCAAAGCCAACCACATCAACGGCCATCGACTGCTCATCATTGCCGATCGCCCCAAATAGGGCAAGGTGGGACAACGGAAGAATAAAGTCTCAGATCCCGCACAAAGCACGTTCTGCCTGGAACGCGGGCGCACCCTGCCTGCCTTATCATCTGCACTCGCTGCGTCAATCAATTATGGTTCGCATGCGCGCATGATCCGAGAGCTGCATTGCCCTTCGATAACGGCGCACTGCAAGCGGCGACCTGCTGCTTCTGAGCACCCGTTTTGATTCTCATGTCCACAACAAGCCTGCACTGATGTTTGTTGAAGCCACATCGCAGTCTCCCAACGGACAGGGCTCTCTCTGTGATTGCAACTGGCCATGGTGGTGTTGCTGAGTGAAGTCCGGTGCTGTTCTGTTGAACGCATCAAACGGGTCCTGGGCCGGCGCCGGGCGTATCCGGCCCACCCTCCCGGCTGACCCTTTCTGGCACATTCGAGCCCGCCGTCAATCCGGGTCATCCAGGGACCTCCACTGTCAGATTGTGACGTTTCTTGACACATTTCACCATTCAAGCCGTTCTACTTCTAGAACTCTCTGCATAGCATATTAGCCTCCAGTCCTGCAGTACAGCGCCCACCACCACTAGTCATGGGCTCCTCTCAACCCGCGTACTTGACGGGCAACTCTGCAGCCATCAACGAATTCATTGACAAGTTCGATGTCTTCCTGTTTGACTGTGATGGCGTGCTCTGGTCCGGCGACCACCTCTTTGAGGGCGTGCCCGAGACCCTCGAGCTGCTGAGATCACGAGGCAAGCGGGTCGTCTTTGTCACCAACAACTCGACAAAGTCCCGCGAGGATTACCAGAAGAAGCTCGACAAGATGGGCATCGCCAGCAGCGTCGAGGACATCTTTGCCTCCGCATACTCCTCGGCCATCTACATCTCGCGCATCATGAAGCTGCCCGCGCCCAAGAACAAGGTTTTTGTTCTGGGCGAGTCCGGCATCGAATCAGAGCTGCGGACAGAGAACGTGCCCTTCATCGGCGGCACCGACCCGGCCCTTCGGAGAGACATGACGCCCGAGGACTTTGCCGCCCTGGCCGACGGCTCGCTCATTGACCCTGACGTGGGTATCGTGCTTGCCGGCCTCGACTTCCACATCAACTACCTCAAGCTCTCCATAGCGTTCCAGTATCTCCAGCGCGGCGCCAAGTTCCTCGCCACCAATCTTGACAGCACGCTGCCCATGAGCCACACCTTCTTCCCCGGCGCCGGTTCCATCTCGGTCCCGCTGGTCAACATGACGGGCCAGACCCCGCTGGCTTTGGGCAAGCCGAGCCAGGCGATGATGGATGCCATCGAGGGCAAGTTTCAGCTCGACCGTGCCCGGACGTGCATGGTCGGCGACCGGCTCAACACCGATATACAGTTTGGCGTCGAGGGCAAGCTGGGCGGCACGCTGGCCGTGCTGACGGGCGTGAGCAAGAAGGCGGACTGGGAGGCGGCAGACGCACCGGCCGTACCAGCTTATTACGTGGATAAGCTGAGCGATTTGCGTGCTGCTGCTAAGCAGTAAATCTCTTTGGTAGAGGCTCCTGGGACCGTTCGATGCCATTTTTGGTCATCATAGAGATACCTAGGATCCCTGCTCTTACGACCAGGGGGCTAGGTTTCTTTCGTCATTGATAGATATAGACATCGCAGATCGAACATGCAAACCGTAGTAGTATACAAGTACATACCCGCTGAGAAAGAAGACACCTTGGGGAAATACCCGGAGCGGGAGAAAAATTACTGGTACTAACAGAAATCGCTCAGAACCCATCCTCTGGCTCTCTTGCATAGTCGAGACTCGATGTTGCAGTTGCAGGTGATAAAGTGCCTGCAGCATGCACCAATTTCCGTAGCCCCCCAGCGCGCCTCAAGACGCGACTTCAATTAAGACGCCAAAGTGGGCATAGAGAGAACCCCACCATGGTCTGATTCCCTCTTCACCCTGCTTTGACAAAATCACCATTCGTGGTCTCGCAGTGAAAGTATTGACTTGGGAGGATTCAATCTCGTTGCTTTGAGCTCAGCCGGCCATCAATTCTTCCGCAGGAAGTGAAATTCAGTGCTGCAGAACGCCTCGCACAGAGGTCGTGCCCCAGTCATTTTTGAGAAAGAACCTCAACCCCAATCTCGATCAAGGGTGCACACAACACGGCCGCTTCCAGAGTACAGGCATTGCTTCAGCTCTCAAGCTCTCACCCCCAACCAAGGTTTTCTGTTTCACCAAGCAACACACCTCCACATGTCCGCCGTGCAAGACGGTCCGTCGTCGGCACTCAGCCACCAATCATCCACGGCCATGCCTCCACCGATCGAGCTGACCCTTGTGGTCGCCGCCACGAGGCAGATGGGCATCGGCAAGGCCGGCACTCTGCCCTGGACGGGCCTGCGGAAGGAGATGGCATATTTCGCGAGGGTGACCAAGCGGGTCCCTGCTTCGGTGAGTCTGGATTTGTCTGATGTTTCGTGCCCGGGGGGGGGGGGGGGAGGGATGGTTGGGGGCTTCTCTATTGTTGGACTGAGGATTCGGAGGACGGGTTTGCATGTTCCAGGGCTTGATGTCGCTGCTTTCACTAGTTGCTGCTGGCACGCGAGCTGGAAGGAGCAGATTCTCCATTTTCCTCATCCTTTCCTTCTGAGACGCGGATGTAGCAATCATTAGCAATGCACGCTCAAAAGCTAACCAAAGCACCACGCAGAGTGACCCTTCAACAAAGACGCAAAACGTGTTGATAATGGGCCGCAAGACGTGGGACAGCATCCCGCCCAATTTCAGGCCGCTCAAGGACAGGCTCAATATCGTCATCAGCCGCTCGCACCCGGACCACCACCACCACCACGACGCAGACAGCGACGATGCATCCGAGACGACAGCAGCTTCGGTGGTCAAGCTGAGTTCTCTCGACGCCGTGCTGAGGTATCTCCAAGCACGTCAGGCGACCACCTCCTTCTCCTCCCCTGCTGCTGTCAAGGAAGGACAGAGTGGCATTCAAATGGGCAAGGTCTTTGTCATCGGCGGCGGGGAAATCTACGCGGCCGCCCTGAGACTGAAAGAGGCGCGAAGGGTGCTGCTCACGAGCGTGCAGAATGACTTTGAGTGCGACACGTTCTTCCCGCAGATCAGTGAGGAGACCGGGTGGGAGAAGCAGAGCAAAGAGGCGCTGGATGCTTGGACAGGCGAGGATGTGCCCGGAGGCGAGCAGGAGGAGAATGGAACGAGATATGAGTTCCAGATGTGGGAGCGGAAATGAGTCTGCCGCTTTGAGAATTCAAGCGCGTCTGTCCAAAGTGCGGTAATCCGATATCAGGGTGCTTGTAGTTTCAGCTCGAGGTGGGTCCTTGCAGTGCATTATTTCTTAGTGATACAGGTATTTTATTACAGGTCGACAATGATAGAGCTCGCTGCAGTAGTAACTTGTTTGCTGGTTTACTGTCCTGTCCCATACATGTCTCATGAACGTAGTGATACACAGGGTTCCCAAACCCTTTCCCCTCTCCATTACACAATTTCAGGTACAGTCTCAGCCTTGGCTTTCTGAGCCGGAGTCGCCGGCCCGAGCTCAACCTCCATCTGCTTGGTCGGCAGATCGACGACCTCGAACTCGCCATTGGCAGGTCTCTTCATGAGGGCCTGGACCGAGTGCGTGAAGAGGAAGTCATCGGGAGTGCCGTCGAGCTGCCTCAAGCACGCGCGCATCCAGCTCACAATGGCCGCGACGGCACGCACGTCCGCGTCGGGGCTGGCCTTGAACACGTTGCGCCACACGGCCGCCGCGAGCACCGCGTCGCCCTTGACCAGGCCCTCGTCGTACGCTGCGATGACGCCGCGCCACTGGATGAACAGGTCCTTGAGGTACTTCTGCCGCAGGCCGCGCGAGGTGATGCCGTGCTGCAGGTCCATGCGCTCCTCGGCGTCGAAAAAGTAGTGGTCCACGAGCTGCGCCTGCCACTGCTTGGCCGCTTCGGGCTCGAGGTTGCGCAGCCGCGCGAAGAGCAGGTACAAGTGCAGCATGGTGACCTGGGACCAGGTGCTGAATGTCGGCGGAAGTTGGAACTCTGAACATCGAACAGCAACAGTTCTGTCAGCCGGTGATCTCCCGATCGATTTATGGATAAATAGGTAAGGCAAGGCAGAAAAGAACCAAAAAAGAGAAAGAAAACTCACCCTTATGCCACATTCCCGATCCCGTCCCCAGGTCCTCCCCGTCCGCCGTCTTGGGGATTGTGTCGTTCTGCCGGTCCTCCTGCGAGATCTTGTAGTCGGCCTGCGTGGCGCACGCCTTGTATATGTTCTCCGTCGCCGAAATGACCCGGTACGGCTCCGTCTGTCGACTCATCATCTTGCCGATCGCATCGCGCAGACCTTGGCGCTGCGCTGTGCTGCTGAGCTGCCTCTGCTGTTGGGAGACCGGGGTCCGCGAGGGCGCAGAGGTGTGTCTACTAGTTGTTGAGCTCGTGCTGGTGCTCAGATAACGGCCAGCTTGCTGGCCGGCGATCATGGCCGAGGAGGGAGCAGCACCGGCTTGCCTGCTCAGCTGGGCGAGCTGCTGGCGGCAGCTTCGGCATGCCATTGCCATTGTGCTGGTGGATATTTATGCAATCTGACTCGCGTGGAAAGGCAGTGTCGTAAGGGGGGCGGCAGGGTAATCTGCTGACGGTTCTGTGGGTGTGCCTGGAAGTCTGGCGTTGAAGTAAGTCAATCCGGAATGTTCAAAGGTCGTCGCGTCATGACATGGTGGGAGCTTTAGCCGCAACGGCCAAAAATTTAAACGTACATCACTGCGGCGCACCAATGAGGGGCGCTTCCACTCAGTTAGCCTCTAGGACCCTGGGTCGGGAGCCTTCTGGGGATGTGTGGGGCTGAGCGCTCTCGGTCCGGTCAAGTTAATGTACCAGACGTCTTCATGGTTACTGGTCTTTCTTTGAGCTATATCTTGATATCTATATTACATGTCTATGTTCGTGATCTCGGCTTTCATGGCATAGGAGCTTAGATATGATATTTTACACAGTAAATCACGTTAAATCTCCTGGTGTGTTGCTGACGACTCCTACACCAGATCTCGTCCCAGTCTACCTCAGCTTGGAGAACACGAGGGAGGCATTGGTACCCCCAAAGCCAAAGCTATTTGACATGGCCACGCTGACCTGTTTCTCCTGGGCTTCAAGGGGGACGAGGTTGAATTTCGGCACAATATTAGGATCGTGCAAGTTCAACGTCGGAGGGACATGATTCTGCTCTTTGTCAATACTAATCAAATACACGTGTGGACAGAGTATAATTACTGACCTCGGATACTGCCAAAACAGTAAAGAGAGCTTCTATGGCCCCAGCTGCACCCAGAAGATGACCCAGTGCGCCCTTGGTGCTGCTAACCGTCACATCCTTCTCATTTGTGTACCCCTCGGGTCCAGACATGATCGATTGTATTGCAAGAGCCTCTGCGGCGTCACCTACAACGGTGGAAGTGGCGTGAGCATTGACATAATCAACCTGCCCAGGTTTGACTCGTGCGTGCTTCAGAGCTCGCCTCATTGCGAGGGCAGCCCCTGATCCGTCCTCTCGCGGTGCAGTCATGTGGTAAGCGTCGCCACTGCACCCGTACCCCGAAAGCTCCGCGTATATGCGGGCTCCTCGAGTCTTGGCATGTTCAAGCTCCTCGAGCACGAGCACTGCCGCGCCCTCTGCAACGACAAAACCATTTCGCTGGCTGTCGAACGGCCGGCAGCTCGAGGGAGGATCGCGGTTGAAAGCAGTAGAGAGGGACCTCGAACGGCCAAAGCCTGCCAGTGTTAAAGGGTGAATACAAGCCTCCGAACCGCCTGCAACCATGACGTCGGCATCTCCAAAGGCTATGAACCGCGAGGCGTCACCAACAGAATGGGCGCCAGTGGTGCATGCTGTGGTGGCTGCGTGGTTTGGTCCCTGAAAGCCGTACTTCATTGAGACGAGACCAGCAGCGAGGTTGATCAGAATCTTTGGTACAAATAGAGGTGTCACTTTTCGATAGCCCTGGCACGTGTGTTAACTCAGGGGCAGGCTCCGAGTCTGCGAAGAAGAGCGACCAGACTGCTTACGGATTCTTCAAAGGCCAGGGTAGTGTCGAAAAGCTCCTCGAGGTTGCCTATTCCACTCCCAATGCAGACACCAGTGGCCTCGAGATCGTGCTGCGAGGTGGGCTTCCACGCTGCGTCTTCCAAGGCCATTTCGGCAGCTGCGGAGGCATACTGGGAAAACAGCGACATGCGTCTTTGGTCCGTAGCTGTCAGCCAGTCGTTGGGATGCCACAGGCCATCATCTTTACCAGTGCCCGATTCCGCGGTTGTCTTTGGCACGACCCCGGCCACCGTGCTGGTGAGGCCCTTCCATCGCCGCTGTGGTTCATAATGGGCAACGCTGGTGATGCCCGACTCGGCCGCCAGCAGTCGCGTCCAGGTGTGCTTGACGCCAACGCCGAGTGGGGTGATGGCACCGAGACCAGTCACTACGACCCGTCGCATGACTCTGCCATAGCCGGGCTTGAATGACGGGTTTTATGGTGGTGAACAATTTGACGAGCTGCTCCAGTGCAGTGTGGAGTGGAGATGGCCCAGATGCCCCCGCTGAAACAAGACACCAGAGCTGCGGCAACAGCTCCGTGCAGCCACGGGCGCTAGGCCCGATCTGAAGCTACAGGGCACTTTAGCCCAGCCCCCAAGTGCCCCTGCGCAACCACCAAGGCGGGCTCAACTGGGAAGGACCCCTTGCGCAACAGCGTCTCGGGGATCAAGACACGATGCATCTCACCCTCACATTCCAAGGGCTGAGCACCTGCCACCTTCTCTGTCCATCTGCACTGGTCACGGCCACTCACCCCACTCCGGCCTAGGCTGCTCAATCAAAGAGATCAAGCGTCGGGACGATTTGGGCTGCTCAACCGTGTTCGACTTCAACAGCTAGGCCATTGGACACTAGGCCTGCTTCCAAATGGTGATCATCTCTTATCAGACATAGAGAACCCCGCACACCACAAGCCACTGGCCGCAGCTGCTACACGTCGTATAGAGGCATAGTACGAATGACCGCTTGGATTTCTGGGCGCCTCAAACTCTACAGAACCCGCGGTGGCAGGACCTCGGGACCGCAGAGATGGACAGACCTCGAGTGTCTCTGTCGGGGACGGACGTCAGGATGAGCTTCCAGGACAACGACTTATTGCAGAGACGGACCTCGGCTGAATCCACTGCTTCAGCTTCGGACGGCAGAAGCAAGCAGAATGGCAGCCATTGGGTCGATTCTAGCGCCCGCAACGACACGGGCTACGAAGAAGGTGAGGAGTTTGAGATGCTCCTGGACCCAGCAGGACCCCACGCCGAGGGCGCCGGCTCTGGAGCTGAGGACGAGGAGGACGGAGCGTCCTCGAAAAAGGAGATTGACGACTCACCGTACGAAGAGGTGCGCGCGGCCGTGAAGAATTTTGATCAAGACCTGCCCTGCAATACCGTCCGCGCCTGGACCATTGGTCTTACCCTCGTCGTCTTTGGTGCTTCCGCAAACACTCTCTTTAGCTTGAGGAGTCCGTCAATCGGCCTTGGGCCCCTCGTGGCGCAGATAATAGCTTGGCCAATCGGCCAGGCTTGGGAGCGGTGGATGCCAGTTCGTCAGATGAAGACTTTTGGCATGCGATGGGAGCTCAATCCAGGGTGAGTTACAACCATCTTGAGCAGAATACCGTGGTTTTTTTCTTCAGCTCCTATTTGGCGCCCCCCGTGGGTAAAGATTTGCTAACATATTCCACGCATAGACCCTTCAACCAGAAAGAGCTGGCCATCATAGTTGTTATGGCTGGTGTGTCGTTTTCCGTTGCGTATGCTACGGATATCATTCTGGCCCAGGTGGTGTTCTACAAGCAGGACTTTGGTATCGTATTCCAGCTCCTGCTGGTGATATCTACGCAGTCTCTGGGCTATGGCATTGCAGGATTAATGCGAAAGTTTCTTGGTAAGCAGCCGTAGCTCTGCATTGTGTTGAATATGACTGACCCTACTTCTATCCAGTATACCCTGCATCTATGATATGGCCCGGCACTCTAGTTGTTGTCAATCTGATCGAAGCCATGTTTGAGACGAACCATGCGCCCGATCCTTCCATTCTTGGTGGCAGCATGCCGCGATATAGATGGTTTGCACTCGTCACAGTCGCATCAGCAGTATACTATTTCATCCCGGGATATTTTGCCAAGTTCCTCAGTGTCTTTGCATTTCCGACATGGATAGCACCTCAGAATGCTGTGGTTAATCAACTATTTGGTGGCAATACCGGCCTCTCGATCTTACCAATCACTTTTGACTGGACTCAAGTTGCTGGCTATGTTGGCTCACCCTTGATTCCACCTTGGTATGTGCTAGACAACTCGAATCATACACGACATGCATTTAAAGCTAATGAGGAACCAGGAATGCCATCGCGAACACACTCATTGGCGTCGTGCTCTTTTTCGTCATTTCTAGTGGGTTCTTGCATTACACGGGAGCCTGGTATGCTCCGTATCTCCCAATGAGTGATTCCTCAACATACGACAACACTGGACACCGCTACAACACATCTCGGATCTTGACCCCCGACTTCACGCTTGACGAGGACGCTTATAAAGCATATTCTCCCTTGTTCATTAGGTAGGCTTGTGTCCTGCTCACACTTCAACGATTGTCGCTTATCAAAACCTCACAGCACCACATTTGCCATGTCCTATGGTCTTAGCTTCGCCGCCATATCTTCCCTGGTCGTATACACGTATCTGAACCATCGCAAGACAATCTGGGCGCAGTGGAGAAATAGTACGCACGAAAAGCCGGACATCCACATGCGCTTGATGAGCAAGTACAAGGAGGCTCCCGCCTCGTGGTACATGGGGTTGTTTGTTATTGTGAGTCGACCACTTTAGACAAGACTGGGTAGAAACATGGCTGACGTATCTATTCTAGTTTTTTGCTCTCGGCATGTTCTGTGTTCTTGCCTATCCGACGAACATGACTTGGTGGGCATTCATACTGGCGGTGCTCATTTCGACACTGTTCTCGCTGCCTATCGGCATTATACAGGCAGTCACCAATACCCAAATTGGGCTGAACGTCCTGACCGAGTTCGTGTACGGTTACATTCAGCCTGGACGCCCCTTGGCACTCATGATGTAAGTCTACGTCACTTTACTCCGAGGGTTCCAGTTGCTAACAATCAGCATGCAGTTTCAAAACGTTCGGCTTTATCACGATGTGAGTGTACCCAGAAGTCTGTCATTCCATTCGACCTGCTCCGGTTCTAATAAGCCTTGTTCCTTGAAATAGGTCACAAGCACTTAGCTTCGTCGAGGACCTCAAGTTCGGGCACTATATGAAGATCCCACCGAGGACCATGTTCATGGCTCAAGTCGTAGCCACGAGCTTCTCGTGCTTCATCCAAGTATTCGTCCTCAACTTTGCGCTCCACAACATCAAAGACATTTGTGAGATCACGCAGGAAGAGCGTTTCACGTGTCCGGGTGGACGCGTCTTCTTCTCTGGTGAGTCAACCTCACGGAGGAAACCTTTCATCCGCCATGCATACGACTAATGAGGTCACTTTGCTCAATAACAGCCTCCGTAATCTGGGGTCTCATCGGCCCCGCCCGCATCTTTTCGCCAGGCCAAGTCTACTCGGGCCTGTTCATTTTCTTCATCATCGGCGCGCTCGTCCCGCTCGCTATACATCTATACAACAAACGCAACCCGACCTCCCCATCTCGATTCCTCATTGCACCCCTGATCTTTGGCGGCGCCGGCGCCATACCACCTGCAACGCCGCTCAATTACCTGTCATGGGGAATGGTGGGCTTCATGTTCCAGTTCGTCATCAAGAAGCGGCACTTTGCCTGGTGGAGCAGGTTGAACTACCTAACAGCGTCTGCGCTGGACCTTGGTCTCGCGGCAGGGACTTTGGTCATGTTCTTTGCCTTCACAATGACGGAAATCGACCCGCCAAAATGGTGGGGGAACACCGTTGTGCAGGCAACGATGGACTATCAGGGAACTGCGGTGCAGATGAAGGTTGCCGAGGGGCAGACGTTTGGACCGGAGGTGTGGTGAAGCTCGAAAAGCTGTTTAGAAGGGCAGAGGCGTAGGAATAGCGATCTAGATAAGACTATTGATAGGGGAAGTGAATATTTTGGGAGGAAGCCGGATATGCTGAGAACACGACGCAGATCGGATGTGGAGTTTTGGACAGGCACACCAAGTAAACGAATCCTCGCTTGCTTTTGGATACGAAAGAATAGGGATCGAATGCGTCTGTGTCGCAACTTGATAAAGACTCTGTCTAGAAGTACTCTGAGCAAGTGGGAAAGCGTCTTACACATACATCAGGGCTCCAAGTCTCCTCTCAGCAATAGACGACGAGCCAAGCTGGTCTCTCCTGATCCTCATTTATGTAGCGACAGACATCTGGCATCAGGGAAATTTAGAACGCAATGGACCACAAAAAAATAGACAGCATCGACATGGAGTGCACAATCCCGGTTCGGCATATCCCGCGAAGCTCAGTTGAACGCACGTCTGGATATGCTGGTTCTCCTGCCTTCCCCACGTACACCCACCACGAAGACTGCACTTATCTAAGGGCCCAGGCTCTTGTCATATCTGTACAATTCTTGGTTTGTCGTTTGTACGCTGTTGGCACAGCTTGACGCGAAGCGAGCAAGGCCGCACTGGATCCTTGAGCGATCTGAACTTGATAATCAGCGTTGCCTTGGCCCACTTCAGATCGTATTGCCAGAAGCTTCAGACGGCGTGAAGCCTGATTCACTACTGTCTTGGTCATCGTCGAGCATGCTCTCATGATTGTCGTTGTCGTCCCGTCGCAGTGGTGCAAAACGATTCTCCGACTCTACCACTGGTCTGGTAACAGGTGGCGCTATGAAGTGTGGTGCTCGGGCCGGGCGGTCTGGCAGCTCAATCGGCTCTGCGCACTCATCCACGTCCCATCCAATGCTGGATCCCTTGTATTTTCTGTGTCATAGTCAGTTGAGGGTGGGACATGGTATTGGCGATCAAGAGGAAGCCACTTACACCCGAGACATCATGCAAGTTCTGGCAACAATCGCATTATGCACCGAATTCGTCTTGATGTAGCAGTTCCCATCGAAAAACTCGACACTGATTGCCACGAGGTTATGAATGTGCTCGAGATCGTCCCGTATGGAGGCATCGGTGTGGCGCGAATGGCATCGACGAATGACCAGGTTTCGGGTCGCGCCGCCACGAATCTGGTGGCCAGTGTGGCTGCCTAAGAGGTACTGACGATCAGCCCAGCGAGTGCCGACCTGGAACCTTTTGTTAGAGTTCTACTTCAGAAAGCCTGGGGCACACCGTGATGTGATTGAGGCTTACGTATTTATTGTTTATGAGCAACCCGAATCTTCTGACGTAGTCGAAAAACCCGGCAGCGTGGTTCTCGTACACGAATGACACAAAGGCACACCTTTCTGAGTTGCGGATGTGAACGCCGAGGATAGGGCCGCCACGGACCACGCGAGTGATGTCGGCGAGTGTGCTTGACTCTGGCAGACCAGTGATCATCAGTGTGCGCTGGGCTGTTTTCGGGATTTGGAGGCTTCCTTTGCTCTGTGCGCTTTGTGCCGGCATGCTTTCCACATGCACGGGTTGCTGTACCTCAGGAGCTGGATGCCGGTCGTTATCGTCACTGACGTCTGCCTCGCAGTCCTCCGACCAGTCTCGCACCGCGCTAGATGGCGCAGGTGGTCGATGGGCAACGGGGTCTTCATGGTGGGAATGGACCGCTAATGCCTGTTTCTCCGGATTGTCGAGCTGCGGGATCTGGGCTTGATGAATGGATTCTCGCCGAAAGCTAACCCCCTTGGAGGATTCTTGTCCCAATGTAATCGGCGGTTGCTGCTTCGAGAACTGGTCCGCCCGTGGAAGTGGACATGCCGTGGAGGCGGTGCTCTCACTCAAGAACTAACGAGTGTGAGCTCGCTTGATGTCCTGACTAGACATTTCTGACGACATTGTCGACCACATCCCTCAATCGTCTCTAGTGCAACGCCTCCCTCGATGAGATGACGCTGCAGGCAGGCTGTTTGTTTGTAAGCGGTCAGCCAGCGGGAGGAGTGTTCTGGAAATAAAACTACGCACCATAGCGGTCAGCAGTCACAAGGAGGTGGTTGTGTTCAGTCTTGGGAATGAAGACGCATTCAACACTTTGGCCGTTTGGCAACATAGAGCTCGTAAGTCCTTGGCTATGGTTCTGTGCACATTTCGGTGTAAGAAGCAAAGAATACGGTTTGTCTCGGCACCTTTAAGGGTGATAAACTGACAAGATTGGCCCTGAAGCACAGATAGAGGCGACGAGTCAGCGCTTCCTCGTCCGACAAACCAGTGACGGAGTGGTCTGCCACAAGTCTTGGCTCTCCGCTCGAGAAGAGCTTTACTGGGAGTTTCTAAGGCACAAGCGACGATTCAAGTCTCTTACCTGCGAATGAGGATGTCGAACGAACCGCGGTCGAGCGTGACCGTCGCGGATGATGGCGAAGGACCCGGGACGAACGGCGAGGCCGTGGGCTGGAAGGCGATAGATGCCATAATGATCGTCGAGAGTGGTGAAACTGGAAGTGAGAGTGTAGTGATGTCAAGTCATGTTGCTTGGGGGCGAGATGATCGCCTTGGACGCTCGATGTCCAGTTCAATGAGAGGCAAGCACGTCTTGCAACCATGGCGGCGCCATAACCACAGCAACCAGGGCAGCCATTGCAACGGACAACAGGCGGCCGTTTGCACGCCCAGCTGCGGCCTGATCAGGCCGCATTTCTTCGATTGGGACGAGGCATACTCCGAGGCAGGATGCTACATACAATATTGTCACAACGACACTATCCGCAAGAGGCATACAACTGTGTGCGAGCGAGCCAGCCTAGAATCAAAAAGGAGTTGTGACAGAATCGACATAGTCGCTGGGGTCGATACTCAACGAGCAAGTCACAAGACTGTCAAGGTTGTCCGTGCAGCTCGAGGGCTCTTCACCTCCACCAGCGTTGTCCATGTGGATGAGGAGGACGACCAGCTACGCCTCTAAGTCCAGCCAATCAAGCACAAACAGCGCAGCTTGTGATGTTGGCCGCAGAGCCTGGGCGCAGCCGTGGCATGACCCACGACGTGTGCGGTTGCAGGGAGCCTGATGAAGGTTCCTTAGACCTGACAAACAGATATTTGACTGGTCACTTTTTGCAAACATGAGACGTTCCCATACATCACCAGAGCCGATTATTCCAGTCTCCATGAGGTTTATGCGCCGCCTCATTCTTTGAGACAGATTCTCAGTTCCATTATGCGAAACAGACGAGAAGGCTGCATACCCGCCGTGCTCGCGTGAGCCTCGTGCAACGGGTGCCTGAAAGGACACAATAAAAACAGACCATGTGGCATCACGTAGCAGAGCTCAACTTGGTGCTCCGAGCTTTTGTCGGGCACATCTGTTCTGGAAAGGTATCACTTCAGCTGGGACTGCAAGCGAAAGCCTCCAGAAGAGGCGAAGGGCACCAATCTGCAGGTTAGGTTTTTGTGTCGAAACTCCGTGGCCCTGTTCTGGTAGGAAGCTGTTGCCATTGCTTGACAAAGTCTCGAATAGTGAGTTTCGCATTCCCTCATCCTGACAGTGCCTGGTGGGCTGGTCGCACAGACAACCACGAAGTTTATTTCAAGCAACCTGCACAGCTAGCGCATCCAAGCTGCGCTCCATGAGGCACTGCTCCTGGTTTCCCCGGCCCAAACCCAAATCAACACGGCAGCGAGCAAGTTTGTCCATTGTTTGCAACTCCGTGAGCAACCAGACAACCAGGGTTTGACAAGCATGGAACGACGTCAGCTGCCTTGCTTGTGAACGCAGATCAGACCAGGCCTCGCACCAGGCGGATCAGCACATGCATTGACGGCATCCAACGGAGTCAGGGGCCACGGCAGTGGGACCTGGCTGGCCTCGCCTGGAGGTTCAGGACGCGCTGCAGGCCACCACCTTCACCAACAACGGCCGGCGCTGCTGCAGACACGAAAGGCAAAAAGGGGCCCCCACCCGCAGGACAAGCGGGTAACACGCGCCCAGAGTTTACGAGGTTCTCGCCCGGCCATGGGTCATTTCAATGCAGCCGCTCAGATCCCCGGCCGCCGCCTTTCCCTCTTGGGCCACCCAGCGGGCCATCTCTCCTCGTGTTGGCGTCGGTGGGTGTGCACTGTGCCGCATTGTCACGGTTTCTCCAAGCGCACCCGCGGACCTCATTGTGCTCCTCTGCATACAGTGCAGTGACAGTGGGAAGTGCTCCTTGGAGGTCGTCAAGTCCACGCAGCTCTCTCCGTGCGTGTACTGTACGACCATCAACAAACAAACAAGACTTCTGGCTTGCATACAGTGTGATAAACAGTGCCTAGCATTCCCAACAGGGCCTGGGGGCTGCTGCAACCTCAGCTTGCTCAGGCACCTGCACTGCCATGGCATTGTGTGCACACGCCTTGGCTTTTCCTGTGGGTTGTCGTTGCATCCGCTCCTCCTTCCCAGGCCTTCCTCTTCTCTGTCGATCCACCCGTCACCACACCCTCGCTCATCGTCTCTCGCTGCCTTTTGCCTTCGACCTTCTGCTTCTCTTCTCTTGCGGCTTGGCCTCACGTCCTGCACGCCTTACTCCTTCGCTCTGTAATCGTCATTCGCTTGTTTACAGTCTCCATCTCCAGTCACGCACGCCCGCTGAAACAGCCCTGGCTCAGCCTGAACAATCCTCTCGCCTGCTCTACAAAACAATCCCGCGTCTTTGCTGCTCGCCATTCGCTTATAGCTCCGCAGACCAGCAGCGTCTTATTCGTACTCGATCGATCCTAATACCATCTTCTGCGAGGCCACTCTAATCATCCACTTCCTTGCGGTCCTCATCACCATGAGATCTCAACTCGTTGCAGTGGCACTGGCCCTGGCTCCTCTGGCCTCGGCTTCTGCCTGGGCCAACATCTTGCCCGACATGGATGCCATTGTCGTGCGGCGGCAAGACGACAGTGAGTGCTACATTCATTGAATGATCAAGACTTCTGATCCTGGCAGTATGCTGATGTGTATTCTTTCTTCCAGGCACCAAGACAACCGCCACAAACGGACCCCAGCAGACCAACCCTCCGGCCGGCCAGTCGACCACCGCAAAGCCGTCAGGCGCCACCACAAAAGGCCCAATCACTACGGATCTCAACACTGGTGGAGACGAGCCCACGGGATCGAGCGGCACAGTCAAAGGCAGCGGCTCCCAGACCAAGAGCGCGACATCAACGAAAGCCACCATGTTCAACCCTCAAGATCCTGCCGGTGGTGTGGTCATGGTCACGCCTGCTGCGTCCCTGGGTATGCCATTGATCATGATTGAGGAAACTTCAGCCGCAACCTGGGTCTGGAATTACACCTCGGTGCAGGGCACCCCTACTGCTGTCGATGTCCTAGTCAGCTGCTCGAATCTGCAGACCATCACTCTGACACGGAACATGACCTACAAGTCCCCCCAGACCTTCACATGGGACCATGCCGAGTACGCCCAAACTGCCGTTTCGAACCAGCTGCTGACGGACAAGTACACTCTGGTTATCTATGATTCCAACTCAGCGCCGACCGACGTGGCGGAGGCTGGCTATCTCGCTCCCTTCAACCAGTTTGTTTTCGGTCTGTACGCCAGAAAGCCATACCAGGACCTCGCGGACGGCTGGCAGTGCGTCACCTGCAACGGCGCGCTTGGCAGCCTTGAGCGCTCAGCGGTTGGTTTTGCCATGTCTATGAGCATCATCACGATCCTCAGCTTCACCTGGTTCGTTGGCGGATTCGGCGCCTTGTTGTGAGAGGCATTGGTGTAACAGCCAAGGTATACACACTCGGTCAAGAAGCCGGATGCACAGCATTCTCGTTGGCCACAAGATGATACAAAAGCCGGAGTACATGCATTTATGGTTTGCGCGTCCACGTCATCAGGCCAGGAGCAACTCGGGCAGTGATGACATTCAAGACATCGTGGTCATGGGCAGGCGTTGGGGTTACAAGCAAACAATTGTTTCGTCCATTTTACGGCGCTGATTTTAGAGAGCATTGGGATTTGTGCTGATATGGCAGCTGGCTGAGGCGCCCCAGCCCAGCTGTGGTTTTATGTACAGGAAAGTTCGGCCCAGGGAGGCAATCCAAACGCTTTCTGGGCTGCCGACAATCTTTTCACGTGCTTAATCTGGAGAGATTATACACCAAGTACTACTATAGCCTTATAATTAATGATGCATCATCACGATTTGATTCATGTCGCTGCTGGTCTTGTCTGCATGTCGCGATTCTTCAAGCCAGCCCCCCCCCCCCCCGGCCTTTGCCGCTGATGTGCTTCATAGTTCATAAGTCATGAAGGCGGATGTTACAAAAGACATCATCTCGGATCACACGCCGCGTGTTGAGCATCCATTCTCCTTCCTAAACCATACGCAGCGAGAAGCCCCCTCCGCGTTCCTCCTTTTCCCGCCCAGCAAAGATGCCACTGAAATCGACGCTGCCCAAGTCAGCAGCAGCCTGGCCTCTGCCAGGAGCGTTCGGCGTCTCGCGCCTCCTGCGGCGCTCCTGCCCGGCCTTGCTCGGGAAGGTGGGGAACATAGCCTCGTGCTTTGGTTTCGGGTCTTGCCGAAAGTATTCGTGCTGAAGCATCTGCTTTGCCGAGGGCCGCTGGTCCGGGTTCAGGGACAGGAGGCTGCTGAGCAGCGCGCTGCCCGCCTGCGTGAGGAGGGGGAACTTTGCGCGGATGAGGGCGGCCGTGGACGAGGATTTGGGCGGGAGCTTGAGCGAGCGCGCGTTGGGCAGGCGTCGGTACCCCGGCCACGACTCGTCTGTCGGCGTGCCGCAGAGCTCAAAGATCTTGGTCAGCTCGTCGACCTCGTTTGTCCCCTGGAGTAACGGTTCGCGCGTAAGCAGCTCGCCGAAAATGCAGCCTACGCTCCACATGTCGACTGCCGCGCCGTAGGTCTTGCATCCTAGCAGGAGCTCGGGTGATCGATACCACAGCGTCACGACGAGCTGTGTGAGTTTCGGCGGAGGCGGGTCGCCGACGTAGCGAGCCATGCCGAAATCTGCTATCTTGAGCTGGCCACGGTTGTTCAGAAGCAAATTTGACGTCTTGAGATCGCGGTGCAGGATCCAGTTGTCGTGCAGGTACTTTACGCCGTTGGCGAGCTGTAGCAGGAGCGTTTTGATTTCAGAGGCCAGAAATGGCTCGGGCATGTCCTCGAGGACCGACTTGAGGTCATGCTCGAGGAACTCGAGCACCAGAAAGATATTCTCGATGCGACTCGTGTCATCCCCGACCACGACCTCGTGCAGATCGACGATGTTGCGATGGCTGCAGTCTTTGAGGATCTGGATCTCGCGCAGACCAGTCTCGGGCAGGCCAACTCGATCGTTCGGGTCGATCTTGAGCCGCTTCAGTGCAACTACTCTGCCCGTTTTGATCTCCTTTGCCCGCGCGACCCAGCCGTATGCGCCCTCTTCAATGTCGTTCAGTTTATCGTAGTTTTCCACGCTCCTCGACTTGGTCCAACTCCCGCCCTCGAAGCGCAACAGCTTGGCCCCTTCGTCGATTTCGGTAGATGCTCCTTGTTGTGTCGGCTCGGGGGTGAGACGCCGTCGTTTCGCGGGAGGTCGGTCTTCGTCTTGTTGTTCCTGTGCCTGCTGCCGTTGCTGTATTGCGCGCTGCCGCGCTTCTTGTTCTCGCTGCTGCAGTGCCGCCTTTTCTTCCTCTGCTTTCCGCGCCTTCTCGGCCTTGAGTCGCTTCTTCTCGGCCTTTTCCTTTTTCAGCCGCGCGTCAGCAGCAGCGTCCTCCTCTGTGTCTGCCCATCGCGACGCGCCGGCCATGCTCCTGCGCACGTGTTTGCCGCCAGTCCACGTTTTGGTATGCTGAAAATAAGCTCCTTCTATGGAGGTTGCTTGCTACGCTGCACTTTGCAAGGAAGTCGGGCTTGAAGCTATCGGGGCGAATGGAGCAAGCTGGTGTGCCGTGCAATTATGGTGGCTAGAATGGCGAGCCAGGATCGAAGTCGCCGACAGTATGTCGGTTTTCTATGCGGCGTGAACGCTGGCGATTTTGCCGTGCTTTGTTCTGGGCTTGAGGATGATGTCAAAAGGTTCACTTTGGCGGCTCGTCGAATAATTGGGCGGGCGCCGGGCCGCACGCGGAAGGTGCAGCCGGGGCCCCTGCACTTGCAGCTTCAGAAGCTCAAGGTTAGCGCGCGAGGCAAGACCTCCAGATCTATGATTGTGGCACTTGGACATCTTGACACTAGCCAAAAAGGCACTCCCAACCCTCACGGCGGACCGGACAGGAGACGTTTCCTGAGATGGAAAGATAGAGAACCTGCCCGCTAGCACATCATGAAGTCGAGCTTGGCCAGGACTTTGCCTGTTGGGGGTCGCAGCCTGCTGCTTCCATCGAGGCCTGCCACTTCGTTCTTCCTGCGCCCTGGTTGGCGGCGGAGTCTGTCGGTGACGGCCGCCAGACGAGATGCAGAGAGACAATGGACGACGCCGCTGGCGAAGCAGCTCACGGAGGCCATCAATGTGTGTGCACACCTTCAGAAAGCACGTACCCACCACCATCCAAATCTCCCTTGCTGATTCATCGTGGCCTCCTCTAGATGACCGGACCTGTTCCGTTGGCCAGCTTCATGCGTATGTGTCTGACAGCAGACGTTGGAGGCTACTATACCGGTGCCATTGAGCAAGGCCGCGACCAGTTTGGGCAGCGGGGTGACTTCATCACCTCCCCTGAAATATCCCAGGTCTTTGGCGAGCTCATCGGCATCTGGTTTGTGGCAGAATGGATGTCCCAGGGCAAGCCCAAAGCTGTAGAGCTCATCGAGGTCGGCCCTGGCAGAGGAACCTTGATGGATGACATGTTGCGAGTACGTGATCACTGCATCCAGATCCCAAGTCAAGTCATTTTTGCCACTGCTGACCACGCCGGGTTTCCTGATAGACCATGAAAAACTTTCCCTCGCTTGCCTCAAATATCGAGGCAATCTACATGGTCGAAGCCAGCAAGGAGCTGCGCGAAGCTCAGAAGAATTTACTGTGCGGCAAAGACGCTGTCATGGAGGAAACTAAGGCGGGCTGGCGATGCACCAGCAAGTATCTAAACTTGCCCATCATCTGGGCAGAGACCATCAAGGGCGTACCCCAGTCTGCTGAGAAGACTCCCTTCATTGTTGCGCACGAGTTCTTTGATGCCCTGCCCATACATGCCTTCCAGGTCGTCAACGTTCCCGCGCCCAAGCAGGCCCCGGAAACCGACGCACAACTATCCGACGCGACATCAACAGTATCAGCAAAAGTCCGGGATGGTTCCAAGAGCACAGGCGGCGGCCTGCAATGGAGAGAAATGGTCGTGTCGCCCGTGCCTGAAGGCACCACCCATGGCGACCTCGGGACACCAAAGTCTGAGCAGCACGCACCCGTGCCTGAGTTTCAGATGACGCTCAGCCCGTCTGTCACAAGACACTCCAAATATCTGCCAGAGATGTCCCCGCGCTACAAGGCACTCAAGAACACCGAGCACGCGTTGATCGAGGTCTGCCCAGATGCCAGCCTCTACGCATCTGAGTTCGCGACACGCATCGGGGGAGACGCGAAGCAGCCGAAGCCGAAGCCTAGTGGTGCAGCGTTGATCCTCGACTATGGCCCTCTGGACACCATCCCGCTCAACTCCCTCCGCGGAATCCGCCAGCACAAGCGCGTGAGCCCGTTCTCAGAACCAGGCCTTGTTGACCTTAGCGTGGACGTCGACTTCATGGGCATCGCCGAGGCGGCCCTCAAAGCCAGCGAGGGCGTTGAAGTCCACGGTCCCGTGGACCAGGCGGGCTTCCTCGAAGCCATGGGCATCTCGGAGCGTGCAGCCATGTTGGCGAAGAAGACCAGCCCTGAGCGGGCCAAGGACATTGAGAGGGCCTGGAAGCGTCTCGTCGATCGGGGGCCAGGTGGTATGGGAAAGCTGTACAAAGCTCTCGCTATCTTGCCCGAGAACGATGGCAGGCGCAAGCCGGTGGGCTTCGGTGGTGACGTCAGCCCTTGAGAAATCATGGGCCACACGCTGTAGAAGTTATATGTATGATCAAAGGAAGCCATTCTTAAGCGAGCATTAGCATGGGCGGGATTAGAGGCACGACTCCTTTCTACAGCGATCTAGAGAGTCTTAGCAGCATGTGCCATACTAAGTAGAAAACGCCTATACGTTCAGCACAACAGCACATGTCTGTCCCCTTGCATGCAGCACAAGTCATAATGCAAAATCTTCGAAAACGCTTCGAAGGATCATAAATTGTACTCCTACATCTACATAACATCGCTGTACAGTTGAGCCGATCACGTCAAAGATCCGCCCCAAAATTTACTCGGCCTCTGCTTTTCTCAGTAGACCGACAGCCCACTTCGGCCCGGTTGTCGTCTATTTCTTCTTGATGAGCTTAGTGTCGTCCCCCGAGTCGTCATCATCATCATCGTCGTCATCACTAAACTTGTCTCCGTCCTCGCCCACCGCGAATATCGTCTCGCCGTCCTCGAAAGAGTCGCGAGGAGAGTCAGCGACTCTCTGCGGTGCACCCCGGCTCGAGGACGCCGCGCCAGAACCGCCCGCGGAGGCAGAAGCACCATTGGGCGCGGATTGTGTCGCAGCGGTGGAGATCACCGGAGGCTTGGTGCCGACATTGGCCTCCTCGTCATCAGAGTCGTCTGGCGCGCCAATGTCGGCAAACTCAAACTCGCCATTCTCGTCCTGCGCAATCTCGTCGCTCATGGCGAAACGCCTGTTGTTGGCAGTGGGCCGCCATACGTAGGCGATCCACGCGACATCGGCAAAGTAGACCAGGTTGAGCCAGCCATCGAGCACGAACCAGCGCGACTTCCAGTGGAAGGGCACAAAGTCGGGCGAGGTAGCCGAGGCAAAGGTGAACGAGTTGAAAAAGAAGAACCCAAAGATGACGAGGATGCTGACGAGAATACACCACCATAGCTTCTTGTACATCCCCTCCTTGACGTGCTGTTTGCGCTCGCGCAGGTCCTTCAATGTGAAGTTGAGCGAGTTCAGGGTCCAGACGTAAAACGCAGTCAGAGTTCCCGCAAGGGGTAGGACGACGAATAGCAGGAATGGACTGGCAGCGTCAGGTGGCAGAACGAGACTGGTGACGGCATATGCCAAACCAAAGACGAAATGAGCAATGGCCAGCCAGCGAACGTAAACCATCGTAGGTCCGAGAGAGGGCTTGACCACGCCGTATCCCATGCACACAATGAGCAGCAGGAAGAACGAGAATGAATTGCGGAAGGCGTTGAGGACGGCCACGACGACGAGCAGCACCTTGGCGCCAACATTTGAACCATGGCGGTTTAAAAAGTCTGGCAGAATCTAGTCAGCGTACGGGACACATCTCACCGTAGATGGGACACTACTCACCATAGAAACCCCAGGTCATGAGCATCTCAACTACCAGAAACACCAGGATCGCAGTGATGTAGTTTTGCACGGGCACTGCAAGATGTTAGCGGTATAGAATCAAGGCAAGGCCGGCGGCTAACTCACAGATATCATATCGGTGTTGGTAGTAGAGGAAACCCCAGAATCTACAGCATTGTTAGCCGGGATGATTGTGGCTTGATCGTCTCTTTTTGGCAACTTACGCAGCAACGATGGCATATAGAATGGTGATGCCTCCGTAAAAGGGCAGCTTGGGGATCTGTGTCGCAGGAAGCTCGCCATATGCCTCGCGGAACTCGACGACACCCATGAACTCATCCGCACGGTAGCCGTACGCCGCAACACAGTAGTATCCTGTTCTCTTGATCGGGTAATTTATCGGCGAGGAGGACTTCAGGTGAATGGCCTGGGTCAGGATGGGGTTGACAGCCTTATCGGTGGCATTCTTTGCAAGGATCCATTTTCCGATGTCCCCTTCCTCACACAAGCCGTTGGCGACGTTCTCGGGGTCGCAAATGAGCTCGTTCTAGAAATGAAATGTCAATAAGCGCGCCAAGCAGGCAAGCGGCAAAAGGATATCCGCATACCGAGTTAGCGTCTGCGCCAATGAGCCACTCATCCTTCCATTCGAAAATTATCAAGCTGACGATAGGATCGGCATCGCCCTCTACCGTGATGTTGGGGAACTCTGCGAGGATAAAAGGATCCACGGGGCCACCCCAGTCGTTGCGGTCGTACATGCCTAGGCTCGCTGGTTAGCTCCTCTGCCTAAAAGAAGCGGTGTTGGTCCTCGTCTCGACGTGGAAGAAGCTACAAACCCTGGCATTTTTGTCTATTATCCTCGGTTTGGTCCTGCAGATGTCGCTGATGTTAGCGCCGGACTCACAGCGTGGAACTGTGTGTCTCGTGGTGTGTTTGCGGTGCGGGCTCACAAGCTGGACTTCAATGGCGCGAGCAGTGGCTGCAAAGAGCCCCGAGAGGAGCAGCAAGCTCGACGACCATGAGGATAACATCTCGAGTGATGGGAGATATCTAATCTTGACAGCCCCAAGAAGGCCTCGGCGGGTTCGGGTGAGCGCAGGGCCTGGCGCAAGTGGACGTGTTCACTATGCCTTGCCGGATCGTGGTGGGCGACAAAGGGGCCGTGGGCGAGGGCAAGGTTGGCAGATGGTGGTGATTCTTCGAGGATCGGTCAAGCGGCTTCGGGCGGGTTTCTGGACGTTGAATAAGGGCCGCTTTCAAGGGGATGCTGTCCTGGCAGAAGCTCCTGAAGATGGCAATTTGACGGTCCAAGGTTGTTGGCGCTGGGCGAGCGAGCTTCCTGGCAGCAGCGGCAGCAGGCAGCGCAATGTGTACTGTACGGAGCTTTACGTCGTTATGTGGAGACTGGTGTCCGGGTTGCGCATGCACAATGGGGGGAGGATTGCGTGTAGAGACCTGGCCGGTACTCCAGCGACTACTCCAACTCTGTCATTCCAGTGCTGGAGAGTGCTAAAAGGCAGCACATCCTCCATCTAGCATCCCCAGACGTTGCCGCGCAACCCCCTGCTGCACAAGTACACTGCAAGTACTGCCGCTACTGCCGAGCCGCCCAGGGGTCCTACCCGATAAGTGAGCGATAACAAGTCAATTGATCCATCGTCATCCAGGCACCTTCGAGCTATTCAAGCTTTTAGAATTGCGACTTTCTCAACAATTCAGCGTCTCTACACGATCGCGACCATCTAGGTTGCGCCTAGCGATCTCCACACAGCTCAGCCTGAGGTGACACAACCGCCCGGCGCCTCAACGCTTCTAGCATTTACCAAACAAGACTCCTCGTGGTCCAGCTACCGGCAGCCACCATGGGCAAAGGAACCGACAAGCTGTACATCACGCACTCCGAGTGGTCCTCGTCAGACGCCTTCTCAGCTAGCACGGGGTCACGGTCGCGGAACACCGGCGCCTCGTTCCGTCGACTGCCTTTCAACTTCTGCGCCGCCAGCCTCCAGCCCTTCAAGAACCCAGTCTGCACGGCAGACGGCACCATTTTTGACGTCGAGGTCATTTCGAAATGGCTCGAGCACCACAAGACGAATCCCGTCAACGGGGAGCCCCTCGCCGCCCGCGATCTCATCAAGCTCAACTTTGCGCGCAACGCCGATGTCGACTCGAAAGCCGCCGACGGCTCCGCCAGCGACGGCAAGGGCGACCTGATCGACCCCGTCACCTTCAAGGTCTTTACCGACAACACCCACATCGTCGCGATCCGCCACGGCACGTACGCGAACGTCTTTGCTTGGGAGACGGTAGAGCGCATGAACATCAAGGCGAAGCTGTGGCAGGACCTCCTCGACGACACGCCCTTTGTGCGCTCCGACATCATCACGCTCCAAGACCCGCAGAACGCTGCTAGCAGGGACCTGAGCCGATTCCAGCACCTGAAAGACGGCGGAGATGCGCTCCTGACTCGAGAGCAAGAAGAGGAGCGCAAGGAGGGCAATGTCAACATTGGCGCTCTCGGCCGGGTGGGCGACAAGGTCCTGCGAGCCAAGGAGGCAGTCGAGAAGGCTCGGAGGGAGCGGGAGGCGGGCGGCGATGTCAACCGCTCAGCCAAAGCAGTCGCCAAGTCGGCCAGCGCCAACAACAACAACGCGCCTCGGCAATCCATGATTCAGGGCCGCAAGCTCGCGCAGAACGCAGCTGCCTACACAACAGGACGAGCAGCAGCCAGCTTCACAAGCACAGGGCTTACGCCCGAGACGAGCGGCGAGCGCGCGCTGCTCAGTGGCGAGGAGTACATGCTGAAGCCGAAGCGCGTCAAGATCAAAGGCTACGCTCGCATAGAGACGAATCTTGGGGACCTCAACATCGAGCTGCAGACCGAGTACGCCCCTCGGGCCGTGTGGAACTTTACGAGGCTGGCTCAGAAGGGCTACTACAAGGGAGTGGCGTTCCACCGCAACATCAAGAACTTCATGATACAGGGCGGCGACCCGTCCGGCACAGGCAGAGGAGGCGCGAGTATATGGGGCAAGAACTTTCAGGATGAATTCGACGGTCCGCTCGTGCATGATGCGCGTGGCGTCCTGAGCATGGCGAACAAGGGCAAAAACACCAACTCGAGTCAGTTCTTCATCACATACCGACCAGTACCGCACCTCGACAGAAAACACACGATATTCGGGAAAGTGGTTGGCGGCATGAACGTGCTGGGGAAGATGGAGGCAGTCGAGACAGATGGGTCGGACCGTCCACTCAACAAAATTGTTATCAAGGACGTCGTCGTGTACCTGGATCCGTTTGAGGAGTTTCAGAAGCAGAAGACAGAGCGTGAAAGGATCGCTGAAAGCAAGGCTCAGATCGAACGCACTGGAGGCACGGAGGACGACAAGGTGACCTGGACCGGAAAACGTGTTCGCACAGACGGCACTGTCGACCAGGGCAGCGGGGAGGGCAAGGTCGGAAAGTACTTGAAGGATGCCATGACCAAGCAGCCTCCAGCGGACGAGATTGTCGAGGAAGACCTAGACACCTGGCAGCAGCCGGCGAAGAAGAAGGTCAAATCTGGCGGCTTCGGCAACTTTGATGGATGGTGAGGGCGATGAAGCAGGCGCGAGCAAGCATCACGGCAGCAAACAAAATGATACCCCAAGCTCAGCCATGAGGCATTTATCCAGTCAGCTGGGCCACAGAGAAGATCTGAGAGACGGCTTTCAGATTCAACCTGGGTAGTCCGACGACAGACCGAAGTCCTTTCCTGGTGACAATGAGGATGATTAATGTCCGGCTGAATCAGCGTCTCATTCGGCTGCCACGAGGATTCGGACTTTGCTTTAGACCAGACTCACGGCCTGGACGAGCACGCGCAAGTTCCGTGACAACTCCATTTGATCCTTTCGGCCAGCTACCACATGCCGCGGCGTACGCGGCACAAGTCGCGACATGCATCATGATTCAGCTTATTAGTGGAGAACACGCAGCGTTGGAAGCAAGATTATGGCTCGCCTCAAGCCTCGAACCACGATGCAACACACGACGGAATATGAAAACGTCCCCTGCTCACGTGGGAGTTGAGGTGTCGGCGACAGTCCGACCTTCTTGTCGAAAGCCCACTCTTATTCCTTGCTCTGCCGCGGATCCCTGGGTGGAGGGGCCTGGTCTTTGCACAAACTAGGGTCCTCTCAGCCACTGTTCAAAGTGGTCTCCAGCGTTCGCCGACCACGATGATTATCCCCCCGCAGGATATACATAGCCATGGAAGCAAAGGGATAGCGAAACCGTATCGGGCCGAGATGCTCAAGCCACCGGAAGACCCTCTACGTTGTGGTCATTCCACCAAATATGTAATACTGTGCCGGTCCTATCGTGCGTGCTAAAACGGGCGACTTCAGGGAGCACCCTGGACTCAGTCAGGACCCAGTCCAGCTCGCCAGCAAAGCCAGCCTTCTTGTCGCCGAAACGTACCCCCACGAATCTGGACCATCTCCGCCATCGCAAGCCAGCTCGGAGGGTAGCCAAGCCGGGCCCAGACGCAATACAGGTGGCTGGACGGCGGGGCCGCTTCCTGGGAGCTCTTCCTGGCGGGAAATGTTCCCGTCGTGTGGCGGCAACCGCGGCGAAGAAGTCGCCGACTCTGCTCTCGGTTCGGGCTTGCCTTGGGGCGGCGAGCTGCGCCGGGGCCAGGACTCGCCTTCTCATGAAAGTCTGTGTCTATCCAGGTTCAGGCAGTTGCTGAGGAGTGCGGTGGTTTGCCAATTTAGTGCACCTGAACCAGGAGCCCACTTTCAGCCACGTGCAAAGCCTGTGCTAGAGCAAATAGTGGACATAGACGAGACCGGGAATATGTCACGGGACCAAGCGTGGCGAAACATGGCATAGACAATGGTCAAGTCCGGAAGATCAGGGGCCTCACTGGACCCGGTGATGGAGGAGGATTTCCCATGTATGGGGTTTTCTGGAGCGTGCAATAAGTGCCGTGTGTGCGCTAGAGGCAAACTAGCGTGTAAGACAAGATTGACATGGCTCAAGTAGGCAGGTGGACAGACCTGGACATGTGTTCTCCCCAAAGGTGACGGCAAATTCCGACTCGCAAGGGGCTGGCTGGTCTTCAGAGGGAAAGGCAAACAGGATTCTTGTGATGTGACGATCAAGTCATACTGGTAGGCAAGCGGATATTATCGAAGCTGCTGATGATGATGCGTAAGAGGGGTGGAGGATTGCGGGTACCTTATGGTACCCAGGCCAGGGTTGGAGTGAACGCCGCAAGCCTATGTGTCTCCTGCTTCCTCTTGCACGTAATTGTACTTGTCCCGCCCCCCTGCGGCATGCTTTGTTGATCTGCTTTGACTGCCGACCTCGCGGCTGTCGATGAAACTGCCCGATCTGGGCGGGGAGTGCCTAATCTCATCTATTCTGATGGCACCTTGCACACGCACGCGTGGTTGTGCATGTGTGTGTAGGTGTGTGTGCGTGATCCCTGTGATATGCTTCAAAGAGCAGTGGTTATCGTGACTTGTGATGGGTTATCATGACTTCTGGTGGACGAGTTGTTCCTTGCCTTCCCTCCATGTCCTTCGGGGGGACCACCCAACTCCAATGGGCGGCATGTGAACATTGACCTTGTCGGCATAGATAGACAGTGTGGTTACGGAAGGAATGGCAGAACGAGCGGCGGACAAATATGGCCATCCTCCCACAGCCAAAATTCATATGTGAGACGCATGTCGACTCGGTGTCTGCCAGACCAGATTCACATAGATCTGTTTGTACTCAGCAGTGGAACACGAACGTGCCCAGGAGGCGCAACATTGCAGGATGCCTCTACCTTATTTTAATTTCTTTGATGTTCATCCTTCTCGGAGCCTCTTTACCAGGGCAGAGAACCGTCTGGCGCCGCAGTACGCATGCTTTTCCATTGAAGCCATGCGGTCGGCAACCATCTCTATCTCTTTCGACGACCGTGTGCTCTTGATCAACCGCCGATCGGTACGATCGCGATCGGAAGACTATCTCCGCGCACACTATGCATGGCATTGACGTCGATCACCCCCCCTAGACTAGATAGGAGAATTCAGGATTGGTGTGTAGGGATTCAGTGCCGCGTGGCTGCTTGCCATTCCTGCCTCTTCTACTTGGGATTGTAGGGTTTGTCCAGGCCCAAGGGCCAGAACGCTCTGCGATGCTGGTAGCTAATGAAATATCAGAGCCAGGATCAAGCAATAACGTGCGGATCGCCGTATCGACCACAACTATAGATATCCAAGCTATATCTCGAAGGCAACAAACAACGCGCATTCGGAACAGCCCAGCGCGAAGACCTGTCTTTGAAGCGGGCCCTGGCTAATGTCGATTTGACCATGATAAACCCCCAGAGCGGATATGGCGTGCAGCAAATCGAGGTGCAGGTTGCGCGAGCTTTCACTGACAACCCGGTCTGTATCTGGGATGAGCACCCTTCGTAGCCAGCCCTGACAGACCCCAGTGCCTGTCCTGCGGGAGTCGCGCATCCTTCGGCCCGCATGCCGTCCTGATAACACGGGGACGTCTTAGAGTACGTAGGACGTCAAGGTCCTTCATGGTGTCCCCAGAACATGCCGGTCCTGTCGCCATCTGAAACATGAAGAATGTTCCGCACGAATCTATCAACATTGCGTGGCCTGATTAGTCCCCTCGGCTGTCGCCGAAGTAATGTTGCGTGGTGGGACCACGGCCACTCAAACGAGGACCATAGCGTGGCCGTGCTCTCCCTCGTGGCTGTGGGGGATGCTAAAAATCCGGCGTTTACGCTAGAACAAATGAAAGAATACCGATCAGTCCCCTTTCAGGGCTAGTGTCATGTTGCGCTCAGACAATAGTTCCCCATCTGTCGTATGATGACTGAAGTGTTCCTACAGGAGTCGAGGCGAAAGAGATGAGGCGGAGGTGCCGTCGAGGCTGCGATGGCAAGTGCTGACGAGGCCTGACCTGAAGCCGCGCTTGGACCGGATAAGAAACGACTCGTATGGTTGGGTTCAAGACTGCCAGAGTTGGAAGTGAAGCGAGATCGTAGTGCAACGTGACCGCGCTGTGTGCGGCATTGCCGGCGTCCTGCCAAGGGTGACTAGCTTGCCGTCGTGGGGGCGGAGATTGACAACTGCCAGGGCGAGCTCGCCGTGCTTGGGACGCAAGCCATTGAAACGGCTGTGTGCCAGCAAGCAAGCAACAAGTTATCACGGCACTATGTAATAGTACGCGTGTCGTCTCGATGCCGCGTTCAGAGTCAAAGACATCATCACATGGCCTGCCAGAGCCAGGTCTGTGACGGGATGTAACGCGGCCGACACACCTGAGGTCTGTAACAGGGGTATAGCACGTATATATGGCAAGCCCCTGGTCCATCCGCCCACAAACCCGGGAACACTCACTCAATGCCTTGCTTGTCGACACCTCCCGATGGTGACCACGAGGAGACGGAAAACAGCGGATCGAATTGGATTCGAAGCAGTATTGCGAGCTCTAAATAGATGATCGGTGGAGCGAAGGACTGCCCGAGGTGCCCGAGCAAGACGAGGCCTAGCACACGAGTCACGACGATGGCAGATTGTGTCAACCTGGCTGTCAGGCACAGCCAACGTGGTCAAGCATGGCAAGGCAGGCTGGCTGTGGGTGGGAACCTGCCGGTCGGACCTTCTATGTAGATTGCCCAGTGCCAAGCGCCAGGGTTCCCCCATGTTGTGTTGCACAGAGATCGAGTTTTGTTTGCGAGCAGTCACCTGCATGAAGACCTTGCAGGTGCGGGCGGGCGGGCGGGCGTGTCCGTCGCCCTGGGACTGCAACTGCATTCAGCCACCAGCCCCATGCATCGTGGTTGTGGGAGGACTCGTTCAACGGTCCTGGCGAGGCACATGTCTGATTAGTTCCGGGTCCGTGGCCGTGGAGCTGCGTGTGTGCGAGTCATCACGCATCAAACCCTCCAGGGCAGAGCTCATTGGCCCGCCACCATCTCTGGTGGTCGGCGACTGGGCACAACCTTATGGCAGAGAGTGAGAATGATGGTGACGGTATTTGCCAGTTCCCCAGTCTTTTGGTGGGTTTCGCGCAGCCCCCTCGGCAGCGGTAGCTAACAAGTGTGGTGGGTGGCTTGCCAGCACGTGGACTTGGCACGCCAGCACCTCTGGCAAAAGTTCCGACGCCAATGGTTGTCAACTTCCCGTTGGGTCGGCTTGATGATATTGACCTGCCATTGACGGTCATTCGTCCCTCGCTAGCCAGATAGATGAGCCGTGTCCGGTCGATGGCACCGATATCTCTCAGGGGTTGTGCGGATGGTGTGTGTTGAAGTGTGAGTGTCTGCGGTGATTAGCGAGTGCTGATCGGTGGAGAACCTGCATGGTCGATGGGTTGCAGCATCTTCAGCTCTGGAGCTCCAGTTCTCTCGAGGCATGGACACCCCGGCTGGCACTCGAGATGGACGTTCATGCAGGAGGGTCGAGGGTTCTGCTGTGTGGCGCCGATCTGACGAGCTGAAGCAAATACCTGCTGGGGCGGCCAGACGCTAGCCTTGCGGCCTTGGTGTCGTTGTCCCTGCCGAGCTGGGGCTCCTGCCTGCCAGCCACTGAGAAACTGTCATGGCACTGTCCCTGGCACTGCCGCTAGTCTGAGGTCGGCAAAAGGTCCTAGCGCCACACACGTTCATGCCTATTCCAGTTTCCCCTCGGTGATCGTGGAATGGCGGAATGGACCACGGTGCCGGCTCCATGGCCTTCGCACCACTCAGAGATCAGACGTCTCGCTCCATCATGGCGACCAGGGCCCACTGCTGCCAATGTCAGGGCCCGTTTCGACGGACCAGGGTTCCGCAAGGAACTGGAGTCATGTATCGTGGCAGCCCACGCATGTCACCCAATCGCAATCTCGTGCTTGTACCAACGCGGTCCTGGGCATGCGTGGAGGACCGCATGACTCTGGTTGAAGACAAGGCAGGGATGTAGTGCCCTGCTCAAGCCGACTAGACGAGCGTCCGCACCAGCGATGAGGACGTTGATCATATAACGTGCCCCCTAGGCGCCTGCAAACCACTCCGTCTTGGCTTGACCTGCTCTAGCTCTCCAGTTTTCGTGCTCAGTTCTGGGAGCCGGCAGTACGTCTCGTTGTGGATTTGGTTCTTGAAGGAAAATAGACGACTCGCCAAGGGCAGACTACGACTAAAGATGGCTTTGTCTTCTATCATGGCGGTGTCCCACCGCTATCATGAAGCCGACATCGGAACTTTGCGACTGCTCCCGAGCGAGATCGAGCATCAATACCTCACTCAAGTATTGCGGTACATGGACGCCAAGTCGCCAAATCCAGTAGTAAAGGATCCCTGGGTCATCGACCTCCACAGCAAGCTCGAGTTCAACTTCGACGAAGGCACACATGTCGACGACGCTTGGGTCGAGTGGCTGGCGCATCGAGTCAGACTCTTTGACGAATGGACACAGCGATACATCGACGAGCACGCCCAAAAGAATGAGCCCATCACCGTCCTGCGCCTGTGTCCGGGGTTGGACTCGAGGGACCTCCGGCTGAGCTACAGCAGATCTGTCCGATGGATCGATATGGACTGCCCTCAAGTCATTGATCTCCGTCGCTCTTTACTGCCTCCTCCCATTGGCGCGGACTACCACCAGATCAAGGCCGAGATCCTCACAAAGGAATGGCTGGACAGGATCCCGAAAGATCGGCCCACGCTCATCCTGGCCGAGCACGTTTTCTCTTGCTTGCCGCAGGCACCTGCTCAGGACCTCATCCGCCGCCTTGCGGACCACTTCCCCAGTGGGCATTTATACATGCTAGTTACGGGGGCTCTGGTGCCCAAGGTAATGAACATCATGCCCATTACGAAAGGCATAAAGATCAGGATCCAATGGGGAATCGACAGTCCCAAGCAGATCACTTCGCTGAATCCCCGGTTACGCACGCTCGAGGCCGTGACGGACCGGGACTTGAACAACGCCGGGTTCATTGGGGGTAAGAAGCCGCCGTGGTTTGGAAGCCTCACAGCCATCACCTCGATTGTCCCAGGCGGTCAGACTATGCAGGGATATATGCGGTTCGCCTTCGACGATTATTCCCAATCCATTCGGAGTTCAAAGACCACTTCGACTCGTTCGATGCGATCGAGCTTCTCGAGGTCCTTTCGCACAGCAAACGGCAGCTCGTCAAGATCTGTCTTGTCGCATAGCACTACGTCTAGCAGTACCATAAGCTAAAGTGCTTGCGGTGTGCTCGCGGTCTCACCGCCCACGACCAATAATCCTGTGCCAGCTGGGAAATATACAAAACGGAGCAGCTTTTCACTAGCACCAGACTAGCCCGCGAAGCCAGTGAGGTTTTGCTCCAGGCTCGCTCATTTGCTAGCAATCAGCATTCGCGCATCTCATCATCTGTATTTAGTAGCATAGCGACAGCGTAGGGGGTATCATTTGTTTTTTTTGTTTTTTTGTCTCTTGTTTGGAATGGTGCATGGCGTTGGCGGACGGCAGTCACCCTTTGAACGCGCGTCTGAGTCGATAGCCGCAGTATATAGTTTGAAACAAGTAAGGCGTGGGCCATACTCACTTGTCTCTTTCTGTTAGCCATGTTTCGTTTGCCTCTGAGATCACTGTGAACATGTTTGCAGTCGTGAGTGAGCCTCGGTCGTCATGTGACTATGCGGTCGCACAAATGTAGAAATGGACGCCTCGGGAACGTGGACTGCGACAAGCTCCTCTCAAGAATCCTTCTCAAACGCGTCATTGAGGTAGCCGACAAAGCTTTCGCGTATCTGTGGCGGGCCCATGTTCTTGACGCTCTCGAGTCCGATTCCGCCCCTGTTGAGCGCCAAGTATGCCCTTCGCAGGCGCTGCAACTGCGGGAGGCCGACTTTCTTGCCGGCGGGGAGCTCAACGACCAAGGCCTCCGCGCCGCTGTCGCCGCGCGAGATGCTGATCTCATCACCGCCTTCGTCCGACTGCTGGTCGAGGATCCGCTTGACTACATCCTGCGTCTCGCGATCGAGCGTGTAGAGGTAGTCGCCGCCGGCGTCGCGGCTTCTCTGCTCGGTGGCCTGGTTGGGCTTGATGATTTTGCGGCCCTCGCCCGCGATCGCGTCCCATAACTGCTCAAAGACCTTCCGGGCCTGGTCGGCATCGTCCTCCCAGATCACGGGGAAGAGGGGACTATCCCAGCGGGTCATGGGGTTCGGCTCCTCGTAGCGGAACACCAGATTTTCCCAGTTGGCCGGCTCATAAGGCGCTTCAGGGTCAGTCGCAGCACCACCACCACCATCATCGGCGGCGGCAGCGAGGTCCGTTCCGGCGGCAGAGAGCTGTTCGGCCTGCCTCCTCAACCTGGCATCGTTGACCTCCTTGGACTTGTCCTTGGAGCAGCCGATCTGGAGGATGCAGCTTGGGGTCCGCATGGCCTTGGCCTCGCAGTGGAGCTGGTAGCGCCAGCCTTTGATGTAGTTCAGCCCGTCGAGAATGACAATGTCCTTGTCGCTCAGGACGCGCTTGACGGCGCCGTAGATGGTGGCCCGCGCATCCTTCTCAGAGGCATTGGCGGAGCGGACGTGCGCCGGCACGGAGGATAGGTCGTAGACGGATCTGTGGATGGAGAGAGACTGGTCGGAGATGAGGTGGAGGCGGTACTTTGGGGTGGTGCCCGTGGTTGTTGCGGCGGCGATGCGCTCCTCGAGGTACTGGTAGAGCTGCCTTGCGCGGGTCGACTTGCCCGACGTTGGAAAGCCGGACACGATGATCATCTAGAAGAGCAAGGCATGATCAGCGCTACATCAAGACTGAAGAAAGCTGCTTGCGTCTAGAACGGAGGGCCCGTACCGGCATGGTCTGCTACGTGGCGCTTGTCTGGAGCAGATGCGGTGGTTGTGTGGTTGACGCGTTTCGCTCTCAATGTCTGGAGTGGGTGGATGCGGGGCAGGTGGACTTTTTCATGCGTGCTCGACAGATGGCGGGTGGTGGATCGTGGCTCTCGTTGGCAACGCCGCATACTTACTGAGTAAATAAGCGTGCCGCCTATCCTGGAACAGGCACGAGAATTCACGCATGGTCCAAATGTATTTTCGATCTCTTGAACCATCAAGTTGTCCGCCAACATGTCTGGGCGGCGACTTACAATCTGCGTGCACCTGGGTGGGCCATCGTCAGAAGACTCCAACACTATCAGGACGGCACTAAAGCCTCGCCTCGCTTCGGCGCAGCGTCAGACCGACCGACCGACCTGTTGCCTTCCCCACACTCTGGGCTGCGGGGAACACCCCTGGCGATCTCCCCCCAGTGCTGTCTCAAGGCCTGCTGATTGGCGCCCAGGGTGCTCGCGGGAATAGCTCAGACGTGCCGACAATGGGGAAGAGTCCGCTCGCCCGCCCGGACATCGGCCTGCCGTCGAGGGCTGCACTTGCAGGTGCCGTCGGTACTGTCGCGGGTACCCGCCCCCAATGCTGGCCGCCCTCGCCTTCGCCGTCGCCTACGCTGCCGCACGTCAGCTCGCGACTCTGTCCACGGCTCGAGCTTGGCTCTGCTCGTCTCTAACTAAACCTTCAGGTTCACTGGGCATTCCCGACAATTCGCAGCCCGCCTCCATTGTGCACGATTATCCTGCTCCAACGTCATCGTTTTCCTGCAGCATCTCCCTTAGGTACTCCAGCGAGGCTCACAACACCGCCGCCAGCACACCGGAGACAAGGCCGACCCCAACCACGCACCATGTCGGACGCAGCATCGCGGTTGTGGAATCTGCTCGGCCACCTGCGCTCCTTTACCGGCTCAGAGTCGCCCGTCGGCTACGAGCACAGCAACCACCTCCACAACCTCTCGCCCACCTTCTTCCTCGAGCGCGCCGCCGCCATCGAGCCCGACGCCAAGGCCATACACCACGTCACTGCCAACGGCAAGACCCTCACCCGATCCTATGCCGACTTTGCCCAGCGCGCCAGGGGCCTTGCCTACTACCTCGTCAAGCACCGCCTCAAGCGCGTCGGCATCCTTGCCACAAACACCCCCGCCTTCCTCGAGTCCATCTTCGGCATCATCGCCGCGGGCGGCGTCGTCGTGCCGGTTAACTATCGCCTCAAGCCCGATGATGTCACCTACATCTTCGACTTTGCCCAGGTAGACTCCATCATTGTCGATGCCGAGTACCTCTCCTTGCTCGACGACTTTAGGAAGAGCCACCCCAACGTGCGCCTCGTCGTTGATCTGGTAAGAATGGCTCCCAGGCGTTCACATTGTGGCTCTTTTTGCCCACCCGAGGCTGACCAGTCGCTCGAAAGGACACGGAGATCAAAGAAGGACCAGAGTGTGGGGAGTTTGACCAGGCAGTCCTTGAGGGCCTCGACTACGAGCAGGCCCAGTCTGCAAAAGGCTGGGATGCCTTGCCCAAGCCCACGAGCGAGGACGACATGCTCGCGATCCCCTTCACATCTGGCACGACATCAAGGCCAAAGGGCTGCGTCTATACACACAGAGGAGCCTATCTGGCTGCCGTGGCCAATGTTGTCGAGTCTGGCCTGAGCTATCACAAGGACCGCTGCAGATATCTCTGGACTTTGCCCATGTAAGTCGGGTTGTTGGTGGGGGAGGGAAATGATTTTTTGTCTCACTGCTAACATTGCCAATCGTAAAGGTTCCACGCCATGGGTTGGACTTTCCCGTAAGCCGTCAACGTCTTCAAAGAAGAGCTCTAGTCGATGCAATCTCTAACACTTCATCCCAATGATAGGTGGTCCGTTACTGCCGTCCGAGGCACACATTACTGCCTGCGCAAGATTGACTACCCTCTCATCTGGAAATTGCTCAAGGAGGAGAAAATAACACATTTCAACGCCGCCCCTACGGTCAACACTCTCTTGTGCGCAGCAAAGGAAGCCGAGCGGCTCTCCGAGCCAGTTCGAGTCACTGTTGCCGCAAGCCCCCCGACCGCACATCTCTTCCGTCAAATGGTAAGACTATCGTCCCGGAAATTGACCCGCAGCTGAATTGCACAGCACACACACACACACTAACACAAACGGCTACCCAGTCCGAACTCAATCTCCAGCCTGTGCATGTCTATGGCTTGACCGAGACATACGGCCCCATCACCAAGGGCTATCACCTGCCAATCTGGGAGGAGGTATCTGAACAAGAGCGGTTCGCCCGGATGGCCCGCCAGGGCCACGGCTTCCTCACGAGCCTGCCGATCCGCGTCATCAAACCAGACCAGCCCGAGGGCGTGCTGATCGACGTTGCAAAGGATGGCAAGGAGGTGGGCGAGATTGTGTTTTCTGGCAACATTTGCGCGAAGGGATACTACAAGGACCCCGAGGCGACGCGGAAGCTCTTCGAGGGGGGCGTTCTGCATTCTGGCGACCTCGCCGTGTGGCATCCCGACGGGAGCGCACAAATCCAGGACAGGTCGAAGGACATCATCATTAGCGGTAAGTGTGTCCTTTAAAAACCCCGGTAGCTCGCCATGGAGTAGAGCAGGTTTCTTCTCGTCACCGTCGGCACAACTCAGGGTGATGCAAGTTGTCCTGGATGCAGCGACACACGCCTAGTGCTGAAATATTGGCTGACATCTCGCGAACGCAGGCGGCGAGAACATATCCTCCGTGGCTCTGGAGAGCATGCTCGTCCAACACCCGGACGTGCTTGAGGCCGGCGTCATCGCTGTCCCGGACGAGCAATGGGGCGAGACGCCCAAGGCGTACCTCACGGTCAAGGAAGGCCGGACGCTCGAGCCCCAGGCCATGATCCAGTGGGCCAAGAGCCAGAGCGCCATTTCCAAGTTCATGGTGCCTCGCGAGGTCGAGGTCGTGGACGAGCTGCCCAAGACCTCGACGGGCAAGATCCAGAAGAACGTGCTCAGGGAGTGGGCCAAGCAGGGCAAGAAGAGCGCCTGAGCAGGGAAGGAGCCTGCAGGATGTCGGCACGGGCGGCGCCATCTGATGATAGATAGCAGTGTAGATTTGATCGAGTTGTTGCTTGCAACATATTTGTCAGGCTGACATATGTGAAAGCGTCACATTCAGCATGCGATACTCATGTGTCATTCGCTCCCATTTGATGTTGTGAGCAGCGACTCTGACGTTGGTCGAGGACCGGGACCCAGGGAGCTCCTTCATCACAGCACACCCTCAAAGCTTTGTCTCTACAGTACCATGTATGGTCTCGTTCTGCGTGTTGGAGCATCGAAGCTTCCAAATGTACATGTTTCTGCTGAAACCAGACCCGTGGCCGATCTGGTAATAAGTTCAGCTCATAAAACCCAAGTCGGACTCAAGGTCAAGCCTCTAAACTAAGTAAAGACCCAAGAACACCCGCCTACGTCTCAAGCCATCCCTCTGGGATCGTGTACACCTTATACGCCTCTCCGTTTTTGCTGAGCAGGCACACCCGCGCAGGCATCTGGCTGCGACCCGAACACGCCGGTATGACCTCCATCTTCGCTGGCACAAAGAGGGGCTCCCCCTCTTTCGGTTGAGGTACAAGGATATTCGAGAACAGGCTCTCGACCTGCTCATTTGTGAAGCTGTGCGGCGCCACCGTCACGCCTTCGTTGTACTGGACGTAGCCAAGATCCTCGGCACGATATGGGAAGCGGATCAAGCGAAGAGGACTGCGCTTCGAGTCTGCTTGCAAGAAAGGAATTGGTGAGTATCACCTGCCAGAACCTGTGCGCAAAGAACGTTTCATCAGAATAAGAGCTCACCTTTATGGTCCCAGAGAATGAGAAGATTGTTTTCATCAAGGAACTTGAGATCGACAATGTGACCCTCGCCCAATGCTATCCTCGCAGCTTCGGGAACGACCGCACTGCTGATGCCGTTTACCACTGTTGTTGTGGTTCGTAACATGAAGACTGCGAGCTCCGTGTCAGCATAAATGGTGCTAAATTTGTCGCGTTGTTTGCGAACTAACCGGCGTTCTTCTCTTGCTCTGTTGTGACTGCGGCGTACGTGATAGCCTGAGTGGTACCCTGCAATATCGTGTCAATCGAGCCCAACTTTCAGTACAACAATAAAGTTCTTACCGGGTTGTCTTGCCGCGAGGTCGTCACACTGATTTCGCACTGAGAAATCTCCTGCCCGAGATCAATCTTTGTTGGTTGCCCGAAACGTACGCCTCGCTTCTTCGCTTCGGCTAAGCCTTGAAACACCAACTTTGCTTTGTCGTCAAGGTAGCTACACAAGAATTCGAGCCGCGGAATCACTGTGATCGGCTCTTGTCCTACTTCTTGTCTCTGGGTGTCTTTTGCTAGCAGATCGGAAACGGCACTGCCTCTTTCAAGCTGCTCCCTGGCCATCCTCGAATCGTCTGCAGACACGCTCTGTAAGTAGTGGCGCAGTGGGCTGGCAGATAGGTACTGGTCGATGTACGCGAGAATCTTGCCGTGCTCCATAGTCGCCTCCTTCTCCGACAGCTCGTCACTCACGGACGAGGATGCGAGCCGGTCGATCTCATGGCGAAGCCAAGCTGAGAAGGTTTGGAACAAGTCGAGCTCGTCCATGGTGAGTAGGAGTATCTTGTGTCCGACTTGAATCAGAGCCGAGACAATTTCCATGACGAGTGTGATTTGTGTGCTGGAGAATCCTATGTCGTCCCTCGACTCGTGGTATCGACTGATTCCGAGAAGACGACTCAGAATGATGCCTACTCTTTCCAGCGCCGGAAGCAGGTTTTCGTGTACAAGGCTCCGGAGTGATTGCAACCCAGATGTCACCGCCCTATCCCATCGTTTGTGTCCCTGCAAGAATGATTAGGGAACTTGCCGATCCATGCCAACGGTAACGCTCACTCACCCGTTCCGCCAGTTGATCGACCAGCCATTCTCGTACTTCTGGAAAGCTATGTCCAGTGACGACAGTGTGGTACAGGGCCTGGCCGATGCTCATATTGCCATACTTTTCAGATTCACTCAGTGTTTGATTTATGCTGTTTAGGAAACGTGACGGCAACTCTCGAGTCGACTGCCACTCATGCATCATGTGCATCTGTACTTGTCTTACGTATCGTAGAAGCTTCTGCAGAGTCGTTGTCTTCGATGCAAGAAGTGACAGGTCCTCCGCCGATGACGACAGAAATGTGAGATCCATCGGCACGATATACCTCTGGGTCTGGCTCGCTTCCCCGGCCGGCTGAAAAACCAGCATATGGGTTGACATGCTCGGATGAGCAGCATGGCGGCATAATTGCAATGCTCCGAGCAGACCTTGGGTCTGCGGAAGAAGGTATTTGAATGTACCGATTACAAAGGAGTCGTATATACTGAGGTGCACGCGGCCATCAGTCGTTCCGACTACCATGATATCAATGTTGTCGCTGTCCTCGGGACGGAATGGTCGAAACAAGAACTCGAGTGATGCTCTTGTGGTGAAGACAAACATGTCGTCTCTATGTATGATGTGAGAAACTCAACACGAGAGGGTTATTTCAAGTTCAGCAACTCACCCTGAGCCTCCCGAGGCTGGCAAGGGACTCAACTTTGGTAAGGAGGTTTCGACTTCAAGGAATGCAAGTTCGCGTGGCAGGTTCAGGGAAGACCTGCTCTTCACCGCATCCAGCTCGAGGTCTTCAAGTTGCTTCCAGGCATTGCTACTCAGATGCTTGGAGTTGGCTGCAGACTTTGTCCCTGTGTTGCAGGTCCATGCGATACAGGAAATCTCGGCCTTGCCAGACTCGCAGACGGTGATTTGATGAATGGCCTTGGTGGCCTCGAGGCCCATCAATCGCACAACACCATCGCTCCAGCCAACGGCAAGAAAGAGACCTGCCCACAAAGTTAGCAGAGTGATGCTGCGTGCAAGCGATCACGCAAGTACAGACCATCCGGCCTCCACTGTAGGGCATTGACGGTTTCACGGTTGCCCCGTTGAGCGTTTTTAGCCACGACCTGCCCATTGGAACGCCATATTTGTAAAGTGGTCGGACCAGAGGCACCAGCAAACAGCTCTATCCGAGGGTTGCTGCTTATCAAGCTTTTGTGAATAGGCGTGTCCAGACGGTGCTCATGAGCAGTGCTCAAATGTGTTGATAGTGCCATCGTGGGGTTCAGTCTCCATCAGAATCGGCGGCAATTGCAAGATTACGAGCACGCGCGTCATCATGCGTCGCGATCGCGTCTGGGAGTGCTCTGTCCCGGTCGTCGTGATCAGCTGCACTGCTCGTGCCCGAAATTTCATTCACATGCCGTGAGGTTTGCCGTTCGTGTTTGCAAAACAGTGTTGACGTGTCTGGAAGCTATTGTGCACCTTCCCACTTAACAGTGCAAGACTGTGCAACAAGCACGTTGAAACTGCCATACGCATGGCCAGGGTGCAGTCATACTAGGACCACCCGCAACTACTCCCAAGCAGACCCGCAAAGTCCTGCTCAAACAAATGGCTTGCTCACATGTGCCCATACCCCGGAACGACGGTTTAGATTTCGGCATTATGGGATTCGATTTTGTCTAACAGCCCACCAGATCTAAATCAAGGTGCCTTTTACTACATCTGCTGGTTTAAAGACCCTTCTCACGGCTCCGGAATCCATCCCTGAGCTGATTTTACTCGATGGAATAATTGTCGGCCACTGATTTGATGTCCTTGGAGAAAGTGACTTCCTCATTTTCCTCGATCAACGCCACAGATAGAACCTAAAATCATGTTAGATGCTGTCAGACCACTTGAGAGAACCTCGGGTCGTAGATTACTTACGTCGACATCCACAAAGGGGGTTGCCCTTGAGAACCTAATCTGCATAGGGAAGAACTCGTTCTCGTCATCAGCCTGGGCGTCGAACTCGAAGGAACCGGAGGCACTGTCGTCATTCACAGTGCCGATTGTCCACTCTAGGCTGTCCCCAGAAACCTCGTATGTGGCGTCAAAGCTGGATACCGAAGGTTCGCTTGTGGCATATGGAATGGTGACTGAAACATCACGAAGCTCCTCACCGCCCGTGAGCTCGTACTCGACTGTCATTGTGTAGTTGTTTCCTGAACCCTTGTTGACCCAGACGGTGAAGCTGATGGGCAACGCGCTCGTGTCATCTGTCTTCGGTGTGGCTCTCCACCGCAGCACACCAACTGAGTTGTTCACCGGAAAGCCTCGCGCAGTGTTGCTCATCTGGATCACCTTGCTGCTTCCAAACAGAGCACGGTCGACGTTTGGATGAGTGCGGAACTGTGCGCCATGCGACGGGTTTGCCGTGAGGTTCAGCTTAACCTTCGTCAAGCTTGCGTCCGAGATCTTAAGGTTCAAATCACCCGAGACCGAGAGCGAGTTGAGCGAGCCTTCCCGGGACAGCTTCGCGCTGATAGCTTCATTGACAGTAATGTGAATGGCATCACGATCCGCGGTCACCGAAGACCGAGAGGCGACAGGTTCAGCGGCTGTGGAGGCTGATGGTGCAGCGGGTGCAACCAAGGGCGTATCGTCAACCTCAGCGCCCAAGTCTCCGCGCACTCGCTCGAACATATCGTTGGTCTTCGACTTCTTGCCCAGCTGCATACCCTTGCCTTTGAGAGTAGGCCTGAAGTACACACGATATGTCAGTCTCTGTCTCTGAGTGCGAAATATAGGAGTATGCCATACTTGAATGTCTTGTTCTTCTCAGCCTCGTAGGAGTCAAACGTTTCAGCTGGAGTTGGCCGACTCGGAGGCGTGTATGTAGGGTAGTTGGGTGCTCTCGGGGCGGCGCCTCGTCCCGTTCTGGCAGTTTCTTTGCGCTGCATCTCGAGTTGTTTCGCCTTCCTCTTGCGTTCTTCTGTAGCCTCAAGTTCTTTGTTCTGAAAGGATGTCAGCATACACTACGTTTGCCGCAGATGTACATAGTACTGCATTGGTGCTGCCTTACCCTTGCAATGATTTCCTGGATCCGCTCCTCGTGGGACTCCATCTCGAGAAAGGTCTTGATCTGGCTAATAGTGAGGTTTTCCCGGTACCCAAGAGTGACCAGCTCGTCGAAGGCACTCAGAAGCTCGTAGGCATTGCGCAAGATCTCTCTCTCGTCCAAGCTCTTGCAGGTGCTGGTTACGACCTGTGCAAACAGGTGAAGGGAGTCGATGTCCTGGAGGATGTTGGACTGCCGATTCGTGATCAAGACCATGTATAATTCGTCGAGGGGCTGGTAGACGAAACGGACATTGTCCTGCTCGACCGTGGTGTGCTGTGTGCCAGAGTCCGCAAGCTTCGGGAAAGACGCCAGCAGCGCTTCGATGCGAGACCGGGGCATCTCGCGGAACTGCCTCGAGAGGACAGCTTTCCCGCCGCGAGTGCAGATGGAGGCGGCGAGGACAACCTAATGCGGTGACACGATAATGTTAGAAAGGGGGGAGCTCGAATCCACTGGAGATGCAATGCAGCTTACCATTGCGTAGTGCGATGAGTCGAACGGACTGGAAGCGGTGGATGAGGTGACGACGGACGACCTGCTCTGTAAGTTGCGGTCTCGAGAGCTTCAAGGGGATGGTTGTGCTTCTCGCATCAAGGCTCCCGGCGGCCGTTCTGGCGGGTTCAGGCCAGCGAGACAGGTGTCGATTGTCCTGAAGGTACACCCCACCTGCGTCTGGATGCCAGGGATGCGCAGGTGCCCGCCCGCCCAGCTTAAGAGTGGACCAGGGGCTCCAGGGCTCCTCACAAGCTGGCTTGAGTTAACCACTGGACGCCACAATTTCGCGGTCAAGCCACTTCTTTCTCGTCAGCCTGGAAGCTCGTGCTGGAGCGCAGTGTATGACAAAGTGGCTGGTGCGTGCCCGTACTCAACGGCTAATGTCACGGCCAGGCTCCACGCCAGGCCGCTAAGAGCTGGCGCCTTAATCAATTATTACCGTGTCTGCCTTCGACTGACGCGCTTTCAACCATCGGATCCACCAACATGGTATAATGAGACTACGTCTCGGCCACTCCTTCCAGCATAGCGGGTTGACGAGTGCATACTCTTGTACAGGAGCAGCTCGATCCAGATGTCCCATATTGCCTCGACTATATCCATCTGACACGCCGGCATTTGCGAGATTGCGACACACGTAGCATCACGATCGCCAACGGAGCTTCTTTCCAAGCTGCCGTACCAACGCGGTCGCCTGCGGCTTTTAGCCACAACCGGTTTGCGCCATCAGATATCATTCCTCACCGTTGGCAGCTTCTAAAGCTCTAGACAGAGGCAAGGGAGGCGTGCGCCAGTGTTGGACGACCAGGTTGCTGCAACGCCATCGTGGATAAACTACAACGAACCGGTCTCTTTCCAAGACAGGTTGATTATTGTGCCTGACCGAGCCAGCTCACAACATGCCCGGCGAGGAGATGGACATCATGACAGATTTTGGGCCCGCGGGGCTTACGGAGGACATTGATATCGATCTCGATCTAGCTGCCGCTACCCATCCGGACGAAGACCTCGAGCTCGACGACTTTGACCACTCAGCTGACCTCCAACTCTTCAATTCTGATGGCCGAGACGAACTCATGGCTGAGGGCGATGATGCCTCCTACGGCATGGTTGATGCAGACGACGTCGAGCATGCGGAGACGATGGCCACGACTGACGACATTGACATCGACCTTGTCGCGGTCGAGAGCGATCCCCTGTGGCATGGCGATGGCGCAGGCACAACATCCACGTTACAAATGGTGCAAGAGATCGATTTTGTGGATGCGGACAAGGCCAGCGAAGGCATACAAGATGTAGTGCCCCAGCCTATTTCAACCAACACGGGCGACAACCTAGCAGCTGAGGCAACAATAAATGGATGGCAGGATCACGAGGGCACGGCAACCACTTCGCAGCTGCCAAACGTCGAGAATGAAGAAGCGGAGGACTACCAGCACGATCCAGAAGCTACTGGCGACCGTGCGCCTGGCACATCCGACCTCAACTCATCAGAAGCCTCTGGCGATGGGAGTTTAGCCACTGTTGTTCCTCAGAAAAACCCAGTCACTTTCGGCGAGAAGGGATCTACGCCAATCACCTCTACCGAGAACGCGGGTGAACAGACAGGCAGTGCTGAAAGTCCTGATGTCATTGTTGGTTCAAGCCTCGATTACACTGATAAGCCCGAGACGCAGCGGTCCGGCGAAGATGGAGAGGAGGCGCATCATACATCCAGTCATGACGATGATGATTACGATACCGAACTTGCTGTGCCAGGAGATTCCTCGAACCCCACTGAGCAGATTTCTGACGTCCCTGACCTTGCAGCGGATGAGGCTGAGATAAACATCAACGACACTGCACAGGCTGCAGTGGACCATGTGGAAGGACTACAGCACGCTACAGATTCCATGACGGATTTCGCCTCCTTAAAAGCGCCCGAGAAACCGGATGACATTGACAATTTCGGGGGTGATGATGAAGCCGCGACACCCAACAACACTAATTCTACCGACGCCGGCGTACGCAGCCATGAGCAGGAGCAGCGCGAACCCCTCAGTGACAGAGACTATGAAGGTCAAGAGGAGCATGCTCCGGAGTTGCCCACTGACTTTGCTGTTGCCGAACTGCATACTGAGCTCGGACAGAGTCTTGACATGATGATCTCCCGCCATCGACCTGTTATCTCTTACAAACGGACGGATTATAGTCTCCTTGCCGAGTCTGAGAGCGATGACCCGGATAGTTATTTCTTGAAGGATAGCGCTGCTCTAGATACACCGCTCGACCAGTTCCTCGCGGCTTTGCGACAGGTCATCTCAGCAGAGATATCGCCCCTCGACGAGCTTGTGCTATATGTTGATGGGCTTGGATTGGAATTTGCCGAGGTGCGTCGAAGTCGTTCTTCATTTGTTTTTCTTATTGCTAACATCGCCATAGTCATCCGCTCTGAGCTTGCTGAGCGAGCACACATACATGGAGCTTCTCCAGCTCTACGACCAGCTGACACACAACGACGGGGCTGAGACGGTGCCGCCTTTTTATGCCTACCTGTCTGTCCGACCCAGTGGGGCGCAACGGCTCCTTGCGCTTCAAGAAAGTGCCAAGGCCGGCCATGGTCTCTCACAGGTCGCCGTTTATCGGGAGTTTACTCCTGATGAAGATCTGGAGGAGTTGCGATCCCAAAGTGATTTTGACCTTCCTTCCGATCACCGGGAACAAGACGATGAGGACGCAGAGTCTGAGCATCATGATTCTCCGGTGGAACATACACATACAGAAGAGTCTTTTGTTGCACGTGAAATGGAGCATGCAGCACACACGGGCGAGTCGCCACGGAACGATGCAGGAGAAGAACCCGATGCGCCTGCCGAGGACAATCCAAGCACGGATGTGCAGCAGGTGCAGGATGAGTTTGATGACGAGCTGGATTTGTCACCAACACACCAAGGTTCGTGCTTGACTTCGGTCAACTTCCCCACAGTAACTTCGAGCCACAGCTTACACTTCTTCAGATGACATTGTCGTCGCCCTGCTGGACGACAACCACAGCACAACGGCTAAGGGTGAAGTCCAAGTTGAAAGCGACCACATCGATGATCTAGCCAACGAAGCATCAAGCCGGGATGTTGATGGTACACCGTCGGCTAACACGAGCGCAACGGTCACAGCTGATGGTGGTGAGCATGGTGAGCATGATGAGATTGGTTACACCGACGACGAAGATGAGGACGCCTCCCAAGACCAGCCAAACGGGACCAATTCCGCAGAGGCGGAAGTCAGTCTGAGCTTGCTCGAAGTGCCGCCGCCACCACCACCACCAGACGATGAGATCACGTGGGAGTCTGATCATGAAGAGGAGGCTGTCGACGAGGGCAAGTCCGGTCCGGTACAAGTGTCACCGGTAGCTGGCAAGCGCACAAGATCGGATTCGATCGACGTCGCTGACACGAACGAACAGAACGGTACGTGGTCTCGTGCAAAACAGAATCCGTCGGCGTTGGCTAACACCGAAGCAGATGTCAAGCGACAGCGCTCTTGATCGCTTGTGGTCCTTGATTGTTGCTCCTTCCTTCTGTCTTGACGCTGGAACCAGCCCTCTACCCACAGCCATGATCTCTACTCACGACACCGTGCGCGATATTGCCAGGTGTCGACTCCCTCTGCAGCTTCGATGCAGGTCCACAAACACTACTAACCCTAGCATACAAAGCACCACCCATCACCGTCGGTCGCACAGTCCGAGATGTCCACCGTAAGTGATCAACTACTAACTCCAGGTATGCGATGCTTCGTAACTGCCGTCGAAAAGCGCCTGGTGCGGCGTGGGCCAGTGCGTCGTCATCTTTGACCGATTCCAGCGATTTCACCCAAAAGGTTCGATACCCAATTTGGCACTTGGTTGCAATGCAAGCTGCTTTCATATTTCGTATTTCGTCTTTCTGTACAAAATGTTGCGCAACATGGCATGTGGCTGCCTGTCGCCCTTAATGTAGACTTACAATGGAGTTGGGAGTCTTTGGTACGAAGACGTCTTCTGCACTAGCAGAATCAAAGGACCACAGCCGACTCGGCGGGGCAATGGGCGTTTCACAAGAGCGCTTTCGGGTCATGACTAGTTTAGCGATATGTGCAGCCCGGGCATGCGTAATCACCTCAATTTAGGCCATCGACAATGCCAGCTCTGCATGTTGGAAGCGTGAGTCGAAACTGTCTGGCACCCTAAGATGGTGGCACCCTGCAGGACCCTCGACTCACTAGTCAGGGGCACGAGTGCGCGGGGTTCTGCATAGTCGCCTTCCTTGAGGCTTCGAACTGGCAGACTAGACTTTGCGCATTTCCAGCTAGTCCAGCCTGGGCCCCTGCGGCTTTGCCAAGGACACCCAAAGGCAGCGCATAGGCGAACATTGCAGTCTGGAATCCATCGCGCGCCAGGAGTTTTTCGTCGCGAGAGCTGCTGTGTGAAGAGCCAAGGAAACACGATATTGATGCTCAGCCAAAGGTCAGGAATGAGTGATCGACGAGCCCGCCCTAGATTGGGAGTGCGTGCCGTGGGCAGGGGGGGTCTGAGTCCGGCAGACTGGTCTGAGTGGTGGGCGTTACGGCGTTGTGTCCATCAATGCCGGCGGTCAAAGACTAGGTAAGCAGCCTCTCTGACATCACGATGCTCGTGTTTCCTCAAGAGGGGGCCTTGCTTGCCTGACTCGATGGCGTGCTCGTAACGTCCCGCCTGGGCCCGTCCTGTCAGGTGCTGTGTCCAGTTCTAAAGTTGTCGACCGTGTCAGCATATTGAGGAGCGGCCCATGGTATCCACATTGGTGTTTCTGGTGGTTGAGACCCCTGCGTGGCGACTCCACGCGCTCCCGTCATTGTCCACGCAAGCCAGATATGCAGGTGCTGACGGGGGCCGGCGGCCGTCCAGCAGCAGTGGAGCCACAAGGAGCATGTCGATGAAGCGAGCGAGAGAATATGGGCACGGGTGCTCCCCTCGCGCTCCCCACGTACGTCTCGTGCTTGGGCGTGCCTTGAGTGCCTCGAGTACCATGCAGGTCTGTGGGCGCGCATGCTACGTAGCAGGCGCCGTTCTATGCTGTCTGCCAGGGGTTGCTGGACGAGGATGCCCGCGCCGTTTCTTGTCTTGCTTTGCAGCAAAAGGCAAGACAAACAAGTATACACAAAATTTTATTTCAAAAGAGGCTCATTGTGTGTCGGAGTGGTGTGTGGAGCATAGACGCGTAGAGTTCGGAACGGGCTCTTCAGGTACCCCGAGCAGGTTGAAATCTTGTCGAGTGAGGCTGATGGCCTGCCTGGACCTAAACTGGGACGTGGGCTGGGCTGGGCTGGGCTGGGAGGTTAGCATGCCTGGGCTGGGCTGAGCCGAGGGAGTCTCGACACCCAGATAGTGGCCACCCATGGGATGCCAGGGGTGCGCCGGGGTGGACGGAGGCTGGCCTGATTGCCCGTTGGTGCAAGTGCTCCCTCCAGTGGAGGAGGGACCGGAGCGGCCTGGGGCTGTGCAGGCGCCTTTAGGTGAAGCGCCAGTGGACGTGTCCAGATGGCCCGTTCCCATGAAACAGCCCTCCACGACGACTCCGTTATACCGTCCAATGCCCACCCATTCGTTGCGTTGCGCCTGCCCAGCCAGCCAAGATCGGCCTGGTGCAATCTATCCCGTCTCCCCAGCATCGTCTCTCTCCCATCCTGCCAGCCACCCAGATCGCCCTCTGTTGACCACGCTGTCGCAAGCCCACACGCTCATTCCAGCATTCGCTACGGCCTCGCCGCAGACAGCGCCTCCGCCATCCTGCCGTCAGCTTGTCTTCAACCCCCCGTGTTCTGGCCCTCCGCCCAAGTAGGCGCCTACGACCCTGGCTTCTGGCGCGCGCAGCTACCACCACTCTCTCCGTCGCAATCCCTCGCTCGCGAAACAGCGGCACCACGATCTCACGAGTACAACGAGAGCACACGACTTCAGCTGTGGCCCCCGGGGCGTTCATGCAATCGCTGTTTCGGTCACCTCGCTTGACACTGCTTCCTCCAGCTTACGTGGCGGAAGGGAGGCTTTGAGGCTCAAGGGCGCACACCTGTATGCCGGTTCTCTAGAAGCGCTTCAACGACTCCATTGTTAGGAACCTCGAACGAACATTGCGGCCGCACCACCGAACCTCGAATATCTCAACAGGTCGCAATTCGTCCTCCGCTGTCGGTCCGCTCCCGCGATTCGCCGCAACTTGACAACTGCGGCGCAATACAATCTGCAGTGAAGAAACACGGCTCAAAGGACTCGCTGTCAGCAGCAAGCTCTGTGCTCGCCAGGCGCGAGCCTCGTTTTGTCCGACTCTTGAACTCGTCCTTGTCCTTTGTCTTTTGATTACCTGCATTTTCCGCCATCGGCCACAAATCGCCAAGATGATGTTAGACGAGAAGTATGTCATTGACAACCACATCCATGCTGGGCGAAACCGCGCTGTGGTCTGGTCTTATACGAGGAAAACCTGTGCTGACTTGACTGCAAAGATACATTGGGCTGGGGCTAGCCATTTCGTCCAGTTTGGCGATCGGTACGTCTCACATGCTTGGTGCAACGCCTACCTTGTTGCTCACGCTAATCTCTGAATCTAGGTACGAGTTTCGTGATTACGAAAAAGGTACGACCGGACGCGAGCGAACGCCTCACACCTGTGCTCTCCATCCACCCGGAACTGACGAGATGAATAGGGTTTGATACAAGCGGAAGAGAAGCATGGCTTTTCTGGTGAAGGTTTCGTCTATCTAAAGAGCCCAATATGGTGGGCTGGCATCATTACCAGTAAGCATACAATCCACCTGCATTGTTTTCTTTAGTGGCAGTCGCTTACCATTGTGGCGTGAGCAGTGGTCATCGGAGAGATTTGCAACTTCGCCGCATACGCCTTCGCCCCGGCTATCCTCGTTACTCCATTAGGAGCGCTGTCGGTCCTGATCGGCGCTGTTTTGGGATCCTATTTCTTGAAGGAGGAGCTGGGCGTGCTGGGCAAGCTCGGATGCGCCATTTGTCTCCTGGGCGCCATCGTTATCGTCCTCCATGCCCCTCCCGACGAAGACATTCAGACCATTGACGAGATCTTGCAATATGCCATACAGCCTGGTGAGTATCAGAACAGGTTTCGCCAGTCGTGCATGTGGCTAACGGCTTATTCTCAACAGGTTTCCTCCTATACTGCATGGCAGTGACTATCTTTGCGACCATCATGATCTACAAGGTAGCGCCTGTCCATGGCAAGAAGAACCCATTGATCTACTTGTCCATCTGCTCGACCGTCGGCTCTGTCTCTGTCATGTCGGTCAAGGCTTTCGGCATTGCCCTGAAGCTTACCTTTGCCGGCAAGAACCAATTTACGCACTCGTCGACCTATGTCTTCATGATCTTGACGACGGTCTGCATTCTCACGCAGATGAACTACTTTAACAAGGCTCTCAGCCAGTTCTCAACCCAGATGTAAGTCATGTTTGGGCCATAGTCATGATGAGGTCTACGTTGTGCTAATCAAGTTCGCTGGTTAGTGTTAACCCGCTGTACTACGTCACCTTCACTACCGCCACTCTTTGCGCGTCCTTTATCCTGTTCTCTGGCTTCAACACGACCGATCCGACCAACACAATCTCTCTCCTCTGCGGCTTCCTCGTGACTTTTACGGGCGTCTACTTGCTCAACCTCTCGAGACAAGATCCCAACGGAATCAGGATGCTTGCTGGCCAGCACTCGGATGTAGGAGGAACCGACATGGTTTCCAGCATCCAAACACGGCTCAGCATGCAAGCACGACGGAGCAGCGTCGGTAGCCGTGGCCACACAGACCGCGATGGCTTGATGCGGGCATATGATGAAGAGGCTGCCAATGGCGGGTATGACCTTGACGACCTCGCTGAGGACAGCGACGATGAATCGAAGGGACAAAATGGCCACACACCGGTGAATGCGACACGCCGTTGATTGGGGCGAGCATGGTTAAAAAAGACATAGGGTTATCTCAACTGTTAGTGCCCGCCATCGGAGTACTCGAACAAGGTACATACCAGAGCGAAAGATGGCACGTCTCAATACGCCTATGCATCGTAACTCCGCCTCTGGGCATGTGTCGCTTCAATTCTCGAATATTTCTCAGGCTGGTCTTGGGTACACCGTTAAGAATAAGGCATGCGAAGGGGGCTACAAAGCTGAGCTCGCTCACATATGCCCTTGCAGCGGGCGCAATGGGCGCCGCTGGCTCACGCCGCGCATGATGACTTGATTGGAGTTATTGGGCTGTGGTTGATGCAATGGTTGGAGTCCGGCGTCAAAGCTTGAAGCAGCGAAATGAGCATTTCGAGGGCATGCCGGGCCGCGCGAGCGGCTTGATTGACTAACTTGGTCCACTAAATTGAGAGGCTCGGGACACGAAACCCAGAGCTCAGAAAGCACGGGGAAACATACACGGCGTTAATGGCGAAAAAAGTTCGAACAAGCACGGCTGGTTAGCCCGTAGCATCTGTGTAGCATTGTATCATAATAGGGCCAGGCGGTATCTGTTGGCAACGGCGGGCATCTATTCACAAGTTTGGAAGCTGATATGCATACGTTTCATGGGAGTGTCCATTTATAGCATGCCGTGCAGGTCCAGAAATCATAGACTGAAAGCATGACAGATTTTATTAATCAAATGGGCATGGATGACGGGCACCTGGCTCTTAGCGTGTATGTCACAAGCCGAATGCCAATGGTCACCTCATGGGTGACTTGTCCACACCTGTAATCCAAACCAAGCTCAACTCAATATCTAGGAGGTGAAGTGGCCAAGCCCCATGAGAAACATCACATCTATGTCGAAACCATGTATTGTGGCGGTATCACACATATCACCTTCAACAAGAGACCAATCGTTTCCAAATGTTTTTGGCTCATCTTTCATTCCTATCAAAGACTTTCTTTTTTTGTGTGGGGTATCAAGGAGGTCCAGCACCGACCGCCTCGAAAGAAAAGAGCTGGAGGCATGTTCCTTTAGTAGCAGCAAGATCAAACGCCGGCTAGTCTACTCTCTAGACTAGACGCGTCAAATACGCTTGCAAAAAAAGAAAAACACATCTACTGCTCCTCGGCAGGGGCAGCCTCGGCACCCTCCTGCTCCTCGGCAGCGCGGGCGGCCTCGGCGGCAGCCTGGGCCTGAGCGGCCTTGGCGCCGTAGTCCTGGGACATGGGCTGGACGACGGTGGACTCCTCCTTGGGCTCGATGATGGTGACGGCGTCGGGGAGGGACTTCTGGGGGCCGGCCTTGCCCTCGGGGTCAGAGCCGCGCATGATCTTGACCTTGATGCCGAGGACACCCTGGCGGAGGAGGACGTGGCGGGTGGCAGAGTCGATGAAGTCGCGGGCGGGCTGGCCAGAGTGGATCATGAAGCCGTCGGTGAACTTCATGGACTTGGCACGGGCGGCGCGGAGCTTGCCGGAGACGACGACCTCGCAGCCCTTGGCGCCGGACTCCATGATGAAGCGCAGGACACCGTAGCAGGCGCGGCGGACGGCGAGGCCATTGAGGAGCTTGTAGCGGAGGGACTCGCACTGGGCGACGGCGGACAGGCCGCGGTTCTGGACCTTGGCGGCATACAGGGAGACGCTGTTCTCGGGGAACTTGAAGCGCTTCTGGATGAGCGAGGTGAGCTCGCGGATGCGGCGGCCCTGCTCGCCGAGAACCTCCTGGGTGTGGGTGGCGCGGATGATGATGTCGGTCACGGTAGGGGTGACGCGGACCTCCACGCCAGAGTAGCCCTCCTCGGCCAGCTCGCGCTGGAAGAACTCGTTCAGCTCGGCGTAGAAGACACCATCGGCCACGAACTTTCTCTTCTTAGAGCTACACGAGAGAGAGAAAGGGCGAGTTAGCCAGAGATTCTTTTGCAACTGCTGCTGTTTTTACCCCCCATCTCCCGCTTTCTTGCTCGCACAATCCGTGATCTCCTCTTTTGACTTTCTTTCTTTGGGCACTCTGCCGCCATCGTCCTCCACGAACGAAATCTGTCCCGGAAATTTCCCAAAATGCGCCGGCGGGTGGGGGAGGTTGTCGACTTACATCTGAGCACCGGCAGCGGCAGCCATTGTGAATGATGCTTGTCTGAATCGACGGGAGAACTGGTGGTGTCGATGGGTTTGGCGGCGGAGGGGTGACTTGGCGGAAGTCTGGCGGTTGTCGACAGTAATGCTGCTGGTTTGTATCAAAAGACTCTCCGGGAGGGAACACACTCTCTGGGCAACAAATTGGTGGGGAGGGTCCGCATCGTGCAGCACCGTGCTGCGCGGCACTGTCCGTATTTTCTCGCGATTTTGGGCATTCGGTTAGGTTTTCGCAGATTTGTGTGGTGTGTGCTTTTGGTTTGGCAGGTCGCCGGCATTACCTAAGCACCGGCTCCCTATCTTATCGCCTGGCTTTGGGCAAGTCCAAGCCCCACGTTGGCCCGCCCGACAAGATCGACCTGGAGATTCAAGGTTGCCCAGGTGGCTCCACATGGGTTTTCCCTGGTCACGGGCATCTGTCCGATACCTCAGGCAACCTGACAAGCACAAAAAGCATGGCATCTGGTGCGGATGTCAAGCTGGCCTTGTTGTTCGTTTGTGCGATGCGATGACTCTGTATGGGCATATGAGATTGACCAAGAGCTGCTCTATTTGAGGTCTTTGTGAGTGAGGTCTCGTTGAGAGGAGTGAGTGTCTGATAAACGACTGCGCCGTGGTCTTGAGTAAGGGCATGTGATTGCCTGTGCCAGCCGTTGCATGGTCCCAAGGTAAAGCAAGTCCAGTACTTTATAATGTGCTACCCCACAGCGCGGGCGTCGAGGTACCCGTGCCCCTCCAAGGCCGTCTGGAGACCTGCCCAGGTGATGCCGCTAGCGCGCCTGCGATGACGGCAGCAGCGCCGTTGGTTGGCCTGCGACACTGGCTGGACCTGGTGAGCTGCCACTCCCATTCCTCGAGCGCATCGTGACCTGCCTCCTCAGTCCAGCGCATCAACAGCAACGCGGACTCGCACAGCGCCGTCGAGTCGTGTATAGCACAGTCGTGAGCAGGAAGGGGTTCTGGAGCCCTGCGACCGGCGGCTTTGAGGCTCGACGCTGGTGATCCTGCCATCGCCGTTGCCCTTCTCTTTCTTGGGAGCAGCTCCGGCCACCATCCCATATCCCTGCATTCCTGGTGCAGTTCAACATCCGATCTCCACGTTCAAGGGCACCTCGCCGCTCTCGTCCTTCCGGCCTGGCGACACCCACCGCCAGGACGGACTGAACGACATGCAGATCAAGAAGGTACGTTCTAGCAGCGCACATCTTGACAGCTCCTCCTGCTGTTACAGGGCTTCTTGGTACCATCGCGCCGGGACTTGCAAGGCGGAAGGACCGGGAGACGGAAGTGCGGCTGACCGACGGCACCTTAATTAGATCCCCAACGTCGACGCCATTCGGGGCGGCGACAGATACTCGAGCGAACTCCATCTTACGGACCACCACTTGATCGTGGTCATACATCCGAGCAAACCACCTGACGGCGCTGAGGTGCCTTCGAAACCACAGAAGCCCCGTGAGCTGTACATTGCCTACCCGACAATCGACAAGTGCATCTTCCGCCCATGCCCCAGCGTCTCCGGGCGTCCGTCATCTATCCGGCTCCGCGGCAGAGACTTTGTCTTCATCAACTTCAACTTCACCGACGAACTCCAGGCCAGAGAAGCATTCGAATGGATACGGAACCGTACTTGCCGGCTTGGCTCCATCGAGAAGCTATATGCCTTCTCATACCAACCGCTGAAGCAAGAACGGCACCTGAACGGCTGGCAGCTCTACGACCCTAAAGCCGAGTTTCGACGCCAAGGCATTAGCACCAAATCTGTCGACCGAGGCTGGCGCATCTCCTCGTTGAACAAAGACTATGCTTTCTCTCCGACCTATCCCGGCATGCTGGTGGTTCCTTCACAGATATCCGATAACGTCATCAAGTATGCGGGTGCCTACCGCTCACGACAACGCATACCTGTTCTCACATATCTCCACTCGTTGAATAACTGCTCGATTACACGGAGCTCCCAACCCCTGGTCGGTCTTCGCGGAAATAGAAGCATACAGGATGAGAAGCTTGTGAGCGCCTGTTTCTCTGCCTCCGCGACTGTCGAGTTTAACGAACTCGAACCTCCAGCGAGTGAAACAGCAGAGCCCAGCCCTGCCTCGAGCCAGATTGACATTCGGGTCAGCAGCTTGAGCGCTGATGGATCAGACACGGAAAGGCTCGAGGATGAGCTGCTTGCAGCCGGTGACCCTAATTATGATCCGCAGACGGGAAAGCGTGTGATATTTGGGGCACAGCAGAGCAATCTCATCGTGGATGCCCGCCCTACAGTCAACGCGGTCGTGATGCAAGCCATGGGCAAGGGATCTGAGAACATGGACCACTACGACTTCGCCAAAAAGGCCTATCTGAACATTGAGAATATCCATGTGATGCGCGACTCGCTCAACACTGTAATCGACGCCATCAAGGATGGTGACATCTCGAAGCTACCACCGAACCGGGAGCTGCTGATCAAGAGCAATTGGCTCAAGCATATTGCTGGCATTCTCGATGGGTCAGCTCTAATAGCACGCCAAGTGGGCATTAGGCACTCCCACGTTCTGATACACTGTTCCGACGGATGGGATCGCACAAGTCAACTCTCGGCACTTTCGCAGCTTATGCTCGATCCCTTTTACCGTACGATCGATGGCTTCATAATCTTGGTTGAGAAGGATTGGCTGTCGTTTGGCCACATGTTCCAACAGCGAGCCGGACTTCTCAATCATGAGAAGTGGTTCGTCGTGGAGAAGGATGGCATGGCCGGCTCAAGCATACAGCCCGGAGAGGCTGACGGTCGTGCCAGCGAGGCATTTGACAATGCGTTGGCCAGCGCCAAGAGGTTCTTCAATCGCAATCGGAGCCCTGACATGAACTCGGCAGACCCCGACGTCGATGGAATTGCTTCAGGAGAGGAGACTCCCCCGACCAAAGCAACCGTTGCTGCTGAAATTAGTGGTGTGACCAAACCCAACGAGATCTCGCCCGTCTTCCACCAGTTCCTCGATGCCACATTCCAGCTACTACGGCAATTCCCAAGTCGTTTTGAGTTCAACGAGAGATTTCTGCGGCGACTTTTGTATCATCTCTACGCTGGCCAGTATGGTACGTTCCTCTGGAACAGCGAGAAAGCGCGTCTCGACGCCCGAGCAACTGAGAGGACGCGGTCGGTGTGGGACTACTTTTTGTCCCGCAAGGCAGAATTCACCAACTCGGACTACGATGCCACCATCGACGACCGTCAGAGTGGACGTGAAAGACTTCTGCTGCCGAAGCTCAGCGACGTTCGGTGGTGGGCATCTGCGTTCGGCCGCTCAGATGCAGAGATGAACGATTACCTGGACCAAGCTGCTGCCAGGGACGAGAGGATAGGCAGCTATGCCTTGGCTGGGAATGCGAACCCGATGAGCTCGTCCAGTAGCTTCGACAATGGTAACCGCTCTCCGTACCCTCCCGCAAGTCCGAAACCACCGGGGCTTCCTCAGCACAACAGCGTCCTCACAGGTGTGGAATCCGCCCACCAGGCCCTTACACCGAGCCTGAAGCACAGCGCCAGCGCGGACTCGCCCAATGCCTTCACGACGAATCTCGCCAAGCTCAGAGACGGCGTGGCCGGGTTGGACCTCGGACGCGGACTGTTTGGAGGTGGTGCAGGGAGCGGTAGCGCCAACAATGCCAACTCTACACAGTCCAGCGAGGAGATGAGCACAAATCCACGAAGGACACCCCAGCGGATACCGCAGGAATTGGGAGACATGTCACCCTCGCCGAGCGGTGGTGTCGGTGTCAGTGCCAGTGCCAACTCTGGAGGCAAAGAGCCTGCGGCTCTGGAAATGAGCTAGAAGACGCGATCTTGATTTTTTGAACGTTGATGTAGACGAAAAGGGAGATAGAAGCCAAGATACCAAGCAAAGCGAACCATCATCTTTGTGTTTGTAATGCTGCTGTTGTTGCAAGATGCACCATTGTGCGTGACTATATGACAGGGCATCAACTACAAGTTCGAGGGACTTATTATCACTGGAAGCCACGGAGCCACGCGTCAACTCCCGGACTGATAATTTAACTGTCTTTTATTTATTGAGCCAGCTTACACCTGGCAGTCTAGTTCCAAGTCCTTAAACGGAATCCACGACTAAGCTCTTTCCTTGACCTTTCATTTTCCAGCCGCCCACGAAACCTTCCAACAAAGACTCTTAACTCTTATCAGACGCAAATCTATAGGAAGACCTCGAGGTTGATCTCGAGCGTGCTGACGGGGTACCGGAGCTCAAAGTTCTCGAGCACAGTGGGGTGGAGGATGCCAAACTCGCCTATCCGGCGGGCCTTGCCGTCGATGCGGAGGTAGACGGCGGCGGCGCGGCCGGGGAAGAAGGTAGGCTCGTCGATGGGCTGGAGCCAGTAGCCGTCGCGGCTGGTGTGGTCCTGGCGGACCTCGAAGTCGAGCGACTTCTCCGTTGCGAGGCCCTCGTCCGAGGTGAGGAAGCCCTGGCGGAGCATGAGCATGACGCGGTCGAGCAGGCCGTGGACCTCCTCGAAGCCGCTCGTCTTGCCGTACCAGGCGGCGCTGAAGTGGCGCTCGTTGCGGGCCTTGCGCTCGAGCGCCTCGTCCTTGAAGACGACGTCGGAAGTCTCAAACACCTTCATCGGCACGCTGTGGTACTTGTTCTCGCGGATCGTCTTGAGCAGGCCGGGGACCAGCGACGTCCGCACGATCTGGTACTCGGCGGTCTTGGGGTTCGCGAGGCGCACGCAGGTCTTGCCGTCGTCCTGGCGGTTCAGCCAGGCAAAGTTCTCGTCGTGGCTGCACAGGATCAGAGGCATGACCTCGGACCACCCAGCCATGCCGCTCTCGAGGCGCACAATGTCGGCCAGCTTGTTCATGGTGAGTGGAGCGCCGACAGTCTTGGTCACCGACATGCGAGGCAGCTTGTTGAAGCCGTACGCAATGCCCAGGTCCTCCATGACGTCGCAGCGCTGGAGGATGTCGGCTCTCGTGGGCGGCACCGAGACATCAATCAGGCCGTCTTCGCTCGAGGGCTTGGCGGACAGAGCCATCTTGGTCAGGAGCTTGCAGATGTTCTCGACGGGCTCGGAGAGACCGAGGCAAGCGTTGAGATAGTCGATCTCAACCTTTTGTGTCCGCGACTCGAGATTGGGGGTGATGCGGGTCTGCTTGTTGTGTTCTGAGATGATCTTGACGGGCTCGATGGTGAAGGGCTCCTCGGCATACGCTGAGAACATGGACACCATCATGTTGATGACAATGTCGAGCTTGGTGGCATCTGTCGCTGTGCACTCGATAAAGACATTCTTGCTGTCGACTGTGATCTTGGAGTGGTCGCCGTTGATGATGGGCGGCAGCGAGCAGACGGTGCGCTTGGAGTCGTAGATGACGGGGTATACGGGCTTGTCGCGGATGATGTGGAGGAATTTGCCGAGGTGCCTGTCCTTGTCGTAGAACTCCATCAGCTCCTCGGCATTCATCTCCTTGGTCTGGTTGAGCGGCGTAAACTTGATGTCCTTGGGCGGGAGGGCTTCGTAGGTGAAAGGGCCCTGCAGGGTGTCGAGGTCGTGGGTGCCGATGGCGACGAGCGTCCTCTGGCGAGCCAAGTTCTGGTGAAGCTTGTCCTGGAGGGCGATGAAGGACTCGTAGCGCTTCTTGGTGAACTGGACGTTGCGCAAGATGGCACCGGCGACGAGCGGGCGGACCTTTGTGGTGTCCTCGGAGACGGTGATGGTCTGGAGCTGGCCGGACGCGGGCTCGACAAGGCGGAACTTGGGGGTCTCCTGCTTCTGGAGGAAGATCTTGAGCATCAGGGCGATGCCCTCGAAGCACAACATGTCGTAGCGGTTGGCCGGGATCTCAATCTTGAGCTGTGGCGGCTCCTGCACGCCATCGACTATGGGGCGCTCGTCATTTTCGGTGTCTTCGTCGAGCTCGATGCCAAATTCGAAACACAGGGCCTCAAACTCCTCGGTCGTGTATCTGCCCAAGAGCTCCAGTCAGCGTCCCGTGGGCAATGAAGCGATCTCGCAACAGAAAGAGCGTATTTGGTCCTGTGCCTGCTGCCAGGGCGGGGCAGGGGACGTACTTTTGACCGAGGGCCTCGAAGAGGTCGTACTTGTCGACGGAGATGGTGGGCATGGCGGCTCTCTGGTGCGCGGATCTGGGGTGCCCTGCTGGATTGTCAAGAGGCGGCGTATGTGTCGGGTGGTTGTCTGTCTGTTGCAGCAGATCACAGCGCGGCAAGCAGCCTGTCTCTCTGTCAGTCTGTCTGGCTGTTTGGCCGGCGGTGGTGGGGTTGATGCGGGCTTGCTTGAGTCACTCGAAATATTTCAGCGACTGTCGGAGCCGGCAGGCACCCCACCATCCAGGGACCTTTTCAGTGTCCCGCCTCCAGCCAGGAACCGCCAACTCGGCACTCCCAAACGACGAGCACGGGGGTCTTAATAGCACGTGGCTTGTCTGGCTTTTGGATGCATTGTTTGAAGCCCTTTTTCCTCTGCTAAGATGACTCGATATCCGGGGGAGGACTGCTCTGCATCAGTGCAAGTCTGCGTATCGCACCCAAGTAAACCAACCAAGACGCTTGATCTGATTGGTCCATATTCGCAAAATCTCCCCTCATTGGTCACTTTGTCTGGGACCCTGAGAGCATCAGGCATGTGTCGTCAAGGTTATTTATCGATCATCCACGTCGGAAGCTCGTCCCGGTCCATGTAGCCAATGCAGCCATGTCAGAACGTTGGTAGTCGTTCGAATAACTCCGTGAATCACGGCAGCTGGTTGTTGACTTGTTGCAAATCGTGTCAGGCCCTGTTTTGCTTGGATATACAATCGGCTTGTCGGTCTCTTTCTGGCCAGCCCTATCAGCCCTGGTGGTTATATGCAGAAACGTGATCGGGGAGAAAAGAGACCTGCAAGCCAGCCGATTGGGGCATACGCGTGGAAGGTGAGAAGCTCAAACTAATTAGTTGAGAACCTGAGCTGGATTGACTGCTCCATACCGACCAGAGTATCATGCAATACACCATCATAGCACCCACAACTTTATGGCGAGATCATTTCAAGTCGAAAGGCGAATTTGAAGGCAAATGAGCTTCCGCATGACTGCAATATCTCAATAACAACCTTCTGCAATGTTACAATGACCTCGGATTCCATTGGCCCTTGCTGTAGCTTTTGGTCGTCGCCGGCTTGGTAGCCGTCGAATATTCTCAAGGCGATCCAATACCAATCCAGTCTAGAGATTATGGCGTAAAAATTGGCTGCCGTACGCTGCCCGCCAACATGTTAAGGTCGTGTCCCCGCATGCGAACATGCCATTCTCATTCTCAGGGATTGCCAAGAAGTCGCCACTAAAATTACCTCACGCAGAAGCGAGGCGCGTGCCAAGCCCTCGTAAATGCTATTTTGGACCCTGTACAGACCCATCATTGTAACTCAGCAACGGCAACTACCTTTCTAACAGGTGTGACCAAGCCATGAAGCCTGTTCGGCCCCGGACTTGTCTTCATCGGAGCTGACTCGAGGGCTCTCGCCCGTTGAGTTCATTGGCGCCGGCTCCGAGCTGAACGTGGCCTCCGATGTTGTGAGCAACCGGCACCGAGACAAGGGGTCCCCACTGTGTGGGCAGAAAGAGAGACTCCTGATGGCATGAGGATTGCAGCGTAGTGGAGCTGGATTGCAGCCATCTTGGTTTGACATCATACTGTTGCAGGCAAGAAACAGAGTCAGGGGCACGAAGCCCCCAAATTTGAGATGAGGGTCCAAGATTGCGGGACGTTGCTGTGAGTCGTGATTCGCCAACACCCCACCTCACAACCAATAGTCGGGGCTAATAATAGCATTCGCTGCGGGGTGGGGTCGACATGGCCTTGGTTTTGCTTCCTTGGTGCGGTCGGCTGGGCAAGCGGTTCATGCGTACCTTGACCGTACAGGGTCCAGTGCCACCACCGTCATTGCACCAATGAGCATGTGAAAGTGTGACTCAAGAGACGCATGGCTTGGATTACTTTGTCTGGACGGTTGGTCTTGCAAAGCAGGCTCGTGGTGCTGCTGCAGGTTGCTGCTACCGAGCGGCAGACAAGGCTGGTTAATTCCGATGCTCGCCTGCCTTGGACACGACCCTTGCGAAGAGGACTTGGACCCATGTCACGTCAGCGAAAGGCGGGGTCTCTGGGAGGCATGTGGGAACTTTGTGTGTAAGATTTTGAGCCGATCAGCAGAGACAGGCAGAGGGTTTCGAGGTCGTGAGCTGCTGGGGCCGTGGTTGATCCTCGCGTTGGCGGGCCCTCTTGCGAAGGTCTTGTGCCTTTAGCCATGGGCGTTTCTGTCCAACAACGGAGAGCCACAGGGCGGTCAGAAGGTTTGCAGCCGATGTCGAGTTAGAGTTTCCAGGCTTTGCTGGGATCATTGGTGGGAGCTCTGAGCTGTGAATGGAAACATACGTACCCAGTGCTTGGGCAAGGGCTCTCCTTTTGTGCCTGCATGCCTCCGGCCCATGCTTGTATTCGTCAGTTGCATGCTTTGCAGTTGTTGAAAAGCCTGGCCTGGTCGAAATGGAAGCTGATCTCCAGCGCTAAAGATTTAGTCCTGGTTGCCGGCAGGTTTACAGCACGTCGTGGTCCTACAGGTGTCAGGACACACACACACGCATACACCCTCCAGGCTGGCTGGCTGGCTGACTTACAGCCCGCCCGTGCGTTGCGCCTTCCTCTCGAGTCCTTGTTCTCCTCCTGCCCCTCCTGCTGAGCAAAGCACAGGAGGTGCAGCCTCCTTAACCATCCTCACCCTTGGAAATCAAGATGTGTCCAAAAGAATAGCCGTCTCTCCAAGCTTGATTGCCCGGGGAAATCCCTCCCGTGCCGGCTCTCAACCGTGTCTCGTTAGACCGAAAACCCGCCAGGGCTTGCTTGCAGCAGCCGGCGGGATCGGGGATAGTGACAGCGCGCTGCAGAGCACTGCACTGCACTGCCCCCTCGGGGCCTCCCCTGCAAGCGCACCACGGCTGCAGCAGGCGGCCAGACGGCGGCGGCGGCGTGTTGGGGGAGGGATCCTCTCTGTCATCACCAACCACAGCTCACGCCGTAGCTCCAGCCACGGTGCCGTGAGCGAGCGGCACTCTTGAGTATACCTTTGAGGCAATCTCCCGCTCGGAGCAGGTCCCAGCATCTCGAAACCGCCGCAAGCAGCAGCAGCAGCAGTCGCTGTCACAGCTTCATCCACGGCCGCCATCTGGACCAGACGCTTGCTGTCCGAGGGGCCCTTGCCCAACTTCCGTCGCCGATTGCCCTCGCTCGCCCACGTCTCTGCGCTGCGCGCGCGCACGCTCCCATTCGCCTGAGCTCTGGCTCGTTCCTGCTTGCTGACACTTTGCTTCATTTGCCGCCCGCGCAACCTCGCCTACGGCATCTGTCCTTCTACGGTCTGCTGCGCCTTTGCGCTGCGGCCCCTGAGCGCAACGAGCGAGCTTCTGGCCCCGAGGGGACCTCGAACCAAGCTATGCCTGGCCGCAGCCTGTTTGGGCGTCATGGCAACCGCTCGCAGCACAATCTGGTAGACCAGCAGGCCCAGCAGCAGATCCAGCAGCAGCAGCAAGCTCAGCAGCATCTCCAGCATCAGCAGCAGCTACAGGCCCAGCAGCAGCAGCAGCAGAAACAGCAGCAGGTGGGTGGCCCCGATCATCCTCTGCCACCACCTCCTCACCCGCACCAGCAGCTTCAACAGCCACCACCCCTCGCCTCGCAGCCTGGGTCGACAGTGGGAACAGGTGGCAGCCCTGCGGTGTCTGACATCGGCCCACCGCCGGGCCCGCCTCCTAGCGCCATCAGCAATAGCAGCAACCCCCCCTCAGCCTCATCAGCTCCGGATCCCAGTCCCAGCGACCTCTATTCTCAGCAGCTCCAGCTCCAACATCAGCTGCAACAGCAACCACATCCTCAACAACAGCAGCAGCAGCAGCAGGGCGACGCTACTTTCCCTCCTCAGCCCCTGAGCCAGCAGTCCACAGGAAAGCTCCAGAAAAGGCAGCCTCAGCAGCAAGTCCCTCCGCACCTGCTCCAGCAGCAATCTGACGGTGGCTACCAAGGCCGCCCAGGTTCCTTGGTCTTTGCTAGCAGCAACCCAAACCTACCCCAGAATCCTCCTCCTGTGCCCCTCAACCAAGCCACCGCCAGCACCTCCTTTGGTGCGCAACCTTACGGCTCACAACCACCACTCTCTCCTCCATCTCAGCTGCAACAACAGCAGCAGCAACAGCAGCAAGTTCGTGGGGGTGTGCAGTTGGACACCCAGGGCAATTCCGATTTCGTGTCTCGGTCACAATCGGCACGCTACCCACAGCAGCACATCCCACCTCTGCAGACGCAGCCGCCCTTCAACACCAATTCGGCTGAAGACCTATCGCAGCCCCACACCATCTCCTCACCCATAGTCACCCAGCGTCAACCCTCAGGACCGATTCAGGCTGCGCCGCCTCCCGAAACACAGAAGCGTTCTGCTCGCGGTCTTATTCGGAGCTTCATCAAGGGGTCCTCGTCTAAGGACAGTCATAACCTGCAAGCGAGCGAGGAGTCGTCGGGTATTAGTCGCAAGCACTCCAAGCGGTCCAGTGTGGGCATCCCTCTATCGCTAAGGAACAACAACCCCTCGCAGGTTTCCCTGGACCAGCAGCAAGCCCAACAGCAGCAGCAGCATTATCAGTCGCAGCCACCACAGCCGCCTTCTGGTTGGCAATCCCACGGACAGCCCTCTCCACTGCATGGTGTTGGCGAGGTAGACGAGACCTATAGTGAGAGTCGACCGAGTCAAGATCCGAACTCGCAGAGCTACCCGCATACTCCACAGCTCAACGCGGTCAGACACATTCAGCCTGACTCTGAGAGCTCCCCGTACAGCGGACAAGATAGCCTCACCCCGCAGCAGAAGCAGCAGCTGTTTACCCAGCAGCAGAGTCAGACGGAACAGGACCAGCCGCCGTACAACCAGGGAGCAAACGAGCCGGGCAACCCAAGCCACCAATATCAGCTCGTGCCTCCACCCGCACCGTACAGCACACCAAATCGGGGCAATCTCTACGCAGGCCATCTCAGCACCGCGAGCTCGCACACCATCAACAACGCAGACACAATTTCGCAGCTTTCGCATGACTCTCCCACCCCGGACTCTGAATATCCTGCTACTCAGCAGTCAATACAGATCCCCTCCGCCTTGAAGACGTCACAGTCAGAATACCAGACTGTAAACTCTGAGCAGACCTCCCCGTCCAGCCAACAGATACAAAACATGCCTCCTCCGCCTCCTGCTGGCGGAACAGGACCTGCACGAAGATCCGGCGAAGCTGATGCGCAAATGCGCGGAGGAGCAGACGGCCCAGGGGGGCCGCCGCCAGGCTATAGACACAACCAAGCTCCGAGCATGAACAACATGAATCCTCTGCCTCCTACGCCGGGCCCTGCCAATCCTGCCACGCCCGCATTCAGAGCCGCCACTGTGGCCGAGAGGCAGTTTGATGGCGCGGGACAAGAAGGTGGTCGCAACAGCCCTCAGCCTCCTGCCACGGAGCGCGAGGCCGAGGTCGAGAAGAACTACAAGGATCTATGTAAGTGCAACGCAGACCTGTTCTGAGATCGTGTAAGCTGCAGAGGCTGACTGTCTGAATAGTGACCAAGTACAAGAATGTCAAGAGGCTCTACTTCGATGGCAAAGCCCAAATTGAGCAAATGACTGCGCAAATTGAACTGCTCCAGAACGCAGTTGCGAACCAGCGGATGTCTCAGTCCCGGACAGCGCTTGATGACAACGAATATTCGACAAGGTTCAATCGACTCAACGGCGCAATCAACAATCTCTCCTTCAACATTCGGAAGGACTGGCGCTCTTTACCACCATGGATCGAGAGTTTCGTGACACCGGACGGTCTGAAAACTGGCAAGCAAGAAATGACTGCAGTTGGCCGCGCCGTCATCGCAAAGTGGCTCGTGGACGAGGTGTTCAACAAGTGCTTCCATCCTGCGCTCGACCCGCAACTCAGCCATCACCTCAAGTCGATTGAACGCAACATCAGACAATTCTCGTATACCATGAATAGCCAAGAGGAGTTTGATGCGCTGACATCAAAGGTGGTCAACTGGCGCATGGCCACGCTTGAGGGACTTCAGCACATGCTGAACTCGAGTGAGAGCCAAGAGGCGCGGGCCGAGTTCACCAGGATGGTGACCACCAACCTCACTGCTTCGCTCCTGCAGTATCTGGTAGAACCGGCCCCAGCGGGAGTGGACGGAAGTGCTTCGATGATTGTCGAGCTGGCAATAGGCCTCGCTGCCAATCTGCCTCTGGAAAGCCGAGACATTGCCATCATTTACCCACTGCCAGGAGATCCGATACGCCCCGAGATTATGGAGCCAGAGAAGGGAGCGCTGCCGCCACTGACTGACATTACCGACGAAGACGATGAGAGTGAAGATGAGAAAGCGACCAAGGCCGGCAAACCAAAGACTGGCGGTGAGTCTATGAAACATTATTGGCAGATTTCATGATTGCGAGTGCTGACCAACTACTGTCGTCGCTGTAGCTGCCCCCACCACGGAGAAGGTTGGCAAGATACGTTTTGCCGGCTCGGTGGCCGTGGAAGTACGAGGGCGACAAGTGCTGGTCAAGGCACCCGTGTGGGCACTGTAGGAGACGCCAGGGGCCGAGAATGACTAATGATGAGCTTCATGATGATACCTTTGTGTGCTTGCAAGCGAAAAGCCGGCTCTTGATTGAGCTGCGCCAAGCACGGTCTTGGCGGTCAGGTGGACAACAACATGAGCACCGTAACAGAACCGTGCATGCTGGGAATATAGGTTGCAGGGAATGCTCTCTGGAGGCGAGCGTGGAAACCGAAGTGACACGTCGAGATGAGCAATGGAGAAAAGTTGACAGAGTTCTACTACGACTACCGTACATGGCATATGGGTGTTCATGTTGCAGCGACGAGGAAGAGAGTGACCCAGGAAAAGAAGGACTTGCTTGTTGCTTGAGAGTTGCAGCTTGTCGATGCTTTGAGCTCTTCCAAGGTTCGTGGCGGGTCTGCAGCATGTGCTGCCTGCTGTGCGTGTGGCAGCGACTTCGGGGCAGGTCTCCGCAGAACCCCGCCATGGAATTGTTGGAGGGGTCCAAGCTGGGCTTCTTGGGGTTTGCATTCACAGTACAGCTCAGGTCCAAATCATGTAGGCATGAATCTGAACGAAACCGAAAGAGCCTCTGGAATTCCAAAATACGGTCGTGCTGCGAGACATTGAGATAGGCAGCTATTGAGACGGTGGGATTGCCTGGCAGGGCTATCCAAGATCTTTTTCAAGCCTGAGGGCCAGCAACATCCGCTCGGTTCGCAGAGGATCCTCCTCCCATTGCTGCTGCCCCAGACCTTTTTTTTGGAGCAGGCGGCGCATGTGATCGCTTTCAGAGAGCTACCCCGAGTTCCCAGACGAACCACGACTGCGTGCAGAAAGAGATCAAAAGTGTAATTCCAATCTCTTACGCACGCGCAAAGTAACAAGCCCGGCGAATCACGGCACAAAACCCGTCGAACTCAATCTACCACGGTTTCAGCCCAGTCAAAAACGGATAGATCCAGCCTGTCGTCATTGGCAGGAGATAGGAAACCAATCATTCGATTCAGGAACCGACAACGACGACCACCACCACCACCACAACACCCCGCGACAGCCTCCGGTCGGCGACCAGAAGGGGTTTTGCCTCTTTTATTTTTCAAGACACCACGACTAGGACGAGGGACGAAGGCGGAATCATGGCGGACCAACAGCAGGAGAAGCCAGCTCACTTGGAGCCCTCGGAGCTGGGGACGAAGGAGTAGTACGTTTGTTCCCCCTCTCCCCAAGTTGCTTGGCGTTTGTTTCCTTTTTTTTCTGTCCTCGCATTTCCCTTTCTCTCTCGCAGTTCTACGTCTATGGAATTCTACTCGTTCGTTTCAAATGGGGAAAAAAAGAGCATCGAGGAAACCCTCTGACTGACCGTACGCGGCTTCACGCTAACTTTCGGGGGTGGAAACCAAAAAAACAGCTGGGACAACCTGTACGTCAACGAGATATCCAACCACGCGCACGACCCAGACGACAAGGGCACGGTCTGGTTCGACGACAGCGACGCCGAGGCCAAGATGATTGCGTTCCTGAACAAGCTCGACCCGGACTTTGCCGGCAGCGACAGCGGCAGCGACTCCGACGACGGTGAGGGAGAAGAAGAAGAGGAGGAGGAGCAGGAAGCACGTTCGCGACTGCCCCGCCTATACCAGAGCAGGACGACGTTTCTCGACCTCGGCACGGGCAACGGTAGTCTACTGTTTGGCCTCCGCGACGCGGGCTGGCAGGGCAAGATGCTCGGCGTGGACTACTCACCCAAGAGCGTAGAGTTTGCCAAGCAGATCGCGCGGTCTCGTCGTCGTCGTCAGCGGGAGGAACGAGACGGCGAGGACGACGGCGAGGGTGAGGGTGAGGGTGAAGATGGTGGAGGAGCAGAGGGGGTCGAGTTCCGCGAGTATGACATTCTCAACGGCCGGCCCGAGACATTACTCCCCAGCGCGATTTTCACGACCTCGGAACCTTCAACAACAACAACAACAAATAAAACGAACCCGCAAGAGGAGCAGGGCTGGGATGTGATCCTCGACAAGGGTACCTTTGACGCCATATCGCTGTACTCCTCCTCCTCCTCCTCGACAACACAAGAAGCAGGCACGCGGCGGCCCAACGAGGGTTACAAGGCTGCCGTCCTGCCCTTGGTCCGCGAGGGAGGCCTTTTCCTCATCACGAGCTGCAACTGGACCGAGGACGAACTGTCGCGGTGGTTTGAGGGCGACTATGACAGCGACCAGCAGCAGCAGGACCAACAGTGGCGCTTCAGACAGGTTGGCAAGGTCCAATATCCGACCTTCAGCTTTGGTGGAGTCAAGGGACAGACTATCAGCACGTTGTGCTTCGCCAAGATGAGGAGGTAGAAAAGAGACGTCCAGATGATAATGACACGAGTGCCAAAACGTCGAGCTCCCTTGGTGTGGTTTCTGCTAGTCTCACGGTATTGCAAACATTGTGTTTCACTTCTTCAGCACTACAAATACCAGCAGTGGTCATCTTGGTGTCTATTGGCTTGGTATACCTATGTCTTCTTTTCTGTGTCGCTGGATCTGGTTTGCGAAATCAGTCATCGGTAATGAGGTTTAACAGTGTTCCGCTGCCGTAAGCACATTTCTCGCTTGCGCATCATCGTGACACAGCACCACTGATGCTCGCCCTTTCACTCCCATTTGGTGGTCGGTGACTTGCAGTGCAGGTGGCATTGCTCGATAAACTCTTTTCCTCTTCGATTTCGTCTGGGTATCGGTCTAGAGCGACGATGTTCATGCCGAGCACAATGTTCGCGGTCACATAGCGTTCAACGATTGTGCAACACAGGTGTGCGTAGTCTTCACTCGAGGGATTCAGTACGCTCGTATTCGTTTGGTATCCAGCTTGCACTAAGGAGAAGTGTTCATCGGCTCCGGGTCGGCGCCAGAGATCCTGGCCGCAGCAGTTGTGGCGAAGTACCGAACGTCAACGTCCTCGTCTTTCTGCAGCTTCTCCAGGGACGGCAATATGCGCTCCTGAATCAGCTGTGTCGACTTCGGCGAAGGTGTCAGATCTGTCTGTCCAGCCTTCTCGAGAGAGTAGATTGTGCCCTCGTCTGGCAGCCGCTTTAGCACATCAATCAGCTGGGCAATCGTCTTGGCGACGTTGAAGCGGATGTTTGGGATGTCGTCGTCAACCAGCTTCTCCAGCATCGGGAGGATATCCTGTCCAATAACGTCGAGGCTGACAACCGAGGAGAGTGTCTGCACAGCATTAGCATTCTCCATCTCGACGTAAGGATTGAGGGAGAAGGCACTTACAGAGATGGCGAAGCAAGTGGTCATCCTGTAGAGGTAGTTTGGATGGGCACCCATGGCCATGACCTTCGGCAGTATCGCCTCGCTAGCCCACTCGACGCCAAAGACCTCGGTGAGCTTCTTGAGATTGTGTGTGGCGGCCTCTCTGATGGAGAAAACCGTGTCGCCGAGCCAACCCATGCAAAGACCGCTCAGCTTCTCGTCAAAGAACTTCACACCGAGCTGGCTCGCCAACAACGGAATATACTCGATGATGGCCAGTCTGACGCGCCACTGCTTGTCCTCTGCGAGTTGAACGATGGCAGGAAGCAGAGACTGTGACAAGAGCTCGATACCGATCACTGTTCCAGCGCGTCAGTATATTCTCCGCGCTTGCTAGTTTGGGGGCAAGACTAACCTTGGTTAACAAGCTCCAGTTTTGAAATGATGTGAAGGCGGACCTCCGGAAACTCGTCCTTGAGCATTTGCAGGAACATTGGCAAAAGGTGGTCAATGGTCCTGGTAGATGATTGTCAGCACAGCCAAATGGACGGGAAGCACTGCCCCTCAGAGGATCTTAACGTACTCTTGCTTGCCAAGAATCGGGGCCAGTCCGCTGATCTGGGTGCCAAGTGCGGCGCGGACGTGCTGGGAAGTGTCGGATACAAGGTCTTCGATGGTGCTCATGATATCGTTGAGAAGTGTGGTCCGGTCGACGAGGTTGCAGAATCCCGGAATCTGGCCAGAGATTGCGGTGCGAACCTCAGCCTCGTTATCCTTGAGCAGCTTGACGAAAGAAGGAACCAGATCCCTGGAGACAACCTCCTCATCCACAGCTTTGGCAATCTGGAGAGTGCATTAGCATAGTACACAAAGCCAGACCCTGGATCGCCTTTTCGTCTTACCTTCTCAAACCGGTCTGCAATCATGTAGCGAACCCTCCAGCTCTTGTCTTCTATCAGGTTGCGCAGAGATGTGAGAAGGACACCATGGCTGGCTTGTTGCTCCTTGGGGACGACTTCGGCAATGGCAATAAGAATTTCGACTGTCAATAACCGCACGCTGTCTTGGTCGTCTTGGACAAGGTGCTGGAAAAGGGGTATCATCTCATCAATGACAACGGCGGCGGGCATCTCCTTGACGAACTTGGCCATGTGCGTGGCGGCCTGTCTCCGCACCATGGGGGTGTCATCGTGGACCAGGATTCCGAACTGCTGACGGAGCTGTTCCTGGAACGGGGGGCTGACTTTCTTGTAAGGAGCAGTATAGAGGCCACAGCCTGATACCTTGGAGGTGAACCAGTCGGCCTTGGAGAGTCTGACGGTCAGAGGAATGAAGTATTCCTCGACCTGTTGCGCGGAGAGCGCATCGCAGATCTTGTTGAGCGATTCGACGGCCTATTCAAGGGCAGACGTCAGCAAGACAGTCAGGCAGAGATACAGCGATATGGCAATAGAGGAAAACGGACCTTGTCTCGCACAACAGGCTCCTCGATAGCGGCGAGGTTCTCGAGGGGAGAAAGGAGAACGTGTCCCCATTCTGGGCCACCGACGTATTCGATGAAGGAGCCAAGCTCCTCGCTCAATGCCACAAGGACCTCGTCCTCGTCCTCGACGGACTCTGTACATTCCTCGACGCGGTTAGAACGTGCTCACGAGACGCAAGTATCGGCTCTGTGCTGGCCAGGGGTGTGCTAACCGTCGAGAAAAGGAATGAGCTCCTCGCGGGTCCGCTCAGGACCGAGGGCGAGGGCAATCGTGCCAAGGCGGTGGATGGCATTCAGGCGGAGAAGGACATCGTCGTGCTGATGGAAGCATCGTTAGTTTCTGTCAGAGGATAGCTGGGCTTGGGGGCGTTGGCGACGACGAGCTGAACGGCGGTGGGGCGCTGCTCGAAGCACGAGACGTGGTGTGCAAGCGAGAGGCGGGCAATGGTGCCATCAGGGAGCCTTACCTTGAGCTCGTCTATGAGGACGGCAATGGGGTAGAGCTCGTCGTTCGCATTTGGCGCGTCAGCCATGGCGAACGAGGGGTGCGGGCGCGCGGGTCAGTGTTGGGCGGGAGCAGCTTGTCGAAGATGGCGGGCAAAAGGTTGGTTGCCAGGGCGAGGGGTCGCGAGGGGTGGCAGGCACGCGGGCGAGACGCAGGCTGGGGGGAGAATGGCAGGCGGGATGCTCGCAGGCCGACGAGATCGCGTGTGCCGGGTGCGTATGTGCTGTGTTGTGTGTGGATGTGTGTGTTGGTGCAGGCGAGTGGTGACAGTGTCAATATGCGATGTCGAGGGGGGGTTTGCTGGGTGATGCAATGGGCGAGAGGATGGGACTGCTTGCTTGCCTGCTCGCTCGAGACGGGGCGGCTCTGGAGCAGCAGCAGCAGCAGCAGCACTCGCGAGGCAAACAGCCAGCCAGGGCAGCAGCCGTGCAAGGTGCTGGCTGGTGGATCCCCGCCGCGAGATGAGCATGAGCTGCCTCCACGGCCTGCAGCTGCCCAGCGCCTTCCGACATTCAGGTGTCAATTCATTCAGGGATGTACCTGCAGCAGCTACTCAGAGTGGCCAGGTACTTGTCATCCCACTTGCCTGATGGCAGCCTGCCTGCACACACAAACTCTATCCCGCAAGGCTGTTGGCGTCCATCTGATGCCCGCGATCTTGTCAACGATGCGCGCCCTGCTTGGCACACGCCCGTGCGGCTTAAAATCAATCGGAAGAGCTTGGTCAGGGTCATCGAGGGGCAGCAGTTCACAGTTGACGACGACGACGCCTTCAAAGACCTTGAGCTAGCCCGCCCCACCATGGATGGGCCGCCTCAATGTCCTTCATTGTTCCGCCCAAGCAACGACCAGTCAGAGTCCGCTAGAGAGCACACAACCTTTGAGTGGTAAATGGTAAGTGAAGCGAATCACCAGCCGTAGTCGACGTGTTTTTATTAATTTGAGCCTCCGGAGTTTCATGGGTCCATGACCGCATGATGGTGCTGGATCGTGTCTGTGCTCCCTCAGCAGCTTGAGACTGCCGGGTAGTTCACTTGCGACATGGGAGTGCCAAGTTGCTGGAACTTGCACGTGCGAGCCGCCGCCAACCCTCTTTCTCTCCATTGTTCTTTGGGAGGGTACGTAGCTGTCCAACTCCGTTCTTGACTCCTGCTTCTGGGCAGCCAAAACATTTCTACCCTATTACTGCTGCTTAGCACACAACCCATTTGCAATGCAGCAACTGCCATGCCCTCACCCATACCTAGGTACCTGGGGTCTGCTCAAGGTCATCTCCCGACACAGTGGCCTGCTGTGACACGAATCTGGCCTAGCCCCCACTCGCAAGATGTGCCGCAGATCCTGAACATGGACAGAATTCGCGTCAGCCACCGGGGAATCTGAACAAGACGATACAATGAGAAGCCGAGCTACACCCAAACGAACTAAGGATGTGGCGCAGGGATACCCTCGTCCGTGATAGATCGAGTAAATGTGACTGTTGCGATGCTATATTCGAACACAGTCTCAGCGGCAGCCCTTTCACCAGGGTATGATGGCCCGTGGTAGTCGTTGTACGGCATGTAGCTGAGGAAGCGCCTCGGATGCCCTGTCTTGATGGTCTCGAAGGTGTCAGAGTATTTGCGTCCGTCCTTGTGGAGTACAGTATCGATATTGTTCTCTCTCCGCAAGTATGTTGGGCACGGCGCATCCAGCCATGGTTGGAACAGTTGTGCCAGAGCCCGGTTATCGTCGAAGGCTATCAAACCACCTCTGTTGGTCCACGCTAGGTGGTCTCAGGTAAGATAGTGTCGACCGCGAGCGCTACATCGAAGCTTGTCTTGCCTTCACGGAAGAGGTCGCACTCCATAATGTAGTGCATGAAACATATTGCTTTTAACACAAAGCGAATCCCTGGATGTCGTGTGTCCTTCAGCATACTCTGTAACCAGTATTACGACCAACCTGGCTCGCGAATAGTTGTCAGGTATGGTTCATACAGCCTCGAACACACGAGAAGTGTTGTGATAACCTCATGCCAGCCACGAAGACAGACTAGTCGATGATACTCGTGCCTCGTTTCTACGCGGCTAGAACTTGGCTTGGTGCACTTATAAACGACACACTGCTAGTACACGTAAAAAGCGGTAAAATACCTGCAAGAGCTCACACTATTCACTATGAATCCGGAGGCCGACGTAGGGCTGCGTACTTCGTATCATGCATGACCCAAGTGTTGATGAAAATTTGGATAGTTGACTGTCGTTCAGAAAAGAAAATGGGTTGGCGGCCATCAGCACCCATCGGCGGATCCGCCGAGCCGGATAAGCGTTGCGAGTTCGGCGCCGTTGCCGGGAGCGGTGCAGGGGTCTCTGACCTCCGTGCACAATTGCACCATCTCGCGGGAATAAGTCGGGCCCGGCACCGCCAATCCAGCCATGACCCCCAGTCTGTTCATGAAGCTGTCTTTCAAGTTTCAACTTCATCCTTGGTCAGACTTGTTTCTTCACATTTGTCCACTGCCACCGATTGTGGTGGCTATAGCGTCGGCATCGGGCAAAGGTGTGGGCGAAAGGACGGCATCGGCGCTATAACTTCCGCCGATCATAGCTCGCAATTCGCCACTCCAGGATAATCGAGGTCCTGTGGGCGACGACAAGGCGATCGATTTGATCCGATCACATATCAGCATGCCCGGTCAGACATGTCGCAAACCAGTCCGAGTGATGGCTCAGAGCAGCCTGGTCGGAAAGGAATAAAGATGTTGACGCCGGTCAAGGCGACCTGGGCCTTTTGCGTGCGCAACTGGCTCATTTTCGGGTTTGGCCTGGGGTGTCTTCTGGGCTACCTGTTTCCTCGTATGTGAACTTGCAGCAGTTTTTAACGGTTCCCTGTTTCTGCAGGTCGGCGACGGATATTGCTGACGAGTTGCTGTGCCGAAAAGATGTTGCTGCTCGTGGCGGCATAATACGCTCTGAGTATTCAGTACTCTACGCCGGCATCGGCCTCATCTTCTTCATCAACGGCATGCAACTGTCTCCGGAGAAGTTGAGGGAGCATGTGACGAATTGGCGGCTGCATATAGTGGTGCAAGGCATCAACATGGCTCTCATTCCCCTAATCCAACTTGGTGAGTATTCATGTGGAACCTCCCTGCAGTGATCCCTCCGGGAGGCTTACCATATCAACAGCGATTATACATATAATAATCGCCGCAGGCGCTGTGAGGAACGGCACCATAGACGCAAGCATCATCGTGGGCATGGTCGTTGCTGGGTGTATCCCTACCACCATTGCTTCAAATGTCGTGATGACGAGAAACTCTGGTGGCGACGAGGCTGCTGCAATCATAGAAGTGGTTATAGGCAATGTTCTCGGGTCGATCCTCAGCCCCTGGCTCATTTACGGCTTCATCCCCACGGAGCCAGAATTTGCTTCGTATCAGCCAGCACCACCAAACAACCTTGGCCCCATGTACAAGGCAGTTATGATGCAGCTGGGACTGGCTGTTCTCCTTCCTCTCGTCGCAGGTCAGGTTCTTCGGTGGCTCTGGCCTCGAAAGGTCCTGTGGGTGTTAAGCACATTCTATTTGGCACAGTTTTGCTCGGTGCTGCTGATTATGGTTGCATGGTAAGCCGATCCTGTTCCGTTCGGTTGTTGCAGATTGTTGGCTGACTGACTTGGCCGGGACTAGGACGACATTTTCAGGGGCATTTCAAACCGGCTCGCTTTATGCTTTGCCGACGTCATCCGTTGTCTTCAACGTCTTCGTCAACATTGCCGAGTACCTCTTCTTTACGGCGCTGTGCTTTTATATCGCCAACCCTCCGCTTTGGGCAGTCAAGCATGTCAACATCCATGTTGCCGACTCGAAGCTGGGATCGAAGCTTCCACCAGCCATCAGAAGAGGGTTCACAGTGAAGAGAATGCCGCGGGATCAAACTATCGCAGTGTGCTTCTGTGGTGCCGCAAAGACGACGAGCTTGGGCATCCCGCTGATTGCCGCGATGTGGTCACAGATGGACGACTTCACCATCTCGGCTATCCAGGTCCCAGTACTGCTATACACGGTGGAGCAGGTATTCGTCGCTCAATTCTTTACCATTTTCTTCAAGAATTGGTTGGAGAAGGAGTCAAAGGCAGCTTCTGATGTTGAGACAGCGGATGGAGACCCACCAGTTGTGGACGTAGATGGTTCAGGACATCCAAGGATTCCGGAAAAGGGCCGTGCAGAAGCAGGAAACGTATAAAGATGTCATCCGCTGCAGTCCATCTCTCCCGTTCATTCAAGACTTCCAAGGGCTTCAGAAAACAAGCCTGGGACAACCAGCCCCGTTCCTGAAGCTATACCCCGTCACCATAGGACGGCATGGAGGTGTATTACAGATGCAGTGGAACGACGACCACCACCAAAGAGAAGGATCTTGAGATTGGGGACAGCAGATCACGGAGGTCGAGGACGCAGAGAAGACGATGTAAAGTCGAAAACCATAAACAGCCATGCCCCCAAAAGATTGCAAGTACCCGGCATCGCCAGCCTCACTGCTTGGAGACGGCCAACCCCGAACTTTGAAGCTCTGCTGCCCCACCAGCTATGACGCGCGCCTTCCGACACAACCGCCCGCATGCCACTCGCTGCCTGACGATCGCCACTCCATCCACACCCCGGCCCTTGTCTGCCTCCAGAAACATCGAGAAGCATCTAATAACTACTACGACGTCAATATCACGAGGACAAGGCCTACCTGTGGTGAGCTCTGCACCGAACCGTTTTCACAGCACCCTCTGAGTTATACGCTATCCAGCCAGAGAACTCTCGACGACAGAACGTCTATCGACGCCTACAACCACCAGTCTTGACTGACTGTCCACATCATGGGCTCTCAACAACTCCTTCGTGGCAGCTGCTTCTGCGGGAGGAATCAGTACGTCATACAGATCCCCAAGGATTCCGTGGAATCTGCCCAAGTCCTGTTCGACAGCAGCCCAGGCCATCGTAAGTAGCTCAAACAGGGTATTACCAGATCGCTTGCCTGACATCTCTCACCAGGTATTGCTTCCGCCTCGCCGCTGTCTGCTTTCATCCGAGTCCCACTATCGTGGTATCATAGCCGCACCTTCCCATTCTTCCCAGACGAGACACGGTCTGGTATCCGCCGCGTGTACTCGCACCCAGCCGAGCAGCATGCTCATCGGCACTTCTGCGGCTTTTGCGGCACGCCGCTCTCCTACTGGTCCGAATCGCCCAGACGGGAAGCCGACTATATTCGTTTGACGCTGGGGAGCCTACTGACAGATGACTTGCACGACCTGGAAGAGATGGGTCTTATTCCAGTAGTAACAGACACTGCTGAGCAGGGCAAGGAGTCGCTAGTGGCTGTGGGCCGTGCCTATCCTACAGCAGCACCAACCACGATCCTCAGAGACTTTACCGGTATTCCCTGGTTCGACAACATGCTCGCAGGCAGCACACTCGGCAGTGTCCAGACTAGAATAGGGTTCCATGAGCATGACAATGGCCGAGTCCGCGTAGAATGGGAAGTCACCGAATGGACCGAAGGAGGACACAACGACGAAGATGCCGACATGTCAGAAGAATCCAGCGCCAGTGCCAGTAAGAGGAAACGTGCCGAAGCTGATTACACGATGGCCGAATCCGCAGCCTCGCGTCGAGTTGCGTGAGCGAGGTGTTGCCAACTTGTCGAGTCATGGCCTAGGGGCGTATCCGCCTAGCAGAGGTCCCTGCCAAGACGAACTCTCAGGACTGCTAGCAATTCGGCGTGTCAATGAGCAGACGCTGCCGCCGGATGTCGGCATGTACTTCCGACTTGCGTATCGTACCAGCTGTCCGCAGCGATGTCATTTTGTGTATCGAGAAGGGCGGCCGGCTTCCCTAGCCTTCTCGCCTATGTGAAGTCAGGTTACAGAAGGCGCAAAGCAGACGAGACAGGCCCGTGTGGGTGGTTGCTGACTGGACGGGGGCCACGGGATATGTGTGACACGGGCTGTTTAGATACTGTACCAACAAAGATGGCGTCGACCTTGGTCAAGTTCGCATCACTTGCTGCATGTGTGACGGAGGAGGTGCTGGATCCGTGATCTACAGGCAATAACAGAACGGGATATTAACAGATGTTTCATGACCCCAAGCCCATGCCGTGTCATCCTGCCGAGGCAGCACCAGGTTCTCCCGAAGCTTATCCAGGGAGGATGGCATGGGAGCCGGGAGCACGTCCCATTGGCCAGGAGCTCAAAGGACGGGCGAATAGGTCATGATCGTTCGTGGCTGGCGGATTAGCCTCATGCAGGACATGCACGGCAGAGCCGCTGACCGAGAGACGAGGGCCAGCAGCTGGAAAGCGACCTCCACTAGTCCAAGGTGTTGAGTAAGGAAGGCATGTGCGATCAGAGGTGGTGATGGCGTGCAGGTGGAATGGTGGCAGCAGACTCGCGGAAGTTTTCTGACGACGGAGTAATTTGGCGCTGCACAAGATGGGACTGGCACTCTATTCGAGTTACAGAGCAGCAGTGCAGCAGCAGAGGGGACGAGCACTTATCGTGGAGAGCGCGCAGGCCATGATCCCTGCGGGGCCAACCTTAGCTGGCAGGCTCCCCAGTCTTTGGGCGGGTGGATTGGCTCGCGGCGACCGCCCACGAGGGTCGAGGCCGGCAAGACGGGCCGGTGGGCGATCTGGTGCTGGCGCTGTGGCCGAGGGCGCCCCCCGCGAGGGGCCCCCATGCGGTGCCTGTCCCGCTCACCTGCCCCCCAGGACCGCCTGTGACCCGCTACGAGGACCCCCCAACAGAGACCGTCTTGGAGCCTGCCCTGGCTACCCCGCTGCTGCTCGATGGGGAGCAAAGGGGTGGAGGGGGACCCTTGCCCGCACGCCGCCGTCGGGCCAACCGGCCTCGTGCACTGCTCCTACACCTCGTCTCTCTTTGCGGGCTTCGGCCGTGACGGTCCGAATGAGGCACGTTTGGGAAAGGCACTCGATGCCCTGCCTGGCGGAGCGCACGGCGGAGCTTGTCTCGACCAGCTCAGCAGACCGCACTGCTGGCACCAAGCACCGTGGCTGCTTCCCGTCACCATGGGCTGATCTATCTTGCCGGTATAAGAACGCGACGGCTCCTCACCGCACAAGAGCTCCCAAAGGTGGACCGTCCTGAGCCTCTCGATCACAATCACTGCCGCAACAGCTCTTACACGTCGTCGGGCCACCTGGTCGTCTTGGGATAATATACTCTCTCTACTACGCGGCACCCTAGTTCCACCCACCTGTCAGCTTCAGCTGGACGCCTGGTGGACCTCGCTCTCTGCTCTGGCTGATTGGGAGAAATTGCCAGTCCTCTCACGTGAGCAAGCACACACCCGACTGCTCGCGAGCCAACTCTCGTCGCAGGAACGCGGCTAGTATCGTCGTTGGGAGAAGTGTTCTCGGACGCCAGACAACATGTCTCTGCGGCCAGACTTCCTCTGGGGCTTTGCCACCGCATCGTAAGTCTTCCAGCGCTGGCTTGGCGTTCTCACTATCCGCTCTCAAGCTCCCAGCAATTTACATGCAACATGGCCACTTACACCGCAACCACAGATATCAGATCGAGGGTGCCATCGATCAAGATGGCCGTGCCCCTTCCATCTGGGACACCTTCTGTGCCATCCCCGGCAAGATTGCCCACGGAGCCTCGGGCGAGGTAGCGTGCGACTCGTACAACAGGACGGCAGAGGACATTGCTCTGCTCAAGGAGGTCGGTGCCCAGGCCTACCGCTTCTCTCTGTCGTGGTCCCGCATCATCCCTCTCGGCGGACGCAATGACCCCGTCAACCAGGCCGGTCTTGATCACTACGTCAAGTTCGTCGATGATCTCCTCGACGCCGGCATCACACCCATGATCACCCTATACCACTGGGATCTGCCTGACGAGCTCGACAAGAGATACGGCGGCCTGCTGAACCGGGAAGAGTTCCCTCTCGACTTTGAGAACTATGCCCGCGTCGTCTTCAAGGCGATCCCAAAGTGCAAGTACTGGATCACCTTCAACGAGCCATTCTGCAGCTCCGTCCTCGCCTACAGCTTCGGCCAGTTCGCCCCGGGCCACACCTCGGACCGCACCAAGTCTCCCGTGGGCGACTCGTCCCGCGAGCCCTGGATCGTCGGCCACAACCTCCTCGTCGCCCACGGCAGGGCCGTCAAGGTCTACCGCGACGAGTTCAAGCCCACAGACAAGGGTGTCATCGGCATCACCCTGAACGGTGACGCCACCTACCCTTGGGACCCTGAGGACCCGCGCGACGTCGAGGCCGCGGAGCGCAAGATTGAGTTCTCGATTGCCTGGTTTGCCGACCCGGTCTACTTTGGCAAGTACCCGGACTCTATGCGGAAGCAGCTCGGCGACCGGCTGCCCGAGTTCACAGCCGAGGAGGCGGCGCTGGTCAAGGGCTCCAACGACTTCTACGGCATGAACCACTACACTGCCGACTACGTCAAGCACGGCGACGGCAACCCTCCGCCCGAGGACCACGCCGGCGACCTAACGACGAGCAAGACCAACAAGGCCGGCGAGTCGATCGGCCCGGAGACGCAGTCGTTCTGGCTGAACCCCAACCCGCAGGGGTTCCGGAACCTGATCAACTGGCTGAGCAAGCGGTACGGCTACCCGCCCATCTACGTGACCGAGAACGGCACCAGCATCAAGGGCGAGAACGACCTCACCCGCGAGCAGATCCTCGAGGACGACTTCCGCGTAAAGTACTTCCACGACTACGCGCACGCCCTCGCGGCCGCCGTAGCCGAGGACGGCTGCGACGTCCGCGGCTACATGGGCTGGTCCCTCATGGACAACTTTGAGTGGGCAGAGGGCTACGAGACGCGCTTCGGCTGCACCTACGTCGACTACGAGGACAACCAGAAGCGGTATCCCAAGAAGAGCGCGTACGCCATGAAGCCCCTGTTTGACAGCCTCATCAAGAAGGAATGAAGCGAGTGCGTTTGGCTCTTTTCTCTCTCTTTACTGTTGTGAGGGTCGTAACTTCTTTTCCGCGAGAGTTGGGGTGTGGGGGGGTCAATCCGCCAGGTGTTTTGGATGTGGGCAGTGATCGTAGGTATATAGTTTGGGACAAGAGAGAGCAGCCACAGCTTATTTCAATGGCCATACCCCGTCACTTTTGGGTATTCCCTTATCGAATTTCCCCTTTCCCGCTCACGGGAGGGGCTGATTGATCGGAATGAAACCAGATGTGCCATTGTTGTTCAAGGACGAGATGGTGATACAACGCACCTCCTGCATGAGTTGTTTAGCCCATGGCCCGTCTCAGTATCCCTATTACCGATATCAAGTATGATAGCGCACCTATATGCAGCCATGTCTTGTTGTAGTGCACGAGATAGATAAATCTTGTTATTGATGATGCCAAGAATTGTACAGAAACTCCACAAACGCTTTCCTCATGCAAAGAATAAGAGTACACTACATGATCCTACACCCCGTCGTCCCGTTTGCTATTCCAACACACAAGTTCTCTTTCGGACTCTCAATGCGGACGGGCCCTTTAAACAACTCGACCGATTACCCAGCATGAGCTCACACTTTCCTGGCTGCGGGATCCCCCCCGTCTTACCTGGATGTTGTCTTCCCGCTGTCGTTCTTCTTCTTCCCCTCTGGCGCAGGGCCCGCAGCATTCCCGCCACCACCCCTAAGGCCGGCGATGGTCTCGTCGATGATGGCAATCTCGGCATCGACGCGCAGCAGCCGCTCCTCCAGGCGGTCCGCGTACTCGCGGTCCGAGAGGCGCGTCATGGGGCTGTACTTCCAGCTCAAGATGCCGCCTCCGCCTCCTGCCCGCGGGTCGTCCCTTTTCCGTTGCTGCTGCTGCTGCTCGGCCGACGTGGCAGCGGAAGGGGACGAACCGATCTGTTGCGCTATCAGCGTGCTCCCGGCGCCGAGGACGGAGAAGACGAGGATGCCGGGGAGGATGTTTCTCCTGCTGCCTGTTTTTTTTTGTTCGGGTTAGAGATAATAGATGACTTTGCAACGAGAAAAGGATTTTGTCGATGCATGGCCGGCCTCTAGTCTTGGCGAGGACAAGGGAGGGGGGAAAGGGGAAGAGGCAGGAGGTATAAGAATAAAAGTCACATACGGAGAAGAGCGCCAGACATTCCCGCCACACCACCTGCTACGCCGCTGGCCAAGACTTTTTCCGTCTTGCTGAGGTTCTCCTCGCCGTTCCAGGCGTGGTAGAGCAGTTCGCGAGAACCTGAGTGAACATCTTAGCTTCTATTCAGTGCCCGACATTTGTTCCATCCTTAGCATGAAGTGACTCACCGACGTAGCTAAAGGCCAAGGAGAACCATTGGATGCCGGTGATCGCGGCGAACATGGTTACAGGTGATGACCGGATGATGCCGACGGCTGCGCCACTGACTGCCCCAAATGTGCCTGTGTGAGCAAGTTCTCATGTCAGTGGAAGATGTTCTGGGATCTGGGTATGCGCAAGCTTGAGGGAGAGATATGTACCTGCCATGGCTCCGGACTGTAATGACTTTGCGCCGATGCTGGAGAGTTCTGGCCATGTCGGCATTGGCCTTGGCTGTGATGATGTGCGGTCGGTCATGCTGACTGTGAGTATGAAGGGCCGCAGCTCTTAGTTGCCTGCCTGTAGGAATTGCAAATCCTGGACTCGACTGCCTGGTGAGGGAGGCTGCTGCTCGATGAATGCCAGAGCTGGGGATGCCGTAGTTGTGCGTGCGATCGTGGGTGACGTGAGTGGATTGGATGGTTCCAATGTTAACAACTCTTTATGAAAACAGCCTTGGAAACTGATTGACTAGACCGAAATACGAATCACACCGGACATTGTTTAAGCAGCCGGCTCGGAAGTGGGAGCCTCGTCTTATGATTATGTCAGAATATCACGGCGTGAGGAAGATATAAGTCGACCCTCGGCGTAACTGACTGACTGACCAAGTGGTTGCGTGCCGGGTAAGCTACGATGCCCAGTGGGAAGACGGTGCTGGAGAGTTGGGATTGCAAGGGTTACGTAATCGCTATCGATGCGACACGCCCCCACCAAGCTAGCGCACCCTGACCTGAGCCCCTCGGTACGGCGAGACATAATGGACATGGGGGACGGGACTGGTGCAGCACTAAAAAAAAAAATACATGCGCACCAGTCCATATTCTGGGCCGCGCGGGCAAAGGGGTTGGTCGGTCGGAGGAACCACCACTGCGGCCAGGTATTCACCCGCGGGTGGGCTGCAAGGTAGTGAGTGGCGCGCGCACACAAGGAGCGAGGGATGAAACGGAGACGGCTCCCTGGACGGACGAGGTACCATGGAAACCGCCCGCGAGCAGCCCCAGGACGAGTGCCGCCCGGTGCTGTGGCCCGCGAGTGTCGAAATATGGCTGGATGGACGGAGAGACGGGTGGTGATGAAGAGTACGAGCCCTTGTGCTGCCCAGAGTGAACCATTGGGCCGGTGCACGTGTGACTGTGATTGTCCAAGACGTGGTGGTGACCTGCCTGCCTCGATCGACCAACTCCCGTGGTGTACTACTGCATGTACCGCTCGACTGCATCCTGTCCCAACGACGAGCCGATTTTTTTTGGCCTGGCCTTGCCCCCCTCTGCGACCTCCCACTCCAGCCTTCTGCATCGCAAACCACATCCCCGAACAAGACTCGCAGAGAACGCTTGATCCCCTCGAGGTGAGTCGCTGCAATGCCCTCCCTTCATGTCGCGGCGGCCGCGGCGACCCCATCAGCGACTTTTGGCCAGGACGGCAGGCGGCCCCTCAGTACAAGAGAGCCGACACCAACAACAACAACAACACGGCGCCGGCGAGTCGACGAGCGAAGCCGCACATGCATCATCGTGACAACTCGGCGGCAGCAGTGGCCGCGCGGGAACGCTCCGTCCGCAGGCGCTCAAGTCTAGAGGCAGGCCGGGCACGTCTCGCCTTCAACAGCAGCGACAACCCACGACGCACGAACTTGCAGCGGCAGCGCCTCCCCCGCCATGTGCTGCTTCGCCATGGGCCCTCAAGCGAGGCACATTCTCGAGGCGCATACATACGTCCCCGCCTGCCGCTTCTCCCTTCGCATCGCCGTCCTGCGCCTTCCGTCCAGCACCCGCCGTCGACGACTTCCCTGCACGAATTCCTGGCCGGCAATTTACTGATCCGTCGTGCGCTGTTAGCATTCTCGCCTTGTTCCAAGAGACACTTCCGAAGCACACGCAGGGCATCACATCTCGTAGTGCCTGCGTACTCAACACCGCAATCATGGGTGAGCACGTTCCCCTAACCCGCGCGAGGTTAATCGCTTGCTCTGGGCGACAACTGTGCTAATAATGACCCTCGCTAGCGCCCAAGAAGAAGCAGCAGACGCAGACCCTCTCCCTCGGAGCTTTCCTGAACGAAGACAGTGAGTTCCCCGGCTCGACTCTTTTGCGACAATTTCGCCCCGAGGTTCGGTGTTGGACCGCAGGTGGCGTAGCAGCACATCTTCGCACCCACTCCGTCGTACACACGGCAATGCCGCGTCCGCTTCCGATCAAGACAAAGTGAACTGACGGACCGCAGAGTTTGGAGGCTCTTGGGCTGATGAGGTCGAGGAGTCTTATGGTAAGCCATCTTCCCTAAGCATGAAACCCGAGTCGTCTACTAACAATACTGTAGGCTCCCAACCTCTTCCCGCTCCGACCCACGAGCGTCGCACTGGCTATTCGAGCTACGGCGGTGGCGGCGGCTTTGGTGACCGTGGTAAGTGCCTTTCAGAACGTAGTTTCTCGTTCGAAGCAGGCCAACTGACGAATGTGTGCCTACAGGTGCTGGTGCCTACGCTCCTCGTGACTCTTTCCCTACCGAGCTTCCCACAAGGCCTCCTTACACTGCTCACCTGGGCAACCTCTCCTACGAGGCCACGCAGGAGGCTGTCACCGATTTCTTCGCCGACTGTGCTATCACTAGCGTGCGCATCATCGAGGACAGAATCGAGAACCGCCCAAAGGGCTTCGCCTATGCCGAGTTTGCCGATGTTGAGGGCCTGAAGAAGGCTCTCGACCTCGACGGCGAGCAGTTCCAAGGCCGCAACATCAGAGTTCGGATCGCCGATCCTCGTAAGTCCCGGTGTTGTACATTTTGTTTCCTGAGTAGAGTGATACTGACTCCACTGCAGCCAAGGGAGGTGAGTTCCGTGACGGACCGTCGGCGCGCGATCTTGGCTCCTGGGAGCGCAAGGGACCTTTGGCCGACATCCCCGGCCGTGGCAACGACCGCCGCATGAACGACTTCGGTGAACGCCGTGGACCCCCCAGAGACGGCCCCAGCGACGAGGGCAGAAGCCGTGATTTTGGCAACTGGGAGCGCAAGGGCCCGCTTTCTCCTGCCATCACCCCGGAAGCTGGTGATGACTCCCGCGACAACAGCCGGCCTAGGGGCTCAGACCGCGGAGAATCCTTCCGTAACAACCGTACCGCCACTTGGGGCGAGGGAAGGTCGGACGGATCACGACCTCCTGCTCGCGAGTTCCGTGAGCGTCCCGAGCGTGCTGAGCGCCCTGAACGTCCCGAACGTGCCCCCACAGCTGCCGAGATGGACAACCAATGGCGCAGCAACATGAAGCCTGACCAAACATCCGCCAGCGGCTCTCGGGATGGAAGCCAAGCCCCTATGTCTCCGGGTGGTCCGGAGTCAGCAGCGCCTGCTGCCCGCCCGCGTCTGAATCTCCAGAAGCGAACAGTCACTGAGGCTCCGGCCGACGCCTCTAGCTCTGCCGGCGGTGATGCCAAGGCCAGCCCCTTCGGCGCCGCTCGCCCCATTGATACCGCCGCCAAGGAGAAGGAGATTGCCGAGAAGCGCGAACAAACCGCCAAGGAGCAAAAGGAGGCTGAGGAGAAGGCCAAGGAAGAGCGCCGGCTGGCCAAGGAGGCTGCCGCAAAGGAAGCCGAGGAGAAGGCTGCTGCCGACGCCAAGGAGGCCGAGGAAAAGGCTGCTGAGAAAGACGCCGCCGCCGCCGCCGCTGCAGAGGTCAAGGCAGAGGAGAAGGTGGAGAGTGAGACACAAAAGATTCCCGTCAGACCAAAGGAGGATGCCGAGGCTCCCAAGTCAAGAGCTGCTGGCAGTGGAAGCTGGAGGTCGTCCGGCGACCAGCCCCGTCCTGCGCGGGGTGGTGGTTATGTCCCTCGCGGCCGTGGTGACGGCACTCGGGGTCGTGGTGGTGCTCCCCGTGGCGGTGCGCCCAGGAGCTTTGAGGGCCGTCCTCCTCGGGCCAACGGGTCTGCTCCCGCTGCTGGTGCTCAAGATGTTCCTCCTTCCCCGGCCGCTGCTAGCGAGTCTGAGGCCGCTCCCGCTCAGGACCCCGAGGGCTGGACCACGGTGCCTGCCAAGGGCCGTCGCAAGTAGACGGTTCGTGTCCATGACAAACAGAAGCTCTTCTCTCATCCGGATCTCAGGTCCATATATCTGCACGCGCAGATGGCACGTCAAAAAGTTTTCTTTCTCACCGTCGGCCTAGCATGAGGCGGAGTGCGCGCGCAATGGAAGGCTATTCTTCTTCTCGACCACGATGAATTCACGAGGAGATGGCAATGATGCAAAAAGGGATATGGATGGAAACGATAGAAGGGGGTGAATGCGAGAATGAAAGAAAAATAAAAACTTCCCACTTCAAAAATGAAACCTTTGTCCTGACACCCGTGCTTAATGTCAACATTGAGCACAGAATTCTGACATCAGGGCTGTGTATGCAAATGACGAGCAGGAAACGAGGGAGACACTTCTGTGACTGGGTCGTGCAAATGAACTTGTGCTTCATGATCTGGTTGACAGCCTTGATGGTGGTATAAAACGATCCTCGTGATGGTATCGACCGAAATCTCTAATACTATATATGTACTGATCGCTCACTTCTTGAATGCCTGGGCTCCCAACCTCTCAATCTCTTTCCCCTCCGGAGTGCCTTTCCCCGCGGCGTCAAGCAGCCGTGACCACTCGTCAGCGTTGCGCAGCCGGACGGCCTCCTCGGCCGCCTTGACGCGCATGCCGCACTTTTCATACATGGTGATGGATTGGCCCGGCTCGAGACCTGTACACTTAGGGATGAAGAGCGCAGCGAGACGGGGGTTGCCGGCGCCGATCGTGAGGTTAAAGTATGGCTGTTTTTTGTGTGTAAATGAAACATGTTAGTTACGTCTGAGCACCAGGTGCGGGCTTTGCAGTGATTTACTCCTCGGAAAGCTGGAACTGAAACACATACCTCCCAGCCGATGGGGCTCTTCTTGGTCTTGGAGATCTCCTCAATCTCATTCCAGTCGCGTTTAGCCACTAGGGCGCGCAAGCTGACGAAGGCATTAGCGCGGCACTCCAGGAGACTTCAACACATAACCACCACTTACCGAATCCAGCACGACACCTTCTCCGGCACCTTGAACTCGTTCTGTATCTTCTTGGCCTTGTTGTGGTAGCCCAGGCGGATGAGCTTGAACAGCGTCTCATTCACGCTCAAGCCCGTGAACGTGTCTGTGAGATCGCGGTCCAGGGCTTCCTGCATGCGCAATAGTGTCGCGGCCTCCTTGAGAGCTTGTACCTCAAAATGTGTCTCTTTGGAGTCAGACATCAGCTTCGCCGCGAGCGCCAACTTGTCGCCCGCCGTCCGGGCGTCCGACTGTGTCAGAGACTCTCGGATGAAGACGCTTGCGCCGTCAACTCGGCGATCATCCTGGTAGTACAAGTCCTTGAGCAGGGCGTTATCGTTGTCCAGCTCGGCTGTGGACTCCACCAGTGCAGTCGCGGCAGGGCGAGCATTGATGACTCTGAAGAAGGCCGCCAGTGGCAACTTCTTTTTCATCTTGAGCAGCACAAAGAATATGAGATCCGAGTCGCCGCTCTCAATGGCCTTGTCCAGGGCTATCTCGTCCTCCTCCATGCTCAGCAACAAAGGCACCTGACGGCCAGCTCGTGGCTCGTGGTTCAAGAGCTCAGTCGCTAGCCTCCCTCGGCCTTCGTCGTAGGCAGCTTGTGCTATTGTCTCGAACGAAATTCCTGGCTTTCCTTGGAGGCGATCAACGATGACCCTGCACGTCGAGTCGTCGTCTTCGGATCCGACACGGACTTTCGCGGACGCCCAGTGGACGTATATCTCGTCCGTGGGGAGTCGCAGGTACCCTGCTATGCGTAGAGCGAGCAGATACTCGTGGCGGTTGATCAGTCTCTGGATCAAGCCTTCAGGAGTCAACCTCTGATATTGCTCGTATGACAACGGCAGACCTATCTCGAAGAACCGGACGGCGTTGAGCACCCTCAGGGTCTCGCACATGTCGACAAAGTCGTCGCTATTGTAGATGTCCAGGACCGACTTGCCGAAGGAGGCGGCCTTGAGGAGCTGCTTCTGCCAGTGCACGTTGTATTCATGCCCAGCAGCTGCAACACAGTTGTCGACAGCCTCGACGAGACTCCCCCGAATCAGCTGGATATTGTCGTCGGCCTTGGGCGACTGCTCCTCGAGTTGCTGGACAGCATCCAGCAATACTGAAGCAGGCGACTCGGTGCCGTATCGAAACACATCGTCTGTCACGTCCGGGACTTTCTGCAGGAAGTCGCAGACCTTATTCGACAGCAACCGGACACCATCGAGATCTTGAAATAGAGTGTTAGAAAATGCGAAGCAGATCCCCTTGCCCTTGTTAACATACCTGTGATGACGTGGACGCCATCTTCGTAGAAATAACTCGCCGTCGCGCCGTTCGGGCCCACGATGTTGACCTCGTCGTCCCATGCAATCACGACGGCATCGTTGCCGCACCACTCCAAGTACTTTGGGCTGATCTGCGATTTCGAGTCGTACTCGCTGAGGCGGTTCTGGAAGTCGGCAGTGATGACGTGGGCCTTGCCATCTTCCGAGTACAAAGCAGCGAACTTGCCGTTTGGCGAGACGCCAATATGCGAAAACGGGCCTATGTCGAGGAAGCGATCCTCGCAGTCTGTTGTGTCAACGACATATACTGTCTTGCCGATACTGAGCAAGACCTCTACCGAGCGTGAAAGAGTGTGATTCGGTGGGATTATGTTCCACGAGTGTACCTCGCCCTCGGGGGTTGCTGCGAGCACCTTTGGCCGCGGCTCAGTGTACGACAGGACCGAGACAAGCGTGTTGTTGGTCAGAAGAGCGACCATGCCGGTATCGTAGAACTGACATGACTTGACGCCAAAGTCCTCGGCCTCGCGGCCAAGAGAAAACTGTGTGAAGTCGCCTTGCAGGCCATAGTAGCAGCGGACGGTGCCGTCGTAGCCAACGACGAGCAGCTTCTCGTCTTCAGACCAGCCGAGGCCCTTGATGGAGCCTCGGTCCCAGGCGATCGACTTGAGCAGCTTGCCGGAGCAGCTGTAGATGTCGATGCCCGGCTTGGACGACTTGGCTGCGCGATACGAGACAATCTTGGTCTCGTCGCGGTAGATGGCTGCAAGTGACGTCAGTCAGGATGTCACGATGGAGGCGACCATGGCCTGACCGAGCCGGCTCGGGGGAGAGGAAGAAACGGACCTACAGCTCCGCCATAGGGAGCGCCTGCGACAATGTGGTTGTTGAGGTCGAGGTCATGGTCAAAGACGGCCGTGTAGAGCTGGGTCTTGCGGTAGAAGCGGTCGCCTACCCGCTCCCAGCCCTCGGTCGGATGTACTGACCCTTCCATGCCGCGTGCTGCTCACCGCATGGTCGTCGCGACTGGCAGCGTGGGATGTGGCTCAAGGCAAGCTGTAGGAAGATAGGACAGGGATACTGTGCGTTTCTGGCTGCAGGCTTAGGATGTCGTCCTCTCATTCAGTGGCAGGAGGTATTGGGCAGCTCAAGATAGGCTGTGATAGGCCGAAGCTATGTGCAGCTGGGAGCTCCATCCTGGGCGGTGCATGCACCATCGCACGCCTTGTGCTCCACGCATGTTCGCGCGCCTCAGTGATGACATAAGCAGAGTCCTGCCCAGCCAGCCAACTGCTTATGTCTCGAACCTGGGTATGGCTGTCGGCTGGCAAACAATATCATCTCTTGAACACCATCATGTCTTATTAATGCATATTAGCCGCCATGATGCAGTACCCCGAGGGCGGTAAAACGCCCTTTGACAAAAGTAGCCCAAAGCTCAAAGCAGCCGCCTACCAAGATCCAGTCACCTATCGTCGACAATCCATTCCTACGTAGTGACCAGTCCGGTGCCCGGTAATGGCCCAAAATTGGCATGTTTCCTGTTCAGGCCTAAAAGCAGAAGCTGACTTATAAAGCTTCCAGCAGGACTGCCTGAGATCATCCTTGCACTCGGGACATCGAAATGGCACTAACAAGAGCACCGGTTACGTGATTGAGGGCCGATTACGAATACCATAAAGGCAGACGGTGCGTTGCCGTGTCTAAAGTCCGATGAACCGGAGCTCTATTCCACCGGGTCCGCAGAAGAGACCACGAGAAAGACCTTTTGTCCAATGCCCGCCGAGCCTAGCACGCTCCAAATTCTTGGAGAGCTGAGGGCTGCCGAGACTATTCGTCCAATTCAATGGGGCCTGTCGGGAGAGTTGCGACCATAACTTCACACCCCACTTGCGGCGAACAAGGACAGCCAGGGTGTTGTATACTGTTAACTTGAAATCACTTCCCATGGTTCCCATGGTTTCCAGGCTACATAGTCGAGTTGCTGCCGATCCCGCCTCTGTGCTTGGACTGCTTCTTTCATTCACCCTTGAGTCCTAGAAGCCACGAAGGACAGGCATAAAAACCACGCTACCTTAATCATGGCAGCCAACGACATCAAGCACAACACAACAACGTCTGGCCGCTGGATGCTCGTGTCTCAGAATGGCTTTGACGAGAGCCTCCAGTACGACGACTCGTACTCGCCCACCGAGGCCGATCTGGGGCCCGAGGACGTCCTGGTCGAAGTCCATGCGGCCTCGCTCAACTATCGCGACATTGCCATCGCCAAGGTACGCCTCAGCCATCTTTCCATTTCCCCCAAGAACGACAAATAGTTCATGTTTCGCAACAAGTCTCTGCGATGCCCTGGGAAACTATCGTCCCATTTGACACTAATGCTAGCCATGGCAGCATGCGCAACACTTACACTGCTGACACACTCCAAAACAGGCCGGAAAAGTGGCAATGCCTCTTCCCATCACACCCAATGTTACCCCCGGCTCGGACGGCGCCGGCAAGATCCTCGCCCTCGGATCCGACGTGGCCCGGCTCTGCCCATCCCTTGTCCAGGCCAACGGCAAGGGCGGCATCGGGCAGGACGTCGTGACGCACCTCGCCCCGCACACCGGTTCCGGCTCCGAGGACGCCGACGCGGCGATGCCCGGCTTCGAGGACATCGGCTCCGGCCTGGGCCAGAAGGAGCACGGCACCCTGTGCCGGCGCGGCGTGTTCCACTACTCCGCGCTGCTGCCTATGCCCGCTGGGCTCGGGTACGAGGCGGCGGCGAGCTTGACGTGCAGCGGGCTCACGGCGTGGAATGCGCTGATGGGCGTCGAGGGCAGGAAGGTAAAGAAGGGGGATTGGGTCTTGGTCCAGGGGACGGGCGGAGTCAGCATCGCTTCTCTGCAGGTGAGCTTTTCCCCTTGCATAGCACAATCTCTTTGGAAGGAGGAGTACCATGACATACCCGACGATGGTCTCGTGGAGTATTTTCTCTCTATTTCCGCATATCCCGACTGACAGAGCATTACTTGTTGCAACCTCCTCCCAAAACAGATCGCAAAAGCCGCGGGTGCAAACGTCGTGGCAACCACCTCATCGCCATCCAAAGCCGCTCGCCTCAAGCGCCTCGGCGCCGCACACGTCATAAACTACCGGGAGACACCAGACTGGGGCCTCGCGGCGCGCGAGCACACGCCCAAGGACGACGCCAGAGGAGGCGGCAAGCCCAGGGGTTTCGACCACGTCGTCGACGTCGGCGGGGCCCTGACGGCACCGCAGAGCCTCCAGGCCGTGCGGCGCGACGGTCTCGTCACGATCGCGGGCGTGCTGGGCGCCGCCGGGGATGCGCCGCCCGAGCCCGTGGACATCATGGCGGCCATGTGGTCGATCTGCATGGTCCGCGGCATCGTGCTGGGGTCGCGGGCCATGTTTGCGGATCTGCTTGCCTTTGTGGCCGAGCACAAGGTGGGTGTTGCGCTTGATGACGAGGACCAGTGGTTTGGGTTCGATCGGGTCAAGGAGGCGTACGCAAGGCTTTCGCGGCAGGAGCACTTTGCCAAGGTTGTCATACAGATCAAGTAGGTATTCACAGAGGTTCAAAGATCCGGGGGGGGGGGGGCAAAATGGTGGAAAGGTTCTTGAATTGAAGCGAAGTGTGATGCAAGCATCATCGGGGGTATCTTGAGAAAAAAAGGTCTGTACTAAAGGTTGAGAATCATGTCCACGCTCTTACTCAGGGAAGATTTTCGCGCCCATCTCCCCCGACGTCGTCTTTTTCGGGACCTAGCTCAGGCCTTGTTCCCGTACCTCTTCTGCATCATCTTCTTGTAGTGACCCTTCTTGCCGCTCATCTTGGCAGTTTGGATCTCGTTGTACTTGGCCTTGAGCTTCTTGGTCGCCCTCTCCTGGTCGAGGACCTCGTCCACCAAGGTGCGCTTGCGCTCCTTCTTGGTCATTCTCGCGCTGAAGTACTCGGTAGGACCCTCGATCATTGTGCCGACCTGGCTGTACTCGGGGACGGCTGATCTGGCGCTATCCTTCTTGTAGAACCGTTTCGAGTCCAACGTGTCACGCATCTTGATGAGCTGCAACTCGCGTTTGAGCTCGGGTGTGAGGTTCGTCTTGGGCATGTTGAACCATTTGGCGCCAGCGTCGGCCTTGGTAGATTCGGCCTGTGGGGAGTCTCCTGTCAGCAAGAACAGCTCTGAGAAACCCATTGTAGTTTTGAGAAGCGGTGGGTTGGTATGACAGTCAGAGTAACTATGATATTGATCTATCATTATGGCGTAGCAACATCACCCATGACGGGATCCGCTGCTACTTCAATAAAATTGGGATATTACTTTCATCATGAAAGAATGTCGTAGGTGCGCGACGATAGCCGCAAGGGACAACAGGGGTTAAGTGAAGGTGTGCAACTCACCATTTCCTTCTTGGACTTGCGCACGGTTGGGACACGCACAGAGAGCTCTTCGCTCTTGGGCTTTGTGACCGGAGCTGAGGCGACAGACTGTGCGCCCGCACTCTGAGCAGTGCGAGCAACCTCGAGAGGTGCAGGTTTGGCCAGGCTTGTTCCATCCTGGCTCTGCTCCTTGGTCAAGAGTCGCGCCTCGGCTTCCTGGAGAAGCTTGAGGATCTGGTCATCCGACAGACTGGCCGTGGTAGAGTCTGCCATGATGGGCGAAGCTGGGCTGGGGATTTGTGCTGTGTCTGCTGCGCAGTTCGCGAAAGGTCAAGAGGGAGGAAGGAATACGTGCGGGTGGATGGGAACCAAATAAATCCCAAAAATTTCGAGGTTGGCACGATAAGATAAGTGGGTACATACAGTGTGTGTGCAGAGACCTTCTCTACCAGAATGGCGTGCAAATGCACGGTACTGGGAACACGCAGAAAACAGCCCTGGAGCTGCCCACTTGGCTGGCTGGATTTGCAGGCAGCTGTTCGCACACGGTCTTGGAGGGTGGAGAGGACTCTCTATTCGCGTAGACAGTCGAGGCTGCCTTGCCTCTACAACTCCCCGACTGGCCGAGGTTGCGTGCTCGATGGTCCCTCCCAGTGTAGTGATTGGCCTGGCTCGAGGTGCTGAGTAGCGGTACCAGCGTATCAGATGAGGACTTGCTTGTGGGCAGCCACGACCACTAATTCGAATCCCCATCCGTAATCTATCTCAATGCGTGTACGTAGAAAGACGGGATCTAGCACGACAGGGAAGCCATCGCCAGCGTCCATTTCGAGTCTGGCCATCGAGTGCTCCCCGAGTGCTGACGGATGTTGGAGAGACCCTTGCGCGGGCCGCTGGTCGTCGCTGCCCAACCCTGGGTGCCAGCGCATCAAGTGTGAGTGCAGGCTGTGCCGCTGTCGTCAAGAGAAGCTGCTTCAACTGCCACGCTCAGCCCGGATGATGTAAATGGCCTTTGACCACGGCAGTCTTTGGCCGCCTTGTGCCTTGCGCCTTGGGCCACCTGGACACACTCGCGCCGGGGATACCACACCCCATGGGGGTTTCCGAGTACTCACCTTGGGTAGAGAGGGCCGCGTCGGGCTGCCCGGCCGTGGCTTGCTGCGGTTGAGCGGCTGGGACACAGCTCGCGACCGGTCTGGTCTGGCTTACACGTCATTGTGGGCGCTGGCGAGAGGCGGTCTGCAGGCCGACTCTGTGCCAGACAGATCTTTAAGACTGCCCAGATATAAATGCTGACGTCGTAGCCACCATGCGCGGGTTTGGCTGTTGCTGGCGATGAACGCCTGGCCACCAAGACCACAATCTAGTCCCCGCGCGAGTTGCTCGCACGCGAATCCTGCCCAGCTGTACAGCAAGGGACCTGTCGGCTACAACATCCCAGACCAACCTCACACAACGGCCTCGTCCAAGACAAAGCACAGAGGAGTCAAAAACGGTGCGTATGCCACAGCCTTATGAACCGCCGCCACAGGCAGGAAGCAGGCAGGGCCGGCCGGGTCCACCTTTACCCTCTCGCGCACCCGACCCGTCCAAGTGGCGGGGCCTGCCCCAATCACGACTCGAGCGCACACCGCCGCCAATCAGCCCCCTCACTGGCACTCCTTCGACGCTCGCCTGTTGCTCTTGCCGCCCCCAGCCATCCCAGCTGCCTGGCCAATCACTCCCCCCAATCCCCTCAACCGCACCACTCGAGCACCACTCCAGCTCTTTGGAGCTTCTTACACCACATTCGCGCGCGCCGTCCTGCTCAATGTAAACAAGCTCGCCAGCCTCTGACGTTGACCACCAGGCACCACAAAGACCACGAACGCCCCTCGATCACGGCCGTACCGATCCTTGCGAATCCGTCAACGACCTCACGAGCCGCACGGCCAGCTTCTCATCTCCCGAGTCGCACGCATCCGAGCATCCGCCCCCGCCCTCGCTCGTCCCGCGCCATCACCGTCAATAAGGTCCCCCCCCAAAGTCCAGGAGACGAACCGACTTGGAAAACCCGCAACCTCCATATTGCAGCTTGTACGCAACTGCCTGTCCATAACAACGCGGTAGAAACAACGCAGGAAGCGCAAAGAAAGAAAACGGCTTCGCAACCATGGACCCAGCTTCCGCAAACCACCCCCAGTCCGCTCGTGCCGGCAACGCGCAAGTTGCGTACGACATCACAACAGTGGGCCACTATGGTACGTGATCCCTGGCTATCCGTCTCTGGATCCTAGGGCACCTTGTGCCCTGCTTGTCATGATTCAAATGCTGAACAGAGACTCTCTCATGCATTTAGGCGCCAGTGCAGCTGTAAGTGCTTCGCAACCAATCAGAGGCCCTCAAGCACTCGGTCATTTGTATTGTTGATGAGATGTGTCTACCGGTGATCATATAATGACATCTCGAGCATCACTGTGGTTCCGTTTGAAAGTAAGATCATGACAACAGATCGCTAACTGCTTGCTGTCACAGCTTGCCAACTCTGGCTTTGCGCCCGCGGAACTATACACTGGCACATGGGCCAATGTCCACCAGGGACTCCACGGCCAATACAAGGATATCCTCACGACATACTGGCAACATACAATCAACCACCTCGAATCCGACCAGCATGACTACAAGCTTCACCAGCTGCCTTTGGCTCGTATCAAGAAGGTCATGAAGGCCGACCCAGAAGTCAAGATGATCTCAGCCGAGGCCCCCATCCTGTTCGCCAAGGGCTGCGACATCTTCATCACAGAGTTGACCATGCGCGCTTGGATCCATGCCGAGGAAAACAAGCGCCGCACATTGCAGCGGTCCGACATTGCCTCGGCCCTGAGCAAGAGCGACATGTTCGATTTCCTGATCGACATTGTGCCGCGCGAGGAGGCTTCGTCGCATGCGAAACGTGCCAACCCAGCTGCGCAAGCGCAGAACGCGCACGGCGGCGTCCCTGCAGCCGCCGCCGGCGGACTGCCCGGCCAGCACGGGATGCCTGGCGGGCCTGGCCACCAGGCGATGGCGCCAACAGAGTACAACATGGCCCACGGCATGGCTCCGGAGCAGGACTACCGCGCGCAGACCATGTATGCCAACCAGGCGCCAGGGAACCCTTACGGCCAGCAAGCTCCACAGCCCATGTATGGCGAGATAGACAACATGTACAACCCCTATCCCGGAATGACGCAGCAGCAGTAGGATGCTGCTGGTCAGCCTACGAATCGGCATGATGGCGAAGATGCCAAGGATCCTGGCATTTTGCCAAAGGATGAAGAGACGCACTCGTCGTGCTCTGCTCGCGACGACCAATAAATCGACAGAAAAGCAGTTATGTCCGGACCGCACAGAGATCCATGAGTTGCTGATGCTAGCTCACAGGAATTGTGGTTCCGATGGCATTAACCAGCCCCAGGTAAATTTGTCTTCTGGTCTTGTGGTTCATTTCAGTTTCCCGCAAGTTGAAAAAGTTGCGCGTGAAATGTGTTGGAAGTATGGCGTCTGGGCAGGTTTTTCCGTTTTACATAGCTGTATTTTTCTCCTTCCCACTATTGGAACTTTGAAGAAGCGCTTTGCGCGCAGAGCTCAGGCTTCTTGCTGAATATATGACTTTGATGGTTCATGAGCACGGTACACAAATCTGTTGTGACATAGCCCCCGCTTTGTTTCCCTGCTGGCTCTGGACAAGGACAGGGATAATCTGTATGATTGAACTTGTGAAAGTGGTCCTCTACTTGAAGCGGGATGAGATATTTGACGAGAAATTGGCGAACCGCGCAGTAACCTGCCCGGTCGACGAGACCTGCTGCGTGAGCTTCTCGAGCAGGATGGGCCCGTTCAGGGCGTCGACGCGGCCGTACTTCTTGTTGCGTGTGGAAATGTCGAAGAACTCGTCGGCGTTCTCGGCCTGCAGGAGTAGGATGGTCTGCTCGAGCTCGTCGAGGTTGGATCGCAGCATGAAGCCATTCTCGAGGCCGTCCACGAAGTCGGTCAAATGCTGGACATCCTGTGCCAGGGCCTGTACGCCGTGCGGGTTGATCTTCTTGACGTCGGAGGACAGGGGGAGAGCCTGCAGGAGACGGTTTCATGTGTTAGTGACGATCCGCATGTAGCTTCTGTGCAGGCAAATAAAAGTACGCACCAGAATCTTTTCTGCCGCATGACTGAGCGCATCAAAATAGATGAGCTCTTTGATCTCCCGCGGCAGACCTAGGAGGGTCGAGTTCATAATGTTGGACAGATACCGTGTCAACGTCTGCATGTAGTTGCTTGGTTCCAAGGGAGCTTGCGGTGCGGTCCAGTCATACTCGGCTGTCTCCACAAGATCGTCGATCTTGGAATTGACCAGCTCAAAGATGCGCTTCTCGGCGGTCTTCTTGTGGTCGCGGAATTGCTCGGTAGCGTCGAGTGTCAATGGTCCGCCAGCCGAAGCAGACGACCGCGCGCGCATGAGCAGCTGCTCGAGCTCCCGGCATGCTGTCTCGAAGTGCTCGAGGTTGATGAGAATTTGGACAATCTGTCCGAGATATTGCGAACTGAGTCGCTCAACAAGAGACTTGCACACCTTCTCCGTCAGGAGTTCGTCGAGAGACTTCCGCAACGACTCGTCAATCTTGGCAGGGTGCTGGAAGTGATCATCGGCAAAGAAGTAGAATTGATTTAGGAAGTTGCGGATGTCGATGCAGCACAGAGGATACATTTGAGAGAAAGGCAGGACGCAGGGGAATCTGCGGAATCGTCAGTCACATTCATAAGCAAAGTTTTGGTGTCGGGCAAAACCCACGTGAGATCATCAACAGACTGTTCTTGAGAGAACCAGCTCACATTGACAACATTTTCATAATCCTTCTTGGAGTTGATGGCCATAGGCATGTAGTCATCCGTCGAGACAATCTGCAAAACATCAGCATGTCACCGGCAACCATGACACAGAGACAACTGCTCACCTCCTGGAAGTCCTCGCTGAACCGCTTCTTAAGGAGCTCCGCGTACTTGTCGAACATGTCTAGCAAGAAGTCATCCAGTCGCGACACTGAATAGCCCCAACCCTCCATCGTCTGGATGAAGAGCGCAATGACCAGCTTGATCTTGAGCAAGACCTCGGCATTCGTCACTTCACTCAGCGCCTTGGATGTGAGCGAAATGGCAGCGGTGCACATGGAGTCCCATAGCTCTTCGACCTGACCTGGATGTTAGTCGGCTTTCGGCAACACACCACGCGAGAGTAATCACACTCACATCGACCGAGCTTCGTAGCTGTGGTGCTCGCCTCATTGTAGCCTTCTCGATGATGGCAAATCCAGATATGCTCTCAAGTAAGCTGCTCAGTGACGATTCATCGTCTGTTGTCAGGCTTATCGAGCTGGGCAACAACAATTCTTTCTGCCTTCTTCGCGTTGCCGCATACTCCGACCGGAACTTATCGCTCTGGCCAAGAGCATCGTGAATGTGTAGTGCTTCGAAAAGGGGTGTGAAATCGACTTGCAATTCTTCATTGTCAAGCACATCAAACTCCTCGCTCTCGTCAAACACCAGTTCGATCGCGGAGTTCAACTTGAACTGGCTGAGAAACTCATCGCCCTCTATCCGCTGTCGTTGCCTGTCTCGCCGCATGTTTGTGTGGTAGAAGGCGACCTCTCCAAGAAACTGCGACGTCTCTCGGATGCGAAAGAGCCAGGTGTTGAGGTCGGTCATGACGGCTTCGGATATCGTCTTCTGCGACGTCCGTATTGACTTTTGTATAAGCCCGGCAAGCTTGTGCTGCGTAGCGTATTTGTTCTGTATTATAGGAACAAGGAACTCGCTCTGCAGGTCGTCCAGTGACTTGAGCGCGCCATAGTATTTCTTCTTGCGGATGAGCTCGTGCGCATGGTTGACAGCGTGAAGGATCCTCAGCGACTCTTTGAGCGCATCCGACACCTCTGAGATGTTCTCCCGCACCGCCCTGGTATTGACGAGAGCCTGCTTCTGCTCGGCAAGCTTCTCGGTGCTGGCTTGTATGGACTGGTTGAGCTTCAGGATCTCCGTTGTTAGGTCGACGGTCCTTTCCTGCACGTCCTGGAGCTGATTGACGGAACTGAGGAACTCCTCGTGTTTGGTAAGACCTATCCTCTCGATCTCCGCGTCCCGGTCCTCGGCATATTGCGAGAGGTTCTGAGTGAGCTCCTGCGCCCGATAAGTGTTTGTTGCATCCTTGAGGACCGGGATGAGCTGGTCGAGGAACTCGGCATCGGTAGACGATAGAATTATCTGTTGTACTGCCGTCCCGTAGTCGTCGTAGTTCTGCACGCGTCGAGGCATCGTTGGCGAAGGCTGCCGCCTTGGCTGTCGCGGTCGCAATCTGGGGGGGTGAGTGGGAACAACCGTTTGTGGTGGGCTGGTCGCGTGGAGTGCCGTTTATGCGACTCCCATAATCTGTCGGCGTTGTTGTCTTGGGCGGTTCGTCGCCTGGTTCGATATAATGCTTCGCAGGACGAGTTTGTTGCTTCCACCCCTTTCGCAGGCAGTCGGGCGGTTTCGCGCACGAGGTGTAGTCAAGATGCCCGGAGCACATGAGATGTCGCAGCCTTGCGTGCCTGCCAGGCACACCACATTGCAAGTGGCAGTGAGCATCGAGCTCCACTTCTGCCCCTCAAACCCCCAAGCAGGGGTGCTCCTGCAAGGCCACTCCACACAAGCTTGAGGCTGCGCGAGCTGCCTGCCAGAGGCGATATGATTGGTTCGGTCTTCAACATCAAGCTGCATCCAACTGTGTCCCTGACGGTGATTCCTCTCATCTTCGCAGAATTCTAGACGCTTTGTCCATCCGTAATGGCATCCGTCCGTACAATACAGTGTTTCTTACAAAATTCATGTGTATGACCAAAATCTAATGCTGCATGCTTGAGCCGTTCCCTACACGGTGACGACATGAAACGGACCAGGATATGATCAAGCTCAATCCTGCCGTCCACCTCTCAAGCACTTTAGGCTTCTGATACAAAAGCTCGAAGCAAAACTAGTCATACCATCTGCAGAAAACATGTTTGTGTGAGACACCGGCGGCAAAATCAAGGTCTGGCCGTTGATATCCACCTGGGCCATTGGAACGAATATGGCAGCCATGTGGCCTTACAGAGGCACCAAAGCCTTCCTGGCCTGCCTAGGCAGTGTCATGCATGCATTGATGCAACGACACTTTCTTTGCTAGCTAAAAGCTGCAGACTTGAGCCGCTCGTGGGCCACTTGGCTGATTCGGTTGTCGGCCGCCATCTGCTGCGTTGTGCCACAGACGAAGACAGGAAGCCCTCCAATGTCCAATGGATGGATGCCTGCAGCTACCCTGCCTAAGATGCTCAGGTACCCGAAGGGAACGTGCCCAGATGCTCAAACGGAGGCTCCTTCCTAACGGGTTGCTAAGCACCCATTCCTGCCACTCGACCAGTCTGTAGGTGACTCTCTCACTCGGGAGGCTCGTTCTTGCCGCCCTGCGTCAAACATTCTTCCATCTTCCTCACCCACACCAGCGAGCTCACCTCGTCGACAACAACGCTCTCGTCCTCAAGTCACCCGCACCTCATCATCCGCAATCTCTGCGTCATATTCCGTACACAAGCATCCAAGACTTCCTCGGCGGACCGACGAGCCCAGCCTCACGGCATCGCCGCCGTCTCCCACCACCGGAATCACTGGTCTCACACAAGGGGAGGCTGGTCCATGTTCAAGCACTGGTGACAAGTGTCAGTAAGTCGGAAATGGTCAGAGAATTGGCTCGTCTCTGTTACTTATGCGAGCTTGGTCCCAAATTCTTGCCTGGCGTGCCACTACAAGCAAATGCCGTGTTGCTCATGGACGCGCCTGCCGTGCTATCAGGGACCGTCCAATTTTGACTGACTCGATTACCAGTACTAGAACCAAGCAGCGAGTCCTGTGTCTATGAGAAAAGCTCGGTCATCAGGAAATTCTTTCTCTGCTCCTTCATTCCACCTTGGCCAACTGATCTCGGGTCTTGGCATGTTTTCCGATTCTCTGATACTATCCGATTCCCCCAATTTCGCCAGGGCCTTCCACATCGTCGTGAGCAGTCACGTTCGCCTTTTTCCATCCTTCACTAATTCACCCTATATGTCAACTTAAGCCAAGCCACCAAGCAGGACCTGAGGTCGAGACACTATGAGAGTCTGTACGTGAAAGCACCATTACGCCGCCTTTTGAGATGATGTCCCACTTCAACTTACCCTGCGCAAATTGCCAACTACTAATATGTTGTGCTTTAGTTACTGTTTCCACACTGGGTGGTTCCCAAACCTTTCCTTCGACAGCTCATTCTCAGAGTCTTCCGCAAATCAACGAACATGGTGTACGGAAGCTCCGATGCGAGCCCACGCGGCCACGCCCGCGACTCCAGATTCCACGAGAGCTCGCCACACTCATCGAGCGGCGCAGCGGAGTCGCTCAAGGGAACACCTGATACCAGGTTGACCTCGTTCTCGCCAAGCAACACCAACTCCAGATCAGCCAAAGCGCCAGCGTCTCTAAGCATAATCACCCGTGGTGCCACTCCCATAAAATTTGCCATGGCAGTCTTTGGCCCGGCGGCTCATGACAAAGAGCCAGATACCCTTTCGACCTGTACTGACCACAGTGTTGCCAACCTCAAAGACCCGTTCATTTCATGCTCTGCCACAAAGACAATGCCAAAATTGTCTCCTACGGCATCGTCGTTCTTCCCCAACCAACTCCCACAGGCTCATCCAGGAACGACGCCACAACTTACCAGCAAAAGCTTGGGTGTTTCTATCGCCGTGCAGCAATCCACCGCGCCGGCTTCTGAAGCCCAAAATGCCCCCGCACAAGCTTTGCCGTTGTCTGTGCCAGCTTCCTCGCAGAACGACGACTACGTCCATCCCTACCTGAGTACCGACAGTGGCCTTTCAAGATGTTTTGTCGTCTCAAAGCGAGGAGCTTCAATCAAGGCCACAGACGTCCAAGCCTACATCGCAGTATGCACCATGCACCCAGCCATCATTTGTGACTCAGTGGCTAAACTTATGAATAGGAGCTCATTCAAGGAGGCTTGACCTGCCAGGGCCCTCGTCAGTTTCACGAGTACGCCGAAAAGGTCTTCGTCCGGTTGTCCAACATTCGTGTCGCATGCATGGTTGTGACCAATCTGTTCCTTGAGAACCGAGGCTGGGAGGTCAAGTACATTTCGCCAAGAGAGTTTTCCATGGTAGGCAAGCATCTCTCCGATGCCGAAACCAGAGTTGCTAATCTCTATTGCCTAGGTCATTGAACCCCACACGGGGCTTGTCTCATTACACGAGGGACAGCTTTATCTGAGTGTGTTTGCATATCCACCACAGCGTGCTGTGGCGACAGAGACCATCCAGGGCACTGTCATGTCGCTCGTCCGCCGAGAAGGTGATGTCTTTGCATTGAAGCCACAAGCTAGTGTTCCGGGCAGTCTCTTCAGCGCCATCATCGAGTACTGTGATCGAGCTACGGCGGTCCAGACTGTGACCAAGCTTCATGGCCTTGTAGTGGATGTAAGTTGTCCCAATCGCAAGTTCCAAGGCGGCTTACTGAGAAAATGGCCAGGGCATGCACATTTGCATGACGCTCTACCAGCCCGACATGGTCAATGGGTCCGATGGCCAGATAGACAACATCTTGTGTCCGTCCTCACCCAGTGTTACAGATGGGTGTGAGTCCTTCTCGCGGATGACCATCAGCCAGTCCCACACGCCTGTCCAGCACATGGCCACTGCCATCTACAACACACCCGTGCGCTCCTCGGTCTCACAAGGCTATCCCGTGCGCTCCCCATACAGCGTTGTCCCAATGGTCTACCATGGAATCCCTCTGAGTCCTCCTTACATGACAGAGCATGTGACTCGCCGAGCTGCCGCAAGCGCCACGCCCCAACACGCCCCATTCTCGAGCTCGGGCACATTTGCCGACAGTCCAAAGTCCTTCGGGTCGCCTGACTCCATGGGCCCAGGTGGCTCGTCACCGTACGCTCGGCGCCAGCATGCCTTGAGAGTGACCCGATCTCCTCATCATAATGCATCTGGTGCCCACAACGTTGTCGACGTGAACCGCATCCGAGAGGGAACCGACGTTCGCACCACGATCATGCTTCGAAATATCCCCAACAAGGTCGACCAGGTCATGCTGAAGGGCATCATTGACGAGTCCAGCTGGGGCAAATACGATTTCATGTACCTCCGCATTGATTTTGCCAACGATTGCAATGTGGGCTACGCCTTCATCAACTTCGTGGACCCTCTAGACATCATCGACTTCGTCAAAGCCCGCGGCAACCAGAGATGGAACTGTTTCAAAAGTGACAAAATCGCCGAGATCTCGTATGCCACCATTCAGGGCAAAGACTGCCTTGTTCAGAAATTTCGCAACAGTTCGGTCATGCTGGAAGCAGAGCACTATCGTCCCAAGCTGTACTTTACCGAGAACGGCCCCTGCCCTGAGCTCGCCGGTGAAGAAGAGCCGTTTCCTACTCCCGACAACCCGTCCAAGATGAAGAGAAGCTGCGAGAATGCGGAACATGTAGGACTCTTCACGCCCAACGCCGGCCAGCATTTTCGAGATGAGCAGCGACGGCGACGTTCGCAATTCGACCGAGGCACTCGCTTCGCAGCTTTTGAGGAGTATGACTACGACGGAGCACTGCCTCGCAACTTGTTTGTTTCACAGTAAACGACAAACGGGGCGGTCACACGACTGAGAAGATGCAACTCGAGCCCGAATGCACGGCATATACCGGAAATCTACACTCGTTTCAATTACTGGTGCATGAGGAAAGGTTTACCGCTCACTGCAAAGTCATCACATTTCTCAGGCGCCCTTTGCGGGATGCAATCCACAGGGCCACCTATGTTGAGGTAGCCACGCAAATACCATCCAAATGAGTTGAGAGGTATTTGTTATCAGCTATTCCAGCCCTTCTTAACACACGTTTGGAGCCATGCAGCCATCTCAAGTCGGATCTGACAAGACAATGATACTGGTGTCAACGTTCAAGAGCGCACCTCAAGCATTCTTAGCAAATACGCTAACTGCGAGTCGTCACGCCAACAATATTTCTAAGCCAGATTGCTTCTGTTTTTTTGGAGCTGCAATCGAACAAGGCTTGCCGCGAAGTAATAGTTCCACCAACGACCACCAGGGATAGAGAGGAAATCTGATCACCGTTATCGCCAAGTGGTCCTTCTCATGAAAATTTGCTATTGCATAAAAATGTTGGTGATTTGACGGTGGTTGCCAACGAGCCGAAAGGGTTGGAGCCTGAAAGATGTGTTGTTCGGGCTTCTGTCGACCCCAATTTTGTCACGTAGATTTAGCTTCGCGATGTTTTAAGTCCCCCCAAAAAGCAACAGAATTTGTTATCAACCAAAGATGTCCATGACACACGTGTATTGAGAATGACTGTTGAACGATGCTAACACGCTATGTAAGAAATGACCCAGCAAATAAACGTCAAAGACGCTGTGTAACATTGACGATGTGAAAACAAGCAGTGGATTGCACTGAACACATCTTAATCAGGATCCTCGGGCAGCGCTGGCAGTGGCTTCCGCGTGGAACCGGCATGCATGTGTGTTGTTCTGCCGCCTGCTACCGGCCTCGGCGCGACAAAGTCCTCGTTTGGCATTGCACCATCGACTGCGGGAGGTGTGTGTCGTCTGTCACTGCCACCTCCTCGCTCATAACCCGAGCCGCCGTTGGCCTGGCTGCCGTGCAGCCTGTCGCCCTCGGCAGCAGACTCGTTTTCATCTGCGACGCTGTTCGCCGCGGAGTAGTAGAACACGTCGTCACCCTTGCTTAGCCGCTCACGCTGAGCCGGCGCCATGTTGGGCTCGGAGTCGTAGCCCACATCGTCGCCCTCGTCCGGGCTCATTTCCCTGCTCGAGGCTGGTGTCGGGAGCTGGTCGTAATAGTCAATGTTCACGCTCAGAAGCTCGGGGGCAGATCCTGTCGCCGAACGGGAGAGAGGAGGCGCAGGACGGAGCGTTGATTGCTCTCGGTCGTACTGTCCGTCATACGGTGTCGTACGTGTTTCATTGAGCGTGACGTCGGACATTGACTGCTGACTATGCCCGAGGCGTTGTCTCAGCTGCGAGCTGTTACTCATAGCTCGGATCAGGCGGGCATTTGGAGTCGAATCGTTCTCGGACGTGTTCATGGGTACATCCAAGCCGCTCCGCCCGTTGGAAGCAATGCCTGCAGCCTTGTAAGCCGATTTCGGCGTTGCGGGATACGCCGGACTGCCTATGCGTGATCCGGATGCGAAAACTTGACCCGGATAATAGGCCGAGTCGGCGGATATCAGCCCGGCTGCGTTGCCTGCGAAGCCTCGGGAGAAAATCACAAGCACCAGGCATATCAGGAGCAATATGCTCTGTACAATGGCCATGCGTTTCTGGAACACAACTTCATCGGCAAGAACGCCTACGCGTGCACCCAGAGCCACAATCTCCCGTTCGGCCTGCTCTCGCTGTGTCTCGAGGGCGATGACAGTAGATTGCCAGATCTCGTCGTATTGGACGCGAACCTCACGCAGCTCGTTGAGGACAGTATTGTTCAAGGTATTCAGAAACTGGTCGACCTTCGCAACCTGTCTTTTCTCGAGTTTGGCCAGTGCCTCCTGGAGAAACCTCGACTGGGACTCAATGTACTGCATGGACAGGGTAGTGTTGGACTCCAGAACCTGCAAGCGCTTTGTCATAGCCTTAAAGAATGAGTCTTGCACGGTAGGCGATGCTGCTGGGGCACCACCTGAGGACGAAGCCTTGCTTCGTTGAGTGGCAGATGCAGACGGGCTCGAGCCGGATTTGGGCTGTGAGCGAGGCGAAGAAGCTTTCGAGACGGTGGACCCAGATGGGGAGCCCTTTGACACTGAGCCTTGTCCGTGACTGGTAGTCGTGGCTTGTTCTGTGACTGATCCCGAGGAGTTTTTTCCGGTAGTGATAGAAGTTGTCGGTGAGGATTCGTATGAGTTGGAGGTGGTTTGGTCTCGCTCCATTGTGTGAACCGTGATGCTGTGAACGGTGGAGCCAGAGGGCGATGTGATTGTTGCATGGACGGACGAGTTTGCTGAGGCCGAAGGTGAACCTGAAGCTTGTACTGGGTGTGTGCCATGGGGGTCTTGCACGCCTGCTCCACCAACGTTGGACTCGTTCGGTGAGGGCGAACTTTGAGCGGGTTGTGTGCTCATGTTGCGCTGGACTTCCTGCTCATAGTCGCAATCCGCCCGGCACGTAGGCTCCGCGCGAATGAGCCCGAGGTAAGTCACATCCCCAGTTGGAAGCACGTCTGTCTGCACCAGAGTGGAAGGCTTCCCCGGAACTGGTAGCGGTGATGCCACTGGCTCTGTGTCCTGCTCAGATCGGGGCACCTCGACTTCCTCAGCCACGACTTCGTTCACCACTTCAACTTCCTCGGCCACAACTTCATTTACCACCTCGACGTCCACAGGGTCTTGGCTGTCTTCTTCAATAGTCGGAGTCGATGTGGTTTCATCGTCACCATCAATATCTGCAGTGTCTAGATCCTTCCAAGCATCCATCATGCGTGTGCCGTGGACCCTGAGGAGGGATAGCGGACAGTAGTACTCGTTGCCCCAGTGGCTCAATATCTCGACCCGCAGATATCTGGCCCAGTCTTGCGGGTGCTCGACAAGGAAAGGCTGGATGTCCCTAGCGTTTCGGGCTTGGAACGTGCCGAGGACCTTCCACTTGTCCTGTTTGACTGGATAACGATCACTAACGCTGACGCGAAAGGAACGAATCATGCTGGAGAAGAACTCGTAATTGGCAAGAACGATTGTGTCGACAAGAATGTCGTCGCTAAGCTCGACGATGAAAAACTTGTTCTCCGTGGCGCACTCCAGGAGCATGTAGGAGTCTTTGTTCTCCAACAAGATGGCTGAGGGATTCTTCGTTCCAGGGCTCGTCTTGAGGACGGTCGCGCCTGCGTCAAAGGACGAGTACGAGAAACGCTCCTTGCAGGTCCTGCCTGCATCCTTACTGCGATGGACGAGTGCAAGGCCCTCCTCGTACGTGATCTTTTCGAGCTTCTCCTCCCGCTTCTCCTCGCGAACGCCTTGGGAATTTGCTGACGAGGCAAAGTCTGATATTCTGTCTGAGAAGGAGTCAAAATCGAGGTTAATCTCGCCTTCGTCACCGAGCGATGCAAAGTCGCCGCTGCTAGCCTCGCCGCGATTCTCTGGGACGCGGCGATGCCTCGGATCGGGGCCGTCATCGGCCTTGGCAACCATCATGGCCTTCCATTCCTCAAAGGACATGAACGCCCCTGTACTTAGATCACCGCCGTCATCGTCGTCGTCGTCGTCCATCGCAGGGGGGATTCGTGCGTCGTGGCGGTAGCCGTCGGCTCAGACACTGGCGCGGCGGGTGGTGTTGTTGTGGCATCAGGGGCCGTCGCTGCTGTCGAGAAGGCTGACATGGAGGTCAAGCACTGCTGCGGCAGGCTGTGGGTGATGTAGTTGACGGTTCGTGCGACGCAAGTGCTCTGGGAGGAGGCGTAGACGTGCGGATTACTGGGGGGTGACGCCGCACCGGAAGCGGTGGCCAGCGCCGCAACGATGGTGACGAGACATAGGAATGAATGGCGCGACGACGGAAAAGGTGACGAAGTCACCCTCATATTGAAGTGTTGGCGCATGGCTTTCGTGATGGAGTTGAGCGGCAGCTTGCCAGTCCGGCCTGCGGCAGCTGTAACGCTTGGCGTGGGCAGGTCATGACATGGAGCCAGCTGCCGTGATGGTGTCTGGTGATGGGAGCAAGAGGGTTCGGTGATCGAGCGGGCAGGTCGCAGGTCGTTGCCGAATAGGTGAGGTGGTCGAGAGCCGCAGAATGGCTGGATTGTCCCAGAGTGTGCCAGATGTTCAAAAGCAGGGCAGGCCGGGCGTTGTGATGTCGTCGTCGCATGTGCTACCTGGGTACATGTACGTGTACCCTGCAACGTGGGGGCGGCAAGGTCGCTCGCTGGGGCTGTGGTTCCCGCACGCCAACCCCTGCAGTTCAAGACGCCAGTCCAGGCTAACGAAATAAACTCTGGCACGCAAGACAGGCCAATCGAAGACATTGGGAGTTCTGCTCTGATGCCCCGGCTGCCGCAGGCACAGACATCCGCCGATAATTCGCAACAGCTGCCAATGGCATCGCGTGCAGCAAAAGCACCGCCTCGCAAATGCACTACATCCGCCTTCTGCGGCCGCCCGCGATAGGGCATCTGCCCAAGGGAAGGTCAACCATCTCCCTCGTGCTGACCGTCACGACAGACCTGGGTGATACCTTTCTCTACCCGGAAGAGCCCATCGAGCTGGGCTTTTGCTTGGCGAGCCACGGGTCAACAGAAGGACCTACGAAGCTGTTCCCGGCCGGGCAGTCGTCCTCGTCATGGCAGCCTGGCATGCGAGTGCTCAAGACTAGCCTCGCCCTTCACGAGCCACTCCGGGCAGAGACGGCGGCGGCGGCCGTCCTGGTCATTTTCGCTCTAGACACCCCGGCCCTGCAAGTCTCGCTAAGCTCTTCAGCTCAGATCCTCCCGTGGCATGATGCTGCTGGCGCAAAGCCATGCAATGGCCTGATTGCACCGCTGTCTGTCGAAATCTCGGCTGCGAGAACAGCAGCTGATGTTGCCATTCGCGACATCGTCCTGGCCTGCGGGGAAACAAGTTCTGTCCAAATCTCCATCGAGGAGGACATGGGCGAAAGCATTGCCCGTCATATCTGGGATGCAGGCTTGACAACGGCAGCTTTTCTTGCCGATGCGTGCTGGAATGAAGAAAGCCCCAAGAGCACCACGCAGCTGTTCTCCCTGGAAGACAAGCAAACACTAAACATTCTCGAGCTCGGCTGCGGCGTTGGCGTTCTGGGCATCAGCATCGCCGTTCTCATGCCGCAGATACTGCAGAGAGCGTCGTCAAGGCCGCGTGAGCCATATATTCTCATGACTGATCTTCCCGAGGCGCGCGAGAGAGCCTGCTCGAACATCGCTCGGTTTCAGGCCCACAGAGCTTGTGCAGGGTCGAAAGCACAGCTAGAATATGAAGACTTGGACTGGAATGACGGCAGTCTCGGCTCCTTTGGGCCCAAGGCTTGTGCTCGAGCCTGGGATCTTGTCGTGCTCAGCGACTGTACCTACAATGTCGACGTCTTCCCGCTTCTCGTAAAGACGCTCTCGGCCATACACTTGCACAACAGCAAGATGAGGCCGATCAAGGATGATAAAGAGGCCAGCTGCACGACCAGGGTGCTTTTATCAACCAAGCCCCGTCATGATTCCGAGGCGGCCCTATTCAAGCAGTTGGCCTCTGAGGGCTGGAGCCATACCCTTGAAATCAGTATTCCCATGCTGAAAATCAACGAACAGGATGAAGTCGTCGAGATCTATTCATTCACTAAAGCCACTACCAGAAATGGGACAGGCCCGTCGGCGCACAAGTTGAAGCGCAAGGCTAGCAATTCTGGAGAAACCCCCACCAAAAAGACGACCAACAAGCCCTCCAGATGACGACCCATCAACACGCCACGCTACCGTGCAATATGATCAAGACAAGATTGCAGCCTGATGTTGACTGAGCTGGCCCAAGTTCTATTGCAGATCTCTATTCCTCGACACCCAACTCAGCAAATATTGCTTTGTTATGTTGACCTACCTCTGGAACTTCCTCCAACTTGACGTCGGCTGTGCTACTTATTCCTGGCGGCAACAGTGCCGGAACCACACCGACAGAAGTATTGATGTTGGTCCACCGGCCTCTGGCTTGGAGCTGCTCATGTCCCCAGACTTCGTCCATGTCACGGACCTTCGCGTTGGCCACTCCGGCCTTGTCAAGCCGCGCCAGGACCTCGTCTGCCGAGAGAGTTGCAAACTTTCCAAGAATGGTCTTCTTGACATCGTCCCGGTGCTGGTTCCGAGCGGAAGTGCTGATGAAGCGCGGATCCTTAGCGACATCGGCATCCTCCAGGACGACCGAGCACAGGTTGGCCCACTCGCGCTCGTTCTGCACTGCCAGCATGACTGTGCCGCCGTCGCCAGTCTCAAAGGGGCCGTAAGGATAAATCGAAGCATGAGACGCGCCCATGGGCTTGGGGCCCGGCTGGCCCTTGTAAGTGTAATACAGGGGGAAAGTCATCCACTCGGCCATGGACTCGAGCATGGAGATGTCGACCCTCGACCCCTTTCCGGACTTGTCGCGCTTCATGAGGGCGGCGAGGATGTTCGTGTAGGCGTACATGGCCGAGGCAATGTCGGCAATGGAGATGCCCACCTTGGCCGGCTCCGACTCGGTGCCGGTGACGGACAGCATGCCCGCCTCGCTCTGCACCAGGAGGTCGTACGCCTTCTTGTCGCGGTAGGGCCCGCTGTCGCCGTAGCCGGAGATGTCGCAGACGATGAGCCGGGGGTGCTCGTCCTTGAGCTTGGCAAAGGACAGGCCGAGCCTGTCGGCTGCTCCAGGGGCGAGGTTCTGGACGAGGACGTCGGTCTTTTTAAGCAGCCTCTTGACGACGTCGAGGTCTCGGGGCTGTTTCAGGTCGAGCGCCAGGCTCTCCTTAGACCTGTTTGTCCAGACAAAGTGGGAGGCGAGCCCGTCGACCCTGGTGTCGTAGGCACGGGCAAAGTCGCCGATGACGGGTCTCTCGACCTTGATGACCCTGGCGCCGAGGTCGGCGAGCTGTCTTGTGGCAAAGGGGGCGGCGATGGCCTGCTCGAGGCTGAGCACGGTGATGCCGTGCAGTGGCAGGTGCGACTTGTCCTGTGTCGTGGGGGCCGTGGCCGTGGCCGATGGCTCTGGGTTCGACCCGGCGGTGGTGGCTAGGGGCCTTGTCTGTGCTATGCTCCGAGCCGATAGAGTACCGGCGAGCCGCTCGGGCCGGCGTATTCTGGATAAAGCCTGCATAGACACACGCGTGCTGGCCCTGGACGCCGCCAGATTCAACGATGTCTTAATCGCCATAATCCGGTCCGGGGTTTATGCTACGTCCCAGTGTGCAAAGTCGGCTGTTCTGAAAAAAGGACGGTCTGAGCAAGAGCGCGCCCTCTGGATGGAAGGGCAGATGGCGGATGCTGCGACGGACTTTGGACAGCTCGATCCGCGAGGAACGGACATTCAATCGTCAAAGCACTGGCCGGAGCCGGGAGGCATGGACAGGATGCGGGCGGGCGGGTGACGGGACAGAGCGGCGGGGCGGGGGTCCCGTCGAGAAACCGGGGCACGGCTCCGACGGCCGAGGCTTGAGACAGGTCCGACATGATGGAGCGAGTGAGCGAGTGAGTGGTCGACAACGCCATGGGAGAAATCAATCAATCACTGCGCGGCAAGGGGGGGCCGTCCGTTCGACCGCTCAGCCGGCTTCCCAAAGACCATATCCCCTCGAGACCCCAGCGATCTTGCATTCTGCTGCTGGGTCAATAAGGACCGAGCCTGCTCTTCCATCTTGTATGCCACCACAAGACAGCCCTGCGGACGAATCTACAGTGGTGCTGTTGGCGGGATCTGTCTCTCCCCACAGCGCCCATCTTCCTGGCCAGGGGTGGTGTCTTCGGCGGCGGGCTTCCCCGCACTCCGGGGCATTCTCTACGGCACACTGCCTCTCTTTCCCACTCTGACTTACCCCAACGCCATGATGGTTCCAGCAGCCGAGGCCCGCACCTCCAGTTCAGTCCGCCCCCTCGCCGGGGGTTATCCTCCCACCACACGACATCCTCCTCCGAGACCAGACCTCCTCCGACTGGCTGGCTAGGACGACGCACGCATTGGGTGGTTCTCGGGCAAGAGGTTTCTGGCCTGCACAGAGCCGCATCGTCACTTTTCCCGAATCCCCATTCCCCCCAACAAACAACAACAGCTCGTTGGCCGACGTCATATATAATCCGCACCAGGATTTCCTCGGTGGTGCTTTTCTCTTTTTGTTCTTTGCTTTGAATAGAAAGATAGTCGTTTCTCCTTGGCATTCCCACGAGTAGCGTTCTTCGTCCCTCGTCCCCGGGCATCGAACCCCTTTAGCCGACTTGCCAAACGCACGACTCTTGACATCACTTATATATACACAGACAGACAGCAGGCGCCATGTCACAAAGACTGACCGCGAGGGCGTGGCAGGCCCGGCGTGCAGTCACTGCGGCCACTGCGGCCATGCCGGCTTCAACAGCACGCACCAAGACTGGATGCCGCCGGCTCCGCTTCTCGACCACGGCGAGGCGGCAGATCATGGAGACGACGGGCTTCACGGAGAACCAGCTGACGGTGCGCGAGGCGGTGGGAGCGGTGTGCGCACAGTTCCCCAACACGTACTGGCAGGAGAAGGACCGCAAGGAGGAGGACCCCAGCGAGTTCCACGCGGCGCTGGCGCGGGACGGGTGGCTGGGCATTGCGCTGCCCGAGTCGCTGGGGGGGTCCGGGCTGGGCATCTCGGAGGCGACCATGATGATGCAGACCATCGCAGAGTCGGGCGCGGGCATGGCCGGCGCCCAGAGCATCCACGCAAACGTCTACGCGACGCAGCCCCTCGCCCGCTTCGGCTCGGCCCAGCAGCTCCAGACAACCATCCCAAACATCATCTCGGGCCGCTGGCGCACCTGCTTCGGCGTCACCGAGCCAAACTCGGGCCTCGACACCCTCCGCCTCGCCACCACCGCCACAAGGGCCCCCGGCGGCGGCGACGACTACCTCGTCTCCGGCCAGAAGATCTGGATCACCTGCGCCCAGGTCTCCCGCAAGATGATCCTCCTCGCCCGCACTACGCCCCTCGAGCACGTCACAAAGCCCAGCCAGGGCCTCTCCCTCTTCTGCATCGACCTCGACCGCGACAAGCCGGGCCTCGAGCTGCGCAAGATTCGCAAGATGGGAGGGCGCGCCGTCGACGCCAACGAGGTCTTCTTCGACAACTACCGCATCCCCGCCGACTCCCTCGTCGGCCAGGAGGGCAACGGCTTCAAGATCATCCTGCACGGCATGAACGCCGAGCGCTGCCTGCTCGCCGGCGAGGCCCTCGGCCTGGGCTACGCCGCCCTGGCCCGCGCCGCCGCCTACGCCCGCGAGCGCGTCGTCTTCCGCAGGGCCATCGGCCAGAACCAGGCCATCGCCCACCCGCTCGCAGACGCCTACATGAACCTCGAGGCCGCCAAGCTCGCCACCTACCACGCTGCCCGGCTGTACGACATGTCAGCAGCAGCAGCACAAGACGGCGCCTCGAAACAAGAACAACAAGAACAACCACAGCAGCAGCAGCAACAGCAACAACACATCCGCCAAGACGCCGTCGGCGTGGCGGCCAACAGCGCGAAATACCTAGCCGCCGAGGCCGCCTTCCGGGCGTGCGAGCGCGCCGTCATGACCCACGGTGGCATGGGCTACGCCGTAGAGTACGACGTCGAGCGCTGGCTGCGCGAGTGCCTCGTGCCCCGCATCGCGCCCGTCAGCCGCGAGATGATACTCAACTATGTCAGCGAAAAGGTCCTCGAGCTGCCGAGGAGCTATTAAAATATGTGTTTCGTTTCGCTTCCTCTTCTCTCTCTCTCTCCCCCTCCCCCCCGCCCCCCTTTCTTTTTCTGGAGGGCAAGGGATAGATAGATAAATGGATGATATATGGCAAGGGTTTTGTGGCTTCTTGGGCCAGGCGGGCGTTTGTGTGTGTGTGTGTGTGTGTGTGTGTGTGTTCTCTGTTTGGCCACCGTTCAAGGCCTGGCGTCTAGACAGCGAGCCGAGTGCCAGGCGGAGCCACACCCTGACAGCCACATAGGTACGAGAAGGGTGGTAGATTCTACCATGAACCGCTTCGACCCAGATCCGTCCTTCAGCACAGAAGGAAAAGGAACGTATAGGCCCATCGATCGGGCATGGAGGGAGGGTAGCAGTATAGCAGCAGCAGAAGATGACACACACAATACGCAAACAGCCAAAGCATCAAGACGGGGGAAGCAACGGCGCCCCTCTTCGGCCCTACTCGAAGCACATTTGCTCTTGACAGTCCAGTGGTGCCCGTGTGCCGGTCTTGCATGTGAACGCCTCAATTCGGAGCGTGGCCCATTTCATACCATCCATGCCGGGAGACCACGCATACCCACTAGTTTGTCCTTGAACTCACGAATAAAACACACACACACACACACACACACACACACACACACACACACACACAGCGGCCGTAGATACTCTCTTGACAAGTCCTTTGTACTATAATCTTTCACTCAATCTTCGCATTCCTTTCTGATGACAAGGACTATTCCGGTCCAGCACCTTCACTATGTTCGCGCGTCATCTCCTCCTGCTTCTTCTTCATCATCTACTACAGCAAACAGCCTGCTTGACGTACAATAACGGACCTCCCCTTTTCCTCCCCTCCCAATCCTACCACTTGACACATCTCACTTCCAGACCAGCAGCCCAGGAGAAAACACCACAAGCGCAATGAGATGGGTGATGACGTGGACAACGCGGCAAGCAGAGTACACCGAAAAGGCAGACCTTCCTCGGCTCCAGTTGCAGAATACACCTCCTCAGGCAGCCTTCTCCCAGACCTATTGCTATTGAATACACCGTATAAGGAAGAACAAAAACAAGAAGTGTATTTAGGAACCCCAGACGCCCAAAGAAAGCAGTACGCAAAAAACAAGATGTGTCTTTCGGGAATCATGTTGTATCTCATTTTGAACCAGAACCCTTGCTAGTCGACGGGAGGCGGCTTTGCTCACGGCTCCGTCTCACCTGGATTAGCAGCAGCAGCAGAGGACGGTGGCGCCGATGGCGTGCCCGCGGCACTGGCTGCAGGAGGTGTAGCCGCGCCACCTCCAGAGGCAGCCCCGTTGCTGACAAGCTTTATCCGTGGCGCAGAGGTCGGTTGAGGCGTACCCGCGGCGGTATTAGGTGCGGTGGACCCTTCCTTGGTGGACGACCCCTCGAGCTCGGCAAGCTTGGGGTGCTTGCTCAATAGCTCTTGAGCTCGGTCATTGAAGAATTTCTGCTCGAGTGGTTAGCACATGTCAAGCTCAAAGATGAGGCATCCTTTCAATTCTTACCTCCATCACGTGGGCGTCCGCATACAGCAGACTGCCGTCCTCGTTGTACGTCCTGCAGTTGTTGCACATGAGGACAATGTCCCTGCGCATGTCGTCAATCTTGTTGTACTCCTCCTTCTTGATCTTGGCCTCGATCTGTTTCATGCAAATCGGGTTCGAGATCAACAGGTAGTAGTCGCCATAGTCACGTTTGGACGGGAGCTTGACGAAGGGTCCGATAATGAGCCTCGTGGCGGGCTCGTCATCATCGTCATCATCGGGATCCTGCTCCTCTGGAGGCAGATCGACCTCTAGAGTCATGAGACCGTCGTACAAGCTGCGCAAGCTCTTCTGAAGGGTTTCGCGGACCTCAGGCGCCAGACGCGAGGCGCCACCAGTCGTCGCGACAGCCTTGGCTCGACCTTGTGGGCCACGACGCTTCTTCGCCGGAGGCTCGCCATCCTCGTCCTCCGCCTTGCGCTTCTCATTCTTGCCGCCAGCTTTACGACCACGCTTCTTTGGCGGCGACGCCTCAGGCTCGGGCTCGGGTTCAGGCTCTTCTGAGCTACCCCTGCTAGGACTAGGTGAGTTGGCCCCAGACGCGCCTGCGCCCATGCTGGCACGCTTGATCCGGTTGGCCTCGCGCTTATCTTTCCTTGCTTGCTTGCGAGCTGCTGCTGCCTCAGGCGAGTCCTCATCGTCGTCAACGGCCATGAGCCATTGCTCCTCTGTGAGGCCGTCGTCGTACTTGACTCTGGTGCGCTCACGAGCACCACGACCAAGAACCGTCTCTTCCTCCTCCGGCTCCGGGTTGTCCTCGTTCAGGTACAGGTCGGGCAGCTCGTTCTCGGCCATGAGACGTGGGACGTTTTTGCAGCCGGGCGCGGTTCCGTAGGTGGGATCGCGTGCCCGTTCCTCATCAATGCGCTGGAAGACGGTGATCTCGTCGTCGCTTCGGGCAAGCAGCAGATTGAGTTCTTCGTCGTCCATCTCGTCGTTGTCACCAGACTCAGCCATGTCTGCAGTCTCCAGCAAAGTACGCAGCATAGCGTCCCGATCCGTCTCGGAAGACTTGTTATCGAACCGACCAGCTTGAATGACCTTGCCGTCCATGTCCAACTTGTAGCGTGCGCGCTCGAGAATCTTCTCCTCCACAGAGTTGGAGCTAATGAGTCGCAAGATGCGCACCTCGTTCTTCTGACCGATACGATGAGCACGATCCTGTGCTTGCAAATCTTGGTGAGGATTCCAATCTGAGTCGTAGATGATGACAGTGTCGGCAGTCTGAAGGTTGAGGCCGAGACCACCGGCACGGGTAGACAGCAGGAACATAAAGTAAGGGGAGTCGGGTGCATTGAATATTCTCAGCAGATCGGAACGGTCCTCTGACTTTGTCGTGCCGTCCAATCGGAGGTATTGCAGGCCACGGAAGCGCAAGAAGTCCTCCATGATATCCATGATGGCCGTCATCTGGAAGAACATGAGTACGCGGTGGCCGGTGGCCTTGTACTTGGGAAGGACACGGTCCAGCAGCTCAAACTTGCCCGCGGTTCTCCAGAGCAGATCGTTGCTGGTGTTGAGAGGGTTCATCTGGTTCTCGACCTCGTCAAAGACAAAGGGATGATTGCAAAGCTTGCGGAGCTGCATGATCATGTTGCTGAGACCACGAGCGCCAACCTTTCCACCCTTGCCATCACTGACTGCGATCTTGTTGTGCGTGACCATCTGCTTGTACAGGCGTGCCTGCAGAGCAGAGAATTTGCACTTGATGACCTTCTCGGTCTTGTCGGGAAGGTCCTTCTCGACATCCTTCTTCAGGCGACGCAGCAGGAACGGCCGCAACACCTTGTGCAGACGCCGAATGACCAGGATCTGCTCTTCTTCGTTCAGCTCCATCTTGTCTTGACCTCCAGTGTTGGCAAACGGCGTGTTGAACCATTCATCAAAAGTCTTGACGGATTTGAAAATGGTCGGTAGGACAAAGTTGAGCATGGCCCATAGCTCACCCAGGTTGTTCTGGAGAGGTGTGCCGGTAAGAATGAGCCTGAATCTCGTGCTGTAGTACTGCGAGATGGTGGCACTGAGCTTGGACTGCGCGTTCTTCATGCGGTGTCCCTCGTCGATAATCATGTGGAACCACTTGATCTTGCTAAGAATCGGGCGGTCCTTGATAATGTACTCGTAGGTCGTCAGGAGAACTTGGAACTCGCCCCGACGGATCTTGTCCTGCTGGAGCTTTCTCTGCTGAGGGTTACCCTTGTAGACAACCTTGGCAACTGAAGGGGCCCACTTCTCAAACTCTAGAGTCCAATTCGTAAGTGTACTCAAGGGAACAATGACCAAGTAAGGGCCAGGCTGAAGTTTGCGCTCGATGAGATAGCAGATCAGACTGATGGTCTGAATGGTCTTGCCGAGACCCATTTCGTCGGCGAGGATACCATTGAGGTTGTTGTTGTACAGCGAAATCATCCACTGCAGACCCTTGATCTGGTACTCCTTGAGCTTGCCACCAACCAGGATGTCGGCCTGCTCTGTGACCTCTTCCCTGATGCGATGGGCCACGGCGTAGTAGTCAATCTTGCGGGCAGCTTCCTCGTCGTCATCCTCTTCTGGCTCGCTCTCTTCTTCGGGATAATCTGTGATATCGTCGCCATTCTGCTGCGCAGCCTTGCGTTGCTGCGCCTTGACGGAAGATGCCAACTGCTTAAGGAAGCCATCTGTTTGTCGGAGCAGATGCGTGATACGAGTATCCTTGGCCTGGTCGAGCAGCTTGAGATACGCCTCTTCGTCGTTGGCCTTGAGCGCCTGCAGACGCTGCTTGGCGGTACGCTCAATGCGCTTCTGCTCTTCCTTCTCGATATTGAAGTGATGCGAAAACATGGCTCTACCCATTTTCGACATCTTGCTGCGTACCGAGTTGACCGTGTTGATGATTTCAGACCGGTGATTCTGCATAGACTGCAGGAAGTCGGTGTGCTTCTTCTTCTCACGGTGCTCGCGAGCATCACGCTGCTGCTTCTCAAGCTTCTCAGTGATGCGCGCCTCGCGCACGTTCTGCTTCTTGACGCGTCTGTAGTTGCTGCGATTCGTCGTCATGGCCAGATTGTCGTAGTGCATCATCTGCCGGCCAATTCTTTCGCGCAGCGCACGTTGCTTCGCATAGAGTCCAAGGGATTTGAGTTCGATGATGGCTTTCCGCTTGGAACTATCGTCAGGGGTTACCTGTTCACTTGTCGTGTCCCAGTGAGCAATATTGCCAGGCACAGCCTTGAGCTCGGCGTATCTGGCCTTCATGCGGTTGAAGACGATGATTTCTCTCTCGTGCCGAAGCTGCTCAAAATCGACACCAGTAGGGAAGATACCGGGGATGATGAAACGCTTTCGTCGTTGGCCGTGCTCGTGGTAGCTGATAGTATCGTGTAGCTGGCCACCCTCATACGGCGACTTCAGTGTCTTGTAGACCCGTCCAGTCACGAGCGCTGAGGATGCCGCGTCAGCTTCTGTTGCATTTTCAGGCACAGCAGAACCAGCCTTGGTACCGTCAGGGGCGGGTGTGGCCGAAGCGCGCGCTGTGGCTGCGTGCGCAGACTGCTCCGCGACAGCTTGCCGTCTCAGTCTCTGGGCGTTGAGGGCCTGCTGCATCTGATACGGTACACCAGCATTCTTGCCGAGAAGCTTGAAAGCCTGGATCTGCTGCCGCAGCAAGGCGAGCTGTTGTTGTGAGAATTGCGAAGCGGGTCCAGCTCCTGAAGGCGACGAAGTGGTGGGCTGCGCGGGTGTGCCTGATGCTGTCGCCTGTGCGGGCGGCTGCTGTGGTGTTGAGCTCGCTGGTTGTGACGTTGCGACGGTTGGCTGAGGGGTCTGTTGGGAGCCATTGATGCCAGTGCCGTTGGGCATGTTCTGCGAGGCGTGCTGCTGCTGTTGCTGCTGCATTACTCGCGCCTTGTTGTGTTGCTGGAACGCAAGCAGGAATTGGCTGGTCTTGATGAACTCGGGATCATTCTGAGGCACGCCTCGCTCCTTCATTTGCTTGAATTTCTGTGCAAGATGTTGTTAGCTTCCGAAGGATGTGTAACGAATTGCGCGATGCTGAGTGAGTACAATCGCTCAGCAGATACGAGCATTGACATCAGTGAACATCGCATATTGGAAAGAGAATTGACGCACCAAGAACATCTCCTGGACCTGACTCTGCGTCATCTGCCCAGGCATGGCAGACGCGCCAGGGTGCTGGACCGCGGGAGCTGATTGCACCGACGCCATCTTGGAGGCGCAGTGGTGTAGCAGGCGTGTGGCCTTTGGGGACTGTCAAGAGCAAGATATACTCTCAACTATGTGGAAAAAAGCGCTCAGACAGCGATTAAAAAGTGTTCATGTCTAAAGATAGTCGGCTGCTCGTGACTTTGTCGCGCCGAAACCTGCTGGCGGATGCACCAGGGAGTCGAGAGCAAAGATCGTGGCGTGGCCTCGAGGGAATCGAAGTGATGGTCGCGACGTGGGTGGCAGCGTCGCGTGGGCAGTCGCAAAAGCGCGTTTCGTTGTGCCGACAGCGGTGGTCGAGCGCAAGACGTGCACGCTGATGATGGTTAGCTGCCGAGGACGAAGAGGTTGATGGACTGCCTGTCGCGCTGGGGCTCAAACCTTACGTTGGGCTAATGGTCACGATGGGAAGAGAGCGACGGAGCCGGGCGGCGGATGCTTGGAAAAGTCGAGGCTTGAGGCGGGTGAGCGTGTCGTCAGGGCCGGGACGGAGGTCGAGGACTCCCGGGGGTTGATGGAAGCTGGCTCGGGGGAGGTGGTGGATGGACGAGGTGGTGGCAGTGGTGGTTGGTCGGAGCCGTGTCGCGCGCGCGGAGACGTGTGCGTCGGTCGTGTGGGTTTGGTGAGGCACTCGCACTCTGGGGGCGGCAGCGGCTACTGCTGCAGCAAAAAAACAGGCAGAGGGAAAATGCGCACGGGCTGGCTGGCAGGGCGGGTGGGGAGCGAGGGAGTGCGGCAGGCCGGGGCAGGTGCGCGCATGCGTGAGGGCAGAGCAGTGCGGCGGGTGGTCCTGGTCGCAAAAGGGCCGTATCTGATGGAATCAGGCACGAGGGGGATGGATGGGTTTGATGCGGGCTCGTCGTCGTCGGATTGCGCGCGCGTCCGGTGGATGGGCAGCAGGAGCAGAGCGTTCCACGTATTGCTTGCGTCAAAGTGGGTGGGAAGTCTGGCGAGTTGGCAGAATCAGTGCAATCTCCCAGCCGGTGCAGGCAGCCAGGCCCCCAGGTCTTACACAGTGTCGTCTGGCGAGGGGCGCCTGCAGGCCGTGCAGTGGAGCCTGCCAATCTTTTGTTCCCATCGAGCCAATGAGAGATAGTTTTCTGTCCTGTCCGCATGACCGGTCCACAATTCGGGGCGCGCTCAGCTTCGCGACAGCCACTCCTCAGGTACTAAAAAGCGGGTCATATGCTTGTGCACAGTACGCGTTCCACGATGGCTTACAGTCTTGGCCAACTCCTCCCTTCACTGGCGACCAGCTGGCAACCCACTTTGGGGCCGGGCGACACCATCCGGAGCACAGTCTCACACGATTGCTACTGTGCGGCCGCCCAAACCTCAGCCTTGGAGTGTTCAATTGCCAGCTTCAATAAGAGCAGCCCTTGGGAAAGCAGTAATTACAGACAGACTGAACGATTACTTTCGTTCTCACCCAAGGATATTCAAGTATTACAAGACCTGTATCAGATAAAGCTTGTGGTCAACACCCTTCCCAGTCCTGCAAGTTTAGCAGGCCGGGCTAGGCATTTTGTTGAATGGCACGGGCTACCCGTCCCCTGTCGGTGCTCAAATGTCTGGATCAAAGCAGTGACATCAGCTAGGCGATCTGCTAGCTGCATTGTCATTGGATGCTCTATCTCGAAAAGGTAACTCGATCTCTCGGCCGAGGCTCTGCTGTTGCGTACCACCGGCCCTCAAACGGGGCCCGGCCATTTCAAGGTTCTGCCACCTAGTCGGGAGCCCAACCGATTGGCGATGAGACGCCCTACGCCAGGTTGGGATGAACTGCCTTGGCATTTGCCTCTTCTCTGGGACGAGCCAGGTGGCTGAGCCACCGTTGTATCACGAAATCGCCAGCCGGTGTCAAGTCGTCTGTATTAACTGTGTTTGCCCACTCTTTTGTGATCAAAGATTATGGAACGCCACGTCGTACCAGCGGCATGCAGCCACGCAGTTGACGGCGTGTCTGTTCTCTCAAGATGCCGCACTCCGCACGACAACTATCGCTGGCTGCAGGTGTGTTCAATTTTCCGAGATCCCCGGAACTCGATTTCAGCAAGATGAGCCGAGGCTGGCTGACTCGAGTTCATCGCTTGACTCGCTTCTTATCGGGCCCGTCGTCCTCCCCATCGCTGGCATCCGCATACTGCGTGACTGGCTGGGTATCCTTCCATGCATTTGTGAACATCGGATCCTTTTTGGCAACTTCTGCATATTTCAACAGCGCCTCCCGCGGGTCCTCGTGTAGCATCTTGCTTAGTGGAATGTTTTCGCTGATGTGTTTCTCATCAGGTTGGCTGCGCATGAACGGAGTCTGCAACTGCACTTGAGGTCTCCGAGGATCTTTGGATCTGCCCGTCCCTGTCACGCCAGCTTTTCGGGAACCGCCCATGGCGCCGGGTGTGATGATGGACTCTCCCGAAAGCCCAAGAGATTGATCCGTCGTGAATTCTGGGTTGTCGTCAATATGCCGCTTTTTGGGTGCGCGCGACATGACGTCCACAGCTCCTCGTGTTGACATGGTGGGATTGTACAAGACTCGGCTCTCGCCGTTAGCAGATCCTGTGATGATCTGGTTTATTTTCGGGTGCCAATCTACCGTGATCAATGGTGATCCTGGCGTGATGGGGGTGACAAACTCAGGCTGGAGATTGCCAGGGTTTAGGATGTGTAGGTGACCCGTCACCGAGCCGGTGATGATGCTCGTAGAGTTTGGCGAATACCTAATGTTGGTCATGTTGTACTGGTTAGAGGTCGAGAGGTGCTCAACGGTGACTAGTGGTTCCCGGAACTTGCGTGTATCCCACAACTTGATGAGATCATCGCCACCCCTTGTGATGACCATCCGACCATCGGAGCTGATATCGATGCCGCCTGTCCAAGTGTTGGGTTTGTGCGCGTCACGAATCTCGGCAGCCGGCCTAGAGAATGGCCCGTTGCCACTCCACATCACCAGTGTACCATCGTATGCCGCAGAGACAAGCACATTGTTGCCGCCCTGCATTGGCGATCCCCAGGCGACGGCGGTCATGCGCGTCCGCCCAGCGGCACCCGCTGCTTTTGATTTGAACACGATGACCTCCTTCTGGCTGCGCTTGTTGTTGATGTCCCATATCCGTAGGGTGCTGTCCGTCCCAGCCGTGACGCAGAGGTTCCGTTCCGTCGGATGCCACGTGCCCGTGGTGATCTCTGATATGTGACCTTTGGTATTGTGCATGTCGCGGAGGTACATGTCTCCCTTGACAAAATCGGCGATGACGTCGCCATCGCGACTGAGGATCTTGGCCTGGGGGTGTGCAGCGACGCAGAGGATGACATTCCCCGAAGGACTGAACTCGACATGGTTGATGGGATGAGCGTCGGCACCAGCAGCGGATGCTTTCTTTTCGTATGGATCGACGGAGCGGAAGGCACGAATTGTTGTCGGCGTCATTGAAGAGAAGTCGTGCAGCTTGACGGTGCAGTCTATCGACCCTGACACCATTCGCCCACCGGCTGGGTCGAGCGAAACGGACGTGACAGCTCGGTCGTGGGTCTTGACAACCATCTCGTGCGAGGTTGGGAACTCATCTTCGTCATCAGAATCGTCCGAGTCGTCCGAGTCCGAGTCGGAGTCGGAGCCAGACTTGGATTTGGCCTTGGGACTGCGGCTGGCATCGACAGCGTGGCCTGGTGCATTGCCAGTTGGACGACGGCTCCGATCGATCTGGGCGGCGATGTTGGCCTTCTTGGACTTCTTGCCGAACGAGGTGGGCAGGAAGGCACGCATGGGGTCGTCGGGCGCGAGCCCAGGGTCCTCGACCTCGTAGCCGTCGCTGTCGTCGTCGCTCATGTTGTCTCGTGCGTGGCGGTGAGGCCGAGGCGGCGGAAGGAAGAGTAGAGGTGGTAGGTGCCGGGTGCGGATGAGCGCGAGACCAAGATCATCGCCGTGCTGCAAGGCTGAGAAGACTGGAATGAGCTGGCGCTACCGGCGTCGAACCAAGGCTTGGCTGGGATCTGCGCGATGTCGTAGGGGTCCACGGGCCATGTCTAAGCTCCCACCACCACCAGTCCAGCTGATATGCGGGCAGTGAGCTTCTCGGCAAACGACCAAGCCCAGTAACCCATCTTCAGCAGAGCTCTTGACTGCTCTGGATCGGACGTGGTTCGCAGCCTCGTGTACGCGTACTAAAGTAGGCATGTGACACCGCTCAGCTCTTGATTGGCAGGCAGCGAGCCGGGAGAAGCCTCCGGAGCTGAGGTCCGCAGCAGAGCCGGCCCCCTCCTGTGGTCCCCTCAGGTGGGAAAGCTAGCAGCATCCTTGCGCTGGCAGTTCATCATGCTCCCAAGTGTTTTGCTCTGTATGATCCGTCTCTTCCGTCTCTTCCGTCTCTGCTCGCGGCCACCAGAGTCCAGCTGTCGTGTTTAATGTCTCGGGGACGTGACAGGCGACGGCAAGCCACGAAAGCGACTAGCACGTGGGTATCCGCCATCCATTCTTTAGGTATTCTTGGAACAGAGCTAGCGAGCTCATGCGCTATGACATCGGGTGGGTGCCGCAATTAATGGCCATGGGCGGCTTCCTTGGTGGCTCGCGACAATCTAATTGTGCACCAAGCAAGCTTCGCCATTACGCACTCGAGCCTCATAGTCTGAGCTCTGCCCTGCCTGGAAGGCCCAGGGCGCCCGTGTGTGCATTCATCTTGCGTTTTGCTCGACAACAAAACTCTTGATTGCTGCTCGCACTTGTTGCTGGCATCGCGGGAGCCTATCGCTGGCCACAGCCACAAATTGTCATCAGCATTGCCCATGCCAACATTGGAGCCTTGAGCCCCTGGACTGTGCTGTACAGAAGACGCCTCCCCCCGCAAGTACCCTTTAACGTGCCGCAACTCCCACCGCGACCACCTCCACGACTTCCGACCTTCTCCTCCCCGTCACGACACGCCCAGCTGCGCCTTCGACCACGTATTCCTCGCGGCGGCCTCCTCGACCAAGCAGGATCGCATCCCCAGACAGCAGACCTGATCCGCGCAACGCATGCGACCACCGGCTGGCCCGCTGGTTCCTCTCGCGCGCAATCAACACCAGTCCGGCGCGCACGACCCGTCAGCTGAATGCCCTGCATCACTCTCGACGCCAACGCTCTGCTTTGAGCGTGCTCCGCCATGGCGCTCTCCACGGGCGCGGCCGGCTTGGTCGACCAGACTTCACCCTCGTCCTCGGCCATGAGCGCCCTGTCAAGTGGTGGCTTCCCGAGCTCAATCTCCCAAAGTACGGGATCGCCAAATATCTGGACGTGGGCCGGTGTTCTGTCTATCATGGGTGACGATGTCGGCAAAGGACTGGGCAACTGGAGCTCCCTCATCGGCATTATCACGGCCATCTCCGGCAATGTCCTAATTGCACTGGCTCTGAACGTGCAGAGGTACTCCCATATTCAACTCAACCGCAAGCGGGTCGAGAACCGGGAGCGAGCACGGCAAGCTTTGAAACGCGCCCAAGGACGTGGCCAAAACGGTTACGGATCTCTAGACGGGAACAGGGACAGTTATTTCGGCGTGGACGGGGGCGATGACGCAGAAGATGCGGACGAGGCACAACCATTGCGCCAATCTTTCCAGTACAGCCAGACGGACGACTCCAAGGACGACGAGGTCTCCTCAAACTACCTCAAGTCTCCCTCTTGGTGGCTTGGCCAAGTTCTAATGACCGTGGGCGAAATGGGCAACTTCCTGGCTTATGGTTTTGCGCCCGCTTCGATCGTGTCGCCGCTCGGAGTCGTTGCCCTTATTTCCAACTGTGTCATTGCGCCGATCTTCTTTGGGGAACACTTTCGGAAGCGCGACTTTTGGGGTGTCGTTATTGCCGTCCTCGGCGCCGTGACAGTGGTGCTCAGCGCAAAGACAGAAGAGACGAAGCTGGAGCCGCATGACGTTTGGGATGCCATCACGACCATGGAGTTTGAAATCTACATGGGCGTCACCATTTCTTTCATCGTGGTACTAATGTGGGCCAGTCCAAGATATGGCAATCGGACAATACTGATTGACCTGGGCCTCGTGGGTTTGTTTGGTGCGTAGAAACAATCTTGAAAGACCGGAAGCTTGCCTTTACTAACAGCAGATATAGGTGGCTATACTGCTCTGACTACTAAAGGCGTCTCCTCTATGCTGTCGTCGACTCTGTGGAGGGCCTTCACCACGCCCGTCACTTATGGGCTGCTGGTTGTACTCTTGGGCACGGCCGTAATGCAAGTGCGTTATGTCAACAAGGCATTGCAGCGCTTCGACTCTACTCAAGTTATTCCTGTGCAGTTCGTCACCTTCACACTGTCTGTCATCATTGGCAGCGCTGTGCTCTATCGGGATTTTGAAAACGCCACAACCCAGCAAGCCATCAAGTTTGCCGGAGGTTGTGCCCTCACGTTTTTTGGTGTTTTCTTAATCACCAGCGGCAGACACTCACACGACGAAGACGAGGAGCACTTGTCAGATGACGAAGACGTCGAAGAGACTATTGGGCTGCGGCGTCAGCGTTCCAGTGGTTCTTTTGACGAGTCTCGGCAGCGAAATGCAAAGCCGCCACAGCACACACCATCGAACAGATCATCGCGTCGTCCGTCTCTTAGCTCTAGGGGTGTCAGCTTTGCCGACGATGTTGCGCAGCCTGCGAATCACGGTGGTGGTGTAATGATAGCATCTGCTCGTTCTTCGGAGTCGCCCGCAACCCGGCCACTTCTGCCTCCTCTGGACGAGCCCTCGCCGGTGTTCGATAGCCCGTGGCAGAGCTCATCTCAGGGGCACCCATCTTCGCGACCCAATTATCCATCCGTATTCGTCTCCAACGATAGCATCGCCACATACGAGTCGGGTCCGTCCATCGCCGCACAGTCAGAGGCCTTGCAATCCACAAAGAGCCTGCCACCACCGTCAGCAGACTCGCCCCTTCAGGAGAGACCGACCACACCTCCACAGCGTCATTCGATATCCTTGAGTCGCCCAGTTGGGAGCCACTACTCAAACAAGTTTATCTCACCTTCGCCTCTGTCATCAACAGTCACGGCCGTTGTCGGCGACTCGTTGAGGGGAGAGCCTACAGGCTTGTCCCCGAGAAAGTCCAATAGGCGACTGCGCCCAAGCATTCGGAACTCTTTGTTTGTGCCGTACGATGAAGACGACGATCTGGGTTCCCCGACAGCGAACTCTCACTCTCGAAGTGTGACGGACAATGAACCACTGATGAATGGCCAGGGGGTCGATAACCCAGACCAGGATTCCCCAAGCACGAGGCGGAGAGCAAACTCCCTCGGCGCTACCCTCGAGACGATTTTCGGGCGCAAGAAGAAGACGCGCTCATCCACTATTGACACGGTGACGGGAGAGACTCGGCAGAGTCGTGAGAGCAGCAGCGGTCCTGGCGCGGGTTCGTCTGGCGGAAGCGAGCAATAGTTTCTTTTTTTGGAAGAGTTGCAAAATGACATTGGATATGGAGTTGGCGGGTGTTCTGTTTCGATTCTTGATCATCGCTCTTCATTCATCTCCTATTACCCTTTTCGTTAGCACGACGGGTTGCAGCGGCAACTCGAGCCCAGCCTCTCTCATCACCTCTGATTTCTCCTTCCGGCTGGCAGGCAGGCAGGCAGGCAAGCAAGCAAGACATAGAAGACTACTCCCTCACCCCCTGCTATGACCAACCACTACAAACCCAAACGTAACAACTCTTTTTATTAATGTAGTATCCCCTTCCCTCTCCTGTATATATTCCCGGGTATTTCCTTAGATATGGAGATAGAAAAGCCTTTGTGCTTTGTTTTCGTCCTAAGATGAGCCTTTTCGAGATTGGGGGTTTCCATCACAGGAGAGGTAATGTTCTCCCTCCTAAGCATATTTTTTTTTGCCGTTGACTCCTTGACGGTTGCTTGCATGTTGATGATACCTTCGGCCTCGACAGCCATCATTCGTTCTCGTGGGATCGTGACGTGACCGCAAAGCAAAACTCTGAGGACCACTTGAGAGCCACACAACAGGCACACGGACGAGATCGTCTCGGTCCCCATTGTGTCACGGTTGAGTCCGTGATAGCTAGGCAGGTCGGCGCCGCCGCCGCCCACCAGTGGGATATGAATGATGTATGTCCCCGGCAGAGGGCCACGAGGGACCACCAGACGGGGTTAGAGAACTGCCTCCAGCCAATACCAGCCAGCCGGGGTTTGGGGATTCATAAGGGCCCATTGATCTTCCGGCTTGAAACGTAACAAGTAATTACGCATCAAGCCTGTATATATGCATGTATATATGTGTGTGCACACGGTACAACGTATGCAGTACGTAAAAACCCGCCGAGGCATAAGAACAGTGCATTTTCCATTTTCGAAATCCCGGTTCCGCCTTACAACAAACAAACAGACCCCTGGCGTTCCACGAGAGGGGACAGAGCGAGACAGCGAGCAGGGGGCTAGGTCTGCTTGCATGCATGACAGGGCCAGGGGAAGGACGAGAGAACCCAACCCTCGCCAACCCCCCCCCTCCCCCCAAAATCCCTGCCCCAGGACGTCCCATCCCCCTTCGGGCTCACGGAACGCAGGCACACAGAGAGCCGGGCACAGCGCGCGCCGCTAGAGTCGAGAGAGGCAGGTCTACTCGCCCGCCCGCCGCCACCCCACGGCCCTGTTCCCCGGGCGGAGCCGGTGACCCCCCCCCCCCGGGATAGCAAGCAGCAAGCAGCAGCACGCAGCAGCACGCAGCAGGTCCAAGCCAAGGTTCTGCAGAACTTGGGGGTGATGAGAGGGGAACATGCAGGTACTCATGGGTATAGCAGACATTTTGCTATTGTAAACCACATGGGCTTCCGTTCAAAGAAACGAAAAAAATTATGGTGCGTGCATGGAACGATGGCATGTTCTTCACTAGACAGACAAGTCCGGTGAATGACTGACAGTATTTGCCTTTAACCTCGTTTCATTCAAAGCACGACGGCCATCGCCCACTCAGTAGTAGTCAGCCTTTGGCCACTGGCCCAGGTCCAATTCACACACACACAAAAATCCGGTCAACAAGCAAGCAGCAGCCAATGTGCCCTACGTCACTCACCGGGCTACGCAGTTCGTCGGAAACTGTGTGTGCTATAGAGGCTGACTTATGAAAGTGGGTGAGGAGGGAATTATATGCAACTACCTTGCGATATATACGTCCGGCGAGGGGCACCGAGTTGCCGGCGGCTGGCCGTTGGGTCGCTTGATCCCGAGAGTCCCCTGGCTCGCGCAAGCCAAGAAAAGAAAGTCGACCAAGGTAAGGTTCTGCTGGAACGTGGCGGCGAGTCGAGTTCGAGTCAAGCACAGGGGCCGGCTTATATGCCACATCCACCTTTTTGCGCACGTCTCTTGCGCGCGGGGCGGGTTTCCATGGTACTTTCTGGAATAGGGCAATCGTGAGGATCCCATCATCACTTGCACACACGTATAGTGCCAGCTTCTTGTTGGTCACAGTTGTTTTGATTTGTTCTTGTACTCCTCATTAACCTCTGCCCTGACCAAACAAAAGCCCTGTCATGCGCCATCCTCGTCTGACAACTCCTCTTGGCCTCGTCCTCAACCTGGGACATCCCGCCTCTACCGAGTATATATGTATATGTACACGCATTGAATATAAATGAAATGTGTCGCGAGGAAGCTGAGCGCTTCTTTGTTTCTGTATATCGCTTGTTTGCTTATGGCTGGCGCCTTCAAGTCGATATGTTCTGTATTCTATCCGCAAAGGGAAAACGTAAGGAAATGATGGAGGCACGTTCGTGTGTCTATAATGCCTGTCGAAGTTGAGAAAGTAGTTGTATCTCGTGATGTGCGCGGAAATGGCGATGGGCATCTGCTGCCCAAATTTCACGCGATTGCGCTTTTGGTAGAAAGAAAATCCTCTAGTCCGTAGCGCCGAGCTAAGCAAGTCGCCAGATATACACGAGAGAAAAGACAGCTGGAAAAGATGACGACAAGGGAATGAAATAATTGTGTAAACTTCTGTGCATTGAGAATGCAGAAGTATTGTTGATCTGAGCGCCGGATACCATGCCGACCATGGCATTGCTGATATCAAGGTTAAGCGCTAGGAGGCACCTGAGGGAAAAGACCAAACTGCGGAGGGCCGGTGTGGCTACGGCTTGTAGTCTTGGCCCTTCGACGTGTCCTGATCTGACCCTCAGCCGAGACCTTGTCAGCACTGTCATCGCCAAAGAAGGTTGTCAGGATGTTGGCTTCAGACGCAGTGCGCTGTCGACGTTCAAGGCCGTTTTCCCAGTAAGGTTCCGAGGACTTGGGCAAAGTCATGCCGCCCACACCTGCGGTCGGAGTCATGTTGCACTCATCCGACAGCTTGGGTGGAGGGGCTTCGAGACAACTTGCTTCAGCATGTTGCTGCCAGTCCATGCTTCCAGCAGTGCTGATACCCGTCCATCTCGTGAAAGCAGTTGATGTCGACAGGGTTGACTTGTGACGGCTTGATGCTAGAGAGTGCTCCGACAAGGCGGACGCGGTGGTGGACGCGCTCGAACGGACTTTGAGCATCAAGGCGCTTTTGTTGTACAGCTGACCCAGAGGCACGTCGTCGTCCTCATCTTCTTGCATTTGGTTGACTTCACGCTCGTAGCTCAGCATCTGCTGCTGATAGTCGTTGGGTATCAGGAGACTTGGCGAAAGAGTGAACTCTTGCGATCCCAGAGTGCTCGAAGCACGCGACAGCGTCCTGTTATGTCCACGGTCGGGAAGGGAGAAATTCGTTGTGATTGGGAGGGTCAATGTCGAGTTCGATGCAGCATGTGCGTGAGGCTTGGATCTAGGCGACATTGGACTGGCTGGGCTGACTGATCGTGTTTCAGCCATGTGGGTGCGTCGTGAACCGGTGGCGCCAAACGTCTCGGTGAAGAAGGTGGCCCTCGCATCCACCGCGCCATCGTCATCCTCACGCCACATCTCAAGAGAAGGTCTCTCCCATGCATAGTCGCAGTCGGCCTCGGCCTCGTGATCATAGCAATAGTCGATATCGTCCTCCCAGTCGTCGTACATGAAGTCATCATCATCTTGCAGCTCGGAGGTCGAGCTGTCTGCACCCTGTCGGATAGTGACCGCACTGAAGTGGCCCAGGGTATCCGACGTGTTGCTCGGGCGACGCTGCTTCGCCTGGTTTTGTGAGAGTTGGCGAAGCAGTGGCACCGAGACGCTGCCTCTCAGGGAGGAGCGGGTGCTCATGACGCTGGCTCGCGACTTGACAGATGTGAGCTGCGCCTCATCCTCCTCTGGCACCTCTGGTACTGACGACATGGAAGGAGGAGTGAGTGGCCAAGCCGCGTCATCCTGGCCCGCAGGCGCTTGTGACACGATGCTCTGCTCCTGCGCCGGTAGGGCAGGCTGAGGCATGCGAGAGACTGCACTACTCCATGGCCGGTCTGATCCTATCGCCGTCAATGTCTCTTGGCCGTTTTCGAAACGCACGGAGACACGACTGGATATTCTGGGGGGAGGAGGAATGGGTGATGGGAAGAGCGGCTCAGATGGAGATCGCTTCGGGCGTGGGGGTGGCAACTTGGCAATATCTTGTGACATTGACTGCGTGTGTTTCTTGAACCACGCCTCGCCTGGAGTGGCTGGGAGTTCCTTCTCCCTCACTGCCTGTTGCTGGCCGCGACTCTCCGGCCGGCCTGCAGCGGTGTCGGAGTCTTCACGTTCGCCCTGAAGAGGTAACGACTCAGACGAGAGATCTGACACATGGATTTCTGTTGCTTCAATGCCCTTCAACTCGCCAATGGACGGCTTCTGTCCCGCCCGCATACTGGCGAACTCCGAGACCAAATCCATTCTGCTTGTGCGGTTGAGATCTGGTACACTGCCTTTTTGAGTGTGAGTCAGGTGTTGAAAATTGTACGGGCCAGAGATCTGGAGCTTTTTCTGCTCGGCGGCATCAATCTCTGGCCGGGAACCCTTTCGTCGAGCAAACATGGTTGAAACAAAGTTCAAATCCCTTGCCCCGGACTTCAGGTCGCTGATAGACGGCATCGACGACAAGGCCCCGTGAGACGCTCCAGTATCGGTCCCTTCTCTGCGTCCCTTTCCTCGGCGGTTGAAGATTCCCTTGCCGAATGAAGCGGTCCCATCGGTTGGCTCTCGCGCAGGATTGCTGCTGTTAGACGAGCGTTGCGAAGACCTCCTTGAGATAATGTCTGGGCCAAGCTCCCAGGACGGTGTTTCTGATGTTGCAGAGAGTAGCGAAGATGACTTGGACGACACAGTGTTGTGACTCAAGTGCTTATCACGAAAAGAGGAGCGCTTCAGTTGCTTGCCAATCGCACGAATCCGCTCCGGTGATGGAGGGCCGTCCATGGCCGGCTCGAACGACTCTGTCGAAATGTTGTCCATTGGGCTTGGTGGGGTCGAGAACTGGCAGCTGCCGCTTTTTGTTGCCAATAAGTCGTCGGTGGGTAGTTCTCTATCGTTATTCGGGTGAGCCGGTGCAAACATGTAGTGTGCTCAAGCTGCCTTACACGTTGTTCGGCGGGGAAGAGATTGGCCCGTGGCCTCGTTACTTGTATCGAGGCCAGGACTAAATCTACCGCACTTGCAGTCGACAAAGATACCGTAATTGCAAACAAAAGGAATGACAGCCGGATCGAAGAAAAAAAGAATGGAGACGGCTGGGGTGAGCTGGGGTTGAAGTCTTTTTTGAAGGTGGGCGTTGACGGGCGGCAGGATGCTACTCAAGCACTCGCCAAAGTATGGCGTGTTGGACGTGCCCTGGAACAAGTCTTTGCTGTGTCATGCACCTTACTCAGGGGCCCTTCCACTTGAGGCGTGAGGTACCTCCAAGGCATATGGCAGGGGTACCCAGCTGTGAGATTGCTGCAATGCTGAGGGATCCTCGTCGACCAGGATGTGGATCCTGGTCCAATAAGAGTTATCCGTTTTTCCGCCGTTTTTCGTCGAGCTTTACGAGCAAGGGTCAGGCAGGGAGCAATGCCTTGGGCACAATCCTTGCCGTTCGCTGGTGTCCGCGCAACAGGGTTGATGCTTGACGGGACTAGCACTCGTTGCGGTGTGACCACGACGAGAACACTCCAAGCCACGCGAATCAACGTCCTGAAAAGATACGAGAGGGTGCTCGAATCAAGAGATAATGATGACAATCAGCTGCGCAAATCTGATTGGGCTTTCTTGAGCTTTGAGTGAATTGTGACAGACACCAGGCGTGCGGAGCAAGACTGAGATCTGGACCGTCGGGCGATATTATCGAATGGGCTATTCGGTTTGGTGGCAAAATGTCGAAGCCTATGCTTTCATGTCAATATAGTCAACATGGCGAGTTGCGACAGATTGGCTACGTGACACAGGACTCCAGAAGCCGGTCCTGGTGCAGCCGTAGTGCCCAAGTAATGCGGAGCGCTTTGTATTCATCCGGGAAAATGGCGGTCTCCGTCAGGTGCGGCAGTGCATCGCTATTGCATGTACCGAGTCTGACAAAGGCAAAAGGGCAACAGCACAGGCAACGCCAAATTTCCTACAGGTGGTAAAGGAAACATAACGACAAGGGACGGTCTGAAAAAGCTACCACTAACCTTGGTGATCGCTTCGTGTTGTAGAGATGTGGCTGCTGGCGGGCAAGTTTTCGGGAGTGGCAACTGGCAATTGAGTCGAGCAGACGTGCTGTCGATCCTGCGAGGGTGGGGTGACAATGGTCGGAGGATTATCAAGAATGTTCAAGATCTATGTCGTTTTGAAGGGCTTGTTGACCGTGTCACTGGAAGAAGTGATGTCGTCGAAGCAACGCGCGTGGTGTTCTGTGCACGCCTGGTGCTTGAAGAGCCGGGTCGTTCCCTGTAGCGGACGCGGAAGTGCATAAAGTCTGACCAGCAGGCTGATATCGAAAGTGGCAGGGGCACTCCTTGAACTTGTCGCCTGTTGCCGTCGGGAACCGCTTTGAAAGCCGTCAAAGTCGTGCAAGACAACCGCGGAAGAAGTGATTGACTGTGTTGCCACTGGTGAAGAGAAAGGTTGCCTGATCAAAGGAGTCTCGAGCACGCGCCGGCCAAGCTGGGTACCTCATGACAGTTATTGAGCGGGCAATGGTGCAGAGCAACGCGTGCCCCAGACATTTGGCCCGTGGAGCGGCAGATGAGGAGACGGCGACGTGCCCCTGGCTAACACTAGTGTGGAAACTAGTTGGGGTCTCAGAATTGGTTCTTGGACCCAGAATAATACAGTATGGATGCGCGCTGGCAATGTAAATTACGGAGTACAGAGGCATACCCTTGCAGCAACTGCTTTAGCGACTTTTAGCTCAAGAATGGATGCCACGCCCAGAGTGGGGATGGTGGGTGGTTTGGATGTTCCCGGGCTTGAAGGTAGTCGGTGCGTTCGGGTCCTTCTCTCATCTTGGAGCTAGACGAAACGTTCCCTGCTCGAGTTTTCCAATCAGCGGCGGGCCAGATGGGAAGGGCAGGCCACAAGCATGAGAGCTAAGTCCTCTGTGCTCGGGGCCGCAGATCTTGAGCTCGAGGCTGCATATGGATCTTGTGCCGGCTTTGTGCCGAAGGGTGTAGCTTGGTGGATTACTCCGTATTCGTCATCGGCCGGGCTGTCCTACTGAATATGGCATTTTAAGTTGTGGTCGTGTGTGATCCTTGAAGCACCGTCCAAGTCAGAGTGTAGTCATGATGGGGCGGTTGACGACCAGATCGGACCAGCAACTCAAACATCAGGCCAAGTGTCGATGACGAACTCCAATCGGCTCGGTCAACGAGGACGCTCTTCTTTTTCATTCCGTCCAACGAAGCAGGGGTATGCTTGCCTTGAGGACAGGTACCATCGGTGGTACGGACAAGTAATCCCCAAACTCTCGTGGGTGCCTCGTGGCCGCTTGTCAGTGGGATCGAGGCCCGGAGCAGGGAGCGGATGGGCACAGCGACCACTTTGGAAGGAGGGTGGTCACCATGTTCGCTGGGTCTCGAGGATTCTCGTTTCCACAGCTCTGGGTCGGGCACAGGCCCACCACTGACTGCGACGGCAGCAGCAGCGTAGCGGCGTGGGCCGCGTCGAGCTCCCGACTGTGCCGCCGCTGGATGCTTTTGAGCCTGGGTAGAGCAAAACGTTGTGGCTTGCAGGTTTCCGGCTGACGCGATTACTGAGACTCTAAGCAAGCAGCGCTGCTCCTGGGCAGAGTCGCATTGGCGGCGCGAGGCACTAGAGAAGCCGCCTCAGTTCGGTAGGACGATAACTAACAGCAAGAGCAGAGGAGCGAGAGGCAGACGCAGGGCTGGACTGGCGACTTGGTCAACGTGCGGGAAGGGGGAAATACGGTAGACTTCCAGATTCGACGACGACAAGCAAATGGGAGCGTGGCCGGGACGCCAGTGGCGGGCCCGCAGCCAGTCACGGCACAGGAGGGGAGCGGGGGGCACAGTGCGGACGTGTGCCATGGCACCTGCATGGCAGGGGGCCGGCAGTGGAGTGCTGGGCAGGAAGGAAGGACCTCCAGGGCTGGGCTTCCAACCTCGCCTCGCTCGCGTCAATCAAGGGTTGTGGTTATGTGCTTCCACAGTCGGTGGTGCCTTCCGAGCATGGGACGGGCCCGACGGTGGCCGGTGCAAGTGCGCAGACGTGACGAGACCTCTCGGGTGCCTGGCACGCCATCCCGGCCGTCGTCCCACAACACAGCACAGCTTGCGCCGTGTCGGCTCACAGCTCAGCATGCCGCAACTGCTGCTGCGACGAAGAGTCTTTGGGCCCTCGTACGGTTGGAAACAAACGTGGACAGCAAGCACACTGTGGTGGTGGTGGTGGCTGCAGCAGTGTGTCGTCCATTGTGGAGATGAGCAGCCCCAGTCACGACGCCGCCCGGGGAATATTTTGTCTCATTGCATCCTGGCGAATGGGGGGGGAACGGTGACATCCAGATCCGTGGTCGCCCTGACGCGACCCCCATCGACCACCAGCCTCGTGTCCACGATGCGAGGTGCTGTTCCGCCAGATAGGATAGCCCATCCTTGCGACGACGACGGTGACAAAGACCCGGCAGCCACCCTTGGACCACCCACGCGCCACGCAACCATGCAACTACCTGGGCCGGCCGGGCTCGCTGCTCAGTTCCACCACCGCCGTTGCAAACCCCTCTCACAAGCGGCACAGGTTGCGCCCTATGGTACTGTGGGTGACAGGGACTCCTCTGCCAGCTCTCGGCAGATGTGCCGTGTCGCCAGAGCCGTGCCGTCCGCATCAGACACTTCTCTCACACCTTGTTGGCACCGGAAAACGAAACACTTTAGAAGGGCATGCTTCCGAAGCTGGTCAAGGCGCTTCGACTCTTAAGGTGCTCATCGGCTTCGGGTTTCGCTTTGCGTGCCATGACATGTCGTCAATTCTCTATTGTGTACGGCACCTCCGTCGCGAACGCGGCGCAGCTCAACACGTCAACATACACGCAGGACCCCGGCCCGCGCAGCTCTTGGCCATCTTGTGCCGTCATGGACAGCATCTTCATACCAGGCTTCATCATCTGCTCTCGACTCGAGCTGGCCCGCTTCTGCCCCGTGCGAAAGACAAACAAAATAAACTGATCCCTGTGCCAGCACGGATTTCACGGGTTCTCCACGAGGTCCCTGGCAGACATGGACCAGGCAAGCAGCACACCTGGAGCATAATTATACAGTTCTGACAGTGATTGTGTGGGCGAGACTAGCTGGGCCCGACCGCACCACCATATCGTAGTGGCACACCGAAGCAGCAAAAACGGTGCGGGGCTCTGGGCGCTGGGTAGCTTCGGGGAGTTCCCCAGAGTCCCGCGAACCCTGCTTGTCACCTCTGCTCCTGGTTCAGACAGGGACCTTTCCTGGAGCCCTGGCGGTACTCTTGTTCCCCCCCGACAGCCCAAATGAGAGGCCTGCGTGCCTGACTGGGAAACCCTATGGCCCGTGTCTCCAAATGGAGCATCACATCATCCGATCCGTCAAGCCGCTCGTGCGATGATCTTGAACCTTTGCAACCACGCTGCTGGGGTGCCTTGCCCAGAGAACAAACAGGATGACTCCACGTCCTGGTTGGGGCTTTCAGAAAAGATGCTCAGCTGCACAATCGCAACGACCTACAGGCCGCAGTAAAAGTTTGAGGAAAACGAAGAACATGCCCTGCGTCCGCACGGCTGTTGCTGCAGGCCGCTCCTGTGAAAACTATTGTGAGGCTTGCCATCGCCGCAGTCTCACTCATACTCCACGCATAAGTGTGGCGAATCATTCGCGCGCTGCACCATAGTAGAGCTCACCAGTTCCGGGCTCAGATTAATCTCTCGGCGTTTCACCGGCGTGGTTGCTCCCGAGAACAAGCCAGCGCGACAATTCGGCTAGTCGTGGGACACCAGCTCAACTGGATCGTTCTCGTCCGAGGTGGGGTCGTCCTCGCTCGCCATTCTCGCTGTCGGCCTTTCCACGGTGTGCAAACAAGCGTGATGGGACCGAACCTTTCAGCTTTGCGTGCCTAATCAGGCGTGTCCCGTCCCAAAGAGAGCAGAAGCCCAAGGCTGCAAAATGCAACGTCGAAGCTACAATCAGCATATGTACACCATGAATATCAGCGGTATTGTGGCCAGTCTGCTTAATGCTGGTGCTCGCGACGACGATCCCTGTTGCGTCACGCTATGCCACCTTAGCAATAACGACCAAGGTTTTCTTGTCTAGTGCGCCTGTCGTGACGGCTTGAGTGTTTCACGACTTCAGCCTGGCTCGGCTTGATGTTTCCACATGGTGGTACTGCAGAAACTGGATGCGCCAGGAGGTTCAGCCTGAACTTTTTTTCGACCTCGTTTCGGAAGACGCACATACTGCGTTGCTGCAGCTGCAAAAGGCTCTTCACGACGCCCAGGTTGTGACGGTTGGCCACATATGCTATGCAGGTACATTTCAGCCGACCCAAGCGTGCCTGCCTCAAGCGCAAGCCACATGCAGGTTCCAATCTACCATCCAATTCACAATATGCCCAGACTGGGCGGGCTGGGCGGAAGCTGTGACAGCAACTCAGCGGTCGATATATTGGAGCCAAGCTGGGCCTTGACTCGGTGACTTGAGGCATGGTGCAGTGAAGATCGTCTCAGACACGTGTCCGACCGTCACCCAGAACGACTATATTGTTTGAATAAGAGATAAGACCCGGCGGCTAGATGCGAATGCGGCTAGACAAAGCAAGGAACGATTCCAGAGTGTTGGTTGACGATCCGGATCTGCAGGCGGGCCCGGCCCCTCTCCTTGTCCATGGTGTCGGACCAATCCAACGATTGGGCAGCAATACGCTAAGGTTACAGACTGAGCCCAGCTAAACATTAGGGCAGTGTCTTCGAGTATCGCCGGACCTCCTACAGACGCAACCAAACTGATAACTAATCCCCAGGTGGGAAAGGGCAAGCAGTGAAGAGTGCTAGAATCTTGGCTCGACTTGGTGTGACTGACTGCCTACGTTTACGCCGGCTTGTGGCGTTCTTAGCGAGCGGGCTAATTTGGACCGCGTTCTGGAAACGTGGTAAGGGTCCAGGTGGTCGCTGCCGTGCTCGCCCTCTCTGCTGCCTGTCAGATTTCGGAGCTCCTGTACAGACAACAGCATGGACGATAGTGTCTGTGGGCTATGTCGCGTGATAGCACGTGGCTACTAGGCTTGCCGCTACCGGATATGAAATTGGAACACAGAGTATATTGCATCGTCAGTGCGGTGGACAACATGAGATGAGATTAGCGACATTGAACGAACGCCACAGGCACACTACCAGTGGCAAACGTTGCGAAAACGGCAAGTTGCTGGCTGGCACCTTTCCGGATCTCGGGACAGGGCCAACATTGTCAGCCCTCCCCAGCGTGTGACGCAAGAGGGTCCATTTTCGTTGCACTCGATGACTGGCCAGCAGCAGTGGGCGTGCATCCTGCAGCTGCAGGTGCGACAAGCCTTGAGCTGTGCTGCTGCTGCCCACAACCTTGGAAGGCTGAACCAATGGAAAGGAGGGGGGGGGCCAGAGCGAGAGAAAAGATCCCAGGAAAACAGGCTTGACACCTTGAGCCATCCGGGCTAGGGCAGCCGGAGATGGCGAGATCCACCGTGAGTGACGCCAGTCCGGATGCCGTTGCGTACGCGGTCGGGTGGAATGATGATGGATTGCATGCTCCAGTATGGCGATGATGGCAAAAGCCATTCTAGTGGAGGTGTTTCCACCAGCACCTGTTGTTTTTCTCAGCACTGGACACGCGTAATTGCCTCTCGCCGGCGCCACCCCCACCGGCGTCTTGTTCCTTTTTTGTTGTTGCTGTTTTGTTCCTGGCCGGCGCGGGAGAGAGAGGGGCAACAGAGCAGGGACGATGCCTGTGGCCGCCCCATGCACAACATCGGGCGAGGCTAACCCAGGACTTGGAGCAGCTCGGTTCAGGTACAGGCAAGTGATCTGCATCTCGGTGCCTCGGTGGCCAGATCTGACGCATGTGCCGGCTGACAGACATGTGCAGGCATGATTAATTTGCTGTCGTGACGCGATGCTACCTCGGGCAGGCAGAGACAATCCCCATTTTTAACTTTTTTGATGGAGCGCGGATGAGGCGTGTGCTGCCCCCCCTCCCCTTCCATAAGTAAACACACACGCACAAGGGTCTGCAATAAGCGTGAAACATGAGCAACGTCACCGGGCCCGGCTGGACGGAGTCGAGCGAGACAAGGGGTGGCAGATTTGGGCATACTTGCCGTGCTTGGCGCCGGCCGTGGTGGTAGGCCCCGTCGACAGTCGGTCGACCTCCTGCCCGTCCAGTCCGGATGCTCGAGAGCAGAGCAAATACTCATTGAGATGTTTACACTGCGGTTTTTTTGTTGTTTTTTTTTGTTTGTTTTTTTGTCGCAGGGAGGTAAAGTTAATGTGTGTATCGCAACACCTTGGACACCCATTGGGGGAGCGCCTTCCAATAGGCAGCACCGTCACAGTGAGGCTACACCCGTGATGTCAACTGGTCTGCATGTATGCCGCCACAGATCGGGAAACTCTGCACAGCTCCCTCCAATCCGGCCCTCGTCTCGGTTGAGAGAGTCACGCAGGTACCTGCTGTGCTGTGCTGACTGCAGGTTGCCCGTGCATGCGCCAGCCGTCGGGAACAGCCCTCGCACCCGCGCGCTCACTGACCGGCACGGCCTGCACGCGCCGAGGGGTGCAGGCCGGCAGCTTGCCTTTTCCCATACGACCTCGTGTCATCATCGCCATCACCATCATCACCATCATCACCATCATCACCATCATCACCATCATCACCATCATCACCATCATCACCATCATCACCATCATCACCATCATCACCATTACCATCTTCCATCATCCCACATTGCGATGTGGCCGGCCAATAGCCAATCGACGCGGTGGGCAACACAAGATTGCTTCTCCAAGGACACGCCACGATTCGCCGACCCAACCCTGCCTATATCTGCACGTCTTGCCTTGCACCCGTGCTGACAGGCAGGGCAGGGCGGTCCACCATGCCAGGAACACCACCCCCCAGCGTGCTGCCCTCCAGATTGGCCAACTGTTGTTGTTGCTGCCAGAGGCATGGCTGCAGGCTAGGAGCCGAGTCACAACCAAAGCTGATGTATGTACGTACGGAGCACGGAGGAGCATGGGCTGAAGTTGAGCCCAGGCCAGGCCAGGCCTGTCTTTGCCGAAGCTCAATCGCAGGCATAATTGCATCGCCGAGCTAGGTTCGTCTGCATTCTGCTGTCTGCTCATATCCCAAACCCTTGCAGAACGGATGGCGCGGCTGCCCGGGACAAGGTTCTTGACGGGTTTGGCAGACCAGGATAAGCAATCCGCTTGCTTCATACATCTTTGTCGATGCTTGCGAAATGTCGCACGGTACCGTGCATTCATCCTTGGCCGGCAATCCTGGTCTTATTTCCAAATCCCCTAGTGGGAGAAATTCCGTGACGATCGAGGAACGCGACATGCATGGTGCAACGACGAGTGGCTCCACATCGTCGGCCGACATCCCATCAAGGTCCGAAGGGCATGGCTCGCTGGCGAGGATCGCGATCCTACTTTCGGAGGGCGGGCGACACTTGCCACGCACCCAAGACCAGACCGGACAGCCCTGAGTCGTGGGCCACGCCAATCATTACATTACATACAGTATGTCCAGGATGCGCACAAACATAACCTCGATAACTACGCTGCAGGGCTGCGAGGCAAGCAGATCCCTGCGCCAGCACATTGCTCCACCGACAGGGCTTGTTGTTTCGTTCATGTCCGGATGCCTTTGCAAGGACTCGTCAGCTGGCTACGCAGTATGCTCTCGACTTGAGGGATCACCAGCTCAAGTTGCTGCTTTAGGCATGTTGACCACAGTGGGACGTTGTCCGTGGAGACACGCCGATCATCAAACACGCAACGCTGGCGGACGCTCACCCCGGATCTCCGTGTTGGCAAGGCGTGAGTGAGTGAGGCTTGTCGTATCTGCGAAACACATCTCTGGCTGCCCATTGGTAGGAACAACCGAGGATGTCGGCGCTGGCTTCTTGTCGAAGCTGGACCTGCTGGTTTACACGCGCAGGGCTTGAGCCAGCGTTTGGGCATCTGTCGTGCTTGACCTGGACGCGGGATCTGTGGCGTCTTCCGGCATGGGCATGCTTACGACATGCAAGCCCTGTCAACCACGACACGCCGGGAGCCAAGGCCAGGACCCCGAATGCAACGGCGGAAAGTGAGCTGTCTGTAGCGTCAAATTTCGCTCATCCTGTCATGTCCAGGCTGGCGTCCCCAGATCCGGCAATGGCGGGCGGCTCAGCAGAGCACACTCCCAGAGAGGCAGGTGTCAAACCGCGACTCCCTGTAGCTAGGGACCGGGTGCGTTACTGGCGAGATTCTTGTCATTTTACCCCAAGGACGCATGCGCGCGCGCGCATGGACCTGCGGTTGGAAGCGAGGTACGTACGGGGGACCTGGGCATCTTGAAAGGCGGCCGCATCGCATGCGGCCCTTCTTGTTTCCAGTCCCTGATGGAAAGAATGGGCAAAGCCTGCATGGCACACAGGGGGGGGGGGGGGGCGCCGGGCTGGAGTGTTGCACCCGATGCCACGCCATGGCGTTTAGGCCGGGGTCTACGCGACATTCTGGAAGACGCAATTTGCAAGGTCTAGATTCCAGGGGCGCGGTTCAAGCTCCGCGACAGCGTACCGCGCATAAATCGGTCATTTGGTTTTTGGTTGTTGTCTTTTTGGCCTGGTCAAAGTCGACTGGCTGGAATTGGCGACGAGCTTTTCCTCATGGCGGTTTGGAAGCTGAGCTTGTTGTGACGACCGAATGTCGTAGTTTTGCTTTCTTATTCCTGGTGAGTTGTGTTGTCACGTGCAGGTGGAAACAGGAATGCGACGAAACAAAAAACAACTGGCAGGCTGGCAGGCTGGCAATTAGGCAGGCAAGGCAGGTAGCCTAGCCGCCGACAATGCAAGTAGTATGCAAAGAAAAACAAGTACATTGTAAAAACCACAGCGATGCCAGGGTTCCGTGTCACACAACCAGCTCACCGCCCAACTATCGATGGGTAGTGTTTCGGTTCAGATGTGTCTCGCGCGAATCGTGACTTGTCGGTGCTGCATGAGATGTGACATAAAATGCTGGAGGAGGCTCAAACATTCCGACGAAGAAAAAGAAGAAGAAACGACCCGCAACGGAACATTCCCTGCTCAACGTCCCGGCTCCCGCTCATCTACACACGGTACGGAAGATTTTATTTTTCAATATTCTGAAAAGTTCCGGGCGATTCTGGATGGGGGCGCGCGAGTTTCAGAAGACGAAGGAATCTTTGGGACTAAGTGACACGTCAACATCGGAAGGAAAACAAGAATGCGGGATGGAACCGCACATATCGCGCCCGGGGTATATCACAGAATAGGGTAAGCATCTCGCGATGGGCAGATAGATACCTTACATGCTATTTTTTTTCTTTTTTCTTATTCCATCTGGTCCTGTGTACTATTTTTGGAGCAGGCGCGCGCGCGGCGGGAGTGAATACCTGTCTGTCTGTCTGTCTGTCGCTGTGTATACATGAGTTTCTCAGACGAGTCGGTGAGGTTGAAAGAAGATGTTGAATGTCCAAACTGGTATACACATGCCATTACGCGCGGTGTATCCCATCGTATATTACACGTCAAGCGTACGAGGTTTGTGTCTTTTCCCGACTGGGACAGTCAGAGAAAGCGGGCGTCCTCGTAGTTGGCGCATATTGCTGGTATCTCTGAGTTTGGAAAATTCTGCTTCATCTTTGAGCACCGACTGGGCTTTACTTCGCGAACGAGGAGAGAAGGCAGTCCTTGCGAAAACCGTGCCTGTCTATATCGCCCATGTTCTTGTCTCTCTAGGCCCATCTCCTTAGGAGGATATAATGGCTCGTCATCAATGTGGCCTGTCACACGGTCATCATGTGCTTCTCGAGAGCATGTCTGAGCTCCGGGTACGGTCACGACAAGACACGAGCGACGTATCGTGCCTGGGCGGCGCTTCTACACACAAGTTGCACGCGCAGCGGCTCCATGGGATGAAGGCGGTGCTGTTTACTTGTGAGAAAAATCAAGCGTCTGCTTTCTGGAAAGTCCGTGGGCATGAGCACCTATGAAAGCGAAATGTACAGCCCCTTTACAATCAGCACGAGTATAGAAGCAGAATGTTTATTTGACACGTGGGCATTTCCGAGCACCAGTCCGAGCACTTGTGCCGCTGCCCTGCACGTCTTCCACCTTGGATAAGTGAAGAACTAAGCTATACGGGAGCAGGGACAGACATAGCGGTAATGATTATGGAGCCCTGGACTTGTACCGCAGCACCAATCCTTCTCGAGGGTAACGGTGGCTTGGAATTTCGCTGGTTTACTCCCTGAATAAAACGTCTTCGTTTCTATATACAGGTAGTGCTGGTTTTGGGTTCGTCGTTGTTCGTCGTTGTTTGTTGTCGTTGTCGTTAAATTCGCCATGTTTTTTTTGGTCATGCCTCATCTGAGACCGTGCCCATCCATCTCGCGACCGCCAACAACTTCACACGGTAGATGAGGTGAGCTTCGCAAAGTTTCTGGCGCATTTAGGACAGTATCATGGGCCTCGGGCAAAGACCAGCCGCGCTCGTTAGTCAGGGATTCCTTCATCGTCAGTTTGGCGCACGCGCGTGATGTGGCGCAGCAAGTATCGCTCCCGATCTTAAGGTGTAGATCTGAGGACTGAAGTCGCATTTCATAAACGAATTCACGGCTTGCTCTATTTTCGTTTGTCTGCGTAACCCGGTCTGGGAGTTGCCTTGATGCAGTAGTGACGCGAGGCGTTTTCGAGGACCATAGCGTCAAAGAGAACGTGGCGCTGCCTACTGCACGACGAGAGTTTGTGCTTCGAGTCCGATTCTGATGTCAGGTGATAGGGCGCCCAGACAGACGTTGTCTGGTCTGGTTTATATACACGAATGCTGAGAGAAGCTCGTGAACAGTACAAACCGATGTCCAGGCAGCAGGTTTAAATCATAACAACTAACCAGAAGTTCGTCAGCCAGTCAAACTGCCATGATTTCTGTTTTGATGCTCTGGTTTCTGAATCGACGCAATATATCGAAAGTTGGCTGCATCTTTGAAGAAGGCCAATGCAAAGTGGTGCGAGAACGATCCGTTTCGAATGTGAATGTTGAGCAATCTACCAAATCTTCTCATCTTGTGTGGAAACCAGGCTGATGTGCCAATAGAAATCACTCGATAACCCATGTTTAGCATATCACTAAATGATCAAGCCTCGGGAGCTAAGAGTGAGGCCACGGGCATGCAAAAGGACCTCGTGGCCCAGGAGAGATGCGACTTGACAGAAAGCTCCTGTCGTATTGCTCCATGGCTTAGCTACTTGAGAACCTTTTTCAAGTTCAACCATATTACATTGAAAGAAAGACGAGGTGACAAACCTGGTTGGCCATTTTAAAAAAATTAAAAAAATCCCACTCTTCAATATGCAATGATACATGAGTACGTTGAACTCATTGTCTCCCTCGAAACTCAGACTTTGCCTGTGATTTGAGATTTCTGCGGCGGAGGAACGCTTCTTGTATGATCCTTCTTTCCCCCACTGCTCAAGTCCGTTAACGAAAGGAAATGCAACCATGTCCAGAATAATGTCCATATACCCGGGTTTTACTTCTGATAAAAAGGACAATTTGATACGGCCATATAACTGGGCTGCTCTGTGACGTACATGTAACAATGGGTCAAGATCCTGCAATTTCGTCCAAAGAAGTCAAGTCCTGCGAGGTTGGCCAGAGGTTGGCGTTGGAGAGAATGCTAACATTCAACAGCCGCCCCATTGACTATTGACTGGGGCTCACTCGAGATTGTACTCCTGACAAGCTTCTCAAGTCCACACTCGTCGCTTCTCGATTTCAGAAGATTATCCTGTATGCGTTCATCTTAGCAAGTGACGCGTTGTTGCAACCCCAGGAGAAACTGTGACGCATGCCCGCCTTTACCATGACCAAGTTGGCCGCCTACACCAAATACCCAGCACGGTCAAGAAGCAGCATCAACAATACTCATTCGTGGGACCGCAATGCACCTACACACTCGCAGACACGTAAATCAGATCCACAAGCAATGGGTGTTTCCAAAGCCACGTTACAGGTATGCGGTCGTCCAGTAAAGGTGTGTCGAACGGCGTAATCCGCCCCAGTTCCACGCAGCTCGAGCATACCATGAATCAATGACAGTCCTCGAAGCAGGACTGGCTCGAAAGGCGCGGAGTACGTAGGATCTGGCCAACTCCAAGTTTGCGGGATACACAATTTCGTGACGGAGCGCTGCTGTGTGACTTGGGACAAAAGACAAAGCGGCGTGGCAGATTCCGTTTCCGTGCTGTTTGTGTACAAACCCCAGAATATGCAAGGACGAGTCACAGCCTCTTTTTCACATGCCATACTTTCCTCGAAACGCTTGCTCTGGCTGGCAACGGTCGCGGGCGCACAGGATTCTCTTGTGAACACCCCATCTCCTATACACCAAGACCACGTGAGCGGCCTTTGAATCAGCTTGTGAGATTATGGCCGGTCTAGTGGTCATGGCTGTTTTTGCCTTTCATGCAGCATTGTTGCCCGTGGTTCATCGTACGGCCGATGGATCAACTCCCCATATCTCTAGAAGCATACGACACAAACACAGATGCACTGCCGCAACCACACTGCGGTTGAAAGGCCTCCTTCCGATGTTATCAAACGACTCGGTGGCTGAGGGATGGATTTCCGACTATGCGTCAACTCTTGTGTATTCCACAACTGGCCCAAATATCATGTACGTCAACTCTGAACAGAGCTGCATGGCAGCAGAGGTCATTCGCGAGTGTGGAATGGGGAAAGAGGAGGGTGAAGTCGCTATAGCATCTCGAGCTATTGGCATGACCCGGGAAGGCCATGCAGTCTTGTATGACATGACAACAAGGCAAGGCCTAGGCAAGTGGGTGCAAGTCTGTGCAGTCCGCGTCGGCCTTGACGATGATTGCAAAGAGTACCGTTCGCACAGATAGACATGGACGTGATGGGATCAGGCGTGAGGGCCTCGTGGAAGGAGCAATCAAGGCGAGGAGGGTGGTCAAGTTTTCTCGCATACTGCAAATCAAGAGAGGATACTATTTAGCAGATTGGTCAAGGTTTGTTTTGTTTTTTGTCATTGTATTCGCCTATCATTTTACAACCAGGCAGCTGAGCACTGCCAATGTAAATGCATTTCGATCATAAAAAAGAGAGGGGACTCTCTTTCCCAATTCATGTTCTTGTTTTTTGATGACTCCCAGAAGAGGCTTTCCCAACCCATGACCGAATATCGCCGTCGAGCCAGAAGTAAAGGAAAACCCACGACCAGATCAAGGAAAGGCGGAAACAAAGACAAGAGGGGGGGCCTTGCGGGCCGTGCCGTCGCCGCGGCCGTAGCACCGCTTTTTGGGTGAACCACCCCCCCATCGATCCGTCATCGTTAAGCTTTTTGCATTTCCCTTCGCTTTGCACAGCACCAAAACCCCCAGATTTCCCCACAAACAAAAAGACGCCAGGCGGGTGTTGTTCTTGTTGTCGTTGACGATGTCGTGCCGACCGTTTTTAACGGTAAGACTTCTGGAATCTGGAGCGGGCACCCTTACCACCGAACTTCTTGGGCTCGCATCTGCGGTTGTCGGCGACGAGGAGGGTGCGGTCGTATTGTGTGAGGGCCTGCTTGAGCAGGTTCTTGCTGTGCTCGTCGACGAACTTCTGGTAGTAGGCGATCAGGGCCTTGGAGAGGGCCTGGCGGACAGCGTAGACCTGCGAGGTGTGGCCACCACCGGACACCCGGATCCGGATGTCGACCTGGGCGAACTTGTCAAGACCAACGATGAGGACGGGCTCGTAGACCTAGAGACGCGTACGCGGCGTGTTAGTCGCTTGTGCCTGTGCAGCATCGTAGGAAGACATCCAACAGCTATGCAGCCATGTCCATGCCTTAATATGCTCCTTCCGCAGTTGCAACGATTCTCGCAGAGCTTCCGTGCGTTTGAGGTGATTGCATAAGGCTGGCCTGGTCTGGCTGCATAGTGTGTTGAGATGGAGAGGATGCCGTGTGTTCGTAGTATCGTACCTTAAAGCGGAGGACCTCAGGCTGGAGGAGGTTGAGAGGACGGCCGTTGACCTTGATGAGGCCGGAACCCGCCTATTTCGGAGAGTCGAAGTCAGTCAAAGAGTTCGCGCTCCAAAGCCGTCCACGCGAGCGCCGATTTTGTACGCCATCCCTCGTCTCAACAATCACAGAAGAGCTTGCGCGATCGAAATCCGTATGTTGTCGCAACAATCGCCTCCGTGGCATCACTGCAGCTTCTCGATGTTGTTGTTGTGGGAGCGGTTGTGGACGAGGGATGATGTCGTGGCGGCGGGCGAGGATGGCGGCAGCGGCAATGGCAGCAATCGTACCTTGCAGTGGGCGACGGCGGTGGCCGTCTTCTTCTTGCCGAAGCACTGGACGCTCTGAGTCGACATGATTGCGGTGGTTGTCGTGTTGGAAATCTGGCTGGGTGAGGATATTCGCAATCCAAGGGCCGTCGGTTTAGCAACTTTCTGTCCAGGTCGTGAGGGTTGGCACAGGATGGGTCGGGGCCAGGGCTGGCACTGAATTTTTCGCGTGCCGGCAAGAAAAGGGTTTGTGCCCTTCGAAAACACCAGGCACGGATTGGCCGCCGTGGTTGTGCATCGGGCCTATGTGGGTCTGCCGATAAGATAGATGGGTTCTGCTCCGAAGATGACCCGGATCAGGGAGGTGTGCTTAGCTAAGCCCAAGATTGTGCTCATGGCACGTCACTCTCAAGCGGACCCGTGCTCCGTCTGCCGAACCCCACTTCTGGCTCCGGGCGTTGCCCCATCTCGCGGGGCACGTCGCCGGTCAACAGGCACCGACCGGCCCGATGGTGGTGATGTCGTTATCGCAGCACTGCAAGCCCTTCGGACAACAGACCAAGCCCTGCAACGACGAATAAGCATAATTGGCCCGCATTCTGCAGACATGTCACGCAAGGGCGTCGGCCTCGCGGCCTTTGACCGGTCCCGCCTCACCTCCGCGCAGTTCGCCTCCCACGGCAGCTCTCTGCGAACCTCGAACGCGCAGGCTCTCGAGACCCAGCTCGAGGTGTTCCGCTCCCTGCTGCAACAGTTTGCACAAACCCACGCCAAGGACATTCGCTCGAATCCGTCCTTCCGCGCGCAGTTCGCGCACATGTGCGCCGCGATCGGCATCGATCCGCTCGCCTGGAGCAGCAGCAACGGCAGCGGCGCGGCCGGAGGCGGTGGTGGCGGCAGTGGCAACAGCGGGCGCTTCTGGACACAGCTGCTCGGCAGGACGGTCAATGATTTCTACTTTGAGCTCGCGGTTCGTGTCGTCGAGGTGTGCAGCGCCACGAGGGCCGAGAACGGCGGACTTATCGGTGTCAAGGAGCTCCGGGACCGGCTCATGCGTGGCCGAATGGAGGGCAGCCCTGAGATCACAGAGTATGTTTTGCTGCTTGTTGTTCCGTTGTTTGCTTTGTCCTTGTTCTTCTTTGTCTCCTTGTTTCTCCCCTCCTGCCTAGCATCAGCAAAGAAAGCTAACCATCTCTCCCCCAACAAAAGCGACGACGTCCTGCGTGCAGTAGCGACCCTCAAACCCCTGGGCTCGAGCTTTTCGGTCATAAAAGTCGGCAACAAGTCGTATATCCGCTCAGTACCCAAGGAGCTCAACACGGACCAGAGCGCCGTGCTCGAGGCCGCACAGATCCTCGGTTACGTCAGCGTCTCCATGCTCATGGTCAACTTGCGTTGGACGCGCGCCCGCGCTCAGACCGCGGTTGAGGACCTCGTTGGAGAGGGCATGCTCTGGGTCGACAAGCAGGCTGCCGAGTGGGAGTACTGGAGCCCGAGCTTCATATGATCCTGGGCACTTCGTTTGTCTTTAGTCATCGACTCACTCCTTTCAAGTTTCATTTGCATAGCATGCGATTCAGCCCGGCGTTTTGGTAAATATTACTTTTCGTATTGGTTTTCAGTAAGGAAATTAGAGATGGTGCATCCCGTCTGTGCGTGTGCACCATGATGCTGCAGAGTGTGTGTACCTGAGAGACCGTATATATGTGCCGCCAGAGCCAAGGGGTATATATCTAGTCCATCCATCCATCCGAAATCAACCCGCTGGGCAATATATGCTGATTACTGTTGAAGAAGAAGAAGATCGAAAGAAGAAAATGCTGATGAGGGGACCGACTAGTGTTGATGACGCCCACTGAGGGGCTAGATTGTTGTTTGAAGTGGCTTCTGGCGTTGTGTGAGGTGATTATGTATTGCAGGCGAATGCCCCTCTCTGATGAGCCACACCTTGCATTCTTCTAAGGGTTATGTCGAACGGTCAGCCCGTCTTGACACGCTGTGCCGCGGTCTGGAACCTCATTTGGTCCGCCTCTTCTTCCACGCTTTCCTCGGTATCGTGAGACGAGACCTTGGTGTTGCTTCCGCTGTCGCTGCTGATGGTGCTGCCTTCGCGATCCTTCAGACGGCTTGTCAAGGCGTTGATCTTTCCTCTGAGGAAACCGCCTCCAGCAGACTTGCGCCTATGCTTGCCTATCTCGTCTTCAAAGGCCACACCACGTGGTGCGCGTTTTGTGTCTGGCGTTGTAGGCCTCGCCCGAAGATCACCGCTGCTCGTCTTGGGGCGTTGCCTGTCTAGATCTGGCGCGGAGGGAGTGGACCCAGCAGTCCGACCCGATGGACTCGGTGGGGTCATGGTCAGCCATGAAGGGGCCAAACCCCGAATTGTGGCATCATTGCCTGCACCGTGCTTCCCACGATTTCGCGACTGCGAGGATGCAAGGCTCGAGCTGCGGCTGTTGGATCGTTGTGGCACCTGGATACTGCTCTGCGAGCCAGCAATGCTGCGCGGGGGGGATCTGGAGTAGTCAACCTGAGACCCACCAAAGAGGCTTGATGAGTCGTCACTGTTGTAGTTACTGCCCGACATGGCTGGCGTGGAGAGCAAGACGCTGCTGGTAGCTAATTCGCGAAGCTTGTTCTGCTGCGCCGTGTTCGGCCGGTGCTTGCTGAACTTGTTGCCAATGATTGCACCCGCGTGCGACACGAGGGCTTTGGCGACGTGTCCCTTCATTGCCATTGCTAGCTCAAAGGTGGACATTGTCTTGTTGTGATACTCAATCATTGGCAACCGGAAAACCAGATCGTGCACGTCCTCAATATTGCGCTCGCCCTTGCCTTTGTAGCTTAGGCAGAGCACAACGGAAGCAAGTCTTATGCCAGCGAAAACCACATAAGTGTTGGCACGCCGCATCATTGTTGTCAGATCGTCCGTCGGCCCCTGGTCTTCAGGTGCCTCTGGTTTGCCGAGGCGCACGAAGCGCGACGCAGACTTTTTGCTGTCGTTATTGGCAGTAGTTGCGGTAGTGCTGCCAGTAGGCGACCTTCGGATACCGCCTCGTACCACGCTAGCAGCACGCAGAGACTCGTGGGAGGGTTTCTTGCTCGCCGTTTTCGAGCCGAAAAGGCGGAAGTGATGTCCGTCGCTAGTCTGCAGCCGCATTGCCTTTGGTCTGTTCGGTGTGCTCTCTGGGGTCTCTGAATTCAAGGTTGGCCTTAGGCGCAGCTCCAATGACCCAGCTCGGGTGGCAAATGCTGGCTCCATCTCCGAAGATGCTGTATTGAGTCTTGTCGACCCTGAAAGAGACGCTGTATCACCTTCACCCGTATTGTCATCCCCCGACCAGTTCTGCGTGCCGTCCTGGTCGGTCGTGTCAGGTGTGGAACGGCTCTCATCGGGGAAAATGTACTCAAAAAGCTGGACGCCAAGATCACGCTCCATCTGGATCTTCATAGGGAACAAGTCAACCTCGAACTGGTCCATGACGGGAATGCCTGCCACAGATTCAAGCATCTGCCAGTACACGCTTATCATCTTGCGCTTCTGCAGGTTGCCCGCAGCCGCTTCGTTCTCAAAGAACGGCGCAACCATCTCCGGGTAGATCGCCTCTGGCAGTAGATTAAATCCAAGGACTCGTCCAACCTGCAACAAGTTTTTGTGTGAAGCATCGGCATAGTCCGTCCGGTCATAATGAGTATCTCGCAGCTGCATCTCGACAAGCGGCTGGTTTGTGTCGCGAATGAGCTGCCAGACAATCTCTCGCGCGCGGAGCGACCATCTCAGCAGCGCAGTGTCATCCTCAGACTGATCGTACTTCCGCTGTGATCGTGTGATGGCCTTCATCATGAAGAAGAGTTCGTCCTCGCAGGCAGCCAAGTCGCGCTCCAGGTTCAAGCGGTCCTCCCAACCCCTCTCATCAAGATGCCTGGAGTGGACCTGGAACCTTGACTTGATTTCTTCGAGGGTTCGGATCCGTTCCTGCATTTTGATAACCATCTCAGGCGTACCACGAAGATCGGTAAAGTCGGACGCAAGCATGATCTTCTCCAACCGTTCCGACCTTGACTTTTCTAGTGGTTCGCTGTACATGAGCAGGTCGAGCACCATGATGTACAGCGCAAAATATTGCGAGGAATTACAGAGCGCACGGATCTGGGGAAACACAACAGACAGGTTGTCCATGCGAGACTCCATGTTTTCCAAAGTAGATGCGATCGTGCCCTCCGTGTTGACTTCGTCAGTGTACTTGAGGCGGAGATTGTTGTACTTGTCATATCTCAGAAGAGCGGACGTCTTCTGCACAACTCTCTTGAAGCCGAAAGGATCTGCCTTGAAGTCATACATGACTTCCATCGGAACCCAGGGCGGCCATGAAGCTCCAGAAGCAGTCCCATACCTGTTGGCCGAGTACATGCCGAGCAATGGCTCTGTGAACCACTTCTGGTGGGTCACAAAGAATTGCGCAGAGTCCATAGTCAGGAGGAAGCGACGTTGAACGAGACCACTGACGTTGTCAGATAGTCTCGCCTTCTCCATGACTTCGACGATCTTCAGCTCCATTCCTTTTCCGGTGATGAGAACGGCGTGCTTCTTGTTTTTGTCACTCTGGAGCTGAATCTGTGGTGCGATCAAGCGGACGTGGTAGCTGCTCTGAGGTGCAAATTCGTCGGCAAGGCCACCAACAAGATCTGTCATGCCAGAGTCATCCTCGTCAATATTGCCACAGCCAGCTTCGACAAACTTGCGCCCATCTTGCAGGACCTGCCGCATCATGGCTTCGATGTCTTCCTGCGAGGCCTCTGGCTGCAGCGTGCTGGCATTGCTCGGATCTGTTCCTGTCTTGGACTTCGCATTCTGCTTCGCCTTGGCCTGGTCCTCAACGATATCCAGGATGAATTTGACAGCGGGCCGGGACATGTAGTAGACGAAGCCACGACGCTGGCTGACTTGGTGGCTGTAACGCAGGATGATGTTGCGAAGAAGGTTGTTCCACTTCAGCTGCATGTTGTGAACAACGAATCTGTTCTTGAAGTCGCTGGCGAACTCCGCTCCTGAGGGAACCGGCATCGGGCCATCGCCTGTATCAATCCAGTGGTCGGACTTCTTGCTTGGGCTGGATCCAGAATCTTCCGCGGACTCATCCGCCTCTGTCTGCGCGGCTGAAACAGGGCGCTGCATCTTCTTGAGCATATTCTTCATGAATGCCTGTTTATCACGAAGCAGATGCGAGAACCTGGTGAGGTTTTCATAATCTGTCCTGAAGCTGGGTGTGTTCCCGTCGTCTCGGATCATGCGCAATTCCGCTTCGCCGACCTGCCGGACGTTGTTTTGCATTTGCTCGTCAATTTCAGCAAGCCGTGCCCGAATGAGATCAGCCTGTACTCTGCGCGGGTCGTCGTCCTGGCTCATGATACAAAAGTGCGTCGGCTCATTGCCAAAAGGACTAGTACGCCCGGGGTCGCCATCAATGATGCCGCCAATGTCTGTTTGACGGAAATAAGTAACACGAGGCGCAAATGCTAGAGGTAAAATCTGAGTCTTGGGGTTGACCTCTGTAGGCAAGATCCAGTCCAACTCAACAAAGTCGTCCATATCAATCCAGCTGAAGTCGTTATCAGGAATGGTGAAGTTCGACAGGTCAACAATGTCTTCGTTTCCTTGTAGGACTAGTGCAGACGGCTGAGTAGTCTTCAATGCTTCGGCGGAGGTACCCTTGAGCACGGACGAGACAGCACGCACGTCAGTTGACACAAGATCCAGCTGCGCAGCGTGGATCTTCATGCCTGTAGTGCGGGCCTTCGTCTTGCGTCCATTGTCTCGTGTGTTGAATTCTTCTCGGCGCTGGTGGATATCCAGCATGAAGCTGTCAAAGCGAACTTTAATGCCAGTGGCAGAAACGGAGTTGTCGGCATAATCCTCGGCATCCTTGTGCTTGTAAATATGGCTCAGGAAGAGAGGTGCAAGAAGGATGTTGTATTTGATTGTCGCCAGGTGTCTTCCAAACTTTTTGCTCTTCTGATCCCGGTCAGGCCACAGAGACCCTTGCCGGATAGGGAGCGACATTGGGCCGCCAAAGAGTGACCACCAGGCAAAGAAGTGCGTGAAGAATCTGGGCGTCAGATGGATCGAGTTGTAGCTCTTGGACATCAACTGAGCATCAGCCGATGTCCAGTCGCGGTCTGATGGTGCCTTGATTGCCACAGACAAGTGTATATGCTGGCTCCGGAAGCCACGATAGGCGTCATGAGGCTGGAAATTGCCGTCGCCAGCCTTCACCTGCTCAGCACGAACCTGCTGCGGCGACTTGAGTATAACGTCGTAGTGGGGTTTAAACACGAAACTAGTCGCGCCTCGGTGCTTGTTGCCGTGTACATCGGGGTCGATGGCGCGTTCGAAGACAAGGCCAGCCATCCATTGCACGTTGCCCGAGAGCTTCATGACCACCTTTTTGAATGCGGCCCCCGTCCGATGGTGGGTATCGTTCACAACACTCTCGTTGTCATCATTGCGCCGTTCGGCTTCTCTGACCTGTTGGCTGTAGTCAGGAATAGCGAGCACGTACTCCCCACCATCGACCAGCATGAACTTCTTCGCGTCATTTTCGGTGTTGATATTCCACCTGACATCTTTCCGCCAGCACATCAGGAAACCTGCTCCATTGCCAGTGATGAAATAGGGATCCCTGGATCCCTTCAGGGCGAAGTGCACATCGCCATGCTCCTTCCAGGCGACTCGCACACGAGAATGGAAGTTCAGCCTGATCTTATCCCAGAAGCCAACACGTTCCGATGGATCGAACTGTGGCTTTGTGAAGGATTCAATAGCCATCATCATGTCCTGGATGGCTGGCTGGTAGGAAGGACCCCATGTGATCCTGGTGGGGTTTGCCGTGTTGATGTCAATCCGCATATCTGAGAACGACTTGACAGGTCCGATTGTCCTACGAACATCGATAGCAAATCCCTCGCTCCAGTCGCCATTGGGTTTTTGCATCGGTGGTGTAATCTGGACCGTGACAGATCGAGCCAGGACGTCTGTCCGATACTCTTCCGCAATGACGAAGTCAGTGCTGAGCGACAAGGCAGGTAACTTCGAAGATTGTCCATTCTTGAGTGCTGGCACGTGTATCAGAGGCAAGGGGTAGTCACGAAGGCTGAGCCTGGCCTCGCTCAACGTGAGGTTGATGTGCATTGGCACGAGGAGGGAGTACTCCATGTCCTTGGGCATACCCTTGCCAACATCATAAAGAAAGTCAGGCAGTTTTGAGGCCGGGAAAGAGGGTTTGTCAATCATCAGGTGGAGATCAGTGATGACGGCGCCGGCAAGGGCCGGTCGAGGTGGAACGTCCAGAATCTTCTCTGTCTCTTCTTGATCGCCTGAGCTTGGTTCGCTGCCAAGGAAAAGACTGCGGATTTCTTCCATGCCACTGCTGGCGAGTGCATAGTGTCGTTGGATACGATGCTTCCAGCTCTCGGCATTTCTGATGTGCAGTTTCGTCCGAGCCTCCTGCATCGTGACACGACTGATGCCGCTCATGGTCTGAACACCATCGGGATCGTAGCGAGGTGCTTTGGACTTGAAACCCACACTTCGCGACCTGGCCTTCAAAGGAGCAGGCAGTGTGTCGTCAGCACTATGACTGCGCTGTCCTGAGCCGTTGGCGACCATGGTCCGGCCCCGAGGCTTGACTGATCGGTTGCGCAGGCGACTGGATTCTTTCCTGAGCTCCTCCTCGTGAATCGCCTGGACCTTGAGTCGATGGGCCTCTTCCCGCGCTAGTCGCTGTCGTTGTTCTATGCGGCCAGCACGATAAATCATGCCGAGCTTGAATTCAAAGGCGCCGTCCTCGATCTCGAAGAGCAGCTTACGCACCCTCAAGGAGACCTTTGGTACATTTTTAGCTTCCTCTGGGCCCTTATTCAGAATGTACTCGTTCGTGCCTGTCTTGAAGCGATGATGCAGTTGCCGCACAGACTTCATCACATTCACGACATTGTTGGAGATCTTGTTAATGATCAGTTCGTGCGGAACAGACAAGCGCATTGCGTCCGTCACGATGTCGAACATCTTGTCATCGACCACTGCCCCAGAGTGCATTTTCTTGCGCGACTCTCTGTAATCGAACCGAATCGTCCTGATGCTCGCGACTCTCGCCCACGAGCCTGGCATGCGCGGTGCATCAGCAAACAGTCGGACATGCTTGGCATAGAAGAATGGCGGTGACCATCTGTGACGCCCTGCTTCGATCTCATGAAATCTTAGCATCAAGGGTGGGTCAGATGGCATGTTCGCCTTGATCTGGACCATTGCGGCCTTGAAATCGACCGCGATCAATTCTCTGACACCTTGTGACCAAGGCTTCTTCATGTCACCGGTCACGGGAGATTCCGCGGAGACCTCGGGCGGGGCTAGCGTGCTGCTGGATGATGGGGTTGCAGAATCAGGGGACTTATCATTCTTGCCTGCTCGCTTTGTCCTCATGAAGGCCTTCCGCAGCTCAAGCACTGCGATGCCAACGGAATAGTGTCTGAACAACGAATATTGAAGATGCAGGGTCCGAAGGTACGAGTGGACATGGAGGATCGGGCTATGCGCATCGCTGAGGGTGGACAAAGCCACCTCGAACCGTGGTAGGCGAATGAAAGGGTCAAGCTCGAACTTGTCCTCAGCCTCGATGATGAAGCCTTCGAGACCCCTGACGTGGATCGCAACTCTGCGGCCGTCGCCCTGAGCTTGATGTTTCCGTGGCGAAGGCGGCACAGATACCGCGGCCAAGAGGTCTGGATCGGGCAGCAGGACTCTACTTGGGGCTCGCCTCCTCGAACCAGGACGGTGTTTGGTGGCGTCCATCTTTTGGGCTCGGTACTCAGCTGACCAAGAATCGACCTGGATCGCAACACCCCGAGTGTGACTCGGGAAATCTTCATCAATGCCTGCAACCTCGGCACTGAAGTCGTCGATTTGTAGCGTGAAGTGAAGAAGCCACGATGGCAAGGCACGTAGGATGTTGCGAGGGTGCTGCGACATTGACGAATGGCGCTTATCTGGCTGCACGTTGAGACGAAGCTGTCGGATGATCTGGCGAATGCCATTGCCGATCTCATCTCGTGTCATTCGAATCGCAAAAGTCTGCAGGTGGCCACTTCCAACGACGTGCAGTTCCGGATTGGCCGATATTTGAAATTTGAGGTCGAAGGATTCCGTCTCCACCAAATCATAGCGCTCACCCTGCGTTGTTTGATAGTACAGCCGATGCGTTTGCACACGCATCGAAGACACGAGAGAGTAGTTGAGATCATCTGCCGTGGGGTGAAAAGATTCGAGATCAAGCGAGATGGACGAGATTGTCGAGTTGATGAGGTCATAATCGTCTGGGTCGTCCGTCTTCGTCACTGGCGGCAAGGCAATCCTGATGACAGGCTCGTGCATTGTGAACTTGATATTAGCCTTTGGCAATAGACGAGATATCAGAGCGTGTTTCCTTGCTGTCTGTCCTGTTGCTCTTTTGGGCTTTGGCCTGAGCATGGCCAGAAGAATGGGGAGATGCTTGGGCTGTAGATCCACCGACGGCGAAGTCACAACGGAGTTTGCAAAGAGGATGTTGGCGTTGCGCTGCTCAACGGTGCCCTCCTCAGCGAGCTCCATCGTCTTGGATGGTAATGTCGTCTTCAAAGTCGTGGTAGCCATAGGTACGTAGACGATCTTTTCCGGAGTGCCGCTGCCATCATCTAGGCCAACTGAAATCGAGAGTGCGACCGCTTGCGCTTCGTGGGCAATATCATTACTTGAAAAGTACATGCGATGCGCTGGCGATTTCGGATCCAAGCGATGCAAGTCAATCCCCACCTCTTTCATCGACACATTCAGCAGCAACGGACTTCCCGTTGCCCGGATAGTCTCCACCCTCTTGCCGAGGCTGACAAAACTCACAGCGAACTGAACCTCCTTGATGCCACGTAGAATAGAGCTGATGAATTCTCTGGAATCCGATACGGCCATCAAAAGATCCTGGTCACTGTCTTCAGGCAGGAGCGAATCTCTCCCAAGCTTCAACACTGGTATCGATTCAGCGTCCGTGTAGCTGCTGGCGACAGAAGCCTTGATCCGGCGATAGCGGCTGGCACAGAGCAGCACGTCGTCATAAGGAATGTGAACTCGGCCGAGCTTCAGTGCGATCGCGGCATCGCGCAAGCCGTCGAGCTGCTCGTAGAGGAAGCCATGGACGTTGAGTGTTGCAGCATCCAGCACTTCGACAGACTCGCCTCCGTTTGCTGTGAAGAGCACGCTGCGCAGCGTCATGATCCATTCCGCTGACGTCGTTGAGCGGTTCTTGTCCGCGGCACCCTGGAAGAAGAAGCGTGCCCTGTCAACCAAGCGGTGGCGCGTGTCGAGCGCCACGGTAAAGTTGCCGACCTGCACCTTGCCCACGCCAACGACAGAGATGGTGCTGTCTGTCGCAACCACATCGACCAGGCGCAGCCAGCGTACACTCCGGTGCAACCTCTTGACCCTGTCCTTCAACCTCGCGAGTTTCTTCCAAATCTGACTGCGCTGTGGACCTGCGATGGACTGTTTGCGAGTCCTGAGATTGGCGGACGGTGTTGCTGGGTCGTCGGGCTCCTTTGCCGGTGTCTGGCTCTTGGTGGCCTCGAGTTCTTTGGGGTCGACCGTTACCGTGAGCTCCTTGAGCACGATGCTCATCCATGTCGGCTGCGAGAACGTGGGCCGGTGGAGGTTGAGGCCGAGCCCCCTGATGTCGACCTTTGTACCATCTCTGGGCGTGTAGGCGAGACGTCGTAGTGAGAAGTAGCCGATGCGCTGGATAGAGATACCCGTAAGGATGCGGACGATGGCGAAGACGACGAATGAGGAGAGGTATAGCAGGAGGACGATGCCGAGAATGAATGTTGGATTAAGCAGCGCCATGATGGGGGCGCGTTATCGACGGCTGTGCGAGGAAGACAAAACAGTCAGCAAGAAGATCGCAGTTGAGGCTCGCATAATTGCAGTCGTCACTCGATTTGCGACTTCGGGAAGATATACAGGCCAGAAGGGGGGAGGGGGGTTTCTAGGGCTCATGAAGGAGAGATGATTCGCATACCGCGTGTCGTCCATGACCCTTGATCGTCGAGAGATACCGGCAGATGGGTAGAAAATGTGCTCGAAGATGGTTGAGTCACCAGGCCCCGCGAAGACTGCCGTCGTGGTCACCACAGTTTGTCCGGAGCTGGAACGCGGCAATACTGCCGGAGTGGATGGCGGAGGCGACACCACGCGAGCGGCTTTTGGGCAGTCACTGGTGCCGGAAACTTGTGCAGAGACAGCACTGGAGCCCCAAAGCGACACAGGAGCGTTGATGTCTCGGGTGGTGGCAGGACCGTCGGAATGCTGGGCCTCTGTCGTGTGTGTCTTGTCTCCTGTTGCGCGGGATGGTTGTTTGCGGCTCGTGGCCAGTAGTACCAAGTAAACCCTGGCCCGGCGCGGAGAGCCCCCCCCCCCCCAACAAGAGCCGCGAGGCGCACAGTAGCGGCTCTCCTGGGTCAGCACAGCACATGGGCACGCACGCACGCCGCACGCCGCACGTCACTGCTGCAGCTTCCGCGAACAATGATCGACGCCAGAGCCGGGGTGGTGGGCTCTACTAGCATCCCTTAGGGTATTTCGTGAGTTGCGCGGACGCGTTTTCAAGTCCTCTCAAGCTTTGGTAAAGGGGCGACAGGACCACCAAGCTCACATAAGCTCAGCTTCTTCTTTGTCAGGAGCTGAGCATGATTGATTCCTCCGGTGGATGTGTCAAGTCGGGCGCTTTGAAGAACTCGCCATCAAGCAGGACCTCGGGACAGTCCGTCTCCAACCTGCTTCGCTCACCATGCCTCCACTACGGGAGACTGGCATGCTGAGGATGCTGACAGCTTCCCCCCACTTCCCCGTCCGGCGCACTATGTGTGCTCTCTACGCTCTTCACTAGCTCTAGTACGGCTGGCTGTGCGTCCCAAGTATGCTGCAGTATACTAGCTAGGGCTTATGGTTTGTCGCTGGGACCATCGGCAGCATCTGCTCACCTATTTGTACCTTGCCTACGACTACATCTACGGAGTACCAGTGCTCTCTTCGTCACTCATCTGGTGCAACACGTCTTGAGTCTCCACGCCTCATTTGGGCAACCCCCACTTTCCCAAATTCTGGTGGAGCTGGGTTGGGCTGCTCCCATGCCATTATGACGCCAGCGACAACCATCACAATTGCAACTTCCCCATCTGGTCTCTCCTTGCCATACTCACCTCAGCACAAAGCCACCAGATGACGGGATGCCTCGTGTTCACAAGTCAAGACATGTCCTTCTCTTAGCCTAATGATCAGGTGCAAGATGTGATGATTCCAGCGCTCATCGCAATGCTGGTGCAGTTGTCCTGTATTTGTATGACGGTGGTGCATCGAAGAGACGCCTCTGAATTGGATGCAATGGCCGTGAGGGTATCCGCTGTGCTCTAAATACAGATATGGTGTATACCAAACGCCGTGACCTGAAACTGCCGGGGGCAACAAAGACTTTGAACGAAATGGAGTGAGAAAGGAAAGGAGGAGGAATTAAGAGATTGGATTGGTTTTGAAGCGCTCCTAGTGTCTGGCTAGAGCTTGGAACGCACAGCCTCAAGGCGCCACTTAACGTCTTTCAAGGGTTTCGTCGACGGCTCCCATGCATCGAACTGTTTGAGGAGCTCTGCCGTTTCCTGCGAAAGCTCAGTCTTGACAAAATCTTCCTCCAAGAGACCGCGCATGATCCACGGCAAGAGGTATGGGTTGGGCTGTTTGCTGACAGGAAGTCGCTTTTCAAAGTGGCACGGTGTCTTTGCTACGCTTGAAGTCTCCAGGGCATGAACAACAGCCAGGCTAGTTATAATGGTCAGAATATGCAAGGTCACCCAGTCCTTGATGTTCAAAGCGGTCAGGGGACTTACTCATATATCTGTTGTTCATCGTAGAGCCGCGAATGGCCTTCGCCTGAGTATAGGCTGCCAGCCAGGGGGACAGAAAGCTCGCGGATGAGGCCGTGATCCGAAATGCCTAAGTTCCGGAGTTTGAGGGCGAAGCCGATGAGGTGCGCAATAAAGTCTGAGGCATGGACTTGGCTGTTGATAAATACGGCTCGAAAAATGTAAGGATGCGCTGCTGGGGAGTAAACAGCCGAGTCCAGAGGCACAAGCTGGTCGTCTATGCTTCCAACAAAGGTTACTCTTGCACCGAAATCCAAAACCACCTGTAGGGCTTGCTCCAGCCGTTTCGATATCTCGCTCTCTGCGTCGCCAAACTCCCACAACTCTGCTGCGGAGCCCATGAGCATTCCCACGCCGGCTTTATAGTCGGCAAAGGGGCCGAGACAGACACCAGCCATGGCGCAAATCCCGATTTTGGCACTAGTCACGATGCCAAGTTCAATGAGCTTGGCTATCAGCATGAGGCCTACCGGAACGCCTTGTGAGTGGCAGGCCAGGATGATGAGGTCGGCTTGTCGAATGTGCTCGATCCAATTGAGCAGCAGCTTCCATAGGTTGTCCACACGCTCGCTGATTTTCCCGTCGCCCTCGAGGGCAATCTTTTCAATTTCGCAATCAGGGCTCCCGTTGGCATCGGCCCACTTCCGGATTGCATCTGCACCGTGATTCATGAACCTAATGGACGTCCCTGTGGGCTGCCCGATCATGGGCCGGAGATAGGACGCCGGGAACCACCCATGAACACCGATAGCAATCGCCTTCTTGACCTTAGGAGGTTCCTTGGTCAGATAAACATGTTTCGCGGGGGGCTGCTGAGTCCTCAACAGGAATTGTGCAATCTGCTTGATCACGGATGGATTGTCCTTCAGGCGGTATGTCTGGTTGAAAGAAGGGATGACAAGGTTGGCGGGTGGGATTTTATGTGGCGTCAGCGGTCTTTGTGTTGTCGTCACAGGTGTCGCCGATGTCGTAGCAGGCTTCACCAGTGTTGACTCAGATGGCGATGACCCTCCTCGTATAGTTGCTGTCTCGTCCAGGTCCAACGAATCAGGGCGCAGTCTCTTGGATTTCTTGGAGCCCAAGACTTTCGTTATGGACGACGTCTTCGCAAGCTGGCCCTTTGCCTCAGGAGCAGTGGGTATAGGTTCGCCCAGCTGTGCACTGTCCGCCTTTTGCGGATTCGTTTCGGACCCGTCTCCAATCACGGCGATTTCACCCTGGTCTTTATCAGCACCGCCGCGATTTTTCTCTTCTTTCCCTGCATCCCGAGACCAAAACGCCCACGTGGATCCAGCGGAAGGTTGTCGCGCTGTCGGTGCCGTCGGTGCTGTCGTTGCTGTGGAAGCTGTCGAGGGGGCTTTTGAGGATGCCTCCCGTTCTAGTGGTGCGGCTTGAGTGTCTGCTGGCTCCTCACTGGTGTTTCCTTTGTCATCAGTGGATGGAGTAGCGGCTGAAGATCCCCAAAAGTTGAACCACGAGGCGGCGCTTTGCGCCGAAGGCTCTGCGGCCCGAGGCGCTTCCTCTGTTGATTCCTGGACTCCCTTCGGGTCCTCCCTGCCGCTATGCACTGCCTTGGCTACTGTCTGCTCGACATTCTCCGGCTGCTCTCTCTGAGCAGGCATTGTGGGCTCTGCAGCAGATAAAGTATCTCGCACAGGAGCCCTTGTCAGCCAGCTGAGCCAACTAGTAGAAGTTGAAGATGGCTGCTCCTGAGCGGAATCTTCTGTCCCGCTGTTCGCCGGTGTGGCTGTGGCAGTCGTTGCGACTATCGCTTCTGCCGCTTGCTGTTCAGCTCGTGATTCAGATCGTTGTTCTGATTGAGTTATGTCGCTTGGGACTTCTGCGATACCCAGCTTCGCGACGTCACCGTCCACAGGTTTTCGTCCTGTCTGCGCCAGGTCTTCCGAGCTCGCTGTCGTGGTGCGCTTGGTGCTGAATCGAGTCAAGTCTGCCGCATGGCCGGCACGAAGAGTGTTTGTGATCGCGACCTCGCGGGCTAGCTGTGTCGAGGCTTCCGGCTTGGGCATTCGCGGCCACGTGCCGTACCAGCTTCGGGTTTTACGGATCGTCTACAGCGACAGCCTGTGAGCATGCCGGCCAGACGACGTCATTTGTACTGTTTACTCACCTTCGATGCAGCAGGTGTCGCAGAATCTCCCACGCCAGGCGTTATGGCCGAGACATTCGTTGAGCCTCGTCGTGTCGACGGCATGGAGGGGCCAGAGCTCGAGGTGTCCAGTGCAGGAGGCGCTGTGGCGATGGAAGCCGAAGATGCTGAAGCGGGCACTGGCGACAGATCCGAGGTTATCGTCGGTGCTTGTGACGCAACGGGCGCCGGGGTCGCAGCGCCTATCAGGCCCGCACTGGCCGGGCCTGCTGGCGGGTTGGTTCGTTGGCGCTTCCGAGGAAACATGATGTGCTTGGGACCATGCCGGCCGCCATCACAAGAAGCGGCGACGAGGTCGGAGAGGGACGAGTCGCTCTTGAGCCCGCGTGTGGATTGTTGTCAACATGTGGTTGCTGCCTGGGGAAGATATGGACAATGGCCTCTGTGTTTTGATTGTTGCGGCCTGCTGATGACGCAGGCGCACATGCCCCAATTAGTGGCTCTTAGCTTCTCTGGCCCGCTGGCTACTGGTCGCAATGGTGCTGTAAAGATAGGGCGGACGGCCTTTCTGGGCCTAGCATTGTGGAAGCTGCAGCCTCGCATGGAGGGGTCTTCCCGGCGCGTGGTTGCTCACCAACAACGGCCTAGAGGTCAGCGCCGATGGACAGTATGATACCTTTCCTTTGCGGCGTGCTCAGGTGCGAACAGCATGTCGATACTTGGACTTGGACCTGAAGCTTCCTCCAGAGACATAATATATCTCAGCTGCAAGTAATTAGAGTAACCAATCGGCTTTGCAACGTGTGACCCGCAGGGCAATTGGCGCTTATGTTGTGAACCTCTACATTTCTGCACCTCTGAGGGCAGAGGTGTGATTTTGCCTCATTTGATCCCGCAGTCATTTCCCTCAACCAGGCAATCCAGACTTTGTTGGTATGCTGGGTCCAGGGGTTGGTAGTATGTAACAGGCAACCTGGAAGGTCATTGCTGTCTTGTCTTACATCTCGCTGTGCAGGGCGGGTGGCTCGTGATCAAGCGTTCTCAGGCGGCGCATCGGCGCCGCAGGGGTCCTGGAGACACCCGACGCTGATGGATCCCTCGCAGCGAGCGGGTCTCCCATCCTTATCCACGCTTATCGCGATAAGATTCTCTCCAAAAAAATTCCTGGGTTCGCCTGCAAGCACCCGCCTAGCAACTGGGTGTCGCATACTGGGTGCCAGTCTCACCTTCACTGTTTTCTTGACTGCTCCTCCAGATCTCGACAATAGCTTGCGGTGCAATCACGCCGTGACGCTCGAGACGATGAGCTCCCTCAAGAGAAAGGACGCTCCTGGCGTTCAGCCTTCACCCAAGAGAGGCAAGACAGGAGCAGCCTCGACACCCTCGAAGCAACCAAACAAGGCCGGAAAACCATCCAAGGTCTCCGACGCCAAATCGCCAAAGGACGCCCGGGCTAAATCGCAAGACAATGCCTCGACAAAAGCTGCACCCAAGACCGCCGTCAGCCGTCTCAAGGAGGAGGAGCCGCTTTTCCCGCGTGGAGGTGGAAGTATCCTCTCGCCACTCGAACAGAAACAGATTTCCGTTCAGGCCAAGCAGGACGTTTTGTTCGAGCAGGCCTCTGGCCAGGGCACGAAGAAGACAGGCAAGGCCGCCAAGAAGGGAAAGAAAAATGGCAAGGACACCAAAGGCGGCAAGAAGGCAGATGCGGCCACTGGCGGAGAAGCTGGAATCCGGATCGAGAGTCTCAACTACAAGGTATGTCGCACTACCTCGGTGTGTCGTATCATATTTTGCCACTACTGACTTGTCTATAAAGCGCCTCGTCAAAGGATCCCTCGTTCTTGCACAGATTACAGACATCAGCCCTTTGGAATTGACTCTCGCGCTGCCAAACAACCTCAGCGGCAGTGTTCCTGTCACAGCCATTTCCGACACTCTCAATGATCGGATAGCAGCCGAGGCCGAAGGCGACGACGACAATGACACCGAAACTCAGGACGGCGATCAAGACGATGGTGTCGACCTTACTAGCATGTACAGCGTTGGACAATACGTGCGAGCCTACGTGGCCTCGACTGTGGAAGAGACGACAGCCACCTCCAACAAGCCGCGGAAGCATATTCTATTGTCGCTGCGCCCCGAGCACACCAATGCCGGCCTGTCCAGCTCAGATGTTGTCGCGAACACTACTGTCATGGCCACCGTTATGAGTGCCGAGGACCATGGTTTTGTCATGGAACTTGGTTTGGACGACTCGAGCCTACGGGGCTTCTTGCCGCGCAAGGAGCTAGACAGCAGGATTCCAGAAGCGCGAATGCAGCCGGGCAACGTTCTCCTTTGCTTGGTGACCAAGATCGCCAACGGCAAGGTGGCTCAATTGACCACAGCGGCGAACAAGCTTGGCAAGATTCAGAACCACGCTGCCGAAGCGACCACCATTAATGCTTTCCTTCCTGGATCGGCGGTCGAGTTGATGGTGTCCGAGGTTGTTCCTCGTGGCATCGCTGGAAAGGTCATGGGCTCTCTGGACGTGACGTGCGACCTGTTGCACTCTGGTCTCGGTCCCCAAGCCGTCGACCTTGAGGCAAAGTTCAAGATTGGGAAGAAGATCAAGGCCAGGATTATCTGTAACTTTCCTAATGCAAAGGAGCCCAAGCTAGGCATCTCGCTCCTCGACCACGTCATGACCATGCAGCCATTGACGACCACTTCGAAGAAGTCACCGACTGAGGTCCTGCCACTCTCCTCCAGGGTTGAGAAGTGCACAGTCACTAAAGTCGAGCCCGAAATTGGTCTCTTTGTTGATATCGGCATCCCTGGCCTGAGCGGTTTTGTCCATATCTCCCGAGTCAAAGACGGCAAGGTCGACATGCTCTCCGCTACCACGGGTCCTTTCAAGACTGGTTCTGAACACGAAGGCCGTGTGGTTGGATACAACGCCCTGGACGGCTTGTTCCAGCTCTCTTTCGAAAAGACGGTCTTAGAGCAGCCATTCCTCCGCATTGAGGATGTTCCTGTTGGCGAAGTTGTTCACGGCCAGATCGAGAAGCTCTCGATCAACCAGGACGGTGTGGGTGGCCTGCTGGTCAAGCTCGCGGACGGCGTCAGTGGATTTGTCCCTGAAGCTCACATGGCCGATGTGCGCCTTCAACACCCGGAGAAGAAGTTCCACCCGGGTCTGAAGGTGAAGGCGCGGGTGCTCTCCACTGATAGCGTCAAGCGTCAGGTGCGATTGACACTGAAGAAGACCTTGGTCAACTCTGACGCGCCTATACTCAAGTCTTTCGATGACGTGGTGGTCGGCATGCAGACTCCTGGTACAATCATCAGTGTTCTGCAGAATGGTGCTATTGTCCAGTTCTACGGTGGTCTTAAAGGCTTTCTTCCCGTCTCTGAGATGAGTGAAGCCTACATCCGGGATCCCAAGGAGCACTTCCGCGTTGGACAGGTCGTCAACATTCACGTCCTCAATTTCGATGCCGACACAAGCAAGCTCATTGTGTCGTGCAAGGACCCCTCTGCTTTTGGTCTCGACAAGCAGAAGGCGCTCAAGCAGCTTTCTGTTGGCGATATCGTCTCTGGCAAGGTCGTGCAGAAGACGGAAGATGATGTCTTTGTTGAGCTAGGGGATGCTGGACTCAAGGCGATGTTATCTGTGTACCACTTGGCCGACCGTCCTTCCAAAGGAAAGTCCGCCATCAAGACCATCCGTGTCGGTCAGACCTTGTCCGAACTAGTCATTTTGGACAAGAATGAGGGCCGTCGTTACATTGCCGTTTCCAGGAAACCAAGTCTCCTCCAAGCCTGCAAGGACGGACAGGCTCTCAAGTCCCTCGACGATGCCAAGCCTGGTGCAGTCCGGCAGGGCTATATCAAGAACATCACAGTGACTGCCGTCTTCGTCCAGTTCTTTGGCCAGCTCGTCGCTCTTCTCCCGAAGTCCAAGATTGCTCCAGAAGACCAGAAGAAGACAGATTTTGGGCTGCAGAAGCACCAGTCCATCGAAGTCATCATCAGCTCGGTTGACAAGGACCTCGGCCGTATCTTTGTGGCACCGGTATCTTCGCCTCAAACTGATGCCAAGCCCGTGGCTAAGAAGGCCGATGCGACAACTGCACCAAAGGCCGAGAACCCTGTGGATACCAGTGTTTCATCTCTGGACGATGTCGTCGTTGGCCAGGTGCTCAAGGCGAGGATCGCCTCGATCAAGAGCACTCAGTTGAATATGCGTCTGGCCGACAATATCCAAGGACGTGTCGACGTATCTCAGGTCTTTGACTCCTGGAAGGATATTGACAACCCCAAGTCGCCCCTCAGCAAATTCAAGGTCGACCAAGTTATCCAGGTCCGGGTGTTGGGCGTCCACGATGCTCGCAACCACAGATTCCTCCCCATCAGTCACCGTTCTTCACACATGGTCTTTGAACTATCAGCCAAGCCAAGCGATGTTAACGGAGCAGAATCACCAATGGTGACCATGTCCGACCTGAAGGTTGATTCTGAACAGCTGGCCTTCGTGAATAACATCCAGCAACGAGCGCTCTGGGTCAGCTTGTCACCTAACGTGCGAGGCCGCATCGCCTTCACCGAGATATCTGATGATGTATCACAGCTGGAAAATCTTTCTGCTAGTTTCCCCCTAGGTTCTGCTGTCCGGACACGCGTGGTCGCCGTAAATCCGAGCGAGGGCCACCTCGACTTGACTGCTCGCTCTAGCAACTCATCGCCAACTCTGACCTGGGACACTATTAAGCAGAATATGGTGCTACCGGGCCGAGTAACCAAGGTCAACGAGCGCCAGGTCATGGTGCAGCTCAGCGAGACTGTGTCTGGTCCCGTCCACCTCGCCGACCTGAGCGATGACTTCGAGACCGCCAACACAACCACACACACAAAGAACTCCATCATCCGTGTGTCTGTTGTCAGCATTGACAAGAGCAATAAGAAGATCCGCCTGTCATCACGGCCATCAAGAGTCTTGAACTCTGCACTTCCAGTCAAGGACTGCGAGGTTTCGAGCTTGTCACAAATCAGCGCCGGCGACATTGTCCGCGGCTTTGTCAAGAATGTAGCGGACAAGGGTCTGTTTGTGGGTCTTGGCGGCGACGTCACGGCCATGGTTCGCATTTCTGATCTATCTGATAAGTTCTTGAAGGAGTGGAAGGACCACTTCCAGGTCGATCAGCTCGTGAAGGGCCGCGTCACGTCCGTTGACCCGGCCACTGGCTTCATCCGCATGAGTCTGAAGTCCTCCGTCGTAGACAAGGACTTCAAACCCCTGATCAACTTCCACGAGCTCCGCGAGGGCCAGATTGTCACAGGCACTGTCCGCAAGGTTGAAGATTTTGGCGCTTTCATCCTCATTGACGGCTCTGCCAACATCAGCGGCCTGTGCCATCGGAGTGAGATGGCTGAGAAGCCGGTTGAGGATGCCACCAAGCTGTTTGCTGAGGGTGATGCTGTCAAGGCCATCATCCTGAAGCTGGACAAGCAAAAGAAGCACATCAACTTTGGACTCAAGCCTTCATACTTTGAGGACGAGGATAGCGAAATGAGCGAAGATGACGACGAGGACGCGGGTGCTGCACTGCTCGGCAGTGACGATGAGGATGAGGACGAGGGCTCTGAAGAGGAGGATAGCGATGACGACAGTGACATGGTCGAATTCACTGGCCTCGGCGGTGACGACTCAGACTCTGAAGAGGACGAGGACGAGGACGAGGATGTCATCATGGCCAACGGTCAAGCCAAAGCTGTGGAAGCCCTGGATGCTGGCGGCTTCGACTGGTCTGGCAACGCGCTTGACGATGTCGACATGGAAGACGCCGAGACCACTGGCGATGGCGCCTCCGCACAAGACAGGAAGAAGAAGAAGAAGCGGAAGGCCACAATCGAGGTCGACAAGAGTGGCGACCTGGACGCCTTTGGTCCGCGTACGGCCGTCGACTACGAGCAGTTGCTGAACCGACAGCCCAACTCTTCGGCGCTGTGGATCGAATACATGGCGTTGCAGATGCAGGTCAGCGAGATCGCCAAGGCCCGCGAGGTCGCCGAGCGCGCCGTCAAAACAATCAACAGCGCCGAGGAGACGGAGAAGCTCAACGCCTGGATTGCCCACCTCAATTTGGAGGTTCGCTTCGGCACCGACGAGACGGTCGAGGACGTCTTCACGCGCGCTGGCCAGGTCAACGACCAGCAGGAGGTGTACCAGCGGCTCGCGAGCATCTACATCCAAGAGGAGAAGAACGAGGTAAGTCTCTCCTGCCGGAGCATGAGTAGCGCAAGCAAGTGCAGCACTAACAGCCCACATAGAAAGCCGACGAGCTCTTCCAAGCCCTGGTCAAGAAGTTCGGCGCCAGCTCGCCCGACGTCTGGATCAATTACGCGCACTGGCTGCACTCGTCACGCAACGAGCCCGAGAAGGCGCGCGCCCTTCTGCCCCGGGCGACCAAGGCCCTGCCCAACCACGCCCGGTTCCCGCTCATGACCAAGTTCGCCACGCTCGAGTACACCTCGGCGCACCGGAACCCGGAGCTTGGGCGAACCATGTTTGAGGGCTTGCTCGCCACCTTCCCTAAGCGCTTCGACTTGTGGAACCAGCTCCTGGACCACGAGGATGTGCCCGGAGCAGACAAGGCCGTCGTCCGCGACATCTTTGACCGGGCCACCCGGATCAAGGGCCTCAAGCCCCGCGCCGCGAAGAAGTGGTTCAAGCGCTGGGCCGACTGGGAGGAGAAGAATGGCGATGCCAAGAGCAGAGAGAAGGTCAGCGCCAAGGCGGCCGAGTGGGTCAAGACGAGAGCTGCTGCTGCCGCTGCTGCTGGCGACGCGGAGGCGGAGGACGATGAGTAAGGAAAACTGATGCTACGAGGCGAAAAGAAAAGTGTGCGAGGACTCGACTGGGAAAGGCCCTTTCTCCGTGTTGGTAATTGTGTACAGTGGGACATGGTCTTGAGCATAGCCGTGAAGTCTTTTTGTTTTCTTGTTATTCTTGCTCCTGAATCATTGCAGAACAAAGAAGTATATAAATGAGAAGTATGATCGATGATGAGGTTCTGACATTGGACTGAAGCATGCTCGTTCTTCCGTGTAGTCGGAGTACGTCGCAGAGTCATCCCCATGTTGGTTCCTGTTGCCTGGAAAACTCGGAATGAGGTGGTCACAATTTGTAGTAGGGTAGCGAGAGATGAGAAGACCATGAAGAAAAAAGAGAGAGAGAAAAATCTGGGATTTCAAAGAGATTGAGAACATGAGCAAACATTGACGAAACGGGAATATGACAAAGTCCCAGAGTCGTTGTCAAGGATGGTTGGCTCGGGCAGGCAGCGCGGGCGCCCGCCTTGGGGGCTAATATTGAATCAGGGTCGCAATCGACCACGCACAATCACGAGCAAAACAACAGCCGTTGCAATCCTCAAACGCTTCCTAAAAATGAAAGCAGCAGATCTTGACAACAAAATTATTCCACAAAAAGGAAAAACAACCAAAACGTCTGATTAACAAAAAATGATGATGAGGACGAGACTCGAACTCGCGCGGGTTGCCCCATCAGGAAGTAACTGCTAAGGTAACCTTAACCTGACGCCATAACCAACTCGGCCACCTCACCGGTGATTGTTGAGATGAGGTTGCTAATGTCCATATATATAGACATTCTTCTCTGTGTCTGGACGAACAACCATTGGTCTTTTTCGTGGTCCTTCACAGGATATGGCCTAAAATCGCTTTGTGATGAATTGAGCTGCTTCTCGTGGAAAAATGTATACTGGGGAGAATGCGACCATGCAACAAAAGGAGATCAGTAGTCGTCTCAAAGGATCTGGCTCCCCACAACCATGTCGTACACGGCAAGACATGCACACATAAGGCCAGTCTTGGCACGAGTGGCTGGTCCTGGCACCAATTGGTACTTTCTCAAAATTTCGGTTGCTGTCCAGGGAGCGCCTTTGTTTTATCCATGGAAGACAGTCCAATTCGAATAGACCACCTCGCATCAGGCTGGGGTTCTGAAGATAAGTCGCACATTCGAGGGCTACATCCCGCGGGACACATGAGTAGTAAATCTGGCGGCAGAGGCCGTCTACAGCCCGCACGACGCTGCCAACTTTGTAATAGTTGGTCACACACAAGAGCCTTGCTACACTACGGTATTGACCATCTCGGCTGCCGGCTGGCGCTGTTGTGTTGCTATGCCATGACGGCGAACTTTGAGTTGGACAAGCAGATCTCATAGCTCCATGATTCGCCAATGGTCATAGCATGAGGATCGCAGGGAAAAGACTGTCCAGCGAACAGGACACGCGAGACTTCTTGACATGTGAGATGTAGATGCTACGGTGGCTCGAACCTCGCGCCACATTCAACTCGGCCATGTCGTCGAGCCAGTGCTGGTTTTGTAGTTCGAGCTCAGCTGCTCTGATAATGATCTGGAAGTCAGGACAGCCAGGTCCAATGGTAGTTGTTCTATAGCTCTCGCAGTCATTGCTTCGCACTAGATTCCTTCTCCGCGTAGGCGGGATGATGTGCGTCTTCTCACAGGTAGAGTTGCTCTACCGCGAGCGAGAGTTCTTCTTCATATCCTCAGTCTTGATTTTGTTGACACAGATCGAGCCTAGCAGAAATGGCTACTATGCTGCGAGCGCTTGTTTATAACTCGTGATGGTAAAGTGTCCCAAGCAGGGTACAGACATGCTTGGTCTATGTGAGACTCGTTGTAATTTTCACGGCTTTCACAGTGGAAGCAGTGGCTTTGCGCTGTTTTCTATGGGAGCTGTCGTAGTTGATGTTGCAAGTGGCTGGTCACTTATCGCGGCGCCGGTGATAGCTTCCCCGATGGACATGGAGTACGAGACAGAAGTGTATCAACGTTCCAATGCTTAAGTCATGTGTCATTCCAGGAAACCATGTCGGTTGGTCGGCCTTGTTCATCAAGCTCAACCACGGTTGCGGCAAATTCGCCCCTTTCGTCCTCATCCTCAAAGTCGGAAAGCTCGGCCTCTACGAGCTCGCCGTCTTCCAGCATGACGGTGCCAGATCTGACATAGTCGGAGCTCAGGTCCCAGCCCAAATGCTGCGCTAGCCAGGCCTCCAGCGCAGAGAAGGTATCTTGCAGCAGCAGGTGATCTGGCGTCCGATTGCTATCATCAAGGGACTGCAGCTTCTCCATCAAGCGCGACCTGTACGTGGTCAAGGACTTCTGCAACAGTTTTGTGTTCTCGGGCATCATGTCAAAAACGTCACCTTCAAGGAACTGCTCGTTGTAAACGATTTGAGCATGAAACGTGCGAATCAGACTCTGGCTCAGAGCAGGGCTTGACACTGCCAGTTCGTATGACCGAAAAATGATCCTGTTGACAATGAACCACCACTGCTCGAGGCAGGAAAAATTGCCGAGATGCATGCCAGTCAAGAAGGCGAACTGAAGCTCACCAACGAGATGGTCTAGACGCCGGGGGCCTGCCGGGTCTCCAAGCGTCCTCAATACCCAAGCTGTGGGATCGAGTGCCTGTTGTGTTCGTTCTGACCCAGTTGACTCGGGATTGAAGAGTTTGATGTCTGCAGGGAAGGTGAAGCGCAGACGCCTGCTGGCTTCCGAGTAGAGCTCAGCTTCAGCTGGTGGCTGAATCTCCCCAGAGACACGGTCCGACGTCGACACTCCCCAGTCTGGAGCAGGCTTGCCCGTGACTGCTTCGAGCACGCCGCTGTCGATGGCATATGTAAGATTGTCCCAGACCGACTCTCGATCCATAAAGACGGGGAGGTCGACGGCCTGCGTTTTTGCTGCAGCGGAAAACTGCAAGTGATACGGGGGCAACTTTGCCGATATGGCCGGGAGCCGTTGAGCAAGGGTGGCCTGAGAGTCCTCGCTCGGCGGGTTGACTAACGCCTCGGTGGACTGGTCCCATCTAGAGAAGTGTCAGCCAGGGCTCACACGGGCAGGCAGGGCTTGGTGACAAACACTCTGACATGGATGCGAGCAGGCTCGCCTGGGAACGCAGGCCGCTGTGTGACGAACCAGTGCCCGCTACGGGACGAATGCATCGCCGAGGGGGCGATCCATACGAGATGCACGCCTGGTGGAATGCTCTTGCAGCCGAGGAACGGCTTGGTGGTTGAGAAGGCGACGGCATCGCAGCCAACGGTCACTGCCGCTGGTAAGTGGTCGAGGAGCAGCACATCTCCTTCAACATCTTGCTGGTGGTGGTCCATGGTCCTGACGTCGAATCGTCACGCGTGGCTACTTAGGTCTGGCCTGTTGAACTCAAGCCCGATGGTCTGGGCGGCGTTTGTGGTGCAAGCACAACCTCACATCCCGCTGGTGACTGGTGACTGGTGACGACACGTCAAACCGGGCGCACCCCACTACTAGCAATAGTTCAGTGCCCCGCAGTGCTCGAGCACAGAGCACCCTCCACGGATGCCAGACTCGACCTACACCCACTGGCATACAGGACGCCTCATCGTCAAGCTCGCGCTATGCAATATCAAAACACCGGCTAGGTTTCCGGCTGCTTTTGCTTGCTGTTGGCCGGGTTCTGCCCAATGGCGCAGAGCAGGTTTGGGTGGGCGAGAGGCAGGAACGGGATGATCACAGATTTCATCATCGCCAGTGAGCACATGCTGTTTTGGGGCTCTAGCACCCAGCCTGGTCCACCAAGAAGTCAATACTCCGTAGTGCGGCACGCCTTGTTGCTCCATCAGCCCTGCAAACCAAGCGTCAGACGACCTAGCTGCATCTGCTGACAACAGCCTGCCTTAGGTAGAACAAGGGCATGGCCTGGGTGGCAACAGACAGGGACCCTCCATGGCCCCCCAAGTGAGCTAAGAGCGCGAAGCTTTGCAACCAGCATGCCCAGTGCAAGGCCCCTCCCTCCCACCGGCCGGTGGCAGGGCAGGGCAGGGCGTCTGACACGGCGCCACAGAGTCGAACCGGTCGAAAACCTAGCCCTGGCACGGCGCCGGCCATCCCCCAGCAGCCTGCCCAACTTTTTTAGCGTACCGGCCTCCCGGGTCTCCCAACACTGCCTGGTGCTCACCCTTGGCTCTCCCCGGCGCCCTTCCAAGACATCCATGGATGCCACAAGTCTCTCGCCCTGTCGTCTACCTTAGTACCGAGCCAGGACCCCCAGCACTCACTAGGTCGGCCAGGACCGCCCGCCGCCCGATCTCACACTGCCCACATCATGTTGCAGACGCCAAATGCCCTGGACGACCAGGCACCCACCCACCCACATGGCACCACCACCACCACCACCCCCATCAGCATGCCCTATCTAACAACCTACGCCGTGCACCTTGGTCCATCCTTAGCTTCGATCTCGTGCCTGCTTCCCTGCTGCACATCACGAACATCCCTGCTGGCTCTTTCTCGTCCTTGTTCCGGGGGCGCGCATGCCGCGCGTGAGACGAACGCCCATTTACAAGCCAAGGCAACAACAAAATCCCCCATGCGCTTCGTCGCGCTTTTCGTCTGGACACAAGGGCTGCATGCGAAACCAGTTGCTTGCACTCTTTTTTACATTGTCTGTCTTTCTTGTCCCCTCTTTTTCTTCTTCCATTTCAATTTACAATTAATCCAGGCATTCTCCTTTCTGTTCCATTAGGCAAACTTCGCATTTTACCAGTTCCAACCACGAGATCGATACGCCAGGTAACAATAAAAGTAGGCACAAGCACGTCAAACCCCCCACCCCCTTCTCTCTCTCTCTCTCTCTCTCTCTCTCTCTCTCTCTCTCTCTCTCTCTCTCTCTCTCTCTCTCTCTCTCTCTCTCTCTCTCTCTCTCTCTCTCTCTCTCTCTCTCTCTCTATCCATCCACAGTCCAAAGATGCCGAGACAAAAGGAACAAAATAGAATGCTAGCCACCGATCGACGGCCAGGCCCACGATAATGGGCCTCGTTACACTGCATGGCACCAACGGACCTAGTCTTTGACCAGGGGTCCCTCCCTTCCCCCCCGCTGCCGCCGCCGCCGCCGCCGCCCCTTCCCACCTCCCCTTGAACGGCTCTTTTAATCCCCCCTTGTGTAAGGTATGTAGGTCTTGTATGTATGTACGTCAGCAACAATCCACTCCCCCGGACATTTTTCTCATGTACGCCAAGCGCTGTTGGACCGTCGATCCTGTGTTGGTTGGCACATGGCGCAAATCCCCCTTGTCTCGGCTCATGCATTCCTGCAGGGGAAACGAAACAATCGGCCTCGTTTGCAGAAGCGCGACGCCAGTGCACGTGCTGTCCATGCCTTCCTAGTTCCTCGGCATCTCTTCGCCATCCCGCCAACGTAGACAATCAATCACATTGGAGCACTGCATCTGGCTCTTTTATCCGTAATTTGCAGAATTGAAGAGCAGTCGTAGTTTCGCGTGCAGAAAGCATGCGTTCAACATTGATAATTCTATAACTGTAATTGTGCCACTGATTTTGTCGCTTTTCTCTCGATTCGATCAGCCACGACAATGCCACTGTATATATCGGAGAATCTTATGTACAGCCAACTCCTCCCTCGCTCGCACTCGATCATCCCCATGTCTTGTCTCGTGTCTCCTCAATTTCTGACCCTCCCTCCGGCATACTACAGCCCCAGACTGGTCGAAGCCTAGCCCGCGTCACGAGTATCCCCCGTAACGATAAACCCAACAATGTTGAAACACCAATTCGCGTGATATGTATGGAGAAAGAACAAATGCACTTGCTCTACCCAGAAAACGACCGGCAGTGTCGACTAGAGCCCTCTCGGAGCTTGTCGTGGCGAATCTGCAAGCGCATCATCTCGACGGTTTGCCGAAAACGAGTCAGCTGCAGAGACGTTGGCCGTTCGTATCCAAATATGTAGCTTAGTGCCGTGGCTTGCGCCGTGAGTCTTTTGACCGCACTGATCACCGGAGAGCACAGTCACCTCGTGGAAATCTGTACCCAGGCAATCTCGGTTGACTGTGTATCTTGTTTACACAGGGTATACATCTCGAGTACAACAGGCAAAGTACGAGGGAGAGTGCCTGTACAATGAGCTGGTTGCCCTAGCTCTAGATCCGAGCTATGCGGAGCTAGTGGTTGGCCTGGGCTGTGTTATCTGTGGCAATTGGTTAGCACGTCAAAACCTGACCCAGTCAAGGATTTGAACAAGACTTACAGCCTGCTGGATATGGGCTCTGTGGCGGATAGCTGTTTGGTGGGTACTGATACTCAGGAGGAGCAGGGTATCCCTGCTGAGGGCCGCTTTGCCCGTAGGCAATGGGCGGAAGCCTGCTGCCAGGGTAGTTGGACTGCGGCTGTTCGCCTGACTGAGAATCAGGCCCACCATTCTGTGCTTGTGCGGCGGCGGCGGCGGCATGCCGTTGTCGCTCTGCCTCCTCAGCGGCCTTGCGCTGCTGCTCCTCTTCCTTCTTCCGCGCCTTCCATTCCTTTCTGATCTCTTTGAATTCTGCAGCGAAAACAATTTAGACATGTTATACCTCTATAGTGAGCAGAAAACGAGGGAAACGCTTTGAATGACAATCAGTTTTATAAGCTTACCTTCGGGGGTTCTCTTCTGTCCATGGCTCTGCATGGTGACGTGAGCATTGAGATGGTTCAGTGTGCCATAAGCCTTCTCACATCCGTTCCAGCCGCACTTGTACATGCGCTCAATCTCTTCGTAGCGCCGACGCGGTCGTTTGTGCTGCTGTGCGCCAGGGATGGGCACAAAGGAGTACACCTGCGGAGCACCACCGCCGTACTGTCAGATCCAATCAAGTTAGCCATTGCACTGGAGGGAAGCAAGATAAGTGAATCAAGGCCGCCACGGCTGTTGAGGGGTTTGATAACAGGGTGGGAGAGCTTGTTTGGAATGTCTCCTGCTTGCTCAAAGCCCACTCGAATTCCCTGTGGCCATGCCAGAGCAATTGAGCCGCGAGAGCGGATATATAACCTACCTGAGCGGGACGGCCTGGAGGGGCTGATGTCGGCGTGTGAGGGAAGACATGGTGAGGCGGCATCTGGCCGTGAGCAGGAGCACCCGGATGGCCGTAGTTTGCCCAGTCAGGGCGCGGCTGGGCATACATGCTGCTGCTCTGGGGATAACCGTGCTGCATGTCTTGTGGCGGAGGCGCGTACGGTGAGTATTGACCGTGCGTGTAGGTCGGGCTGGGTTGGGCGATGGAGGGATCTATGGGTACATCGCTGTCAGATTTGACCTGTTGGGTCTGATGATGGTTGCGCCCATCTTGCACAGGCATGGACGGACTTGGTGGTTGCGCCATACCTCCGCTGCTGCCGCTGTTATTGCTTGCTGCTGGATGGTATTGGCGAAGGCCTGGCTCTGGGTATGAACCTGTAGACCTGGCAGATTGAGGATATGCGCCGTACTCTGACGTGGGAGTCGCCGACGCGGAGTAGTTGCTCGAACGCGGTTCCTGGTGGCTCGAGTACTGAGCAGCAGATCCGTGATCTGCAGACGAAGTTTCAGACGGGGCGTCGCCGTAGGTGCTTGGATAGGGCGAAGGCAAACCTGTCTGCGAGTATTCCGTCACGCTGCGTTCCATAGGATTGCTTTTGGAGTTGAGAAGCGAGCGCTCGTTCGCGTCCGGGGTGTGGCTTCCTAGCGAGTGCTCAGAAGCGCGTTGTGGTAGTTCTCTGGTGCCAACAAACGCGTTGTGATGCGGTTGTGATGCGACCAAGAACATACTACAACTACCAAAGACGGCGGAGCGCGAGTGGGCGGCCGGGGTCGCTTAGTCGTCGAGCCAGGGGAGGACGGGTGCCAGAGAGTGGTAAACGGCGGGCGGGCGGCGGCGGGAGCTGGTGTCTGCTTGGACACCGGACTATGACTATTCAATGGGAGCAGGAGAGGAATAGAGTTGTACCATGCGCTTGAGGGCTGCGGCTGGCCTGGTGTATTTGTTGATGTGCGCTTCTTGTGGTGACGATGGCTGATCCGCAGTGGATAGCGTGATCTTCCGTTTTTGTGAGAGGACACAGACCCAGTCAGATAAAATAATCTTGAGCTAGGCCCGCACAGCTCCACAAAAGGGCGAGCGAAAGTCTCTTCAGCCCCCGAGTCACAGGTGGGAAAGGAGATGACGATTGTGCGGCAGCAAGCACGAGCAGTGTGGTGCTGTGGGATGGGCGAGCAGAGTATCGCGCTCGCAGAGTGACCCGGAAAGAAGCTGTGGATGCAGACGGCGGTGGGTGGGGGGGATTCTTTAGGGGCCAAGACACCCCAGAGGTGGGCCTAAGGTCGATCGGAGACCTGGATGGGCGACAAGGATCCTTTAAGGTCAAGGTACCATCCAGATCGTAGCGGCAGCGACGACCTGGAGCAGAAGTGCGGGTTGGAGAAGACACCCGGTACTGTTGGTGCAGAAGGGAGGTGAGGGTTTTGGGAGGGGGGTGGCCCAAGAGTAGAGTGGGGCCTTCTTGGAGGGAGGGGGGTGCGCGTCGAGAAACCCAGAAGCTCCCAGATGAGTGGTGGCGGCAGATGAGTGGGCTCTGGATCTGCTACTACTGATGAGGATTCGAGCGCGTGCAGCCGAGCCGGAGGGCGAGGACGTAATGAGCGTGTCTGTGCGCTGATGCTTGCCTGTGGCAGGACACCCACGAAGATGCCGAAGGCAGCCGTGCAGTCCAGCAACCGCGGCAGTGGACACGCGAGCTGGGTACGACTTGTGCTGAGCGCGCGCAGCGGTAGGTGGTAGTGACGGGGACGCAGTCCCTTGCGGCAAGGTGAACCGTTGTGTGCTGGCGTTAGGACGGCTCCCGCGGATTGGGAAGGATGGTAAGCGGCCAATGCTGATCCAGTTCGGGGACCAAGGACCACTGCGGCAGAGCGATGTGTGGTAGCGTCGAGGCAGAGAGGCTTGTTTGGGTGACGCCGCAAACCTGGCGGGTTTGGGAGACGAACGAATCGTGCAGGGAGGATGAGTGTTTCCCAAGGAGTGGGGAGTAGAGGTGCCCGCACCGGCAATTTAGCGTGGAAAAGTCGGGCGGTCGCAAGTGCTTGCCTTAGGCCAGAAGCTGACTAGGTCGGTCCTTCTAGCGCTGGGTAGTGCTGCGCCAGGGGGTGCAAGCTGGGCGAGGAGCGTTCTTCCCAACAAGCAAAGCGCAGTGACCCTCGATGTCCTAACTATCGGCAAGAGCTGCAGTCAGGTCTTCCGCGATGCGTCGATCTGGGGGTGTCGCTTTGCAGTTGCTGGCAAGTCTTGCTCGTCGTCGACGAGGCAAACCGACGCGTTGACTGGCGGGTAAGCTGCGCAAGAACCCTCGCGACGGACGTGGCGTGCGGGTGCGCAGAGCCGCTCTGGGCGTGAGCCCCTCAAAGAAGCGAGGCAAAGAGAGTTTGGACCGGGCGCAGACTACGCTGTGGTCGGCACACCAAAGGGCGAAAGATACGGCTGGGTTCAGTCGAAGCAGACGAGACCAGGCTGGTTTCGGTAGTGTACTGACTAGTCAGCAGGTACTGCCTGACTCTCTGAAATTGGGGCGAGTGATGCGCTCGGGAGGATGTATGGCGCAGTAGTTAGAGGGGAGGCGCGCCACGGGGGGCTCTGGTGCTCAGTCCTTTTGGGTCTTGATTGCGTGTGACGTGCAGGCGGCGGTGCGCGGGTCCTTTCGCACGAGACGACGGCAATGGGGGAGTTGGAGTGCCGCGGTGGTTGGGCGCGGGCGACAACGAGCCAGAGGCTAGGGCGAGTCTAGGATTTGATGCGGCCTAGCTGGATGCCCCAGGTTTCTAGGTCGCAAGGGCAGTCTGATCGTTCAAGGGGAAAACAATCCTAGCGCTGCACCTAGTGCAAGTCGCAGAGGGCAGTTCCAAGAACGAGATGAGTTTAGAGGCACGGGAGATGTGTTGCAGGCAGTCTCGTGCCAGGGCGGCGGCGCCAGCCAATGTCGATGCCGGGCAGCTAGTGCTAGTGGCAGGACTGGTTCTGTCCTTGGCGTGCTGCAGTTGGGCGCGCGACGACGAACACGCTTTAGTCAAGACTGACAGACGATCAGACGGCAGCCTCAGGACGTGGGAGCTGCTGGGCGTGTAACGGCGACTTGCCCCAGAAGAATCGTGGAAAAGAGAATTCCTCGGGAGAGAAGGGGGAAAAGAGACCTGTTGAGCTGCGAGGAGCTGCGAGGAGTGTTGTCGCCGCGCGTGGGTTCAGCAGCGCAATATTTTGACTGAGAAGGAAAAAAAAAAGTGGCCGCGCGTCAGCGTTGGGTGGTTCAGATCTCCAATCGAAGGAGCTGAGTGTGGAGCAACGTCAACACCACGGGCAGGGAGTCTCAGGCACCTCAGGACAGACAATATTCTCCAGGCAAGGAGGCAGGGGCATGGATAGTCGACCTCTGAAGAACGTGGAAAGTGGGAAAGAGGGATGAGGAAAAGATCGTGATGCGGGCACGTAGATGTGGCAGAGCCTGTGCCGCATCAACTTGCTGGGCCTGTGGGGCTGGGGGCCATTGTTCGTGACTTCAGGATGATGGACTGCTATGATTGCCTACCAGAAACCGCCAGGTCAGGGCATACACCTCATTGTCCACGCCCAGCAGAGGAGACGCGACATTGCAATGGAACAGCACGGCGAACGTGAACGCTCCTCGGACAGCACGACTCCAGTTGGGTTGCGTGCCTGTATGTCTCAAAGCGACCTCCGATTTGTCCATCCACCTTAGCCACTATTGTGTCGCATTCCCAATGGGAGTTTTTCCTTTTTCTTTTCCATCAGTCAAGTCTCACTGTGTGCTTTACTTGCGAGATGACGGCGCCAGGATTAGAGCACATCGATTCCAAGCCAGCCCAAGGCCGTATTATACTGCAACAATATATATAGATCCACGGGGGAAAAAGGCGACCATTCCCGGCACAAGCTCGTTCACCAGGAATGAGGGACCTGGCAAAGTAGTTACGGCTATTAATATAAGCCCTGTCGTCACGTCCAGGGCTCCTCACGACAGGGGCTGATGGAGGATCTACCTCTCGTACCAGAAAGAGAGAGAGAAAGAGAGGGGAGAAGAAAGTCTATTGGTGTCGATTCGGTGGGAGCGGCGAATCAAACACTGGTGAATGTCACGCAGCAGTGAAGGACAAGAGAAAGTCCATGTGTAAGTGAGTGGAACGCAATCACGTCAAGAATGACGTAGAATTAATTCTTTGTCTCCTGGCCATCGACAGACCACAGGAGAATAACCATCCCATCTTCTCTTGGAAACGCTTTCCGAAGGCTGCGCGATGGGCCAATAGTTCTGTGAGGTCACTCACTGGCAGTGTCCAGCCCCGAGGGCAGCCTGCGTGTGTGCCGCATTCGGGGCGGGCATGCGAGACAAAAGCACCCATCATGATGACTCGGCACACACATGCGCCATACAGTGCGGGTCTTGCCTGCTCATGGAGTAGAGCCGAATACGCACGCGAGACTTTTGGGCATTTTGTTGTGCCAGCTGTGTCAAATGTACCCTGCGCCGAGGCATTGTAAGCAACCAGACAGCGCAATCCCGCACGAGCGGGACGGCTGATGAAGGCCAGGACCTCGGTTTGCCCGCTGATGTCCTTGCGCATGAGCCGTGGACTGCTTCAGGACAACAGCCGCAGGCGACGCGCCTGCGGCCATGTCACAACACCGGCGGTGCGGTACACTCGCTTATGGCCAGAAGCAGCCCTTGGGAACGCACCGCACCGCACCGCACCGCACCGCACTGCACTGCACTGCACTGCACTGCGGCGCTCGCCGGAGCCAGGAGCAGAGGGAGCCGGGGGCATATGCGTGCGGCAGGGCCCTGGACCGCAGGCTCCACTCGAGGGCCCGATGGATGGGGATTGACGATGGATGATGATTCCATGTCGCTGGCGACGACCCGCGATGCACTGTGCAATTGGCTGGCAGCCAGGGCAGGCCCAGTCGTGCCACGCCGTGCCATGCCATGCCATGCAATGCAATGCAGGCAGGCAGGCAGGCATGACCATGGTGGTGCAGCTGCCCCTCCCTTCCGCAGGGCCGTGTGCTTTTCTCGTCTTTGTCAGTCGTCGTCCGCCGCAGCAGCCACTGACGGCCACCGTCCAGGGCAAAAGTCTTGCTGCTGTTGCCCTCTGTCGGCCGCATGGCTCTCTGGATCCCGGCATGTGCGGCATATGCGGCCAAGTCTTGAGCAGCCGGTCGTCCTCGCCCTCCGCACGTATAGCTCCTAATGGAGTAACATTATCTGCCGGGGCGAGCGCCATGTCGCTCGTCACCCATGACGCCAGTCCAGATCACGTCCCATGGTGCCGGGGCCATGTCTCACATACAGAACGGGACACCCTTCACGGCGGTTGTTGCCAGGCAAGCAGGGGCCACTGGTCGCGACATGAACTCACGCCACACCACACTACGGGAAAATCGCCGTCGGCAGGGCAAGAGGACCCTTTTCCCATCGGGAAACTCTCCTTCTCTCGCTTCTCTGAGCCTCTTTGCAAGCCTTGAATCGAGCCCCCGGCAGGGCTATGCAACCGAGGGCTTTCGGGCACTCACCCGGCTGCGTTGTCCACTTCTAGGTTCAAACTTGCTCGCCCCAGCCTTCCAAGCGGCCTGTCACCCGATCACACCTGCGCACCCACCTCTCTATATTTCCGTCAAGCCTGACTCGCAGATGCCCCTGAATCGCTCCATACGCACTGGGCTCGACCGCCGTGTCCTCCTGGCATGAACGCCTCTCGCTTCACTGGACGAGCTCGCTGCTGTGAGGCTGGGTCAATCAATGACCTCTTGGCCGCTCATGGATTCGGAGGCACGGGCGTGATTGTGCGGACGCCACTCGAGCGAGTTGTATGTGATTAGACCAGCAAACCTGGAGCCACCACCTGCACTTCCACAGCTCTCTATCTGCCGCGTCGTTGGAACGCTGTGCGTGGGGCACAACAACTTCAGTCAGCACTGACCGCACCAACTTGGAGGAAGTGGCTGGGCATCCTCATTCAGATCTGCTGGGGCTGTGAACACAAGACGATTGCAGAAAACGACAACGGTTACAGAGCCATGCACATTTTCCAGGGCGAACACTTTTTGTTTTTGTATGCGAGTTGGGCCTCCTCGGGTTCGCTCCATGTCGTCCGAAAGATCGGCGAAACCATGCCCTGTATAATGACGGCAACTGCTTCTCCACATGCTCACCTTCGACGTCTGGTGGGCACCTCAGGTCGGAGGCGTCGGCAATCAGGCACCTTGAACAGCACTTCTCTGCTCACGTCTTTCTGATTTATGTGGACACTTCCAAGGGCTCGGGACGGCTTCTCGTTAAGCGATATTGGTGTGCGCCGAGTCATGCATCAATACCAGAATCAGAATCATGTTGGAGCAACAGGCTCGGCTGTCAAACCCTCGGAGTCTGCTCCGTGGCCCCAGTCTGCGCATTCTGCCCATGAGCACGCCTGACGGAACCCGGACCACTAGTAGCCGTGCGTGCGTCAACACCCTGTCCCCAGCATGGCACAGTGTAATCCACGATCCTAGGACTCTCCAATCGTGGACTTGCATACTTGGCCGACCACTCGGGAGCGACAATACAAATAACTTAAGGCAGCACACCACGCGGGCCATTTCGGTGCGCCGGCATGGGACAAAGCTCTTCCTCCCGCCTTGGAGTGCGTTACTTCCTAGAGAACCGTGGCCATGATCAAATCTCATATTTCGACAAGGGTCTTCCTCAGGTAAGTCGAAGGTAAGTCAAGTGGTGGAGAGCGCTTCTGACCAGTCACAGGCCACAGCAGCACGCCGCTGATGGTGGGGACCCGCGAGCAGCTGCATCCCCTGGAAATAAAATGTGCCTCTCCTTGTCGAAGCGGCTGCACTAGCTGCTCATCTTTCTGGCAGGGATAAAGGAGTATGACTGCTGACGTGCGAAACGCGAAAGACGTGTCTCTCTTGACACCCATGCTCGTTTGGTATCCACGAACTCTGCCAGGGGTCAAGGATCCAAGGAAGGTTTCCAAAGTCGATTGAAAAAGTAGTTCGGCGAGTGTTCTTGAGACAGCACCGGAACCACCCGTAAAGTCGAGACGCACGACCACCCTGCCCCATGACGTTGGGCAGCACTCTCTCGTATCTAGCATTCTCCATGGCGCGAATGGGCAATGCTTGCATGCATGTTGATGATTACCGAAATCTGCATGCCAGCACGACTTTCCAGATTCCATGTGTAGCAACATTAAGATGGGAGTTCTTTGACCCAATCTCTCGCCACAAATATTGTCAGTGGGACCTCAGCCGAGACATATTAACTTTGTTCTTGCGTCAGAGGAGACATGGGCAGTCGAGCTCGCTTGGTTGTCAGCCTTCCCTTTTTGGAGGGACGACTGGGCTCGGCCGCTTGCCGAATAGGCGCCATCTCGCCATGCTCTGGAACGAAGTTGCCCTCGGTGCCAGCATCAATTCATCAGCCTCTGCGCTGCATGTTGAACTATTCAATCTACGAATTTCTCATCAACGCTGGAGATGCTGTCTTCCACCCATGCGGCCACAATTGATCGCATACTTGACCTATGCCAGCTGAGCAGCCAGCTCCTGCTCGGACCATCAACAGCGGCATCCTCCACATTCCAGATTATATGGGGTCGGTCTCTGTAGTCACCGCCTGCACGAGCTCCACTTCTTGCAAATGGTCCCCATGACCCCAGCACACTTCGTAGGCGATGTTCTTGCAACGTACATGCTCCATCTCAACACGTCCAGCTCCTTGCCCGCCAAGGCTTTCCGGGAAGTTGCTGAAGCACATCCATGCCATGACCCATGCAGGCCACAGGACTTTTCTTGTTTTAGCGGCCTACGAGACTCTGTCCGCAGGGGATCACATCCAGGTGGCTGCCACGCTGGGCACGTATAGTGAGTTGGGGATCCCTGAACACCCCCAGACAGGCCACCAGGGGCCAACGGAGCAAGCGCATGGCCGGCCAGGTGATTGACCGCTAAGGCGGGCGAGGTGTGATTCTGACAGGAGTCATCGATGCCGGTGCAAGGTAGCCCACTCGCTAGTGCGCAGCGGCAGAGACAGATCTCTGTCCACGTTCCAAACCTCCGGGACGAGCTAGACAAGCGTGGGCTGCTCGCAAGCGTTCACGAGGCTGCTAGGCTGGGACTAGAGCAGCAAAAGAAGCCAGCAACTGCGACCGTCGCCTACTATATTTCAACGACATGCCTTGTGCCGGTGCAGCTTCCAGAACACGACTGCCACGATTGTCGAGCAGTAGGCACAGCAGATATGAGGATGCCAAGCAGCGCGTCCTGGCGGTCTGTCACCCTCGACAAAACCTGCCGGCTTTCTGGCAGCGACTTTTGCCCTGCCCCGACTGTACGTGTCATGCCACGGACATCTTGAGACTTTCACAAGGATGACCCGCGCCATTCCGGCAATCGGCCGTGCTTCGGATTGACTGTCGTTGCCGCCTCGCTCACCTTGTCCTGGCAATTATCTGCCGACGGTCCATTCGACGCTGCGATACATCTGTGCTCACCGCCATAGACCTCCAGCACCACCGGCAGGAGGTCAGCTCGGCTTCCTCCGCTTCCCCTACCCCTGGCTCTGCCTGGGACTCTCACAATATGCGCCGTCCAGCCGCTCCGTCCTTGTCATTTTGTGCCCAATATTGACGGGAGTACGGTTGCATTTACGGCAAGGGGGCATCCAAGGTACAGTTGTCATGGCAGGGACGTAGACGCTGCAGGTCGAATGACTGTCTGTTGCATCAAAGTAATATTGGCTGTGGTCGCGGAACGGGTCAGATGATGCCTCCCCAGCCGTCTGTGGTCGACTCCTGGCGGAAGACCTTGACCCGCGACCACACTCACACTCATACATCCAAGGTTTGCAGACGTGGCGCGCTGGCACTTTTGCACCCGGAGCCTCCAATCGCATTGGACACGCCGAGCCTGGTGACCCCACCATGTCTCGCGGGACCGCTGCTTGAACACATTGAAGCGACTGACGATGGCTCTGTGGAGTGAACGAACGACCTCTGACCCGGTCAACATACCAGAACGACGCCCACGGAGCGAAATATTTTGGATGAGAACACGGAGCCACCTGGAGGGACCGTCGGTATCCAGTAATTGCTTGGGTTGTTAGAGCATCTGCGCCCAGCATGCTAAGCGGCAGCCCACGACACGCTGTGGGGCCTTTCGACAGTTCTGAGCATACGATCATCGTATCGTCACCCGCATTTCTTGGCCGGCTCGGCCTGCTTTGCGCGAAACAGTGAGAGTTCAGTCAGTGCCCGAGCAGCATGGTCATCCCGAGCAAAGAGACTTCCGCCAATCTATCTGATCAGCAGAATCCGGTTCGCTGCAAATACGGAGCCGTCCACAAGATGCCCAGAGTTGCATGTGCCTCTGCCATCAACATTGACGCTTGCAAGCTCGGCGTGTCACTTGACCACGGACGAGATCATTGCCGACGCCACTGACGAGGCGAGGGCGGCACATGTTTCGCTCGCCACGCGGTGCGTGCCCACCAGAAAAGAAGTCTTGCCATGGGAATCAGGGACAACACCTCAGGCTCGCCTCCAATGTCTTATTCGTGACTGATCAACCCGGCTGCTGGTGGCAGAGAAAGGCCTGAAAACTCTATTATTGATATTTCGCACAGCCCCCGGGAGGTTACCCTTGCAACAGGAGAGGAGCACTGGCCAGCACGTCGCATTGTGGGGTCAGTACGCTTAGGCATCTGGGAAAGTCCGCACCCTCCCGGACTTGCTGGAAGGCTGGTAGCACAGTGTCAGCCACGTCGGCAGGTCGTTGCGGCACGAGCCAGGGTGCTGCTCCGCCGAGATGGAGGCGCCAGACAGGTCGCGGCCGCTGCCCCGGCGAGACAGTCGGTGGGTATGCCTCGATACGATGACTTGCACCGAGCCTATCGATTCAAAGTCTGCCGGGGATAGCGAGCACGAGCTGGGGGGGGAGTGCCCGAGGTGGTATCCATGCTTGCTCAGCTTTGCTCAGCACAGGCAGCGCTGCGCGAGTTGACAGATGGAGGGGACAGGCTGGGCAATTGCTTGCGCCGCTAATCCTGCCCTGCTTGACCTGGCCTGGCTAGCTGTTTCCAGCGTGCCGGGACCAGTAGCGCGTCTCCCCAGCCCGTGCCAATGAGCAGCCAACAGTTCACGTCAAAGGGGGCTGGGAGACCCGAGCCATAATTTGCAGGTGTCAAACCAGCCAGCTTCATCCTGGGCCGCATAGTGGCTCGAAAGCGTCACCATCCTCCTCCGCTCCGTGCCTCAGCAGCACGACGACTTGGATGGTCAGTTAGAGGACCATGACCGCCCACCTGGCCGCCCACCCGCGGCTTCGGTCCCGCATGAAACCGCAGGCGCTCAGGTCGCCGCGCCCCGCCAACGAGCTTGCTTCACTCCCTCAGCACGCACAGCCCTGGTTAGCCAGCCGCTCTCGCCTCGCCTCGTCAGCAAGGGGCTCAAGTATCTGTCGTGACTGGCAAAGGGGTGGGGATCTCCATGGCAGGCGGTGGTGATGGTTATGATGGAGGTGGTGGTGGTGGCGGCGGCGGTGGCTTCTGATTACGTGTCGGCGTGTGCTGCCACCGGCGGGCAACTCGCTCATTCTCTCTCCTCCCACACTAGCAGTAGCAGCAGCAGCCACGCCAGCAGTGGCAGAGCGAGTCAAGGGGCCACTTTCGTCACAGAGATATTATGAAGCAGCTGTGGCTTGACCATTTGGGCCCAAAGGCCGAAGCACACGGGCGCGCTCTGGAAAAGGATCAAGGCCGACCCCAGCTTTGCTAGAGACACGCCCGCGACAGCGCCAAGTGCTGCACTGGCGATCATCCAACCCAAAGATGGAAGAACCACGATCCGGCCCCACCCCTCGAGTCATTGCCAGGGCCCAGAGCACCCAGATGACATTTGCTTGGATTTCCATCCCAGCACGACCAAAGCCGTTCTGGCGATACGACGACCTCGTCGCAATGCCTGTGTCTGTCCGGGCTCCTCTCACGTGCCGCAACAACCTCTGCCCGCCAGCAGATCATCGCTCGCGTCGGGAAACAGCTCCCGGACGCCTCCTGCCTCTGATCGTCCGCCCGCCCGCCCCGATCGCATATTTTGGGGTTCTCGCGAACTCTACCTCGCAACCCAATGCAATGTCAGCAGGTCTGACGTAGGCCATCCGAGCACCGTGGACAGCTACTTTTGCCGCCGCCGCCGGTCAGCCGCGCCTACCAGTCCTCAATGCCTATCCTCGCAAACGAACCTCGAGCAGTTGCAAGGCAAGGACTGCGCTGCATCTCCAGATTCATGTCATGTTGTCACTCGGCCGCAGGTCCTACATCTCCGGACCGGGGTACCTCTCTAGTCTTGCAGCCGGGCCGGCCTAGTCTCTGCTCGACTGCATTCGTGCCTGTGGCACAAAAAGGGGCTGGCTGCTGGGCTCAACGATTAACATCAGCCACGACCTGTCGCTAGCCCCCGGGGATTTCTTTGGTAGCCGGCGGCAGATCTTCAGCGTTTAGGGGGGTTGTGAACATCGCATCAACTAGGCGCCAGAGGAGTCCCTGGACAGGAAGGACGATACCTCACAGTCAGAAAGCTTGACTCAATTGAACCTACAAATAAAGAAACACGAAAAAGAAAGGCATCTGGCAGGCCTTCGTGGACCAGCACCAGCACTTTCAGCCATGATTCGACGTCACAAGTCATCGTCCTTACGGCATTACTCGCACCATGTGCTAGTCGAGAACGTCATGGCGAGGTGCGCCTTGACCTGCACACGATTGGCCGAATGATACAGTATCGTTGCTGATGAGAGGAAGTGAAGGGCTGGACGCTCGACTCGCCATGCTCGGAACGACTCGTACCCGCATACTATGGACACCACCTTGGGATGGCAGCGTGATTGCAGCTCTCGTCCTCTGTGCTCCACCAGCGACGATTTCGGGGGGACCCAGCCGAACCCGCGGTGGTTCTCCTAGACCAGTCATTGTCTACAGCGTTGCCAACCCGGATACGAGATCACATGGTCGAGCAACTTCAGGCGACGTCGATCACTGGCATACTCATGTGCAATGGATCTCGACCTGGGAAAGAGGCAGCACTCTGTGTGGGCACAATCGAACTTGGTGGCAGCGCACTTCTCAGGCGCGAGTGTGTCTCGAGCATGTGCGCTGACGTTGCAAGAAGGCGGTCGATCAGGCGCGGTAATGCAAGAATCAAGGGCCCCGGGCCTGCGTGCGCCCGCTCCCCAGATGCTATGCTCTTCCGCCTGTTCCCCGGGCGTAGGCGTGTGCCTGTCTATCGTGGCTTTGTATGTAGATCCTTTGGAATCGTCGTTGGTCCAACCAAAGGGTATGCTGCCCCTTGGATCGGTACCTGTCGAGCCGGTCGAGCCTGTGCGTAGAGAAAGTGGGCAGGAACTAAGATTCGGCGCTAGGCGGTCAAACCTGGTGCAGCTCATCTTGGCAAGTGGACGCAGTGCCTGGATTTGTCGCCGTGGTGCCGGGTCTTCTAGGTTCGTCGCAAACCCAGTCTTGCAGAGGAACAGCAGGAGAGCAGAGGAGAGGAGAGGGGCGTGTTGCCGCTTGTCATGAGCGCGCCAGGTGGAGTACATGTGGGTAGATGGGATAGGTGGATGTCATGATACACTGGTACTATCTACACCAGCAGGGCGCCTGACTGCGTAAGCCTAAATGGGCAAAGGGACCAGAGATCCCTACTCACAAAGAAGGTGGACTTGGCAGACCAAAGGCCACACCAAGCATGGCGGGGACTCTGGATGGACGACCCGCGGCGAAAACCCGGGCCAGACGCGGCGCCACGCCTAAACCAACAAGCACCACAAGTGCACCGCCGGCCTTGCTTTGCTCCCCGGCATATGCCCTACGGCTCCCGGCAGAGCTCGGCCCCGACAGACGGGGCTAGACAGAGCCACAAACAAAACAGGATTGGGAGACCTACCTGACCTTGACCTGACTCGTCTTGTCTTGTTGTTGTCGTCGTCGTCGTCGTCGTCGTCGTCGTTGTGGATGGGCGAGAGCCGGGCTTGTTATGGTCAAGTGGGCGACAAAGGCTGTTTTAGTTGTAGGCAGTTCCTGGGAAGGCGGCGGCGGCGGCAGTCACCACGTCGATCACCGTTGGTGGCTGTCCGTTTCAGGAAGAAAGGGGGCATCGATTCCTAGATGCTAAGAAGGGTGACGGGGACAAGTCACTATGTACTACGTAGCTCCGAGGTGGTGCTGGTGCTGCTGGTGCTGCTGCGACACGTCATGTTACCAGCAAGATGAGACGCTTTCGTGGTTGCTGGCTGAGAGACTTGGTGCTGCTTATGATTTGAGTCGTTCTTGTGCTGTTTGTTACACGTCCCCGTTGATGACTACCACGCTGAACAGACATGACTTGCTTCTCACGTAGGCCCTCCGACTTGCGAGTTCCAAGTTGAGTTGTGAAGTTTACAGATGAGGACAGAAGGAGAGAGAGGCGCTGTATTGAACGTCTTGTGTAATGGAGAAGCGTTCATTTCAACTTTTCCGCCCAGTAGGGTGTTCACCGGGGCGACCCGGGAAGGCGAGCTTAGATGCACGCGGAGAGTTGAAACCAGAGAATGTATCTGATGGGTGCAATGCACTACACAACTGGAGAGGGGGGGAAAGGGTCAGAAATAGATCTGGACGGGGCAGCACGTTTGTCTCTACAGTCTTACAGTCTCACAGTCTCACGTCAGCCCGTTGCTGCTGCTGCTGGGGCGGCGCAGTCAAGAGTTCCATACCTATGTGTCGAAAGTAGCGGGTGAGGATATATGATACACATGTACACACACTCTCTCACTCACTTACTCACTCACTTACTCATCAACACACGCACAGGGAGGGAGAAGGGGGGGGGTTACATGGCTTGATAAAGAGACGGCCTGGCAGGGATGAACGGGCGGTGTCGTGGTGTCGTGGATGCACTCAGCGTGGTTTGGCAACAGGAAGGGATATCGGTTGGTCGGTGCTTGGGCGGTGTTATATCTGACGGCGAGCATTCACATCTTTTAATCGCCTGACTGGCTGTCTGTTTTGTGCTCCCCCCCCCCCCCCCCCCGGGTGCCAACAGAAAACCTGCGCGTTTGGTTTTTAGAAGTCTAGGCAGAGTTGCAGGGGAAGGGGTGGCGCGACATTAAGGTTTTGATATCTGCTGAGCAATAGTTGTTGAGGTCATTCTAAGGGAAACGATATATAGATGGATGATGTCGTGGGCGATCTCACCACACAGACGCACAATGCGACAAACTTGAAACATGAATACATGTTTACCAGAATAAACTATCCCCCCGCGAAAACTTGATGGCGAGAATGGAAAGAACAACAGCAAAGGAGTTCATCACGATGCTGAAAAGTCTGCGTCCAGCATGTCACCATTTCCAAAATACCAGCCCTTGTGCTGGGCTCGTCATGAACCGTCTCACAATCGTGGCGTGTATAAGCTGCCGTGCGTAACTGATCCGCTTTCCCATACTTGACAGTCATATTTGATTCCAGGTTTCTAACCAGGAGAGATTGCCATCTGACTTGTTTAGCTGGCCTGCATTCATGGAGGAGGTCCTTGAGCCAGGCGTGATAGCGGGTAACGTAATGATGTAAAGTTGGTGTTAGAATATCAAGGACAGGAAGGAGCAAGCTATGAGTGGCACATCGGCAAGTCAACCAAAGTCAGCAACTCTTGGCCTCACAAATAGACACACGGACGACCGTGACCCCAACCTTTACCTCGGGAAACCTCGACTCCCCGAAATGACAACAGCAATGCCAACATCGTCCACGTGGGACGGTGACGGGCAAAGCTTGAGATTGCCAAGCTGGACCGTATCTTCCGCAGGATACGACATCAAGGCCACACCTGGCGTTTTTCTGACAACGTTCATGCTACCTTTGTCGTTTTTTTTTTTCAAAAGACAGGCCCGCACGCCCCTGCTCGGCGGCAGATCGACGGCGGCTCGACGGCCCGATTGCGTAGAGCCGTGCTGCCGACCGCACGATGCCCGCTTGTGCATGCGTCGCTCAACAAGGGGGGGGGGAGGCTTGAATTAATTCCCCGATGACAATGAAACGTCCATGCTTGTTGGTTTTCGGCACGGGATAGGGCAGAGCGTTCACTGTCACGTCGATCGTGGGTAGGATGACTTTGGGATGCATGGGTGCTAGGGATTATGCCTTCCAGAATTGCCCATTTTGGCATGCCGCAACGAGACGTTCCGTGTTGTCGGAGGCACAACATCATCAGGGTTCGGCGTGGGAATAACGTGATGGTATTGCGGCGGTCCGGCCCCCCCATGGGAAGAAGGATCAATTGGCAATCATGGATCTGTGATCATCAGACTGTATAAGATGACTGTTTGTTCCAGGCCGTCGTCTTTGCAGCGGGATAGATCAAGTAGTGACATCCACCTAACCTTCGACAACGCCTACGACAACTACCAAATAGACAGACAAGAAAAGCCCATCCGCAAAGATGAAATTGACCGCCCTCGTCCTCCTGCCCACCTTGGCCGCCGCGGCACCACACTACACCTTCCCCAAGCTCACGGGCGAGGCCGAGTGGTCCTCTGTCCGGCAGACGGCCAACTGGCAGAACAACGGCCCCGTGACGGACGTTTCGTCCGAGGCGATCCGTTGCTACGAGCGGTCCCCCGGCACCGCCGCCCCGGCCACCGCCTCCGTCCAGGCCGGCGGTGCCATCCGCTGGTCCGCCAGCCAGGCCGTCTACCACCCGGGCGCGCTGAGCGCGTACATGGCAAAGGTCCCCTCGGGCAGCACCGCCGCGACATTCAACGGCGCCGGCCAGGTCTGGTTCAAGGTCTACCAGGACTACCCGACCACGTCCCAGAACCAGTACCAGTTCCCCAGCCTGAGTGAGTGTCTTGTGTCTCTCTCCCTGGTTTCTGGCCATGTGTATAATCAGTCAAGTAGTCCAAAACTAACAAGAAACGCGTTCCCCTCCACCCCCTCACGGCAAAATAGACAAGGCAGACTTCTCCTTCAACATCCCCTCCTGCCTCCCCTCGGGCGACTACCTCTTCCGCATCGAGCATGTCGCGCTTCATGCCGCCGGCCAGGCCAACGGCGCCCAGTTCTACATCTCGTGCGCCCAGATCGCCGTCAAGGGCGGCAGCGGCTCCAAGTCCCCCAGCGGGAACCAGCTCGTCTCCTTCCCTGGCGCCTACAAGCCCAGCGATCCAGGCTTGCTCGTCAACATCTACAACACTGGAGGCAAGGCATACACCCCGGCCGGCCCCAGCGTCTTCACCTGCTAAATGGGGCCGACAGAGTTCTCATGGGAACGAGAGCGAGATGGGTAGGGTCAGCCAGAGGGACAAGAATCGGGGACATGTTCCAGAGTGTATATTTGCCGATACATTGAGACCTCATCACAAATACCTTGCTAACGCCACTTGGGTCACAATCCTGTTGTAAATGCAAGTAGTACACGCAAGTCTAAGAAACTCTTTTGAGGTATCATAATAACTATCTCAGAAACTATGGCCAGAAGCTATCTGTAGAACACATCGAGTGGCTATCACGAGCATATCTGATCCCGAAGGATCAGGCGCTACCTAGGCTGATAAGCCTTGCTACAAGCTGTCCCAACTCCAATCCACGTCAGAAGACGAAAATCCGGAGCTGAACTCAGCCGCAGTCGACACATCCTAGAGATTAAAGCTCTAACGGCCCTTCGTCCTTTTCTCCGCAGTCTGGTAAGCTGGAAACAATCTAATGAAACCAAGAACGAGTCGACAAGTATACACGGATGTCTTGGCTCATGTGCAAGACACGGGCCATTTGTCGTGCGTCAATATTACCGAGTCTAAATCAACCATACCCTCTAAACACAACGCCGTCGGTGCTTGTTGATGAAAAAGGAAAAGTCTCGCTGCGTGGGGCGGTTTATGTGAGTGAACGTAACGATGCCGAATTTCTTTTACCAGCGTCGGTTGTTACCCAGCGCCATGGAGTTGGCACCGCCGGCACCACCACCGCCGCCACGGTGACCACCACGGCCCCAACCTCCTCTGCCGCCGTAACGGCCACCGCCGCCACCGCCATAGCGAGCCATCTCGGCAAGGCGAGGGTCGATCTGCTGCTTGGCCTCCTGGAGAACATTGACCAAGTCACGAGCCTGCTTCGAGTCTACGCGGACGTTAATATCCCATGTCATGAAAACGGGTGGATATGTGCTTACTGTCAGTGGTGAAGAGGGTGATGGCAGTACCAGTGGCACCAGCACGACCGGTACGACCAATACGGTGGATGTAGTCCTCAGAGTTGTTCGGGTAATCATAGTTGATCACATGTGTGATGTTGCGCACATCTTTACATAAGGAAAATGGTTAGCTTCAAAAGTGACTAGAGATCTTGTGGCAAGATCTCGTAGCAATGTCCCAGCGACGGACCGCACAACCGGGCGTGCGGATCCGTGCTCCTCTCCGCGGAGAACGGGGCCTTCTGTTGCGTTTTGTCATGCCACTCAACAGAGTAGAAGTGCGAATGGTCCGGGTCCTCAAATTTCTGGGAGACATCGAGACAGCTTGGCTGTTTCAAGATGCCGACTCCACAACTGCTTCACAGTAACGATGGCACAGGCGGCGCATATCGACGGCGCGGCACCTGAGCCATGCCAGAAATCCCGACAATCCAGGGTTGGAATGGAGAACCACAAGACACAATCAAATAGGACATGCATGTGCGCAATCGAGAGAGCCCCTAGACGTCAGAAGACAGCAAAAGCGGACTCAAGACCGCTGAAGAGCTTGCTACGAGAAAAGAGAGAGCAGGAAAGGGGGCGGGGAGGGGAGGAGGGGGTAGTTTTATTCATACCAATACCACGCGAAGCTACATCGGTAGCAACCATGACGGGACTCTTGCCAGTCTTGAACTGGTCGAGGACCCAGTCACGCTCGTTCTGCTGCTTGTCGCCGTGGATAGCTGGGGCCATGTTAGCGGGCCGGTTTCCAAAGTAAAAATGAGCAGGTTGACTTACAAAGTGCGGGCCAGCCGTCTTGGCGAAGGAAGCGTGTGATATCATCAGCAACACGTTTGGTACCAACGAAGATGAGGCACTTGTTGGAGTGATCCTCCATGACCTTTTCCAGGTGCTTGATCATGCGGTCACGCTTTTCACTCTCAGACACGACCTCAACAATCTGTGTAATGCGATGGTTGGCAGACAGATCCAGCGAACCAATGTTGACCTGGATAAAGTCTGTCTGGAACTCGGCCGCGAGCGCACGGACTTCCTTGGGCCATGTAGCAGAGTACATGAGGGTCTGACGGTCGGGGCGAATCTGGCTGATGATCTTGCGGATCTGCGGCTCGAAACCCATGTCAAGCATGCGATCAGCCTCATCAAGGACGAGGTAGGTGACACGACGCAGGTTAGTCTTGCCACCCTCGAGCATGTCGATGAGACGGCCGGGGGTTGCAATGCAGACTTCGACACCACGCGACAGGTCACGGATCTGGGGTCCACGGGGAACACCACCGTAGACGCAAGTGTTGCGGATTCTGGAGGACTTGCCGAACTTGGTGATCTCCTGCTGGATCTGGACAGCAAGCTCACGGGTCGGGGCAAGGACGAGGACGATGGGGCCATCACCAGGAGCCAGCAGAGGTTGGGCGTTGATGTGGACAATGGCGGGCAAACAGTAGGTGAGGGTCTTTCCGGAACCAGTCTCGGCAATACCGACAACATCGCGACCGGAGAGAGCCATGGGCCAGCCCTGGGACTGAATGGCGGTGGGGGCAGGGAAGCCCTGAGCCTTGACCTCGTCCATGACATAACGGGGGAAACCAGCCTCGTCGAAGGTCTCGACAGGCTTAGGAATATCGGTACCAGTAACAGCCATCTGGTGGTCGCGACGGAAACGGTCGACTTCGCTCTGGGGACGGTTGGCAACCGACTCAGCCTCCTTGTAGAAGGACTTCTCGAACTTGGGAAGGGTGCTCAGATCTAGGATATTCGTTAGTAATCGTGCGAAGGCAATCGCGAGTGCTGAATGACTTTTACTTACCCCAGGTCTGGGTTTGAAGTCCAGCACCGAGCTTGGACATGCGGTCACCACCGCCACCGCCGTAGCCACCACCACCACCACCGTAGCCGCCGCCGCCGCCGCTGTAGCCGTTGGAGCCACTGTTTCATGTCAGTATCGCAGACTTCGGAGCGAGGAGACGGCGTGTCAGGCTTTTGGGCTTGGACGCAGAAAGGTTACAACTTACCCGTAGTCGTTGCGACCACCGCCGCCACCGTATCTGTCGTTGGAACCGCCGTAGCCGCCTCCGCGACCACCACCACCGTGACCGCCGCCGTAGCCGCCGCCGCCGCCGTAAGACATGATGTTTGGTGGAGTATGTGAGATTGGTGTGATGGGATGAAAGGCTGATTGCGCGACCGAGGATTCAAGGGGCGCGCGCCTGGTGTTTGGGCAATGAGCAGGACAAGAACAAGATTATGCGCAGAAAACGAGACTGCGAGATGCTGCGTGCCAAATGAGCGGAGCAAGCGAGGTCGATGGGGGTGTTCAGACCAGCGTTCTGTGGGTGAAGGCAGGCAGGATCGCGATGATGTGCGAAGGACAAAAGGTGCAGGAGCGAAGGACCCCGAAAGTTTGCTCTCAAAAGATAAACAGCAATCGAGCAGACACTTTGCCGCGCGCAGATAAAAGTGGGACCGATAGGCAGGCAAGCCAGGATAAGACGGGCGGAAAACCCTGCCCAGCGAAGGAGAAGGAAAAAAAAAAGTCGGCGCTGCTGCACAGCACGCTGAAGGCCCGCTCCAGGGGGCAAGAGCGTCACTTTTGCCCCCTTAGCCCGGGTCTGTCTGCCACTGGCCCTGAACGCGCCGGAAGGCGAACAGAAGATGTAACCCTGCTTCTGCCCACTTGCCAAGCAGGGCATTGCATGCATGCTAGTCACCCTCAACCCAAAGCACATCCACCTCTGAGATGTGTAGACTTACTGGGGAAGAGGTCGATTCCATCTCTTCCTCACACGAGCCCGTATTGCGTCAGAAGTCGAGCTGCAAGCCATGCTTGTTGAGCGGCAAAACGGAACAATCAACTATTAGCATATAGTAGTCGCTGTGTGACCACTCCCATCACAGATCAACCAAAGACTTGCACATTTCGGGGCAAGGAAGGCCAGGCCGTGAAAAATGCAGTGCTTGCGCCATATCATCCATCACGCTTGAGGCTAGCAACAAGTTCCTTATATCATGCCCTTCGACACCTGATCTTTCCGCTCCTCCCACAACGTCTTGCCCGTGCAAGAGCACACAGCCTTGTCGTTATCCCACATCCCAGCACTCCTCGCAATGACACCCAGCACAGTGCTCTCGTTGTTATCAAGCTCTGTCTTGTTGGCGTCCTGTTGAGTGACAACCATGGCGTGGCCAATGATCTCCCACACCTGAAGCGGGTGATCGGTAAACATGGAGCCCTTGCCGTCCTTACCAACGTCGATAGTCCCAAGAAAGCCTCGAGCCTGCCCCGTGCTGTTGTCGCCAGCCCACGCAGGGCCAGTCGATGAAGCCCCGTATTGCAAGTTTCCATACTCCCTGATTGTTGCATTGTATTTGCCAGGCTGCACGCCGTGGATGGTAAGATCGACAATCGTGGCCGTGGGTGACACAGACACCATGCGAGCCAGGCCACGGACATTCCTGGGATCCAGCCACGAGCTCATTTGGACGGCTCCAGGTGGAAGTTCGGACTCGCCTCCGCCATCGCCTTGCCTCTGGTGAAATGTCTCGAGAATGCAGACGGCGGCACCGTTTGTGGTACCGGAGCCTCGCAGTATCGCATCGCGGCCCGTCGCCTCGATCGCCTTGACGATACTGGATGGTGCAGCTGTCAAGCAAAGTCAATATCCTACACGCTGAGTCCCGTCCGAGCAGTGTGTTCTCACCTGTACCCTCGACTGTGACTTGCTGCTTCTCGAGGTCCGCATCGACCCGGTTGACACCATCAAGAGCGTGCAGTGAGTCGGATACGGACTTGACACAGCTCTCGCATGTCATGTGGACAGCAAAAAGCGTCTGGCTCACGGTGCATTGTCAGATCGCAGAGTTGCATGCATACGGAATGTGTGCTCTGCACTGACTTGGAAAGGAGTCTTGACTTGATTCTGGACGGCCATCTTGCCTGCTGAGAGATTCGCCTCGGCGTGCTTCTTCGGTTGCCAAGTTGTGTAGTGGAGATGTGATGTCCCGTAAAAGCCAACGGTGGCACAGCCCGTGAGAGTAGCGATCTGTGTATATGTGATGCGTGATAGCAACCGGGGCATAATACAGCAGAGTCGATCCGGAGAGTGATGTATGATATCAACCAGAAATCATTCGACTTACACAATCCTGGCCGGCCCGGGCGCCCCAGGGTGCTATTGTTCGGTTGCTTTGTAATAGGACCCGGCCGCACTGCCGGGGCCGGTGCTGGAGCTCCGGATGACCTTGCCACCTGGCGCAGCTGCCCTCTGCCACTTTGGCATGTGGTCGCAACCAATTGGCAGCTGGCCGCCACAACATTGCTGCAACCAACGTCGCCATGCCATAGGACCGTCGGGTGTCCAATGGGCATTGCTAGGAAATTTTAGGGTCGAACGCACGACGATCAACTGCACACACCGCGCACTCAAAACGACGACCAGCCCTTGCCTGGCTGCCAGCGAACACTTTGCCAGAGCCGGCCCTGGGTGACTGTCGACGCACATATCATTGACCTCTCAAACATCACGACAAGGGGCCAGTCCCCTCACCCAAAAGCGCCAACATGTCGCAGACACTCGGTCTGGTATGTGACCCCCCCCAGCCGGCATTATCCCTATTAACCTCGCACGAGTCTTGCTTGCTTGCTAACGGTCTTGTCCGCTCCTTACAGACCAAGTTGGCCTACTCCCGGACATGGCACCACATCTCGGCCTCGGCACCACACCCTACGCTCTCGACACAACCTAATGTGACGCCGCCGTCACTAGGCCGGCTCGCCTCGCGCATCGCGACGATTCTGTGCGGCAAGCACAAGCCGATCTGGGACCCCTCGACCGACTGCGGCGACTACGTCGTCGTGACGAATTGCGCGGCGCTGCACACAACGGGCAACAAGAAATGGCAGAAGACGTACTACCGGCACAACACGCGGCCGGGCTCGCTGAAGCACGTCACCATGGACGTCCTCATGGCCAAGCACGGCGGCGCCGAGATCCTGAGGAAGGCTGTCAGCGGCATGCTGCCCAAGAACCGCCTGCGTGACAAGCGGCTGGCGCGGCTTAAGGCGTTCGAGGCCGACGCGCATCCGTACAAGCAGAATATTGTCCGGTTCGGCGGCGTGCAGGTCGGCAAGGAGGGCTGGGAGGATGCTGCGAGGGCGATCAGAGAGGCTGGGTCGGAAAGGTTATAGATGGTCGCACGGTGGAAGGAGAGAGAGAGAGAGACAGATGATCATCTGCGCACATGGCATGGGCATGGGCTTAGCCTGGGAATGGCTATGACACTTCGAACTCAAGAAATTCCTACCTTTCAGTAGGCAAAGTTCTGGGGACGAATCCAAGGCGACGACATTGAGTCGACCTACGCAGAAACAGGCCAGCCGAATCTGGCCGTGTACAAACACACCCTGTACAATTGTTAAATACAAAATGATGCAAGCAATGGCAACTCTGGAATGCTCAGGTGGTACACGAAATTCTGACGGTGCCGCAACGCCGCAATGTGCAGAGCAGCCGCGGAAATTTTATTTCGACATGAGCATGCCACAGCTTCACCATTTTCATGTCATGCAGACACACGCTCATGAGCAGAGACCTGAGCCAATCACATATCGCACATTGTGGCCCATTATCGCATCATCAGAAAGCCATGCTTTCTATTTCTTTTTGGATCGGTATTTAGTTTATACACAAACGACCATCATTTGGTCGGCAAAAGTTTGATATCAAAACCAACGCCTGAGCTTGAAAACCGGGAAATTCAAGAAAACGCAATACCCATGCCGCGATCCCTGCCCTGCACGTCTACAATACTGCCCGCTGGTCGCGGGAGACCTCGACCTTGATGAGGCCATTGGGCCCGGACTGTGGTACATAGACCTCGGCGTCCTTGCCCGTGTTCTTGATGCCCTTGTGCCACGAGAGGTCTGAGAAGGTTGTAAGTCAGCAAGCCGGCCCGTAGATGATGCGTTTCTGGCTGATGAGAGCCAAATATTGGATAGAAGACTTACCGAGCTCAAAGTAGTGCTTGTTGGGCAGTGCGTAAAACACCTTTGCGACGTCCGGCGCGGCATCCAGAATCTGCTCGCACATCTTGTACATGGTGGCCTGCACGGAGGGGCTCTCCTCCTTGGCAAACGTGGAGAGGGTGATCTCACGGGCGGCCGCCCAGGCCTTGTCGAACACGGCGGTCTTGTCGTTGACGGCCTGCAGCGAGGGGAAGAGCTTCCAGGTCCAGGCGGCGTCGACGTCGGTGGACAGGATGCGGTCCCAGGTCTCGGGGAGGGTGGTGTACTCGTCGCGGACAAAGCCGTGGAAGGCCGAGCCCGTGCTCTTGAGGACGGTGAGCTTCTTGATGGAGCTTTCAATCAGGGTGCCCTTGCCGCGGATCACGCGAACCGCGACGTTGCGCGTCTCCTCGCCGTCACGGAAGAAGCTGTGCGGGTGCGGCTTGCCGTCGACAATCATGCGAGTCCAACGGTGCTGGATGACGTCAATGTTGGCAACGGTGATGTGCGGGTAGCGGTCGATGAAGTGTTGGCCCAGCGTGGCTGACCAGACCTCGATGGGGTTGACCGGGTGCTCCTTGGCCTTGATGTAGATGGTGTTCTTGATTGAGTCGGTCGCCACGACGACGCTGTTGTCCGCCTTTGTGTACGAGGTCTCGATGGCGCCCTCGAGTAGACAGCACACGGTCAGCTCTGTCACGGTCTGCGTGCCGGCCGCGGCGTCGCGCTCAACCTTGTAGACGCGGACATTGTCCTTGCCGTAACGGGCTGCAGATACAAAGGGCATCTTGTGAGAAATTGACGAATTTCCTGTTACTGGGGGTTGAGGCGATTGATGATGATGAGGACAGTGTTTCCAGATGGAAGCAGCAGCGAGAAGGTTGAGGCGGAGGCAAAGGGTGACGAGATAATGCAAGTCTACAACAAGAGGCAAGCGGCGGGCTGATATCAATTGATTGAGTTGAATGAGGGCTAGCCTGGAGGAAGCTCGAGATAAGGGACCGATGGCTTTATATGGCTGTCCTAGGTGACGTCCCGTCCGTGGCAGTCCCTGTGCCGGCGAGGGCCTGAGCTCCGGATCCAGCCGTCCGCCTGGCTCTGGTCGCCGCCGCCGCCGCCAACAAGGCTCCGTGATGTTGCCCCAGTGGGAGATCCAGGGGTTGTTCAATTGTTGCGATGCGGCCTGGCCCAGCGACGGCACATGGGGCGTCTCCGAGAGGCGCGTGTGGGGGGAGATAGCGGGTTCCCCGTCGCGTGGTACGACGGAGCAGGCCGGCAGCGGCCGCCTCCTTGCTGTGGCCACCGGCCTCAGGCGGGCTCGGCCGGTCCAGTCATGCCAGGCACGAGGACTGCCCAGGTGGTCTAGCCTGGAGCGAGACCTTTGGCGGCCGGCTTGGGTCGACTGAACCTCGTCGTCTTATTGCAAAGTCTGACCTGATGGGCAGCCATCTTTCTGCTCATGTCTTTTGAGACATGTCGCTCTAGTCAATCCTCAACTTATGAGCTTCAAGTACGACAGCATAAGGCCTTACTGCGTCAGGACATCTCAAAATGGTCTTTCGAACCCTCCGCTCACACATACTCGACTTGGACATTTTCACACTTGTCGCGGTCGTTCTGGGTTAAACAGTAGCATCATTTTTTCCACATCCGCAGGCTGCCCTAAACAGCACAGGCGATCTGGCCTGCTAGAGCGTTTTCATCCACGAAGTAATTTTGGGTTACCTTATAAGGGACTTTACCATGCATCACGAGTCCTGCGTGGGGACACTTGGACCGTGGATCTGCCCATAGTCCTGGCGTGCACCTACAACCAAGTCTCAGGGCCATCCGTGGATCGCAGGGCTACCACAAGATGGTGCAAGTGGGGCCTTTCGTCTGCACCTTGTGACGCAGTCCGTCCGTTCTTGGGAGGTCTGCTTGACTACATTACTCTATGCTCTTCTGAACCGGCTGTGGTTTTTGCTTTTGATGGTCCTGTAGCTCTCCAAAGGAAGGCGTTGTGTCTTGCAACGTCTCTTGCCAAGACTAGAGTGGAGGGGTGCTTGCTCCTCACTTCATGTTCACCACCACCAAGCTTGCTCGCTCCCCCACAGCTGCTCAGGCGCTCTCCACAACCTCCATCCAGCCTCGCGGCACCTCTGACGTTGTTTCCCACGTCGCGATCCCCTCGCTCTGCACCCGTGCCTGCAGACTGCTGGCGCTGACACGGCTTTCGACGTTGTCGAGAGTCTGCCAGATCTCCCTTTTGTCTTCGTCGACCGCCGCCTGTTGACAGGCCGCTTCGTTCGCTTCCCTCTCCGACTGGGTGACCGTGTGCCTCTTCCACCACAATCGAACCTGCCTCCGCACTCGAATACGAAATCTCTCCCCACGCTTGTCACAACGAGTGACCCATCTCAACTGACCGACAACGTCCATCTCAACGTGCCCAGCCAGAGGCAGGCTAGTTGGGCTGACTCGCCGCGAACCCTATCGAGCAACGACCGCCACTCGGCCGATCCTGTTCCTCTGCGCGACCCCTCCACGCGACAGCCGTCAAACCCCCTTACGGCTTCTGGCCAGTGGTTCATCTATGCGATCGCTGTCTGTCGGGTGAGCCGCTCCTTGGGGACTGTCCCAGCGGGCGGACACTAGACACGACCTGCGACAATGTTGGGCTCCTCGTCCGGCATGCCGGCGCAGAAGTCGTACACCACACAGGCGCCCGGCTCACTCAAGCCGTCCACAGCAGCTGGGCGGACAAGTCTTGATCGAGACGGGGGCCTCCAGCCACCGGGCGCGTCCAATGTATCGCGCAACAACCTGTCGGCTTCTGCCGTGTCCTTCGGGGCGAGGAGCAACATGAACTCCTCCCCCGCACCGGGCAGCTTCAGTTCTGAACTTCGCAGCCAAACCTTGCAGTCGCGAGCAGGTTCCAGGGTCGAGACATATGGTCAGGACCAGCTAGATGAAGACGAGGACGCAGCGTACGAGCGCGCGCTGAATTCCGCCAAGGATGCGCTCAACCGTGAGATCAAGATCAAAGAAGGCAGTGAAAACCTACTGGAGGCGCTCAATGCGAAGAAAGCCAAGGTCGCCAAGGAGCAGCGCACGCGTGTCGAGGCTGAGATATCAGCATCCAATGTGAGGATCCGCCAACATCAACAACGGGTTGCTGAGCTGCAGCGCACGAAAGCGACCCCCGCCACGCCGATCAAGGGAAGAAACGATATACCCCAACAGGTTGGATTGCAAAGGTCCCCGGGCAGCGCATCCCGCAGTGACGATGGCTCAGAGGACGACGAACCAACCGAGTCTCCCACGTTCGTAGTCGCCGAAATACTGCAGGCGCTGGAAATGGAGGGTATGACACCCGAATACTACGTCAGCAGAGCAAACAGCCTTGTGGACTTATTCAAGAGGCACCCTACCATCAAGTACGATCTCGTGTGGTCGATTTTCGGCGACCGCATGCAACTCATGCTCTTGAGTGGGAGCAGAGAGGTGGTGGCCGCCGCGTATCGCGTGCTCCGCTATTCCATTTCTGACATATCTTCACTCAAGCGCATCCGCAATCTCAACACTGACTACATGGTGGTGGTCTCGTTGGCAAAGGATCGCAAGGCCGACGTGGAGCGGGAGCAAGCCCTCAAATTCGTCCGGGCGTTCTTGGATGTCAAGGGCGGTGTCAGCGAAGTCTCGCGAGGGCTCGTCCGGACTATCGGTTCAGTCGCCGAATTTGTGGAAGACCGCCTCCGCCCAATTTGCATCGAAACTCTGGCCGAGATCTTGCTGCGCGATCCCGCACTTCTGATCGCTTCTGGAGGCTTGAGTCCGCTGTCAGAAGCACTGGCGGAGGGCACATACAAGTCACCAGAATCGCTCTCTGCGACATTTCTATACTTACTCGACAAACCTCAGACGCGTGTCTACCTGCGTCCAGGAAATCATCTCGAGGTCTTGTTTACAGCCTTCACAGACGTTATATTTTCGTACGAGGCCATTGTCAAGCAGAACTCGAAAGCCATTTCGTCCGCACTTAAGTCATGGTCAGGTCTCATGAGCCTGTGCATGTACAATCTCGGCGCCGTCGCCTCGTTGATTTCGAGCTTGATGCTACCGAATCCTGGCATTCGAGACACGGTCATTGATATGCTTTACTCATTACTTCGCATAAAGCCTCCAGCGTGGGCTACCTCATATCTCGCTGGCCGGCGACTCACGACGTATGGTCGGGTGGCTACCCTCAAGGCGGCAGCCCCTACAAAAACCTCGTCCTGGTTTGAAGAGGATGGTTCGGAACAGAATTTTGTTGATCACTATACGGCGATTCTTCTCGCGACCTTCATCAAAGCTGGAATGATGCCACAGCTACTACTGGTAGCACAGGACACCGACGATCCTACACTGAAGCGCAAAACGACCCTTTTGATTGGGGAGACGCTGAAGCTGGCGAGCAGGCTGCTGCCATCTTCATGGAGTAGTGAGCTTCAACTGCTGCCTGAGCTGTTCTCGGTGGCAGCACAATTCGAGAATGACGAGGCTCGCTTCAATGCCACCGGTATCGTATACCAGATCAGTAGCGTGAGTCGCACACTCTACCGCTCGTCACCGTCTGGTCTCAACTCGGGTTATCTTCCATCGACCCGAACCATAGAGCGACTTGGTTCCGTGGACGAAACCACGAGGCCCGGAGTCTCCATCACCACCGACGATGCCACTTTCCGCCAAATGCTTATCGACTCAGGAGTACTGGGAAGCTCGAATCCCACGAAATGGAACTGGGACGTCATGTTGAAGATCATTGAAGGCCCTCTGCTCAACGGAAAACGGGTGGAGGAGGCTATCAAGGCCTCGAAGTTCCTAAAAAGAATATTCAGCTTCTACCGGCCATTCAAGTACAGGTTCGCAGAGATCAAGAACACGCGCAATACGCAAAAGTACGTACGCGTGGGCTGTGCGCTGATGCACTCTCTGCTCCAAACCGTGGAGGGCACAAGATACTTGACGGACAATAAGCTGCTGCGGCAAATCGCCGAGTGCCTAGCACAATGCGACCCGGTAAGCAATCGTTCTTGCCCTTTGGCGATATCACTGGCTGACCTCCTTAAAGACAAGTGGCATCACTGCGCAATACCCAATGTTTTCGCCTGATCGACTAACCGACACATTGTGCTGTGGCTACTTTCCCATGATCGGTGTCCTCACGGGCTACCGGAAGGGCATGGCGATGTTAGAGAAGTGGCACATATTCAACATGATGTATCACATTGTGGATCTTAAGCAGCGTCCAGATCTCATCAAGCTGCTGCTCTCCAACTTCGATTATAGCATTGCTGGGCATGCTCGCGTTCTGCTCTCGAAAGCGTTGACAGCAGGCACCAAAGACATGCGGATACACGCCACAAACGCACTCAGAAAGTACTCGACTCTGCAGCGACTATCGCCAACCGGACAGGTCATCTCAGACTCGAAATGGGCCATACAGCTTCTGGTGACGCAGCTCTATGATCCAGAGGTCGAGGTGTGCGCGACTGCCGTGAAGATACTGGAGAAGGCGTGCAATAGCAAGCATCTCCTTGAGTACATTGTGGAATGTCGACCTGCCCTCGACCATCTTGGTGAGATAGGTGCGCCTTTGCTGCTGCGGTTCCTGTCGACATCTATTGGATACCATTACTTGGATAACTTGGATTACATCAGCAATGAGATGGATGACTGGTTCCTGGGCCGCAATGACGCGTACGTTGGCTTGATTGAAGCAAGTCTGGCGCGAGCCTTTGTGGACAATGCCGACGAGCACAACAATCGCCTGAGCATGTACGATGACGACCTGGAGTTGGATGCAGATCAGCACATACCACCACACTTCTACCGCGAACTGACCAGGACGAAGGAGGGGTGTCGGCTCCTCGAGGACAAGGGCCACTTTGAAGAGTTTGCGTCCACCATCCGCGAGCTCGGTATGCAATCTGAGGATCCGGAGATTCTCACCAAGGTGAAAGGGTGCCTATGGGCCGTTGGCAACGTTGGTTCAATGGAGCTCGGCGCGCCGTTCCTCGAAGCCACAGATGTGGTCGAGCACATTGTGCAGATTGCCGAATCACACGATGTCATGAGTCTACGTGGGACAGCGTTTTTCGTGCTCGGACTCATTTCAAGGTCGATCCATGGGCTTGAGATCCTGTCGGAGCACGGATGGGAATCCAACACGACCCCGCTCGGTAACTCGCTGGGTTTCTGCATTCCCAAAGATCTGTCAAGGTTCTTCTCTGTACAGCCCTGGAAGTACGAGAGCCCAACCATGATACAGCTCCCACATTCTCAGACAACTCTAAGCCAAACCATCGAGGGCGCACCAGAGGATGAAACAAGCCGGCGGGTGATGGAGCTCATGGTTGAAATGGGCGACATGGTGAAGTACAAGAAAGCCCGCCATGAGCTGGCGCAGATGCGCGGCAAAAAGGACATGGCATTCCGCCAGCCTGTCCTGTTCCGGCGCGTGCTAGCATTCTTGGAAACACACCACTACCGACTACCCGATCGGCATCTTGTGATTGAGCTGTTTGACAAGAACGTGCTGCGGCGTATCGTCTATGGAGACGACAGCGACGAGGAGGTGGAGAGCAGTTCTGGAGACGAGCAGCGCACGGAGCGGCAGAGGAGCATAAGTGACCCTTCTGAGCTTGGCCTTGGTGGTTCGGTGCCTGAGATTCAGGCTTCATTCTGAAGCGGTTTCTCCTGGCCGTGAGCAGCGCGATGCGGACGGCTCCAGCTTGCATTGGAGATGACCTTGGCGCAAGAGGACCGGGTCACGGCGTGTGTTACGGCACGGGGAAAGGCTGCAAAATGAGAGTTTTATTTCTGGAAATTGGAGGTTGCCGTATGGAATGTGAAATGCAAGGTGTTCCGGCTGTAGCAAAAGAGATACCACAGAAATCGATGTTCGAGTTTGGCAAGTTTAATTCGATGCCCTGTTTTCTGCGAACTGCGCAGCATGGCTGTCCCTTGATTTGGGATCTTCTTGGTCTGTTCCCGACCGTGCTGCTCCCGGGGTGCCGATGCCGGACTGTGCCTGGTTGACAAAGCCTCGACTCGGGACGCTGCCGGACGGGTAATGCCGGCCCAGGCGGCGCGGGCTTCCCAGTGTCCATATTCCTGCCGCAGATCCGGTGCCTGGGCCAATCGCTGAAGTACCTGACGCTAACGAACTCTGGTGTGCTCTGATTGAATAATAGTTCGAGGGAGGTCATGATGACGACTCGCCAGCCATTCTTGGGTGGTCCGTCACTTGCTGCTTGCTTCTTGGCCCTGGATGTTCTCTAGGATTCGCAACGCTGGTCTCATCATCCAACCCGTGGTTTTTTGCTCTGCTGCGCCAAGACGGGAACCGCCGCTGCAGGCACCTTTTTATTTTGGTACCAGCACTGTCCAAGCGAAGAGGTTCGGCATCGGAAGCGTGGGTTTTGTAAGTCGTCGGCCGTTTGCCCCGCCCCCACTCTCGCTCGCTCTCTCTCATGTGCCTGAATGCAATACGGCCGTCGGTGTTTTGCCGGAAGGACTGAGCTCTGCTGGGTCAATAATGACACGAGTGTGTATTTGTCCAGAGGCGAAATAGGTAGTCATTGCAGATTTGCTCTGGTCGCTGTCGGTCGTGGATAGGTAACAAGATCGGCTAACTCGGTCTGCTGTATAGCGCGATCCCTCTCCACCAGGCACACAAAACTTGAAAGAGTTCTATCTGGGTTGTTATTGTTGACGGCGTGCAGCATCCCATCCGGTGGGACGGACTGCTATTCGACGTTCCTGGCTTGTTGTGTATTCGGCAACACTGCAAGGTCCGGACACATAAAAGTCCCAGCGGCACAGCTCGACATTTTCACGAAGCCATCGCGGGTATACTTCGTGTTGAGTACATCCAACGTTGAAAAGATCTGAGCACGAGGGAACAGATCGGTGGATCTCGATACGGCCATAACAGACTCAACCACTGCCGAGTTTCGTCTCACCTGCGATACCACAAGCTGGGACCGCGTAATTGGAGGCGGAGCGATAACTACCAGCCATTTACGGTGACCCAGAAGTTGGACTGAATCAACGTTAAGCAGAATATCCCCTACACAAACACGGACAGATCACAAACCCTTTTGCCAGCCATGGCCACCACCACCACCGCCGGCGAGAACCCCAGGACCGTCCTCGTGGTCGCTGGGTCGGATCCCTCGGGCGGGGCCGGTCTCGAGGCAGACCAGAAAGTCATTGCGGCACACCGGTGCTACGCGATGACGGCGACGACCGCGCTGACGAGCCAGAACACCACGGGCGTCGACGGAATCCATCTCGTCCCCGCAGAGTTTACGCGCAAGCAGATCGACGCCGTGTTTCGGGATATCAAGCCCACGGTTGTCAAGAGTGGTGCGTGTTATTCTCCTTGTCAGGTGTTGCTTTTGTCGTTTCCATTGGACACTTGTCCCGCCGAGCAGGACTGTCCATCTGCTTGTGAAAGCTCTGCTGACTTTGGTGGAAAACCCAGGCATGTTGGCTGCGACGGAGACCATTGAAATGTTCGCCAGAGCACTTACAGACTACAATGTCAAGTCGCTTGTTCTTGATCCAGTGAGTCGGGCAAAGCGTCCACGATAGACGTCTCGCTGAATTGTGTCAATCTACGATTGAGGCGGACCAACCTTTCCCTCGAGGTTTTCTGACTGACTCGAGACAGGTCATGGTTGCTACGACAGGCTCGCGGCTACTGCCGACCGAGGCACTGGAAGCATTGCGGACACTGCTGCTGCCGCTGGCCTTTATCGTGACGCCAAACATTCCAGAGGCCCTGCTCCTTTCGTCGTCTGGTAGCCAAGAAGAACACCGCAAGGTCAGAAGTATTGACGATCTCGAGGCCATAGCCCGCAGCCTCAAGGCTCTCGGCCCGCAATGGGTCTTGGTCAAGGGCGGCCACGCCCCGTTCAAAAGGGATGGCACCGTCGCGGAGTCGGACAGCGACAGACAGATCGTTGTGGACGTCCTGCTCAGCCCAGATGGCGAGGTGACGCGCTTCACGAATGAGTACCAGGACTCCAACAACACCCATGGGACCGGCTGCTCGCTCGCGTCGGCGATCGCGTCGAATCTGGCCTTGGGACAGCAGCCTGTCGAAGCAGTCAAGGCTGCTATCCGCTATGTCGAGGCTGGTATCAGGACTGCCCCCGGATATGGACAGGGCAATGGGCCTTTGAACCACTTTCACTCTATCCGAACCCTTCCATTTGCACCGTAAGTATGGCCTTCGAGGACCTCGCCTGTCGCTTGTTCCATGTGTACAGGCGAGCACCTTGAGACATTATACTGCACAAGCTGGTGACTGACTGACTGGCTTGTTGCGGATTAGTGGTCGCTTTGTCGAATATCTTCTCAACAGGCCGGACGTAGCTCCCGTCTGGCACGAGTTTGTCAACCACCCTTTCGTGCTGGCCATGGGCAACGGCCAACTCCCACTTGATTCCTTCAAGGGTTACCTCGTGCAAGACTATCTTTACCTAGTCCACTTTGCGCGAGCCAACGCGCTGGCCTCGTACAAGGCCAAGAGCATTGCCGACATCGCAGCAGTGAGTGTTACTTTTATTTTTCCTACACCATTTCACATCCTTCAACCGTGATATGTTAAGAAAAGACATTCCTGACGCGCCTCCTGCGGCTTTCTCTATCCTAGGGCGCCAAGATCGTCTCCCACATCCACACCGAGATGAGCCTGCACATCAACTACTGCGCGACCTTTGGCATCTCGGTCGCCGAGATCGAGGCGACCGAGGAGCACCAGGCCTGCACGGCGTACACGCGCTACGTGCTCGACATTGGCATGTCCGAGGACTGGCTCGGCCTCCAGGTCGCGCTGGCCCCGTGCCTGCTCGGCTACGGCGCCATCGCGCAGCAGCTCCACGCGGACCCGCGGACGCGCAGGGACGAAGGGAACACGTACTGGCCGTGGATCCTGAACTATGTCGCCGACGACTATGTCCAGGCCGTCAGGACGGGATCGGGTGAGTAGTTTGTTCTCCCCCCTCAGGTGCTTGTACTGCAACAACAGCATCGGCAGAAGCAGCAGCAGCAACAAGCAAGCGACGAATTTCTCGTTTGCTCTTGCCGTGTTCAGCTGTCGGCCTCGTCTACGCCTGTATAATAGTCACTTATCATTCTTTTTTTTTTGTTGCCAGAACTCATCGAGAGACACGCGAGTCTGCAGTCGCCGACACGGATCGAGGAGCTCGTCAAAGTCTTCATCCATGCCACAAAGGTAAATAAAGAAAAAGTCTTGCATTTGCTTTCTGGCGGCTGTGTCGTTCTTTTTGCCTTGTCCCTTTCCGCTAGTGGTTTGTTCGCCTCCTCTCCCCTTCTTCCATGATATTGCAACTTTTGTTTCTTTTACCCCGTAGTCTGTGACCTCGTTTGAACGCCTGAACGCCGGCCCGCAAGAGGAAAGGGAGGGAAAGACGTTTTTTTTTTTTTTTTTTTTTTTTTCCTTCTCTGGAATTATCATCAGAGCGCTTGATACTCCGTTCGCAAAACAATCACTGATACCCCAAGTATGAACAGATGGAGATTGGGTTCTGGGAAATGTTCCCTAGCTCTTGATATATCGCAAACCCCCCGCAATGACGTCTTGTCTACCTTTTTGGGGAAGGTTTTGGTTATTGGCTCTTCCGGAGTGGGAAGGTATACTTGTCGTTGAGTTCATTCAGAGATTCGGCAAAACATGGCGCAGAAGGAGAGATGCGTGGGCACTTTTGTCTCGAGGAGTACTCAACCAAGATCTTGCTGGATGGTTAGGTTGACCACACAGAGTAGATACTTCTACCCACAAAGTTCCATGAAGGAAGGCGAGTCGTGCTCGCAGTGATCAACTTATTGGTGCTTGGGGATGAATATGACTGTTAACATATGCATGTCCGTGACTGTCGAAACCCACAAGGTTTATTGATAATGGTATGAGCAGAGTATATCAAAAACGGCCTCTCCGCACGCCGCGAGGCTGCTCGTAACTACTCTATGTGACCTTCGACCATGACCAGACAAGTAATCCAAGAGAGGGTTCGTGGTGAAACAAGACTGTTCATGCCGTTCATGTGACAAGTAAACAGGCTAAAGTATAACATAGTCAAAACCCCCCTGCCCGTCCAAGAGCCTACGCTTTAGAGTTTGAGACCGCTTACCAAGAAAGAAACAATGAGGCTGTACACTGGTCGGCCATGGGGAGTCCTCCACCAAGTGAAACCACGATGGGCTGCTCTTCTTGCTCGAACCATAGACTCGAGTTTCCTCCTGCGAGTTGCCGCCACACCTGCCTGCCCTGCCTTAACCTTTGGCTTCCGACTATGCGGAAAGCACTGCTGTGCCCGAAACCTTGCCATGGCGTATGGCGTGGATGCCAGGCATGCAGTGCGTTTCTAGTGGCGAGCCTTTGTCGTCGTGCCAGACATCGACTCATCTCGTCCCATCCTCTCCGCAGCATGGGGGTTCAAGGGTCATCCACGGCATTGGGCGGAAACACTTCCAGAGGAGGAGAAGAAGAAGAAGGCTGAAGTCTAGTTGCAGGGCGCATGAACAGTTAAAGTCTACGAAATAATGCGGGAAGCCCATAGGGCAACCCCAGCTCCAGGAGCCCGTCAAACGACGGCCGGGGAAACAAAGTGGTCTGATTTTGCTCTTCTTGGTAGACATGGGGCCGCAGAGTAGGCAGTTGCTGCATTGAGCGAAATCGACAGCATTCTTAATTGTCCGATAGGCTGAGCTTCTTGGAAATGCAATGCCATGCCGCTGGGATGGGGCTGCAAGTGTAGCTCCCGTTGCTGCTTGCTGCGAGGACGGGAGGGAGACAAGGAAAAATCAGACCACTTTGTTTCCAGGTGGTATGCTGGACGGGGTGGGACGACGCGATCGATGGTCTGAATCTCGTTCTATCATGGTTCGATGGGGGACCTCTGGGCTCTGCAAAAGGAGACCTGGGCTGGTGCTTGGTCGTGGGAGGCAGGCCTTGGGTAAGTCTTGTCTGGCGCTTCAGCGCTAAAGCACCATGTTTTGGGGCTGTTACAGTTCAGGCCAGGGAGGGTGTCGACAGGGGTGTTCCCACCCTGGCCCGACAGGCTCAGTCTCAGGACCCTGGCCAGTCTTGCGACTGCCGGGTCTGCCATGAGCGAGAGGCTTCTCGGATCAGTTTCATCCCTTGTCCGGCTGGCATTGTCATGGTACTCGGGCTTCTGAGATCTGATCGACCACAGCGGTGCGGCAGGTGTTTGAGTGGCAGTGTACGTCATGACAAGCGAATCCCCAACTGTGTCTTCTGGTCCGGGGAACGGCCGTGTGGTGGCATTTGCAATCTGCAGCGCCAAGCAGAATCATCTGATTTGACTGCTCGCAATAAGTCTTAACGAGAACAAATACCATAATTTTGTGGCATAACGGTTTCCTCGGGGAGTCGTCATTCCGCCCCGTCTCTAAAAGCCATCAACTGGGCGCTGAAGCCTCGTAGGGGAGTAGGGCTTCGATCTTCGATGCTGGTCGCGTCGCTACTACCAGCGCGATCTCATGGCTGCAATGCAATGCAAGGCGCCTGCGATGCAAGAGGGTTCAAGTTGCTGGCCAGGAGGCGAGCAAGCGGGCCGACGTCAGGTCCCGAGAACCTCCTGGACTAACCCCCACCCCTGAAGAAAGAACGAACCTGCCTGCCGATCGCCACCCCGTCAGGGCTTAGCGTAACGACTATGCCTTGTTTCCTTCCTGCGAGGAGAGACAACTCCAGGCTTGTACTACACTCTGAAGATACGCTTGTGTCTGGACGTGGGTGGCCGGCGCGTCAAGTCCTCGGCCAAACGTCTGCGCCGCGATCTGGACAGCCCTAGGCGAGGAACAAGGAGTGCAGAAACCGGTCGTGGCCCAGCCAGTATCCGGAACATTGCGAAACCTCAAACGCAAGCTCCGCCACAGCTGGGTCGCCGCCAGTCTCAAGGGACGGGCCAGGCAGGACGAGTCAGATGCCATGCTCCATGGTCGCATGCCTGGAGAGAGAGTCGCTTCGTCGCCAAAGAACAAACTTTCCGTCAGGGCCGGCCCCTGGCGGTGATGAAGGTGTGGATATGCCGCCTCTTAACAAGTTTATGCATCTCAAGGCGACAGAGAGCTCTGAGCTCCGAGCATGCCTTGGCATCCCAAGTGCAGGCCGCCGTGGTGATCTACACAGGTGCCAAGGTCAAAGTGTTGGTCTGTGGCCATGGATCTGGGGTTGTATGCAGTTCTGTCCTCGGGCCCGACAGGTCGGCGCCTAGCTGGGCGTGCGCGTTGAGTCGGAGCTGGGGCGCTTGACCTGATGGCCCAGCGGCAGGTGTTCTGCCGGCTGGCAGCCTGGGCCCGGCAAGGTGGGCGAATGCGGCCTGTGCAAGTACATACATGCAAAGCACACCAGACGGGTTGGAGGTGGCTTGAAGCTGTCACGGTGGTGAGGACGGTGACGGCGTGCATTGCCTGGTGATGGTTGTTGGACTGGTGCCTGAGGCTGCCCACTTAGACGGCGAGGGAGGCGCAACCCATGCCTTAGTGACGATGCTATGCACGTGCTTGAAGCAGCCACTTTGACCACGGCGGCCCCTTGGGCTGGCTCATGCAGTTTCCAACTTGGCCTTGGGCCAACCAGGCACCTTCCCCTGGCGCCCATGATGGCGGCTTCCGGTGATACGCGCCCTCGACGCCGCCAGCCCCTTGAGCTCAGACGGGGTGAGCGATCCTTGCCTTCCAAGAAGCTTCTCCTACAGTAGACAGATGCTCGTCCCATATCCGTGGGCCGCTCGACGACGACATCCCACTGCTGCTGCTGCCGCCTCCCACGTGCCTCGCCATCAGGCCACCACCATCACCATCACCATCACCATCACCAACGCCGCCACTGGCTTCATCACCTCGGTCACGGACTAGATATCGACAAGGCATGCAGCTCCAGCTGCTGCTACTCCTCCTCCCCCCCTAGCAACACAAGAGTCGGTTCCCCGTTCACTGCCACAATCTACAGGCGGGGGCTTGCCAGCGTTTTGCTGCCCCCCTACAAGGCCCGGTGCCAGGCTCGCGGACCCCTGCCGCCGATGCCAGTCACCACTGCCTGCATCTTGTCTGCAGGGGCAACAGCCACTGCTACAGACTGGTACAACACCCTCCCATCATGGTCCCGTGGCTCTCTCGACCTCAAGGCCTGCTTTGCCGAGCGGCACAGCTAGAGTTAAGCATACTCAGCCAGATGCAATGGCCATGCTCGCCAGAAACTGCCGGCCCTGAGGGATGACATTCCCAGTCAGGGATCCACACCCGGGAGAGAACATACTCGCGAGTGACGGCCCCCCAAGCGACTCCTGTTTCCTCAAAAGCCGTTTGAGGTTGCAAGATAAGGTATTGTGCCATGACTTGTTTGAGGAGGGAAGAGCGATCTACCGAGTGTTGTAAGCTTGCTTAGCTGGGAGTGCCGACAATCGGGCACTTTCTCCATGCAGGTTGATGAGCGCTTCTGGCAATGCTTCCCAGACTCACGTGCAGTGTCAAACAAGCTCAATGCTGTGATTAGTTCGCAACGGGTGGCGTCGACTTTGGTCCCGATCCCACACGTGACGCCGCAAGAAGAGACCCCAAAGGTGCGGTGCGTCAAGAGCCAAGAGACTATCCTTGCCCAGGTCTGCCCAAGTCAGATCCGGCCGCGGCCTGTGGACGACAGCAGCCACTCCCGGCTCGCCTCTACGCGCTGAGGTCCAGCAACTAAGCCATTGCTCGCCCGGCACTAATCATCACACCCAGCCAATCCTCAAACCCATAAGCCCGCGAGCTTAATTTAGGCGTGGGCAGCTGCGCGACCGACTTGCTGAGGCTGCAATGCCACCAGCTCTACCTCTCACGACGGCCAGAGCATTCGCAGCTCAACCACGAGGTCACTTAAAGCAACACGAATTGGACCCCTCCAGTCAGGAGAACTGCTAGCCAAGAGATTTGCAAACTGAAACCGGCGGGACTTTTAGTGACCGTACAGGACGGAGCTTGTACCGGACCCAGGTAAGACGGTCGGCCCACCACACACACCAGCAAGCTAGCAGAGGTCTCTGCTCTGTCGTGAGCTCAGCTGGACCTGCAACTCTCCAGAAACCCCTGTGAGCCCGCCCTTTGCTAGCGACCCTGGCCAAGACTGGGATTAAACGGCTAGAGCGGGAGCCTGCCCAGCCCACTTGCATCGCAACCCCCTGCTGCTTGTTGCACAATGTATTAAACCCAAGCCCCTCCTACTTTAGCCCCCCTTGAGCCCGGTCTCTCCATTGTCTATGTGAACAATCCCGCTCCCGCTCGGCAATGCATTTCTGCCGGTAGCCTCCCACTTGCTCCCACACGCTCACTCATATCGGTCCCCCGAATAGGAGCAATTCCTTCGAACCCGGTCAACTAAATCGAACAGCTGCTCGCCTGCATCTTTGGCAAAGCACATACGCATTTCTTAGCTTGTTGTCTGCGCAGCATTGTGGTCTGCAGCGGCACCATGTCATTGAAGCAGGTGCGTCTACGACCTTCACCCTGGTTAGAGTTTGCGCGGAATGCCTCTAGCTGACGATTGAATTTCAGGAAATTGAAACTTGGGTCACGGCCCTCGGCCGCTATGACAACAATGAGTTCGAAGAGGCACTTGGCGAGTTTGACAAGATTGCCGACACGTCCAAGATTCTCTTCAATATGGGTGTGATTCACGCCACACTCGGCGAGCACGAGAAAGCTGTATGTCTCGTCATCAATCAAGCTCAAAACCAGGGCTCGCTGACCAAACCAACCTGTGCGTAGGTCGAGTGCTACCAGCGCGCGATCCGGCTGGACATGTACCTTGCTGTGGCTTATTTCCAGCAAGGTGTGTCGAATTTCCTCCTAGGCGACTTTGAGGAAGCTCTCGCCAACTTCAACGATACCCTGCTATACCTCCGCGGCAACACAATGATTGACTATGCTCAACTCGGCCTTCTTTTCAAGCTCTACTCGTGCGAGGTGCTGTTCAACCGTGGTCTTTGCTACATCTATCTGCAACAGAGAGAAGCTGGTCTTCAGGATCTGGGATACGCCGTCAAGGAGAAGGTAGTCGAGGACCACAACGTCATCGATGAGGCGATTAGGGAAGAGGCAGAAGGCTATACTGTCTTCTCGATCCCCGTCGGCGTCGTGTACCGTCCGAACGAGGCCAAAGTTCGCAACCTGAAGACCAAAGATTATCTTGGCAAGGCGCGTCTTGTGGCCGCGACCGATAGAGCCAACGCATTCACGGGCTTCGCCGGCTCGGAGATCAAGGCTGCCGTCGGAAAGGGTGCCGACAAGGATGACCGGCCGACCGACAACATCTCGTTCGCCGCCACGAATCTGGTCAAGCCCGGGCTACAAAGCAGGAAAGTAGAGCAGGCTGCCGCATTCCCTCCTACACCCCCTCCGGAGAACGACAAGGGTCCACAAATGAGCCGAGCTGCCTCAGTACGGAACGGTGGCCCGAAGCCGATGCCGACGCGTTTGACGATTCCAGAGACTTCAAAAAGCAGCCGCTACGAGAGGACGTCGTCTCCACGAAGTGCCCAGGGTGCCTCTCGTTCAGCTGTCGAAGCGAGGTCACCACCGCAACGAGGTTATTCAACCAGGGGAGACGCCCGGTCCGACACCCGGTCCGTACGATCGAGACGTGACGATGACAACTACGCTGACGACGTTTATGACATGTACGGCGGTGGCGCCCCAGAAAGACGCGGCAGTCGGCAACAAGGGCGTCGCCAGCAGCCGCGGTATATCGAAGAGGATGAGGAAGGAAGCGATGAGGGTTCCTTTGATGAGGGTGATTTCGAAATGATCCCGAACCGTAGGCCGGGTTCCTCGTCCGTTTCTGGTTCATCCCGGGGCCAGTCTCGGCGCCCAGAGGCACGCAAGGTCCGCATCAAGGTCCACTCCGAGGACGTGCGATATATTATGGTTGGCACAGCCATTGAGTTTCCGGACCTTGTGGACAAGATTCGGGACAAGTTTGGCCTTCGCCGCCGATTCAAGCTCAAGGTGCGCGACGAAGATGCGCCCGACTCTGATATGATCACCATGGGAGATCAGGACGACCTTGACATGGTCATGATGGGCGTGAAGAGCGCAGCGCGGAGAGCGCGGCAGGAAATCGGCAAGATGGAGGTAAGCCGACTACTTTTGCACACCAGTGACCGCATTCTCCTACTTGCTTACTGACACACTTGTCACAGATATGGGTCCAAGAAATCAACTAGGCTCGACTTCTTTACTGTGCGGCTATTACATTTCTACAAATCAACGATACCCAGCAGTGCGTTCTACGACATAATGACGATCTACAACATGAGCCCGAGTTCCTGGGACCAATTGTCTCGCGACTCTCGCCAGCTATTTGCTTTCTTTCTTTCACTTCCTATTATAGTCGATCTTGTATCCATCTCATTCTGCATTATCAAAAGGGCCTTTGCAGAGAGCAGGAGTTGGCGGGGCAGTAGATCGGGCGCTTTGAAAATCTGCCCTTGCACCTGGGGCGTGGTCAGAGAACCCCGCCCAGAACAAATGAAGAGGACTTCAGGCTGGCCTGTAGGCATCAGCCTCGATGGTATCATCCCTCACATTGGGGCTCGCTGGAGTTATTCGGGAGGAGAACCTGTGGAAATGGTCGGAAGAGTTGGCGCCTGAGCATCAGGGGCAAGTAAGGGGAAGAAAAAGGGGGGAGGGGAGAGAGAGAGAGAAAGGAAGGAAAGACACATGCATACAAACCAGCCTCGCATCTAGACATCAGCAAGCGTTTTCATGGAGTTTGGCACGGCGGTCCTGGAACCGCCAGGGACTAGGGGTTTTGGAAGGGGAGACTGCTTTTGATGGTTTCTGCGGCATCATATATCACACTTAATAGCGTGATTACTTGGAAGAAGTTATACATTCCGTAATGGCTCTTATTTCCCCCGTACTGTCAGCAACATACACGCACACCGCTTGCATTTCGTATACTCTCATTCATGACAATGCTTTACTTGGACAGACCGTGCGATTCCTGTTTGGCCCTGTGTCGTCGACCTGCGTACTATGCACGAATGATTCATGTCGTTCGTTCAATAGGGTATCTGACAGGAGCCCACGGCGCTTATTGAAGCTATGGATTTCCCTAGGATACCATGCACTCAAATGTCTATGACACAATGCGCTCCCTAGTTCATGAACGGACAAGACGGTGTACGATTCGTAATGACTTCCCCGGCTATTCCGTTTAATCAACCTACTTCTAAATGAACAAATACAAAAGTGATCTCGGAACTCCCGGGCCCCTCCGGATCTAATTCACCCGCGGTTTGACTCCGTTTTCAACAAGTCATCTTTGGACTCCCATCGCGAGCCGCGTTCGCCACTTCTTGCCCCCTGAATATTGCTCACGTGCTACCATCGTCGTCGTCGTCCGGAATCAGGTTCCCGTTCTGGTCGACCTTCACGATCTTCGTCACGACCTCGTACTCGTCCCCCTCTTCGTCTTCGTCTTCCTCGTCCTCCTCTTCCTCTTCCTCGCCCTGCTGGGGTGCACCGTTCTGGTCAAAGTTCTGGTTGTTGGAGAGGACCTCATCGAGCGCCTGAGCCGTCTCGGGCGAGGCATCTGGCTCGACCTGGAAGCCCTGGTCGTCGATGGCGGGCTGTTTTGCAGCGGCAGCGGCAGGAGCAGCAGCAGGTGGTGCGGCCGGGGGAGCAGGAGGAGGGGCGGGCGGCTCGGGTGTCGGCGTAGGGGCTTGCTCGGTGGTGAGGGACCCTTCGCGGTCGTCGTTAGGACAGCGCTCGCGCTCGAGCTTCATGTCCATGATGATGCTGAGCTCCGGGCAGTAGTCGAAGATCTCCTTGCGGCGGGTGTGGTTCTTCCAGACCTGCTGGTGCAGGATGGCGCCACCCTCGCGCACGTGGAAGCCCATTGCCTGCGGGATGTAGTGGTCCTCGACGGCGAACTGGCCGTGCGCGGCCGAGGCGACCTTTGCCCCCGGCAGGACCAGCACGCGGCGCCCGAACCACTCGTCCTCCGGGTCCGTGTTGTTGAGGCGCGACTGGATGGCGAGGACGCGCCGGATCGCCGAGACGCGGCGCAGGGTGAGGCCGCCGTTGCCGGAGAACTTGTCATCGCCGGACCGGGGCGCGCCGGTCCAGTCCCACGAGAGCCACTGGTTCAGGCTGATGGGGGAGTTGGCGCACATGATGCTGTCGTGCTCGTACTTGAGCAGCCACTCGACACCCGGGAGGAACTCGTCGTAGAAGCGGATGTCGGTCATGAGCCGGAAGACGCCCTCTTTCGAGTTGATCTGCCATGGCTCAGGCATGGTGATGAGATCCAGCTTGCCAATCTTCTGCTGGTGCTTTGTCGCCCAGGCCCGCCCGACGCTGATCACGGACTGGTTCGAGCCAACAAAGAGGAATTTCCAGTCGGGCGGCACGACAGAGATCATGTGCAGGATCTGCGGGACAAGATGTGGCAACGGCCTCGGCTCTACGAGGATGGCCAGCTTGGTGCGGTTGAACGGCGAGGGGGATGAGTCCTCGTCGTCGACGAAGTGGCCCGTCGACGAGAGCTTGTGCCAGTCGACCTTGACCTTTGGGATCTTCTGCCGCACCTTGTCGACTTTTTCGTGCAACTCCGCGTGGATCTCATCTCTGTGCTCCCTGACGATGCCCGCCAACACCCAGCTGTAATGGAGTCAGCACTCATGTTTGTAAGTCGATACGAGCCACAATATGATGCGAGAGTCTTGAAATACGAAGCCAGCTCCCAGCCACTTACACGAGCACCAGGGACAGGCCCAGGAAGAGCGAGTTCTTTGTGAGAAACTTGCGCATGGTGAGCGACGACGAAGACGACGACGACATGGTCAAGAAGGCTGTAAAACGAAGACCATGCAAACTTCGCTAAACTGGCACAGGAAAACAAGAGGGCAAGAATTACGTGGGGTGGGCAGCTTAAGGTTCTGGTAGCCGGTCGTGTGCGTCCGAGGCTAGAATCTACACCACCTTTTCCCAACTGGCTCTGGGCCGGCAAAGCACACTACAGCTCCCTGGCAAGGGAGGCTCTCCAAAGATGGCCAGGCTGGAGATAGGCAGAGCAATTCTGCGCGCGCGCAAGGGACCACACTCAGCACATCAGACGATGGCCTCCCTATCCCAACCTGGGGGTGATGTGTGCCGGCTTGGGCAAAGACAAGGGACGGGACGCGTGCGCGGCGCTCCCTCTCCTACCCCCTGGCGTGCTCGGCTGGCGGGCAGCCAGACTCGAGCCATCCGCCTGTGGCGTGAAGGGGAGTCTGGCCTGGAAAGGCTGTGGCGACCTGGTTGAGACATGGTGTCTGCTTTGGGGGACGACGGCGGCGGGCTGGTTGAAGCTTATTGGGGCAGGCAGCCACGTCGCCAGAACCGGCCAGTGTAGGTGGACAGCAGCGCTAGCAGCGGTGGCACTTGGAAGGGATGGGATCCAGATGGAGGGCCAACCTTGGGATGGACTGTGTTGACAACATCCAGCCCGTGGCGTCGGCGATGATATTGACTTGGTCCAGAGGTGATTGCTGTAAAGGGCAGCCACAGTGGCACACAGTGATTCTCTGCACGGTACCTTGACAGCACCTGCCGTCACTCTGGGTGACACCCGGGCAGCTTCCCCATCCATCAACAGACAACCAACCCACGGTCCCTCTCGACCATCCTTTTTACACACATCGCCCTAGCCCTGCCAGCCGCCGCTGTCACCGGCTACGTTGACGTTCGAATTGATAGCCAGCCCTGCCTGTCTATAGGATCGTCCCTAATGCGGAGACACACCATTGTCCCCCGCCAACAAGGGTCAGCTGCCCGCCACACGGCACAACTCGAGCCCGCATGAAGCCCGAGAAGGGTTGATGCCATGACCGCAGTGGGGAAATAAGGGGACCAGCTGCTCACACTAGACATGGTATGCCAGGCCTACGGAGCAATACCACTCGAGATCGGGTCCCACAAGTTGCGGAGATGGCATAAGCTCCGTGGTGCTTTTCCAAGCCAGCGCGCGGTTACGTGATGGCCGCCGATTGGTAACTGCCTACTCTATCTCGTGGGCCCGAGCCACCGGAAGGCGCTGGCGAACGAGATGCGAGGCTTCGTGGGGTACATATACCCTACGCGGCCATGTTCTTTCCTCCACCTCCCGTAGAGGAATGAATACAGCACTTGTTCTTTGAGTTCGACCCAGTTCTGACGCCTCCCGAGCCCATACCCACGTGGCTGTCTTGAGTATTCCAGACAAGAACGAATCTTTTGCCCGGCATTCTCTATATCTGACCACCCTCTCTACTACCCCGTGGCCCAACATTGCGCATTCAACACGCCATGGCTGCCTCCACCGCCAAAGACGAAGTCGCCTTCGTCGTCGTCCCTGGCTCCTTTGCCACACCCGCTCTATACGAGGACAACATTGTGGCTGGGTTGCGGTCTCGCGGCTACCGTGTCGACCTGATTGGCCTGCTTTCCGCCAACGACGGTTCGCGGCTGCCGGCGCCGACCATGGAGGACGATGCGGCACACATCCGCGCGGCTGCCCTGGCCATCCTCGACGACCCGGAGCAGCCCCGTGACGTTGTCTTGAGCGTCCACTCCTACAGCGGCATTCCCGGCAGCTCGGCTCTCAAGGGGTTGGCCAAGGCCGAGCGGTCGGCCCAGCAAGGGAAGCCTGCTACCGGTGTCGTAGGCATCGTCTACCTGGGCTCCTTTGTACCTTTTGAGGGCCAGTCCATCCGCGACATTATGGGCGAGGCCATGCCCGAGGCATACCGCATCGGCAGTCCTGGCGGTTATCTGCCTGGCGTGAGCAAAGAGCTGGCCCCGCTCATCTTCAACGACTTGCCGCCGGAGCGCGCACTTGAAATCCTCAACGCCATGACCCTGCATAGTTCCGACTCTTACAGTGGCAAGGCGTCCTATGAGGCCTGGCGCGACATCCCCAGCCGCCAGCTCATCCCCGAGCAGGATCTCATTGTCCCGGTCCCCGTGCAGTTGCAGATGTACGACAAGGCCGCTGCGGCAGGCGGCAAGATCACCAAAGTCGTCGTCCCCGGCGCCGGGCATGCTCTCAATGTCAGTAAGACGGAGCTCGTGGTCCAGGAGCTAGTCAAGGCGGCAGAGGCAAGCCGCAGCTGGATGTAGATATGGTTTACAGGTGCAGTGCGCATTGTATCTATCTATAGAGGACTAGTGGACATCGCAGAGCACTAATAGGATATATGCAACTAAAATCAGCTAGCTCTAGATCGCTATGGCAATGAGACATCTGGTGCACTGGCAAGGGAATGTGTGTGTTGTGGTATGTGTTTAAGGTTGCTCTAATGCATGCGGCTTCGCGGAATGCGCCCCCCACCCCAATGTCTCGTTTTCCAGCACCGAGTGTTTTTGACTTGTCCAATAACAGTTGCCCTCTGAGGACACGACCATTTCAAGTGCCATCTCTCTGCCATCCCTCTGCTCGAAGGGAATCTTACAAGCCCAGATAGGCTTGGCGTACACGCACCTGCACCTGAGCCTGCACGCTGCGGTAGGCACAGTCTCCCTGAACCGCAAATCGATTGTCTTGGCGGCGAGCCAGTCGCGAACTCGGCTCGTCAAGGCTCACTCGTCTTGCGTGTGTCCAAAGGCGGGCTTGCTTCGATGCGGTCGAGTAGTAGTGGTGTCGTCGTTGCCACGCAAGCGAGCTAGACCGACCTGGCGGCCGCCACGTCGCGCCCGGCGCCGGCTTTTTGCTCTCGCCATGCTTGCTCTACCAGAAACTATTGGAGCCTGGGTCGGATGGGCATCCACCACAGTCTGCTGTTGACGAATCGAGATCGGTCCCTTTTGACTCTATTCGGTGGTATGGGTTTCTCAATGCTTGAAACGATTCTCGTCATCATTATGGCGTGGCCGCGACGGATGATCCCATGGGCTCAAAAGGATATACTGGCAGCTGGGGGTGAAGATGGCGAGAGAGAGAGAGAATAACCCGTACGCTTGCCACGACCCTCGCCGCATGGAAGAGGAAAGAGTAGACTGTGGGAAGCGTCTCTGGCAGGCACGCCACGGCGGTTCATGGCCCCCAGAACTGCCCTTGGATCGCTCCGCAGGCACAAGCTCCTCCCTTAGCCAGTCCCACGGGTTATCCAAGGGAGAGACGACCTGCGGAAACTCTGTCTCCTCTGGCCCCGAAACTTTCTTTTCCTGACTCTGCTGCTGGTCTGCCAATTAAGGGTCGATGCCACCTTGTAGATACTCGTACAAACTCTCATCTTGCACGTGCACCTAGTATGCACACGTTCATTATTCCAACATAGACGACACCTGTGACTCTGCGGTTGTGGTAGTCTATCGCGGATTGCCAGCTTGCCATTCACGGCCCGAATTCGACTACCGGGTCCCTTCGATATAGCTCGAGCTGGAGCCAGCACAACCGGAATCCAGTCTTGTAGTGGTACCTTTTCACCGGCTTACTCTCCTGCTCAGTGCTCGAACTTTGTGAGCTCGGCCATCCCGGGGCTGAGTCGACACAGACAGCAAAGACGTGCCCGCAGACTTTGGCCGTCACAGAAAAAAGGCGACAAGGCGGTCGAGGCTCGCGCCTAGAGGGTGGTATCGCGAGCGCGCAACCTCGTTTCCAGAGGCCATTACGAGCTCGAGCGAGATCCACGGGGACAACGCAATCGCGATGGGTGCACTCTCCACGGCCGTAAGGGGCGTGAGCTCCCTGGTCGTGTCCAGGACGGGCAAGAGGATCGCGGTGCTGCTGGGGTCTGTCGTGATCATGTAAGTGATACCTGCCCGGGCATGGAGATGTTTGGCGAGGAAGTAAAGCCACAACCGTCGGGCAGAGCACCATGTACTGATTGTGGTGACGGACTTGACTGCGAACAGGTTCTTCTTGATGCAACTCGCCTTTCCCGAAATCACACCCAATGTCACGGTGCCGGTGCCCTTCGTCAGCATCCACTACGGAGAAGAGGCCGAGGCTGCGTCGTCCTACTCCTCGTGGTCTTCGTTGCTCTCAGACGATGACTCCTCCGCTGACGGCTCCTATTCCGCCGCGGCCCATGGCGGCTCCGGCTCATCATCGTTGTCCTCGCCGGACAGTCACCTCCACCACCACCACACCAACAAGCACAAGGTCAACCAGTATCTCAGCGTGACCCGCTTCAACGAGAGCAAGGTCGCCCTCCTCATCGAGAACCGGCCCATGGCGTTCCTGGCGCCGCTCATGCTGCACTTCATGTCGGTGATCCCGCCGGACTGGCGGTTCCGCTTCATGGGCTCCCGCGAGTCGGTCGACCTGGTGCAAAAGTCGTTTGCGATCCGCCAGCAGGTCAACCTGGGCAAGCTCGACCTCACGTACATCCCGAGCAACATGACAACCATTGGCGGCGAGGCCATCAGCCAGTTCCTGACGACCCTGTGGGTGTACGAGACACTGCTCCAGCCGGCCGAGTGGCTCCTCATCTTCCAGACCGACAGCATGCTGTGCGCCAACTCGCGCCAGAACCTCGACGACTTCCTCGACTACGACTGGGTCGGCGCCCCCTGGAACCCCAACGGCGGCTACGGCGGAAACGGCGGCCTCAGCCTCCGCCGCGTCAGCAGCATCATCCAGGTCCTCCGCGACCAGGTCCGCAAGCCCGGCACCGAGCCCGAGGACGTCTGGCTCACCGACCGCCTCGGCCACCGCCCCGGCGCAAAGATGGCCAACGGCTCCCTCAGCCTCACCTTCTCGGGCGAGTACAACGTCGGCCACTCCGAGATGCTGTTCGAAGACGAGATGAAGGCCAAGGCCGCCGCCGCCGCCGCCGGCAAGACCCCGGCCCCCAACGGCCAGGGCACGGAGCTCGACAACTTCGCCGTGACCAAGGAGAACCTGGACCTCAACGAGGCCGGCAGTGGGCTGGTCCATGACGCGGTGTCCAAGAACGCCAATGCCAATGCTGGCGGCAGCGGCAGCGAGGAAGGCCGGCTCGATCTCACAAACGGGGCGTGGAAGCAGGGCATCGACGACTACCGCATCGGCCACTACGAGCCCATGGGCTACCACATCGGCTCCTCCGGCTCCGTCCTGCACGGCAGCATCTGGGGCAGCCCCGAGAAGCGCAAGCACATCTGGGAGTACTGCCCCGAGGTCAAGATGATGCTGCAGATGGACGCCGCCGAGTACGTCCCTGGCCAGTGCGGCAGCAACTGGAAGCGCGACGACGGCGGCTACGGCATGGTCAGGACCAGCGATCTCGGATACGGGACTGAATGGATCGACGGCAAGGAGTATCCCATGCTCCCGCCGGGTTTTACCGCGTGGTGAGCGACTTTCTATCGCGGGGACAGCGAAAGGGAAAAGGCAACTCTGGAGCGGAGAGAGAAACGGCGGTTCTTTGAGGGGTTTCCACGTCTTTTTTTTCATATTTGGGTTTTTGGACTATTTGTGTTACTTTGTGTCTTCTGACCGTTGCCGCCCCCTCGTATATCTTTCTGCAGGAGAAGCTCTGTTCTTCTCTCAAAAATTGGTTGCCACTTGTAAATCGGTTTTAACAGCAGCCTAGATCTGAATTTCGTGTAGTTCCAATATGTGCAGAAAGATTTCGTTATATACTCTAGAGTGCAGCTCTGCTTGTGTCTGATCCCCGCTGCCGCTGCCGAGACCCCAAACCCTGATTCGTTCGGCGTTTGGTTCAGCATTATATACGTAAAGTCGTGTGGATGTGTTCGTTATGTGTGAATCATTCCTGATTTCAGGCCTGCCGGTGCCGCTCGGATCGTGGTGTAAACAGCTGCTCGTGGCATGTTTACTGTTTATATCGCGGCGTTGATGATGTTGCCAATGGCACCTCCAAGCTCGCCAAAGAGGACGCCCTTGAAGACCTCCTCGCCCGTAGCCTCGACCCAGTGGCCCGTCTTCTTGAGGCGGTCCTTCCACAGCTGCTGCTGTGTCGCAGGTAGCTCTTCCCAGCTCGTGGCCGGGCCGTGGAGCTGTTCGTCGTGTGCAGCCACCTCCAAGGTCGGCTCGCCGTTCTCGTCGAGGACGTCGGCATCAATGTGACGGATCACTGGCGTCTGGTCATTCTCCAGCTTGACGTTGGACAAAAGGTCTCCGATGCTCTTCTCCCCAACAACTGGGCCCCGTCGCATTTGAAGCTGCCACCCAGCGGGCAGGTAATTCCTCGCTCCAAGGAGTTCGGGAGATAAACCCTTCGTCTCCAGCACTACCTGCCCGATGATGGCCAACAAGAGGATCACTACGGTCAGTTGTGTGAGTATCAGGGTAGGCGATTCGCCCTTGGACTTGAGCGCGACCACGTAGCGCGGTGTAGCCGGTCGTTCGCCTTGGCCGCCTTGTGAAGGGCCGTGGAACTCCTTCAGCGGGATGCTGTGTACCACTGCGGTGTTGCCCACGGCGACACTGGCAAGCTTGACAGAGATCTCGGGCTTCGCTTCACCATCCGCCTTTGGAGGGGCAAATGCAGAGAAGGACAAGCCAGTGATACCCGTCTGGTGTACATCTTTCAGGTGTTTGAAAGGCGCCAGGTTCGCGAGGAGGTCGACAGAGTGCACCTGCTTGTGCTCGAGAGTAAGGAGATTGATCGAGCGGTCGTTTCCTGCTACGGCGACGACGAATTGGCTGTCGCCCTGCTTTTCGGACGGCGATGCGGGAGGCGTGAGATTCCGTACAGCGAGGCCTGTAGCCTTCGAGACGGTCTTGGGCAAGTTCTGCCGGATCGCGAGACGTGCTAGTGGCTGGTTGTCCTTGGGCAGTCGGTAGCCGTGTAGGCGGACGCCGCCTCCTTGTGATGCGGGGATATTGACAGTGGTGACAAGGAACCCAGAGGACAGGTAGCGCAGTGAGCGGAATGTCGGCCTGCTCTTGTCTCCCTCCTCGGCCTCGAGGGTCTGCACGCACTTGGGCTCCGAAACACCCTCCTTGGAGACCTCGACTGTAAAGATCTCGTGGTCGTCACAGTACGCGAGCTGGTAAGTGTCGGGCCCGGTCTGAACGACGTCTAGATCCATGGCTTCCTTGGGGATGTCCAGCGTTCCCCTTTGAGTCCACCGCCGAGCGCCAGTTTGCGCCGTAGAGGGCGGGACATTGAAGAGGGCGATCTGGGGATTCTTTGAGAAGCCGTCGGCGGCGGCGCCGAGCTGGGGGAAGCCGGCAAAGGGATGCGAGAGGGCGCAGAGGCGCTGGTAAGGTACATAAGTTAGGTCCTGGCCCCGCGGGGCGAACAGCGCATCGCGAGCGAGCTCGACGATTCGCTCACCGCTAGTCTTGGCTGCTTTAGGGCCTCCACCAGCGCTGGAGAGCCTAAGCGCAAGGGTGCGAAAGTGACGGTTCTTGCCCTTCTTGATGTCGTCGGGGCTGCCGTTCGCACCGGCGAATACCAGTGCCGTCTCGCCGTCCTTACTGCGAGGCCCGACCACGAGCGTCGTGACATTGTCCTCACTTTTGCTCAGAGTGAGGCTGCCGGCTGTGGGCAGCTCGAGAGGGCTCGAGGCGTCGAGCAGGAACTATTGAGGGGTTAGTGAGTCCAGGTGACAGGTCCCGGTAGGGTCCAGCCCGCTCGCAGGCTCCAGGGGTCCACTGCAACCTCCTGCACCTCCAAGGAGAAGGACGGGGACCAGCGGGAAGCAACGGCTGCGCCCGCGAACAGCAGCAACCCAGCCATCTCCTGCCTGCGAGCGGGTGGGAAGGCAGTCGGGCACCATCACGGGCGGCCGGCCTTGACAGCGCATCCAACCTCGCCGAGGGGTTATGGAGGGGTAGCCACTGCACGCCAGGAAGACGGTGGTCACGCAGACACGCGCTTCCCTGCTGGCTCTGGGCACGCACGCGCGCGCGCGAGGCCTGGGACCCCAGGAGCCATAAGAGGGGCGGCCATGATGGGATGATGACTGGCCGCCAACACAGAAAACACGAGGACAGGAAAGGATGCGCAAAACTTACCACTTCGTTGGGGACTCCGTTGGGGTCTGACCCGCCACCTCCGCCAACCACGAGGCAGGTCGGATCTGCATGGTCGAAGCTGCAGGCATAGAGCGGACACGAGAGCTTTGCCTCGGCCTTGAGGATCTCTGGCTTCTTGGTCATGATGGTTGCCGACGCTGTTGCGCGGTCGAAAGCGATCGGGGGCCGCCTGGCTCAAGTTGTTGCCAAAAGAAGAAGGGAGAGAGCGAGAGCGAGAGAGAGAGAGCAGGGAGGAAGAAGATTTGAGAAGCAGGACGAATGCGCAACAAGGCAGTGAGGGCTGGACGCGGCTGTCTTTGCGTGGGCGAAGTACGTGACGAACTGTCCTGATCTCGTGGTGGTCTGGGAGCGCGGATGCAATATAACTATGTCGTGCAGGCCGGGCTGGTGCACTGAAGGCGTCCACACGGGAATGCCACCTGGTCCTTGTCGTGCCGAGTGGTGGAGGAGAGGGGCCTGTCCCGGGCAGGAGAGCAGAAAGGGGCTGGACCAGTCCGTTGCTCTGAGGCGGTTGCTGGGGGGTTCTTGATGGAAGCTTTTCACAGAGGCGTCTTCTGAAGGTGAGAGTGGTGTCGTGAGATCCAACGTGAGGTCTGGGCAGGAGAGGGCGGCGTCAAGTGCGTGCGTGCGTGTCTGCTGCTGCCAAGGTGACTGTTTGCGTCGGTGCTGCCAGAACAGGGCTGGCCGGCCAGCGGCGCGATGACGCTGCACTTAATTAAGGATGGGGCCGGCTTTAAGGTTGCTGGCCCTGATCCAGCTTTGCGACGACTCCCAACTGCTTCCCCCCACACTACGAACGACATTGGTTGACAGCGACGACGTCCCAAGCTCTTGCTGAGCACGTTTGGCGGCCACTGTTTGGGACCATTTGTGCTCCAAGGGGAAAACATTACTTGTTTCTCAGAGAACGCACTTGGCCGTGCGACACATTGTGCGGAGTACGTTCGCGTCATGTGGACTACTCAAGAGCTACTACATGCAGTACTCATGCCCGGCCATTGCGCTTGGGCTTGCAACACTGCAACAATTAAGACTAGTTAATCAGAACGTCGTCTCAAACACAATGTCGATTTGCAGTACAGGCCAAGGCCCTGACCTTCACTTCAAAGAGAATATCCAGTGCAGACCTCCCTGCGGTCTATGCCAGTGCTATCCGCAACAAACTGTGATTCTATCATCTGCCACACGAGCAGCCCTGGACTCCATGGTGCCCTCGTAACCACAGCTCTAGACTTCTGGGAGCACAAAGTCATACTCGAGAGTCCACTTCGCCTTGTCATCGTCCTCCCGGGCGCGAAAGTCGACCAGCAGCTCGTCCTTGACAGCAAACACCGAATCGTTCTTGACCCACTCGCCCTCGCGATCAAAGACCTGCGTCGTCAGCGTGTTGTGGCCCTCTGCCGACACGATGAAGTGAATGTGCGCGGGACGCCAGTGGTGCCGGTCGAGCAACTTGAGCAGGGCGCCCCCGGGGCCGTCGTCGGGGATGCCGTAGGGCGTGGGGCGCAGGCAGTAGATGGAATAGCGGCCGTCGGCGTCGGTCTGGAAGCGGCCGCGCAGATTCATGTCGGGCACCTCGGCGCTCTGCTGCTCGTAGAGCCCGTCGGGGCCGGCCAGCCAGATGTCGACCATGGCACTGCTGACTGGGTTGCCGGTACTTGCGGACAGGACACGGCCGGAGACGAAACACGTCATGTCGTCGCCTTTGCCGTTCCACAGCTTGAAGGCGTCCGCGGAGACGATGCTGCTACCGTTGGGCAGGATGGGGGCATCAGTGCGATAGAACGGGCCAAGGACGGTGGAGGGCGTGGCTGGCGTGGCTCCGGCGTTGGCTCCCTGGATGAGCAATTTGGAGGTAATCTCGTCGACGAGCGATTCCAGGCCGAGGATGTCGCAGATGAGGGCGGTCTCGTTGCGGGTATTGTCGGACATCTTGCCCGCCGCATTGATCTGATATCGAGTGATGGGTTAGTATGATATGTTTCATGAGCCAGTGGCAACCTTGTGAGAAGCTTGTGACAACAATCTGAAGAATACACGGGTTTTATGCAGCGAAAATCGGCAGCCACTTACAAAGTCAACAGCAGCGGTCCACTCGGCAGCAGTAAGGTTGACCTCGCGAGCAAAGTCATGGAGGTGGCGGAGCAAGCTGGGCATGATCTCAGCCATGCGAGGATGGGCCTGGGGCCCCGTGGCAGCAACGACCTGCGGCGTGAAGTTCTGGTCGTAGGCCAGCTTGTTGCCACCATGGACGCTCCCGCCGGTGTCGTCGTTGCCGTGCTTCTTCGGAGACATCTTGGTAGTGACCTTGTTCCAGGTCTGCCAGAGCAGTGCAGGCATCGCGGGGCTCTTGTCCTTGGGGGGCGAGGAAGCAGAAGGAGGAGTAGCAGGAGTGCTGTTGGTCGGATCAACCATGGTCAGGATGTCAGATAGACGATAAAGCAGAAAGGCTGGTCGCGGATGGCTGAGATGTGACCCAAGGACGGAGCAAATTTGATGTTCCCTGCCAGCGTATGTGCCTAGTTAGTTAGCATAGAAAACACGCAAAGTTCATCTAGAGAAGGCATTCAGTATCACTCACCCACCGGAAGTAAAAGAAGCGAGACCCGGGATTGTGCCTCAGGCCGCCCGTGAATTGCAGTCACAGGGGCCAAACAGCAGCCATCCGATCACAGTGTTGAGTCAGCTCTTGTCATGATTGTTCCTCCGTGTGCAGGAAACAGGCGGTGTCGCTCGCCTTTGCCATTGCCCATGCCCGTGCCTTGGCCGGCGGCTCAGGCCAGGCAACGTCTGCAGAGTTTCGTTGTTTGTGTGACACTGTCATACAACATCCCGCTCGGTTGCTTGTCACCGGCGTACATTTGTGGTTCACCGCCTGGACATTGTTTTGTTTTCTTTGGTTTACGCCAGCTAAGCTCTAGCACTGCACGAGCAGTAATGCGAAGTATACCGGGAGATCATAGCTCTGCCACTTGAAAGATTGTTGAGGCCACGGTCGCGGTCGTGTCTACGGCCATCGAGCCTCCCATAAACCTTTCGCGAGCAAGTATATCTCACCACTGGACCGAAACGAGTGGGCGTGTTACTGGCGGGGATGGGCAAGCAAGCAGGGAAGCAGGTAGCCGTCGCCTCATCTCTTGACCCGGAAGTTCGCAGTCCATTTGCTGATGGAATTCGAGGTTCACAATGGGCCGACGAGGAGTGGCAGGAGGCAACGGAAGCGACGAGGAGGAGATCATGAAAGAATACGTACAATACCAAATCAGTGTATAAATCGCGCTCCGAGGGATGGGGTAAGGCCTTGTCCAGTTCAGAGTCCCGAGCATGTGTTAGCAGCTGCGATTACCCTGTCCTGGAGCCACGAAGCGATGCAAAGACTGGCGGGGAAACCCCCGGAAAGCCTCATCTGCAGCTAGCAAAACTTCCAGCCCGACACAAGGTCTTGTTGTTGTTTTTGTCGAGAAAGAAACATTTGTAATTGTTACTTGAAATGTATCGCTACTTCGCTAAGCACAAACGCCCTGAAACCCAGAACGATCTCGCAGGCAAGGCAAAGGCTTATGCTGGAAAGACTCCTTGTTCGTATATCTGCCCGCCTCACGCACGCCGCTTGACAGAAAAGCTTCCAGAAGAATGTCCGGGTGCCCTTAATCAATGGACACCAGAGGAGTCTCTATTCAAGGACCTTTTCGGTCTTGAGAGCCATCACATCCTCATCCTCGTCAAGTACCGTCTTCATCCTCTCCACACCGCCATCCTCGAGCGCGCCGTCCTTTTCCCTGTCGGCCAACGATGGCGGGACACCGTCAGTCGGCGAGATCGGCGAAGGTAGCGGATCAATCACGTTCTCCAGATCGAGATCATCTTCAATGATGACCTCCTCGTCAAGCTCCTCCGGATCCGTGGCGGACTCCTCGTCCGTCGTCGTGCTGCCCCGAAGCAGACTCCTAATGTCCTCCTCGCTCATGATGGTCTCGATGCTGCCCCGACGCACGCTGCCGCGGGTCTCCCGGCGTCCTTCCTCGATCAGTCGCTCAACCTTGAGCCGGTTCGCAATGAACTTGAGTTTCGGGAAGGCGCTCTGTTGGCCTTCGTGGATCATGCGCGCCAGCCGGGCAGAGTCGGGATCCGACAAGAGGTTGAGAAAATCGCTGGGCACGGACTTGGGCCAGATTGTAATGGTGCCGCCAAATTGCTGCAGCCAGAGCTGCGACCAGTCCTGGCCGAGCGGCCGGGGGAGAAGCTCGAGGTGCTTGAGAACCTTCAGCCACTTTGTCAGGTCGAGCTTGATGTACTGCTCTGTGGCAGAACCAAGGTAGCCGCCTCGCCAGCCACGTCCTTTTCTGTGCGTAACAGGTGATCCGACAGTGCCACGCGAGGAGAAGAAGAACAGCGAGATGTGAGGGTTGACCTGGCTGACGATTGTGAAGTTGACATTGAAGTGAAGGTTGAGTGCCTTGATTGGGATGTCCGTCCTCAAGCTGCCGTCCTTCCATTTGTGTCCAAACGAATAAGGAGATAAAGAGCCATCTCCGTTCTTCATCATCAAGACGACAGGGTTCTGAATCCCCGGGACCGCAGCCGATGCCAGGACTGCAGACCAGATGACGCAGTCTGGGCTTGTGAGGTAGTTGCAGAGTATCGTAGGAGAATGAGGATCGGCCGGAACACATGACACATTCAGAATGCGCCCAGTCCGCTCGTATGCTTCTCGGAATGTCGTTGAGCCGCGCGACCACCAGCCCATCTGGCGTGCCCAGTCAACCGAGTCGAACCTGGCGCCGGTCCGCCACCAGCGCGGTAGCCAGGTCGAGATGGGCTCTCTACAAGCTGTAATCTTGTAAGCCAAAGCTGGGATCAGCAGTTGCTCGAGTTCTTCGTTGGTCCTGGTGGCGACTAGCGCAGCGACAAGTGCACCACCACTCGTTCCTGTAATGACATCAGGGATTTGATCGGCTTCGAGCAAAGCCTTGACAACACCAAAGTGGTAGTATGCAAAACCCGCACCGCCGGAGAGACAGAGCGCTGTCCGCCCAAAGTTGGCATGCATCCGTTTGAAGAGTGACTTCTTCTCATCCATTGAAAGCTGTGTCGTGTTGACCAGAAAGCGGGTGTCTTTCTCGACTATATCTGAAAGTTAGTATCGTAGCCCATCCGTGAAATGCATCACCAGGCAAGTCGGCACTTACCTTCGTCGACAAAGTTCTGCACTAGATTCTTTGTCCCGTAGTATGTTTGGCTGTACAACCTGGGATTCTCCACGCCAACAAAATTGTTCTTGACACAAGCCTCGACCAGGGCTTTGAGATCGTATGTGGCCTTGTTACTCGCGCGAGCGTCATTACCCGCCGTCCCGTTGCGGTCCTTGCCGCCTGCCCTGCCCGCACCGTTCATGAGCTCTCCCTCCCGCTGCTCAGCTGCACGCCGGTGCTTGCGGAGCTGCTCCCACACGCGCTTCACCGTCTTGGAGTCGTAGTATGCAAACGCATTCTCCTCCTTCCAGCGCTGATTGCCGAGGTACGTGTCGAGCTCCTTCGCGGCGCCCACCCATTCGCGGTAGCTACTCGCGGAGCGCATGTTGCGCCGCAGCCGCTCGCGCGTGCCGCGCCACGCCACAAAGTACTCGTACGAGAAGATATAGAACCGGGTCCACAGGTAGGACAGAGCCAGGCCAATAATCCACATGCCCACAACCAGCAGGAACGGCCACTTCAGCAGGCCGTAGAGGTAGCCCTCGCGTGTCTCGTCCACCGTCCGCCCGCCGATCCCCGCCCGTCTACGTTTGCGCCGCCGCGGCACCTTCTGATTGACAGGCGCCCAGTCGTTCTGGGCTGTGATGAACAAGCTGTCGGCATTGCTGTCCCGGCGGGTGGCGGGGTGGTTCTCTGTCGATGGGGATTGTTGGCCAAAGTCGACCGAGGCGACCGAGGTTGCTCGCCTGGTGACCCCGTCAAAGCTCGAAGCTGTCGGTAGACTGGGACTGCGGGGGCTACGGATTGAGGAGTCGTCGTCTGGGGAGGCGAGGTGGGCAAGATCGGGGGGGCTCAGGGCCTGCGCGAAAGCCGCGACATCTTCCTCGGGTAGAAAGTTGGTGTCCCAGTCAGGGAGCTGTGTATAGTCGAAGTCGGCCTGCTTGAAGCCGTAGTTGTTCTTTCGGCTGGCGCCGAGAAACGGCAGGCTCGAGTGACCTTTTTCGTCTGCCATTGTTATTGAAAGCGTGTATAGTTCATGTTGTGGTCGAATATGAGTGGTGCTGAGTGGATGCGCTTGTCGCGCAAGGTGAGTCTAGAGTGGTGTGAAGACTTGACCTCTCAGATACCGAGGATGCAGGAACGAGTCGTTCAATATACAGGTCGCTCGCGACTCGTGTTACACGGCTGTCTATGCGGCCTCGCTCGTGGTGGTCAGGGCTGTGGTGTTGTCCCAGTAAGCTACCACGACATGTGATGATGGAATCAGCGGCGAGTGGTTGAGCTCCAGGAACAACCGATTGCGACGGCGGTAGAGCGTGGCTGTGGCGTTGTTGTCGTCGAGTGTTGTAAACAACCAGTCCGGTTGCCTCTGGGAACCTTCTAGCAGCTGCCTTGGGAGTACGAGGACGTGGTGATTGCAGAAGGTTTGGAGCACCGCCCTAAACCACACCTCGCAAACCGCATGACCCTACTACCGACGCTCCTGAGGCAATGCAAGTGGTTCGGGCTGGCTGGCCAAGCAGTGGAATGACGTTGCGCCCCCCCAGCACGCGGGTGGGCCCTCCAAAAGTGGCCCGCACCCGGCTGAACAGAGAGGCCCCCTCCCTCCCGAGGTCCTCCAGTGTAACTAACTGCACAGTCACCATTGGGCCACAAGGGTCAGACATCCCTCAACCAACAGAAGTTGTTGAATTTCTTGGGATCATCAGAGCCTTATTGGATGCCGCCAAGCAGCTCAAGACAGTGAATAGCAGACGTCAATCCAGCCTTGAATATTGCCGAGCTATAGTGGCAAGAGACCACTGAATGATAACATAAGGGGAGGGGGGGAAACGAGACTCGACTCTAACTTCTGCCGGATCACCAGCAGAACAAAGTAGCCAGAGTCATGGTCCAGCTTCGCTGATAGGATGAACGCCGCACATCACTGTCGATTGAGTAGTTGTGGCAGTGGACAAGATAGGCCGGCTGGAGGAAATATCATTCTTGGCAGCTTCGTCTTCGAGAATGAACTCGCATGTGACGAACTCTAGACATCCCAAACCGATAGATATCACGAATGGATGTTTGTGGCACATTTGGTAGCTTGCAACAACGACCAAAGGTCGTCTCGATCAAAATAGGCAGACTCTCCATGAGCGTATAACAGGGAGCTTGTATTGAATCAGTATCCTCTACCCGTGACTCCATGAACAAAAGTACAAATCCTCACTGCGAGACGATCAACGTCGCTATGTCGTTTGGCTTCACGTCTCTCATTATATCGACCTCGCGTTTCCTTGGATGGCCGCTTCCCCGTCCTCCTCTTCCCCCCACGCGTCCTGCTGTACGTGGTCGTTGCTTTGGCAGCTCGCCTAGAGGCAGGTCCCCTAGACGTACTGCGAGAGCCAGCGGATACCGTCACCGTATCCCTGTCTCATGACGACAGAGCACATAAAGACCTCGATGGGCCTGATTCCCTCCAAGGGGACCTTGCCCTTGCCCGTAGTCTGGTACATGCCGAGCTGGTGGCGGAGCTCGTCCTCGGAGACGGCATCGGGGTGGTCAATCTTGTTGCCGAGGATGACGAAGGGCACCTTGGAAAGCTCCTCCATCGCGAGGAGAGCGTCGAGCTCGGCCTTGGATTCGACAAAGCGCTCGTGGTCCTTGGCATCGACGAGGAAGACGATGCCGTTGACCTCAGGGAAGTAGTCCTTCCACAGGCGGCGGGCTGTGTAGAAGCATGTATCGTTAGCCGCATGGCGCATCCAAGCACAAAGGGCTGGGAGTACAGGGGCCGGGGGGACCATAGACAACATACCTTGCTGGTGACCACCCAAGTCGAAGGTGGTGAAGCGGACGTTGCCGATGGCAAGCTCCTCAGATGCTGGGTTCATGGTAAGCAGCTGACCACGTGCTGTGTGACCTTGAGGTTTGACCTCAAGATCGCGGGACCGTAGTGGACTTACTAGGGTGCAGAGTGGGCTGCAGGATGGCGACTCTGTCGTTCTATATGTTGATTATTCTATTAGCATGGCGTATTGCGGTGCGATGGCGGGATGAAGAGGTTGTCGGAAGCGGTCGGCGGTGGGGAGAGCAGCGCAGGGTCGAAGGGGGGAGGGGACCTGCCTTCAGCATGTGCAGCAGTGTGGTCTTGCCGGCGTTGTCAAGGCCGAGGAACAGCAGCTTCGCATGCTTGTTCATGAGTCCAAGGCTGGACAGAACGTCCCAGACTGTGAAAGGGTCAGACAGAAGGTCAGCGTCTGGCGGCGGTCGTCCGAGGAGGGTGCTATGTGCGGTCGCAGCGGGAGTGCTTACACCAGTTGACAATCCACATCGTGAACGCTGGAGTAAAATCGATGGCTTGGTGACTGCGTAGAGGTGGCGCCCAGAGTGGTGCTGGTTGGCGGTGATGCAAAAGGTCGTGACGGGCTCGTGAAGCGCTCAAGGGCAAAGTCGGATAGACGTGGGCGATAGTAGTTGTAGCACAATAGGAACCTTGTCGGGTCTGGCTCGAAGTGCCCAAGTGGCCACTGGCCACCACCGCCGCTTCTAGCCAAACGCAGCCCCAGCAGTCAGGAGTGGGTGGCACTGGGGCCCACTTTCCCTTTGGCCAGCGCCAGCGCTGGTGCCCCAACGGTACGTACCAGCGCACCACCCCAACTGCGCATACTCAGGTTGGTTGGCTTCGTCGTTTTGAGTCCCAAGAATAGGCCTCCTTGCCTACCCGTGGACGACCTTTTTCTTTTTTTTTTTTTTTTTTTTTTTTGAACCTTGGACACCAGTATCTCGACCGAAAACTGGTATGGCAGACACGCCGGTCACACGATTGCGCAAATAAGCAGGTGCCCATCGACAGACATGTCACAAGCTCGGGAAAAGTGTCAATGAGTTTTGTTGAAATGCTGGATGGTTTAGCGAGTGCTATGCTAATGCTCAGTGATGGATTGCAACTGGGTATTTGCACCTGGGAAAATGATATGCCCAATCGCCGCCTAATGCTCCGTACCCCCATTGATGCCCGTTAAATGCCATTACGCCGACCCAAAATGCCCTCCAGGTACTGAAAACCTCTGGACTCGGGTTACATAAGAGATTCGTTACATATGTGAGAAAGGAAAAGATATATACAAGAATGGTGTTGCTTGCAGCAACAAGAGAAATTGCGACAGTTGGAGAGCATCATGTTGAACAACTCCCGACCGACAACTCATGGAAAAGACGGAGCTCACACGGACAAGACGAAGCCTGCGGGAGCTCTTTTGTTCGCCATCAGTAAGCCGATCTCACGCATACGTTCGGCGCCCTTGCCAGGCATGGGACGCTTTTCGTGAATCTGACCTTTGCGGGCCATGTTGCAATGCTTCTGGAAGTACTTTTCCCGCTCCTTCTCTTTCCTACGCTGTCGCTTTTGCTCCAGCCCCTTGAAGATGTCGATGGCTCCACGTAGGTGTCCCTTTTGCGACGTATGTGCGTTCTTGGCGCGTCGTTGAGCCTTGAGATGTGGGGGGAACAAGGCGGCGGCACGTGGTAAGGACTTGGTCTGCGTGGGGCCTGGCCGGAAGGCCAAAGTATTCATGCCACGCTGCATTTGTGCTCCAGACTGGACAAGTGAGGCTGGAGGCGAACGGATGGTAGCGCCAGTGAGCAGGGGAGGCGACAGGAGTTGACGAGGCGACTGTCTGTCAAAAAGACATTTTGGTGAACGTCCGCCAATCTTGATCTTAGGAGGAGGCGAGCGGATGCGCTGTGGCGCCGGAGAGCGTGCGCGTTTTGGCGGCGGAGAACGGTGCCGACGAGGGGAAGCAATGTGCTTGGTGCGTCGCTCTTTAGCATTGCCTCTATCGTGGTTGATGTCTTCCATGTTGCCATGGATCCACAGCTGGTCATCACTGTCCTGTGCTGTAGACTGCCGAGCCTCTTCCTCGTCGTCATCGTCGTCATCGGGCTCAGATGTGGGGAAGCTGGGGTCGATGTCCTGAGGGATAACATGCAGTTTCTCCCGCCGCCTAGCAGCAACGCAGGAAATGTAAGCATCCTCAAGAGCACGATCCTCGTCGAGAGTTCCACACACGAAATCGGTGCTGTCTGGAAGTTCGGGAGTGCCAGGACGGATCTTGATGCGTCTAGGGAGATCACGATTTTTTCTCTTTTGTGTCTTTTCGACATCTGAAGAGCTCGTAGAATCGATGCGATTGGCAGCCTTTGATGAGCGACGCGACGTTGAAAGCTCGCTAGGGAGACACAGGACTGAGCCTTGACCCGGATTCCACAGCTGGAAGTCCTCGGCGTCGTCGTCGTCATCCGACTCGGCAAAGCCAACTTCGTTGTCCGTGTGATATCCGTCAGAGACATCGTCGTCGGAAGCGTAGACAGAAACGTCCTCTGTGGCATCGTACGAGTCCTCGAGATCATCGTCCTGCTCGGCGTCTTCCTCGTCTTCGTCTTCATTGTCATCATCGTCATCCCCGGAGAGGTTGGCGGCGGCACCACCGTCCTCATCTTCAAGAGCCTCCTCTTCCTCCTCTTCCTCTTCGACTTCCTTGCCCAGTCGTCTGATCTCGAGTTCTTTCTGCAGGGTGTCGTTGACCGTGATACGCTTCCCAGTGAGCTTGTAGTGATCACGGATCCATTCATCTTCCTGAGGCTCGTCTGATGCAAATTCATGGAAGCGAGAAAAGTCCCGGTTGAGATCCTCCGGGCCCGCCTGTAGGTATTGCTTGGACCGGGGTGTCCTGGGGCTTTGCGACGTCGGGCGAGGAGTGGACGATCTGTGGGAGCGAGGACGGCTTGTCGATGAAGAACGATGCTTGTGGGCCGACGGAGAAGTAGGAACCCGCACAAGTCGTGGCGAGCGTGGGCTCTTCGGCGGTGGACCGTAGGGAGACTTGACTTTGGGCGACGATGCGCGCACGTCAATCTTGCTCGGGCAAGCAAATTTGATGCAAGGTTTCCTCACAGGCTTCTCCTCTGTGGACTGCTGTGCTGGCGGGCTCTGACGGGCTGCAGGACTTGGCTGAGGCGTAACTTTGTTGGCTCCGCATGCGAAAGAAATGCAACGCTTCTTGGCAAGGAAATCAGCCGTCGCATCCTTGGGCTTCAAGTTTGCGATACCATCAGGTCCGTGTGCAGCTGCCGGTACGCTCACTGGCTCATTCTGTGTGAGAGTCGCCTTTGGAGCAGACCTGAACATGTTCGCATTGAGACGGTCGAGCGCGATGACGGGCGGGGGCGGGCTTGGCGTATTCGAGCGAGAAGGGCTCGTGACCCCAGAAACGTCGCTGACCAGGTCGACGGTGGAGGCAATGCTGACATTGCTGTTCATAGAACGCCGGCGTGTCGTGTCGTAATTGCCACGATTGATATCGTCGTCCGGGTGGTGGAGTGCTTTGGTGAGGAGAGACTCGTGCTGGTTGTCGCTCGTCTTGCGTACCACGGTTCTCCTAAATTGGCCATTGGATTTGGTAAAAGTGAGGACGTCGTCCGGGGGCTCGTCAGCCTCTGGGACGACCTCGTCGTCAGTGGCGTGCTGCATGGGCGCGCCGTGCTGTGTCCAGCTGACGGTTGAGGATCGAAAATCGTGAAAGGAGTTGTTGGTCATGTCTGGAGGAGGAACAAGACCGGGGGCTAAGGTGGATGGTCGTTGAAACAAATAGCTGGTGCAGCCCAGTAAGTGGTTGAGTGGCGAGTCTTGGCAACAAGGCGAAGCAGCCGGGCTGGCGTCTTAGCTGCTTAGCCACGACTGATGAGTGTATCGAAGCTGACGACTCCAGTTGTCGTTAAAGGACGCCGTCCGTTTCAAGAAGCCGTGCGGCTCCTGTTTGATCTGAGTTACTGCTTTTGTGGTCGTGCTGTCCCTGCCTGTCGGCTTGGTGCACTGAGCTCGAGAACTTGAGAGTGCGAGTGTGTCCCTCAGGACCGCTTTGTTATAAAGGGCGAGACATAACAGGCAATGACGGCGAGGTGTAATTTTTGGGGGGAGCAGAAAAGGACGAGTAGCCGTTAGACAGAATTGCCGTATGCTGTGATAATTTCAGACTTCTGACAGAGCAGAATCTGCGTGGTCCGACGTGGTTGCTGATGGGTGTTGTAGGAGAAGATCGAGAGAGAGGAGCGGATGCGGCGTGTGTAAGTACGGTCTGGTCTGGCTGGGGCCGGATGGGCGAGTGAGCAGGAGCAGCGGCAGGGAAGGTGCGATGGGCAGGGGCGTGGGTGGTGCGGTCAACTGGTGCGCGAGCGCTCGGGCGAGTGCCGCTGGTGGGCGCGCAAGGGGTGTCTGGATTGGCAGGGGAAGGGCCAGGGCGCAGGCACGGGCACGGCACGGCAATGCTCGAGAGCTGGCGCAGCCGCAGTGAGACTTTTGCCGCTGTCGTGTAGGTACTGGCAAACGGTACGGTACGGAGCACAGTGCAGTGTGTTGACAGAACGCAGCGCGCCCGTCATACTGTCCACAGGGGGGTTCGCAGACGGAGGATGGCCGTTATTGGGTGGAGGCGTGGCACCGTCCGTTCGGGGCACGACAGGGCATGCAACCCTGGCGCGCCAGGGCGTGGGCGGTGTCGGCAGACAGGAAGTGAGCGCTGGTCTGCCGCAGCGGCGCGCCGTCCAGTGCGTGCAAAGTAGGGGTCTTAGACCAGGCTTGGCTAGGTCCAAAGGGCAATGACGTCGCGATTCTCGGGCACCCGGCCACCACGAAACCAGCACCACCAGCCAGCGCCCTAGCTTAGCGCACCTGGCACCAGCCAGCGCCCTAGCTTAGCGCACCTGGCACCAGCCAGCACAAACATGACCAGGCCCGGTACGTGTCTAGGCAATTTAACGGCCATTTGCCTTTTGGCTCTCGTGCACTGCGGCCCGCCTGCCTGCCCGCCCGCACCCAGCAAGAGGCATTTTATGTGTTCCGGTTGATCTGCCGTCATACGACGGCAGGCAAGAACCGGTTGGTCGCTTGGATGACGCCCGCCATGAGATTACGTTGTTTCCCGACTCGCTAGCCTCGAGCGCTCGTGCCCTTGTATTGTCGCATTCCAGACTCGATCAGACCAGAGCATCGACTGTGACTTGGCATCGTACGAACGTCCGCGTTGTGCAGCATACCCCATGACTTGTGTGCGGATCAATGCCTGGCTGTCGTGGCTTCCTGTTGGCCCACAGATTTGGATCTGCACGCAGGTTCCTTTGGAGATCACACTACTTAGTGTATGCAGAAGATGTAGAGCAGCCAGAAAAGAAAAATGGGGGATTCCGGCAGGAGTACCGGTACCGCACCGAACAGTCTTGACCTCATCCAAAGCTGAAAGGAGCGCCGTGTGTTTTGGGGTGGAGGGGAAGGTTGCTTCGCCCTTGTGGTCCTGTCGCTAATTAGTGATTCCTCCGGATTTCGGCTGGCGAGGTCTGTCGAAAACGTTGGATGGAGCGGCCGAGCCAGAGGGGTGGAAAGCGTAAACAAACGTTTGGGTAAAAGACTTGACTTCTTACGCTACCCGAGGCGGACGCCAGCGCGGACGCTGAGGCTGAACGGTCAGCCTTGACAGAGTTC